CGGAAAAATTTAGCAGTTTTTAGATCTGTTATTAATTTATCAATTATTAATTGCCAATGTATTTTAAAAAATTACGTTTAGAGAATTTCAGAGAACTTTAGTACTGGCTTCTTGACATAGAAAAAATCTCAAAATCTCAAGAATTCAATGTGTGTTTTTCGAAATCCGAAAAAAAACCGTAAATCACAAAAACAAAGACAACCTCGAATGTGCAATGAAGCCTGTAATTTATATGTGTTCCTCTGTACTTAATAATGGTTTTTTGCTTCGTTCATGAACAATACGACATTCGAAATTACTACTAATAAAAAGACAGCTGGACATGAATTTCATTTTTATTTTCATACCACAAAGAAATTTCACAGGGGACCTTTTATATCATAAAATGAAATAAAACAATAAAATATTATGAAGTTGATAATAATTATGATCAAAAAAAGAGAGGAAAGGAAAGGCAAATGATGATTCAGATGAGAAAAAAATCAGACAGAAAGTGGTCTTTTATGAATCATAGATTGACCGAGGAACGAGGAGAGAAATATTCAAAAATGGAGGACATATGTTCAAATTGACACATTTTGTATTTCTGTTAGATGTAAGGTTATCGAGTTACGACAAATACACATAATGAGACTAAAATAATAAGCTGTTAAGTGTTTGTTATTAGATTCAACAAGATTTATGATGATGCTTCATCAAACCTAAATTGATACATTGACAGCTGATGATGTTATTTGTTCGCTTTTTTAGTTTGAGGAGAGAACTAGACATCTGAAATATCGGACTTCATGAGATTCAATTTTAGAAAAAATTTAAAAAAAAAACGAAAAAAGTTATACACTATATAAAGAAGTCCAGAACGTCATCTAAATTTAGAAGTATTCGAGAAATGAAATCTATTTTTAATGTATCAGATTTCAACTTTCAAAGAAATGTGTGAAATTTTCGGTGGTCTTTCAAGAAAAAAGACAATTTCACAATATTCAGTACCGAACTCGGATGAGTTCGAGATAAATTACCTTCGGCCAAAAAGAATTCCAAAAATATTAAAACCCAAAAGACAAAACCTTCCAAAAACCCACAACAAACAATGTGTTCTATTCATCAGCTTTCAGTTTATGACCTTGAAATAAGAAAAAACACGAGAATTTGTCTAAACTTTTGGAATATTCCAAAAATGATTTATTCCATTATTCTTCTTTTACAATCCAGATATACATAAAATTCTTCAAAAACTAGCTCGTTGACCACTTTTTTCTTTTCGTAAACTCTATTCTCACGCACAATTTAAAAACAACAATAGAAAATACGAGATTGGACAATTTAAAAGTATCTACATGTACTGTTTACTATAGTTATTACTATTATATATTCACAATGTGAAAAAAAAAGAAGGAGAAAGTTAGAATTTGAATTTGAATATGAATTCAAAAAGTATATGAAATATTTCAAGTAAAACGAGTCTTGAAATTTTCACTAAATGTTTTTAGAAAAAATTAAATAATTTTCGGTCTGACCGTTTCAGTTTTCTTATCGAAAATTGTCTATAAGTGGTGAAAAAAACAGAATATGGTTCTATTTTTCCCAATGTTTTACAACAATTTGTGAAATATAGGACTAATAAATACAGCGGTTTTTTCTGAACTTGGATGTAAAACAGATTTTTGAAAAATGATGACTGGAAACCGAAACACTTTGAAAGTTCTTAAAGCAAAAAAGGTTTAAAAAAATAACGTTTTACTAAAAAGTACAGTCCAAAACTTTTTTGGAGAAAAATTAGTGAAATGTTTCTCAGATTTTCTAGATTTTTAAAATTACAGTAATCCACATGGTTGGTAAATGAATGAACAGAGAGAATAAAGACTTTTATATTTAAAATTATTCCAAATCACAAAGTTTTCTATACGACAAAGTTCTGTTTTCAACTCTGTTCCGAATCAATGGATTGTGTTTGTCACTCAAAATGAATAAAATTAGAAATGAATTATGTTTAACTGCCACGTAAAAGCACGCTCGTTTTTTAAATACGAATTTCCTACAGTTACAACTTCTCAATAAACCCCAAAATCAAACTAACTTGCTTGTTTGTTTGAAATTTCCAGTGTCCAATCCTCAATTTTTTCACATTCGACCATCGAAAATTGTAAAAATATCATTGAACGAAACCTGAAAATAAACAATATTCAACATTTCCACAGTAAATTACTATTTACCCATAAAATTTCCCGAAAAAAAAGGGACGCATAAATGAGAGTCAGAGAAGAGAATAATTTTTGATCTACTAGAAAAAGTTTTGAAACATTTTGAGGTCTAGAGATATTTGGTTGTTAATTACAAGCTGTGGTATTCAGTGTGATTCCCTCTATTCAAGAATATATTTCTTCGTGAACTTTTTCATGTTTACTTGTTGCTCATTTCCAATTTTCAAACTGTACATATTTTATCTTATCATTGTTATTTATTGATAATTTCTCAATTGTATACATTCCGAATGTATTCAAATTTCTTTCCAGACAATAATAACATATGTTCTTTTTTATCACCTGACCCTTTTTCAAAAAAAGAAAAATTATTTGTCGTTTCGAAGAACGTAAAAAATCATATGCTTTTTTCGGTTGGACAGCTGACACGAATTTGGATTTTTCATTCTCGGAAAAATTTCATCAGTCGAAAGAAAATAGGAAAGACTGAGAAAGAAGAGATTGACAGAATTGCAGATTTTTCGTTGGTTTGTTTTTTGTTTCTGGGAAAATGTATTCTAGAAAAAAGAATATGATTCTGTGAAATTGAACTTCTGGAAGGAATCCGGAAAATGAACCGTGACTATTAAAATATGAAAACTATCGGAAATCTAGAAATTCGGAATAATTCAGAATTCGAAACTTCAGATTGAATTCTTTCGCTGGGCCTTTTCGAAAATGTAGTTTTGCGAATTTTTTGATGATTTTAAAGAAAAACTTGTTCGAATCAACTTTGCAGACTAGATATGTTCAAAATTAGAGATGTTCTCTGTGGCTCAAAATCATCTCAAAATGTCCTTCAAGTTCCCCGGAACTTTTGCTTCTCTTCAAAAGTACAAATGTTTTTCTCATCTTTTTTTTCTCTCAAGTGTACTCTGACCTTGAAAATGACCAGAATATAACTTGAATTCTATTTTTTATTGTAAAAAATGCATTTCTTTGTTGATTCGTCAAAGTGAAAAATGAAATAAAATGAAATAGGAAAAAAACTGAAATTTCAGTTTTTCGGAAAAATTCCAGTTTTGGAAAATGGCCAAAACTGACAACAGAAGAATATCTCGTTATCAGCGTGATAACAAGCAAATTTTGAATAAAACCCTTTTCAGGTCCGATTCAGACATCTCATGAAATAAAATTATTCCAGTAATCCGATTTTTTGTAGCCGGATTCAGGCTGACATATTGATACGGTTAGAATTCATTCGAAACTCAGAACTCGTAACATGAAATTCTAGTTTGAAAACGATTCTCAACAATTGACACTTTTTTATATTGAATTTCACGCACAAAATCAATAATTGAACAATATTTGTGTATTTATTCTCGTTTGATTGAATAGAAATTGTTTCTGCAGCTGGCAAATCGAATTATTTCATATTTTTGTTGTGGTATTTATAAAAATACTACTTTTTTTCGAATATAAAAATACATAAAGAGACACACAGGTGGTCGTAAGTATACCCTAAATTTACCGCATTGTCCTTTGTGTCACAAATTGTGTTTTTTTTTCAACTGTCCTTCTAAAATGAGGAGTTGTTTGGTTGTTGTTGTGTGTGCGCACAAACACACCCTTTCACATGACAACTAAAAAGAGGTAGTAGAGAAATATAGACATATTATGTATAGAATGTGTGAGAATTGTGAAGAGAGTGTCAGACAGTCAGTCAGCTGATGATTCTGCGCACATTTTCTTCTTCTCTTTTTTTGCTGCTGCTTTTTCTGCTTCTATTTATGTATGTCTATTTTTTTCGACTTCTTCTCATTTTTTGTCTTCTTTTTTTGTGAGTGCGAGAAGATCTGTTGACGAGATATTTTATTTTTTTTTTTTGCTTACGCCTTTTTTTGAGGCAAACACAGATAACATTTCCTGTTTTTTCTTGTCGTCTGAACTTTCACAAATTTTTCGATAAGGTATTCACTTTCACAGTGTCTCTCATAATTTTAGTTTTTGTAGATCAGAATTTTTTTTTGAAATTCTAGATAGTCGGTTTCAATTTCAATACTATCATTTTGCTCTTCATAAAATTGAAAGCTTAATCACAGAGTGTGAAATTTCCCGCATTTTTTGAGACCTGACGAAGCTCGTATTGAAATCGGCAAAAATCGAAACTGAGAGATTTAGAAAAAAATAATTTTCATCAAGTTTTGAAACATTTTAGGTCTAGCGATTTGTTTATCAAGCCCTAAAGCCTTATTGAAAAACAAAAATTGTTCTAATCACCTGTTTTCCGCTAATTATTTTCACTTTTTCCTTCTATTTTCGTCACACCCCTTTTTCCTCTTTTCCTTCGTGTTTTGATTATGCATCTTTTCTCCAATCGAAACCGCCAAAAATAAAACAATCTCGTTTTTTTATTTGTCACTTGAGCTTTTTCGTTTTCTGGTAGCTCAACAATAACATGTTTATTTGTTTGTTTTCCAACTGAAATCAAAAACACTTGAATTGTTCATTCCTGCTTTTTCTTTGTTTTATTTAAAATATTACTGTTTAGTTTTATAATCTAATCTACAATCATTTATCATTTTTCATCTTTAAAAAACTCTGAAAATTCTCATGTGATCCACATGATTTCAAACATGTGGTATGAGCTCAAGTTGGACCTTATCCAAATGGGCGGAGCCTTTTCTTTTTCTAAACACCTGACTAAGAGCTGGTCGGTCACTCCTCAGGTCATATGAACTTTGCGCTTATAAAAGCACTCAACTCGATTTCATTTTTCCAACAAAAAAGATAAGCTGATTTCATAATTGCAGCAGAAAAATGCCTTTTATTGGACGTGATTGGCGAGCTCCCGGTGAAACATGGGTACGTACACCTCATACAAATGGATGGGAAAGGACTAAATTAAGACCAGTTCAGGTTAGTTATTTCTTTTTAACATCAAAAATAATTGAAAGTGAAGTAAATTTGTATTTTCTTCTTCTTCTTCTTCTTCACTTTATTTTTCAATTTGCTCACTTCTTCTCAAATTTCAATTTTTAGATGGCATCTGACCCAATTAGTATCCCACAACCAAGTTCGGGAAGTCCTTGCTCATCTCCAAAACTACTTTATGATTCGGATCAAAATTCGTCTTGTGGCTCTTTGCCAGGAAGTGTTGAGGGAAGATGTAGCAGCAGTTCAGATGATTCTGGTGAGTGTTTGTTTCTATAGAAACCAGACGGAAAGGATTAGGGAAAAGGGGGAAAGGATAATTAAGTATGCCCTACCTATTAGAGACATTTTAAAACGGAAGAATTAAGAAAAAAGACCAAAGAGTTAGCCGAACTTGTTTAATTGTTTATATTTCAGATTCAAACGACAAAGATTGGATCCCACATTGTTTTGTCAAATCAACATCAAAAGAATTTATCGGTTGTACAAGTATGAGTGAAGCATTTCATAGATTGGACCTTGCTCGTGCTGTAAACGATGTTCGCCGTTTCAATTTTATATGCAAAGTTGTTCAAATTCTAGTCGAAGAAAAATTGCCAAATTTATCTGCCACAGCTCGAAAATCGCTTCTTTCAATTCTGATTGCAATTTGTTTTCGATCATCAACTGAAGATGTTCATATTAGTACAGCAAAAGAACTTGTAAAACAATTCGGAAATGGTTTAGATAGTGTATATACATGCGGGTCACCTCAATTAATCTCAAAACATCATCAAACTGCTAGTTCACTGTTGGATTTGATCTCGGAAACTAATGTACAAACTGTTGCTGATGATATGGCTGACGAAAATTCGATGACATTTTTCGATCTTCCAAGAGAAGTTGTATTATTGATTCTTCGAAGACTTCCTGATCATCGTGCACTTCTTGAAACTGCACAAGTTCACGAAGCACTCCAAGAAATGATTGATGGAGAAGATCGAATTTGGAAATCACTTTGTACTTTCCATTTCCAAGAGAATCAGGTAAAATTTACCATTTCATTAGCTCAATTATTTATGCCTTCTTTTTCAGATAAAAAACTCAAAAACGGGTAACAAAACATGGCGTCAAACATTTTTCGACCTCAAAAAATATCATGGATGTCGCGAATTATACGCTGATCTCATTCATATCTGTTGTCATTGCAAAGCATTATTCTGGAAATCACTTGGCCATCCATGTATTCGAGAGAATGCTCCATCTGTACGTGTAACACCGCGTCAATTTGTCGATATGTTGATTTATTTGTGAACCAAACTTTTGCCTGATATTTTTTTGCTATCAAACTTCTTTTTGTGTCTATTTTGTTCTTTCATGCATTGTTAGCATTTTGTAAATAAACTGCATATTTTAATGACATATATTTAACGCAAAGAAAAAAGGAAGTATATCCAAGAAATTACCGAAAGAAAAAAAGTAAATAATGATAAAAATAAAAAACCCCGAAATTCACAAATGAGCACGTTTTTAAACTTTAAAAACCTCCACATTCTCACATGGAGCCTGAAATAAAACACAATGATTCTACTTAGATCTACTGTACTCAAAGACGCACACACATCACTGGATGGGTCTCGTCACGCCGGAGTTTGAATTAAAAAAAAACATGTTTTTTCCGTTTGCAAAACATTTTTTGTTGTTTCTAGTTAACACCAAACGCCAACTAATTGGAAACAAATCTTGCTGACTTCAAACAATGAAACGAGCTGCATGTGACGAATCTGAAGCTTCACCGAAAAAACAGAAAGCCGTGTTTTCGGAAAATGTAAAGGTATTTTTCAGAAATTATAATATAAAAACCACCCCAAAGCTGATGTTTTCAGGAATTCGATGATTTTTTGGCAAATCTCAAGGGAAGCGAGATCAAATCGCTCAAATTTATTGACAAGAAATCAGAATTACACATTGGTTTGGAAAATAATGAGCAATTTGTTTTTATTTTCTCGGATTCAATCATTAAATTGGAGTACAATGAGAAAAACGGAGTTTTTGCGAAGTCCGAAGTAGGAAAATCAGAACAGGAATTGATCTCTAAATATTTTCAAATAATTATTGAAAAATCAGCGGATTTCTTGAAAAACATTGAAATTTGTTCGAAGGATTTTCCGTTTTCTTCAACCAACATCAAAAACTGCAAAAACTTGGAAAATCTCAAAATTTCTCAAAATGGAAACAGTTTCGATTTGATAGAAAGCGGATTTTTGAGCCAAGAGACAATTTTTGAAATCACTGGAGATATTTGGATTCACGGTGTTTCGTTGGATGGAAATATTTTGGATCTCGAAAAAATGAAGTTGAAAAAGATAAACTGTGATCAAGTAACCGGAAGAGTACACAATGTTATTTCGAATTATTTGAACAAATTCAAAAAGGGAAAACTTGAAAATGTGCTGGAAAATGTTGATTTGAAAATGATTGTTGAGAAGGAAAAAGACTCAGATGTTGATGATGAAGAAGATGAAGATGCAGCTTATTATCGTTATATGAAAGGTGGTTGGAGAGAAGAAATGCGATTGCATGATGATTTTGATATGCTTCTTTGGTGTCATGAACCTATTCGAAAGCCGTTTGTGTGAGTTGAAATTATGGATTTTCAGCGAAATACTATTTTTTCAGAACTGAGAACGAGATGCGTTTTGGACTTGCTAATGAAACACATCAAATCGAAATCGATTGCGATGGAAAACATTTCAATATGTGTCGAGTTGAAAGAGAAGATTTTTGAGGTTCCACTGATGGTTATCGTTAAACTTGTTGAATTTGTTCTTTTTTGTTTTTGTTTCGATTTTTCATGTTAATGAAATCTATTTTTCGCAAATAAAACTGAAATTTAGAGGAAAAGGGTCCCGGAAGAAATGAAAAACCACGGTAGACTTACTAAAACATCGTCATAGCATTCCACAGCTTCATCATTCCAAATAAAAATATTCCCGCTGTTTTCGGAATTCACCATTCAATGAAATAAAACATTCTGGAAAAATTGTTTTTAATACACGTCGAATATGGTCACGAAAAAAAATATTTTTGAGAATTATTTTTTTCGGAGTTCCGGAATTGCGTCAAGTTTTCTGACAAAAAACGCATAGTTAATTTAGCCGATAATTATCGATAATATCCTATTCCGCGGAATTCCTCAGCATCCGCTGGCGTAGTCTAAGCGTACAAAGAAGGGTTATTTAGATGAAATTTAGCTAAGGCTTAGCTACGCTCGTTTGTTCGCTTAGACTACGCCAGCGGATGCTCAGTCCGCCAAACTTTGAAAAACGTTTTTGTACAGAAATAACCTGCTCATAGTACGGTATACATTCCGTGTTTGCACAAAATCAGGTACGCCAACACTAAACAATACGCGCAAGTCAATAATTTTTATTTTTGATTTCGCAAAGTTTTTCTCGAAAAAAGTTTATTTACAAAAATTCAGGTAAGTAAAAGCAATTTATAAAAATAGTTAGATGTGTTTCTTAGTGTTTTTAGTGGTTCCTTGTTCAGATGTATCTATCATATTGAAAACATCTTCATCCGATTCAAACTGTCCCTTTTTCGCGTCTCTGGTGAATTTCTCTTCTATGTATGTTTTTTTCGCCCACATTAAATGACCCTTTGTTTCGAATACAAGACGATAATCATTTTTCAAACCTTCTACACATTGAACACCGTCGATTGGAGGACTATAAAATAATCAATTTCGATTAATAAATACGTACTCCAAAAAATTAATGAATTACTTACTGTTTATTTACTGTATCTAAATTTTGTTCGAAATATTTAATAACCTCGTCTAGAATTTTGAAATCAGCAAAAATCAATCTTCCTCTATATTTTCTCGGTTTATCTGTGTTTTTAATCCAATTCTGAAAATATTTTTCATATTAGAAACTACATTTGAAAGTAAGATGCCACCTTACCTCAAAAAGTAATTTTATACCATGAGAAGTAACTTCTGCAGGAGATGCATAATCACGATGGCAAAAGTCTTCTGCTTGCACTAACCAATATGTTTTATCAACAACATCAGTTAATCCGTGAACAGTCAAATTACGAGCTTCGCGTACCTGAAAAGGATTAATTTTTGGGTTTTATAACACACTTTTCTTACTTGATCCAAATTTCCAACGCCTATTGATTTAACACGTCCCGATGAGATCGTTAATTTTTCGATTGGCGATGCAAATTTCGTCAACCACCAACTCATAAAAGTATTTTCTGTGTTTTCCAACGTGCTTATATCCAATTCTCGAACATTGCAAAGTTTTGAATCGGGACAATGATCCGCTTTTGAATACTGAATTGATTTTAATTCAATTAATTAGTTTCATATCTTTAAATTACTTACCTTATTCATTACAATACAATCAAAATCGAATTTTGGTGTTAAAATGAGATCAACAAACCATTCTGAAGCTGTTTTCAAATATTTTGAATCATTTGTAGTCCGATCTCCAAGCAGCGAAGTATTCAATCTTCTTTCAATTATTGTTTTTCGATAAATACTCGGCTTTTTCAAAAAACGAATTTCATATTCGATTTCGCTATTTATTTTGATCAATATTCTTGTGAATTGTTTCTGATTTTCTGTTCCTTCATCCCAAATCACTTTTTCGATCAAATATCGAAATCGTTGTTTTACAGATTCGTCGTTTTTATGTTTCGGGTCGACAAATTTGCTGGAAGCAATTAGGATAATTCGAAAAAACAAATAAATTAACTCACGTTATGTCACCTTCAAGACTGTTAATAATTTTTTTGTGAAGATCATCAGGTAAGTCATTCAGCCAAGACATTTCCGAAAATGTATGTTTTGTTTGATTTTTTTTTTCGAAAAAACACAACTTTGAGAAATGGAAACTTTCGCTGGCGAATCACGCGTAGATCGAAAAAGTTTTGTAGTGTTCTTTTTAATGAAAAAAAAAACGTTTGGCTTCAAGATGTTTAATTAAATTTGTTTTCGATCTCACGAAATTTCAAACAAAAGAAACAAAAAACTAAATATTCATTCACATATTCGAAATAAAATAAATTATTCACGATAAATATCGAAAATCAATCATAGTTCGTTTCCAACTCTATCCAGTTCGGTGGCATTAACAAAATCAAGTGTGCAAAAATTACCCAAGACAGTTCTTCCTTCGGTCATTTTGAAATAAAAATAAAGAAGTTCATTTTTTCTCAAAAAATGCGGTGTTTCCATCATAAAATCCGGATATTTCTGCTTCAAAAATTCCTTGAATCGTCTTGCTTTCAATGGATCTCCCCAACTCAAAAATATTCGCTTTGATCCAGAATGTTCATTGAGAGCCTGAATAATTCAATTTTTATTTCGAGAAAATAATACTTTTTTCCTGAAACTTACAATACATAATTGTTCAACATCTTCATCTGTCAATGACCAATTTCGAGGAATATTTTTGTAGAAAAAGCAATTTCCTTTATACTCAATGAATGTGTTGACATTGATATCTGTATTTCCACTAACTTCTACACGATCTGTCATTTTCAGCTGAAAATGTTTGATATTTTTGATTCCAAGTATTTGGTTTTAACTTACCATCAAATTATAAGCAATTTCCATTTTGTTCCGTTTCGCTGTAATTTTGAGAACATCAGTTTTATTTTCGAATTTTGACAGCCACCAATTTATGAGCCCAGTATCTGTTTCATCTTCCAGAACTTTAACTTCCAATCGATTCACATCACTTTTATATTGTCTATCTTCAAAACATTCCAATCTTGGTGGCTGAAAAACAAACATTTAATCGAAAAATTAATTTTTCAAGCAATGAAAAAACTTACCAATACAATATCAATTGTTCCAAAACGAAAACGATAACAAAAGAACAATTCGCACAAGAATTTCGAACAGACAATATCACTTTCATCGAAAAATTCGGAAAGATATCCTAAATTTGTTGGTCCATTCGTATGAGTCCTTTTCTCGTATGTTCTTGAAATTTTTGTTTTGACACATTCAAATGTTGTGTCGGTGCTTTTTTCCATTCGAACTTTGAAAATTGGACTTTCTAGAAGTTCAGGTTGAAGCTCGATTTTAACAATATGAAAGGGTAACTGAAAAAAGTTATTTTATTTATCTATTTACTTCTGGAAAAATATAATTTCTCACCTCATTAGGAGATTCTTTTTTGTATGCCGTTAATTTGCCAATATGATTGCGAGTTTTGTGCATTATAATCTTGAATTTCCGACGTTTAAAAGCACAAAAATCGAGAGACATTTTGATTTACAGTTGATCAGAGATCTTCTGAATCCGAAAACAGTTTCGAGAAAAATTGATCGAAATAATATACATTTTAGATATTTTTTCGCGGTTAGATCAAAAATTGTTTTTCAAAGAATTTTCTACAGTAATCGTTTCTAAATAAAATATTACGGTAAATAAATGGGTTTTGCAATTTTAAATGAATTCAGAAAAAAGTCAGTCATGTTTTGAAAATTATATTTATTTTTAATTTCTCTAAAAAATCATAAAATAACATAAAACAATGAAGCAATGAAAAATAATTGAATTTTCAGGTTAATCAAATTTGTCTAAGAAACTTTGTGGAACAAATTCACAATCGTCTGCATCAATATATTCATGGTCAAAATCATTGATTCCAATTTGTCTCACATAAATAGCTTGATCATTTTTGGTCAATAAATTTCTGACAGTTTCAAGTTTTTCAGATACACGTTTAAGACATTCTTCAACAAAATTGATATCATGGATAATTTCATCACGATCAATAAGTGCAATCTGAAAATATAAATTCAGGTTTGATTTTTTTAGTTACAACCAACTTCATCAACAACAAATTGAAATTTTTCTCGTTGTTTTATTTTTCCAATCAAAAGTTGTTTTGTATTTGCCATATAACATTGAAGATAAACTTTTAAAGATTTTTTTTCGTACCAATCTTCTGTTAAATCTTTCCAAACCAACTTAATCTCTACACTGTTTCCATCTGTAATTTTGCAATTAATTTTAGAATAATTTTGAAAATCGAACCTTTATCTCTCGCATCAATTTCAGCTGAAGAAAGTACTGTAGCCGAATCAAATGACATTCTTTGAACTATTTTTCTTCTTAATCCAGAGCGTAAATTTTTGAAATTTCTCGAAGTTTTCTAAATTATTATTTTTGCTCAAAATAATTGGATTTTATAATTTTACCATGAAAGTTTCATCATCCGTTATCATTTTTTCAAACTTCAGAGCACTATGAGAATGTATCGTATCTCTTCAAAAAATATTGTTATTTTTATTTTTGACTTTTTTCACAAACCTGGCCGTATCTTTTTTACTTTCTAAGCACATAAAAATAACATTTTTTCTTCGAACAGCTCGTAATTTCAAATTACCCATACATCCTAATTTATAAAGAAGACCACGGTTGCAAATTATATCACTTTTGATTCTCTGAAAATAAAAATACTTTTTTTTCCGTTTCCAGTTATTTCAAAAATACCATCTTCAAGTTCTTTTCATCTGATTCCATTTTTTCGATAAACTGAAGAATTGATTCGAGTTTTTCATTTGATCCATCATCCACATATTTTTCATTTCTATATGCAGTTATATCCAAAATATCTTCCTCTTCCAATTTTTTGACAGAATTCAATTTTTCAGGAATCAAATCAGTGTGTAGAAATGGAGCACCAATATTTATTTCAACATTGAAACTTGAATTTTTTTTTATTTTTGATTTGAATTTGAGCTGAACTTACGTTTTTCTTTTTCCAAAACATTGAGTTCTAACATCTGATTGATAACATCCAACGTATTCAAATGCTACAAATTTATCCAACATTTTGAAAAAAATAGACAAATATTAGCTTCTAGGTGTTTCTAACAGAGAGTCAGACTAGTAAACATTGCTCATTTCAAGAGAAAAAACGAATTGCTTATGTTAGATTCAGAGAGGATATGAGAGAAAAAGACAAGAAACATGTGTAAAAAAACGATTGTGAGTTAAAAAAAAGAGTGAGTGGATAGAAAAAAAAGAGAAGTCGATAAATAGCATTCATCAATATGAAAAAAAATGTTGATTTGTGAGAAAAGATTTGACGTGTCAAGTTATTTTTAAAAAAATAGAAAAGTTTCTATAAAAAATTATATTTTTTAACAAAATAGAAGGAGATTTGAGATTTCTGATAAAATATATGATTCTTTGTCTTCAACTCACGTTGTCAAAAAAAAATAATGGCGCGTCGATTCGCCGCGACGTGATAAAGCGTAAAAAAATGTGAAATTTTCAAAAATTTAAATTTTTGAAAAAGTTTTAGCACAGTAATTTTCGAAACAAAATGAAGGAGCAATAAAGGAAACAAATATTGGGTCTCGACACGATCGAAGCAAACGACTGTAGCAACGTGTTGACATAATTTTTTGTTTTTTCAAGTTTTACTCATTCCCATTCTCCGGCCACTTCCACGCCAAAATCAATGATTTTACAGGAATATTAGAATGAGTAGCTCAGAAGGAGAAGACGAAGAACTTGCAAGTTTCTCGACATCTGAACATCATGAAAGTTCAGAAGAAGACGAAGACATTGAAGGTTTTTCATCACCTCAAAATCAAGAAAATACTTTGCAACAAGAAATGGAACAAGATGCATATGTTTATGTAAGTTTTTTCATGATTAAATATATGCATTTTTATTTTTCAGCCTTATACAACATCTTGGTTCGATATGCCTGAAGAATTACGAGAAATGGTAATCGACAAAATTGATCCAATTACCGTTTTCCGTTTCAAACAATGTTCAAAATTGTGTGGCGAGGAAGCGAGAAGATCGAAGAATTCAATGTATAAGATCGAGCTAAACTCTTCCGAAAAGGGAACGCATATTTGTTTTCATTTGACAAATGAGTACCCAAATTGTCCACATTTTCGTTATACTTTTCGCGAAACTGGATTAAGAAAATGGAAAAATACAACAATTGTTCATGAGAAAATGGAATATGAGGATTGGTCACAAGATGATTGTGATGAAATGATTTACGTAGCCGAGCGTAATGACGATTATGACGTCTGTGAAAGTTCTTATACGGATAAATTGAAAGAAGAACAATGGAGAACTTTGGAAAATGGTGATCATAAGAGTATTGTTGCTAAAAATTTCGAAAAGCATCTCGAAGAATATGAACATTCTGTCAAATGTTTCATTTATAATGTAAGTTTCAAAATTACTTTTTAAATCATTCGGGCAGTTTATTTTCGAGCCGAGACTACTCACGGCGTTTGAACAGAACATTTTTACAACAATTTCAGTACAAAACGTTTAATTCGATAGAGTTTAAAGATTGAGTGCGGTAGTAGCATTTAGGCCGCGCTAACTTGAGGAAAAGGAATCAAATTAACTATCGAGATGCTTTGAAATTTGACTTTTTTCAGGATCATGGTGTCAGAATTGGAAATTTCCACATGACAAATTTGAGAAATCTTCAACATATTGAAATCGATACAATCGACGTATTGGAAAAGAACATATTGTCAATTGAACAAATTGCGAAGTGCAGAGAAAAAGTTTCACTCTCAAAAACTGAACTGACATTCGATCAATTCATTCAACTCAAAGCAGAGTATATTGATATTAGAATAAAACATTTGACAAATGAACAAATCAAAAGATATTTGAAAATGTGGGAAAATGGAGAAATTGATGAAAATGTTCAGCATATTATGATCAAGTTGGGAGGCCTGAAAGTTTTGGAACAACAATATTACACCGATGGATTATTGACAGTTTTCGAAAGAGAACCAGCCACAAAAAAATATCGGTAATTTTTATATTTTGTTTTTCAATTTCAAAAAAAATTCGGATTTTTTAGATCGACTAGAAATCAATGTTCTTTCGAAATCAAATGTCCACGACAATATATTATAAGTGTTTGGTTGTCTGAAAATTTGATCACTATCAATCGTCGTATCCAAGAAAACCGACACAGAGCTATTCCATCCCGCCGAGCTTTTCATTAGTATAATTTTCATTTTCTAGAAAAATGAAAATTATTTGTTAAATTTTTGTTGTTGTTAATGTTTTGTTTTTTTATTATTCACCATTATCCAAAATAAATTCTCTCTTGTAATTTCACTTTTTTTAAACTATTCTGCTGCTTGAATTTCATTTTCAGGTATTTTCATAGAATGAATATAACTTTTAGAATAAACTTTGAAAGTTCTAAAATAAGTCGAGAAAATCAAAAATTATAAAAATGGAAACAATTTCTTCTCCGAAACAATAGTATTATATCATCCAACTGACCTACTTTTTCATTTTCATCTTTTCTCCAAAAATATTTCTCTAATTATAAAAATAGTTTTTTATGGCAAGATTTTCTATTTCTCGATATTCAACTTATCTCATATTCTTCCTAATTTCCATCTATTTTTTAATATTTGCAACTAGAAACGAAAATCCGAATCAAAATCGAAAAAGGGATGGAAAATATGAAAACAATATTCAAATATCAAAAGTTTTTCCACAAAATGGAAATGAAGAAACATTAGAAAATGTTCCTTGGAAAATTGAAAATGTGAAAGTTGAGAAGTTAGTGGATTTGGAGATTTCGAGAAATAAAACATATTTGATATCTGATTTTGAATATAGCAATGGTGAGTTATTACAGAAAAATATTCGGGGGATAATCTTAACCGGACAAGTTTTTTAAAAATAAAATTATGGTTTTTTTCAAATTCGATAATTACAAAAACCAATTTTTTTAGATCAAGGGAGCACTGAAATCATAAAGAAAAATTAGTTATTTCCTGAAATTTTCTGAACAATTTTTTCATCCATAATTTTTGATGTACCACTTTTAATAATTTGGCTCATGAACTCAGAATGTTTCGTTATAAACCCAAAAAATGAAATTCAAAAATAAATTTTGAACTTTTTTTCAATTTTTTTGTTCTTGTTCAGTTTTTCTGAAAAATCAGTCCAATTTAAAAATCGTCATAAATCATGTTTTTGCAGGTTTGGGTAATTTATTATTCCAAGTGGCATCTCTAATTTCAATAGCTTCATCATATAATTCAATTCTTCTTCTTCCAAATACAACTTCACTTCGTCGCGCATTTTCTCTCAATTCTCCAAATATTCAATTCATTTCACCAAACACTTATCAAATTCTCGATTCTCAAATAATGCGTTCATCTTCTTCGAAAACTCTAAAATCGTGTTGTAAATATGAAGAATTCACATTATCAAAAAACAATAAATTCGAAAAAATCAATGGATTTTTCCAAAATTTCCGATATTTTCACAAAAATCGAGAGGAACTTTTGTCAATATTTGATTTTATTGAACCAGTTCAACAAAAAGTCGAAGAATTTATGGAAAGTGTTGGAATATCTTTGAGTATTAAAAAAGCGAAATTATTCGAAACTAATGTTGCAAATGATGATCAAGCATTTGAAGCTGACCCCGAAAATAGTATGTGAGAAAAAATCAGAGGTTTTTACAATATTTTTGTTTCAGCTATAAGTACAACAATGATTGTTGGAGTTCATATTCGACATGGAATTGATATAACAATGAATTCAAGAAATAGAAAACATGGACATATTGAAGCACCAATTGAATATTATATTAGATCAATGGAACAAATTGCAAATGTTTATGAAGATGTTTGTTTTGTTTTCAAAATGATATTCAGTCCAATATTGTTATTTTTAATTCAGGTTGCTTTCATAATTTGTTCAGATGATATGAGTTGGGTTCGCAGGCGACTAAAATTGAAAGATTCAAAAATCCCTTTATATTATTGTCCTGGTCCACGAGAAGTTGATATGGCAATTTTAGCGCAATGTGATAGTATTATTATTTCAACTGGTACTTTTGGATGGTGGGCTGCTTATTTGAATAAAAATAATTCACCCGATGTAAGTATTTGTTTTCTTTTTTTCAAAATATGTTTCATGCTTATTTTAGATATATTATTATAAACATTGGCCGGCTGAAGGTTCAATGATGTCAAAAATGTTGAATAAAACTGAATATTTTTTAGAAAACTGGGTTAGTTTAGAATAATAAGAAGAATAAACAGTTTTATCTAAAAACTATAACAATCTATATAATTTAATTAATCTTAATGCTGTGTCCATTGAATTGTTTTGAGATCAATTCCTTCTTGAACCATTTCCCAAAGTGGACTAAGATCTCGAAGTCTTTGAGTTTCACGAACACAAAGATCAACAGTATGTTTGACCTAATAATATTTGAGATGAATGAAAATGATTAAATCAAGAACCAACCTCTTCTTCTGTTGTAAATCTTCCAATTCCAAATCTGATTGATGAATGTGCGAGATCTTCTTCTGATCCAATAGCTCTTAATACATAAGATGGTTCAAGTGATGCAGATGTACATGCACTTCCAGATGATAGTGCAATTGTTTTTAGAGCCATAAGAAGTGATTCTCCTTCAACATAAGCAAATGATAAGTTGACACATCCTGGATACGAATATTTTGAGTTTCCATTTCGAATAATATGAGGTAGTTTTTCACTGATTCCATCGATTAACATTTTTGAAAGTCTTCTGACATGTGCTTGATCAAGTTCTGAATAAAACAATGTGCTCTAAATTTTGAGACCAGCTCATTCTCGCTTTATCCAATTTTTCAAAAAAAAAAGCTTACCAATTTCATCAATAGCAATTCTTGCAGCTTCACCTAATCCAATACATAATGGTGCAGCTACAGTACCTGACCGTAACCCTCTTTCTTGTCCTCCTCCACTCATTTGTGCTTCTAATCTTACACGTGGCCGTCTTCTTACATATAATGCTCCAACTCCTTTTGGTCCATAGACTTTGTGTCCAGAAATTGACATTAAATCAATTTTCATTTTGTTAACATCGATGTTCACTTTTCCAGTTGCTTGAGCTGCATCCGTATGGAAATAAACACCTGAAAAAATGTAACATTTTATGTTTATAAAATTATTAAGTAAAAACTGACCCCTGCTTCTACAAAGTTCACCAATCTCTTCAATCGGTTGAATAACACCAATTTCATTATTTACAAACATAACTGAAACTAAACATGTTTCAGGTGTAATTGAAGATTCCAACAATTTCATATCAATCAAACCGCCTTGATCTACAGGCAAATATGTCACTTTGAAACCTTCGTTTTCCAAATATCTGCACGAATCCAAAACACATTTGTGTTCCTGAAAACAATTTTATTTCCAAAAAAATTCCAGAAAAACCCGTGAAAAACATACAGTTTGCAATGTGATGATATGATTTTTTCCCGATTGTTTTCTGAACTTTGCGACTCCTTTAATTGCCAAATTATTTGATTCTGTAGCACCAGATGTGAAAACAATATCTCGTGGATCTGCTTTTATCAAATCGGCAATATATTTTCGTGCTTGTTCAACTCCTTCTTCTGCTTTCCATCCATATGCGTGAGTTCGAGAATGAGGATTTCCGAAATCATTTAACATGTAAGGAAGCATTGCATCAACAACACGAGGATCCTTAAAATTCCAATTTATTGTTTTTTTCAATTCTGATAAGTTATTACACTCTTCCGGAAATTAGAACAAAATTTCTAATTTCCTATTTATTAGGAAAAGGTGTCAGAAACTCATGAAATAACGTTTAGGTACCTACAAATTAATCATTTTCAGAATAATTATGTCTGCTCATGAATTAACTTCGGAACAAGAGAAAAATGACGAAAGTGGAGTTTTTAATTCAATAATTCTAACTCATAAACCAAGTTAAAATGATCAATTTCCATCTATCGCACCGCTTCTAACAGTTATAAACTCGATATTTCAAAAATTCAGGATAATTTTGGAAATCAAAATTCCACGATTTCCGAAATTTTCCAGCTTGTTTCATGAATGAACTATTTTCTGAATAAGATGGAAATATTACCATTGGCGAAGTTGCTTGAACATCAAGATAAATTGGTTGAGCAGTTGCTGGTGTTATATCTTTCGACAGATTTCTTCTACCCAACCCCGTTCCAAGTCTCATCCATTTTCTCAACATTTCTTTCTCTCTGAAACTTTTCAGTCATTTCGAACCTCAACTTTTCCAGATATTTTGGTTCATTTCTAACCAATCCATAAATCAACTCGAAGACTTTTGAGATAAAGTGTGATTTTATGTGAAATAAAAATTCGGTGTATTTGGGGGTCAGGAAGGAAATTGTTATTAAAACAATAATTGGAAATAATAAATTGGGATGGGACGACAAAAAAAATATTTTACAAAAAACAGAACAAAAAGAATAATTGGGAAAACGTGGATGGGGCAATTGAGAAATAAACGATCAATTCAAGGAGGGCACAAAATATTTTGGGATACTTTTAAGTTAAGGTTCCCATCTAAGAACAACATAATTAGGCGAATGTGCTTTCATTGACCGATTTGTTAGTGATATCATCGGCGATTTCAGAACCAATTCCATTTGTTGCGGCATTTCTTGCATGTGCCTCAACAACTGGTCGGAAATATTCATGACCCATTGCTTCGCGAGCTGTCAATCTCTCTGCATGATCATAACGTAAAAGTTTATCGAGGAAATCAAGAGCTTCGCTGGTGACCAAGTGTTGATTTTCGGCATGAATAAAACGTTCCCAACGTTTGCGAGAATGACGACCGAGAATGTCATTGAAACGAGGATCGAGATCGATGTGATATTTTTGGATATATTCATACAGTTCATCTGTACCCAACACTTTTACAATTCGAACAAGCTGAAAGACAAAAAATTATTTGATTTCCAGATAAGTTTAAAAATAGTTTTGGGGAATTTTCAAAAATTCCAAATTACAGTATAGAAAACTTACTTGATCATAATTATCGTGACCATGGAAAAATGGTTCTTTACGGAAAATCATACTAGCCAACATGCAACCCAAACTCCACATATCTAGAGAATAATCATAACATTGATAGTCGACCAGTAGTTCAGGACCCTAAATAATTGTATTGTATGAAAATTTGATGGATTTCAAAACAAACCTTGAAATATCTCGAAGCAACTCTAACATTGTAATCTTGTCTTGGATGATAAAATTCAGCCAATCCCCAATCAATCAACCGAAGCTAAAAAATTGTAAGTGAGATTCAAAGTCATAAATATATAATTACTTCTCTTTTTTCAGCATCAATCATCACATTGTGTGGTTTAACATCTCTATGCATGATTCCTTGAGAATGGCAATAATCGAGAGCCTGTAAAAATAATTCAACTTCTCTTCTAAAAAAAACCCGAACTGTATGAAAAACTAACCTTCAAAAGCTCGTATAAGTAGTATCGGATATCATAATCGCTCAAAGTTTGATACAATTGTTTGAAGTCAGAGTTGTTGACATGTCTGGAACAATAAAGTTTTTTTTCGAAATTCATTAAAAATCAACTCACTCGAAAATCAAAGCTGGGGTTCTCGAAATCGGATCTTTTACAACGTCCAGGAGCGTTATGATGTTTGTTCCTCCTTTCAAATTTTCCAAAATTTTGATTTCTCTCTTGATCTTCTTCTTTTTTACTGGCTAAAAATATATAAATTGACTTTTTTCACTATTTTTTTTCGACAAAACAAACCTTCAAAATTTTTACAACGACTTTCTCATCAGTACTCATTTTTACCCCCTCAAAAACTTCCGAGTATTTTCCACGGCCAAGTTTTCGGACCAATTGATAATCATCAATTTGACCCCAATCAATAATGTGTGCTTCATAATCCCAATATTCGCGAGGTTTACTTGGATTTACCTGTAAAGATTTTTATCAGATGAGTTTTATTGATTTTTTTGGGGTATTGCTGATAAGCGTTACTATAAAAACAATCTATTTTTTAAAAAGATTCCTGAAATATTTATGATAAAGTAAACGTTGTTCACATGTTTTTCAATTTCTATTGATACAAAATTGGCAAACAGTAAAACATAACAGTGCGTGCTGTGCTAATGAAGTGCGATATTCCAACGCAAGGAATTATCAATAAAAATGGCAATTTTAAGATAAAACTGGAAAGCTGCAATAATCACACAACGTAAACTTTAGTACAAGTTTTGAGAAGTTAAATACAATTTTATCAGAAAAATTTCTAAATTGAAAACACCATCAAAATCTCAAATAGGTCTCGTAAATCCTACTTAAACTTTTATGAAACATGACTTGAAAAGTTATTACTACCAGAGCCATATTTCTCAATTGCAAAGTTACCATTGATTCTGCGTTGCTAAGTAAAAATGCCCTTTTAAAGACGAAAAACTCACATCTGCATAAACTTTGGCTCTGCTTGGTGCAGGCGTCATTCCCAAGTGTTTGATACCTGTAAATACGGCAAATTTAATAAGTTCCAAATGTTGCGGGAATGTAAAATTAGTAGCGAAATGTGAAAAGTAAGAAAGAAGACGTATATCGAATATGAGTTTGGTTGGTGAGATGACGAGAGCGAGTGAGTCGTTGTGAAGAAAAAAGAAAAACGCTGTTTTCGTGGCGAGATATCGCAGACGAAAAAATAGGTGTTCCTTTAATATTGTCATCATTCAGTTTTTCATTTTCATTCGGTTTTGGAGTGTTTTTTCATATTTTTAAACGGAAAATTATCTGAAATTTCGACTCGTTCAGGAAAGAGGAGTATTTTATTGATAGTTTTATACCTCTATTTCACTATTATGTTCTAGTTTTTGACAGGAAAACGAATGTCAAAATGATATCTTCAAATATTATCCGAGCATTGAATTTGACGAAACAATCCACTAGAGTGAGTTTTTTTTTTTAATTAAATTTAATCTTGAAATAGAATTCAAAAAGGTTTCAGAACACTTGGGTATTAAAACGTGTATTCACGCCTGAATCAACTCCACCTGGCGGAATTCAGAAAAATCCGAATGATTTCCATGATTATCAAAAATATGAAACAGTAGAGGTTGAAACATTGAAAGCGGCAGGACCTATTCGAGTTATTCTATTAGAAGATGTTGAGGGAATCGGTCATCAGTTTGATGTTGTAAATATTGACAGAACTACAGCCAGAAAAGACTTATTATTATCGAAAAAGGCTGTTTATGCATCTCCATATGATTTGAAATATTATTCAGCAATGAAAGAGGTTCGTTCAGAAATAATTAAGTTTTTTTCAGAATAATAAGGGATTAACTTTCAGAGAATGGCGGATGAATTGGCTGCACGTGTCAGAATACCATACGAATTCAAAACAGTTGGAAGAGATTTGCAGAAATTAGTGGTTCCAATCAAAGTAAACATGGAAAATAAATGGGAAATAAATCGTAAACTTATGAAAAGTTCACTTCGGCAAATGGGCGTATTTGTAGCTGAAAATACAATTCATCTTGCTGAAAAACAAATTACTGGACCAAATTTCGAATTAGAAGCTAAACTTATCAGATTTTACCTTGTTGTAAGTTTTTATAGAACTTTTTTATCAACATTCAATATTTTGAAATGAGATAGATATATAAGTAGTAACACATTCATAATTGACTTTGTGTTTCAGATCAATCAACAATACATTGTTCCAATGCTTGGTAGAATTTCTCATATTTCTGTTGACGATTCAAAACAAACCCTTTCCTCATCATTGACAACCCCAAAAGACGAAGAATTGCTTCGATTTAATATCCGAAAAGAATATCCACTCTACACAAATTCTCAAGAATTCACCGAAGATTTCCCCGTATTCCAACACATGCGCGAAAATGCTCCGTTGAAGCCACAATAGATCTTTTATATAGAAAAATTAGTTTTTTAGTGAAAAATTGTTATTTGTTATGAACTTTTCTTTAAATATTTTTTTTCGAAAATCAAATTTGGTTTTACAAGCCATGTTTATATTTTTTGAACACATTTTAATTTTACACTTTTTCTTACAACTAATTTTGTTTTCAGATGGTTCAAGAATCTACAATGATATGTGTCGATAACTCGGAATGGATGAGAAATGGCGATTTCCAACCAACGAGATTGCAATCTCAACAAGACGCTGTTAATTTGGTTATGCAATGCAAACTTCGAGCCAATCCTGAAAACGCAGTTGGCATTTTAGCCATGGCTGAGTATGTTTCTCTTTTTTTAATATATTCTCACATTTTTCAAATACTTTTTATTACAGAAATGTCCAAGTTTTGTCTAGTTTGTCAACTGAAGCTGGCCGACTTTTTGATGAAAACTCATCAAATTGAACCATTCGGAAAATGCAATTTTATCGCTGCAATTAAAGTTGCTCATTTGGCTTTGAAACATCGTCAAAACAGAAATCATAAAATGCGAGTTGTTTTATTCATTGGATCTCCATTGGAATCTATTGATCAAGCTGAATTGATTAAAATTGCAAAGAAAATGAAGAAAGAAAAAGTTCAAGCTGATGTTGTTATGTTTGGAGATAATGATGAAGAAGCTCATGAAAAATTCAATCAATTTGTTGAAACTTTGAATGGAAAGTAAGTTTTGATTACTCGCATCATTTCTCAAAAAAAAAAAATAATTTTCAGAGAAGGTAGTGGTTCAAGTTTGATTGTTGTTCCAACTGGTTCTTCATTGACTGATGCTCTTATGTCAAGTAGCATTTTCCAACTCGAAGATGGTTCAAATGGAGGTGTTGCTGGTGGAGCTGGAGGTGGCTATGAATTCGGAGTTGATGCTGAAAATGATCCAGATTTGGCATTGGCACTTCGTGTTTCAATGGAAGAAGAAAGAGCTCGTCAAGCTGCAGCTGCTGGAGGAGTTGTTGAAGAAAATAATGGAGGAGCAGAACAAGCTGCTGTTGCTGTTCAACAATCGGATGAAATTGATATGGGAGCAATGACTGAAGAACAACAATTAGAATGGGCATTGAGATTGTCAATGCAAGATAATGCTCCGGTTGCTCAAGCACCAGCTGCTGCTTCAAATGGTAAGGCAAATCCTAGTAATAAAGACAGTTCTTGATTTTTAAAAATTTAATTTAATTTCAGACGACGAAAAAATGGATGTGGATGTGACTGGAACACCAACTCCTGATAATTTGGACGAATTGATGAATAATCCAGAACTTTTGCAACAAATTGTTGATGATTTGCCAGCTGGTGAACAAAAGAAAGAAGACGAAAAGAAAGAATAAATAAATAAAACTACCCCGGTTCAAAATTTAACTTATTTTTTGTGTATTTACAACATGTTTTATTTATCTCTCGCAATGAACTATTTGAATATAACAAACTAATTAATCTTTTTTATATTGTTTCAGATAATCTTCGAGTTGTTTTGACATTTCCGAAATTGATGGCAATTTTTTGATCTGTAATAAGATAACATGAAAATATATTTGAAAAGTAGAATTGGAAGAAGCAGAGAATACGGTAGAATTTTTGATTTACGAAAAAAACGTGGTAAAAAATGTCAAGTATATTTTTATTTTTCACACTTATTTCTCATTTTGATTTTTTTACAAGTTGAAGTTCAGAATTTCTTCAGATATTGAAATATTTGAAAGAGACTCGAAAATCTCTGGCAATAATTTATAAAACAATAAATACCTCGTAATTTTGTGCAAAATATGCTCCAGCATAAACTCCAAAACTTAATGAAATGATGTGTGAAAATAGACCCATTTTGTGAGATTCACTGAAAAAACTTTTATTATGAAATTAATGATGTAATTGTTATAACCAGAGGAGACTATATTGAGAAAAATACGAAAAACAAAAATTTACCTTGAAGTTTATTATATTGAAAATGTAAAGCTGATTGGAGAGATGTTGAAATTTGAGAGATGGAACGTCTTTTTTTCGCAAAAAAACACGCGCAAAAAAAGAAAAGACTGATAGAAGAGCAAGTTTGCTCGAATGCAAATGACTCTTCCACGAGAACTACACGGCATATATTAATTTTTTCGAATTTTGAATTCAATTTTTTACTTCAGAAATTCGATTTCGAGGTTCCTTGACGCATAAAATTGTTCAACTTTTCAGATGTCAAATCTCGAAGAACTTTTTAAAGACAGATACACTGCCGAGAATGAAAGATATGCGAAAATATCAGAAGGATTCGAAAAAGTTGTGATTGTTCATCCATGGAACACACAACGCGGAGGAGGAGATCGCAGAAATTTCAATAATCGGTTAGTTATCTCAATTTTATTAGAATGAAAATCGATTTTCTGTTCAGAGGTCGTGGCGGTTTTCGTGGAAGTTGGCGAGGAGGAAATAACAATCAAGGATGGAGAGGTGGAAATGGTGGCGGAGGAGGAGGTCAGTTCATTTGCATTTTTTGAAAAAAAAACTATGAACTAAAAAATTTAGATCGGCGAAGACACTACAATGATCGCAACTAACCAAGTTTTTGTTTTTTATACATATAAAACTTTATTTTCAAAATTTACAAAAAATGCAATATAGTTACAAAATGATATTTTTACATCAAATTAACTTTCCATCCGTGAATAATATCCGATAATGTACCCAATTTCGAGTTATGAATACTCGTTTCAATTTGACTGAAAATATGTTTTGTGGCAGCTTCATCGGATAATTCGAGTCGAAGACGTTGTTCGATCTGAACAAAGTATCTTTGAAAAGAAAACCGACAAAATATTTTGGTTACCTTGAAAAGAGCTTTATCAGGTTCACTTGCAATATCTGGAATTCCAGCATCTAACATCAATGAAAACAAATTGAGTAGAATATTTGAATGTCTCCGAAGAATTCTATATGCCGAATCACAATATTGTACAAAATCAGAAAATTGTGATCCATTGACTCCGCCCATTGCATTAACCATTTCAGCAGTTAATTTCATTGGAGGTGGTCCTAATTTAGGATCTCGTCCCAAAATGAAACCAAAATCAACATGGAATAGTTTACCATTTTCACAGAGAAGAACATTATCCAAATGTCGATCTCCAATTCCAAGAACATAAGTAATAACAGAATAACCAGCAAGTGAACGAACATAATTATCAATTACATCAGGTTCAATTCCGAATGGTCCATCTCCTAAAAAAAAACACTTTATTGATTGCTTATTCATTTTACAAAAAAACAAACCAGGTCTTGCTTCTCTCATTGATTCTTTAATATCATTTTTATATTGATCTGTGATAACTCGCAATGGTCGAGCTTTAACAAATTGCACAAATCCTTCATCAATTCCAGTTGCCAAAACAGAATACGGTGTCAATCTCAAATCAAGTTGATCTTTTTTGAACAAAGTATCCATTAATCGAATCATTTGAATAATTAATTGATCTTGTCTCAAATCATCTCCTTGTTTAAAAATACATGTATAAGTATCACCATGTTGAATATTAAATGATAATTTGACTGGCAAAAGTGCAGATTTGAAAATTGCAGAATTATCAGCATTACAAGATGTTAGTCGAATTATTGGATCAAGTGGAAGTGAAACATTTCGAAGATCACACATATGTTTATCACGAGATAAAAGAGTTTTCAAAGCTGATTCTTTTGTTGCATGACTTCCTCCACGTGATTTCGATTCACTTGTTATTTTCTTCAAATCTTCAACAAATTGAATTTGATTATTCAATGATTCTGCCAATATTTTTGTCTCATCTTTTTTCATCAAAGCAGCAAGAAGTCGATCTTGTAAAGCAGAATACATCTAAAATTTTGAAAATTTAAAAAAAATGAAGTAATTCACTCACTTTCTCAACTCCTTCGTCATTTGTTTGTTTTGCAGATTCAATTTCAACTTTAAGATACCAATAGAGGAAATTTGACATACGAGGAGAAACAACCGAATTGCTGAAATATAAAAATAATTGTTGACTTACAAAATAACAAACATACTCGATAAGAAAAGTTGCGAGATCTCCATTCAATTTTGATTCACAATTATTATCTTTTTCATGTCCTTCAATTGGTTGCACAGTATTTCCATCAGATGAATTATCATTTGGAACACTTGGTTCATATTTCAAAGCTTGAACCAATTGAGGAAGATACAGTAATACTTGTTCAGGACTTGCAGCATTGAGCAAACGAGAAACAGCATAGGCTCGAACTGATTTATGAGTAAAAGCTGGTGATAATAATTCGAGAGCATCTTCAGCTTCAATCAAAGCCCAATCATTCATTAATGCTAAAGCAGCTTGCTCTTCTTGCGGCTGATCCCAATTTACAGATCGCAGGAATTTATTCAATGCTTTTCTATCTTCTTTCAAATAATATCGGAATTTCCATACCAAATCGCGTTGTTCTCGTGTTAATTGTTGAGAAGATGGTAACTGCAAAAAAAGTGGAAATGAAATTATTTTTTAAAAATAATCTATTTCAACGTGAACGTGAACTGGAAAACGTGGCAATTTGAAAAATATGATTTTTTCATGAAAATTAAAAAAATTTTCAAAATTTCAGAAAATTAATACATTTAAAATTAAGGTGAAAAGTTGCATTTTTGAAAATTTGATATCATTTTCTTCATAATTTTTTCCAAGTTCTCAAGTTGTTTCCAGTCTGTGTGCTTATTTTTTGAATCGTTTCTCAAAAATGTAGTTTTCCCTAACCTTCATAATAGTTTCCAATCGATCTTTTGCCTGTTTATTGGGTTTTAATTGTCTATCTCCAGCTCCATCTCGAATTCTTCGTGTCATAATATTATGTTTGATCTCTGCCAAATTTTCCATATTTAATTCTGGATCAGCGGCTGATGTTCGTGTAAAAGGAAGTGCAACACCACCGAGAGATGCGCTGATTCGAAGCTGAACATTTTTATCGACTTTTCAAATATTAAATTTATAAAACTCACATGTTTTGATTCATCTTCATAATAAACAATCTCATATGAATTTAAACCCAAACGAACTGTCGCCATATTTATAACAATAAATACATTTCGTGTCAATGAATTTGAATGTTTTTGTTGTGATCGAATTTGTTCAATTTTTCTTGATGTAAAAGGATCCAACCATGGAACATGTTCAATTTGTCCTCGATTATGTCTTTTAAATTGTTTGAACAAATGTTCAACATTACTATTCCAATTATCTGAATATTTCCAAGTTTGTTTAAATTTCAAAAATGGATCCGGTTCTCGAGTTTCAGTTGTCATTTGTAAATCGATAACACCAGATCGAAGAATTCCTCTTTTACTGAATAATGGAAGATGTGCTTGTGCAATTAGATTTCGAGAAAATGTTGCATCAAGTGGTGTTTTATCGATATCAACTTCCCAAACTGTTACATGAATAAATGCATCTCGTGAAAGATCAGAATATCGAATTGGAAGAGTCAACCATTCACTCCAATCTTGAAGTTTTTGTCGATTTACTTCTGAATTATTTTTGAAAGATGTTGAAACTGGATAACCAACTGGACGATTATTACAATAAACCTGAATGAAAAACATATGACTGATTGAGTTAAATATTCATGATTTACCATAACTTCCGCAAATAATTGTGTCAATCTTTTCGTTGGATTTTCTGGATCTCTAAATATTCCCTCAAATTCAACAACTCTTAATTGAACATTTGAATGTATTTCGCAACTATAAACATACGAAAATACATCATCTTTGTTAGATCTCATCTGCAAAAAAATGTTGCAAAAAATGAATGAAATATAAAATTATTAAGATATCAAACAGTGCGAAACTGAATTGTTGAAAACAAGAAAAAATCAATTAAAATTTGAAATTTGTACTTTATTGTTATATTTACAATTAATATCAGCAAACAAATGAAATGTTTTGATTATATTATTCTTTTTCGTTTTGATGTCCTCACTGGCGTCTGAAAAATTGGAAATAGAAGAATTTGTTTAATTTTAAAAGAAATACGAAAACATACTTGATTATCGTCTGATTCATCCGGATTCTTTGATGTTTTTATTTCTGGTTTTTTGTAGACACGTGAAGTAACGGAACTTTTTGAGAATAATCGTTCATCATCTTTTATACTGAAATATATTCTTTGGGTTATAAAAAACTGAGATTTTGATAAAAATTGAAACATGGATAAGATAAATTAAAATTAAAGATTCGAAATAAATTTTAGGAAATTCAAATTTTAAATTTTAGAAAATAAACTCACAAAACATCATCCCCTTCTTTGTTTGAATTTTCTTTTTTCTTCTGGATTTTTCTTGTTTTGAGCAATTGCGACCATCCAATGTAAAAATTTGATTCTCCATTTTTCTCGGCCAAATATGATCCTTCAAAATCATATATCGAATTTTCCAATGCTTGAAGAGCTTCCTGAAATCATTGTGCTGAATATTGTTTTCAAATATTTAAATAAAAAACAAAAAAAACATACCGCCGAATCCTTCCGTTTTCTAAACCATTCATTCATCTCCTTTTTGAAATCATATTGATTTTTAGTCATTTACAGAATAGATTCTCTGAAAGATAACTGATTGGGACATTGAAAAAAAATGAATTCATAAAATATAAAAGGGTGACAACCTTTTTGAAAAATAAAAAACAAACAAAAATTCGAAATGAGTAATATTTATTGATAAATAAAATTAATGGATGTTCAAAGTTTCCTTCGTTTTGCAGCATTCCTTGATTCGCTTGAAACAGAAACCTGAAGAAAGAAAGTAATATTACAAGGAAACAAAACCCGGTTAAAAAACGTGAATTTTCGTTCGAAAATTCATACCAAGTTTTTCTTGTTGTGATAAATTGTGATAAATGTTTTCCCCTTCAAAAACTTACATCATCATCATCTTTTTCAGAATTTTCCTCTTTTATAAAATGATTTTGTAAACTATAAGAAGGCGTTGAATCTGTATTTGTTGAACTTGTTTCTTGATTGCTCAAACTCGTTGATTCTGATGTTTTCTTATAAATTGGAGAAGTCATTGATGATTTTGAAAATAATCGATCTTCGTCTCTGAACAAATCGTTTTATGAAAGAAAAATGTTTTCTAAATACCTACCGTATCTTTTTTCCACTTTTCTTTTCGATTCTTCCAATTTTTGAAGGTGGAGCTGCATTTGAAAATGAAGACCAACCTGAACATTGAAATGAGGAAATTCAGAGATTTCGAAAATAAAATCCTAACCTTTTATAACATTTCCATATTCCATTGTGTCATTCAAATAAGAACCTTCAAAATTATGAATTTGTGTTTCCAAAAGCTCCAAAGCTTCAGCTGTGTCTTTTCGTTTTTTAATAAGTTCTTGTAATTCTCGTTTTAATTCTGCTTGATCTTTTGCCATTTTATCCTTGAAAATAGAAATATAAGGAATTTTTTCGAACCATTCAAGGAAATTTTGATCCGAGAATCACAATGAATTATCGAAATTTTTGTTTTTTTTTTCAAAAACTCCGCTAATTGTTCAAATATAATTAAAAGTTAAAAAACTCTTCTTTCAAAATAAAGCACAAACAAAAAAATGAAACGTAAAAATTTCATTCTCCAAGAAATAAAAAACAAATTTTGGGAAAAAACGCCAAACAAAAAATAAATGTGGGAAAATGTGCTCTATTTGACATTTGCAGCAATATGAGATTGTAATGTCTGTATTTTGTCAGCCCATTTTCGAAGCGCTTCATATGATAGATTTTGTTGACATTGTTGGGAATTAGAACTATTTGCAGAAGAATTTGAAGATTCTTCAGATGAATTCGGTGGTTTTGTTGATGTACTTGGAGATTTCTGAAGAAATGTTTAAATTTTGAAAAATCAAAAATCAATACTTACATCATCAGAAGAAGAGGCCGAAATATCTCCAGTTGGATTTCTAGTTGTTGTAACTACGCTCTTTTTATCTTTTGCCATTTCAAGAATTCCAGTTTCTTCATTGATTTTTGCTTCCAATCCTGAAATTAATAATAAATTGAATCTCAAATCACAAGGTTCATATATTTTCTCGAACCTTCATCCAAAATTGAATCAACCAATAAAGCAACAACTTCTTTTTCAGTGACTTTCAATTGTTTTGCCAACCATGCTAATTTAACTTTTGTATATGGTCGAATTAATCGAACCAATACTTGTGTTCGAATATTATTCATCAATTCTTCAGTATGTTCACGAATAAAAGGATCAGCCATTATACTATTCTGATGTTCTGACAATATTTTTTCAAATGCCACAATATCATTATCTTGATAAGCTTGAACCATTTGAGTCATTGCAACGATTTCTGGTTCATTTTTGAATGGTTTTGCTTCTTGACTGTCGAATGGATTAATATCAGATTTGATGAGCATATTTGCCAAAACAAGATATTTCAAACAAGTTGTTCGACGAGGTGATCCACTTTCATCATAATTTTTGAAAGCTTCGAAGAAATCTGTGTGAGCGTCGATGAAACGATCTTCTCGAAGATGCATTTTGCCACCACATTCTGGAAAAATAAAAAAAGTTTTAAAAATTGGAAGGAGATGATTGAAAGCTTCCTAAAAGCAATTTCAGAAAAATTCTTTCTGAACTCTGAATTCACAGAGTTGTTCAGAAAAGGTTACAGTACTCCAAAATTCAAGTTTCAAAAAAAAATGCGACTTTGCCACGTCATAAAATATATTGGGGGAATCTGGATTTCTAGGCTCTCAAATAAAAATTGTAAATGCTCCAATTTCTCAACTTTCTCCATAATTGTTTTCCTAACAAAAATTTTTGTTCAAAAACCCAAACTTCCAAACCTCACCCAATACCTGGAATTCCAGGTGGGCATTTTTTTTCGAAAAATCTAGGTGGGCAAAAAAATTTTAGGGTCTTTAAGGCGAGCCTCAGGTTGGCAAAAAATTTTAGGGTTTTTAAGGCGAGCCTCAGGTGGGCAAATTTTTTTAGGGTCTTTAAGGCGAGCCTGGGCAAATTTTCAGCTGGGCAAATTTGGTAAATAAACCCAGGTGGGCAATTTTTTACCCACTTCTCCAGGTTCTTGGGTGAGGTTTGGCAAACTTCGATGCAATATTCACCATATTTTTATTTTACGTTTCAACGTCATAACTATGCAAAAGATCAGAACCACTGCCACAACAGAAATCATAAAAAAATGCAAAAAATACAAAACGTGAAACCTGGATAAATAATTCAAAAACGTGTTCTATTTTCGTTATCTATATGTGTCATTTATGAGGATATAAGAGACTGAAATGTATTCAGTCAGTTTTCGGATGCAAACAATCTTGGATTAGGTTTGCCAGTTTTCAATTTGCAGTGTCCAAAATAATGTCGCTCTATGAATATGATGGAGTCCATGTAATACGTTTAGAAGCAGGAAAGGCAAAAAAGCAAATCGAAAGCAAATCGAAAAGCAAATCGAAAGGATCAAAAAGTGGAAAAACTGGAAAAAGTGGAAAGAAAAAGAAAGGAGGAAAGAAGGGAGCTGGAAAAAAGACTGCACATTTCAAGTATGTTTCTTTTGTCTTATATTTTGTATCACAATCAATTGCTTCTTTCCAGAAAACGTGGTCATCCAGCATTCAAAATAATGTTCCTAGTTTTTGCTCTTCTCACAGTTTTGTGTATTATCGTCGCATGTGTTGCCACAGTTATGCTGATTATTTCATAAGAACAACAACAACAACAAAACATCGTCGAAAACAATTAGGGACTATATTTACTTGTGTAGATTTATGTTTACCCAGAACATTGTTTTTTCTATAAAAATTGTGTTTTGTCGTTGCTCTTTTTGTGTTTATTCGTTTCAAAATTTAGATAAATACATACACTTTTGAGAAGATAATCTAGAAAATGGATAAAATTATGAATTGTCTCGTCAAATTCCATTTTCAACCTCTTTTTCGAGCACTCGTTTGCAAAAAAAAGGAGGGAGGGGTCAGACAAAATATGGGTGAATCGTAGAACATGCGCCACTCACAAACCATAAATAACAAGAATGAAACGACCGGCTAACGCCGGTCTTCATTCTTGTTGCTATGTTGATGAGGACCAAAAAATGGGTTGACACGTGGAAATACTCTATGATCGGAAATCTATAGAAACTATACGTCCCCAGATCAAAATATAATCCCAACCAAGAACTAACTTCCCACTCAAAATTAAGTGTGACATTAAACCTGAACTCGCAGGATGGTAAATTTTCGTTGTCAAATTTTCAGACCAATTATTTTTTGAATGCTGCTTTTTTGACAACTTCAGGGCGAAAATTGTGTGTTTTTTCTGTAAAAAACCATTTTCTCCGAAAGCTGGATTCTGAACCCTTTCAATCTGTAACTTTCTCAATACAATTGTTAGTTTTCTTTCTGATAATTTCATTTTTCCAAGAAGATGAAAAAATGATCGGAATTTTCACAAAAAAAATCAATTCTACGTGACCTAATTTTTTCTCAAAATAAAAACCACGTCACCCAACAATATCTAGGACAAATCCCGCTATATAAATGTGACAGATCGATTTTCAAATCATTCCTACTCATCATTCTACTAACCAACTACTCAATTATTTTACTAACTTATATTTTATATCATGGCTGATAATATTCCAAGTTTTATTGATCGATTACTGTCAGGTAAATAAATAATTGCGAAATTCAACTAAAAATCTCGTTGTTTTCTAGTAAACGACACTTCAAATCCTTCGCTAACACATTGCATAAAAGAAGCTGAAATCGATGATGTCATTCAAATTTGCTCACAAATTGTATTGGATCAACCAACAATGATCGAAGTTCAAGCACCAATTGCAGTTTGTGGAGATATTCACGGACAATATGTTGATCTACTTCGAATTTTCAATCGATGCAAATTTCCACCAGATCAGAATTATTTATTTTTAGGCGATTATGTTGATCGAGGAAGACAACAACTTGAAGTCATTTGTCTTCTCATGGCATATAAAACCCGTTACAGTAGTACATTCTTTTTACTTCGCGGAAATCATGAATGTGCTTCAATAAATCGAACATATGGGTTTTATGATGAATGCAAAAGAAGATATTCGATAAGTTTATACAATTCATTCCAAGATTTATTCAATGGTTTGCCATTATGCGGTTTAATTGGTGGTCGAATATTTTGTATGCACGGTGGTTTATCTCCACAACTTGAATCTTGGTCACAATTAAATGCAATCAAACGACCATTTGATCCACCAAATAAATCAATTGCGATGGATCTTTTATGGGCTGATCCGGAACCAGGTTCACAAGGTTGGGGAAAAAATACACGTGGTGTATCATTTGTATTTGGATCTGATGTTGTCAAAGATTTTTGTGATCGAATGAATGTTGATTTAATTGCTCGCGGACATCAAGTTGTACAAGACGGATATGAATTTTTCGGTTCACGAAGACTGGTTACAGTATTCTCGGCACCAAAATATTGTGGAGAATTTGATAATAATGCCGGAGTTATGTGTGTCGATGAAAATTTGGTAATTATATTTTTAAAGAAATATCTAATTAATTGATTTCTAGATGATTTCATTCCAAATTCTTAAACCAGCAATTCGAGATGTGGCAGTAAGAGCAAGAAGTTCGAAAGGAGGAGGATCGGGAAGAAGTTTATTGCAAGCAGTGAACAACGTCAAATCAAAAATGTCGGAAACCTAGATTTTTCGAAATTGAAATAAACATTTTACCTTACAAAATTCTGTGAATATACTTTAGATGCATAAAATTGTGAGGGAGAGCGGCATGAGAGACGCCACAGAATTTTTTTAAAATCTGTTTGAACACTGTCTGTTTTGAGAACAAACATTTGAACATTGATTATTTTTCTATTGTTCAACTTTAAAAAACACCAACCTCGAATAACTCCAAGAATAAGTGGATGTGGAATTGCAGATTTCGTTTGAATCGCTTGTTTTGCCAATTCATAAACCGATTTCAATGCTTTATTATTCTTTTGTTCTGTATACATTTGAATTTCCAATGCATAAATTTCCAATAATTGTGTTCCTTTTCTCTGATCTTCTTCTCCTTGTTCATCTTTACACGATCCTTTCAATTGTTTCACTATTTTCTCCAATTTTTCAAATTCTCTCAAATCAAAAAACAATTTTCCCAATTTCGTATTTGTTTTGAACCAAAGTCTCTCATTTTTCGCATCTTTCAATGCTTCGAGTGTTGTTTCATAAAATTGTTTAAGAAGATTCATTTGTCGAGATGTTGAAATATAATCAAGAATTGCATTGATTGATTTTTCCGAATAGTTTTTCGTAACCGCAGATTTTATATAAGTTAGAAGTTCGCCATAATATCCAAGCATTTTTTCGAGGTTATTCTAAAATATCAAGATTTTTTTTTAAATCAAGAATAAAAACAAAATACCTGTCCAAAAGTAATTTTGATCATTTGTTTCAACGCTTTAAATCCCCATTCTCCCTTTTCTTCTTCTAATTCCAATACTTTTTCAAATGCTTTTATTGCTTCATCCAATTTTCCATCCGATCTCAATCCTTTTGCTGTATAATATTGATTTTCCATATCAACATCCGGTTCAGATCCACTGTCATCTTCATATTCAAATCCATAATCTTCATCATCCTCCATATAATCGTCACTCATTTTTCCAAATTTCAAACTCTTATAACCCTGAAAAATAAATTACAAAAAGAAGAACTCTAATTTTTTCCAAATAATTATATTAGGAGAATAAAACTCGATTATAAAAAATTATGAGAAAATGTAAAAATACAATACTTTTATATAAATAAACTTCTTAAAATAATTATTCACAGAGATACTTTTTGATACCCAGTTTCAGATGTTTTCATACAACCGTAATATTATCGATAATTAATTCGACATCAAAAGGATACCGACATCTTTTGCAAATTCTATCGAGAAGAATGCGATGATCGCGAAGAAGAATTCGAGCCTGAAAAAATATTGAATTTGTTCGAATTAAAAAATCGTTCTAAATTTTAAGATATTTTTAAAACTTTTGGGAAACAATGAGCTGAAATTAGGAAATCTCCTGAATTGTATTTCTAGCACAATTTTAAAATGTTTTTTCTTTGATTCACGCTTGTTTTGTACAATTTTTTTGAGTAATAAAGAAAAAAGTGTTCATCTGATTTCGAAAAACGTTTCCCTAGAAATAAAATATTTTCAACTTACATCATTCGAACTGCGATTCAAATAGGCACAACATGCTTTCAACAACAATTCAGAAAATACAACTTGTTCTTTCACATGTAACAATCCTTCTTCCACGTGTTTTTCATAAAATTCAAAACAATTTGTGAGAGCAGTTTCAATTGATGAGAATTCATCATTTTTCATATGCAAACTCAATTCAATAATGCAATTCAAAACAAGTTCGACTTTTTTGATACGATTTTCCTCTTTCAATTCTTTTTTGTTTTTCGCTGTCAATTGAGAAATAAAATTGGCGAGAATTGGGAATTTTCTGAAAATTGAAAAAAAAAAGGTTTCTGGATTCATATGATTCAAAAAACTAACGTTTTAACAATATTCGGATAGAATTTCAACATCGAATTGAATTGTTGCATAGCAATTACAGTTGAATTTGATTTTGTTTCATTTTCCTGTGTTATTTCTCCTTCTTCTGATTCTCCTCTCCATTTTCCTTTTTTATTTGGTGGTCCTCCTCTTCTATCATTTATATGTCTTTTCATTCCAATTGTTGCTGGTTCATCATTTTTCTCAATGGGATTCAAAGGATTTGGATTTGGATCATCACAAACAGTATCAATCTGCAAATATTTCAGATTTTCAAAATTACAAAAAAAATAAATACCGTAAGAAAATTGGCATCTGTTTGAACTTCAATAAGTTGATCTACAATTCGTTCACAATTTTTGATACATTTATCACGAGAAATTATATTTGAAGTCAATCTCATACTTCCAACAACACCCGATTTATATGTTAAATCTGGATAAAAATATTGTGATGAAAATGTTTTTTTAGATGATAAAACTTACAAATCAATTGATCAGACAATAATTTAAGCAATCTTTCAGCTCCTTCGCGGATTTTCACATTTTGATGAGCACAGGAAATTTGTAATAATTGTTGGCCAATACAAAAACCTGCTTGAATACCTCCTTCTTTCTCCTAAAACCATAGAAATATAGGATTTTTTTTGGAAATTTCAAACTTACAATTTTAGTCAACAAACTAATCATACTCCAATCAAAACTGTCATTTGTTGAGCTCTGCAAAAATGTATTTTCTAAAGGGGACAGGAGAGCGACGTGAAAACATGTTCTCAATTTTTTAAATTCCGAAACCCAAAAACTGAGAGGGCATTTTTTTCAAAACCAAAATTTGTATTTTGAATTACCTAGATCAAAATGTTAGTTTTTTTTTCGTCTGAGGACCTTCCAATTATATTTTTTAATTTTTCGAATTCATCTCCCTTTCAAAAAAAAAAACAAACCAACCAATTCAGACAAATACATTGCAAGTGATTGCAACGAAATATCATTGATTGAATTTTCCGATTCTTTACAGAAAAGTTGTCGATATGAAGCAATTGGCCACGTTTGACAATACGAATCAATCAATCGGTAAATAAGTAATGTAGGAACACTGCAAAAACACATTGTTTTACTCTCAAAAACCTAATATTGTTAAAAACCTTGTTTGATATTTTTCGAGCAAAAACCGGCATATTCTTCTTTTCAATTTTGGCGACCAAGGAGCACAAATACATTTTTCCACAGCAATCTCGATAGTTCCAACATTATGCACTTCCCAAACAGATTTTATCTGGAAAAAACTTGTGATTACAAGTATTTAAAATCTTCAAAAAGAAAACATACAACAACCATAACATCTTCCTCTTTTAAACCATCCGAATCAATAAAATTAGACATAAAATGTGATAACACATTCCTCTTTTGTTTCGAATTTTCATTTGCTTTCAACCATTCTGCAATTTCACTAAACTTCGAAAACGTGTTCATACTTATTTCATCTGCTGATAATGCTGATTTTGTCGATGTTGATGCATGTTTTTTGAGAACTCCACTAACACTTGCAGGTGGATTAACACTTTTTAAAAGTCGAACTGCCAAAGTTTCCAAACGTGTTCGAACCGAATTGAACTGAAATTTAACTTAATTAATGAAATTTGAATAAATTAAGGAAAAATGTGTGAGATACCTTATGAGAAGCAGTATCAACAATTACCACCAAAGTATGGAATGCGGATTCATTTGATAGGAAAAATTTGAGATTTGTTTCTATAATTTGTAAACAAGCTAATGCAGATTGTTCATTTGAAATTGCAGATTGAACAAATTCGGGTGGAAGATTGAAAACAACTGGGGTTTTTGCACTAATTGAACAATTTGTCTGAAAAAATGTATTTTCAAATCAATATAATCAAATAATTCGATCATAAAGATACCTTTAACCATGCAGATATTTCATCGGAAGTCATCGTCATATTTTCTAATGAGAATTTAAAAACATCTCCATCTGTTTGACTAATAAATGGAGCAGGTTTGATAGTTGCATTTTCGAAAGAATCAATAATCATAGGTTCATCTTTAACAGTTTGTCGAATCGAATCCAAACGAGATCGAACATTTTCAACTAATTTTTCTCCAGATTTAACACCTTTCAATCGATATCCACGTATTATAATATAAATATTTGAAAGAGTTGCAAAATCAAGTTCAGAAACATTCATCTGAAGAAATTATATATGCGACTAGAAAAATGAAATATAAAACTCACATTTTCCGCTTTCGATAGTACTTTATCAGCAGTTTCATTAGACATTTGACTAACTAATACAAATGATTGTGCATCACTTTCACTCATTTCATCCAAAGCTGCTTCAACAACTCGTTGATCTGCTGATTTCAGCATTTCTTTTCTCATCGGAAGACACAAAAACTTTTCTGGTTGTCCGGTTTTGAGATTTATAATTTTTGGAACAGAGCCAGGAGATAACCATAATTCCAAAAGATTTTCAAAAGGTTTCGAATCACTCTTATCTTCTCCAGAATATTTTGATAATAATCGAATTATTGAATTTGGTGTTTCATCATCAATTAAAATCTAAAAATCAATATTTTTCACCGGATGTTGTTCAAAATAAAAACTCACTCTTGTTGTTGCAATTTCAATAACTTTCAAACCATTTTTCTCGACATTCTCTAAATTTCCATCAAATTTACAAAGTTCAATACATGAATCGATATAATTCACGAAAAAATCACATAATGAATTTCTCAATGAAAATCGATCGAGCAAAACAGTTGAACATATGATTTTCGCGATTTTGTGCATTGATGATTTCTCGAAATTTTCAGACAAAAAGGTCAAATACATTTTCGAAACATTTGTATCAGATTCCATTTTCACAGCAGTCGCAATTGTTTCCAAAAACTCCGCTTTTTTCGCTTCAAATCTCGGGATTTTTGAAATTGATGACATATGAAAATGTTTATTGTCTTCGATCGATGGAAATATTTGAGCAAATACTGAAACTGCAGCTGATCTTTCAATTGAATTTGATGAAGATAACGATGAAATAAGTGTTCGAAGAAGAATATCATTATCTATTTCATTTTCAGATTCAAGATTTGTTTTTGTTCTTTTGATCAGCTGAAAAACTTTTATTTTTTTTTCAATTATGAGTTAAAACAAATTACCGCATTCATAATATTGTTTGATTCTTTTTCTCGTTTCGATAAATCAAAATAATAAACCAATGCATGAAATAAGCATTCAGAAGTTAATTTGTCAACAGTTGAAGAATCAACAGATAACATTTCTTTGATTGCTGATAATGAATTCTGAGCTCCAACCATTTCGATTAAATTTTTCAGAAGCGGAGGAGATTCGCATAAACAAAGTCGAGCAGTTAAACGATATTTATCAGAAATTATACGAATATCATCAAAAGATGGAGGAACTCGTAAATGTTCCCTGAAATTATTTAATTGAAAAAAATTGAAATAAACATTTTGACTTACTTTGTTATGAATACACAAGATGTGTTGACTAATGAATTTTGTGGAAGTGACATAATTTTCTCATATTGTGATAACATCTAAAATAAATGAAATAATTGTCTAAATAATCACAAATTTTTTTAAAAAATCTTACAAGTGCTTCTTTCGCCATAATTGAATCATCTTCATCCATCATTGCTTGACTGGTTTTTCCTTCAAAATTCATAGGGAATTCAAATTTTCTCACAAGAATTGCATGAATCAAATATCTCAAAGTTGGATATGAAGAATAGATCGAATCAAAACGAGAAGATATCTTTGATCCAGCAATTAACCATAAAACAATCAAATTCCATGCCATCCAATATAAACTTTTTGATGAAATAAGTGGCATTTCAGGTAATCGAGTCAATTCATCCAATCCATAAACTGATATTTGTAATGTTCGATCGATCAATTTGAAAGGATCAATATTAACAAATTCAAGAATTGATGTTTCACTGAATTTTGGATAATTTGCAGCAGCTCGTTGAGTTATCAAAGTTGCAATTTCGAGTGAGTTTTTATTCGGAATTGCACAACATACTTCACCGAATAACTGAAAAAAATATCAAATAAAAATAATATATCAGATTATTTTCAAAAAAAAAGTTTACCAGCATAATCATTTTCTCAGAAATCCCACATTCTCCAAAAATTCGAATACAATTTGGTAAATCAACATCATTTACAGCGGCTCCTTCAACATTTGTATAAACTTCTCGATGTTTTTCCAAATAGAAAAGAAGATAATAACATTGTAAATGAACATTATCATCCGGAAATGCCATTTTCTCTTTGGCCAACCATCTAAAAATTGAAATTTACTAATCAAATAAAAATAGTTTTCGTCCTACTTGAGAAAAACTTCACAATACAATCGATATTCTTGTTGAAACTTTTCACGAGTTATTCTAGCTTCTGGTGGGATCTAAAAAAACCGATCGTTGTTATTGAATTTACAAAAATTAATTATTTACCAATACTGGTTCTCCGTTCGAAGAAGAAATATTATATTTTGCGGCAAATGCATTTTCTCGAGTTACTAATAATGAAGTAATTGTAAACAGTGGAACTTGGCAAAGAAGTTCACAAACAAGTCTTGGCAATTCAGTATCAATTCCAGTTTCACTTTCACCTTCTAAAGAGATTCTGTCAAGAAATGAATGAGCAAATATAGAAAATGGGAATTCGCCATTTCGAGTATGATTGAATCCTCGAATCTGTTTCAAAACAATTATGAATCATGAAAAATACAATTAACTTACCAATTCTTTCAAAAAGCTTCTCAATGTTTTCATACAAGCTTCTTTTTCTTTGACTAATAAATAAGCACAACATCTTCCGATTGTATTTGTTGATTCAATTGGTTGTATTCCCAAAAGCATAAACATTGTTGGAAAATTCGAAGTTGATCTGATATCAAGAAATAACGTTTTCTTTTCAAAATAACTTTAATTAGATTCTTACCTGTTTTGAATTTGTCCAATTTCGCTCAACATCAATGATTCAAACATAAATCGAACATTTATAGGATTTTCGCAAATTTTTCTGATAGCCACATTGAAAGGAGCCGAAATTGTTCGAGTTTTCATTATTTTCGTGTTTAATTTTAAAATAACTTCAATAAATTCTCGATCTAATTCCTTTTCAGCATTTATATTGCAACCAAGAATCAATAAAAGTTCACTGATTTCTCGATGAAACTAAACAACCAAAAATCTAAGTTATGTTTTCAAAATAAATGAATAATTTACCTTTTGCGATGTTATCCAAATTTCAAGTCTTGTTGATATGAATTGTCTTACTTGTTCACAACCACAAAATATTCCAAGTGTTCGAAAAACAGATTTTGGAATATTTTCACCTCGAATATTATCAAACCAACTTTTGATAACATCAACGAAACCAATTATTTGTGTTCTTCGATTTTCATTCATTTCAAATGAGTTTGAGAATTTTGGAAAATACTCGCCAGGAGAAAAATTTTCAATTTGACAAGCAGAATATAATTCTTGTGTTGGATAAACAGTTTCGAAAGGTCGAAGTATCAAATGTACTAATTCTTCCGAATACGGCTGAAAGCATTGATAAATATTTTATGGAAAACAATTATGAATATTACCTTGTCTATCCAGCAACTTTTATTTGCAGTTCCAATTCCAACATTTGTCCCAACTGCATCATTCAAAAAAGCTAAAATATAACAACCATCTAAAGCTTGTTGTTTTGAAGCCAAAGTTGTTAGAATTGAAACAAGTAATTCTTGAATTTTCTCTGGAAGTTGGCGGGAATTTGAGATAATATAAAGAAAACCTTTGTGAACCGCGGTTTGCTGAAAATATTCTAGTTTTAACTAATAAGAAATTCAAATTTTATACTTACATTAAGTTTATCTCCAACTTTTTTGATAGCATCTGCGATCGCTCCAATAATTCTCAATTCCAGGCATATTTTCTCATTTTGAGTGAAATGTTTGAGAGCAGCGACAATAAGTCGAGCAACTTTCAGATGTTTTTCCTGTTCAATTGCTTCCAAAATACTTTTATGATAATTTTCCGGATTCAAATTAATAGTGTCACCAAATTCTTTCCATTTGTCATCCAAAATTGGTCTCATTCCAATATTTGTGAATGTATTCGTTGCAATTGTTGATTGCTTGTTTGCTGCAGCCACTCCTCGAAAATCCAATTTTGGTTTAATTCCAGTTCCTGAACTACTAGAAACAGAAGTTCCACTGCTACTCGCTGCTGTTCCTCGAACTATTCTAGACTTTTTCAAATCTGATGGTTTCATGATTCCATCATCTAACCGCTTGTGTTTTTTCTTGTCCATCTGAAATAAATGAGTTTGAAAATATTTAACCAGAGCGCAATGAAATATTGTCCGTTTAGAAATGAGATTCACCCCGCGAAAAAATACATTTGAATTTGCTGCAGGAGACGCAGACAGCGAGAGAGTGCGCTGGCAAACAGCCAACGGGGGTTTTGTATGGGAAAGCGACGGACAATAATAAAGAAATGTTCACGAAAGAGTCTTATCAACGTTGCATCACGAATTTCCTACTTTTTTGAAATTAAAACTAAGAAATGAAAACAGAAACACGATTTGAAATTATTGTCCCACGTGCGCGTGAAAAAAAACCCGACAAAAGAATTGGCCGAGTTTCGAAATAATTCGGCCAGGAAAGAAGAAAACTCGGCCACGGATTATTTTTCGCACTCGAGTGCGAAAACTTTTAAAAGTACTCATGAGCGCTCACAAACAGATTATTTTTAGCCCAAGAGAGCTGATTCGAATGAAGTTCATTTAATCAAAAAGGAATCTAGTATTTTAAAAATTCAAAAAAGTTATTATAAATATAAAATTTCATTTTTGAGAAATTAAAACAGTGAAACGGGGTAAAATGCTACATGTATAAATTGAACAGCAATTTTCTTCAGAAAAGATGGATTATTTAATTGTTCAAGCTTTGGGCGATTTCTTCTTGATATTCTTCTTCTTTTGAATCGCTGGTTTTTTATCGTTTCCGATTTTCGACGAAAGTTTTGATTTGTATGCATTTAGAACAGCTGTAGCCTCTGACAAGTCTTCTTCAAGCATTTCACTATGGTCTACTGGATTATCATATCCCTTCCAATGAACTAAATAATATCGACTGTTCCCGACATCCCGATGTCCCAAAATTTCTTGAATGACATAAGACTTCCCATCATTTTCATAGTGTTGTCCTGTAACTTTGAATTTGTAATCGGCTAGAGCATCAGGTGCATCATCCAGTTCGAGTTCGGTCATCCATGTCTTTTCGTTCTTATAACCAACCCACGTCACAGCGTATTTCACAAACTGACCATTGTACAATTTGTGACTGGTGATTTTGTCAATTTCATATACTTTTGAACTTTGAGACGCTTTTGTTTCAGTAGACTTGGCTCCTTTAGTTCGTTTTGGCGGTTTCGGCTTCTCAACCTTTGCGGATTTTTCTGAAAACCAAACAATGTTTAAAAAAACAGTTTCGGGATCAATTTTCACATACTTTCTTGAACTTTTGATTTTCTCGCCGGCGTCAATCGTCGAGTTTCTTGACCTTTGCTTGCTTTAGCCATTTGACCAAATTGTATACTAGTATTCCAGCTGAAATAAAAACAATTTTTTCGAAGAAAACGTATTTCAAATCCAGTGGATTGGAGATTGTGGATTGATAAACAATAAAGAAATATGACATTTTCGTACAGTAGAACAGGAAAAGAGGGACAAAACAGCAAAAACAATAAAAAAATCAAAAAATTTACCCAAAAAAATGTTCACGTGTTGCAGTACTGTATGTTCGTCACGGGACGCGTTGTTTGCACAACGTGTTCCTTTAAACCATCTCGTAATTTCACAAACTTGAAACTTGAAATTTCAACTTTCATGTCTTGCATGCAAGATGCAATTTGTCCAAATTTTTTTACCGCATTATCTTCCAGACGATTTGTTGATGATAAAATTGAAGTTTTTTGCACTAAAAAACGAAAAATTCGCGCCAAAGAAAACTGTGTGTATTTCTCTCGGATGATCGTTCATTTTTTTTTTTGTTTTATATAGACAAGTTTCATACTTCTCGTTTTCCTGTTCAAATTAGATTTTCGTAAATTTTTATACGAAAGAGAGTGTCGAGTATTCATTGTGTTCTATTTATCATATGTATTTTTGCCGATTTTTACTTCCGGATTTCTAGTTTCTTGGCTACCCTGCTTCAAACTCTTCTGTTTTCTTTAAGTGTGGCTTTACTCATGAAATCTGAGCACATGGTCCACTTCTTTTTTCTCAATTTCCGGTGGCTCTTTGAAAATACATATTTTCTGAAAAAGAAAAAGAGTGCCCGCGGGAGGTAATGTTAAGAGAAAAGAGGCGCAGAGATAAAAAATAAAATAAAAAAGAGACGAATGAATGCGTGGGTGTAATAATATGCCGTTTTTCGTTTTTCGTTTTGCTTTTGTTGTTTTATTCCATCAAAAACTATTTTGTGACCCATAAAACTTTTGGATTCAATAAACATTTTAGTGCTAGACTTTTTTTGTAAAGCCAGATAATAATTTCATATTCATATGTTTTTTCGAGATCGATCAAAAAGCAGTGTCTATTTCATCTACTATATACTAATTGGGAAAATTTTTTTGGCAATAGTATGTCCGGGACCCGTTCTCAAAACTGTGCGCATAAAAATTGATGATCAAAAAAAGAAAAAGTTTCTAAATGGTGGCACAATGATGCGCGTTTCAAAAATTCTCCCTCAAAATGTATGTGAGTGCGCGGAGAGTGAAAAGTTTGAAAACTCCAATGTATTTTTCGATTTTAAAATGTGTCGCTCGACTTTTCTCAATTTCCAGAAGACCATTTTTGATGGGACCTTCACTATTCTATCCTCAATTATTTCCCATCGATGCGCTAATATTCAATTTTTCAAAAAATGTGCGAGTTTTCACGTGAAAAATCGAAACTTTTTTCATGTAAAAAAGAATGATCACGTTTTTATTCGAAAAAATATTAGGACACGTTTCTTATCTGATCTTTCTATTCTCTGAAAAAGTCAACAATTTTCGGGCATTTCTCAATGTTTCTCTTTTCCTAACCGGAAAATTAATCAGAAAAAGTAAGTCAAACTACTGTAGATGGCGTTAGCCAGCGAAGCCCTTCTAGTTTATTCAAATGATCAAATTACACTATGGGAACCGACTGCGCGGCTCATTTGATTGATATGCGAAACTTTTTACGAACGCTTTCAAAATGTTTCTGACTTCTTTTTCATACACCTCTTTCACTCCCATGGGAATATTTGTTCTTTTTCCAGATATTTTGCTTGATAATTGTCAAAAGTTCGAATCAATTCAATAACATCCACTTTTCGATGCAATAAAAATCAATTGTTATGTCGCAAAATTGCTCAAGTGAAAACAGCACACCGAATTGTAGTTCTGATGGACCATTCATTTGTCAAGTAAGTTACATACAAATTTGTTTCAAAAAAAATGAAAGTATTTTTAATTTCAGAGCTATTTATCTCAACCATCTGAAATTCCAAGTAATGATTGTTGGTATCATGGAGAATTAGAAGAAAATGGGGCAAATCGTTTATTGAAAGGCAGTCAAACTGGTACATTTTTAGTAAGAAGAAATGGAAAAACTCGATATTATCTGTCAATTATTGATAGTGAGCATAATATAAAACATTTGCCGTAAGTTTTCTTCATTTTTTTCGTGACAAAATTTCTATTTTTTTTAGAATTCGTCAAATCAATTCAGTTTTTTTCTTTGAAGGGAAAAAGTTTGGGCAACTTCACGATATAGTTTCAATTTACAAACATGCTAAATTTCCATTTAGAAAAGATGACAACGTGACCATTTATCCAACGGTTTGATTTGTGAAAAAATTCTGATAAAAATCATAAACTAAATTTTTCAGCAAGAATATCTTGGTATGAAATACATTTGTATTCGAACTTTTGAAGCTGAAGATGTAAATGATTTGAATGCTGAACCTGGTGATATTTTATCTGTTTCTGAAACTGATGATATTACTTGGTTTATTGGTCGAAATGAGAAAAATGGATCAATTGGAATGGTGCCAAGTGAATATATTGAACCATTAGTGATTGAAGTTGAAACAATGTTCGAAGTTCGATATTTTCATGATACAGATTTAACGGATAGTGTTAAATTTCAACAATTAGGCTCGTTTTTAATTAGAAGATCATCAAAAGGCCCAGATACTTATGCGCTTCTTGTTAAAACACAATGTGATTTAGTTGAGAAGTTTCTAATTGTTGGATCTCCTTCCCGAGGTTTCAATGTTGCTGGAAGAACTTTTAGAACTATTGGAAATGTTATAAACAGGTATTTTCAGATTATAAAAAAATTTAAAATGTTATCTAAATTTTTCAGATATTGTGAACGGTCGATTTCTGGTGGAGTTCGTCTAACTCACGCAATTTTTGAAGATGTCAAACAAAAACCAATTTCCACACTTCAAAAAAAGGTGAGAATTATTTTTGATCTCACCGAAATATTTTTTGATCTACCCGCGTCATTCGAGAAAAACAAAGACTCATTTTTCAAACCCCCAAAAAAATCATTTCAAAGCAAAATATTTTTTTTCCAACCCATTCCATCCCACCATATCCATTTTCGATTCTGAAATTTTTTGGCACTAAAACAAAAAAAAACACATTATTGAATTATATGATGGCGCGCCTTCATGAAATCGTTAATTTTTATGTATGAATGAATGATATTTTTTATGCTGGCGCTTGCAAAACCTTTTCAAAACTCAACTAATACTTTTTGGCAAGATGTTTTCGATTTTGGCTAAAATAAAAAATATGAAGGTAAAATAAATAAATAAATAAAAATATTGTTGACCTACTTTTAAAAAAAAATAATTTCAACGTGACCTAAATACGTGGCATTTGTTGTTTTTTATTTCGTATTTTGTTCAGAAAACACGTCGCGTTTTTCGTGGTGTTTCAATTGATACATCTATTTTGGTACCTACAGCATCAACTTCTTCATCATCTTTTCTTAGTCCAGCACCTTCTTCATCACCGGATAATATTATTTCGTCTTCTACAACAAATAATATTATTGGAAATACATCGAATACTGATACAAAAATTATGGTGAGTTATTATATTATAGTTTTTCGAGTCAAAAAATACAACATTTTTTCTTTTTAGTTTGATCATTTCAACGAAGAAGATTATAATGATAATCTGGAAACATTGAGTACAATTATTGCAACATCGAGTGCTCTACGAAAGTGTGAGTTTTCAGTAAAATAAAATTCGAATTTCAAATTGTTTTCTCTCCAGCTCGAGAAGATAAATCATGGAAAGAATGTTGGCTATCACTGTCTGATTTATCTTGTGGTTCCAGTCAGTTGGCTATATTTGACTCAATGGTAATTAGTTATTGTTTATTTTAATTCAAAATTCAATATTTTTCAGGGTTCAAAACGACGACAATTGATTGATTTATCAGCATGCACATTATTTTGGTTAGATGAAACTGTATTTGGTGTTGATGGATGTGTTTATATATCTGCAAATTATCCCCAACAAGCTCCAATATTTCTTTGTTTTCGGCCATATTCTGCATTTTTGAAATGGATTCGTTTGATAAGATTGCGAACAATATTTCAAGATGTTCCACCATCGATGTCTCAATCAACTATATCTTATAATGAACCTATTTCACAAATGTCGATTTTATGTGTTGAAGTGGAAAAATATCGATCCGACACCTTAAAATCAGATATGCTTTATTCAGCAAATGTTTTATTGAATGGAATTAAAGTAAGTCTTGTTTCCCCTACAGTTTGTTCTCTAATTAAAAAAATTATTTGCAGATTTGTTCTTCAAATTCTTTTGCCCCCACCAACAATAAAAACTCGACCGATTTGCCCGTTGTTATAATTGATTCGAAATTTGTTTTACCGTAAGTTTTATTTTTTTTCTAATTTTGAAAAAAACCTCCAATCAATGCATTTTTTGTAGATGTATTCCAACATGTAATACAAGTGTTCAATTAGCAATTGTTGGTCATTCTTCTTCAACAAATAAAAGAGGCCGCCCTTGTGGTGTTTCTTCTCCAATTACATTATCCGATTCCTCATCAACATCATCAATTCATCATATTCCGCCAGCTGATATTGGTTTCACATTTCGTGCTGAAAAACATCGTTTTCCAATTTTGCAGCAAGAACGATATCGACCTCTATTGGATGCAATACGGTAATTTTTAGCGTCTTCTTTTTTTCAAGAAGAAACCCTAGGCTCATTTATTCAAAAATTTTCTCTAAATTTTTTTTTCAAAATTGAAAACTATATCACATTTCAAACTATTCCAGAGATTTGCCAACCGAACTTTTCCAATGGCCATCACAAGTTTTACCGCAACAACACAAGATATTTTTATATTCGTGTATTTCTCATCTCTATACCATGGATCCATTGAATATGAGCAATGTTTTTCGGCGAATAATAAGTGATGTATTGATTTCATCAACACCAGAGGATGTTTTTCGAAAAGATTCAATGGCAACTGGAATTGTTACACAAGTTCTGCGACATTTATTCAAAACACCTTTCGATGAATTTTTGACGGAAAATGCTTCTTTTGTTCAAGCTTGTAAAAATCAGGTGAGATTTTTAAGTAAAATTGATATTTTTGAAAATCAAAAATTATTCAGAACATCGAACAAGCAGTTGAACTTCTAGTCAATTTTGTTGATCAACGCCTTTTGACAATTCCATTAGCTTGTCGTTTATTGGCTGTTTGTGCAGAATGTGCAAAAACAAGGTTTATCGACGAACCGCATGTAATAAAACGAACATTGAGTGCACTTCTTATTCTTCGTGTTCTTAATCCAATTATATTCACCACTTTGAATAATGGAGGAATTGGAAGTCAAGTGGCTAAATTGGTTCAGACTTGTGCTAATTCAGCTGCTTCTCAAACTTGTGCCGAGCAATTGACAGAAACGGCTGCCACAATACGAAGAGCTTTTGATCGAATAATAATTTTGTCGGATCAGGTAACTCGAATAAAAAGAAAAAACAAAGAAAAAAATATAAAAACGTGACAATTTTTGAGAACTTCACTTTTAATCATTTAAAAAAAACGTTGCAAAAATTTTTTTTTTAAATTACTTTTTCGCTAAATTTGAGAATTTATTGGAATGTTGAAAAAAATGCAAACCTCACCCAATACCTGGAATTCCAGGTGGACAATTTTTTTTCGAAAAATCTAGGTGGGCAAAAAATTTTTAGGGTCTTTAAGGCGAGCCTTAGGTGGGCAAAATTTTTAGGGTCTTTAAGGCGAGCCTTAGGTGGGCAAAATTTTTAGGGTCTTTAAGGCGAGCCTTAGGTGGGCAAAATTTTTAGGGTCTTTAAGGCGAGCCTTAGGTGGGCAAAATTTTTAGGGTCTTTAAGGCGAGCCTTAGGTGGGCAAAATTTTTAGGGTCTTTAAGGCGAGCGTTAGGTGGGCAAAATTTTTAGGGTCTTTAAGGCGAGCCTCAGGTGGGAAAATTTTTTAGGGTCTTTAAGGCGAGCCTCAGGTGGGCAAATTTTTTTTTAGGGTCTTCAAGGCGAGCCTCAGGTGGGCAAATTTTTTTAGTAGGTGGGCACTTTTTGAAAATTAACCCAGGTGGGGCAATTTTTTACCCACTTCTCCAGGTTCTTGGGTGAGGTTTGAAAAAAATGTTTGAAAATGCTAAGATTTAAAAAAATTAAGCTGAATTTATTGAGTGAAATATTTTTCAGAGCCAATTTTTTTAACCTAAAAATGATCTTAAAACTGAAGAACCCGTCTTGAAGATTCAGTCTTGAACCACACCTGGCGAGAGAGTCTCCCAAAATTTTTGTGAAGCGTGGAAAATTTGGAAAAAAAATTGTGCAGCGTGAAATTTTGAATTTTTTTAAAATTATCATCAAAATCCGCTGAAAATCGATGAAAATCCTTTGTAAATTTTTGTACAGTGCCTTTTTTGGTCACATCGCGTCCGATGTGTCTTGAACTGAAGTCTCTTTACCTGAAGATTCCTTTTCCCATTGAAAATATTTGTCAAAAAATAATAATTACAGAAAGAAGATGTAATAATAACGGACAATGATGGATTCTCGATGTCAAGTGAATGGTTATCAAGTATTGCTCATTTGATTGGCTTTTCTCTTAACTTGAAATCTTCTGCAATTACAAACAATGGAGAACAATTAACACAAGAAGATGTACATAATACGTTACCACTTGCTGTTCTCGAACTTGTCAGGTAAATTTCAATATAATTTTTCCGAAATTTCATCTAAAAATATTCAAGGCTTCATCAATAACATCTACATAACCAATCACTTGATCACATTTAGTCATATCCTAATAATTTTTTTTTATTTTTCATGTGTTATATTATATTGATTGATTCAGGCGGGGTTTTTCTGATTCTTTTTTCCATAACTCTTGTCAAATCATAGCCCCCTTCCCACCCACCCTTTCTTTTTTTTTAGAATTTGTCACCATTTCTCTTACATATAAATTAGCTTTATCCCTGCATTTCTCATCTCTCATTGCTTACGTGTAAAATGTGCCTGAAAGGAAAAGTTCTCAAAGAAAATGTTTTTTTTTCATATAGAAATTTTTGCAAATGTACATGTTTTATCCCCGCATTTTATCGTTTTTTCTTTGTTTCACTTTTTTTTTAAATTTACCAATCATTTTTTTGTCTTTGCCCAAAAAAAGTGCATGAGTCAAATAAAAATGATTCTGATTATAGAATAAATTGTTTATTGAAATGACACCCACAAAATGCGAAAAATCTAAACAAATATCAAATAACACAGTCTATATAAATTTATTACACAGTTTTTTGATAAGTTGACCGATTCATTTCGAAAAAATCGAAACAAGGTCATTATTTCTATCAATATCATTTCGTTCTTTTGAATTTACAACGAAACATCGTTCAAAGAATGTTATTTCAAAATTTAATTTTGATTGCGGTTTTCGGAATTTCAACAGTTTTTTCAATCGAATGCTATGCGGTGGGTTTTGAATTAAAATGAATGATATTTTAGGGGAAAAAAGCAGAAATTTAGGAAATTGTTTTCAAAAGTCACTTAATTTTGAATGATTCACGTGAACTATTTTTCGGAATTTTATTTCGTGAAAAAAATGAATTGAAAATTCAAAATGAAATTTTTTGAATTTGAATCTCGAAAAACGTTTAGAAATTTTCAAAAATCTTATTGATTGTGATTAGATTCCGAAAATACCGTAATCCACATAAAATAAGTATTTCTGAAATTCCGGATTTTTTTCTAGATGTTAAACAAATATTGAAAAACATGTTATAAATTACAAACAAATTAAATTCCAACGTTTTTCCAGGGTCTCAAAATATTAAAAGGAACATCTGTAGGAACAACAACAATCAAATGTGATAATTCAGCCGCATATTGTTATAATATGACAGCTTCAGCTGCTGCAGTTATTGAAGTTACAAAAGCCGGATGTAGTATGTGGAGGTGTATGGTAATTTATTACAGTAACCCGATCTGAATTTATCTCTCTGATTTGTTTTTTTTTTTAGTTGGCTCAAAACAAATGTATTTCAACAACTTTCCAAAATATTCCAATTTCATTATGTTGTTGTAATACTCCATTTTGCAATGTTGCTGAAAATGGAAATGTTATTCAGTGAGTTTGAATATTTTCATGAAGAAAAAGATTAGAAAAATTTAGACCTCAAAATACTGGAGGATGGAATGCTGAACCAGAACATACAAGAACTGATTTGACAAAAGATGAAGTTGAAAGACGTTTCAATTCAGCAGAACTTGATGATGATCATTCGCATCAATCAACAAGAGCAACTCGATTTATTCATGAAATAACACAAAATATTACAAAAGAAGCGGTACAAAATGAAACACTTTCAGAAGAGGAAATCAAACTTCTTCTCTAGTTAAATGTTTTTGAAACTTATAAAGCGTTATTGATTGTTCAATATATTTTTCTCAAAACTCAGCCAGCTTGTTTTTCCACATGCTTCAATAATTGTTTTCTTCAAACATTCCGAAATTTTATTTTCTTTATTTATTAGAATCGGATTCCAATTCTGATAACATTCGGAAGTTTGTAGTTCGTTAATACATTCACCGAATTCATTCAAGAGAAAATCGAGAACATTGCAAGCTTTTTCGAGAAGATCATTCTGAAATATTTGAGGGCAAACAGAAGATCGACAGTTCTAAAAAATTATGAATATTTAAATTTTTAGCAAAATGCATATTTGAATAATGGGAAAAAATATTGGACTTTTTTGTTCATTTTTAAATTGCCACGTTGTAGCTCACGTTTCTTTCATTCATTTTAAAATAATTTTTTCAATTACCAACCTTCCAAACATCGCACGTTTTATCTAATAATTGTAATTTTTCAACAGATCCATCAGAAATATCATCCGAAGAAAAAGCTTCATCCAAAGATTCTCTGATTTGCTTACGACATTGAAATTCTTGATAGGAATCAAGTTCGATGCAACTAAAAGTGCTGTGGATGAAAAAAATAATCAGAAGAAAATAATACATCCCAAGCTGGATCAAATGAAAATAATTGAGAAAAGAAGAAAATCGACAGGGAACTAAAAACTTGAAAGATTAATGAGTTCATCTATACCAGAAGAAATATTTTCAAAAAAAAAATAGGATAAATTTTGTGGATGATAAAATGTTTCGGTATCTGGGGGCAACCAAAACACTAACAACCTCTTATATAGATTTAATTAGACAAAGTGCACATATACTACGACTACGTTATGTATTTATGTTATCTAATACTTTTTCTCTAGACACATGTATACCTTTTTCGATTTTTGAAAAATAAAAAGAAAGATATTAGGTTTCTTGAAATTTTTTATTTATTCTGTTTCCATTTTGATTTGAGTATTTTTTTCAAAAAAAAAAAGAAACGAAAAAAATACTACGGTAGTAGGCAACAAATTAAAATACATTCATTGGGTACAAATACTCAGCAAATCGCTGCGTACATGAACGGTAAGGATTTGTGTAGCTTGTGTGCTGTCTAACTCATTTTACACGCATTCCACACACAAGCTACGCACGCGTCTACACACCAGCTACACAAAATAGTTTTTTTTCGATTTTTTTTTCGTTTCGCGTTTTTTTCGGATTTTGCGGGCTGAAAGATGATTTTTGAACAAGTTTTGAATGAAAACAACAATTTATTATCGGAATAAGTAAAACATGAAAAAAAAACAAAATATTTCAAACAAAATTATAAATTAGGAGTGGAAAATTTCGTAGATGTTGCGGACTGTCTTGTTTCCCTCGCCATAAAGCTGCTTTTCATGTTGTTTGTGTCGAGATTTCCATTGAGTGCTAGCGAGACTGAGCATCGGAGAGCATATTCTGTAAAATTGAGATGAATTTTCATGCTTTTCAGAGTAGAAAGAACTTTATATTTATCTTCAAAAATAGCTAAACTTGATCAAATTTCCCAAGACATAGTTTGTTATCCCGTTTCTTTTTCGGTTATTGACTCACCTTTTGATTTGCGTGGATAAATACTGATTGTTGTTGACCTGATTTTTGTGGAGCGTAGTCGTTGTTGAACTTGTTGGAATTTTCTGAAAACTGTTTTTGTAGGAAATATGTCGGTTTTTTTTAAAAGAAAATTCCCTCACCATTTAGCAGCCATTTTGCAACAATCACGCTCCCGGAAACCTGAAATTAAAGATAGTTAGAACAATTCTGAATGAAAGAAAAATTTCCAGACTTGAGAAATAGGGGAATTCATAGATGTTCAAAATGAATTTCAACATAATTTTCATGAAACACGAAGGTTTCTTCAATGATAATGAATAAAGAATGTTAAAAATTATGGATATGTTCATTGCTGGCCCGATTTTCACAAGAATTTAGGCCTGGAAAAACAAAAACAAAAATGAGAAAAGTAGCCGCGACGCCAACCGCGTTGCTTCTCTGATTTGTGTAGCTCGTGTGTAGCTGCGGTGTAGCTATTTTTCGCCGATAAAACCGTTCATGTACGCAGCGATTTGCTGAGTAAAACATTCTCGTATTTTTCTTCTAGAATTATTATTATTATTATTATTATTCATTTTTCTTAGCATTATTCATTTCATGATAATTTGTTTGAAATTGAAAAAAATAATTATCGTCACCGAAAAAACATGAATTTGGAAATTTTTCTGGAAAATTAATTTTTGACTCACAATCATCAGAAAGCTTTTAGAATAAAATCCGAAAAACAAATAACCGACATTTTTTCGGATTTTGTTCTAAAAACTTTCACTTTTTTGGCAAAATCTATTTGAATTAATTTATTAGATGATTACTGTAGAATGAAGTTTTGAAAAAATTTAAAGGTAGTTGGAACGTAATTCTCGAGAATTTTAAAATTTCAGTTCGAGGCCAAGTTATTAAATTAACTATTAAATTGTAATTTGAGTTCATTTTTAAAGTTTTTTTCACGTTTCATGAAAATCGTTTTTATTCCTGAATCAGAATCAAATATATTGGCCGTGCTTTTTCATTCGAAATTTTCATTCTCAATTTTTTATCCCACATTTCTTCCACTGAAAAACGTAATGTTATTGTTGTTGTTCGAAAAGTGGTATCACTTACACCAAATACCCTAATCCTTCAATTTTCTCACACTTTGTTTTTGAAACTTGGTTCAGTTGAGTTCAGTTAGCTTTTCCTTTCCATTTTTCTTCACATCTTATTTTGCTGCCAAAATAGGACTCTTGAAGAAGTAAAAAGAAATGTGTAAGTACCTTTTTCTCATTTTCATTTTCATCATCATATTCCCCCGTTTTTGAGACTAATTGGCAAAACGAAGAAATAGTGTGAAGATTTTAGAGGGAATTATTATTTTTAGTTTTTCTCCCTATACATAGTCTTCCAAATTTATTCTTGTCATTTTCAGGGATCATCCTTTATTATTTTATTTAAATTTTATCCAAAGACTTGTATATTTTCGAAAAAAAAATGAAGAAAAAATTTACACATAAAATTAATAAATAAATTTATGTCTCCATGTGTTTCATATTTCGATCCTCAATCATCCATGAAATTGAAGTGCATCTTATCGTTTTTTTTTCAGACAAAAAATTATTGACTAAAAAAAATGAAAAATTTTATTTTTTTTCTAACAATTCCCTTTCCTACCTAGAAAAAACACTAATTGTTTTGACAGCTCTCAACATTTTTTCGTATTTATAATTTGCAAATTTTTCAGATTTCTCAATCTTCTCGAATGCGTTTTAGGCAACTATTGGTTTTTTCTTGAATGTGGCACACAGCAGGGTTAGTTTCTTTCTTTCTTTCGAAAAGCTTAATTTTCATCCCAAGATTTTTAATCCCAAAAATCCAAAAGTTTTCCAAACATTTCTCAAATATATTTTTCACGTGACTTGAAAAACTAACCAAATGTTCACTGCGAAGCCTAACATTGATTGTATTTTTAGAGTTCAAAAGTGGATTTCCAGAAGCAACTTATCGAAAATCAATCCCTTAAGGCAGGGCTACTTGAGAACTAGACTCTCTAGGCGTTGATCCTTGACGACTGAATTTCTAGACGCGGTTTCTTGAATTAAAAAAAATAAAATACAATTTTTACTTTTCGGAACCACGACTATTCAAGTAGAATAAAGAAACTGAAGGCTACCAAAAATATAACATTTTTCGAAACCCATAAAACCTTTTACAAATTCCGGAAATGTGTTAATTCATTTGGTGGACACCCAAAAATATACTTATGAAGAATTTCATTTATTTTTTTGCTCAGATATTTTCGCATAATTCAATTCATCTATTAAAACACAAGAGTTTTGACAGCTTGGGAAAAACATAAAATTTGAATAGTGTAAGATTTTTCTCTCGAAGCCATGTTAGTTAGTTTGTTTGATAATTTAGTTACATGTTTTCAATTGAGTTCGAATAAGAAAAGAAAAGAAAAAGAAGTGGACAAATCCAAAAGATACTTAATTATAGTAGAAATTGAAACTCTTCGAATTGAATAGATATATTTGAAACTAATAATAATAAACATATGTCTCTTTTTTTCTTATTTTTTCCTGGACATTTTTAATATTTTCGACCTCCTTCTTATATTCTTCTAGTTTTTTTTGCTCCAGTCTACGACCCATCTTTTGTCTATTCAATCTGTTTAATGGCCTGGAAATTCAGACTTAGAATTAAGAAAGAAAAAAGAAGTGCATTTCTTGAACCAAAAAAACCAGTACTTCTTCCCTTCTTACAATTAATTTCAGATTACGTCAAGATCGTCAAATGTTTTTTCACGCCACGTTAGCACGTAGTTTTATAAGTGCTTTGAGTATTCGAGGAGATGATGATGCTGTTGATCGATTGAATTATTATTATACTCCTCTAATTTTAGCTATTTGTTGTTTGGTTATTTCAGCGAAACAGGTTGGTTTTTGTGAATTTACAATTTTTAAATATAAATTTACGGAATATTCGCAGACTGTGAGCTTTTTGGATCTTGTTATCTGAAAAACCAATAAATAATAGTTAATTTCAGTATGGTGGAACTCCAATCGAATGTTGGGTAAATCCACACAGTCGAGAATCAATGGAAGAATATATTGAATCATATTGTTGGATTCAGAATACTTATTGGATTCCAATGTATGAAAATGTTCCAGATGATCATACAGCAAGAGAAGGTTATCTTGTCACTTTTCAGTTTTCCAAATAACTTTTGAATTTTCAGAAAAACAAATAGGTTATTATCAATGGGTTCCGTTTATTTTGATTGCTCAAGCATTGATATTTTCATTGCCTTGTATTTTTTGGCGACTTTGCTCTTTTCAATCTGGTTTGAATATTCAAACTCTAATCAATGCTTCAACAGATGCACAAACTCTTTTGGATAATTCAGATCGACAAAAAGCGATTGATTCAATTTGTCAGAATTTTGTAGATCATTTAGATTTACAAAGTCCAAATGGAAGAATTCGAGCGCGTGGATGGATTGCAAGAATAAAATTTTCGAGATTTCTTTCGGGACAATTGGTGACTATTTTCTATAATTTCACCAAATTTTTGTATTCGATCAATGTTGTTGGACAATTTATAATATTGAATGCTTGTTTGAAAAGTAATGATTATTTATTCTTTGGATTCCAGGTTTGTAAGAAAATATATTAGAAAAATATGAAAATAAAATCATTTTTCAGGTTTTGAATGATATTTGGGCTGGTCGACCATGGACCGAAACTGGACATTTTCCACGTGTTACACTTTGTGATTTCGAAGTTAGATATTTGGCAAATTTGAATAGATATACAGTTCAATGTGCTCTTCTAATCAATATAATAAATGAAAAAGTTTTTGCATTTTTATGGATTTGGTATATGATTCTTGCACTTATAACAACTTCTTCGTTTATTTATTGGTTGGCAAATTCGTTTATTCATTCGGAGAAAGTGGATTATATTATGAAATTTATACAAATTGCTGAATCAAGCGAATTCAAGAAAATGCAAAAATTTGAAAAGGTTGGTTTACAAAATTACTTGAAAAGGGGTAGAAATAAAAAGTTCTTGAATGAAAGAAGAGAGTACCTTCGCTAAAACATACATTTTTATGAACATTTACGTGGTCCAAAAATTCAAATTTGTTTTCCTAGATCTTTATCAAAATGGGATAATTTAGATATTGTCATTCCGAATTTTGGCTCTAAAAACTTCGGATTGACAAAATCTGGATTGTCATTCTAAATTCTAATATTGAGGACCATAAATGTTATCCCAAAGGCAAAATTGTTGGAACAAAAACCACAAGGACAGTGAAAATGTTTTATTTGTGCTAATTTTGTCACGTGTAGCAACAAATATCAACCTCAATGGTTTTTGTGTGTTCTCTGCTCGAAGTTATGTCGAAATTTTTTCAATGTCCTGTTTTAAAAAATTGATATTAATTTTGAGAATTAAACATTAAAGTTAACACATTCTCAAATTTTCAATTATTTATATTCCCTTTACAAAGTTATTTTTTAGGATGCAACAGTGGAAAGACTTTATACAGTAATCGCATTTGCTCCACATCTTCTCGATGGTTTTGTTTCCGATTTTCTCAAATCCGATGGTATTCTAATGCTTCGAATGATCTCAAATCATGCTGGAGATATGATTGTTGTTCAAATAGTTCGAAGTCTTTGGCAAGAATATCGAGAAAGAAATTGGCGAGAATTTGAAGAAAATGAGGAAATGAAAGATATGGAATTAAGAGGAAGAGGAGGATTGACTGAAAGAATTATTATTGCCAATCCTTCACAAACTAAATCATATTTATAGATTTATTTTCTTTGTGAAAAATATTGATACCTCTGAGTATTTTGCGGGTTTTCACTCGTTATTTCTCTGATCTCATTTATCACTCACTGCCTGAATTATTATTGAAATGAATAAAAATAAATAAATATTTTCTATCAAAGCACAGATTCTGAATAAAACGAACATCTGTTCGAAACTGAAAAGACATCTGCTTTCAACATCACAATTAAAATATAAATGCTCATTTTCTCTTCACAAATAAAATTTGAATACGTAGTATATGTACATATTTGAATGTGTTCCAAATTTGAAGGTTACACTCTCAATCTTCCTAAAAATATTTAATACAAACAAACAAATACAATAATTAGTGACCCTGACAAACAGCTTCCAATTGTTTCCTTTTTTATTATTCCTCCTATTTTTCTTCTTCTTTTTTTCGTTCCATAATTAATCAAAAATGTCTGCGTCTCTCTTTCTCAAATAAATCCATGTTACAACCAAATCCCATTTCATTCGGACCCTCCACTTTTTGACAACAAATTTATTTATTTTTACGCTGTTCTCATTTGCAATAAATAAACACAGAATATTTCAAATTACCGCTTCTGGGTGTGTGAGAGGAAAAGAAAAAAGAGAATCGATATAGAGAGAGAATATTCTGCCTCTCTTATATTCATGCACTATTTTCATTGAGTCGATTCAGAAGAGAAGAAAAGAGCCATTCGACGAAGACGCATATTTCTTGTCTGTTTTGTTGTTTTTCCATGTTTGTTGCCTTTTTTGGAAAATCTAACATTTTTCCTCAATTTTTTTTCGAAATTCAATCTCTCATAGACTATCAAATTTCCAAAACTATCATTATTTTTTTCACGATGAGACAGACCAAAATGTTATTTTATTTATCAAGTTATGTTTCCATGCAAGCTCCTTTCTGCTTGCGTCAATTTTTATGTGTACATAGTTAAACTTGCGAATTGAATTGTGTTTGTTTTTTGACTTTCTTTCTCACAATTCCCACCATTTTTTCTCTTTCCCATAGATTTGTTTCCATTTTTCAGGTAACGAAATGAGCGATGAAGATGAGTTGACACAATTGAAAAGTAATGCTGATAATTTATCGAAATGTTTGCATGTTTTACTTGAGAAAATTGAGGCAATCGAAAGGAAAAATAAAGGAACTTCAGAATCTGTGAGTTTATTTTTCTTTTCAAACTGAAACTTAAAAAAAAACAAAAATTCATATTTAGAGTAGTAGTAGCCCAACTGAAATGACAAACGGAAAAGATAACAATCGAGAAAAATTTGAACAAGTCGATATTGAGGAAAAATTGGAAACTGATCCAAAAACTGGACTCAAAAAACGAACAATTATTACTGAAAGAGTTTTAACAACTAAAACATTTCATGCGTTGGCATTAGATGGTCCTTCACCAACAATGACACCAATTCTAAGATCAAGTAGTACACCAACAAATCATAATTATGCACCAATTCATCAATCTGCTATTTTGTTACCACAATATCAAACAAGGAGTACTGTAATTGATGCAGTTCAGTTGAAACAGGTATTTTTTATTGAAATAGAAGTTGTATCCAAATTCTTTTGTTTTTTAAGGTTGAAATTGAAAAACATGGTGGCCAATTGGTTGTTACAAAAATTAACGAGAAATTGAATATCGACTTGAAACCTGGAGATGTTATAACATCAGTGAATGGAAAAGATGTTTATATTCGAGCAGATCTTGAAAATCTAAAAGGTCAAATCGAATTATCAATTGAACCAGCTGCAATTCATTGTGCACCTTCAGTTTTTTATCGAATTCAAGATAATTATCAATCATCATTTGATAATAATCAACCATGTAAATGGTTAGATATTGAAGTATCAACTGGAGATGTTGTTCAAGTATTAAGTAAAGATGATAATTGGATGCAATCAAGAAAATTAGGAGATTTAACACAAGTTGGATATATTCCAACTAATTTAACTATGGAAAAAGTATCAATGTTAACACCATTTGGAAGACGAGTTTTGGTTTTATTAGGAGCTGTTGGAACAGGAAGGAGAGATATTAAAACTATGTTATTGCGATTAGCACCACATTACTTCTCCACAATTGTTCCTTGTAAGTTTTTTTTTTCGGGAATTTCTGTGGGATGTTTCAAAATCCGAATGAGCTATAAAAATATTTACAGTAACTTCACGAGCTCAGCGACCGGGAGAAGTTGAAGGAAGAGATTATGTTTATGTTCGAAAAGAAGAAATGTATAAAAGAATAAGAGAAGGTGGAATGGTTGAATGGGGAGAATTGGATCATCAAATATATGGAACATCAGCTGAATCAGTAAGAAATGAAATTCGAAGTGGAAGAATGTGTGTACTTGACTCAGCTCCACAAAGTGTTAATTATTTATATAATGCTGAATTTATGCCATTCGTTGTTCATATTGTTCCACCGCCAATTGAAGAATTTCAACAATTAGAAGCTGTTAAAAGAAGTCATAGGTAACATTGACAAAATTAATGGGAAACTATCGAATAATTCAACAAATATTTCAGAACTGTTAGTCAACTTCAATCAATATGTGATGAAAGTGAAAGAATAGGAAAAGAATGCAAATCAAAGATACATTTAACTTTGGTCAATCGAAATATTGATGTAACATTTAAACGACTTGTTGATGCTTTGGAAACTCTTCGATATGAAACTCAATGGGTTCCATATTCATGGATGTGTTGAACAATAACTACCTTTTTTTCTAAATCTTCATATCTTTTTTACTGTTGATGATCTCTCTGTTTGCGTTTATTTATCTATGAAAAATTTCAATACTATTTTGAAACATTTGTACAGCTGCAAGCAAAAAAGAAAAAAGGACCGCGTTGGCATTATGTTCAATTTTACAGAAATATAAAATGAGGTTTTTATTTTTACTATTTTCTTTGATTTTCATAACTATTTCGGCTCAGGTAAGTGGAAGCACATGTGTTAGAGGTAAAATATGTTTCAGGAATCGGAAGAAGTTTTAAAAATTTCAAATGATACAATCGATGCTTCTGGAACTGACATTGAAACATCAGAATCACCCATTACATCCACAACAACAGAAAAATTAACTACAACTACTCAAAAGTCAACACCCCGACCTCCATCTTTCACTGCCTGGTCATTCTTCCGTATGTTTCAATTAATAACAAAATGAAAATGAAAACTAACCTTTTTCAGTCGGAATAATTGTAGCGATTTTGATCCTTGGCTTGATTGGTTTCATACTTAATATTTGGAGACAGCGAAGAGGTCCAAATGGTGCACAATATACCACATATCAACAATCATCATGAATAATAATATTTCGTATCATATCCTCATCTTTGCACTTACATTTTCTAAAAATTGAAAATTTATTTTTGAATAAAAATGTTTTAAACCTACAAATGAACATCAAAATGCGAATTCACATTTCTTTGCTCGTTTTCAGCCAAGAAAAACCAACGTTATTTTTTTGCTATACATGAGCTTTAATATCAATATTCCATGTTTTTTTTAAATAAAGAAACATGGTGAAAAAGTTTTCTGCGCTGCAAGACCCAAAAAACACAGTAATACGCATAAGCGCGAAATAATGTTTGTTCCAGGTTGTTTCGCGCGGGAGAACCTTCGCAACGTTTTCGAAATGTTTGAACACACTTTGCACTTTCACATCATTTTTTACGTTTTGCCAGTTTCTCTAATTTTTTCTCACCATTGCGCCATTTCCTTTGAATTGAACGCACTTGTAGAAACTATTATTAGTCTTGCAAAAACATCCTCGATTTTTTTTTACCCAAAAACCACTTTTCTCATTGTTCATTTTGAAAAGTTTGTTCTTTCAGTAAATCATGAGCGTGATTCGATATAGTTCCGGAACAGTTGCACGAACTGGACAAGGACGAATTGACGCAAACTTCTCTTTGAAACCGAGTTGTGAGATTTGCTCGGAAGAATATAGTAAGTTTGATAAGAAGTATAAATATGACAAAAGCTGTTTCTTTATTTCAGACGAGGCTGAGCGAGTTCCAAAATTACTTCAATGTGGACACACATTTTGCTTGGCATGCTTGAAACGAGGAGTCGATACGAAGTTAGTTATCTAATCCTCTCACCCAAATATTAATCGTTCTATTTTTACAGCAAGTTTTCATATTCTGCTGATGCTGAGGTGTTTCGCTCGTTTGCATGTTTTATGTGTAGAGCACAAACTCCACTCAATATGGATAGGCAAGATTTCGGTTTTCCTACAAATTTTCAATTAATGGAAATACTGAAGCCGAGCGATTCAAGAAGTTTGAAATGTACTGATTGTCTTATTGACTGTAATGAATTGATGCTTCAAGTTTGCCGTGATTGTACTTTGGAGAGGGACAATTTCGATTTTGCTGAAATCCATCTTGATGAAGTAAGTCTAATTATTATTGAATTAAAAACACGTGAGAAATAAAAAACTAGGTCAAGTGATGTGGATTTAAAAACAGTATAGGTAGCCATGTCGTCAGTCGCGATGCGGTTCTGCGTTGCGTGTTGACCTCGATATTTTCCATTGAATTTGCCAAATTTTCATTTCTAAAAACGTGTCGCTCACACGCATCGCGACTGACGACATGGCTACCTATACTGTTTTTAAATCCACGTCACTTGACCTAGTTTTTTATTTCTCACGTATTTTTAATTCAATAATAAATAAATATTAATTAGAATTATCTTTTCATTTTCAGAATGTTGTCGATCCAGATCAATTTGCAATTTGTTCAACATGTGTCCTCAAAAAACATTCAAAACATTCATTTGCTGACTTTTATCCAATCAGAAGATATTGGATTTTCAAGAAAATTTTACGCGATGTGAATGTTTCGAAGGCGACTTATGTGAAGTGTTTTTCTGAAACACGTGAAGTTTTGAATAAAACTCCGAACTTGTTACAAAAACTGGAAGATGTAAGATTTACTTATTTTTTATCAAGTTTATTATCAAAATTTTAGGAAGCAACAAGAATGGTTGAAATCATGTCTCGCGCAAAATCAAGTCATCAATTGAAACACATGGAAAAACGTTTCGAAGATGAAATGAAACGAATTGTTGCAGCTTCGAATTGTGTTAAAGAAGGATTGAGGAAAATACACTGTGAAATCCAGAATAACACAGCTTCATTGAGAGAGGAAAATGATAATTTGAATGGAAATGCTTGTCATCCAAGTGTTCCAGATATTCTCGATATTTTAAAAGTTTTCAATAAAACAGAGGTTTGTAAAACAAAATATCGAACTTGGTTTAATAATCTCAGTGTTGTTACAGGAACCAATACCCGAACCAGTTGAAGTTGAAATCTATCAAACAGAAACTACACGATCTGCTGGTACACCATTCATGTTCTTCTTGTTCATCTCAAATATTTTTGAGTTGATCTGGTTGAGCACATCGTGGTTCATTGGATTTACACTTGGCGAACTCAAAAAAATTATCGAGAAACATAACAAAGAATTGAAAATTGGTGAGTTGTATTTATCCTCAAATGAATATTCAAACTGAAACTAATCTAATTTTATAGGAACAACAACAATTGATCCGAAGTTTTTCATTGTTCCGGTATTTTCAACTCTCATTGTTACAATGCTTTTGATTCTTCTCAAACTTATCTTCTAATTCAAAAAGTATCTGTAAGTATAATTTCACAACTTTTTTGTCTATGTATTATTAACCTTTTTGAGATATATTGAACTCGAAGTTCTAAAATCATTATTCTTTATTGAACCCACCATGTAGATATTTTCCAAATTATCTCCTACATTGTTCCCATAAAATTTTCTGTGCTATTTTTGTTCAATCCACATAAAACAGAAATGAAGTCCGAAATTTGACGTGAGTTTTGCGAGTGATCATTCTTGTTTTTTTTTATTTGACGGTTATTTTTTGGAAGCTTGAAAAACCCGAAAAACATTGAAAAGTGAATGAACTTTAATTTTCTTCCGAGCAAAAGGTAAGAATTATGTTTTTTTTTCTATTTCTAAAACTCCTTCTGTTTCATGTTCTCAACGTGTTTTATAATATAGTTAGCCATTTACTGATAGCATATTAAATATAATGATAAAAAGAAACGAGAAACATTGATTTTTGGTTCAAAATAAAAATGCGACTACCATTGAATAAAAAAGAAATATTTGTATTATTTCTAGGTATTTTATTTCTAGTTCTTGGAATTGTAACATGGTCCACATTTGCTACAATTTATTTATCTGGTGTCAAAGCAAATCTGCAATTTTTCCAAAATAAAGACACAAGCCTTGGTTTGGCTGCTTTTCAATATACACATCCAGCAATGACAAATATTATGAAGTTTTATTTTTTCAATTTGACAAATCCAGATGAAGTCAAATATAATGCTGCAAAACCATGTCTTGTTGAAATTGGACCATTCGCTGTTCGGTGAGTAATAATTCAAGTTTTTTGTGAATTTGGAATTCGGAATTATTTAGTGAAAGCGAAGAGAAAAAATATATCGAATTCAATGGAGATTCAACACAAATGTTTTATCAAAATTATAAAAAATATATTCTGAACAAAGAGAATAGTTGTGAAGATTGTGATTGGAATATGAATTTATTGTTTCCAAATCCACCAGGATTGGTAAGATTTTTTATTGAGAAAAAAATGATCATTTATGGTTTCAGGGAGCGGTTGGTTCAATGATTGATCCACGATTTAATATCACAAAAACTGGAAGAACAATAATTGCAATTGGTCTAACTCTCTTAGGAGAATATCCGTTTACGTAAGTCTTTTTTGCAGACTACAAAAATGTTCGCCGAGTTATAATCAAGTTTTTTTTATTATTATTATCATACCACTGATAAGAATTAATTAACTATTCGGTCGACATTTTGATTGCAGGTCTCACAAAGTACGAGAAGTTTTATTTGATGGATATGAGGATCCATTTTTGTCGGCAGCACATTCCGGGGTACTGTAGTTTTCAAAGAATATTTAAGATTAAAGATTTTTTGTAGATCATCAGTATTATTTCTGGAATTTACGCAGGACCTGGTAAAAGTATTATTCCAATTCCGGTTCCTGAAATGAAAAAATTCGGATATTTTCAAGGAGTAAGAAAATTAATTCATCGATTTTTTAAATATTTTAATAATTTTTTAGTATAATAATTCTCGCGATGAAGAATATTGGGTAGAAACTGGAAAACGGGATACAAACAAAATAGGAAAAATTGATAAATGGGGAGGTCAAACTAAATTGCCAGCTGATTGGTGGACCACTGATTTTGCAAGACAAATTAGAGGATCAGGTGAGAAACAATTAGTCTGAAAACAATCTGGAACACATTATTTCAATACCTTCAGATAGTGGAAGTTTTACACAAATGCATTTGACAGAGGAATCCACATCTGATTTTTTCTTTTCTTTTATGTGTCGAAGTTTTACAAAAACTTATTATTCAACACAAATTTTCCAATCAATTCCAACACTTGGGTATGTTTTGATTACTGTAGTTTTTATTTTTCCTCTCAAAAAACAAATTTCAGTTTTCATGTTGGATATGATGAATGGGATACCACTTCTGATAAAAACATTGGATTTAGATATCGAAATGTGGAAAAACGAAACTATTTTCCAGATTGGCCAAGTTGTCCACCGTAAGATCTTTTGATTTTCAAGAATTCCAAACAAAGATTATTTTCAGAAAAGGTCAATGTAAACAATCTGGTTCAATTGATTGTTCAAAATCTGAGAATTTCTGTCATGCTTGTTGTGATGGTTCACATTATAATGGAACATATTTGCTTCCACCTGGAATGTTTCCATTGGTTTGTTATCCAGGACGACTTCAACCATCTCCATTTTCTGTAATTTATTCACCTCCTCATTATTTATTTTCTCCTCCTGAAACACGAACTACAGTAATCGGAATGAATCCAGATCAACAAAAACATGAACCTATGATTTATTTTCATGAACCGGTAAGAAACAAATGTTATGAAACAAATTGACAAAATATTTTTGATTTACAGTTCAGCGGAACAACTCTCCAAGTTACAAATCGTCTTCAAGTGAATATGCCAGTTATAAAATCACATGATGTTCCGTGAGTTTCTTTTATATTTTCTGAAAATGTTAATTCAACATTCATTGTTTTTGTTTTCAGATCGAGTCAAAATATGCCAAATGTTGTGATTCCATTATTTTGGCAAGAATCAATTCCAGTTCTCGATCAATTTATTTATAATACAGCTTGGTTTGGATTTGTTTTAGTTCCTCGTTTAGTAACAATTATTCAATTTGTTGAAATTGTTATTGGAATTCTTCTTATTGTTGTAATTATAGTTTTTAGATATCGAAGACGAGAAAAACCATTCATTTTAACAAATCATTATAATTTTGAAAATGAGAATGTTAATTAATTAGAATAAATCATTTATTTAATCATTTAGTAGGAATTGATTCGACTGAAACTTTGAAGATTTTGGAATCTGAGAAAATTGCAATTGATTTGGATAATGGATCATATTGAACATTTGAGAGAGTATTTCCCAATCCATTCCATTTTATTTCTTTTCCTCTTATATAATTATGACTCCAAAAATCATAAACTGGTGTTACATTTCCATTACATTCTACAGAATATAAAACAGCACATCGAATAAAAAGATTACATAGTTTTGCAGGATCAATTGATGGAAGAGTCCAATTTGAAACTATCTAAATTTTCGAAATATATTAAAAGAAATAGTTATTCGAAACTAACTTTCTAATTTTCCGTTCAGAAAAATAAAACAATGTTCTCTTATCTACACTCAACAGTTGGTTTTTACAACACACCCATAAACACACACACACACACAGAAATAAATTGATCATGCCCGTCTCTGCACTCGCTGGCCTCCTTAGCTCAGTTGGTAGAGCGTGAGACTTTTAATCTTAAGGTCAGGGGTTCGAGTCCCCTAGGTGGCTTGATTTTTTGCGTTTTTTTTAATTTACCTCCATGTTTTTCATTCGGCTAACTGTCAGAATATCATCTCGTTTATATATTATCCAAAGGCCATGCTCTTCAGCTTGAATATCAACACTTGATGTTGAATTTATATAAAGTGGTTCATGTGAAGTTTTGAATTTCAGAGTTTTTGTAGTTTCATCGCGGAAGTTATAGGAAATAAGACGATCATCACTCGTATAATACATTGTTTCATTTAAAACAGTATTATCAGTTCCTGAAAAAATTCAATTTTTTCAAAATAACATCAATAAAGAAAAACCTTCAAATGGATACGGTAAAAATTGAACTGCTTGAGCATTCGATGCATTTAACTGGCGTGTTCCTTTAAAACTTAGAATTGTATACCCATGTGACATTTCACAAATATACCAAAATGAACCATCCAAATAAGCACAAGCTGAAATTAATCAATAATTGAAAATACAAAAAATTTTGAGTTGACATAACATATACCTTCTTGATTTCTTCTTTCTCCAATTAATTGTGGTTGTGAAAATATTGGTTGAACTCCAGAACATTCTAAAAGAAACAATTGGGGGTTTTTAAAACTTGTTCCTGAAAATGTTTACTTCTTTCATTTCTCGTTTTTTCTTCTTTCTTGATTTTCGGTGATTTTTTGCTCATCGGAATCGAATTCAAGTTTGAAAATTGATGAAACTGTTCCATGCAAACTTTTCTGATATGTTTCTTCTGAAAATACAATCAAATTCAAGAAAATAAAAAAGCGTTTGATTACAGATATCTGCGCGAATATTGGTAGGAGTACTGTAGATTCTTGCTCATCATCTCGATATGTCGTGAGTTGTCGCTTTTGCCGTGTGTTCTAAAAAAGAATTCAATTATTTTTTCGAATGAGAAAACAAATATTTTACCTGTAGCTCATGGATCTGCAAAAACTGATAAATAATCGCAAAAAAGCTAACAATGAGAAGTATCCAAGGTCCAATAACTTGAATTTTCCACATTTTTTGTAGAAAAAAGTTCTAAAAATGAAATGAGTTGAGTAAAAAAGTCCGTTAAAACTCAATTAGTTTTTTTTCTTTCAAAGTTATGTGCTTTTTTTAGTAAGATAAGAAAATGAGAAACAAATTGTTGCACCAAAAGAAGAAGATGGTGTAAATGATACTAGCTAACTAATGGTTGGATAAGTGGACATAAGATATGGCAAGGAATATAAATGGATGAAATTGGGAGAAAATGAATGAATGAGCATATGGGGGTCAAGAGGAAAGGATGATTTAAAGGGACAACGGGGGATTACTTGAATAAAAACAACAACACAACAAAGTATAAAGTCGGTTTAATCACATTTCGAAACAAAGGATTATGAGGATATGTTATCGGAAGTTGTAAAACGTGTGTTTGTGAAAAGACCGAACAATGTTGAATTTTTCCAAAAAAATATATTTGAAATTCACTTGTTTCATCAAAGTGTTGCAGATTACTGTAATTTCAGTTTGAACAGACTTTTTGAGACACTAAGTTTGGAATTAATAGTTTTTACTAAACAAAACCGATACGAAAAATCGTAGATAAATCTACAGTAATTTTCTTCATATCATCCCCAAAACATAATCCCTTTCGGTAGAATTTTTTAAAATAAAAAATCTTATTTCATTTTTTCGAAATCCCGATTTTTCATGTTCTTGGAATGTCACCGAATCTTGCTTGGTCTTTGATATAAATATTTACTCATTTCGAAATGTATTATTTTTTCCCTTTTTCTTCGAATTTTGGAACCAGACAAATATTTTTTTCGTGATTCAACTTATTTTCGCTTCAACAATCTTTTCCTTCTCATTTTTTCTTCTGAATTCAACTCAAAACTGGACAATAAGAAAAGCAACAAAAATCAAAAGAATTTATGATGATTGTTTTGTTTTTCGATATGGAAATTCATAGAGAAAATTGTAAGAGAAACGGATAAATGAAAGCCACAAAAATATCAAAATTTGGCCTTGGAATAAAAAAATGAGAGAATAAAAAACTATTTGACACATATGGAACAGATCTAATTATCGGTTTCTAGGTTGGGAAAAAAGAAAACCTGAGGGCAAAAAAATAAAAAATAACATTTGGAATTCAATAAAAAAGTTGAAAAGTTTTGAAAATAAATCATTTTGAAATCACATTTTGTACCGTAATTTAAGGGTTTTTGATTTGATTTGATTGATTGAAATAAAATTAAAACATATAAATAAATTAATTATAAGATAAAATTGAAAAACTATTCAAAATCCAATGGATCTGTTGTGACGTCATCATTTGCTTCTGCAACATGAACTGGAGGAGCTGAACGAGGAGCTTTTAATTGATGATTTCCTTTATATTCTTTTCCGAAATGTTCAATTGTTCCTTTCCATTGTTCGGATTCAGATTTATCAACTGCTCCAACACCCAAATATGCACATCCAATTATATCATCACCAGTACATGATCTGCAAAAAAGTGATTTCGAACTTTGACTGAAGAATTTCGAAGTAGGACAAAATTTTCCGGGCACGTGACCGAAAATGAGCAGCACGAGGTTTTGGGGCTCATGAAAATGATCATTATTTAAAATTTCTAAGTTGACACGTGGCAAACAGAACATAAAATGTTTTTTAAATGAAATATTTCTAATGCTGAACTTTTCATATGAAAAATTAACTTTGAGATCTTGACTCATGTCTCTAATCTTGAATTTTGCAAATCAAATCTTACCTTTGCATATCATGAACAGAAATAGTAATCGATGTTCCAGCCAATTCATTTTTTGCTGTTCCAAACAAAAACATAATTGATTCATTATAAACAGCAGTAGTTGTTGATTTCAAAATCCTCGATGATTTTGTTTGTGTTTTATTCGCTTGATTCAACGTGATTTTCACACAAACATCTGAAAAATCAAAATAAATGTATATTTGGTATGATGATGTGAAAATAGTCCCAGGCTATATTTATTTATGATTACACATAAATACATCTCATTTTTTATTTATGCGATCCGGAGGGCTCAAAATAATATGTATGGAATAATAATAGGCAAAAAAGAATGTGGGCGGAAGAAGACAGAATTAATGGTTTGATCTTTCCAAAAAAATAAAACTAACCTGGTGCTCCAGTCAAACCATAACGTGGAAGATCATCAACTTTTTTTCAAATTTATAGTTAATCTCTTTGAATCTTTTTCGATTATCGAAGTTGTATAAATCTTTCCCAATTTCTGAAAACAATTTTGAATTTAAAAGATATTGGTATTTTTAAAATACCTTTGGAACAAGAGCTTTAATTTCCTCTACAATTTTAATTTCTTTTTTCGTATTCATTTCTCGAATATCTCGCAATGGAACATTTGCTTCACCAATTATAATATCTTTCATTATTTTTCCAGATCCTTGATGACAAGCAACAACAACAACTGTTTTTGTATCCAATTCTTCATGACTAACATTATCGAAGAAGAATTCCTGAAAAAAGAAAACATTTATGTTCAATGTTAAATCAGCGGAAATTTTGTATAAAATCACTTATTAATCCCAATCAAAGCATCTCCAATTTTTCGAGATTATTTTTTAATTAAAAAAAGTCGATCCACTCTTACAATGGTCCGAATAATTTCAAATTTGAACATTTTTATGAAAACATTTTATATGATTGAAATATCAGGTCACCATCATATTCTCAAATCTTTTAAGATTTTTTTAAATATCGACTTCAACTCAAAAGTTTTCCATGTGTTTTTGTCTACTTATATATATCTATTTAGTTTTTTGTTTGTCGTACACCTAACCTGATTATAAACCGGATCTCTTCCTCTTTTCATTTCCGACGTTTGCTCTTTTCCGCCTTTCAATCCAGGAATGCTCACTTTGCAAATCGCATGAATCTCCATTTCCGGTTTCAATTCGCCAGCCAATGCTGAAATTATCATCCAATTTTATTTTGTTCACAGACAACTTTGTTTCCCTCCCTCGTATAATTCAATTTCCGACCAATTATTCATCAAATCAAAAAAAGTATGGCTCATAAAATATTAATATGATGTTTCAGAGATCGAAGATTTTTCGTACTTATATCTCATAAATTTTTCAAAAGCCAAAATTTAGAGATTTATGATTTTGTTCGGGCTTGAAAAAATCATGAAAACTTTGCAAGTTTTTTTGTTTTCTCACAAAAAATCCCATAAATATTATTGGGTTGTCTTCTATTATCTGATATATATCAAGAGAAATATTGTTGGAAAAAAGTCACGAGTTGCTCGTTTCGGTCCATTTTTTTCCTTTTTTCTTTGGGTTCATGCCAACTGGTAATCCCTTGATACTTTTTTTGCATTTTTTACCAGACACAAAAAAGGCCACGAATTTTTTTATACTAGAAAACGAAAAACGAAAAAAAGGCGTGGGTCGAAGGAAAAGAAAATACGAAGAGAGTTTAATTAATGTTTGAATGTATGCATCATCATGAGACATCAGTAGATACTTGAAAATATTCGGGTCAAAATGACGAATCTTGTTGAGCTATTCTTAGAAAATTTACAAGCAAGCCTAGAGATCGAAAAATCAGAAACTATGAAATTTTATCAGCGAACTTTGCTAAATTTTTAAATTCTAACAAATTTAGTCTTAAGAAGAAGGGACCTCTTCAACAATCACTAAAAAATCTGGGATAAAGCATGCCATGTGGAAATTCTGAACTATTTTCTGGAATATTCTCATATCTTTCAAATTGATGATTAGAAAAAACTATACTTTATAAAAAAAACACTACGTGTATTTTTTCATATTTCAAAAAATTTGATTTCAACACGTATATCTAATTAACTTTAAGATGAAATTTTCATGTTTGATCCCTTTAATTTCAGCTTTGCGATCCCTTTTCTTTTTCAAACTCCTAAAAATGTGAGTTTTGCTTCAAAAGTTTCTTGTTCTCCGGAAATATAAAATTATTAGTTTCGGAAATATTAAATATCCGGTGCATGAATGTTCGCTAAACTTTTTTGGCTTCTTTTCAAATTCATTTGCCATCAGATTTTTGGTTAGAATTAATTATATTTTCATCTACATCATCATCATCTTCTTCATTTTTTTCGTCAGATTTTCGATCCCTTTTATTTCTCGCCGTGCTCAAGCTCAAGCTTCTTCTCTTCCAAAAATAAAATACACAAACACTCTCAGCTGAAACATTTTGGTTGGTCAATGAATTCCCAAAAGACACCCCGACAAAATCCTTTTTTCCTTCAATTCGTTGAAAAGAAGTTATTATTTATTTTATTTTTTCGAAAAAAAAACGGAAGTCCAAATTGGTTTCTGATGTGAATTTAGTGAGGGAGGCGCGAAAAAGTTCAAATTGTTCAATTTCTAGACAAACCCCGTTTTAAATAAATACATAAATATTTTTCCAGTCTTGTTTTTCTTCTCACAACAAAAAAGGGTGACGTTTTGAAGAAAAGAAAAATTGAATGCAAATGACGCGTTGAAATAGTGTGAAAAATGAAGAGATGCAGACAAAATCTCGTTGCAACTCAATTTTTTGCTGTAACAAACCTTCAATTTTCAAAATGCTGACACGTAGACGTTTTCGAACTGGAAAATGTTGAAGACTACAATGAAGGAGGCCAAGTCCAGTTGGACGTTGAAGGATTGGACTCGAAGTTGAAGCGATGCTCTGCAAAATACAGATTTTGAATTTGAAAACAAATCGGGACTAAACAGTTCAAAAGTTGAATTCAAGAGTAGCTCAGAAATCACGGCTTTTAATCTTCCAGTGTCGAAAAATCTTTAGAATATTTTAAAACATACACTTTTATGAATAATTGGCTCATTATTATTTTCTTTAATAATTGCAGCTCCAGGTGAATAAAGTGAAGGATCCAAACCATGTGCAATCGGATCATCATTGTCAGAATTGCTGGCTTTTCGTGAAATCTGAAAAACAAATTTTTGTCAAGAATATATTTCATGTTCCCCCGCAGTGTTCTGTTTCATATTCCCAAAACCTTTGGTCTCGCCCGTTTTGTCAAAACACCGAAATTATCTAATTTTCGTGACACAAATTCAATTTTCACCCTTTTCCCAATTGCCGCTGATTTTGTCTTGTTGTTTTTTCTTGTTTCAAAATGAAATGAAATTTGCGCTCGCTCGCTATTTGTCTCGTTAGCCAGACAGTATTCTCTCTATGGATGTACTTTGCGTGTCCTGAATATGTAAATCATTTGGCACAAAGATTGCAAAACAAGAAAAAAGAAAACGGAACGTTTTGAATGTGTTTTTCTCTTTTAGTTAGGAAGATGGAAGTAAAAAATGATGGATTTCGCATTTATAATTTATAATGTGATCCTCTGATGTGAAAGCAGAGAATAAAAATGACATGAGTCAGTCGAAGGAATGAATGAATACACAGCAAAAGTTCAAATCACATATTTTTGCAAATAATAGTTCTCACGCCTCTATGAATAACCGAACGTTTGAGGAACAGTTTCGAGAAAAACAACTACAGAATATCTGAGGAACTTTTGAAGCCAAAAACTATATCTCATTGTCAGTCGAAATTTTCCGAACATCATTCCAATTTTGAAATAAAACTTCGATCAAAACCTCTTTCGGATCCCCCAAAAGTTTTAATCTTTTTTCTGTACTTTTTTTATTTTCCTAATTTTCCTTTTTTCTTTGCTCATTTGCGTTGTATTGCCTGCCCCGTCTTCTACGAATAAAACTCGAATTAATTCGTTTTTTTTCATTCTCCATCTTTTTTCTTCCTCTACTTTTTTCTAAATAGTTGTGTTTTCTATCCAACGAGTGCTTCTCTCCTATTTTTCTTCTTCTTCTCATGATGAGATGATTGCTCTGACATACAAATCTTCAGCACAAGAAGAAAAAAGTTTTGTTTTTGCTTTTTTTGCTCTCTTCTAGTAATGAAACATTTTTTCGACGAAAGGAAAGCAAAAATGTGAAGGAAGAAGGAAAATGCAATTGGATTTTTGAAAAAAAAAGAAGAAGAAAAGGAAATCTGTGGGAAAAATTGAGTTATTGAAAAATCTGAGCAATGTATATAGTCTGCTCTCAACAGATCTCTGTACTTTATTTCGGGAGTTTCTGAATTGGACTCGAGAAAACAGAATCAGGACGGATTCATAAAATGTTTGCAGATATTTTGAATAGAACCAGGCTGACCACTTTCTAATGTGAATCGAGAGAAAAATTCTGAATTGTACCCGAAACTGGTATTAAAAAGTTGCGACTCAGACATCCTCTTAATTGTGTCAGACTAATCATATCTGGCCTGATTCTTCAAGTCAGATTCAAAATAGGCCATTTCTTGTTTTGTTGAATAAAAGAGACCCCTCGAAAAATATTTGATAGACTTGTTTTCTTCTCCAACTTACTTGAACCAAAATTGTACTTTTTTATTCTTCAAAATCTTTTTCAAAAAATACAAAAAATATTTTTTTTCTCTACTCTAATCTGTTTTTGCGCACGCGTGAAGCGGAAGACAAAAAACTTCCGAAAATTTTGTTTGTTTCTTTTTTTTCATCAACAATGAGTGTACTTGTCGAATGATTTCCCACCACCTACAAATTTCGAAGAATGACACAAAAAATAGAAGAAAGAAGGAGGGTTCAAGACGTCGTCAACTAATCCTTGGCTGATTATAATCCCTACTGGTTCGTTCTTTTTTCGTATTATAATATTTCAACTCTCGGCAAAAGTACAAAGGGAAATTAATTCGTCGAAAAGAAAACATGATGACGAGAATTTCGATTATTATTATTATTATCATGCTCCTCTTCTCTGAGAACACTTGTATGTTAATCTTGTTTTTGTTGATCTAGGTTTTTTGTTTTGTTTTGTGTTGTTATGCGGTATTCTCATGCTTTGTGATCAAAAATTATTGAGTTGAAATGATACGAAAAAAATACCACATAGCAAATGTTTTTTGGGGGAAAAATCACAACAATTTTTCTGACGCCTACAACTACAGAGTTCAATTTAATTTTCAGCTGCCGTTCTTGTCCAACAAAAACAATTAGAAATCACATCAGAAAATTGAAAAGGTTGAGACTTGGAAAAATATGTAGGTTCGGAATCCGACAAAAAGTTCTGAAATTCGGATCACATAGAATTTCATTCTCTGGCCTGATTAAAAATGCACCCCTGATCAAATCATAGCTTAGACTAGCTTTAGAACATTGAATATTCTTTGTTTTTTTGATTCATTTGGTCTTTCAACAATTTGAAAAACGACACCGCGCTTTGCAAAAGTCAAAAATTGCCATCACTCAAACGCGATTTGTGAACCTCCAAATCTTTCATTTTCGACAATCCAATAAGAAGAACACACACATACAACACATTCACAACAGACATTCACATATGGACCCATTTAGAGATGAGTAGCTGCTTTTGCTTTCTTTTTGCCTGTGCTAGAGTAGTTAGTCCATCTATCCATCCATTTTCAAAATGGGATTTTTTTTCGTTCTCTCACTTCAATAAAAAATGAGCAGCAGAAGCGAAAGAAGGCGAGCGGCGGATGGATGAAAACTCTCGAATTTCAATTTTTGACGCGTTTGCGGGAAAGCTTGAATGTATCTACTCGACTGGAAAATAAAAGTGTTTTATTTTAGACTCTTTGGAAAAAAATGACAATGAGGCGTGAACGACAGAAAACACATTCACTTCCGCTATTGTCTAGTTTAGATACTAAAATTAGAAATTAATTTCCGAAATTTTCGGAACCGCCTCAAAAAAGTTTTGATGAATCATCATTTTTTTGCCACCCACAACAAGAAGCCAAGCTTCAGTTCAAAGAAAAGAAAAAAGAAACAAAAAGTGTCTGAATTATTATTCCAAGTGCAAATGAATAATAAAACACCCTCTTTCTGTCCCAATTTTTTTTGCTAATATGACGAATTGCCAAAAAATGCTTTTTTCCAAAGTGCGCGTCATTCCTCAAATTCCTACCAAATTATTAACAACACGCCCTATCGAATTACACTTTCAAAGATCTTTCGAACTTTGAAAGATCTGTTCTTCTGCTGGATGTTTTTTCCTCTAAATGATGTCAGAATCTTTTCCGGTGAACCCCCGTCAAAAAGTTAGCTTTTTCTTTTTTTGTGGGTACGCTTCTAGAAGAACAAAATTTGATATCTTTTCGAGTCGATGAACATGAGCATAACATGAGATCATGATGAATAGCTAATTATTATTCGGTTGAAAGATGTTAGATGAAGAAAAAAAGAAAAGAAAAGAAAGAAAAGAAGAGCGATCTTCTTATTTATTTATATGTATATTCTACCGAAAATCGACATGAATGGACTATTTACCCCCTCCTCAAAAATAAAATGTACTAACCTGTTCAATACTTGGTGAATGCACTGAGAATTTTGACATTCTTCTTGGTTGTGGCGGTGGAATTAGAATAACTTCAGGTTCTGGTTGTGATGTTTCGATTTCTTCAACAATATCATCTTCTTCTTCAATAATTTCTTCATTTTGTTGATCAAAATCATCTTGTTGTTCTTCAACTTCTTCCTCTTCTTCTTCATATTGTTCTGGTTCATCTGGAGTTGGATCAGGAGTTAATGAAACAGGAGACAAAGAAGATTGTGATGAATTCATAATTGGTGTTGTTGCTGTTGGCATCATATTTTGTAAATTATTCAATTCAGCAGTTGGTGGCCTCGGTAATTGTCTTCCCGAAGGTCTTCGTTCTAAATGCGGTGCTGCACTCGGACATCGATATTCAGGTGATAACGGAGGAGGTGTTGGTAGAATTCGAGGGGAACTTGATCGTCGAAGATGTGTTGTATCAGGTGCCATTGGTAATCGACGTCGACATGATGTTGGTTCGAGTAATGCCGGATACGTTGATATTGCACGCTGTTGTGGATGGTGCATTGATGGAGATGGTGTTGAAGAAGGTGGAGTATGCGGTAAGGAACGGATTTTGACTAGAAAAAATAGGATTTGTTAAGAATTAAGAAGGTTATTAACAACGTGGCAATGAGAAAACATACAGTGACCAGTCTATAAACATCTCACAAAAGAAAAATATGAAGAAATGAATATTAAAAAAAAAAAAGAAAATTTGTCATACGTGAATTTAAAAAAAAAATTCTAATTTTCAATTTCTACGCTTGACCTTTTATAAAACATGTCTATTTAGATTTTTTAATGGTCAATGACAACATTCGGAAGTTGACTGACAAGATTTTTTTTGATTTAAACTTCCGGATACGTCACAAAAATTCTAAGAAGATGCTTTATCAAAAAAAAAAAATCGATATATTTTCAAGCTTGATTTGATTTGATTTTTCAATTAGCACTTTCATTTTTCCGTCGAATGACGTCTACGAAAAAAAAAAGATTCGAAAACGGGATAACCGAAAACCCCTCAATTTATTACAGAAAATTAGGGGTTTTGTCGTTTTCCGTTTGCTGAAATTGCCGTCTTAAATCAATCAAAACTCAAACAAAGCAAATCTCGAATGAAGAAGGACTTGAGACAAATCGGCCAAAAAGAATTTATTTCATAAATTCAAATTCTTTGAAAAATTATGGGATAATCTTTAAGAATTGGGAAAGTGTCAAAACAAGTGACCAAACAAAAAACCAAAACTAAACTAAAGTAACTGGAACAACAAAAAACATCTCTCTTCTTTTTTTTTAGAAAAAAAACGAAGAGTGAAAAAAGAAAAGAAAAATGTGTGTGTGCGCGAGGAGCATGAAAAAATGGGCGGGACTTAAACGAGCAATATATTTATATATATATCTATACATTTATGTATATATATAGAGAGAGAGATTGGGCGGAGCTTGTATAATTATATTATTATCATTTTTTGAAAAAAAAATTAATTAGAGAAAAAAGAGACAAGAAAGTTTGAGAAATATTCAAAAAGTATTTGGCTTCCGGAAACAAGTTTTTGCATTTTGAAAGAAAAAGTTTGGAAGAAAATTGAAAAATAAAACAAAGCTGCAGTTTTCAATGTTATGAAATGTTTTACACACTTTTAAATACTTCCATTTTTCTCGAGAAATAAATGTTGTGAAATTGAAATTTTGAAAGCGTTTTTTTAACTTGGAAAAATTTGAAAGAACTTAACGTATTCAAATAAATATATTTTTTAATGTTTTTTGCCAATCCCAACATTCAAAGAAAAAAAAATACGCCTCGAAAAAATCCGCAAACACACGCTGAAAAAATCTGCAAACAACAAACACTACGCGCAAACCCTACAGTAACTCCCGGGAAAAGTGTAACGGGAACCGTGGGGCTTTTTAGCGGGAACCCTGATATTGCCACACGAACTATAACCCCGGGGAACCCTGAGAATCTCACAAACTTCACTTTAGCTGAAACATGCTTTTCAATTTAAATTCATAAATCCTAGACCCGCAAAAAATATATTGTGTAAATAGATCACGCGGGATTTTTCAACAATTTTTCGTTGTTCTTCTATATCGATTGGCAACCCACATCCAAAAACCTAAGAAAGAATGAAAAATAAGAATAACGACACTCCGCTCAGACAGTGTGTGAAAATTAAACAACAGGCAAGCCGAGTGTCGTTTTTTTACTTTTATTTTTTCCTTTTTTGGTCTGGAAGCAACTAGTTTCAAGAAAACAATATTTGAAATGAATGTTTTGTTTTGTCGAAATTAAAAGTGTTCACGTTTTTTTTATTTTAAGAATAAATATTTTTCATTTCTCGAACTATTTTATTTTGTGTTCATTCGACCATTTATTTGATTAGATTTATTTTTCTTTCTATGATCCAGAGAAATTCCAGATCGATGTTTGCCACTCCAAATTCAAAATGCGGATTGATTCGAAAAAAACAAAACAAAATGAATTTGAGGAGATTTGGTTCGTATACAACTCATGTCAGGTCAGTTTAATTGGGTTTTGGGTTTTGGGAGAGAAAACACGGTGATTTGTGTCAAATTATATCAGGTAAGCTTGGGGTAGCAGAAACATTTTCCAATGAAAAATCGCTTCTGCAGAAAAAATTCAATCCTCGCTCGAAGTTGGAGGGTTGAGCCTAAATGGCAAGGTTCCGCACGCTTTTTATGGGTAGATAAAAAATATTGTAAGTCTGAAACTAACAAAAAGCTTTAAATTTCAAGATTTTGATACAAACTTGATTTTCAAAAATCATTTTGTTGTTATCAAGTCCCTAGAAATTCAAAATTTATGAGTTTCAGACACAATTTTAGAAATTTTCTGAAAAGTTGTGATTTCTAAACTCGCTAAATTTTTTGAATTACAAGCTGTTGCCGATAGGAAAACGCGTACCTTTTTTACCCTTGGATCCAAATGTGAAACAATTTCAGATTTGCGATATATACGTGAACTCAAAAAAACCACGTCACACTTCCCGTTTTATAACTCAGGTAGCAGCTTGCCCATGGACTTTTATTAATTCAAATATAAGTTATTAATTCAAATATAGTGGAGCGGATTCTGGGATTATCACTGTGATTGTTGAATGGATTTTTGTGAATTAGATGTGTTCCAAATCATGTATAAATTTATCCGATTCTCAAAAAAGCTATTTTGGATCAACTCCTTAAAACCAATTATAAAATTTCAGTCAAATCACCTAGAAAATTCACGAATGCTCGAAAAATCAAGCTGAAGTGCATCTATCTCTCCTATGTTATTTCTTTCAATAAAACTTTTACTTCTAAAACACTTATAATAATGTTTTCTTGTATTTAAATTTGAATTAGTTGAAGGCTGCTCACTTTTGATGAAGGCTGCCCCTCCAAACTGCCCGATTTTGGGCCTAGGATCCATTTTTCCAAGCTGGAAACATGAAAAATTAGTGAAAATGCTTTTTTTACGTGGCTTAAATTAATTCGAATACTAAACGTGATGTCCTTGTTTAATTGAAATGCCCAAAGATAGCCCCTTGAGTGCTCCAATGCTGCCCTTAGAAACTGCTCTAAGGGCAGAGTAAGGGGCAGTCCATGGGCAAGCTGCTACCTGAGAAATATTTCCTGAATAAAAAAATTAGTGGATTACTGTAGTTTCAAAGTTTTTCTGATTTCAAAATTATTAGAGAACCTCCCAATTTTAGAATTGTTTTTATTCATATTCTAAAAACCACACGAACTCAAAACGTTTTTCTAAATTGAGTTATCTTTTTTGAAACTTCCAGATTATTGGATTTTCTAAAGCCACGTCACAAATTTGTTGCAAAATCTTTGTTCAAATTAATAATTTAATTTAGGAAAAACTTTTTGTTGCACTCATATTATCTTCTTTTTCTCACGCCCAACGCATTTTTTGTCGTTGAAAAACCACAAATCTCATCTAAAGAAAGATATCAAGAAAAAAAGTATTTGAGGGGAAAATATAATTTTTCATCGAAATATTATCCAATTATCCATATTTTTATAACAGAAAATAAATCAAATTTCGTCGTAGCCAAACGAAAATTTTTCCACGGCTAACTAAAAATGCTCTCGACAGCGGCGCGCGAAAAAAGAAAATAATTAAGTTTTGCGGAAGGATTTTTAATTGAAAATTTTTTGAAATGAGAATTGGAAGGAAATAAGAAGAAATGACGACGCTTCGGGGCAAACAAAATTCATTCATTTTCCAGGTTTTGAAAAATATTTTGAGAAAGAAAAGGGATCAAAAAGAAAAATAATAAATAAATAAATATATATATTCCTGCCTGGCTGCCAGAACCGAAAAAAAATCAGAAACCTTGTTTACTTTGTGAATACTCAAAATAATTGGATGCGTAGATTTTCGAGTACAAACGAGAAGAAGAAAAAATGCCTTTTTCAGTGAAAAGTCTGAAAATAAGCAATAATAAGATATTCTCTGAAAAATGAACGACGAATAACAACTTGTTTTCTTTTTTTCTTCTTTTACGACCTTTTTGCACTTTTTGTGAACAATTAATTAGAATTCTAACGAACATTTTCGACGAACACTTCATTTACATTGGGGAAACAATTCTCGAAGCACAGTTAAATTGTGAGATTTTTAATATTGAGGTCAGGGATTTGGTTCTAAATTGGTCCATTTTTTTCGGAAAAAGGCGATGTTTTTGATGCTATATTGAAAAAAGTTATTCGATTTCTGAATAGATTTTATTCAAAAAGTTTGACCTCCTGTTCCAATTTCTATTCGCAACTGTGTACACTGGTATGATTCAGATATCATCAAAATGAGGTCCGATTTCTAGATTCCGCGGTTTGACATCAGCTTTATTTTTTAAACTTTTCACAAAAAGTACAGTAAGAATACAAAAATTAAGATTTACATAATTTTTTATTTTTATATCGATAAAATATGATTATATTATTAACAATGATAATATCTAAAAGCACCTTTCAATATAAGTTGGTTCCACTATTAAAAGCATCATCTCATATGCTGCAAAACGCGCCAATAGATTTTTCAAATTTATTTCCGGAAAAAAATATTGAAGACGTCAATTTATTAGAAAAATTGATCTGAGAAAGGGACATGGGTTTGAAAAAAGAAAATAAAAAAAGGGGCGGGGCGTGTGGGAAAGGAAGATTTGAGAATCGCTCGATTGACCTAATATATTCGAAAAACAAAAAAGTGGGAAGGGAATCAGCGGGGCATTTTTTGGGGGGCAGGGTTTCGTGGGTGAAAAAATAAGGGGATGGTAAAAAAAGATTCGAGAAGATTTTCAGATGTTATTGAAGTGGGACTGGATGGAAAGATTATTAGTAAGAAAAGACAAGACACAGAGAGAAGAAGAAAAAAACAATTATACACATTTTATCATTTTGGGATAGTGTTTTGGTTGTTTAATAATCATCTTCCGTGACGAAAATCTGAAAAAAAAAATAAAGTTGACATCTAGTTCAATTATTTTCTCACAAAAATAAACACCAACCTTAGATGAGGATTTTCCGCCAACAACCGATGAGCGATGTTTGGCACGGATAAGGTGCAAGCTGCTTTCGGCTTGATCAGCGCGTCCTTCGGCATCTTCGAGCTCGTGTTGGTATCTGCGCACTCTTTGCAAGTTTTGCATTGTAACGGATTCCTTAAATTAATTTTCAATGTTAAAAATCTTTTTTTGAAAATAAATAACGAACCGATTCGGCGAGTTGTCTCTTTTGGATGTTGATCTTTTCCAACAAACGATCAGCGGTATCTTGAGCCATGACGTAGTTCTTGTGTTCTTCATCAACCAATTGTTGAACTTCCTTGATACGGCGATCCTTCTTTCTCAAGGCATTTTGTGTTTCCTTGTGTCTGAAAAATTCAAAATTTATTTTAATTAAGAATTTTGAGTTCCCAAGATGGCCCACAACATCATTGAATGACGTGTTTGTTCAGGAGTTTTGAATTTTTCAAGCTTAAATTAGACAGAAGCTTGGTTTTTTGATTACTAAAAGTTTGTGATTCTAAAAAATCCCACCTTCTGGTTTCCTCATCAAGAGCAGTTTCCAAATCACGAATTCTGGTTTCCAATTTGCTGATAACTCTCTTTCCTCCCAACAAAGCAGCAGCTTCAGCTTCTTGGATTTGAACTTGCAATTGTTTGACTTGTTCTTCCAATGATTTTCTCAAAGCATCAATCTTCATCGAATGTTCTTGTTCTTCGTGCAATTGTTCAACAGCTCTAGCGGCATCAGCCAAAGCGCGGTTGGCTCTTTCATCAGCGGCGTGCAATTCTTTGGTAACTTCGTCCAAATCGGCTTGAGCAGTCGACAATTCGGTTTCGAGTTTGTTCTTGATTGAAGTGAGATTGTTGTTGATAGCAGTAAGATCGGAGATTCTTCCGGAAGCTTCTTCCAAATCGGCTTCGGCTTGTTTGCGGGCTCTGACAGCGCTGTCCAAAGCAGTCTTGGCTTCTTCCAATTCGGCTGAAAGAGCAGCAACCTTTCTTTGGGCCAAAGCATATTGATCCAAAACTTGTTGCAATTGTCTTTGAGTGTCTTCCAAAGAAGCTTGAAGAATCTTGAGTTGTTCTGATTGTTTCTTGATGGTCTTTTGGGCTTCAATGTTAGCTCTGTTCAAGTTATCAACAGTCATTTCCAATTCAGCGATCTCAGCTTGGTACTTCTTCTTGAGACGCGAGATTTCGGCCTTCATGCGGGCTTCCGCATCAGCCAAAGCGGCGACAAGTCTGTCAATCTCGAATTGCAAGTTCTTGCGAAGGGCTTCAAGTTCTTCTTCTTTCTCTTGGAGTCTTCTTTCCATTTCAATGCGGAGAGCTTGGAGTTCAGCCAAAGCGCGTTGAGCTCTGTTTTCGGCATCACGTCTTTGAGCATCGGCTTCCTTAAGAGCAGTTTGGAGCTCACGGATTTCTCCGGCAAGACGAGCATTTTCGAGATCGAGTTCGTGCAATTTGCGGTTAGCATCAGCCAAAGCTTCTTTAGCCTCATGAAGTTCATCTGCAAAATAAATGAGGCTTTTATGAGGGTAATATATTGGCTATTTTATAGGGTCTTTTAATGTTAATGGAATGCTTAAAAATTTGAAGAAGAAAAAAGAAAAAGAAAATGATGAGGGATTTTTGAAGAAGGGTACCTTGCAATTTCTTGTTTTCTCTGGCAAGAGCTTCTTTTTGTTCGACAGCCTTTTCGTACAAATGCTTCAATTTTTGGAGTTCAGCATTCAATACTCTCAATTCACGTTGAGCAGCTTCCAATTCAACATTCAATTCATCAATGCGAACCTTCAATTCAGCAACTTGTCTCTCCAATTGTTCCTTGGCTCTTTCCAAAATAGCAATAGTATTTTGGGCTTTTTCCAAGTCAACAATCAAGACCTCAACTTCAGATTGAAGGCGTGACTTGGCCTTTTCAAGTTGAGAAATCTTTTGGAGCATAATCTCGATTTGTTCTTCATATTCGGCTTGCTTTTGCAACATCTTCTTGCGCAAATCTTCAACTTCTTCATGATGCAAAGCAACCTCAGCATCGAATTTGGATTTCCATTGAGTGATTTCGGTGTTAGCGAGGTTAAGCTTGTGTTCAGCATCTGAACGAGCAATTGATTCTTCATCAAGAGCTGTGCGAACTGAGTCAAGTTCAAGTTGAACTTGATGAAGTTGCGATTGAAGTTGGGAGCGTTCCTAAAAATGAATATAATTGGATGCATTTCTAGATTATTTGTTTTCTGGAAACTTACACGTTCAGCATCTTCAAGACGACGTCTGGCTTCTTCGAGTTGTTGAGCCAATGTGTATTTGACATGTTGAAGATTATCAAGTTGAACTTTTTGGTCATGGATTTCCTAAAATATTTTTTTGTAATGTGGATCAATATACATATCGAAACCAAAACACAACACAACAGTATCACTTTTATTATTTTTCCTAGTTTCATTTTCCTCGTTTTTTATCTTTCTCTCTTCCGTGGTGCTGCTCTCTTCCAAGTGTGCGCAAATATATAACAACTCTCGAAACTCGGTTTTTTTTTGCGTTTTTTGGCTCCCGCTCAGAAAGAGAGACATTGATTGAAAATAGACTGTGGATGGATGGATGGATAAATGCGTGGGATGAAATAATTGAAAAATAGATAGAGGAGAGCAACGAAAAACGAACACCGATTATTGAACTTTTCGAGAATGAAAGAAATTTCCAATAGTGTTCCAAAAAATTGAATTTCTTTCACTAAAAAATTGAAGCTCAGACTCAATTCCATAAACATTATAAGTGAAAAGCGAGCTAGAGTAAGGCTTAGGCTTTTATGGGTTGGGTTGAAGCCTAGTTATCTTAGAACTCTATACAAATTTCGACTCTAACTTCCAATTCTGTTACAGTGTAATCTAAGAACCTATGGCCGTAGATAAGACTTCCGTTTTCAGTAAACTCAGCTGTTGGTGTGTCTATTTTGAAATGAGGTTCTATATTTTAGTCGAAGTGACAAACCTTCAACAAATCATTGTTTTCGGCTTGAAGACGTTGACGTTGTTGAGCCAAATCGTTAACATGTTTGTTAAGATCTTCAACTTTATTGGCAAGTTCATTGGCTTGTGATTCGAATCTTTCAGCAGCTTTTTCAGCATTATGTTTATCCTTTTGCAATTGATCAATAGTGGCTGTCAATTCAATGACTTCGTGTTGAACTCGTTGACGTTCGCGATCAATTCTGAAATTAGTTTTGTTTTTTTTTCATACTGTGTGTGTCATTATAAGTTCCCTCGAAACACATTTCTTTCTTTCTTCTTCTCAACATTTTTTTTTAGTTTTCTTTTTGTTCTTCTGCTCATCTTTTTCTCTATCTTGTGTAAAAATAATATAGTGTAAAGTGTATATGTTTGTTGTCAGCTAGTCAGTGTGGAGGCGGCGCCGATCACTTCCAATTATTATTATTTACTATTATGATTCGAAATTTAATCAATTTCACGTGGTTTTGATCATTAAAAAACATCTGGAACATTTTTTGAACTTTGAACAAAATTGGGTTACTGTAGTTTTTCGAAAATTCGAAAAGAGTGATACTGATCTACACTTGAATGGAACCAGAAAATCGATGAAAAGTTAACCGAAATAAAATTAGGAGAATTCTCAAACAAACATTTAAAAAAGGTTCCCCCATCGCAAAAAAACTAACTTGGCATTTTTCTTTTGAAGTTGTTCGACTTGATCTTGATAGTCAAGAACAGCATCTTGATGTTTTTTACGGAGAACATTCATGGCATCTTCGGATTCGAGTTGTGATTCTTCCAACAATTTACGCAATTTAATAAGTTCTCCTTCACGTTTGCGGTTTGATTCAATCTACAAATATGGAAATTTTGGGATAATCAAGAATTCGGAAGATCAGAATTTTAGGAAACATACAATCAAATGTGCTTTTAGAGTTTAGGAAGATAGAAATAAAATATACTAAATTTTAGTCCATAACAAGATTGTTACTGCCTAAATTTTCAATAACAAACTAACTTTCTTTTGGAGTTAATCTAAGTTATGAGAAAATAAAAATTATCAGAAATAAAACATTTGCAAAGGATTACTGTAGTCTGTTTGTCAATTTTCAGATCTTGAATAGAAACAATCGATTGCTTAGAACGTAATTGAGGGCTTCGAGGTTACTGTCAGAAATGGTGAAAAAATCAATACTTTTCACAGTAACCATTATATCAGAAAAAATCATAACTTATTTTCAAAAAAAAAATTATCAAAAACTGAAATACTAGTAAATAACAAGAATATCAACAAAAATAGAAAAACTCTACAGTAACCTCATTCTAAAACTTTTAAAACACCAATTGAAATTAAAAATTATACAGAAACAAAAAAAAACTTTGAAAATATTTTTTTCAAAATTACCTGACTGTCGGTGGTTCCTTCAGCATCTTCGAGTCTGTCAGTCAAAGAAATCAATTGAACAGACAAATCGGCGCGCTCTCTTTCGATCTATACAAAAATGAATAATGTTTTAAAAACATAAATAAATAGGCCAAACTCACTCTGTTACGGAGTTCACGTTCTGATTCCAAATCTTCTTGAAGGAGTCTGATCTTGTCCTTTAAAAAGTTATAATTTTAGCGCTAGTTTCATAATAAAACTTTCAAGAAACAGTCAATCGAAAATAAAAATTAATTTACCTCAAGACGAGTAAGGGATCCTAAATCAGCAACAGACATGCTTCCAAATGGAGCACCGAAAGCGGCTTGCGATGGGCTCTTCAAAAGAGCAGCGGATGGTGAACGATACAACGACATTTCCAAGTTCTTCCCACTTTTTACGAAATCTTCTCTTCTTAAATGGCTTCTGAAAATTAAGCGAAAAGTTTCAACTGACACAAAGAAGAAAAGAAGAAAAAGATAAAAATGTTTGTATACTCTAAAAAGCTTGGGAAGATATTGAGATCGGTCGGGAATGTGTGTGTGTGTGCTCCCGGCTCATCTAGCAGCTCCACCCTTTTTCTCTCTACCGCCTCGCGCCTCTCTTTTGCAATTCTCGTTATTCTCTCTTCGCTTTTTACCTATAGTGTGTAAAGCTGAGTGGGAGGAGAGAGGATTTCGGATGGCATTGCTTTTTTGCGAGAGAAAAAGATCGAGAGAGACATTCGGGAGCAACACAAAAAAATGAATAGAGAAGAAGAAAAAGAAAAACGATGCGATTTAAACACATTTCTGTGCCAATGGATAGAAAGAAAAATGAATAGATAGATGGACGGAATACAACGAGGCGGAAGATTTTTGTGAGCAAAAACTGATGTTGAAACAAAAAAAACACTGACTGAACAGAATCAAGGGACTAAATATGAACTGAAACAGAATATCATTGGACTTTTGATAACAAAATTGAGTATTATCAATATTAGCAAAGATTTTGGTGATGAGAATAGAATTTATGAAAAAATGAGACTTCCTCAAACACGCTTGATTGAACATGGGGTGAGGGTTTACTGTAGCTCACTTTTCTCTATTAAAAAAAACTTCATAGCATTGAATTTTCATTTTTGTTCAAATAAGTTTTTAAAAAAATTCATTCTCTAAATCCCATCTGCTAAAAAAAAACTTCATTACTGTTTCATTTTTCGGAATATCTTCCATTCTAATTTTTGTTTTAAGATTTTTATCACATGTTTTTCTCATTGTAATTTCCATTGATTACCTTCAATTCTCTGTAAATCTTCCTCCTTTCTGTTTTATTTTTCTTTTCCCATTCTACGTCTAAACTATAAATATTTCTTTTTTTTTTCTTTCCGAAGTTCGAAAAAGATCAAAACAAAATGGAACTGTTTGAATTGTTCTTCTATGATCACATGAAACCACTTGACTCACTCTCTTTTTACTCTCAAATGTCAATATTCTCCTCCTTTTTTTTGCCCCTTTTTCGCTCGAAAAACTTTTGTTGCCAGAAACTGTTAAATATATATTGATGTTTTATGGGCCAATGGTCCGAGATGAAAAAGAAAAAGAAAGGAAAAGATGAGAATAAAAAGAAGATGATATTATCAACCAACAAATGTTGTTTTCATCAAAAACCCACACACATACTCACATTTTTCCAAGTCCAATGATTCATGATTTTCTAGAAAATGAACGTGGAACTTTTAAAAAAAGAATTTACGGAGGAATAATGATTCTGAATCGAGTGGAAATACATTAAAAATGTATTTGTTTTATCATACAAAAAATATGAAAACTTTTGTAACTGAAAATAATTCCAATTTTATTTTATTTTATTTGAAATAAATTCATTATGAATTGTTTTATTCTCGAAGATTCACAAACTATTAACATTTCGAAGAATCTCTAGAATATCTTAAAGATTTCAATGATTTCAAATTCCACCAATAAAATCACATCAAAAACCCGCCCATTTTCATTTTTTTCAAAAAAAAAACACCCACAAAAAACATCTTTCCTTTTCTTTTCCTCTCATTTTTTTCGGATCATTACGACGAAAAAGATGAAGAAATTTCCTTCGGATTCTCATAATGTCTAAATTCTCTCAAAAATCAATGATATTTTGATTGGTTCGTCGCTGATATTGTTTTAAAGTCAGGAAAAATGAATGAAGATTGAATTGGAGACTGATGTGAGCATCGAAAGGATATTTATTTTTTGAAAAAAAAACCTGAACAAAAATTGTGTCTGTTTTTTAAAATTTTATATTAAAATTATTTAGGATCAGAGGAACTTCTCCGATAAATTGGGTCCTGAACACTTCAAAAAAAATTGCTTTTCTCTTTATTTCATTAATTTGAATTTACATCTAATTGTAATAATAAAAATGAGGTAAAAAGAAAAACGAAAATAAATAAAATAAAACCTAGAAAGAATATTGTATCACAATGAGAAGAAAAAGAATGATTGGAAAAGTTGAAAATGAGGAATTTGTTGTTTGTAGATTACATCCATCTTTGTCACAAGAACAAACTTCGACAACTTCATTTGCTTGAACTGAAGGATAGATTTGAGATAATGGAAGTTTGACACAAATTGGAGAACGAAGAAGAACATGAACCTAGAAATTATAGAATTTGAAAAGATTGCTGATTCTGAAAATAAATATTAAAAATTTGAACAATGGTTTTAATTTTAAACATAACTTGCGATTTTTGAAACTAAAGTTACTTTAGTTACCCTAAAATTACGAAACTCTAAAATAATGACTGAATTTTTGATTCGAATTTAAAGAAACAGTAATCCTCATACAAAAACAATATTCATAATATTTGAATGATCAAAAAAAAACTTTGTGTGAATTTTTGTGTATTATTTCAAGTTACTTCTCAATATTTTTGAAAATTTCAATTAATTCAAAAAATACCTCAGCAGGTTGTCTTTCCATAACCGAAAAAACATGTTCAGCACATCCTCGCATATAAAGAAATGGTCGATGCGGTGATTGTAATCCTCCAAAATATTGTGGCTCAAAAATTGTGACACAAGTTGATCTACAATTTTCAACTGGAGCAACTTGTATTATACTATCTTCAACATCACAAAATCGATCGAACTTTCTAATTCTGAAATAAATCCGTTTGTCGTGTCATTAATCCAATTGTCATCTAATCCGAAATTAATGTATTTTTCTTTTTTCATTTTTCTCGTACTACATTTTTATGAGTTCGAATACACTAATCTTCTCATCAAATGCACTCTTTCAATAAATAAAAAAAATCTCACCTGATTTTATGCATCAAACTAACATCTCGACTGATAAATGATTCATATTCCGAAGAAGCACAATTATAACATCTGAAAAATAATGGTTTGAATTATTTCACACATTTCCTTTTTTCCCACAGTCTTGTCTTGAATTTAATTGTTTCGTGTAATGTAATCCTTTTTCCCCAACTTTTTTCTTCGAAATTTATAAACAATTTATTGTTTATTCAAAAGCACTTTTCTCTGCTTCTCTTCATTTTTTCATACTTTCTCATTCCGGAAAAAAAGAAAACAATTCGAAATAATTAGAAGAATCGGAAGGAAGGAAGAAGATGAAGAACAAATTATTTTGAACATTACCAGATGCTTTTCGAGAGAATCACAATAATAAGTGAACATATGAAAATATCATGTGAAAAGTTCAGATCAATAAATTATATTCGAATTTGTGAACTTCGGATTTTTGGAAAAGGTATTGGTAAAATAACAATTTAGAGAACAAATGAAATTGCACTTCTAAAATCAGTTTTTTTTAATTTTACGGTCAAACTTTCTATTCAAAATTCTGAAAAAGATACTAATCTCCAATTTTTCCCGTTTTTTTGTCAAGACGACAAAAACGTTCAGAATTTCATTCATTTTTTCGCAATCCATCATTAGAAAACAAGCTTGAAATATTCCCGAAGGAATCATTTTCTTTTTTTCCGATTTCTCCCATTTTTTGTGTTCCGAGATACCTGAACTTTTTTTTTCCCCTCATCGATTTATTTTCCCCACCCTTGATACTATTTTCTTGAAAAACTTTGAAACCCAAAAGCTTTTTTCTTCTCCTCGTTTTTTTCAAACCACATAAATTTGATTAGCGAATTTCTATTGTACCTGCTTGTCATGAAAAGAAGACGAAAATGAAGAAAAAAGGGGATTTTGTAGATACGAAAAATAAGAGAGAGATACGAATTTGGCGTTTTTTTCTTTTGAAAAATCAGAAAACGGAAGTTTCGCGTAGGTTTATGTTGAAATTACGGAACGAAAAAAATAGATCAAATTTTGAAGACAGCTGATAATGTGAGGTGATCTAACAGTTATTCAATCAATATCTCGAGTTCCCGTTCAATGTGTTTAGCTAAACTCAGTTCGCACAACTCGCAGAAAAAATAAATTCAAACGGTTTTAAAAGCTCGGGAACCACTTGATGGAACATATACACCGCGACACAAAATTACACACAACACACAACCGCCAACTACAGTAACCTTGATGTTTTCACTCAAAATATACTCCTGCTTGAATTTCTGGGAAATCGGTTCCAACTGTTGCTTCTAGATCTCTATAATTTTCAAGTTCAAAATTCTAGCAGACTTTGCTTGAAAGGCTTCAGAAGCCTAAAATTCGAGATTTATTTTTGGATCAATTTTTCGATACAAAAAAAAATTTCTTATGACGTGGCAATTCATTTTCTCACTCCTAAGTTTTGTTTCGAAAACCCGCACCTAGTTTTGTTTAGTCATCAATTTAATCTATCTCTATCTCCATTTTCGATTTCATTTCTCCTTTTTTTCTGTCTTTCTTTCGTTTTTTTCATTTTGTTTAGGTTTGAATAGAGCCAATCAACTCGAAAACAAATTGTAGAAAAAAAAGAAAAAATGAAATGGGAAAGGAAAACGAAGAAGAAGATAATCACTATTTTTTCCAGATAAAAATCATATTTTTTATTTGCGAAGAATGTATAGTGAAACGAAAGAAAATGGACGACAAATAATATTTTTTAAAAACATAAATATCTAAACTCAAAGCCGATTTTCGTGGGATTTGGCTCGGAATCTCGAATATTCCATAATGATCAAGAATTCATATTTACAGTTATTTTCAGATTGGAATCAGGTCGGAATTGAATATTCGAAAATAGAAGTTGTCTCAGTGAATATGGTACGAAAATTTGAAATTCCAAAAAAAAATGAATTTTGAAAAAAAAAACAAATTTCTTCGAATTGAATTTTGGAGATTTCTGATTTTTAAAATTGTTAATTAGTTTTTCGGAGTACGGTGTCTTTCATTAGTCGGTGCGAGACCGGAACGAAGTTAGAGACGCAGAGATATACCGCACTTGGGAAAAATTGATGGATTCAAAATTAATTTTATTTGTAACTAGTAATCCTGATTCTAAAAATTTGATAAAAATATCACATCCGGGTTACTGTTTTTATTTCCAAATATTTTCCCACATTTTATTCTCCAAAATAATTATGAAATATTTCTGAAATTTTTTGGAAAACTGAAATTTGCAATGAAAGTTTTTCCCTCGAAATGCCAAGCTTCCCTAAAAAACTCACTGCACACAATCTCCAAAATCCACAATAAAAGTGAAACTGAAAATCGTCAGAAAATAATCAGTCCAAAATCTTCTCATTTTTCTTCTTATTCATTACCAAATAAAAACGACGTATAAGCAAGAAGAAAGAAAAAGGAAGAAGCTCTTCTTCTCGTGTTTTTTGTCGCTCCGCCCATTTGAGTCACGCCTCCATTTCGGTTGCGAATATTCGAATCAGTTGATGTGAGCAACACAAAAAAAAACATATGGAAATAATATTGTGTGAGGGGAGGAGAAAATGTGAATTATGTGAATACAGGGTGCGCCATAAATACCCGGACAGCTATAATTCAATATATTTTTCCAAAATAGAACAGTTTTTTGTGTATGGTTTTAAAAATACTTAATTAGGTCCCTAACGAGTAAATTAAAATCAAACTCTCTTAATTTGGTCAATTTTACGAGTTGGGAGAACATGTAGAACTTCAGGGAAAATTTCATCACGGCACGCAGAACAATGAAAAAGTGGTCTCGCTATTTTTGGATGGAATTATTTTTATTGCGAAGGCTTCATTTGAGTTGTAAAATGTTTGAGGGGTTGTCAGAGAGTCCCAAGAAGCCAAGAAAAATATAACATTGTCCACCGTGTCTCACACCAAGTTTGGGTGGAGATTTTTGGAACAGTCTGCTTCATTGGGAGAAATCATTGATCTCCATTGATTTTGGGGTCAAAATCGGGAATGAGGTTGAAATAAATATATTTCTGGACTAACATATGTACCTAAGAATGAAAATCAACCTCGATAACAAACATCAAGTGCTCCAGCCAATCACAGTACACAATAAAAGATAAAATCTCCCAAAATCGCTGTTGAGAAACAATTTTTTCGATTTGAGCAACGTTTTTAAATTGATGTTACTTTTGTCAGAAACGAACCCATTGCATAATTCCTTTCAAATTAGTTATCGGAAAGGTTCTAGGTAAACCTCCAATCATGTATTTAGACTATACAGAACCTAGTTTTCAAGTATTGGGACAATATGTCCGACAAATGGCAGCGTGCCGAGATGAAATTTTCCCCAAAGTTCTACAAGATTTCCCAACTCGTAGAATCGACCAAATTAAGAGAGAATGATTTTAATTTACTCGTTAGGGGCCTAATTAAGTATTTTTAAAACCATACACAAAAAACTGTTCTATTTTGGAAAAATATATTGAATAAATAGCTGTCCGGGTATTTATGGCGCACCCTGTATTTTAGAGAACACATGTTTTGTTTTGAAACTTGTACTTGTTAGATTTGGAAAGGTAAATAAATAATAAGTACATGAAATTTTATTTCTTTAAAAATACACAAAATCTAAAAAAAAACCCATAAACAAAATTATTTGACAATGAAAAATCAAACCCATTGAATTCCCCAATAGTGTGTTGCAATATCATTTAATCGAACAAATGGTTTGGCAGATTGTGAAGATTTTGCAATTGATATTGATTTTTTTCCCAATGACTCAATTGATTCTTCCCATGTTTTTGGATTTGATTGTCCATTTATCATTTCGCCATTCCATAATTCAACACGTGCAGTTTCCTCGCCAGCGAGATTTAGAATATAACTACAAACATTAGGAGATTTTTTAAAGATTGCCCAAAAAAACATTCCCATCTGAACATAAATCCCATTTCTTTAAAAAAATCTCACTTTGAATGAGCTGGTGTTAATAGCGAATTCTTTTCACTCATTAATCGAACCATTCTTGCAGCCAAAACTCGAACAAGTGAAGATGCAGCTCTTTCATCATGAACACAACTAACAAGTTCAAGTGCACCTTGAACATCATTTCCCAATCGGAATGATGATAATGCTTGCTGCAAAAATATTGAATTTCGATAACTCAAAAATGAATAAATAAACAAACCATAAATGATATGGAATTAACAGTCAAATTCCATTCTCCTTCCAATATTTTTGCCATTTTTCTTTCATTTGTTGATCCTTGTTCAGCAATTTTTGTCAAAAATGTGTGTCTTTTTTCGATGATTGAATCTTCAACATTTTCTAATGGTATTAATGGATGACTATCAAGTCGAACAAAAAATGCGCGATTTCCAACCAAACAAAAAAGTGTTCGAAGTGGATAAAATCGTAAACCAACAGATAATTGTAATCGAACTGCTAATGTTAAATGATAATGATGAAGAACCAAATGATAATTAACCAATGGTTGTTTTGCAGAAATTACACATAATTTATCTTGAGCTTTTGGTGTAACTTGTGGTGCATTTAATGATCTTGCAATTCTCGATTTCTGTTTTGGTGTCTCTTTTTCTTGAGAAAATGATGCCATTGCCATTTGTATTAATAAATCATCATTATATTCTTTGATAACAGGAACATCTCGAACAGATTCCATCAAAATATTCAACAATTTCTCGCATTCAATCAAAAATCCAATAATTCTTGTTTCACTAAATCCAACCTCATTTCGAATTTCTTTTTCTTTTGGCATTCTTCCATTTTTCTCAACCAACATAATAATTGATTCGAAGTTTGATCCAATAAATTTATCCCAAATTAATCGAGTTATTCCATGTCGAAGTCGTTGATCAGAAATAACAGATTGTTTCAATAAATCCGTACATTTTTCAATCAAATCAAAATTGTTATCTTTTTCCTTGAACCATTTGCTAATCATTTCCCAACAAACATCAATTATAATTAGATCGTGTTCAAAACATCTTGGAATTATTTGATAAATTCGAGATATAATCGTATGATCATCTTCAGTTGGATAATCAATTATAATATGATCTTGTCTCTTTTTCTCATCAAAACTATCATCAAGAATTTCAGTTGGATCCTTCGGGAACAATTTCGATACCGTGATATAATCAATATTGTTCGCAACAATCCATTTTGCAATCTGAAACATTTTTTGAATAAAATTGATAAACAGGCACGAGAACAGATAATTTTTTGAAGTTTTAAGAAGTTTGAATTTTTTTTAATTTTCCAATTTCAAAAACCAGCTTTCCGAAATAGCTCTATTTATTATTTTATTTTATAAACTCACATTTTCTCTACAAAATGAATCAATTCGATTTGAAATATCCGCAACTCTTGGCATATTTTCATTTTGTGTTAATTGATTCGACAACGAAACACAGTGCAAACACATCAAAATACTATCCAAATGTTCTTGTTCTGGTTGAACATCATCCCAATCATCTTCTTCCTCTTCTTCAACATTTTCTTCCTCATTTTCATCATTTTTTTCTAATTTAACTTTCTCGATTTTCTTGGTTTTTCGAATCTCATTTCGAGCACACCAGCAAATTGTCAACAAAACAATCGCGCGACTCAAATATTTTCTGAAAAATTTTAATCAATATTTTTCAAAAAAAACACTTTTCCAAACTCACGTATGAAAAGCAGCTCGATTGACCAATTCAATCAATCCTTCTTGTGATTTTTCAACTAAAACCAAAAACTTCACCAAACTGTCAAAACTCATCCAATTTGTTAGCCCATTTCCACTATTTTCAAATCTTGCACATAATAATTTGACTAAATCCGTTTTTGAAAATGGCAATTTATTAAATATAATATCTTCAAATTCATCAATATCACAATTGTTGAAAATCGGTGTGAAAATCAGATTCGCCAATTTCAGGCGAGAAGATTCATTCAATTGTCTAAAAATAGGACAATTTCAATTCGACAGATTTTTATGAACAATAATATCGAGATTTAGCTTCTGATGAAAAATTGAATTACAAAACTCACAAATAACAAAAAAATATTCAGAAATGAACAAATATGTTTTTTTCAAACTGCCACGACAAAAAGTTCACGCTAAAATTGAAGCTCTTCTTCATTTTCATTTTTTTTGAGAAATATGAAAAAAAAACATACCCAGTAAATAAATCAGTGATCGTATTCAAATCAATCATAGATAACCATTCTCCAAGTTCCAATTTCTGATTTTCCGAATTATTCGAATCAAATCGATTAAGATAACAATCAACAATTCGATGAACCATTGAATCCATTTCAAACTCCGATTTCGATATATCTCCATTATTTTCATTATTTCTTGATTTTTCAATTCTTTGATAAAATACAACTGCTTTTTCAACTTCATCAATTAATTGTCCAATAGATTGAGCACCATTTAGCTGAATAGAATTTAATTCAAAAAATGAACAATGAAGAAATAATTAAACTAACAGTTCTAATTCTAGCCAAAAATGAATGTGCCTCATCAATCGTATTCAAATTTTGAAGATAATCTTGAAATGCAACTCGACGAGATGTTGTAAGTTTTAAAATAGAGAATGTGTCAAACCATTGTTCCCCATTCTGTTTTTCAATCTGAACAAAAATCAAAGTATTGTTAAAGAGAAATAATTGTCTCACCTTCTTCATCAATAATTGATCATGTTGATCTTGTGATGCTCTTCCATTCAAAGCCAAATGAAAAGGAATAATCAATCGATGAAAAGTTCCTTTTCCATCAATAAAAAATGAATTCGATTCGATATGATTAAAAGATAATCCACAAAGTGTTCGATTTTCTCCTCCAGTTACCAAATCACACGAAATATCAGATGGAATATGTCGAGCACAAACACGAACATGTCCAAGAACAGTCCAAACTTCTAAAAGTGAACGACGAGGTGCAAATATAACAAGAAATTGGGCAAAACGTTTTCCTTCGATTGTCGAAACCCATGAAATTGAGGCATCTCGATATCCTTTGAATAACAAAACTGTTGTCCGATATTGAACCTGTTTTCATTTTAATTATAACATTTTAATATTACACAATATCAATATTTAAAAACGAAAACTAACATCAATGACTAGAACTCGAGCTTGTCTATCAACAATTGCCACGAATCTGCCATCTGGACTTTTTGATACATTTTGTGCGACTCTTGGATCAAGAATTTGACTTCGAGTTGGAGCATGTTGACGGCTATGCATGTGTGCTGCTTTTTTCGCTGGTTCGGTTGAAATTCCAAAATATTTTCGAATTCCAAATGATGGAAGAAGCTGGAAATTGATAAATTTTCACTGATAAGCTCAAAAATAACATACACTTTTTCCATATTTGATTGCTTCGGTCCAAATTTGATCAGCTTGATCTCGATCATGCCATACAAACGATACAAAACATTTTTCAGTTGTCACCAAAAAAGTAGAAAATGTTGGAAGTGATGGCCTTTCTACTCGAGTCTGCAAACATAATTCATTTCATCAAGAAATATATTGTCAAAAACTCTTACATTGAATGATTGCCACGTTGCATTCATATATTGTTCAAATGTCGATGGTTTATAAAAACCAGTAAATAGAACATGAATAATATTTCCTTTTAAATCCGGATCAATCAAATCACATTGAATTTCAATTGAATCCGATACTTCTTGAACTGTTTTTCCACCTTTTGCAATTTGGATTTTCGCTTGATGAAGTCCAGAATTTAGCGAAACTGGGTTGATAGCAAAAAATGTTCGAGAGAATACAATAAGAAACATTTGAGAAGTCTGCAAAAAAACGGGAAAATTTTTGATGACAAAATTTTTTGTTCATGGTTTTTCGTAAGGTTCAAATTCATAAATATGGTTATCCTGATACGATACAAATTAAAATAATAAAAACTCTCATTATTCGGCCCCAATTTTGGCTTCCTCATACCATATTCAAAATTTCAAAAACATACCTTAACATGTTCAAAATGTATATTAGCAACAGATTCATAAATCGAAAATCGATCAAAATATAAAAGGGTGCCTTTTTCAGTATAAAAATAAACATGTCCATCAAGTGTTCCAAGCGAAATAATAAGACAATCCAATTGATCAGAATGTCTGGGATTCATAAGTCCAAACAAACAAGAAGCTGTGATTTCCGAACTAATTGGATCGCCATCAATATATTGTTTGCAAATAATTTTATAGAAATTATCTTAAATTTTTCTAACCGCGTTATTTGAAATGAAAATACAAAGATAAATAATACCTGATGGTGGTTTTCTCAATAAAACAAATCTAGATTCATAAGAAACTAGAAAATATTCCGCATCAAAATATGTTTTTCCTGCACATCGAAACAGCCAATTCCAATTTGATTCGTCATTTTCATTGATACTATGATTTTCACCTGTATTTTCATCTTCTTCTCCCCAATTATCCCAATTTCCAACATTTTCAAGTTTTTCAGGATTTGGATATAATCTTTCTTCACTTCCCGAACTGCTACTTGATGCTTTTCTTTCGAATTTTTCTGAAAAAAAGTTATTATTTATTTGAGAAACATGTTTCAGAAAAATAACTTACTTTCATTATTTTCTCCATTTTCCCCTAATAAATATCTTTTCACAACTTTTGCCACATCTTCTCCAATTTGACAAAAAACTTCGAATTCGATTGATGCAACTCCCATCACAACACTACTAATAAAAAACAAAAGGAAAAATGAAAGACAAAATAAAAATAGAGTAGACTTGTGATGCGAGAGAGTACACAAAAACGAGAGAGAAAAGAGAAAGAAAATGTTTGTTTGGAGCGAATTTGATAGTTTGAGAAATAAATATGGACGAGAAATTGTGTGAAAAAAAATAAAGAGGAAAGTGGAATCTGAAAATGATCAGGGAATTTTATAAATGAAAATCTTGAAATGCTCCCATTTTTTTGAACCAAAAACTTTCGATGCAATAACTGGGACCCTTGAAGAAATCTGGTAATAAAATACAGAAAGTATCAATGAACTTTTTAACTTGATCATTCAATTCATTTAAAACTTCGATCATTTAAAAAATTCATAAAACAAAAATGATACAATTATTTCTAGCGCGGGGGGTGCTTATTAAAACTACACAAAAAAAACACTATAAAACAAAAATCGAAAAAAAACTTACCTATTTTAATTTGAAAAAACTGAATGGGGCAGGGAGGGGAGCAATCCTATAACAAAACTTGAATAAAAGAACATTTAGATTGGCCCACGAATAACATCAAGAGTTTGATTCATCGAAAACAACCAATGAGACAACATTTCATCCGTGTCCGCCGAAAGAAGAACACTGAAAATAAAACGTGTTTTTTTTATTTCAAATTGTTTTTTTTTCTAACCGTTTTTTCTCAACAACACTTCCAATAGTCGATTGCTCAGAATGTTCATTAGATTCGACTAAAATCTCAATCATAAATGAATATGGCCGTGGACAAACATCAAATGAACATTTTTCGATCGAATTATTTGTGCATTTTGTCAAATCAATTTGCATTCTTGGCTCTTTTCCTTGTTGTTCTTCATCTGGATATTTCCATAAGAATACAATTCCACGTCGAAGAACAGCCCAATAACGATCCCATGAAACCATACTACTATTTGCAGAGAACATTGTCTGAAAATGATGATTTTCAATGGATAAATTAATTTCATAGAAACAAAACATACCAAAAACCCTTTGAAGTCCTCTTCAAAAACATCCGGCAATCTGCTGCATTTCGTATTAATCATCATTGTTCCTTCAAGTGGATATGTTACATCATCCAAATAGAAACATCTTTCTCCAGCGGCTTCACGATCCAAAACAATTCGGCCGCGCATTTTGAATGCTGTTTCAGACGATGCAACTTGAGCTGCCTTTTTCTGAGCTGAAACAATTTATTTTATTGCAGCATATAGTTCCTTATCAACTCACGTGGACCCATCAAATTCTTACATCTTGTGGCGAACGATGTGTGCTCAACTTGTTTTGGTGCTTGAACTTTCTAAAAAAATAGAATTAATTAAAATGATTAATTAATAAGTTAACATTGTAATTACCATCGCATAAAATTCAACAGTAACAGTAAAATCAACTGAAACATCAGAAAATTGGATTGGTTTCTCGAATATCAATCGATCCATAACTTCATTATTATGAACAACTCGAAGTGCCAAATATTCAGTTGCTTCAACTTGGTGACCATTTTTGAAAAGAGCAACAAATGCATAAGAATTATCTGTAGATAAAAAATTGTTGAACATTTGAACTAAAATATTGAAATGAGCAAACATACCATCAGCAGTTGTCAATCTACTGCAAAAATTCTTATTCAAATGAACCATAACATTACTGAAAATAACAGATCCTTTGAGATTTCGAGCAACTGGCGGAGGTGGTCGACGAACTGCTGAAATTGCGTGTAATCGACGAAGTTCGCTGCGTTGAAGACGAAGAGTTTCACGGCTAATCAAAATCGAACGATTCGCAGCTATCTGAAAACCCATTTTTTCAGAAAGAAATTCGAACAAATCTTCAAACCTCCTGAGATTGTCTTCCTTTTTTAATAGCATCGATTAAAACCGCTTCATTCAAGCTCATTTGTTTTTGTGTGTTCTCAATCATATAGGATAAACGCTGAAAAAAAAAACTATTATTTTGATCATGATTCAAATACAACAACAAACATTAATTCTCTTCATAAAATCAACTTGTTTTTCATTTGCCGAAACTCCACTAATCGATGATACAAAAGTATCATGTGGTCCTCCTTCAATTCCACTTTCTCCAAATATATTATTGTTCAATTCGGCTTTTCGAAATGATGAACTGATTGATGAAGGACTATCCATTGGAGTTGAAGTTGCGAGAGCTGTTGGAATGTTTCGAGGCGAATAACATCCAGAATATGAAGGATTCAAACGAATCTATAAATTAAAATTAAATGAAATAATTGAATCGTGAAGAATTTAGAAAATTAAATGAAATTTTGTTTCGTGGTTAGACAAGTTCACGTTGAATTTATTTTTCATTTTTTTGGGTTTTTTCAAACCTTTTCGCCAGCTGTTGGAGTTCCACACAAATCTTTTGATCGATATGCGTTAATTGATTGTCCAGCATGCGGTGCAATCAATGTCGGCGAACGAAAAAACTGTGGCTCATCAACTGAAGGAAGACGTCGAAGAAGTTGTTCTCTTTGCATTTCACGATATTGAGAAAGCTGAAAACCTTAAACTTGCAAGTTTTATTGCAAATTATAATTTCGAAGTAACAATTCTCTTACCGAATATTCAAAATCACTATCAGTGGCAGTTCCTCCTCCAATTGCTACAGTATTTCTACGATCAGGTGGTGAATTCATATTTCGTTTTTTGGCTGATTGTTGCAATTTTTCATAATGTCTTCCGTCGTAACCATTTGAATTCTCCTTATAAATAGTTCTTTCCCATTCTCCTTGTTCATCGATTGATCTTTGATGACTAACTGGTAAATAACTCGCAAATCTGGAAACAAATTGGCGAAATATAATAAAATGAACTACACAAAAAAAACAAACTTAGTTTTGGGCGAATATAAATCTCCATTATTTTTCTCAAATCTTCCGCCAACCGATCTTCCACCAGCTCTTCCCAATGTTCCACTTGATATTGTCGATGTTTCTTCTCCACAAACAGTTCTATGATTTTTCTCTTCATTTTCATCAACAAAATCAAACATTCTATCAATCTTTCCTCTTATCGTACTATTATCTCCTTCGGCTGTCAATAATCGATCTGTACTTCCATCTTGAAGAGATTGAGTCAAATGTGTGATTCGACTTCCGGCATCCTGTTAAATATTTTGAAATAATGAAAAGACAAAGACACTTTTAACAAACCTCTGTAGCAGGAGGTGAATATGCCAAATTATCCCGTGTAATTGTAGTTGTCGAATGTTTTGTTAAATGATTTGAAATATTTAATTTCGAAGGATGTTTATCAAAGAAAATAGCTTGGTGTCTGGTAAGTTTCGGGGATACTTCCAACGGCTGAAAATTGTAGAATTTTGAAAATCTTCCAAAAAAAGAAAACATACTCTTGCCCTATGATCATTTTCAATTTCATAATTTCTCAAGTTTCTTCCTTTTTCTTCTTCAAATATATCTTTTCCATCAGTTCGAATCATCGATAAATTCTCCGTAGTTTGTCTTCCATATAAATCTCTTCCAGTTTTGAATGGATCCTCAAAATTATTTGAATTTATTCCAATTTCACCACTAACTGCTTTTGTTTCATAAATATTCGAATTTGTTGGTTGATATTGTCTTTCAGTTGTTACTTCTTGTGTTTTTGCTCTTTCAACGCGATGATATTTTGATGGATTGATGATTCGATTTATCGGAACTTCAATTTTCGAGTCAACTCTCAATGGATCTTAACAAAAATTATTTTATTTCAAAGACAAAAATACGGAAAAACTCACTATGAATTACTTGATTGGACGATGAAACTCTTTGAATCGGAACTCTCACTCCATTTTCCTCACTATTTTTTGGAATTTCAATGACAGCTGTTTGACGACGAAGAATTGGAGTGTTTTTCGTATTTCTTCCAAGTGGTTCTCGATTTGGCATTGATCTTCGGAATAATGGATCTTCTTTGAAATGTTTCTGATCTTCACTCTCGTAAATTCTAAAAATATATTAAAAGTACAAATATATGTTTATATTTTGAAAAAATAAACAAAATAGTAGAAAAATCTCACCTTTGTTTATTATCAACATTCAATTTATTAATTGATGGAATTCTTTCAAATTGAGTAACAAATCCACCAAAATTATTATTTTCTTGTCCATTTATTGGAGTTGTCGACATTGGAACATTTGTTGGAATAACTCCTGGTTTCAAATTTGACGTGGCAGTTGAAGTTCGCAAAAATGTATTTCTTGTGAAAACATTCGGTTGATTTGATAAAGAAGAAGACGTGCTTCGATGTCTGTCATTAATATTATTCGATGAAGTATGTGGCAAAAATATATTTGATGACATTGTTGATGCATCTAAACGATTTGATGATGATCTACTTCTAATATCACTTGAAGAATGAATTCGATCTTCAGATATAAATTTGGAAGGAACAGCTAATTTTGTATTATCTTCCGGTGCTTTCCAATAATTTTTACCATATTTTGGAATCGGTAATTCGTTTTTCGGTGAATTAATTTGCATTGTATCAAATGCTTGGGCCAAATCACGAATTCGACCACGTGGAACATGTTTCCTAAAATAATATTACCTTGTATAATTCCGCTAGTTTAAAAAAAAACAATAATAACCTGATTGTATCACCATTCGACTTTTTCTCTTCAACCCATCTCGCATCAATTTTTATTTCCGGAATTTGTTGATTTTTCTTCGAAGATGCCATCGAATTGATACTTTTTTCACTTCCAGTTTTCTGAAGAGCTTGTTCTTGCAAACTTTCAATTGAAGAAATTCCATTTCTTCGTTTCTTTTCAGTAATTTTCGAAGGAGTTGATGTTGATAAAGGAGTGAATTGAGTCTATAAAAAAAGTTTTCATTAAAAAGTTATAGATTATATTTATGAACAAACATTTGCATTTTCATCAATTTTATATCTATCAGCAATGTGACGAAGTTTTTCGTTGAGAACCTGAATTTAAACTTTTTTTTTAAATTATTTTTCGATGAATATTTTTACTTACAGTCGTCTGACTGTCTGTTTGATGAACCATTGTCACTTGATGAGAAGAATTAGATTGTGAACTTCTAACATCAGAATCTGAGCTAACTGGTGTTGCTTTTGGACTATTCAAACGATTCTGAAGCATATTCGATAAAATTGATACAGCTGGATGACCATTTTTCTCAAATGAATTATTCATTTTTGGACGAATTGGACTTTCTGCTGATGAATAGCTTGTATCCACAAATTGGCTCAAAACTGTAACAGTAAAAAAAGAATAGGAAAACTTAAAATAATTTCTTTTACCATCTGGGTTCCATTTTCCTTGTCTCAATCGAATTGTATTTCCAGTTTGTATTGCAATTTCAGCTGTGTTTTTTGCTGTAAGAGGTTGCATAATTTGTCGAATACAACGAACTTCTTGATTTCTAACAATTGTTTGAGGTGTTTGAAGAATTGAATCAGAAACACTGTTTTTGGTTGAAACTGGAGCACGTGAAGCAACTGGCTAGAAACAAATATTTTTTTCAATTTTTCTAATTCTCATTTTACCGTCAATGCCGAAGTTACAAATAATGCCTTTTCTGGTTCTCGATCTTCCAATTCCTGAAAGTTTATTCAAAATTTTAATTCAAATTAAGATAGATCAACAAACCTTTTCTCTCAAACTAGTTTTAACTGTTCCTTTATTTGATGGAGTATATTGATGTTCTTTTGTTGGTCTAAATGGTTCTCCTTCATTATTATCTTCTTCTTCACCAAAATGATCATCCGGATGACTGAAAAGTGTCGGAATTTCAGCAAAATTAACCCGATCACTTTTATTCGAACAAATTGAAGATGTTCTTGATAATGATGATTTTGTTCCAACAAGTGTATGAACATTTGATGTTGTGCTTTGTGATATTGGAATTTGGATAAGTCCTTCAGCTTCAGGCAATCTACTGTATTTTGCAGCAAGCAAAAGGCGATCATCTGTATTAGAAGTTGTTCCCTGGAAATTAACAATACATTTTGTTTTTAACGCGTACAGAAATCACATACAATTGTATGTCTTGAAGAGTTTCTGGAAATTGGAGCAGATCTATCCGAAAATTCGTTTTGTGATATCGATCGACCCAAAATCTCTTCACTTTGACGCATATCTCGATTGCTACCATAGTCTTTCACGACCTGAAATGATTTTGAAACTCGAAAAATAAGAGCCACAATAGTCAAACACTCATATTACCGTTCGAGAGTTAGCCGAAGATACATTTCCACGAGACATTGATTTACTACGATGAGATTCATTTGAAATCGAAAACACCGATTCATTTTGTCGATTTCTTGAGGTATCCGATCGAAATGTTGTATCATCATTACCACGAATTGATGGAATATTAGATCTACCACCAAAATCTGGAGGATGACCGCCGACCAAAACAAATTCATCATTATTTGTATGTATTGAAAGCTGAAAATTTCAAATTATTGGTGGACATTGAAAAAAAGGTTTTTACTTTGCTAAGACGATTTTGCAAATATTCGGAATCAGCATGATAAGTTCGAACATCTTCGGAAACTTCTTTTGGTAATTGTTGACTTGATGCAGTTTTCAAAACATGAGCTGTTGGACCACTTTGACGAGAAGTATTGCTAACAGTACGACTGCGTCTTGATGATGATCTTATATCTTGATGCTGAAATATATTTTTCTGTAATTTTATTTTGAATTATCAGCATTATGTTAAACTTACATTTGTTTCAAGATTTCCATTCTCAAATCCAATAACTCCACTGTTTCGACTATTCAAACGACTTCTTCTTCCACTTTCGTCCGGAATATTCAATCTTTCCAATTCTCCAATTTGATTTCGATTTTGTCTCGGAATTTCTCTCAAAATTTGAATATCATCATCGGAATCTTCATCTCTTTGAATACTAGCTCTTGATCCTCCAAATGCGCTTGTTGGAAAACCAGCCAAAGAACGTTCTCCAGCAGCATCCGACAGAAAACTTGAATACGAACAATCACCGTGTGCATAATTACGAGAAGTTGAGCTTGGTTTTGCAAGATTTTGATGGGATGCACGAAAACTATCATATGCTCCACCGTCTGTCAATTTCTGAAAACCACATATTTTTTAATAAATCATATTGTTCGTTTAAAAAGTTATTACATTGTGGTTCGATGAAACACTTCCACTTTTCGCCGTTTGCAAATTTGATGATAAATTTCCCAAAACACTTTTGTTAGAATGCACACTATTTGAACGACTTATTGGATCTCTCGGAACCGGACTGGTTACATTTTCATGACTCATATAAACAGTTTGATAAGCATGCTTGGGTGCCTGAATAATTTTAAAATGTTGAAATCGAAAACGCCAATAAAACAAACATTTAAATTGATTCCATCTCTTTGTTCGACTTTGGAATTCAAAGGAATTTCAATATCCGCATGATCAAATTCATCATAATTCAAACTCAATGTGGACAAGGATTTTCTTGGCGCAGCAATTGGTTGTTGATTCTGAGCATTTTGTTCAAGTTCAGCTAACTCTTCGCCGATTTCGTCTTCAACAACAGCCGGTGTTTTTGGGCTAGGACTTGCCGATGGCGATGAAATAAACGCTTTGTTGAACGAATTGTTATTGCGACGAGACTTTTTCTTTCCCATTATAGAAATGTTATTAGTTGTTAAATATGTGAGTCACTGAAAAAATGTACCAATCTTAACAACCAAGAATCGGAAATCAGAATAAGACCAAGTAATCTTGTCGCTCCCTTATAAAAATTTAAGAAAGAATCGATACAAAATATCTTCAAGTTATTACGAAGAAAGACTTTGCTCTGTTAATTTTCTGTGACAGTTTTGATTTGCGCTCAGAGAAATGGGCTGGAGAACCGCCGGATAGACGACACGGCGGAGAATATTCGGGAAACCGATGGAGAAAAACGTTCTCCGCCAGTTCGCCGACAGTTCTCCAAATGATCTACAGTGTTTCTCCCTCGCGAAAGAATATTCTCGAAGCAGAGAATGGAAAACCAGCGGACAACTGGCGGAGAAAGTTTTCTAGTTTGGAGAGCGAAAAATGCAAAAAAGCGCCTAGTGGAGAACCAATGGAGAACTGTCGGAGAAACTATGGAAAACTTTCGGATAACCGGCGGAGAACTCTCGGCGAACCGCCAGCCGTAGGTTGGATCTCCGAAAGTTTTCCGCCGGTTCCCCAGCCCATTTCTCTGAGGCGTTGAATGAAACGGAGATAGCTGTTCGACAAAGAAAAGCGCGCACGCGCGAAATCCCAAAATGAAAAAAAAAAGTAAAGGCACACACATAGAATGTCCTGCGTGGTCTCGTTAGGTGTGCGGTTTTACATTTGAAAAATACAGTACTCTAAAGCGAAATTTTTAATTTTTTTGCGTTTTCTCTTTTTTCTGCTTCTAGCTCAAGTTTGCCATGGCAAGAAATTAAATAACTTCGGGAAAAATAAACTAATTCCGCTTTGTGAATGTTCTCATAAATAAAACATTTTTTTAGCAGATGATCAGTATTCCTTGGTGGCTCTTTGGCACATGTCCTGATGACGATGTTGAAGAAAAATGTGAAGAGCATATGGATTCTACTTTGAACGTGGAGTGTTTTCAAACTCCTTCATTGTCATTGACCACTTTAGAGCCATCCGAAATTGATGTTCCATCATACAAGAATTTTCGAGCAAGCTTGAGAAAGTTGGTTTTTTTCCAAATGTTATAGTTAATTTAAAACAATATTTTTCTCCAGTAGATCTTCACTCGTTCTGGAAGTTGGGGGTGATAGAAGAAAAAGTACTGATTCAACTTTGCAAAGATTTGATACGGAAGTAATGATGAAGTTAAACAATGGTCGAGATGTTATATCTGAAGAAGATGCCAACTTCGGGTTAGTTTTTATATCAAATTATCGGCAAATGGGTGGATATCAAAGCATACAATGTTTGAGTAATGATGCAATTTTTAAAATTATTCATGTTGTATGCTTTAATGTTTTAATGAAAAAAATAAGTTCTTAGTTTTTCACACTTATGATTATGATAATTTTAGACTTGATCACAATACATCAGTTGATTGTTTTGGAACTGAGAATGGTCCGCTCTCAAAAACAGATGAAGAATATCCTATAAAATTATCACATTTGGAAGAGGATGAGCAAAGCGATGATTCGTGTTCTGCTGATGGAGATAATTCAAGATGCTATCCCACAATGTTCTCTTCCTTTTATGATACAACAGCAATTTTCAACACGACCATCAGAGGAGATATTGAAAAAATCGACGAGAACTCACTTTGGTTGTTCAAAGAATTGAAAAATTCGGATAATGGTGATGGAATCGTTCAATTCAAAGTTCCAGAGACGGCTGAAAAACTCGAGTCACCAAAAATCAAGTAAACTGTAAAGAAATAAGAAACCTCTAATATCTTATTTTTCTAGGAATCCCCTCAAACGCCCGAGGAAACAAGTCATCAACTCGAAAAAGTGAGATTTAACATCAAAATTTAACGAAATTATTGTATTATTGTGTCTTATTTCTTCAGAAAACAATCCGAACCGTCTACATCTTCTGCTTCAGCTTCAAATGATGAAACCCTGCCAATCGAAAATTCGAAAAGTGCACAAAAACGACAAAAAACTATGAAGACTCCAAGAAACAATAGTGGTCAGTATTTACATATTTTCTGTTGTCTCAAATGTTAATATAATTTACAGTTTCTGTGACTCGTCGTTTGACTCCATCAAGAAATGCAAAAACAAAAGTAGTATCATATTATGAATAATACTTTCTCTGCTTTTCATTACTTTAATCGTGTTCATTTGTTAAAATAATTATTTTCACACTTGTATTATTTTTAAATTGTGTTTTATTGAAATTTTATTACATACCTTTTGTTTTTGTTTGATATCAGTGGTTAATCTATACACTGAAAAATTACCTGTCATCTATTGTGTCTATTGCGTATTCATATTCTTTCAGAAGTATGAGTGATGACAATCTTCAGATTCTCTTATCTCTCGGTGTTTATTGTCGAAGAGGAACTCTTCGCAAAAACGACGGTGATAAAACCGAAGACAGTAAGTAAAAAAAACATTCAACATATTATTTGTTCCCGTATATCATTGTTTTTGCAGTCTTTCCTACCGAAATCTTTTATTATGGAATGGATCAAACTGATTTCGTTCAACAAAACCCACCAACTGAATCAACAAGAAGCAACAAAACATGGAAACGTGAAGTATCATTGGTTAATCAGAACGAAGACACCCAAACTCAACGAATCGTCGAAACTGTTCCAATGATTGAACTCACAAATCGAGTGGATGAAATAGAGTAAGTATTTTAGAGATGCAGAAGCTGTTACAAGGATAGCCATGTTTCGAAATATTCACGAAAAGATTTCACTTCCCGAAAATTACAACATACCTGTACTAAAAGCTTTGATTGAGCTTTCCGATTCTCGTATTTCATAGGAGTCTATTTCTTAAAAATGGGGAAATATTTGCATGGATTCACGTTATGTGGTTCACGTTGAATTCTCTCCCAAATTCATTTTCTATATTCTATTTCTTTGCATTTTTTTCAAACCAACTCCAGATTGTCATTCTCAAAAAGTTTTCCATATTGACCCTTATAAACATATATAAAATGGAATCGGGGTGAGGGGTATACTTTTTTCAAAAATTTATCTTTACTTTATTATGTATAAATTTCAGAGAGAATGACTGCAACGCGGAGGAATCTGACTCGATACATTGGGTCCGGCGAAGTACTCGACAAACAAAAAAAGTTGTTCACGTTGCAAAAAAGGTTTCTGCGCGAGAGTTGAAAAAACCACAGAAAACGACTGGAAAATCGAAAACAACGGTTCAAGTTCAACTTGAGTCATGGAAAGCCATTCTTGATGAAGCAATGATATGGGCAGCTTCAATTTGCGAAAGAAGAAATATTTCTAGAAAAGGATTGGAACATTTCCTTCTTTGTTCTATTCATGCTCTTTCCAAAACACTGGCAAAGTTTGCTGTTCGTTCTCGAGAAATCCATATATCAATGATGAGAGTAGGCTCAGAATTGACGAAATTTTTGGAAATTGCATTTTTATCTGGTATGAAGGTAAATGTTTATTGTTTTTCTTGCATTAATTCATTTTTAAAAAATTCTCAGAGTATAAACTCAACTTTCCAACACATGGTTATTGCTACATTCAACAAATTTATTAAAAATCCATCGATGATGCATCAGACAAGTTCAGTTTGGATTCAAACGAAAGAATTTTTAAAACATATGATGTCTGGAATCCAAAGAAAAACGATTCTGTATGCATTAATGCGATCATTTATTGAAACCCAAACATAGTAAGTGTTCACTTCAATTATTTTAAAAAATATTTGTTTTTTTTCAGTTTTATGGAAAAAGGAACTTCGTCTGAACATAATCATAGACACGTCAGTTATGTACTTTCACAACTGTCTGAATTCAATAATTTTCTATCCAACAGACTTATTCAATTATCAGACCAAAAAGACTTTGGAATTGCATATTAGAAATATATTTATGTGTCATGTTTCTCTTTTACTTTTTTTTAAATTTTTTTTTATTTTATTCATTTTCTCTTTTTTCAATATTGTATTTTAAATATCATGTTGAATAATTATTTTTCATAATCAACGATTTTATTGTCATGTACCAAAGTTAATGAACAAATTTTTATTCAAATTTTCATAAATATATACAAATACACGAAATATGTAACACAAGCAGAAAAAGTTTATAAGTGAAAAATGAAAACCTTACCGTAAAGCTTAGCTTTCATAATTTGAAAAAATATCTGAAATAATTCCTAATCGAGATCAAAATGTGACTAGATTTGAATTAAATGAAAGATCTATTTGGGAGTTCTTGGAGTCCTTCGATTATTATTAACATATGGATACAATTGTTCAGGTAGTTTATTCTCCGAAACATACCGAAATCCTTCGGCTTTCAGAGTTGATAATGCTCTGTAAGTTTAAAGATTACAAAATTGGTATTTTTGAAATTTCAAATATGAAATTGTTTTGGAAGAAGAAATCAAACATTTAGGAATTCAATTTTTTATAAAAATTATTTTCAGAATTTTCAGCAAAAAATTTTTTTTTGGAAATTAAATTTTAAAAAATTAACTTTTTTTGTGAAAACAACAGATTCATTTAAAAAAAAAAATTTTTCCCTGTCAACTTACGTATTTAAAAGAAAAACACCATATTCGGAGCGAGTGATGTTGTCCCAATTCTTTGAAACTCCATGAAATTCCCCAGCCTGAAATTATTAAAATATTATTTTTTGAATATTTTCAAAGAAATCAACTATACCTTTTTATTGCTCAAATTATTCAATTTAATTGCTTCAATAATACAAGCTTCTCTAACATAAGCTTCTTCATCACTAATTCCATGAGATATTTCATGTCGTGGAATTGCAAGACCAAGACTCCATAATTCATCGATTTTTCGAAGTTTTTCATTGGTTTTCTACAAAAACGAGGAAAACTCAATTTCAAGATTATTAAAAATAATTAAACTTACTAAAGTTTCGGGTTTTTCTTTTTCTCGCATTCCGTGCATCAATAAAATGAGCCAATGGTCGATTTTTCGAGCCTTTTCCAACATAAAAAATCGATTCAACAAACATTTTGAATGTCAATTTATCAACGTTGTCTCCAGTTATTCGTGGATCAAGAATTAAATAACAAAATGCCGTGTACCCGAAACCATCAACACTGGAAAAAAGTGTTTTACAAGGGAGTCTTTTGAAAAATTGAATGAACATTTCTGCAGAAAAATATGACGATCAGGTCAATTTTGCCAAAAAGCTTTCAAAAAGGCAGAATAATCAAAATTTTAGAAAAATATAAATTCAAACAGAATTAATTTTTGCAATATTTTCCGGCTTCAAAAAATTCAAATCTTTCAGAAAATCAAAACAAACCTGAATTCCTCTCTTATTTTTTCATCATATTTCCTTGTTCTTGCTATAAAATGATCCGGAATCACACCATTTTTCAACACTAATTCTAATTGTGGAGAATATTTCTGAAATATTTTTTAATTCAAATTTTCCCAATAATTTATTCGAAACTCACAATTTTACTAATATCCTGATCTGGTGAATATCCTCTTTCAAAAATTCTGGTTTTCTCCGACAATAATTTTTTCTCATAAAGTCGCCGAGTTCTGATATCAAATTGTCCAGCTGGAGATATTCCATATTTTTTCAATTCTTTTCGTAATTCAGCATCTCTCATTCTTTTGATTTTTCTCATTTCTCCATCATCAACATAAGTTGGTGTATTTGGTTCGGATATCGTCATTTTCGACATTTTTGATTCAATTATCAATTCAAGGGATTCATCAGCAGTGAAATATGCGGTAGTGTTATGACCTAAAATCAACATTTTCCGAAATTCTAAATAGGATGAAAGAAACATTTTTCTCACAAATCTACTCTTTTTGTTTAAAAACTCAAAAAATTCAGATCATTTTTTAAAAATGCATGATTTTTGACTCTATAGAATGAAACTTCAAAAAACAAACAACAACATTCAAAAAAAAATCCTTACCACTTGTTTTCCGTTTCTGTTTTTTGAGTATTCTCTTTTCTCCATTCTTATCGTCATCTTCTTCTTCTTCACTAGTCGATTTATACATTTCAATTGGTGGAGCAGTTGGTGTAACTTGTTTTCTTCTTGGAGTTTTCCATGTTTCATCTTGACTTCTCGATCTTTTTCGTTGTGTTGATCCTGTATTTGCAGCAACTTTCTGTCTTTGATTTATATTATTATTAGTAACTTTTGGTGTATTCAAATTATCCAGTGATAAACTTTTCTTTTTTGTCAATTTCGCCCGTTTTTCAATGCGCGTTGGAGTGTTTATTGTTCTAATTCCTTCTGATGTCATTACAGTATCTTGAAGCTATAAAAATAGAATTTTTCTAAATTCAAATGTAAATTTATGCTCTTACCTCAACCGAACTATTTCTTCTTGTGAAAACACCCAAAGTTGCTCTAATTTTCTTTTTGGCTTGTCTATAACTTCGACTTATCGCATTTCCTCGATTAAATGAATTGTCTTGTTCGATATTTTCATTTCTTCCTCCTCCAATTTCACTTCTTCCATTTGGTCTTCGAATAAAAAAAGTGTCATTTGGTGGATTGTGACAAGCAAAAAATCGTCGAAATATTCCAACTCTTTGATTATTATCTCGTTTTTGAAATCGTCGAAGAAATCTCAAAGTATTCCCTTTTGCAACACTTATTGGTGTTCGACCAAGTTTATCACAAAATCTCGGATCTGCCCCAAATGTCAGTAAAAGTTGACACATTGCAACATTATCATGAGCACAAGCATAATGAAGTGGAGTCAGTCCATCTTTATCGATTGAACTCACATTTGCACCATTTTCTGAATTATATTAATAAGCTTGATGTATTTTCTGACAATCAAAAACTAACCTAATAAACATCTTGCTGCATCAACTGCTGTTGTAGAAGAACTCATAGCCAAATAATGGAGAGTTTCTTTCTTTTTTACAGCCATTTCTGAAAAACTCAATTTTCAAAAAAATCAACTTTATCTCTTGTTTCGTAAGACAAACATGAGTCATATACGAGAAAAAGAGATACAAAAGTTTCGAGTGCAAAAAAAAATGAAAAAGCTATTTTTTATGTTCAATGAGTATAAAGAAATTTCTTGAATGATTCAAAAATTCTAGAAAAAAAGTTTGATGTTCAAAAATTATGAAATATTCCGATATTTAATTGATTAAATTTTCTCTCTGGAATATAAGAATTCAATTTGCTACAAAATATGCTGTACAAAATTGTTTTACAAACTCAGTTCAAAATACAGACCGCGGTGATAACCAAACACTTCTGAAAAAACGAATGAAAAAACAGAATTCAAAAAATAGTCAGAGGGACGCGCGGACTAGTTATTCTAAAAACTAGGCCACACAACCAAAAAAGGCTCTCAAAATGCATGCGCGCGCATTCCCGGGATCCCATCTCAGCAATTGACTCTTTAGACTGACTGTACGTTCAAAAAGTAATTTTATAAAAAAATGTACATCTTGAATTTTTCTTCAGTTTGGGGATCTTATTTAGATTTCACTCATTTCTATTTTACAGGAAAAACGTCAGGAAAATGATGGAAATATCGAAACAATTTATGAAGCAAATTTTAGTTGAGTGATTTTCAAAAACGAGGAACACTGGAGGAAAAGTGAGTTTTTCAACATTGTTTTAAAATTTTTCAAAAGCAAAACTTGAAATTCTCTCTTCCCCATTTTTGTTAAAAGTACTGAAAAAATTTGTACAGCCAGTCTACAGAGTCAATTGCTGAGATGTGATTATTGTTTTGAATCTGTGCATTGTTTTTTCAAAGTGTTTTCAAAAATGGTATTTTATTTAAAAAACATGTACAAAGGCAAAAATATCATTTTGCTTCAAAAATCAAGTATTTTGATAAAATATGAGATCTACAGTAACCTTTCGAAATAATGTTTTCACTGAAATCTAATATCATTTTTGAACATGGATGAATGAGTGAAGAAGGTATTTGATGATTGATATTTTAGTTAATATTGCGAGTCTGAAGTGTATTGATATCTAGTTTGATTCACATTTCCGTTTTTTTTTGAAAATTGCGAAAAACTGTAATTCCATCATAATATGATGTTGAAGTTTCTCATTTTTTATACTTGATTTTCAAAACAAATCCATTTAACACTGTTTACATAATCTTCGTTATGAGAAAAATTTATTTGAAAAAAAGTTGAATATTTCGTAAAATATCATTGGTTAGTCAATGTTTTCCCTTCTTTTTGTATTGTTTATTTTCTCATTGAGAAGCACAACAAAAATATTTTGTGTGTGAGCAGAAAAAAGCAAAGAGAAGAGCAACAGAAACATTTTATTTGCTGTAGTCTTATTCTCACTTATTAATCCGCTCCTCGCCCAATTCAAAAATGACTACTTCCGCTCTTTCTTTCTGTTTTTCAATGATGATTGATGAGACAAAAAAAAAATGAACTGACGTGTAAATGAGATGAATAAAATGGACAACAAAAGAGAATATCAAATTACTTGCAAACATCCGATTTCCTCTCATTTGATTAATTGTAATGAAACATTTTCATACTGGTTTTTTTTTGAAACATCGAAAGATTCGTTGAAAATTTCTAATCTACAGGAATTTTGAAAAAAAAAGGAATCAAAAATATTACTGTAGATTTCTCAAAAACGTGGGAAAATTTCTGGAATTTATCACAAATCTTTCAACGACTTCAGACAGACAAAACTCTGCACTTTTTAGTTTGTTTCAGCCATATCGGTTCTTTTCCAAAGATCAGATATTTTGGATTCACAATATTCTCTAATTGCAAAATTAAAAATGAAACTCAAAGTAAAAAAAACATGGAAATGAAATTTTCTACCCATGAAGAATTTGAAAAATGAAAACGTGGAATTTATATTCTTGCCGTGACCTTGTTACAAAAATCCAAAAAAACAAAACGAATTTATTTTCAAATTCCATTTTTCTCCGAATTTCTCAACTTCTCCCTATTCCTTTTTTCAAGGTGAGCTTTTTTGTTTATGAAACTTCACTCTTTTTTGCTCGATCAGCCAGTTTCGGCGATAAATTTCAACAATAAACGGGTTTCGGGGGTTTCTCTCTTTTCAAAGAAACAATAATAACAATAAAAATAATATATAAACATGATTTCAATATGTGTTGCAACAGCTCTTTTTTCTTTTTCATATTTGTCATTGTTTCTACAGGTTCTCTTTTTCTCTTTTTTCTCTATTTTTTCTACACATCTATCTATCTACCATACACATATCCAAATTCTTGTTGTTTTTTTTTGCGCAACTCCTTCTCCCTTCTCGATATTTGCTCCGCCTGTCCGTCCGTCCTCCGTCCGTTTGGCCGGCCGCACACTTCTCGGTCTTCTTCTTTTTTTTTGTGTTGCGGAGCACTTTTCCACGAAAGTTTATGTAAGAATCACACGCAATTTGTTTTTCGCTTCATGTCATTTTATCCTTTAATTTATCTTCTGCTCTTCTTTAATAGAGCAGAATTGATTTATTCAACACAACAATTGGATACGTTTTGTCTTCAACCATTTGTTCCTGAAAATGCTCATGTTATTTTCAATGAGCCTGGACCATATGCGAAGGATACTGTAGCCAAATATAGGTTTGTCTTATTTTTAAAGTTTTGGGAAGGAGAGAGAGTTGATAGGACACTGTATGATAGCTTTTGAGTTTAAATTTAGTGAGCAACAATTTTTCTAATTTTAAGTTTTGACTTTTTTCTTTTTTTTAATATATAAGTTGCTTTTCAAAATCACAAGATTTCAAAATTTTCAAAACTTTTCTGGGTAGATCAAAAACACTTCTCCGTTAAATTTTGTCGATTTTAGTCCTGCCCACAAATTTGTGTCAGGTCTAACGAAATTTGGGAACATTTTTGGGCACTCGGCCAAAAAACGACACAGCTCAGGGCGACTCGCGACACATTTTTCGAGATATAAACTTATTCTGAGATCTTCTCTAATTTCTGAATGATAAACTTGAAAATAAACTTTTATATTTGAAATTTTTGCACGAAAATGTCCAAATCTCAAATATCCAAAAACAAAAAACAATGAATAATTTCAATACCTTTGACCTTATTGAAATTTCGATTTCGAATTTCGTTTATTTGTTTATTTGTTCGATTTTTTGCTGCTTCTGACACGCCGAGATCTTTTTCCAATCCTCCCCGCTTTTTTTGTTTTTTCGTCTAAAGAATAGCGCAAAACACGAGTCAACTTTTCGTTTTACATATTAAGTTCAGATAGTTAATCCTGTTAGAAAGTCTCATTGATCGAAGTTATCAAATTTCAATGCTCACAAATTATTTGAATAAACATCGGAGTCATATTTAATAATATAAATATGATGTGACGACAAAAAAAACGAGGAAAAAATAAATAAACAAACGTAAAATTGGCGGATGTGAGCACGAAAAAGTTGTGAAACGTAGATACATTGAAAAATATGGAATGAAAATTGTGGATCTGAAAATTCATAATTTTTAAAATTACACTCACAATTAGTTAAGAGATTTTGTTTCGAAAAAAAATTCAGGATGACTTTTATTCGCTTACAATGAAATTTCAAAAATGTGTTCTCAAAAATCAATCTGTAGACTATTTATAGATTTCAAAAATCCTACTTTCTGAGAAAAACGTTCTCGTCTTTCTTTTCCCTTTTTAGCCCCCAGTGATTTCATTACAGTTGTGCACTTGGTTTCGATTTGATTGGTTCAGAAGAGCGAACTTGTTTATCAGATGGTAGTTGGTCAGATGAACCGCCAATTTGTGCAATTGATGTGTCATTCAATAAACCAGTCAAACAATCATCCGGAAATGTTGTATTAACACTTGGAACAACAATGTGCACTATGACTAATGATGAACATAAATCATATTGGTATGTTGACAACTTTAAATACAGTGCTCAATTGAAACCTGAAGCTCACTGTGAAAATTGCTCTGTGACTTCTCTCACATTTTTTGTTTTTTTTCAGGGAAGTTGATCTACTTGGAGAATATTCCGTGCGTTCGATTAGTATTCGATTAGGTCCAAAATCTTCGCCAATAATTTCTGTTGAAGCGATTCTCAAAAATGGAATGAAACAGGTACTTTTTGAAATTATTATTGGTCGGAATTATTTTTTTTAATTGTATGAGCAACTGAAAAATGCATAGGGTTACTGTAGATACTCTGGATATTTGTAAAAAGAAGTGAATTCGATTACTGTAGAAAGTTCGAAATAACCGAAATACTGATTTTTTTTGACACAAAATGTTCCAAAAACGTCAGAAAAATAGAAACTTCAAAATTTCAATTCCGAGTCATACATTTTTTATCCAAAATAAATTCTAATTTTTCAGCAATGTATAACCGATTCATCTTTGTTCACAATAAATTCAACAACTTCTTTGAGCTGCTCTTATGACGACATTTCTAGAATAAGAATTACAGCAACTCGTCGATTACATTTATGCCAAGTTAATATTTATGCTGTAAATGCCGGTAAGTAGCCTCATCCTTTTTGAATATAATCAAAACACATCCAACAAAAAATGCTAGCCGAGTTCAAAAAGTGTACATTATTTTTGCTTTCGTTAACATCAAAAGCGCGCCACTTCAAGTGTTTGCCACCTGTTTGTCTCCATTCTTCAAGGGGAAAACAGAACAGACAAAAAAAGAAGAAAAAACAATTCTATAGTCCTTAAAAATAAGGAAAAGGTGGACAATCGTTAGGGAAATTTAGCAACGAAAACTGAATCTGATTCTAGAAATTATTGAATCGGACCTACAAAAAAAGATGACTATTTTTGATTTCAGTAATAAACTTTGAACGAGTATAGAAATCATAGGAATGCCCTGGTTTTTATTAAATTTTTTTCCCAATTCTAAATTCAAAATTATTGTAGTTTCACCTTGGCAATGTGCCCAAAGTCAAATGGAAGTGATTGGTGTATTTGGTGGAATGTGTTATGCAGCAAGTCGAGATGAACAAACTGATTGGTTGGGAGCACAAAGAAAATGTTTGGATCGTGGATCAACACTTCCATTGAGAATTGATGAATTAACTAGAAGAGGACTTCGATCAACATTGACTGCTTCATCAACTGCAAAAGCTTTTTATTGGATAGGTTTGTTACATTTTTGCTGAAAATCGGGAGGGTTACAGAAATATATCCTCTGTTGATTATTCAGTGCTTCAGCTGAATTATTTTTGAAATCTTATATCATTTCTGATTCTACAAAACCGTTGTTTTTCAGGTGCCTCTTCATCATTGACTGAATGGCGTTGGGTTGATGGTGAATCAGTTGGTGACAAAGCCGATTGGCCATCATCACAAATTCCAACTCCTGCATTATCAGAAGCTGTTTTACTTGCTCGACCACTTGATTGGAAATGGGTTCCCGCTTCTCAAACTGCATGGAATGCATTTATTTGTCAATCGAAACCAAAGTTTTGTACATCTCCAGGAGTTGGAGAATCAACAAAAGTCACATTTTCATCACATTCTTATGCAATTGGAACATTATGTTTTTATTCTTGTGATTCTGGATATGAATTACACGGTGTGAAACAAAGAGAATGTGGAGAAAATGGAAGATGGACTGGAAGTATTCCAAATTGTTATAGTGAGTTGTTGGAGAGAGGAAAAATGAAATGTGCTACAGTAATACTTGACTTGGAAGAGTACTGTAGTTTTAGAATACATTTCTAATATTAATTTTTCAGTTCAATATTTTTTTTTCAAATATGGTTTATGATAAACATTGTCAGTGGGTTTTTTTAATTTCAAAATTCACAAAGTTCTGCCCTCCGAAAATATAAGAAATGAATTTCTATTTGACACGTGTCAAACGAATAGAAGTTCACGTTTAAATTAAAAAAAAAAAAAACTATTTTTTTTTCATTTTCCTGAAAATTATCATTTTTTGCAGAAAGATCGTGTGGAGCGATTCGATCTTGGAAATACGGTAGAACGAAACTATTAAACAAAACCACTCTTTATCAAAGTTCAATAGAATATGAATGTTCAATTGGCTGGCATCTCACAAATTCAGCATCTCGTTCAACTCGTCGAATATGTCAAGAAGATGGAAATTGGAGTGGAAATGAACCAACTTGTGAAATGGTTGATTGTGGAAAACCACAAACAATTACAAATGGAAGAGTTGAAGTTGATTCAACAACTTATGAATCAATTGCTAATTATTCATGTCATCCAGGATATCGATTAATTGGACCAGATACTTTAGTTTGTGGAGATCGAGCTGAATGGACACCTTCTGTTCCATTTTGTTATGGTAAGATTCTTAACACAATTCAGAATATTTATGTTTTCATAATTTATATATGTTTTAGATATAGCAACACTTCAAGAAATCAAAGGTGCTGCATCACATGAACATAATAATCCAAATAATACCACAGATGGAAATATTGCATTGGCTGTTTTGGCTGTTTTATTAGTTGGTTGTTTAGTTGTTGCAGTTTTGAAATTATCAAGAACTTCTATAAATAATCATGATTTATCAATATCTCGTGATAAATTGAATTGTTCAAATGCTGCAATTTATGCGACTCCCTCAATTCAAACACAATCACAACATCCTGATTCTGTTATTTATTATGCACCAACTGTTGCTCATATGGAAGTAAGATTTTTAAGGGGGAAGCTGAATTTGGAAGAAAGCATGTCCCAATAAAAAATTTCAGTGATTTATCCTAGATCTCGGAAAAAGTTATCAAAAATTGTTTTTTTTTTCAAGGTGTTCTTATTCTCTTTTCACATTCAAATATTTTCTAGGTTCCTCCTCATCTTTTACAACTTCAACAACTTCCAAATGGCAATATTCACGTAACTCTTCCAATTGGCCGTCAAATGACTCGACCATCACTTCCGATTTTCTCAACTTCAATATCACCAACACCTTCGCAAATATTATATTCATTTGATCACGAACCAATTTATGATGTTCCTCCTGATCACACAGGTAAACTTTTTTTGCGTTGAGAAGAATTAATAATGATAATTAGATGAGTAAATATAAAAAGAGTACGCTTTTTTTGGTGAGAACAATTTCCTAGATTATTAGAATGTTCTCTGAAGATTTTTATCATCTCATCGAAATTTTATTTCATACCTCGGCCAAAATCGTGGTTCCCATAATAAAAAATTGTACGCTAACTTGTTACAGTACAACATTTTTGGATTTTTCAGTTTTTGTCCTCTAAAATTTGTGATTTTTCAATTTTTGACCTCTAAAAACTGAAATTCAGGTTTTTCCAAAAATTGTACTAGTACACTCTGGCCAGCCACGGCTTGGCCGAGGTGTGTTTTATTTAAAAAATGTTTTTTTGAAGACAAAGTTTGTATCTTGAATAAGAAAAACTATTCCAAATATTTTTTCAATAAGAAACATTGCATGTGTAGAGTACTTTAATACTATAAGTTCTATTATCTTCGGTTTTTTGCAGAATGTATATATGAGCGAATGCCAGAAAGACCAGCTCCGCCAATTCCAATTCGAGGAGAAAGTGGAAAAAATATTCAATGATGAATGGGTCGAAATACTTAACCGAGTGTCACTAGATTTTATTTATTTTACTTTTTCTTCTTATTTTTGTCTTCTTTTCAATGACGGGTACAATTATCATAATATTAAAGTGTTTATTTGTATTTTACAATAATTATGAAACAAACATGTATTTATCACTTTTTATGGTATCGCAGTCATTTCGAATTTTTCGATTTCCTCATTATTCTGTCGAAAAAGTAAAGGAGAATCGCATGTTGAAGCAAGGCTCTAAAAATTGAATTTTTTATTCGTGTTACTCAAAAAACCTGAAAAAACAAAAATATTTTCTATTCAAAAGTCATTCAATTGGTACTAATAGTCTATTTATTTTTCAAAAATAATATTTTTGCTCGAAAATATTTTTCAAAGCTAAACTAAAAAAATAAAACTACCTGGGCATCAATAGCTAAAATCATATGCGTTCTATCAATTTGTTCAAGTTCTCGAACAACCCGTGATGGAGAACAACTACAGTACCAACTGAGAAAACTTCGAATATTTGGAAATTCTTGAATTGGTCTCCATTTTATAATGCATACTATTGTTAATACAAGTACAATTGGAATTCTGAAAAAAATCGGCTAGAAAAATTCTGTGACGTGGCAGAGTACTGTAGATTTTTCCAAAAAGTTCACGATGTAATGTTGTTCAGAATGATCGATTACATAAAACTGAAACTTTTGAGAGTTTTCAGAATTTACTGTAGTTTTAAGTTGTCCAAGGAAGTCTACTCAGGAATTTTTTTGTGCCCGATCAGCACGTTTTGTGCATTTGTACGCGTTCAGTTCCTATCGAGTACGCGTTCAAACTTATGCGAGTTCACGTTCAGTCTTTTTAGCTGCTTGGCTTGAAAATGTCATGTTTGGATAGATGTTCTGAACCCGTACACACATGAAATAATTTCGTACCGGTACAGTCCGTTATTGCACGCGACACACTTTTGGGCTGTGCTGATTCAGTACTTTTTGAAGAGCACGGTGGTCTCGACACGAATTAAAGGTTCAGCCAAACTCCAGGAAAATTTCTCATTTTTTGTTTCGAAAATTTTGGGCCTTTTTTTGTTTTCATCGTTTTTTTGGGGAATTGAACGTCGTTTCAAATTGATTCTTTAAAATTAATTCAAGAAAAATAATTATTGTCGTTTCATGTTGAATTTGTCTTATTTTAATATAAATCCGTCTTTTTATTCACAATTTTTGTTTTTCGAAATACTCTTCTTGCGTTTTTTGGGTTATTTTAACGTTTAATTGTAATTTAACAAAATTTCAGAGCAATCATGATTATTGCCTCAACTACAATTATCAAAAAGCAGTCAATTTCGAAGCGCGGCTGGAAATGAGGATAATTAGAAAAGGTAAGCACTTTAAAAAAGTATCATTTGAAATATTTTTTGTGCTTTTCTGTACAAAAGTTGGGAAAATTTTTCTTCCTAGTAAATAAATAATCCAACATTGGGAAATGTTCATTTTTCAAAAAAAAAAAGCTAATTTCAAGAACTTTTCCAAGTGTGAATAAGTTTCGGATTGTGAGAATTAGATTTTAGAGAAACAGTAAACAGTAGGGATGATTCTTTGACAAACCCCAGGAAATCCTAGGAATCGTTTTTTAATCCGAATTTTGTAAATTTCACATCACTGCGTTTCATATTTCAACTGCAGATCAAAACAGAAGTTTTTTACTAACATTTGAGCCAACCAAAAAATCATCTGTACTTCCGAGACACTTTACAAAAATCCTTATAATTTATGAAGTATGATAGTTATGGTTGATAAATCTCATTTTAAATCTGAATTTTTGAACAAAATTTTCTTTCAGTCAGTCAACTACAACAATATCTTCATGGATCAGCAAAACAACATCAATCCCCAGTCAACAAATGCCGATCCATCAAGACTTCTCAATCCGACTTGGCAAAAATCTACACAGCCGCTCCATCAGGTCAACCCACCAACAATCTACAGATTGTAAAATAATTGAGATTAGTTAATCAATAAATTTTTTTTTTCATAAAAGTGTACCTGTTCAGTACAAATTTTGCTCGCACAACGCCTTTTTCAATAGAAAAAAGTGTACGGGTTCAGGACATTCAAGCGAGCGACGCAAGCAAGCGCGTACCGGTTCAGTTCCCCAAAAAGCGCTCTGTACTAGTTCATTTCTTTTTTTGTTCCGGTTCATCTCCAGTTGAGTGCTGGAATTGACTGTGCTCGCGATCTCGCACTAAAAAGGGATTAAACTGGTACGAAAAGTGTGCTGAACGCGTACAAAAAAATTTCTGAGTAAGTTCTCGAAGTTTTTGTTGTAAAAAATGATAAGGTGCAAAATCGGATTAAAAATTTTGAAAGTAATAGTAAGATTCAAAAATGAGAACTTGAAAAAAAATTAAAAATTGAGAAATTACTATATCAACCCTCTTTGAACATATTTGAAAAAAAAGTTTTCGTAGTCTTGGGATTTTAAGATTACCCAAATTTGAATCAAAAACTTCGCCATTGATTTTTCTTGCTAGGAATTCATTCCTGATTTTTTAGAACTCACGAATAAACGATGAAAAACGAAATCCAAGAAACTTCAGAATTTCGAGTAGTTATCTGGGGGTAGAAATGCATCACATCTGCAACAACAAAAAAACATTTCGATTTTTCCCATTTGAAATGACGAAAAGAAAATGATATGAATTCCCCATTCGAAAAAAAACCAATAAATGATGGAAGAAACAAAGTTTAGAAACAAAAAAGAAAGAATCTGACAAGTTTATACAATTTGAGTATTACAAATGATGAGATGTCATTTAGTATCAAATATTATTTTAGTTTTGAAGAATTTTTGAATCTCTTGTGAAGAGAAAATAAAAGGAAAAGGAAAAAAGTGAGCAGAGAAAATGTCAATGAATAAATTAAAAGATGGACATGGTTTTATGAGTTTTTTCAAATGATCCTTTTTTGTCCCTTGGAAAAAATGAGAAAAAGCTTTTATTCCAGATAGACAAAGAATGAAGAGATGGAATACTTATTTTAGGAAAACATTTTGAGAAAATAAAAATAATTTGTTGATGAATCAAACTTCAAAATTAAAATTAAAAAATAAAAGAAATCCGAGATATTAACAATTCCAAACATCGCTGCAAAACTATTATAAAATAAAAATTTTTGACGTATTTTTTTGAAAAAAAATGAAAGTACGGATTTTTCCACAGAAATTGAAGTTTTTCATTCTCTATTTTTAAAGTAAATATTGAAATACAATAAAATGAGCCACACGAATAGAAAAACGAAAAAATCCAAAAAAAAAAAAGAGAAAGCTAAAAAAAATAAGAAATCGGTAGGCGACCCAAAGATGATAGATGGAAATGTCATTGTTGGTGTTAGTGGTTGTGTCACCAAATCTCCGCCCATTTTTTCTATTCACAAAAGAAGAAAAAACGGGGAAAAGGGTGAGAGAAAAAAGAGGAGAAGCAATTAGAGAAGCTCTTTCTTTTCGTTTTTTTTTGGCTCAAGAGTGCCCTGATTCCTTTCGTTTTTGGCACTCTTTTTGTCTTCTTCGAGTGAATGACCTGTGTAAGAAAAAAAGAGGAAAAAAGATGGGAAAAAGGAAGAAAACACTAATTTTATTATTGCGAAAAAAACGACAAATTGAATTTCAATTTGTATTGGGTGTCAATTCAGACATAAAAAATCAGACAATTTAAAAAAATAGTATTTGATGCATATCTATATTTATTTGACAAGATTCATACTTATATCTATGAAAACCTATGAAAATTAAAAGTTATTATAAAACATTATATCATACTTATTAGAAATTACAAATACTGTTATTCTGTTGATTTGCTCCCATTTTGTTATGAAGGATATATTGAATATCTGGACTAAAAATGGGAAGTGAAGCATTCTTCAGTTCGTTTTCAGAACCATTTCTCTGAAATATGAACTTTTATTTATTATTAATTAAATTGAATAAAATCTTACCTCACAAACGAAAATATTATGAACCAATATATTTTCATATTCTCTCATTGATTTCATAAATGTATCATATTCCACTAGTGGCAGGCTTCAATAAAATCATCATTTTACGAGAATTTTCTCAAGCAATGCATTTTTTTTTTGAAAAACGATAGTCACTTTTCAAGAGTACTTTTGAAATTTGGCAAGAAAAACTTACAGTTTAAATTCTTTACGAACAGTTTCGCATATCATTCTAGCATTTTCGTACTTTTTCTTGAAATCATTCAAATAAATACTGGTTCCATGTTGTCGCAATATTATTGGTTGAAAAAGATAAACTTGTGGATACGGAGATGGATGGCTGAAAATTTTGAGTAAGAAAAATGTTGAGAAAATTAATTTAAAACTTACAAATTTAACATCGGTTGATTATACATTTGAATTCTTGTTATTGTTGAAACTTCTTGTTTTTCAGCCAACTTTGTTTTGAAATTTTTAATAGCACTAAGATGCATAGAGTTATCTTTTTGAAGAATTCGATTTTGAGATACAAGGTCTGAACAATTAGCTTCAACCTTTAGAAGTTGTCTGAAAAAAAAACAATAGAAATGTTTAATATAACGAATCACACACTCTTTCATGATAATATTTGTTGTAGATAATTGACTGATCTCATCTTGAAGCTTTTGAATGATATTGTCTTTTTTGGCACAATTCTTCTCTGATTCCTCTAATTGATCTTGCGTAATCCTGTAAAAGTATTTCGAATATTTTATATACAAAAAGCAATCAAATCTCACTTTAATTTCTCAGCAGTTTCTTTCAAAAGTCCAACTTCTAAATCCAAATCTTTTCTCGCTGTCAATGTTTCTTTTTCATTTCCCAAAGTTGCGGTGAATCTGAAAAATATATTATTCTTCAAATTAAAAAAAGCATTTTTTTTCTGTTTTCATCGTAACAAAAAATTTCGAATAACTAACTCTTTGAAAAATCGTTCAATCAATCTCATTTCTCGATTTTCAAAATGTACATAATTTTTCATAACTTTTTCTCTAGCAATATCAACACATTTTGCAATATCTTCCGAATATTCCAGGTTTCTATTTGTTCCACGTGTCAAACAATCACAATTATCTTCTACTTTTTCCTGTCTCTTTTTCATAGCAGATTTTGGAATAATCTGACTATTCAAATTTTGGTGAAAAGTTGTTGTTGTATTTTGGAACTCCTTAAATATTTCTTGATTTGAATTTTCGACTGGAATATTTTCGATTTTTCCGATTGTCTTCTTCTTCTTCTTTATCAATAGAATTCCTCCTTTCATTCCAACTTGAAAATAATCACCGAGTTTTTCACGAAAACCTTCGACAGCTTTTTCTTTTCCTTTCACCATCTGAAGAAAATAATATTTATTTTAAATAATAATTTAAAAAAAATTCACCTCATCGATATTCATTCTATGAAATTCATTTAAATCATCTCCAAGAGTATCTTCGATAATTTCTTCAAATTTCAAAATAGTTATTTCTTGATCATTCGGAATTCTTGAATAAAATACTGATAAATTATCAAGTAAAAACTGGAAGAATGTATGATTTTCAGCCGTTTGCTTCAAAGAAATACGTCGTTTGTTCAATTCAGAATAGAAATCAAATAAATATTCGAAATCATATACAAACTTTTCCCAAAGTTGTTGATTGTTTAAAATAAAATTCAACATTTTGAATGTTGAAAACTGACAATAATCCCAAAGAACAGCATGTGCAATTTTCGAAAATTTGTAAACCGAATAAATTTTTGGTTTCAAATATATACATACATCACTGAAAAAAATATCATGTGTTTTTAAATAAAAAATATGACTAACTGAATTCTAGTTTTAAAATATGCGATGAATTCCACAATTTCTTCATAACTTGGCCGAAAATTCATGTCTAATTCCATTTTCTCATTTTCAATAGATTTTGTGAAACAAAATTGACAATTCATGAACTGCCCGACACATTTTTCAAAAATGGCAAAACATCCCATATCTCCAGAGCAAATCTTTTTCAAAATATTCAAATCTTCATCGTCCAAAAAATGACAATATTCATTTCGAATAAAATCTTCAAATTGGCTCATATCTACCGATTGATTGTGTTGGAAATGTGAAAAATTCCTGAAATTCACAGATATGACTATTATCATTCAAAATTAAATCAACTCACAAAAAAGTTCCAAGTTTTTGACAAAACTCAATAGGGTTTTTCCTATCATTAGATAATTTCGAGATTTCAATCATATGGTTTGTGTTTTCAGTTTGCTGTAAACATATCAAATAAAATAAATAATTGAAATAAACGAACTCACATGTTTCAATAAAACTTCCTTGTATGATAAATCTTCTGGTTTCGTGTTCAGATTTTCTTCAATGATTGTTTCCTCACACGAAAATATTGGATCATTTTTAAATTTCCAATTTTGCCTTGAAACTCCATCAATATCATCAGGCAATTGTTCTTCGTTTTCTTCACCAATATCCCAATCAAATTCCGTATCAGAAGAAGGAAGAGATGGTATACCATCAGGAACAATGTAAGCCATCTAGAAAAATAATATGATACTTTAAAAATTAGAATAATAAAATATTTCAAAATCGTATATTTACGATTTTAATCAAACCAAAGCAGCTAAAAAATTTTTATTACAAAAACAAATTTATTCAGGCTTCAAAAAATAACATTTAACACAATTTTAACACTTAAAAAGTTAAACAGAACCCAAATCACAGGCAGAATCATCATTTTCATTATTTTTGGCTTCACGTTTCTGAAAACAAGTAAATATGAAAAATTATACTTAAAAGTCTCTATATAAATTACTAACCTTTAGTGCATTTCTTTCGCGTTTTCTGCGGTTCTTTTCATTTTTTCTAGCAGCCCTTTCAGCTTCAGCTTCAAGTTGTTCATTATTATTATGGTAGATTTGAGAAGTTTCAGCATATGTTTCCTTGATTGAATCAGAATCTTCGATTAATTTGTCAAAAAAGTGGAGTGTAACATCATCAATTTCCAAGATATCTTCATCACATTTCGAATGTTTTGTTGATTCGAGCAAACCGCGAATATCAAAGTCACAATAACATTTTGGAAACAATTGACACCGCTCATGATGATGATAAAAATATGCGAACTGAAACAAAATTATATTTGCTTTTGAAAATTGAATAATAAAAAAGCAACCTGTGGGAATTCGAAAAGCATCATGAAAACAATAGCTTCTTCGCGAAGTTTGAAAATCTTTTCAGAAAGTGATAATCCATCTTCATCATCATCTCCTAATTCTCCATGTTCAAATTCAGTTTCAAAAAAGGCGGCTTCAATGGCTGCTTCCAAACTGAAAAATTGTTTGCAGAATGGTCGAGCATTTTTGATATGTTCCAAAATGGATTCAGGTGTCAATTTGATATTTTCGGATTTGAAAGAAAGATCATCGTATGGCTAGAAACAAAATATTTTAATATTTTATAGTTGAGTAATTTCTTGCCTGTTCAACCAAAATTGGCTTGAATTTCTCTCTCAAAGTTTCACAAGCTGTTTTCACCAAATCTTCATCGATGAAAACTGGCGTATTCTGAATGAAAAACATTGGCAATCGTTATTTTTTCTCCAACTCACCAAATCTGGTGGGAACAATGAATTGAGACTTTGGATAATTTCGTGAAATTGGCAATATTTCTCTGGAGGACAAAATTCGAACACGTTCAATTCCAAACTAATAAATTGTACAACTTTTCTGAATGCATCAACTCCCCAATTACAATATGTTCCTTTTGGTGAAGTAACTGGCATAACATTCATATATCCAGGAACATAAATATGATCTCTGCGTAATGGTAAAACACAACCGATTTTGTCAGAATTGTCGAAGAAATATTGTTTGGATAATACTTGATGAAAACCTTGTGGTAGAATTGGAAAGGCCATACCTGATTGAAATAATTCGTTAAATTTCGAAAACATAGTTTAGACATCAATAATTACCTAATTCTTCGACTGTTACTTTTCTTCCTTTGTCAACCGATAAAGTGTCGGTAAAATACGCTTGTGCTTCGCTTAAAAAGACGTATTCAACTCCATTTTTTCCAGTGACAAGACGAGGTTGGATTTTATAAATTTTCTGTAATTGTATTTTATAGAGATGATTTTTCAAATATAAATATTTTATTACCACCCAATACGCAATTTCTTGTTTTGTGAATGATGGACGACGATTGGCAATCATCAATGCATCCATGAACTTGGTAAATGGACCATAAAAATCTGAATTTTGTGATTTCGAAATATGAAATATGATGAAATACATTCTAACTTACCCATCATTTCTGGTTTCTTATCATACATATCGAAAATTAAACCTAAACCAATATCCAAATCAATTTTTTTGTGTTTGAGAAGTTTCTTGTCGAAATATTTCTCGGTAAACTCAGCATAATGTCGTGGAACCATGTGAATCTTTATCAATTCTTTCATTCTTTGCCCAGAACACATTGAGAGCTCCATTTTTAGCTGGAAAACAAAATTTGAACACAAGAACAAAAAACCGCGTAAAAGCGAAAAAACAAGACAACTTCAACAATTTCGATCGAAAAAAATATTTCACGCGTTTGTATACGGTATGTTGCTGTGTACACACACAGACCGCAATATTGCGGTATAACATTTGAATTGACGCGCACATATTTTTGTTTTTCACTCAGAGAAAGCCGGCGACTAATCGGCGACGAATTTACGACGAATCGAGATCAGGCGACTAATCGTCTGTCAATCGTAAGTTCGCAAGTTCGTCGGCGAAAATAGTGTGTGTTTCCCGGAGACGCAGACGAAAAAGTTTCAGGCGACTAATAGGCGACCAATCATAAGTTAGTCATAAGTTAGTCGCCGATTAGTCGCCTGAAACTTTTTCGTCTGCGTCTCCGGGAAACACACACTATTTCCGCCGACGAACTTGCGACTAACTTGTTGGTCGCCGATTAGTCGCCGGTTTCAGCCCTGTGTTGGGACGAACAAATAGAGAAAACGCGACGCAGACACAAAAAACCCCAAAAAATTTTTGAAAATGAAAATTCATGGACCATCGCTTCAGGACCCAACAGTTGGCTGGTTGCCAGCCTTATTAAATTCCGCGGGTTTTTCAGTTTCGCGGTTTTTTCTTTCGCACTCTACACACTCTCTCTATCTCTATTTGTTCGCCCTGAAACGAAGTGTAAATTTCGAATTCGAACTTTGAAGTTTTGTTTTGTTTAGCTTTTTAGATCTCTTTAGAGATTCACTCAGAAATCGTGTATGCTTCACTCGGAATTTATAGCTGAAAGAAACTACATTAAAACATAGTTTTTTTGTTATTCCCATTTTTTCGAAAATATGCAACTCGTATGATTTTCTCGTGCCTTTTTCATTAGACTATATTTTTAGTTACACAAAGGAATGCCGAAACGTAGTAGCGATAAAGTGAAAAGAAAGGAAAATGTAAAGAAGTCAGATGAAATCGATTATGAAGTTGAACGAATTCTGGATCATGTCACGTAAGTTTTTCTATTATTTTGCTAGTTCCAATCACAAAAAATGACACGTGACTGATGTGTTTAAAATTTGCTGTTTGTAATTGAAAAACACAACAGTTACACGTTTTCAAAAAGTCGTTTTTTTGCACTGGACGCAGCATTTTGTTTCAAGTTGTCTTAGTCTCTGCAAATCCATAAAATAATAATTATTATTCTCATTGATCAGATTCGAGCATGCTTATAATCAGTATTACCACAAAAAAGATGAACGATATGAGAAAATGTTCAACGAATCAACAGCCGACAGTCCTCGAATTGAAACTTACAAGTACTATTATTTGGTAAATAAATTTGTATCGAATTCAAATTAGAGATTCGCTAAATCAATCAAATTTTTTCTATTTTCGAATTTTTCAGATCAAATGGAGAAATTTCGTGGAAGAAGAGTCAACATGGGAAAGCGAAGAGAATTGTTTATCAATGGATAATTTGAAATACTATAAAAAAGTGAATGGATTGCCAGAAAAATGCATCAAAATCAGAGGAAATGTAAAGAATCGAAATCTTGATATACATGAATTTGTAGTTGGAAATAAAGATGATAATGTGAATAAAGAACCATTTGGTTTCTATCCAGAACACTCAACATATAACGAAAATTTTGGAATTGTACCACATAATACTCTTCAAGATGATATGGAATTACAAATATCGGTAAACTATTTTTAAAATTGTTGGTTCATAACTTAAATTTTCAGAACGATCTCACAATCTGGCTCAGAACCGACAACACTCATAAATATGCTGTTTTTGAATATGACATGTCATTTTTGAGTTGTACGGTTGTCAACAATGATTCTGAATTCGAAAAATGGCAACAAGAAGCTCAATTGTATGATAAGTCTTATATTTCTTCCATTATTCAGTAAGTATTTACTGCACAAACTTTTGTTTATTATTTTTATTATTCTTTACAGACATCCGAAAATTGTGAAGATGTTGGATTATTATTACAAATACAAACAACATGGTGAAAATTACAAAATCTCATATTGTTATATTTATGAATGGCTTGAGGCCAGTTTAAACGATCAAATCTCGCAGCAAAAAATGACTTTGGGAAGATCGAAAAAGTTGGTTATCTCATTATATTTCCCCAATTAATTATTGTTTTTTTTCCAGAATGTTCTCAGATATTTTATCGATTCTCTCACTGTTACATAATTATGGAATTCATCAAAGTATTTCAGCTGCTCATATTTTCAAAAATGGCGAGGATTACAAATTGGGCTATTTCAAGAACTTTCATTTTTTCAATGATCCAAAAGAAATAAATGACAAAAGATGTTATTCACATGCGTATAAACCATTGAAATACTATGGAGAATTGGATGAAGTTTCGGCAAGATTTTTTAAATGTTTATTAACATTTTTGTTTCTAATTATATCTGAAAAACTTCATTTTCAGCTTGATATTTATGCTCTCGCTGTTGTTTTATTGGAGTCATTAACAGGATCAACTGTGGAAAATATTGAAAATGACTCATTGATCAAAAGTTGTATTGAAGAGGTACAAATATTTCAGGTTTTTTTTCATCGATGTATATTTTGCAGAAACTTTCATATCTTGAAGAGCCCGAAAAATCGATTATTTCAACAATTCTGAATTCCAGTGAAAATATTCACGTGAATAAACTTCCAAAATATCGATTCTCAGCCAAATCGTTGTTAAAACATCCATGGCTTTCGAAAAATGAATTTTCGAATTTCACAAAGTGTTATTTCCTCGCTTCGTATTTTTCATATCCAATTGTGGGTTTTTTTTTTGAATTTCATATCCATTTCATTTTTTACCAGGAAGAAGTGTTGTTTTTTAATGAGAATGAACAAACAAAAACAGTTATTGATCGCATTGTTCAATTGTATTTTGAAGAAACTGATGATGTTTATTATCAAGCACTTCTTATGCCAAGTTTGAATGAGAAATGCTTTATAACTTATGTTGAAAATTCTGATGTTTTGTCAGAAATTCTGAAGAATAACAAAGAATTCAAATTGGTAATTGTTCCTATTTTACGTGCCAATCATCCAGATCCTTTTATTAATCCAATTATTTCATTGGTTTATTTTGAAGATGAATTTGGAGCTGTTCCAATTGTAATTGAGGTAATTTCATATGTTTAATAATTCTTTCGAAAATCCATAGGTTTTTTTTTGCAATCTAGTTTTTTTCAGAGTGAACCAATGGACGATATGACTATAGCAAAAACAGTAATTGAACAAGCTTTTCCAATAATGCAACGATATTTACCGTTTTGTGTTTTACGTTTGCCACCAGAATTTGGAATTATTGATGTTGAATATGGTTATATTGATGAATCGATTGTTGACACCAATATCAAGCATTCATTTGTCAATAAAAAAGAAATTCAAAACGGTTAGTTAAATTTTAAAAATTCGAATAAATTGATTTTTTAAACAGAATTATCAGAACCCAATTCAACATATAATATCACTCAAAAGGTTTATAAATTCCCAATTAATACTTCAAAAGAAAACAAATACACCGGAAAATACAGAATTTGCGAGTTCCTGATGAAATTTGGAAAAATGAAATACGAAAGAGAATGTAGATTCAATCGATTTGGTCCAATCAAAATGCAACAAGAAAGTAATGAAAAAGATGTGAGTTTCAGTTAATTTTTAAATAAATGAGAGGAATTGTCCCAATACTGAAATATTTCTCATTTATGTTCTTTTAGGGCACCATTTTATGTTCTTTTAGGGCACCACCAAAGATATATAAAACTCGACAAATGTTTTATCGGAATGATCCAATTTTTTAAAAGTTTCAAACTTGTTACTTTTTTTTTCAAATAAATTTGTTTTCTGTTAATTAAATATTTGGTTTATCATTATGAAATGTTCAATTTCATTTATTATCTATGTTATTATGAGCATCCCTTTAAAAATAAGTCAAATTTTCAGAATGAGTGTGGCTAAAACTATAATCCTTGTTGTTATTTCATTATATTTATTGTGCAATGTATCAGCTAAAAATCCAGATTATGAAACAAGTGTGGAAAATTTTCTTGATGAATTGGATGGAAAAGAAGTGAAACCAATCAGAAAACAGAAAGAACACGAACATAGTCATCATAATCATAATATGGAAGGACATATTATGAAAATGTGGTTTCATGGAGGATATGAAGAAGTTATTCTTTTTGAATTTTGGAGAACTGATTCAATTTTCGGTTGGTTCTTTTAAAAAATAGTTGTTTTTACTAATAAGTCGATTTAATTGAAATATTCGGCATTCTTTTGGCGATTAATCGAAAAAAAAATCTGAGGGTTTCACTACAACTGATTCACCGTAATTTTTGCTAACAATAAAAATGGGAGTGACATTTTTTCACTTTTATCTTCGAACGTGGATTATGGGTTAATTAGAAAAAAAAACTAATTTTTCTTTCATTTCGAATTAAATTCAATAAAAATTCCAATATATTCACTTTTATCGCAGGTATCGTTTTGTCTTGTGCTGCAATTTTTATAATGGGAGCAACTTATGAAGGCGTCAAATGGTTTCGTGTATTCCTATCACAAAATTACGCCATTTGCACACATTTCAATCACAATAAATCATGTGTCGAAATCGCATTACAAACAAGAACAAGTAATCAGTCTTCTTCTTCACGAAATCAAACTGTCAATAGCAAAATATTACAAAATGAGCCATTCGTTGTTTCAAATAATACAGTAAATCGATCAAGATTTTCGCAAAGTTTTTCTCCATTTTCAACTCAACGTTTGATTCAAGGATTGTTGTATGTTATTCAATTGATTTTGGCATATTGGCTTATGCTTATTGTTATGACTTATAACACATATTTGAGTGGGTTTTTTATTGGGAATTCTATAGATATAGAGTGATTAAGGTATAAACTACAGATTTTCAGATAAATACTCGGAAAAAATGTTTATTTCGAACATTGAAAATATTAGGTTTAAAAAGACAAGTAATATAAATAACCAAATTTTCTCAATTTTTACCGAAAAAAAATCACAATATCTCGACACTATTTTTCAAAAGAAAATATAATTCGAAAACATATTTTTCATTAGTTTTTCACAATCGCTGAATCCCAAGTTTTTTCCCAATCTTAAGTAATTCCCTGAATTTCAGCAATCGCAGTTGTTTTGGGTGCCGGCTTTGGACATTGGCTTTTTGCTGTTTTACAACTTCGAAATAGTGATGGAGAAACAACTGATTCATTTCAAACCGATGCTTGTCATTGAAACAAATTGATTTTAAACTTAAGTTTTTATCGGGTCTTTTAGTTTTTTTTTCAAAATATTTAAATTGATTAATTCTTATTAATTTTCGAGCTCTCTGCATCTATATATCTATTATTTTCTAAATTTTTAATTCAAATTTTTCAAGTAAAATGAATGCAAATAAATGATTTTATTGAAAACGAAAAGATGATATAAATTAAACACGTCTGCGTTTTCTTTCTGGACATGGACAATATTCGGCATCAGCTCCAACTTGTCCTTGTGGTCCAGCTTGTCCTGGAGTTCCATCATTTCCATTGAAACCATCTTTTCCTGGTTGTCCAGTTGGTCCTTGATTACCTTGTTGACCTCCTTCTCCTGGATTTCCATTATTTCCTGGTTCTCCTCTTGCTCCTGGCAATCCTGGTCTTCCAGCAATACCTGGTGCTCCTTTTCCAGTTAATCCATCTCTTCCTGGTGGTCCAGCAAGTCCTGGTTGTCCATCTTGTCCTGGATGTCCTTCATCTCCAATATCTCCAATTCTTCCTGGTTCTCCATCTTTTCCTGGTGCTCCTCTCTTTCCAGCATCTCCTGGCAATCCTTGGAATCCTTCTTGTCCTGGAAGACCATCTGGTCCTGGTGGTCCAGCTGGACATTTGATGCATTCCTTAGGGAAATCATTTGGAACTGGAATATTAAGTCCTGGTAATCCTGGTGGTCCACTCTTTCCGTCTGGTCCAGTTGCTCCTGGTTCTCCTGGTGATCCTGGATTTCCTGGTGCTCCAGCTGGACAACCTTGAGATGGAAGTCCACAACTACATTGAGAGTTTGATCTCTTATGACGACCAAAGATTCCACGAACATATTCTTCAGCTGATTCTCCAGCTCCACGACGAACATCAACAAGACTTCCCCAAGTATCATCAGAAATATCGCGGAATGATCCAAGTTCTCCCATAACATCATCATACATTGAATTGATATCATTTGTGATAACAATTGCAGCCCAAAGGCATGCTAAAATAGAAGTAATACCACAAACGGCACCGAAACCAACAATTGTCTTCACCATTTTTTGAGATAAAGATGAAAATAACCTTCGATTTCATCTTTCTTTTATAATGAAAAATAAAACTGGATAAGATTTATAAACGAAAACTTGATTTTCTACAAGTTTTTTTTTTCCGTTTCGTAAAAAAAAATAGGCGCGCCATTATCTTCTCGAAAGATATTTACTGATTAAGCTCAATCAATGAATACATTATACTTTTTATGGAAATGGAAATGAATTCACGGAATTTTCGTAAAGCAAACGAGGAAAGATTTTTTATTTTTTACAAAAAAAAACACGACAAAAATTAAATAACCTATGAAGAACTACAAGTTCAAAATATCAGAACTTCAACTTTTTTTTTGGCCAAAAACCAATTGGTTACGTGAATTTATTCAAAAACATACAAAACGTCAATAATTTGAATTCCCTCCTCATTTGCAAACAACACTCCGCTTGCCCGTTCTTTAACCACACAATTTAGCGGGGGTATTTCGTTTTTTATTTTTACAGTTTTTCTGTGTTTTTGAAGTTTCCATAACTTCCAAGTGACTTCTGAGTGTCGATATATTCAATTAGTTATAACACCAAATTGCCGATCATTCACCAAAGTCTGAAATATTTGAATTTCTAGAAAATCGATAATAACACATAATTGAGTAAATGGGTGATGCAGATGTACAACGTAAGTTTTTAATCAATTTTTCATAACAAATTGCATACTTTTTATTTTTAGAGATTTATGAATTGGCGAAATCGATGAATGTACATTTAACAATGGAACAAATCGCAGCAGTTGAAAGGGTAAGCATAAATACATTTCTATTTTCACGCACTTACGTGTTTTTTCCCTATTCATCATTTCTTTATTTCTCAATCCCGCGAAATGGAAATTGTAAGTTTTTTCAGATTATTGGACTTGGCGCAAATCCTGTGAAATTGGTTCGACTGATACAAGAAATCATTGCTCAACAGTCTCCGAGTGAAAATAATATTCACTAATTTTTCTCAAACATTTTGTAATTGTAAAATAAAAAAGAATATATCGGGTTTGATATCTTTGTATTTTTTTTTAATATTGAATGGTTTAATCAACCAAGAATTGGTATTTCAATTAATTTTTGTAATTTCGTTCTGATTTATGTATTTAAAAAACATTTTTTAGAATGAAAGAAGCCAAACTTGATAAGGGTATGTTGCATACCCTGGAATTGGAGAATTTTAAATCATACAAAGGAAAGCATACAATTGGTCCATTTTCAAGATTTACGGCAATCATTGGTCCCAATGGTTCTGGAAAATCTAATCTTATGGATGCTATTTCATTTGTTCTTGGAGAACGAACTCAAAGTCTTCGAGTCAAAAAATTATCCGACTTGATTCACGGAGCTCCAATCAATAAACCCGTTGCAAAATCATGTTTTGTTACAATGAATTATGTTTATGGAGATGGAGGAAAAACAAAGTCATTCACAAGAGGAGTTAATAATGGATCATCTGAATTCAAAATTGATGGAAGGGTAGAGTTTTTGTTATCAAACTATAATTTTCATGATTTATCCTTTTTTGTAGCAAGTGACTGTGCAACAATATAATCAAGAAATGGAAGGAATCAATATTTTCATCAAAGCTAAAAACTTTTTTGGTATATCAAGGAGCAATTGAATCAATTGCAATGAAAAATCCAAAAGAAAGAACTCAATTATTCGAAGAACTTTCAAGATCTCATGATTTTCAACAAGAATATGATCGATTGAAAATTGAAATGAATAAAGCAGAAGATGATACACAACAAAATATGAATAAAAGAAGAGGAATTGCACAAGAAAAAAGAGAAGCTAAAATGGAAAAAGATGAAGCTGAAAAATATCAGATAATGAAGGATAATGTTGCAACAAAACAAAAGATTCTTTATCTTCATCAAATGTTTCATTGTGAACGACTTATTAAAGAAGCAAAAGAAGAATTGACTGAACAGAAAAAGGCGATTTCACATTTGGAAAAGAATAAAGCAGAAGAAGATGCAAAAGTTTCAAGTGTTCAACAAGATTACAAGAAATCACAAAAAGAATATCATAAAATTGAAAGAAAAATTGCGGAAAAAGAAAAGGATTTGATGACTCAAAGACCATTAGCTGTTCAAGCTAAAGTTGAAGTTCAACATCATCAAAAGAAATTGGAAACAGCAAAGAAAATGTTGGCAACGGCTGAAAGTATGGAAGAAAAAAGTAAAGGACAATATGATGCATTAGTTGAGAGAAAAAAGTGAGTTATTAATTATCATTGATGCAAAAATTACCGAAATATTCATTATTCTAGGGAAATTGAGCAGAACAAGAGAGAATTCGAAGAAGAAATTGCAGAAATGACACAGAAACAAGAATTGAAATTATCAGATGAACAAGTAAATGAATATGAAAGTTTGAAAAGAAAAGCATTGATGGAATCAGGAAGAGTTGAAATGGAATTGATGTCTGCGAAACAAGTTCTCGATACTGACAAAAGTAATATAAATCATGAATTGAGAAGAAAAACTGAGCATGAACAAAGAGTAAATACAAAAGAAGAAGAAGTTGAACGATTGAAAAGACAAATTGAACATCTTCAAGCTAAAATCAAGGAAACTGATGAAGCTGTAAAAGACAAAAAAAGTGGATTAGGACACATTGAAAAACAAGTTATCGAAACAAAATCGAGAACAGCTGAATTGAATAAAGAATTGATTGATGTTCAAAGAAAATTATCAGAAGCTTCTGGTGATTCGGCGGAAGGAGAAAGAAATCAGAAACGAAATGAATGTATCGATAATTTGCGAAGAGTTTTTCCAGATAGAGTGAGTTTTTTCCTGGGAAAGGGGGGATTTGATTCGGAGTTCTCGACAAAATCATTTTGATAGGACCATATCTCTCAAAATCTCTCACAATTTTCAACATTCTCATAAATAATTTATTTTTCAAATAATAAATGGAATTTTTGTTGTCGAAAAGATTCCACCGTTATTTTCACTGTAGAATCTTGTTTTAATTGGCAGAAATTCGGAAAATTTTCAAAGCTCGAGAAGAACAAAACAAGAGGAATTCTAAAAATTATTTTTTTTTTCATATGTTGACTTTATTTTTTTGAGAATTTTCAAGAATTTGTAAATTTTCTTCATAATTCTGAATAAAATCAGAACATTTCTGACACTATTTAAATAGAATTTCATTCTTCTATGCGATGTCCATGAATATCTGTATTTTCAGATTTATGGTCGTCTCGTCGATTTATGTCAACCTTCTCATAAAAGATTCCAACTTGCAATCACAAAAGTTCTTCAAAAACATATGATGTCAATTGTTTGTGATACAGAAGAAACCGCAAAAGACGCAATTGCATATTTGAAAGAACAAAGATATCAACCAGAAACATTTCTACCAGCTGATGCATTGGATGTCAATCCAATTAATGACAAATTAAGAGATATCAAAAAACCAGCTGGTGTCAAATTAGTTTTTGATGTTATTAATGTGAGTTTTTTCTTACAGTTAATTAATGTTTTCAAAATGTTTATTTGTATTTTGTTTCAGGTCAATAATCAAGCAGCTCGTAAAGCTCTTCAATTTGCATGTGGAAATGCATTAGTTTGTGAACATCAAGATGATGCAAAACAATTAGCATACGGTGGATCTGGACTTCCAGATAGATATAAAGCTGTTGCAATGGATGGAACATTATTCCAACAATCAGGTGTTATGTCAGGTGGATCAGCTGATTTGAAACAAAAAGCCAAAAAATGGGATGATAAAGTTGTTCGAGGACTTCGAGAAACCAAAAATAAATTGATTGAAGAAATTACAACTTTGAGCAAAAATCGACGAAAAGAATTGGATGTTGAAGTTGAAAGAAATAAAATAAGTGAAATGGAAAATCGATTGATTCATATGAGAAGAGAATTGAAAAAGATTAGAAGAGGAAATAATGGAAAGGTTAGAAACTGAATTGGAAACATTGAATGCTGAATTGAATATGTTACCGCCAAGAATCAAAGATTTGGAAGAAAAATTGAAAAAAACTGAAGGAATTGTGGGTGGATTGGAAAAACAAAGTAATGCAGTTGCTGATAAAATATTTGAACAATTTTGTGCGAAAATTGGAATTCGAAATATTCGAGAATATGAAGATCGAGAATTGAGAATTCGACAAGAAAACGAGGATAAATTGCGAAGTTTTGAAGATGAAATCCAAAAATTGAAGTATGAAATTGATTATGTTCAATCAGAAGATGGCGGGAAAAAAGTGAAAACTGAAAAAGAAAAGGTTTGTGTATTTTTTTGAGTTTCGAAACTTCTATACGTTTTCCAAATCACAAAGTGCATAGTTTATTTCAGTTTTATTGTTTAAACCATTTGGTTTTTGATTGTTCCACACATTTTTATTAACCCTAAAAAGGTGTTTCAAATAATGTTAAACCCTTATCATTTTTCATTTTTTTTTTCAGGTTTCCCGACTCGAAAAAGAATTCAAAGAGCTCAAAAAGAAAGAGAAAAATGAAGCATCGTCTTTGAAAGAATTGGAACAATCATTAGAAGATGAAAAAGAAAGATTGGCTGAAAAGAAAGAAATTGTGCAAAAACTCGAAATCGAATTGAATGAATTGAAAAAAGCAGCACAAGCAGCAACACGAGAAATCACAGCCGCTGAAAAATCATTTTTAGGATTGGAAAGTGTTGTGACAAGAAAACAACATGAAAGGCATACATTGTTGCATTCAGCGAAAATTAATCAAATTAATTTACCATTGGCATCTGGAAGTTTGGCCGATATTGATTATGATGATTTTGACGATGAAGATGAGGATATGGGTTAGTTTTTGAATAAATAATATCCCTGATGTATATTTTCATGATCATATTTATTTAGAAACTGATGCTTCAACATCGAATGGAAATGGTCCAAGTGTTTCACAAGAACAACTTGATCGAGAATCACATATCAAAATGAATTATAGTTTATTGCCACGTGAAAACAAAGAAGTTGAAGATGAGGATAATGTGAAGAAAATGACTGATCGATTGAATAAAGAAATCAATGAACTTCAAAATTCAATTTCATCTTTGAATGCGCCAAATTTGAAAGCAAATCAACGGTGAGAAAAACAACTGTTTTGTTTTATTTTACTCAGGCAAATCGTCCCACCGGCGCAACACCAAATCTCCACTCACTCAACACCGTTCTTCCACCGGTGGGCCCACCGGTGGGAAACCGGTGGAGCTTCGGTGTTCCACCGGTGGGAAAAGGGGGAACACCGGTGGAGTTTTTGGTGTTGCACCGGTGGCGTTCAGGTGTTCAACCGGTGGGATTTAGGTGTTGCACCGGTGGGTTTGGAAAATTTTTTGAGAGAAATTTATTTGTTTTATTTTTTCTGTTGAGAATGGAATATTTGAATTCCTTTGAGTAAAATTAGTTCGTCAGAGCGAACTTTCTCACTATCTCTTTAGTGGAGAGACAAAAATTCTCCGGACAAGAGAAAACCTCAATAATAGAAGCATTTTGAAGTTGAAATTCGCGGATTTCGTGGAAGGTCATGTAGTGAGTTCACCGACGTTTCGCGAGGCGCGCGCGCCGCTATGTTTTTGATAGGCCGTTTTCAATGCTCGTCTTCCATTTTATCAACACCAGTGGAACACCAGATGAAAGGTGGACAACCGGTGTTGATTAGGTGGGAAACCGGTGCTAATTAAGTGGACCACTGGTGTGGTAAAAAATGTTGGAAAAAAAAATTAAGCGGTGTTAATCCGGTGGGAAGTGGTGTTGCGCTGGTGTTAGAACGGTGTTCAGTCAGTGTTAGTTGAGTGGAACACCGGTGTTTTTTTCTATTTGGTGTTGCGCCGGTGGGACGATTTGCCTGAGTATATGTTTAAAATAATTTTTTTGTTTTCAGTATGGAAGAAGTGAAAGAACGAGAAGCTGAATCAACTGAAGAATTGGAAACTGCTCGGAAGAAGGCCAAGAAAATTCGACAACAATTTGAAAAGGTTCGTTTTTTTTTCCAAAATCTTTTTTTATCAATCAATTTCGAAATGAAGAGACACAGAGAAATAAGATACTCATTTGTTGTTTTCTTCACTTTTTTTGTAACAATGATTGATTTTTTCGTGAAGTTGTGTTTTTTTTTTCAAAAAAAAAAAACAATTGATTTCAGATAAAAACTGAAAGATATCGTCGATTCCAAGAATTCTTTGATCCCGTTAGCAATGCCATCGATGATATTTATAAACAATTATCAAGAAATTCAAGTGCTCAAGCATTTTTGGGAGCCGATAACATGGAAGAACCATATCTTGATGGTGTTCAATATAATTGTGTAGCACCTGGAAAACGTTTTCGACCAATGGATAATTTATCCGGAGGTGAAAAAACAATTGCCGCGTTGGCTTTGTTGTTTGCTGTTCATGGAAGAAATCCGGCACCGTTTTTCGTTTTGGATGAAATTGATGCGGCTTTGGATAATACAAATATTGGAAAGGTAAGAAATACTAATTTTGACTGTGAATGTCATAGAAAAAAGGGCGTACAATAAAAAAAATATGACGGGGAAGAAATAATAATTAATTTGAACCTTAATAGGTTAAAGGAGGAAAAACTAAGGAAAGTTGTGATTTGCAATATTTTGCCACGAAAAAAAAATTAACTGATCTCACGTTAGAAAATTGAGTTTATGCTTCCAAGATATATATTTTTCGAAAATTTCGAATTTTTAAAGAAAGAAAAAGAAAACTTCATTTGGATTTTTTCTGGAAAACATTTCACCTAAAATCTTCATATATTTTCAGGTTGCTTCATATATTTGCGAAACAGCTCGAGAGCAAATGCAAATCATTGTTATTTCTTTGAAAGAAGAATTTTACAATAAGGTATTTTATTTTATTTTATCTTTCTATTAAAATATTTATAATAAAATCAATAATTTTGTAGGCTGATGCACTTATCGGAATTTATCCTCATCCGGCTGCTTGTACAACTTCTGGTGTTTTGACATTTGATTTGACAAATTTTAAGCAAATTGGAATCAATGAAATGACTGAAAATGTTCCCCCAGCAGCAGCAGCAGCAGCTACAACAGCTTAATTATTTATTTATTTTGTTATTTTATCCCCCTCCCCTCTACCCAAATTGGTCTCATTTCACTCTATTTTATATATACTGTACCATTTTCGCATTTTTCCTATTCGTTGATTGAAAACTTTGAAATTTCTAGTTGTTTTCAAACAATTGTTTTCTGGTTGACTTCCAGTTCATATTTTCCGCTTTTCAGTTTGAATTTATCTGTTCAAACTGTTTTTTCAGTTTCATCAGATGGGATATAGTAGTGATGGATTTCCAGAAGAGAAAAATGAAAAATGGTCAGTTTTTTATTGATTTATTTTAATAAATATTGTTTTTTTTCAGGAGTTTCGAGAAAGTACGCGAATTTGTTCGCCGAAAAACCCGACGAAGAATAGATGATTATTATGATCTTGTTCCGAAACCTGGAACACAATTTTGTATACATTTAACTATTCGAAGTATACAGGTAAATATTTTCAAGTTTATGGATCAGGTTGATAAAATTAAAATTAAAACATTTAGTATTTCCTGAATTTTTAAAAAAACATGTTAAGTTTTTTCTAGCCGAAGCACCTCATTAAGATGGGTCAGGTAGAAAAAATCCATGAATTTTCTATAATAAAAAATTCTTTCTTCCAAAATCGTCCAATAAGATTTTTTAGTTCAATAAAAAGTGTTTTCTTCTTTCAGACAGCTACAGTTTTTGGAAGTATTCTAGGACCTGTTACTTCGTTGTTGATGCAAAAAACTGAGAAAAATGAGCTGATGTGAGTATTTTTTTTTCATTTTTTCAAACTTTGTTTCTTCAAAACAAATTCTTCTTGCAGAAATTCAATGGTAATTGGTGGAATGAATGGTGCATTGGTTGGTGCAGCTCTTGGACCTGTTTTATCGCTTGCAATGTGTAAAAATATGAACAAAATGAAAAAGTTAGAGAAATTGGTTAAAAACAAGTGAGTCTAAGAATGTTTTTTTTCGAAAACAAAAAAAAATCTGAATTATATTTTTTAGTTTTGATTCAAGTCAACTTTGGCAAGATCATATTGCAATAGCATCAGCTGCCATTGGATATATGTCACATGGTCAAGTTGGTTTGGTTGTTGGTCTCGATTTATCGCTCATATTTGCTCTTGTTACTAGGAATTGGTAGATTTATTCTTGTAATTAGTTTTGTTGTTAAATAGTTCTAATTGTAAATACTGTTTTTTTCTAGTCAACATTCCATGAAAACGGGATTGTTTCACTTATTCTGCTAATAAACAATTTTTGAATTTCATTGTTGATTTTTTAAAAACAAAGTTGAATACACTTTTAATATATCTTTCTGATTAATCAATAAATTTAGATTTTTATTAATTTATTATTTTTAATTAGAATGAGCTCATATTGGTTCAAGAATTTCGTTGGACTTCGTCAAAATGATTTCGAACTTTTGCAAGTTCCAAATCCTGGAGCCGAATTTTGTATTCATGTTACATTGAGAAGCATGCAGGTAATCAGAAATTCGAATTTAAAAATTTCGATGCAAATTTTTTTAAATTTCAGACCGGAGCAATTCTTGGTTCCATTCTCGGTCCTCTTTCAGCAATTGTATTCAAAGATCAACGAGCGAAATCAAGAACTTTGGTGTAAGTTTTCTATTTTCCTTTTTTAAATTTTAAACCATTATTTTTTCCAGTGATTCTTTTGTTTCTGGAGGTGTCAATGGTGCTTTAATTGGAACTGCAATTGGGCCAGTTTTGACATATTTGAGTCTTCGAAACATGAACAGTATTCAATTATATGATAAATGTTATAGATTACGGTAAGTTTTTATTTGGAGAAAATATAACAATAGAAATAAAATAATCAAATAATTTGACAGGTTCGATCAACAAGCTCTTTGGCAAGATCGAACTGCTGTAATTTCAGCAGCAGTTGGATATTTGAGCAGTGGATCGATGGGATTAGTTGTTGGATTGGATTTAGCACTTTTGATGAGTAATGTGATGGGAAGAGCTTGGTGAAAAAAACAAAAATATTTTCGATATGATTAGTTTTTGTGAGTAGTAATAAATTGTATGTAGAATAGTATTGATTTTCATCTTGGGTGCATAATTCCTCTTCCACCATCAATACGAAGCAATTCTCCAGTTGTAAATGAACTTTTATCCGAAGCTAAAAATAATATTCCTTCGGCAACTTCATTTGGAGTTCCAGTGCGACCCAATGCGTGCGTAGTTTTGCATTTTTCCAAAAACTGAAATGCTAATTGTTTAAAAGTTTTAAATGTTTTTCATACCTCTTTATAAGTCTCTTCACTTTGACCAGAAGCCAAATGGCAATTTGTAACAACTACTCCAGGACTTAAAAAAAGTTATTGTCGTTGAATTTCAAAATTTTAATTTTCACAAAACTAACCAAACTGCATTTACTCTAACACCATTTGGTGCCATTTCCAAAGCCAAACATTTTGTGAATTGATCGACTGCAGCTTTTGTCATACAATAATAAGTTACACCAGGAAACTGTGAAAAAATAATTATAAAATATATTTTTTAAAGTGGTTTTAACTTACCGGACATGGACCTGTTATACTGCTAACATTCACAATAGTTCCTTTTTGAGCAATAATATGAGGAAGTGCGGAACGAGTTAGACGAATTAAGCTGAAACATTAGGATTAACATATATTGTTTTCAAAATAGTTATCTGATTAACCTTCTGACATTCACATTCATAATTTCATCATAAACATCTATTTCGGAATCAATAACCATTCCATTTCTCAAAATTCCAGCCGAATTTATCAACGTGTCAATTTTTGAATATTTTGCCAATGTTGCTTCAACAATTTGTTTTGGCGCATTTTCATCAGTCAATTCAATTGCAGTTACAATTACCTACAAAAATAAGAGTTCCTCGAAAATATTAATTTATGAGTACCTGTGGTGCTCCTTGTTGTCGACATAAACTTGCAACTTCTTCAAGCGCAGCTTGATTTCTTCCAGTCAACGATAAATCATAGCCATTTTTAGCGAAAAGCAAAGCAGTTGCTTTTCCAATTCCAGACGAAGCTCCGCTAATTACAGCAACTGGCATCTTTTGAACAAACTAATTAATCGTCAAACAAAATTCAGATATTGTGGAAAGTTTTAGAAACTGCGAACTTTAATGAAAATAAAATCAATAAAAAACTTTTATCTACATTTTTAAAAACATCGAGTTAATTTATCTTGGATGCATAATCCCTCTTCCTCCATCAACTCTAAGTAATTGTCCAGTTGTGAAAGAACTTTTCTCTGAAGCCAAAAACAGAATTGCTTCAGCAACTTCTTCCGATTTTCCTGGTCTTCCCAATGCATGAGTTGTTTTGCTTCTTTCAAGAAACTGTAAAAAATAGTTTCGTTAAAAATGGATCAATAAAAATTTAACTTACAGCTTGATATGTTGCTTCATTTTGTCCAGAAGTTTTATGCAAATTTGTAACTGTCACACCGGGACTGAAAAAATTATTATCAATTACTTTTTCATAGTCAAAACGAAAAAAACCAACCAAACTGCATTCACTCTAACACCATTTGGTGCCATTTCCAATGCCAAACATTTTGTGAATTGATCAACAGCCGATTTTGACATACAATAATAAGTTACACCAGGAAACTAGAATACAATTCAAAATTATTATTTTATTTCAAAAAAAGACTAACCGGGCAAGGTCCATTGATGCTGCTGACATTTACAACAGTTCCTTTTTGAGAAATTATATGAGGAAGAGCAGCGCGAGTTAGACGAATTAAACTGAAAAATATAATTGTTTTCAAGAAGAATAAATTGAATTTTGATTTACAGAACAAAAATAACAAACCTTCTCACATTAACATTCATAAGTTCATCGTATACTTCAATTCCCGATTCCAAAACTGGACCTGCTTTGAGAATTCCAGCAGAGTTAATCTAAAAACATAGATTATTATTATTCTAAGAATTTAAAAGCTTACAAGAGTGTCAATTTTTCCTAACTTTTCAATAGTTGCATCGACAATTGTTTTTGGTGCATCATCAGAAGTTAGTTCAATTGCAGTTGTCAAAACCTTAATAAGAACAAAAATTCATTCAAATGAATATAAAGTTTCAAACCTGTGGTGCTCCTTGTTGTTTACACAAATTCGCGACTTCTTCCAATGCTCCCGAATTTCTTCCAGTCAATGATAATGCATAACCATTTTTTGCCAACAAAATCGAAGCCGCGCGCCCGATTCCCGAAGATGCACCTACAAAATAACAAAGTGTAAATAATACATGTTTTGTTGAAAAATTGAACTAACCTGTTATAATAGCAACTGGCATTTTTTCACAGTTTTGACCCTGTAAACATTGATTTTTTATTTGAAAGATAAGAGTATTCAGAGGTCAAACAAAAACACATAAAATTGAAAACTATTTGGCATTTATTCAGGGTTATTTATATGGTGAAAAATTCAGAAATAGATGTTTGGTGTCAAAAAAAGAAAGAAAAGAAAAAGAGAAATTGTGACAAACGGATTTTTCAATTTTAAAATGTTTACTTTTTTCTTTGCAAAGAAAAATGGCCGAACTTTTGCCAGAAACCGGCCACGGGTATAATTGAAACTGAGAACATCGAAATGGAATATTGGCAAATCCACGTATAATTGACAAAAGTTCACGTTGAAAATAAATAAAACGTCATTTTTAAAACTCAAACTATATAAAGTTTTTTCTCAATATGTTTCAAACTTCTCAAAAGAAACTATTCAAAAGTCATTCAAAATGTAGTTTTTCATGAAGTTCATAAAAATTCTTATATTTTTCCCAGCTTTCGCCATAATAAAAAACGTTTTTTTTCAAACAAAAATAAAAAATGAAGGCGCATAGTTTTTCAAGTGAAGGTCTCGCAACGGAGTGTCTGCGTCACAGTGTTTGAACACAGAATCGCGCAATTTTTATTTCCCAAAAAATTTCCAATTGGAGTTCGGTACTGAAAGAAATAGTTATATTTTCCAGATAAAAATGACTGAAAGAATATGGGAAGACACGTATGATTTGGCCTATAGAATGTATGAAAAGTCTATAGGAATTCATCGATCAGACATGGATGTATTTGATCGAGCAGTGGCAGATAAAAGCGCGAGGCTTATTAAATTTGATGAATTTACAGGTAAATAATTAATAAAATCTTTCTTGAATACCAAATATTTGTTCAGAAATCTACGAACTTCGAGTTAGGGAAGCCAGCATAAATCAACCAATTGAACCTTTGGTTAGAGGAATAGCACAATGTGATGTCGAAGAAATGAAACGGCGTCAGCAATTTGCAAATGCAAACTACCCGAAAGTTCTCAATATCAAATTACTTCACGCTTTGCCGCCAAATGGTTTTATTGCATTCAACTGTCAACATAAAACTACGATTGTTCTCGAAAATACCCTTGAGTAAGTTTTTCTGATAACTGTTATCAATTATAAATTGAAAACTTCAGGTATCTTGCCGATTCGCTCAAACCAGCTTTGATTGGTGATTTATTTCCCGGAGCAATATTACTTCGAAAGAAAAATGATAGAATCTTTCGCATTATGATATTGGGACAAAATGAGGATAATAAATATAATATTATTTTTATTGATAATGGAGTTGTTGGAAAAAGTCCAATTGAGAACTTATTTATGATGAAGCCAGGAGTTGATTTATCAAAGTTTCCGTGTGCTTTGATTTTCGCAAGAATTCGAGGTTTTCCGTGGCTCACAAAATCCGCGTTCGAAGAATTCCAACAATATATGAATAATTGGCACCAAAAGGAACAAATCAAAGCGGTTATTTTCAAAAAAGACGAACAAGATAATAATTTTGTTATTGATTTCAAAGGATTTTCTTATCGCAAAATGACGATTAGCGAGCAAATATCGCCCAAAATGAACGAAAACAAAGATGATCCGAAGATGATTAAATTGGATATTATGGAAAATATGGAACTCTCGTCTATTTCGGATACCCAAATGAAAAGATATTCCGATTCGCCGAAACCTGTAAGAAAACTTCGTCTTCCACCAAAATCTGCAGATATGTTGTAACATTTTTAATATTTTTTTGCAAGAATCTCACCGCCTGTCAATAAACTAGTTTATTATTGTCGAATTCGAAAAATGTGGCAGCCGTAAAAAAGGAAAACCAGTGCAGAGCTGAATGAATGACAAGCTCGTTACTTCGTCAGTCGCGTGCGGCTGTGCGTCGCGGCCGAAAAAACAAAGGAAAAAATAAATAATTGATTGATTTTCGACCGCGCCGCACAGCCGCACGCGACTGACGAAGTAATGACTTTGTCATTCATTCAGCTCTGCACTGTTTTTCATTTTTTACGGCTGCCACATTTTTCAAATTCGACAATAATAAAACACGTTTTTTGGAAAATTTGTGCGAAATGTTCTCCAGTCTGTTCCCATTTGTAGTTTTCATGAAAATGGGAATTCACTTTTTGAATCAAAACTTTTTCTGCCCATTTTTCAAAAATACTTCCTTCGTTCCTTATCAAACTATTCCATGATCAAACCCTATTATTGATTTTTAGTTTCGGTTTTCCGCCGCGCATTGGCCTACATCAGCAACAATAATATTGCTGTTTCATTTATTATCAATTGTTTTTTTAAGTCGCAAAATATTAATGAAAGGGCGTCTCACTGAAAAAAGTATAAAAGTACAACAATTTTTTCATGAAAACGAATCAGAAAAATGTTCAAAATTCTTACTGTATTTCTTTTTTTATTCGTTTCAGTCAATGGTATTTGAAAAATAAACAAAAAAGTGATTTCTGATCAAAAACCATTTTTAGGTGTTTGTCAACCAGCAAAAAATCTAATTGATTCGAGTCTTGTCAATTGTCCACAATGTAAATTTCTATCCGCTGACAAAACAGTTTCAGGAAGTGGAAATAAGGTGAACTTTTAAATTAAATTTATAAATTCCTAATTAAATTAATTTCAGTATTCAGTAAACTGTCCATCTGGACATACATTTTGGTGGTATTTAAATGCAAAAGAATTTCGAGAAGATGTTTCTTTAATTGGGGTTAGCTTTTGGTTTCATTCAAATTTTCTAAATTAATATTTTTCAGTCAAAATATACAATCGAATGTGATGGTTCATCGTGGAAACTAACAATTCCAAATCAACCAAAAGTTCAAAAATCCAAAATAACAGCAATTGTTTGTGGAGATCGTCGATGAATAATTTTCGAATATTCATAAAAAAATAAATCATTTATAAAAATATTCACAGTAATTTGTTGAACACGTAAAATCAGACTTTAGCGTAATTTTTTTCAAAAATATAAAAACGAATAAAATTTAGACTAGAAATAATGAATAGAATAAAAATAATACCTAAAAACATTGATTCAAAGAGAATCATCTTTTTCTTTCGATTGAGTTGGTTCTTTTGAAGATTCTTTTGAAACAGATGTTGGTGTTCGAACAACAGGCAAATCAATTCGAACTGATACTTCTTGATCCAAGTGTTTATCATCATCATTTTCATTCTGCATGTTATCGCAATCCTTTCGTGACTGAAAATTATTTTTAAAGTAAAATATAAAATTTTTGTAATAATATTATCAAATACCTGTCTCATTTTCCGAATAGTTTTCTTATTGTCAATCATTTCTAATGTAGCAACAACAGCAGTTGCTAATGTTGCATCCAATGGATCAAGAACAGCTCTTTGAATTACTTTTGGAATTGTATTTCGATGATCAAAGATCTAAAATATTATATCAAAATCTGATAAAATACAATGGTATAAAAATTTACCTGAAGTTTCTTCAAAATTTCATCAACAACTGGAGGTGTCCATTTAATTCGATCAATAAAACGAACACGTGGTTCAACACGCCATTCTCGACAAATATAAACACGAGGATCTGAACAATTGTTTTATTTTTATTATTAAAAATTTTAAATTACCTTTGAGTGGAGTATCTGAACCAAAACTTTCTTTGCTTGAACAAGTAACAGCTGGAGAAGAGAGCGATGAAGATGTTTGAGTATTTGGTGTATCCTGAAAAATTGAGCATTTATAATTCGAAATTTCGAATCCCAATTGTAAATGACCTACCTTCAAATAACTTTTCAACAACTCTGGAAGGAATGAAACTTGTGCATTGAAATTTGTTTCAATCGCAACTTCACTATAAAAATCGGTGACAAATGTTGTGAATACTTCAAGTGGAAGTCTAAATGCTGATTCATAATGATCTCCATCATCCAATCCATTTAATTGTTCTGTTGTCATTCTTGCTTCGAGACCAGGAAATTGGAATAATTCTAATACATTATGATTTGATTTTGGAGTATTTACAGATCCCTGAAAATGAAGATTTATTTGAAAGGAAAGGAAATAAAATTAATAAGTAGATACCTTTGTTTTGTTTGGTGATGAATTTCTAAATCTTCCAAATGATGTAACAGATGGATAAGTAGCAATTGATGTTGTTGATTGTGTATCTGCTCCTCCATTCAATCCAATTTGTTCTTCATCCACATTTTCTTTCATTTGCTTTTGCATATTATGATGTAATCCAAGTGTTTTCATAACATCTCCAATGAAATATTCCAGAATATCATCTGTTTTTGTCAAATGTCTCGCTTCATTAAATCTTGTTTGAACTCGGCAAACATTTGCAAGATTTTCAGTTCGATTTTCCTTTTTCGATCCAAGTTGAATTGAAAATGTTTGTTTCAAAAGTATTCCAATTTTTTGTTTTGTTTGATGATCAAGGAAATCCATATGAGCAATTGGATCGAAAGAAATAAAAGCATCGCGTAAATGAAAAACAGCCCATCTGAAAAATGAACAAATTTAAGAAAGTGAAAATATAAATCGAACTAACGTATCAGCATTCATATCTCCTTTCATAAGAACTAATGATATTCCATTTGCTTTTAATGAAACATGTCCTCCAACTTTTGTTCCATCTCTTTCCATTAAAGGTAATAATTGCTCATTAACCTGCATTTCAGAAATATAATCGATTACTTTTTCCCAAAAATGAGTTGCCGGTTTTCGTGTTTCAATTGTTGGATTTGGAATCTTTTTCGCGTTTGTATTTGGATTGAAATTTCCGAGAAGAATTCGTGAATTTTTCAATTGTTCCTGGAATTTTTGATAATCTTCAGATTCCAAAACAATAAAAATTACCTCAAAAAATTGAATGATTTTAGTGACAACCGCTTCAATATCATCAACAGTTGTTTTTGTAATAACCATTTGAATATCATCCCAAGATGATTCAACATTCATTCCAACTTCTGATAATACAATTTTATCCATTCCTTCTTTAATTCCAATATGATAATCAGAAATACTAAATGCTGGATTTGTCCATTTTGCAATCAATATTCTTCTACTCATCCATACAATATTTGCTGTAATCCAATCCAATTTCAATTTTGCTTTATTTACAGGCGGTTTTTTCGTATTTGATGAAAGTGAATGTGCTCCAGATATTTTCAAATTATTCAATTTCAAAACTCCTCCAACAGCTCCATCTCTTCCAGATAATTCACTTGATCCAAGTACAAAAGTCACAGTCACATCTCTTTCCAATGCCGAATTCAATTTTGCATCTCCCCAAAGTAAACCTTTTGTTGCATTCCATGAAACCCATCCCATTGTATTCGACATAAATGTGTTTACTTCAATTTCATTCCATTGAATTGCTGCCAATACCATTGCTGTCCATGGCTTTCTTTGATGTGAACCAGAAGATGATTCATTGCTCACACTACTTAATGCTGGTTTTCTTTTATCACTATCGAATCGACTTCTTGTTGTTGCAGTCATATCACTTCCTTCTTTTTGGCGCGGAGCAGATTGATCACCAAAAAACACTCGCCTGAAAAATAAAACAAATGAACTTGTTAAATTGATATTTAAAATATAATGTTTTACCTGGCAATAGCTGCACGATACCACGGTTTTGGAAATTGAATAAGTTCACCAAGTCGTCGGAAATTATAATCAAATGATGCTTTTCCAATTTGTGAAGTGAATACAAATCGAACTCGATTATCTGGTTCAGATGACGAATTCTTATTTCGACTTATCACAAATGATAATAAATCGAGTGATAATTGAAGAGCTCGTGATGATTCCAATTCGGGTTCCAATGGATTGAATATTTTCAGCATAAAATCTTTGAACTGTCCAGATATATAAATTCCACCAACATAATTATCTGCATTGTCATTTGATCTTTTTGTTGTCAATTCCAATGTTAATCTTGGAAGTGTTAAAAGACAATCAGCTTGTGCTTGATTTCTTGAAGTTTGTTGTTTTCCATCAAATCGAATTGTTGAACTTTGAACATCGAGATATAAAACAAAATCAATTGGAAGTGCAGCCGTATCAATTGCAACAATATTATGAACATCATTATTTGCTGGAAAAATTGATCAATTTTTTAAAAAATGAACTAGAATTGGGAAAAAAAACAAACCATCTTCTTTTTGAACAACAGTTGAAACATTTTGTGAATTTCCAACATTTTCCGATCGAAAAACAGCAGATGGTGGGAGTGGTTCAAGAACTTGTTCTAAATATGTTGCTAAATGTGGTGTTACAACAGTTTCAGTCGGCATTGATGCTAATCCAATAAACATATAAAAACATCCTCGTCTTTCATCAACTTTTTTCTTTTTCTTCGTTTCTTTTTGATTTCCATATCTCGATTTCGATTTCAAATCTTCTGTCAATTTTTCAGCATCTTTTGCCATATCAGTTGGTAACTTATTCTTTTTTTCCAAACTTTTTCCGAATTTTTGTGTTGCAGATTCAGCTGGATCCGAAACATGATATGCTTTTATTTCAACACTTGGTATACTGAAACTTGTTGTTGTCAAAGTTGGCGGTTCAAACATTGCTTTTATATCTCGAGTTCCTTGATTCAATCTTTTCAATGTTTCACCAATTTGTCCAGCTGCAATTATTTATTTTTTGATTGTATTTATAAAAATAAAATAATATAAAAACTTACGGAAATTCATCTGAACATTTCCTTCTTTTTTCGATGTTCTCAATGTACAAGTTCCTGATGTTATATTAACTTTCACATCTAAATTGAAATTGACAGTTTCAGTTGAAGGTGTAGTTTCGATTATTGGAGCAACAACTTTGACTGGAGTTTCTTTTGATGGATTTTCGAAAATTTCTCTTGATTTGTGTTCGCTTGCACTTGGTCGATTTGACTACAAAATTTATATATATGTTAAAAAAGAAGAATTGAGAAATGGTAGTTATTTTAAAATAAATAAATATTTTTTGCACAATTTTACGTGAACATCGTTTTAATTTTTCGAAATCAATTTCTTATATTTTGTCGATTTTTCAAATTTGTTTCATTTTTTAAAGAAAAAATAAGAAGGCCGGATTACGTGTTGCTCCAAAAAAATGTCCAATTTTGCTTTGAAAATTCTTCAATTTTGTTTCTATGCAACTCATATAATTTCCCAAAAAAAAAACTTACCCGACTTCCACTGGCAAATGATGATTCAGAAGTTCCTTTTCGCCATTTTTCGACCATATTTCTAAATAAAGTATTTTATTTTTCAATTCTCATAACATATTTTTCTTACCTTCTAAAAGCTTTGAATCGAATCAATTCATATTGTCTCAATTTATGTTTTTCAGCTTCCAATTTTTTCGTCGAAACTCCTCTTGCAGCCAATTCAAAAACAGCTCGAGAATGTTCATGCATTTTATTTTCAACCCACGGAACTCGATCTTCAGCTTTCAATTTCTTCAATTCATCAGCTCCTTCCAATTTTTCATCATCCGAATCCAAATCTTTTTGATCTTCCCAAAATGATTCATCATCATTATCATTTTTTCCAATCATCGAACAAGTATTCACCAAAAGTTTTGCCAATTTTCCAATTCTTTGATCCAAATCAATTTCAACTCCTTGCATTTCGGCTGACACACTTAATACCCATTTTGCTGGCTGATTTTTGATTGCCGTTGCTTTTGAGCATAATTGATAAGTTCCTTCAGGGAAAAAGAAACAATTTGATTGTTCACTGTGTGCAGCATCCAAAAAGCTTTGAGTCAATGCTTGTTCATCAAAATCATCAATAAATGATAATTTGAATCCATTGAAAGAAGCTTTACAAGTCAATTCTCGTTTTACCAAAACTGATAATTCAGATTTTTGCAATGAAAGTACAAGTGCTGGCATTCCTTCAGTAACATCATAACTGTATAATGGCATACACATATACATTCCATTATTAATTGCTAATGATAAATTCATATCAGCATCTTGAATATCAGCAATTTGTGTTGGTGAAAACATTGGATTCTTTTGTGTCGTATTTTTTTCTTGTACAACTTTTTCTCGTTCATTTCTCCAATAATCATATGTATTTTTATAATTCAACCATAATAAAATTGCCTTATCAATTGCAGCAGCTTTGACTAATAAAATTGGTCGATTTAATGATATATGATATGAATATGAGCTATTTAACATATTTCTTTCCTTATTTTCAACTCGAACTTGTGTCATAAAAGTAGCATATTCTTGTAATTCAGCAACAACTTCATCATATTGTGCAGCTTTTACTAATTGTCCTAATTTTGCATTGAAATGAATAACAGCACTTCCATAAATTCGTTCTTTCGATCCTTCTTCTTTTACAACCCATTTATTTGTCAATTCACCTTCTAAACTATCAATTGTTAATCGAACAGCTGTTTGTGTTGGAGTTGCAGCAGTTAATTGTAACCAAGGTATTGCTTTTTCAGGTACTTGTTTGACAACTGGAGTTGTAATTGTTTTTGGATCTTTTGTTAACACTTTGATTGCAAATAATAAAGGTGGTTTTTCATGATTATTCGTTGTTTTAACTTCAACAATTTCCACTTTTTGATTTGAATTTGCAGATGTTGAATTGGAAGATGAAGATGCAGATGATGATCTTATTCGATTTATCAAAGATGTTAATTCAGTTCGGAATGAATGTTCAGCAAACATCAATTGATTCAATAACTCCGTTGTAAATACATGATTAACACTTCCCAATAATACAGTCATTTGTAAACTTCCACCTTCTCGATATACCAATTTCTTATCTGTACTTGGTTTGTGTTGTTGTGAAGTACCTTGCTCAACTGAATAATGTCCGGTGCATTTAACTGAAGGCAATTGTAGTCGGAATGTTTCAGTTTTTCCACCTTGTCCAGTTACACAAAATTCGAAATAATGTTCATCGACTGAAATTGTCCATTTAGCTTTATCTCCAGTTATTCCATTACTCGATGCTCGATAAATTCGATATTTTGCATGAAGACTTGGAAGTAATTGAATATTCATTTCAATTCCAGCTATCTGGAAATCATTAGTTTTTTTCCAGAAAATATGTGAAAATAATAAAACTGACCTCCAAAATGAAATTAACAACAGCAATCGGTTGTCTTTTCATAATTTGACTTGCTTGATTTTGTCTTCCGTCATAATTATTCAATGTATTATGAGAGATAAACGTTGTATTTTGGAAATTTCTCGGTGCAACTTTTGTTCCATTATTTATTGTTGTTACAGGAGCTGGAGATGATGGAACTGAAGCAGAAGAACTCGATGGTTTGTCAATTTTCTGTTCCATTGGTGATCTTGCTGGTTGAGCTGATAATCGATTAAATTGTTCTTCTAACTCTTTTCCATGTCTCATTACAACATCATGCAAAGAATGTGCAGCCATTGGCATATTTCCTTCAAGTGCTCCAAGTTTCAATGTTGCCCATGTTCCCAATCCATTTGTTGTTGTTATATTACTTTTCGACGATTTTCCCTCTTTTTGAATAACTTTCCTGAACAACAAATTATTGGTATTTGGAAAAAATAGAAAAACGTACGTAAAAAATGCCAAACAACTGGAATTGAGTGTACATCTCAAAATATCAGATTTCTTGTTGAGAATTCCAGATTCCGAAAGAGTCAGTGACATTTTGCTGAAAAAATTTCAATTCGGAAATAGTTTTGAAGAAAAAAAACTTACGCTAATGAAACAGAGATATCATCAATTTTTTGATTATTTCCACTGATTGACTTTTTCTGGAAACATTATTTTTTAGAAAAAAATTATAAAATAGGGTTCGAAAAAAAAACGAACCGATAGAGTAGCTGTTTTTCTATCTCGTTCATCAATTGTTGTCACCAAAACACCTTGTGTTGATAACATTTCTGGCAATGGTTTTTTCGAATGCAAAACTTCAATTTTCAGAATCATAGCAGATACATACAAATCATTCAAAACAGATTCTAATACAACTGATGAAACACTCACAGATCCATTTATGAATAATTTAACTTTTTCATTATGTTCCGTTTTTGTTGATTTCATTCGTTGCATATGTTTATCATAATCTCTTGTCATATCCAAAATCTTTTCATCCCATTGAGTAATTTGCTCATGTTGTGTATTTTCAGCCCATCTTCGGAATTCTCGATTTGGTGTCTGCAATAAAAAACAAAATGATGAATTACAGTACTGTACTGTGAAATACCTTTTCTTGTTCAGATCTTGATAATAATTCATTTTTGACATCAATTCCAGCTTTCAAAATAAGTGATAATTCTTTTCCAAGTGAAACAGTTGCCATTCCAATAAGAAATCGTATTGATTCAATATTTCCATTATAACTAATATTCCACTAAAATTATTCCAATTATTATTATTTGTTTTTCTAATTTTCAAATATTTCAAACCTGTCCACCCATTGGTGTTCTTTTTCTTTCATCTCTTTCCATTTGCCAAATCATTGCTCCACTTACAGCCGCATTTCTCAAATTCATCACTTTTTGTTGTGCTGGTGTTATATATTGTCTTTGTTGATCTGTTGAACTTTTCACACTTTTTGCCATCATTCGAACATCAACTTCTCTCAACAAAATCGAATATTCAATATGAAAATGATCAGCTTCAATATCATCCAAAGTTGTCCATTGCAATTTTCCCCATCGATAAAATGTATAAAAGAAAGCTTTTTGTTTGATATCCATTGGATTTATGAATATTTTCTCTTTTGTTTCGTGTGAAATTCCATCTTGTGAATTTGCCATTTTTTCGAGTCCTGCTGTTTTTCGATGTCGAATTGCAGATTCTTTTTGTGCTTTTCTCATCCAAGTGTACAGATCAACTAAAAATCAAACATTTGAAATCAATAAAAATATTTCGAAAAAGTATTTACCATTTTCATGTGCATTTTTATCATTATCATTATCCTCTTTTAATTCGTCTTCTTCTTCTTCTTCCTCAATTTCATCTTCATCATAAATCGATGTGAACTTCTGCATTTCAATATCGCCAAATTGAAGAGGAATCGAACTATCCAAATCTTCATCTTCATCATTTCCAGCTCGAATTCTCAATTTTCTCAACAAAGGCGATGATGACAGTTTAATTTTCGAATTTTTCGACTTTTCTTTCTCATTTTTCGATTCACTTTCTTGATTATTTACAACAATTCGCGTTTCTTTCTTTTCACTCGCATTTTTCCGTCTTTCTCGTTTACTCAATTTCGTCAAAATATTTATACCAACTTCATCATGTTGATTGACTTTGAACTTGTTTGCTTCTTCATTCGAAACCAGCTGTAACTTTTATTTCAGAAAATCTGAACATCTTTCTTATTATAATAAAGCATACCTTCAATTCTTTTCCAATATCAGATTGCCAATGACTCAATAATGCCATTAATGCTGTTTTTCGAGTTGTTTCCTGAGAAAAAAACTAGAAATTGAATATAAACCTCAATCTAAATTACCATTTCGAATTCATCCCGAATGTCCAATCTTCGTTCAACAATTTTTTTCGCATCATCTCCATAAGAAAACCATCGGAAAAGTGTATGAAGTAAAAGACAAGAAGGACAAGAAGCCTGATGAGATGCAAGAACTCGAACACATGACATACGATTTTTACCAACTCGGACTATCTGAACAAAAAAATTCTTGAGGTGAACAAAATGAATTCCAAAAAAAAAACATACAACTCGTTCATCAACACAATCAAATGCTAATTTCAAAACTTTTGACATTGCAACCATTTTCCAGCATTCATATTGATGAATTGTCTAAAAATAATAATATTAATTTTTAATATATGAATAAAAGGTTTGAAAAAAGAAACCTTTTTAGTGGTGTCAACAAAATTATCCAAAACACCAAGCCAAACAACAATAACCGGTGATAATGCTTCATAAATCGGAAACTCATTTCCAGCCGTCATTTCTTGTGGTCGAGCCATTACAATTGATGTATTTATTGATCCAACCGATGCCTGAAAGCTTTCTTTATCAAAAACAAAAAAAAAAGATTTTGAAAATCTTTTAAAATGTTTGTCAAAAACGTTGGCACATCTCTCCTTATATAAATTACTTCTGACTTTCCAAAAATTCGTGAACTTTCGACAATTTCTGATTCTCAACTTACCTTCAAATAATGTTCATGCAATATTTTTTGTTGTCGTTTCGGCAATTCTCCAATTGGTGTTATTAAAGGAGCAGCCGGTGATGTTCGATTTTGATTTGGTTGACTAATATTTTGTCCAATCGGAGAATGTACTCCAGAAACTGATTTTGCTCGAATTGGCACAAACTGCAAAAACAAATAAAACTATCAATATGTATATAAATAAATAAATTATTACCGTAATAATAGGTTTTCTTTCTAGAATAATTGCAGATTCATCAATATTCAAATCAAGCATAACTCTTGGTTCTAATAATGTCATTCTTTTTGAAATTGCACACATTTCCCAATTATTCGATGTTGTTGTATTTCCAGAACTACCAAAATCCGCTGCATTTTTATCAGTTAATTGAAGCAATTGTGCAGTCATAACATTACAGCTTAATTGATAAATAACACTTGTTGCATTCAAATTATCAGAAGCTAAATGCGTTTTATCATTCATGATTTTTGATTGAATATATGCTCTGAAAAAATAAAGAATATCACTAACACTTATTCAGAAAGAATATAAACAAACCTGTCAATCAAAAATAGAGCAATATTCGCTGTAACATAATCAGTCGAAGATTTGACAACATTCTTTTTGATTCCACATTGAAATAATCCACATGTTATTCTTGGCAATTGAACCATAATCTGACATTCTGGTGGAACTTCAGCTTCATTTGGAAATATCGAATTTGTAAGTGGTTGTCGATGTTTTCTCAAAACACAATCTCGATAACACATATGAACAAGAAGTGCTGGATTTATTGCAGTTATTGAATGAGATATCGACATTGACATTCTTTCCAAACCTTCCATTCCAATTGGTGATAAGAAAACCTATAAAAATTAAGAACATTTTTGAAACTGAATTTTCTAGACTGCTTTTTCTTCTTCTTCTAAATTTTCACTCATGAGTCACAGGCAGATGCAGAACGGCCGGATACTTGCCAAAAATTGAAAACCGGTCCGAAACTTGTACGTTTCCGACCAGTGTTGAAAACGCCCAAAAACCACTCGAAAATCGGCCGGTTTCTGCTCAAATTCAACAAAAACGGCCGAAAACCAGTGAAAAAACACGGCCGGTTACTGGTCAATTTTGATAAACCGGTCAGAAACTGGTCGGTTTTTGAGTTGTTACTGGCCGTTTTTCAACACTGGTCGGAAACGTACAAGTTTCGGACCGGTTTTCAATTTTTGGCAAGTATCCGGCCGTTCTGCATCTGCCTGTGAGTATCACAATACCAAAGGCGCCCTAATTTTCGAGATACTCTTCAATTCCCATCTCCCTTCAAAGTGTTTTTTACTTACATCAATTTCACTCGCAACACATCCAGATATTGCCAATTTTCTCTTGAAATCTTTCCGATCCTTCAAATTGGTATCTTCCAAATCTTGTTCAGCCAATTCTTTTTTATCCAATGCTGAGCTCAAAACTTGTGGACCTGTTGATTTTCGTTTTTGTGCAAATCTCACATCATTTACTCCACGTTTGTCAGTGTTCTGAAAAATTGATAATCCTGACACATATTATCAACGTTTTAGTTTCATAAATTTTTGGTCAAACTAACCGTGAAAAATTCAATTGGCGGATGTCGTTTGCACCATTCCGAAATAGCTCCAGGTTCACCAAAACAAGGAATTTCACAGATATCCGGTCGAATAACTGTCAAATTATTACAGTATTCCAAATAATGTTGGGACATTTCAACAGATTGAAGTAATCGAATCCTTGGCTGAAAAATTTCATTTTTCCAAACTGAAATTGAATTTGAAAATTCCAATAACTAACAGTTTGTCTCGATTTTGCAGAATGAAATGATTCGGTATCAATTGAAGCTTTTCGATGAGTATTCGAATGTTGATAATTTCTCTATAAAACTATATTCTATGGAAAAAAACAAAGAATAAAAATAGCCAACCTGATTTCGATAATATGTGTGTTGTTCTCCAGTTAACATACTTCGGTTTCGATCTAAAACACTTTGCAAAACAGCCGGTTGTGCTCCATTTTCCTTTTCAATGTCTGGTATAAACAGTTTCCGTTTCGATGGTTCCATGAAAACCGATCCACTGAAAAAAATAAAAAAATATATAATTTTTCCGAAACAAAAAAAACTTCTTACATTCGATCAACTTCTCCAAAAAATACAGTATTTCCATAACAAGCACAGCCCCAAACAGAATGATCCGCCCATAAGAAATACAACCGTTTTCTGTCAGAATCATGTTTTTTGACAAAAACAAGTCGATCTTTTTCTAAATCTTGTTCATGTTTATCGTTTGGAAGCTGAAAAGAATTACAATTTGTAAAAAAAATAAATTGGAAATTGATACCTCAATATCTAATGAAACACCTTCAATTTGAAAACTTGCTCCTTCAATCCATTGATTTTCCAAATTTTCACCGACTCGAATTGCTGAAAAATGATGGGCATAAATAAATATTATTATTTTAGAGTACTGACCTTGTTTACAAAAAACCCCGGGAACTCGAATACAAACATGTTCAGTAAATCGTCCTTCATGTGCATTACAAACTGTAACTCTTAATGGATCCGCACAAATATTCAATATTGTTTTATCTTCACAAAATGATAAATTGATTGAATCAATAGATATTCGAATTTGTCGATATTTCAATTTTTCTTCAGTTCGACAAGTAGCCTTCTCCATTCCTTTTTTCTTTCCAGAAATTGAACAAGCTGATGTTATTTGTCCGTGTTGACAAAATTGCATATTCTCTGGCACTTTTAAAACATCATCCGGACTCAAAACAAACATTAGCAATGATTCAACGATTTGATGTAAAACAAGAGCATGTGATGGAAAATCAAGTGTTCCGTTTATTTCTCCAATCAATATTTCCATAATCCATCCATATTCTAATAAACCCATATCCCAAGCAACATCTTTTTCGGAATATAAAGCATGTCCTCTGAAACACGAAATAATTAATTTTCTCATGAAAAAACTGAAAAAACCTGAATTGAAATCCAGATAATGTAATACAACCAGCAGTTGAACCTATACTTGATTTATCCAAAAACGCGCAAGCCGGGCTAGTTCCAACCTGAATCAATATTTTTCGATTATTGTTAAAAAAAGGAAAAACTGAACCTGAATCAATGCTTGCGATTTCGTCTTTTTCACTTCAACAACAACTTCTTCCACCAAAACAATCGGACATTTTTCAGCTTCTTCATTTGAATCAATTGCTGGTGAATAAATCAACATTTCAGCTCGTATATTACATACTTTAACTGTTACATCAACATCCATTGGTCGATACATTTCAACTGGAGCATTTGATGGAACACGATCAAATACTGATTTGATTTTTGTTGCATCTTCTTTTGTTTTTTCAATTGATGTCATCTATAATATATTATTTTTCGAATCAAAATTGAACTCTTATTAATTGATTTTAATTAGCCTTGTTAGTTTTATAACTTACCGTATCATACCAACCAAAATAATTATTTTTGAGTTCAAAAAGAAGTTTGATAATAAGACCAGTAAATTTAACATCACTTCCTTCTATCAAAATATCACATGTTAATCGATCTGTTTCAAGTGACCATGGATGTGTAACTGGTTCTGGTAAATAATCACTTATAACAGAAAATGGAATTGATGATGGAATATGATTTCGAAGAACAACTGGATGATATTCAAAACCAAATTTCATTTCAACCAATTCCGTTCTCCACATTTCAAACCAATCATCTTTATCAACTGAATAATATCCCATTTTTGATGGATTTGCATTTGGAGAACAACGAGCCATTCGAAAAAGTGTTGCTCGAATTGGTGAAGTTGCTGAATCTGGCGGATATTTGGCTCGAAGTGCAACATTTCTTTCGCCTTTTAATGAAAATATCATTTTTTGTATTTGCGGCAAAAAATCAATGAATGGAAGTTCACAATCTGAAAATATATAATATGATTTCAAAGATTCGAAACTTTTTCCTAATTGAAAACTAACCAAATGATAATTTCTCTCCAACAATTGCAATTTCAACATTTTCTTCATTTTTATCCGCCGGATCAATCCAATTACATTCATTCAATAACATCATAACTTCGAAACTTTCCAAAACTCGTAATTTGTTATGAACTCGAAATGGAACAAATTTAGTGATATCCGATGGTTCATCCCCCATCCATTCATTAACAAGATCCTAGAATCAAAAAAATATTGATTGATAGAAAAAATATTAAACACTAACCGTGAATAGCCTTTTATGATCCCAAACAAACCAAGCAGAAGCTTTTGTGAAAATATATTCGAGGGTCCAATTTTGTTCACCATTCCAAGTCTTAAAATATATATAGATTATTTGGGGAAAACTGTAAAATTCTTACCAATGGATAAATAAAACTCCCATTCACATTGAATTTCGAGCATTCGATCAATTTTGTGAAAAGTAGAGATGTCGTAACTTGAAAACTATAAGAAAAAAAATACATTATATATTGAATTGTTCGAAAATGTCAATTACCTGACGAATTCAGTTTGCAAATTCCAATAGAATCCTTTTTCAGTTGTTATCCACAAAATTGACATCTAAAAATGATGGAATTTGATGGGAAAAAAAGAAAAGAAACTACTTACATTCAAACTACTTTGTGGTCCACATCTTGCTCGAATACTTTCTAATTGTCCTCCTCTCATAAACCAAATATCCATACACGTCTCTTTTGTCAATGTAATTTTGACCTAAAAATCGAATATATTTTAATACTTATATAGAAAAACTACGTTATTTCAGATATTTTTCTGCCGATCAACTTACATCATGTTTAATATGAATCCTTTTTTGTCCTCTTGTTGGAAGAATTGTAACTGGTGCATTTTGATAATCAGCCGGAAAAAAGAATGAATAAATTTGAGCCCGATGTAATTCTGCCCAAGGTCCATATGACAAAACTGTATTATTTCCAAATGTCCATTCAGATGACCAAATTGGCACTTTTGATGTTATTGATTGTGGAGTATCATCAGTTACATAACCTGAAATAAATTGATTTATTTAAAATAAAACAAGAAAATAAGACAATTCAACTAACCAAGAAGATCTTGTTTGTATAGAAATTCAAGTGAAGCTGTTTGTAGAATTGGGAATCCATCATTTCCAGTTGTTCTTGGTGGCTCTTTGTCTTTATCCGTGAATTTATATTGCTCATTTTTGATAAGTGAAATGCTAACATTTTCAGTTTCACCTTCAAACGTCAAAAGAGCTCGATCATTTTCAGACTCGCTCACACCAATTTTGCTATTCAAATTCTCGAATCTCGTCCACATTGCATACGGGAAAAACTTGTTTCCAACTAAAAAACAACCAGAAGAAACATCAACATTCATAACACCAACCAAATTCCATAAATTCTCCCAAACTGAAGAAGGTGGAGATCTGAAAAATGGAAAAGATGGTATTAGATATTCAATTTGTTAAAAAATACTAACGTATCTGGAGGTTTCGTTTTTTTCGTGTCTCCCATATTATTATTCTCGAAGAACCAATCAAATCTTCGAATTCTTGCAATTTCCATATATTTTCCAAGATTGTTATATACATTTACATGCATTCCATTTAATAATAAATATAAACGAGACGCTCTTTTTTCTGAAAAAATAAAAACAAATATGATATCCAGCTATTTCTTCACAAATATTACTTCTTCAGATCAAGACTTCGATTTTCGACAGGTTTCCAGAACCTGAATATAATATGTCCATCATTGATTTTGATTGTCATATCACCATTATCATATATCACATTTCGAAACATTATTTTGCCGGCCAAAAAACCAGACACAGAAATACTTCCAATTCGAAAATGAATACCATTTTTGGATAACCGTAGATATCTGAAAAATATTGGAATCATCGAAGTTTTACTTCCAAAAAAATGAACTTACTTATCAATTAAAAATGTAAAAAATATAGCAGAAACTCTTGAAAAATATAGTGCTGAAAAAACACCCCAAACAATAATGGATAAAAAAGCCGGGGTTGCATGCAATATATCCTGAAATATAACACATTTATCTTTTTTCAAGAATTAACAAACCCCATATGGTGTAATATGAACATCTGGAAATGAATCATTTGCCATTATTGAACCCGTTCCATTCACTGCAAAATATTTTTTATCAATATTTCATCATTTTTTGTAGCGACAAAAATAAAAATTGTTCGTTTTTTTGCGCAAAAAACATACCAAAAACGAGAAGAAGAAAATTCGCTCTGTTGAGAACGAACAAAAATACGCTTATATTAATATGAGCAATAAAGTGGATATAAATGAAATTCTTCGAAAATAAAATTATTAGCGAATAATAGCACCGTTTTTAACAACTATTGTCGTTCCGAAAAAAAAAGACCGTTGGAAGAGAACCGAAATGGCCTAGGAAACCAAGACTACAGTAGACTTCGCAAAATTTTGGAGTCTTTTTGAAAAATAAAATGCGAAATTTACACGTTGGCTGTTTGCCAACCAGTTTGATGTGCATGTGTCACGTCATTTTTAGTCTACTGTACGTGAGCGCCAATTCAAACGGGGGTTCTTTTATTTTCGGATTGACAATAATTAAATCCAGAATGATGCTTATTCAAATAAATTTCTTACATTTTTCCTGTCGGCTCCGCCCCCTGCCACGATTACACGTTTCACGTTTTTAAAATAATTTTTTCGTTTTCATCTTTTTTTCTTTACTAAATTTCGAAATGCAAAAAATCAAAAATATTTATTCATTGAAAAAAAACGTGCCGCACCTTGCCAAATAAATCTCGCCTCTCGATTCACGCGAGGATTTGTTTTTTCTGCGACAGGCATTTCTGAATTTAAAAAAAGTCAAGAATTCAAGCCCACAGGCATAAATTCTTGACTTTTTTAATTCAGAAATGCCTGTCGCAGAAAAAACAAATCCTCGCGTGAATCGGGAGGCGGGATTTATTTGGCAAGGTGCGGCACGTTTTTTTTTCAAGCAAAAATTATTTCTGATTTTTTGCATTTCGAAATTTAGTGAAAAAAAAGATGAAAACGAAAAAATTATTTAAAAAACGTGAAACGTGTAATCGTAGCAGGGGGCGGAGCCAGCAGGAAAAAAAGTCAGAAATTTATGCCTGTGAAGCCTGTGGATTGCTTAAAATTATAGTTGGACATCATCGACTAACAAGGGAATCTTTTCACTGAATACTTAAAAAGTTGATACAATTTTGAGGGTAGCAAGCTTTTGGGATGGGAAAATCAGTCCGATTTTCATTTTTCTCTCAAACGACTTTGGAGCCAAGTTCTGCTCTCTCAAAAACTTTTAAAAAAAACCTAAAATGGGTCATCACAGTCATCATCATAGCTCCATTTCGAAAATTTCTCTGAGAGAAAAAAGTGTCAGATATAGATCAGCATAGTCGATTTACTAAAATTTCACCAATAAAGAAATTTTTTCGAAATGCAACACTTTTCTAAAATCTCAATTTATTTATTCATTCTTTTAGGGTAAATCGACTACGCTGATCATAGTTTGCTACTCAGTTTTTCACAAAAATCCTCGAAATTTGAGTTATGAAATATTGGATTCTAATCTTATTCTTAGGATAGAACGGTCTAAGACAAACAAAATAATATAAATTTTCATGACTTTACGTTATCCAAAGGTGATTTAGCGACATTTAGCCGATAATCCGAGTCGATCGACTGAACGTCTCTAAATAACATAAAGTCATAAATAATTATATCATTATGTTTGTCTTAGTATCCTTTAAATAAGATTAAAACACAATATTTCAACTCACTTGCTGAAAAAAAATGAAAATGACATTTAGTCGATGTCCAAAATGACGTGTCACGTTTTCTATAGCGATAATGCCTTTTTTAGTTCATTAAAATACGAATTGTATTACATTCAAATAACTAAAATTCAAATCTATGTACTTTTCATAAGATTATACCACTTTTTAAAAATTTCACTTCATTTTCCAATCATGACATCCCGAATCCGAAGATTTATTATAAAACATGAAACTGGGGGCGGAAAAAAATAGGTGCAAAAAAATATTAAAAACAATACATGTGATAAAACTAGTAAAACATGTGTAAATACAAATTTACGCATTGATTCTTCGAGTGGAGAATTTCGTGTTGTTGTATGACAATTCTTTGGTGTAATCATGAAGGCGATTGGAGCCAGATTCGCCGGTGGTTGGTGGATTCGATGAACTGAAAAATATTGTTAAGAAATGAAAAGAAAATAACAGGGTTTTTAAGGGCCATTTCGGAATGTTTTAAAAATCTCAACATTTAATTTTGCTAACTTACGTTCTTTCCATCCAAAGTGTTCTTCCACGTTTAGCATATTCGTTTGCAATGTAGAGTGGAGAAGGGAGAGAAGTTGACATTGAAACAATTTGATGATGGTGACAAAGAGCGTTGGTCAATTGTTCCAATTTTTCCATTTTGGCTCCGAAGTCATCAACGAGAACAATATAGGATGGGGTTTTTGCAGTTCCCTGAATAATGGTTTCAGTGATATTCGTTTTCAATTGATACAAATTAAATAGAAAAACTCACTTGGAGAGTACGGTGAGAATTCAAATAAAACTGCTTGAAGGATGGATGAGTGATTTGGGTGTCAACCAAAACTCCAGCAGGAATGTTTTGATCGGTTGGTTTGTCCTTGGGGTTGATCTAAAAATGAAAAAAATAGATTAATGCTAAATGATTCAGTAACCTACGTTTGTCAAGAAAAATCTCAAGTTGTGTTCCTTGCTAACCACGATGTAAACCAGCTTTGCATCGAAACCACATCTTGAAATTGTTTCTCGTACCAATGGGATTTCCAATTCCAAAATCGGTCCATAACCTCCTTCGGCAGTTGCTGTTCTGTAGACAATGATTCTCTTCAATGGTGACTTTCTCATTGTTTTCCATTGTTCGAGCACATTCTTCAAAATTTCTTCCATCGAAACAAAAGTCTGAAAACCAAGTATTTTTCCGAGCTATCTCTGATTAAAGAAACATACATCAGAAGATGGAAGAGCAAGTGTGAAATCACCAGTAAACTCTTGTGCATCAACAACATTCGAAGAATACTGAAAAGTTTGCTTATTGGAATTCATTAAAACTAAAAAAAAAATACTTATATAGCCTTCCAACTCACCCCAATACATGTCGGATTCAAAAAACCTTTTCCTTCCATCATAAACTTTGTCGCTGGTGGCGGAGCAGATTGTCCAACACCAATAATCAATTGATCCTCGGTGAGTGATTTATCGTTGATCAGGTAATTCATTCCACCAAGTTTGATATTGGTTTTGTTCAAAATGTTCTCCAAGGTTTGATTCTTTCCTCCAAGAATGTCTCGAGCTGTTTTCGCTGTCATATCTTGAATCACGACACCCAAATTTCTTTCAAGAAGTTTATATTGACCTGAACGAAAACGATATCGATATTTTTCTCAATGTTTAATTACTCACCGTGCAAATCAGTGATATTTCCATCGGTTAGCATCAAAATGAATTTTGCATTGTTCTTGGCTGCACATTCAATTCTCGAAACAACTTCATTTTTGGATATAACGATTGCTTCAGCGGGTTCATTGAATCCAATTCCTCGCGCTCTTGCTTCCATCAAAAATTTCTTCGCTACTTGAACAACATCGTTGTTATTCATTCCTCTTCCAACTCCATAAACAGCCCAAACATCAACCGCCCCACCATTTCGAACAAATTGTTTTGGTGGCTGACGCCATTTTCCATTATCCGCCACCACAGTAGATTTTCCATATGACAATTCCTTTCCAGCCAACATTTTTGCCTCCACAACAAGCGGATTTTCATAGAATGTTAGACCGAAATCATTGAGCAAATCTTGACCATCCTTTTCTAACATTCCCATCATCCGAACACCATTCATAGTCAATTGAGTTCTTTTGAACGGCGCAACGGCGCATTGTCGTGTTGTTTTTTGACTTTGCTGCGAAGTCTGTTGGCTGATTGTGACACGTTGATTTGGACTGACAATAACCAACTCCATCGGATAATGATTGACATTTCCTCGATTTTTACAGATGAGAACATTTAAATTTGGAAATCTGTAAAATTGATACGATATACCGATGATATTTTATCCAAAAAAAAAAAAAGAAAAATAAACTCACTTCAAGCTAACTTGATATTTTTGTTTCAAATAATCTGCAACTGAAATACTATTGCCATCTCCCAAATCAAACTTTGTTCTGATTGCGTTGTCTTTGTGAATTCCTTCAATACGCATTCTTCGCAGTTTTCCGCTGTAATTGGCATAAACATGCAATCCTTTGAACACTTGCAAACATTGTTCGAGACTGTGATCCGGCATTAGACCATCAATCTTATCAGTATTAACCAACTCCATAATTTTAGTCGCAACTGCTTGTTCTTTGTGAAAAGCAGCTTTCATTGCATCAACAACCAATGATGGATTATTGAAACCGCGGCCATGTGGTCCCTCGATGAAATTGACAGTTTTTTTGAAGCCCGGAAGAAGGTATTTTCCATCTCCCACATCCATCATATCTTCGCGATCATATCCTTCATCAACTGGATTTAAAACATACACTTTTCCATGCTCAAAACAAGCGAATCGTGCACTGTAATTAAAAAATTAAACTTAAAAACAAAGGTTGACTGTTTTTAACGAACCTTTGAATTTTGCATTGTCTGTTGAAGATAAGTTCAGTTAGTTGTGTCAAAGCTCTATCATTAACATCCAAATTTGAATCTGCAGTTTTTTCAGTCAACGCTTTGTGAGTATAATCAACAGATGGTCGTTCACCGACATATACTTCCATTGTGATAGCTGGTAAGTTTTGAAGATCTTTGTGTTTAGTATCCGCTCCATTCACTTGCAACAATCTTTTCTTTTCTTTGGTATTTTCGAAAATATCAATGGTGGTGAACAACTGTGATTGACCATCATAAACAATTCGATTATTTTGTGACATTTTGAAAAAGTCGGAATTTTGCAAAACGGCAGTTTCGAAGATGTTCGAACATTTTTCTTGTCGCTCCAAAACGATGAAATCTTCATTTCCCTTCTTGGTGAATGTTGCAGTTTTGGATGTTGTCAAATCGGCGGTAATATGAACAACATAGCAAAAAACTGTGATGTCACGACCATCTTTTCCAATTCCAAAAACGTTGGTTTGGACTCCAACCGCATTTTCATTTCCCATTGGAGCAGAAGTTTTCGCCATTATTTTGTCGCCTCTTTTCACTCCAAGTTGTTCCAATCTTTCTTCACATGCATTTCTTCCTGATTTTCCACACGCGTCTGCAATTTCAAAAGTTAACAATTGTGTTTTGAAGTTAAACTTACCAAACACAGTATTAGTTTCCGCGGTTGGTCCTGGTGGAGCAGCAACTGGTGGAAGAGGAGTTGGAGCTGGTGGTACTGGTGGCATTATTTTTTGTTAACAATATTATTAAAATATTATTACAATTACCCTGAAAAATATAACAATTGAATCATCGAACAAAGATTGAAAAATAAAATCCAAGCACGAAACAAGTAAAAACTAACTCGAATATACTTGGGGAAAAAGTAGCAAGTCTTGCTACAAAAATCGACTTTTAGCCAGCTTGCTAAAAATGGTCGCAAGCTGGCTAAAAGTCAATTTTTCTTGCGACCACTTGCTATTTATTTCCCGAGTATAATTGGTTTGGTATTATTCTAATCACATTTCAAAACTTAATATTACCGAAAACAACGAGAGATCTCTCGAGAGGAATAAAATCTCGTATGAATACAAAGAGAAGGCTGGATAAAAATGAGAGAAATCGTTCAGATCACAATCGATAATTTCAAAAGGTTCACGTTAAAAATGTAAATTCTCTCGCTATTTACTTCTTTGCAAATTACAGTCTAATAGAGTTGTGCGATATTTTAAATTTGAAAAGAAATATTTGAGACATCTTGCTCAAACAGAGTTTGGCCCAAAAAAAAGTCTGAAATTCAACGCGAATTCCAACGAGCAGAGATGACGACAGCACACAGCTCAACCAATTGCTACAGTACTATCACAAGAGTCTCGCCGCGATGCGCCGTTCATCTTTTTTACGCGCACTTTTTGAAAACTAAAATTTCTGCGGAATTTGGAGTTTTTAAAATGCTGCAAAACCTGAAAACTGCAAAACGAATTATATCCGCGGATTCGCTGAATTTTCAGAATCAATTCTGCACCGCGAGAAACAATGAAAAGTAGTCTTCAGGAGATTATAAGTCATTCACAAGCCTACAATTGAAATTTTTGGTAGAAACTGATTCAAATTATTGGAATAAACGAAAAAAACTGATTCAAGCTATTGGAATAAATGTTTTAACTTATAGGTAATTAATTAGACCAACTGGCCAGCGATTCCCGGAGAATTTTGAGCGAAAAAAAAACCAACAAGAAACTCGAGCACGATGTTTTCTCTCATTTATACTGTTTTTTTCAACAAAAACTCCGGCTCCCGCGTAGATCAAATTAGAAAAAACAAAAATGATCGAAAGTCTGAAAATTTTGCAGAAACTTGATCGAAGGTTGGAAAAATAATATTCATTTATGAAAAACCTCCTAGGGTTTTCAAGAAAAAAATTGAAGAATTAAAAACCGCGTTCAAATAATTTGAAATGAAAAATTCATTGTGCGAACTAATAGAAATCGAAATACAATAAAAATAATTGAAATAGAAATGTCACAGGCACTTCGAAATAATAATTGAAAATAAATTCCTAAAGTGAATAAAAATGATTCGAGTGAGGAAAATATTACTAGAAAAAGTTATAATCATTTTAAAAATGGCTATTCAACAACTGAAAAATAAGTGAATTGAAATAGAAGTAATTGGAAGTGAAGAAAATGTGAAGGAAGATTAGGCATCGGATGAATCACCATTTTTTGTATCAATTGGCACATTTATTATAACCTGAAAGTTTTTTCTTCGAATTTGAAAATAATCAAAAAATAACCTACATTTTGTAAGTTAGAAGGTGCTGGATCCATTGGAATTTCAGATTCATCAATTTCAGAGATATTTCCATCTGATGTTTCAGTTGATTTATCGCTTTGATTCTTTTCTTTTTCTGATGTTCCAACTTCTCCTTCTTCCTCAATTTCCATATCAACACATTCTGTATTATCACATAATTCATCAGATTTTTGAACAATTTCAGCCGAAATCATTGGTGGTTCGATAAAGTGTATCTCAAAATCTTCTTCATCAGGTCCTTCTTGTTCTTCTCCAATAATTGTTTGATCCAAAACCGACGAATTTTCCGACAAAACACTAAAATCATCTTCAGCCTCTGGTTCAGCAATTGGAACAATTGGTGGCCGAATTACTTCAATTCCTCCATTTTTCGAAACTCTAATTGTTTTCCCACTTGCTTCCGAATAAATAACATCTCCAAAGAATTTCTCTTCTCTTTCTCGCATTTTTTGTGTTCGAAATTTGACATCCACTTCCTAAAAATAATTTTTGGACAATTGTAGAATTCTGCTCTAAAAATAAATTTACCACTGCTTTATCCGAAGGTTTCTGATATTTTGTTGCAATAAAAGCAGTGTCAACATCTTGATCTTTTGTCAATTCGGTTAAAACATTCGAAATAATCAATAAATCATTTTTATTTTTTGTATTTTCCTCTTCAAATAATATCGATTGTCTCCATTTGTTAAAAACTTCACAAGCTGAGATTCGAACATTCGGAACTTCTGAAATTAATTAAAAATAATTGGGATCGAAATTATATATTTCAAAAGAAAAACTAACTGTCTTTAACCAAATTTTTCAATTGTCCACTGAAAAAATAAGCAAACTGTTGAGTATTCAATTGTCGATCATTCAAAACTTGTTCACAAATGAAACAGAATCTGTAATAAAAAGCTTTAATTGATTCATCAAATCTCCCAAAAATCTCACGTTTGTCTTCTTGTCCATTTTTGTGTTCTGGCAAAACTCGATGAAATATCCTCAACAAATTGTTCTGATAAATAAGGCGGTGTTCCTTTCATTTTCACATTTTCAATTGTCTCATGTTCAACATTTCGTTTTGTTTGAATATCTTTCCATTCAGCCGAAACAAAAACACTGACAATTTTCGAAACAAGTCCAACAGCTTCTCGTCGAACAGCAGCAACTCGATCATCAGCCAAAGTCAGAGCAATTCCAGATAAATGAAGATTTATAATTCGAATATCGTAAAGTGAACATAATTCAATCAATTGCCTGAAAAAATGTTTTGGGATATTTTTTGAAACCTTTTTTGGGAAAAAATACGATTTATATATTTATATAGTCCGAAATTTTCACAATAATTTTTATCTCGAATTCCAAAAGTGTCCCGAGCTAAATTTATTCTGAAAACTCACGAAATCAAATCAAATCTCGTTCTCCAATCTCCATTTTCCGAATGATTTCCTGGCTCATCGCCAACTGGGAAAAATTGTGGCAATGATCGAATCATCGATTCTCTTTTTTGTGGTGAAACATATTTGACAAATGAGAATAAATTTGACATAATTCCAGCTCGAACATCAAAATCCGAATCATCTCTCAAAACATTGAATATTTCAATGAGATCTGTATCTGTTATTTCAGTTCCAAACATATGTGCAATTTCATGAATTGAATAAGCAACAGATGCTCGAACACGAGTTTGTGGACTTTTTGCCATATCAATTAACATCAAACGTAGTGTTGGCCATGCATTCTTTCCAAGTGTATAACAAATAGCAGGGAAATTATGAGCACAATGACGATAAACTTCTTCGAATACCGATTTCTCCATTGTCACTGAATTATAAATTAGAATTAATGGAAAAATTCTGAAAATAAACTCACTCATATTTTCACTTTGTCGAATAATTTGATAATAAATATGAACAAGTTCGTGTGGAACATGTTTATAAGTATTCTTTTCAGCAACATCTTCAAGTTCTGAACAATCAGATTCATTGGAGGAAATTGACATATTATCCGAGAAATCAAGAATTCCAAGATCCTCTTTTTTCGTTTCAATATTTTGAACTCTAAAAAATAATTGATAAATATTTTGATAATAAATAACCCAATTACCTTTTTGGTGACAATTCTTTAGTAACATCTAAACGTCTTTCCAAATAACTATTTGATATTTGCGATGTTGTTATTGAGGCTCCAAACGGTTTCAATTCTTCTTCAGAGAAATTAATATTACAATCAGCTGACCAATAAGAAAGTGTGAATTCATTGGAAATTACTTCTTCCTTTGGAGATTTTGGCTTCACTTCCATTTTAATTCCATGTTCATCATTTTCATCTTCTTCTTCATTCAACAATTCCAGTAGATCTGTAATTTATTAATTTTTCTAAAAATACTTGTTACAAAAGTTTTGGGAAAACTATCTATCACCACCCAGTAGTTATATCTAAAAATGAGGGAAAACTAAAACTATTTCAAAAACATTTGTTCACATCACAACATACATTTGTTTTCAACATCTTTCGGTGCTTCAAACTCAAAAACAGAAGAATTGCTGTTAGAAGTAGGTGAAGGTGTTTGAAGCAATGGAGAATTTGTTGTTGTTTTTGATGTTGGTGGTGATAATAATCGTTTTGGTGATGGTGGAAGTGCACCCAATCGTCGAAGAAATAATCTATTTCTGACATCAAGACGATTCCAACAAGTTGTGGTAACTGGTCGACCACGTGGTGAAAGTTTTCGAGAAGTTGAAGAACATGATGATGGGGAACGATGTTTCAAAGGACTTTGACATTTTCGAAAAATGGGAGAAGAAGAAGAAGAAGAGGATTGAATGCTTTTTGAACATGCTAGAAAAAGCGGGTTAGAAAATGGGAGAAAAATATATTCAACAACAAAATATACTATTATATAAATATGTAACTAAACCGATTTGGGTGGAAATTAAATTAAAACTTACCATCATCTAAACCAAGTTTCGATAAATCATCAGTTGAACTACATCTTGCTGCAAATCCACCAGTTTCAATTGGCTCATCATTTTCAGTTTCTTTTTGAGGAGAATTACCAGAAGAAGATTCATCAAAGATTTGGAACCGTCTGTAAAAAACAACTAGATATAAATTTAATTTTAATTTCCAGAAAGTTGAACCCATTGTGCCTAACATGAAAAGCTTCAATTTGAGAAAAATTAAAATTCGGTCCAGAATAATGGGAAGCATTCTTTTTGGGTATCAAAGTCTTTACAATTAGTTGAGATAAATTTCAGTTCATTTTTTCCCATATTTTTGTAAAAATCTAAAAAACTCTCGAAAAATTAAACTGACTGTGTATTATTTGGATTATTTCTCCGATTCCATTTATCCATCAAAAACGAAGCCGAATGAAATGATAATGGTGATTTTTTCGAATTATTTCCTTGAAATGAAGTTGGAACTGATTCTTTTGTTGATTTTGGCGAAGACGTTGAAGATGTTGATGGAGAAGATGGAGTTCGATCAAATAACATTTTATTCAAACCAGAAAGAACGCTGCAAAAAACGTAATATTGAATTTCATCATTTTTTCATTTTGACGATGATGAAAATAAAATAATGAAATATTCAAAATACAAACCTATCCATAACTCTTTCTCCTCTTTTTGGTGTTGTTTTTGCAATTTCTCTTTTGGGTGTTTCCAATTTCATAGGAGATCTAATTATATTAAAATTGCTAATACTAAGATCCTCATTTGGAATATAAGTTGTTTCAGGTAATTTTCCAAATTCTTCTCCAATTTTATCATTTTCTTCAACATTCAATGGAATAGTCCTATTTGAATCGCCTTCTTCTTCATCTTCTTCATTATTTTCCTCATCAATTCCTCTCACAAATATTTTTCCATTTATCATTTCAAATCCAGTAATATTTGGATCAGCAAAAAGTGAAATAAATTGTCCCAAATGATTGTATGCGACTAGAGAAACCCATTTATTTGGATCACTTAATAATTGGGCAAAAATTGGGGCAAGTGTATTTTTGCGAGTTTCACTTGAGCAACATTTTGCAACTTCGACGAAACATTCGCAAGACGTTTTTCGAACTGCCCAATTTAAATCGCTACTAGAAACGAGTAAATGTGGAACAAGAAACTGAAATTAAAAAATTGGTTTTTTTTAGAAAGAAAATTATATTAATGACACTTACAGCATCAGAAAACTTTTCCCCAAATAAATTTCCTAATTTTCCAAAAATATGAAGTGCATTCTGAAAAAAAAGAGTTGAAAATAAAAAATAATCAAATCCGTTAATCTCATTTCATACTTTTCTGACATGCATTGTTGTATCTTCTAAAACTCTTGAATATCTTGGTATGAAATTTTCGAATATCCATTTTCTATCTCGAATTGAATCACAGCTAATCAATTGACACAATGTCTGAAAATATTTTGCTTGAAAAATGATTTTTTATAGGAAATGAGGTACACAAAATGAAAGAAGCATTTTTGTTGTTTTGTGATTTGATTTTGGTGCCAGTTCTCTTCCCGTAAAATTGTTCGAACAGTTGTTTTTAGATTAAAAAAAAACCATCGAGAAACCGATGTCGATTAGCGTTGTACTGTAGTCTCACGATGTTTGAAACCATATTATTCATATTGCTTTTTTTCCAGATTTTTGGATTTTATTCGATGTTGACGTTCCGACAAAATGTGATTGACAAAACATAATTTTTAGGAGAATTTGAATTCCCATTATCTGCTTGTCACAGCAAATTTTTCACTACGCATTTTCTCATTGCACAATTTCACGTGTCGCTACAGTATTTTCGCAAAAAAATGTCTTTTTTTGTGTTTTTTTTCACAAAAAATGTGTTTTTGAAGCCGAAACCGAAGGAAACATGCTCAAACTACATTTTTAGAAGTAGTTGATAATTTTTCAAGTAGTAATAGTTTTTTGAATCAAAAGTTTATTGTCTTTCCTGGGAAAATCGAGAAAAATATGGAGAAACGTCATTTTGAGCGGAATTAGAAGATTAATAAGCAATTATCTGTCTTCCGGACCTCCCTCAACCCTTCTTTGCTCAATTCTGATAGTGAAAAATCAACTTTTCCCTGAAATTCGGGTTCAAATCCTCAAAAAACGAGTAAAAACAGGATTTTATTAGGCTCCGCCCAGATGTGTGTGCCGCGTGAAAAACACATTCTGCAATGATTTTTTTATTTGAGGTCACGTAGAAAAAAATTTGCTGTGCTTGTAGCTTCATGACTGATTTTGATTTTTTCAAATAATGAAACGAGATAAAACAAGTTCACGTAAAAAATAATTCATTTCAATTTTTCATTTTTTTTCTTTGGGAAACATGAATTGTAGGATGACAACTTTCAGATCCTACAAAAAGTGCCCTTTCCATAAACACGTTTTTGAGCAATGTTCTAGGAACTGTTCACGCATCTCAACAACGGCTAATTTCAACTCAATCATCTCAATTACAGCGATGATTTTATGAAACATTAGAATTCAGAATAATTATTACTGTACAGTGATAAACTCAAACTGTGTTTTTGGAACAATAATAATTTGAGTGTGCATTTCATTTCCAATTTTCCCAAACTTTTTTTTTTACATTTTCCCACCAAAACTAGCATTCTATTTATTCTCTCGTATTTTTCAATTCAAACTATACAAGAAGTTGTCTATTTATTCCATTTCTGTTGAACATTTTGAATAATTAATTATTTACTATATATGGTTGAAATAACTTCAGTAAAAATGAAGAATCTAATAATAATAATAATAATAATAATAATAATAATAATAATAATAATATAAAATACAAACCTTTCTTTTTCATATTTTTCAATTCAAATTACCTCAAAAGACGCACATCAAAGCTGGCTGTGATATGATCATTTAATATTTTCCACAAATCACGCGCCGCTTTGACGTGTGTCAGATAAAAGTGTTATTTATTTGAATTGTTGTTAGAATATAGAATAAAATGAAACAACTCAATGTGTTTTCAAAGAATATATAGAAGGAAAAGAAGAAATCGAAAGAGAATAAGAAGGAAAACGATGGCCATTTGCCTCTTCTTCTTCTTCCAACATACACACGCACTAAATCAAGTCTCCGCCCACTTCTTGGACGAACGAACAACAAACGGACGAAAAAGAAGCGGGAATAGAAGACAGACGGACGGACCGACAACTGAATAGAAATAAGACTGAATGACTGACTGACTGACTGAATCTCTCTGCTCTCCCCCAACCTCAAAAACTCCGCCCATTTTTTGATGCCGCAAAACGATAGTGGGAGGAGAGAAGAAAAAAAGAAGAGACAAGACATGTTGTTGTATCCTAATCCTCGTCTCTTCTTTTTGCTCAATATATGCGAGTGCTCAAAAAAACTACGAGTGCGCAGAGAAAACGGAAAAGAGCTGATACAACGGACCCCCCGAAGAAGAAAAATGAGCAAGTAGAAGTAGAGTAGAAGAAGAAGACGAAAAAATAGAGGCTTGAATGAACAAAACCAACCAAGGGGGTCTTCAAATATTCATGAAATTTCGACCAACAAAATCTTTCGACTGCTCTTCCTTTTTTCGTTTGCTCGACAAGACAAAACCAACAACGAAAAATGATCCCAAAATGGATATCAAGTGACTGACTCGAACAAGAAATATCTAGAACAAAGTTTGACCTGGTACATGTGGAAATTTTGGATATTCTTTAGATTCCTTTATGCTTTTTCAGTGCCAAACTTTTGTTTCGTGTAAAACATAGCTTTTTCTATCTTCTAAAACCCGAAAAAATGCGAAGAAAAAAAAGGTCCGAAAGCATATCGATTCAGAATGTAGGGTTGGAAAAAAGCTGCGCAGAAAGAAAAAACGAAGGTAATTTCCTCTCGTTTTTCGTTTTCCTTTTCTTTTTTGCCATTTTCCGAATGAGAAATGAAGGAAAATATGAACAAATATCAGAAACCAGGTCCATTGTAGAAAAATTGACTGAAAATAGCTGATCTGTCGATAATATTTTAATGTTTATTTTAATGTCGAGATACAAATCTTTTTTTCAACACCACCTGCCAATGATTTTTTGAAACGATAAGAATTAGGAAAAAATGAGGAAAAAAAAAGTATTTCGAAAAATATCGTTTCTTTTTCATAATTTGTTCAAAGTTCTCAATATTTTCCAATAAAACAATAAAAATTGCATTCAAAACCTCTCAATATCTTTCATTTTCTCCATTATTTTCTTCTCAATTCGTTTGCTCAATCACAAGTTCCTTCGTTTCGCTCGCACTCATGAAGAAAAGAAAGAAAAAACCAGATCAAGTAAGTGCCTGCGACTTTTTCGCGCATTATAACAGCAAAAAATTCGAAAAAATCGTATATCATCAATCCATCCTCTAACAGCTGCCCTTTTCTTATGACAAAGGAAGGAAAAAAAGAAAGAAAACGCGCCATGTGTTATATATGTATGTTCTAACAGAAAAATCGTAGTTGTAGCAGTTGCACCATCTGTCCATCGTCACCCTTATTTTATTATACCAGATGCCAAATGAATATCTAGTAAATAAGAAGAAAAAAAATATATAAGTAGTTTGAACATACAAATTGACCGAAAAAAAAGACGAAGGGGAAGGGGAAAATGAAACTAATTTGAGAGAATATTTCAAATTGGATGGAACAATCAACATTATACTATTTTTAGTCCACAACAACTTGAAATCCTTTAATTTGTATTGTTTGCTCTGTCAACAATAATAAATAACTAGAAATAAAATGAAGATTCATATTAAAAACAGTAAATTCTAGAAAAGAGCAACGGGAAATCAATTCAGAAACCTTAGGGATGAAGATCAACTAAACTGCAACACAGGGAATACATTTCATAACATTCGAAAGATCTGCGACCACAAAAACTCTGCTAATCTCTTTGAACTGATCAAAATTTGTTTTTAAAAACTTTTTCTAGTAGATTAGAAAGTAATTTATCTAAATTTCTCAATTGTTTGTTGAATTTCTTCGATATCAGCCCGACTTCTAAGTTCCTTTTAGTTCGCAAAATGCGGGAATCTTTTTTAGGTAGTAAATTAGCGATTCTAATAAAAATAGTTGCCAGATTAACTTTTCCAAGCTCCCACGAGGATTGACATTTTGGTGAATAATTATATATTCGACCCAATTATTCTTTTTCACTCCATTCATTCACACTATTATTAAAAAAAAGAGCATTCTCACTTCTCAATCCTAATCCCATTATTGTGTCCATTTCCAACACCTGTTCAACTAAAAACTCGTCTCCTATTATTTTTTCGTTCTGTCACACCTGTCCGTCCGTCTCCGGGGGTCCTTTCGATAATATCAACTATTTCAATCATCAATCTTGCCGCCGAATCTAGACTTTTTTAAACACACATTTTATTTCTTTTTTTTCGCAATGGTGACAAAAAAACGAAATTGATGAAACCACTGCGGGAGATCGAAACCGAGAAATAGTGAAAACGAGGTTACAAAAAATCGGCAAAATTTTGCAAAATTCAAAACCTGAAATTCTCAAATTCATCCATTTCGAATTCTAGGCTGTCAATCAAAAAATTCAACCGAATATGTAATTTCTACCTAATTTTCTCCATTTTCTTGCAATGCAGACAGACAGAAAAATGATCTATTCTTACAAAAAAAAAAAGAAACTTTCTCTTTTTTATGAAGCGGATGATCTCAAGCGGTGCAAAAGTTACTTTGTTCCAAACAAACAAATATTAGTATTGCGTTTATACTTTAATGTTTATTGTTCTGTTCGAAGGAAAATCCAATTATAGTATGCAAAAATTGACAAAGGTCAATAAAATACAAATTTACATAAAGATTGATTTTCTACAAATTGTTCATATACATTCCGACTTATTGTAAAAGTGTATTTCGAGAACACCTGACAATATTTGTTTCTCAAAAACGAATTTCTCATATTTTTCCAATGTGGATAAATTGTCTCCCAGACAAAAAAAACAGATATACCACCCATATTTTTTCTTCAATCTAATCTTTTTTCTTGTGTTTCGCAGAAAAAAACGAGGAAAATGCGGCAATTCGAAATTCGATGCGATAAAGTACAAAACCATAAACGTAAATCACTATACCGACGACGGAAACAAAAAAAGGAGAAAAAGAAAGAGAAATGAAGAAAAACGAGGGAATTTTTCGAGTAAAAGTACAACAGAAAAATGGAATCAAAAGATTGAAAATATCAACCATCTTTTGCCAAAAAGTTCACCCGCCTAAGAGGGAATTGTTATTTTTTCGGAAAAATAATTGAAGACATTTACTATTGACTTACAATGGAAAATTCTGAGTCGGACCTGACAACTGTGAGGAATCAACCAAGATTTCTTTAATCGAACTCAATTTTCACGATATCTGAATCGGATCAGTGTGATCACATATTTTTAAGAAACAGGCCACCAAAAATGATTTTTCAAAAATATGGACTGAAAAAAATATGACCACTCTTTTGGAAAAGTCGATATTATGGGTACTCGAATCGGGTACATACAGTAGCGGCAAAAAAGAAATGCACTAACTGTTTTTGATAGATAAAGTCACTAAAACAGCCCGAAAATGTTGGAAACTTTTCTAGGGTTATTTTTTACGCTGATTCACACTATTTCAATCATTCAGATGTATTTGGCATCACTTCTGAAGGTTGTATTGGTCCAAAATCAAAAATGCGATTTTTTTCAGATTTTCAACTTTTGGGAAATTTCACTTGGGACTGTCTTAAAATGTTGATAATTGGGTGGTAATTGATTTTTATTCATACAATACCATCCCAGCACTTGATTTGACTTCATATGTTGAAGTTCCAATCATGAAAAATAATGTTAGATGTTCTCGATTCAGCGATGTCTGAAATCGAGAAATCTGAAGGTTTTGACATGATTAATCATATTTATCGTGTGATTTTTGACAAAAATACTTTTATTCATCCAATTTATCAATTTTCTACCAAAACTGAACGTTTTTATCAAGTTTGGGGCCATTCCGATCTTCATCGTTGGTCCGATGTTGTCGTAGATATTGATTTCACGGCCTCCGACAACTTCGGATGATGTTTAATAGTGTTATTTTCTAAAGTTTAGAGGACCCTCTATTGACCTAATAAGGTTTTAACTACCAAAATGAGCGAGATCAGCAATGCCGGACCACATAAGAAGAAATTAGAAAAATCAATGAAAAAATAGTGTAAAAACCATTGAAAAACTGAACATGTTCATTTTTGGCCTTGTAAGTTTCGAAGAAGGAAAGTTTGTGGATTGAAACAGATCAGGTCATGTACCTGAGTCCTTCGAGTGTGAATTTAGGCAATAAAAACTTAGTTTTGAAGTTCAGGGCGTTACTGAAATCAAGATCTATGACAACGTCGGACCAACGATGAAGATCGGAATGGCCCCAAACTTGATAAAAACGTTCAGTTTTGGTAGAAAATTGATAAATTGGATGAATAAAAGTATTTTTGTCAAAAATCACACGATAAATATGATTAATCATGTCAAAACCTTCAGATTTCTCGATTTCAGACATCGCTGAATCGAGAACATCTAACATTATTTTTCATGATTGGAACTTCAACATATGAAGTCAAATCAAGTGCTGGGATGGTATTGTATGAATAAAAATCAATTACCACCCAATTATCAACATTTTAAGACAGTCCCAAGTGAAATTTCCCAAAAGTTGAAAATCTGAAAAAAATCGCATTTTTGATTTTGGACCAATACAACCTTCAGAAGTGATGCCAAATACATCTGAATGATTGAAATAGTGTGAATCAGCGTAAAAAATAACCCTAGAAAAGTTTCCAACATTTTCGGGCTGTTTTAGTGACTTTATCTATCAAAAACAGTTAGTGCATTTCTTTTTTGCCGCTACTGTAATTACTTTTCTAATAAAAAATTAGACATACGAAAAATGCAATGATTTTTTAAGCTCATAACAAATTATTTGTGAGTTTTTGGATCGAATCTAATCATAACAAATTTAGACCCCCGAACTTCAGGACAACTTTTTTCATAAGCGAATTCAGAGCGAAAATTTTTAAAATGCCTATTTTTTATAATTCTAGACAAATTGAGGACGAAATGTTTCTGTAACAGAATATTCTAATAATGACTAAACTTTCTGAAAATAAAAAAAATTTAAAAAAAATCGAATTCAGAAAAATTATCCGGGATTTAGAAAAAATTTTCAGTAAAAAAACATAAACTGAACTTGTTTTTCAACTATTGAGAAAAATGTAATCCAGTTTCGGAAATTGATAACTAAAAAATATCTCAAAGTTATTTTAAATTTTTTTCATACGTTAACTTCGAGTTATGATTGTGGCACCATTGAAATAAAGAAAACACTGTCTCACCTCGAAGTTTTATATAAAATTTATAAAATATGTATTAAAATGTGTGTTTTTTAAAATTATTCTATATTTGTTTGTTTTAAAATTCCGCTTTTTTTTCAAAAATGAGAAATTTTGAAATGAAAATAATAAATAACTATAAAATCGAAACGTGAACTATGACGTGAGAATTTAAAAATTATTTCATAATATTTTTAGAAAAAACCAAGTTTATTCATTGCGAAATTACTGTTCCAGAAAAATTACTCTGAAATTTTCTTTGAAAACGAAAAAAGATTCTGAATGTAAAATGAGTGAAGTCATAAATTATTAACCTGGAAATTAAATCCCGAAAATTTAGCCGTATTCATACCTGATTCAGAAATCTTCAACAAAAAATTTCACTCTGAAAATTGACTTGTATTGTTCTGAAACCTTGATACTAGTTCTTATTTAAAAAATCCACTAGGGAAATAAAGATTTTGTTTTGAAAGTTATTTTTTTTGACAGTATGAATCTGAAAACCAATTTATCTAGCAACTTTGAACCGAAAAATTTAACTCTGAAATCGTCTGAAAATACGAAAACCCAAAATTTCCCTATGAAATTAGGCGCACGAGAAAAATTTACCCAAAAAAACCATAAAAACATGAACTCTCCAAATTCGCTATAAAATTTTTCTGTATAAAATAATATAATTTCCGATTGCACAATGTCTTATTTTGTGAACAACGACAAAGAAAAAACTCATCAATATTCAAATTATATACTTTTATAGTATAAATATGCATATTTTTGTGATGTTCTTTCTTTCTTTTTATTTATTTGTCAATGATTCATACATTTTATTCATATACTTTTTTGGCATTTTGCCATTTTCCATCCAGTCGGTTCAATTTCTTCTTTGTTGTTTTGTGGAAAAAAGAACATGGAAAAACAATATGATTGATGTTTTTTTTTCGACAAAAATCGGCGGAACAACATGAAAAAACGAACACACAAAAAAACAACACAACAACGAAATATAGAGAAAATTGTGTATTTCTCTGTTTTTTCAGACATGTTTATTTGTTTAAAGGCATTTTTGGAAACAAAAAAGAAACATTTGTTTGTTGCCAAATTGAATAAATCGATGTGGAAATTTTTTTTTAGAAAATAGGCTAATCTACTTATTAGAAATTTATCAATGAAAAGACTATCAAATTTTAATGTTATCTTAGTGAGCTAAAATCGTATTTTCCACCTGAAAATCTACGTAGCTACATTAAAACTATTTCAGAACTTGGAGTTATGACAGTCTTTGGCTAGAGTCTTGGTTTCCAAAAGTCCCAATTTCACGATAACTTTTTCAGTGTCAAAATAATAAATATTCATGATTATTAGGATTGTTGATTCATGGAACTGTTTTTGAACTCTAAAATATTCAAATTATGTTTTTTCTAAATAAACGTGTTCACGGCTGCGGTTTAAGAAGGTGTGAATTTCATATTTAAATAATTTCAGAGCGCTATTTTTACAGTCAAAAATATATGTTCGCTTTAGCTCTTTTCAGACAAATTTGAATACCTTTTCACTATAAAAACGGGCTTCAGAGCTGAATTTCAAACTTTACAATCCCTAAAGATTCTCAATAGAATTTCAGGCCTCAAAATTTCAAAAATCTTCGATGATTCGAAATTCCCTCAATATCTAACAACTATTTCTTCCGAGCATAACACATATTAGTGAAGCACTTTCGTGTGGAAAAATAATTTTTATCACAATTTTACAATCAAAAACGTGATGAAGCTCTAAAAATTCACACCATTTTTCTAGAATTATGAAATCATTTCTATAAACACGTTTTTTAAAATAATCTTCTAACGTAAACTGACAATTTCTATATTTCCAAAAAAGTTTCATCATAGAGTTTATGCGAAATTATTTTGTAAACAATCAGAGCTTATAATTTTTCGCTCAAAGATTTCACATGGTTTGGTGGAAAATGAAGCATTGAGCATCCTTCCTAAAAATTCTAAAATCGATCAGTCACAAATGTGTGAACCACAAGTTCTGTAGAATTCCTTAATAAATTTAGAATTTCCTTGAATCTTTTTTGAAATTTCAATCTAAATTGGACTTTTTATATTTTCAATCCAAACTTAAAATCAAAGTTGAGTTCTGTCCTGAAATACAGTCCAACTTAAAAAGAGTCGAAATCAAACGGCGAAAAACAGAATAGTGATACGCAGATGTCAATTCTCGTCTCACTACCCATGTCTTTCAACGTCAGATCAACTCATTTCCCCAAATTCATACCTTCTTTTCTTATAGAATAAGAATAATCGGTGAAAAAAGAGAATATTTGAATAATGCAAGTAAGTATGTCATTTTTCTTCTTCTTCTTCTTCTTCCTTTTCTTTTTTTCTACTCAAACTTATGTTTCATTTTTAGGGCTGAAATAGACAAAAAACTAAGAAAAAGAGAAAGTGAGAGAACCTAGAGCAGCAGAAAACAAAAAAACGAAATAGATATTGTGTTGAGAGAAGAGAAAAGAGAAAGTAAGATGTATTTGAAAGAAAAAAAAAGAAAGAAAGTCAGAGTAGAAACAACTAGAGAAAAAGAGTTCAAAACATGTTGAGACGATATATCAACATGCTAACAGCACAAAATGCAATGACGACAATATGCCTCAATTTTTCTAGTTTTTATTTATTTGGAGCCTGCCTGAAATTTCAGCTGGCAGAAAAAGAGCTGAAGAACTCATTGCTATTTAGAGAGAAAACATGAATCGTTTATCCCTAATCTTGAACTCTTAAATGATTAAAGCTAGACTATAAAATGATACCAAGAATACTGCTGAGAAATTTCAAATCCTAAAGCAATCTGGAGAAGCTTCTAAATCACGGAAAAAATTCTGGAAAAAAAGACCTACTAACCTAACTCGGAGATAGAGATACCTTCAGAAGAAGAGGAAGTAACTAATCATTTATTTTAACCTCGAGTCATTTTCAAAAGAGAAAATGGAGAAAAAGAAGAAGAAGAATCAGCAACCAACCAACCATCCAACAACACACTCACATACATACTAAAAGAGGCGGAGCCTAAATATTCAGCACAGCACAGCAAAAAGAAAAAAAGAAGAAGAAGAAAAAGAAGCGAAACGGGGCGCGGCGCCCAACTCTTCTGCCTCTTTCTTGCCATCTCTTTTTTTGCTTGCTATGAGTGAATGAATGTATTGTGTGTGTGTGTGTTGGGGCCTTGAAGCTCCTCCCATTTTGAGTGTCGAAAAAAGAGAGCGCGCGCAATATAGGCGCCCAGCCAATTTTTGTTATACTCTCTCTTTCTGTTATGTGTGTGTGAGTGTGCACCGTCTTCATCTCTAACACCTCTTCTTATCAACAAAATTCCCGCCTTCTCCAAAAAGTGAAATACAATGTCTAAATAAGAGAATGAGAGAGTTGGTTTTTTTTTCAAAAAAAAAAACGCAAGAAAAAACCACCAGAATGAGCAAAAAAAAAGTGGGTGAGTGAATGAGTGAATAAGAGCATAGAATACAAATACGAAAAAGAAGAAGAAACGAACGACTTCTTCTATTCAACTAACGCATACATAAATGTATCGAAAGAAGAAGAAAAAACGAAGAAGAAGCAACAAATAAAATTTGTGCAAAAAATATCACATCATCTTTTTTTTCTCATAAAAAACGACAAAATTCGTCACGAGTAAGAAAATAATAATAATTGGGCTAGTTCAATACATCAAACCACGTGGGAGAACTACAATTTGAAAACATTTGAGGTAATTCCTTCTCGTAGCTAATTTTATCCTCAAATTCAAAACTCAGCTTCAGAGTATTTTATGAAAATGAACAATTTTTGAGAGAGATCTGATAAATAAAATTTTCAGAAAGTGAACAATCAAAATTTCATTCAGACAATATTTTTGTATATTTTTAGACGATTTCAGAGTTAAATTTTACTGATCTCATAGCACATTCAGAATCTTAAATTGCAAGGAAAAATTGTTTTTGACAAGCCAATTTTTTGTTGTTTTTAGATGAATTCAGGAAAAAATTTTTGTATAAAATTCCTGAATTCCCGATCTAATTTTTCAACCCCATATTTTTATACCAATTCCATATAATTTTTTGTTTTGTTTTGTTTTATTCTAGATAGTTATTCCATAAACAAATAAACAAATTTCATTGCTCTCCTTCTCATTTTTCATGACGAAAAAATGGCTGGCTGAAAACGTCTTTCTTTTTTTCGTTCTCTCTTCTTTTTGTTGTTCTTCTATTCTGTTCGTCAACAACCAGAGAAAAAAACGAGAAAAAGAAGAAAAACTCATAGAAAACTCACGCTCAAAAATAAGAGTGAGAGATTGAGAGAAAAAGAGGAGGAGGGCAACAAAATCACAAAACAACATAAAAATGCTTCTTAAATTTTTGCTCCCAAAGAAAACAAAAAAAGTCAACTAACCTGACAAGTCTCCTGTTTCAAATCTCCCGAAGGAAAAGATTGCGGATTTCGAGCAGTTTCGTATACATGAAAAAGTCCAGGAACAATACAAGTTTTCAGAAATTCTTGTGACAATATTTGACGTTCCAACAAAATTGAAATTGCAGAAATACATTGTCGACGAATCTGAAATTCAAATTTCTTCTCAGCATTTATTTTTTGAAAACCCAATTTTTTGTTATCTTGTTTTTGTTTTCTTTCTCCTCTATTTTCATTTTCTCATATATTTTCCTGTTCCTCTCAATTTTCTCCAGTCTCGTAGAGGAAAAAAAAATGTTTTTCGAGCAAAAGAAAAACAGCTTCATCTTCTTCTTTTTCGCCTTCAACCCCAAAAAACAGATAACAAAACAACAGAAAAAAGTGGAATGGTCCAAAAATCAAACAAGTTGTTTTACTTTTTCCGCCATCCATTTCTTTCTCTTTTTTTGTCAACTGTGTAATAAATTGAAGAAAAAATGTCAAGGTGACGAGAAATGACGAGAAAGGCTTCAGTTTTTAATTGCTAGAAAACAAAACTACTGTAGTAAAGTATAGAACAAAGGAACGGAAAGGAAAAACTGCTGGAATTAACTGATAAATTCTTGATGAAGATCGAAAATGTGGAACTTTCTGGACGATGACAATACATCTGGCTGTACCAGAAAACTGATACAATATGCATCTTTTGCAGAAAAAACTTTTTTTTCTTAATTCAAAGTGTTGCTTGGAAAATACGAAAAACCCTTAACATCATAGCACTATTTACGTTTTGTGCAAAACAGGTTAACATGGACGATTTGGCTCAAAACTACTGTGTACCATGAAAAACTAAGGGGATTTTTGTATGACCAAACAAATTCCCAATTCGTGATTCCAACCAACATTTATATATACTATAGTTTTGATATATTTCAAACGAACACCTTTCCAATTGTTGTTTCAATTCAATATTTTCAAGATAAGAAATCAATCAAATATATTTTTTAATCATCATCGTCTCGTTTTTTTTTGTCTTGTTCCCGCCTGTGATTGTTCAACCAATGGTTCTTTTTTATATTTCTCTCTTTCTCTCTCGTTTTTTTCTTCAAAAAAATGTTTATTATTATCTGCGTCTCTTATTCAATATTTCATCTCTGTTCGGGGTCGCCGGGGCGCCCGCGTAACCTTGGCATAACGACCATGTGTGTTGGGCCCTCTGCGTCTCTTGTAAATGGCTCAATATCTATATTTTTTGCAATACAGTACGAATTCGTCTCTATACATTTGTCCACTATTTCTCTCCTCACTCTCCGTTTGCGCCTTCTTCTTCTTCTTCTTCTTCCTATGTGGTTACTGCCTCTCCTTTTTGCCATCGTCGTTGATCGCAAATAAAGGCGACGACGACACATCGGAAAAAAAACTGAGGGGGGTTACAAACAAATTGTGCTTCGTTTTTTTCAATATGGATAAATAAGAATCAAAATGCGAGAAAAAACACACAGACATTTTCGTTCTGTACACAGCTGGCAATGAAAAAACACAAGAGAACATATTTACTGTTTTACTCAAGTATTTGACTCATCCGTGGGTGTTTCAAAACGATAATACTGAAAGATCCCCGAATTTGAATACAGATGAACATCTGATTTTTCTAGAACTATTTTTAAATATATTTCAATCAAGACCGATGATTTCAGAAGGTTTCCTTTGACCTCTCCAAACTAGTTCCACCAATTTGAAAGACTTTGAAATTTGAAGAAAAAACTCTGTTTCTACTTTCGTTTTTCTTTCTTTTTTGGCTTGACTATAATCGGTTGGAGAATAATAATAATCGAATGACATAAACATCAAGACAAAGAGACGCTGATAAGAGCAACAAAAGTGTTCGGTAACCAAAAAAAATGGAGAAGACGAACAAGGTCGAATAAAAGCATGTGATTTCGAACATGCACGATATTTCGATTTTCCTGTTGTTGATTGAATTGAACGCAAAAAAAAACGAACAAATTGAATGGATGGCAAGGTCGATTGTTTAGACAGCAAAACAGACAGGGAAAATTGTGTTCGTTTGAATACTCAATTACAAAATTAATGTTCATTGTCTAACTTATATTCAAAATGTTTCATTTCGAAACAAAAAAAAGAGGAAGAAGAGATTTGAACAAAGAAAGACACATTAACAAGATTGAATGACTATTTGAACCGCCAAAATGAAATATCTTTCGGAAGTTTTAAACAAACTTTTTGATTTCTATAGTTATACTATGAAAAATTTTCCAAAAAATTGAATTTCCCATCATCAAAACATCGTTCAATTTTTCAATAATAGTTTCCATTATAATGTTTTTCCGATTTGCTTTTTTAATAATATTTTTCGATTAAACTTTATAAAATATCAAATATCCGGAAAAATGAACCCTTTGACGAACAACAGCAGCAGATTTTTTTGTTCAACCAAATCGATAACTATACATTTCCAAAATTAGAAACATTTCAAGCTCCTCCCATTTCTTTCCTCATAATTCGTACTACTGAAACTAATCTAAAAAAGGCTTCGAGAAAAAACGAGGGAATCGAAATAGCGACGAAGAAAAAACAACACTGAACTATATACTTTTTCTCTCGTTGAAACTTTAATTCATGAAGTTGTCAGGGAAAAATTATGACCATGATAGATACATTTTTTGCTCTTCATTTTTTTGTTTCCTGTGATGCTCTCAAGTAAACATGGCGACGAATAGAGATGGAAACGTTGATGGGGGTAGCAAATTGTTGAAACTTGATATTGTTGCCAATCGTTTTTTTCGTCTTTCGTTTTTTTCCGATTATTATACAATTGAAAGCATATTTGGAAGGAAAAGGGAATGGAAAAAGGTGGTCGGGATGAAAAATAAAAATAGAACAAAAACCCGATTCATTCAAAAATCACAAAAAACGGGGATTCGAATTCCGGTAGACTGAAGAATGAAAACACAAAACTTGTGTTCTGATAGGAATATAAACTATTTCTGATAATCCTATTCAACTCTTTTGTAGATTCCAACATAGAACTTGTTCACGATTGTTTTGTTCATTTTTTCAGAAAAACATTTTTTTTCTTCATATATACATCGACTCATCGAATGTCGTTTTTTCTTTCTTTTTTTCTGCATACAAACACCAGAGGCAGCCCGATAAGAAAAAAAAACGAAACGTCGACAAAAAAGACTGGAGCACAACAGAGAAAGCGAACTCCTATCGATGTTGCTCTTTTTGCTGCATTATTTTCTCTTTTTCTTTTTCATCCTAGCTCTTTTTTCGCTACATACAACACCAGGAAAGAAACCCGAACGAGCATTTTTTTCATCTCAAGGTTGCTTCGATGTTGCAATCGAGGGGTTTTCGAAAAATCCGAATTTGAAAAACATCGAAAATCACAACATGCATGGTACATTAAATCATTGATTCTTGATGGAAACATTTCAGAAACTACAAAACATTCTAAATCAGATCCAAATTGAAAATCAAAGAATCGAGGCTGAATGATTCATTTCGTAAAAGTGCATTTTATGCTTGCTTGAAACATAAAAGAAAAGCCGGCATTGCACTTTTCTTGTTGCGTCATTTTTTTTGGATTCATTGAATTTTTTGTGTGAAAATACAATACAAAAAACCGAAAATTTGCTATACACATCTGCACTTTTTGTTGCATTCAAAAAAGTGCAAAAGTTTCAATAAATCACTAGAAAAAACTTGTCTAATGACTTTGATCATAAAACAAACAAAAATGATGCATGTTCGAAAAACTAGGGAAAACTCGGAAAATGTTCCTGTTATCGAGTAAATAAAATGTGATCTGTGAGAATAAGTTATAGACAGGCAATCATTCTGCGTTTTAGGGTAAACATTTTAGAACAAAATAATCTTGATGTTTTAAAATGGTTCGCTTATGGCCTTTAATGTTCAAGAAATTTACATAGTTTTCAATGTTTATCCCATATTTTGAACATTTTTCAAGGGTCTGAGGAATTTAATTTCTTTTAACCCCAACTAATGTATTCATCGAATGATTGGACCTCATTTCCGAATTTTAACTTTTTCCCAAATCAAAATCCCAAACTCACATTCGATTCATCATTCAAAGTAACCACAACCATCATATATAAAATATCAAGATATTTCGATAATTTCTCATTTGAAGTAACTGTTTCAATAAGAAAAGGCAACGCATCGAAAACAGATCCCATTTGAACAGAACTCAATCGATGATGAAATTGATTAGAATATGAAAAATCAGAATTATCAGATTCTGATGAATTGCTTATACTTCTATCAAATACTTCAGGCCATTTCGCAGATCCTAAAAAACAATGTATAATTTAATTGAATTTTCCATAAATAAAACATACCATCTTCATTTCTCGGAACAACTGGCAGCCGATCTTCAATTGCTTTCAAAGCACTTTCGAACATTTCAACATATTCAGATGGATTCAAAGATTCCAAAACAGCTAACATTTGTTTCATTGCATAGTCTCTGAAAAATACAACAAGTTAGAAATGCTCGAGATGTTCGAAACAAAAGTAAACACAAAAAGATAAGGATTTACCTAACGAATTTTGACGGTTTTCAAAACAGTTAGAAAAAATACTTTTTCCGTCGGAAATTCTAAATATCAGTCGAAATATTTGAAACAGAAAAAATGCTTTAGATGTGAAATACAGACTAAAAGAAAAATCTTTCATATAAAAATTTATCGCATTACTATTTTGAAAGGAAAAAATGCAATAAAAACGCGCTACAGTTGAACATCTGCTTTTGGAATATTTTATACCCGTGTTTTTTGGAACTTTACTCACACCTGCATTGAATTCATTCAACATAGAAAATTGAAGATGACCGATTTATCATCAAAAATTTTGAGAAAAAACTCACGCTTCATCATTATATTGACTATAAGTTGATAATATGATTTCAGGTAAATGATAAACATCTCTAGGTTCTTTAATCCAATCTGGTGGTTGTCTATCACTTGTTGATGTTTCATTGAGATCATCTATAAAACCCGCACCATTCAATGCATCGTCCATTGCAATCGACATTGTTTTTGCCAATAAAAATCCTCTATCCATATTTTTATCAAAATTGTCCGCCTCGACGACGGAAAATCTTCAAAAACAATTGATTAATGTCTTTCAATATAATATTTTCCCTCTACCTCTTCAATTTTCTTGCTATCGCAGATATTTTCTTCTTGTCAGCCTTGTCGAAATCTTCTTTATTAGTTTCGATAGATTCTGTACCGTCACTTCTCGAAGGTCTTTTAGAAGCAAATGTACGGCGTACCCTGAAATAATCAAATTATTTGAGAAATTTGAAATATGAAACGACGTATTCAAGAAATAAATACATGAACAAGGAAAAATAAAGAACGATATTAGATACCGACATTTTCCACAACCCAATCAATGCGACAGTTAAAATAATAGTTGCGGTTGTAGCGAAAAATCTGAAGCAACAGTTATAGATTTCTTGCAGATCCAAATACCGCTCAATATTCAAATATTCTTGAATCATACACAAATGGCTGCAAATTCAATGAATTATCAATGAAGACAATTTGCTAATAAATACCTCTTAAAACGTCCGATTTCTTGTCACCAAAAATACCAAAATAACTGATTTTCTTAAATATTTGACCCCACTCACGTTTTTATTATTAAACTGCATTTTTTAATGAAAAATAATGGATTTAAAAATGAGAAACTTGGAGAGTGCAAAAATTGACTTGTGCACACGAAATGCGCCATGACCAACTGACCGTGTAAAATTTGCGTCAGCTAACTAAATCTATGGCGCACAAAAAGTAGGACAACCAATTGTGCTCTACAGAAATAAAGGAAATCTGTGGTTTTTACGCGTACGTAAATTACTGTTGAAATGCTCAAAAATGTCAAAGTTTCAAATATTCATTAAAATATAACAAAAACAAGATGAGAAAATAACAAATTCAACCCTTAATAACAGCAATTGGTCTTAATTTAATAGCTTTTTTACTAATTCCAGCAACATCACAAGTATCAACAACATCAGTCACATTTTTATAAGATCCAGGCGCTTCTTCCATAATTAATTTAGGCGAAGCAATTCTAATCGAAATGTCTTTTTGTCGTAAATCTTCAACAACAGAATCCCATGTAATTGTTCTTCTTGATTTTGCTCGCGAAAGTGCTCTTCCAGCTCCATGACAAGTTGTTCCAAATGTTTCAACAAGCCCTTGTTCAGTTCCAGTCAAAACATAACTACAAGTTCCCATGCTTCCTCCAATTAATACCGGTTGACCTAAAAAAATATATTATTTATTGAAATATATTTGAAAATATATTTTTTTTAAATCATTACCAATTAATTGATAATCAACAGGAATAAGTGGATGATGTGCTGGAAATGCTCTTGTTGCTCCTTTTCGATGAACACATAATTGTTTTGGTCTTCCATCAACCATATGTTCTTCCATTTTTGCAACATTATGAGAAACATCATAAACAACTTGCATATCCATATCATCTGGTTCCATATTAAATGTTTTTTGAAACGCATTTCTGACACAAAATGTGATACACGATCGATTTACCCAAGCAAAATTTGCAGCTGCGGCCATTCCAGCGAAATAGTTTTGACCTGAAAAAATAGTCAGAAGTTCTTGTTTTTTTTGTAATAGCACCCCAAAAACTAAATCATAGGAAAACGGTTCCAAAATGTTGATCAGTAGTTTTCCAACTTTTTGCATTCTTCCTCTCCCTTTTTTTGAACAAACTCTCACCTTCAACCGAATTAATTCTCGCACATGCCAATTGTTTATCATTCACAACAATATTATCTCTAGCCATAGCTTTTTCCATTTCAACTAATGAATCAGTTGCAACTTGATGTCCTAATCCACGACTTCCACAATGCAACATAACAACAACTTGTCCTTTTTCATCGATTCCCATTGTATTTGCAGCATGTTTATCATAAATATCTTCAACAACTTGAACTTCAGCATAATGATTACCAGCTCCAAGTGTTCCTAATTGTGGTAATCCTCTCTTTTTTGCTCTCATGGATACTTTTGATGCATCTGCTTGCAACATTCTACCGTATTCTTCACAATGTTCTTTGTCTTCAGCCCAAGAATATCCTTCACGAAGTGTGTAATCCATACCCATTTCAAGGCAACTATAAATATGTTTTATTGTAGAACACAATTCAGAAATAACCTTACTCAACAAGATCAGCTGCTTGCATTGGAATTGCTCCTCTCGATCCAACTCCAACTGGAATATGATCAAATAATGATTGTGTTAATTGTTCTTTTACATCTTTCAAATCCTCTTCGAATAAATTTGTTCTAACTAATCTAACACCACAATTAATATCAAATCCAACGCCTCCAGGAGAAATTACAGATTCTGGGTTTGAAGTATCGAAAGCAGCAATATTTCCAATTGAAAAACCATAACCAGAATGAATATCAGGAAGACCAATCTATGAATAACAAATTTATTTTTTGGATATGTTTTTTAGGATCTAAAATAATCGGTCTTAATTTTTCTATTTTCAGAAAATCAGTGTTCAATAAATAAACAAAAACACTGAATTCAAAAAAATTATATGGAATAGTCTAAATACTTCATTTTAATTTCATAATCCATTTGAACATAGTTTTTCAAATGTTTTTTTAAATCTGAAACTCCCTGTTTTTACGTGGCCTTTCATTTTGAATATAAAATAGTTTTAAAAAATATTGTTACCGAATGTCCAACAATTCCAGGAAGAGCAGCAACATTTGCAATTTGTCGAACAGCGGGAAGAAATCCACCGATTCCAGTTCCATTACAAGATAATTTCAATTCTTCAAACATAAGTGGTTCCAATCCTTTATTTACATAAAATCTTCCTTCAACATTCATATTCGGAACAAATCCCTTTTTTATTCCAAATTTTACATCCGAAAGTCGATTTATAAATTCACATTCTTCTTCGAATGTTCGTGGCATTTCTCTGCTCCAAAATTGTTATTTTTGTTGTCTAAAACTTCTCTCAAAATATAACTGCGGAAAAACAAAACCCAAACTATTACTTCACAAAATTTTAAATTCAAAATAAAATATTTTATTGATATATTCATATGAAAAAATGCAAAAGAAAGTTGTCAAAATTTTGTTGATCAACTATGAAGCAAATAAAACCCGTTACAAAATGAAAACATGAAAAAAAGAAAGGAAGAACTAGAAAAATGTGAGCAAACATACAATATTTCAGGCTAGAAAACATGAAATTTCAAAATATTTGAAGCTAGAATTTTCTCTATAAAACAGAGAATGACAGAAAAGAAAAAGGGGAAAAACTATGGACAGAAAAATTACATACCTGCAAAAAACGGGATAATTTGAAAAATGAGAATGAAAATGACTATTTTTTATACTTGAGTATGTCGACGAGCCAATTCACGACTTGAATTCACTGATCTAACAGTCTGCAAATATTTTTGTTGAAAGAAAAACATTGAAAAATAAAAAAACAAACCGTATCAACAGAAGTTTGTGGTTGAATTGTAGAAGCTCGCAAACTTTTTCTTTGGCTAGTTTTTCGTGAGATTTTAGAAGTTGAATCTTTGGAAACATCCATACTTCGACTGAAAGTGATTGAATTTTATTATTTAAGAGGGAAAATGAAGAAACTTACTTATTATTGGCCTTTTCAACTCTTTCACGAATTGGAGCTCGACACAAAGGACAAAGATCCAATTGTAACGCACAATCAGGGCAAAAACCACTGAAAATTTTGATGAATGAATATATTTGGATGTATCTCAATATACTCAGAAAATGAATGAAAGCAAAATTTTTTGATTGTGGGCCAAACAATTTAGTAACCAATTCTAGGCTAGTATTTATCTGTTCTAGAAGAAGCCCATTTCTACATGATTTTTTTAAACAATTGTTTCTATCGAGCATCTCACTTTTTCGGATTTGTATTTTAAGAACTGAACATCTCAATAAAAACTCACTCATGATCACATGGTTTGAATTGTGTTGTTGCTGGCGCATCAAAACAAATCGAACAATAATCATCTGGAATATATTCTTTCTCAAGGCGTTCCAATCGAACTTTTCGTGGAATAATTGTTCTTTGTGCTGATGAAAGTTGACCATAATCATTGAAACATCTGAAAAACAAGAAATTGAATTATGAAAAATAATCTGATATCACTTACTTGAACTCAACTCCTGGGTGAAATTTGAACGGTTCATTTCCAAAATTGAATCGACATTGTTGAAAAGACATAAATGAAGCGGCAGCAAAAACACCTTCTGATTTCTGTCGATTCGCCAAAAATTCTCGATTTGGTTCAATTCGTTTTCCATTCATTATAAAAACAACTTCACCAGCTGGAATATTTAGAAGAACTCCAAGTGTATCTCCAGCAAACCATCGATGTTCTCCACTTGTACTTCTTGCATTATGCCAAACTAAACATCTACATCCATCATAAGCAACAGAAGATGCATCGTCTCCAATTCCATATCCTTCATGATTTAAAAATCGGCTTCTTTTTGTTGCCAATCCAATTTGCATAACTCCACCAGTTCGAACAGTTGCTTCATAATACCAAACACCTTCAGTTACTTCAAAAGTACATCGAACTGATTCAAAAGATGAAACATCACACCGTGCTTCCAATCCATCTGGTCCTATTTTCAAATATTCACTAACATCTTCATGATTCAACATTGCATTGATTTTTGATGTATCAGTTGTTTCATATGAATATGGACGATTTTCAATTGTAACTAAAAAATAATAAATAACAAAAATGAAAGAAAAAAAAATTGATAAATAACTTACAAATATTATCAAGTGCCCATCTTGATGTAAATTGTTCAATTTCATAATTCTCAAAATTCAATAATGGATGAACATCAAAACCAGCGAATAATTTGCAAATTGTTATTTGATTTTCTCGAGTTTGTGCAAATTTCTCCAACGCTAAAAGTGCAAAAACGCGAACTCGACCAAGTTGACCCTTAAAATAACCACGAATTTATAAATCTAATATAAAATGAAAAACTGACAACATATGGTTTCATTGATTGCGAAATTGTCGAATGCGAAACTCTCAAAATCGCCATCAAATATCCTTGAATATTTTTGTTAAACATCGAAACAGAAGCTGTTCCAGCCATTTTTTCAGCCAATGATCCTAATACAATACACATATTTACATGCCATTTGAACTCCATCTCTTTTTCTTTCACAAATGTTTCGCTTAAACCAATCGACCGCAATAAAGATTCAACGGCTTCCTGAAAACAATTCAATTGGGATTGTTTGAAACTGAAATGTTCGCAAGAGAAACATACCTTGCTTGGTAAAGGACATTCATCCAAGAAAAGAGAAATAACCGCCGGGCCAAGAGGATCCTCGATTGGAATCTGAAGGAAAAATAAAATGTTTATCACGAAAAAAGGTAATTTACCGTATAAATCAAAGCTTTCACAACCATCATCCATCCATTTTCTTCATCAGCAAGGAAATTCAATTTCAAAAGTGACTGCGGAGGTTCTTGTTCACTAGAAAATCAGAATTTTAGATTTCAAACAAGAACAGCCGATACATCTAGGAAAAGCTTAAAAAGCCAAGTCAAGTCCTAATTCTCTTTGTAATTCCAATTTCATTTTAATGAATAGTTTTACAAAATAACTTACTTATTAACAAGTGTTCTTATAACATCCAATGTTTCTCTAATCAATAATCGAATATCTTCTCGAACATCATCTCCGCTATCATTTGAACTAAAATATCTCGAATCATTGAAAATATGCCGTCTTGATGGAACTGTTGCTGATCGATTCTGAGCTTCTCTTCTGCAAAAATTATATTATTTATTGTTTTCTTTGTTCTAATAAAAAATCAATCTCACCCTCTTTGTTTTAACAATCTTCGTCGTTCCTTCCTTCGAGCTCTCGATTCTTTACTGATACAAGTACCCATTCTATAAAACATTTATATTAATGAATTGGAAAAAAAACCTGCTTTTTTTAAACGAAAAAAATCTCAAGGATTGCGAAAAAACGCGGTTTCTCCAAGAGAACTACACAAAAAAAACGAATGAAAACAGGCGATTTTTTGAGAAAAGGCAGAGAAAGAGAGGGATACTATTATCGAAAATCTCATCGGTACCACGCGCTCCACCGAAATAAACACGCAACGCAGACCGCGTCGCGCCACAACACACACAAAAAAGGGAGGGAATTTGAATCGTCCCCTTTAAAAAATTTTTTGGGTGTGTTGTGGCGCGACGCGGTCTGCGTTGCGTGTTTATTTCGGTGGAGCGCGTGGTACCGATGAGATTTTCGATAATAGATAGTAAATAAATATATTGGCCTGCGAAAATATTAGAATAATGAAAAAAAAAAGAAGGAAGGTGGCAAATATATTTTTATTTTTGTTGAGAAAAACAGATTATGGAACATTAGAAAATAAACTAAATATCGGAAAATTGAAGACTGTTCATTTTTCTGAATTAAACATTTGATCTACCAAATGTTTGTAGTTTGAACCCATAAACAGTGTGTAAAATGAGAGATTCAGAGAATCACAACAATTTAATAGGATGGACATTTTTTGTAAAATAAAACTTTTGTTATTATTTCAAATAAAAAAGATAAGATCTCAAATAAAACTGTGATACTGTCATACGTCAAGTGAAATCTCTCGAAATGTTTTTTGTTATAAAATAAACTTCTATTAAATAGTAGAAAAATATGAAAAACACTCGAAAAATAAAGCTGGTTTTCATTTCGTTATTCTATTGACAAAATGAAATGAAGCGAAAAAAATATATCCCAGAAAAATAACACAAAAAATTGAGAACAAATCTGAAATTTAAATGAATGTTCCAAAAAAAATATGAATTTTGTAGTTCGCACGGCAAATTTTCAGTGTCCTTGAGAAAAAAACAGGAGAAATGAAATGACTATTGAGTAATGTTTCTTTGTTCGAAAAAATGACAAATAACAAGGTTTTCAGTAAATAGGAATGATAACTTTTAAAGTTAAGTGATGCATTCATTTCGAAATTAATTTGTTGAAAATATTTGAAATCAAAATTTCACAACATTATCAAATAAATTCTAAAACTTCAGAATGTTTTTTCTTTTAAAAAAGTTCAAAATTATCAAATTACATATATTGTCCTCAATAATAATAAAAAAAACACATGATATTTACAATCGGAATTTTTCAGCTAAACAATCAATAAAAGTGAACTAAAAATGTGAGAAAACCGGAATTTTTCGCTTTCAGTAATATAATTCGGCTAATTTCAAATGTAGTCAGAGAACTTGTCTTATTTGTTTATTACATCTTTACGTGAAAAAATAACAGAATTTATTTAAGATAAGTAAAATACTTTGAATTTTTAGAGAGGCAAAATAACTAAACTATTTTGGAAGGAATAAATAAGAATATTGAGGCACACCTGTTTTGGATGTTATTTATTTGCACAAATGTCTTGCTATAAAAATAATAGGAAGAAAATATATAGTTTTATTATTTGTAAATATTTATCTGACATTTATTTATTAGAATAAACGAAAACAAGATGCTCTGTGGGAAAAAATTAAAATATCAAAAAGAGAAAAATTTGTTAGAGAATCTGAAGTACAAATACATTTTTTCGCGCAGACTTTTTGATAGGTCAAAGATGAAAAGTTCGTCAAAAGACTTACTTTGATATTCATGAAAGGGCATCTATAAAATGTGTAACGCACGAATTCTATATTACAAAACTTAGGATATTCTCACCAAAAACAGGAACTCTCATCGTTTTTACTTCTCTGCGCGGAGCAGAAAAATGACAAGAATTAGAAGAGTGTACAGTAAAGAAGAGACGCAGAGCAAAAAGACAATTGTGACGTCGGACGGTGGAAAAAAAGTGTATTTGTGTTAGTGGCAGCAGCAGTCAAAGCACATATTTGTTTGATATCAAAGAAATTTGGATGAACGTATGTTCACGTGGGGAAAAAAGTTCACAAAGATCATAAAATTTGCTTAATCTAATTGAAAACTGTTATTCAGATAGATGAAATTTCATGATGTGTGAACAATGAATTACTCTATTTAAAATTCAAAAAGGTCGACACGCGACTAAGAGTTCAACGAGTTCTAAATTGAAAATTGAAAATAAAATGAAATGAAAATGTTCAATTTGTCCCATTCGTTATAAATTTATATCATAAAATGTATGTGTTCTTTTAAACACATGAAAAATATTAATGTCAGATGACTTGAAGTTTTTGATAAGGTCAATCAATTGACCATTCTGTGAAAAAACAAGAATAAGATGATTCCATTAAAACTAATATCCTGTTTTTTGTTAGAAAAAATATAGAGCGTATTTTTATTTACCGCTACTATCGAGTGCAAAACAAAAAATATCAAATTTCAAAATTGAAATTGAAATTGTTGATAAAAATTTCGGTTTTTATATAAACTATATACTTATTGATAACCGAAGAATCAAAAAATATATAAGATGAACAAATAAATAGAAATCGGAAATAATGAAAGAAAGACTATTTTCTGGAACCATGGATACCAAATGTATTTTTCTGAGAACGAGAACAAAGAAGTGTTTCTAAAAACCGAACGAAATTAGCAAAGAAACTTGGGAATTCCCAGAGGATACTTTGTGAACTCAACAGATAACCAAAGAAGACAATCTAGGGTTTCCTAAATTCTAGAAATAAGTGCTGCAGAGTCCAAGTTCTGCGCTTGTGAACAAAAAACGAAAAACACAAAAATAAAAATTCAGAGCAAGAAATTGTCGGCGGTTCATGTGTTTGGTGTTTGCACAAACTTAATTCTACAGTAATTCGCAGTGTATTATTTTTTTTTAATTTTTTCCTAAAACTTCCAAAAATCGACCGAACAAGATGAATCAAGATAGTTCAGAATGAAGAAACATTCTCCGACAAAATCAAAGATTTCCGTGAGTTTTTTGAATTTTAAAAGCAGTTTTTTTTCAAACTAACCCAAAATAATCACACCAAAGTCGATCAGTTAGTGTGCACTTGCAATTAATTGCGTGAAGATGAGTTGTGTCAGGTGTGAACTCGCCGGCAATATTTTGAAAATAACCAGAAATATTCTCCACCAAACGAAAATCACCAAAAAAGTCCATACGTTCAATAAATTCTGAAAATTGAAATTTTCAAGAAGAAAAAAACGGATCCAGAATAAATAATGAAAAGTGCATGTTATTCAAGTAAAAATACAAGCTTAGAACAATTCCCAAGTTCATTCGGACTACTACTCATAACAAAATAATTTCTCGAAAAATAATTTTCAGAAAAACATGAACTTCTTTTTGCTCGCTAAAAAATATTCTGAATAAAAAGAAAACGTCGACTACTGAAATTGGAAAATCGTATAGCTGATATTTTCTGAACATAACGGAAAACTAAAGTAGTACAAAATGGCCATTTTATGGAGAAAAATGAATGGGAAATGTTTGATTTATTTGACTGAAAAAATGAGAATAAGAAAGGAAATAGTTCCCATGTTCTTTCCAAAACTTTTACAACTTATAAACTTAAAGTACATAAAATATTGTTAAAGTTTTGTTTTTCATGGAACCAAATCCGAGAAAGGTGCAAATTTTTCGAGAGAGAAAAAAAGAGTTATTTTTCTTCTTTTTTCTCAATGGCTTTTCACTATACGAACAACAAGAATCGGAGAAGAAAAATAAGAGGACCATTGGTCAGAAAAACATATTTTCGAGGAAAAAACAAGAGTTGTTTTTTCTCTTATGGTGTTTTTGCACCACTAAAAATAAAATCCTAAAGTTATTTTTCGAAAGACTTTTCAACAATAAAAAATGAAACGGAATATTATTGAATTAAAAACACGTGAGAAATAAAAAACTAGGTCAAGTGACGTGGATTTAAAAACAGTATAGGTAGCCATGTCGTCAATTGCGATGCGGTTCTGCGTTGCGTGTTGACCTCGATATTTTCCATTGAATTTGCCAAATTTTCATTTCTAAAAACGTGTCGCTCACACGCATCGCAACTGACGACATGGCTACCTATACTGTTTTTAAATCCACATCACTTGACCTAGTTTTTTATTTCTCACGTGTTTTTAATTCAATAATATAAAGTTTTTTCTAGTTTGACCCTTAATAATCTCCGATTACGATACAAAAGTGTTTTTTTTCATAAAATGTGTATCGAAGATAAGAAATAATATTTACAAAAAAAAACACATATTTTCGAGAATTACTCATCAAATTCCATAAATAAATCAGATAAAGTTTGAAAAATAGTTTTTCACGTGCTATAAAATATCGATTGTTTTTATTCAATGCTCATTTCTAAAAACAAAGTTAACCGATAAGATAATGAATAAAAACAATTTTGAAAGGAAAAACACGTGGAGTAACAAGAAAATCGAAATAAAAATGTTTTTATGAGAAAAACTGTTATCTTTTCGATTCGATGATAAAATAAATCAGCTGCCAAATGACCATGGAAAAATAGAGAGAAACTGGTTCAAGTTTTTAAGAAAAAAACATAGATTTGTTACTAGGAATTTTTGACCTATTTTTGAATGAATAGAAAAAATTTTGGAGTATTTTTAATATTTTACAAATCTAGAAAGAAATAAATCGAAAAATGAAAAAAAAAACGTGAAAAACGCGAGTTTGAGATTTATTTTTCAGATATTTATTTAACATTTTTAACTCGAAAATTTATCGAAACTAAAATATAGTTTTTTTTAATTTTCTGGGATTTTGGAATTGAGGTTCAGACGTCAGAATCGATATAGGATTACTGTAAGTAGATGCGAGCGCCTTTAATGATTTTCCACTTAGCAAAGATACAGTAATCCTATTAATTTTCAAACTACCGTAATCATAATGAAAAATTGATATACGGTTACTGTGAATATTTTGTTACGAAAACTTCAGATGATCATAAAATTCCCCATAAAAGTAAGATTAATATAAAATCTCTGAAAGTGCAAAACTCTTGAAAAATAATTAACCTTGAAAAATTGTTATTCAAAAAATGCACGCCTCGAAATTCAGACATTGTTAATACTCGAAGATAATGAAAAATTAATTGTATTTAGTAGGTACAAAGAATACTTATCGAAATATTCTTCGTACCATTTTTTGATAAGGTGACAACAAAACCAAACGATTAACACTTCATTTTATGATTTGATTTGAGATTGAAAGAAAAACCAGAAAATGAATGAATAGATATGAAAATTGGACTTGGAAAATGGACATGAAACACCTTTTTTTGCTCACCTCGATCTCAACACACTTTCTATAACAATTATGTTCGTTTCGTTTCAGAGTACATGCGAACTTTTTTTGTTCGCCGTGGGACAAAAAATGTGAGTCAGTTTGGTGCAAGAAATGTGCACTCATGAATAAATGATCACTTTCACGAAATTAAAAACCGAAAGTTCCCCGAGTCCAATTTCTGGATAAAATAGGATGAGACAAGGATATATCCGGATATCTATTGGTTTTTTGTTTCTCGAAAATTATTCTGCTTTTAGTTTAAAATGATTTTTGTGAGATCAGTGAAAGTCAATGGAAAAATAACGGAATGAAAAAGTAATTGATTTTTTAAAGTTCATCGAAAAAAAGAGCCTGAAATATTCCCAATTTTCATTTAAAATCGGCTTTTCGAACACTTCATTATTTTTTCTCAAAAAATTTCAATTGAGATGATGTTTTCAAATAAAATTTTAATATTGAATTTTAAAAAGCTTGAAAAAGAAAAATTCAGAATTTTCAATTTCATTCAAATTGAACTATTTTTTTTAATCTTCATATTTTTCGAATCAACCAGAAATGACAAGATTTATTCTCACACAGATACGTTCGAATTTCCAAACCGGATCACAATGAAATTATTAAAAAAAAACAACTACAGTAAATAATATCATAAATTTGAAAAATCTAAGAATCAATCGAAATATTTGATAACATTTCTAGCCATAATATCTCCTTCACTTATAACAAATGCATGTTCACAATCATCTTCATCAATTGTCACTTGATTTTCTCCAAGAAGTTCCAACATTGACAACCCTAAAATTTATGGTTTTTTGTTGTTGAATTATTTTGAACAACATACCGTGCTCAACTGGACACCATCCATCTTTTTTCCCATAATAAAAATGAACAAGATCACGATTTTCGAGTAATTTATGATCAAGTTCAACGACAAAATCAAGTTCATCATTTGACATATGAACTATGTTTCGAAAAACATCTTTGTGTAGAATTTCAACTGTAGCATCGTGAATTTCAGCAGGTATCTGAACAATAAAATTTGGATTTTGTTAAGAAAAAAATAAATGCAAATCTTACATTTTCATTTCTCAAATTGAAAGAAATCAACCATTTTTTGATGCAAATTGGGAGATAATCAATCCAAAATGTGGCACCTTTTGTAAACCAATCATGGGTATTCAAAGTCTGAAAATATATTTGATTTGGTAGTAGGAAACAGAATTCCGCATAAAATTCTTTAAAAAATCAAATATAAAATGTTCATAGTTCGAAAAAATTTTAATCAGTAAAGAAAAACTTTTTTTTTGGAAATATCTTTTTGAGAAAAAAACATTTTCCGGTCAATATCAAGTTTCCATTCAGAATTGAGATCCTTCGAAAGTTTTTCTGATTTTCTGGTTAAAAATACAGGAAATTTCTGCTCTTCCGGGATAAATATAGTTTTCCCAATATATTACTGTAGTTTAAAAAGAACGTACCGATAAAATAGTTTGCAATCTTTTTCCATTTGGCGACGCTGCCATATGTTGAATTGTTGGAAAAAGTGCCACAGCTTTTTTCACATTAAACCCTTCATGAAGAACATTTGGTAATATTCTCAACATCATATATGATCCAATACTATGCCCAAAAATATACACTTCTTTTCCACGTGGCAAATGTTCACGAACAAAATCGAGTTTGTGTGTAACTTGATCTTCTAATGAAAATCGATCTGAATAATTTTTCGTTATGTGAATTAACAAAAAAAAAATGAAATGATTTCAATCAGTAAATTTTTACCATTGCTGTAATGTCCATAAGTTCCATTCAAATAATTTGGCATTTTGACATGATTTATACTACTTACAGTGTAGAATAAATATTGATTTTCATTGTTTTTCTCTTCCAAATTCTTCAAAACTTCTCTACCAAAATGTGCATAAAATGCTTCATTTCCAGGATTTCCTGGTATCATTAAAATAACAATTCGATTATCATCCGATTTTTTATTTGGTAATCTCAGATTCTCTTCCGATAAATTTTTACCCATAATTGACATTTTTGTCCATTTTCCGGCAACTTGAATCCATTCAACATGACGAGTTATAGACATTTTCCTGTTAAAAAACTTGGAGATACTAAACCAAATAAAAGAAAAAAAACGGGCAGAAATAAGTTTGCAAGGACACAACCTTTATCAGAAAAAAAGATAAATGATTCGTGAAATTTTTACAGATAAAACAATAAAATAAATAACAGTGATTCATGATTTGGTTATTGTCTTTCAGCTCTTCCAGAGATCATTCGATTCCAACCTCCTCTTTCTGGATCGAAATCTTTTCTGTATTCATCTCGAACTTGTCCTCCATGTTTTCCTCTTCCATATTGTCTTCCTTCAATGAATCCAGCATCCCAATCAGCACGAACCAAACGATCATCTAATCGAGTATTTGTTATATTTTGAAGAGCAAGTTCGGCATCTTCTCGAGTATAATATCTGAAATTAACAAAGGATATTATTATCATTGATCCCCGAGAAAACTGATTACAAAAAATAGAATTTTTCTGTAACTTTGCATAACTCTTTCATAAAAACTAATTTTATCTTCGTTTTTCAAATAAAAAACTCACTCAACGAAACAAAAACCACATGGTGTTTTTTTGAAACGATCCAATCCCATAATAACTCTTCTAACATCTCCAGCTCTTCCAAAAAGTTCATAAACTTGATCTTCTTTTGTAAAATACGACAAGTTTCCAACATATAAAGTTGTCGATGTTCTGAGAGCAATTTCTTGATCTCTTAAAGATCCTTGATATCGTTGATCTCGATATGCACTCACATCTCGAGGATTGTCCAGAGTTCGTGGATCGAAAACCATGCTGAAAACTCGAAATTCTAAATAGAAATTGTTTAATTTAAATGGTTAAGTAAGATGGTAAGAATTTTTCATTCAAAAAAGTATTTGCAAAAATTTCAAAACTCTATTTCAAAAAATCTATTATAGGAAAAATTATATTGATGCTGAAACTAATTTTACCACATGAAAAGTTAGTTTTTGAAATTATAAACTAATAGTTACATCATATACGCGTACAAACTTTCGAAACTTCATTTAAAACAGACGCGAAAAAATGAAAAAATATCCGCAAACGCGCAAGCGAATTCAAAAAATGCGTCAGTTTTTTTCGCTAGCGCATTTGTGTGCATTTTTCATTTTTTTTCTTGACAAACTCTCGAGTTAGCTTTCTAGTTTTTTCCTGCTTGTGTTTCTAGATGAACATTTTCAGTGAGATTAGAAACATATCTGAAATCTCAATAACCTCAATAGTTTTGAGCCTCTAACGGCATATAAGCTCTTTTTTGATTGAAAACAGCGAATTGTATTTTAAATTCCCGCTCTTGTTCGCTATAGCGTATTTAACCCATTCCGTTGTTTCATTCTTTTTTCACAGCCTTTTCATCTTCTCCGAACTTTGCCAACTTTTTCGTATTGTTCTGTGGTATTTTAATCGAAAATGTTGGCTGTCGCATCAAATGAGCAAGAAGATGTTTCACAAGCAATTCTACCTGTTTCTTATCCAAGTGTTGTCAAAGATGAAACTGGAATTTGGTGAGTATTGCGAAATGTCATATTTATTCAAGTGTTTGTCTCTCCATTTTGGCCAGTTTTTAATCAATAATTATATTATTTACAATTTAGGCGAGAATTGTTAGCATCAAAGAAGATCGACTCAAATCAAGGAAGCACATTAATTGTTTTGGGAGACAAGAAAAGTGGAAAGTCGTCACTTTTGACAAAATTAGATAAAAGTGAAAAGAAGAATCGACCAAAAACAGTTTTGGAATATCGAGTTATCAAAGTTCAAAATGATGCGAGAGATTCAAGTTATGCATATCAATTGGGAACCGCTGGAGCAAATTTGAATCCATCCGAAATGTTACATATTCCAGTTTGGAATTTAGATGGAAATGGTTCGACTGATCTTTTGAAACATACAATTCCAAAATCACCATTGAAAACAATTTATGTTTTGGCGGCCAGTATCGATAATCCAAATCTAATTCATTCTTTGAAACGTTGGGCAAATGTTGCTATTGAACAATCACAGAAAAAATTTGATAAACAAGATTTGAAAGAAGGTAGAGCTCAACGTAAGTTATTTTTCGATTTTGAATTCATTTAAATAGACATCGATAAAAATTTTCAGAAGAACGCCTTTGGCAAGAATATGTCGATCCAGCTGAATCTCAAATGTCAACTTCTGTTGTCGGAAACTTTGGAGACGATCACAATCTTTTGCCGTTAGATCAAGGAACATTGACTGAAAATATTGGAGTGACATTCATCGTAGTTATTACTAAAGCCGATTTGGGTAATTATTTTGATTTTTTCGATTTGAAAATTGCTTTTTTTTACAGCCAAAGAAATTCAAGATCAACAATTTGCTAAATCAATGATTCAATTGAGAAAATTCTGTTTGACTTTGGGAGCTGCTTTGATTTTCACAAGTTCGAAAGATAATAAGAATGTTCAGGTTTGTCAATTTCTATAAAGTGTATTCTAGAAAATTCGTATAATTTTTCAGATTCTTCAAAAGTATGTTCTTCATAGATCATTTGGTACTCCATTCACAAATACAGCTCAAGTAATCGAAAGAGATGGAATATTTGTTCCAGCTGGATGGGATAGTGAAAAGAAAATCGATATAATGCGTGAAACTATCCCAGATATTGATACAACATTAGAACCAACTCGTGAAAAAGTTCGAATTCAACCAAAAGAAGTTCTTATTGAAGCTGATGATGATCAAGAATTTCTCAAAAAATTATCGGATGTTTTGAATAACACAAGTGCTCCAGTTCGAAAAGTTCAAAATGAAGAACCAGTTGACAAAGATAGTCCATTAGCCAATTTCTTCTCAAATCTTTTAAAAGATAAACCATCTCGAACATCAGCGACTCCTCCAATTTCTCAAGATCAAACAGCTGCACAACTTGATCGTTTTCTTAAATCTGCCACGGCTGCAAAATCAAATTCCGATGTGAGTAATGCTTAAGACATAGTAAATTAATTAACATAATCTTTGCGATCGAGTGTATATTTATCTCCTAAATTATTTTTTCTGCGTGTTCAATAAAAATTTTACATTTTTCAAGAACAAAAAATCGTTTCAATAGAAATCTTCATTTATTCGTCTGAGGTTTGTTTCGATGTTTTCATAAAAAAGAAATTTAGACTAGCGGAGTGGTTTTTTCGAAAAATTAATATATAGTTTTACATACAAAATAAAAATCTTTCTTGAGCTGCTGCAAGTTGGGCAAAATGAGTAGCTCAATGAGTTTAGACAAAATAAATCATGAATCACAGTCAAATCGAAGACGATATATTATTTTTTCGTTGTTGAAAGGGGCATAAAAGTGGGTAAGTAAATTAGAAAAAGTAACTCGTTTTACGAAGAACAAAAAAAATCGGTGTGAATAATTATAAGAAGAATAATAATTTTACATGGAAGTGTGTGAATCGAATCGACATTATTATGCTATTTTCAAAAAAGAATGACAACTTATTTCAATCTTTGTGTTATACTTGCAAGAGCAACTGCAAATGCTTGTGAAGCACTGAATGGATGACGAAAATCAAGAGTATAAGCACCACCTTCAATTCGTCCGAACTGTAACACTTGTTTTCCATCCATTTCGATCTGAAATTATTTATTTGAATGTTGTGGAAAAACTTATGGGATGTTTTGACTCAATAGAAAATTTCGAGAATTTCTGAAACACCAAGCAATTAAATTTTTATTTTAAAAATTCGGAATACAAATTTTGAAATATAATTAAAAACATTTTTTTCCATTCAAAAAATTCAGAAAAAGTATAAAAATTCCGCAGAATAAAAACTGATACCTGAAAGTTTTTGGCAGATTCTTGAGTAACTCTTCCACCAAAATCCAATTGATAAACTTGATTATGTTCATTCCAAAATGGTGTTTTATTATGCATTGTAACAGTTCTTTTATTGTTACTATTTGTTGCCGAATTATTTGTTTTATTCGAAGATTCTCCTAATGCTTTTTTCATTTCCTCCAAAGTTTTCAAAAGTTGTCGAACTTCAATTTTCACATCTCCCGATCCAACTTTTTTCTCAATTTCATTCACTCTTCTCAATAATTCTTTCATTTGCGATCGCATTTTATTTATAGATGCTTTATCTCGTTTCTGTAAATAAATAGCAATTATTTTAACAAGCAAGTTTAAAAATAGTATTTTTCTCTTCTTGTAAATTGATCCACTTACCGCATTGAAATCGACATGTCTTTTTGATAATTGGGCTGCGATTGAAGCTAATTTATCGACATGAACTCTTATTGCATCAGTATCTTTTTTACTTGCTCCTTCAATCGGCCAACCACCTTTTGAAGCTGAAGATGATGAAGCACCTTTATCTTCATCGCCATCTGAAAATGAAAAAGATTTAGAATTTGAAAAAAAATAAGCTGAATTGTTGATAATGTTTTGAAAATTTTTTTTAATTATAGAACTCGAGTTTTTGGAATTCAGAAATTTAGAGAAATCGTGGAATACAAAAAATTTGCTAAAATTAGGTTTATGCTAGAAAAACTATACTCTGATATAATACATTTGAATTTATCCACGAGGATTTTGAAAATATGGACTTCAAAAAAAATTTGTGGCGTTTTTTGGAAAAACTTCAAAAATAAAAGTTGAAGAAAATTGAAACAAGACCAAATAACTTATTCAATCTCATACAAATTCATACCAAACTGAAAGTTTTTTCAAATCAAAATCTTACCAATAAATTCAAGTGTCTCAATTTCATCATGCCAGGTGCTAACAGAACTTGCCATACTTGTCACTTCCAATCTTGAATCAGTTGTTCGAACACTAACAGGTGTCGCATTTTTCGATGGTGTCACTGGAGCCGATTCTGTTTGTCTTGAAGTTGATGGCTAAATATTTCATTGTTTTTCTTTCTTCATATTTCGAATAAAAAATACCTGGCATGTTTCCTGATGTGTTGTTTCTTTATAAACAGTCGCATCCATAGCAGCTCTCAATGATAAACATTCAGTGACTACTTTTTCAAAAAATAGTCGTTCTTCTTCAGTCAATCCTTGATCATTTGATTGTTGTTTTGATGTTGTTGGTTGAGAAGATGTTATTGGTGTTGTTTCAGTTTGTTTTGAAACATTTGTAGTTGAATTTGTTGTTGAATTATCATCCAAAACCGACAAATCAATAGTCATTTGTCGTGGTTGCAAATGCAAAACTGAGGTTTTATAAATAACCTAAAATTAAATAAGTTTTTTGATCGCTTTTTCTTTTTTTTCTCTCAATAGAGCCACTAATTCAATAAGCCTAGGCGCTTATTCATAATTACTATTATTATAATAATATGTTTTCCCTTTTCTATTTTTATTCCTATTTTTAATCCCAATCAGGTGCAAATAATATTCACCTGTCCTAAGAATTGCGGCAAATTTGTGTGACTCATTGAAGTGATATTAAATCTCGTGCACCAAACATTCGATGATACTTGCACCAATCGACTATCAGTTCGTTGTGGTCGAACATGTCTGAAATAACCGGTTTTAATTTATTTTTAAAAAGACATGTGATTTGATAAGATTTGATTTGGAACAACCAAAAATATATGAAAACAACGAACCTTGACATTAGAGCGCGGATTTGTCGTTTACTTCGTCGCCATAAAGAATTTCGTGAATTTGAATTACGAATCATTGAATTTACATCCTCTGAAAAAAGGATAATCCAAAAGGATTAGATGATAAAAATAGGAAAAATTGGGAAAAAGGAAAAACAACAAAAAAACATACCAACTTGAGCAGAAGAACCGGGTGTTGATATTGAAGTATTTGAATTATTCGATTGATATAAAAATATTTGAAATTGTGGAAGAAATCGATTAACTTGTCTACCAATTAATAATGGAACAAGTCCTCCAAGATGTTCAATACATAACATATAAGTATGACTTCCTCTTGCAACTGGTCTTATTGTACAATAACATCGAGCTTCAATTACACTACATACAAAATTACATAAATTATTGAGTTTCGGAATTCGACACTGTAAAAAGAAAACAATTTTTACCAAGAATTTTGTTATTTTGTGCTGATGACGTAATTGTGTCTATTTATTGTCACTCTTAAGATAAGTGACTAAATGTTCTTTTTTTCCGGGGAGAACATGATTTTCAAATATGAAAAAAAGTATGAGTCAATTATTAGTTTAGTTAAGCAGCAACAAATAAATAAACAAACAAACTTACTCTTATAATATGATGATCCAATAATTTTAATGAGTCCATTTCTTTTGTTGGAATTGGTAATTTGTTGACATTTTTAGCACTGCTTCCCATTGCTTTCCAAACATTATATGCAACAATATCAAAAAGACTTGGAACTCCAAATAATATTTTACCAATAGCTAAATGTCCACCAGCAGCAACAATAACACATTTTCCATCATGAGCCCATGTGAAAGCTGTCAATGGTTTTTCCGAATTTGCAATTGATATTTTTTCTTTGTGTATTATTTTTGCAGTTGTATCCAACATAATTAATTCATGATTAGAATTAATCAATGCAAGAATTGTTCCGTGAGAATTCCATTGCATATGAATAATATTATAATTAGATCGATAAATTGATGGTGATAATTGGTCATATGCATTTATCATTATTATTTTATTTGTAGTTGTTAACATAGCCAAAGTCCATTCTTCTTGTTCAATTTCTCCGCGCAAAGGTGAAAATGCCATTTGTTGTAAACGATCATTTGTGAAACTTCTTTCAGTAATATTAGCACCTAAATTTGATAGAACTTGAAATGATCCTGAAGAAAATCCGAGAACAAGCATTTTCGAATCAGGAGCCCAAACTCCACAGGTTACTGTAGTTGCAGGACCTGTTGGAAATGAATTACTCCAAACTCGTTGACCAGAAGCACTTCCAATTAATACAAAATTATCTTCATAGCAAATAAGAGCTGATGATCCACAAGGACTCCAACTTAGATCATTCACTTTAACACCTCGATCATTTACAAGTTCAACTGACCAACGATCATCATTTCGAACCCAAACATAAATTATTCCAGATGCATCACAAGATGCTAATTTTGATTGACTCTTGTTCCATGTTACCATACGAATTGCTAAAAAAAATAAATGAGGATAATTGGTTTAGTTAAAAATGAATATAAAACAAACCAGTATGATGTCCTCGTAAATTGAAATTATATCTTGAATTATCATCAGGTGTTTCTTTAAAATCAGTTAAAGTAATTCCAACAGATCCAGAATCACTTCCAACTCCAAGTAATCCATGTTCAGGTTGATCAACTTGAGGAATCCAAGATAAATATGTAATAGATGGCTCTATTTTGGCACCAGGCCAATGCTCGCTTTCCCATATTATCTTCATTAATCAGTGAGAGAATAATATAAATGTTATTATTGTCGTTTCATTGATTATTGATTGAAAAGAAAAAGAAAACGAATATTTCTGCCGCTGCTGCTTTAAAAGGGAAAAAAGAGAAAAACTAGATACGCGCTGAATGCTGCGAGCAGTCACAACACGAATAAAAGAGAGTGTGAGACATTGACACAAATTGTCTCGTGTTCTCTAAACTCTCTTCTATTTTTTCTGCTAGCTACGTAACATGTTCGTTCAAGAATTCGTTTCAAGACCTTCATCTTATATTTGTTTTTTGCGAGCAACCCAGTGGTTTTTTCTTGTGTGCTAATATTGATTTCGATTTTTTAGTTTCAACTTTAAGAGAATAACTGATAAACTATTTAATATTACGAAATGAACACCTAGATATCGATCTTCCACGTTTCCTTTTTTATTCATTTCTCAAAAAAATGGTTAAAAGTGAGAAATCTTTTCATTTATTCATAAGGAAACTTGGAATTCATGAATGAAATCTATAATTTTTCGAAAAACCAATTCATCTCTGCGTATACATGAACTAACGATTGGCGATTTTTAGTGACTCATCATATAAAATATTTGTTTATTTGATGATTATATTTTTTAAACAATCTCATTCCTTTTGGTTTTTGTATATTTTCTATTTCTATATAATTTATTTTCGAAACTGTTAGAAGAATTAGTCATTGATTTTATATCTTATCAAATATATTTTCAAGTATACTTACAGAAGCAGATGTTTCTGTATCTATGTTTGATAAAAACTCACTTATTTCGCAATATCTTGTGATTCAGCGTGGTTTTGCATTCGAAAAGTTGAAATTTCTTATAAGAATAATAATGATACCGTACTGAATGTTCAAAGGTGCATGAACAGGTTCACATAGTCGCTGTAGGAACACATTCGAAAAGCAACTACTGTTCCTTTAAAATATTAATTGTTTTTTTTTTTATTTTTAAAGTTTTCGAGCTACTTTCGAAAGCTTTCCCGTTTAAACGAACGCGTTTTCGAAGATTCTCATTGCAGTATGTAAGTTTTCAGATAAAAATGTCAGACAACCCATTTGCTGATCCATTTTCGGCTCCAGCCACAAATACTACTCAAAGTGCCACCGAAGATTTCAATCCTTTTGCAAATCGTGCAACAACAGCAGCTTCACAACCAACAGCTCATAAGGTATCATTTCTTTTTTCTCTCTCTGTAAAAAAATGCCTTTTTTGCTTCAATTAAACCAACAGAGGGCCCATGAAGAGCACACTCACATATCGATTTTCATGCGTGTGTGTGTGTTGCTCTCTATTTTTTCGAATCTTAAAGTAGATAATCAAATTGAAAGTTTTTGTAGCCGACAGCTGCTCAAGGTGGAATGGACGATGAATTGTTTAGAAAACAACAAGAATTGGAAAGAAGAGCACAAGAATTGAGAATTCGAGAAGAAGAATTAGATAGAAGGCAGAGACAACAATCAAATAACTGTGAGATTTTCATTTCATTTTTTCTCATGAGATTAATTAAATTTTAAAATAAATATAGGATTTTTTTAGTGAACACAGGAGCTGCAAATAATGGCCCAAAACCTCATAACTGGCCACCACTTCCAACAATTATCCCAATTGAACCATGTTTTTATCAGGTTTGTTCATTTTTTTGAAAAACAAGAACTTATAAAAATTAATATTTTTAGGACATCGAAGTTGAAATTCCTGTTCAATTCCAAAAAACTGTTACAATGGTTTATTATGTGTTTCTAGTTTATGTTCTCGCATTGGTTGTCAATGTTGTTGCATCAATTATTTATATGCTATGTGCAAAGGGTTTGTTTATTTTTGAAAAATCATTTTTTTAAGTAACATTATTTTAGGCTCAGTTGGTCAAGTTTTCTTGGCAATTATTCAACTCGGTCTTTTCTCTCCATGTTCTTTCTTATTTTGGTTTAGACCTGTATATAAAGCATTTAGAAATGATTCATCATTCAATTTCATGGTAAGATTCTAAAATATTATTCTGAATTCAAATTCCAATTTCAGGTTTTCTTTTTCGTTCTTTTCTTCCACTCACTTTTCACTTTAGTCCAAACTCTTGGTTTATCTTCATATGCTTGTGGATGGGTTAATGCGTTGGATACTTTTTCAGTCAATGTTCCAGTTGCTCTTATTATGTTATTGTCAGCGATTTGTTTCACTGTTGCTTTGACTGGAATGGTTATTGCATTGGTCAGAGTTCATCGATTATACAGGTATTTTTTTTTACAAAAAATCTAGAAAATATCATGAAATTGAACAGTCGACCAAAAATTTCAGAACCAAAATAAGTATTTGTAAAATTTGAATATTTTTCCTTCGGGCTGTAATATTTATATCAAACGTGTTTCTTTTTTCAAAAATATTTTCCCTAATTTTAAGAAAAACTTGAAAAATTTGAGGTCTACCGGTTTGAGATAGTTAATTGCAAACTTTGAAAAATAAGCTAAGTGTTTTTTTTTTTGGATTTATCACAACATGTCAGCCCAATGAAAATTGGCAATCGGTGAGAGTGAAGAAGACTTAGAGAAAAATAGATCAAAGGTACATAAAAAAATTGTGGGTTTGAAAATCCATAATTTTTGAAATTGCGGTTGGTAAGCATATTTTGTTTCGAACAAAATTTAGATGACTGTTAGTCGCTTGGTACAGTGAAAATTCAAAAATGAATTCTCAAAAATCAAGCTGAAGCCTATTTCTAGAGATCCTAGACCCGCAAATTCGACTCGCTGTAGATCACGCGCGATTTCAATATCTTTTCCCTCTCTTTCACTCTCACCGATTGCTTTTTGACATGTTGTGTTATGGGGCCAGCAATTTCGCATTCTTTTGATCTACAGTAATATGGGATTTTTGAGACCCAAAAAGTAATTCTATACTGTAGATTTTGGTTCCAAAATCTGACGTTTTCTTGAATTGACGTTTTCCTAAATAATCGACGTGGCATTTAGAAATTCACGGTTCAAACAAAGTTTGAGAAATACACATCACTGCTTTTCAAAAAAACGTTTTATTCTTACAATTTTTGAGAGTAAAATTTCAGTCTGAAAATTTCAGATTCAAAAAAATTTGAAAATTCTTTCGAACGGAAAAATATATTTTATTGTTATTTCAGAGGAGCTGGTTTCTCAATCGATAAAGCTCGTCAAGAATTCACCAATGGAGTTATGTCGGATGCCGGTGTTCAACGAGCTGCTTCAGCTGCAACTCAAGCAGCTGCCGGTGCTGCTTTCCAACAAGCTTCCCAAGGGCGTTTCTAATCTAATTCTAAAAATTTCTAACGTTGAAATCCCACTTTCACTCCCCAAAAACATATTTATTTATTTATTTGTATTTTAGATTAATTTATAAGTACATCCAAATCCCGGCCACCCTAAACAATTCTCCCAATAAATATCATGTTAGTTTTTCGAATTCAATTCCTCCAGCTGGTTTTGACACGAATAATGGTTCCAATTTGTCAAGTTTAGATGAAGAAGTTGTTGATGAAAACAATGCGACAGCACAGCCACCCCAACCAGCTCCAGTTAAACGAGCACCAATTGCACCATTTGAAATGTATTTTGAACAAAGATCGTCTAATTCATCACAACTGCATTCATAGTCCTGAAAAAATATACCTTGAGCCTGAAATTTTTTTTCTCTCAAATATCGATTCAATTTTTTGAATTTTTGAACTGAAAAAAATAGAAAGACATCTAATTTGAACTAAAATTTATGAAAATAAGGATTTTATTGCAATTTTCTATTTAAAAAAAATTCTGGACACTTTTGGAGTCTACAATGTTTTTGTGAACTTCAGATTATGAAACTAATTTTTCGTAAATACAAGAGAAAAAAAATGATTTTTTAGGTTTCCGAAATTCTGGAACAATATTTAACCTACTTTCATAGGTTTCAAAATTTGCGTATTTTCCGTCCGATGATATCGCATTAATACTATATTTTTCTAGTCTTCGGAAAACTCACCAAAGCACAACTTTTTTGACTTTCATTCATCAATTTCCCCATTTCTTCAATATTTTTTGATTCACAAGCTATTTCAAAATCTTCAACTCGTTTCGCTTCACTGAAAACATGTCGGGCTCGAGATAACAATTTGAATGAAGCTACTGTAAAATTAATCTATTCATTTTAGTAAGTGATTAGAGTCGGAAAAAATAAAAAACTGTTTGTTTTTTGACAAAAAGTTTAGATTCACGAAATTTCAAAAAACTACATGTTCGATTACGTTTTTTTTTCAAAATAAATTGTTACACTTTAAAAGTAAGAACTTATTTTCTGGTGGCCCCAGATTTATAAAAATTGAAAATTCTTACAGTGTTGTGTGTTATGATTCAAACAAAGTTCCAATTTGTCAGCTCCAATCAATTTTTCAGCTTCTTCTTTGTTTACTTCAGTCGGCAAAACATTTTCAATAATTTCCAACATTTCTGCTAAACTTTTTATTTGATAATTCTTGAATATCTTTTAATCGAAAACTATTTGTTTGAATTTTCAAATGTTTTTTCAATATTTCTCCAACAATTCTCCCTTCAATAACTCTTTCATTATAATGTGATGTTGCTCCTTTATTTAATTCTGTATTTGAATGAGCAACTACAAATATCGATTGATCAGGAAGTTGAATATTTTTGGATTTCAGTGGATTAAAATCAATTTTCAAAGCTGATCCCTCAACAGCTAATACTTCAGCTGCTTGATCCATTCCTCCACTTAAAGTACCAATTAAAGGTTCGCTAGTTGCACATAAATGAGCAAAATCTTCTTTTGAAATAAAATCGAAAGGTGATTCGACTAATAAAGATAAAGTTGAAAGTGCTGATGCACAAACAAGTGAAGAACTCGATGATAAACCAGATGATGGAGGAATTTCACCTGAAACCAATCAAGTTATCGAAAAATAAAAAAAAGGAATAAATTCAAACCTGTGACTAAAAATGACATTCCAAATTGCTCAAAACCTCCATAATCTAAAATTCCTTTCCATCCACAAAGAATATAATCGAACCATTTTGGAGATGATGAACCACTCCATTCACATGGTAATTCAGATTTCCAAGGTCTAAAAAATGTTATAATTATGATTGTATAACTGACGAAAAAATAATCTTGCTCGAATTAAAACTCACGAGTATTTTGGGTCAACATTTGCGAATTCCAGAACATTTTTTTCGTTTTTAGCTGCAAGGATTACTGTAGATGCAGAAATTGCCATTGGAAAAACACCGTATCCATGATAATCAATGTGTTCTCCTGAAACACAAATGTAGTTTTCAATTTTCTAAACATTATTGGATTGTTAAAATTTTCGCAGGAGCTCAATTCTGGTGCACCAAAACAAGTTTTCAGGATTTCGAATTACTGAAAGAAATGTGAAGTCAATTTTTCTTAAAATTTTGCTCAAGATGTTTTTTTTATTTTGGCTGTTCAGATTTGTGATGATTTTAAAAATTACTGTAATCACGTGACAATTTCGGCGCTTTATTTGTCTCAAAATAGTTTCCCAGATCTTAGATAATCAGGTTCAAAATTCCGACAGCGTGGGTGGTCTCTCTCGAAAACTCAATTTTTCAAAACGTTTTCCAAATTTCAGGCTTCTGTTTTTTCTATTTTCTGTTTTTATATTTTTTCTAGAATTTCTGTTGAAAATCTTACCAATTAAATTAACTCTTCCAGGACATCGAATAAAAACTTGAGGTTTTATTCCATACAAATCTTCAAATTTCTCAATAATCATATTTTTCTCATTCATTTTCACCTGAAATTTTGAACAGCAAATTAATTAAATTAGTTCAGAAAATCAATAAATATTTTGCCACGATTAATTGCGAAGAACAACACGAAAAAAAGTAAACAAGACAGCAAGATAACATACCAAACTGTTTTATTATTGTGAAATAATAACAATAATATTAATATTTTTCTCTGTTTTAATAGTGACCGTTTGTGAAAATTTTACCATAAACTGTGAAAATCGGAATCATTGAATTGGGAAAAAGAAGATTATGGAGTGCATATATTTAAAATTCAAATAATATATGTTATTGATATGCAATCATTCATAAATTGGTTCAACGATTAGCGAAGATCGTTTACCAAACTGAAGTGGTCGATATTCTCGTTTTCCGAATTGAAGTGGCCGATATTCTCGCTTACCAAACTGCAATGGACGATAGTCACGTTTGCCAAACTGCAAATTGGTTCAATTGTTTACAAGAAAATTCAAATGATTTTAATTCTCAATAATTCTTCATCAGACTACAATTATTTAAAACTCATCTAAAAATCTTACCTGAAGAGGCCTGTAGTCGCGATCTTGTCGGTCGAATGTTTGGTCACAGAAAACTGAAAAAATTTCAGATAACATTATTTTTCAAAACAAATCAAAAATTTACCTGATGAAATGACGAGAAGCACGAAAAATACGAAGCTGACCATCATTTTATTTGTGGTGACGACGATGCGAAATCAAAGTGAACCAATAGTTGCGCCATTCCAACTTTTATACTTGTATTTTTTCCCGCCCATCATTCCAATTTTAATTACTTTCGAGTCTCTCTTTTTTGAATTGAAAGAAAAACTAAATCACGTTTATTCACAATTTTTTCTTTGCAAAATAAGAGGGAAGAACAAAAAGAAAAAACGAAGACAAATTGTTTTCCGTTTCGATTTAGAAGATAACTTGGTTTGATTTGATTGAGAACAATTTTTAAAATGGTTAAAATCTCGAAATAAAATTATTCAACAGATAAAAATACCGTATTTCGGGGCGGAAAGAACGGGACGCAGATGGTCAATTTAAATTGTGTTGTCATTTGATGATGATGATGAAGAGGAGGATAACGAAGCCAAAAGAAGCGATTCGGCATTTTCGAGCAAAAAGTAGGAGAAAACACCGATTGCAGCAACAGCGGTTGAAACAATAAACTGAAAAATTGAATACGTCATTTTGAGTCTAAAATCGGGGGAAAGAAAACTTTTGAAATGTGAAAAAGTTGAGATTTTTCATTGAATATTATAGAAATGACTACTAAATTGCATGTTTGAAGTAATTTTCTACTCTCATAATCAGATTCATTCAATAATGCAAATTTAGATTTCCAAAAAAAGTGTGGCATTCGAAAGATTCCCACCATCCATCAAAGTAAAATGAGAAGGAACCAAAAAACGGAGTTCGATGAGATTTTTTAGAATTTTAATTACTCTAGAAACCATGCTTTCTTAGTGGAAAAATCAGTGTTCAATGATTTCAGAGAAAAAATGGAATAATGTCTCGAATTCCACATAGAAAACATAACGAAGTTCATGTTCAATAATTTTGATTACATTTCAGGTTATGAGGCCCAAATAACATTTTATATTCGAAAACTAACCCATTTTTTCAATCCTCCTTTTTTGGCTGTTTGAGTGAATTTTTGACGATCAGCATTCATTTCTTCTTCAGTCAAATATCTCATTGATTCTTCTCCTTCATAATCTTCAGCATCCGAAGCATCTCCATTTTCCTCATTATTCGAAGATTTTGGGAACACTTGGATTGGAGTTGGAGATTTTCTGCTTTCAATAACATCGATGTTGGTTTTTGGTGTCGAAACAGAAGTTGGAGCGGTAACAACTGAATCTGTTGAGCTTTTATCCAACAATGATGTTTCGTTCAAAGTTTTATTGAGTTTCTTCTCATAAACACTTCTTGTTGTTGTCGTGATTGGTCCTGGTGTGATTCCATTTGCAAGTAATGCCTAAAATAATCAATGAATGTCATGAACTTTCAATTTTCCAAATTTAAAAAATACCTCCTTCAAAGCGGCATCGGAGAGTTGAGAAATTTCAGCTGCATCGGACATTATAACCAATTTGTGCCTATTGAATCACTGAAAAATTAAATTTCAATACGTAAATTTAAATCGGAGCCACAGAAACCAAATCCCAAAAACTGAAGAAAAAGAATGAAAATTCCAATCTTCAAACACTTCCCTCCCGCAAACATCAGAGTTTACGCGCAATCAGGCGCCTACCGTATTTTTTATAAAACCAAACACGCGGGATTTCAAAAAAAGATATTTTTATGAGAGAAGCGAAAATTAATAATGAGAAAATTAAAACTCGAAAATTCGTATAAGCGTCGTATTCTCAGTTGCTAAAGCAACGGGTGAAAAAATGAACGCGAAAAATTTCTCACACAACCGCGACATATCTTTCGAAAAAATCAACTGTGCTGGCGCGAAATTAGAAAGCGTTGAGAGAGTGCAAAAGGCGCCAGTCACATTATTTCGATTTGAAAAAGAATTATTGTTTTGATGTGTTGGGAAAAAGATAACAATTTAATGTTATAATTATTTTGAAAAAATACAGTGATTATGAAGACTATCTCTTATAATTCTGAATCGTAATAAATTTTTTCTGGCGTAGAAAAAACTACTCGAGACAATTTTAGGGTTTAAAGTTTCTGTTCAGAAAGTTTTGCATGAGCAATGAAAAATTCTCAGACTTCAAAAAAATTCAGAAACTTTTAAGTTTGGAATATTTTATACGTTTCAAAATTCCCGTATATGGTATATGAACTCAGCTTGTAAGAAATAAGAGTTGTTATTTAAAAATCTTAAAAGCTTATTTCAAAATTTCCAATAATAACTAAAATTATTCGAAGGAAGTAGTTTCTCATTTAAAATTTTCGTATGAAATTATATTTAAATTTCTCAAATTAAGAACATTATAAAGAAGAACAATTAAAATGTCGGATTTATTTTAAAATTACAGTAATCCAGAAAAAAAAAGATTTTTAAACTTTGAATAATTTTTCCTGTTTTGAAAAAAGAATATTTGAAAACAAAATATACTGTACAAACGTGCGAAGGAACAGAAAAAATCATTTGACTATTTTTCTATACACTTTTATCAGATCAGCCTCGTCGTGATGTTTATATATTGCCTCTGGGCTACAGTTTTCTGAAATCGAGATTTTTCTAAATAAATAAATTTTTAAAATATAACTATTTTTTCACAAAACATTCACATAAAAAAGGTTCAAAATAAATATGAAATTAAAATCTGTCGCAAAAATTATTTAATACAAAATCGATGATTCGAAACAAATTTAGTTGTTTCTAAATATTTTGAAAAAAAAATACATTTTTCAAGTTGAATTCAATTTTATTTTATCAAAAAAAAAAGTCAAAAATTAAATAATATTAAAAATCAAGACTTGAAAAACACATTTAAATAAAAATATGAAAAACACGAAAATGTGTCTTTTGTGAAACATCAAAAAAAACGTTGAAAGAAATAATGAAGCATTAGAAGGGGGGAAAACGGGTAAAAATTGGGAGAAAAAAGGGGGAAGAGAAGAAGGGACTAGTAAAACGCCGGAGGTGACAAAAGAGAACAAAAAGTACAAGAAAACCGACATTTTTTGTGTTGATGTTGTTGTTGATGATACAATTGATGGGGGCAGGACAGAAAAAAAAGATAGGGAAAATTGGATGGGGAAAGGGGATTCAGATATATATCCTATTTATCCTGTATGTGTTGTAAAACGACAAAGAAGAAGAAAAAATTCAGCTAATAAAAAAGGTGTCGGAAAGAAAGGGGGTTTTTCGGAAATTTTTGTGCTTCTTATTTTCGATGGGACAATTTTCTTCAATCTAGCCAAAAACTTCTAGCGAGCATTAAATCTTTTACTTTTCGTATTTGGAGGAATTGATTGCGTAAGAGCAAAAAAAAGGATGATTCGGTGGAAAGGGGAAAAAGAATTTGGGGAAAAGAAAAGCAAAATATGTTTAGTGTTGGGGGGAAGAAGAAAGGTAATTTTTTGAAAAAATCAGAAAAAAACTGTATGAGAGAGAGAGAGAGAGAGCAAGCAAATGATTCCTAGGGTAAGTCTCACTCGACCCAGTGAGAGAGAGAGAGAGAATTAATATCATCATCATCATTATAATCATCATCATAGAATTCATAATTCATCAATCAATTCGAAAATAAAATATGGATTTTATCGGGGTTGTTTCACACCAAATTGTACTCTTTCAAATTATGCTGTAGAATCGTGTCTTTTACCGCAGCGAACACGAAACGAATATTCTCCGTATCTGAAAACAAAATAATTTTGATTATTTTTAATTTAATTTTTCTACCGGTTGAATGAAAATTTTCACTAGTAATAAAGTAATATGACGTCATATTGAGTTTTTAAATTGTTTCAGATAAACTGAAAGGTTATCTCAATGAGAAAAATCTCCCTATGATATTTTGGAAATGCACAGGAACTGTTTGATTGTCTGAAAAACTGCAATTCAAGAATTCACACATCTACTGTTCAAAAATACTCAAAAACCAGACCGCCAAGATTTTTTCTAGAAAGTCCAATTATCAAAGATCAGCGAATTCCATTCTGGCACAGATTTCCGCCTTGAAATCTTCAGTACCAAGTAGCTGAACCAAGAAATCCTAGTTCTAAAGTAGTACTACTATTGTGTGAATATTAACTACAGTAATACTTTTTAAAGTTCCTGATCCCTCACATTTTGTTCCTATCTTTTCCAAATATAAATCTTCCCTTGAACTTTTCAACCCCTCTCAAAATTTTTCTTCAAAAAAATAGAATCGTATAGTCGTTAGTATAGCGATTATAAATACATTTTCCGAATATTTTTGTAGAGTACAACGAGTACATTTATCCACAGTATACCCCCGAATATTAGTCAACTGATCCCTGCAAAAAACAACTCACCAGTTGCACATGTGAAATGTGAATAAATAATTTTATCGGCGTCTGGATTCAGATCAACAAACATTTTCAATATGAATTCTCGAGCAGCGATTGGATCTCGTGGAGGGCCTAAAACATATATATTTTAGAAATGAAATGAAAATGAAAAAAGAAAAGAGAAACTGACCGTCGTATTCGGGAAAATAATCGGCTAGATGTGAATACAGTATTTTCTCTTCCAACAAATCTTTTTTGTTTAAAAATAATATAACTGATGAATTTGTGAACCAAGGATATGTGATGATTGTTCGAAACAACGCTTTTGACTCTTCCATTCGGTTTTCATTATCACATTCAACCAGAACTTGATCATATTCGGATAAAGCTACTAAAAACATTATAGATGTCACATTTTCAAAACAGTGAATCCATTTCCGCCTTTCTGATCTCTGTCCTCCAACGTCAACCATCCTGTAATAAAAGATAAATGGATAAAAGAGTTTGATTGGTGGGAAAAAAACATTTGATATAAATTATCAATCAGCTTCATTAACACTGATCAATATTTATATTTTTGGAAAATTATGCAAAAAAGAATAGGAACCAAATGGCTGGTGAGAAGGATTGCGATCAACTTTAATTGGGTCCCATTGAAAGTGTTGATCAAGCATTTGAAATGAAGAACAGGAATAACATTAGGCACCTAATTTTTAACTTAACTCTATTTCAGATCCTCAAAAGGGCAAGATATTTTCTCAGTTAGAGTCTTCTCAGAAGCTGACATGATACATTTGGGGTGATACTCTAAGATTGAGACCCAAGATGAAGTCCCCACAAAACTATTTTATGCTCTGAATGTTTAGGACACATGGACCTGTTCTGCATTTCAGTCCAACTTCCTTTGTGGTCCCATAGCAATATTTTCTATTTAATTTTTTTTATTTCCAAAACCCCTCAATCTGATTTCTTTTGTTTCATGGTTCAAAAAATCAAAAACACTTTTAATTAGAGGCCAAATGAGATTTTTTCAATTTCAAACCGAAAAAAAACAAATATTGAGATTTCTATACAGTTTTGTTTGAACATGTGACAAAAACACTTTTGATTAAATTTTCTGCTAAATTGAAACATTTAATGAGATTTCTTTACGTTTCTTGATTTAATGAAAAAATACCGTAAAACAAAAGCAAACAAACAAAAAGCTTTAAAAAAGGTTAAAAATAGATAGTAGTATAGTTGGTCAACGACTAGCTAACGACCGACTCGACTAAAAGTCGATAAGAGAAAATAAACGACTCGACTAACGACTAAGTCGTTTAGTCGATAAGCCAAGTCGATAAGCTATCGACTAAAGTCGAGTCGATAGCCTTTTTATCGACTCGGTTCGGCTAAGAAATTTTTTTTCGAATTTTCAGAAAATGATTGAAATTTCTGAAATTCGTGGGCGGGGGGTTTTCGGCTCCGTGGAGCATCATGGTGATAATGATTTGACACGAAAATACGCGTATCACCTCTAATCAGTGATTATCAGTGAAATTTCAAAATTATCAGATTGAGCTGGGAGTTGGAGGAAATGATGTTTGGTGATAGTAGATGACATTTTTGATAAGTTTAGAGCACCAGCTTCATCTCAGAAGCTCTTATCAGTCCTTATCACTAAATTATCAATATGCTCGGATTTGGCTGAAACTTCCAGAAAATGATGTCTGGAGTTAGTAGAGACTATTTTTGATAACTTTATACATCAAGCTTCATCTCAAAAGCTCTTATCAGCTGTTATCACTAAATTATCAATATCATCTGATAAGGCTGAAAATCGGCATTTTTGGGTTTTCGAGTATGGGGAATCGTGTGCTGATAGTGATTTTGTCTGAAAATCACTTTTAAAGGACCCCATCACTCAAAAAAAAATTTTTTTTGAAAAATTATGTTTCGGGGTTTTTCGGTACGGGGAGTCATGTGGTGCTGATTTTTCGGCTCAAAACTCGTTTTTAAAGGCAGTAAACATGAAAAAATTAATTTTTTTGAAATTTGAAGATTAGTAGTTTTTCGATACGGGGAACATCGTGGTGAGACCCGTTTGGCCAAAAAATGACTTTTAAAGGCATATTCCAGGTTCTTAAATTTTTTGAGCCTAATCGATGTCAGTACGATGTTGCAAATATCAAAAAACATAGTTTCCATGAAAAATATTTTTTGGTCGGAATGTGCCTTTAAAAGTCATTTTTTGGCCAAACGGGTCTCACCACGATGTTCCCCGTATCGAAAAACTACTAATCTTCAAATTTCAAAAAAATTAATTTTTTCATGTTTACTGCCTTTAAAAGCGAGTTTTGAGCCGAAAAATCAGCACCACATGACTCCCCGTACCGAAAAACCCCGAAACATAATTTTTCAAAAAAAATTTTTTTTTTGAGTGATGGGGTCCTTTAAAAGTGATTTTCAGACAAAATCACTATCAGCACACGATTCCCCATACTCGAAAACCCAAAAATGCCGATTTTCAGCCTTATCAGATGATATTGATAATTTAGTGATAACAGCTGATAAGAGCTTTTGAGATGAAGCTTGATGTATAAAGTTATCAAAAATAGTCTCTACTAACTCCAGACATCATTTTCTGGAAGTTTCAGCCAAATCCGAGCATATTGATAATTTAGTGATAAGGACTGATAAGAGCTTCTGAGATGAAGCTGGTGCTCTAAACTTATCAAAAATGTCATCTACTATCACCAAACATCATTTCCTCCAACTCCCAGCTCAATCTGATAATTTTGAAATTTCACTGATAATCACTGATTAGAGGTGATACGCGTATTTTCGTGTCAAATCATTATCACCATGATGCTCCACGGAGCCGAAAACCCCCCGCCCACGAATTTCAGAAATTTCAATCATTTTCTGAAAATTCGAAAAAAATTTCTTAGCCGAACCGAGTCGATAAAAAGGCTATCGACTCGACTTTAGTCGATAGCTTATCGACTTGGCTTATCGACTAAACGACTTAGTCGTTAGTCGAGTCGTTTATTTTCTCTTATCGACTCGGCTAAAAGTCGATTATTATCGACTTTAGTCTAGTCGTTGACCAACTATAGATAGTAGTTACCTGAATATAATCTGCTCCAAATCAAATGGATATTCAATAATACCGGTTGTGGGAACACGAACTCGAAGAATATCTTGTTCTGTTGGTAAATAATCGGGCACTGCTAATCGTCGTAGATCAGACAGATAACTGCAAATTAATTATGTTATATATAATCTTTTTTTCCAAAAAGTTTCAGATTTTCAAAATTCAAATCTCAAAAAAGAAACTAACTATTTAGCGGAATCAGTCAATTGATATTCTCGCCTCCTATCATAACATTCCTGAATACCAGAATCTTCCCATAGTTCTTTGATATACGACACGTATGGTTCTTCGAAAGACGTCACCGATTCAAAATCCACAGCTCGAACAACTGCAGCTTTTTCCTGGAATCGAAAAAACACATTAGTTTCAATAATTATATATTTCTTGTTGATACTTCTTCTTTTTCTTAACATATAATTAAATATATTTAGTATTTTTGAATAAAATTATTAGCATTTGGGAAGAGAGGAAATTTGAATAATAATAATAAATCTAGATATACAATTTTAAAAATGTGATGGTTTCATGAACAAAATCGAAATTTTATGATTGAAAATAGTTGGATCATAATATTCAATTCCAGAATATCCCATTCCAAAAACTTCTCAAATATTGAAGACCGCCAAGTTCCCTTGGAATTTGCAGGTTAATATCAGAAAAGGTGCACAAATTATAACTTTTGCAGAGCACCGTTTTAAGGTAATTTACTTTTTTTTAACACTAATTCTTAAATAAGTATTTCCCAATACGGCAACATGAACAATTCAAGTTTCTCAAAAATATTTCATCAATTGTTTGAGTGATTGGGTTTTAAAATAAAAACACGGTAGAATTCCAAAATTTTTCAGGAAAACGTGGTCCTGATTTCTAGACCTTCTAACTTTACTTTCTACTTCAGAAAGTGGGTTTGAAAAAATCTACTAAATTCCACGCTTCTCAGCATTTGAAAAACCACAGTAACCTCAAAAAAAATTTTATATTTTCGAGAAATATGATCTACTGCAGAGTTTTTGTGAAGTTTCTTATTAATTCAAAAATCGATTATTTCAGTTTAAATTTATAAAGCTGTGAAACTGTGAAACATGACTTTTTCAGTCTTGATTTAAAAAAAAGTTTCACTAAAGCGGTATGTAAGAACTTCAAGATAAATCCAGAAATCTATTTTTCCAGAGATAAATATCTACAGTAACCTTTAATAAAACAATTTTTCTCAATGACATCAAACTAACCTGCAGTTCTTCCGATGTGTCCCCAAATTCAATTCCAAGTGTATCCATCGCCCGTATCATACTCTGCAAAAAACCATTTTGTTCAAAATATTTCTAGATTCTGATTCTGTATTTCATTTTTGTTTTCAAATCTCCCATTTTCCTTCGATTTCCCATCTATTAGTTAGTATGTAAAAAAAAACTAGGGAAGAAGAAGAAAAAAGATGATGGTGGCTGGCAGGGTGCCTTCTTCTTCTTCTTTCCTATTTTTTCTACTTTTTTTCTACTTCTTCATTTTCTCCACCACTCACTTCTTTTTCTTTTTCTTCTTTTTATGTCCAACTCAATTAACACCTATTCAATTCCTATTTTATTCACATAAATTGTGCCCTTAGATATCAACTTAATGATTATAACGAATTGATGGATGATTATTATATTCAAATTATTATTACTATTATATTATAAAATGATGATCATGTCTAGGTGGTATTTGATATTAAAAATAGAATAAAATTATATCATCATAATCAATTACGGAATGTTGGATTTATGAGAAAATAAAATTGGATTTGGGATTTGAAAAATATGAGAACAATTACAGACAAATGCCAATTTGGAGTACAAAAAAATAGAATGGGAAGTTAAAATTCACTTGGTACATTTGTGTTTAAAAAACCATCAGATACCAACAAAACTAAAGAACTTCAAGGTTTTGGAACAAGTAAGAATCACTTCGAAAAAGGAATTATGCTTGGAAAAAACTTGAAAAATAGAATAACGACAATTCAAAAAAAATCAAATCTAAGAGGTGAAAATTATCGATTTTTATAGCTTCCCAAAAATATTGATCTACATTTTTTTTCAGAAAATTCAAAGCTATTCGTGAAATCAACAAAATAAACAATCTGGCAATAGAAAATGTATCGCTCATGTTTGATAAAAATAAACTATTCTAGAACTGCTAACTAATAATCATCATTTTTTTTTGGAACAATTTCAAAAATGATCGCTCATAAAATATTCAAAAAAGTTTCTTTCCAAAAACAAAAAACCCACTTGTATAGCCATAAATACGTTCTGATAAACGAGTCGAATATGTGCTCGTTTGTCTTCATCTGAATAACCTTGGCCATGAATAATTCTCATCTGTTTGATGAACGTTGATTTTCCAGATTCTCCCGTTCCTAAAATCAATAATTATATTTAGATTTGGATTTATAGGGAATAATTTTTCTTCTTTTTCTGGAGTTTTTGAATGGGGCTCAATTTTCATCGGGAATACTATTGCACCTTTTTTTGAAGTCATCGATTGTTCTTTATAAATTGGTCCCTTCCCATTTTTTCTGATCTTCTCACAAATCTCCACACAATTCCCTTTTATTTTTCCCATTTCAACCAATTTTGTTTTGATAAATCTAGAAAAGTTCAAAATTCCAGTTTATTTTTAGACTATATTTTTCTCGAAATTTTAAGTACTATCTGTCTAGCCTGATTAGCTTGAATTCCCTATATGTTTATTTTGATTGTTTTTATTATTATTAATTGTCTGCTGATATTTTTGTGAAAAACAAAACAACCATCGAAACGGGTTTTTGGTTTTGTTTTGTTATTCGAATTTATGTTATGTTATCACGGTGTTTTGATAGAGTGAAATAAGACTAAACAAAAACAATAAAATATAGATTCAAAATAGTTCTTCTTTTTGTTTGTTCATAGTCTAAGATGAGCAATATCAAAAATTCTGGAAGAAAAATCAATAATTTGTTTCAATTGTTTCGAAAATAGAACATCTAAAACTCACAGAAAAGTTGACGTCATTATTTTTTAAACAATTTCCGAAGAATTTCAAAACTAGAAATGTCTTTTTTTAATGAAAAAAAGGATTTTAAAAATTGGGCCAACATTTTTTTGCGTCAAAATCAAATTTCGAAAACCTTAAATTTATCAATAATCAGTTACATTTTGAAAATCCGAAATATTTGCATCAAATAATCTGCAAGTTTTTTCAGGATTTTCAGAAAAATTTGGAATAAGTTATTATGAAGAAAATTATCGACTAATATTTTTTCAGTTCCCAAAAAATACAGTACTCCTTCAAAAATGGGATTGAAATTTACGGGAAGATCAAAAGAAAATCATTGGTCCCAAAAAGTTGGAAGTCTAAAACATGGCATCCGGTTATTTTTTAATGTGACATCATCGAGATAAAAGCTTGCGAATGGGTGAAAAAAATTGCGCCTGAATTTTTCGGGAAGGATTCAGATTTAGATTCAAAGACAGATAAATTTTTCTGAATATTGGGGTTTTTAGGTGTGTAATTAACCACCGAACAAAGATCTAACTCTACTGACAAAATCTTTGGTTAAGATCAAAATGAACGAAATATAACGAGAAACAGAGAGATTTATAGAAACATATTCTTGATCTACGGAAAATATTCGAAACGTTTTGGAGTTTTAAGATAGAAATACAGTAACATAAGCTCCTTGATTTTACAGAACTCCGAATTTTAATGAAATGTTTTCGGAGCCTCGAATTTTTTTGTTAGGTTGGAGTTCTGAAAACTTAACAAAATTATAGATGATCCACAAAAATCGAAAAATATCCTGCTAAAAAATCGTCCGATTTTTTGAATTGGAAACTTGGATTTCGGAGTATTTTTCAGCAGATTTTACTAAAAATCTTCCTTCCTTATATTTTAATTGATTATAACTCTAAATATTCTAAATCTTATCATCCACCCAAAAATTTCCAAACCCGCCCGAATTTTTTCCCAATTTTTCCTGCCATCTCATTTTTTGTCACAATTTTTCCCAGTTTTCAACCTCGTTTTCTTTACCCATTTGAGCTCACACTATCCAAACAGTTCTCAATTTTCTCGGGATTCTCCTTCTTCTTTTTTTCTTTTCTCTGTCTTTTTCTCTTCGTCCACTTATCCAACCAAATAAGAGCACATAAAGAGAGAAAAAGAGAGAGAGAGAGAGAGAGAAAAAGGAAGTCTGTCAGAAAAAAAGAAGAAGAAGAAGGCACACACACACACAAATTTGGGGTTGGAAACAGACCTGTCGTTTTTGGGCGGCCGGGCCGGGCCAGCCCTTCAAAATTCAAAATATGCGGGCTATTTCGGCCCTCCGGCCCTTCTTTTTTTATGAGAGGCTGCTTCAGCCCTTTTTCGGCCCTTCATAAATTTTTGATGACAATTTGGGATTTTTAAAAATAGATGATTTTGCTCAAATTTTCTGCATTTGGGCGAATTTCGTAAATCAGAATAACTTATATTGGTGTTAGTGCACCAACATTTCTTCGAAGTACTGTTTTGGTGCAGGATCGTAATGGTGAAGCACATGAATTTCAATAAATTTTACTTTTATTATCAATCCACTATTAGAAACACGGAATTCGCCAATTTTCTTCCGCCAAAAGGCAAATTTCGAAAGAAACATTATTGAAAAATAGTGGATTTACACAATAAAATTTGTTGGAAAGGCCGGGCTGAGCCAGCCCATTTTCCCTATTTGGGCTGGCTAGCCCGGCCCTTCAAATGGCTGGCCCGAGGGCCGCAAATAGCCGTAAAACGACAGGTCTGGTTGGAAATCAATTTGCACTGCATACACACAACTCATGTCCATTAGTCATTTGTATGTGAATTCATCTAGCCATCCATCCATCTATCCATCTCTTTCTCTCACACTCTCTTATTTTCTCCTACTCTCTTTTCAATGCTGATTAGGTTGTGCGTGTATGTGGCAGACATCGAGAGCGAGAACTGTTTCATTGTCTGCGTCTCTTTAGGCCGGCGGACCCGCCCGCCCGCCCAATCGATAAAGAAAAAGAAGAAGAAGGAGGGCAAAGCAAGCGAAGAAGAAGAAGAAGAGCGTCTTTTTTTGCGGGGGGCGATGGCGGGGACCAACATTTTTGGATTCTCTTCTTCTTCTTCTTATTTGGCTTGGATGGACGGAGGTAAAATAAGGAAAACGAGGTTACAAACTGTTTTTCTTGCCATTATTAAATCCTTATCACTAAATCTCAATCAAAAAACAATCAATAAAGTATTTGCAAAAAAAAATTGGTGGAAGTTGGAAAAATTGAGCCCCACAGAAAAATTTGGAAAAAGGAATGCAAATTTTGGAGGATTTCAGAAAAAATTTGAAAAAAAAAACAAACCTAATAATAATAGTTTTAGTTCTCGTCGAGCATTTCGTTTGTCACGTTGAAGCTGCTTTTCGATCTCTTGATTGATCCGCTTCTGCTCGCGCGCCTCTTCGGATAAACAGCAGGCCATGGCGGCCGAAAACGTGCCACCAAGGCCGCGAGACGGGGGGTGGAAGCCAGCGAAGCTCGGCTAACAGAACTACGATAAAGATGGTTTTTTTGGTTTTTGGATTGGGAATAAGGCACACGTCAAAAAACGTATGGTATTGCGGTGGTTGTTGTTGTTGTTGCGCGGGGACCACACGATTTTTTGGTGTTTTGGCAAATGCCTGCGGGGGTTCTTTTTTTTTGGTGACACACCAACAACAACGAAACGAGCAAGATATTATATTAAGTAAGAGTGACGAAATACAATGATAATAATATTAATAAGAATATAATTTTTCAAAACATCAAGTTATAAACATCACAAAGTGGTGTCTCGCAAAAGAAATAGAAGAATATAAGAAGTACGAGAAGAAGAGAAGAGATGTGTTTTTTTTTTGTTAGAAGAAGAAACGTATAAAGCCGCCGCTGCTTGCTAGCTAGTGCTGCTGCTGCTGATCGCTTGACCGAAAAGGACCGCAACGCTGACGCACGCACCTAACACGCCTCGCTCCTCCCCTCTCCATCCCTCCCCATTTTCTCTTACTTTTCTTCTCTTTTTCACTCTGCCGTCTAGTATCTTTTCCTTTTCTGCGCGTCGTCGTGCTGCACGCTCAAAACATTGGGAAATTGTATATATGCAGTATATAACATAATAATTTTAAAACCGCCGCACACACAGACATATAATATATATATACATACACAATTTTTAATAACAACATTTATTCAAAAGAAAACAAATAATGAACAAGTTGTTTTTAGAATCGCAACTTGGTGAAGAACCATTTGTTCTTTCCGGTCTTGTAACGTTCCTCGAATTTGGATTTGACTTCAACGAGAGCTCTTCGTTTCTTGCTTGGTGCTTTCAAAGCCTCCTGAAAAAATTCAAAATAAATTAGAGTACATCCTCGATACATTTTATTTTTTTTAAATAATTAGAAGTTCTTACAGACTCTTAATCGTAAACAGGCCTGTGCCGGAAATTTTCCGAATTTTCCGAATTTCCGGATTTTCCGGTTTTTTCACGGAAAAATCAATTTTCCGGTTTTCCGGAAAATGTGCTCGGAAAATCCGGAAATGATCTCTAGTAGTAATATTTTCAAAATTGCCTAAATTTTGGAAAATTTTCTCAGCTTATGATAGAAAAAATGAAATTTTCGGAAATTTTTTTTTCAATTTTTCAAATTTTACTATTTTTTGAACGTAAGACGTCTCAAATAGTTACTAAATTACCTGTGAATAGAAGAATTGTAGATAAAAAAAGTTTTAGTGCCAACTTAAGGCTGGAAATCGAAATTTCAGACTTTGAAAAATTTTCCGAATTTTCCGGATTTCCGGTTCAAAAAATCCGGAAATTTTCCGACTTTCCGTTTTCCGGGGTTCGATTTTCCGGCACAGGCCTGATCGTAAACGTCCTACCGTATCACCTATATATTCTAAAAATAAACAAGATTTCAAGAGCTGCTCGCGCGCATGGAGTGCTATAGTTCATCTTATGATTTTGGATGTGTTTATATAAAACGAGGCAAATATCAACTGAATTTCAATATTGACTCATAAATTGATTACACCTCAAAATTTTCAATAAGAATTTTGAAGTTTCATAAAGTGGGATTTTTAAATATAACTTATAAATACTAGTTTCAGTAAACTAACAAGTCAATTCTGGATTTTTTGAGATAACATACCTTGTTGATGTTGGCCTTGTCGAAAGCAACGTCAACTGAGTAACGGGTTGGCAACAAATGAGTGTATGAAACAACCTTCAAGAATGGCTTCAGTTTGTTTCTCTTCTCGATCTTTTTCTTTCCCATGTCTTTGGTGACCTGAAAAAAAAAACAATATTTTCTTTTATAATTCTTATGTAAGAAATACCTTCAATGGGTATCTGTCAATTCCAGCAATGATGGCGTGTGGATAAGTTCTGTCCGACACTCCCTCATCTTGTGGCTTGATGACGACAGCTTTGCGTCCAGCGTATTTGCCTCTGAGGACGAGGACAACCTTTCCAGGCTTCATAACTTTACCCATCTTTACCTGGAAGATTTAAGGAACATAAATATATATATATAAATATACGAGCTTGTAAAGGCGAGAAAAATGAGATAAGAAACCTGGTTCAAAACCAGTAGATAATACAAAAAATATAGAAAATCACAATATGATTTTATATAATCAATCATTATAAATCCTCCTGATTTTGTCTTTTTTCCCTTTGAAATGTTTCTTGCCGTTCGATTCAGTGGGGCCTGATGGAACTGCAGAACCGAGATTTCGCACAAGGTTTTTGGAGTCTTTCACATGAGCGGCACCAACAACTTCATCGAAAAATTGAACATCAAACTTTCCACCCTGAATGGATTCACTTTCAAGCAACTGAAGCTTGGCAAGCTTTTCCATTTGTACACGTCCAATTTCCTTTGTCCTCTTGTCCACGTAGAGGTAAGAATCGAAGTGCTCTTGATCAATATGCGGTGGAGCAGCAGCCCAAATCAGTTTTCCATTCACAACATCTTTGAGTAGCATTCTAGCCGCTCGAGAACAATCGGGAATTCCAGAAGATGCCATGAAGCCTCGCATAAACGCCAAAGAATTGAGCAAGTTCACGGCTGATGGTTTCTCCATTTCGGGAAGCATTATAGAATACATATGCTCGATAACATGAACTGGAACGCGAGAAAGTAACAAAGATGTTGGTGAAAAATGATCGCGCATTTGATCAATCGGCAGTGTACCTGAGCAGAAAAAAATTAATTATAATTTTAAACATTTCAAAAAACTCTAACCATTTAAGAACATTTCACTTCGACCAAACGAGAAAGAGGGCATCACCAACCCGGGACAATCACAGAGACATAACTGCTTATCAATGTTGATAGTTTGAAAGTGCCTTGTTTTTCCAGGAGTTGAAGAGACTGAAACTTTCTTTCCACCAGCGATTTTGTTGATGGTTGAACTTTTTCCGACATTTGGATAGCCTACCATTCCAACCATTACTGGCTTTGCTGATATCTCATCCGAAGCGTGTCCAACACTTTTCAAACGTTTGATGAGTTCTTCTCTGTTTGTGACAATCAAATCATTTGAAGTTGAAGGTGGAGATATTTCCTGTTGTCCATTTTCTTCATCAATTGTCTCCATCTGTTCATCTAGCGCTGACCAAAAAATGACATTGATGTTCTCGCTATCGAAATACTCCTTCCACATTAACAATTGCTCTGGCTTGAGAAGATCAGCTTTATTGGCGAGTAGTAAGATTTGTTTGGCAGGATCCACTTCTTTCACGTAATTATCCAAATCCTTACTACGGAACAATAATGGATTTCTGGCATCTACGATCTAAACATAAATTTATTGTATATTGATTTGAGTGATGACACAACATACCTGTACAATGACATCACTTTTTTCCACAACTCTCCAGAGTTCCCTCCACATATCCGGATTTCTTTCGAACGGAGTGAGTGCCAAGCCGTCTACCTGAAGATAATTTATATGATTTAAATTAGTATGTCGCGTGCCTCTTGCAGCTCGCTGAGATCGGACCTCCATTGAAGAAAGGCATCGTTCTCCAATTTGGTAAGCTCATCCATGCTGTCCCACAATTCCTTTGCAGGACGTCGTGGGATTCTCAATCGAAATTCATTCTGCCGTTGGAGTTCCAAGTTGTTACGATAATCAACTCGTGTTGGAATCACAACAGCCGAATTCCTGTAAAAAAAAATAAAGAAGTAAAAAAAAACAAAAATCCTTACTTTTCGATGATTTTGAATTGTTGCTTCTCGGCAGTGAATTCGGTTCCAGCAAGTTCAGCTTTGGCGAGAAACTCTTCCAAACTTGTCTCATCAGTTACCGAATCAATATAGTGATTGACTTCCTGAAAATCACCAAATGTAAAAATTTCAAGCATAGAAAAAAACTTACAACTTCCTTGAAAGCAGGATTTTCGATTTCTTCTCCATCGTATTTTGCACGACGATGACTCTTTCGAACTTTCTCGCGATCATTACTCAAAGAATTACCCAAAGATTTGTTCAAACCAGTTGGCTTCTTGTTCGAAGCTCGACGTTTCGTCATGCCTAAAATGAAGATAACTTCAATACGACTTTCGAGGATGTATATTTATCAGTTTGACACAAAAAATTCACGCGATGAAGCATAAAACTTCCAAAAAAAGAAAAAAAAAAGGAAAAATTTTAGGACCCGACGAAACGAAAGTAAAAAATGTGAAGAAAACACACATCGCGACAAGACCAATGTGTTGCGACCACATGCTCCTTTATTTCGTGTCGATTTACGAAGACTCGTTTCTCTTTTTATTTTCGCAACTTTATTTTCGTTTTGTCTACGTTTGTTACTTCCTAATTGCCAGAGTTTTTGATGTTTAGTACAATAGAAATAAGAGAATTACTTGATACACAATTCATCAATCTTTATATCACCAAACTTACCGAATTATCCATTTGGAAACTCATGAGTTTAAAAATTTAAAATTTTAAAACTCAAAGATTTTAGCAAAAATTGTCGTAATGCAAAATTTTTAGAAAATTTTATAATGACCTCCGCGAATGCAGCTCACGTTTTCAAATGGTGTCTGATTTTAATAATTCATTTTATTTTTTTTTATTTCACCTAAAACATTAAATGATTTCTTTTTAAAAGTACCTCTATGGTCAAACCACTTTTCTCAAAATTCATAAATTTTAATCTAAAACTTTTCAGTAATTATGCTTGGCAATCTTCTCCGTCAATCGAATTCATTGAATTTGCAAGCAATTCGCTGGAATTGTCCATGGCATCGAAACAGTTTTCGTCCGTGCTATTTTCCATATAAATTACAAGAAAAATTGAATACAGCGACAGTCGAGAAAAGAACACAAACCAAAGGTGGACAACTTATGTTAATGCGAAGAATTTTGAGAGAACAACCATTTTTGGGATATAATACACGACCATCTGATTCGAAAAAGATCTCATATCCATTATAAAATTGTTAGTTTTTTTTCTAAATGAATAGTTTTATTGAAATTATCGATATATAACAGAATTGAAAACATTTGAATTAATCATTGAGAGTAACTAGTTGGATTCGTTTTTTCTCTCTTGCAACTGGCTCTTCTTGATTTTCCACCACTGTTGTCTCTTTGGGAGATCTGAAAAACTATGTCATTAACAAGTTTACAGGGTAGTAGCAAGTTTAGAAAATAATTTTTTTTAATTCTTAACAACTCACCCTTTGCCAGGTTCATTTTTATCTATTTTAAAATATTTGGTGAGAGGTGTTACAGCTTTTGCAGGTGGAGCTTCTTTTCGGAATGGTGATTTTGCAACAACAGCAACTGGTGCAATTTCTTTTTCTTCTTCAACTACTGAAACTGTCGCCAAACTTTTTCTCTTCTTTTTCTTTTCCTCGATCAACGAAGGAGAAACACAAACTGGAACTGGATCAATTATCTGAAAAAATGAAACTAAAGGACGTCTGAAAGCCAAAAATTGATATACCTTTGTTCCCCAAACATCAATTTTGAATTTGATAAAACTACAATAACCTTCAAGTGATGAAACAGCTAATACAATTCCATCACTACTCCACGCAGCATCAGTTAGAGAATTATAATGAATATTATCGACAATTCCAATTGGATGTTGATGTTGAGAATCATAGAAATAAACTGTATCTTGAGTCAAAGCAGCCCAAACGAGACGATAAGGAAGGCTGGAAAAAATAAAGAAAATTTTGGAAATTTCTAGGTGGTTGTTTTTTCAAATTATGAGGTCTCGGATATTTAGTTTCAGCCTGATCGGAATCGAAAGGGACATATATTCGCCCTTTTGAATTATGAAATATTTTCTTTATGAGATTTTTTAAAAATAAAAATTATCAAGCTTTTTGATTTCGATCAATATCAGTTAGACTTTTTGCGCGATTTTAATCAGAGCCCTGTTTTTTCAGAAAGATTAGAAAACATTTTTCCTCACCCCAAAAAGTTTGTAGCCGAATCGAGCAAATTGAAAACCACTGGTGAAAATTTTATCAAAAATGTCGGTTTCGTAGTTGGATAAAAAGCAGAAGGCGAATCTCTGAAAATCAAAAAATCATAATGAAAACTAATTAGATGCAATTAAACTTACTTTGCCAAGTCTTCTCGTTTGAAAACATACAAACCGAACAAATCACTCGATCCCAATTCCAAATGTGCAGCTAAAATTTTTCGTATCCTCGTCATACGTTTTCTTGAAATTCAAAACAAATTTAAAAAACTTACACGGCGCAACAACTAATTCTCCATTTGGTGAAAAAACGACTCCTCTTTGGAAACTGAATAATTGATCGTCGTGAAATAATTTGAATAGTTTTTTGTCTTCAAGACTATTTTGTATTTGCAATTGTTTCAATGGTAATTCAGCAGATGAAAAATGTTTGATTCTTTGTCCTTTGATTGCATCAACAATATCCATTTTTCTATCAGCCGACATTGTTATTATATATTTTCCAAGTGGATCCCAACAAATCCCATTTGGAAAATGACGAAAGTTTCGAAGAACAAACATACGTTTAGCTATTTGAGAAAAATAGTTATTAAATTTAAATCATTTGGTAAAAACCTACCAGTTAAAGCATTATGAACATATAAACAATCGTCATTTGAAACTGATGCAATTTGTGTTCCATCTGGATTCCAACAAAGTGCACTAACATCACTGTCATGATTTAAAATCTGAAAGAAAAATTATGTTCGAAGCATAGATTTCCGCCCCCAGGGCCTTTTTCTAGAGTATCTCGAATAGCTAAAATATTCAAATCACCTTGAACCGAATCCAATTTTCTTTATTCGGTGGCAATTCATCTTTTGGTGGAGGTGGTGGACTATCATTCATTTGCCAAATTGTTATTCTACCATCACAATCACCCGATGCTAGTAAATTCTCTGGAAACAAACATTTTCTTGAATACTACTTTTTTAAATGAGAATCTTACGTTCAGAATTTGGACTGAATTTAACCTGATTAATTGCTGAGTTATGACCAGACAAGTTTGCCAGAAAAGTAACAGCTAATGGAGCAACTGGTAACTTTTCAGTGTTTTCGAATTCGAATTGCCAGATTCGAACCTGAAAAACTAGTTTTACATTGAAAAATCAATAAATTAGAGAAAACCTTACCTCTTTTTGAACACTTGAAGTGACTATTTTATACTTGTTGTTTTTCACAGTTTTATGAAGATCCACAGATAATAAAGCTTTTCTGTCATGCCAGAAAATTTGAGGCATATAGTGTTCCATTTTTGAATTGACTTGATTATTTCGATTTTATTGCATGAACAGCTCCAATAACGATTATCTAAATTTGAATTGTTGGTTTCGCGGGTTGAAATGAAAGTGCGATAGAGCGAATTTGGAGTGGTCAACTTTATTTTTTTTTACCAATGGTCAAAAATATCAAGTTTTTTTTTCGGACTTTAGGTTATTCATATAGACGTTTTTTTTTTGAAAACAATTTTTCCATGAAATTTCGAAGAAATTGATCACGTTTGAATCAGGTCATAAAATTTATCTCACGTGAATATTTTCATTTCTCATTCATTTTAAATTTAATTTTTTCTAAAGATGAGATGGTCGAATAAAATCTCAAAACAAAGGAATAAAAGAAGCAATTCGTCGGATATTAACGGGTATGTCTAAAAATAAAAGCATAAACATATAAATTCCGATAGCCCGAAGAAGTCGATACATTTTTCAGAACAATAGTGGTTATCTAAAGTCAATAAACCTAGGTTTCAAAACAAAACACAGTTGAACATTTCAATTTTTAAAAAATGCCTTTCGAACGAATTTCGTTCGCGCGTTAAAAATTGTCGACGGAGCGCATATTCGTTTGTTTCCTTTTTTCGCGGGAACATTTGAAAAAATTCCTTTTTTCATTTTTTTTCTTAAAAACGTTTTTTTGCAAGACATCATGTGAATTGGTTGATCTAATATCCGTTTTAGTACATTCTATGACACGTTTATCCTTTTCTGACGAAAGTAGTAAAATCTATACAGCTGTTGTAAACCTTTTTCATTTTATCACCAAAAAAAAACATTTCACATTTCATGACTCATTAAACATTAAATTGTGGGAAAAAATCTAAAATAGGAAAGGATAGGAAAAACATAGGATGAAAATTATCCACTTTATTCAATTCTTTTCGAAATTCGAGACTTTTGTTCTGTTTCTAAGTGGTCTACAATCTGTTTGACCCGATTTAAGACAATCTGACACCTGCTTCTATTATCCTCTCTATGTGTCTCCCTTTTTTCTTTTCCTTCTTTCCCACCATTGCACCAACCAGTTAGTTACACCAATTTTCCATCTTTTTCTCTATTTCTCCCTCTCTTTTTTCCTCTTTTGAAATGCTGTGTGTCTGTGTGTGACACGCTGCACTCGAGAGAGTTCGTTTCTTTTTTTCTTGCTTTGCGTTTTTTTGTTTTGTATATTTATATCTGACATGATTCCACACTGTTTATATTGCCTTTTTCGCTTGGCTCAATTGATCATAGGAACAAAGTATTATTAGTCAGAAATTGGATTTCGCAAGCATTCAACTTCTTAAAATAACTTTTTGACTTCTCTGAAAAAGACTCAAATGTCGTAATTTCATTTTTGAAACATACATCTTTCTTGGGAAAAAAGTTGAAATTCAAGAAAAAACGGAAGTGGACTCTTTTCTAACGAGATGTTCTTTCTTTTTTTCTCGTTTTTTTCTTGTTCAATACTTTTCGATTTGTTAAAATCGGAATATTTAGAATTATTTATCACAACTAGATTTCATTCAAACAAAACAAAAGTCGTAGTGAAAAAAATACATTTTTTAATCCGAAATGACCCATCCGTGAGTACCAACTGTTGTTTTATGTATTTATGTTCGTAGCAAAAACTGAGATTTTTTTTTAGTTTTTTGTCTCTTGTCTTGTGGAAAAAGAAATATAATTTCAATTGAAACTTGAAAATGAATAGAAAAGAATAAGTAATTCTTTGTGCACTCAAATCGAACATATGTTGTTATCTACTCAATTATAATTCTAATAATCCTCTTCCTTCTTTTTCTTTTCTCGTTTTCTTCATAATTTTCACACATATATCAAATTTTATCAAACATTTTCTCTTCATTCATTTTTACATAATCCATCATTCTATTTTGCAAAACTTCAAAAGTTTTTGAAATTCAATTTTATATTGCTTTCCTTCCATCTGTTTCTATTTCTGACTTTTTTTACAATCATTTTTTTTTGAAAGTGTGTGAAAATTTTTTTCAAATCACTCACATTTTTAAATGATAAAAACAAATAAATAGAAGAAAGAGTGGCTTCCGGATGTGAATCTTCTTTTGTTTTTTGTGTTGTTTTTTTCAAACGAGAATCCATTTGAGAAAAAAAAAGTTGGAAGAGTAATGAGTAAAGAATTCGATTTTTTTTCGTTTTGAGACGCGCAGATTTTATTCGTTGATTAAATCGTATCTTATTTTCAATGTTCATTCATTTTTTGTCAGATGAGTGCCATCAAAGCGGAGGATATAGTTCATGTCCTTCGCGATGGAGTTGCTGTTTTACCTGGTGGAAGATGTCGAACAGGACAAGCAATTGTTGTATTTCCATCAAGAGAACAACCAGTCAATCCAGATCATTTGAGAAATGTATTATTGTATCTTTTTACGGTTACAGCGTAAGTTTTTTGGGTTTTTTTGCGGAAAAAATCAACTGATTAAATGTGAGACCATATTTGATTTATTAGTCGAGATTCAGAGCTCCAAAGTTCGAAAAATCGATTAATTTTTTTTGTAAAACTCGAATTCTGTACAACACAAATTGTCTCAATTGAGTTTGCAAATATTAAACAATTTTGAAACATAGTTTTCACGGGCTCGGAAAATTTTTATTTTATCTACTAGAGAAATCTTATTTCAAATAATTTTTTATAGAGATTCTTCACGGGAAAAAGGTTTTCTCGTTATTATTGATATGCGTGGTAAACAAACTTGGACAAATGTTCGGCCAATTTTGAAAGCATTAAACGTGAGTTTTTTTCGCGAAAATAATACAAATTATTTCTTTAATTATTTTATTTTTAGAGTATTGAAACCAGTCTAGTCACTCAAGTATTTATCATTAAACCCGAAAAATTTTGGGAAAAACAAAAAGCGCAAATGTCAATAGGAACATGGAAATTTGAAGTTGAAATGGTTTCATTCGATTCGTTATCAAAATTAGTTGAAATTTCACAATTACCAAAAATGATTGGAGGAACACATCCATATGATCATGATGATTGGCTTGAAATTAGACTTGAATTAGAAAAATGGATATGGAATATAACTGAAGTTATGGGATGTTTGGAAAATGTTCGAAAAGAAATGGTTGAATGTGAACAACCTGTTGATGTTAAAACAGCTGAAATTGCTGTCAAAAAACATGCAAATGCTAAAAGAACTATATTTACTATTCCTGTTGAAACTATTGAAAATGATGCATCAAGGGTTAGTTTTTACAAACAAGTTGTTTTCTCAATTTTTGAATACTTTTTCCAGATATGTGATAGAATATCAAATCCTCGAAATGGTCTTGTTAATCCAGATCTTTTATCTGCTTTACCACATGTAAATAATCTCGTAGATTCACTTCGATTAAGAAAAGGTGATGTATTTAAATTATGGGATTCAAGAAGAGGAGAACTTGAAAAATTATATCAACAAAAATTGTTCGAACAAGATGCTGATCGAATGATTGATATGGTTCGATCATATTGTAATCAAGTTGTAAGAAGTATTGGAGATATTGGAACTTGTGAAAATGATGTTGATAGATTACAAAATGATTTTGAACAATTTAAAACATCTGTTCAAGCATCAGAAGTAACAGTTTCACAAGTTATTAAATTGGCACAAATATTATTATCATCACCTGGTGGAACTCATCAAAGTATTGAAATTGCAGCAGTTCGATTACAGGATGAATGGCATTTATTACAAGATCTTATGAATAGAAGACGAATTATTTTATTGAATGCGCGATCTTTTTTCAATAGTTCTCAAAAATATTTTGTTGAATTACCTGAATGGACTGCAAAACCTGGTGTAAATCCATCGGATGTTATGCTTAAATCATCAGATCTATTAGAAGATGCAATTAAAAGACATGAATTATTTTGGGCTCGCGTGGAAGAAATTTATGCGCAAGCATTTGATGATGGATCAAAAGTTACGAAAGCATTAAAAGAAGCTGAAACTGAAGATAATTTAGCAAGAGAACAATTAAATCGACTAACAAGAGCACATAAACAATTACATGATAAATGGAAAGATCGAAAAGTTTTATTGCATCATATGTTGGCTATGATTGCGTTTGAAACTGATGTTAAATTAGTTGTTGATTGGTTAGATCAACATGGGGAACCATATTTGAAAAAGAATATTAATATTGGTAAGGTTTTTGAGAACATTGAAAAATGAAATTATGTATTGTTTTATTTTGCAGGTGAAAATGTTGCACAAGCCAGAACATTTCAACGAAATCATCATAATTTTCAAAAAGTTGCTGCAAACACTTATGACAATGTCAAAAAGTTAGATCAAGTTTATCAAAATGTAACCGAATCTGGAAGTAGTAAGTATAGTTTTATTTGCATAATAAAAACTGAATTTTATTTCAGAAATGTGTGATGTTGAAAAAATGCGAAATTTGATGAGTGATCTAAGAATGAGAATCAATAGATTTACAAATCGCGTTGATACACGTGGAAGTCTACTAAAATTGTCAGTACTTTTTCACACTCATTATGTTGAATTAACAAATTGGTTTGGAGAAATGATAAGGAAATACGAGGATAAAACAATTGATTTGAGTGTGGAAGATTGTGAAAAAAGTAAAGAAAGATGGGTTTTGGAATCGGATGAAACTGCTCAAGCATATGCTGTAACTATTGGAGAAGGAAAAACATTAATACAGGAAATGCAAAAAGCTGAACATTCTTGTGATATTGATTATACAATTAGTATTGCACATATTCATAAACTTATCTCTGATATTGGTAAGTTATAATTTTAAAAATTACTCTGCAAAGTATTCTAGAAAGTTGATAATGTTTTCAAAAATAAAAATAATATTCTCAGATGAAAGGAATGCAACACTTTCAAATGAATGGGCTCCGCGACGAGTTCTTCTTCAAATTGGCCTAAAATTTGCAATGTTTGCTCGAAATAATCGGGATATTTTACAACAAATTCGAAGTTGGGAAGAAGATATGAGAGAAATTGTTGAATCGGAAACATTTTTTGACAAAGCAGATTCAGTTCTACCGTATCATAAAGATAATCAATCACAAGTTCGAGTTGCGATCGCAAATATTCGAAAAACAGCAAAAGAATTGACACAAGCTTTGCATAGTCATGCACTTTCTGAATTATGTGTTAGAGATGGAACAAGAGTTGTTGAATTGATAAAAGAAAATATTCGAGTATTAGATCAATCAGAAAGAGAAGTAATGAAATATGCGGATGAAACATCACAAAGAATTCAAGCAGCTTGCGATGTTGTTGCTTTTAGACATTTCTCTGATGAAATATTATCAATGATTGATCGAGAAGAAAGACATTTGGCTAGTTTGGGAGGAATTCCACATAATTGTAGAGAAGCTGAAAGTTTTCAAGATGTTTTGAATGATTTTCAAGGAAAAATTGAGGTATTTTTGGAAATTCATTAGTTTCGAAACAAAAAATGTTTTAGAAACGTTTGAAAGAACCATACAATGCATTTGTTAAACGATGGAGAGAATTAATGGTAGAACAACGAGTTGAAAGAGATGTTATTGTTGGATATAATGAAGAAATTCTATCAAAATGGAGAAGATTAACAGCACTTTGTGAAGAAAGAAATAAACTTCTTAAGGTATAATTTTGAAGAAAAAAAAATGAAATATCAGTCAATAAATCTAATTGTAGGCTGGAGTTGCTTGCTATAAAACATATGAAGAAGCTGTGGTTCCGATTTTACAACAATTGGGTAAAGAATACAGTCAAGTGAGTTATCTGTGATTTTTCGGGGGGAAATTGCATTTTTTTCAGCCTCATAAAGATTGGTGTGCCCAATGTAGTTCAACATCTTCATGTCAGGAAAAAGTTGCATTTATAACTGATTTGATAAGCAAACATATGCAATTAAAAGAAAGGTAATAATTGAGAGCGGTCAAAATTTGTATAGAATATAGGGATTGAGAAATTAAAATTTCACCAAATAATGTAATTCAAATTATTTCACAAAAAATGATTGACCTGAAATTGCTAATTTTGGATGTTGTTTCGAAATTGGATTTTGCAAATGCTTCTTGAATTTTTCCTTTACTTAAAATCCTCAATGACAAATTTTGAACCTATTTTTAATTTTTTTCAGATTCATAAAAGGTTGTATTTATGCTCAAAAAAATGGAGATTTTTTCCTTCGTTATATTCAAAGAACAAATGTTCGACAAACTGAAAGAAGAAAACATGAAGAAAGAATTGCAAGAATAAAATCAGATATTCGAGATCGACAATCAAATATTTTAGAATTGTGGGTGAATAAGAGAGCACAATTAGATCGGTTAGTTTTTCTTTTCCTTTTCATTTTCCCCAAAAAATAGGACTTCAAAAAACTTTCTCACAATTATTCCCGATAGACTTTTTTCTAGCTATAAATTATTTTCAAAATTACCCATGTCATTTTTTTCTTGACGTGAACTCTTTTTTTTCTTCTAATCCCTCTTGTTCAAAATTCATCATTTTTATTTTTTTGCTACTCAAGGAAATGAAATTTGAAAGGTATATTTGAAAAAAAATGCAAAGAAAACATGTCGGAATTGTTTTGCATACATTCTATTACACAGAAGAAAAAAAGAATTTGAAAAATGATTGTTGCTAAAAGTGAAAATGTTTTTGTTTTCATTTTTTTCAGATGTCATTCATATGTTCTTTTGGATGCTACAAGTCAACAACTTATTGGTTGGTTAACTGGAGAAGGAGATATTAAATTGAAAGAATATGAAAAGAAGGGAAAAAGTAGAATGGATTCGAGTTGTGATAATGAATTTGGACAATTCAAGCTTCAAGTTAAGGTAAGTATTAGGAAAATATCTTAGCAAGAGTTTTTTTCCGAGCCGGCTGAAAAATTGATAATTTTTCTCTGAAACTAAGTTCGTGAGACAAGGTACAGAGCCCCAAATTTCGGAAACCTCGAATCGAATCGATGAAGTTTTCGAACTTTGGAGCGCAGTAACTTGGCTCACAGAAAAATTCCGGTTCTGCATTTTAAAGTAAAGTTCATACTGATATCTGGTTTCTGAAAAATTATCAATTCGAATTTGTAAGTTTTAAATGAAAACTCAAAATAAGCTGTTGCTCATTTTTTCAAAACAAGAACTAACAATTTGCTGAAAATAAATTAAAATGAAATGTTGACCTTCAGGCAGTTTTTCAAGTATTTTGCCGTTAAAATAACCTGAAAACTTCCTTTTTTGATATATGAACAATATTTTTTTTTCGCAATTTTAAGAAAATAATTATTTAAAAAAAAAGGTTTTTTTTTTGATAATTATTTATCCTAAATTTAATACATTTTTTCGCCATAAAATCGAATCCCCATATCAATAATAAAAATAGTCATAAAAATTAATAATTCAACCTGTTTCATGATTTTTCTTTTTTTTTTACAATATCCTTTTTTTCTATAATTTTTTTTTTGTTTTCAGGAAGAAAAGACAAAGATTCAAGCATTTTTGATAATGGCAGCAAAAGATAAAGAAGGTGGTTTGAATCAACACGCGGATGATATTGATATTTGTATTAAAGAGGTAGGTTATCATTATTTTTCTTCAGTAATTCCTCTATGCACTGCTTTTCTTTTTCATAAATGTTTTTTAGGTGAAAAATCAATTTGAAAAATTCTCGAAACGTGTTGCTGAATGTGAAGTTGTTCTAAGAGGCGGAGATAATGCAGGACAACAAAAAGATGAATTTTCGCTTGATCGACATTCAGATACAAGTATTTTTGATGAAAAAATTGTCAATGTTCGAAGAGAGCAAAATCAGAAAATGCTGTCAGTTCTTTTTTTTTTTGTTATTCATTTTTCAATTAAAAAAGTTTCAGTGAACCAATGCGTGAGCTCATAAAATCCGAGCGAGATTATATCGAGGATCTGGAAAGATGTGTTAAAATGTAAGTTTTCTCCCTGGAAACTAATAATGTTTTTGAATTTTCAGCTATGTGAAAGATTTCGATGAATCTGTCAGGAATAATTTGATAAGCGCTTCTTTGAAACAACTTCGATCGGATATTTTTGGAAATATTGAGAAAATTTACGAGTTTCATCATGAGTAAGTTAATTTTATATATTTTTCCTCTATTATAATGGGAGAGAACACAAAAATGGACTTTTTAAAACATGATTTTCGGATTATTGAGTACAGTTTTTCAGTTAGGATTTTTTTAATTTCTTAGAATAATCTCATTTTTTGACATTCTCGAAGAACAGTGAAAATTACAGTAATTATGTATAATTTTCTTTTCCACGTCATAATTTTCCCCATATTTTCAGCAACCTATCATTTTTGAAATAATTATCACTTCCCTTAATCTCATTTTTTCCAGTAAATTGCTCAATGAATTGATAAAATATGAAATGCAACCAGAAGCTGTTGGAGCTTCTTTTACTGTTTGGATTGATTTATTGAATGAATTATACACGGAATATTGTGTCAATAAAGAACAAAAGAATTATGTTCTTGGAACTCCAGAAGTTATGGAATTTTTCAATGTAAGATTTGTTTATCTTTCTCTTTTATATTTTATTTTTGCAGGGAGTTCGAGAAAAACATAGTCTCGAAATCAATAATGATGTTGGTAGTTTATTAATTAAACCAGTTCAAAGAATAACACGATATCGACTTCTTATGGAACAATTGCTCAAAAGTTGTACGGGTAATGCTGATGAGTTACGGGTAAGTATTTCATTTTGATATAATTTCAATTTGAATTTTTAAAAATTAAAAATAAATTATAGGAAGCATACGAGGTGGTTATTAGTGTTCCAAGACGGGTTAATGATATAATTCATTATAATTGTTTGGATATGAAAGATTTCAATGTTGATGAATTGGGTCCATTTGTATTGCAAGATATGTTGACAGTTTGGGAACCGAGAGCGTATTTTAAAGGAAGAGGAAAAGAAAGACAAGTATTCTTATTTGAATTATCGATTGTATTTGCGAAAAGATTGGAGATTTCACCGAAAAATGTTCGATATGTTATTAAAGGAAAACCTTTATCGGTTGGTTTTTATGTTGTTGGAAAAAAGACAGGGAAATTTTTGGGATCAGATGAGAATATTTATAGGGTAGGGATGAACCTGTGAAAAATTTATATTGCTCCAAAGTTTGAAAAATTTAACTACAGGGTGACACATAATTATTGTCGCCACTTTGAACCTCTGTAGGTAGGGCAAGATTTCGAATTTTAACAATGTTAAGGTCGGAAACTTTAGAAAACATGATTACTGACAGATTTTCAAAACTATACTGACAACACAATTTTTTACCCACCCACCACCTTCACCAACCCCAAAAACTTTGAATTTTGCGATTTTAAGCCTATTTTTTCTCTTTGAAAGTTCCATAAATGTGTCAGACCGAACATATGTATTTGGAAATTATTAAATACATTTTCTTATGTCCTGAACAAGATATAATAGCATATCTTGCAAGAGTTTACCGCTTCTCACTTGTTTCAGGGCTCCAAAGTCAAGCGTCTTTTCCGAAATTTCAAAAAAAAAAATCGAGAAAAATCAAGAAAAACAGCAAAATCCATTCTGAGATTGAGTATGAGTTTTTGAGTGGAACTTTTTGTGAACATGCCTATTCTATGCACTAAAATAAAGTATTTTGGGATCTGAAACTTAGCTCGGATCTGACTTGGAGTTAGCAAAACTCCCAAAACCATGAATTTTGAGCGTTTTCTACAATGAAGGTCCCTATGTTTTTCTGATAATTTCCAGCTTTAGTATTGTGCAAAAATCCATTTCAGGGACCGAATTTAGGATATAAACACTTTTGGGCATAGTCAATATTCACCATTCTCATAAAATTTACACCTAAAGTCCCAAAAACGAATTTTCTTCTGAAAAATTATTTTTGGAAATCTATCTCTACTTCACCGCTGCTACTATAATCCAGCAAAGCTAATATGATCAAAATAGAATACAAAAGTTCAATTATATAACCTTTAAGATTAAATTTATCAAAATCAAACTTTATCTAATTTCGTTTTGAAAATGTAGAACACAGGTTAACGAGTTCAACTCACGCGACAATAATTATGGGTCACCCTGTATTTTCAGAAAACTTATTTTAATTTTCCCCAGATTCTAATATTTTTTCAAATTTCCAGTTATCTGAAGTTTCTGTTGTTGAACATGTCGAAGGTGATAGTTGTCGATTTGGACTTCGTATTGGAACTGTTGCATCAAATGATAATCGAACTGATTTGAAGGCTTCTAATGAAAATACCAAAGTGATGTGGGTTCGAAAAATACGAGAACAAACACAAGGACTTCTCACTTTGAGTATGTTTTTCAATTCGTTTTTTTTGCCTGAAAATCAAATTTTTCAGACTTGGGAATATCTTCTGCTTTAACTGTTCCATCAACATCTTCTGGTGGAAGATCAGTTTCATTGAGATCTGGAGCATCGACATCTTCGGGTGATCGATTATCGCAAGATGTTGAATCGCTTATGCATCATAGACATAGTGTACAAAGTTGTGATAGTGAGGTTAGTTTTGGGGTTCAGAATATTGGGGAGTAGGAGGAAAGAGGGTGATTTTTTGGGTTCTAAAGTTCCGGAAGGTAAGATCAGGAAAATCGCAAATATGTTGATATTCAAAGTTTCTTACACAATTAGTTTTTGCATGTTTTCGTTTTGTTTTGTTCGGATTCCAGTTAGCAACATGAAAAAGTCGAATTTATTTGATAAATCGACAACAAGTGTGCCAAGATGCAATTTTTTCGAAACAACTCGGTTTTTTTCTTCTTCGAATTTTCGTTTTTCTTCTTCTTCTTCTCAATTGCACACGGCTGTTATTCTTTTCTTTTTTTGCTCTCATGAAGAAGAATCTTTCATTTTTTTTTGTCTTCACTCAACTTCGAATCTTCTTCATTTTTCTTCATCTTTTTTTTATCGATTCAATCACTTTCCCATTCATTCCTCTTCTTTTTTTGCTGTTAGTGTCTTGTGTCATTTTTCTTCATTTTCTTCATCAACTTGCTCCTTCTTCATCTTCTCATTCTATTCCAAACATTGATTTTATTCGACTCGATTCAAACCGATTCCTCGATGAATTTTCTATTTATTTGTTGTGAAAATTGGAATTGATAGAAGACATTTTTATTATTATAATAATTCAATTATTTCCTACATGCTCATCATTTTTTCCTAGCCTAATAATACTATATTTTTCTTGTGTGTGTGTTTGGTTGGCTATTCCATTTTTTCCCACGCGAAATCGTTTTATTTTCCCGCTCGCCATATTTCTTTTGTCTTTGGTTATTGATAGTATTTCTACTCTGATAAAATATGCCATTTCGAAGATGTTTTATTTGCACCACAAAGGTTAGTTTCAAACAAACATTATTGAAATTTGAACTTGTAATTTGTGATTTACTCCTAGAATTACTGAAAAATTTATGACGTATCAAAGTTGTCATTTTTTCCTAGGAACCAGAATTTTTTCATAGGTGCTATTATTTTGCAAATGTTAGTTTATAGTATATTTCAGGAGGTTCGCGAAAAAAGTTCCCGTTCTCGAAAATTCCCACTTTGTCAGTCATAATGTCTCTCTCTCTCTCGAAATGTTTTTTAATTCTTAAAATTCTGAAAAAGTGTATTTTTAGTCCGCGTCTCCATGTTAGTTAAGCTTATATTCAACAAAAAACATTTGTTCTCGCATGAATATGTCATTTACCTGCTGCGGATAAAAACATCATTTCTATAAATATCCTTTTTATTTCAATAATTTTTCATTTATTCAATATCCTTGGTTACGTGCTCTTTATTTTCTATTTATTATTCGACAAATTTATTTTGCGTTTTTTTCGTGTTTCTTTCGTTTTTACGAATGAATGAATGAATGAATAGGATTGTTCTCGAATTACACTTTTCTCCATCAACCTTCTTCATTTTTTCGTCGTTTCTTCCATTTTTCCTTTTTTTCCAACCAATTGGTACAATTTTTCATATACTCTTCTTTTTTTGATAAGTTTATCTGACAGCAAACAAATATTGATCCGAATGATTCATATTCCAAACTTTGCATGTTCATCATCATATTTTTTCGTCCCAATGTCTAGCAAATCAGCTGCTCTCTGTCTTCTTGTTTTCTCCTTTCCTTTCTCTATTTTTTCTCTATTGTATATGAATAATTATTGAAATATAAACAAAATTGTCATAAACATGAGTCTCGTTTCCGAAAAAAAACATCAGTTTTTGTGTCAAAAATAACTTTGTCTCAAACTCTCTCATAAATTCGGAATAATTTTTGATCAAAGATACGAGAAATGCGAAACCACACATTCATTTCTTGTTTCTTCCACTTGGCGGCTCACTTTCGTTCGTTTCGCCATATTTCTTCTTCTCCATCTTTTCCTCATTTTTTTCCTCTTCGACTGACGACGTTTCCAATTTTGATATTGACTGCTATTATTTTTCTTGTTCCAATGTTTGTCGAACTAATACGAATTTTTAGTCTTTTATGAGAAGAAAAACGTCAAAAAGAAGACGAAAATGGGAATGGAATATGCTAATTTCCTGTACTTTGTCGGTATCACGAGAAGAAGAATTTTCTTATTTTATTTTTCAATTTCTTGATTTTTTCAATCAGAATGATGTTTTGTTTTTTTCCGAAATTGGACCATTTTTCGTTTTTGCTAATTCTGAATTGGACCCGAAATTAGATTCCTGAACGACCTGTCAAACTACAATGATAATTTTTTCCTTATCGCTCAATCCCGAGAACTCTGGTTCGATTAGAAATTTATCTGAAAATATGCTTTTTTGCGAACATGACTTGTGTTCTTCTTCGACCATTCGCTTTTTTTGTCTTTGCAAAAATCTTTGAGAATCTCTTGGGAATATTCGTCCGAATCTGAAAAAAATGTACTCGGGTTGTGTCTCTGTTGTTTATTTCGTCTTCTTTTTTTTCCAACAAACCCACACTCGATTTTTCTCCTTCTCCTTCTTTTTTCGCCTCTTATTCTGTTCCATTTGAATGAATTAATTTTCCATTAAGGCGTGCACAAAATGTGATTCAATCTGTTTTTTTCTCGTTTTATTTCAAGCCAATTTCTTTCACCTTATTATCTCTATCATGTGTTGAAAAAAAACGAGAAAAAAAGAGTAAATTGTAATGGGAGGATTATTAAACAAATAAAATATCAATTTCGTTGGATGGATATATTTCTTTCTTTTTGGTGTGCTTTTCATCGCTTTTTATTTATTTACACTATGTTTGTATCCATGACAAATTATTTAAACCAAATCACAATTTCCATTTGTGTTTCCTCCGCAATTTTCAAAACTCTCTTCCAAGTTTTTTTAATGACTTGAAAAAAAAAATATATTTCTCGGAACAACTATTAATTTATTATTTTATTTTCTGCGCATTTTTTTTCATATGCAATATTTTATTCTATTGATTAACTTTAGTTTTATTTCTCCTTTTTTTTTAGTTATACTAGAGAAAGAGTTATAATAATTGGCTGCAATTTATTTGCAACGAAGATTAGTTCATCAAAACTAAAATAGAGCTTATTTTATGTGGAAGTACGTGTGGAAATCTTCGAAGTTTATTTTTCAAAAATATTTATGTGATTTTTTAGCTGCTAACTTTTGTTTAGAAACAAGTCTGAAAATAACGAGCCTGAAAATATTTTTGTTCAACTCGGCACATCTCGGCCTAAGGCCGTGGTTTCCAAAATTATACGCTAAACGTTAATTACAGCCGCGCTTGAAAGATTCTATGCCAAGTATCCTAGCCTAAAAAACCACTTTTGAATTATACAAATTACAATTTGGTTTTTTGTTCGAATTTTTACTTTGTCTCATAACGGGTCAACCGAGGTGTGAAGCTCAAAGTGTTCTTGTATTTCGAATCATAGTTGCCTCTGAATATTTTTAATTTTAGAAATGTTATTTTCCGACCGATCTAATTTACTCTAAAGTGTTTCTTTGAAAGTACATTTTTAAATATTAATTAATTTAAAACAAGACTTATTCCTTCTTCCTTCCTTCCTATGATCATAAATTGATATGATGTTTGTCCTTATTTTTTCTTTTTTTTCCATTTACTTCTATTTGTTTGTCGGATTTTTGCGAGTGTGAAAATTTAATATTTCTTCATCTTTATTCTCATTTGTTGTTTTTTCCTTCTTCTTTTTCTTCTTCTCTCCAGATTTGTCCATCCGTGAAATTCGAATAACTCAAACTTTCTTCGTCTTTTTTCACTCGTATTTTTGTTGTTCAAGAAATGCTAACATATTCGAAATCGTGGCGATCAATTCGAACTCGAACTGGTAGTTTGTATGTTAGTGCGAAAAATCGATTGACAAGTTCATTTCGTGGCGGAACAAAACCTGATAAAAAATTGAAACTCGCCGAAAATGGCGAACAAGCGGTGAGAAATTAAAAGAACTGCGGGAAAAAAAGTGGAAAATGATTGACATTTGAGATATTCCCAAGAGATATTTCTTCTGAATTTATGATAAATAGTTGGTTTTTTTTTCAGCAGTCATCTGAAGTTTGGGTTGTTGTGGCTGATTTTGATGGACAAGCCGAAGGTCATTTGAAGGTTAAAAAAGGAGATCGAGTTGAGGTAAGTTTTAGACGAGGGGACAATAATTAATAAAATTCGATATTTAGAGAACCTCACACCTCGGCCAAGCCGTGGCTGGCCAGAGTACAATTTTTGGAAAAATCAGAATTTCAGTTTTTAGAGGTCAAAAATTGAAAAATCTCAATTTTTAGAGGACAAAAACTGAAAAATTCACAATTTTTGTACTGTAAAAAGTTAGCGTACAATTTTTTATTGTGGAAACCACGATTTTGACCGAGGTGTGGAGAACCTAAATAATTTAGAGAAAATCTGAGTCAAACCAAAAAAATAGGGTCATTCTAAATTAATTTTCGTGAAATATTCTTAGTTTGACTGAGGTTCACAGATTTTTGGTACTAAAACAATTTTTTTCCACTTCTTTCCACCCAGTTTTTTCTTCTTTTGAATTTCAATAATTTAATACCAAAAACGATTATCTATTCAAATTCATTTCTAAAATGATATTCATTGAAATTTGTCAAATTTTTTCAATGAATAATTTATTTTGATACATCAAACACCAACTTTTCTTTTTTTGCAGATAATTGAAGATCAACCAACTGATTGTGCTGATTACATTCAAGTAATTCTAGTAGACAACCCAACAAAACACGGCCTTTTACCAGTTTCGATAATTGCACCACGTAAGTCTTTTTTTCTTTTTGGATTTATCAAGATGGCGAGAATTTAAATTATTAATAGAGTGTAGAATTTTCTTAGATTTCAAACTTTTCTTCACAATCTTTATATGTTTAATTTAAATGCGGGCGGATTTCCTGTTTTTCGTGAATTTAAATCCAGCAGGAATGATGTGTTTTTTTTTCAAAAAAAAATTTAAATGGTAGAAATTAAAGAAGAAGGAATTTTCTAAAGCTTTAAAATTGAGCAAGAAAAAAAACAACAATTATATTGTTATGTTATTTATTGATGTCCTAATGAATACACAAACCCGTGTCCTACTCTTTGCTTTTTTTTTCCATTTTTATTCGCTTTTTGTCTTCTTCTTCTTCTTCTTCCAGCAAATATTCTGTTTTTTCTTCTTCTTCGTCCGCCTTCATTTTCTCTCCTTTATTCTCTTTTTTCTTATTCTTCTTCTCATTTAGCTTTTTGCGAATATGAGCAGAATAAAAATGAAGAAAACCGATTATTGTTTCTTCATTTTTGCTATGCAAATATATAGAAGAAATCGGAGATATTTATAGGAAATGTATAGATTTGAAGTTCAAAAATTTGGGAATCTTCTAGGCGTTTTCTTTGATCGAATGAGTTACTAAAAAAAAGACTTTGTGAATCCTATTCCACCGACATTTCAATTTTTGAAGTTTTAATTTTCCAGAAAACTTTCAAAATGTTGTTCCAAAGTTTCCACCTGCGAATCTCAATGAACTTTGAAATCTTGCGTAGACATGTCCTCTCCAAAATCCCAGCCACTCCGTAATTTTTGAACCTGAAGTTCGAAACTTTTTCGCAACTTTTTTATTCCATGTTTCTCCATTGAAATTCGAAAAATTTTTGGCTCTGGTAGGACTTGGGATAAATCTTATCATTTTGAAACTTAACATCTTAAATATTTCTTACATTAGTTTCCCGATTCATTTTTTTTTCAAAATTTTAAACAAAACTATTTCTAAAAAACTCCCATCCCATTTTCTAGTGTTGATTTTTTTCGAAAATCGATATAGGTTTCTTTCTTTAGGTGTTCTAAATATTTCCGCATTTTCCTTTTCTCATTTTCTTGTTCATTTCACATGATTTTTTCCCATATTTTATCCCGTTTTTTTTTCAATTGAAAACAATTGTAGAATTTTTTCCAATTAAGACCATAGAATAATTTATATTTTTTGTTCTTCGCGCGCACAAAAAATATATGAAATGCTCTTTTTATTTATTCGCACGAGTATTAGAAAATTGAAAAGGTCTGCCCCATTATTTTTCCTATTTTGCTGCTATTTTGTTTGGCGGTTCTTTCAAATATCAAATTATTTGTCAGCTTCTTCTTTTTCTTTTTTTCTGAATGGGTTTTTTTTTGTTTCGAATATTTGTTTTCACACGTCCTTTACTTTTTTCTCATTGCACCAGATATTCTTTTTAGTTTCTCCTATCATTTTTTTGATTGAGAAATCTTGAGATTTTATTTACCGAAACTCTCAAAAAATAAGGTGATAAAATAAAGTTGAATCGATTTTTTGACAAAATAATAATAATTAGTGTAGGAAAGATAATTATAGTTTATTAGATTTCTTATAAGCTTATATTTTTCTATAAGTTTTTACACAAGTTTTATACGACTTAGTAAATCGATTCATTGATTTATTTTTTCCACCCAATTTTTTGCCCTGTAAATATCTGATTGTTGTGTGTCTGTTCTTCTCAGTGCGCGGGTGCTCCTCCGCTGCGCTAAAAGTCAGATGGTATTATTAGAGATAGAAATAGTGTGCAAAAATTGGGAGAGTTTTGAGAATTAGTGTGTGCTCAGCACATCACAAAAATTCGAAAGTAGCTAACTTTTTTTACTCTCGCCCCAATTTTTCTCTTCTTCGTTTTTTTTTTATTTTTTGAAAAAAAATGTTGAAATAAAGAAATAATTTTATTTCGTGTTGAGACCACATTTGAAAATTGAGCTCATATATTTTGTGGCAGCCCAATACACAGCCAAATATCCATATAATTATTTGTATTGTTGGTGTTATTTTATAGCAAATAGAATATTCACACATTCCTCCTATTTTTCTTGTTTTTTATTTCTTCTTTCTTCCTCTTCCAATTTATTTATTTATATATTTTTACGTTCTATTTTTTATCTAAATTTAATTTTTGTTAAATTTCAAGTTCTCTCTTGCTCTCTATATCTGCTTTCTTGCTTCATTTATAATGATGCGCCGTTCTCAAACTGTCGAAGGTGGATCTGATCGAACATCAGCTGATTCACCTGATCGATCACAAACACCAAAAGGATCATCGAAAAGAGAAAGATGGTCATTTGCTATAAAAAGACGATGGTTTTCTTCATCGACAAGTCGACAAAGTCATGATCATCACGATGTTACAATTGTAGCACCAATTAAAACAACACTTGGAACAACTATTGAAAATAATGGTATAATATGAATAGAGAGCATTTTAAATCCGAATACATTTCAAACAAACACCCAAATGTATTAAAGACTCTAAAATGAAACTACAACTGCAAAAAATTAAACCTGAAAAGTCTGGAACAAGTAACAACTTCAAATTGTTTGGAGTTGGAGAAAGCGAAAAAAAAACCGCGCACTTGAAAAATATATCCGAATTTTATAATTTGAATTGTTGCTCGATCTTCAAAATTTTTTTGTGTTAAGATACCGCTACATAGTTTCATAGTTTTCCACAAATTAGCCAAGATAATCACATAAAATTTAAATTTAAAAAATCCCTAATTTTCCTCCAAAAAATCTATATTTTATATTTTCAGCTGATTCTGGAAGTGTTCCTGATCGACCAGATGATAATGGAACATCAACAACAACAACTCCAGCAACAATACATGTTTCGAAACGAAAATCATTGAGGTTAGTTCTTTTTTTTTCTTCTTTTCATTTTCAATCGACAATTTTGGAATGTTTGATGACCACTTGAGGCCATTCAATAATAGAAATAATTTCAAAAAATATTATTATTATTATTCAACCCCTTCTCTCCTCCTCCTTTTTTTCGTTTTTTTTCTATCTAAAGTGGAATAGATTGAGTTGTGAGTTGTCTCTTTTTTCCTTTTTTCTCTTCATTTTTTATTCATTTTTCTTTTTTTTGGTTCATATTGTGTTCAATCAACAAATTATTGGATTCGCATTTGGACCAGAAAAATCAAGAACTTTCGAAAGAACAAAGACATTTTTGGACCGACTGAATTTTGGGCCTTAAATAAAGAAAATTGACACAAATTAAAGCTAAAAAATCTCTATCGACTGATTTGAGCACTTTTTTCTCGGATTTGTTCCTATCGCGGCCGAATTACCTGTTTCCACAAAATTTAGTGGAAATTTATATTCAATATTTATTTGAAATGTTTACTAATTTATTTTCTCAAATATAAGTTAATTGTTGGAATTTCAATTTACTTCTTCTTTTTCTTTTTTCTTCTGTCTATTTTCCTCTTTTTTCTTCGGTCCTTTTTTTGTTTCTGTTTCTTGTGCGCGGGCGAGTGGGCCAAATTTAATTTGGACGCCGTGACGCTTTTTTTCGAGCTGGAAACAAGGAAAAAGCGAATGTTTTTTCGTTATTTTTTTTTCTTCCTCTTCCTTTCTCAAATCCATCTCATTCCATTTTTTTTTCGAAAGTTTGAAGATGAACCTGACGTCAGTTAAATATTGTCGAATTAAACAAAAATAATAATAACAAGTGAAAACTTGATTTTTTCTTTCTTTTTTTACCAGACTGACTGAATGAGTCATTTTTGTGTTGTAAAATGTTTTTATTTACTTCGCCACTAGAGGTTTTTTGGGAAGTTTAGCGAATGAAGTTTCTTGTGAGGGTGGAATATTTGTTGGTTGAAAAATGAAAAATTTCGGAATTCCGAAAAATATAAAATCCCATAGAAACACATAAATATGGATCTGAAAATAACTGTTCAAAGAAATTCAAATGTAATTTCCAAACATTTATCTGAAAACTCCTAAAATTCATTGAAAATAAAATATATTCGAATGACAGGTTTTGAGTCACCTTTACAACATGAGCAATGTCTTTAAAAATGTTATATTTGTGTTTTCATAGATAATTCCTTTGGAATTCCAAAACAAAATATGTAATGTTTTCAAATTACTAATTCCATGTGTTTTCTATCGTATATAATTCCTAAAAAATAACATTTTTGAAAACAAATGTTTATTTTTAATTCCAAAACATTTTTTTGAATAGAATATTTAATTTGTTTTACGAACCGATTTAACAAACATACGTAGAATAGAAAAAAAAGAAGAAAAAGAATAAAGAAACTTGTTTTTGGTTAGTTGAAGATTTTTCTTTATTTCATCATCATTTCATTCGTATTTGCAACACTGTTCTTTTTTTTCTATTTATTTATTTAATTATTAATTCAAAATGCCGTGTGCTAATATTGTGCCAAGAGTACAGAAAAAATTAAGGTTGGTTATTATTCGATTATTTTATTCTTGCGAGACAAATTCCGGGAAAAAAGTAGTAAGAAAAATAATAATTATTATTATTTGTATAGGAAAATTCGTGGAATATGGCTGATTTTTAGGAAAAAAAAAAGAAAAACACTGAAAATTCCACTCCATCTTGTTTTGTTTTTGTCTCTTTTTTTATTTCTACTAATTTGAGTTTTCCTTTTTCTGGTTTTCTCTTCCTTTTTTTCGAAGAGTTAATGAAGGATTGTTTTGAGAACACAAGAACTTTTGTTCAATTTAGAAATCTCACGGGAAAATCAAAAAGTTTGAAATACGAAAATCATTTTTGATTTATGGAAACTCATTTTTCTTCGTTGTTTTTTATGACAAAAATTACGATTTTAATAGTTTTCAGCTGTGTTTTTCTTCGATTCTTTGAGCTTTTCCGTTTTTTCCTTTTTCTTTTCAATTTTTTCTGTCTTCACACCAACTTTGGGTTTTTTCGCTTCAATTAACTGATCTTATTCTTCTTTTTCGTTTTTTTTTCGTCGGTTTTTTCTCGAACTCATTTTTTCTTTCGTTCGGCTGTTGAAGAAGAAGAAGAAAACGACAAAAGCCATGCATAATCCTCTTTTCGCTTCGTTTTTTGTCGTATTTTTATTTTTGCTGAAAAAGAAGAAGTGTTGCCCTTATCGATTTGAGGATGAACTTTGAGAATGATAATCCGATGAGATGAAATATATTGAGACAACTTTTTAATCAATCTCGTTTTTTTTTCCATTTTTGTTGTTATTTTTTTCACATCAATCTATCTACCTCTTCTATCTATTTTTTTCTATTTTGTTGTTTTTCCAGCTATTTTCTTCTATTTTTTTCTTTTTCTATTCTTTAAGCATCGGACCTCTTTTTTTCTTTTTTCTTCTTCGTTTTTTTTCGCCAGAAGCAGTTTAATTGAATTTTTCAACGACGACCGACTCGTTTTTTTCCACTTTTTCTTCTTCTTCGTTTTCCTTCTTCTTCCCTCACTTTTTTTTATTTATTTTTGATTGACATCATCATCTGAAAAAAAAGAAAATAGAAAAGAAGAAGAGCCCAAAAAATTGTCTTGTCATTTTCAGTCGAGATAATAATTATTCATGCTGGAAATGAATGAAGAGAAAAAAGAAGAGAAGAAGATTAAATATTCAAATGAGAAACGGTTTTGAGAGAGAGAAAAAAGAGCAGTTTTTATTCCATTTTGAAAATTATAGTTGGCTTTTTGAATTTCGTTAGAAATTATCTTCTTTTTTCAAAAATAGACTTCGAATAAGTTAGATTGAAAGAAGAGCCAAATCCTTTAAAAAATCTCTTTAAAAATATAACTAGGATTATGATTAAAGATGGAATCAGACCGAATCACGCTTTGGCTAATTTCTTTGATATTTCTGCATTTTGTATTGACAGAATTTATTTCATAACTTTTAGGTTATAATTTTTATCTGAATGTTATTTATTTTTCCCGATTTTCGACAAGTAGTATTGATCAGAGCCTTGAATTAAAAAAAAATTCTGTTAACAAAATTTTGTCTCTGAAAAAACTAGAGTATTCCGAAAGTTTTGTTTTTTTCTGAAATTCACCACGTCATAACATATTGAATATGATCAATTTTTATTTATTTCGAAATAATGAAAAAAAAAGTTCTAGAAAGTTTTGAGGATGAATCATAATTTTTTGTTTCCAATAAAATGTTTCTATCAGAGAAGAAAAAATAAGTGTTTTTTCGAATAAATGTTCATTTTTGTTTCTTCTTCTTGTTCCTATCTATTTTGCTATGTTCTTTTTTTTTGACAAATAAGTTGTAGAAAGAGTGAAGCAGTCATCCACTTCTAGTCATTTTTTGCCTACCACAACACTTTTCTCTTTCTCTTTTTTCACTCACAACTGCCTATGTATATATTATAAAAATATATATTCAAAAAAGAGAGAGAGAGAGAATTGTTATGTTCGTCTTCCTCTGCATTTTGGCTCATACTCTCCGTTTTTTTGTTGCTCCTGCTCCTGTTTTCTATTTTTTTCCCTGCTTCTTTTTTTTTCTTCAAAGGGTTTTTTGTGCCCGTCTTCTTCTTCTTCTTCTCTTCTCGTTTTCGCCTTTTTGCATGCCTAATTCGTAGTATCGTGTTTCGTCGTCTTCTTTTTTTCGTTCTTATTCTTCCCCTTTTTTCTTCCCTCTGTTCACTGTTTGTAGTTGATAAGATTTTGTATATCCCCTCCCCTTCTTTCCTTCTGCGAGCAGCTACAATTTTCTAAATCTTGTCTTGTCTATGAGAAAATGTATCTGCTCTACCTACAAAAAATTTTGAACCTACAATTACAATAATAATAATAATAATTCAATGTTTTATTTTTGCAGAAGAATCTTTGCGAATTCGAGCAAAGAAAGAGCATCTTCATCAACTTCGCAACCAACAACAACAAATAATATTGGAATTGTGAACAAACAATCAACATCTCAACAAAACGGACATGTTCGTTTTTTTAATCTTTGAATTTTCATAGCAAATTTTGAAATGACTCTGATTTTTACGATGAATATCGGACAAGGGTGGCCATATTTTTTTTTAGTAGAAATCAGGCTGAGCTCGGTTTTCCACAAGAATTTTCATGTATATTTTGGAGAATTAAAAAAAAACCCTACTCGTAATTTTTCAACCTTTCGAAAATTTTTCTCATGCTTCAGTTAACTTCTGATAGTATAAAAATCATTTGAAATTGAAATTCGTGAAATTTTTTTGCCACGACATTTCATATTAAAAGTTTTGAACACAGACTGTAAAATTTCAAAATAATCCCAAATAAATTTTCAGCCATCTGACGCATCAAATACAATTGGTGTTTTGTCATCCGGAGAAACATCAACACCTGCAAACAGTTCGCAACCAACTAATTCCAATAACACACGTTAGTTTTTTATCGCTGCAATTTGTCTATTTGTCTACACAGACTGTATCTAATTACAGCATACAAAAAAATTTGCAGATTTTTTTATAATCACTATTTTTGTTACAGAATCTGAAGAAGTGTGTAGCAGCACAACAACACCGACAACAATAAATAACACAATACAACAAGGAAGTGGAACAACAACAACAACAACAACAATAATAAATAGTGTTGCTGCAACTGAAGAATTACCACCACCAATGCAAAATATCACATTAAATAATATGGAAGATTCATCGAATTCGGCTGCTGAAACAACAAATAATCATGAAGAAGTGAATGCGGAAAATCAAACTGAAGATGCTATTCCGGAAAAAGTTGAGAAAACACCAGAAGAAACTGCCAGATTCAAAAGACAGTTAGTTTTTTTTATAAAAGGGGCCTTTTTAAAAAGAAGATTTTTTTTCGAAAGAATTTGTTTTCTTTTAAAAAAATCGCTTCAAACATTTCACGTAATTTTTAAACATAAATCTATCCGGAATGTAAAGTTTTCGAATATTTTTCCAAGAGTGATTCCAAAAAATGATTTCAAATTACCTTTTACAGCTACTCACAAATTCTTTGAAACTCCGAAACTATTTATTTATTTCAGATATGTTTTGATGGAACTTGTTGAAACTGAACAAGATTATGTTCGAGATTTAACATCGGTTGTTGAAGGATATATTGGAAATTTGGAGAAAATGGATTTGCCAGCCGATTTAGTTGGAAAAGATAAAATTATTTTTGCAAATATTGCACAAATTCTCGATTTTCATAAGACGTGTTTCTTGAAAGATATTGAAAAGTGCCTTGATAATTATGAAGCAGCTGGACATGCTTTTGTAAAATATGTGAGTTTTTTCTGGATTTTTGATTTCGGGAATCAAATTATTGTTTTTTTAGGAACGCCGTTTGCACACTTTGTATGTAAAATATTGTCAAAATAAACCAAAATCTGATTATTTAGTTTCGCAAGATGATTTTGAAGGAGTAAGTGTTTTCTTTATTTGAAAATTGATTTACATCAATGAAAAATTTGCAGTTTTTCGCGGAAACAAAAGCAAAACTTGGTCAAAAAGTAGCATTATGTGATTTGTTGATTAAACCGGTTCAACGTATTATGAAATATCAATTATTATTGAAAGATATTTTGAAATTCACCGAAAGAGCAAAAGATCGACCAGATGTTCTCAAAAAAGCGCTTCAAGTTATGCATGTTGTTCCAAAAGCTTGTGATGATATGATGCAAGTTGGAAGACTTCAAAATTTTGATGGAAATTTGAGTGCTCAAGGAAGATTGATTTATCAAGGAACACTTCAAATAAGTGAATCAGTTGGTGGAACAATACAAAAACCAAAAGATCGACGAATTTTCTTATTCGAACAATCTGCTATTTTTGCTGATCATATTCCACCGAAAAAGGAATTTGGAAATCCTACTTATATTTTCAAGAATCAGATTATGGTGAGTTTTTTTTTTGAAAAATTCTTTAAAGATTTTTTGAAGGGACTCAATTCAGGTACAAGTTGTTCTTAAAATAGTTCTAACAAGGGAAGTGTATAAGGTCCCGGAATAAACTTTTAATGAGACTTGGTACACATATAGATTCGAACTCGCTGATCTCGAATTCGTTTTCAAAAATTGCCACAATTGCACCCAAGACGAGTTTTTCACCATCGAAAATGCGCCATATTTCTCATTGTTTCATATGTCAAACATTTGCGGGCAAGAAAAATAACAGCGGATGGCAGAGTGGTTAGCGATCTCGACTTTAAAATTTTAGGTTTCGGGATCGGTCCCGGCCCGTGGCGAACTTTTTTTTCAAAATTTTTTTTTTCAAAATTTTTTTTTTCAAAATTTTTTCGAAACCTGTAAAGATGTCTACGTACCGACTTTGAATTATAATTTTTTGTCATCATTTTTTTTTTCGTTTTTTAAATTCTCGTTCAAAATGTTACCTTCTGAACAAATTTTGCACTTGGTAATGGGTAATTTCAATGACAATTGTACAATCCCAAGAAAGTATGTCTCCCGCGAGAACTTCAAAAAGTTCCTAACGGAATTATTGATGTTTTGCGTAGTGTGGACATCAACGAAATTATAGTTGAAAACGATGAAATTCTGGAACGAATTGAAGATGATCCACCGGATGAAGGTAACTTGGATAGCTATAAATATGAAAGCTATAAAAATAAATATGAAAGATCATCTTCCATTCGTTCTTTTTTTTTTGAAAAAAAAAATAAAAAATTTTGAAAAAAAAGTTCGCCATGGGCCGGGACCGATCCCGAAACCTAAAATTTCAAAGTCGAGATCGCTAACCACTCTGCCATCCGCTGTTATTTTTCTTGCCCGCAAATGTTTGACATATGAAACAATGAGAAATATGGCGCATTTTCGATGGTGAAAAACTCGTCTTGGGTGCAATTGTGGCAATTTTTGAAAACGAATTCGAGATCAGCGAGTTCGAATCTATATGTGTACGAAGTCTCATTAAAAGTTTATTCCGGGACCTTATACACTTCCCTTGTAAAAAGAATGTGATTTTAAAGCATTCGAGTTGAAAGTTTTAGTGATTTATTTTTTTTCGAAATATGTATTTTCTAAATAACTAGACAAACAGAAAATTAAGTGTCGCGCACAAAATGTATCTCTTTTTTTCGAAGTTGATTTAATTGGAAAAATCATAAACAACTTTTTAGGTGAAGTTTTTCATGTCAAACTGTATTTGAAGAATTAATCGTTGAAATTTTTTGAGAATAAAAACAAATATAATTTTCAAATATTTTTTATTTCGAAAAAAAACTGAATTTTCATCCTCAATAAATATAAGAATTTCTATTTCAGGTGAATAAAATGGTGTTCGAAGTAAATGTTCCCGAAGATCCACTCCGATTTGTCATAAAAAGTTCGGATCCAGCTCAAACGACTTCATTCATCGCAAATGCTCAAACACACGAAGAAAAAGAAGAATGGAATCGAAAAATTGGTGAACAACTTGATCAACAGAAACGATTATTAGCTGCTTTGGTTGATCCAAAAAGATATATGGGAGGAGGTGATGATTTATCAGCTGGAATGGCAAATATGAATATGTTAGTTTTTAAAATTTTAATTTTGTTAAAACATTAAACAATAATTATTTGTTCAGGGGTGCACCAGGTGGAAACGACAAGAAAGGAACACCTTCAGCGGCTTCGAAATCAGCGGCAGCAGCATCATCGAAAAAATCATCGGAATCACCGAAAAAGGAGACGAAAACATCGAAATCATTATTTTCATTTGGCAAAAAACCAGCGAAATCTCCGACTTCTCCACCACCGGTTGGAAAATAGATTAAACAAACCAAAAAAAAAACAAAGTGTGCTAAAAATATAATCTGAAAATAATTTATTTGTTGACAAATAATTCAAAACTAACCGAGTGACACATTTTCCTCATTTATCTTTTTTTCTAGTCATCTTTTTTATTGATTTGTTTTTTATTTTCTGTTTGTTTCCTTCCTTTTTTATCATAATCATTATCATAATCATCATCGCATCATTTTCTTTTTCTTCTTTTTTTTTTTGAGCTTTTATCCACCGGAGATTTTATCTAAAACAACAACAAAATATTTTTTTAAAACGGGTTTTCTTATTTACACATTTTAGGATTCTAGGAAATTCTGGCATTTTTCATTGATTTATTTGATGTAATTCCAAATTGGAGTCCATTTTCTTTCTTTTTTTAATATTTTTGTCGCATTTTTGTGTATTTTGAAAATAAAATCTTTTTGCTTGAAGTGATGACTGCAGTGCGAAATAAGCAATTTCAAAGAAAAATCTGAGCAAATTTTCAGATGAAAGCAAAAGTTGGAGGAAAATATGAAAGGATTAGAGAAGGAGAAATTGATTTGAAAAAAGAGGAAAAGGTATTCTGATCATTTTTAAAACGGTCTTTTCATTTTTTTTTTAATTTTAGGTGATTGTCCTTGAATCGAATAATGGATATGCAAAAATACAGAAAAATGATGGAACAATTGGAAAATGCCCAAATTATTTTTTAAATATTGATGAATTACCTGGAAATAGTTTTGCTGATCAAATACAGTTAGTTTTTCGAATTCAAGTAAAAGAAGCTCAAACATTTTCAAAATTAATTGCGTTTTTATCACATCGTTGAAATAAATGAAATTACACTGAAAATTCTGAATTTTTTAAAGATATCGAAGAAATTGGCTGGAAAAAATCGATGGATCAAAACCTTCAACAAGTTCAAATTTGGATTTATTGACAAAACCTGAAAGTTTTGATATTTTGAGTTTGGAAATGTCAAAATGTGATTCACCTTTGGTTTTAGAAGAAATGAAAGATATCGAAGCAATTGTTGGACAAAATATACAAATGCAACCAATTATTACATCACGTTAGTTTTCTATATTTGATCAAAAAGGTTGTAAGATTACTGTAATCTACGAATTTTCCAAAATTTTATTTTATGAAATCATTTTTGTCCCAATTCTTCAATTTCAGATACAAATTTTACAATAACTTGGCATGGTCCAGCAATTGATTCAAAACGTGCTCGAATTCAATCAAATAATCAAAATAGTCGACTTATAATTGAAAATGTTCAAAAGGAAGATATTGGAGCATATTCTGTTATCGCAAGAAATGATTTTGGAGTTGCTTCAAGTGTTGCTTTTCTGAATGTTCTTCCAATTCCAGGTACTTTATAAAATTATCGATATTTTTCATATAAAACAACTTTAGATGCTCCAATTGATTTAATTTGTAAAATAGTTGGTGATCATGGAATTCGATTGAAATGGAAAAATGAATTTGGAATGAAATATTGTATTGAATTTAGACATCCACGTGAGTTATTTGAAGTTTATTTAATCGATCAAATTAGTTTTGTAGAAGATCCTTCAAATAGTTTCGAAATTGCATCAACAAATATTGTTCAAACTCATGTGGAACTTCGAAATTTTTTGAGAGATCAGTATATTTTTCGAGTATTTTCTTATAATCAACGAGTTCGAAGTGAGCCATCAAAATGTATTTGTGTTGATTTTGAGAAAAATATTATTTTTGATTGTCAATAGAGCGTATTTGTTTTATATAAAATAATAAAAATATTAAGTATTGTTCCATAATTGATAAGAGAAAAAGAAAGAATATTTCAAACTGTTATCATTTTTTCATTTTCATTTTGTTATTATAACAATTTTGGTAGATTTTTGAGTAAAAATGAGGTGAGTCATTTAAAATTATTTTTGGAATTCATTTTTCTGAAATTCAGAAACCAGAAGCCTAAATTTGATGTATGGCGATTGGCTCAATTATCTTCAGCTCTTCATATTTTTCAAATTGTATGTAAAATTATATTTTTTTCGAAAAAATCAAAACAATTAATATTTAGATCGGAAGTCTATCAATTCTTGGTTTGATATCTACAGTATCTCTCAATTTTCCTCCAACTTATGCTTCTTTTATTATTTGTTTCTTTTCTTCAACACTTTCTGCCATTTTTTTGGTTTCCGAAGTTTGTGGTTTAACAAAAGTTCGAGAATTTTCGGATGAATGGGTTTTTTGGGAATCAACTTATATTTCAAGTTTCACATTTTTCTATTCTATAAATACAATAACTGTTTTATACAGCAGCATTCGATGGAATCATACTAATTTTTGGTTTGCTTCGGTTTGTTTGTTAGAAAGTTGTTTCGAAAAAAATATATATTTCAGATTGTTTCAATTTTAGTTGCCATTTCATTTTATGTTTCGCTCACACAAATTGCACGGAAGAATTTGGAGAATTTGAAAAGATCCGAGATTCCGAAAATTGTATTGAGAAGAAATTAAACCAATTTTGTTCAACTTGTTCAATGAAAAAATAAACATAATAATTATTCGCATTGCTATTTCTGTTTTGTTTTTACTTTTCACACTTGTTAGCCGCAAATCGGAGAAATAAGTCAAAATTCTCATGAAAACCTCGAAAATAATTAAATTGCAGTTATTCGGAATACTTGAAAGGCCAATGAAAGACTATATTGTCGAAAAAATGAAGATTCAGTTTGAGGTCTTTTTTCAATGGGTGGAACAATTACCTTAATTGGATATCCTTTTGAATTTGAATTTTAAAAAATAATGAAATTCATCCCGCCGAGAGACGTTTCGAAACATTTTGCTTCGTGTACTGTAATCTGGTCATTTGTGTGCATTTGTGTGTACACCACACACATTTAATTCTACGCCAATTCGTTTTTGTTGTTGCGTTCTCAGCATCCCCTGGCGTACACTATTGCGAACGAAAAGTGTAGCTACATTGTTGTATGACGCATGCTACACACATCGTACACACAAGCTGCAAAAACGTCTACAAAGATCCTACACTTTTCGTTTTTTTGAACGAAAACCGTACACCGAATTTCGAATCGATTTTTTTCTTTTTGCGCTGCGATTTAGGAGAGATTAAAACTAGAAAATATAACAAATCATTTATGGATCAATAGACTAAATTAATATAATAACAAAAATCTTCAAAACATAATAAAAAAAAGTTAGAAATTTAATTTTTCCGAAGATTTTTTGAGAATGTGTTGGTTTTTGAGGGTTGAGTGGTTGAAGTCGGGGTTGAGAGGGTAGAAGTCGGGTTGTGGAGCATGTGCATATTGCCGTTGATTTTCAGGTGACTTGACTGCTGTTCTTCGATTGAAAGTGTCCCGATGTTAGCATTCGGCGTGAGTGTAGGTGGAGCATCAAGTGTCAACCTGAAAAATAGGATAATTTTCAACTTTCTAGATATTCAAAAAACATCCCAAGTCCCATAACATTACTACTTATCATAATTATAAGAGGCGTCTCCACGTAATGATCTGCCAACTTCAGATCACCTACGTTTTGACAGGCGATTAGCCAGTAGGGTTCCAAATTCCTAGTCTTGCTAGTACTTTACTCACCTTTAAAATCATCTCCTCGATGAACTCCAGTGAAGGTGCTCCTCTTTTTTTATGCCGCCATGATGCAAATTCTAGGAGTTGTTCGTTTGATGATCTGAAATTCAACAAATTGCAATCAAATTCAGGTGTAAAAAAATAAAAACGAGAATAAGAAGAAGGAATGTTATCAGTCAACTGAGTTGACTCAACTCTGATTCGCAGTTTGGATGAATTTTCGAAATTATTTCAAGATTTTTCTTGAAAAAACGATATTTCTTTTGACGAAAAAGTTGTTTGATAGATTCAATAATCATACTCAACTTCTAGAATCCACGCAGATATAATTTGACTATCTATCATGATACCTGATTTATACGTTTAAAAAGAATTTTAGGCCAAAAAGAAAATAGAAAACAAAAATAAAATGATAGCCGCAACGCAGCAAGCTTGCAACGCGGTCCTACAATGTAGCTACACTCGCGAAAAGTGGCAAGTGTACAAAAAGCGTAGAAAGAGTGTAGGAAAAGCGTACCTTGTCGTGCAAAAAGTATACGCCAGGGAATGCTGAGTTTTTGCGTTTCCGTGCTTTTGACCGCTCTTCTTTGTTGTTATTTCAATCAAATATACAGCTATGTTCTAGAACGGACTTGTCAAATGCATAGCATATCAACAAATTCAGTGGGATGTGTTCCAATCGAATCTCCGCCACTGTCTTGGTCTTCGGGGTTAAGCGATTGCAGTTCAATTTTTTCAACTCGGTGAGTTAGAATTTCAAGAATCCCATTTATTTTCAAACTTTCTATATATTCAATTTTGCAGTTGGAAACGAACTCCAGAAAAACTCTTGCCTCTCGATGATAAAGAATTCGGTCAAATTTACAATTTAGATATATCGGAGCCATTTTATATGAAGTTCAATTATATTCAACCAAATGATCACACTACAGTTGTTTGTCAATTAGATGGTTGTTTTAAAAGTTAACTTTTTGTTTAATTATGAATTGTTAAATTTTAGATTATATGGAAGTTCCGATCGGTGATGCAGAACAATGCCTTGAATGTATTCGCGAAGATCGTTTATTACTCGAAACAGTTCATATTGAAATCAATGCATGTGATCCAAAAACCAAAATTGCTGTTGAAAAAGTTCTAAACAAGTTTTTGATTCAGAAAAATAAGTGTTCAACTGATTTGGTGGTTAAAAGAGTATACTTTTTCATTTATGATTTTTCATATGCTAGAGATTTTGCAAAAATCTTATCAATCATTGCTCCAAAAGCATTCGAGGTTAATATTGGAATTCCGAAAAATAGGGTTTATCCACTGGTAAGAAATAATATCGAAATCTAAAAATAAAACTAAAACTTTTCAGAATCCATCAACTGAAGCGGGTTATGTCATCGAGTTTTTAACTCGATATCTTCAACCAAACAAAACATATGAAACAATCCGTGTTTTACGAATTTACAACTTCATTTCTTTCGACAAAAATTTCCAAGCAATTTTTAATCGATGCACTCGATTAAAGCATTTAACTGTTTCAAATGTAAGTTTTTCTGGGAAATTTTCGAACTTTTTTCTCAAAAAAAGAAGTTGTGAGAAAAATTTGTCCAAAGTTTTTAAATAAACTTTTTTTAAGATTGAAGAGATCGGAATATTCGAAGCTGAAACAATTGAATCAGTATTGTTGGATAGTTGTGATTTTTCTAATACATTTTTTGATTATGAGTTTGCAGTTGTAAGTCCCTCCCTCATGTTTCTTTTTTTTTTCGAATATTTCCATTTTTCAGAAAGCTCCCCGTCTTTTCCCAAAAGCTTTACATTTCGGATATCTTCATTGTAAATTGGATGTTTGCACAAAAGCCATCGAGTATGTGTCTATTTTTATTTATTTTTCTAATTTTTTAAATTTAGGCAATTTTCGAGTCGTCGTATTGGCGAAACTCGCAACAACATTCGCTTTTATCAACCAGAAAAGGATTTTCGAAAGTTTTTATTAGATGTGACAAGAAATTTCGAGATAATAAATGATGACCGGGAATTGGAAGGGGAAATACAGGTAAAATTATATTCATGAGCTTTTTTGGTGGCAAGACAACAAGTTTGTTTTTCATATATTTTGCAGATAAGAGGGCACAAAGATGGACCAGTAATTACAGTTTTCAACAAAGATCGAATCTATATGTCTAAAAATGAATAAGTACAACCTGTATAATATTGCTCTTGTTAAATACAGATATAATGAATGAAGTGACACGTTTTAAAAGTTTTGAAATCAAAGATATGCAACTAAAGGAGATGCTGGACTTAAAATACAATCACAACAAGTTCGAACATCAATTGAAGATATTTGCCATTTTGCACAATTCTTTGTTCCAATATTTCGAAGAATCTGCAAAAGTTTTTGGATTTATTTTGTCGTTCATAGAATTCGTTGAAATTACCTTCATTGGCATAACTCTTTGTATACATTTTCCTTCTCCATGCAAACATTTATTTTGTGAACAGATTAGTTCATTTATAACTCTTGGAAAATAATTACCAGGCAAATGTCTGACAGCTCGACAAGTTGTGCAAAGTGAATAACCACCAGAATTGAATTCGCCCGTATCTTCATCGCATTCAACTGCAACTGTCATTCCTAAAATTGAATTTGAAATTCCAGTATTTTTCATGAGTAAATCAGGCGAAGTATCTCTCCACATTTGTTCTCTTTTATTTCTTCTTGATCTTCTTTGTTGATCATTTTCTTCCCATTCTCCTTCATCCCACCAAGATCTTTCAGCTTCCGATGCTTTTCCAGTTTTTATTATTTTCCGAATCATTTGACTCGATCTCTGACAATGTTTTCCACATTTATATTCCGTTTGTGGTTTTTTGGCTAATCCACGTAAATCCGGAAAAGTATGACTTGCCGAAGCAAAATCTGATGCCATATAAATTCGATTATATCCAGTTGCATCTCGAAGTCTTCGTGTTAATTCTTGTGGTAAAGATGATTCACAAGGATCAACTGTAGTTGTAGTTGTAGTTGTTGTAGTTGTTGGAGGAGGTGGAGGTGGTCTAAAAAACTACGAAAATATTCAATTGATAAATACAAAAAACATACGGTTGAGTTGTTGTTGTTGGTCGATATTCAACTAATTCCCAAAATCGAACAGGTTGTGAACTGTTGTAAATATTATCAGCCGAATTTTCACGATAAACTACCTGCAAATATTAAAATCTTAACCATGTCAAAAAACTAGTCAAAACGTTTTGATGGTCTGGAAAGTTCTATTCAAAATTATCCTTGATCAACTGGTTTTTGAACAGCAAAACGGTTCTAAGGAAGTTCAGTTTTTTTGCAAAATAATTTATTTCCTTTCTCATTTTTCAATTTTCTTTCAACTAATTAGAATTGACCATTGGTCGAATTGACAAACAATAATATGAATGAATGAATGAATGAAGAAATCCATCTATCAAATTAAAACATTGATTTTCTTCATTCATTTTGTTACACAATCTCATCTCACATGTATTTTTGTTGTCAATCAGTTTCAAAACGTATTTTTGAAAATCAATTATTTTTTTAATTCGTTATCAATTTGTAAGAAATTGAAGAAAAAAAGAAAGAAGATATCAAGTCAAAAACTGAATAGGTCATATGTTGATAGTTCAGCGAATTGCATTGATCTACAATAAAATCATTCTGAAAACATATATTTTTCTTTTCTAGATAATTCTATAAAACATCAACGATCTCGAACAGAAATTTAATTTTTTTTTCTATTTTGTTAATCAGTTATTTTTAGAAAAATGATAGTTTTCTAGAAAAAAAAACGTATTTAGTTGGATACAAAGTTCAAAATTTTGTACGTCTTTGGATTACTGTAATTGGTTCTTGTGACGTCAGAAGTGGTAAAAAGAAGAAGAGGGTCATTTAAACATGTTTTCAAGGTTTTATTTTTTTCCTGGAAAAGTAAATAAGTATTTGAAAAATGAAGATGTAAAGACGACATTTTAATTGGATTTTGTCACGTAGATTTTTATCATTCAAAAAATGTGTAGCCTTTTTGGAATCACTTACGGAAGTTATTTCTCAAATTGAGTTGATGATAATTTTATAGTAAGAAATTAATTTCAAAAGATATCAGTGAGTTGAGTCACGTAAAGTTTTAGAAATTAAAACCTTCTAAATATCTTAGATTTTTGACGTGAATTTTCAAAAACTTAACTTAACTTTTGGAAAAAGACAATATTGGTTCCAAATTTTTGGTTTTTATGAGTTTCCTAAGTTATTATAAAAAGATGAAGATTTTTTGGATTTCTCAAAGTTCAATGTGTCTATCACATGTCCTTTTTTGTTGGAACCTAAAAAAGTTCAATAAATGAATTAACATTCAAGTTGAAACAAAAACTGGGTTCTTAAATAAATTTGGAGAGAATAATAGATTCATGAAAAGACTACAAATTACCTGAAATTGCGAATGAACAGTCGGATGATGATGAAGAAGGAGAAGAAGCACGAAAAATTGAAAAAACGAGAGATTGGCGATTGACATGAGAGAGTTCGGAGGGTAGAGAAATCGAGAGAGATTCGGTGCTCGCAACAACGACGCAGAACAACAGACGAATCGATGTGAGAAAAAAGAAAAGAAAAGGGCGGTACATTTTGATGAAAAACAGCCGGAGGCGCAGACAAAAAGGGAGAGTAACAGAAAAAAATTGGAAGGAAGGAAAGAAAAAGAAAAAGAAGAAGATGAAGAAAAAAGAAAAAGCAAGCGATGGAGCAAGAAGGCACATACATACACACACACACACATACATACATATACATATACACTCCCTCCCTCCCTCCCTCCCTTCATTCTTTTTTTTCCTCATTCCCCTCCCCTCCCCTCCCTCTTTCCCTTAATACATACTCCACTCACACACACACACACGTCTTGTTTTGCAATGAGATGGTGCTGTGGTGGGTCGTATTCTGATGGGGCAACAAGTACCACAACGACAAATGCTGTCGCACCACCAACTCCTTTATTAACTGTTTCTGCAAATCATCAACAATCGCAACGTTTTGGACCAATGCATGTTAGAATGCACAAAACGGTCAGTTTATTTATTTGTTTGAAAACGAAAAAGTGATTTATTTGAACATATGTTTGTGTGAACCTTGTACTTTTCAACATCCAAAACAAAATGGCAACAAAAGTCCGCCGTTTTTTTTGGAATGAAGAGGTGTTGAAATTTGAGTGGGACTCTTTTTGATTTATTGCTTTTTTCGAGCCGTGCTTGAAAAAAATGTATGAGAAGCTTTTTGAAAATTAAGGAGCATGAGACTCAAAATCAAGATTCTGGTTTTCTGAAAAAGTTGAACTTCAAAATTACTGGAAAAAATATCAATCGTAGATTTTAGTTAGTTTAAAGTTTTTATAACCAACTTATAATATTTTTTCTTCTGGCGAAAAACACGCTTTTAGAAAAAATTATTCGATTTGTGATTTTCAGTCTAATATTCCCAAATTACTGACTCTCAAGTGATTCCAAAAATATTCCTTTTTTGTTTTTTTTTTTAGAAAAAATCTCTTCAGAATTTTTTTCCAAAAAATTGTGGGTTACTGTAGAAAAGTTTCTTTATTGATTATTCCAAATTGGTTTTCCATCCATCAATTTTCGATTTTCACACAACTATATATATTTTTATCGCCATCCTTTTTTTATTATAGTTTTTTCTCGATTTCTTTCCTTTTTTCACACACACACAATAAGGCACTTTTCATTTCATTTCACACTCATCTAATTCCAATGACGTCATAATAAATATATCCAAAAGTGACTTTAATTAAAGCACCTCTTAATTATTTTTTGCTCCATTTTCGAGCTTTCTCCAGATCTTCATTCTATTTTTTATATATAAATAAATAGATAGATATTCAAGGGGAAAAAAGAAGATGGAGATATTTTTGTGTATTTTTCAGAGCAAGAAGAATAATTTATTATTCTCAACAAAAAAAGAAAGAAAAGTCCGCTTGCTCGCCATTTTAGTTTTATTTTTATTTTGCCTCTGATTTTGTAGCGCATTTTAAATTCGATGTTTGAAACGAAAAGATATTGCGAAAAACTGGGAATAAAAAGGAATAATCTTCAAACTATTAGTTAAAATGAAAAAAAAATAACAAAGCCTATAATTAACAAACTGCTAATTATTTTGCCTCACGTAAATAATAAGTCTACCTCGAAAAGAAAACTGTGAAATCTTTGATCAAAAACAGTTGCGATGATTCATTCAAAAAAGGATTATAAACGAAAACCAAGAAGATCAGATTAATTTTGAAATTTTATCTTTTTATCAGCCATTTGTGACGTCAATGTTTTCTTTCTTCTTCATGTTTCGTATTTTTTTCAAAAACCCTTCAAAAATGTTAGTTTGTCTATCTCAATTTTTATTCCGATGAAGAAGAAAAATAAGACTTTTTGCTCATCCGTCCATCCAAATATGTCTTGTAGTTGTAGTAGTAGAATTTTGTTGTTGTCAGCAACAAACTATTTCTCTCTCTGCGTCTTCTCATCTCAATGACTCAAGAATTAGAGAGAAAAAAAACGAAGAAAAAGATGCTCCGCGAAAAAAAACGCAAAAAAGAAGAAGTAACAAACTTGGCATGGATGGATAAACATTTTGATTAGGAGCCGTTTTTTGTTGCCTTTTTTTGGACGGACGAGCTCAAGAAAAAAAGTTGGGAGAAAAAAGACGAAAAAATGGGAATTGCGCACAATGACGTTGAATTATACTTCTTGAAATATGTAGATACATTTTGGATTACTGTAGATATATGAAAAACATGACGAAGATCACACTTTTTTGGAAAAAAAGAAAATATCTAGAATGGGGGAAAGAGAATAAAAACATTTTGAGGGGAAAGAATATTTCAAATTGTCCCTAATTTTGGAATCAAACTACATCAGCTCAATATTCAGTCAAGAATACAAACACATCGAACTCCAGGTTTGAAAACCCGAATCCAAAATTGGGCTTTTCTGAATCGAAATTTTAGCTGAAGTTCTAGAAAGAAGGTAATTTTCAATCGAACCTGAATTTCGAGATCCGATTATAGGTTTATCGTCGTCACATATTTGTTATGAATGTGACTTGGGACATCTTTAAAATTATGAATTCCAGTTGTTTGTCAACTGTTTTGCCGTCGAAAATGTTGATAATTAGAAGAAAAACTAAAATTTAGAATTTTTCCGAAATCCGTTTTATTCTTTATCTGAAAACTTTGAACTTCTGATTTTTCCCAAATTTTCAGAACCATTTTTTTCTAATTTCTCAACATTTTCAATTATCAAAAATAATTCCAGATGTATTTTTAACCTTTTAGATTGTTTTTTTGTTGACATTTTTAATATGCTCCACATCTGGAAATTCTCTCTTCTCCTTTCTTTTTTTCATCCGGAAACTTTCAATTCTTCATGAAAACCTAAAAAAAATAGTAAACATAGAAAAAGAGGAATATTGTTAGTGGGCAATATTTGTCGTCTCCTCAAATATAATAATATAATAAATTCCTTGTATGGTTTGTGTTAGATAAGGCGAAAAGTCACGAAAAAAACGAAAAAGTGGGGGGTTTTTTGTCATAGTGTTTGTCGAGTTGAGTTCAATAAATGGGCGCTTTCAATCAATTATTTTTTCAACCACGATTTTCTGAGGTATTTTTCAAAACTTTGAAATTTTTATTTTTGAAGTGACAACATTTTTGAAGTTGCTGAAACTACTAGAAATTTGGCTCACTGAACAAACTTTTTTGAAACTTCGACAAATAAAATATCACCCAAAGGGATAATTATTTCAAAAATCCTATGATGTACAACTACCCCAAAATATAGTTATGACGTAGCAAAGTTTTTAGAACTTTTCCGAAATATTTTCTCTGAAAATTTTAGTACTCGAAAATTTCGATTTTCGCCACGTCATAGCACACGAGTTGTGCACCCTTGAAATTTTGGAATAATTATCTTTTGGTGTGTTTTTTAACTGAAAAAGATAATTCGAGGAGTATTCCATCTTCCCTTGTGGAATATTCTTCAAAAACAACCAAGTTTTTTGCAGGCTGTAATTGTTAGTGAAGCAAGTGGTGAAAGTGTTTTATTAGATTCATTACGAACTGCTGGATGGAATTGTACAATTGTCACACCAAATCAGGTAAATCTTATTATCAATTTCGACTAACGCGAAAATATATATTTCTTTCACAGTTTCACTACCACAGCTCTCATAAATATTTAATTTTTATTCCCCAAAAAAATCGTGTTATTTTTATGTGTCTCTTTTGATGATTTTCTCATGCTTCGATGATGACGAGAAAAAAAGAAAAAGAATTAAAAATTCGGACGAATTTTCGATTAGGAAATAAATAATGATGCTGTTTATTGAATTGAGAATATTTAAATTTAAATTTGAAATCGAAAAAAGAAGGGACTTTTTTTTAAATAAAAACATTTTTTGCAGGCACTATCTGAAATCGAATCAATATGTCCATTAGTTATATTAATTGATATTCGAATACCTCATCCATGTCAACTTGCGAAGTGAGCATTTTTTTGTTTTTCATCTCTTTTTTCGTTATAACAAAATATTGTCTATTTTTGAAATTGTTTCTTTTTTTGTTTTGATTGCTCATCTCAAAAAAACAAAAACCGTACGACGTTTGAATGAATCAACATGAGAATATTTGTATTTTTAATTCATATATGTTGATTCAATTTTTTAGGGGACGAAGCTAAAAACCTTCAAATGACGAAAATATGTCACCAAAAAACATTCTATAATCCCATTTTTACAACAATGCGAAAATTGAAGTTTCGAGAAAAGTTTCAATATTGTAGGCTAGAAATTGTTAATTCTAAAAAACAGAATGAGGTAACAGTACAAAATTTAAAAAATTGAAACTTAGTCCTTTTTTGGAAAAGAAAAAGTCATTTCTTGGAAAAGTACTGTATTTAGATTCAGAAACTTTATTTATTTTTTATTTCAGAGATATATCGTCTGTTACAACTGAAGAAGTATTAGTTGGCTCGATAGCGGATAAGTGAGTTTGCAAAATATATATTTTCAGCTTCAGCTTCTTCTTTTTCTTTCTTTTTTCTCCTTCTAAAAAGGCGTTGTGTTTCTTTTTTCTTCATTATAAAAAATAGTCGGTTGTTATTGTTGTTTTTTATATACGAAAACGGATAAACAACAGAAAAAAGAAAGAAAAACAAGAAAAACGAAGAAGTGGGGACCGAAAATAAAACGATAATTTGTTACAGGCATATTTCGGAAAAACGAAGAAGAGCATTAGCACAGGCAAATATTATACATGTAAGAAAATTGAGAGATAAACGAACAGCTAGAATACATTAATATAATTTTCTTTTAGCATGTAACATGGAACAGTAGAGATGTTGGATTGTTCAGTTATGTTGGAAGATTGGCTAATCGAATTCGAGCATTGCCTGCTTTATTTGCAGTTTTAGATGAGGTAAAACTAACATTTTTGAAAGTTGGGATATCTTAGAACGTGGAACACTTTGGAATAATACAACCCGCAAAAATTGTTCTCAAGAATAATGGAACCTTTAAAAATATTTGGGAAAAAGAAACTTATTAAATTGTAGACTGATCAAGCGATAGAAGTTTGTGATGAACAGCGAGTAGTTCAATATGTAAATCGTGCTTATGAAACAGTAACGGGTTGTATTCGATCAGAAGTTATCGGTCAACCAGAATCCGAAATGCGACGAAAATCATTGCCGAGACCGAGAGGTGATGAACATGAGAGAAGAAGAAGTAGTGATTGGAAATTTTTACGGGTTCCATTTGCCAACAAGTTGGTTTTTATTTTCCTTTTTTTTTGGGAAAAAACATTTTCAACAATAATTTTTTTAGTACTCAATTCGTGTATATGAAACGTTCAAATACGACAACAGATGCAGCTATATTTCGAGATGTTTCTTTGAAAAGTTTAAAATCACAAACTGGTGCATTAGAAGCTCCAATTTCTGAAGTGTTATCAATGCTACGCGATGTTTCTTCGAGAATTGATGGAGATGTTGCACAAACAGTTAAAGATGCAATGAAAGTATTATCATCGACTGAATTATATGCGCCATCAATAAATCGATTCAGAGATGCTGATCGAATTGCAACACAATATTATGATGGTTTAATTCGATTACATCATCCAGCAAGGCAGCGTAAACGGAGTGTTGTTGATGCACATCGAGAAAAACGAGGTGAATTTTGAAAAAAAAAACCGAAAGAAATAACTAAAATTTTAAAGATATTATAGGATCTCATGGTGAACGACGACGTGTTTCGGCTGATGTTAAAAATGCATTGGAAAATGATAATAGTTGGAAATTTGATATTCTTCATTTGGAAAAAGTATCAGATCATCACGCATTAAGTCAAATAGGAATGAAAGTATTTGAAAGATGGAAAGTGAGTGATGTATTAGGATGTTCGGATGAATTATTAAATCGATGGATTCTTTCAATTGAAGCACATTATCACGCTGGAAATACATATCATAATGCAACACATGCTGCTGATGTTTTGCAAGCAACTTCATTCTTTTTGGATTCTTCAAGTGTTGCTTGTCATGTAAATGAAAGTCATGCAGTTGCTGCATTATTAGCTGCAGCTGTTCACGATTTAGATCATCCTGGAAGAGGAAATGCATATTTGATTAATACAAGACAATCTTTAGCTGTTTTATATAATGATAATTCAATTCTTGAAAATCATCATATTGCACTCGCTTTTCAATTAACACTTCAACATAATGCAAATGTAAGTATCTTGCATATAAATTCTCTAATTGTTAAATAATAAATAATATTTGTAGGTCAATATATTTGGAAATTTATCTCGTGAAGAATTTATTCAAATGCGACATGCAATGATTGAAATGGTTCTAGCTACAGATATTTCGAGACATTTCGAATATTTAGCTAAATTCAACAAAATGCATATAACAGATGTTGCTGAAGAACAAAGAGATACAAATTCGTTGACAATTTGTGATATGTTAGTTAAATGTGCTGATATTTCAAATCCAACCAGAGAATGGGTTTTGTGTCAAAGATGGGCTCATCGAATTGTTGAAGAATATTTCGAACAGGTTTGCTTGATTATTTGAAAAAAAAGTTGATTTAAATTAATATTAAAATTATTTAGACACGCGAAGAAAAAGAAAAAGGATTACCAGTTACAATGGAAGTGTTTGATAGAAACACGTGTAATGTTCCAATAACTCAATGTGGATTTATTGGTAAAATAATACACTTTTCATTAATTTATACATTAAATTATTCCTATTTTCAGATATGTTTGCTCGAGAAGCTTTTGCTACATTCACAGAATTTGCAAAACTTCCTGAATTATCAGAACAACTTGAATCAAATTATGATCGATGGAAACAAATGACAACACAATGGACACCGGCACACAATTCTAATCTAATTCTTTGAAAATAGGTCCTTTTCTAGACTTCGAACATTTATCTTTGCTCATTATTTTAAAACACATCATTTATTGTTGTTTTTATTCTTTTTTCTGTATCCTGTGCAATTTATCTATTTTCTTCTAGTCTTCTTCCATTTCAAAGCTTTACCCCTAATTCATTCCTCTCCAAATTAAAAATCCATTTTTGCATTTCTTGCCACCTATGTTTCGTTTTTTTCATTTCAATTCACATTATTATTTGTGTGTGATAAATTCGGGGATTTTTTCTGATTCTTTTATTCTTTCTTTCTGTATTTGTTTCCTATTTAATAATATATATAATAAATGTTTAATCTATAGAACATTCATACAGAAGACGAACAAATAAAACAAAACAAAACAAAACACCCAACCTTCTAATTTTCAGCCATTTCTTCTTCTTTGTTTTCCTCATTTTCATCTTTTTCCATTTCTTCTTCTTCTTCTTCATCTTCAATTTTCTCCTTTTTATTATTATCCTCATTATTTCCATTTTGATCATCATTTTGTCGTTTTCTCATCAAAGATGGACGAATATCCGAAAGACGAGTCATTGAAAGAACCTACAACAAAAATATTTTTGAAAACTAATAATGATAAAAATATTCTTGAATATTTACCTGATACATTTGATTGAAAGCAATAAGTCTTAATGCAGTTTGAGCTGTTGATGTAACTTCAAGTTTTTGTTCTTCGCTCATTGAATCGAAAATATTAATCTGCTCTTTTTCACAAGGATCATATAATATTCCAGTACAAACCAATCCAACAGAAATAGCCTCTAAAATAGTTTTGAATCCATCAGCTGGCGAAAGTGGACAAGGATATGATGATAAGATTTTTTCAACCAGCAGTTCAATCGTCTGAAAATAAAAATAAATCAGATGATACTTTCTACAGAAAAATACGATTTTCAGAATTTGGTAACACTTTTCAAAAGTTGAGATTTTCAAAATTTATCTAATGTCAAGTTTTTTGCATATGACTTCGAAAAAAAAAATTATTCTGCTCGAGCAACGAAAAGGTTGGTCAACAAAAAATTGTGAAATTAGATTTTTGTACAGAAAAAAACGAGAAAATCAATATTCACTCTAGGTAAAATAATTCTCTCAAAAACTTGACGCCGTGAAATATTTAGTCCAGGTGTGACAAATTTAGAAAAAAGTCTTACATGATCATTGAGATATCCCCAAACAGCTGAACGTTTTCTCAATTCTCGAAACACTCTTAAAACTGGTTGACACGATTTGAGTGGAAGACAGCGTGCCTGAAAATATTTTAATAATAATCTTGAAAATGTTGAACACAAAACTCACAGCAAACCATTTCGCTCGCCGCAAATATGATAAAGCAGTTAAACATGATTTATGATCTGCGCAAGCAATTTCTGAATCATCTGCAATTTCTCGAAGAGTTGGTGATGTTAAAAACACTCGAATTCGAACATTTTCAATTTCAGGATGTTTAATAATTAAACTAGCATCCGATGCTTCATCATTTTCGATTGATAATAATTGCTGAAAAAAAAACAAAAATCAAATAAAAAAATAAAATTGAATAAACTAACAGTATGAGTTCCAAATGATTGTTTGATATATTGAACTAACTCTGTTGTAGGAATTGGAGTTGAAACAACAACCAATTCAATGAGATCATCTCCTTTTATGAATATATTTTTGGCATATAATCCAACTCTCATGACACCTTGCAAAATTCGAGTATTTGTTGGTTTATTTTCTTCTGATTCAATTTCGCCTTCATCAATATTTTTTGTTTGTTCGAAAAGAACTCGGCTAAAATAAAAAAATACATATATTTTCTTGAATAAAATAAAATGAAAACTAACTTGGTTTCAACATCTTCTGATACACTTTTCAAAACCTTTTCAGTTTCCAAAATAAACTTTTCCAATTTAAAAACATATTCTTCTCCAGGATGAAGTAATCCATGTTTTTCTTCGAAATGTCTTTCATCTAATACATTCAATCGTTGTCCTTCTGCAGTTACACCACCAAACCAAGGGCCTCTTTGAACATTTGTTTTAGCCTCTTTATTATTCTCTCTTGATTTTTTACTTGGTTGTTTTGTATCAACTCGGAAACTTGGATCAACTTTTTTCTGATAAGATAATCGATGTCGACGACCTTTCAAATGAACATCTTTCGCATTTGGATCAGAGAATTTGCAATCACAAATCTGAAAAAATTCGTGATATTTTTAATTAAAAAAAAATAAAATAATAGTTACCGTGCAAAGATAATTGATAAGTTTTCCAGTTGGATCTCTTTCTGCTTTAACATGTTCTTCTCCAATTGGTTTAATATCATCAGCAACAATCATAGCTTGTAATCTTTCATCATCAACTTCAATAACTGGTTCTTTAACAGATATTCCAACACTTCCAACTGCAGACAATACTTCTTTTTTCTTTTCTTCTAATCTTCCAGTTGTATTCAATCTAGAACCTCCCACAAAATTAATTGTATTAATACCAATAACCTTATTGGTTCCTGGCAATTGTTGTTGATGCCATTTCGATTTTGCTTTAACTTCTTGAATTTCTCCCGAAGAATTTTTGGAGATAATAGTTGGAACATCTTCTGGCACAACTTTTCCCATTTTTCTACAAAGTGCTACAGCTTTCATATGTTGTTTTCCCCGAATATGCGATAAATAAGTATCATGTCCAGCACATGTTACATTACATAAATCACATCGATATGATACTTTATTTCTTGCCAATGTAATTGGTTGATCTCCTTTTTGCAATGATTCTTTTCTTTTGTGCTGTTTTCCTTCCAAATGTTCTTTATATGTTCCAGTTCCAGCACATGAAATTTTGCATATTTCACAATAATGCATTGTCGAATCTCGTTCACTTCCATCATATTTTCTTTTATTACTCCAATATGGTTTGTTATTAACACTATTACTACTATTCATCCAAGCATATGGATTCGTTGTTGCAGTTGAAGTTGTTGTAGATTTCTTATTTGCAATATAAGTACTTGCAGCAGCATAAACAGCTGCATCATATGTTGAATATGATGGAGTTTGTGCAGCAGCAGCTAGAAACAAATCATGGGAATATTTTCGAGAATTAGAAATAAAATAACTATACCTGCTGCTGCTCCAAACGTTGAAACATTTTTCACTCCTCCAGTTGTTCCATAATAATGTTGAGTGGATGAATTCGAAGCTTAAATTGCAATTAAAATTAGTCATTTTTTCACTAAAAACTTACGATAGCCTCCATATTGAGTATTATATGCATCTGTTGTCAATCTACTTTGTTGATTTGCTACACCCGCCGCAGCTGCAGCTGAATACGGAAATGATTGATAAACATTTGTAGCTGGTGCAGTAGTAGCAGCTCCAGTTCCATAAATAGATGCAGCAGCTGCAGTTTGCTGTTGATGTTGTTGATAAAGACTTGCAGTTGCTGCTGCATTCGTTGATTGATATTGTGGCGGATTTACATATCCACTGAAAAATAAGTTTTGAAAGAGGAATTTAAACGAAATATTCAAAGCTTACCCATATGCTCCTTGATAACTATACATAATTACCTGAAAATTCAAAGGTTATTAAAGAATAGGAACAAGAAAAAATAAATAAATCGTTTGAATGTATTTGCAGTGGAGCGCGTTTGGTTGGTTCTATACTTGTAAACAATTTTTAGCAGAACAGTGCTTCAACGTTTGCCAAATTTCGAAAAAAAAATTTAAAATGATTTCCAAAAAATTCAGAATGGGAAAATAATATTTCCCCGTTGAAAAATCACGCAAAAATAACCATAAACTAGAATTTAGGTTTTCACACTTGTTAAAAATCAATATGAATCCCGATTAGATATTCATTAAAAATTCGGCAATCAAAAAATCATATTTCAGATAATTTTTCAAGAGACGTCAACAAAAATTATTTAACCAACAAAAAAATAAAAAAAAATTCGATAAACTTTATTCATGAAAAACCTAAACCAGATCAGATGGAAATCAATTAAAAGTGAAAAAAAGAACAAAAAGAAAAAGTATTCGAGTATAAATATCTCAAGCCTCCGATTGTTCTTTTTTCGGTTCATCCAATTCAGGATCAAACTTGAGTCTTGGCCAACCAGTCGAGTATTTTTGTTTGAGAACAATTTCAACTTTACGTTCTCCAATAACCGCACGACTTTCTTCAACAATAACTTCATCCCAAAGATCGTATTCCAATGCAGTTTCCTGAAAAAAATGTAGTTCATAAAAACGTCAAAAGATTTAGAATTTCGAAATGTTTTCAACAGTCTGAGAATACACGAAATTTCCAGTTTAATTTTGAGAAGTATTTTTTAAACTTTGGCCGGAAAAAAGTTGCGCAAGGAATATGGAGAGAGAATAGTTCTCTGAAGATTTTTCTAATATTCTCATGAATATTTATAAAGTAAAATTTTCGGAAATCAAGATACCTTTGTTCCAAATCCATGAACTAAGTTTGCTTTCAAAACATGTCCATCAGTTTGTAATCTTGATTCTTTTCCAATAGTTCCCTGAAATAAATCATTTAATTTTCATATCATAATTCTGATTTTAAATAACTCACTCTACAATAAATATTGACAGTAACAAAACCATTGCTTGAGAACCAATCTTCACGAACTTTACTAACAATTTCGTTCTGAAACAAATTAATCAATATGACTCATTCAAATATTTTTTACAAACCGGTCTCCATCGATGTTCACTTTTTGTGCATCCAACTTGTTCCAAAAAAGCACCGAAATTCGATGTTTTCTTGTTACAACATGACCAATATTTCATTCCTTCGTGGAAAATGGCTTCGCCTGGATGATTTTGGCAATCACCGGGTATTGAATTTGAACCATCATAAGTCTGAAAATATTGATTGAAATAATTTAATTAAAAAACCCAAAAATCAAATACCTTATCACAGCCATTGTTTTTACACGCCGCTCCAATACTAAATTCTCCACTATTTGCTGCATCTTTCGATTCGTTCAAAAACTTTTCAATTGCAGCTTCAGCCGAAGGTGTTGTTTCGAATTTCAAATCAACAAGAGGTCTTTCTTTATTTCCGCTATTTTCGATATTTTCCTTCTTTGCTGATTTATTCAAACCTTTCCATACAATCACATCTTCTTCTTTTTCAGGTCGAATCTCTTTAACCGCAGCAACTTTTACAATATCAACTGGTTTTTCAGGATTATGTTTTCCGCGTGCACATCCAGGATAACTTAACCAAGTTCCAAAATCCGTGCTTTTCTTATTACAACAATTCCAGATTTTGTATGCGTCATGGAAATATGGAGGACCCGGGTGATAGCTGCATGCTTCTAAAAAAATTGAAAACTAAAAAATCGATAATTTATACAAACCTTGTCCATTTTCATTTTCGCTAAACTTTTTTCCACATCCTTTATTATAACATTGCAACAAGTTATCGGTCATTTTCACTGAAATTTTATTTTTGAAAAAAAAAGTTGAATAAAAATAAGCTCCGCCCCTTGTCGAATACTCTAGAAAACCCCGCCCATCTCGCAATAATGCGGCGCGTTTGCAAATAAAATCCGAAAATCGACGGGAAAATAGCTGGAGAGCAAATAATAAAGGATAAACCGGATTTATTTGAAAAATTAAAACAGAGAGGAAACACGGGAAAAATAAATAATAAATATGATGTTCATGCATAGAAGAAACATTTAGAATAATTACTTCTTTTCTGATGTTTCAGCTTCCTTTTCTTTCTTTTCGTGTTCTGAAATCAATTGATCAACTTCTTTGGTTGACAATTCTTCGAGAACTGTTTTTCCATCACGGCGAGTCAAAACAGCCATTTCGACTTTTTCTGAAGCCAATTTAACGTCCAATGTCTTCCACAAAACTTTGATAGCCAACTTTTTGGCTTCTTCCAAATTTGGTGATTTGTATTCTTGTTTCAACAATGAAACAGCAGCCTGAAATAATGAATATGTAAGAGTTTCAAGATTGTGTGAATTTATTTACCTGATGATTATTTCCGATGCAAGTTGCTTTCCATCCGGTGTAGTTTCCTGATGGATCAGATTGATAAAGTTGGAAACCATAATGTTTGTCCCAGCCAACATACAACAATGATACTCCGAACGGTCTTTTTCCTCCGATTTGGGTATATCTCTGCTTTTCATTGCACAATGTTTGAACCAATTGTTCGACCGGCATTTCTTCTCCAAAATCATTGCGATAACTGGCAGCCCACCATCTCAAATGATTAATAAGAATGTTGGCATCAGCTGTAATTCCGGCAACTGTACACGAAATATTATCGGATAATCGATAGATTTTCTCAGCCAAAACAGTATCATCCAAAAGTTTGTGCACATTTCTCTTCTCTGCTGCGATTATAATACCATCGGAGGCGAGAATTCCCAAACATGTACCAGCATGAGAAATTGCTTCCATCGCATATTCGACTTGATAAAGACGACCTTCTGGAGAGAAGATAGTCGTACGACTATCATAACGACGAGCCATCTGAAAAAAAACTCGAATAGTTTTGTAGAAATATACCAGTTCGGAAACAATTAAGAAAATCAACGCCAAATTACAAGAGAATAGAGTTCATAACACCAGTTTTTCATTATTGAAAAGCTACAATAAAACTGTGGCAACATATAAAAGTGTTCGAAATTCAAAACAACGGAATATACATCTACTTTTTTAGCGAAAACCACGACGAAAACGAACGAACAGAAATGATGATAATTTTTCAAATTGTTGTGTGTCAATGGCGCGCAATTGTTCGTTTCTTTGGTTTTCTAGTCCGCGGCCATATTTACTCTTTCTCCATTACTCCCATTTCACGGATTACTGTAGCTCTGGAATTTTGAAACAAACCATAAAAGTTTACGAAATGAGACGTGTCATTTTTTTTCATCAATAGACTGGTTTTACAGAGCTCAGCCAATCACATTATTACACGTGGGAGGACACCTGATTTCTCTAGTTTTCATTAAATATAAATTCCAATGTTCAGATCTTTGGTTGTTTTCGATTTAAAAATACATTTCAATATTTATGAGTCATGTAACTGCTACAGTAACCATCATAATCTTTTTTATCCATATAATTAGCACCTGTCGAAAAAGAAACCAAACTAAAACTCAAAACTTGTTGCTATGGAAATTAACGTGTTTATGAAATTAAATATTTCTGGGAATCAGAACAGACGAAAGACTAAATAAAAGAGCTTATCAAGTAAATATAAAACAAATCATGTGAAAATATTTAAAAGTGTGATTCTGAGTCAGAAACTTTTGTTTTGTTGATTGTGAGAGAAACATTTGCACAATGAAGAAGTGGGCATATTATATCGGGAGAACATTAACTTGTAAAACATAATTGTTGGATTTAATCGAAAATAATCTTCTGAGCTTTTTCATGGAACTTTACATATTGCAATTCTCACAATGACATATCAGATTGTGCTTTTGTATTGTAAAACCTTTAAATTTCCTAAAGCAAACATTGTTCGATACCTCGTTGCCACAACATGTCAGCCCAATGAAAATTGTCGGTGAGAATGAAGAAGACTTAGAGAAAAATAGATCAAAGGAACATTGAAAATTGTGGGTCTGAAATTCCATAAGTTTTGAAATTGCGGTTGCAAAACATATTTTGTTTCGAAAAAAATTGAGGATAACTTTTAGTCGCTTGGCACAGTGAAAGTTCATAAATGAATTTTCAAAAATCAAGCTAAAGCCTATTTCTAGATTTAACAAATCCTAGACCCACAAATGAAACTCGCTGTAGATCACGCGGGATTTCAATATCTTTTCGTCTCTTTCACTCTCTTTTGATATGTTGACAACGCGTTTTTTGTCACATTTTTTCCAACTTTGCAGAACCTAAACTTAAAAAACATGTGTCTCTATAGCAACAATTATTCACCATTTCCCATGATTAACTCCGCCCTGATTTTTCGACTGAAAATCATTCCAGACTGAGTTTGTTCAGACGGGGGTAAATGTTAAACATTATATTTTTGTTATTAACTTTTCCCCTAATTTCATACAGTCAAATATGTTCGACAATCACTTTGGATTCATCACAACCTTTGGGTAAGTTATTTTAAAATAAAAATCAAAATAATGTTATTTATTGATTCAGATGAATATTACATCTACAGTAATGAATTGACAATAAATACAACTCGAGTTGCATATGTTATTTCAAAATCTCTTCCAACTTCTGATTTCGAACTTGTCTCATCTTCTGCTCGTTTACTTTCTTCAAATGATTCCGCTTGTCTTGATACATGTACAATTACAATCGCAAGTTATATTGATATAAATCAAGGTGATCAACACAGTGTTTTGCATTTCGATTCCGATCATACTTATTATATTCCACCAAATTATGTTCGAGATAACACATCTTCATTTACTTGTGCAAAATATGCAGGATACTGTGGAGCAACTATTCCAGTTTATCGATATTATAAAATTATGTCAAGTGGTGTTTGTAAGTTTTGATTTGATTTTATTTTATTGAAATATCAATTCACATACTTTTTTTAGATCATGCCTATTCATTTGGACAAGATTCAATTGATGGATATTATCAAGAAACTGTTCCGATTTGTTATGGCTGGAATAATTCTAATTCAACATCTTCACCGATTCAATATTCTTTACAAACTTGTGATTCTCAAGTTTATGCTGTTTCAACAAGCAGTTCAAGTTTTGTTGATTTGAATATTTATGACAATGGAAAATTGGGAGTTGAAAGAGATCATTGGTATACTGTAAAACAAGATGGAGATTCTGAATTAAGTGGATATTCGAAAATTGGAACATTGGGAAAAGTATTAATATCTTATAAGAATACAACATGTACTTGTCTCGAAAAACTTGTTCAAAAATACGATAATCAAACAGGAATGTTTCGTATGTTTAAAATCTAGATTATTAATCAACAAATATTTTTCAGATCGAATTGATCATAAATTAACAACAAGTGAAAATAATCAACCATATGAACAATATTATGAAACTGGCGAAGTTGTTTATTGCGCAAGAAAAGAAAATGATTGTGGAGCAACACTTCCACTTTATAAATATTTCCAGTTTTATGATATTGATACAATGTATTCAACTAATTCAACACCAATTCCATATGCTTTTCGAATTCCATCAACACCACTTTGTTATATTTGGTCATTGGATTATAATGGAATGATATCTGGAAATAATAATAATAATACAACGGTATCTGATATTCAAACAACAACTGAAGGGACAATTGAGGAGTCTACAATATCTGATTGGGGAACAACTCATGAAACATCTTCCACGCAAAACCCGTCAACAATTTCTGAATGGGCAACAAGTTCGCAATCTCCATCGACTTCCCAAACTTCATTGTCTGATTCCGGAACTGGATCTCTTGATCTTTTCACCTCAACTCAATTGCCATCTACAGTATCAAGTTGGGATTCTAGTTCAACAACATTATTTGATATGATTACATCAACACAATTAACAGCAACAGTATCTGATCAGTATATAACATCTCAAGAACCATCAACAACACAAGATCATTCTACGGTTTCTGATTGGGGAACATCTTCACAATCACCTTCGACAGTTTCTGAGTGGGGAACTTCGAGCCAATCACCAGCTACATTATCAAACTGGGATACCACCACACAAAACCCATCAACTATTTCAGAATGGGAAACTTCGAGTCAACAACAATCTACAGTATCCACTTGGGACACATCCACTCAAAATCCATCAACTATTTCAGTTTGGGGAACTAGTTCATCCGCAACTTCAACTATTTCATCTTGGGACACTTCAACGCATCAACCGCCTACGGTTTCTGATTGGGGAACTTCTTCTCCATCCCCTTCTGAATGGGATAGTTCTACTCAGAATCCTTCGACGGTTTCATCATGGGATACATCAACACATCACCCACCAACAGTGTCTGATTGGGGAACAAGTCCGTCGGCACCATCAACACTTTCCGATTCGGGAACATTATCTGAAACCTCTCCAACTACTTCTGTATGGCCTACTAGTTCCTCCCTACCTTCAACCGTCTCAGAATGGGGAACTTCGAGTCAGCAACCATCCACAGTATCCACTTGGGACACTTCAACTCAAACACCTTCCACTATTTCGGTATGGGGAACATCCTCTCCATCTCCGTCAACAGTTTCTGAATGGGGTACTAGTTCTCAATCACCATCTACAGTCTCTAGTTGGGACACATCTACTCATAGTCCTTCGACTATTTCTGAATGGGGAACTTCAAATCAACAACCATCAACAGTATCTGGAAGTTCTCCAGAATTGTCAACAATTTCATCTTGGGACACATCAACTCAAAGTCATTCAACAATTTCTGATTGGGGAACATCTGTTTCATCTTCAACTCAAAATTCCTTATCAGATTCTGGTTCTCCAACTCTTTCTATAATTGATGAAGAATCAACTCCTTTAATAACAACAACTGCAAATGTAATTATGATAACTGGTCCATTATTCAATCTTCTTCCAACATCAACAATTTCAACTCCAAAAACAGAAGGTCAGATTACAAAACGAGAAACAGGTCATAAAGAGGGAGATTGGTTGGCTGTAGCATGGAATTCTTTATTGTGGAATTACACTTATGTTACAGATTCCTCACAATCGACAACAATATCTTCTGTTACGACTTCATCAAACGAAACAGCAAATTATGGTATTCAAAAATATTCGAAAAACTTGAATCTAAACTAATCTAAACAAATTACAGAACTTCCAACAAATGGAATGAATACAATTGAAGAAGGAAGTGGAATGTCTGTTAAAGATTTTATTGATAAAGCAATTTATACATTATCAGATAAAACAACAACAATTCAACCAGAAAATGATGGTATGACACATTGAAACTTGAAAACTGAATACTGAAATTGAAACATGTTTTCAGAAGATGAAACCACAATTGTTTCGGTCATTGATAAAGTTTTAAATGCTGGAGGAAACTTGATTGATATTGCCAAAAATAATTCCGTTGTCGATGTTATAACAAACAGTACTGGAGAAGTTGTTGATTCTGTTAGCAATGCATTATCAGATGGTGGAAATTCTGTTTTAGAAAATATTGATACTGTAACAATTGGAAGTATTATTGATGAAATATCAGAAGAAAGTGAGTAGATGAAAAGAAAAATCATAAAAGCAAATAAATTTTTACAGCAAATTCAATTATTGGAAATGTGACTATTCCAAGTATTGAATCCGGAACTATTGCAACAATTATCGAAACTGTTCCAAGTGGAGGCAAGTTTTAGTGATCTAGACAGTAACTGTATGGGATTTATAACTTTAAAATGAATTTAAATTACCAAGAAATATTTGAACATAATTTTCAAGAAGTTTTAAAAAGAATTTAAAAATTCTTTTGTTATAGAAAAACTTGAAAAAATCCTAGTTTCAGCTGGTACAATCATTGATGTTATATCTGAAAATGGGGGAGCTCTAGTGGATGCTGTTACAAATGAAACTGTTATTCCTTCACTGACAAATAATTCGGTAGTAGAAGTTCTAAAAAATAATACTGGTGGATTTGTGGATTCTGTTAGTGATGCTATTTCGGAGGGTGGAAGCAGTGTATTGGAAAATGTTGGAAACATGATTGATTCAGTTACTATTCCAAATATTGTTGAATCAGCAACTATTTCTACAATTATTGAATCTGTTCCGAATGGAGGTAGAATGCGTTTCAAAGGTGGTAGTTAGAAATCATATTATATGCTTTCAGTGAGCACAATAGTTGATATAATTGGTGAAACTGGGGGAGGATTAGTGGGCACTGTCATCAATGGAACTGGAAATCTTACAAATAATAGTGTAGTCGAAACGCTGACCGAAAATACCGGAGGATTTGTTGATACTATTAGCAATGCTTTATCTGATGGAGGTAACGCTGTATTGGAAAATGTTGAAACAGCAATTGATTCAGTTACTGTTCCAAATATTGTTGAATCTGCAACTACGATAGTTGAATCCATTCCGAACGGAGGTAAAATAACGAGCAGAAATAATTTAAACAGTACAATTTTTCAGTGAGTACGATAGTGGATATAATTGCAGAAAATAGTGGATCTGTTACAAATGGAACTATGATTGAAACTATTGCAAATGAAGGTAAAAAGACAGTTTTTGAAAATTTTGAAAACAATTTTTCAGGAAGCTCTGTGATCGAAGCAGCAACATCTATCATTGAAACTAGATCGATTTCAGAAACTGCTGATGGAGGTAATCAAAAATTAAAACAACAAAAAATATAAAAATTTATGATAATTTATGATAATTTTCAGCGATTGACACAATATCAAACACTGGTTCAGATCTTTTGAACACCGTCGAAAACAATGTTCAAAATTCAACAGTTTCCGAAATTATATCCGCAAGTCTATCAACAATTCAAAAAACTCCCGAAATAAATTGGAATGGAGGAATTGTAACCGGACCATTAGTTTTTAATTGAAAATTTGAAAAAAAAACATGTATTTTTCTGGTACAAATAAATAAACATGTTGTTGAATAAAAAAGTGACCCTTTATAATTTTCCACGTGGAAAAATCTAAGCAAGAGAAAAAATTGAGAAATGTTTTCATTTTGGCAATTGAAGTTTCGTAAAATGAGCAAAACAATTATAAAATATTCAAAATTGACATCGCTTTTATTTATTCTTATTATTATGATTTCATTTGGAAATGCGGCAGATTCAGATAAAAGAAATGTAAAATTGGCAAAATCTATTGGATATCGACAAGAGTGAGTTATTAAATGAAGAAAAAACATTAATTACAATTTAATTACAGTCTTTTGATAGTTGGTGGAACAATTAATGCATTTCTATCTACAATTAATATTATAATTGCTGGTATTAATTTGATAATTATCTATTTTAAAGTGAGTTGTAATTAGGATGACATTTCTGAAAATGTTTTTTTTTAGTTCCAACATTGTATGCTGCTTATTCGAACAAAATTGATTATTGCGATAAACGAAGTTGCATCAAAGGATTTGCATCCAAAACTCAAATGTTCGTAAATTTCAAAATTATGGGAGAATGAGGGTTATTTCACGAGATATCGGGCTAAGAGTAACCATCAAAGTTTTTAAGTCTAACAATTGCTAGAATTGGAGTAGAAAAGTGAATAATTTTGCCAGAATAATCTTTTGATTACTGTAGGTCCTGTCATGCCTTTTTTCTGTATTCTAGAATTTCAACGTTGTTCGAGACGGGCCATGAATTCAAAAGATTTTATCAAAACTTTCCCTGAGAAATGCGAAAATTCCTCCTCCTTCCATAAATATTCTTCAACTCAACTGTCTGATTTTTTCAGTTGGTCTTCTTCATTATTCCTATGATACAACTAAACAACTTCCAACAACATTCCAATTAATCAGCGAAAAAGGTCCATTTGATAATTTGAATGATTTGTTCCCGAATCAAAAAGAAATGCGTGTTCGTAAGAAGAATATTGGACCTGAAGGATCTGGACCAACTTCTGAAGCCGCTCAGAGTTCCAAACAATCAACTAGAAATAATTCCGAAACATCAACGACTGATAGTAAAATGTAATGTGAAATAAAGTGATTTTATGGAAGAAAAATGACATAATTAAAATAAGTCGAGAAAAATAAATAAGAAGGAAAAGATTTTGGAAGCTACAGTACCTAAAAAACAAAAAATAAGTGGAAGAAATAAGTGAAATGGCGGGAAGAAGTACTGTAGCTTGACAAAATTGATATTTCCTTATTTTTTGGAGATCACCATTATTTGACATATCTGAAACAAACACATTTTGTGGATTTAAAAAAAAATGTTTCTTACTTTGAAGCCCAATCAATTCGACCCGCAGCATTATTTACTAATTTTTGTCCATTATTATTGTTGATGTTGTTATTGTTATTGATTGTTGTCGCTTGTGTTGTCGGTCCCGCCGGTGGAGCTGCTCGAGCTCCGAAGCTCGGAACATACCCTAGAAAAATATATCTATTGGACAAACGAAATAAAAATTTTGAATTGCAAAGGCAAGTATCATTTCTAGTTATTTTCTTGAGCAGGAAAAAAATTAAGATAGCATAACATTTGGGTTCCAAACATCCACGTATCAACCTTTTCAATCTCATTACTGCAATTTTACCCATTTGCAAAAATGCAATAATACTACAACATTTGTTTCCCGCTTTTGCAAAAAATTATCCAATCCAACGTTCCGAATTTTTAGTGTCAGTTCTTTCGAAAAAATAATTTCTAATGTTAAATTTTACAATCCTTTTTCTATTTTTCTGCCTTTTTCTTGCCTTTCTCTATCTTCTCATATATAATGTTCTTGGTGAAAATCGTGAAATTTCCTGATTTCACGAAAAAAAACCGAAGTGAAAAAGAAAACGAGAGAGTGTTGCGTCTAGAAGAGACGAGAAGAGAGAAGGAGAGAAAATGAGAGATAGAAACAAATAAGAGAGAACGCCAGACAACACGACGCACGGATGTTTGTGATTTTGTGCAACCCCAAAACCATTTTTTGTTTTTTCACAAAAAATGCTAAAATCCTTCATACTCAACCAAATTTCAAAATCTTTGCTGCAAAAGATAGGAAATCCTCGGGAATAGAGATAGCAAAAAGAAAAACCTAAAAAACTTTTTTCCAAACACCAAAAAATATGATTATAGGTTTTTCGCCTTGATTTCCCTCGATTTTTATGATATTCAACTTGCTTTCTATGAAAATTTTTTAACGTTATTCATTTTTTATACAAAAAGAAACACAAATTCGTTGAAAATTTGACTAATTTGTCAAAAAATTTGGCAAAAAAATGTTGTATTCTTGCTTTCCCATTTCTAATTTAAAAAAAGACATTGCATTCTAGTCCCATTAAAAAAAACGTGAATTGTATTCAGGGTGGTCATTTTTAGCATTTCTAAAAGTGTTGTATTTATTTATTATTGCATTATTTTTGCCAATCAGACCTAAGTTTCCATATTTTTTAAAACAAATCAATATATACTTGCCTTTTTTAATAAAAACAATGCAAAAAACATGCTCAAACTGAAACTGAATGATAGAAAAAAAAAAGAAAATTTGTAGAGATAGAAGAAGTGGGGAAAGAAAAGACGAACCGTACGCATATTCGAACCTTGTTTGAACCGCACTTCTTCCTTCTTTTTTAGCACTGAAAGTTGTTGTTTTAGTTTGTCCAGTTAATCCATTTGTTGTCATTATTTGATTTTGTGTTGATGATGCTTCTTTTGATGTTAGTTGGCCTGCAAAAAAAACAATTCAAATATTTACAGTATCCCTCATTTTTTCTAAAAAAAACAACAAAAAAGGATTACCTGGAATATATTTACTTTTTGACAAATAAATATCTTTTGCACTCGGTTTCGCAGTTGTTGTTTCATTTGCTTTATTCGATAATGGTTTTGTATCAGATTTCTCAAAAACACTCGATTTATTCAACGGCAAATTTCTTTGTCTCTCAATTCCTTTTGCTGGTTGTTGAGGTGACACATTTTCTGATCCAATATATTCTTTTTTGGTTCCTTTTGATGTAAATGCTTTTGTATCACTTTTTGTTGAACCCGCACTTGTTTTTCTATGACTTCCTGGCGCAGGTTGACTAACAACTGGGGCTCCAAGTTTTTCGGAAACTTGAAAATATTTATATCGAAGTGATTGATTTGCATTTGGTCGTTTCTCTGGATTCCAAATCATCATATCCATCATCAATTTCATACCTTCTTTACTAATTGTATTAACAACCTTTAAAAAATAGGATTAATATTAGGAAATATAGAAATTGAGGAAAAATTAGAATACCTGTTCCATTGGAGTTGCAACAACTTGTTGGAATCGGAAATTCATAGCAGATGCTAACTGATATCCTTCAGGCCATTCATCCTGAAAAATAGATAAAAAAAAGTGGTTTTGGCTACAAAACATGACGAGTCAAGTGCAATTTATAATAAACATCCCATATTCACCTTGCTTGGAGTTCCTAAAATTGAAATAATTTTAAATAATTGATCCATTTCAGATGTTCCAGGAAACAAAGGTCTCAACATATATAATTCAGCCATAATACAACCAAGTGCCCAAATATCAATTGGCGAATTATAAGAAGTTGATCTCAACAATATTTCCGGTGCTCGATACCATCTTGTTGAAACATAATCAGTATACGGTGGTTTTGATCGAATTTCTCTTGCCAATCCAAAATCCGCAATTTTCACCAATTCCGTTCCATTACACATTATATTTTCTGGTTTCATATCTCGATGAAAAAACCCATTTTTATGCATAAATGCGAGTCCTTGAAGTACTTGATAAATAATATTTCGAATAACACTTTCAGGAAAATATCTATCACGATCTTTCATTAATTCATACAAATTTTCTTGCATGAATTCGAAAATGAAATAAAGTATATCATTTTCTCGAATAACCTAGAATTAAAAAAAGTTTCTATACATAGTTTTACAACTTGATACAGTACCTCTCTCAATTTGATGATATTTGGATGATTCAGTTTTTTGAGTGATTTAACTTCTCTCAAAGACATTGCTTCTTCCCAACTATAAAATTTCTTTTTCATTCTTTTAATCGCAACTCTATCTCCAGTATCTATTTTCTTTGCCAACATAACTTCTCCAAATGTTCCATCTCCCAATCTTTTTGTCATCAAATATCTAAAAATAAATTAGTTTTATTGTTTTCAGTCAAATTTTATTTTCACGTAGTCGTCTACAGTAACCCTCGAAAACAACTCTCAAAATAGAATATGCTTGTACTTTTATATTTATCTCATTAAAAAAGAGCTAACAAGTTAGTCTGTTAGATGAAAGAGCACAGATAACATAACTACAAACAAAGTTTTCACAAATATTTCTGGAACTCGAATAAAAAGTTTCAAATTTTTGGACCACGTGGAAAACTTTAAAATAATCCCTGAACAATTTCTCTAGAACTTCAACGATTACTGTAGTCTTTGAGTTATTATAACTTCGAAAGTTCTTTTAACCTGCAAGGGTTACTGTATCTATTCCTGATTTTATTATTGATCTCCCCCTTTATAAAAATCAGAAAAACCAACCGATCTGCTAATTTGACTGCTCCCGACATATTTTCTTCTTCAAAATTCGAACGAGAAAAAAATCTTAAAATCCAAAGAATTCAGAAAAGTGTTCAAAAAATCCGCAAAACTCGTTCGACCAGAATAAATATATATGATGATGAAGGGAAAGAAGAAGAAGAAGTGGGGAGAAAAAGAGATCTGCGCAGCACACTTTTCACCTCTTCTTCTTCTTTTCAGCTTCACACAGTTTCCATAGTAACCTATTGAAGAAAAATGAAAATATTGAAAATTGAGAGAGTTTGGGAAAGAAAAAGGAAAATGTGCGCGGATATAGACAAAAGCGAATGCAAAAATAAAAGTAATTAGAATTGAGAACCAAAATCGGTGAACGGCGAATATGGAAAGGAAATCGGAAAAATATAATATTTTTGTGAAAAAACTCGAATGAAATTATTTATTGGCATGAATTTATCAGATAGTTTGCGATAATCATTTGGGGAAATTCAGATAAGTTTTTCCAAAATTCTGAAATTTTTTTATTCTTTGAGACAAAATAAATCTAGATTTTCAGATTGCACATTTTTCGTCTCAATTTTGGGATCTTCGAAAATCAGCAAAAAATACCACCTCATTTCCAGAAAAACTTTATTTTTATTTTCAAAATAACAAAAATGAAAAATTCTCAATTTTTCTCAATGAAGCGAAATAAATCACCGGGTGATCTCTCTAAAAATTGAATTTTCAGAAGAAGAAAAAGTGGATGGAGGGCATGCAATAAATAAACATAGGGTAAAAAATAAAATGAGAGGCAGAACGGTTGTAAAAAATGGGTGGGGGTTCGAGGATAGAACGGTTGTATAAAAATAATATTTGGGCTTCCAATTATGAAGGTAATTTGTTGTATGGGAATTACAAAAAAACGAAAAAGGCAGGCGGGGCAAAAAAGTGCCATAATAATGCATACAAAAAAAGTGATAAAATATCTAACAAATAAAAAAAACTATGAAGGGAGGCGGGGACAAAATGGGAAAAGGAACATTACAAAAAAAGAAGAAAATAACAAGAGGATACCATAAAATGGTTGAAATAAAAAACTTGAATAACTTTGTGTATTGAACATGGTATCTTTTCGGGGAAACACTTATAAAACGTGAATTATCTACAAGAATTGGGACTTTTTTGGGGCAATTGGGGAAGAAGACTAGGGAAGATTTTGGGGAGGGAATATCACGGATGGGTGGGAAAACTAATGGGCAAATACTTTTTAAAAGACACGGATGCAATGATTTCCAAAATCAACAACATAAATTCGACCATCTGGACCGACAGCCAAATCGGTTGGACGATCCATAAGATCTTGACGCGAAATTGATGTTGTTGATTGATGATGAGATTGTGGGGATGAATTTGGTGAAGTGAATGATGGTGCACCAAATGGACCAGTTGACTAGGAAAAAAAAACAATAGAATACAAATGTATTATTGATGAAACTTACAGCTCGTGGAGTAGGAAGTTCGGTCGGCATTTGAAAACCTGGAGTTGAACATTCTACGGGACCACGTCCAAATGAACCAAGGAAACGCATATCATCCGATGCAAATACCTATTAAGAATAATAGTGAATTGATAGAAATTAATTCGTGGAAATAGAAAACATTTCTCGAATCGTTTGTTTTGCTCAAAAATTTTTTTTTTCAAATACTAAAGAAATCTCAGGCAAAACCCTAGAATTAAATATTTTCCCAAAACCTTACCTGAACACGATTATTTCTGGAATCACAAACGAGAATATGTCCTTCGGTATCGATTTTAACACCTTGAGGTCTGACAAACATTCCATCTGCGTCTCCTTCGCTTCCATAAACTTTCATTTCAGACATATTTCTTGGTGATAAAATGGCGAGTCGATGATTGTTGAAGTCACTAAAAATCCATATGTTTAAAATCACAATATTTTTTCCACAAAATGAAAACTAACGTGATCAATAATTGTCCATCTGGTAAATAACAAACACCACGTGGCGAATCAAGATTTTTTGAAGAAATATGCGGAATCAAATCCACATTTTCGAACAAATTGCCCTTGAGCAGTGAAAATTTGAACTCGATGATTACGAGTATCAGAAACAGCAATTGCATTATGACTATTTGTTGCAACTCCCCAAGGATAGTTGAAATAACCAATTGCTCTTCCACGATCTCCGAATTTCAAAATAAATTCACCATCTTGATTGAATACTTGGACACGATGATTGTCTTTATCAGCAACAATTATATGATTCTAAAAATTAGTTTTTTTTTTTTAAATTTTGTATTAAAAGTATTGTTTTGCTTACCAAAGTATTGACAGTAATTCCAGCAGGACGATCAAATTGTCCTGGTCGATTTCCAGTTGCACCGAATTTCGACAAATAATTACCATCCTTGTCGAATATTTGAATACGATTATTACTTCTATCAGCAACAAGAACACGTCCAAGTAAATCAACACATATTCCCCATGGTCGACATAATTGTCCATCTCCAGAACCTTCACCTCCGAATGAGAATAAGGGACCATTTGATGCTATTTCATCATAATTTCGACCACGACGAACATCAATTTTTGTTGGACAACCATCAATTGGTGTTCCTTTAACAAGTATATTCAAAGTATAAGTTCCTTCGATTAATGGCAAATATGAAATACAAACAATTCCATTTTCACGTGGTCTAAAAGAATTTAAAAAATTGTTTTACAAATTTCAAATTTAATGGAAACTTACGAAATATTGACATTAATCAATGATCCATCCGGTGCAAACATAATTGCATGAACTTCAGCTTTTGGTTGTCCATTAATTTCAACTTGTGATGATTGTTGAGGCAAAAGTGATTTTGGAACTTGTGTTGAAGCAATTGAAGATGATAATGGATCACCACATGCATCTCTTAATTGAATATAAATAAGCGATTGTCTTTCACGAATTGCTTTATTATAACCATCTCCGAGAATTGTACTTGTTGTTGCACATGCTCCACTTTCAATATGTCCATATTGTCGTAACTTATTGACAAGTGTTCCATCTTGTGATGTTACAAAACGAAGTCTATCATCTTCATTTGCTTGACAACTTAACATTACAATATTATTGTTATGTTGATCTTTTTGTGTTTCAGCCAATCTATCAAATACAATCTTCAAATCTTCTTCTTGAATTCCTTGTTCAATACTTGATTTTGCTTGATTTACAGCTTCATTCATCTCATTTTGTTTTTCTGTCAAAATCTTCGATTGACCATAAAGAATTGTCAATTTTTGATTTTTAACAGTTTCAACGCGATTCAATATTTCAGCTTTTCGATCAATCAAAGCACTTATCAAATTATCGAAATGTGTTCGAGCTTCATTTTCAGCACAATTCGCATTACTCACAATATTATCGATTATTTTTGAAATTGTTTCGTTTGCTTTTTCACATTGCCATTGGAGCAACAATGATTCATTGACCAATTCAGTGATTGCAAAACGAAGATCTCCAATTGGTTGAACTCGATGTTTATTTGGATGTTGAGCAACACAAATTGCACAAAGTGTTTTAGTTTGTGGACAATGATCACAGAATCCAACAACACGATTTTCGTGAACACTGCAAACTGAAGAAGATCGAGGAGAAGAATCGCCACTCAATGAATCATGAGCTGAAAACAAAATAATTGAGAGATGAGGTGAGAGATGGAAAAAAAATAACTCGTTGCTAAGAAACTAGGCGGCATATATAGTTTATCTCTTCTTATTCCATTTTGTTTTATTTCGTTAGTTTACTATAGTAGAAATTATCGAGTTTACGAAATTTGATAAAATTATGGTTCAAGGGTTTTGGATAGAAAACGGTGAGTATTTTTCTCTTTTGAATACTAAAAAAACAAATACACTCATTTCTATAAGAAAAAAATCCTGGAATATTATTGAAATCAAAATTCGCGATGAGATTTTGAAAAATTACTGTTGATAAATAAATTTTTCAAACGAATACAACGATAAAAAGTCAAATAATGTTTTCTGAAAACTCTATTGGCATTTATGGTAAAGTGTATTGTATTTTCGAATTTCTCTTCCTATTTTTTTTATAGTTTTTCAATTTTCAAATAAATACCTTCAGTTCCACTTCCAATTGATCCACCTCCAATATTTCGATTAACTTCCTCCGTATTTCCAAATACCAATTTTCCTTGTTTTATCAAATTGTACAAATGAGCCATTTCAACAATTGTGTGTAGTTTGGTCGCTCGAACTCGATTATGAGCTTGAACACAATACGAACACAATCTTTCTTGACATTGAACACAATAACCAAATGATGAATTTGTTGAATCACATCCTTGACATTGAGTTGAAGATAATGGATGATTATTTGATTGTAATTGTAATTGTTTTTGAATTGCAATCGGAAGTGGCGATACTTGTTGTTGTTGACAAATTGTATCAATTTTTGTAATTGGTGGTGGTGGAATCATCATATTTGGAGAAATCAAATTTGGTGTATTTGCATTACGAGAATTATACCATACTTGTGGTGGAACAACTGCTGCCGAATGTTGTTTTATTGGTGTTGAATTGGCAACAGGAGATGATGGTACAATATTCGAAGTATTTGTTGGTGACAACGGTGAAAATACTGGTGTATCATCCTAAATTCAAAATTATTTTTGAAATTTAACTGGTTGAATTTGTTACCGGATTCAATAAATCGAAAGCAGAACGAACAGCTGGTGTTGGTGTAGCCAAACAACTCATATTTTGAAAAGTCAGTTTTGGAGTCCACAAAGCATCAGTCGATGTTTCCCCAGTTGTTTCACTGTTGAATGATTTATTCGAAGGTTTTGAATCCAACCAATTTGGAGTATAAACTCGATATAATGGAGAATTCGATGGCGGTGCATACAATGAAAATGGAATTGGTCGATTTGAACGATTTGAAGAAACAAATGATTGTGTTGGAACAACTGCAAAAAAATAGTCTTTATAAGTTTTTTGAAAATAATTCTTACTCGATGAACCCCATTGTTGTTCTTCTGGTGATTGCGGAGTATCAAATAATGATCCAGTAACCGCAATTCCATGTTGTGGTGTCATATCAGTCCCAGAATTGGCAAATGCCGTGAAATGCCCGTCAGCAAGCAATTCGTCCATTCCATATTGTCCAGATGTTGGTGGTGATGTCGATGCATTATCCAACGGATTGTTGTGTTGTGACACCGAATCGCCTGATAAAATATATTTGGTTAGTTGATAAACAAACTTGATAAAAATGTTTACTTCTCAAACTTACACATAATTTTTTATTATGATTTTTATTATAGACAAAGTCAGAGAGAGCTCGAAAAGTGTCGAGCAGAATATATCAACTTTTTCAGGACTGGCCATTTTTATCTCGACCGAACTTCGTAACATTAAAAAATTAGCGGTGTGATCAAAAAATTGTGGAAGATCAAAAAAAAATTTGGATTTTTTTGACCTTGAAAAGTTTTGAGTCTGGGGTTTGAAAATTTTCAAAAAAAAAAAGATGGCAAACCTTCACTGCTACTTCCACTCAATTCATTTCCACTATCTGTACTTCTCGAATCATTGTCAACATCTCGAATTGATGTAGATGTTATATTGTGTGTTTCACCAACTCTCGAATGCAATCTTGATTCACCGCATGTCGTCATTTCTTTCTAAACAAAAAACAAACAATCTTCACAATCCGAATCCATTTTTTTTACAAACCTTATATCTTCCAGTTTAAAGTTTTTGAACGTCGTCGCATACCCCTTTTTTAATATGTGATTTTTATAATAATTGTTTATTTTATTATAATAAAATCCCCTCCTCCACGCGTCGACGTTTACGATTCGAAAAGTACCACAAAACGAAAACTAAGTTCGTTTTTGAATGTGATACCCGTTGACCGAAACGGTCTGAAAAAAGAAACAAATTAAATATTTTTTTGGAAATAGATTTTCAACAAAATGCGAGGATCGAGATATCAGATTTTTTGATTTTTCTATTTATGTGATTTTTCCTGTGAAGGTTTAATGAGAAATATTTATCGAAGAAAGACGGAGAAAAAATTGAGCTAATCATTTCTACAAAATTGATGGTAATTTTCAGGAAACTAGAACAGCATTGAGAATGTAATGTATAGAAAGAGCAATTCTATATGGACCAGACCAGATTTGGTTGTCCTCGGAATAGTTGCGTAATAATGGTTGTTTCAAGGTTATTGCGAAAAAGGAAAAACTCGTGTAATAAGAAAATATATGTTTTTATGCTTTGTCTGTATTGCAAAAATTGAAGAGATCTCGAGTGAGAAAACGGCAAAAGAACTTAGAAAAATTGAGCTTATATAAGTTTTTACACATACATTCACTAATTGGCGACTCTCGAGAGACTACTTATTTTTAATAATATTTTCTCAAAGATGACAATTAATAAGCATGATTTTTAAAAGAGTTAGTAGGAATGGATGATTTTAAACAAAAAAAAACGTTGTGAAAATACGCAGCGGGAAAAAGAACGATAAAAAGTGTATGTGTGTGTGTGGTGTCGCTTTTTTTCTCTATTACTCTCCCCCAGGCATTTCTTCAAGAGAGACGTTCTTTTCTCTAACACCCTCTACAATTCTTTCAATATTTCCTTCTTTTTTGACTGGGGGTAAGCGCGGCGCCTATAGGCGACAACCGGGGGGTTCTTTTTGTGTATGTGTGTGAGAGTGTGTATGTATGTATGTATGTATAGAAGAAAGACTACTGACTGACTCGAAAGATGGGGATGGAAACAATTTTGCAGCAGAATATGAACACTCTTTTTCTCTATTTTTTGGTTGTTCAATATCGAAAGGAGAACACACTGGGTTAAAAGTGCATGTTCTTTTAATGGATTGAAGATGGATGGTGTGTGATACATCGATGGATTTATTTATTTGAAATATAAATTGTTTATATTAATTTCGTATCACTTTCACAAATATAAACATAGTTTATAATGTTGATTACAATTCAACACTTTTGAAAATTTTGAATACAATAAAGTATATTTTTGAAACAAGAAAATGTTGACCTACTAAAACTAACCTTCACGAAAATAAAACAAGATGAGGAAGCGGATTCAAAATAATTTAAAAACTAGAAATGAATACTTGTAAATAAAAATGGACCATTCAATTACGTGATTCATTTCACGTTGAAATTTTAAATTTCTCTTTTCTCTGTTTTTGAGTCATTTCAAAACTAGAGAGAATCAGTAAAAATGGATTAGTGGTGCATTTTCAGGTTCTTTTCCGCCTAAAATCCCAACCTTCAGAGAAAAAAATATGCCTTGAAAAAAATCTCCAAACAGCAAACACTACGCGCAAACATTACAGTACTTCCCGGGAAAAGTGTAACGGGAACCCCCGGGGTTTTTAAAGAGAACCTAGAGGTTTTTTCTATGAATTATCATCCCGGGAACCCGGAGCATCACAAGCTTCACTTTTCGGGCGGAGAATACTAGTCCCAACCTCACACCCGTTCAAGCCACGCAATGAGTGTTTTCTACTGTAAAACGAAAAATCTGCGATTGAAAAAAACTGTGCAAACACTTTTGCCTAATTCTCTCTGTTCGCCGTTATATTTCGCACTACAGTATTAAAGGAGCATGATAAATTTCACGCGTTGGGTCTTGTCGCGATTGCTAACTTTCTTCGCAGGACCTCAAAAAATAAGAAAAGTAGCAAGTCAGGTAGAACTCGATGCGCTGATTATCATGCTATTTTTAGTTTTGCATGAAGCTTATCTAGGTTTTGAGCTACAGGGTGCACCGTTTTTACAGCGTTTTGCTGATTTTTGTGTTGCTTGAGCGGGTGTGACCTTCAAAGAAAAAATACGCCTCGAAAAAATCCGCAAACACACGCTGAAAAAATCTGCAAACAACAAACACTACGCACAATCCCTACAGTACCTCCCGGAAAAAATGTAACGGGAACACCCAGGGGTTTTAGCGGAAACCCTGATATTCCCTCACAACTATAACCCCGGGTAACCCTTGTGAGAAACTCACAAACTTCACTTTTAGGGCGGAGTACACTAGTTAAAAATAACATTTTATGAAGATACGAGTTGAGCTACAAATAGTTGCAAACTTCCATACTCATTCTACGCTGACAGACAAAAAAAACAATAAAACAAGTTTTTCTGAAGCGGAAAGTTTTTTGCTATACGGTATACACCAATTCGTGCATTTTTATGCCGCAGTGTTTGAACACCAGATAAGTGCAGTTTTCAGCATGTTCGAGGTTTTTTCATAAGAAGCTGATAGTACCATCTGATTCGTCTCGCCGAGATGAATCAGAACACTTATTCACACATTTCTGCTACGCATTTTCAAAAAATTCGGGGCTGACAAAAACTAAAAAATTATTTTCAATCAAAGGCGCACACATTTTTTCGGAGGATTGAGGTCTCGCAGCGATTTCAGTTTTTCACTTATTTTGTCTGTGTAAATTGAGTTTCAAGATTCCTAGCATATTTATTCGAAAAGAAGGGATAAAATTACGTATGTACGAATAGTTAAAAGTTTATCTGAAATTCCCACGACAAAGAATGAGGTGCTGCCAATTTCAGTACTATTTTATGACGTCATATCACTGTCACACCCGTTCAAGCCACGCAATGAGTGTTTTCTACTCAGCAAATCGCTGCGTACATGAACGGTAAGAATTTGTGTAGCTTGTGTGCTGTCTAACTCATTTTACACGCATTCCACACACAAGCTACGCACGCGTCTACACACCAGCTACACAAAATAGTTTTTTTCGATTTTTTTTTTCGTTTCGCGTTTTTTTCGGATTTTGCGGGCTGAATGATGATTTTTGAACACGTTTTGAATGAAAACAACAATTTATTATCGGAATAAGTAAAACATGAAAAAAAAACAAAGTATTTCAAACAAAATTATAAATTAGAAGTGGAAAATTTCGTAGATGTTGCGGATTGTCTCGTTTCCCTCGCCATAAAGCTGCTTTTCGTGTTGTTTGTGTCGAGTTTTCCATTGAGTGCTGGCGAGACTGAGCATCGGAGAGCATATTCTGTAAAATTGAGATGAATTTTCATGTTTTTCAGAGTAGAAAGAACTTTATATTTATCTTCAAAAATAACTAAACTTGATCAAATTTCCCAAGACATATTTTGTTAACCCGTTTCTTTTTCGGTTATTGACTCACCTTTTGATTAACGTGGATGAATACTGATGTTGACCTGGATTTTGTGGAGCGTAGTCGTTGTCGTTGTTGAACTTGTTGAAGTTTTCTGAAAACTGTTTTTGTAGGAAATATGTCGTTTTTTTTAAAGAAAATTCCCTCACCATTTAGCAGCCATTTTGCAACGATCACGCTCCCGGAAACCTGAAATTAAAGATAGTTAAAACAATTCTGAATGAAAGAAAAATTTCCAGACTTGAGAAATGGGGGAATTCATAGATGTTCAAAAGAAATTTCAACATAATTTTCATGAAACACGAAGAAAAATGTTGAAAATTATGTTTATGCTGGCCCGATTTTCACAAGAATTTAGGCCTGGAAAAACAAAAACAAAAATGAGAAAAGTAGCCGCGACGCCAACCGCGTTGCTTCTCTGATTTGTGTAGCTGGGGTGTAGCTGCGGTGTAGCTATTTTTCGCCGATAAAACCGTTTATGTACGCGACGATTTGCTGAGTACTGTAAAACGAAAAATCTGCAAATGAAAAAAAATGTGCAAACACTTTTGTCTAATTCTCTCTGTTCGCCGTTATATTTCGCACTACAGTATTAAAGGAGCATGATAAATTTCACGCGTTGGGTCTTGTCGCGATTGCTAACTTTCTTCGTAGGACCTCAAAAAATAAGAGAAGTAGCAAGTCAGGTAGAACTCGATGCGCTGATTTTCATGCTATATTTAATTTTTCATGAACCTTATCTAGATTTTGAGCTACTGGGTGCACCGTTTTTACAGCGTTTTGCTGATTTTTGTGTTGCTTGAGCGGGTGTGCTGTATCCTTCAATTTTGTTCAAGAAATACCTAAAATGCGCATTTTAAGAATTTGCTGCAACCTTTATCGAATAAAATAAACAGAAACACATTCTAGAAATCTGTCATAAAGTAGGAAAATTGTAGTTGGTTCCGTTTAGTTTTATTTTCTGTGACTTCACAGTACAATAGTGCCAGTTTCGCAATTTGATTTTAACTTTTTCTCCGTTCTTCAGAGTGATTATATAATTACAGGTTTCATTTCAGCCACGCCATGGCAAGAAAGAAGAAAACTCAGGTATTGAAGTTATTTATATCATATTGAAAAATAAACAAATATTTTAGAGTTTCAATCCAACGGGATTCATGAATGATAGTACGGATGTAACCATACAATCAAGTAAATCTCCTTCAACATCGAACACATTACCATCTTATAGTTCATGGGAAGAAACTGATCGCTTGGAAGAAGAAATTCATAAAAACTTTATGAAGTCCCAACGACGTGTGAATAATTTGCCAATTATAGTGGAGACAACAAGAAGACGTGTGGATACTCGAAAATCATTGATTAAATGTCCATCATATGATTATGCTCAAAACCACGAAGAGTCTTGTAATCAGAAACGATATCCATTTTCGATGTGGAAAGAGTTGAAAGTTCAAGATGTACTTTATCTACAACACTTCGAAGACTTCAAGCAAAATTGTCGCCTTAATTATGCACACTTGCAATTATTTATGAATAATGTTTTTGAGCAACAAAAATCACAGTTTTTTTTGGAAAAGGTTGGTAATTATTTATAATCTTTAGATAAAACAATTGTTAATTATAGGAAATTGAAGTTCGTCCGAAATCATTCGAATTTTCGATGCCAAGTGCTCCTCATTATGTAATATTTTTATTTTTTTTATTTATAATATTCTCTATCCAACTTTATTCAGATCGAATTGGACTCGAATGGAAAATGTTTTGTAGTACCAGATTCCGAAAGTTCCCCGTATGCAATCATTTACAATAATGAAAGCAAACATCGCCGAAATATAAAAACTCGTAATAAAAACGACATCAAACATAATAATAATGGATATTCGGTTAAAAAAATGAATAAATGCGAACGATTGCTTTATGGAATGAAAATAAAATCAGATGCTCAAATAATTCGATTTGACTCGGTTGATAAAAAGAAGAATCATCCTGGATTACACGTGGCTCCGATTTGTGTCACAGGATCATTTGATTATTCGAAAACATTGGAAACTATGTCGATCGAATTTCGATATAATCATCGTCAAGAAAATCTGAAATATGCCAAATTACAATTGGTTCATTTTGAAGATATTCATTATGCTGAAAACGTTCTTATGCGACATGGGATTCTTGTTCGATATGCTGATGATAAATTTGGTGAAAAGGGTGTCAACGTAAGATTTTTCTGTTCATTTAAAGGGTTGATGTTCTTTTGATCGAAAGGTGGTCTGCAAATAGGCGTTAAATGTTCTTTTGTTTCGTAGGTTTTTTAAAGTTAAAATTGACCTGTGGTTTGAAGTGAAACATGAGCTAATTTGATCAAATAAGAAAAGAAAGAAACATTAAATGAATAAAATTACGCAGTAAAGCGGTTACAATTTTTACTGGAACCTTCCAGAAACACCTTGTTCCTATCGATACCAACCAAGATTCCTTGGCGAAGCACCAACCCTTTAAATATTAGGTTTTTTGCTAGAAGTCTGCTATAGATTAATATTTTTCAGATGTTCCTTTCAAATATTCCGAAATTCGTTGACACTGATGATTATTTGAAGTGGTTCATCAAAAATATTCTAAGTGCAAATGAAATCAAGTTTCGAGATGTTCATTTTGAAAAAAGACCAGTTAGAAGAATCAAAGATTCACTTTGGGGAACTGATGCGGATCCCAAGTATATTGTATGTTGCGATTTGATGCGTTTAATTCATGCAGCAAAATTATTACCAAACATTCGTCTTATCAGTTTCTTGGATTTACATCAGTATGTCGTTGAAGATGAATTACCATTCAAAGTGACTTATTGTGACAACAAATCATATGATTCATCAAACGAAAGACGATTGGTTGCTCGATTTTATGATCAAAATGTGGAAATGGGAAAAATTCTTGGGGAAATGTGCTTGTATAAACGTCACGATGACACCTTTTTGCATTTCACAACTTCGGACACAATCGTTGGTTACCATATAATTCAAACCCAAATTTATAATTTTTATTTTAGGCGCGAGTACATCCAAGATACAAGAAAATGATTCCAATAAACAGTGCTATACGATATTCGTATCAAGATGATATTATCAAGCTTGATCAAAGAATGAAATCTGAATGCGAAGCTCTTTCAAACCAAAATCCTGCAATCACACCATATATCGACAATGATCGAATTATGGCTCGAATCGTTGATGATTTTGAGGACAACTCCGAAGATGGATTCATTGGAATTGAAGGATGGCCTCCAAGGTATTTTCTATTCGTTCTTTTTTCAAATCAAATTTGCCATATTTTTTTAGTCTTGTCGATAGATTTGTGGAAGATTTGAAGACAATGTTCGTACCAAAAGTTATTGATTGTCACAATGAAAAGGAACATTTTTTATATGGGTAAATCGGTTTTGTTCTTATCTTGTTATTTTATGTAAGATTTGTAGATTTGGTGAAGCTTATGCACGATGGTTTATGAAACGCAATCGACTTGTTATCGAATTTGATCGTTTTAGAAATAAAATGTGGGTATTTGGAAGCAAAATCAATGAATTTGTGAAGCAACTGGCTAATTTCGACAAAGATAAGGAGAATTTTTATATTGAATCCAAACTTCAATTGATTGATCCATTTTCCTTCGATGTTTTCTGTTTGTTATACAAATTTGATGGTTGTCCAAATCCATTTCGGTAAGACAATACTTTTATGTTCTTTTCTCATTTCAATTGTTTTTTTTGCAGATATACGTGGCATAATTTCATTCAGATAAATGAAACGACAAAATCTATTGATTTTAAAGGACCTTCGGGGATTTATGAGATTATGAATAATTTTAATCATTTGATGAGCATGGAGGTAAAACATTTTCATGAAAATAATCTTTTAATTGTTTTTTTTTCAGCTTCTACGAAGATATTCACCATCTGGACATCAAAGAATACAATGCCCAGTTTGTCTCTGTGACATTGGAATCAATTTCTTCCGTCTCGAAAATTGTGGTCATTTTTATTGTCGAAATTGTATTAACAGAATGATCAGTTCATTTTTGGCAGATGCAGTTTTCGAAATGAGATGTTGTTTCGAAAAATGCGAAAATTTAATTTCGCCGACAGATATCAAGGTAATTTTTCATACTCTTCCTCTAATAATTAACTTTTCTATTAGACCATTTATCTTGGCGATGAAACACGGCTCAAAGTATTGGATAATGGAAAACTTGAAGATTTGATTGCTCGTGCAACTCGATATATTGTGACACAACCAGATTCCAATTATAATATTTGTAAAACAACCGATTGTGCTGGATTTTTCAAGGTTTGTTTTGAGACAATTATGTTTGAAACCAAATGTTTGAAATATTGGAACGCAATTTTTTGAAAAATCATCTTGAAAAAACTATAAATTTTCATATGAAGATTAAATTTTCCAGAAAGATTCATCTGGAGGCGATCAAAACACTGTTGAATGTTTCAAATGCCACAAAAAGTATTGCAATAAATGTTTTGAAGAATCCCACGAACATATTGCAAAATGTGAAGATTATGCGAGAATTTGTAGAGACTCCGATTATTCGCTCCAAACGTATCTTTCAACTGAAGGACGTGGAAAATTCCGAATCTGCCCAACTAACAAATGCAAAGCGCTTATTGAAAAAATTGAAGGATGCAATCATGTTGAATGTGCATATTGCCACGTACATTTTTGCTGGATTTGTCTTTTCGAAGCTCGAAAAATGGGTGATATATACAGACATATGGCGGAAGTTCATGGTGGATCTGGTGGAGAATTCCATATTGATTTGGTAAGTTGAATTTTGAATTTTTGAAATGTAATTTATCTAATCTCTAGGATGATTTACATTTGTTCGCAAATGACGATGAAACACTTGATGTTGATATTCAACGACTTCTTCTCAGAAATCACTAGATTATAAATTTTCTAGTTGTATTAGAGCTGTGAATATATTTTAGCTTTCGTTTTTAATGAATTTTTGTTTGAATTTTATTAGAAATCTCTAAAAATATATGAATAATTCTAAAAATTTTAAAAATAAAATGAAACAAAAATGTTGCTGAGCACTCATTTATTTAATACAATTTTTACTGCATCGCTGACAGATTCGATAATTTTTTGGTCACTGAAAAAAAATGATTCAAAATTTGTTGACAGACAAAGTGAAAAATAACTTACTTCAAAGTCGGAACATATATTGCCAGACTTTTCTTTTGACTTTTGTTCATTACCAAAAAATGTGAAAAACTACAAAAGTCAACATGTGTTTTCTCGGTTTTCACATATTTCAATCCATCGTTTTTCTCATTCAATCTTTCGACTATTTTATCACAATCAAGTCTCGAATCCAAATTAATATGTTTTGCATCATAATCACATCCAAACTTTTCAAATTCAACCAAATTTGTTTCGTTCTCATGTTTTCCCAATTGAACAGCAAGCTGCAAAAAATTGATAAAACACTTTCTGACAACTAAATTTTTAGAATTTCACTCACATTTGGTCGATGAATATTCCATAAATCCAAAATTTCTTTCACAAAATCTTGGGTGTATTTTTCAAATCTGTGAAATACGAAAGTGACATCTTCTATTTTCATTTCATCAATCCATTTCGACTTTTCCAAATTTTCAAAGGCCAACAAAAAACCGTTTTTTCTTTTGGTTCTGGCTAAAAAAGTTTCATAAAACTAACATTTTTTATTTAATTACCTCGGGTTCTTTGCTAACTTCAACTTGTTCAAGATAAGATAGTTGATCAATTATTTCTCCTTCACAATTTACCTGAATTCCGATATTAAAAAAAACAATGGTACGATGAAAACCTTTTATTTTTGAATTTCAGAGATCAAATAAATAAAAACGTACCCCAAGCATTTGCACTTAAATTCGCAAAATGTATCAGAACAGAAAACAAAAGATGATCTGACATCAATGTGTAACATGTGACCTTCTCTTGAACACATCTATTTCTCGAGTTTTTTTTTGAACAGAAAAATTTATTGGTTCTATAAAATCTCATAAAACAATCAAATATTTAATTTTTGACGATATGTTTGATTGCAGATAATAATGCGTCTTTCACTTTTTCCTTTGTGCATTCCTCGCTAAAAATCGAAATTGAGAAAAAAATGTTGTAATTCAAAAAAAAACTTACGTGAAAGGTGGAACATGAACAAAAAGTGATTTCTTGGCATCTTTATTCAACGATAAAAAATATGAGAATCCACAGAGATATCTTCCCGGATCTTCGGATAATTCACAAATCAAACCACCGAAATTGTTTCCATCGAAATTCATTTCATTATTAACAAAAGTGGCGAGTTCAGCACAATCAATTTCAGATATCAAAATAGTTCCAGGTGCACAACAAACATTTGTTGTATTATTTTCAGGTGTACACCCATTTACATCATCACTACAGTAACCATCAGAAAATGCGCGTTGTTCAAATTTGATAGTATTTTCAACACTGTGAGCACCAAGATGAATTACTAACTGAAATATTTTCAAAAATACTATCAAAATTAATTTAATCGATATCTAATTGTCTTACATCTGGATTATGAGTTTCCCATAATTCTGGAACTTTTTGACTGACTTCTTCATAAGCCACACTCATTTTATGCAATTCGAAAGTAATATTATCGAGATTTTCTTTAGCCAATTCATCAATTATAATTGATGATGGATTTTCGGAATAATCACGAAATGGTCCAAATCCAGTCACAACAACTTTTGATCGTGGCGGAATATACTGAAAATTCGAAAAAAATTGAGAAATTTTCAATTAACTACATTTACCTTTACAAAATAAACAGGTTTGGATTCCGGGGTACTGAAAGTTAACTGATCTATAATTTCTCCCTCACATCCAACCTGAAAATGAAAAATCAATAAAAAATAATAATAAAAAAAAACCTGCAACTCACTCCAATCATTTTCAAATTATTCGTTGCCTAATCGAAAAAAACTGGAAGAAATAAATGTTTTTGAGACGAACGGGAAAAAATAAGAAAAGTGTAATAAGGAACTGAAATGACCTTTGGAACAGGAAAAAATGTTGGAGAGATAAAATGATTTCGGAAAAAAAATAAAAAAATTTTTTTGAAAAGTAGAAGTGTCTTTATGGAGTGTTGTTTGTATGTATATAAATAAATAGCAATCCGTCCCGTAATTACATTGTAGAAATAGCGTTTCTGTAACGAGACTAGGGTTCCGATGTAATTACAAACTGTTGATTTTCACTGTTTGTAATTACATCGGAACCCTAGTCTCGTTACAGAAACGCTATTTTTACAATGTAATTACGGGACGGATTGCTGAGTAAATACTGGACAATGAGAGAAAAATGTTACGAATTGGAACAAAAAACATTTTGTGACAAGAAAAAAAACGAAAATTGATTTTTATATTTAAAATTGTGTATTCACATTCAAAAAAGGTCTTCAATAAAATAAATTGACTAAAATTAGAAATGATTTCATAATTTTTGTAGATGAGTTCACGTTATGGAAATAAATTAAATTTTCTCATGCAAAATTTTGAAAATCCGTCTAAAAATTTATTTTCTAACAAAAAAGTCAATCCTAGTTTTTATTCTGAAAAAGACTTGATTATCTTTATCCCAAGGAATTTTCGGAGATTTTGTGTTTCTTCATTTTGAATGAAATAATGAAATATTTCAATTTGGAATAGTTTTTCTGAAAATGTTTGAGAAAAAAATAACACAGAATTTTCTATTTACAAACCTCGAAAAAGTTTTGATTAGTATTAAAAAGTTTTGATTAGTATTATTTTCTAATTTGTTTTCATTTTCTTTTTCCTCTCTTCAACTTGTTTTGTTCCATTTTTCTTTTTTTTTTCTAATTTGTTCACCCCCTGCCACGTTTCCAATTTACATTTTTCAACCGTTTCTAAACTGTCCTCTGTTTCTTTCATTTTTTCGAAGATCATTTTAAAATACAATTTTCGAAAATGTTCCTTTAAACAAAGAATTGTATATTTACTCACTCACATTTTTGTGCTTCGTCGAATTATCTTCTTCTTCTTCTTCGGTCTATCAAGCCTCCGTTTAGTACAAATATTTTTGTCTCTTTTTCTTTTTGTTGCTCGTGACTTCACGATTTGCTTGCTCTGTCATTCAAGTGTTCCCTCTTATCATTTTTGTTTTTACTAATTCGTTTTGAATTTCGAACATTTTTCAAAATTTCAAAAACATGCTTGTTAACTTTTGAAGAATAAAAAATTTCAAATTGTTTAGAATTCGTGTCTTGTTAAAAGGTTTTCTTTGGAAAATTTTCCAAAATTATTCCCAAAAATACCCCGTTGAAATACATAAAAAAAATTAAATTTGAGATGAAAATTTTTAGAAATCTTGTCTTGTTGACACCTTTTTTTCTTCTGTCTGACACAATTTTCGAAATACAATCACGAATTTAAATCTCGTTGACCTACTCTCTGAAAATCCAAACTTCTAGAATCTAGATCAAACACTGTTCAATTTTTTCAGATGTTTTGAAAGATACGGTGTTGAAAAAAACAACATTTTTGTCAAAAATAGAATTTCGATCTTCAAAATATTCATTCTCATCTCTAATTCGAATTATGTTTTTTGATAGTTCAGTTCAGATCAATGTCTTGATATCCAAATTGGCCTAAATAGATCTAAATTAATCATATAATTCTTGTTTTTTTCTCCGCTTATCATAGTATATCTAAAATATCCGGGTCATTCCAATTAATTTTATCATTATCAATCGAATTCCTTTCCTACTCCTCCTATTTTTTCATCTTTTTCTAATTTTCAATTCAGGTCATTCATTCATTCTTTCGATATGTTGTTGTTAATCTAAATTCACCATCTCCGCCTGTCAAATATATTGATACCATCTTTTTTTTTCTCGTCGACCTTCAAACTTCATAGGAAGAAGGGCGGGCAACCAAGCCAAATCAACTCTTATTCTATTTCTATTCATTATTACTATTATTACTGTTATTCGAATAATAGAAATATCAATATTCTTATTATTATCTTATTTAATTAAAGGTATTTTCCAACAAATAATGAATCTTTCGATCTTTGGTGATTCAGCTATATGAATGTATTTTTATATGAATTACTCATAAAGCTAGGTTACCAAAGCTTGGCGGATTTATTTAATATTTATTTCATTTCCTATTTATATTAGAAAACAAAATAATTGTAAGTGCAACAAATTACAATTTGTTCAAACTTTGTTCCAAATCGGCAATAATGTCATCCACATTTTCGATTCCAACACTGAAAAATAATCTAGATTTTATCGGGTACGGTAGATTTAGGTTTATAAATGTTTACGGTAAGTTTGATATGATGAGACGAGAAACAAGATATGATTATTAAAACTCAATGATTATTAAAAAAAACTTTTCGAAATTTCCAGAATAATCCCGAGCTATTCGAAAGGCTCTTTAAATTCTGAGAAATTCTTTTTTCTAGATCCCTCCGCCCTTATTATGTTTCTCATCGAAAAATTTTGGTTGTGATAAACATTTGATTAAAATAAAATCAAAATGATAATTATTGTGTAAATGTGTTTTTTTTTTTGGAAAATGACTAGCTCTGTGTGTTCTTAATCGAAAATTAGACTTTCTCACCTGAAACGAAGAAGTCCTGGCGAAACAGTAGCTCCAGTTGGATCACGAAGTAATTGTGCACCATGAGACATTGAATATGGGTGTTCAATTAGACTTTCAGTTCCGCCAAGAGAAACAGCGTGCACAATTATGTGAAGACTCTACAAATATATCTCATTTTAGATACATACATGCTTTATCCAGGAATCACAAACCTCAATAAAATTGATTGCATTTTGAGCAGTTCCCAAATCGAAAGCAATCATTCCAGCAAATTGTTTCATTGTCTCAGCAGCAAATTTATGACCTGGATGAGATTTCAAACCAGGATAGAATACTTGTTGAACTTTTTGATGGGCTTCAAGATATTCCGAAATTTTTTGTGCATTTTGGGAGATTCTATCGACTCGGAGAGCTAATGTTTTGAGACCACGAGTGAGAAGAGCAGCATCATATGGGGACTGAAATAATTGGGAAAAATGAAAAAGAAATAAAATGTGTTGAAAAATTAAATACCAAAGATGATCCGGTTGTCAATTGTTGCAATTTCAATGCTTTCCAATCATCATATGATTTTGTAGTTACACATCCAGCAATAACATCTGTGTGTCCACCAATATATTTCGAACTGTAATAAAAATTATTGAGCTTTTTTTTTTTAATTTTTGAATAAGTGAAGAATATAGTAATTTGATTGAACTTGTTTTTCTTTGAAAATACTGAAAATAGCGAAACATGATCAATTTTCTCCAAAGTAGGATTCCAAAATTCCAGGTGATCCAAAAAATTCAGAACTTTTTTACTAGGATTTCAAAAAAAATCGTCTCAGATTTGGAGCTGCCTTTCAATTTGAAAATTCTTCTGACTAAAATTAATTCTTACCAACTGTGCAATGAAAAATCGGCTCCAAGAGTAATTGGTTGAATATTATATGGAGAACTGAATGTTGCATCAACACAGCTTTTGATTTGATGTTTTTTGGCAATTTTTAATGTTCCAATAATATCTGGAACAGCCATTGATGGATTTGCAATTGTTTCAAAATAAATCATTTTTGTATTTGGTCGAATCGCTTTTTCGATTGCATCAGCAAAATTTGTCTCTGTTTCAACATTTACAAATGTCACTTCCACACCAAACCGTTTCAAAGTTTCATTGATGAAACTTGAAGTTCCACTATAAATCGGAGCCATTGTTATCTACAAAAAAAACTATGTGTAATTTATGATATGAAAAAATGTTCCTGAAACTGACCAAATGAGCTCCAGAGTGAAGAAATTCAAGAAAAACTGCTGAAATAGCTGCAAGTCCTGAATTATAAACCAACGTGCCAGCTCCTTTTTCAATTTCATTTATAACAACTTCAACATTTTCAGTTGTTGGATTTCCGCAGCGACGATAAACAAAGTTTGAACCCTGAATTAGAGGATACAGTATTTCTGGAGCGAAGATATTTGAAAAAGAGAAAAACAAACATGATTGTGTTCATTGAATTGCTGAACTGTTTTGAATCGATATGTACTTGAATGATAAATTGGAGTTACAACTGGATCAATATTTGATAAAGGTTTTGCATGAGATGCACTTATTCTTGTGTCAAGATGAAGATTATCAAATCTAAAAATATATTTTTGAAAATTTGAATATCAACTTTTTGGAATTTTATTCCAAAAATATACTGAAGTTTGTGAACTTATCAAATCGACCCTTCTGAACAACGCATGAGAAAAACAAAAAAAATTACAGTACACGAAATTTCCACCTTTGGCTTCTGTAAATTCTTACTGTTCTCCTAATTTTTCCTTTGTTGCATTAATCCCAACAGGCCAATTGAAGCTAAAAAAAAGAAATTGAAAAATTAATTATAACTTTTGATTAAAAACACAAACCTCATTTTCTGTTGTTGTCCAAATTATAAACAGTATTTTCTTTCAAATGACCACACTTTTATCAAAATTTCATCAAACAATTTAATGTTTTATCTGATAAAACAAAGGTTGAAAACAAAAAATAAAGTGATAAGAAATGGATGATGTTAAAGATCAATTTTTGATGGTTTCCTTGAAAATTCCCTAGTTTCTTCATCTAAATCTTTCCATTCGTTGATAATTCTCACTGCTGAATTCAATTTCGGCTCTTTTGTCATTGGATTATTACACAAATCAATAGTTTTTGCATTATTTTTACTTTCATCATCACACCAAGTTTCACACCATAACCATTCTTGAGGTAAAGATTTGATTGGAACTTCATGAATCATACTATTTGGAAGATCCTTAACAAAAAAATCTGTTTGGAAAAAATCAAAGTAAAAATACTAACCTGATCTAAATTCGATAAACTATTTGGATCTCTTGATAACATATGATAATTCCCACGAAGTTGATCACCGGCTGACATTTCTCGGAATTTTTTCAAATCCACAACATAAAGAGCGCTAATATGATATTTTCGGTCTCCAAGAACATTGGCCCAATATCCAGATTTCCAAAAACGAAATCCGTCCATTTCTCTTCGGCTATCACAAAATGGCACATATCTGTAAAAATTAAAAGTTTTCTGTGTAAATGTTTGAATTTCGATTAAAATTTCTGATCATAAGAAATTTAGATTCCAATAACAGCATCCCAAACTCACCCATACGGAGCTCCTTCTAAATCGAAATCCATCAATTCTTTCAAATCAGCTCGAACAACTTGATCCGCATCAACAAATATGATTTTCTCAACATTCAGTGGAAACAAAACATCGAGGAATAAAATCTGAAATTTTAAAAAATCATATGAATTAAGTTCAAAATGTATTCAACTAACCTTATATCCCCACATAATTCTTTGTTTTTCTGTTTGTCTTCTCAACCAATTCGGCCATTTGTATTCCACAAAATGAACATTAAATCCATATTTTTTCGCTAATTCAGGTATTGTTTCTTTGAAACTTGGGGATGCATAATTCTTCAAAATCCAAAAATTAACTTTTCTCGATGACGTATTTTTGACAACTGATAACATCATGATTTTCAAAAATCTGAAGAATAATTTGATGTTTAGTTAGTATCCAAAAATTCAGCAAACCTCTCATATAAATGTCCAGATGCTAATGAGAATACATTTATTTCATCTCCAAAATCAATGTTTTTCGATAGCGAGTCAGTAAAATAATTTGAAATTCTTCTCAATATCGAGGGATTTTCATCATTTTTGGTTTTATCAACTTCAAGTCTCAAATTTTTCCCAGTCAACGAATCTGAAAAATGTTTTTTTTCAAATAATTTTTTTTTGTTTCAAACACAAAAATATTTCCACTGACCTATAACAATTTCATGCTCGAATTCACTTTTTCCATCAATTTTCGAGATTTTTCCACCATCCAACAAATTAATTTTCCAAATTCCAGGACTCGCCTGAAAATAATAAAAACCGTGTGAAAAATTTGAATCAAGAGTGAAATTAAAGAAAACCACCTTCAATTGGAAATATCCCAAATTTTGCATAACAACTGTATCAAATCGTCTCTGATTAATTATATTTTCAACCATAATTTGAGTTCCTTTAGAAGGATTACTGTAATTATCCAAACAATTTCCTTCGATCAACACATTTTCCAGGGTATATTTTGCAATAATATTTGGAGTTTTCTGAAAAATTCCAAGTTGAGAGTATATAGAATTGAAATTGAATAAGAAAAACAAACCGAGTCAATAAAAATATTATCAAGATCATAATTAGTTGTTTTCAATTCAATCATCCACGAATCATGTGTTATTATTCCAAGTGTCATCAATTGTTTATTCGGTAAACTTTCGAAAACAGCATTATTTGTTAAAATTTCCCCATTTTCATCAAATCTCAATTCATTTGATATAACATATCGATAAAATCTGTTTATTGGCAAATTTGATAACTTCGAAACTGGATTGAAAACAAGCTGGAAATTAAACTCGAAAATTACAAGAAATGTTCAATTTTCTATTTAAAACCCACTCGTATTTCGGAATTCATTGTATTTTTGATCAATTCAACCAAATTAACAATATATTGTGCTTCTGGAGTTGTTGGATTTAGAACCCATGTAATTGATAATTTTGGAATAGTTTTATCATTTTCTTTTATTATTATATCCTTTGGAGTTTTATGTGTTTCTCTTTTCTCTTTCACATTTCCATGAAAAATTGAATAAAATTCCAGTAAATTTTCGATTTTGAGTTCAGTTTTCACAAAACTTGAGAAAATCATTGAAAAATCTTTTTTGTTGAATAATTCTTCGGATTTCAATGGTCCAAAAATAATTGAATTAATAACAATCGCTGTTTCTCCTGATTTAATTCCAATGATTTTGTTCAAATTCTTATCACAATTAAGTTTCGATATTTCTGGACAATCTGAATTTGAAATCAAAGCAATCTGAAAAAATATAAACGATACTCGAGAAACTTTTAAAATAATTGGAACATACTTGATATTTTTGACCATATAAATCCAGAACATTTTTCGAGAATGAAACAAGTCTTTGATTTTTGAAATCTCCAACAATCCAAATAATAATAGGCTGAAAAATATTGGTTATTCATTTTTTCGGTTCAAAATGTTACCGTTTGTGTTTCGATGGAATATTCCACATTTTTCAATGATGATGAATTTGAAGGAATTTTGAGAACATTTTTTGATTTCGAAGCATTTATGACACTGAAATTGAGATTTATGGAACTAGTTTTTGAACAAAATATTGTTTACCTGAAATGAACTCTTGATTGAACTTTGAATGATTCATCGAGCCAAAAATCTTCAATTTTAATTGTATCATCAACATCTCCGTGATAAACCATATTTTGAAGATACATTGATTGTTTATAAATCATATGATAAATGTTATTTTCAAGTTCTTTAACATTCTCAAAATCATCAATAAGTTCACCATTCAAAAGAATTCTTGGTGTTCGATATAAACCAATTCGACTCACAAATTCTTTTGATTTTTCCGATATGATTCCAATTCTGACAAATTTCTGTTTTTTATTGTATTTTCTTGCAAATTCCAATAAATAGTCTTGATTTCGATCAAGTGGATCGACAACAAAAATAAGTGTGAAAACATTTTTTGCAATCGGCAAAACTTCTCCAAAATCGACTTTTTGAATAATTGCTTTTATTGTTGAATAACCATACTGTCTTTCCACGTTGTTTAAAAACTTAAAGATATTAAATTATTCAAATCAAAGTGATATTTTACTTACCTTTGGATTTGCATTTCTATAATCAAATACTGCTTTTGGAATATCAAGTTTATAATTGATTGTAGTCAAATATTTCATAGGATCCTTGATTCCAATATCAAATAATTTATCCACCAATTGTTTTTCATTTTCTAATATTTCAATCAAATCGAAAATATTCACATCATTTTCAATTATTTTTCCATTTATTCGCAATTCATTAATCCCTTCATCAATATATCCATTTCTTTTTAATTTCCAATTATCAATATTTACTTTCGAAAGATATCTTGAATGAGATGGAAAATCTTGTGTCATTTTCTTCAAAGTTTTCAATGGATCATTTGATTCCATTATCATTTTCGTCGCTTGGATACTCAAACTTTTCAATTCCCATTTTTTCAAAGGTTTTGTGAAATCATCAATTTTGAAAAGATAATCTCGAAGATCATTCAATTTTTCTCGAAGATCTGTATGGATTGTTTTGAGTTTCTCAATATTAACACCGTGCAAATCTTTTGGATCAACTTCCTCATTTTCGTTTATAACTTTATATTCAGTGGCTTTCATAACAAGTTCTACTCCATAACCCGATAAAGAAACATTCGTATTTGAACATGACTGAAAAATTATTTGTTTAACACATTTCAGAATATTTGAAAATAACCCTACCGTGAAATGATTTCGAAATACGAAACTTGACAAAGTTCCCATTTTCACAAGTTCTTTCATTTTCTGAATAGATTCTCTCAATTCTTTCGTTCCAATTATTCCATAAACAATCATAGTATTGTTATTGTTTTGAGTGAATTTATGATCAGAATTGTATAAAACTTCCGCATTTTTCTCTCCAATAATAATATTCTCAAGATTGCAATCTTTTTGTCTTCCATACTTAAAATAAACAGAACATAATCTCGATTCTCCAAGTTTGTAATGTAGTTGAATTCTTGGCGAATATTTCCTCGTGCTAATAGAAAGTTTCAATATGGGAAGCAGTCCAGAATCTATCAACTTTGCAGCTTCTTTCAGTCCATTTTCATAATTTTCTCGAGTATTTCCACCTTCTTCCACATTTTCCAAGTAGTCCCAGAATTCATTTGGCGCTTTTTCTGCAACGAATTCGCTGATTTCACCCAGAATTGATGTTTGTTCCCAGGTTGTATCGATTTTTACAGAAACGTTGCCAACCAAAAATGGAATCAACCAGAATAACAAGAGATGCTGAAGCATAACTTTAAATACCTAAAATAAAATTATCGTTTTTTAGACAAAAATAGTCGGAAATAAATTCGACACTTCGTTTCAGGGCGAACAAATAGAGACAGAGAGAGCGTGCAGAGTGCGAAAGAAACCGCGAAATTTTATAAGGCTGGCAACCAGCCAACTGATGGGTCCTGAAGCGATGGTCCATGTTCCTTTAAACGATTCATATTTACGGGGTTCTTTTCTGTCTGCGCTGCGGTTTCTCTATTTGTTCGTCCCAACACAGGGTTGAAACGAAGTGTCGAAAATGAGAAATAAACAAATATTAAGGTCACGTCAAATACGCAGTCTTTTTTGGAAAAACATTCTGAAGATTATTTCAAATTCAATGAAACTTGTTAAATGTTAAACCTAGGAAGTGAGTAAATCCAGAAAAAAAAACAGTCGGCTAGCCGCTAAGTACTACTGCTGCAGTCAAAACAGAAAAATCTGCGAAACCGGTAGCGACAGTAAGAAAAAACACACACATACGTTTCCTGTATTTGGTCTTGCAACGATGGGTCATTTGTATTTCGGGAATTTTCATTTTTTCATTTTTTTTCTCTCTCTTTTTCTCTTCCTTGGAATCCTGTTCGATGATGATTTTCTTCTGTTTGGCAGTTTCCTAGTTTCGCATTACCAAAAACCATTTGTTGTTGAGCTTTTCAAAAATTTCGTTCTATTTTTAAAATTGAAAATATGTTTTTTTTACGCACTAGAAAGGAAGAAAATTAAATTTGATTCAATTCGTATCATGTGTGTCTGGCCATACAACGTTTTTATCATTCTTAGTCACAGTCTTTTTCCTGATTGTACTTTGGGCAGATAATCGTTCAGCATCAGCCCATTTTATTCATAAGATACTTCATTTTTCTTTTGACAAAAATCGCGTTATTGTAATAATTTTTCGTCTTTCCAATCTTTTGTAACAAAATGCACGTTTTGGGTGCATTTAGATTACATCATATTGTGACAAGAAATAGTATAAATAAATAAACAATTATTCATCTTCCATACGACAACATATTTAATCAATGCCTCGCGATCTATGTTTTTTTCTTGCCACTTGTAATTCCTTTTTCTTTGTGTTATCTTTTTCGACTTCTCTTGTATTTATTCATTTTTATTTTTAGTTCCTCAATATCAAAATGCCGATTGCTGGACGTAAAATCAATTTCGCAGCAGGACCAGCTAAATTGCCAGAAGAAGTACTTCTGAAAATGCAAGAGGAACAACTAAATTATGCAGGATTGGGATTGAGTGTCATTGGTAAAATTGTTATTATTTGTTTCCTTGTTTTGAAAAAAGAAGTTATGTTTTTCAGAAATGTCACACAGATCTAAAGAATTCGGAGCACTTTTGAACGAAACAATTACTCTCATAAGAGAATTAATGTAAGTTTCTTTTGGAAAATTCATTTTTCGAAAAAACAAAAATGTCTCATAGGAATATTCCCGAAAACTTCGAAGTTTTGTTCATGCAAGGTGGTGGAACCGGTCAATTTGCAGCAATTCCTCTCAACTTGAAGGTGACTTTTTATTTGAAAAAATTCCTAAAACAAAAGAAAACTTCCATAAAAAAGTGAAAAAAAAACGATTGTTATCATTTCTTTCTTTTTTTAGGGAAACCACGACCATGCCGATTATATCGTAACCGGTGCTTGGTCAGCAAAAGCTGCTGAAGAAGCTGCAAAATATATCAATGTAAAAAAGGTAATAATAATAAATCATCAAAATATGAAATTGTGGAAAAAAACATGTTTTTTTCAGGTTTTCACACCATCGAAGCCTTATGTGACAGTTCCAGATCAAGAAAAATGGGTTCACGATGAGAATGCGTCATATCTTTATTATTGTGCAAACGAAACTGTTCATGGAATTGAATTCACTCCAACAGCTCCAGAATCACATAATGTTCCTTTAGTTGCTGATGTTTCTTCAAATTTCCTCGCAAGACCTTTCGATTTCAAAGATCATGGAATTGTTTTTGGTGGAACTCAAAAAAATCTTGGAGCAGCTGGATTGACTATTGTTATTGTGAGAAAAGATTTGATTGGAAAAGAACAAGCAATTACTCCAGCAGTATTTAGTTATAAAGAAATGATTGCAAATAACAGTTTATATAATACTCCACCAACTGGTGGAATTTATACAACAAATCTTGTTTTGAAATGGATTAAAGAAAAAGGAGGTGTTGAAGCAATTTATGCAACAAATTTGGCAAAAAGTGGTTTGATTTATTCGATTATTGATGAATCAAATGGATTTTATCATTGTGCAGTTGATAAAAGATATCGATCGATTATGAATGTTTGTTTCCGAATTGATGGTGGAAATGAAAAATTGGAAGCTGAATTTTTGGAAGGAGCAACAAAACGGAATATGATTAATTTAAAGGGACATAGATCTGTTGGAGGTATTCGTGCATCACTTTATAATGCAATTAGTTTAGAAGAAACTCAAGTTTTGGCTGATTGGATGATTGAATTCAAAAAAACACATCAACAATAGGTATTTTTTATGTATTTCTTTTTCAAATACTCACTAACAATTACTCATATTTTATATAAAGTTATTATGGGAAACTTTTGAATACTGTAGAAAACGAAATTGGGTCCAACTATTTATTAAAGTTGAGATGAGATACGATAGATACAAAACACAATTTAGCACATATTTACAAATTTTTTGATTAGACTTGTTTTGAAAGAATTTTTCAATTTTTTTTACATTTTGAAGAATTTGAGACCAGAAATTATATACACAATTTACAAGAAAAAAATACAAAATACATGAAGAGGCCAGCTCAGATATAATTGTAGTTTGTAGTCGAATTAATCAATGTTATTGACTTTGCGGTCATTGTTACGTCCGGATGATAGTTTTCCTGATGATTTCTTCGAACGAGATTTCGCTTTGCTTGAAGCGGATTCCCGTTTGAGAGACTTTGTTTTTGTATTCGAAGTTGAAGAAAACGAATCAGAAGTTGTTGAACTGATGTTTTCGAATAACTGAAAAATTAAATGTTTCATACACTTCATTAAACATTTTAGAAACTGTCATTGAAAACATATGACTTTTTGATTTCTTTACAACGAAAAGTTAAGAATCTTACCATTTTCTCCAAATGCGCCCGTTGCGCATTTTTGGCTTTTGCCAATCGAAGTTCCTCAGCTTTTCGAATTTCTTGACTTGTTGGATTCTTTTCTCCAGTTGATGTTTGTCGTGTCGATGCAAATGACAATTCATCAATATCCCGAACTTCAAGTCGAGGAATAAGTTCGGGTGAGAATCGACCACGCGCGTTTTCTAAAAAAAATTATTTGTTATTTGTTTTTTTTTTGACAATTCAAATTTTTTGAATGTATATAATTTGGGGAAAGGCAGATGGCGAAAAAGGTAACGGAACTAACCAAGATTTATAAATAAATATATACCAATAAATACAACATAATAACCATTTCCGAAAGAAAATGCAATAAATTGTGGTTTTATTGTTTTAGTCATAAAAAAGTTTTTAGTGTCATGTGACGAAATATATTATAATTTCATCACATGTTTTGTCTTCACAAAACTCACCATCATCCACCATGAACCAATCATCTTCATCTCCACAAATCATCTTTTCACTTTTCATTATACTTGCTTCACTTGTTGTTCCATTTGTTGCAACTCCAAATGAAACTTCCGAATCATTTGAATCATCAGATCCAAAGATATAACCATAGATTCCGCTAAGCATTTTTATAAGTGTGAGTGGGAAGAAGAAGAAGAGAAAGGTTCTGAAAATTAGTCGATGTATGTCACGAGACAAACAAGAAATAATAAGAAAAACGAGGAAAAAAGAGAGCGCAGAGAACAATAACGTCAAAAATCTTTGATTTTTTTTTCTTGTGGTGAGACTCGAATGTGTGTGAGTAAACAAATAACATCATTCGAAAAATATTTGGTGATCTTTTGAACCAATATATTGAATGTATCTCAAATGAAAGACTAGATCTTATATACTTATAGTATTTTTCTAGTGAAACATGTCATATGATATACGTCATTTGATGATATAAACTATAATATGTTTAGTGAACAAGATCAGTTGGCAGAACAAAAAGATCGTATCTTGATTTATCTAACACTATGGCTCAAAGTTCATTTATATATTAATGATATTAAAATAAGAAGGCAAGAACCTAACCAACAACCAAAATAAAACTAATGTTGAAAAACAAAATGTCTGAAGCCTGTTATAGTTGTTATGGGCGGAGCTTTCGGAGGAGGCGGGATTGCGGCAGACAAGAAAACAAAAGCATGTGAGTATGTTGAAGACGCAGAGGATAATAAGGTGTCCGTGAAATTTGCATATCTGGCATGGTGAGAAAGGGAGTAATTAATGGCGGGTAGCAGAAGGGAGGAGACTTGGAAGATCGCCAAAAAATAGAGAAAGACAACTGCTTTGCTTCTATTATGGTTTTGTTGTTGTTGCGATTCGGATGTTGTTTTTGAAGGCGACAAACATAGACAGAGAAAAAAGAAAGACAAAGACTACGGTAGCTATGCATTCATCCGGATTCGATTCGATTTTGAGGTCATAACAAGTTTTTTGTTTCGTTTGGAGAGACAATAGATTGTCTAATTGGACCCTTTTCCAAATTTTATTTGAATTTTGTATAACACTTGGAAAAGAATAAAGAGCAGCTAAACGAGAAAAAATAAGGCTTTTGCTACTTGGACAAAATTGTGTTGTTTGAGCTCTTTCTTGTTTCAAAAACATCGATATATGCACATCTGTCCATTTTTGGATCCAATGTCAATAAAACCGATGAATTTTGAAATATATTGCGCCGTTCTTTTGAATTATGTTATATGTTTGAAAGATAGATGAACGGAAATGGAATTGAATTATTTTATTGAAATTTTCGGGACGATTTTATTTGATGTCGGGCGACGCTCGTTACACGCGATTTTTCGGCGCCAGTTTGGCTGTCGCTCGTATCAAAAATTTTGTATTTTTCGTTTTTTTTTGTAAACAAAAAATAATGAAACGATTGACTTTCGAAATTCCAAAATAAATATATTTGTTTATTTTTTTTGTGTTTCAGAATTTCAAAAAATTTTCCATAAGCTTGAAAAATTGAAGAGTTTTTTTCCCGCAAAAACTTCCACTGACAGAATGAAGAACTTGGTTTCTGTCAAATCTTTCAAGTAAAAAAAAACCCGAAAACAAACAATCTTCTCATCTCTCACTTCTTCTTCTTCTTCTTCTTTCTGATATTTCATCATTCTTATTCAATTTCCAGCTGTTTTTTCCCACCAAAGGTCAAAGGTTTTTTATTTGATCGACTCGTTGTCGAAGACAAGTGAAATATAAAAAAAAAACAACACATATGTCTAAGAGCCTCTTTCCCGAGCCATCTGTTTTATTACTGCATAGCACACTTTTTCCAGTTGATTTTTTGGCCGAAAAAAGAGAAAGATAGATAATGTTGGAAAACACGTGAATATTCTGACATCAAAGTACAATATACATACAAATATAATTGTTCTTATCATTCAAAACAGAAAAAAAAATAGTTTGTTGAGTTCTTGTAAACATAAATTTGTTCCATTATTTTGCACATTTCCATGAAAATCGCTTATCTCATAATATTCATCGACAGACGATATATCGGATTATCGCTGTTATTTCAAGGTGGCCATATTCTGATGTCATTTTATATCAGATTCTTTTTGAAAAAAAATAACAGACAAGATCGATGAGATCAATGATATTACTGTAAACGAGACAAAAATCGGAAATATTGAAAGATGCCAATGTCGAAAGGATTCCGGAATTTTTTGAACCGAAAAATCAATTAATCAGAGATTTGCTTCATTTCTTGGTATTTAATTTTTGCCAAAGCGGAAAGTTCATTTTTTTGTGAAAAACAAGAAACGCGTGATCGACATTTACGAATGTTTTCAATTCAAATCACACTTGACATAAATTAAGATCAGAAGTTCGATCACACAATAGTGTTTCCTCTCATTCTTTTCTTCCTGTCACAGTTAGATAATGTAATTTATTTAATTATTCGGTCAAGTCAAAGAGCCCCATTCTATTTATATTACATCATTGGGTCGTTTTACAGTATTCCGCACGCTTTTCTCTTTTTTCAGTCGAACAATGATGTAATCTGTGAAATATTGCTCTTTTTTAAGATAATTATAATAAAACAACCAATAATTAGGTTAATTTAAAAATACTCGCTGAACAGCAATTATCATACAATATTGTGTATTCATGGAAAGAAAAAGTACTGTAAATAAATATATATTCAATATTTACCAACAAGTTTTTCCCACATAGATCATCATCTTAAAATGGTATAAAAAAGGAGTATTGTGTTCATTTTATTATTTAAAAATCGAAAAATGAAGGCGACAACTATTATTATTTTGATTGGCTTGATTTCCATTTCTATGGCTTCTCATGGTTCTCCAAAACACAGTGAATCGGAAAGCGATGAAAATCTTCTTATTCAACTAAATTCTGAAGAAGGTTCTGGTGATATTGAACAATCAACTGATATTCCACCAAAAAGAAATAATGGAGGAGAAGGAAAAAGACGAAGACAACAAAGAAATCATGGACAATTCATAGTTCATAATTTTTATTGATTTGATTTGGTATAATGAAAAATTTTTCATTGAAAACTTATGAATACGTAGGTTTTAAATAAAGTTTTAAAAATTTGCAAAATGTTTTCAAAAAAAAACAGACACAACAATACCTACAGTACTCACGTATTCGGGAAAATACGGCACCAAGGGCGGTGCTAAAAAGGTGCCGTGATTTAACTTTGAGTAATTTTTAAACTAAATTTTGAACTCTCGAGACAAATAATGTAATTTTCGATAAATAGATCAATCTATATTCAGCAGCTTTTTTGAATGCTGAAAAAAATTTTATGACGTCAAGCCTCCTAAACAACACTCGGAAATCAGAAATGAAAATTTTGTGTCTGGAAGAAACTCGAATAAGATTACAGTACTTGATATCCAAAATTCTGAAAAAAGTCAAAATTGTTCGGAATTCCGAAATTTCTTGAGATTAATCGAAACTTTTCAATCAAATTATTTGTTGTTTTTTTTTCAAGGAAAAAATATACGAAAACAACACAGTATGTAAATATTTGTTTATTTTTTGCTCTCATAAAATTGATAAATCATTTGTCTACTTATTTTATGAGTACTCTGTTAGATACTTTTTAGTGTAAAGTGACGGCACAAATGATGTCACTCACACAATAATAACTAACTGATATCAAATTATTTCATTGGGACCATTCTTCCTTTTTTCTTGTTAGTTCAAGTGTTCCCAGGTGTTTCCTAATTCCATTAAAACATCAAAAAAGAAGGCCGATAAAGGGATTACTTTATGGATTTTCGGATTTAGGAACAAATACAAATGTTGATAAACTTTTTGAATATTTGCCAAATAATATTTCCTTTCCTTTTTTCCTGAGACAGGTGTTCGTATGAATTTTGCACAAAACGGGATTAATATTATTATTACTCTTAATATAACAATTAATGGATAATCGAAACAGATTTTTGGTTGAGAGCACTTTTTTTGAATATAAATATATTTTTTCAAAAGATCGTTCAAAAATTGAGAATAACACATACATGGGACCATAAAAATAATAATCCAGAATAAAAAAAGTATCATTTTGCATTGTAATCCTCAATTATTTTTCAATGACATCATTTTTTCCGTCTCCTATTTTTCTCCTTCTTATTATTATTGCGCAATGAGGTCTCATCAGGTCAAGACCATTGTGTCTTCTTGTTTTCGCACCTTGGCTCAATGGAGCATTATGACCCGGTCACTTGTTTGTTTATTGTGGATTGATGACAAAAAGCACACGGGATTATTTTTTGAAAATGTTTATTTACTGATATTAAGGTTTAATAAAAACAAAATGATGAAACATGAATAATTACATTTTTCTCGGTCTTTTGAGATCCATCGTGTTTGGTGTCAGCAATGCAGATGGGATTTTACGTTTACGAGATGTCAACTGGAATTAAATCAAATTTGTTAACATCAATTAAAAATCACGAAATTTATTAAGTTGGAGTCCGAGATAAAAATGGGTTAGGCTCATTTGAGATAGAAAGTTGCAATTAGTACACTCCTCGAAGGATTTTTAATGGAAGTTTTTCTAACATTAGTAAACCAAGTTCAACGTTTATGAAAACACTTAAACACCGTGTAAAATGGCTTGACAAAATGCAAATATGCAAGTTTTATCTCGCACTACCTTTAAAATGTATAAAACTACAACAATTTTTGCAAAAATTTGGCAGATTATTTTTTATCTGGAACTTGTCAGTTTGATAGTGATTCAGAAACTATTTGAGACTGTTCTGTTCAAATATTATATTTTTCCCAATACTTCCGTATTTTATCAGACCTTGAGAATATATTTGGAAATTTTTTTGTTTTTATTTTTTCGGAAGTAAGTCGAACACATTCATTCATTTTTTTCAAAATCCTCAGACTTACTAAAGAGCAAGTAACCCAACTTTTTGAAAAAAAACTAATAAAAAACTAACCGCAGTTATATCCTTATAACTAATATCAATATAAGATGTAATTCTTCGGGTTGTTTGTGGTTGTGTTGGTTCACCAATCGATCCTTCATCAAGTCCACCTTCAACGAGATTTGAAACACGCATTCGTGGCTCGATTTCAATATCCTTCAAAGATTCAATGATAAATATATGTAATCAAATTAATTGAAATAAGATAACTTACTTTTCCGACATCTTGAAGTCTGGTTCGCAAACTTTCCAATTCAAATTCAGCCGTGTGAAGAGCAAATTTGAGTTCTTGTAAAAGCATTATCTGTGAACGGAAATCATTATAAATTTTCATCGTTGCTTCAGATCCAATTGGATTCATTTCTGAAAATAAGTAATTCATAGTGTATAAATATATAACTCATAAAAATAAAATGACCTACCCATTTTGCACTTTTCAAGAACAACTTCGATGTTTTTCAACTTTTTCTGTCCAATGTTTGTGGGAAGTTTCATTTCTTGGCTTCTAAAATGAGCACCAGAGGATTTGAATTCAGAAAACCTCAATGCGGTTACTGAAATATCCAATGGATTGAATATCGATGTCGATGAAGTTGAAACACTTCCAGTTTTTGTTCGAAAGGTTCCTTTTCGTTTTGAGAATTGATTATTGCCATTTGTTCCACTTGTTGATGGACTAGCAGGTTGATCAGACATATTTATCAGTTTTTGAAGATCATGTGCCTTTTTCTCACGCTCTTTTCTTCGTTGTTCGATGCGTTTCAATTCTGCTGTCAGATCTTCTTCTTCTTGAAGCTAAATTTGAAAAATAAGTTTTTGTTTGTTGTTTTGAAGTGTTACCTGTTCTTTTGTTCTATCCCATTGCTTACATAGTTGTTCTTTTCGCCTTCGTTCGTGTTCAGCATCAAAAGCTATCGGAGTGGAATTCGGATCCTGAAATAACATTCATTTTATTTAGAAAATAAAAGAAATTCAAACTCACTCTACTAGTCATTATTTCATGTAAAATAGAATAGAATCTATCTTTCAAATCTTCCATACTTCTCGATACTCCAAATTTAGATTTGTCGTATCTATCATGAACAATGGGCCAGCGAATATCGAATTTTCGACAAACATCGAACAAATAATCCGTTTCTTCTCTACTCCATTTATTACACGTTAACATATTATCATATTCTTCATCTGTATATGTTGGAATATCAATAACTTTATTAAAACGAGCAAATGGATAAGGTTGATTATTATCCATTTTATCAACTCGTTGCCAATGAAATAATTGCAAACCATCCAATCTTGCTTCATTTGTAAATGGAACCCATTTATATTTTCTGACATTTCGAAAACCCATCTGAAATATACATTTTTCCAAAGGCAAAATAAAATACTCCTACTTGAAATTTTGGATTTTTATAAGATTTTCGCATATCGGTTGGCATAACTGATGATAATTCCTTTTTTGACATCAAATTATAAAGCTCTCTAGCCATTCCTTCCGGCTTTTTGACATTCGGTAAAGATTTAGAGGCAATTTTTGAGGACGGATTTGTCAAATTTCCTGTTTTTGCAATATCTTTTTCATTTTTTTCAGCATTTCCACCGCGTAAAATCTGCTGAACATCTCCAATCATCTGCAAAATATAGAAAATCAATAGTGATAGTGGTTTTTGTGTTTAAAACGGAATATTTTGTTGGCAAGAATAAAAAACGCGAAAATATAAAACGCTGATGGTGTTTGTGCGCTCTAATGCAAATATTTCGCTGTTAGATGTGCAGGCATGGGGGAGTATGGTGTTCGTTAACTGAGTATCCTACGTTTAACCATTGTGTAACACTGCTCTTGGATGAAAAATTGAAGAATTTTTCTTTTTTTACACGTTTTTTGCCGTTTTTGTGGTTTCTTCGTTCCTTTTCTGCATTTTCGAATAGAATACCTCATTTTGAAGTTGGAATTTACCTTATTTACAGACTCAAACTGGAAATAGAGCACAGAAAGGCTAAAATCAAAAGATAGCAGTCCTTCAAAGCTCATTAAAAAAACAAATCAAACAACCATGGTGAGTTTTTGAATTATTCATATTTGATAAACATTATACTCTTCAGGCCGCCGCTTTCAAGAACGATAAGCCAATCGCTGACAACTCGGAACATCGTATCCGTCTTACTTTGACCTCCCAAAATGTGAAGCCACTTGAGAAAGGTACGTTTTTTGAAAATGATAATCAAAATTAAAGTTTTTTCCAAAATTCAATTATTTCTTGACCACGTGGCTGTGTATATCGAAAAAATCAGAAATTTCATAATACCAACTGTAAAAGCCCGTTTTATAAAAATTAAAAAGTTGAGACTACCTGGTGCAATTTTATTCAGGAACCAGTTTTTGAGTAAACTTTTTAAATTTTTAATTCTAAAAGATACTTATGGTGGGCCTTTCTGAAAAACAGTGAAAGTGAATTACTATAACGCTCCATGGCAAAATTTGAACGCTATTTATCTTTATGTCAAAAAGTTTGAATTGAACTTGTTGAATTCAATTTAAAAAACTGATGTTTGTATATTTTTTATTGTAATTTTCAATTATTGGTATTTCAGTCTGTGCTCAACTCATCGAAGGAGCCAAAAACGAGAGCCTCATTGTCAAGGGTCCAATCCGTATGCCAACCAAGGTTCTTCGCATCACCACCCGCAAAACCCCATGCGGAGAAGGATCTAAGACTTGGGATCGCTTCCAAGTAAGTTGTTTGAATGTGCAAAATTTTAAGTTAACCGAGAACTGTTGTCCGGAAATGTAAAACTTCATTCATGTTCCATAGTATAAAAACACGTTGTCTGAGTGTGAGAGTGATTGTTCTAAACTTTTGATTTACAGATGCGCATCCACAAGCGTCTTATCAATCTTCACGCACCAGCTGATGTTCTTCGCCAAATCACATCTATCTCGATCGAACCAGGAGTCGATATTGAGGTCACCAAGGCCGATTAAGCGGCCTCTGGTGCGGCCGCAACGGGTGATGGCTGGCGACGCTCATGTTATTGAATATTAAAAGCTTTTACCTTGTTTGTTGTTGCCCCCATTGGTTTTGATTTGTTGTTGATGAATGTTTTTAACATTTCATAAACATTGTTTTAAAATTTCTCTTTTCTTTTCTCAATCTGTAAGATTATCCAGAACTTATTTGAACGTTGGAGCGGAATATCGTCAGTCTAGGAGTTTAGTGCTCTCTCTCTCTCTCTTGGTTTTGAAAAGGTAACGCGAGGACAATATTCCTGTCTGCGATTAAATGCAGGTGAAATTATTGACCTTTAAAAACAACAACGAAACTCCGATTGGGCGATGAAAAGTTATCCGGTTGACAATTTTTTCTTCGAAATTCGGTTTTTGGAAAAAGGTTAAGCCCCGAGCACGAAAACTCGATTAAAAAGTGTTTGAAAATCAAATTGCCCACCATTTGTAATTTTTGTAGGTTCATTTCACTCATTTTCAGTTTTCGCCCAAAACTTAACTGCTGTTGATCAACTTGATTCAATTGAACTTAAAAATTGTTAATTCACTGTAAAATTTACGAATTATATATTTTCAACTCGTAGTTGGTGGTTTACTATGTTTTTGAAAAACGACTGGAAATTCGAAAAAATTTGGATATATTTTCAGATGACTAGTCAAAGGACAATTCTACGAATGAACGAACAAATTGACAGACAGTGTCCAATTTGTCAATGTGATATGCTTTTGCCAGTTCCAATTCCGGCATGCAATCACACATTTTGTTATCCATGTTTGAAAGGTAATATTTTTTAAATTTCCAGTTTCAAAATCACAGGTTCTCATTATTTTTTAGGTGTTTCAATGCAGAATATGGATTGCCCAATATGCCGCGGACCAATTGATCATGATAGTATTGTTCGATACAAGCAACCAAACATAGATTTGAAAATGCCATGTCCATTGGATTCACCACAACCAATCAGAACAAGACCAAATAATGGCGATGGTTCGTTTTTCTCTCAAAAAATGTGGTATATTTACTTTTTGCAGCGAATCAAGTTGTTGTAAAAGATGAACCAATTGACGAAGATGTGAAACCAGATATTAATGCTCTTAGAGCTGGCACAAGTAATAATGCTGCTGTTGCTCAAAATGTAGCACCACCACCAGCTCAAAACTACTGGCTTTATCAAGGAAGAAGTCGCGGATGGTGGAGATTCGATCCAAGAACTGAAAAAGACATTGAAGAGGCTAGTTCGAACAACATGCCAATAACCGAGGTTCGAATATTTTTATTATCAAGATTTCAAAAAATTAAAATATTTATAGGTTGTTATCTGCGGCTCAAGATACATTATTGATTTCTCAAACTCTATTCAATATCCAAAAGATAAAGGAATCAATATGAAAAGAAATATCAGGTAAATAATAGTTTCTATTGAATTACATCAAAAATAAATTTATTTCTAACTCAGACGTGTCACTTCTGCCGAATTCGATTCACTCCATGTCAAAGGAATCGCCGGTGTATCAAAATAATAAAAATGTACAGAATGAACTTATGTACCAGTTAACTTCACTTTATATCCACTACCGCTACAAAATCCCCATATTATTCTGTTTAATTTTTTCTTGGTTTCATATTTTTTCCCGGGTGTTTCAAAAATCTCACTTTATTGACTTGGGTTAAAATTCTTTTCTTTTTTCAACTTTTCTTTGACTGTTTTATGTGTATCCGTTTTTTGTTCGAAATAAACTGAACTTTCACTTCAACCATTCCACTGACCTACTTTCTCTCATACATCTTTTTCTCTGCTTGTGTTTCTATTCCAGTTTATTCGCGCTTATGTCATTTTTTGCCTCCAAAGGATAATATCTCGTTTTTTTGAGAATATATTTCGCTTTATTTTCAAAACTTGTTTATTCTTCTAATTAATTTTAAAAACTATATTTTCAGATGGTTTGTGTTCTTCAAGATGCTTTCAATGCAACAGTTTCAAGAGATTATGAAAAGTATGAAAAATTAATAGTTTCAAGAATTTTTTGTTTTTTTTTCAGAGCAGTTTCTGTAATTCGAAATGTTGTTTCATCTTCTGAACATTCATTTTCAGTTGAACAATTAGAATTAATTGATCATGTTTATGCTTGTATTTTGAATACTTCACATTATGACGAATCATTGATTGAAGTTTGTTGGGAATGGATTGATGCTATTGAAAGAATGCCAAGAACTGTTGATCAAAGAGCTATTTCAAGTTCACAATTAAGTATTTATTATGCATATCATACTGTAAGTCTCAGTTTCGAAAATTGAAAATTTTAGAAAAGAATAATAGGCATTTAAAAAAATTATTTTGGGCTCCTAAAAGTTATAAGAGTCTCTGAACAAGTTACTCAAAAACCATGTAAATTTCTCAACTTTTCAAATTTTGGCTGTTGTTTCTCAGTTCTATTTAGTTTCGTCCAGTAGTTCACTAAGAAAAACAGAGCCAGAATTTTTGGAGAAAATTACTTTGGAAATACTTGAGATGAACAAATAGATCCCATTTGTTTTGAATCTATAAAAAATTCGAAATATTTTCTCCTAAAATTTTCTTCCAATTTCCAATCTCAAAAAAAAACCAATTCTTCAGAAAACCCCTATGATTTTCTAAATTCTCAATTATCTAATGTTGTTCGATTTCTTATGATTAGAAAGTTTTTTGTCTCGACCATTTTTTCTCGTCACAAAATATCACAATCAAATTTGTTATCAAATATCGAAAAAACCAATCTATCAAAAAATAAGAAATAAATATTGAATGAATTTCAGATTTGTCGAGTTCAAGAAAGAATGCCAAAAAAATCGAATTATGTTCAAATTAGAACTGAAACTTGGACACGTGTCACAAATAGTTTTAGTTATTTATGGGCGGCTGCAACACAATTATGGAAACCTGCCGAATTAGATCGATTAGATATTTTATGTAGTTGGTCTTATTTATGTTTACAATTCTCAGATGTTGTTAGTGAAGAAGTTATGGCTGTTTTAGAGGTATAACAAATACATCACAACATTATCAAAAACAATTCAAAAATATTTAGAATTCGAAGGAAAATGCAAAAGAAATGTTGTCATCTTCAATTGTTGTTGAAAATAATCATCAAGCAAATCAAAGAATTCTAACAATTGAAAGAAATATTCGAGATTCGAAAAGTTTGGCAGAAAAATTAGGAAGAAGAATGGCAAGTTTATATTCATTTAAAAGGGTGTCAAAAATTACATTAAATCCATAATTCATATCAGAAAATTGTTCACAACTCAAACTAAAAAACCTTGAGAATCTTTTTTCAAACGCGCGCTCGTCTCTCCTTTTCAATGTGTGCCCGTTCAAAACATAGCACAACGCACAACCAGCCATGTGTCGCGACACACAAACATTGAAATAGTGTGTGAAACACAATCGATTTGGTTTTAACCCAGTTAACCAAGGTAATTTGGTGTTTTGACCTTTCGAAAGAAAGTGTTGAAAAACAACTGTAATTTTTGGATCCAGCTTCTTCGGGGTATCCGGAGGGGCGATAAATTTGAAAAAGGCTTTAATCCAAGAAGTTGTTGAAAACAATAATGATTTCTGAATATTTATCTGAAAGGCGAGAATAAAATAATATTGGAATTTCCTAGAATTCTTCGAACTCCTCGGAAGCTTTGATGATAAAATATTCACATATAATTTTTAGTTTCCGCAAGTCAAGTATTCAATCAATGATAATGAAGTCCTTTGTCCCGATTTTTCAGTTTTTACAACATCTCATAAGTATAAAAAGTTGATGATTGTTGATAAATGAATTGTTACAGAATGACGAATGCGAATCGCCATTGGCAAAAAAATGGTGTGAATCACAGGAAAATCAAAGTGAATAAATAATAATCAAAACAAGGATATCCCTTTTATCATATGATTTATTTATTATTTATTTCTGTATTTTATCGATGATCATTATTTTTATTAAAAAGATTGTACTTAATTGATTGATGTTTTTGTTTTTCTCGGGTTTTTTTAAATTACAGTAAATTATTTGATTTTTGCTATTCGATGCTTGTAACAGACACCTTTTGATCCAATCTTTTCGAAAAAACAGAATTAAATCAAATTATTTTCAAAAATGATGTGATCATAATATCAGTGTCATTTTTCTTTTCTTTTTTGTTGTTAGTATGACCTCTACATCTTAACTTCTTCTTTTTCTTCATTTTAATCGGTCATTTTTTTGTTGGCGGTTATTGAATGGCAGAATAATCGGTCATGGTCGAAAGGCTTGATAACTTTCACTTCACACTTCGTTTTTCTCTTCCCTGACTGTCTTATTCTTGTCATTTTGTGTTTGATCTTCGACTTTTTAGAGATCTGAACACCCTCACTCGGGTTCTATTTTTATCCAGTTCATTATTTGGACATCCCAAGTATTTTTATCATTTTCCAAAATTTTTTCATTTTCTTTTGAAATTAAATTGGGGAAATTTTGAATCGAACCACTTCAAGAAAAAAATAGAAATTGGACCTCTTAGATTTTTTGAGAAAATTCAAAAAAAAATTAGTTCGAGCCAATTCTATAAATTTTCACAAATTGTTCGATTCATTTTTGTTCCAACCATATCATCATATCAATCAAAACCACTCCCCGCCAAAATCAAAAACCGCATTTAGTTTGATCCAATTGATTTTTTAAACACTTTTATTTTTGCCACCTTTTTTTTCAAACCCCGTTTACTCAACTAAATATATCAATTTCCGTACAGTTACACTATAGTTTTTTTTTGGGTAATTCAAGTTTTAACATTTTTTCATTTCTGACATCATTTCTAGTTTTTTTCGAATTTATTTTTTTATTTGGCAGACTAAACATTGTTTTACGCGCGATGTTGAAAAAAAACGATTCAATTTTATTTATGGTCATTTTTTTCGGGTATATGACGTGTGAAGATCAGTTAGCAACATTTTATAAATAAAATTATTACAAATACGTGTTTTGTGTTCCCATTTTTATTACTGTACTAAAAGTTGTTCTATAGTTTTTGATGTTTTATTTTTCGAAAATTGAATTTTTAAATATCATATGATTTTCAGAGAAAAAATCAATTCCCAAAAACCCACGTCATTTTCAATCTAACAAAAATAAAAATAAGAATCGAAAAAAAATAATTTGAAGGTCATCAATATCTTCGATATCAATAAAAAACGTTTCTTTTTTAAAAGTACCGAGTTTTTTTTAGATACATTAAAGACTTCTCAATTTCTCTCCGAATCATTTTTACAATTATCGATTTCTTGATAATATTATTTATTTTTAACAGGCAGATGAGATTGGAAAAAATAATAGAAGAAGGATCTGATATATGTTCAACAACACGAAAAAGTATCAAAAAGAAATTATCAACAAATTCTACAGTAACTCCTTCTTCAAAATGTTGTGTTATAGCTGAAGTTGAGAGTGGAACTTCAACATCGACTTCGGAAATTTTAGATGTTGGAAAAGCTGTTTGGAATCGAAGTTTGAATCAGAAAAAAGCTGAACATGAACATGATTTGCAACAAGCTAGAATTGTAAGTTATAAGAAATTCGAAAAAACTATTTAATATAATTATTTGAACAGGCAGTTGGAAGTTCATTTGTTGAACATCATCTTGAAGTTGAACAATTAAAAGATGTCTATCCAGATACTTATATTTTTGCACAATGTGCTGAAAGAAGTGATGGATTACATTCAGAAGAAGCGCGAAAACGATTAAAAGATGGTGGTTTAAATCAAATTGATCCACCAAGAGAACCTAGTTTATTTCGATTTTTCATTCAACAATTTCATTTCAAATTTTGGATTCTTTTAATATCAGCTTCATTTTTGTCAATAATCACATATTTTGTGCATATGTCAAGAGGATCAAATGAGCCATTAAATATGTATTGTGCAATTATTTTAATTGCTGTTGTTATGTTTATGTGCGTTTTATCATATTGGCAACAATCAAAAGCTAAAAAAGTTCTACAAAAGAATCGATTGATGATGCCAGCAATGGCTTGTGTTATTCGAGATTGTACTGAACAAGAAATAAAAGCGGAAGAAGTTGTTGTTGGTGATTTGGTTTATCTTCGAGCTGGTTATAAAGTTCCAGCTGATATGAGAATTCTTCAATCAAATGGTTTATTAATTGGAAGTAGTGAAGTAACTGGACATAAAGAATCAAGAGAATATAATTCGGATGCTGTTCCACAAGATGTTTCTGTATTTGATGCTTGTAATGTTGTATTTATGGGTTCGTATTGTACAGAAGGTGAAGGTATTGGATTAGTTATTCGAACTGGTAAATTTACTGTTATGGGAGCAATTGCTAGTTTACATCATCATATACCTCCGCCAAATGGTCGATTACACGATGAATTACATAGTTTTTCAACATTTATTACAATTGTTGCAATTACAATGGCTACAGCTGTATTTTTTGTTGGATGTATTGTTGCAAGATTTGAAAATATATTGGATCATTTTATCGTTGGATTTGTTGTTATAATTGTTGCAAATGTTCCACAAGGTCTTCCAGCTACAGTAATGTCACAATTAAGAATAATTGCAAGAAGAATGGCACAAAAGAATATATTAATTAAAAGATTAGAATTAATTGATGAACTTGGTGCTGCAACAGTTATTTGCGCTGATAAATCAGGAACATTAACAATGAATAAGATGGTTGTAACGGATTTATGGTTTAATGGAAGATTGGTAACTGGAGCTGCTATTGATTTGAAACATCCACATTTGAGAGCAATGAAAAGTTCGATGAAATCAGCTGAAAGATTGGAAGATCCATTACCTGATATTCTAACTGTTATGTCTGTTTGTAATAGTGCACAATTTGAACATGTTCGAAGAGCAATGAGAAGAGTTTCAACAATGAGAGCTATGCAAAAAAGTGCATCTGAAGCTATGTTAAGTGCTAATATGAAGAAAAAGTTTACTATTGTGTGAGTTTCCAAAACAAAAATATCTTGAACAATATTAAAATTTTAGTGATACTCGAACTGGTCAAATATCAGAAGCTGGAGGTCTTCCAAAAGAACATTCAAGTCCAGTTTCATTGAGCGCAGTTGATGATAAAAGTCGAAAAAAATCAAGAAAAAGTGATATATTTGGAGTTCCTTCAGATGTTGCTCTTGTTCAATATGTTGAATTGAATGCAAGTGTTGAAGGAATTCGACAAAGATATCAAAATATATTTGAAATTCCATTCAATTCGTCAAGAAGATGTCAAATTGTTGTCTCAAAATGTTTAACAAATGATTTGCCATTCACAGTTCAGCCAATTCCGCTACCAAGTGAAGTAAGATTTATACTTTTTCAATTTAGAATTTGAGAAAAAAACATACTTTCAGAACGAAGCTCGATTTGTTGTTTTCGCAAAAGGCGCACCCGAAGTAATTCTTGGAAAATGTTCAAAAGTTCGACATGGAAAAGAACTTCGAGATATTGATGAAACTTATCGAAAAGAATGTCAAGCTGCTTGGGAAATGTTAGGAAATGAAGGAAGACGAGTTATTGCATTTGCACAAAGACATTTTAATGCAGATGAGAATCATAGAATTTGTAATCAAACAAAAGATTCATATCCACAAGACTTGGTATTTTTAGGAATGGCTGCAATTATGGATCCACCAAGGTATGACGTTTTTATATTCATTTGATTAGGCGCAGGCTTCAAGACTGCGCCTATTTGGGCTTAGCTACTTAAACAAATGTCCTTTTAAAATAGAAAGCTTAAAGCAAAATGTGTTCGAAAACACAAATAAAAAAACGATGCAAAACAATGAATAGCGCGCGCATTCGTTACACACACACAGTAACTATAGCACAACGCACAACCAGCCATGTGTCGCGACACACAAACATTGAAATAGTGTGTGAAACACAGTCGATTTGGTTTTAACCCAGTTAACCAAGGTAATTTGGTGTTTTGACCTTTCGAAAGAAAGTGTTGAAAAACAACTGCAATTTTTGGATCCAGCTTCTTCGGGGTATCCGGAGGGGCGATTAATTTGAAAAAAGTATTCAATGCAAAAAGTTGTTGAAATTTCTTACAATAATGTTTTTCAGAAGATTTTTCGCGTGATCGCGTGATCTATTCTTCTGAAGCCCATAGATAAATTTTCGAGAAACCATCCCAAGCCTAAAGCTCACCTTGGTGACAACCGCTTCATACATAATTCTCCTTAAATTTCTTCCAAGTTTCCACTTTGATGAAGCTGGCACATTCGATAGAAATAAGATTTTAAAAATAAATGAACAACATAAAAAAGAAACCTCGTGGCACTCTCGTTCACGTTATTATTTTTTGTGGGGGAATAAAATACCTTGTATTATTGAATTAAAAACACGTGAGAAATAAAAAACTAGGTCAAATGATGTGGATTTAAAAACAGTATAGGTAGCCATGTCGTCAATTGCGATGCGGTTCTGCGCTGCGTGTTGATCTCGATATTTTCCATTGAATTTGCCAAATTTTCATTTCTAAAAACGTGTCGCTCACACGCATCGCAACTGACGACATGGCTACCTATACTGTTTTTGAATCCACGTCACTTGACCTAGTTTTTTATTTCTCACGTATTTTTAATTCAATAATATCCGTTTATTTCTACAGTACTAACTCCCTATTTTTTGAAGACCTGAAACCGCTGCCGCCATTGAACAATGCAAACAAGCTGGTGTAAAAGTATTTATGATAACTGGAGATCATCCAACAACAGCAACTGCAATGGCAAGACAAATTGGATTAATCGGAGCAAATAAGGTTAATATGAAGAGAATTTTCGAAAAATTATTAATTTATGGGTTTTCAGGATAATCGAGAAAAGAATTCATGGACAGTGGTTACTGGAGATCAATTGAATGCTTTCAAATTACAAGATTGGGATCAATTATTGAAACATAAAAATGTTGTTTTTGCAAGGTTATTTGAAATTTCGATCAAGAAAAATCTGAAATGAACGTTTTTTTCAGAACAAACGCTGAACAAAAGTTGGAAATAGTTCAAGAACTACAAAAACGTGGAGAAACTGTAGCTGTAACTGGCGGAGGAGTTGATGATGCACCAGCTTTGGCTCACGCAAATGTTGGAATTGCAATGGGACAATCAGGAAGTGATATTGCAAAACAAACATCAGATATTGTATTACTTGATGATAATTTTGCATCAATTGTAATGGGAATTGAAGAAGGAAGACTTCTTTTTGACAATCTTCGCCTTTCTTTAGCCTATACATTTGCACATTTATGGCCAGAAGTATTTCCAATAATGTTATCATTTATGCTTGGTTTACCACATGGTTTATCTCCTCTTCAAATTCTTTCAGTTGATTTAGCATCTGAAATGCCTCCAGCAATTAGTTTAGCTTATGAACAACCAGAAAATGATATAATGCAAACACCTCCAAGATCAAGAACAGCTCGATTATTATCAAAAAGTTTATTAGTTTATTCATATATTTTGGCTGGTTTTGGAATTACAATTGGATGTATTGCAGCATATTTGAGTGTTTATTGTTATCATAATATTCCAATTTCTGATATTTTATTTACTGCTGAACATCATTGGAAAGTTGGAGCTAGAAATTTTACAACAAGTCAAGGCGATGTTTTTGATGAACAACAACAAATTATTATAAAAGGACAAGCAGCTGCAGCTTGGCAAATTACACTTGTTATGTCACAGGTAATTCACTAAAGAATATATCACTTAATTAAAAAAAATAGTTGGGCACATTTTTAATCTAAACATATACAGTACCCCAGTGCCACGCCGCAAAAAAATTGTAAAAATATGGGAAAATTTTTTATATTATTTACATCAGCAAAAAATCCACATGGATTCGAGCTACAGTAATTTGAATATAGGAGATTCCACGTGGCAGACTTCTAAAAACGGTTATCTACAGTATTCAATCTAGATTTAGGATTGCCACGTGGAAAATTTAATTAGACTGTTTTTGCCATAAGCAAATTAAAAAAATGTGAAAATCTAAATCAACAATGATTTTTAAAGGTATTCCATCTTTATAATTGCACAACTCGTCGTGTATCAGTATTTCGACATGGTTTAACAAATATTGTTAGTATTTTCGCTGTCTTAATCGAGGTATGATCTTTAATTATTTCGCAATTTATCTCAACTTCGTATTTTTCCAGGTTCTCTTATTATTCATGTTTGTTTATACTCCAGTTTTCCAATATATAATGGATATTCATACTCCACCAGCTCATGTTTGGGCAATTGCTCCAATTGTTGGCCTTTATCTACTTGCATTTAATGAAATGCGCAAATATTTTATTCGAAACTTTCCCAAAAACAAATTGGTCCGTTTAATAAAATGGTAGTTTCAATTTCTCGAAAAAAAGCAAGATTGTCGTGTACATATTTTGATCCGGTAGTGTTTTCTCACTTTCTTCACTTACAGGTTTTAATAAAATCAAATTTTTATTTTGTATATATATATTCTTTTTTTTGTGCCCGTTATAAAAATAATTAATAAAGCTGCTTTTTAGTATCCCATAAAGGAAGATCAGTTTGATTAAAAAGTGATAAATATCGATTTCGAAGAGTGTAGGCAGCCATTTTTGCTTGACGTGTTCGCGTGAAAACTCCTTTATGATTTCCAACAGCTCGTGTTGTAGCTGAAAATAATATATTTGGGTTATATAGATTTTCAGAATTTCTTCCAAAGTTCCGAAAAATTATTTTGAATTAAAAGTAGGAACCCCGAAATCGAGAAAATAAAATTGGAAGTAAAAATTGGACTTCCGAAGTTCCGAAAAGTTGATTCCAATCAGCTAAAGTTACCAGAATTACTGTAGTTATTACACTATCTTTGGAAAGTAAAACTACGGTAACCCAGAAAATTCCTTATATTTGTTCTCATAGGGTACTGTAGGTTTTACGAAAGCCATTCTGAAAACAACTATTTTTTATTGGAATAAAAACGTGACCCCGCCCCCTTATCTTTTCAAATCCCATTTCCATTTTCATTTTCATTTCAATTATTTCAACTCACTCATTCCAGTCATAAAATCAGCAAAATTCCAAATCATTTCTCCAGTAATTGTATGATCTTTTCTCAAAGCATCAAATGCAAGATGAGTTTGATGAATTAATTCAGATTGATATTGTTCAGAAAAATCAACCGAAGGTTCTTGATTCAATCCTAGTATACTATCAGCTCCATATTCTGTTACCATTAATGGTTTTTTGAAAGTTTCTTTCCAAAGTGACAAATCCCAATAAACACTTTGATTTATCCATTCCATTTGTCCCATATCAATATACCAACCATAATATCGATTTACACAAATAAAATCCATCAAATCAGCTGTTTGATCATCGTCGAAATTTGTTGGTCCGTAAACTGTTGTAACTGGCCGGGTTCGATCAATTCCATGAGCGGTTTCAACTAAACTTCTGAAAATATATCCAATTCTAATTTTGCAACATATTTCAAATTACCTGAAATAATTTCGACTTTCTTTTTTCTTTGTAACTGGTTCATTTGCTAACGACCAAGCAATAACAGATGGGTGATTTTTATCTCGATCGATCATATCTGTCAACATTTTAATGTGTAGATTGTTATTAGCTTTTGGAAATCCTCTGAAAAAACATTTGTTTTGGGAAAACTTGAAAATAACATACTTTAATCCAACAGCTGGTGTTTCAACAATAACTGCAATTCCTCTTCGATCATTTTCAGCCATTCTTTCTTCAGCATATGGATAATGTGTTGTTCTATAACAATTTCCACCCATCCATTCCAATAAATTTAAATCTTTTGTCATTACAACTTGATTAAAACCTCGACCAGATAATTCGAAATCTTCGTGCATTCCAAAACCAAGACAATAAAATGGTTTTTGATTTATAAGCATTTGTGATTCAGTTAAAGAAACAGTTCGGAATCCAAATGTTTCTCTATAAACATCAACAACTTGTCCATCTGATGAAAGCAAAGTTATTTCGAGAATATACAGATTTGGTTTTCCCATTCCACGTGGCCACCATAATTTTGCATTTTCTAATTGTCCTTCGCCTTTTGTTGAATTTGATTTGAAAACCACTAAATTATTATCATCAAATATTTTTGATTCAACAACCAATCCATTATTCAAATCGCTGATTGCTGTTTCATAATAAAATGAGCCTGTGTGATCAGCAACAATTATTATATTTTCAATATATGAAGATGGAAGTTTGACAAGTTGAACACTACGAAGAATTCCAGCATAATTGAAAAAATCGAAGTTTCCAACATCTTTGAAAGCACCAGATGGAAGACGGGAAAGCTGCAAAATTTGACATAATTTGTTGAAGCAATTGTTTTTTTTACTGTAGAAGATTTTAGGTTCTTTCCCTGTCTATGAAAAAAATTCCGTTGTTTTTTATCATTCAAAATTGATCGCCCCTCCGGATACCCCGAAGAAGCTGGATCCAAAAATTACAGTTGTTTTTCAACACTTTCTTTCGAAAGGTCAAAACACCAAATTACCTTGGTTAACTGGGTTAAAACCAAATCGATTGTGTTTCACACACTATTTCAATGTTTGTGTGTCGCGACACATGGCTGGTTGTGCGCTGTGCTATTGTTACTGTGTGTGTGTAATGAACAGAGAGAAGGCGCGCGCGGAAATCGTTTGTTTTTCGAGTAAAAAAACTATTTTTGACGAATAACTTTAACAAAACGTACACTGTTCGATAGCACATTTCGAGAGCTTTTAAACGAATATGAACTCACCATTCTACCAGAAATATTTCGCGAAGAAGCTTTTTGATAATTAAAATCTCCCTGAGGAATAGTTGCCCAGGATAATGTGTTATTTACAGCAACTGTGAACTTATTTTCAATTCCAAATTTCAAATACTGAGAAACATCAACTTCAAATGGCAAATGTCCGCCAACATGCGTTGTCACTTTTTGTGAATTGACATACTGTAAAAATACGGTAGATTTGTTTTTTTTTTTACAAATAATTCAAAGCAGCTTACAACAACTGCAAAATAATTGACACTTGCAAATCGTAGAAAATGTCGAAATTGTTGATCTCTAAATGGTATAATTTCTTTTTTCTCATACCAAACCCATCCAATATGATCTCGAAGTTCACTTGATGTTCCAAGATCATTATATGCACTTGGAACAGGCATTACTGTAGCATTCTAAAAATAGTTTTAGGAATTTAATTTTTCAAATTTGGATGACTAACATCAAACTTGCTTAAATCATTTGAATACCATTCATTTGTTATTCCAAGATCTCCATAATTTGTTGGTTCTCTTACAAAAGTCCATAAACCATCTAAAGATTCATAAGTTCGAATCTCATTTTTTTGCACTGCCAAAATTGATAAAATGGGCTCAAAATATAAAGCAAGGAGAATTGACCCAAAAATGAGAAACATCTAGAAAAAAATAGGAAAAATAATAGAGATTGTAATTAGGTATGTACTATAAGGACAAGTTTTACAAGAAAATAAAACAGAAATAAATTTTCGGATCATTTTTGTTGAAAAAGGAGTAAAAGAAGAAGAAGAAACAAGTTAAAATGACCCAATTGAAAAAAAAATAAAAAAGAAAGAAAAACGTATTTCAGGAAAAATGAAAAGTGGTTTCAAAGATGATAATAAAATTCAATTTAGGACAACAATCGAGAGAATGGTGGAACTGAAGAAAAAAGAAGAAAAAATAGGTTGGTATTCAAAAAAAAAAGGAAAAAGAAAGTTTATGTGGTAGTTGGTTTTTAGCGGATAAAACAAATATATTTGATAAGATACAAAATGTAAGTACTCTTCTACATATGTTTTTTAGTGTTCAATATTTGTTTTACTGTGTGAATGGAACACTTCTCAGAGATCAATAGCACATTTGTCTGAATAAAAGTGTAAAATAGGTTGGGAGAATTGATGTAGAGTATAGGGTATTATCGTAAGATCCACAACATGAACTCAATTATCTTGCGCATTTTCTTTTTATCCAATTGGAAAACAAAAAAAACGAGGCCAAGATTTATGAGGAGCTTGGAAAATATTAAAGGTCACATGAACGAATTCATCCAACTAAATGATGGATAGCTTTTCTGTTCGGCAGATGATAAATTGACTGAAAAAAACATGAAAATGTGTTTTTTCCCAACTAAATAAAAAGATTAAAATGGGTATTTAGTTTGTCGCAAAAAAGTGAAAATGAATGTGAATGAATAACAAGAAAGCAAATAAACAACAACTTCTTTTATAATAATACTATCTTGAATTTATACTTTTTAAATTTAAGTTTTTCACGGTCAATAAATCAAGTATCGAGTTTTCGTTCTCGACCAAAAACTGAAACTTTTTATTTTGAAGTTGAACAGAAAATAATTTATTACAAACCATGTGATAAAATTGAAGTGTCTTTTATAATTCGTGGATTTTTTTGCGGTTTCACAGAAGAATTCTGGGAAATTTCAGATTGAAACTGAAAGTTCTTCTCACAATTCCTTGTAGGCGTTTTTAATCCAAAGTTATCGCCCCTCCGGATACCCCGAAGAAGCTGGATCCAAAAATTACAGTTGTTTTTCAACACTTTCTTTCGAAAGGTCAAAACACCAAATTACCTTGGTTAACTGGGTTAAAACCAAATCGATTGTGTTTCACACACTATTTCAATGTTTGTGTGTCGCGACACATGGCTGGTTGTGCGCTGTGCTATTGTTACTGTGTGTGTGTAATGAACAGAGAGAAGGCGCGCGCGGAAATCGTTTGTTTTTCGAGTAAAAAAACTATTTTTGACGAATAACTTTAACAAAACGTACACTGTTCGATAGCACATTTCGAGAGCAACAATTCAGTCAAAAGTGCTTTTCTTCAAATTTCAAAAATGAACGTTAAAAAAATACAGTAATACTTTTCCTAAAATTAATTGAATTTCCAGGGTCACGTCCAAATTTGTATAATTTTTTAACTTTTCGAAAACTTACAATCTATGACAGCTTCGGAATGAAATTAAAGTTTCAAAAATGAAAAATTTTGCGCCTAAATAGCTTGAAGGGCGGAAGTTTTGAAACAGAAAATCAAACATTATATTTTTGTTTTGAAACGTTTTCCATCCGTCACAAATCAAAATACAAAAAGTAGAACACTCAAATAAAAATAATAATAAAATCAAAAAATAATTAGTTTATGTCATAAAATCTGAACAATAATTATGCGAAAAAAAGTGAAAACGACTAAAATTTCTTCAGGTTGTGAGATCAATTTGGCGGCGAATAAAATGCAATAAAAAGCTAGAAGGGTACTAAAAAAATATCACAAAATTGAAAGAAAAAACATGAGATTTTTGTCTTATTAAATAATCCACTCATCAGTTCTCCAAATTGCAATCGAATGAACATCGGATATTTTGTGATCGTTGACAAATCGATGAGAAAGACTTCGAAATTGTCGACCAACTGATACAAGCAATGAATTTTGACTTGAAATATTTGAAGAAGATGATGATGAACCGCCTTCGATTGTACCAGAAGTTCCTCGAAATCTATCAACTGTTTCACTAACTCTTTCTCGAACCCAACCAAGACCAGATTCTGTTGAAGAAGCTGTGCTTAAAGTTGTTGGTCGACCTCTGATACTTTCATCATCTCTTGAATTTTCTTCAATTATACAAATTGAAGAAATATCTGCTTCATATGGCCGAAATGCTGATAGAGGTTGGAGCTGGAAAAAAACGCTTTCAAATCTTAAATTTTTCATGTTTTGCTCTCTCTTTAACTTACCGTTTGAGCATGAGCAACAACAATAAGACCTTTTGAAGTACCAATATATAATTGATCTCCAAAATTTCGTTCTAATAATTGCAAACATGTTACTGTATTTTGATTAGCCATTTCCATATCAATTGTATGAATTGTTTCACTTGCTGGCATCACTTTTCGAATATCCAAACTTCCACAAACCAATCTTTTTTCAACATCAATCATCAAAACTTTCGGACTTTTTTCAATTGAAATCCAAACTCGACTTCCATCTTTTAATCCAATAATTTGTCGAACTTGACAATCTTCATCAGGAAGATAAAGACTTGAAGAAAACGAAAATGAATCATTTGAAGCAATGTGATGAATTGATATTCTTCCTTCTGAATGACCAGTCCAAATTTGTCGAGTTGAACCAGAATCAAGAAAAACAGCTGTTTTTATTTCATGTTGACTATCAAAAGTTCCAAGCAATGTTACTGAATTATTTTCTGTTAGGCGAAGAAGCACAATTTGTTTATCCGAAATAAGAAGAAGAACATCAGATGTTATCAATTCCGGGGCTCGGATCTGAAAAGCAAAAGTCTGTTATTTTTGTAGGTTATCTCACAATTAATTTCATGAGCTTATTTTTTCATTCCGAATTCAGTTTTCTAAAAAAATGCTCCCCCGACATTTCACGGGTTGTGCGAAATAGTATCAAACAGAAAGAGGGAGAAAGAATGCGCCATTTTTCTAATTGAATTTTTCGATTTTTTTGCAAACTTATCCAACAAATTATGAAAAAACTTACAAATGTTCCATTCAGCGATGGTAATTGTAAATGTCCAGTTTCGTGTAAACTGATACCATAAACTGTAACTTGTCCACATTCGTCGCAAGACCAAATCGAATCTCGAATTTTGCTGACAAATTTGGCGCGAAATGGAAAATTGATGGATTTTGTGTCGACGAAACCATACTGTGTACAACTCATAACAGTCATTTCTCGACCAGATAACCATAATTGAGATTCGAAATCATCTGGTGAATCGACATCATCTGATATTGGAACAGCAAGAATTTCAGTTGGTGGCAACGCTTCTGAAAAAAACGGAAAAATTTATTCATATTTCGAAAGAAATTTAAATATTTTACCATTTAATTCACAAACATCTAAAAGATGTGTAAATTCTGGAGCTGCACAAAAACCAACAAGTTGAGAAGAAGATGGACGACTTTCAGGATGTGCTGACCAACAATGAACTAATAAATCTAACATTGGAGTTGGAAGAAGTAATTCATGTGGAAGTAAAACAGGTCGAGCACCATCTAACATTCTTTCTTTTACATGTTCTTCTCCTTCAAATGGTAATTTCAAAGTGAGAAGTTCATATAAAAACATTGCAAATGAAAAACAATCAACTTTTTGAGTATATTCTTCTTCTCCATTAAATCGAACAATTTCAGGTGCCATAAATCCTTCAGTTCCTCCAAAACCTTTTGCTCCGCCAGATGGAAGAACTGATCTTGAAATGCCGTAATCTCCCAATTTTAAAAGGACGTCAGTTTGTGGACTAAAAGGTGCTGGAAAACGCCAACCAAGAACATTTTCCGATTTCAAATCTCGATAAATAATATGAGCAGAATGTAAATATTCAAGAGCTCGAGCAACTTGTACAGCTGATTCTTTGATGACACCTAATGATAGTTTTGTTCCACTTTTTCGATGTGATGCAAGAAGTTGATTAAGAGCTCCAAGTGGAGCTAATTCAACAATCAAAGATAAAGGAGATGTGCACATCTGAAAATAAAAATTAATTTTTATAGGGAAATTCATAATACCTAAGAAAAACAGGGTTCGGGTCCATTCTTTCGAAATAATTTTCAATTTTTTTGAAACTCCAAAATGAAATTATTTCGAATTTTAAATAAAAAAAAACCTTTCAATTTTAAATATTGAGAACACAAAGTTTGGAAAACATTATAGAAAATTCCAAAAAGTTTTTCTTTGATTTAAAAAAAATGTACCCTTTTCAAGTTCTTACCCCAACAAGTCCGATAACATTTGGATGTTTCATTGTACTCAATAAGCCATATTCTTGTCTAGAAGTACAATATGCTCGACATGCAAATTCCAGCGAATCTCTTCTCCATTTATCAGCAGCTGCTTTATATGCAGCTAATGCACTTTGTCTTCCTCCGGGTCCTGGATCAACTGGCTCTAACATTTTTTGAGCAATTTCACAAAGTTCTCCATTTGATAATCGAATTGTTGATCGAAATACAAATCCAAAAGCTCCTCTTCCTAACATTCTTCCTCGTTTGACTTGTTCATTTTGTATCAAATCAATATCAGCAAATACAGTATCTGGTGCAATATCTCTCATATGTAAACCACTATGAGATGGACATTCTAACCATCCATATTCTCTTCCAGCTAACATACATTCTTCAATCACAAAACAATGAACAACTCCTTTAACTGTTTTCGAAATATCTCCAACTGTTTTTGATTCTTTCATTTTTGTCGGTGAAATAATGTGTGTATTAACTTCAGCATCATCTTGTGATCTTCGAGATGATTTCATTTTAACAGCATCTCGAATACAATGTGGACATAAAACATATCTCGAAACAAGCAAATCTCCTTCAGAAGAATGAACAAAACGTGTGCCAAGAGATGGATACCTGCAAAACGTGAAATTTTCGATATTTTGCATCATTATTAATTTTTCTAAATTCAGTATCATATTCAAAAAAGTGAGGTTCAAAATAAAAAATAATGTCAGCTCCAGATGAGAATCAAATCAAACAAATCATATCCGAACAAGCAATGAAACAACCAAATCCGGATAAAATGAAAGTGACAAAAATTGAATTGAGAAAGGTAAATGCTTTTTTTTGCTTTTCTGATTCTAACTGTATATTTTTTAGAAAACATTGAAAGAGTTGGAAGAAATGGCAACAGCCAGATCAAAAGATGATAAAGATACTGATGAAGAAGAAGCAAATCTTCCAGTTCCTCATGTTTGTCCATCTGAATATTCGTTGAAAGAATTAAACAATCAATTGATTCCTCTTCCAATTGTTAGAGCTTTTAATTCAGCCGAAGGAAAAATTCGAAAGAAACAATGATAAAATAAATCGATTTTTACTCACCAATCTTCTAATAATGTATCCAAAAGATCAGTTATCAAAGCTAATAATCGACTTCTTCCTTCTAAATCAGTTTTCATTGATAATCTTTGTCCAGATGAACTCGTTGACATACTGAAATATCAGAAAATTATACTTTTTTATTTCAAAATTAGTGTAACGAACCTCAAAGAAGAAATCATCATTTCAATAATAGGTCGATGTTCAACACAATTCCAAGTTCTCCATCTTTTTTGTTCATCTTTTGCTCGAAGATCTAATAAATTATAATCAATATCTCTAATTTGAGCAGATGGCAGAAATTGTTTCAATTCGAATACAGAATGTCCTTTTATATGTAATTCTAAACCAGTTTGCCATACAATCCATTCAGCTTTTGCAAATTTCGTAGCAATTTCAGATATTTTTGAACAATCTGCAGATGTTGTCATAAATATTGATTCGATTGCTGTTGTCACATTTTTATCTCCCATAATTCGAGTTATTAAACGACTCCAAAAACCAGATGGAATATATGATAAAGCATAAATTCTTCGAAGAAGTTTATCATCATCAAATGTAAAATGAAGAATTGGATCGGGATCAACACTAATACGTTGAAGTGGTTTTTTGATTGGTGAATTTGAATTTGGTGGACTTGGACATCTTACTGTCCATTTTTTGATTTTCATTCGAATTTTGACAGCAGTTGTTAGAAAATCAGATCTCAATCGATATTCATCGGGTAATAAACATGGTAATAATAGTTGTCTTGATTGAGTTGATAATGCTAATTCGAATTTGTGAAGAAGATCCAATAATTGATTTTTTAACATCAAAAGCGCACCAGATTTGAATTGTCGTGTTAATGGATTTATTGCTTCAGTTGATAAAAGACCAGATGGAAGACTTGGAGAACGAAGAATAACAATTGCAGTTAGAAATTCAAGAAGCCAAAGTGGTTCAACAAATATTAAATCACGTAATGTTGCATCTTCAAATCGAACAATTTCACCACAATCATGTAAAAATGTGCAAGCAGCATAAAATTCAATATCATCTCGAAATGGTCTTCCAAATTTCGAACTCATTCTTTTTTTCACTCTTTCTTTATATGATTCAATTGTCATAACAGATGGTACTCCTTCTTTTCGAAATTCTTGTCCAATTTCTTTTGTTATTTTTAATAACGCAATATAAGATGAAGGTATTTGTTGTTCTAATGCTCTTTCTTTTCCAATTCGAACTTCCCAAGAAACTCGATAAATTGTATTCAGAAGTGTTTTGATATCTTGCCGATTTGTTGAATTTATTAATAAAACATCTACAATTCGTGGAAGACCTGATTTATCAGCATCTGATATCATATATCGATTTCGAACTTTTGTTTCAATTTCTTCTATAAATGTTGATGGTAATTTTGAATGAGCAACTTGATCCAAATGTGTTCCAACAAGAATTACAGTACTATTTGGTGCTCTCGCTTGAATATTAATCAACCAATTGTCTAATTGTGTAAACGCTTCTTCTCCATCAGTTATTTTCCAAATAATTAAACTCAAAGATCGTTTACTCAAAAAATATTGATGAGTTGCATAATATTCTCGATGTCCACCAAAATCCCAAGATGTATATCCAACTGGTCCAAGTATTCTATCACCTTTTTGTCGTTTTGCTTCGAATTTGAATTCACAAATTTTGACAGAATCTGATTGAGTTGCTTGTCTTTTTTGCATTCCTTCATTTCGTAATCCTTCCCAAATTAAAGTTTTTCCACATTCTGAAGATCCCAAAATCATTAATCTGAGATGATGATATGTTTTTGATTCTTCAAGAATTGTTTTCAAATATGCCACAATTTCAACTGTTTTACAGTTTTCCGTATTAACCATTGATTCAAGTGGTTCTTTCAATGAACATCCTTTTAATGAAAGTGACCATAATCTAGACAACATTCCATAATCCGGTGGAAGTTCTCGAATATTTGTATTTCCTGATAAATTGAGAACTGATAATAGAGATAGTTTTGCAATGTCCGATGGTGGAATTGATGTTAACTTATTATCGCTCAAATCAAGAACATTCAAAATTGGTAAAAGAATTTTGGATGTTTCTGAATTGACAACATTGAGAGTTGAAAGACGATTTCCAGCAAGTTGAAGAGTTTTGAGCCATTCTAATGAATCGTGTCGTTTATGAACACATTCTTCATCTTTTTGTGAATCAATTGGTTGATTTCGTGAAACACTCAATGATCTTTGTGATCTAACTGCTGATTTCGATCTGCTTCCTGAAGAAAAAAACATTTTTTTGACCTAACGAATAATGTTTTTAAAAAATTCATTTCTAGTTATCCTATATTATAAATAGAATTTTATTAAAACTCACTATTTTGTCTAACAGGACTATTTCTTCTTCTCGTTCCACTCATTAATGATGGAGGTCCATTTGAAGGAGGAACAGCATGACAAACAGTATGCAATTGTGTTGGATTAATAAATCCTTCTTGAATTTTATTATATGACAAATCGAGTGTTCGGAGATGAGCAGGAATACAAGCAAATGGAGGCAATGAAGTAAGTGAATTATTTGACATATTTAATATCAAAAGTCGAGGACAAGTACATGCAAGGCAAAATGGGAACGTATGAAACTGAAAAAATTAATATTGATTAAACATAATTGGAATTAGAAAAATAAATAAAACTCACTTTATTATGAGATAGATTTATACTTGTGAGAGTATTTGAAGAAGTGACTTGGAAATCAGGAAACATTGAATCATCATCATAAACTTTCGATAAATTAATAGCTGCCTGCCAAACATTTTGACGTTTCAATGGATGAATTGTAACATTTGGTGGAGTTTCATTATCTGGTGTTTTTATCGATCCTTGATGTATTCCTTGAACTAATCTAGGCCTTTCTCCTCGACTTGTTCTAGCAACCATTGGAAGAGAACTAAGTCGATTTGAAGAAGCATTTAATTCTTTCAATGATGGGCATAACCAAATATATTCCGGTAGCTGACCAAGTTCATTTTTTGAAACATCAAGATTTTGAAGTTGTGGAAGAGAAGCTAGAAATTGTGGAGTCAAATATTCCAAATTATTGTTTCGCATATTCAAAATTTCCAATGAAGTGGATGAAATATAATATGATGGAACTTCAATTGTTCTAATTGAATTTTCTGATAAATTCAATGATCGCAAAGATGGCATTTGGAATAGAATACTTGGAAATGTTGTCAACTTATTTGATGATAAATCTATTCTTGTGATAGCAGCTAAAGCAAGTCGAGTTGTTCGTAAACGTGGATTAACATGAAGTGAAGCCGCTATAAACCAATCTGATTGAACTTGATCCAAACTTGCACAAGACCAATTCAATTGTGCTGATTTTGATGGACATAACGAAGATGGTAATAGGTTTTGGCCAACTTGAATTTGTCCAACATCGATATTTTTCTTGTTTATTTTATATTCAGGATCAGGAAAAACTAAACGAGTCAAAAATACTCGCATTAATTTTTCATTGTGATTTTCAGATGCAAGGCGAAGAGACTTGTTATCTGTATCTAGTGCACCCCGATCCAATAAAAAATGAACAATATGAAGACCATCCGATCGAACAGCTTCGACTAATGCACCTGATCCAATACAACGACCTTCTTCAACACTTCGTTCTGAATCAAGAACTGCAAGTGGAAGATTTATATCAGCACCAGAATCAAGAAGAAGACTAAAAACAAATTATCAGTGATGTAATATGAAAATACAACAGAACTCACTTTAATAATGGTAGGGATTGATTGAATGCAGCTAACATAAATGGAGTTCTTCCTCGTGTACAATAAACATCCAATTGAAATGGACATCTTATAACATGATCTATTGATTCACATTTAAAATCAATCATTGTTTGAACAACTTCTAAATGATTTGCCGAAACTGCCAGATATAAAGCAGTTCGACATTCTCCATCAACTTCATTTACATCAATTGCGAGTTTATATGATGGAGCACCAACTGTATCAATTTCCAATAGATGTTTTTGTTCAAAAGGAAACTCCAAGATCCTGAACATTTTTTAAAAATAATGTTGCAATTCTAGGTATAAAGTTGATAATAACTTACGTTTTTACACATTCCGCTGAGCCACATCTCGCAGCCCAATGAAGACAAGTTGAACCTTCACTGTTTTTTGCATTAACAAGCTCTGGGAATGTCTGAAATTTGTATTTTCAGTGTTTCCTCCGTGTCGAAAATAAAAAAATTTTTAGCGACAAATGTCGGCAATTTATGTGTTTGGTGTTTGCAGATATGTGTGCAGACTTGGGCGCCTACAGTACTCCAATTTTCGAAAAAGAAATATTTTTTTTTTTACGTTTTTTAGTTGAGCTGCAGATATTAGTACTGAAACATTGAAAAGTCTCGCAGTGTTGACCAACAAGTTTCATCAGATTCTATCACTCCCCACAAACTTTTCTGTTTAGTAAATAGCAATCGTACGTGTTAGAGCTCAAGAATAACGAGAAATGTTTCGTTAAATGTATTGTTTTACGTGTTGGCAATTCGGCATTTAATTTATTTAAATGTGAGATCATTTCTAGAAAATTATGACGCTCGAATTCGTCATTTTATTAGGTTAGTTCAATTAATCACTAGATTTAGATTTTCAAAAATATTTTCAATAAGTTTCAACTTGCAATTGAATGGTGAATAATCCTTTCTGAGAAATAAAAAAAAACCGCCGAAAAAGTTGTTATTTTTGTGTTCGTTTTTGTATTACACAGAAAGAGGCCATTTTGTGATTCACATGTTTTTCTTGTCAACCTCTTTTTTTCTCTTTATAATAATTTTTTCTCATTCCATATATTATTTTATTTTTATTTTCTCAAATGTTTCAGAATGTCATCAATTTTACGAAAGTTGAGTATTTATGGAAATGATTCATATTCTCCACAAATTCGATTTGATACAGGAGAAAATGCAACACGAATAGCGAAATCATTATTATCTCATCTAAAGTCATATTCTACTGAAAGAACTCCTGCAAGACTTGGAGATGTTTGCGAAAAAATAACATTGATTTGGTCAAATATGTTCAATATTGAGAAAGAAATTGCACCAATCAAAAAATTTGAATTGGCCGAGGAATTTTTGATTCGACCAGATATTATGAAATTGTTATTATTTGTATTTCGAATGCTTCCATTTGAATCAAAGAAAAAGATTCGAGATATTGTTACATTTATAATTGTTTGGTGTTCAAATGATGCAGAAGATAGTTCATTTGGAAGATCAAGAGCTAAATTCAATGTGAAAATTCGAGATCAGTTATTTCATGTGCGAAAAGAAGTGATGGATATTTTAATAGAAGGATTGGATGCACCAGATAGTATTGGATTATATAATGATATTCTCAAACTTTTTGTGAAAGATGATATGTGTCTTATGTCAATTTTAGATGATAAAGGAATCGATCAAAAATCTGGATATCAAATTCGTGAAAAAGGGTGCTTTTGGATGATATTTAAAAGATTAACAGCTAAACAAGTATTTCTCGAACAGTTTGATGTTACATTCAAAACATTGGAAAGTATTGAAGTTATTTTATCATCAAATCGAGCTGCAATTAGTGAATTTCTATTAAATAATTGGGAACAATTCTCGTGTAAATTTTTTATAACTTTTAGAAATTAAATCTGAAGTGACTTTATTTTTCAGGTTGTATGAACAAATTGATGTTGAGTGTTAATTATTATATTCAATCGAAGTCTAGTCAAATTATGTATGATATTTTAACATGCCGTGAAAATTTTTCAATCTTCAAAAAATGGCTCAACGATAAAGAAAATTTGCGCATCACTGTGCAAAATTTTGAAAGCTTTTTCAAGCCTGTAAGAATGGCTGCCATAAAGCTTTTTGAGGTAATTTTGTTTAAAAAATAAATTCAAGAATTTTCAAATTTTCAGTTGTTCGTTTTCAACCCATCGAATACTCCAAATGTTCATCAATTCATAGAAGATAATTCAATTATTTTGGTCAAATATTTTTTCGAAATTTCAAATTCTCATGGATATAAAGGACGTGTTGAAGAACTCGAAGATGCCCGAATTTCAAAAATTGTTTATAAATTATTAACTTGGTCACGACAAAGACCGTTTACCAAAGAAGAAGAAATTGAATTTGAAAAAGATGAGAAGTTACAAGCAAAAATGCTAGAAGGTTAGTTATTTTGTTTTTAAAATAAATATAGAGATATTGTCTATCTCAGAACAAACAATTGAAACGGAATCGTCAAGTTCAAAATCAAAAATATGTCATGAATATGTAAACCGGGTTGCATATCACGTTGAAAATCTCCGTGAACCAATTATTTTTGGTAAATTTTAAAATAAAAATTAACTTACTTGTAAACATAATTGAAGAACTTCAACATTTTGTGAAGAAACAGCTGAATGAATTACAGTATCTTTTGTATTTTGAGAAACTGTTAAATGTTCACTAAATATTAAAAGCCGTTTTACTATCTCAATTTGACCATTTGTACAAGCTCTGAAAATATAATTCATTGTAAAAATAGGGAAGAAATAATTCATAACTTACATTGCAAGAACAGTTTGATCATCTGGCGATCTTCCATTAAATAATACTGATCTTGTCGATTTTTTATTCGTAAATTTCTCCAAAATATCTTCAACTTGTCTCAAATCTCCTTCTATACACGCAGAAATTAGAATAGTATGCGCATTATCCAAATTTTCATTTTCCTGTTGTATAAATTCAATCAAAGCTAACGCGGCCTCATTATGTCCTGCTTTTTGTGCCAATTCCAAAGGACAATACCCGTCTTTATCTGTGAGCAAAGGATCTGAACCATTTTTAACCAATTCTCGAATTATTTCAATTTCTCCTGATTCCGCAGCCATATGTAACGCTGTTTTTCCACGATCATTGCACAAATCAAGAGATTCTAAAAAATTAAAATTCAGTTTTTAATTTTTAAACAAAGGTTATAAAAATACCTGGACTACATATAAGAATTGTTCGTAAACTATCAACTTTTCCATTATGTGCAGCTAACATAAAAGGTGTTCGACCATGTCGATCTACCCGATTCCAAACCCATGGATTCACATTGAAAAGATCGGCAAGAAGTTCAAGATTTTCGAATAAAATTGCCTATAATTAGCTATGAGTTTTGACAATTGATAAAAATAATAATAATTTTGAAAATTACCTGTCTAACAAGCTGTATAGCTTCTGAATTATCTAATTCTAATAATCCATCACTCGTTGAGCCCATTCGCTCCTAAAATAACATTGTAATTCCTCAAGTACACAAATAAATAAAGACACAAAAATAATAAAATAAATATAATAGAAAAAATAGTGTTTGAAACGCGCTCTGACGAAAATTACATATATTGATTTGTGTGTTATGTATGGCAGATGTGAGAAAAAAGGACACAACGAAAATGAGGAGGATTTATTGTTAGATATATTTAATAGTATATAAGAGAAGAAAAAACGATGATGATGAACAAGAATTACTGTCTTTTTTTAATATTTATTTAGTATTACATTACAACAAAAAATGTATCGAAACAAAATGATTTTTACAATTAAAAATGTCCTGTACTTTGTCGAGTATTTATGGATTTTGAGTCAAATTTTGAGCGAATAAACATTGTAGCACCACCTCCGATTGAAGAAATTGTTCTTTTTACACCAATTCGATCTCGAAGAGTTCTGAAATATGAATTTTTCATTGAAAATTTGAAAAGATAATATGATGGAATTTCTAATATGATACTTTCGAAATTTTTGCTTTAAAAAATTTTAATTAAAGTATAAAAATCTCAGAGACTCGAGAAAAAATTTCAAAAATTTGGGATCATTATATGAGGGAAGTCTCCGAATTATTAATTTTTGATAATTATAAGAAATGTTCTCTTTCTTGATATATCTCTAAATGTTTTGTAAATTTTTTTCGGAAGTTTAGAAAAATAATTCGGGAAATGTGTTTTTGCGAAGAAATCAACCAAGTATATCAATTTCCCAGTTCACAAAATTTATTTTCCAATTATTTCTGATAACTAATTTTTCCCGAAATAGAACTTCTGACTCTTGCAAAAAAAAAAAAAATAAAAAGAAATTTTCACGTATTTAACCGCCTTCTCTAATTCAAAGTTTATATTGAATTAGCGAAAGAATAATTGTTGGTTTCCTCGCTGACTAAATATATAAATTATTAAGGAACTAAGTCGCCTCAAACTAAAAAGGTTTTTTTTTTGATTTTTCGTCCTTAGTAAACTTATTTGTTTATGATTGTGTTTTAGACTAATAAACATCGCGTGTTAATGTGATTTATGGTTGTTTCCAGATTCTTTATGTAGTCTAGTTTCCAATTAAATTAGTTCCGTGTCTCGAATTAATTTACTTTTATATAAACAATTTTCATACTTTTTTTCTAAAATGATAACTTACTGATTAACAATAATATAAATAATTGGATGAATTCCACTATTCAAAATCCACATAAAATTTAATGCACAATAACTCCAAATACTCGCTGGCAATAAAACTTCGTAATTATGCCAAAAAACATTCAAAATTGTGCAATAAATTGTTATAACTGATGCTTGAATTAGAACTTTTATTTCTGCATTATAATTTGAATTCATCATAAATCTTTTTTTCTAAAAAAAGTGAATTTAGGAATGTTTAATTTTCAGAAGAAACTGACAGTTTTGATAAGTTGAGCAATAATAAGAATGTAGAAGAATGCGGTTACAAATATACCACCAATTTCAATAACCATTTCAACTCTTTGAACATATTTTGAATAAATAAATTCACTATTATAATCCCAAGAATACCAACTTGGATAATATTGAATTGTTGCATAAGGTGAAGCTAAAGCTAAAACAAATGCAAACCAAAAAATAGCTGATATTCCAATCCATATTTTCCATCGATTATCTCCATATAATATTTGATCTAATTTTGGAGATGATAATTGTATTAATCGATTAAATGATAAAAATACAGTAAGAACTGCATATCCAACATAACAAGGTGTTGCAATCACTCCCATTGCCTAAAACGTGATATTTTCAATATTATTTTTAATTCAAAAAATTAGTTTAATTTTATTTGATAACTTACTTTGGCTAAAAGTGGATCGAAAACAGTTTGAAATATTGTGAATATTCCAGTTACAAAATGAGGTAAACATTGTACAATATCATAAACTCCAAGAAAAAACATAAAACGATAACTTGCCATTCGCATCATTTCTTTATCTTTCCAAATTGTTCTTAAAATCATAAAATATGAAATACCACATAAACTCGAAGTTAATAGCATAAGAATTCCAACTATCCAATCAGAAAGTATCGTACGACCTTAAAATTATTTTTTGAAAATTCATCTTGTAATGATTTATTTGATATATATTACCTGTGTCTTCTTCACTTTCTTCAGCTTCTTCTTCTCCTACCGTACTATTATTTTGTGTTCGAACTGTTTTTGAAAACAAAAACAAAAATATGAAAATTATATATTTTTTCATATCAAGCGAGATAAGTTTGTCTGTTAAAAAACAATAAATAAAGAAAATGTGGCTGCGCGCTGGAAGTCAGATTAATAAATAAAGTTAAGTTTTTTCTCGAGACAACGGCGGAGGCGATTGGAATGCAATAAAATGTTACTCATAATTTACATAGCCTTTTTTGGCTAGAAAAATAATTTGATTGAAATTCCTGGGAAGTTTATTGTTTGCAAAAAATATGAATGCAAAATATGGACTTTGATTTGGTCATGAATAAAAGTTTGATTAGTTTGAATATGTGACTTTTAAAGTTTTGTTTTGTTTTGCTGAACCGTGATTTTAAAATTTTCTATCAGAACGAAGAATGACAATTATCATATTTTCAAGACAATCAATTTATTAAAAAAACAAAAAGGCACATATTTATCAATAAAATAATAAAATAGCATTAATTTTATATTTCTAAATAAGTTTTTCAATAGTTGCTTGATGCTCATCTGGAGCATATTGTAAACCATTATATAATTTGTAGAAACAATCGTGACAGTATGGTTTTCTATCATGTTCTCTAAATGTTCCATGCATATTCAAAGCCTTTTGACAATAAGTACACATAAAATGATAAGTATGGAATTTTTGTGCTCTTTCCGAATTTGGTGCCAAAGCAGTTAAAATTGGACCATCAATTTCTTCGCTACAATATGCACAGACAGCAGCTGCTGGAGGTGGTGGAGATCCAGAAATATGTAATGTTCTTCTTGGAGTTGTTGATCTTGCACGACGTCTTCGAAGACTATCTGTTTCCTCTGATAATTGAACTCCATAATTATGTGAGAAATCGGTTTCTTCAACTTCTTCATCATTTGCTATAACATTCCCATTTTATTCAAAAAATAAGTAGAGATGCAAACTTACGATAAACTTGTCTTTGTGGTGGAATATCTTCTGGAGCTGGTGTTAATCTTAATCGATATTCAATTTCTTCTTTCTTATTTTTGCTTGCATTATCTCGATCTCTTCCAAGTTGAGCACGTCGTAGTACTTCTGTTGTTGCATTTACATCATAAACCAAAGCAGCTAATGTATCAGTCACAGCGTTTTGACCTGAAGATTTAACTTGAAAATAATTATTTGGCGAATTTTAAACTAACGTTGATCATCTTTCAATTTTCCTAGAGTTTGTTTCATTTCATCCGATGATACATTTTTCAATCTTGCTGCCAACCAATCATCTGCTGGATCAACTGAAATTCTTCCAGTTACTTCCATTTCAGTTTGGAATTGACGGCGTTCAATTCTCTAAAAATAACGAATAGCAAATCTTCGAAAAATATAAAACAAACCATTTGTTCTTGTTTTCGTCGAATAATTTCAGTTGTCTGTTCAACATCATTTTTCAATGCTGACAATGTATTATTGACAATTTCATCTTCTGAAAATATTTATATTTTGCGAAATTGTTTTGGATTATCTTACGTTGACTGAATTCTTCATCATTTCGAAAAACTTTATCCCGATTCGAATTTCTACTTTCACTTCTCCATTTTGCAACATGTCGATCAACTGGATCGGGAATTGTTGAACCACGAGATTCACTTCTTTGATGTTGGACGATTTCTAGAAAAATATACATAGTTAAATGTTTGGTAGAACAAAAATAACTTACGTGGTGACAATGTTCTTCGACTTTCAGTTGTCCATTGATGTGATTCAAAATGTTGGCTTCCCGGTTGAGGTGAAATCGTCATTTTTCTGTAAAAATAAGAAATTGTTGCAAATCGTTGGAACATGTGTCTGTCTAACATAAGAAGTGCGCAATTTTATCGAATAAAAGTTTCGCGAAGCGAAAAGTTGACAGATGTTCGAAAATCAATGTGTTTTGTGTGGAGTAGTATGGATTTTTGATGAAAGAAAGTATGAGTGGGATGTATTTTGAGAGAAAGAGAAAGAGAATTATTACACTTCTGAGCACAAAATAAAAGGAAAGAATGAAATAACGAAAAAGAAGCAATGCGAAATCGAGCAACTGATCAACAAAAAAACAATCGAAACATAATTGATATATATTTTATTAATAATAATATGAACATGAATATAAACTACAAATGTGTTGTTATATCTGAATATTAACAGCTGAAGTACATAGAAAAAGAACAACAATAACAATAAAAGTTAATAACAAAAGTTGGCACTAAAAATATATGAAAATATTTATAAATAAAACACCAATATAAAATGAGCAAATATGGAGAAAAAACTAGAAATTAAATAATGACTCATAAATCAATTAGTAGATCATGCGAAAAATGACAAATTTTGAATCTATTTTAATCGGACTGTTACGAAAACTGATCACATTTTTTGTCCAAATCAAAGTTTCTTAAATTTCATAGATTGTCGAATTCAGTTTTTTCGTTTCTAAAAACCTGTTCCGAATTCTTGAAGAGTTTCGTATGTCGAAAATTCTATCGAAATAAAACAAATCTCGGTATTAATAAAAAAAATTTCTTTAGATTACTGTAGCTTCAGTTAATTACGTAAATCCAAATCCAACTCGAAAATAAGCTGGAGAAAATATAAACAAGTAAACGGGAAATGACTATTTGAAATGTTCATTCAAAAATGAGTTGAAGAAATGTGTAACAAGTGTCATGTGGTCGAGCCATTCTGCATTTATATTTTTCTTCGTTTTTTACACCTTCCATTGATTGAGCACATCACCATTTCTATCTTGAAAGAAAGAATATTTGAAATGTTTTGTGGTGAACCAAAAATAATTTGTCAAATTCACAAAAACCCATAATTTACTCTGAAAAAGGACCATAAATTTACATGAAACGAATTCAATAAATTTTGGAAGAGAGGTTAATGTTTTTTTGAATTTTATTCTATTTTTTTTTGAATTATTCTCACAAACATTTAGGAACCCTTTTATATTATTAATCCTAGGATTACTTAAAAACACAAGAAAACCAAAAAAAGAGCTCTTGAGACTTTTGATCGATAACCTCACATTTTCTCTTTTGTTCTTTTTTTTTCAAGAAAAAAAAAAAGAATAAAACTATTTTTTTTTAGTTGTTAGACCCTGTCCAAAATTGGCGAAGCCATTCAAATTAAATCACAACTTTGTACACTTCCCAAGAGAAAATACCAATTTGTCTCTTCTTTTTCTTTTTTCTTCTTGTGCTCGTTTTCTAATTTTCAACTTATTTATATATCCAATCAAATAAGAGTCTTTTTTAAATTGAGTTCAAATTAGGATATCATGTTTCCTCAAACCTCTCACATTTTCCTCTTTTTCTATTTTATTTGTTTATTTCAGAAGGCGTCGGATGAAATGTAAATGAGCCGGTTCCATTTTTTTGCCTTTTTCTTTTTTTCATTTTTTTTTTATTTTATCGACGCGGAAGATGGAAAGAAGACTGTTTTTCGTGAGTTTTTTTTCGAATTTGAATTGAAAAATATAATCAAGATTCAGTTTCCAAGTGAAACTTTGGATTTAATTTGATCAATAAAAATTGTTGCAAATTTATTGAAAAAAAATTAAATTTTCAGATGAAAAAGTTCCCGTTTTCATTCTTACCGAAAAAAATCGTGGATTCATTTCTAAAGTTATTTCTTTTTTCATTGAATTACAGAAGCTCAGATATAATATTCCGAACTTTTTTGAAGATGTTTCAATAAAAGCAGATGTTGCGTGGCTTTAAAACATAAAATATGGTTCTGAAAAATTTGATTAACGAAATTGTTTTACACGTTGCTTTACACCTGACTCTTACTTTGAAAATATTGAAGAATCCTTATTCGGACAAAACATCAAATTCAATGGCGGAAAACTGAATCTCGATTATATTTTTGGCGCTGTGCGGAAAAAAACCAAATTCACTTTTCTCAAACAAGTGTCAAAGTGAATAAGTACATATTTCTTCCAAAAAACCTTTTGAAACAACATTTTAAATCTTCTCAAGGGAATAGTATCATTCTTCAAAATAATCTTCTCTTTTACATTTTTTCGTCCATTTCTTCTTCTTTTTCCTAATCTCAAAGTTAGTCTGGTTGCTCATTTCTGCGTCTCTTATTTCTCAAATACTATTTAAAAAGACTGTGACAAGCACTCGAATTTTAGTTGCGCAAATAATACAAACAGCCATTTTTCTTTGAATTTTTATCAAATTATTTTGTGTTTGTTTGGGTCGAAACACATTTTTTGAGAAATGCGAAGTCTCGAACGAATTGTGGAGACAAGAATTGAATTACTCGAATGGGATTCGAAAGAAACCAAAGAAGATTGTGCAAAATGTCGTGCACTTGATTGTGATATCATTTTTGCACTACTTTTTACAATTGTTATTGCTTGTCTTTTAGTATTAATTATGGTTTTTTGGTTGAAAGGTGTACTTCAATACGAAGAGTGAGTTATGGTTTCGAAATTTCCGCGCAGCGATTTCAGATGTAATTATTAAAATTTTAATTTTGGATCGAATCGATAAGTTTCAGAGTGCGATAAACATTTCGATTTGTCAAAACCTGAAGGAACTATTTATTTTCCGGAAAACACGATCAATGTTAATTTGAAGAATTCAACAAAAATCGAAGAATTATATAATTTACAAGTTTGTTTATTTTTTATTGCGCGCAGCTTTTTTTTCAAAAAATAATTGAAGTCGAAAAATATGTATAATGAATATTTCAGTGTGTATACACGTTTGTTGCGGGACCGAGGCAACGTGTAATGCTCGAATTTGATCATTTTTCACTTTCGGGCAGCTCTGAAAAGTAAGTTCTGAACATCAATTCATAATAAATGATAATAAAAATGAGTTTTTTCCAGCTGTGATATAGAATATGTAGATATTTATTCTGAAATTGAATCAATTGATGAAGATCTTTTATCTTCAGCTCTTGGTGGTAGATATTGTGGTACTGTAGCACCACGAATACGTATTAGGTGAGTTGTTTTTTTAAAATAAAATATATCGCAAAAATTCTGAATTTCAGTTTGCACAATATTTTGAAATTAGTTTTACATTCTCGAACTTCCAATCGGGAGGAAAATTACGGTTTTATTGCTCGATATTCTTTCATTTCTGACGAAAAATATGCATCTGGTCGATTGATTCCTGGCAAAAAATGTAATTTTATTATTGACTCTTCTGAGAATCCACTGGGAATTCTTTATTCTCGAACTTATCCTGGCACATTTCCACGTGTGAGTTTTATTTTGCAATTGTTCGAATACTGAAAATTAATCAGAAACTTTCGATTATTATAGATATTTAAAAAATAGATAATTCTTGAAAAAAATTTGTAGATTATCATTTTTCAGAATACTCATTGCTCATATTTGTTCAAAGGCTCTTCTAATGAACGTATTCGATTATATTTTCACGATTTTGATGTTTTTTTCGGTGGCGAACAGTAAGTTTAACACATTTTCAACTGATAAAAATATCTATCGTAATTCAGTTGTCCTTATGATACTGTCACAATATTTGATGGTCCAACATCTTCTTCTCCAATAATTCGAAAAATATGTGGACTTCAACAAAGACTTGAAGCTTATTCGATGTCAAATACTCTTCTTATTCATTTTAATACAACAAATCCTCCAAAAACCGATCCACGTGGATTTTTCTTGGATTACGAATTCTCATCTCGATTTGTTGTGATTAATAAACTTTTGAATGGACAAAAAGGTGTGACACATATTCGAGGAACTGAATGTGATGTAAAAGTTGAGAGTAATCGAGAAACAAAACATATTATAAGAAGTCCAAATTATCCTGATGCATATCCAACAAATACAACATGTTCATATATAATTCATGGATTACAAGGCGATCAAAATTTGGAAAAAGTTTCGGTTGTTTTTCGAGAATTCGGAGTTGTTTCATATCCTGTCAGGTATTTTATTCGATTTTTTCAAGAAAATGTTTAGTTTTTTTCAGCAGTTCATCTGATGATTTTTCAACAGATGAATCCTGTCCAACTGCTTGGGTTGGAATTGCATTATCTGAATCAAATATAAAAGCAGCAATATCATCAACTGATGACTCTGTTTTTGATCAAACTTTATGCGATCGACTTGAAGGTGACAAAAAATTTGGACCTTTTTCTTCTGAGGGTCCAAAAATGGTGATTCAATTTGGAAGTACCGAATTATATAATGATGGAAAAGCACCATTAGGTTTTGAAGCTGAAATTGAATTCAAAACGGATTATGGAATAACTGGAAAATCATTAGGAACTTCTAATGAGTGTAAATTTGAATTCGATAAAAATGGTTTTTTCAACAGTCCAAGATATCCGGCAAATGTAAGTATTTAGTTTAAAATTGAACATTTAATGTGGAATTTAGTATCCACTTGACACAAATTGCACATATTATATCATTGGAAAACCTGGAAAAGAAATTCTTATTTATTATGAACAATTTATTCTCCACGAAGATCCCGAAAACCCGTAAGTTTATTCGAATAAAAAACTGTTTAAAAATTCGAAATAAATTCTATTTAGAACAAGTGACTATTTGGAAGTTTTTGATGTTCGTTATGAAAATGGAAAAGAAATTCTTGAAAGTCGAGAAAAATATTATGCTGGAAGTGTTCCTGGTCCAATTATTTCATCTCCAGGAGTTTATGAAATGCGGGCAGTATTTTCATCTGGTTCATCTGGTTCTGCAAATGGATTCAAAGCACTTTTAGAATTTCAAGACATTCGCGATAAAAAGGATCAAAAATCAGATCCAGATCATTGTGGTGGAATTATTGAAGCATCTGATGAATTACCCAGTGGTAAAATTTCTTCACCAAATTATCCAATAAAATACAAAGAAAATGTTCATTGCAAATGGAATATAAAAGCACGTCCAGGTCGACGAATTGTTGTTCAAATGGAAACTATCAAAGTTGAAGGTGAAATGACAGAAACAACTGCTCAATGCCAAAAAGCAGTTATAAGAGTAAGCGGATCAAAAAGAATCGAATATTGTGGAATTGATCATGCTTTATTCCAAACATTAGTATCAAAAAATGAAACAATCAAAATAAGTTTTCTGACTGCACCGGATAAAGTGATTGGACTTGAAGGATTTCAAATGATATGGACAGAAGTTCTTGAAAATGCTGATGAAAATTCGTGTAATGGAGATGGAAATTATTTGTGTACTTATTCGAAATATTGTATTAATTCAAAATTGAGATGCGATGAGAAAAAGAATTGTCCCAGTGATGATTCTGAAACTTCTTTGGATGATTCTGATGAACAACATTGTGAGTTTTAACAACATTTCGAATATGTCGTTTTCCATTTTGCATGGTATCTAGAACCAGAATTAATTTTCAATGAAACTCTTACAAAACTATATTTATTTTAAAAAGCATGTATCCTGGTTCTAGTTCCCCGTTTTAAATTGTTTTTTTTTCGTAATCCAGGCCGTCAACAAAGTTCGCAATTGATAACGTCTGCATCGCAACCATATTGCTGTTCATTGTTAATATTTATGCTGTGCTTTATTTTAACATACGTGTTCCTTTGATATGTTCATATTGTAATTTTGATTTGTATTATTAATATAGGTGCGAAAAAGGAGAATTCAACGGATCGAACAGTTGTTATTGCTGCTGTTTTATGTGGTGGAATATTTCTATTTATATGTGCATTCTTCTGTTATTTATTCAAAAGCAAATTGGAAAGAAAAAAGAAAAAGAAAAGGAAAGATGGAAGTCGTCATAGGTTAGTTGAACTTTTTATAAATGGAACTTTTCTTATTTATATATTTTTAAAGACAACGTCAACCATATCGACAACAACGGCCAATGAATAAAGCGCACTGTGATTCAGAACTTTCATCCCCAGCTACAAGTCGTTTTGTTCATCACGATGCAACAGGAATCATGCCACATGTTGCACATCATCAACCATCATCCTCACAGACTTTTTATGCATAATTTTTCGTCATATTTATTTTGTTTTTGTTTTTTCATGTTCATGTTCATTTTGAATTTTTACTTTTCAAAAAATACATTCAAAAGATGCAAAGAATTTGAAGAATACAAACTAACACTACTGATGTTTTCCTCGTTTTCGTCTTCATCTGATAAATCAATTTGCGGAAATATTCTTTCTCCAGAGCAGGCAATAACTTTTTGATTTTCGGAGTTGATGCTAACACATGGAACGCATTTCGAAGATATTTTGATTTTTGATATGGGTTCGAGTATTTCTGAAATATCACCAAGATCAAATGCTTGAATTTCACCAGAAGATGTTCCAGAATATAATAAGTGACGAGATCTACAATATTTATTTTTTCGATTTGAATACAATGAAATTTACTTACACATCAATATCAAAAATAGTTCGATGATTCTCGTTCATTTCTCTTTTCAAAACTTGTACCAACATATTCATTCTCAAATCATAACAATGAATATCTCCTTTTCTTTCTGATGCATAAATTTTTGTAGAATCCTCTGAATATTTTACATAAGTATAACCTCTACCATTCGTTGAAAATGTCATAACAGAATAGTTACAATTATCCGCATATACTGAAATTCTATCTGAACAACCAACAGCAACAAATTGAGAAGAATTTAAAGGATCCGATGAAAAAGACATTGCACGACCAGTTAAACCTGTTTTATCTGAAAATTGAAACCATTTTTCTATTTCATCAAAAAAAAACTTACAAAACTTATCAATGTACGGTAGAGTATATAATGGTTTTCCAGGTATTTCAATATCCCAAAATTTGATATCTTTTTTATATCCACCAAGTATATATTTATTTCCAAGTACACCAATACTAAAAGCAGAATCAACTGCATCTGCATTATCTTTTCCAACATAAGAACATAATCTTTCGCCATTTTCAGAATTCCATAATTGAATTGGATGTCCTTTTGAAGTTGTTGCTATATTTTCATCATTTATCCATTCAATATCGTATATTAATCCACCTAAACTATGTTTCCAAGATGGTTTAAAATCATTTTCCAAATCATTATATATTCGAATATATCGATCTTGTGAAGCAACAGCTGCTCGATTTCCTGATTTGTTCAATTTTGAATATCGCAAATAGTTATTAGATCTTGTTGCAGAATAACCGAAAGACGCTTTGTAGTCCTGATATGAGCAATCATCACTGAAAAATTGAATTCAATTTTTCCTATTTACATTAGAAATAAAAAGAACTAATAAAAATTATTGAAATAAGGCATCATTTAGAAACGTTTGAAGCGCTTGGGTGATCATTTTTGGCATTTCTAAAAATGTTCTGCCACAGGACAACCCTATCGTAAACTCACGATTTATCCAAATAAAACTTTGGCGGCACAGCTTTTTCATAGATTTTTGGAACTATGATAACTTCTTCTTTTTTTGATTGCTCATATTTTTCCTGAAATTCAGCTTGTTTCAAAGCTCTTCTCTCTTTTCGATTCAATGGTTTTTCTTTTTGATCTTCTATTTTGGCTATTTTCGCACTTGGTTCATCATTTTGAGTTTCGTGGTTTCTTAAACTTTCGAGCAATGCTCCGAGTCCTGATGTTTTCGCACGATATGATATTCTTTTCTCTTTTTCTACAGTTTTCGTTATGAGTTCTTCGACGACCGCAAGAATTTCATCCATAATGCTCAACCCTGAAATAGGAATTAATGTTTTTTCATATCGAAAAAACATGAGAAAACAAATATTTGTATCAAGCACCACAGGAAAACAGAAAAATTCGAAAAATAAGATATTTTCCGAGAGTACTTCATGTGGCCTAGAAAACCAACTTTAAAGTTCACAGTTCTCTCGGCCAACTGACTTTTTCCTTTTTGTTCGAGCCAAAAATTTGTTTTGCAAAACGTTTATAAACAGAAATAATATATGAACGAGTCGGAAAGTATTGCCAAAAAGTTAGCCCAAGAAGAAGAATGGCTAGCAAACTTCAAGAAGAATGTAACGAAAAGTGCCCAAATTCGTGAAGGAATTGTGAAAATCGTTGATAAATTCGATAATCGATTGACTTCACTCGAGAAAAATGTACTTCCAATGCATATTTCAAATGGACAACTGCAAAAGAAACAACATAGTATGTTTGCAAAAGAATTTTTCATATTGGATATTTTATTTTAGATATTCAACGATTAATCAATACAATTGATGCAACACTTCAGTTTTATGGAAAAACATCGACTGTTGAAAATGCGATTCGAGATGGAAATCCATTGATTGATTTGAATGTATATTTAGAAAATATGGAATGTCTTCAACAAGCCATCAACTTTTTCGAAAATCATCCAAATTATGCTAGTCAAACGGAAAATATGGTTTGTTTATTATTTTAAAAACTTTACTGATTTTGAATAATATTACAGAAGATGACACTTGATACAGGATTCACAATTCTTGAAAAAGCCTATAAAACGATTATTCAGAAAAATGGAGTAACAGTTGATCCAGCTAATTTTCTAATTAAAAATCAAGAAGGAAATAATGAAACACCTAAATCGAATGATATTAAAATAATTGCTGATGAAGATCAAATTATAAAACTAGGAAATTGGTTGCTCAAAGAACAACGTGTTCATTTCCTCACTCATTATTCGGATATTCGAAGTGCACAGATTCTTAAAAACATAAAATTGATCGGAGAAGCTCAGGCAAAACTTCGAATTGGCGAAGCTTCCAAAAAAGCGTTAGTCATTTATTATAACACTTACAATTAGGAAAGAATAAATCAATTTTCCAGGCAATTGGCTCGAAAAGTTCAACACAAAACAATTCCTGATTCATCAATTGATATTGAAAGTTGTATTGCAATATCGAATAGTCTTCTAACTTTGCTCGAACTTGAAGAAAGATTTATGGTGAAAGCAATTCCAGATACATCAAGAAGAGCACAAGTATTCAGAGAATTAGTTGCTAAACCTTTATCTTTTACATTGTCTCAAACACAAAAAATTGTGAATGAAAGAGATGTTGGAATTATTCCATTATTACCTTTATTACAATTATTATCACAAAATTATTCAAGATTTCACAATTTGGCTACAGTAAGTTTCAAAAAATCACCATTTGAATACAACTTATATTTTTTTAGAATAGTATTGGAGATATGCACTTTGATAATTTGATACGACAACTTCAAGTGAAATGTTCATCATATGTAAATGAAGCTATTGAAAATCTGAATGAAGATTCATCTAAATTCGTGCCTTCTGATGGAAATGTTCACTCAACAACAGCCAGTGTAAGTTTTTTTCAAAAAACATATTTTTTCAATTCTTTCAAATGGCTTTTTAGACATTGAATTTCCTATCTTCGCTTACTCATCATCGAGGTACAGTCACAAATCAAGTTCTTGCAATAACAGCTCAACAAGGACCAACTCAACTTCTTCTTCCAAAACTTTTCGCCAGAATTCTATCAGCTCTTGGAAGTTTTTTGAAGAAAAAGGCAAATCTTTATGACGATCCAACTCTTTCAACAATTTTCTTGTTGAATAATTATAATTATATTGCAAAGGTAAAGATTTCAGTGTTTCGTCTTACTTTTTATTGAAAGTTTAAAATTTTCAGACCTTGGCCGATGAAAAAGATGGAATTTTACCAGCAATAACTGAACTCAACTCAAATATTTTGTCATTTTATCAAGAAGAAATCAATTCATGTATCATAGAATATTTGAAAAGTTGGAATGGAATCGCATTAATTTTGAAATCAGTTGATAGAATTGGAGAAGACAAACAAATGGCTAAAAATATTATGAATGTTAGTTTTTATTCAATTTTTCAAAAAAAAAAGTCATTCTCATTGTCAATTCTATTTTCACAGACATTTGTTCGAGAATTCGATCAAGTTCTTTTACAACAAACAGATTACTGTATTTCTGATCTTCAAGCCATTGAAAATGTTCAAAATCAAGTAAAATCAAGAATTTGGAAAAACTACAGTACACTTTTGGATAGTTGCCAACGACTTCATGCTTTTCCTCAAGGTATCAAATATACTGAAAATACTTTTGATATGGCAATTCGAAATCTTTTCTCATCTGCAAAAATGATTTGAATTCAAAATTTGATGTATTTGCTTGTAGAATATTATTATTATTTTATTTATTTATTGCCTGTGATATGCATAAATTGTATTTATTTTAATTTTGTTCAATTTCAAAAAATGTTTTTCTAACATTTCTTTATTATTTGAAAGTTGATTATGAAAAAACTTCGAAAAATTATTATTTTTTATATTTTATTGTTGAAATTAAATTCGAGAAGTTTCCTCTCAATTTTTTCTTAAAATACAATTTTTGATTTAAAAGATGTGCCTGGGAAAACTAACAACAACATGGAAATCGGCGTCCTCAATTATTTTAGGCAAGTTTTCCCACAATGAAAAATCAAAATTATGAATGAATATTTCAGCAAGTACGAAAAGTCGACGAATTTTGATGTTGAAACGAGGAAATACAGCATCTTTTATGCCGAATTCAATGGTTTTCCCAGGTGGAATTGTTGAAAAAAGTGATGCAAAGTTTGGGGAACAATATAGAATTGCTGCAATTAGGGTTAGATTTTAACAATTGCTACTATTTTTATTTTAAACACTTTTTTGTAGGAACTTTTCGAAGAATCGGGTGTTCTATTGACAAAAAATGGATTTGAAACATCGGATGGAAATGAGGATTTGAAGAAAATTAAAATGGATATTGTGAAAAATTCGGATATTTTTGAGAACTTTAAGAATAAAATAGATGCTGATCAATTAATAGAATGGGACACTTTTCTGACACCCGCCACTAATCCAAAACGATTTTTCACAAAATTTTTCGTGGCACTTGTTGAAGGTATTCTCCAATATTTATTTTCGTTCATGCAAAATTTTCAATTTTTCAGATGAACCTCAAATTGATTTGTGCACTTCTGAAATGTCAGAATATGTTTGGGTTGATCCATTGGAATGTGTCAAAAATGCATTTGATGGCAAATTTACACTTCCACCTCCTCAGGTTTATGAATTGACTCGATTATCTCAAGTAAATGATTGGAAAAAACTGGAGAATTTCGGAAATACAAAACAAGTAATATGTCCACAACCAATTAAAACAATTTCACAAAATTCGATAACAAACACATTTCCTGGTGATTATTTATATATTGGTTAGTTTATTTTTGAATATTTAATATCTGAAGTGGTTGTTTTTTTTGAAGATTCTGATTGTTTTAATCAACCACTTCGACAATTACCTTCTGAAGAAATTGCGGTTTTCAAAGACAAACCAACTCATCGAGCAACATATCAATCAAAACCAATTTATACAAAATGTGAAATATATCAGCACAATTTAGAATCAAAATTTAGAGAAAATTTCCATCAATTTGAAACGCATTCAAAATATTTGTAGTCAGTTTTGTATATAATATAAATAGTTTATGATTTTTTAGTCTCCCAAAAACTTTCAAGAATTTCTGCGTGTTTTTCTGGCGCAATTCGAAATTCAACACGTGCACAATCAGATCGAAAACTATGATTGCTGCTCATTTCTGGAGTTGTTTTATGAGTTGTCAAATGTTGTCTTTGTTGTTCAGTTTGATGTGCAATATCAGGAAGGCGGGATGAACAAGTATTTCGAAGCATTTCAGAAACACGATTACGTAAATAATAATGACGAGACATACAAATCTGCAAAAAAAAAGAAAAGATATTTGAAAAAAAAAGAATGAGAAAATAAACTGACTAATGGATGTGCGAGAGCATGAATTGATGGAAAAGTGAAAATAATTGTAGATAAATTGAACTGCAATAATGTGAGATTTGGTTCTGCTCTCAAATCTCGAATTGGAATTAGCAAACACAAATATGACAAATAAAGAATTGCATGAAGAACTGCTGATGGCAATAACATATGAGTTGTACGATATGTTTCATAAATCTATTTAAATATTTATGAATATATCCAGATGACTTGGAATACAATTCTTACCTGGAATCTTTGGGACAAACAATATTTTGCTGTATTGATACCCAAACTATCAGCTTTGTTTCGAGATAAAATGTGAACATAACCAAAAAGTGAAATAGTTCCAGTTTCAACAATTGCACATGTAAATATTCGGATGAACATTGATCTTCTTTCAGCAAGTGAAGCACCGTCACAAATACAAACACCTTGATCTCTGAAAATATTTATAATTTTCTATTTATTATTTAGATTCAAAGCATACGTTAAATTCATAACATAATTGACAGTAACCATAATGGCAGCAAAAGCATCAAATATGAAAATTCCCTTAACATATCCACTAATTGTTCCACTTGGCATATGTTTTTTAGTTGCAATAAGTCTTTCTGATCCAACACCAACCATTAAAACACAAGTAGCCACATCCCAAGGGACCATTAGAGAATTTATCAATGAACACCAATTGCTGAAAACTTTAGTTTTTCTTTGTTTTTCGCTCTATAGATACAGTAAGAAATATATTAACCTATGAATTGGATATTCAGTGAATCCAAAGAATCCAATATAGAAAAAGTAGATATTATAAAGAAGACCAGCGGAAGCATTTACAGCGAAACAAAATGAAATTGTTGCCAACATTGCACTTGTATTTTTATGCATTACACCAGCTTTCTGAAAAAAGAAGTTCTCGTTTTTTTTGGTAATCAAATTGTTGGTTAGGTAGATGAAACTTACTCGACAAACAAACATGAAAAATATATTGGCAAAAATTGCGGATAAATTCAAAAGAGTTATTGTTGATTGAAGAGAATACCATGGAATATCACCGTTTTCATTTGCTAATGCACATTTTTGAAATGTGTTTATTGATTTGTTGTGAGCTAGAAAAATTCGGAATTTCAAGTTTGTTCTGGAAATCATTTTTTTTGTTCTAGCTTATTTCACAAAATTTTTTTGATTCTAAAAATATTAATCCAAAGTTTTTGAATTTTTATCCAATTTTCATTTTCGTCATTTTCGAAAACACGAAAAAAATTATTGGAAAAATTGAAATCGTGATGATTTTTTGAAATTTTGTTTCCTACTTTCGAAAAAAAATTTAACATAAATTAAAAATTAATTTTTAACGTGAACAACGCATGATTAAAAAAATTCCATTTCTAATGTTTCGGTTCCAAGAATTACCGTACTTATGTTTTTCCACCCTTTTTCCAATTTTATGCTTACTCATTTTCAAACCGGAAGTCAGAAGCTTCAATATTGCAAACGAACAAATTCCAAAAAAAACTGAAAAAATACTTACATTTCATGTTATGATGCATTCGATGTTGTCTTGTCAGATCCATTCTGTTGCAACCCGAAAAATTTTAATTTTAAAATGTCAAGAGAACCAATAGTAGGCGTGTACTTCTTCTTTCTCTTTTTTTCTCCAACAAGCACCAGAAAAAAAGGAAGAGGGATGGATATAATTTGAAGAAGAAAAAAAAAGGAGTTGTCATGTGTTTCAGTTAATTATAGAGATATTATGAATTGAAAAGAGCAGGAAATGGGAATGAGTAAAATAATTTTCGATCTAAAAATTTTAATTGCTGTTTGAAGAAATCAGAAGCGCACATTAATTAGAAAAAATATATTTTATTGTTAGTCCGCTCATCGTAAATAAATAAATAAATGAATAGTCATAATTTAGAAAAATCTAATTTTCTTTAAAAACAGATTATGAGCTTTAATGTTTCAATCTCATTTTGTGATTAATGGGCTTCTTTTTAGTCATAAATAAAAAAAACAAATATACTAAACATACAAAAAAATGTTTTTGGAAAAACAATTTTTTGTATTCAAAATCCTTTCTCCGCTATAAAAGTTACAAAAATGAATATTTTTCTGAACTTCCGAATTTTTTCAGCCACGTGATCTTTTGGAAAAAAGATAAGATAAAGATTAACCAAAATGTTTCGATTGCAACCAAAAAACAGAAGCAAACAAAAAAAAATGTTGCGATTATGTAATAAGACAATCGGAGGCGGAAAATAATATCAAATTTCCAAAAAGGGCAAAGATTTTTGTGGACCTAAATTATTTATTAAAATATAAAAAACAGAAAATAACAAAACTAATTATAATTATGCAGCTTTTGTACGAATAGTTAATCCATGCATATCTTTGATTTGATCTCGAAGAATTCCTGTTACTAATTTATGTTGAGCAACTTTTGATTTTCCCGTAAAACTTGTTGCTTCGACAGTCACATCAAACATTGAACCACATCCATCTGCAAAATTATTGTTTTTTTTCTGTTGATAAAATGTTTTGACTAACTTGAAACATCGTGTACTTTAACTTTTGTGCATCCTCCAATTCCTTTTTCCAATAATTCACTCATCAATTTTTCGGCAGCTGATTGTTCATGATTTCCACCACAACAGCCTGCACCAGAATGATTACGAATTATTGGCGAAAAACGAATTTTGAGCATTTGACGGAGCATCTGAAGAACATTTTTTCCAATTTTTTTAAAAAAAGTTTTTTGATGTTTGTGTTTTCAAATTATCATTCAAGTATGTTTTGTCTTTATTTGCACAATGTTGCAATTTCTTTCATATGACCCTCAACTATTGAATTATTCATATGATCATAAAACTTCTCAAATTTCAATAAGTTCAAAAATTGAGTGTAGTTTTCTTTTTTCCGAGGGCTTAACCACTTTATATTTTCTCAAAACACTTCAAATATTGGAAAATAGGTCCTTAAAACCCAGAAAAAACTAAAAACAATAAAATGTTGAATGATAAGAATAGTAAGAATCTTTATTGCAAAAAAGAGAAAGGTAATAATTTCTAGTCATAACCGTACTATTCACAAGACAAACAAAGTTATTAGTAAATGCGAGATTTTTCAACTTTTCGATGAAAAAGAAAAAAAAAATAAGAGAAAATATTTGCACCAGATTAGTAATTTTTAAATATATAAAATGATTATTGATGTGTTTGAATTTCTTGGAAATCGCTAACATATCCAAGACTAACATTATCTTCGCTACTTTTTGATGCTTCTCCGCCATTTGGCAATAAATGAGGTAAAACTGAAAGAAATGAAGTTGTAAATTTTAAAGAGAAATCTAAAAATAAAACACATTACCTTTTTTAACAGGTTCCAGATTTTCCGAATCAGTATTAAATCGGCAATGTTTTTTCAATGACCATTGCATTGCCCAAATTGAAAGTGGTCGCATATATCCAATTGCTCGATAAAATTTTGTTTCATAAATTGCTTCAGGTGTTTGATATTGTAATCCAAGTCTTTCAAAACATGTTAAATAACAACCAGAAGCTGTTTTGAAACCTTTTTCAATTTCATTTTGTTGTATCAAAAATGATGCAACAGCATAAGTAACACCAGTCCACATTTCATCTGCTTGAATATATTCTCGATCAACAATTCCATTTGGTTTCATTCCATTTACAGCACCCATTTCTCCATTTCCAAATTTACAAACATTTAATTCATATATTGTCCAAAGTGATGATTCAATCATATGTTTTGGTATTAAATCTTCAGTTAATTCAGGTGAAACACTTTGAAGAAACCAATAACCGCATAATTGATCAGCCATACAAGTTTCTCGACTTCGCGATTTTTCACAAAATCGGAAATAAGTTCCAGTCCATAATTTATCAATAAATACTTGTTTTGCTTTTTCGAGTGTTTCATTTAATAATTTACTAGTTTCAAAATCTTCAACAATTTTCGACATTTCAATTGCAACTCGAAGAGAAGCTAGCCAAAGTGATCCACAATAAGCACTAACTCCTTCCATTTGCCACGCATCATATGTCTGATCAGCTTTTCCAAAATTCTCAATCATTCCATCATTATCTTTATCCCATTGTTCAAGTGCTTCTGTCATTATAACCTGAAAAATTAAAATTAATATAAATTCCAAATATTTTGCTATTACTTTAACTGCAGTCCAAGTATGTTGTAAGAATTCTTCATGTTTATTTGATAATGCAATATAATCTCGCCATGAAGTCAAAACATATTTCATATTCAAATCTTTCCATTTTCCAGTATCATGCATTACATAAGCATTTGTAGCCAGCCATGGTTCGTCAGCTGGATTTCCCAAATCGTGTGGAACTCGGCTCGCAGTTTTTATATTCGCCCAATCTCCTTCCATATGAAAACGGATTTGTTTGTCTATCGAATGATACACTTGATCCGCTGAAAAGTTCAATTTTAAAATATCCAATAATTTTCTTTGTTTTTATGAATCACCCGATGATTTTTTTTTCTGAGTGTTAATTTCACTTTTTGTTTCAATTTTTGTTGTAAAAATTCTCAAAAATGAATAAATACAAAAAACTTCGCATTGGAAACATGAACTTTTTTTCAAACTTTTAGATTTACATTCAAAAATTCGACTTTCAAAAAACTAAACGGTAAAATTTCAGCGAAATCTACTGTAGTTTAAATTTATCTGTTATTGTTTTTCTTCTGATCTACAATAATCAAACTCACTAAATTCAGCTTGAACAGCAAGTTCCAAATCAGGCCAAAGTTCAGCAAGTGCATAAGAGGCATAAAAATGAACATCATAAGTATTCACCATTCGATATTCCCATGCTAAAAATCAATTTTTTTCTTTATAATTTGAAAAAAATTCTTACATTCTAAATATCCAAATCTTCCAGTTTCTTTCATCATATTTTTAGTATAATCACTCAAATGTTCTTCATCATTTGCCCATTTTTCATCATATTCAAACCAAATCGATCCACCATCAGTTATAAAATATAATTCATTAAAAAGTGCTGATTTATACCAATCTGGTAATTTTGGATGATCTAACACGGGATTTTGCCATTTTTCAATTTCTTCTTCCCACGTTTTTCTACGCCGAAGTGCACGAATACAAAGATTATCAGCTGCTCCAGAAGATCCAAAGAATCTTGTATATCTTCTTTGATAAAATCGTTGAATTGATCCAAAACTAACTTTTGGCATATCCCAACTCAATGAATATTCAACTGATTTTTTCGATTCTGGTGATAAAATAAAACGATTACATACAGCAACAGCCATTTCTCGACTATTTTCAGCACAATCATCATCCTAAAATGAATGAGATGCAAATTTATAATGAAAATCAAACTAACATAATGTGGAACATCTCCAGTTTGTTCAAGTGATAACCATAGACCAGCTCCACTTTTACTTGGATCAAATCTTTGACAAATTGAAGTTGTTGCATAATCATTTTGAATATTTGTTGCTAATCCATAAGTACAAGGCATTGAACAAATTGAATGAAATAATGCAACACCATTTATAATTTGTTCACCATTTCCAGTTGATGTAAATTTGGCAGCTGTGCATTCAGTTTCTCGATCCCATCTTCGATTTCCAGTTCCATTTCGAAATGTAAAAGCAACCGAAACTTCATATTCTTTATCATTTGTTACATTTTCAACATCAACAATAAATAAACAAACAGGCAGAGAAGAATCTTCATAATTATTTGGAATAACTGGTGAAACTTGTCGAATTGTAACTATTATACCAATTTCTGGGATACGGTAGGTGGTCCAAGATCTTGGGTACAGTCCCCTGTAAAACGGTGAAAATTGCATTTTTGATGATTTTTTTGGACATTAAATATAAAATTCTAGACCTAATTTATTCGAAAAATAACTTGGGTAGATCAAGTTTATTTTCCAGCCAAAAATACATATTTTGCATTTCGGATTGTTCATCAAAAAAATTTTTCATCAAAGTCCAAGCACTTTAAATACAATTTTTGAAATAATCCAAATAAAACACTCTATTCCAGATTTTTATATATTTATTCCTCGATAGTTTAAAGTTTTAGGTTCATAATATATTTTTAAAATATTTTAAAACCTAAATTCCTATATTTTTCATTGCCAAAACAACTCTCTGACTAGCACGGCCATTTATGTATTTTTCCGTAAACAACAACAACATCAATTTTCAGCTTCTTCTTTTTTTTCCATCATTTTATTTTTCATCCAATCCAAAAATGCCTCTTTCTCTTCCATTTTTCTTCTTTTTTTCAGTGTCCAAGTAGTAGACAAGATAGACAGGAGATAGTGAATGAGAGTAGAGACGCAGAGAAAAGAAAACGACGAACAAAAACCTCGACCACCCACGAAGAAAATTGAATAGAGAAGAACCGACCGACGCCACACCTTCTTCGTTTAATTTTTGTCGAAATATGCGTCGCAAACGAAAAGATTACAGAAAAATGTGAGTTTGTTTCTATTTTTACAGAAAAAAGACTAACTCAAATTATTTTTAGAATGAAATCTCGAATTGATGAGTTTCATAAATCTTGTGAATTTACTAATGTATCGGAAAATCAATTGAATTGGCCAATAAGAAGAGGAGCAAGAATTAAATTGGTTTCAGGAATCGATGAAATACCAGGTATTTTTCATTTCAAAAAACTAAATTTTGAAATTAATATGTATATTTTTTTTTAGTTATCCCAAATCCTTGTCATTTACTCGATTCTGTCTCTTCTATGATGTTTTCTTATGGTGATTCACCAAATCCAGATCCTCTTGCTGTTCATTTAGTTCTAACAAGTACAATTGAACATATTATAAAGTACTGTAATACAATGTGGAGATGGGCAAAAAGATCGAATCGTTCTATTATAACACATGTTGATTTGTTGAATCTTTTGAATAAAAACAAATCAAGATTTCATCGATTCGTGAAATATTATTTTTGTGGCGAAACACATCAAAAAATCAATTCAAGTATGATGACAACTTTGCAAAAACAATATGAACAAAATGAGCAATTTCGAACATTTTGTGATAGTCCAAAAGTGGAAAATGATGAAAATTTTCAAAATATTTCGGAACGATTCAATAAATCAGTTTCGTCTTGGAATGATGATATTTTATATGATTGGCAACAAAAAAGAACTCAATCATTTTGTTGTCCAGATTCAAATATCTCTTCATTTTATGCCTATAAATTTCATGAAGCAATTGGACTACCACCTTTGGAAATCGATTTAATTTATTATATCGATTTTATTGCTCGAGAATATATAATGGAGGTAAATATTTTGAATATCGACTTTCTTATTTCAAAAAACAAAAAATAATATTTCAGATAGTTCACAAAGCTCTTTTAATTGGTGATTCACGAAATATTTCAAAATTAACATGTGACGAATACATGGATTCTGTTGGAAGTAATGATATTCTTTTCAATATTCCCTCAAATTTTCCACTTTTATCAAGAAAACGTAAAACTTCTTCGTCTTCTGGAGAAGATGAAAATGGAAAAACTGAGAATGATGAAATGTATCGTGTTCTTGAAGAAATTCATGCTGACTGGTATAATAAACATCATGCACCCGTTATAATTCGACAATCTTTCGATCCAGCTGTCTGGTTCAAAATGCGTCGAAGATAATTATATTACTTTCATATATCTTTAATTCCCTCGTTTAACGAGACTTTTTAACCAATATAATGATAATCATGTTTTACCACATTCCAAATTATTTAACAATTCTTTCTATTTTTTCGTGTACTGTCATTATTTCACTATCAATTAGCAACTCTGTCATATCAAAACATCCATAATGAATGACCAAAATAAATGTTTTTGTTATTTTGTTACCATTGTATCTTCAAAACTAACCTATAATATACATTTTTCTTTGGAAACGAAAAATCCCAAGCGCTCAATTGTCCTGACGGCAAACATATATCAGCTGCGGACAAAACTTTTTGATAGACACATTTATTGTTGTCACGAACTGATAATATAAATTGATCAGCCTGCAAAAAATGAAAAAAAAGAGAGGTGATATTTGATATGATGACAGAAATAGACACATACCGCAACAACATTGACTTTGTGTTCAACAAGACCCGGTCGAAGACTGAATTTACAAAAACCACCACGAAAATCGCGACCAATTGCTCCACATCCAATACCACCACATGGTACACCTAAAAAATATTTATAGTAGGTTTTATTTATTAAATAAAATTTCTGAAATGTTATAATTGGTACTTGCTGTCTGGAAAAAACTGATAGGTTTATCGAACTTGAAGAAGGGGTCACTAAGAATAGAGAACTTTTTGATATTTTGAAAAATTCCAGGTTACAACTTATTCGGGCCAAAACATTTCTAAATTTTCTGAGCCCTGGCACAATATTAAGGATGGTCCTAAAACCGAAGAAATTCCACGCAACAGTGTGAGAATTGGAAAAAATGCTTTCATCCTACAAGTAAAATTTGAGGTCCTGCGATTTTGAGCAGTAAATTACACAATGTTCGGTTTTTTTTGTTATTTTTCAAGGGAATTTTCGTGAGTGTTAGCTGAGATTTTATCATGCCTTTTCAGAATAAAAATGAGAAAGGCCCAAAAATAGATTATGCTTCAAAAAAAATTTTCTAAAAACTTTAGACTTATTAAAAATTAATTTTTTTAAATAAAAAAAACCATTGGAAAAATTACGAGACGAAAAATAAATATTTCGCAAATAGAAAACCTTGATTATGTTAATATAAATGAGATTTTTCAGCGACTGAAAAGTGTTAGAAATATGATCTTTTTCTCATTCTCGTTCTCCCGGAAAAGTTGTTTATAACTCAATTTTGACTCATAATTTTTCAGAAGTTAGTGAATATTTAATAGATTGTTCCGGAAAAAAATTGTGCTCTAGATTATGATTTTAGTATTCTGATATTAACCAAATCCTATTTCTCCCCTTTTAAAATTAAAATAAACAAACTAACCATAAAAAGGCTTGTGTTTGAGCGGTTGAAAAGTGTTAATAAAAAGTTTCTCCTTGTCAAAAGTATATTTCATCCAATACATAAAATATCTCCTCACAAATGGCAATGCTTCATATACTTGTTTTGGTGTTGGCCTATTAAATGGTACTCTTTTTTCTTTCGGTTTTCGATCTCCTCTTGCTTTCCATCCATATCCGTTCATTTCATTTGACATCCAACAATTATTTGATGTCATTGAAGTTCTAGAAATTTCTGATTGCATTTTACGAAAATGAATACTAATACTACAAAATAAATAAAATGACGAACCCATTTTCTGGCGAGACAGCTCGTCTTCTCGTCATTTTGTTGTTCTTTTTTCCACCTTTTTTCTCATTCGTTGATTCTGAATTTCTTCTTCTCATACCCTAAATTAAGAATGAATTTGTATTCAGAAAATGATAAATAAATAGATTTTTTGAAAAATTGTTGTGTGGGAATGTTTTTCCTACTAAAAATATCTAAGTTTTCCCGTAAAAATGCAATGTTTCAAATATCATACCAAGCAACATCCATATTTCTTCATTATTTCAATTTTTTAGAAAGCGTCAAAAAATCGCGAATTTTGTCGAATAAAAATAAGTAGAAATGGCGCTTATCAAACGTCGTTTTTTTTATTCGAGATAAAATCTTAACTATGCACTCGGAAATTTATTTGTTATCTTTTTTGAGAGAAAAAAAAAGGTTTTTGGCTCGAATTATCATTGTTTCTCAATGGGTAATAATTTATCGACAAAATAATCAAGCTGCCTATATTTTTGCCCCTTTTTTGACCAAAAAAAAACAAACAAAAAATTTCGAATGGAAAAAAAATCAAAATCAATAAAATGATGAATCAGAGAACAACATTTTTAAGAAAAAAAAGAATTGATAAAAACTTTTGTGTGTTTGCATATCAACAAAAAATGTGAGAAAAAAGTCAACAAAAAAGGCAGGATTTAACTCAATTTTTTGGGAGAACGATGGAAGAAAATCACACATTTGTCATGAAAAATTTTAAAAATTGGGAAGAAAAAAAAATCAATTTTCAACAGATTTTCAGCAGTTGTTATCTTCTTCAAGTTTCAAGAGAAAAAACACATAGAAAATACTACGAGAAAATTTCAAAAAGATGAGAATCCATACAAGTTTCAAATGAATAATTGATCGAAAAATGACCTACAAACTATTTTGTGTCATATTGTTTGCTCAAAACGGAAGAAATGAGAAATAGGAGCAGAAAACCAGTCGTACTACATATTTGTTAAGATTTTCGTACTCATTTACACACTTGGAATATTTTTTCGATATTTGTTTGAGCAGAGTTCAAAACAAAAAAATCGATTTTCAGCAAAAAAAAAACTAACCTTTTGAGCATCTCGAAAACCTAGAAAAAACATATTATTTTATTTTCCCCTGAATTTTGAAAAAAAATAATTGTTGGTTTTTGGAACCACTTACTTTCACAGTTTCTACTGTTGCATAAATTATAAAATTTATTTGAAAAACCGTGTTGAAAAAAATAAAATAAGGGTACATATTAAAAACAGTAGAAGTAAATAAATAAATGAATAAATAAATAAAACGGAAAACTTTTGAGAAATGTATAAATCTTACGAACACATGAAAAAGAAAAATGAAGCGCTATCTGGATGTATCTATGATTAAATCATTAGTAAAAAATAGTATTATCACATTTTTGAGAAAAAAACACAACTTATGGAAGGGAGCGGGTTCGGGATAAAAAATAAAAAAAATACAAGGGAGCAATAAATTAGGAAAATAGCTATTTTTGATTAGGTCAAACCTGGAAATTCGTTGACTTCTCCATTCGAATTATGTTCTTCTCCATTGATTTGATACGAAATTTTAGTGCGCATTCTTGCCTGCAAAAATAAGTTTAGTTTGGAAGAAAGAAAAATTTTGAAGTGCTTTTTTCTAGCCGTTTTCAAAACAAATGTTTCTCTTTGAAAGTTGTTTAAAATAAAATAAATTAAGTTTCAATTTTTCAATTTCCCAACTTACCACAGATCCTGGAACTTTTCGAGTAATATTCATAAATTGTGTTGTATTTCCATCGGCTGGAATATTTGTTGACGTGGCGGGTTCCAATTGAATTTCAAATGCTTTTGTAACCGCAGCCAAAAAGTTGAAACTCGAAATAGATTGTGGTGTATAATTGTAAGCTGTCATTTTTAAGCGAGCTTTCTCATTTTTCCAACCATCAACAACTTCAACTTGAACTTCGACACCTTTTGCATTGATTGCAATAACTGGTCGATTTGATGGTTTGCTAAAAATATCAAAAAGTAAATAATTACTTCTCACAAAAAACAAACAAACCTTGATTGTTGAACTGGAACTGAACCAAAAATATCAAATGGATCTGATGAGACTGGAGCAACATTATTTTGAGTATTCAATGCACCTCCAAGAATATCCATAACTGCATTATTTGATGAGAATAAATCATTATTACCATTTCCAATTGATGTTGAATTTCCTCCCAAATCTAAATTGGATAAAAGATCCAAACTTGAAGAAGCATCTTCAATGAGAACATCTTGTTGTGAAGTTATTTCTTCTGGTTCAATCATTGAAGAAGCAGCTGCATTGAGTGAATTATGTGTAATAATTGGCATTCTTTCAAGTAATCCATATTTCAAATCACCAACACCGATAATTGCATTGAATTCAACAGATCTTTGCTGTAATTCAAGATGAATATGAGCTTGATTAATTCGAACAAGCGCTTCAATTCTTGAATTTGTATGTGAGAATCTTGTTGATAATTTTGCCAATGCAGTTACGGCATAACATTTTGTCATCAAAGAAGTTAATGTTGATGGTAGAACAGCTTCGAATAATTCAATAACATCAGATTCCGAAATAGCTGTAGTATCAGCATCAGTTGGTTGAATCAATAAATCTCCAAATTCTCCAATTGTCCAAAAAGCAACTTGTAAAAGTGGTTGAGCATTTATGGCATCTTTTTTAGCTGCGTGATACAATTGAACAACAGCATAAGCTTGTAATTCAGAATTAGCTGAGATCATTTGAATCATACATGAAACAACTTCATCTGGAACATATTTACCAGCAAGACGAAGTACAGTAATCATCGTATCGAGATGCCATTCATGATTTGGCGAATATCTTTCAGTTGCTATATACATTTTTGAAGCACATTCTGATTTGAATTCGGCATCAGCAGTTTCGAGGAATATCAAAACTTCTTTTGTCATCAGAGCAATATTAGTCTTATTCATAAGTGCAAAACATAATTCCATCGCACGTTTTCTTATTGAAATATCTGGATCTTTTAAGCAATCAACAACAACATTTCGATGTCTTTGAACCGCCTGAAAAAAAGGAAATATTTATTATTTTAAAGGATATTTGAATGTCTTACTTGATTATCAATATGAACAGTTTTCAATAAAGTGTTCAATGCAACATATCGAATATTTTTATCAGTATTCAAAAGGAATCTTCCAAGAATATTTACAGCCAAAATACGAAGTCCACTTTCACTTTTAATTTCCATGATAGTCAAAACAGTTTCATAAAGAATAGCGTTTCCAACATTTTTGGCTGTTTCAGTATTTGTTGCAACTTGTGCAAGAATATCATTCATTTCTTCTGTCGCGCGAACATCGTCTTTTCCCAAAATTCGAAGAAGTCTCAATATTTTGACCTGAATTTAAAAAAATGTTTTGAAACTTGAGAAAAATAATAATACCTGAAGGAAAGGATCTGAAATTCCAGTCACATCGTGTTCTGGCGAATATCCGCTCATAAGAAGATTCTTCAAAATTCGCACCAAATTTGGAACCAATTTTTTGAAATGATTCAAAACATCTGGACTCTTCTCACACATTTCAGTTACCAATGTAGTTGCACCCATCAAAACACCGTGGTTTTTTTCACCTAGAAGTGAACGAGTACAAGAAATAAACACTTCCATTAATTCAGGAACTTTTCGAACAATACGAAAAGCGCAAAGAGCTGCCTTCTTTTTCAAATACGCGTTATTTTGTTTGATAATTTTCTCAACTTCATTCGCCAAATCTCTACACATTTCAGCCGAACAAATTGAACCAAGTGTACAAAGGGCTAAACCGCTCACAAATTGTGTTGAACATGTCAAATCACTAAAAATAATGAATTCAAATTTGGAAAATAAAACAGATTATAGAAAAACCTACTTTTTCAACGAGTTGGTAACTAATAAATGTACTTCAGATCTTTCATCCAATAAAAGCATTGCTCCCAAATATCCAATTCTTTTATCAGTAAAACGTGTCATCGCAACAAGTTTCATACATTCCATTTGACCAAAATGAGCTGGATAACCCAACATATGAATATACAATAACTTTGCTATATTTCGACATTTCCATGGCGAATCATCATCACGAAAACTTTCCCTAAATTTGAACAAACTTTCAAAATCATGAATTTTAATGAAACAAACCGTATATTGGCACTTTCTCGATCAACAACAGCTCTTTCTTCAGCCATTGTTCGAGCAGCTCGAACTTGTCGAATCAAATCACGTAAACGCATAGGTGTACCCAAAGTTCGTCCAATTCTCGATTTATATTCATCGATTTTTTCGATGGCGATCTCAACGGCGTTCGCCATTTTTGTCTACCAATTTATTCAAATAAAACTACTATTGTTTATCACACTGAAATATTATTGAAGTTAAATTACGAAGATCAGGTGAATGAAGGTAAAAGAAAAAAGAAAAATCCATAAATAGTCAAATAATATAATAAGTGATATATATGTGGCTGGTTGGTAGAAAGAAAGAAAACAGAAAGAAAATAGAAGGAGAAGGTCAGAGAAACAGAGTGTGGAGTATAAAAGGAAAGTGTTTGCAGATATTTGTGCACTTTTGCGGAAAATTGTGGCCTTTTGGAGAAAAAAAGGAGGACGGAATTGCTGTCCTACTTGTCCTACCCGAGGTTTTTAAATGGAAGTTTGATGAGTTAATTTTACTTGATTCACTCTTAAAAATCAATAATGTGGTGCCTGACTACAGAGAAAAAGTAGAAAAACTGAAAAAACTTAAAAATGAGCAAAATAGAAAAACCACAGGGTGTAATTTACTACCTCAAATCGCTAGACCTCAAATTTTTCATTAATTTTTGGGTAGATCAAAAATAATTTTTCTCTAAATCTCTCGTTTTTGCGTTGAATTTCGTCAATTTTAGTCCCACCCCTAAGATCGTGTCAGGTCTCAAAAAATGCGCGAAATTTTTCGGGTAGTAAATTACACTCTGTGAAAACAGGCATTTCAGTTTTTCTTGAGCGGGTAGGACAAGTAGGACAGCAATTCCGTCCTCCTAGAAAAAATAGAAAAATGGAGGAAAATAGAATAAAAAGGTAGACTATTAAAAAGAAAAATTTAATGAAATGCCTATCTTACAAAAAAACGTAGAAACCACGTTTAAGTGAATAAAATGTCTGTTTCATTTAAAATTTTGCATTTTTATTTCTATAAAATTTTCTTTCAAAAAATGAAATCACCACCAGATAAATTCAACAATTGCAGATATCTTTAACTTCATTCATTTCATTAAAAAATCAGAAATGATGGTCAACTTGTTTTCTTTTCTTTTCTCGAGGGGTTTTCTGTGTAAACACCAATGAGAAATACAGTACTTTCCAACAGTTAGAAAAAATCTGAATCCTGGAAAATGCCTGCTTTCTGAAAAAAAAACTCCGCAAAAAAAAAACGAAAAATTATAATTTTTCGTTTTTTGTTTGAAATTAATTGTTTGAAATTTTCCACGGGGACTACACTCAAATTTGGAATACTCTTCCACGGTCATCGTTTTCTTTTAAATTTTTTCGAAAAATTGAGTAAGTTTCGAGTTTTTAAGTAAAACAGTGAATAGTTATTTTGAAAATATATTTCAAGAAAATTCAATAAATTGCAAAAATTTTTAACAATTTCATTAACAAAATAAAATGTGACAGAAAATGTAATGAAGAATAGTTGAGATCATTTCGAACTTCAAAACCTAGATTATTACATAGTAAAAAGTTTAACAAGACGAGGTCAGCAATTTTGAGAACCGGTTGAAAGGTTTAAAAGGGGCGATTCTTGGGATAAAATACTCGTATTTGACTAGTTGTAAAAAAATCATTATTATTATTGTCTTGACTGATATCCTTTCCAAAAATCGATTCCTCCATTTTTCAGTTTTCTATCCAAAACTTCAGCGGTGTATTTTTTGACCTGTAATGAATCATTTGAATTGGGGATTTGAAATTATAAATTCGATTAATAATGTTACTCACTTTGACTTTAGCAGAATCGGTGAGTTCAAAATTAAATCCTCCTTCACTAGTTTGCCGTTTGAACATTTCTCGAACAATCTATAAAAAATAAATAATGTGAATAATATACCAATTAATTTAAACATACTGTTTTGACAAGCCACATAACCTTTTCAGGTGTTGCACTTTTCAAATTTTTTGTTGCTGGTTTAACAATGGGAGCAACAACTTGTTCCAGTTTAATTTTGAAATCCCTCGTTTTTTTCTGCATTCGTTCATTTTCTTCATTTTGTCGAAGTTTTGCTGCTTCACATCTTTGCCGTGCAATTTCTCGTTCTCTTTCTTCTCTTTCTCGCATTTTTATCGATTCAGCAGAATCACTTTCAATTAATTCACCTAATCTCGCTTGTAACGAAGATTTCTGAAAATTTTCAAAATAAAAAATTTCAAAAAATGAAAATAAATTCACTTACATTATCAGATTCTTCAGTTGTATCAGGTGGTGTTTGATCATTTGGATCAACTTCTCCTTGTTCAGGATTTGGAGGATCCCATTGTGTTTCCTTCGTTATTTTATTGTAATAATATGTTTCACCATTCTCTGATTTCGCACGTGCCCAACTATATTTTTCTTTTTTCGGCGGTGGTTCATGTACACCTTCAAGTGGACACGGATTCGGTTGAATCATATTGACAGATGGAATAATAGCAGCAGATGATGGCACATTTATCATTTCAACTTCTTTTTGTGCAATCATTGCATAAGCAAGTTGAATTTGTAGTTGAAGTTCATCTCGATGTTCTCTGAAAAAATCCGAATTCATGTTGTTAATTAGAAAAGGAAAATTTTCTGATAGTGAAAGAAAAATCTGAAAAAAATCTACCTTATCTGTTCAATCGTTGCAGTTTTGTACAAAATTCGTAGATCTTCAATAGTTGGCAATGTTTCCATTCTAAACGGTGTTCTTGGTCTTTCTTCTGTTGGCCAATATGATGGATGTTGTGGAAAACCAGGTGGATGTGGAGGATAACCAATTGGATGAGAAGTTGGTGGACCACGTGGAAAATATGGATAAGGATAACCATATCCCATTTCTGAATATTTAAGTAACTTTGATTAATCATAAAACACTCTAGATTTCTGATATATTTTTTAAAATAAAAAACGTGATAATCTAATTCTTGATTTTCGTGAAATCCTTAATTTTCGTGAAATCCTTAAATTCTTGATTTTCGTGAAAATGAAAAAATGTAACATTTCAATGGACAATCTAAACTACGATTGAAATTTTTTGGATATCAAATTTTGATTTTCAAAAAACAAGTAACTTACGATAATCATAATGTGGCGGTGGTGGTGGCATTCTGATTGGTGGAGGTGGTGGACCACCTGGTGGAGCCATACGAACACTTGGATTTGTCGGGACATTATTCAATTTCGGAGCAATTTCAGATTTTGTGGAACTAACTGAGGATGTACATCTATCTGGTTCAAATGGAGGTGTTGTTGGTTTTTTGGTTGTATCGATTGGCGATTTTCGATCATCATTTCTAAATCGTTTGTTATTTGGAGGAGGTGATAAACTACGTGATCGACTACGAGAATAACGAGCACGTTTTCGATACGAAGATGAAGGAAATTGATCTGAAATATAATTGATTTTTTCTATTTTCATTATGAAAATCAACTTACTGAAAAATGAAGTTGTTCCAGAATCATATTGATGTGCTGGATATCGTCTGCCTTCTCCTCTTCCACGATAAAATTCTCCATTATTTCCACCAAATGATCGATATCCACCATATCTTCCACCAATTGTTGAACCATATTCTGATCGAGAATCGAAAAACTTCGGTTGAGATGAATAATATTTTGATTCATACGAATTATCGATTGATTGAATGTGTTCTTTCGATACTTGTTTTGGGGTGATAACTGGTTCAACTTTTTGTTTTTTCGGAATTCGGAAAGTAACAGATCGTGTCCACCAATGACCATTTAATCGAATTGCCATTTCTCGAAGACGAACAAAATTTGCGTTGATTTCATTCTGTAATATTCATAAATATTGTTTATGAAAAAATCAGACAAAACTTACATATGTTAAATCTTCAATTTTGTTATAATCTTCACCAGTTTCAACACTTATGACCAAACTATCAACAACTGATTGAATATGAATTCCTTCAGGAGCTGCTTCGCTTTTTGCAATTTTATCTACAACTTCTAACAAATCCTTATCGGATCGAGCAAATGGAACAAAAACTTCGCCATGAAGAGTTTGCAATACTTTTTGCATTAATTTTAGATTTTCAATTGATAAATCTTGCTGCGAAAGCCATTCATACATTAAATTCAGAATTCCTTCTTTTGCATAATGTGATTGCGTATTTGGTGTCTGAATATAAATTATTTCAAAAATTATGCAATGAGCTAATTGAAAAAAAATTAAACTAACCGTATCTTGCGAGAAAATCTCATCAATCAACTTCATTCTTTGCTCACAATTAGTCATTCTTTCAGCAATTTGAATAACTTTCTTCGAATATTTTCGATTTCTAACAACAAGATCAGCCAAAAGATTCTCAATAGCCTCTTTTCTTTCATTTTCGGATAAAAATTCAAGCTCAGATATACGTTTTTCTTCATCATCCAATTCTTCAGTTGTTATTAATTCATCATCACTTTCATCTTCTTCATCCGAACTAAAATCTTCCGGTCTTTCACCAATATAACCAGTGCAATTTTCAGAGCCACAAAAACATTGTTGAGCTTCACGTCTGAAAATATCACAAATATTAATTTCATTTTTTTTCATTATTATTCAACTAACCCATAATTCACAAATTGATAATCGAAAGTAATTTCTTCACCAGCTAAAATAGCTCTTTTTGCGAAAAATCCAATTCGATTAACAGCTCCTGGTGTTTTTGGTACCATCCATTTCTCACAAACTGCATTTGGATTACAACTGTGATTTATGAATCTTGATGGATTTCCCATAGTTGTTGCATCAATTGTATGACTTCCAGTGTCACAAAAATAATGATGTTTATGTGATTTGTCTTTTGCGTATTTCTCTTTTCGTTTTGCATAATCATCTCGTTCTAACATTTCACCAACATATTCAATTATGAATTGTCCTCTAAAATATTTGAAATTTGGTTTTAAAAAATTATTTCAAGAATAAAACTAACTTTTTGATATCTTTTGTTGCTCTCAAACCACATCCTTTTTTTGTTCCAGTATTAAATGGCTCAACAGCTGCATTCTTCTTTTTGGTAAATCTTTGATTTTTACATTTGGTAGCTGGACAACCTGTTGGACATTCTGTATACATTGCACGATTCACACAATCGTCATCCGAACAATTGTTACCACTTTCATGACATTCACATCTGAAAATAATACGAAAAATAACATATTAAAAAAATGTTTTGGCCAATTGTGTTCCCAAGAAATATTTCCCAAATTTAATTCTCAAATATCCGAATATCGAGAGAAATTATCAAAGTTTAGAAATAAAGTAAGAAATATTAACTTGGGAAACCTAAAAGAAGCTTCGAAAAATAATTAACCAGTTTTAAAAACTTACACAAGTGATTCTGTTTTCTTCTTGGAAGCATTTTTAGTTAAATACTTGCATTCTGTGATTGGTTCGAAATGTGGTATTTTTCTTTCATTTTCTGGAATTTCAGGTGATTTTGCTCTTTCTGCAACTATTTTCTCCACAGTCTTTTCTTTTATTTCTTCCTCGTGTTCTTTTTCTCTTTCATTCTCATATTTTTCTTCATTTTTTACAATTTCTTCAATTCCATTTTGTTCTTTTTCATTATTTTCATGATCTTCTTGATATTTTCGTTCTTTTTTATCGTCCTCTTTTTCAATTCGAAATTCTCGATCTTTTCTTGGACTTGATTTATCTCGTTCATCTTTTCTTTTTTCTCGATCATTATTCGATTCATATCTTCGACTGCTGCTATGATGATTATGGCTATGCCTTCTATCTCGTTCTCTTCCTCTTCTTTCAAAATCTTCTCGATGTGAAGAGCGATGATATGATGATGTGTTACTTTCTCGATATCTTTCATCGCGAGAATTCTTCTCACGTTCACGTTCTAAAGAATGTTTCGGTCGCTCGTCGCTTTCGAATTTTCTAGATATTTTTGCTGCAACAGCAAGAGCTTGTTGACGCTGAAAAATTTCAATTCATTTGATTTATATAAAATTTAATAAAACGAACCGCCGATTCTTTAGCTTTCTCTTCTTCTTTTCTTCTATCAACAGCCGGAGCTATAATCATTGGTCCACTAAGCAATGAAGAAGGTTCAGGTTCAGGAGAAAGAATAACTTGTGGTGGTGGTACATTTTTAACACCAAAAAATGATGGTTTTGGTAATTCTACAACAGATATAGGTGGTACAGTAGCTGATAAAGTAGCTCCAAATCGTTTTCCAGGTGAAAATAGCAATGGATTGGGATTTAAACCAGGTCTTGTTGGAGTTTTAATGACGATTGGTTTTATTCCCATCGATTGTTGATCTTCAGAAACTACAGGTTTTGGTATTTTAACAACTTCTTTTTCTTCTTCAAAAGCAGCTGCAGCTGGATGAAATATATGTGGTCGGCGATATTTTGGTTGTTCAATTTCTATAAATTCAGGTTCCTCGGGAATCGATTCTGGTTCATTTGAAGGAACATTAATATTCTCTTCAGATTTGTCTTCTTCGTGTTCATTATCTGATATATCCATTGGACTTGGACTTTTTGATCTTTTTCCTTCAGAAGGAGCATCAGATTCTTCTGTTTTTTCATCGATAATTTCTGAATTTTTTTCTTGCGAAACTTTTTCAAGAATATCTTCTTCTTTTACTTCAGTTTTCAACTCAGAAGAATCAATATCTTGTTCCACATTTTCAATTACAGTTTCTTCCTTGATTTCATCAAAAGTTTCTTTCACATCTTCCACTTTAATAGTTTCCTCATTTTCTTTTGTTTTCTGAAATATTTGATTTGACCTCGGCGAACCAAAATTTGAAAAAAATGAATTACCTCAACAACGAAAAAATCACATTGATCTAATTCAATATCTTTCACTAATTCTGTACATGATTTCACTTCTTCCGGTTCTTCAATTGAAGGTGTTTTTGATTTTAACCTACTATTTGGCGTCGCACTTTTTTCTTTTGCAGCTCTCGATCTTCTTGTTCTAGTTGGTGGAGGAGTTGGCGTACTTTCAGGTTCAGTTTCTGTCGCTTTTTTCCGTCGCGTTGATACCATCTGAAATTCAAAAATCGATTCTGTACCTAAAATTATTTTTCACGAAAAATATAAGAACAATCTTCAAGAGAATTAAACAAAAATCAATGTTTATCTCGCTTCGAGACCAAATTCATTTTCCAAACTTTATCGCAAAATCTGAAAGTTTCTAATTCCAATAAAATAAACGCTCACCTTAAAGCAAAATTACGCTAAAAATCGAAAAAAAGCAACGAAAAGGTATTTGTCAGTCGCGTCCTCGGCCGAACAAGCGAATGTATCTGCCGCAGTCAGCCTGTCTGCCATTTTCCGTTTTCTCTAACACTCTCTCATCTTTTCTATTGTCTCTCCTTTTTTCGCGCCATCTGCATTTTTTCGGCCGTATGTTTCGCTTTTATTTCAAGGGGGATTTTTAAGATAATATTTGGAACGAAAGAAAAGGGACCCCATAAAACATGAAGAATAAAGAAATTTTAATCTAAAGGACACTATAAAGTTTCTTGAATTTAATAACATTTTTTTTTCAAAATTGAGCAATATTTACATTCCGGAGTTATCAACGTCTGGATATATATTTCAAAAAAATATAAGCAGAATCATTTTCAAAATTTTATTTTTAAATTCAAACATTGACAAATTTTCATAACTTGGTTTTTGGAAAAGTCGATCTAGTGATGGATGAATTTGGAATTTCATCAACTGGAGCTGCTAATGAAGATGTTTCATCTGATTTCACTGAAGTAAGAAGAGCTTTTTCTGCTTGAAGTATATTCGAGGAACATGATATAACCTAGAAATTAAATAAAAATTGATTATTCAAAAAAAAATTACCTCAAAATCATCTGGAGATCTACTTTCAATTATAATATTTGTTCCAAGATCGCGTGTCCATGTTGCAGTATACAACGAATTACTCAACTGCAAAAAAATATATTTAATTTTTTCTAGAGCCAAATTCTATTAAAAGAATTAGAATTTGTTTTTTCCTGATTCTGACCAGATGAAAAATGAAAAACAAACCTGTAGAACTGGGTTTTCCGTTTCAGCATATCTCAATTTTACAGTATCTGTTTTTACAGCTTCTCGGACCAAATCAGCATCCAAAATTCCATTTACAGTAACAAGCATCGTCATTTCTTCCCATTCATCTTCATCTTCGAGTTCATCATCATTTGATGTATCGATCTGCTCATTTTTCACCTGCACAGTATCCATTTTCTGAATAAAAATGGTAGTAATCTTGAAATTCAGAAAGTTGAGATATTAGTATCGTTTGAACAAAAATTGATAGTATTCCAGAAAATAATTAAATCTTATCACATTCATTAAATAAACCCCCGGAATAAATAAATACATTTTTGTGAAAGGAAATAAGAAATAAATCAGAAAGAATCGGCTAGTAATTTCATAATTATTGGATAATGTTTGACATATTGAGTTTGTCCTTTTGAAATTACTGACGAATTGTAAGAAGTCATAAGTCCGTTTAGAAGTGCGATAATTTCAACTTCAGTGTGTTCCTCATTCCATTTCACATATTCTTCGGCCTTGAAAATAATCCCATGAAAAATAAAAAACTTGTGATAAAACTTACTGTCCATTGCACTGATTCATGCGGTAACATTAATTCATCGGGACTATCGGAAATCAATAATTGAGCAAATATTGATTTTTTGATACCTTCCACACTTAACATAACTTCAACATCATCTCCGAATAAATCTAATAATCTTGTTGTGTCTCCATATTTCGATGGCCATTCCATACTTCTTACAGCTTCAAGTAATCGAGAAAAATCAATAATCAAAAGTTTCCGTTGATCATTCTCAAAACTACGAACTAAACATGAATTCAAAATGAATGATTCAATAATATAATCAGCGATTTGAGAAAGAACATGTGAATGACAAATAGCTCGAGAAACATGTGCCATATGCATATCAACATGTAAAATATATTCGAGTAATTCTTGCATATAAGGTGATACACTTCTTGATTCTTTTCGTTTTTCTGAATGCATTCGTGCCATTATAGCTCGAATTGATTGTTCAACTTGACTTATTATTGAATCTAAACTAAATTTCTGAAGTGTTTGAATACTTTTCGATTCATTTGGCCATTGTTTCACAATTCCATCAGCAGTTTGAATAAGTCTATAATTTGTCATTTGATTTGCAGTCAATCTATCGCCCAAAAGTAAATCATCATTTGTCAAATGTAGATTTTCTTCCAATTTTTTAGCAATCATTTCGATACATTTTTCAATATTATGACTCATTTTCTGACTTAATTCAGCATCCCAATCAACTTTTTTCAATTCTTCTTCCATTGCAGAATTTATCTGAAAATCAAATAAATTAATGTTTCCTTCAAAAGAAAAATAAAAAGGCTCTTACCAAATCAACAAACGCATTTGCAAACGAAGTCGAGAAATCATGTTCATCAACAATTTTGTGAAGTTTAGCAAGAGAATGTGCAAGAAGTGAGTTTTTGAGTGGTCGAAGAGAATCGAGAAGAACTGGAGAACAATCGGATTTTGATTTGAAAACTCGTCCGAGTTGTTGAACAAAACGAAGAGCAAATGGAGTATCGAGTGGCACACGGGATTTTATCATTCGGGCCAATTTCTCCGAAAACTTTTTACGATAATTATCACCTATAAAATAATTGAAATACAATAATTGTATTACAATTCCAAATTTTCGGAACAAATATTTTTCAAACAAAAGTTATTCTTGAAAACATTCCGAGAATATAATTTTTGTCTATAAAAAACTCACCAAGCATCGAAGCCTGTTCTAAATGAGATTGTATCAATGCCGAAACTACTGGAAGACTTTTATTGACAATATCCGAATTACTATTTGACAATTCCATTAATTTCTTATCCAACTCAACAACTGATGAAGATAACAAAACTTCGAGCTCCACTGAAAAATACAAAATTTGAAAAATGTTCTAAATGAATAATTCAAACTTACAATCTAAACAATTTAATGTTCTCAATGCTCTTTGTGAAGATGCAACCATTGAACTATTCAAAGATGCCAAACCTCTTTTCAATTCTTCAGCTGAACTTCTTCTAACTTCATTCTCAACAACTTTCAACTTATTATCAACCAAATTTTTAAGCCATCCTATTTTCTTCAAACTCTTGTTATCATTAAGAATTTCCTTGATTTCTGCCGTAATTTCAGCTTTTTTCACCAAATCACTTCTTTTTTCTAATGATTCGAATAATTCTTCACATCTATGAGCATCAGAAGCCATATTTCTTTTCATTTGAGTACTTTCAAGTTGTTTTGTTTGTTCTCGTAATTTATTAGCAAGTTCATCACAAACAGTTGATAATCTATTGGATTCGGAAGCAACTGATGACATTCTCATTTGAACAGAATGAAGAGTATCTTCAAGTGATTGAAGAGCTGGAACTTGTTCGAGAAGACGCGGAAGATTTGTTTCGACCTAAAATAAATTTTTATAGCAATAAAGTTTTTCTCGAACGTTGTCTAAAATTTTTTATAGGTTTTTTATAGTAGACTTTATTTATATCCGAAAATAACTAACCCCTTTTCTTAGTTGTTTATCGAGTGTTTCATGCAATCCAGCAACTTTTCTATTCAATGAATCTGCTACCGAACTATCACATTCTGCAACTTTTTTCAAATAATCCTTTGTATCATGTCTTCCCCAAAGATAATCTTCTAAATGTTCATCGACTCGAAATGAAGTCATCTGGAAAATTGATTAATCAAAAATTAAAAACAAAATGAAATATGAAAACAGTTTTGAATTAACTGATTGAATATGAGAAATATTACACGGAATGAAAAAAAAACAATTTATAACAACAAAGCCTAATCTAAAATATCTAATTACAAATAAATAGACTAATTACCTAATTCATTTTTTCTGCAGATTTTTTCAAATTATGTTTCTCAACAACAACTCCTTTTTCTAAATCTGAAATAATTCCTCGAGCAATTGTTGTTTTACTGCTTCCTTCTCTTAATGTAAATGGCATTCCTTTTCTCAACGGCATTTCTTTCATCAATAAAACAGTCGCCGAAGTATGTTCTCCAGGCATCAACAACTCGCTTTTCATATCAAATCGACCTACTTGATCCCAAGTACTACAATACATTTTATCAGTAAATCCAGTACGAATTCCAATTTTTCTCTCGTTCTCAGCTTCAGATAGCAAATATAATTCTACTTTTACTCGATTTGTAATAGTTACAGCACCTGGATGACCAGCCCACATACCTGAATACTTTCCATTATAAATTTGACAATTGAAAAGATTTAAAGAAATACCTCTCTTAACAGTTTCAGCTTTAAGACCACGACACAAAACACCACAATGATCTCCAGCTCGAACTTCTTTCACACTTTTTCCAAAAACATGAATATCTGAAGCAGTTGTTTGAAGAGATTGTCCATCTCCTTTTATTTCAACTTTATCTCCTTTTTTCAATTTTCCTCTTTCTAATGTTCCAACAATAACAGTTCCTCTTCCAGTGATTGCTGTTTTTGATGCAATTGGCATAATAAATGCTTCTTCTTCATTTCTATCTGGTTCAGGTAAGTTATCCAAAGCATTCAACAAGTTATCAATACAACTAGCGTCTCCTCCTTCAAGTGCACCCAATGCTGATCCTCGGATAACTGCTGTTTCATCTCCATTAAATCCATGAAGTGTAAGAAGTTCGCGAGCTTCAATTTCAACCAAATCGAGAACATCTTCTTCAGTAATATCCGCTTTATTGATAAAAATTACCATATTTTTGACACCAACTTGTTTAGCAAGAATCAAATGTTCTTTAGTTTGATCCATTACACCTTCAGGTCCAGCAATAACAAGAACAGCCACATCCATTTGAGATGTTCCACAGATCATATTCTTAATAAAATCAGAATGTCCAGGACAATCTGTGTGAGAATACCTCCGTTTATCACTTTCATAACCAATATGTGCAACATTAATAGTGATACCTCGCTTTTTCTCTTCTTTTTCCTTTGTCGATTTCATCGAATTTGATATGCTTTGAGAACCCTATAATAAATAAAAACGAGGTTTGCTTACATAGAACCACGAAAACATTCAGAGGAAACTTACCCTTTTTCGCTTGAACTCTTGTAATCGCAGATGTCAATGTGGTCTTTCCATGATCAATATGGCCGATTGTTCCAACATTTACATTAATTTTGGGTGCAGCTACTGTTGCATAAAATGCTTGTGCAAACCATGACCCTCTTGTTCTATTAAACAAAATAGCTCTTGTAAATCCTGATAGTGCGCTCATTTTGTTTCTGTAAAGCGTCAGGTATTATTCTGAACATTTTTTGACAAAAAAAACAGGAAGAGCAAAAACGGCCCCACAAAAAATTTTGAAATGAGTTGACGCTTCCGAACGGAAAAGAAAAAATAAATTGCGTGGCAATGGCCGTGGCATAGAAAACCAAATTCTTTCTTTGTGTGTTTCTCGGGGACAACAGGTATTCTATTTTCTCAGAGAAGTTGGACGATTAATCGCCCAGTAACTTGAATTAGCTGCTGGCTGACCGATTAATCGCCTGTGTTAATTTAGTTCAGGCTATTAATCGTAAGTTCACTTTACTCGGCGATTAATCGTACAACTTGTCTGAGTTTGCGCAATTGCGCATGAATTCGGCAGAAACTGGGAGTATAATTTTTAGATCTTATTTGAACGCCTTCGGGGTTACATTGTCATGAAACGGGTCACAATACGAGTTGAACACAAGTGTAAATTATTTTATGAAAAGTAAGATTTCCATTTTATAATTTATATCAACAATTTTTTTTAGATGTTTGAACACAATGAAAATAGATCAAGAAGACCGAAAATTGAAATACGTGTACATGAAAGCGTTAGAGAATCTCAAAAAATGCCCATTCGAAGTCGAAACAATTGTTGATCTCAAAAACATTCAAGGAATTGGAGAAAATATTGCCGTAAAACTAGAAAGTTGTTGGAAAAAAGCAAATCCTAAAAAGACATTGACATTGAGAGAAATCAAAGCTTTCAGTAACGGTAAGAATAAAATAACATACTTTATTTTTGAATAAAATAATTTCAGACGATTTTCGACATTTTTTATCAGCCAAAAAAGTAACTCATAAACGAGGAGAATTTGAAGAAAGTGATGAAGATGAACAACCAATTGCAAAAAAATCGAGACCAAAAAGTGTATCTCCTGTTCCGCCTCCTCAACCAACAATGAAAAAAGCGCCACCATCACTAATTCGATATCAAAGCTCTAGTTCAACTACAAGTTCAACTAACTCAGATTTCGAATTTCGAATCAAAACTTGTAATCCGATTGAAGAACCAAGGGTATTTTTTTAAAAGTATTTATCATTTCTAACCTCTAAATTTTGAGGTATTTCTAATTGCTGATAATCGAGAAAAAGGTTCTGGTCGCTCAAAATCAACAATTGAACATTTAGTGAAAAAAGAAGGTATAAATGTTGATATTCGAGCATTATCAGTTGGAGATTATTTATGGATTTGTAGAAAAATTGATGGAACAGAAATAGTTATGGATTGGGTTGTTGAAAGAAAAACATTGGCTGATTTACAATCAAGTATTAGAGGAGTATGTTTTTAGTTTTTCAATAATGATTGAAAGAAAAAACGGATTTCTCAATTTACAATTTAATTTTATAGGGTCGTTATGATGAACAGAAGCGACGTCTCAATTTAGCTCCAATGAAAAATCGAATTTATTTAATTGAATCCAAAACACGAGGAGATATTGCATGTGAACAAGCAATTGCATCAACAATTTCAAATGCTGGTTTTCTTGTTCAAAGATGTGATGATACACGAGAAACTGCCACTTTTTTACAAGAAGTTACTTTGAGACTTCAAAAATATGCTGAAAATCATCAAATATCGGGTGTTCCATTTGATCAACTACAAAATGCATTACAAAAACAAAAAGCCGAAACAGTAAGAGATGTTTGGATTCGACAATTAATGGTTTGTCCTGGAATGTCATATTCTCGCGCTGATTCAATTTCTGCAAGATTTCCATCGATGTTATCACTTCTCAAATATTTTAAACAAAATGGGCCCGATTCACCAATTAATTTGCATAATATGATGCCTCAACTAACTCGGCCGATAACTAGAAATCTATACAAGTTTTTTGTTCAATAGCATTTATTCATAAAAAATTTTAGATTGAAAAAAAAACAGAAACATAAAATCAACAAACAGTTCAGATGAACTTAACAACAATAAAAAGAATAAAAAATTGTTTTAATTAAGATGGGCTTCGTTTCTCAGATATTCTCCCAAATCACATTGATGCAAAACGACGAGAGCGGTTGGATCTGCTCTTTTACTGTCAGCTGTTCCTTTAGCAGAAACTCCAAATCTTCAAAAAAAAAATTATTTTTGAAACATTAAAAAAAAAGTCTTACCCGAGTGGTACATCAGTCATCGAATATACAACAATTCCAGCATGTGTTGGTGTGCCTTCAGTCATTCTACCAATTCCAGATTTCAAAATATTGTTTCCATACAAAAACTGTTGCTCAGCATTTGGTTTCAGCCAAACCTTGTACTGGAAAAAATTCACAATTATTTTTTGTTTGGATAAATAAATAGAAAAATACTAACCTTTGCATACGGTGCCAAATAATCAAGTGCAGTAATTTGTAAATGGAATTTCTTGGTTTTGGTGAATTTTCCAAGACATGTTCCGAATGACAAAAGTGGTTCACGAGCAATACACGCAGCTTGTCTCATCAGATTCTCGGAACAGTAATAAACACGTTCCTAAAAAATATAATTGTCATTGAGATTACGGATAAATATTCTAACCTTATGATTTCTAAAACAGTAATCTCCATCGTTTCTGTCGATGAGCATTGAAACATTATCTCCAATGAAAGATGCAAGTTTGGCAAATACCAATGAAGTCTCTTCTTCTGTCAATGGTCTCATTCTGAAGAAAATATCACATTGAATTGAATTAAAGGTTGACAGTAAAATATGTAAAATGGTTGAAAAACCAACATACGACTTCAACGAATGAAATATAACAAATTGGCAGAATTTATAAGTTAAAAACCCGAAAATCATTGATTATTTACAAAAATTAGAAATTCAAAAGTGAAATTTGATCGAGCATTGAATTATCTGAAATAGCAGAGCGAGCAGTTGCTGCATCAACTTGAAGAATCAATTTACCACCTGGTAATTGACGAAGAAATGATTGAGATTCCAAGGTTTGGAAAGCTGCCAAAATATCTTCATCGTCCATTTGAGGAGCACGAATTGCTTCGCAAGTTTTCATGTAAGCTTTCATCAAAGAATCGCGATTGAAATTAGCCTTAAAAATGTATTTTGCATGTCAGAAACAATCAAACATTTAAAAAATGCAAACCTTTTTACTGTTCGACAAAGCCAATGAAACTGCTAACAAAATTCTTGGTTGCAACGGTAATTTTGCTCGAGCTAATGGAGATGAATAAACATTTTTCATTATTCCTAAAACCTCACGACAACCATCTTTCTTTGGTGTTCCAGATTCAGTTTCTTCGTTCATGCGATGTCTGGAGATTTTGGAATGAATTTATAAAACAATTAAGAATCAAAGAAAAACTCACTTGGTTTGTTTGAAAATATGAAGAGCCGTTCTCAAATCTCCACTCATTGCAGCCACTTTTCTTGCACATAATTCGACAGCTTTTCCGTCAATTTCATTATCCTCATTATTAATTTTGTCGGTGAGAATTTTGACGATACTATCTTTGCTATATGGTTCAAAAACTAGTCGCTCTGGTGGTTGAGATAGCATTAATTTTGGGAGTAGCCTTTCTGTTAAATCAATCGAATTTGCAATTCCAATAATAACAATTCGATAAGATAATGAATATGGCCATTGAAAAGCAGAATAAAGTGTTGAATTTGTTCGAGATACCAAATGATCAATTTCATCTAAAACTAGAACCAAACATTTCGAGGACGATTTCAAATTTTCATTCAAATTCTCTTGTGTTGCCCTTCCTTCATAATCTTGTGATTTGAAAATATTTGAAAGTAAAGCTGATTTTGTGCTGACTGATGCACAATTAACTATACAACTATGCACATGTTTGGCCATTGATTCGAGAACTCGTTTTGTGGTTGCAGTTTTTCCTGTTCCGGGTTGACCACTGATATAGATTGAAACGGGTTTCTTATTCTTTTGGCTGCTAAAAATCCAATTTTTGATCGAATCGAATTCATCTTCACGGCCTTTCAAAGCTCCATTTTTGCTGCAGGAACTCGAAATTTCATCTGTCTCGCTGAAATGAATAGTTCAAAATATGAAAATTATGAAATAAAATAAATAACCTGTCTTTACTCGTTGAACATGACATCTTCCTCAATTTAGGAGTCAATTTTTTCACAACATCATCTTCTTCATCAATAGTTTTTCCTTTCTAAAAAACATATTTCTAAATTAAACAATTATTAAAATACAAAAAAAACTTACTTTCAATTTTTTGACTGGAGTCACAGTTTCTTCGCGAGTGGTTTTGATATTTTTGCTCTAAAAATTCAACCTATTTTCGAAATTTTCAAGTACTAACTTACTCGAACACCCTTTGGTGGAGATAAAGTCATATCGACTACCAAAGTTCCTCTTTGATTTGACCTTGTGCTCCTTCGATTCTCCATTCTGAAATCAAAAAATACGAAGGCCTATAAAAAGTGTCGAAGAGAAACAACGAAAAAACCCGCGTTTGCATTAGAGCGTATTTTCATCATCAGAGAAAAATGAAGCGAAAACTAGGTTTATGTTGAAAATAAAAAAATAGAGCATGTAAATAAATATTTTCTTTCGGTTTTATTTCGAAAAACTCTAAAATTAAATTTGAATTCGAAAAATCAAAGATGGAAATGAAACGTGTCTGAAACATTTTTCAATAAAACTCAGAGATTCGCTGGCCAGCTCGCCACCAGGTGGGGAGGCTGGCTGACCTGGGAACCACATGGAAACCATGTCGCCCGGTTTTTTTTCGCTGGCAAGGTGGCCACGCTCTGGCTAGGTCACGGCCACATGGCTACCATGTGGTGGCCACTTCGCCGCGTCAAAATGAATTTTCATGAAAATGTCTTAAAAACTTGTGAATTGAGGCATTTTCGAAAAATTTGGCTCATTTTCTGTTTTTTCGCAGCACTTGAAACGTTAGGAAGTGAAAAAAACAGTAGAAAATGCAGTGTTTTGAGTACAAACCACTGTCTTGCCAGCTTTCCAGAATTTCAAACACACAGGCCACGTCGCCGGAAAACTCGAGGCGACCTGGCGGCCATGCGGTTTCCAGGTGGCCGCAGCGATCTGGTGGCGAGCTGGCCAGCGAATCTCTGAGAAAACATTATGAGAAGATTTGGATAATTTCGAAATTTTTGTAGTACTTGCGATGTAGTGTACGTAGTACTGTACTTCTGGATTTGTCAACAAAACGATCAACGGATTATTTTCTCGAGGTCTATCAACATGAAAGTTAAGACTAATAAGAGGATTCTCTGGATATTCCCGAAAAGATTTAAGCCATCCCATAAATACTGAATTGCAGAAAATGATAACATCAAACAGTTTTTTTAGAATGGGATTGACGAATTTAGATTGTGTTTGTGTTGATTTTATACAGAACTATGAACCTAGTCCAAACATATTTTTTAAAGCACTTTCGAGGCCCGAAAATTCCGTGAATTTTCTACCCATGTTTCATATTACTAAATAGTTGCAATTTTAACTTTTGTCACTTTGTTTTCAATGCTTTCCTAACATACATAATATGTGTAAATATACATCAGGTCGAACGAGATACACAATGCAACACATTTCTCTGCACTCTCTGATCTATCACACATCGTTTCGCTGCCAAAAACGAAAAAGAAGCAGAGGGAAAAGAGGAGGTGCTGTTGTTGGCATCGAGCCAGAAGAAGATGCGAGACATATGAAGAGACTATAGGCAGCTAGCCAGTCAACTATTGATCACACCTCCCCTTCTTTTCTTTTTCTTCTTCTTATTTTCTTTTCTCTTCTGCTGTCCGTCCGCAACATAGGGTGCAGCGATACTTTTTATTTCGAAAAATAAAATATTAATTCTCAAACTTTTTAGTCAACACTAAAGTTGAAGACGCGTCGCTGCTTATCGAAAAGTGCAGCTCGCTCGCGTGTCTCTTTACCGAAGAAATCAGAGACGCGACGGGCGAGGAGGCCTAAACGAAATATGACCGGATATGATAGTGTTTTGATATGGCCTGAAGATGAATATATTGACGAATCAACATTGGAACAACATCGTGGACCAGCTTCACTTGACTATGATTCGTAAGTTTAATGCGTTTCTTGAAAAATCGTTCTCACTTTCAACCTACTGACCAATGTTTGTTTTTTCTCTCTATTATTATCTATCATCTTCCTCTCAATTATGTCATGTTTTTGTTCCGATGAAACATAGCCAAACAGAGATTATTATTAGATCAAAAAGTCGAAAATATATGTTTGTTATGTAATGAATGTTTCCGGCGGCATAACAAAACTTTACCCTAAATTGATTAAATTCAATGAAACTTTTCGAACACTTTTTCTAATATCAAGCAGTATGCATGTCATTCCGTACAGTGAGAAATTGACTTTTCAAAGAGTTGGCACGATTCCAGAAAAATTTTCGAACACCTGCTGCCTAGTTGAACTGTGATCATTTTAATCGTATTTTTCTCGCGAAAAATTGTTAATGAAAAAATGGGAAGAATTATTAGAAAACTATTTGTGGAATTGTTTGACCGGTAGAAAATTAGGGAAGTAAATAAGAACTTCCATCTTATCAAACCTATTGTGTAGTTGTTCGAAATAAAATCAGCTGTTTCTATAAGAAAACTAATTTTTTGATCAACACTTATGAAAAGATGAACCAAAAACTTTAGATGATCCAAGATCTTTTCCTATGCAAATAACTAATTTATTATTCAATGTTAGTTGTTACACTAATTGGGCCTGGCTAATATAGTTGTGTAGTAACCTCGTATAATTTCATAGTAGTAGTTGCATGAGTGGGTGTACTGAAAATATCAAGATAATAAGCAAGTAAGGCGGTCAGGTGATAATGATTATATGTTAGTAGAAAATTTACGAATCGGTTGCTATGCACTAATTTCAGGTTAATGATGCTCTCAAATATGCCACCACTGACTGAAGAAATGAGGAATCGTTGTCCTGCGCTACCGGTCAAAACGCGTTCAGCTCCTGAATTCAGTCTTGTATTGGATTTGGACGAAACGCTGGTACATTGCAGTTTAACACCACTCAGCGATGCTTCACTGGTCTTCCCGGTTGATTTTCAAAATATGCGTTACGAAGTTTATGTTCGACTTCGGCCGTATTTACGAACATTTTTGGATAGACTTTCAAAGAAATATGAAATCATTCTATTTACGGCTAGTAAGAAAGTATATGCTAACAAGCTTTTGGTACGTTAAAAATCACTGAAAAAAAAATGAAAGATAGTTGTAAATTTCAGAATCTTCTCGATCCAAAAAAGAACTTCGTTCGTCACAGATTGTTCCGTGAACATTGTGTATGTGTATACGGAAATTATATTAAAGACCTGACAATTCTTGGAAGAGATCTATCAAAAACTATTATAATTGACAATGCTCCACAATCGTTTGCATATCAAATCGACAATGGAATTCCCATTGAAAGTTGGTTCGAAGAAAGAGAAGACAAGGAACTCATCAAACTTGTCTCGTTTCTTGAAAATATTCCAGATCAGGTAAAATTCTAGATAATTATGTTTGAAGGATCTCAATGAATTCATTTGTTTATAGGGTGTTGATGTTCGAGAAATTTTGAAGGAACGCTATCGACTTCGAGAAATGATCCCGGTTTACAGCCAATTGTATCAACAACAAGCACAGCAAGAACAAGAACGATTGCAGCTTCAACTTCAACACCATCAACAATTACATCAACAACAACAGCTCATTCATCAACAACAGCAACCCCAAGCTCAGCAGGAATTCCAACAAAATGATGAGTTTGGAGAAGGAACTCCTTCAACTTCAACGATACATGTAGATAATCAATTTATAACCCAACAACTACCTGCCAAACAACCACAATTGGTTCAGGGCTAACTAACCGAAAACCTTGTTATCTATTTATATATACTTATGTTTGTACATGTTGTAGTTGAGTTTTGTTAATAACTGTATACTATTATTCACAAATCTCTCGCCCTCAGTCCATTTAACCTCTCCTTACTCCTATTGATCTTATATTTCCCATTTATGCACTTTAGTGCCATCGCTAATAGTTTTAGAATGTATTTAGAACTCATTTATGCCCATTGTTCTCATCCACATATATCTATTGCCCTCGGTGTTCATGTTTCTGTCCCAGTGAACTTATTTACCTTTACTGACTTTACATCAATCATTATTTGTTAATAAATATTCGAAAGACCAGAGAAAAAATAACGATTATGTTTCAACAAAACATTACAAACCTATATTTTTGCTCAATGTTTCAGGATAGAAAAAACAATGCAGATTATGGTACTCTTCAATAGAACTATTAAAATGACCCCGAAAACACTTTAATACGACAAGAAACAGCCTAAAAACCAAAACGAAAAAAGAAAAGAAAAATAAAATAAAAATTCAAATCAGCTGTTCGCGACAAGACCATTCGAACAAAATCGATGCGCCTTTACTGCAATACGTTGCACAGCAAATATTTGTTTCCTTTTTGAGTTTCTATGCGTGTTTGTAACGTTTTTTATACTTTTATCCTTATGGTATCATAAACAAAACCTCTTGAAAAACATAAACAAAGTGTGAGTTGTTAGAACCGCCTTTAGTTTTATAATCATTCAAATTATTTTCGTATAATTTTTTGAAGTTCACTTAAATTTTAGTAGTGAAAAATAAACTGATACATGATTTAATTTTTTGTTTTGAACTATGTTCAAAGACTTTTTAAATAACTTCAGGAATATCCCAGTCTTTATGTGATTTTTAACAGTAGAAACCGAATGCTAAATTCTTACCATATTCAGAGTGTATTCAAGTTATCTCTTCATTTCGTTCCTAGAATCAAGCTTGCAAGCCAGTAAAATACGTTGGTTCTTAACTAGAAATGGGTTAGAAATTTTTTAATAGAGATTATTTTTCATATTTCACCTGTTCACGTTAAAATTAATAATGCATAAGTATTTACATTTCTATTAATTAATAAAACATTTCCACTTTTATTTTTCATTTTTTTGCTTTAGAATAATCCTTCTTTATAATTCAAGATTGAGATCATATCTTCGAAATATTCATTGAAGAACGGCTAAGTCATATTTAAAAGTTTTGCTTATTTATTTATGTTTCTGTATTTTATCGGGAAATTGCATAACCCTTTTCTTATTTATAAAATCTTGACTTTTTAAAACAACTAAAATTATAATTATATATCCAGTTTTCCGATCGCATTCGATTCCAACTGACCCATTTGCCTAAATCGCCAACGTCTTCGTATTCTTCTTCTTCTTATTCTCTTCTATATTCATCTCTCATCTCAAATTCTATTTCACCATCCATCCAATCAATGTCCTTCAAAGCGGTCATTTTAGTGGGAGGTCCACAAAAAGGTGAGGAATTAAAACGAGATACACTCCGCCCACTTTTTTGTATCTCTTTTCGCCTGTAAAACCGAAAAAGAAAAACTTGAATCATTTGACTCTGTCGTGAACAATGATACTTGCCGCTGGTGCACTATTATCTCTTTATGCATTTTTTCTAGTTTTACCTGTACTTATTATGGCGTATGCGGCACAAAATAATCCACTTCGACTCTAAATTTATTTCCAATCAATCAACATTTTTGAAATCCATAAGTATTGTGATTATTCATTATTATCACTCAATTTTAATTTAATTTTTTTCCAATAAATATGTGAGTTTGATATTTTTGTGTGTTGAGAAATTTCAATCGATATAAGTAATATTCGAAAGAACTTGATAATCCAGTCGAAAGTGAAAGTATCTTTGGGGATATAAGGAAAACAAGAATTACGAATTTCTCGCAACGTTCCGCATCATTAATTTTCCCTCTTGTGTGTGAAAAATTTCACGAAAACCAAAGTTCAGAAAAAATTCATTCAAGATTCATCAAATACAAAGATCGGGCTATAGTTTTCATTTTTTCAAACAGTAAACAAAAAGTACAAAAATGTCTATCTAGGATAAATCATGTGAAAATATTTGTGTTAAATTTTCAGGTACAAGATTTCGCCCATTATCACTTCAACTGCCTAAACCATTGTTTCCAATTGCTGGTGTTCCATTAATTGAACATCATATCGATCAATTAAGTCAACTTTCCGGACTTTCTGAAATATTTCTTCTCGGATTTTACTCATCTGATTTGTTTACCGATTTTATCAACAGATGTCAGCAAACATATCGTGTCAGTATTCGATATTTGGAAGAACCAAATCCACTTGGTAATTTTATTTATTTATTAGAAAGTTGCATTAAAAATGTATATTTGAAGGCACTGCTGGTGGAATAGTTTCTTTCAAAACTACAATTCTTTCTGGTGATCCAGATGCGGTTTTTGTTATCAATGCAGATGTCTGTGGAGATTTACCAATTGAAGATATGGGACAGGAAATAAGCAAATTATCACAAGCTTCATGTCTTTTGTTGACAACTGAAGCCACAAGACAACAATCTGTTAATTTTGGATCGGTTAGTGTTTTCATACGTCGCATGCCTGGGGTAATCGACCCGAGGAGGGGTTATCACTCACCCCAGTTTTTGGAAGGGGATGTCACTTGAGAAAACATTTTGAAGAAATTTTCTAAGCTTTGTACTCTATCACTTATTTGGAGTGATTAAAATTTCCACGAATTTTGATTCAAAAGTCGATAATTTCAACATTTTCATCCAAATTTTGAAAATTTTGGTTTTGATTTATTGTCATAGGGAATGCAATTGTGGAAGCATTGAAAAAATTGATAATAAATTATATCAAAGTTTTGAAACGTATTTTTTTTGTATTTGAAAAATTAGAATTTTTGAATCGAAATTTGACTCAAAAGCGGAGAAGATGAGAATATTTGCCGAAGTGAAGCAATTTTGAGCTAAAAATTTATAAAAAATTTAGATTGTCAAGTTTATTTAGCTGAAAATGAAAAAGGAAAGGGGGGGGGTTATCCCTTTTGCCAGAAATTTTCAAAAACAGGGGTGTGCACTGGTTGATTTGAAACGAGGGTATGCGACGTATGAGTGTTTTTTATGAATTATATTGAATTATTTAAATACAGCACGTTCATTTTATTAAAACTTCCGTTTTTTAGGTAGTTACTGATTCAAATGGTAAAGTAATTCATTATGTTGATCGTCCGACTACATTCGTTTCAACCAATATTTCCTGTGGAGTTTATTTGATAAAATCTCAAGTTCTCCAGGTAAATAATTGAATTTATTTCGAAAACATAGAATTAATTATATAGAAACTTGATCTTCCACTGAATGGCGATGGAATTTGGCTTGAAACTGATATCTTACCAGAACTTGCTGCTTCTGGTAATTTATACGCTTTGCACACTACAAGATGGTGGAGTCAAACTAAAACAGCAGCGTAAGATTTTTTTTCAATGGTCATAAATTTCATTCTGGTTTTTACTATTTTCAGCGCTGTTCTTTACGCTAATCGACATTACTTGAGATTGTACAAAAAAAGATATGCGGCAAGATTATGTAAAAATGGAGCACAAATAATTGGTGATGTTTTTATTGATCCAAGTGCAAAAGTAGATCCAACTGCCAAAATTGGGCCAAATGTTAGTATTGGACCAAATGCGATCATCGGAAAGGGTGTGAGAATAAAGGTTCGTATTCATACAATTTGGAGTATTATGTTCAATTAAAAAATTCTTCAATTAGGATAATTTTAGGAATCAATTATTCTTGCCGAAGCAAATATCGAAGAAAATGCATGTGTTCTTCAATGTGTTATTGGCTGGAGATCTGTTGTTGGACCATGGGCTAGAATTGAAGGAATACCTCATGAGCCAAATCCGAATGTTCCATTTGCAAAGGTATGTTTTTTATTTTATTTTGAAAATATTATAGAAGAATTGTAAAAATAAATTAACGATGAATTGGTATTTTTAGTTTTTCGGAGAAACAAATTTACTGAAAGTAATTGTTTTGAAATTATGTATAAAGTGAACTACAGTAATCCAGAATTCATTCCGAATTTGTTTCCGAAGTTGGGATTTCTTAAAGTTATCCAATTATTTTGTCGTTCAAATTTAAAAAATTATAATAAAACATGGCTTTTTAAAATTTAAATTCTGTAAAATATTGTAATTTTTATTAGTAAATGATTGCTCTGAAAGTTGAAATTTTGCAACGTCATAACTTTGTTTTTGAAATAAGAGCTTCACAATTTATGAGGAGATAATTGTAATCAGCAGAACGAAATCCACCGGAAAAAGTTCATTAATCAAAAAAAAAAACAAAGTGAGGTTACCTTATTAAAAATATTTTTGACCTACGTCTAAAAGTTTCAAAAAAATAGGGGATTATTCGGGACATCGTTACTATAATTCCAAGTTTTTCTGAAAATGTTTAGATTGACACAATGTTTCACAATCATAAAAAATGAAAATTTTAGATGGAAAACAAGCCATTGTTCCTTGCCGATGGTCGACTTACACCATCTCTCACAATTTTAGGATCAGATGTTTCTGTTGCCGCTGAAACTATCATTTTGAATTGTGTCGTTTTACCATACAAAGAGTTGACATGTAGTTATAAAAATCAAATTATTCTCTAATTCAAATGTATGTCTATTTATTGTATTTTATTATTGTAAACTGTGATATTAACTAGAGTTCTATTAAAAAAGTATTTGTTGTATAGATAAATTTATTGATTGGGTGGGATATTTGTTATTTTTGAAATATTCAAAATACGACTCAACACATCTGGTTTTTTCTACTACAATGTTGACATCTGTTTTTGTTTCCGAAAACTACAACTTTTTTCAAATTTAAAACTTTATTTTTGAGCAAGAATAACTTACAAGAATACAGATTTGTTAGTAAAATTAGTAAGATTATCATAATTATTCAGGGCAATGTGCTAAATATGAATTTATTGGAATAATTTAATTGTGGGTGTTTTATCTGTGTGCATCGTTGTATTCTTGTGATTAGATTTCGATATAAGTCGCATAAAAGTCCAAATATATCTTCCTTATCTCCATTTAATGATACAAATTGATCGATTATTAAATCAAAAATTTCTTTTTGTTGTTCTGTTGCATTTCCATATCCATTTGCTTTTATTCTTTTTAGGAATATTTTCATTGTTATGACTTGTGCAAGTTTTTCGAGTGGAAAAACCTCTCTCTTCTCTGCCATTTCGAGAATTTACTGAAAATATTGAAATGAATTTGTATATAATTCAAGAAGCAGAAAAATAGAACACGTTTCGGATTTTGTATTTTATTACGTGTAAATAATTATCACAGAAAAACATTCGCCAAATATTCAAGCCTAAAAGGCCTAGTTATCAAGAAAGAGAATAGATTTCATGATCGAAAAATATCGGAATATTTACAAACTTATTACAAATAAAGTTATGCTAAAGATATATTGTTATGACAGTTTACGAAATTCCGAAAAAAAATAGTTTCAAAAAAAAAGAAATTTAATAATGTATCAAGAAGTTCTTAAAAATCTCGCTCATTTTCTTAAAAAGTAATACAAAGTGAAAAAAAAGCGAGCCGCTTGGGAAACAGAAATAAACTTCACTAGAGCGCGTTTGTTTTATTGTAAATAATGTCGGCATAAAAATATTGAATGCGAGAAGAATGAGAAAATCCAGAAATTATGAATATTTTTTCTATTCACATCCACATCTCCGCCCAAAAAAGTAACACATTTTGGGAAACTTTTGTTGTTTTTAGATATTAGAAAATCAAAACAACAGGTGGAAGAGATGATAAATTCCTGAAAGCAATATTTGACACTTTTCGAGAAATTATATTAATTCAAAAGTATCTACAGAACCTTGTTTGTTATACAGGAAAATCGAAGCTTGGAAATTTGAAAATCTTGGTCCCCAAAAAATAAACCGCGTTAATGACACATCTTCTTACACATAACACAAAAGTACAAACTCTTTTCATTTCTCTTTTTTCTTCTGCTTGTTGTGTTTCTATGTCTATGTTGTTTTTTTTGGCGCCAAAAAGTGTTGTGGGCGCGCGCGGGTATAAAATATGGCTGCCTGTTTGTGTTGAGGAAGAAAAAAACGACACATAAATTTGTATTTGAGAGAAGAATGTTACATTCGTTGTTGTTGGTCATTTCGATATATTTTAGTTTTGATGATTATATTTAGGAAAATTAGGTTTTTCCAAAGTAACTTTTCTCACAAATGATAATCTACTGTAAGAAATATTGTTTTTATACCTTAAATAAATGGATGAAAATATTTATGGATTACTGTAGGTAGATATATTGTTAGGTACGATTTATTATATTTCAGTGATTTTAATAAAAAGTTTAATATAAAAGGCGTCTAAAATTGTTCACTTTAAAAATATGATTCTAAAAAATTTCGTACTCCAAAAGGTTTATGGAGGTATGGGGAATTGAACCCCAGCCCTCTCCCATGCTAAGGGAGCGCTCTACCACTGAGCTATACCCCCAGACGGAAAATCATACAACAATTGCCAATATAAAATCAGCCACAAGAATGCGTAAAGTATTGCTCTCAAACAATACCTATCATGTTACAAGAAAAAACATTGCCGCGAACCATAAAAATGAATACATGTTGCCTCTTTTTTGTCACTATCTCTGCGTTTCTTATTTATCCACATGCTATTTTTTTGTCTTTTCGTCTCCGATTCTCTCAATTTTCCTCTTTTAGCCTTGTTTATTTGCGCCATCGCGTTTTTTGTTGTCTCGAAAAATTTTTTTTTTTGAAAAAAAGTAGGGCTGATTCACGAACGAAAAAAATGTTTTAAAATGTTTTTTTAACATTGAAAGATCAATTCACGAAAAGCCAAAAAATGTCGAAAAAACATTGTAGGTCAAAATTAGCTTTTCGAGTTTTTCAGCCAAAAATGATGACAAATCAATATTTTTCAAGCTTCTGGAGTAATTTCTGATTAAAAAACCTATTCGAGAACCCTATTTTGCTTTATTTTATGAATTTTTTCGAAATTCATCAAATTTAAAAATTTTTTATTTTACGAAAAATCAGCAAAACCTTCTGGAAAGTAAATTCCAATGTCAATTTTCATCAGAAATTACTCCAGAAGCTTGAAAAATATCGATTTGTCATCATTTTTGGCTGAAAAACTCGAAAAACTAATTTTGACCTACAATGTTTTTTCGACATTTTTTGACTTTTCGTGAATTGATCTTTCGATGTTAAAAAAACATTTTTAAACATTTTTTTCGTTCGTGAATCAGCCCTAGTGAAAATACTTCTTTTCTGGAGTCGTTGCAGAAGAATATTCCCCTTCAGATCAGATCATTGCAAACTTCTTTGAAGTTCAGATTTTCATATCTACAGTAATCAATCTGTTGCAAATTCTAAAAAAAAAGACATATATATTTGAGTCATTAATAATAAAATTAATAATTACCACGAGTCCTCTTTTCAAATCCCCATTTTTGTTATTCATCTGCGTCTCCTCGTTTTTCTTTGTCTATATTTTCCTCTTTCTCACCCATTTGGTGCAATTATTGATTGACCTAGAATTAGGAAAATATTTATGCTTATTCTTTGCCAATAGTTGTTTTTATTTTATGTTTTTGTTTTTCTCTTTCACAAAATTTCTGTGCGCAGTGAAAAGTTGTTGTTGTGTTTGCAGAAAAACAAATAAAAAAGATATGCTCAATTTTTCGTATTTTCCTAGTTTGAAACTATCTAAGAAGTTAGTTAACGTATCGAAATCTTCAAATAACCTTGAAATACTTTAATGTGAATTGAATAAATAATCGTCTATTTATGTTAGACAATTCATTTTTTCTTTGAAACACAAAAGTCTTTTTTATGTTTTTATTAGATAAATCGGGGCGAGATGATATTTATTGCCATGATAAAAATTTCGAAATCTTTGTTTTTTTTTGTTGAATCTATTTCATCAATTCCTTTTTTCTATACATTGCAATAATGTCGTTAATTCACAGATGGCCATTCAAATTCCCTTTTCATAATTTTACTTTCTCTTTTCCTTTTTTTAAGATGATATAAAACTCTGCAAATTTAATATGGGGAATGAACAAAAATATGGAACTTTTGCCCGATTTTTACTATTTTGGATGGCATTTTCTTGTTTTACGCGCTCTGCAACAACTTGTCGTATTTTGACCTACCTCAGTCAGTTCCAAATAGTTTCATCATTTTTCCCAATCCTGATACTTTTTCATCCTCTTTTCTCAAAAAAATGACCAAATGTTGTAGTAATGTTGATTTTTCTTTTTTATTTTATTTGCCGTTTCATTTTTGATATATTATATTCTCACTTTTTACTTCTTTTCGTGTTTTTTTAACCTTGAGGTGATAAAACATTTTCATTTTTTTTCGGAGAAGAGAAAAACCTAAATCATCTTGCTTTTTCTCGATTAAAAAATCCAATTTTTCAAATGAAAAAGTCCGCCTGTTTTTTGTTTCATCTTTTTTTCAAATCTCAATTTTCAAAATTTTGTTGCTAAAACTGGTCTATTTTCATTTTCCTAAATTATAGTACTAAATCGAAAAACAAATGAATTAATTTTTATTGAAAAATCAATTTCTTTTCTCATTATTTACTTTGTTCTTGTAAAAAAAAATTCGAAACATTTTTTTTTCTAATTTTTTTGAACGTTTTTTTCTCACAATCGCTCCTTGCTTATGACTCATTCGTGCTGTGTTTTTATGTTTAATTCTTCTATTTCTTCTAGAACCTTTAGACCTTTTCTTTAGATCATACTTTTTTGAATAGGATTTTTCTTCTATTTAATTCTTTTTTCGCTTTACCGGTAATTACCTATCCTACCAAAAATTCAGAATTAATAAACGAAACTCTTCAATTCGGCTCTCACGAGTTTTTTCAGGAAACAATTTTTAACAGTGTAGATCACGGATTTTGGCAAAAGAATCAAAGTTAGCTCCGAATTAAATTTAATTTCTGGAAAACAATTTTTGCTGGATTTTTTCAAGTTTTTCATATTGAGCTCTCTATAAACGTCTGTTTACTGTCACTCTGTTTTTTTGCTGAATTTTCGAAAGCACTACACAAATCCAAACTATTTCACAACAATTTTCTCTCGTCATTTAGAAACAAGTGGCACTAATTCGGGTCTCCAATTTTTCTCTCTGAAATTTCTCAAAATATTCTTTAAAAGTTCCAAACTTCTAAAAATTCAATGCCTCCTCCAATTTTCTTCCTAATTTTTTCTATGCAATGTCAATTTTTTTGTCTTCCAAAAATAATTTTATTAACCAATTTCTTGGTTTGCGTTGTTATCAGTGAAATATTAATTTGTTTGATTCCTCTTTTTTAATATATTTTTTTCGACAAAAATTGAGAAAAAAATCGAAGGGGTTATTTGGACATGTTAATCATTTGAGTAAATATTTAGAGGAAGAGAAAAGAAGTTTCATATTTTTTAAACAACTGGTTAAGTAGTTTTCGAAACGTGAAAACTTCTTTTGAAACACAGAATCTGATATTGGAATTTAATTTCTGTCATTTCTGTACCCCGTTATATACTTTTGTTTATCTTTCAGAACTTTAGTTTTTTTTTTGAATTTGCATTATTTCGAAACAATATTTTTTCAGAAAACAGTGCCAAGTTGTTACTTTTAACATAAACGACAATTTGAAACTAATTTATTTCACGTGAAAACGTGAAACCCGAAAAAAACAAGAAATGCCATCGTTTTTCGGTTTACGATTTACACATTTCGGTGAGTTTTTGGGATTTTTTCGAAAAAAATATTGTGTTTATGTAATACTTGAGATATCGGGTTAAGAGGAGAACAACTGTAATATAATATGAATCACTCGAGAAATATAAAAAATTAGCATAACAGTATTTTTTTAATATGGCGTGAGAAAATATCAATGAGATTGAATAATAAAAACTGAAAAGAAAAACTATACAATTTGGCCAGAAATAATAAGATTTGGCTTCATGATAAAGGATATCGGAAAAAATAATTCAAAAGGATAAATATAAAACCTCGAATTTTTCAAGCTAATATTCTACAGTGTTTTTTTACTACATCAAACCACTAGACCTCAAATTTTTCCAAACACTTTTCTGGTAGATCAAAAGTATTTTTCTCTAAATCTCTCACTTTTACGTTGATTATCGTCGCTTTTATTGTTAGTCCAATCCCTAAGATTGTGTCAGGTCTCAAACATTGCGGGAATATTTTTTCGTGTAGTTAATTACACGCTGTGTTTTCGAATGGTTTGCGAAAAAATGAAAATCCCAATTTTTGAAAAAAAATAAAAACAACGAAAATAGGGAGTAAATAAGTATAACAATTTTTATCGCCACGTGTCATCTGCCAAGACCTCCACTCTAATTAGTATATACAAATAGAGTTAGTTTATATTATTATTATCTGTGCGGTCCCTCAAATACCTCCCATCATCATATTATTCTCATAATACCTCCTCCCTTTTCAAGAGTTTCCATTTCCTCTCTCTCTCTCTCTCTCTATTTCTCCTAATAATTGGTTATCTATCGTTTTTTCTCCGCCTCTCCCGACCGACTGGACAGGACACAGGACAGGACAACTAAATAGTTTTGATATTTGTTTCGTGTGTGTTTATGTGTTGTGTGTTGCCTTTTATTCATAATTGACACACTTTCTGAAATTCTATCAATTTCATTCATTTTCCATATATTCCTAATCTCAAAGGAAACCCCCCTAAAGGTGTTATGTCAACATCGCCCCCTGCTAGACCCTGTTGTGTCTGTTTTCGTTTTCGACAACGTGAGTTCAAATTTTAATAATTGGGCCCAATTGTCCTTCTTTTCTTTCAACTAATCGATTCTTACGTAAGAGTAGTTTTTAGTTAAAAAATTCAAAAACTTTGCAATTTTTTAACAGCAAAAATTGATAAGAATAGTAAATAATCTGATAAAATTTGTGCCCAAAAATATAAATTATGCATTTTTTGAAATTTCCAGACGAAGACGAAAAAGCACAAAAAAACACATTCACACGATGGATAAATTTTCATTTGGAAGAGCACAGTTCATCTGGCCGAGTTGAAGATTTGTTTGAAGATATTAGAGATGGAGTTTTACTTTGCCATCTCATCGAAGTTCTCACCGGAGAAGCTCTTGTAAGTTTTTTTGTTGGGTGAGGGAAACAATTTCGGGCTCTGAACGGGAAAAATTGTTCGTATTACAAAAGTTGCTTTTAGAAGTTCAGAATTTTACACTTAATCTATATTTTGAGCTTAGACTTTATCAAATGTAGTTTTTCTTTAAATGTAACCCCCTCTTTTTCCTCTTTTCCTGTTCAGTGCCCAATTTTGTACGACACAGTGTTTTCTCAAAAATTATTACAATTTTTTATTTTATGAATATTTGTCTAATCGATAAAATGAGAATCAAAGAAATATATTTAGTGTTTCCCTTCAAAAGTACACGATATAATACATTTTTGAAGTGATGTGCAAATAAAATAGCAAAAAATGATATGTGTTTTTGTGTTTACACTTAATCATAGCTCTTATCCGCCCGAAAAAAATACAGGAAAAAATAAACAAAACTTCTCTTGCAGGCTGTCCATAAAGGAAGAGTTTCAAAACGTGTTCATCACGTGGCAAATCTCACAACAGCTCTAACTGTTCTTCGCCGTCGTGGACTCGAACTCATTAATAATAATGCGGCTGATATTGCCGATGGAAATCCACGAATTGTGCTCGGACTCATCTGGCAAATCATTTTACATTTCCAGGTGAGACAATTTATTGACAATTCTTATTGTGCGGTGCGAAAAAAAAACGTGGCAAGGTCAGAAAATGATTTATTAGCCTTTTTTGAAGATGCGATAAGTTAGGTGTTTCTTCCGTTTCATCTTTTTTTTGCATAGAAAAAATATTTCTACGGGTTTGTTCCGGAAAAAAAAGAAAAAAGTCGGATTACAGTAATCTATTGTTTGATCAAGGTCATTTCATGAGAAGATGCATAAACAAAAATACAGTAACTCAAGGAATTATTAAAGGGGGAAAGTTAGAACACGAAAAATCAATTATCTGAAAATTTCGAGTAGCCCACGCGTAGTAATACCCCAAAGAGATTTTCCAAGAAGCCTAGACACGTTAGAGGGTTTTGAGAAAAACACCGGGACAAACCAGAATTTTGAAATACAATTTTGTCATCCCACCTTTAATATTCACAATAAACTAATTTATTCTAGATTGAAACAAATATAATTTTGCTCCGCGATTGGGGATGGGCATCAACATTGGATGAACATCCAACTGTCACTCCACCACCATCAATTCAAACTGCACCAGTTTCACCCTCACCATCATCCTCAAAACGAAGTCTTTCTGGAAGTAAGACGTCGATTGCCTCCGGGGAAAAGGCAACTCCATCGTCACCACTTCGACAAAGAATTGCTTCGTTTTTGACACCAAACAGTGGAAAGAAACATCCGAAATTGTCTACAATTCCAGTCAAACAATCTGTTGAACAAGTATTTTTGAGATGGATCAATTCTGAAATTGGAGAGTGAGTTAATTTTGCGAAAATTTCAAATTGATATTTTGTTGGCAACTTCTCTGAAAAAATGGCTACAGTAATCTCAAAACATAATACTATAGGGATTACTGTAGCCAAACTCTAATAATTTGTTTGTGTTTCATTTTGGTGTCACTTAATTTGATAGAGATTTTTTTGAATTTCTATTATCTTTAAAATTTATTTTTTTGTTGATCCAACTAATTTTGTCTCAAATTTCAGATTAATTGATGGAAGACGTGTTGAAAACATGGACAAACAATGGCGTGATGGTGTTTTATTCTGTGCATTAGTTTCTCGTTGGCGTCCAGATATTATAAATATGCGCGAAGTGACAAATGCAAATCCACGTGACAATCTCGAATTAGCATTTAATTCAGCTCATCAAAATCTTGGTATTCGAAGACTTTTAGCAGTTGAAGATATGATGATTGAGAAACCGGATAAAAGATCTGTGATTACTTATGTTTCACAATTTGTCAAAATGTTTGGAGAAAGATCACCAATGCAAGGAAAAGAACAACATGAAGTATTTTTGAGTTGGCTTGAAACTACTTATATGATTCTCACAGAAAAAGATGTTGAATTAAGTAATCAAGAATTTTCGAGACTTCGAAGAGAATTCATTGAATTCCGTCCACTTTTCAATACAATAATTGTTACCAAAATAAGTTATGAAGTTGAAGAATTGGTGGAAATCGAGAAGAAATGGGATATTATTCGTGAATGTCTCGAAAAACACGCTCGAAGATCAGAACGTGAACTTCCTGAACCATTTGCTTCTTTATCCGCGTGGGTTTCTGGTGCTGAACATATTTTGTCACGTCCACTTAATTTGAACAATAATGATGCCAAGACAACTGTCTCCAATTTGCAAGCATTGATTAGTGAACATACGGTATGATTTATTTGACACTTTCGTGTTTTTAAACATTTAAAAATAATTTTTTTCCAGAAATATTTCGCTAATCTTGAAACGAAACAAAAAGAACTGGAAGAAGCAGTTAGACATGGAGGTCTTGGTGGAAGACCGGTTGCTCCTGAGTTCAGTGAAACTACACGAGTTAGATTCGAACAAGTTGAACAAGACAATCAACCAAGACTTCAAACTCTAAATATTCTTGTTACTCAATACCATCTACTTCAATATTTGCAACATATTGAAGAAAAAATGGTATTGTGGAAAACTGCTGATAGTGTTACATTACTACTTCGATGGATCAAAGAATACAATCAATTGAATGCTGAAAATCCACAAGCAAAATGTGCAAAATATTTGAATAGAATAAGAACAACAATTTCAAATGATAATAGCAGTAAATTGGATGGAGAATTGATATTGAAAACATCGACCGAAAAAACAAATGAAACAATTCAGAAGTTTGAATCACTTTATGAAGAATTGAGAATGTTGAAAACTGAATGGGTTGAATGGGAAACAAGTATGCAACATTTAGAAAAAGTGGTCGATGAATGCACAATTAATGAAACAAGACCAAATTTCGAAGATGAACAACATTTGGCAACAATTCAAAGTCAAGCTGATCAATTAGCTGTTAAATTAGGTGCTTCCGCTCGTTTGGCTAATAATCAACGATTGGAAGTTTTGTCAAATCGGTTCAAAAAATTACTTCAAGATAATCATAAGAAAATTGGTGGACGTCTTGTTGTCGAATTAGAACCAAGTACTTCGAGACAAAGTTCAACAAAAATCTCGTATAGTTGGCAAGCTGCCGATGAATTGCTAAAAGTTGAGGTAAGTATTTCATATTATTTGTAAGCTCAAAATTAAAATGTTTATTCAGATGAAACTTCGTGACCGTCTTCAGAGAGGTGCTGAATCTGAAGATATGGAAACTCAAGCGGATTCTCTTCGTTTTATCAAATCGAGACTTGTTGAAATCGAACAATTACACGAACTTTATGATCAGTATAGTCGTGATACGGTAGGTTCAATTTTCTTTTAAAATGAAAAATAACTCGTGAGCTCTGAACTTTTTTTTGCTTATTTTTCAATTTTGCCACGAAATCCGATAGCCTGCGGCTGTTCTTTTTCAAATAAAAATAGACAGCAAAAAACAATTTCAATTTTTTTTCGAGAAAACAAAAAGAACAGAATCTGCTTCCGGCAAATTTTTGTTTCATAAAATTGAAAAACGATCCAGAAAAAAATGAAGTAATAATTTATAATTGTCACATCAAACCAGAAACCGACATTGATTAATCGACGAATCTCATCTTTTTTCTCTTTTTTTCTATTGGCAAGACCTTTCAAAAAATTGTTATCAAAACTTTGTGTACGGTCTTTTTTCAAGGCCAATCGAGACAGTAAACAGACAGGCGCGTAATTTATTTTTTTATGTAAAGAGAAAAAAAGAAGATAAAAACAAAGACTTGGATTTTTCAGATAAATACAGCTGATCGTGATCTTGTCAGAAATGATATGGCAACAATTATTTTTGAGTTGCAACGGGGACAATTCTCCAATTTTATTGATCTCACTCAATACGCGTTCGTATATGACGAGTATAACCAGGTTAATATTTTAGACGAGAAAAAAAAACAATTATAGAACAATTAATTTCAGAAACCGGTGAAACTAACTGAAAACGTGTTGAGCGAAGATTATGTTCGCGAAATAATTGATAGAAAACAAGCAATTCTTGAACGTCGAGAGCACAATGAAGATGAAATTCGTGAATCGATTCGAGATATGGAAGAATGTGATCGTATCATTGAAGGATGGAATAGTTCTCGAATTGAAGAAATTCGTGCCAAATGGAATATTAAATTATCCGAATTCGAATCGTGGCATGAAATGATGCATCAAGTCGTAGTACTTTCACAGTCAATTATAACTCGTTTAGATGTTACTGTTCTTACAACAATTCGAGTACTCTATCAAAAATCGTATGAAATTGAGAACAGTGAATTGGGTGTAAGCTTGAGAGAGGCACTCAATCAATTGGCATCAACTAGTGAAATTGCGGTTGAGCAACATTTGAAAAATCTGGAATTCAGTAATGAAGAAGATTGTCCACATGCAATTCAATTCCTTCAGGTAAGTCAATCAAAACTATATTTTTCATAGCTAAAACTACAGTTTTAATGAAAATTGAATGATAAGATTTTAAATGCAACATTTGATTCTGACAAAAACGTTCCTGTTGGTTTGTATAAAACAAATCGGGATATTACAACATTCCCGTATGTCTGTGTATCTTCTTCTTTTATAATATTTCTCATCAGCATTTCAATAGTTCACCGCCCATCAGCCCTCTTTCTATCTCTACGTTTCTCCATTTTTCTTCTTTCATATTATTTTTTCTTTTCACCTGAAACAAATTCCAAACAGCCAACTGCTTACAAGATTTTGAAATTATCTTGCTTCAATTTTTTTGACACTTGCTGTTTTTTCTGATAATAACTTGAGAATAATAATCAGCACTTTTTCGTTTCTCCCAAAAAAATGTATAATGCAATGTGGCAAGTCCAAGGGCATTTTTTCATTTAGAACGAGAGAACGGACATGTTTGTTGTTAGTTCTTTTGTTAGTGAGAAATGAAACATACACACTTTTTTTGAACTGAATCTTTTTCATTCCGACTGTTTGATATAGAAAAAAGTTTTCCCTTTTTTTTGAAAAAAAAATTCAATAGAAAAATTTCAACCAGATGCGCCACCTGTTTTATTGTGTTTTTTCTTTAGTTAGTAAACATTTCTTTTAATGATTTTGTTGTTCGAGTTCTCATAGCCAACACAAATTTTTTCACATTTGATCTGTAATTTCTCTGACAACAGAAATCGATGTTTGTTCAGTTAGTCTCTGTATGCGTCTGTTTCTTTTTGAAGTACCGAACTAATCATTGTTGCAAAAAACGCATGACTACCGATGTGTTAACAACAATTTTTTTGAGTACTCACTAAAATTATCTTGTCGATCAATCAATTTTTTTCACTTCCCGAAATTTTGTTCGGGTTCGTTCATTTTTGCAATCATCTTATCAGCGGCATCATCTTTGTTTGTTAAATAAATGTAGTACCAAACTCCGGTGCCCTTTTTTTCTGTTCAGTTCTCATTTTCAAATCAAATACACATTGTGTCTTTGTTTGAGTGTGCTTTCACATAACTACTGAATTTATTCGTGAAAAAAATTTAATATTGCATTTTTCAAATTTGTTGGTATATTGCACGAGTTGACTGTGGTTTGAGGTGATTTAAGCGCATATTTTTTCGTAATTTCTGATTGACCTAACTGTTCTACCGTAATCTAATACAATAACAATAAAAATAATTTCTCATACATGAATTTTTATCGATTATTGTGGGAAATTTACATTTACTACCATAAAACGTCTTTCTAGTTTTCCGAATATTTATTTCAATTTCTAATCATTTTTTTAAAACTCAAGTATGTATCGATTTCTTCCGAGATTGTTAATTCCTGTTTGTTTAACTTTTTTATGTTTCGCTTGGTTTACACGTAGGCTTCTTGCAAAAAAAGAAACATCTCATTGATGCTATCGCTCATCCCATCAAAAAACACAAAAAACGAAACAAAACAGTTGAACTAATCTTTTCTTTTTGCAGGAGGTTGGCCGAGACTCAGTCTCTACTTTATCACCAGCAGTTGACGATCGATATACAACAACTTATTCTGTGCTCCTAATTAAAATGGAGCTCTTCCGACGTTTGCAAAACTTTTGCGACGCGGTAAAATACCTTCGTAATAAAAATGCAAATTGGAATTCTATACAAATTTCGCAGGTGAGTTCTATTATTTTTTAATAACGTTCCTCGCTGTTTCTCTTTTGTTATCAGAAGAAACAATGTTGCGAAAATAAAGAAAAGGTAATCAATTCAACTTAATTAAAGTAAAAGTTTGTTGATTCATCGTTTCTTTTCTCTAAAGTTTCTGCAAAGTAAATATTCTCAACAAATAAATAATATTTTAAACGTTTTGTTTAATGTGAAATTGAAGGAATCAAAAAACATAGTAGAATTGAAAGTAATATACCCCATACAGAATCTGAAATTCATTTCTAAAAAACAATCATTTTTTTTCCAGATTGACCAAGTACAGTCTGAGATCGACACCCTTATTGTGCGTCTCGACGAGGAATGGTCTGATGATGCACAAAAACTTCGCAGTGAACTTGCCAGTATTCATGGTAGTTTCTTCCAATTAGAATTTGATAGATTGAACGAGAAGTAGGTTTTTCAAAAAATGTCTCAAAATATAGTTCAATATTTTCTAGATTGAATTTACTGATACACGAACTCGATAAACTTCGTGAATTAATGATAAACCGACGTGAATATTTGACTGCTGCCAATGAATTGATTACTGATTCTACAACTGATATCCTGAACCGTGCCACCTCTAGCGATCGCCCTGACGACGTTCTTCGTGCGGTTAGTATTATTTATTATCAAATAAATCGATGCATTTCTTATTGTTTCAGACAAACGAAGTATGTAGTTCCCTCGAACAAAAAGGAATTGAGTTACGAAGACTCGGCGAATTGGCTGATATGAACATAACCGATCTCGTCGTCGTTGCTCTTATTCGTGCTTTCAGACGACAACAACTAGGAAGTGTTAGTTTTGACAATTATTCAAATGTTGAAAAAATGAAATGTATTTTCAGGATGGAGAACCAAATGTTGAACATCTGGAACGAGCGATACGGGAAATACTCGCTCGTCAAATTCCAGTGATTAACAGTAAAGCTTCACCACAAGAAATTGTATCGGAGATCCTCCGCATGAAGGAACAAAAAGAACAAGATCAAAAGTTGATGGACGAGATCAAAATTGCAACATTATCCGAAGAAGATCGAGAAAAAATTGGTCGTCTTACAACTGATCTGGAAAATAAACTCAGAAAAGAAAACGAATATTTTGAAAAATATGTTTTACTTTATCTGGATTGGTTGAGTCACAAATTTGATGATATTGAAGACGAAATTGGAATGTTGATACAAACAAGCCGAGCTAATGATTTGAAAATTATGAACGATTCTTTGTGGTCACAATGGAAAACTGATGTTAGCGATATCGAAAGAAACATTGGACCCGATGCAAGAAAATCATTGAGTGCTGAAATTACGGATTTACATCGCAAATCGGATTCTTTGAATGGAAAAATCAACAAGTATTTGACACATTCGGCCAAAATCAACTCGAAATTATCACAGTTTGAACTTTGGCTTGATGCGATGGAACATGATATCGAAGAGACAAGAAATATTGAAGACCCGGAAAGATCACATCGTTTCAGATCTTTATATGATGTTGCTCTTGGTAAAAAACGACTCGTCTTGAAACTTGAACGACTTAATGTAGCGAACAAAGAGGAAGTGCTGCTCCTCTGCGAACGTTATCATTCAATCATGCAAACTCTTACCCCATATCATTCTGTTGGACTACCCCTTCATATTTCGACCCTGGATAGAACACCCCAATTCCAATCACAGGTAATTAATTGATTGATCAAAAATTAAAGGACCACAAAAACATTTCAAACTATTCCATAAACTTTTGGAGCACGCATCGCAAAGTTTGAAAAAATTTTACGGAATATTTTTTCGGATCGTTTTAGGCCTTTTGAGAAAAATCCCTTGAGGCTTTTACTATTCGAAAAAAATGTTATACTGTTATACCCTAAACCATTTGTTTCCATATTTAGATATCTGTGTCGTCAATCGCTTCATCGGAACTTGAACGCCCTGAGTCGGTGATGTCATTCACATCATCAATCGGAGTTATTCCTGCTGATGTTAAAAATCTCTCACCATTTGAAACTAAACTGAACAAGCTTGTCAAAAAACTTCATGATGTTGAATTATCGTACTTGAATGGACCAAAACCACTCGATAAAGTGAAAAAGGATATCATAAAGCTCGAGGTGAGTTGTTCAGTAAAATTTTTTAACGCTTCACAATATATGTATTCAGAAGTATCGAAACACATGCTCCGAATTTTTGAACCAATTAAACGATAGTTCCATTGAAGATGCTGAAAAAGAAGGTCTAAAACATCGATTCGCTTTGTTACTGACAAACTACGATGTGGGTTTAGCTATTTTTTTTCACAAAAAATAAAAAAACCAATTTATAGGACCTACTCAAGTCATTGAAAGATGAGACAAAAGAAGAAGAAGATCTTATCATTAAAAATCGAGAAATTCTTGATGAACTCCAGGCTGCTGAGAATAAGATTCAAGATCTAGATATCAAAGATATCGACATTACGGGTGAACTTGACCGAATTCAAATGCAAATGGACCTTCTGAAAGTAATGTCGAACAAACCACGAAAATACGTGGAATGTGGTGTAATTGAGAACATTCGCGAAAGCTCACCACAAGAAAAACGCAAAGGCAAGAAAAAAGTTCTTGTCATGGTGTCAAACACTATCACAACTATTATTCACAAAGTAGAAGAACGACTTGAAACTCTTGAAAATCCAGCTGAACACCAAGCGGTTCAAGAGAAACTTACATCAGTTAAAGTAAGTATATTTGTCTACGAAGCGTATTGTAATAATTATTTTTTATTTAGGAAAACCTTCGTGAGTTGGAAATTTCAACACCTCTACCAACTCCGTCTGGTATTCTATCCCCAGTTGGAATAAATGACCGTAATGATATTGAAGAAGTAGGTCGATTAGTTAGCGAAATTGATAGAGCAATTGATACTGCCGATACTATGGTCATTGAATCGCCAACTGATGTTGATACACTGAAATCAGCTAGAGATTTGATGGATGATCAAAAACAAACATTGAATCATTTGAATGCAGTGGTTGATGGTATTCCTATAGAAAACGAGCAAGATAGAATCGCAGCTGTTGATATGTTATCCAATGTTGGAGAAAGATATGATAATGTGAAAACACAAATCGATGATGCATTGGATGAATTGGAACACTTCAACAACTGGGATGATATTCCTGTTGTAGTCAAAGAAGACATCTCTAAACAACCAAAGATTGAGCTCAAAACAGATCCGAATGCTATTGATCATTTCCAATTGAAAGACAATGTTAATCCAATAGATAATATTGCTGATCTTTGCAAACAAATACAAGAAGCTGTTAATGATGCAGATCAATTAACAAGTGCAAGTGATAATGTTGACGCGCTCCAACTTGCAAGCGAAAAATTGGCGTCACAAGACAAAACGATGAAGAAAATGCACGACATCATCGATAACATCGACTGGGATGAACCGGCATTGAAAATTGATATTTTAGACAGACTTGGAGGAATTCAAGAACAGTTCAATAATGCATTATCAAATATCAATGACAAAATCGATGAATTGAACTACGGTGCACCAGGATTATCAGAAATTCAGGTTGGCGAATCAGAAAAATATGAGCCGGAAACAACTCATGTGACTGTTCCGAACAGAGTAAGTTGTAGTTTAAACAAGATCTAAATAAAACATAAATTTACAGGAAAATCTCAATTTCACCAATGTCGATAATCTAGTTCAAAAATTACAAGATGTAATCGGAGAATGCGAGGATGCCGCTTTCAAAGAGAATCCTACAGCATCTCAACTTGAATTTGCAATTGAAAAATTGAACGATTCAAAGAATGTTCTCAATGCAATTATATCACAAGTTGATGATTTAAATAGTGAAGAATCACCTGAAGCAGCTGAAGCTGTTCGAACTCTCGCTGGAATAAATGAACAATATAATGCTGTTATTGTTATGCTACAGGATACACTTGATGAGGTTAGTAAAATACAAAAATTCTCTCACAACATACAATTTTAGATGCCACAACCTGTTGAAAGTTCATCCGATGTTTCTTCAATTCTCAATGAGCTTGACGAGTTCAAGAAATTACCTCCTGAGACTATTGATTTGGATCTATTGAAGTATATTCAAAACGATCTCGATCGTTTCCCATCTGATCAACAACAACAAGTTATTGACAAAATCAATGAACTTCGTGAACTATCAAGAACCAATGTAAGTTTTTCAAATCGAGAATAAAAACAAAACATTTGACATTTTAGAACAAGAAAGAATCAGATGCTGATGATATTATCAATGAACTTGAATCAATGAAACTATTGCCAGCTGCAACTATTGATTTGGATCTTTTGAATTCGTTGGAAAACGATGTTGACCGTTTGCCCAAAGAGAAACAACAAGACTTGCTCACAAAAATCAAGGAATTGCGAGAAATGGCTGAAGTGTTCGTACCATCATCGAATAATGAACAAACTGCTTCTGAGGAAGAAGCCGATTCAATATTGAAAGATCTCGAAGAACTCAAAAAACTACCAGCGGAAACCATCGATTCAAATATGCTCGATTTCATTGAAGGTGATTTGGATCGTATTCCAGAAAACAGAAGAAAAGATATTATCGATAAAATTAACGAGCTTCGAGCAATTTCACTGTTGCCAACAATCGGTGAAGTTGAAGAAACTACTTCTGAGAAGGAAGCCGATTCAATATTGAAAGATCTCGAAGAACTCAAAAACTCCGAGCGGAAACCATCGATTCAAATATGCTCGATTTCATTGAAGGTGATTTGGATCGTATCCCAGAAAACAGAAGAAAAGATATTATCGATAAAATTAACGAGCTTCGAGCAATTTCACTGTTGCCAACAATCGGTGAAGTTGAAGAAACTACTTCTGAGAAGGAAGCCGATTCAATATTGAATTAGATCTCGAAGAACTCAAAAAACTCCGAGCGGAAACCATCGATTCAAATATGCTCGATTTCATTGAAGGTGATTTGGATCGTATCCCAGAAAAAACAGAAGAAAAGATATTCATCGATAAAATTAACGAGCTTCGAGCAATTAGTCACAGTTGCCAACAATCGGTGAAGTTGAAGAAACTACTTCTGAGAAGGAAGCCGATTCAATATTGAAAGATCTCGAAGAACTCAAAAAACTCCGAGCGGAAACCATCGATTCAAATATGCTCGATTTCATTGAAGGTGATTTGGATCGTATCCCAGAAAACAGAAGAAAAGATATTATCGATAAAATTAACGAGCTTCGAGCAATTTCACAGTTGCCAACAATCGGTGAAGTTGAAGAAACTACTTCTGAGAAGGAAGCCGATTCAATATTGAAAGATCTCGAAGAACTCAAAAACTCCGAGCGGAAACCATCGATTCAAATATGCTCGATTTCATTGAAGGTGATTTGGATCGTATCCCAGAAAACAGAAGAAAAGATATTATCGATAAAATTAACGAGCTTCGAGCAATTTCACAGTTGCCAACAATCGGTGAAGTTGAAGAAACTACTTCTGAGAAGGAAGCCGATTCAATATTGAAAGATCTCGAAGAACTCAAAAAACTCCGAGCGGAAACCATCGATTCAAATATGCTCGATTTCATTGAAGGTGATTTGGATCGTATCCCAGAAAACAGAAGAAAAGATATTATCGATAAAATTAACGAGCTTCGAGCAATTTCACTGTTGCCAACAACCAGTGATGTGTCTGTTCCGGAAATTCATGAGATTCTTCGTGAATTAGATGAAATTGAAAAACTTCCTGTCGAAACAATTGATTTGGACCTACTGGACAAACTTCAATTAGATATTGACAGAATTCCTGAAAATCTTCAACAACAATTCATCACAAAAATTGACAATCTCAGAGCATTAGCGAGAGACCAACAAGAACGTGATGCAGCAAGATCTGAGGCTAAAGACAAATTGCAAGCTCTTGAAAAACAAGCTGAAGATGTTATGGCCAAAGATGGTGCCAAAAAGAAAAAGAAGGACAAGAAAAAGTCACCAGCTGAAGTTATTGATGAACTCAAAAACAAGATAATTGATGCGCAATCTCTAATTCCAAAAGTTGAACAATTGGAAAAAGATGTAAACCTTCCAGCCGATGACAAACCAAAAGCAGAAAATCTTGTTTCGAGTCTTGAAAATTTTGTTAAGGATCTTGAAAAACAAGTGATTGAGAAACAAGCCGACTTAGACCAGCTCAACAATGCTACTGATGCGCTTAAACGTCTCGAAGATGCTTTGGTTGATGCCGAAAAGAGCGCCGATGCACTTCCTAAAAACTCGTCGACTCCATTGAACGAATTCAAAGATCGAATCGCTCCACACATTGCTGCTCTGGTTGATGATATCAAACAAGTTCCATCAACTCTTGAAAATGATGCTGAAAATTTGCGCCAACGGGCCAACAAATTCCAAGACGATTTGAGCAAGAATGTGCAAAAAGCTATCGACGACGAGAAGCGCGTGGACGAGCTCAAGAAAAATGTATCTGATGCAACCAAAAAATTGGATGAAATTTTGCCAAAATATCAAAATCAATCGCAACCACTTGATATTGCCAAACAAGATGCTGAAAAACTCAAAGACATCTTGGATACATTGAACAAATTGGCTGAATTTGAAAATATCGAACCACAAGTTGCCAAAGAGCTCAAAGATTCTCGATCGAAAAACAAAGAATTGTTGACCGCTCTTGAGAAAGCTATTCCACAAGAAGAAGCTCTCCGCCAAGAACAAAATGCACTCAATGACAAGTTGGCTGATCTTCGCCAAAAATTGTCGAGCGCTGATGAATTTGCTCCAGAAAATGCATTGCCAATCGTCAATAACATTATTGATGATGCAGCCAATCTCAAAAAGCAAGCCGGTGAGAACAAGGAAAAAGTCGAAACTCCAAGTGCACTAATTTCACATGAAGATTTGGACAAGACAATCCCAGATAAAATCTTCCAACTTCAACACGATGCCGACGACAAAAAACAAGCACTTGACAATGCTGTCAATGTTCAAGAAGTCGCTCCAAAACTTCAACTTTTGGCTCAACAACTCCAAGCTTTGCCAAACGAGCTTCCAACAAGCATTGATGATCAACAATCCGCCATCGAAGACCTTGAAAACAAAAAGCACAATTTGGAGAACTTGCTTGCTAACTTGCCAGAAAATGATCCAGCAGCCGAAGAGTTGCGTCAAAAGAGTGCATGGGATTTGTCAAAGATCAACGATTTGTTGAAAAAACTCGGAAACGCTGTCGGTGACAAATTGGCTGCTCTTGCAACTTTCAACGCTGCTCGCAAAAATGCTGAAGATACTCTTCTCGACATCACCAAACAAGATCCAACAAGTGATTCACAAAAATCGCCACAAGAGCTCATCGATGAATTGGCCAGAAAAGAAGATTCAATTGCGAAACTTCGAAACACTATTGATCAATTACAACCAGATCAACTCGATGAGAAAGAGCGTAAAGAGTACGATGATTTGTTGGCACAACTCAACAATGCCGCTGAAGCTCTTAAGGTATGTTAACATTTTAAGTTTCTCGAATTTTATTCCACAACTCATATTTGTTTTTTTCAGAAGAAGCGCGCAGATGCCGAGCAAGATCTCAAAAACAAAGAAGCCGAGCAACAACTTCATGATGCTGTCGAACGTATCGGTTCTCGACTCGCTCCACTTGTCCGCCAAGCCGACGAGCTTCTTCACAATGCTGAAGCTGTTCCAACCGAATATGCTCCAACCGCCCAAGAACTTAGCAAAGAACTCGAGAAGGCAAATGAGCTTATAACAAGTGCACCATCGAATGATTCACACGTTCAAAGTCTTCTACCAGCAATTGAAGCTGCAAAACAACTAATTCCGGCTCTCGAAGAGAAGGCTAAAGTTTGGGATGAATTTGTTGCTGCCAGAAATGATGTTGATAGTGTCATCGAAAAACTTCAAAAAGATGTGGAAGCTGTTATTGCTAAACCAAAAAGATCAAGCGAAGAAGCAGCAGCTGATTTGGAACAACTCCAAAAGAGCAACAATCAACGCGATGAACTCAACAGCAAAGTTGCCAATTTGCAACAACTCTCTGAATTGTTGGATCCACTCGAAAGCGCCTACGCTGATGTTCGATTCCTCGATGTCGATTCTGAACAAACACAACATCAATACGATGATGTGCTCAATGATTTGGCAACTGAACTCGAAGACGAAAAACTTCTTCGTGAGTCAGCCGATCAAGTTATCAAGGAAATCGAAAACATCAAGACAATGATTGACAACAACGATCCCGACAAATCGGTGCTTGACACAATCGCAAAGACAGATGTTCCAGCTCTCAAAGCACAAATCAATCGTATTCAAGACAAGATTGTGAATGCTGATGTTTCACGAAAACATGTTGCAACTGATCCAAGCATAGCTGATGATTTGAACAAGAAATTGGAACAACTCGAATCGGAACTCAGTGATGCCATCAAGACTGCCGAAGAAGCTGATAAAGAACAATTGATTTTGCAATTGACTCTCAAACTCAGCCAACTTCATCAACTACCATTGGATCAATTGACACCGGATGAATTGAAATCGGCCGAGAAAGATATCAACACTTCCTCATTATCACCAGAAGAAGCTGCACCACTATTGGAAAAAATTCAATCATTGCGTGATGCCAAACAAGAAAATGATGCAGCAAGATCTGAGGCTAAAGACAAATTGCAAGCTCTTGAAAAACAAGCTGAAGATGTTATGGCCAAAGATGGTGCCAAAAAGAAAAAGAAGGACAAGAAAAAGTCACCAGCTGAAGTTATTGATGAACTCAAAAACAAGATAATTGATGCGCAATCTCTAATTCCAAAAGTTGAACAATTGGAAAAAGATGTAAACCTTCCAGCCGATGACAAACCAAAAGCAGAAAATCTTGTTTCGAGTCTTGAAAATTTTGTTAAGGATCTTGAAAAACAAGTGATTGAGAAACAAGCCGACTTAGACCAGCTCAACAATGCTACTGATGCGCTTAAACGTCTCGAAGATGCTTTGGTTGATGCCGAAAAGAGCGCCGATGCACTTCCTAAAAACTCGTCGACTCCATTGAACGAATTCAAAGATCGAATCGCTCCACACATTGCTGCTCTGGTTGATGATATCAAACAAGTTCCATCAACTCTTGAAAATGATGCTGAAAATTTGCGCCAACGGGCCAACAAATTCCAAGACGATTTGAGCAAGAATGTGCAAAAAGCTATCGACGACGAGAAGCGCGTGGACGAGCTCAAGAAAAATGTATCTGATGCAACCAAAAAATTGGATGAAATTTTGCCAAAATATCAAAATCAATCGCAACCACTTGATATTGCCAAACAAGATGCTGAAAAACTCAAAGACATCTTGGATACATTGAACAAATTGGCTGAATTTGAAAATATCGAACCACAAGTTGCCAAAGAGCTCAAAGATTCTCGATCGAAAAACAAAGAATTGTTGACCGCTCTTGAGAAAGCTATTCCACAAGAAGAAGCTCTCCGCCAAGAACAAAATGCACTCAATGACAAGTTGGCTGATCTTCGCCAAAAATTGTCGAGCGCTGATGAATTTGCTCCAGAAAATGCATTGCCAATCGTCAATAACATTATTGATGATGCAGCCAATCTCAAAAAGCAAGCCGGTGAGAACAAGGAAAAAGTCGAAACTCCAAGTGCACTAATTTCACATGAAGATTTGGACAAGACAATCCCAGATAAAATCTTCCAACTTCAACACGATGCCGACGACAAAAAACAAGCACTTGACAATGCTGTCAATGTTCAAGAAGTCGCTCCAAAACTTCAACTTTTGGCTCAACAACTCCAAGCTTTGCCAAACGAGCTTCCAACAAGCATTGATGATCAACAATCCGCCATCGAAGACCTTGAAAACAAAAAGCACAATTTGGAGAACTTGCTTGCTAACTTGCCAGAAAATGATCCAGCAGCCGAAGAGTTGCGTCAAAAGAGTGCATGGGATTTGTCAAAGATCAACGATTTGTTGAAAAAACTCGGAAACGCTGTCGGTGACAAATTGGCTGCTCTTGCAACTTTCAACGCTGCTCGCAAAAATGCTGAAGATACTCTTCTCGACATCACCAAACAAGATCCAACAAGTGATTCACAAAAATCGCCACAAGAGCTCATCGATGAATTGGCCAGAAAAGAAGATTCAATTGCGAAACTTCGAAACACTATTGATCAATTACAACCAGATCAACTCGATGAGAAAGAGCGTAAAGAGTACGATGATTTGTTGGCACAACTCAACAATGCCGCTGAAGCTCTTAAGGTATGTTAACATTTTAAGTTTCTCGAATTTTATTCCACAACTCATATTTGTTTTTTTCAGAAGAAGCGCGCAGATGCCGAGCAAGATCTCAAAAACAAAGAAGCCGAGCAACAACTTCATGATGCTGTCGAACGTATCGGTTCTCGACTCGCTCCACTTGTCCGCCAAGCCGACGAGCTTCTTCACAATGCTGAAGCTGTTCCAACCGAATATGCTCCAACCGCCCAAGAACTTAGCAAAGAACTCGAGAAGGCAAATGAGCTTATAACAAGTGCACCATCGAATGATTCACACGTTCAAAGTCTTCTACCAGCAATTGAAGCTGCAAAACAACTAATTCCGGCTCTCGAAGAGAAGGCTAAAGTTTGGGATGAATTTGTTGCTGCCAGAAATGATGTTGATAGTGTCATCGAAAAACTTCAAAAAGATGTGGAAGCTGTTATTGCTAAACCAAAAAGATCAAGCGAAGAAGCAGCAGCTGATTTGGAACAACTCCAAAAGAGCAACAATCAACGCGATGAACTCAACAGCAAAGTTGCCAATTTGCAACAACTCTCTGAATTGTTGGATCCACTCGAAAGCGCCTACGCTGATGTTCGATTCCTCGATGTCGATTCTGAACAAACACAACATCAATACGATGATGTGCTCAATGATTTGGCAACTGAACTCGAAGACGAAAAACTTCTTCGTGAGTCAGCCGATCAAGTTATCAAGGAAATCGAAAACATCAAGACAATGATTGACAACAACGATCCCGACAAATCGGTGCTTGACACAATCGCAAAGACAGATGTTCCAGCTCTCAAAGCACAAATCAATCGTATTCAAGACAAGATTGTGAATGCTGATGTTTCACGAAAACATGTTGCAACTGATCCAAGCATAGCTGATGATTTGAACAAGAAATTGGAACAACTCGAATCGGAACTCAGTGATGCCATCAAGACTGCCGAAGAAGCTGATAAAGAACAATTGATTTTGCAATTGACTCTCAAACTCAGCCAACTTCATCAACTACCATTGGATCAATTGACACCGGATGAATTGAAATCGGCCGAGAAAGATATCAACACTTCCTCATTATCACCAGAAGAAGCTGCACCACTATTGGAAAAAATTCAATCATTGCGTGATGCCAAACAAGAAAATGATGCAGCAAGATCTGAGGCTAAAGACAAATTGCAAGCTCTTGAAAAACAAGCTGAAGATGTTATGGCCAAAGATGGTGCCAAAAAGAAAAAGAAGGACAAGAAAAAGTCACCAGCTGAAGTTATTGATGAACTCAAAAACAAGATAATTGATGCGCAATCTCTAATTCCAAAAGTTGAACAATTGGAAAAAGATGTAAACCTTCCAGCCGATGACAAACCAAAAGCAGAAAATCTTGTTTCGAGTCTTGAAAATTTTGTTAAGGATCTTGAAAAACAAGTGATTGAGAAACAAGCCGACTTAGACCAGCTCAACAATGCTACTGATGCGCTTAAACGTCTCGAAGATGCTTTGGTTGATGCCGAAAAGAGCGCCGATGCACTTCCTAAAAACTCGTCGACTCCATTGAACGAATTCAAAGATCGAATCGCTCCACACATTGCTGCTCTGGTTGATGATATCAAACAAGTTCCATCAACTCTTGAAAATGATGCTGAAAATTTGCGCCAACGGGCCAACAAATTCCAAGACGATTTGAGCAAGAATGTGCAAAAAGCTATCGACGACGAGAAGCGCGTGGACGAGCTCAAGAAAAATGTATCTGATGCAACCAAAAAATTGGATGAAATTTTGCCAAAATATCAAAATCAATCGCAACCACTTGATATTGCCAAACAAGATGCTGAAAAACTCAAAGACATCTTGGATACATTGAACAAATTGGCTGAATTTGAAAATATCGAACCACAAGTTGCCAAAGAGCTCAAAGATTCTCGATCGAAAAACAAAGAATTGTTGACCGCTCTTGAGAAAGCTATTCCACAAGAAGAAGCTCTCCGCCAAGAACAAAATGCACTCAATGACAAGTTGGCTGATCTTCGCCAAAAATTGTCGAGCGCTGATGAATTTGCTCCAGAAAATGCATTGCCAATCGTCAATAACATTATTGATGATGCAGCCAATCTCAAAAAGCAAGCCGGTGAGAACAAGGAAAAAGTCGAAACTCCAAGTGCACTAATTTCACATGAAGATTTGGACAAGACAATCCCAGATAAAATCTTCCAACTTCAACACGATGCCGACGACAAAAAACAAGCACTTGACAATGCTGTCAATGTTCAAGAAGTCGCTCCAAAACTTCAACTTTTGGCTCAACAACTCCAAGCTTTGCCAAACGAGCTTCCAACAAGCATTGATGATCAACAATCCGCCATCGAAGACCTTGAAAACAAAAAGCACAATTTGGAGAACTTGCTTGCTAACTTGCCAGAAAATGATCCAGCAGCCGAAGAGTTGCGTCAAAAGAGTGCATGGGATTTGTCAAAGATCAACGATTTGTTGAAAAAACTCGGAAACGCTGTCGGTGACAAATTGGCTGCTCTTGCAACTTTCAACGCTGCTCGCAAAAATGCTGAAGATACTCTTCTCGACATCACCAAACAAGATCCAACAAGTGATTCACAAAAATCGCCACAAGAGCTCATCGATGAATTGGCCAGAAAAGAAGATTCAATTGCGAAACTTCGAAACACTATTGATCAATTACAACCAGATCAACTCGATGAGAAAGAGCGTAAAGAGTACGATGATTTGTTGGCACAACTCAACAATGCCGCTGAAGCTCTTAAGGTATGTTAACATTTTAAGTTTCTCGAATTTTATTCCACAACTCATATTTGTTTTTTTCAGAAGAAGCGCGCAGATGCCGAGCAAGATCTCAAAAACAAAGAAGCCGAGCAACAACTTCATGATGCTGTCGAACGTATCGGTTCTCGACTCGCTCCACTTGTCCGCCAAGCCGACGAGCTTCTTCACAATGCTGAAGCTGTTCCAACCGAATATGCTCCAACCGCCCAAGAACTTAGCAAAGAACTCGAGAAGGCAAATGAGCTTATAACAAGTGCACCATCGAATGATTCACACGTTCAAAGTCTTCTACCAGCAATTGAAGCTGCAAAACAACTAATTCCGGCTCTCGAAGAGAAGGCTAAAGTTTGGGATGAATTTGTTGCTGCCAGAAATGATGTTGATAGTGTCATCGAAAAACTTCAAAAAGATGTGGAAGCTGTTATTGCTAAACCAAAAAGATCAAGCGAAGAAGCAGCAGCTGATTTGGAACAACTCCAAAAGAGCAACAATCAACGCGATGAACTCAACAGCAAAGTTGCCAATTTGCAACAACTCTCTGAATTGTTGGATCCACTCGAAAGCGCCTACGCTGATGTTCGATTCCTCGATGTCGATTCTGAACAAACACAACATCAATACGATGATGTGCTCAATGATTTGGCAACTGAACTCGAAGACGAAAAACTTCTTCGTGAGTCAGCCGATCAAGTTATCAAGGAAATCGAAAACATCAAGACAATGATTGACAACAACGATCCCGACAAATCGGTGCTTGACACAATCGCAAAGACAGATGTTCCAGCTCTCAAAGCACAAATCAATCGTATTCAAGACAAGATTGTGAATGCTGATGTTTCACGAAAACATGTTGCAACTGATCCAAGCATAGCTGATGATTTGAACAAGAAATTGGAACAACTCGAATCGGAACTCAGTGATGCCATCAAGACTGCCGAAGAAGCTGATAAAGAACAATTGATTTTGCAATTGACTCTCAAACTCAGCCAACTTCATCAACTACCATTGGATCAATTGACACCGGATGAATTGAAATCGGCCGAGAAAGATATCAACACTTCCTCATTATCACCAGAAGAAGCTGCACCACTATTGGAAAAAATTCAATCATTGCGTGATGCCAAACAAGAAAATGATGCAGCAAGATCTGAGGCTAAAGACAAATTGCAAGCTCTTGAAAAACAAGCTGAAGATGTTATGGCCAAAGATGGTGCCAAAAAGAAAAAGAAGGACAAGAAAAAGTCACCAGCTGAAGTTATTGATGAACTCAAAAACAAGATAATTGATGCGCAATCTCTAATTCCAAAAGTTGAACAATTGGAAAAAGATGTAAACCTTCCAGCCGATGACAAACCAAAAGCAGAAAATCTTGTTTCGAGTCTTGAAAATTTTGTTAAGGATCTTGAAAAACAAGTGATTGAGAAACAAGCCGACTTAGACCAGCTCAACAATGCTACTGATGCGCTTAAACGTCTCGAAGATGCTTTGGTTGATGCCGAAAAGAGCGCCGATGCACTTCCTAAAAACTCGTCGACTCCATTGAACGAATTCAAAGATCGAATCGCTCCACACATTGCTGCTCTGGTTGATGATATCAAACAAGTTCCATCAACTCTTGAAAATGATGCTGAAAATTTGCGCCAACGGGCCAACAAATTCCAAGACGATTTGAGCAAGAATGTGCAAAAAGCTATCGACGACGAGAAGCGCGTGGACGAGCTCAAGAAAAATGTATCTGATGCAACCAAAAAATTGGATGAAATTTTGCCAAAATATCAAAATCAATCGCAACCACTTGATATTGCCAAACAAGATGCTGAAAAACTCAAAGACATCTTGGATACATTGAACAAATTGGCTGAATTTGAAAATATCGAACCACAAGTTGCCAAAGAGCTCAAAGATTCTCGATCGAAAAACAAAGAATTGTTGACCGCTCTTGAGAAAGCTATTCCACAAGAAGAAGCTCTCCGCCAAGAACAAAATGCACTCAATGACAAGTTGGCTGATCTTCGCCAAAAATTGTCGAGCGCTGATGAATTTGCTCCAGAAAATGCATTGCCAATCGTCAATAACATTATTGATGATGCAGCCAATCTCAAAAAGCAAGCCGGTGAGAACAAGGAAAAAGTCGAAACTCCAAGTGCACTAATTTCACATGAAGATTTGGACAAGACAATCCCAGATAAAATCTTCCAACTTCAACACGATGCCGACGACAAAAAACAAGCACTTGACAATGCTGTCAATGTTCAAGAAGTCGCTCCAAAACTTCAACTTTTGGCTCAACAACTCCAAGCTTTGCCAAACGAGCTTCCAACAAGCATTGATGATCAACAATCCGCCATCGAAGACCTTGAAAACAAAAAGCACAATTTGGAGAACTTGCTTGCTAACTTGCCAGAAAATGATCCAGCAGCCGAAGAGTTGCGTCAAAAGAGTGCATGGGATTTGTCAAAGATCAACGATTTGTTGAAAAAACTCGGAAACGCTGTCGGTGACAAATTGGCTGCTCTTGCAACTTTCAACGCTGCTCGCAAAAATGCTGAAGATACTCTTCTCGACATCACCAAACAAGATCCAACAAGTGATTCACAAAAATCGCCACAAGAGCTCATCGATGAATTGGCCAGAAAAGAAGATTCAATTGCGAAACTTCGAAACACTATTGATCAATTACAACCAGATCAACTCGATGAGAAAGAGCGTAAAGAGTACGATGATTTGTTGGCACAACTCAACAATGCCGCTGAAGCTCTTAAGGTATGTTAACATTTTAAGTTTCTCGAATTTTATTCCACAACTCATATTTGTTTTTTTCAGAAGAAGCGCGCAGATGCCGAGCAAGATCTCAAAAACAAAGAAGCCGAGCAACAACTTCATGATGCTGTCGAACGTATCGGTTCTCGACTCGCTCCACTTGTCCGCCAAGCCGACGAGCTTCTTCACAATGCTGAAGCTGTTCCAACCGAATATGCTCCAACCGCCCAAGAACTTAGCAAAGAACTCGAGAAGGCAAATGAGCTTATAACAAGTGCACCATCGAATGATTCACACGTTCAAAGTCTTCTACCAGCAATTGAAGCTGCAAAACAACTAATTCCGGCTCTCGAAGAGAAGGCTAAAGTTTGGGATGAATTTGTTGCTGCCAGAAATGATGTTGATAGTGTCATCGAAAAACTTCAAAAAGATGTGGAAGCTGTTATTGCTAAACCAAAAAGATCAAGCGAAGAAGCAGCAGCTGATTTGGAACAACTCCAAAAGAGCAACAATCAACGCGATGAACTCAACAGCAAAGTTGCCAATTTGCAACAACTCTCTGAATTGTTGGATCCACTCGAAAGCGCCTACGCTGATGTTCGATTCCTCGATGTCGATTCTGAACAAACACAACATCAATACGATGATGTGCTCAATGATTTGGCAACTGAACTCGAAGACGAAAAACTTCTTCGTGAGTCAGCCGATCAAGTTATCAAGGAAATCGAAAACATCAAGACAATGATTGACAACAACGATCCCGACAAATCGGTGCTTGACACAATCGCAAAGACAGATGTTCCAGCTCTCAAAGCACAAATCAATCGTATTCAAGACAAGATTGTGAATGCTGATGTTTCACGAAAACATGTTGCAACTGATCCAAGCATAGCTGATGATTTGAACAAGAAATTGGAACAACTCGAATCGGAACTCAGTGATGCCATCAAGACTGCCGAAGAAGCTGATAAAGAACAATTGATTTTGCAATTGACTCTCAAACTCAGCCAACTTCATCAACTACCATTGGATCAATTGACACCGGATGAATTGAAATCGGCCGAGAAAGATATCAACACTTCCTCATTATCACCAGAAGAAGCTGCACCACTATTGGAAAAAATTCAATCATTGCGTGATGCCAAACAAGAAAATGATGCAGCAAGATCTGAGGCTAAAGACAAATTGCAAGCTCTTGAAAAACAAGCTGAAGATGTTATGGCCAAAGATGGTGCCAAAAAGAAAAAGAAGGACAAGAAAAAGTCACCAGCTGAAGTTATTGATGAACTCAAAAACAAGATAATTGATGCGCAATCTCTAATTCCAAAAGTTGAACAATTGGAAAAAGATGTAAACCTTCCAGCCGATGACAAACCAAAAGCAGAAAATCTTGTTTCGAGTCTTGAAAATTTTGTTAAGGATCTTGAAAAACAAGTGATTGAGAAACAAGCCGACTTAGACCAGCTCAACAATGCTACTGATGCGCTTAAACGTCTCGAAGATGCTTTGGTTGATGCCGAAAAGAGCGCCGATGCACTTCCTAAAAACTCGTCGACTCCATTGAACGAATTCAAAGATCGAATCGCTCCACACATTGCTGCTCTGGTTGATGATATCAAACAAGTTCCATCAACTCTTGAAAATGATGCTGAAAATTTGCGCCAACGGGCCAACAAATTCCAAGACGATTTGAGCAAGAATGTGCAAAAAGCTATCGACGACGAGAAGCGCGTGGACGAGCTCAAGAAAAATGTATCTGATGCAACCAAAAATTGGATGAAATTTTGCCAAAATATCAAAATCAATCGCAACCACTTGATATTGCCAAACAAGATGCTGAAAAACTCAAAGACATCTTGGATACATTGAACAAATTGGCTGAATTTGAAAATATCGAACCACAAGTTGCCAAAGAGCTCAAAGATTCTCGATCGAAAAACAAAGAATTGTTGACCGCTCTTGAGAAAGCTATTCCACAAGAAGAAGCTCTCCGCCAAGAACAAAATGCACTCAATGACAAGTTGGCTGATCTTCGCCAAAAATTGTCGAGCGCTGATGAATTTGCTCCAGAAAATGCATTGCCAATCGTCAATAACATTATTGATGATGCAGCCAATCTCAAAAAGCAAGCCGGTGAGAACAAGGAAAAAGTCGAAACTCCAAGTGCACTAATTTCACATGAAGATTTGGACAAGACAATCCCAGATAAAATCTTCCAACTTCAACACGATGCCGACGACAAAAAACAAGCACTTGACAATGCTGTCAATGTTCAAGAAGTCGCTCCAAAACTTCAACTTTTGGCTCAACAACTCCAAGCTTTGCCAAACGAGCTTCCAACAAGCATTGATGATCAACAATCCGCCATCGAAGACCTTGAAAACAAAAAGCACAATTTGGAGAACTTGCTTGCTAACTTGCCAGAAAATGATCCAGCAGCCGAAGAGTTGCGTCAAAAGAGTGCATGGGATTTGTCAAAGATCAACGATTTGTTGAAAAAACTCGGAAACGCTGTCGGTGACAAATTGGCTGCTCTTGCAACTTTCAACGCTGCTCGCAAAAATGCTGAAGATACTCTTCTCGACATCACCAAACAAGATCCAACAAGTGATTCACAAAAATCGCCACAAGAGCTCATCGATGAATTGGCCAGAAAAGAAGATTCAATTGCGAAACTTCGAAACACTATTGATCAATTACAACCAGATCAACTCGATGAGAAAGAGCGTAAAGAGTACGATGATTTGTTGGCACAACTCAACAATGCCGCTGAAGCTCTTAAGGTATGTTAACATTTTAAGTTTCTCGAATTTTATTCCACAACTCATATTTGTTTTTTTCAGAAGAAGCGCGCAGATGCCGAGCAAGATCTCAAAAACAAAGAAGCCGAGCAACAACTTCATGATGCTGTCGAACGTATCGGTTCTCGACTCGCTCCACTTGTCCGCCAAGCCGACGAGCTTCTTCACAATGCTGAAGCTGTTCCAACCGAATATGCTCCAACCGCCCAAGAACTTAGCAAAGAACTCGAGAAGGCAAATGAGCTTATAACAAGTGCACCATCGAATGATTCACACGTTCAAAGTCTTCTACCAGCAATTGAAGCTGCAAAACAACTAATTCCGGCTCTCGAAGAGAAGGCTAAAGTTTGGGATGAATTTGTTGCTGCCAGAAATGATGTTGATAGTGTCATCGAAAAACTTCAAAAGATGTGGAAGCTGTTATTGCTAAACCAAAAAGATCAAGCGAAGAAGCAGCAGCTGATTTGGAACAACTCCAAAAGAGCAACAATCAACGCGATGAACTCAACAGCAAAGTTGCCAATTTGCAACAACTCTCTGAATTGTTGGATCCACTCGAAAGCGCCTACGCTGATGTTCGATTCCTCGATGTCGATTCTGAACAAACACAACATCAATACGATGATGTGCTCAATGATTTGGCAACTGAACTCGAAGACGAAAAACTTCTTCGTGAGTCAGCCGATCAAGTTATCAAGGAAATCGAAAACATCAAGACAATGATTGACAACAACGATCCCGACAAATCGGTGCTTGACACAATCGCAAAGACAGATGTTCCAGCTCTCAAAGCACAAATCAATCGTATTCAAGACAAGATTGTGAATGCTGATGTTTCACGAAAACATGTTGCAACTGATCCAAGCATAGCTGATGATTTGAACAAGAAATTGGAACAACTCGAATCGGAACTCAGTGATGCCATCAAGACTGCCGAAGAAGCTGATAAAGAACAATTGATTTTGCAATTGACTCTCAAACTCAGCCAACTTCATCAACTACCATTGGATCAATTGACACCGGATGAATTGAAATCGGCCGAGAAAGATATCAACACTTCCTCATTATCACCAGAAGAAGCTGCACCACTATTGGAAAAAATTCAATCATTGCGTGATGCCAAACAAGAAAATGATGCAGCAAGATCTGAGGCTAAAGACAAATTGCAAGCTCTTGAAAAACAAGCTGAAGATGTTATGGCCAAAGATGGTGCCAAAAAGAAAAAGAAGGACAAGAAAAAGTCACCAGCTGAAGTTATTGATGAACTCAAAAACAAGATAATTGATGCGCAATCTCTAATTCCAAAAGTTGAACAATTGGAAAAAGATGTAAACCTTCCAGCCGATGACAAACCAAAAGCAGAAAATCTTGTTTCGAGTCTTGAAAATTTTGTTAAGGATCTTGAAAAACAAGTGATTGAGAAACAAGCCGACTTAGACCAGCTCAACAATGCTACTGATGCGCTTAAACGTCTCGAAGATGCTTTGGTTGATGCCGAAAAGAGCGCCGATGCACTTCCTAAAAACTCGTCGACTCCATTGAACGAATTCAAAGATCGAATCGCTCCACACATTGCTGCTCTGGTTGATGATATCAAACAAGTTCCATCAACTCTTGAAAATGATGCTGAAAATTTGCGCCAACGGGCCAACAAATTCCAAGACGATTTGAGCAAGAATGTGCAAAAAGCTATCGACGACGAGAAGCGCGTGGACGAGCTCAAGAAAAATGTATCTGATGCAACCAAAAAATTGGATGAAATTTTGCCAAAATATCAAAATCAATCGCAACCACTTGATATTGCCAAACAAGATGCTGAAAAACTCAAAGACATCTTGGATACATTGAACAAATTGGCTGAATTTGAAAATATCGAACCACAAGTTGCCAAAGAGCTCAAAGATTCTCGATCGAAAAACAAAGAATTGTTGACCGCTCTTGAGAAAGCTATTCCACAAGAAGAAGCTCTCCGCCAAGAACAAAATGCACTCAATGACAAGTTGGCTGATCTTCGCCAAAAATTGTCGAGCGCTGATGAATTTGCTCCAGAAAATGCATTGCCAATCGTCAATAACATTATTGATGATGCAGCCAATCTCAAAAAGCAAGCCGGTGAGAACAAGGAAAAAGTCGAAACTCCAAGTGCACTAATTTCACATGAAGATTTGGACAAGACAATCCCAGATAAAATCTTCCAACTTCAACACGATGCCGACGACAAAAAACAAGCACTTGACAATGCTGTCAATGTTCAAGAAGTCGCTCCAAAACTTCAACTTTTGGCTCAACAACTCCAAGCTTTGCCAAACGAGCTTCCAACAAGCATTGATGATCAACAATCCGCCATCGAAGACCTTGAAAACAAAAAGCACAATTTGGAGAACTTGCTTGCTAACTTGCCAGAAAATGATCCAGCAGCCGAAGAGTTGCGTCAAAAGAGTGCATGGGATTTGTCAAAGATCAACGATTTGTTGAAAAAACTCGGAAACGCTGTCGGTGACAAATTGGCTGCTCTTGCAACTTTCAACGCTGCTCGCAAAAATGCTGAAGATACTCTTCTCGACATCACCAAACAAGATCCAACAAGTGATTCACAAAAATCGCCACAAGAGCTCATCGATGAATTGGCCAGAAAAGAAGATTCAATTGCGAAACTTCGAAACACTATTGATCAATTACAACCAGATCAACTCGATGAGAAAGAGCGTAAAGAGTACGATGATTTGTTGGCACAACTCAACAATGCCGCTGAAGCTCTTAAGGTATGTTAACATTTTAAGTTTCTCGAATTTTATTCCACAACTCATATTTGTTTTTTTCAGAAGAAGCGCGCAGATGCCGAGCAAGATCTCAAAAACAAAGAAGCCGAGCAACAACTTCATGATGCTGTCGAACGTATCGGTTCTCGACTCGCTCCACTTGTCCGCCAAGCCGACGAGCTTCTTCACAATGCTGAAGCTGTTCCAACCGAATATGCTCCAACCGCCCAAGAACTTAGCAAAGAACTCGAGAAGGCAAATGAGCTTATAACAAGTGCACCATCGAATGATTCACACGTTCAAAGTCTTCTACCAGCAATTGAAGCTGCAAAACAACTAATTCCGGCTCTCGAAGAGAAGGCTAAAGTTTGGGATGAATTTGTTGCTGCCAGAAATGATGTTGATAGTGTCATCGAAAAACTTCAAAAGATGTGGAAGCTGTTATTGCTAAACCAAAAAGATCAAGCGAAGAAGCAGCAGCTGATTTGGAACAACTCCAAAAGAGCAACAATCAACGCGATGAACTCAACAGCAAAGTTGCCAATTTGCAACAACTCTCTGAATTGTTGGATCCACTCGAAAGCGCCTACGCTGATGTTCGATTCCTCGATGTCGATTCTGAACAAACACAACATCAATACGATGATGTGCTCAATGATTTGGCAACTGAACTCGAAGACGAAAAACTTCTTCGTGAGTCAGCCGATCAAGTTATCAAGGAAATCGAAAACATCAAGACAATGATTGACAACAACGATCCCGACAAATCGGTGCTTGACACAATCGCAAAGACAGATGTTCCAGCTCTCAAAGCACAAATCAATCGTATTCAAGACAAGATTGTGAATGCTGATGTTTCACGAAAACATGTTGCAACTGATCCAAGCATAGCTGATGATTTGAACAAGAAATTGGAACAACTCGAATCGGAACTCAGTGATGCCATCAAGACTGCCGAAGAAGCTGATAAAGAACAATTGATTTTGCAATTGACTCTCAAACTCAGCCAACTTCATCAACTACCATTGGATCAATTGACACCGGATGAATTGAAATCGGCCGAGAAAGATATCAACACTTCCTCATTATCACCAGAAGAAGCTGCACCACTATTGGAAAAAATTCAATCATTGCGTGATGCCAAACAAGAAAATGATGCAGCAAGATCTGAGGCTAAAGACAAATTGCAAGCTCTTGAAAAACAAGCTGAAGATGTTATGGCCAAAGATGGTGCCAAAAAGAAAAAGAAGGACAAGAAAAAGTCACCAGCTGAAGTTATTGATGAACTCAAAAACAAGATAATTGATGCGCAATCTCTAATTCCAAAAGTTGAACAATTGGAAAAAGATGTAAACCTTCCAGCCGATGACAAACCAAAAGCAGAAAATCTTGTTTCGAGTCTTGAAAATTTTGTTAAGGATCTTGAAAAACAAGTGATTGAGAAACAAGCCGACTTAGACCAGCTCAACAATGCTACTGATGCGCTTAAACGTCTCGAAGATGCTTTGGTTGATGCCGAAAAGAGCGCCGATGCACTTCCTAAAAACTCGTCGACTCCATTGAACGAATTCAAAGATCGAATCGCTCCACACATTGCTGCTCTGGTTGATGATATCAAACAAGTTCCATCAACTCTTGAAAATGATGCTGAAAATTTGCGCCAACGGGCCAACAAATTCCAAGACGATTTGAGCAAGAATGTGCAAAAAGCTATCGACGACGAGAAGCGCGTGGACGAGCTCAAGAAAAATGTATCTGATGCAACCAAAAAATTGGATGAAATTTTGCCAAAATATCAAAATCAATCGCAACCACTTGATATTGCCAAACAAGATGCTGAAAAACTCAAAGACATCTTGGATACATTGAACAAATTGGCTGAATTTGAAAATATCGAACCACAAGTTGCCAAAGAGCTCAAAGATTCTCGATCGAAAAACAAAGAATTGTTGACCGCTCTTGAGAAAGCTATTCCACAAGAAGAAGCTCTCCGCCAAGAACAAAATGCACTCAATGACAAGTTGGCTGATCTTCGCCAAAAATTGTCGAGCGCTGATGAATTTGCTCCAGAAAATGCATTGCCAATCGTCAATAACATTATTGATGATGCAGCCAATCTCAAAAAGCAAGCCGGTGAGAACAAGGAAAAAGTCGAAACTCCAAGTGCACTAATTTCACATGAAGATTTGGACAAGACAATCCCAGATAAAATCTTCCAACTTCAACACGATGCCGACGACAAAAAACAAGCACTTGACAATGCTGTCAATGTTCAAGAAGTCGCTCCAAAACTTCAACTTTTGGCTCAACAACTCCAAGCTTTGCCAAACGAGCTTCCAACAAGCATTGATGATCAACAATCCGCCATCGAAGACCTTGAAAACAAAAAGCACAATTTGGAGAACTTGCTTGCTAACTTGCCAGAAAATGATCCAGCAGCCGAAGAGTTGCGTCAAAAGAGTGCATGGGATTTGTCAAAGATCAACGATTTGTTGAAAAAACTCGGAAACGCTGTCGGTGACAAATTGGCTGCTCTTGCAACTTTCAACGCTGCTCGCAAAAATGCTGAAGATACTCTTCTCGACATCACCAAACAAGATCCAACAAGTGATTCACAAAAATCGCCACAAGAGCTCATCGATGAATTGGCCAGAAAAGAAGATTCAATTGCGAAACTTCGAAACACTATTGATCAATTACAACCAGATCAACTCGATGAGAAAGAGCGTAAAGAGTACGATGATTTGTTGGCACAACTCAACAATGCCGCTGAAGCTCTTAAGGTATGTTAACATTTTAAGTTTCTCGAATTTTATTCCACAACTCATATTTGTTTTTTTCAGAAGAAGCGCGCAGATGCCGAGCAAGATCTCAAAAACAAAGAAGCCGAGCAACAACTTCATGATGCTGTCGAACGTATCGGTTCTCGACTCGCTCCACTTGTCCGCCAAGCCGACGAGCTTCTTCACAATGCTGAAGCTGTTCCAACCGAATATGCTCCAACCGCCCAAGAACTTAGCAAAGAACTCGAGAAGGCAAATGAGCTTATAACAAGTGCACCATCGAATGATTCACACGTTCAAAGTCTTCTACCAGCAATTGAAGCTGCAAAACAACTAATTCCGGCTCTCGAAGAGAAGGCTAAAGTTTGGGATGAATTTGTTGCTGCCAGAAATGATGTTGATAGTGTCATCGAAAAACTTCAAAAAGATGTGGAAGCTGTTATTGCTAAACCAAAAAGATCAAGCGAAGAAGCAGCAGCTGATTTGGAACAACTCCAAAAGAGCAACAATCAACGCGATGAACTCAACAGCAAAGTTGCCAATTTGCAACAACTCTCTGAATTGTTGGATCCACTCGAAAGCGCCTACGCTGATGTTCGATTCCTCGATGTCGATTCTGAACAAACACAACATCAATACGATGATGTGCTCAATGATTTGGCAACTGAACTCGAAGACGAAAAACTTCTTCGTGAGTCAGCCGATCAAGTTATCAAGGAAATCGAAAACATCAAGACAATGATTGACAACAACGATCCCGACAAATCGGTGCTTGACACAATCGCAAAGACAGATGTTCCAGCTCTCAAAGCACAAATCAATCGTATTCAAGACAAGATTGTGAATGCTGATGTTTCACGAAAACATGTTGCAACTGATCCAAGCATAGCTGATGATTTGAACAAGAAATTGGAACAACTCGAATCGGAACTCAGTGATGCCATCAAGACTGCCGAAGAAGCTGATAAAGAACAATTGATTTTGCAATTGACTCTCAAACTCAGCCAACTTCATCAACTACCATTGGATCAATTGACACCGGATGAATTGAAATCGGCCGAGAAAGATATCAACACTTCCTCATTATCACCAGAAGAAGCTGCACCACTATTGGAAAAAATTCAATCATTGCGTGATGCCAAACAAGAAAATGATGCAGCAAGATCTGAGGCTAAAGACAAATTGCAAGCTCTTGAAAAACAAGCTGAAGATGTTATGGCCAAAGATGGTGCCAAAAAGAAAAAGAAGGACAAGAAAAAGTCACCAGCTGAAGTTATTGATGAACTCAAAAACAAGATAATTGATGCGCAATCTCTAATTCCAAAAGTTGAACAATTGGAAAAAGATGTAAACCTTCCAGCCGATGACAAACCAAAAGCAGAAAATCTTGTTTCGAGTCTTGAAAATTTTGTTAAGGATCTTGAAAAACAAGTGATTGAGAAACAAGCCGACTTAGACCAGCTCAACAATGCTACTGATGCGCTTAAACGTCTCGAAGATGCTTTGGTTGATGCCGAAAAGAGCGCCGATGCACTTCCTAAAAACTCGTCGACTCCATTGAACGAATTCAAAGATCGAATCGCTCCACACATTGCTGCTCTGGTTGATGATATCAAACAAGTTCCATCAACTCTTGAAAATGATGCTGAAAATTTGCGCCAACGGGCCAACAAATTCCAAGACGATTTGAGCAAGAATGTGCAAAAAGCTATCGACGACGAGAAGCGCGTGGACGAGCTCAAGAAAAATGTATCTGATGCAACCAAAAAATTGGATGAAATTTTGCCAAAATATCAAAATCAATCGCAACCACTTGATATTGCCAAACAAGATGCTGAAAAACTCAAAGACATCTTGGATACATTGAACAAATTGGCTGAATTTGAAAATATCGAACCACAAGTTGCCAAAGAGCTCAAAGATTCTCGATCGAAAAACAAAGAATTGTTGACCGCTCTTGAGAAAGCTATTCCACAAGAAGAAGCTCTCCGCCAAGAACAAAATGCACTCAATGACAAGTTGGCTGATCTTCGCCAAAAATTGTCGAGCGCTGATGAATTTGCTCCAGAAAATGCATTGCCAATCGTCAATAACATTATTGATGATGCAGCCAATCTCAAAAAGCAAGCCGGTGAGAACAAGGAAAAAGTCGAAACTCCAAGTGCACTAATTTCACATGAAGATTTGGACAAGACAATCCCAGATAAAATCTTCCAACTTCAACACGATGCCGACGACAAAAAACAAGCACTTGACAATGCTGTCAATGTTCAAGAAGTCGCTCCAAAACTTCAACTTTTGGCTCAACAACTCCAAGCTTTGCCAAACGAGCTTCCAACAAGCATTGATGATCAACAATCCGCCATCGAAGACCTTGAAAACAAAAAGCACAATTTGGAGAACTTGCTTGCTAACTTGCCAGAAAATGATCCAGCAGCCGAAGAGTTGCGTCAAAAGAGTGCATGGGATTTGTCAAAGATCAACGATTTGTTGAAAAAACTCGGAAACGCTGTCGGTGACAAATTGGCTGCTCTTGCAACTTTCAACGCTGCTCGCAAAAATGCTGAAGATACTCTTCTCGACATCACCAAACAAGATCCAACAAGTGATTCACAAAAATCGCCACAAGAGCTCATCGATGAATTGGCCAGAAAAGAAGATTCAATTGCGAAACTTCGAAACACTATTGATCAATTACAACCAGATCAACTCGATGAGAAAGAGCGTAAAGAGTACGATGATTTGTTGGCACAACTCAACAATGCCGCTGAAGCTCTTAAGGTATGTTAACATTTTAAGTTTCTCGAATTTTATTCCACAACTCATATTTGTTTTTTTCAGAAGAAGCGCGCAGATGCCGAGCAAGATCTCAAAAACAAAGAAGCCGAGCAACAACTTCATGATGCTGTCGAACGTATCGGTTCTCGACTCGCTCCACTTGTCCGCCAAGCCGACGAGCTTCTTCACAATGCTGAAGCTGTTCCAACCGAATATGCTCCAACCGCCCAAGAACTTAGCAAAGAACTCGAGAAGGCAAATGAGCTTATAACAAGTGCACCATCGAATGATTCACACGTTCAAAGTCTTCTACCAGCAATTGAAGCTGCAAAACAACTAATTCCGGCTCTCGAAGAGAAGGCTAAAGTTTGGGATGAATTTGTTGCTGCCAGAAATGATGTTGATAGTGTCATCGAAAAACTTCAAAAAGATGTGGAAGCTGTTATTGCTAAACCAAAAAGATCAAGCGAAGAAGCAGCAGCTGATTTGGAACAACTCCAAAAGAGCAACAATCAACGCGATGAACTCAACAGCAAAGTTGCCAATTTGCAACAACTCTCTGAATTGTTGGATCCACTCGAAAGCGCCTACGCTGATGTTCGATTCCTCGATGTCGATTCTGAACAAACACAACATCAATACGATGATGTGCTCAATGATTTGGCAACTGAACTCGAAGACGAAAAACTTCTTCGTGAGTCAGCCGATCAAGTTATCAAGGAAATCGAAAACATCAAGACAATGATTGACAACAACGATCCCGACAAATCGGTGCTTGACACAATCGCAAAGACAGATGTTCCAGCTCTCAAAGCACAAATCAATCGTATTCAAGACAAGATTGTGAATGCTGATGTTTCACGAAAACATGTTGCAACTGATCCAAGCATAGCTGATGATTTGAACAAGAAATTGGAACAACTCGAATCGGAACTCAGTGATGCCATCAAGACTGCCGAAGAAGCTGATAAAGAACAATTGATTTTGCAATTGACTCTCAAACTCAGCCAACTTCATCAACTACCATTGGATCAATTGACACCGGATGAATTGAAATCGGCCGAGAAAGATATCAACACTTCCTCATTATCACCAGAAGAAGCTGCACCACTATTGGAAAAAATTCAATCATTGCGTGATGCCAAACAAGAAAATGATGCAGCAAGATCTGAGGCTAAAGACAAATTGCAAGCTCTTGAAAAACAAGCTGAAGATGTTATGGCCAAAGATGGTGCCAAAAAGAAAAAGAAGGACAAGAAAAAGTCACCAGCTGAAGTTATTGATGAACTCAAAAACAAGATAATTGATGCGCAATCTCTAATTCCAAAAGTTGAACAATTGGAAAAAGATGTAAACCTTCCAGCCGATGACAAACCAAAAGCAGAAAATCTTGTTTCGAGTCTTGAAAATTTTGTTAAGGATCTTGAAAAACAAGTGATTGAGAAACAAGCCGACTTAGACCAGCTCAACAATGCTACTGATGCGCTTAAACGTCTCGAAGATGCTTTGGTTGATGCCGAAAAGAGCGCCGATGCACTTCCTAAAAACTCGTCGACTCCATTGAACGAATTCAAAGATCGAATCGCTCCACACATTGCTGCTCTGGTTGATGATATCAAACAAGTTCCATCAACTCTTGAAAATGATGCTGAAAATTTGCGCCAACGGGCCAACAAATTCCAAGACGATTTGAGCAAGAATGTGCAAAAAGCTATCGACGACGAGAAGCGCGTGGACGAGCTCAAGAAAAATGTATCTGATGCAACCAAAAAATTGGATGAAATTTTGCCAAAATATCAAAATCAATCGCAACCACTTGATATTGCCAAACAAGATGCTGAAAAACTCAAAGACATCTTGGATACATTGAACAAATTGGCTGAATTTGAAAATATCGAACCACAAGTTGCCAAAGAGCTCAAAGATTCTCGATCGAAAAACAAAGAATTGTTGACCGCTCTTGAGAAAGCTATTCCACAAGAAGAAGCTCTCCGCCAAGAACAAAATGCACTCAATGACAAGTTGGCTGATCTTCGCCAAAAATTGTCGAGCGCTGATGAATTTGCTCCAGAAAATGCATTGCCAATCGTCAATAACATTATTGATGATGCAGCCAATCTCAAAAAGCAAGCCGGTGAGAACAAGGAAAAAGTCGAAACTCCAAGTGCACTAATTTCACATGAAGATTTGGACAAGACAATCCCAGATAAAATCTTCCAACTTCAACACGATGCCGACGACAAAAAACAAGCACTTGACAATGCTGTCAATGTTCAAGAAGTCGCTCCAAAACTTCAACTTTTGGCTCAACAACTCCAAGCTTTGCCAAACGAGCTTCCAACAAGCATTGATGATCAACAATCCGCCATCGAAGACCTTGAAAACAAAAAGCACAATTTGGAGAACTTGCTTGCTAACTTGCCAGAAAATGATCCAGCAGCCGAAGAGTTGCGTCAAAAGAGTGCATGGGATTTGTCAAAGATCAACGATTTGTTGAAAAAACTCGGAAACGCTGTCGGTGACAAATTGGCTGCTCTTGCAACTTTCAACGCTGCTCGCAAAAATGCTGAAGATACTCTTCTCGACATCACCAAACAAGATCCAACAAGTGATTCACAAAAATCGCCACAAGAGCTCATCGATGAATTGGCCAGAAAAGAAGATTCAATTGCGAAACTTCGAAACACTATTGATCAATTACAACCAGATCAACTCGATGAGAAAGAGCGTAAAGAGTACGATGATTTGTTGGCACAACTCAACAATGCCGCTGAAGCTCTTAAGGTATGTTAACATTTTAAGTTTCTCGAATTTTATTCCACAACTCATATTTGTTTTTTTCAGAAGAAGCGCGCAGATGCCGAGCAAGATCTCAAAAACAAAGAAGCCGAGCAACAACTTCATGATGCTGTCGAACGTATCGGTTCTCGACTCGCTCCACTTGTCCGCCAAGCCGACGAGCTTCTTCACAATGCTGAAGCTGTTCCAACCGAATATGCTCCAACCGCCCAAGAACTTAGCAAAGAACTCGAGAAGGCAAATGAGCTTATAACAAGTGCACCATCGAATGATTCACACGTTCAAAGTCTTCTACCAGCAATTGAAGCTGCAAAACAACTAATTCCGGCTCTCGAAGAGAAGGCTAAAGTTTGGGATGAATTTGTTGCTGCCAGAAATGATGTTGATAGTGTCATCGAAAAACTTCAAAAAGATGTGGAAGCTGTTATTGCTAAACCAAAAAGATCAAGCGAAGAAGCAGCAGCTGATTTGGAACAACTCCAAAAGAGCAACAATCAACGCGATGAACTCAACAGCAAAGTTGCCAATTTGCAACAACTCTCTGAATTGTTGGATCCACTCGAAAGCGCCTACGCTGATGTTCGATTCCTCGATGTCGATTCTGAACAAACACAACATCAATACGATGATGTGCTCAATGATTTGGCAACTGAACTCGAAGACGAAAAACTTCTTCGTGAGTCAGCCGATCAAGTTATCAAGGAAATCGAAAACATCAAGACAATGATTGACAACAACGATCCCGACAAATCGGTGCTTGACACAATCGCAAAGACAGATGTTCCAGCTCTCAAAGCACAAATCAATCGTATTCAAGACAAGATTGTGAATGCTGATGTTTCACGAAAACATGTTGCAACTGATCCAAGCATAGCTGATGATTTGAACAAGAAATTGGAACAACTCGAATCGGAACTCAGTGATGCCATCAAGACTGCCGAAGAAGCTGATAAAGAACAATTGATTTTGCAATTGACTCTCAAACTCAGCCAACTTCATCAACTACCATTGGATCAATTGACACCGGATGAATTGAAATCGGCCGAGAAAGATATCAACACTTCCTCATTATCACCAGAAGAAGCTGCACCACTATTGGAAAAAATTCAATCATTGCGTGATGCCAAACAAGAAAATGATGCAGCAAGATCTGAGGCTAAAGACAAATTGCAAGCTCTTGAAAAACAAGCTGAAGATGTTATGGCCAAAGATGGTGCCAAAAAGAAAAAGAAGGACAAGAAAAAGTCACCAGCTGAAGTTATTGATGAACTCAAAAACAAGATAATTGATGCGCAATCTCTAATTCCAAAAGTTGAACAATTGGAAAAAGATGTAAACCTTCCAGCCGATGACAAACCAAAAGCAGAAAATCTTGTTTCGAGTCTTGAAAATTTTGTTAAGGATCTTGAAAAACAAGTGATTGAGAAACAAGCCGACTTAGACCAGCTCAACAATGCTACTGATGCGCTTAAACGTCTCGAAGATGCTTTGGTTGATGCCGAAAAGAGCGCCGATGCACTTCCTAAAAACTCGTCGACTCCATTGAACGAATTCAAAGATCGAATCGCTCCACACATTGCTGCTCTGGTTGATGATATCAAACAAGTTCCATCAACTCTTGAAAATGATGCTGAAAATTTGCGCCAACGGGCCAACAAATTCCAAGACGATTTGAGCAAGAATGTGCAAAAAGCTATCGACGACGAGAAGCGCGTGGACGAGCTCAAGAAAAATGTATCTGATGCAACCAAAAAATTGGATGAAATTTTGCCAAAATATCAAAATCAATCGCAACCACTTGATATTGCCAAACAAGATGCTGAAAAACTCAAAGACATCTTGGATACATTGAACAAATTGGCTGAATTTGAAAATATCGAACCACAAGTTGCCAAAGAGCTCAAAGATTCTCGATCGAAAAACAAAGAATTGTTGACCGCTCTTGAGAAAGCTATTCCACAAGAAGAAGCTCTCCGCCAAGAACAAAATGCACTCAATGACAAGTTGGCTGATCTTCGCCAAAAATTGTCGAGCGCTGATGAATTTGCTCCAGAAAATGCATTGCCAATCGTCAATAACATTATTGATGATGCAGCCAATCTCAAAAAGCAAGCCGGTGAGAACAAGGAAAAAGTCGAAACTCCAAGTGCACTAATTTCACATGAAGATTTGGACAAGACAATCCCAGATAAAATCTTCCAACTTCAACACGATGCCGACGACAAAAAACAAGCACTTGACAATGCTGTCAATGTTCAAGAAGTCGCTCCAAAACTTCAACTTTTGGCTCAACAACTCCAAGCTTTGCCAAACGAGCTTCCAACAAGCATTGATGATCAACAATCCGCCATCGAAGACCTTGAAAACAAAAAGCACAATTTGGAGAACTTGCTTGCTAACTTGCCAGAAAATGATCCAGCAGCCGAAGAGTTGCGTCAAAAGAGTGCATGGGATTTGTCAAAGATCAACGATTTGTTGAAAAAACTCGGAAACGCTGTCGGTGACAAATTGGCTGCTCTTGCAACTTTCAACGCTGCTCGCAAAAATGCTGAAGATACTCTTCTCGACATCACCAAACAAGATCCAACAAGTGATTCACAAAAATCGCCACAAGAGCTCATCGATGAATTGGCCAGAAAAGAAGATTCAATTGCGAAACTTCGAAACACTATTGATCAATTACAACCAGATCAACTCGATGAGAAAGAGCGTAAAGAGTACGATGATTTGTTGGCACAACTCAACAATGCCGCTGAAGCTCTTAAGGTATGTTAACATTTTAAGTTTCTCGAATTTTATTCCACAACTCATATTTGTTTTTTTCAGAAGAAGCGCGCAGATGCCGAGCAAGATCTCAAAAACAAAGAAGCCGAGCAACAACTTCATGATGCTGTCGAACGTATCGGTTCTCGACTCGCTCCACTTGTCCGCCAAGCCGACGAGCTTCTTCACAATGCTGAAGCTGTTCCAACCGAATATGCTCCAACCGCCCAAGAACTTAGCAAAGAACTCGAGAAGGCAAATGAGCTTATAACAAGTGCACCATCGAATGATTCACACGTTCAAAGTCTTCTACCAGCAATTGAAGCTGCAAAACAACTAATTCCGGCTCTCGAAGAGAAGGCTAAAGTTTGGGATGAATTTGTTGCTGCCAGAAATGATGTTGATAGTGTCATCGAAAAACTTCAAAAAGATGTGGAAGCTGTTATTGCTAAACCAAAAAGATCAAGCGAAGAAGCAGCAGCTGATTTGGAACAACTCCAAAAGAGCAACAATCAACGCGATGAACTCAACAGCAAAGTTGCCAATTTGCAACAACTCTCTGAATTGTTGGATCCACTCGAAAGCGCCTACGCTGATGTTCGATTCCTCGATGTCGATTCTGAACAAACACAACATCAATACGATGATGTGCTCAATGATTTGGCAACTGAACTCGAAGACGAAAAACTTCTTCGTGAGTCAGCCGATCAAGTTATCAAGGAAATCGAAAACATCAAGACAATGATTGACAACAACGATCCCGACAAATCGGTGCTTGACACAATCGCAAAGACAGATGTTCCAGCTCTCAAAGCACAAATCAATCGTATTCAAGACAAGATTGTGAATGCTGATGTTTCACGAAAACATGTTGCAACTGATCCAAGCATAGCTGATGATTTGAACAAGAAATTGGAACAACTCGAATCGGAACTCAGTGATGCCATCAAGACTGCCGAAGAAGCTGATAAAGAACAATTGATTTTGCAATTGACTCTCAAACTCAGCCAACTTCATCAACTACCATTGGATCAATTGACACCGGATGAATTGAAATCGGCCGAGAAAGATATCAACACTTCCTCATTATCACCAGAAGAAGCTGCACCACTATTGGAAAAAATTCAATCATTGCGTGATGCCAAACAAGAAAATGATGCAGCAAGATCTGAGGCTAAAGACAAATTGCAAGCTCTTGAAAAACAAGCTGAAGATGTTATGGCCAAAGATGGTGCCAAAAAGAAAAAGAAGGACAAGAAAAAGTCACCAGCTGAAGTTATTGATGAACTCAAAAACAAGATAATTGATGCGCAATCTCTAATTCCAAAAGTTGAACAATTGGAAAAAAGATGTAAACCTTCCAGCCGATGACAAACCAAAAGCAGAAAATCTTGTTTCGAGTCTTGAAAATTTTGTTAAGGATCTTGAAAAACAAGTGATTGAGAAACAAGCCGACTTAGACCAGCTCAACAATGCTACTGATGCGCTTAAACGTCTCGAAGATGCTTTGGTTGATGCCGAAAAGAGCGCCGATGCACTTCCTAAAAACTCGTCGACTCCATTGAACGAATTCAAAGATCGAATCGCTCCACACATTGCTGCTCTGGTTGATGATATCAAACAAGTTCCATCAACTCTTGAAAATGATGCTGAAAATTTGCGCCAACGGGCCAACAAATTCCAAGACGATTTGAGCAAGAATGTGCAAAAAGCTATCGACGACGAGAAGCGCGTGGACGAGCTCAAGAAAAATGTATCTGATGCAACCAAAAAATTGGATGAAATTTTGCCAAAATATCAAAATCAATCGCAACCACTTGATATTGCCAAACAAGATGCTGAAAAACTCAAAGACATCTTGGATACATTGAACAAATTGGCTGAATTTGAAAATATCGAACCACAAGTTGCCAAAGAGCTCAAAGATTCTCGATCGAAAAACAAAGAATTGTTGACCGCTCTTGAGAAAGCTATTCCACAAGAAGAAGCTCTCCGCCAAGAACAAAATGCACTCAATGACAAGTTGGCTGATCTTCGCCAAAAATTGTCGAGCGCTGATGAATTTGCTCCAGAAAATGCATTGCCAATCGTCAATAACATTATTGATGATGCAGCCAATCTCAAAAAGCAAGCCGGTGAGAACAAGGAAAAAGTCGAAACTCCAAGTGCACTAATTTCACATGAAGATTTGGACAAGACAATCCCAGATAAAATCTTCCAACTTCAACACGATGCCGACGACAAAAAACAAGCACTTGACAATGCTGTCAATGTTCAAGAAGTCGCTCCAAAACTTCAACTTTTGGCTCAACAACTCCAAGCTTTGCCAAACGAGCTTCCAACAAGCATTGATGATCAACAATCCGCCATCGAAGACCTTGAAAACAAAAAGCACAATTTGGAGAACTTGCTTGCTAACTTGCCAGAAAATGATCCAGCAGCCGAAGAGTTGCGTCAAAAGAGTGCATGGGATTTGTCAAAGATCAACGATTTGTTGAAAAAACTCGGAAACGCTGTCGGTGACAAATTGGCTGCTCTTGCAACTTTCAACGCTGCTCGCAAAAATGCTGAAGATACTCTTCTCGACATCACCAAACAAGATCCAACAAGTGATTCACAAAAATCGCCACAAGAGCTCATCGATGAATTGGCCAGAAAAGAAGATTCAATTGCGAAACTTCGAAACACTATTGATCAATTACAACCAGATCAACTCGATGAGAAAGAGCGTAAAGAGTACGATGATTTGTTGGCACAACTCAACAATGCCGCTGAAGCTCTTAAGGTATGTTAACATTTTAAGTTTCTCGAATTTTATTCCACAACTCATATTTGTTTTTTTCAGAAGAAGCGCGCAGATGCCGAGCAAGATCTCAAAAACAAAGAAGCCGAGCAACAACTTCATGATGCTGTCGAACGTATCGGTTCTCGACTCGCTCCACTTGTCCGCCAAGCCGACGAGCTTCTTCACAATGCTGAAGCTGTTCCAACCGAATATGCTCCAACCGCCCAAGAACTTAGCAAAGAACTCGAGAAGGCAAATGAGCTTATAACAAGTGCACCATCGAATGATTCACACGTTCAAAGTCTTCTACCAGCAATTGAAGCTGCAAAACAACTAATTCCGGCTCTCGAAGAGAAGGCTAAAGTTTGGGATGAATTTGTTGCTGCCAGAAATGATGTTGATAGTGTCATCGAAAAACTTCAAAAAGATGTGGAAGCTGTTATTGCTAAACCAAAAAGATCAAGCGAAGAAGCAGCAGCTGATTTGGAACAACTCCAAAAGAGCAACAATCAACGCGATGAACTCAACAGCAAAGTTGCCAATTTGCAACAACTCTCTGAATTGTTGGATCCACTCGAAAGCGCCTACGCTGATGTTCGATTCCTCGATGTCGATTCTGAACAAACACAACATCAATACGATGATGTGCTCAATGATTTGGCAACTGAACTCGAAGACGAAAAACTTCTTCGTGAGTCAGCCGATCAAGTTATCAAGGAAATCGAAAACATCAAGACAATGATTGACAACAACGATCCCGACAAATCGGTGCTTGACACAATCGCAAAGACAGATGTTCCAGCTCTCAAAGCACAAATCAATCGTATTCAAGACAAGATTGTGAATGCTGATGTTTCACGAAAACATGTTGCAACTGATCCAAGCATAGCTGATGATTTGAACAAGAAATTGGAACAACTCGAATCGGAACTCAGTGATGCCATCAAGACTGCCGAAGAAGCTGATAAAGAACAATTGATTTTGCAATTGACTCTCAAACTCAGCCAACTTCATCAACTACCATTGGATCAATTGACACCGGATGAATTGAAATCGGCCGAGAAAGATATCAACACTTCCTCATTATCACCAGAAGAAGCTGCACCACTATTGGAAAAAATTCAATCATTGCGTGATGCCAAACAAGAAAATGATGCAGCAAGATCTGAGGCTAAAGACAAATTGCAAGCTCTTGAAAAACAAGCTGAAGATGTTATGGCCAAAGATGGTGCCAAAAAGAAAAAGAAGGACAAGAAAAAGTCACCAGCTGAAGTTATTGATGAACTCAAAAACAAGATAATTGATGCGCAATCTCTAATTCCAAAAGTTGAACAATTGGAAAAAGATGTAAACCTTCCAGCCGATGACAAACCAAAAGCAGAAAATCTTGTTTCGAGTCTTGAAAATTTTGTTAAGGATCTTGAAAAACAAGTGATTGAGAAACAAGCCGACTTAGACCAGCTCAACAATGCTACTGATGCGCTTAAACGTCTCGAAGATGCTTTGGTTGATGCCGAAAAGAGCGCCGATGCACTTCCTAAAAACTCGTCGACTCCATTGAACGAATTCAAAGATCGAATCGCTCCACACATTGCTGCTCTGGTTGATGATATCAAACAAGTTCCATCAACTCTTGAAAATGATGCTGAAAATTTGCGCCAACGGGCCAACAAATTCCAAGACGATTTGAGCAAGAATGTGCAAAAAGCTATCGACGACGAGAAGCGCGTGGACGAGCTCAAGAAAAATGTATCTGATGCAACCAAAAAATTGGATGAAATTTTGCCAAAATATCAAAATCAATCGCAACCACTTGATATTGCCAAACAAGATGCTGAAAAACTCAAAGACATCTTGGATACATTGAACAAATTGGCTGAATTTGAAAATATCGAACCACAAGTTGCCAAAGAGCTCAAAGATTCTCGATCGAAAAACAAAGAATTGTTGACCGCTCTTGAGAAAGCTATTCCACAAGAAGAAGCTCTCCGCCAAGAACAAAATGCACTCAATGACAAGTTGGCTGATCTTCGCCAAAAATTGTCGAGCGCTGATGAATTTGCTCCAGAAAATGCATTGCCAATCGTCAATAACATTATTGATGATGCAGCCAATCTCAAAAAGCAAGCCGGTGAGAACAAGGAAAAAGTCGAAACTCCAAGTGCACTAATTTCACATGAAGATTTGGACAAGACAATCCCAGATAAAATCTTCCAACTTCAACACGATGCCGACGACAAAAAACAAGCACTTGACAATGCTGTCAATGTTCAAGAAGTCGCTCCAAAACTTCAACTTTTGGCTCAACAACTCCAAGCTTTGCCAAACGAGCTTCCAACAAGCATTGATGATCAACAATCCGCCATCGAAGACCTTGAAAACAAAAAGCACAATTTGGAGAACTTGCTTGCTAACTTGCCAGAAAATGATCCAGCAGCCGAAGAGTTGCGTCAAAAGAGTGCATGGGATTTGTCAAAGATCAACGATTTGTTGAAAAAACTCGGAAACGCTGTCGGTGACAAATTGGCTGCTCTTGCAACTTTCAACGCTGCTCGCAAAAATGCTGAAGATACTCTTCTCGACATCACCAAACAAGATCCAACAAGTGATTCACAAAAATCGCCACAAGAGCTCATCGATGAATTGGCCAGAAAAGAAGATTCAATTGCGAAACTTCGAAAAACTATTGATCAATTACAACCAGATCAACTCGATGAGAAACAACGTAAAGAGTACGATGATTTGTTGGCACAACTCAACAATGCCGCTGAAGCTCTTAAGGTATGTTAACATTTTAAATTTCTCGAATTTTTTACCATGACTCATATTTGGGTAAAAACACATAACATCCCCCGCCTGATTGTGCCCCCCCCCATACTTGGCAAAGTGAGCCCTTCTCCAAAATCCCAAATTACGGTAGCACCCAAGAAACTCACAAATGATTACTTTTTTTCATTTTTAAATCATTTTTTCACCAAGATACTTGTCCATATCCACAAAAACAAAATATATTAGCCTTCTTGCCTCAAAGTTCTAACAACCTTTGGAACCAACACATGTCTGAATCATATTTCAAAAAAAAAAGAAATATTATTTCTCCCGACCTCAAAGCTTTAAAAAAAAGATTCTAAAACTTCCTTTCAAAAGCATCCTCTATTCGAATGCAAATCAGTTTTAAAAATTTCGAACTCTACAGAACTCCCCCGACTAAAACTTAACTACTCAATCGAACCCCAAAAAAGTCCTAACCTTTGAAATTTTGATCGTTCCTCGATCATCTTATCGCTCAAAATTGATGTATTCCTTCATGCTTTCCAACGAAAATCATCTCGAATATTTTCATCCACGACTAATCTGAAAAATATTTTCAATTTAATGTTAGGAATTTTTTAAATTTAACAAAAAAAATTATTTCGCGGTGTTTTAGATGAAAAAACACAAATAATCGTAAGTTTACTTGAAGAGAGGTGTGAATATTGGAAAGCTCTGAAGGTAATAGACCTAAGATTGTAGTGAGATGATTATTTTTGGTTTCAGTTTTGGGATAAAATTTAAAATCTATAGAATCTCCAGTTTTTTGTGATTCGAAATTTGTTTATCAAATTCATTATATATCTTGAATTAACATAGTTTGAGTATAATTATCACAAAAAACTAGAGATTCTATAGATTTTAAATTTTATCCCAAAAATGAAACCAAAAATAGTCATCTCACTACAATCTTAGGTCTATTACCTTCAGATCTTTCCAATATTCACACTCAAATTATTTAAATATAAATCTAGGGCACAAAAGTAGGTCGAGCGGACAGACAGATCACCGTTTGATATATAAGAAAAACTAGAATTCTTATTTTTAAATGATTTTTAAATTTTTTTTTTTAAATGTCACGTTCAAATATCAAAATGTGTTTCTATTCTTACAATTTCACAGAAAAACAAGAAGGGGAGACGAGGTTTTAATGAAATTGTGGGGGAATCCAAATTAATTTGCTAAGTATGGAGCTACTCTCATCCATATTTGTTTTTTTCAGAAGAAGCGCGCGGATGCCGAGCAAGATCTCAAAAACAAAGAAGCCGAGCAACAACTTCATGATGCTGTCGAACGTATCGGTTCTCGACTCGCTCCACTTGTCCGCCGAGCCGACGAGCTTCTTCACAATGCTGAAGCTGTTCCAACCGAATATGCTCCAACCGCCCAAGAACTTAGCAAAGAACTCGAGAAGGCAAATGAGCTTATAACAAGTGCACCATCGAATGATTCACACGTTCAAAGTCTTCTACCAGCAATTGAAGCTGCAAAACAACTAATTCCGGCTCTCGAAGAGAAAACTAATTTATGGAGTGAATTTACGTTGTCAAGAGACGCATTGTATGAGGATCTCGAAAATCTTGAGAACAGTGTAAGCGATGTGTTGAATAGACCTCGATTACCGGTCTCTCAAGCAGAACAAAGATTGAAAAAAATGAAGGTTTGTGCTCATATATTTATTACTGTCAGTAATTACCTTTTTTGTAGGATCAATACAAAATTCTTGATAATATTCGAGAGATGAAACGGAGTATCGATCAAATTGGAACAAATTTACAACCATTGAACATAGCCGAAGATGAGTTACGCTATCTGTCGGTTCATGTGGAAAGTGTCGAAAGACAATATGAGGTATGCAAGGTTTCACTGTGCAAAGATAATCATCAATTTCAGGATACAATGGACACACTTAATGCTGAAATAACAGCAGAAATCGAATTGTTAAGAACACTGGATATTTTATCCAATGAGTTATCTCAATGTAAAGAAGATTTGAATGCATTGTCTCCGGATGTTGACGAACAGGTAAGACATTTTGATTATGACAGATTTCTATTTATTTTTATGCAGAGTCGTGCCACACTATTGAGCGATGTTATGGCTCATCTCGAAAATCAGAAAGCAATTGTTGAAAGGAGCGAGACTGATCGAAAATTCGTAGAAAGCAGCACATCTGCGGATCTCGATCGTCTTCTCGCGGAAGCCAAGAGACTTCTGAAAGAAATTGAACCTAGAATCCAAGCAAAATTGGAGCTCGGAGATGACATAGAAAAAGAAGGATATAATGTAGATGCAGCCGCTGAAGTTTTGTCAGCACTATACCCGGATCAGCATCCGTATGAGGTACTCGCAGATCATGGAATCGATGGTTTGCCATCTGATTCTGAAACTCAAAGCGAGTTTGATTCAACTGATAGCCGTTCTGATGGATTACTTTCCCCAATTCCTGATGATTCGGCATTAGATGAACAGCAACTTCGAAAACAACGTTCTCGTTGGAGACGGGTTTTGAGAACAGCATTGCCACTTCAGGTTTGTCTTTAAAATTCGAATTCACGTGCAAACAAATCATTTTACAGGCCTTGCTGGTTTTATTGATGGGCGCTGCGTGCTTGGTCCCACATTGTGACGACGAATATTGTTGTCAACTTCTCAATAATTTTGCTAAAAGCTTTGATCCATCATTGGAATTTATTAACGGGCCTCCGCCATTTTAAAATTTAGTTATTGTTTAGTTAGTTATTTGTTTCCATGTATATACAATTCCATTTTTATTGTTTTCTTTTATCATTCATAAATATATTTTAAATTACATAACTCAATTTTATTATAGAAGGATAATGCTCTCAAGTGAAATTGCTCTTGAAAAAAAAAGGGAAAACGGAAAAGCATACATCTCCATATTCAATGATGTCCGTTTCTCAAAAAAATATTTTTTTCGCTATACTTATTATCAATTGCGCAGGTTCAAATGTTCATAAAGTATTATTTGAATTTATACTTGGAGAGTGAGTAATATTCGTTTTCAGATTATCTGACAGTGCAACCAATAATTTTCACACAAATTGATAATTCTTGAAAATGTACAAGATTGTTGAAAATAATCCTATTGGTTCCAAATTATCAAACCTACGTCGCAGCTTTGTCGTATTCTGGGACCAAGGGACCATGTTGTTAAATACAACAACCACCAAATTTTCTGATATTTCTCAGAGTTCGTAATATAAAAAATGCTAGGAATTTAGACCGAATTTCCTATTTTAAATGACTAGAAGGGCTTCGCTGGCTAACGCCATCTACAGTAGTTTGACTTACTTTTTTCTGATTAATTTTCCGGTTAGGGAAAGAGAAACATTGAGAAATGACTAAAAATATTCGACTATGGGAGAAATTAGAACGATCAGATAAGAAACGTGGCCTGGAATTTAATTCGAATAAAAACGTGATCATTCTTTTTTACATGAAAAAAGTTTTGATTTTTCACGTGAAAACTCGCGCATTTTTTGAAAAATCGAATATTAGCGCCTCGATGGGAAAGAATTTGGGATCAAATGGTGAAGGTCCCATCAAAAATGGTCTTCTGGAAATTGAGAAAAGTCGAGCGACACATTTTAAATCCGAAAAATACATTGAGATTTTCAAACTTTACATTCTCCGCGCACTCACATACATTTTGAGAAAGAATGAAAAGGAAGCGCATCGAGCTGCCAACATTTAGAAACTTTTTCTTTTTTTGGTCATCAATTTTCATGCGCACAGTTTTGAGAACGGGACCCGGACATACTATTGCCAAAAAAATTTTCCCAATTAGTATATAGTAGATTGCAACAGAAATATGAGCCCGTGATACTTATCCAGAAAAAAAATGAAAAATTTTCGAATATTTACAGCTACAATCATATTTCGTTTCCACCAGGAGGTACCAACAACAGTATTTTGATAGAGTTCAAACTAAAAATCGATCAGATCGTTGATGTTCACGAAAAAAATCAAGTTCTAACTATCAAAGGAATGATGATACATGTAAATTTTATCCAACATCTAAAATCCATTTTTCATAGTTATAGAAATGGTTTGACAAAAGACTATCATGGGATCCATCCGAACATGGGGGTGTGAAATCGATGCATTTACCTGGAGAAATGATTTGGCTGCCAGATATAATATTATACAATAAGTATGGTCAATAATCCTAGGTCATGAAAATTATGTTATAATTTAGTGCACACGGAAGCCCTTGGGTGGCACAGACTACACAAGTCGATGTTACATTTGAAGGAGAGGTATTATGGTCACCACCAGTTGTGTATAACTCGTTCTGTGGTATTAATATTGAATGGTACGATGTCACAGTGCTGGTTGAAATTTACATATCTTTATTTGCCAACGTTTTATGATGAAAGTTTTTCGATAGCTCAGTATCCCGAATTTTTTCAAAATTACAGAAAAACTCGGCATTTTAGAAAACCGAAGTACCCATTCCGACCAACCTTGACCACCACACTAAGACTCGAAACTAAAAATTATTTTTTATCCACCTATTCAGGTATCCGTACGACACTCAAACCTGTGAATTAAAATTTGGATCATGGACATATGGAGGGTCTCAATTAAATCTAATTCATGTGAGCAACGTATATATTTACTAAAAATTTGTCTTAATTTCAGTTAACGGATGACTTGTTGAAAGAAGAAAAAGATGAAAACAATCAGACAGTTTGGCGTGTTGAGAGAGGTGTGGATATATCAAATTATCAGGTTTCATCTTCCAAACATGATTATGTTTCTTATTGTTAATTTATTTCATAGGAATCAGTTGAATGGGATCTTTTGTCTTATGAAGGAATCAGACACAAAAAATGGTATCCATGTTGTGATTATCCGTGAGTGTTCCGTGAATTAATAGTCTCATCGAAAAAATTCAGATCAATCGATCTAACCTACTATTTGAAAATAAGAAGGAAAAAGTTATTTTATACTGTGAATTTGGTGATACCATGCGTTTTGATAGCTTTGTTGACATTATGGGTGAGAATAACAGAAAGTCCCTAACTTCTTTAATTTTGGGGTAAACATGTAAAAAATATAATTTTCAGGTTTTCTATCTTCCATGCGAGAGTCATCAAAAAATTCAACTATGTATATCGATATTGGTTTCCCTTACAATATATTTTTTAATCATGGTGAGTGAAAACTATAACATTATGAAACTATTACTGCTATAATATCACACAGATCGATATAATACCTCCAACGAGTATTGTAACACCACTGATCTTGAAGTACCTCAGTTTCACAATGATTATGGTGACTATTTCGGTAACATTCACCGTTTTGGTGAGTCAGAAATAGAAGTTTGAACTACGCCTAATTTAACGATTAAGGTCCAACGAATACACTATCGAACATCTTATCAACCGATGTCGCCTTTCATCAAATATGTTTTTATAAATCGACTGGGTAAGATACTATTGATTTCACGAAGAACTGAAAAAGCACAGTACCACAGAACCGCACAACATTTGAAGGTGAGGTTAAGATTCCAAAGCAAAAACTATTTTTTGTCATTTCAGCAATTCAATGCAATGTCGGCAATGAACATTTTGGAACGTCAATTTCAAAAAAAGATCTTCGAGATTGAGGCGAGTATCCAGAACCAAATACATCAAAATGAATTTTTTAAATTTCCAATTAGTAAGTAATTCTAGATGTCTGTTGTGAACAAAAAAGCGAACGAGACAAAGAAAAAACCAAGTTCTGTACTTCTGGAGCTACCATTACTTAGTCGATCAAAATCAGTCAAAATACGTAAACCATCAATGAAACTAGTTAAGTAAGTCATATAAATTGGAGAAAATTTCTCTACTAATATTTGAAAATGTTAACAGAAATCGAGTGAGACGATTGCTGAGTTCGGACTTGACAGATGACAAAAAACCGTGGGTTTCAAATATTTTCGAAAAATAACCGGATTTTTTTTCAGACAGCAACCCGATGAAAATAAACCAGAAATCATAACAGAATACGATTCTGTTCGTGAAAAATTGAGAAAGGCAGAAAGAAACATTCATTTTATTGCTCGCACTTTGACAGTTCAGCGAAAACGGCAAGAAGTGAGTGAAAAGTTACTTGTTGAAAAACAATTCCGAAAAGATTTTGACCCTAGCGTTAGTACAATTATAATTTTTAGGATGAAGCTGACTGGAAATTCGTAAGCTTGATAATCGACAGAATACTCCTCATTCTATTCTCCCTCACCACCATTACCGGAACATTGTACATATTTATATCCTCTCCAGATGTTCGAAACGCAATCAAACACTTACTCACAACTGACACTAAATTTGTTCAATTAGATACCTTATTATGATAGTAACTCCAAAAAATAAAAATCTAGATTGATTTGTCATATATTCTAAAACTATGGCTCGAGCCATTTCTGTCTAGTTTATCACACAATTTCAAAGAATAATTTTTCTGAATGGTGGAAAAAACGTTATTCCTTCTTGAAAAATGTTGAAAAAAAGAAAGAGGTTAAAAAATCAGGTAAAAACAATTGAAAAACTGCTGAAAAACAATTCGTGAAGCGTGCAAAACACAATTTCTCCTTTCAAATTGAAAAATATAGAAATAACTTGCAAAAATAATACATAGAGTTGAGAAAAAGACGCCATTCCAAAATGTTCGGAGAGCTGCCAAGCAATATAGAAGAGATAAAAAGGGATTGAAATCCCGCGTGATCTACAGCGAGTTAAATTTGAGTGTCTAGGATTTGTGAAATGTAAAAATTTACTTCCTTAACCCACATTTTTCAATGTAAAACTCTCGCTAGCAGCCTTGGAAAAAGTAAAAAAGAAAACGCAACGCTGATTCGAACTGGAGAAAAAATTGCGGAAGAAATCAAAACCTCTAAAGTAGTGAAACTTCAAAAATTAAAAACGTGGCGAAAAACAACCCCGACTTTTAGGCGGTGAAAAACAAATCATACGGTATTCTTGTAAGTCTGCATTACGTGTGTGTGTTCACACACAATGCATTTGAAACGACGCCAATAGTCATTTTTCGGAGAAAAACGGTTTGATATCGCTCGAGCAAAGAATTTTAATTTAAAACACAGCTGCATTTCACTTGATTTTGTCGAACTGATATCTGTCCTATCTAGGAAATGTCAGTTGTTACAAAACAATTGTCATTACTCGTCTAATTATGTTTTTTTCCACTTGTTTCTCTGACTTTCGAATATTTCACTTGGTGATCCCATAACTCACAAGCTTTAAAGAAGACCTTCATTGTAGGGTGGCAAAAAAGTGTAGTGATACAGCATTATTTAAAATGTCACAATGTGATCAATTGAAATGCCACATTTTTGCCGGCCTCACGTAAAATGAAAAAATGACGCGAATCGAAAAATTTCACATCTAGGATTGTCTTTTTTTTCAAAAACGATATGCAAGAGGCGTCTTCCAAAATATTAAGACATGGGAAATACCTAGGCATGGATTCTGAATTAATTATGTTACAATCTCCGCTTACTTTCGTAAATTCATTGTTTATAATGTCAAAAAATTGAAGAGCAACTTCAAATATCATATTATATTTTTTGGTAATTATGATGTTAATCGCAAATCATGTTATTTAACTATGCATGCTCGCACTTGAAAACATATTTTTCTCTATTTCTTTTCTTCTCAACATATCTTTGTTTCTCTCTTTCAATGGCCTTGGAAATTCTTATTCCATTTTTTCTCTTCCACCAAATTCGAACGCTTGAAAATTATTGGCGTTTCAGAAGTTCGTAGGATGATCAGATCTCGTTCTCCCGAAATGTCACCAGATATGAAAAAGGCTAAACTTGAGGTGTTTCCTGATCACAAAAAATTGACCAAGCCCAAACTAATCGATAAGGAAGAAGTTTCGCGGTTTGTTTCCGCGTTGGGCAGTTTTGAAGTTCCTTCTGAAGTAAGTTGTCAAATTTCTTAAATTAATGAATGTTTTCTAATTGATTTCAGGGTGAAATGGTCATAAGAAGCCCACAAAAGTTACGACAACATCCAAATAAAGATATCGAAGATTATTTCATTGCGAGTGCTCAATGGGGAGTTCCAGCAATTTCGTGGGAAATTGTGAGACCAGTTTTTCTCTGGAAGTTGAATGTAAGTTATTTTAAATTATTTAAATAGTCGAATTTCCTATTTTCAGTTTGTCTTGAAAGAATTCGTCGTAGTCGAAAAACAAATAGCCGAAAGTAAAAAAGATGAAGAAAGTTCTAATTTTGATGTGTCGGATAAAGTGCCAGAAGCACCAAGAGAGAAACTATCAATAATGGGAAGTGAGTAATTCAAATTTTTCTTTCCAGAAAATCCAATTGTTAAAAATTTAGGCAGAGTGAATTTGATAAAAACAACGCCTGTCGTTTTCAATTTGGAAGAAAATATACAATTTATATTGGACAAAGCTCAAGGTTTTGAAGGTTTTCCATTCACTTGGCAACGAGTTTGTGAATTATTATCGGATCCAATGCAACATTATAATAAGATCGGAAAATTTGTCAGAGCTTTTGATAAGGTATGATTTTGCATTCAAAATTTTATTCCAGAACAAATTAACTGTTACAGGTGATAAATATTGTCACAACAATCACTGAATGGGGTGGAAGAGTAAATGGCGAATGGGAAATTCCGGTCGATTCAACAGTCCACCATTTCGAAAGTGTGTTTTTTGGTCCGGTAGATGAAGTTGAAGCGATGGATAAGGCTAACAAAAAACAGGAGGAAGACGAAAAACCATTAGACATGAGAAAAAAGGTTCGTTTTCACATTGTCACTGACTTTTTGGGTTCATCGAAATCTATAAGCAAAAGAAAACAATGACTTTGTAGATTAGCTTCGAATTCTTCACACTTTATACTTATCCATTTTTACAATGAAAAAAAACTCTTAGATCTTTAAATAAATAAACAATTTTGCTAACTCGAATTTTTTTTTAGAATAATGAAGAAAAAGATGGAGAAGTGAAAGAAGAAGCAGTTGTTGATGATATCAAAAAAGAAGAAAACGAGGGACTTGTTGTTGCTGACTCTTCAGAAGAGGTATTTTTTTAGAATTTTTTTACAGAAATATGTTTTTATACTTTTAAAATTCTACTAATCATTTATTTTCTCACGAATCTCACTCAGAAATCAGTCAAGAATTGTTGATGTTAAAACATTTTCCTGTCTAATTTTATTTGAAAAAAACATCTGAATTAAAAAACACTGGACTTTTAATCTCTCGAATTCGAAATAACAATAAAATGTGATTCGAATTTTTCCAGGAAAAAATGGAGGTTGATCCAGAAACATCAGAAGAACCACGCGTTGAAACAGAAAAAACAATAAAATCAGAAGAACAATCTGAAAATGTGTAATGGTAATTTGAATCTCATTTATTGAACATCTTGTACTATTTATTTATTCCTTATATATGAAACATCTGAAATCCACTTAAAAATAACATTAATTTGTGTCTGGTCTCTCCGAAGTGAAGTGTGTTTACTTACATATCAAAAAAAATTGTGTGCGCAAAAATTTGACATTTTTTGAGATTTTTTCTAATCCCTATGTTAAAATTATTATTTATATTCTCAATTTTTTCTCTATATTTTAATAATTCTTCAGCAAGTTATGCTGAAACCAAATTATTTACAGATTTATTAACAGGTTTAGTGATAATCAAAATAAAGTTTTGAAAATAGAAAGTTGAGTTTTGCAGGATATAATCCACTAGAAAGACCAGTTCAAAATTCTTCGCAACCATTAGTTGTGAAAATTAAACTGTTTCTTCAGCAAATCTTAGATATCGATGAAAAAAATCAAATAGTTTCTATAAATGCATGGTTAAGTTATACATGGATGGATTATAAACTTCGATGGAATCCACAAAAATACGGTGGAATTCAAGATATTCGATTTCCCGGATCATCAGATCATATTTGGAAACCTGATGTTTTACTTTATAACAGGTATGATTCTAATAAAAATTCAAAATTTAAATAAAAAGTTTAAAGCGCTGCCGAAGATTTCGATTCAACTTTCAAAAGTAATCTTCTAACTTATAATACTGGAATGGTTGTTTGGATTCCTCCAGGAGTTTTGAAATTTGTATGTCAACTTGATGTTACTTGGTGAGTGAAAAATTATTTATTTATATTTAATTTGCTTTCGTTTTTTTCTTACTAGTCGATTTACACGTGTCCAAATCAGTTTCCAAACTGACTCCACTCTTTCTTAATCTAAGAGATGGTGCATCTAACATTGTTTCATCCACTTCTTCTGAATGCTGAAAAAAAACAGAAAATTGAAAAATAGATAATTAATCTTACCGGTTCTCCAGATCCACTTAATTTTTGAGTTGTTTCTTCCACCATCATCAAACTATTTCTTTCAGTTTTCTGTGTTTTATCCAATTTTCGAAGTGTTCTTGTCGATTTATTATTCATATTTTCCTGAATTGGCGATGATGAAGTTCTTAATTCAGGAGTTCTCGATCCCGACGTTCTTAATTTTAGAAAATATTTATTTTTATTTGATCTGTAGTCTTAATACTCACATATTGTTAATTGGACTGCTCAATTCAGCTGATGTTTTTCGACGTTTCTCAGAGCGTCCAAATCTTTTCGATTCTCGATTATTAGCAGGTTTACAAAAAACAATAGTTAAAATAGTTAATAACAAAAATATTGTAAGTAACATATATTTACTCGAATAATAATAATGCACTAGGCGATATCAAATTCCAAAAATGAGACAAAAATTTTTATGTCCTAGATTCAGTTCACGTTTTCACGTAGAGTTTTTTGTAGGTTTCCATTTGATGATCAAGTTTGTGAAATGAAGTTTGGATCATGGACATTTCATGGAGAAGCTATTGATTTACAAATTGATAATGATGAAAATGGAAGTCAGTTTTTATTTCTGAAAAACTCACACTTTCTTTATTTCTGGTTTTTTTTCAGATCAAACTATGGATTTATCAACATATTTAGTTAATGGAGAATGGCAAATCATTTCAACTCATGCTGTTCGACGTGTTAGTTATTATAAATGTTGTGTAGAACCTTATCCAACTGTCAATTATTATTTACATATTCGAAGAAGAACATTGTATTACGGTAGGTTTTATGAAATGGGAAGAGAATAGATGTATCTATGTGGAAGATCAATTTTTTTTATTTCTAGTACTTTAAAATTGCATGAAATATAAAATATTTCAGGTTTCAATTTGATAATTCCTTCATTGCTTATTTCATTGATGGCAATTCTTGGTTTTATGTTTCCTCCAGATGCCGGAGAAAAAATAACACTAGAAGTTACAATTCTTCTAGCAATTGTGTTTTTTCTGAGTATGGTTTCTGAAATGACACCTCCAACATCAGAAGCGGTTCCTTTGATTGGTGTATTTTTCTCATGTTGTATGCTTGTTGTCAGTGCATCGGTTGTTTTCACAATTGTTGTTTTGAATTTACATTTTCGAAGTCCTGATACACATGAAATGACTCCAGTTGTTCGACGAGTTCTTCTCGAACTTTTACCATGGTTATTATGTATGTCTAGACCTGGTTATAAATATGTGAAAGCGAATGTTATTGACGAAAAAATTGAGATACCTAAAAATCCGAAACTCACGTTCAAGTTAGTAATATATTTACTCTGAAGAGGGATAATATTTATTACTTTCAGCCAAAATCTCACCTCGAGTAATTCTGGATATGAAGCAAAAATATTATTACTGCATTCGATTCACAGTGAACTCAGAAAGGTATGAAAAACAAATTTTTGAAGAGAAATTGAAATCTACAGTACCCTTCATTTTAATTTCGAATTTTTGGATAATCTAGAAATATACGTGGAAACATGAATTAATTCGAAACTTAGCATGGTCCAAAAATATGGAACTTTTTTTGAGATCTAGGCGCAAGCTCTTTTCGCAGATATGTTATCTCAAGAGTGCTATTTCCTTTATTTTGTTCATTCCCTCTTCTTTAATCTTGTTTTTTTCAGGTTGTGGCATTTTACAATAAAGAAGAAAATGATGAACAAATTCAGACAGATTGGAAATTTGCAGCAATGGTTGTTGATCGAGCTTGTCTTTTATTATTTTCCGTTTTTATTGTTATTTCAATTCTCGCAATTATAATGTCTGCACCGCATTTGATTGCTTGAATAATTATAACATGTCTTATTTATATTTTTGTTACATGAAAGCATGTTTTGCGTAATAATCCGACGAACAAAAAAGTGAAAAGCTTAAGCACATACGGATTACTACGTTTCTCTTTTTTGCGCAACAAACTTTCGGACATTATCTTCTGCTATTGTAAAATCGAGTTTTTTTTGGTTTGGATAAGCATGAGCGAGTTTATGGCCCATTTCATTTATTTGTTGAAGTTGAATTTGTTTTGGTGGATGGTGAATCATGAAATGTTTGAACAAAAAAAGAAGCCAAGAAAACGATATTTTATTTGGTCGCATTTTTCAATCGATTAACAGGCTTCAAATCCAAGTTCTGAATTGGCGAACGATTTTCTGAGTCGTCGAAACTTTTTCCGTCACTTCGAATTTTTAAAGATGGCGCATCTTTTGAGGTTTCATCCAATTCTTCCGATGGCTGAACAAATAAGTGTAAATCAGAAATAAACATTTTGAGTTGCAGAATTCTTAGATTCTAAAACTTCTTTATTTCTATTAAAGAACTCACAGGATTGGAACTTTTTTCACATTTCGAGGGAACCGCAATTTCTTTGCTTTTGTTTTTATCCATTTTTTATGAAATGTGTTAAAAAAAATGAAGAATTTAGAACACGTAAAATTTTGCAGATAAATATATCGTGTTTTGTTTTTTTTTATTTTGAAAAGAGAATTTTCAAATTATTGTGAATCAGGAAAAAAAGTATCAGAGCCACGAAAGACTACAGTAGAATTCTGTTGGCTGATTTTGTATTGAATAAGGAAATTCTTGGTTTTCTAGACCATATGTCCATGGGTTACAAAATTTCGGATCGACAATATTTTTCTAATATTGTACACTTTCGTTTCTTCAAAAAAGAAACTTCTGTCTAAATAAATATCTTCTCATTTTCTAAATACAGTAATCCGTGCCATTTATCCGTTTTCACTTTTTCACATAGCTTTTTCTTTTTTTTTCTGCTTTATTGGCACCAAACACGTTTATTTAACTCCGCCCCATTTTACCTGTATAAAAATGTAAAAAAGTTTTACTTTTCATTATTATTCTTCTCTCAATTTTTAAAAATGGTGAGTTTTTTTTTCAAAAAATATTACTCGAATGAAAATTTCATATTCTATTTTCCAGTCTCAATTTCATCTCATTTTCATTGGTCTCGTTTTGATACATTCAACTTTCGGATGTTTGCCAGGACTCGGAGGAGGTTTAGGTGGTGGTTGTGGGACAGCTCCAGCTTCGCCCTGTGCAGCTCCGCCAATGCCTCCACCTCCTCCACAAGCACCATGTGGAATTGGATGTGGCGCTGCGCCATATCCAGCTGCAGTTCCATATCTCGCTGCTCCCCCTCCACCACCACCAGCTGCTCCACCAGCTCAAGTTGTTACTGGAGTCAGTTATGCAGTCCCACATGGCAAATAATTATTTCACCATCTTGTTTTTTTTTGTATGTAAATAAGTGCAAAATTTTTTGTTATTTTTAAAAATAAATAAATAAATCAGTGAATGAATAAAAATATTTTTTCAAACGTCAACGTGTTTTTTTTTTTTGACAATTTTTGGACAACAAATTAAAATTGGTCATTTTTGTTTTTATCAAAATTCGAAGAAAAAACCAATATGTTCAAAAGAATTAAAAGAAACAAAGCTGGAAATGAAGAGATTGTAGAACCCACAAATTATGATGAACTTGTAAGTAAAAAATATTCATGTTTTATCAAACAACTTCTATATTTCAGTCACCAGTTTTCCGTTTAGTATCTTTGTATGAAATAGCTCTTCACGATGAATGGAAATATGTTAAATTATATTGTCCAACTCCAAGAAAACCATTGAGAAATGGGGTTTATTTAGGAGTTGGAATTGAAGCCATTCGAGCCATAATGTAAGTTTATAGAAAAAAATGTTATCATAACATTTATAATTTGTCCGAATTGTAGAGCAGTGATCATTTTGATCGTGTTAATTGTTCATCGTTTGAAATGGATGCCAAATATTGGTGGAGACAATGCTGAAGCATTTTCAATAATTTCAAAATTATTGTATTATTGGTCTGCATTTACATTGGTTGTTTTTTTCATAATTATAATTCAATTAGCAAGTTATTATACACAAACATCATCTATTATAATATTATCAACATGTCTTAATTTTGTTGTTTCTCTTATTGTCATATCACTCTTGTTTTTAATTGGTGAGTTTAAAATTATAGAATTTTGTAGAAAAATGGAAATTCTCGCGCGCCTACAGTAACCTCACCACACAAATAAATAGTGTGCTGACTTTTTAAATTTAAAAATAACTTCTGATTGTGAGTAAAGTTTTGGAACTTTTAAATAAATTTCGATTATTTGGAACTGAAGTTATAATCTCATTGTTCCTGAAATTCCAATTCTAACTAGTTTTTTCCCTTAGGAAAAATTAAAATTGAAGAATTCCAGCTGAAATGTTTTCAGCATTATATTTAAACAACGATGAAAATATAATAAAAGATGCGATGCTACAAAATGTGCTGAGAAGGGGAAATTTGGAATCGATGCAAAGAACAATGGAATGTTGTGGATTCGAAAACTATGACGATTATCGCGAACCATTTTTGTTGAAATATTCTGATCCATTAACTTTCAAAAAAGTTGAACAACCAAATTTTCTTCAATGGACAGTGAAAAATTCCGATTTTATTTTGACTGTTCCAGATTCTTGTTGTATTGTTCCACGTACACAACAAAACGTTTATTTGTGAGTTTTGAATAAAATATATGATTGATAATCTTCTGATTTCACGATATTTTTCATTTCAGCAGCTGTGCACGTCAAAATGTATCTGATGTTCGGGAGCTTAGACAATATTACAATGACAAAGATTATCTAAAACTATTTCGTCTTCTGAATAATCCAAAGTTTGAATTCCAGAGTTTTCAAATTTCAACTTTGTTCATTTCAGAGGTTTGCCAATTCATGAGAGAGGATGTGTTCAATTATTTGTTGAAGCATTCGATAAATATTCAACATTTCTCATAGTTCTTCTTATAATATTCGCTATTTTAAATGCAATTTCAGTTGGATGGATTATTTGCTTTTTATTATACAATGATGGAATTGGACAAATTTTGAACAAAACAACGTTATTTGATGTTTCTCGAAATACTGGAGTTCACTTTTTGATGAGTTTGGATGGGTAAGATTTAACATTCAAAAGTTTTCAATTAAATATCGCTTTTTTCAGTGGTGACAGACCATTCCATGATGAGTTTAGTCTTATCGAATATTTACGAGAAACTGATATCGATAAAATAGTTATTGAAGCTCCACAACCGGAAAGAAAAAGAAATGATCTCTAAATAACTTGTGATTTGTTTTTAATAATAACTTGCTTTCTATGTATGAACAATTAATTAAGAATCAACATATATTTTTTAAGACAGTAAATATCCAAAAAAAAAGAGAAGGGTACTATAAACACATCTAGGGTCACATAGATACGAATAAAAACATCAACATTTCTACATGAAACATGAAGCAATTCAAAAACAGAAAATTTTAAAAAATGTGGTTAAGGAAAACCGTAAATCGAGATCCATTCGGTAGTTGGTTGTGGGGGTTGGGGGAAATTGTGAAAAATATATAATTAAAAAATAACCGGACGTAGGAGAGAGAAAAAAGGACAGCGAAAAATGCAGTAACTTGTCTTAAATTTGGTCCCGTTTCAACAAGGAGAAAAATAAGGATAAATGGTGACAGACATAGAAAAAAGAAAGATAGGAAGAAAGAGAGGACAATCGAAAATTGTACTGTTTTTCGTTTCGAGACCAGCACACAAAACGCGTGGAAACAAAGAGCGAGAAAAAGAAGAGACCAAAAAGATATGAAACAAATAATAATTAAAAAAAATGAAGTTTTGACTAGAATTGTATACAAATATATAAAGACTTGTAGAAACTAAGAACGCGACGAGCGCAGAAGTTAATTGGTACGAGTAATCGGATTGGATGGTGCACCAAATTTGCCCATATGACGAGAAAGATCAGATGGTGCACAAGTTGATGATGAGAGTGTAGTATTATTGGAAACAACTGATGGTGGTGGAATTGACATTGACGGTGGAGTATCGAAAAGCATATGTTCGCCAGTTGAAGAATGCGGTTGGAATTGATTGTAGCTGAAAATGAATAATTGAAGAACGCACAATTATTTGGTGTTTTGAGTTGAACCTAAGGAATCGCGACAGCTCCAATTTTTTGAAAACTTCTGAACATTTTTAAAAATTGCCCTATTCTATTACACAAAACATTTTTTAATTCAGAATTTTTCTTACAAAACTTTTCTTACTTTCTTGTTAAAAACTCGTGACTGGTCCTATTCACTTTCGGTGGTCCGATTACTTAAGCTCGATTTAAAAACCCCACAGAGAAGGGAAATAAAGAATCTCAAAAAATTGAACAAAAAATTCCAAAATTTTGGACCACGTATTCCTAACTTATTTCCAACTTTTGGAGAAAAGTACCATTTTTATATTTGAATCTAGTATGATTTTTTCCTACCCCCACCCCTTTTAATGTAAATATTGTGAACAAGTTGAAAATTATTACCGATATGTGTAATTATTTATTGGTGGTGGTGGTTTTGTATGATTCATTGCCATATGATAATCCGGTGGTGATATTCCAACAAGTCCTCCTGTAGATACAACATTTGTTCCAAGTTTCGATCCAATTGGTGAAATGAGTTTTGGTGTTTCTCTATTCATAATATTAATCGATAATGGAATTTTGTTTGATGGAGGAATTGGAGAACCCATTGCCGAATTATTTTGATGTGGTGATGATTGATCGGAATTTGTTGTGTCATCGTCTACAATATGTGGCCGATTACGTAGTTCAATTTCGAGATCAGCCACTTTTTTCTCCAAACATTTGTTGCTCGCTTTTGCATCACCTAAAGCTCGGAAAAGCTCTTGTTTTAGTTTGTTTTCTGATGCAAGTGCAGCTTCAAGATGAGACGATTTATCTTTCAGAATTTTCAATTCCATACGAATTTCATCAATATCATTTTTCTCTTTATATCTTCGAAGAGATGCCAACTCTAATTCATATTCACAATTCGATTCTTCTTTGATTTTCAGTTCAACTCTTAGACGATCAACTTCCTTTTCAAGTTGTCGTTCTTTTTCACGTTGATGTTCAGCCAAATCCATTCTAAAAAAATGAATATATTTTATGTTTACTTGTATTGAATAAAAGCTTACTTCTTTCCAGTATCTTCATTTCGAGCTTTTCGTTCAGCAATCAATGCTTGTTCTAATTCAACTTTTCTTGATGTCAGTGATGTATATTTGGCTTCCGCTTGTTCCAAGTTTATTTTGTCAGTCTCGCGATGTTTTTCAAGTGAGTTACATCTGAAAAATATGAAATAACTTGGAAAATATTCCAATTCCAAAAAAAACAAACTTGTTTTCCATTTGATCAAGACGCATTCTGAGATGAGAAATTGTTTGCGTAAGTCTTGAATCATTTGATTCCAGCATTCTAATAGTCAATTTCATATCTTCTTCAATATTTCGTTTCGTATTCAATTCGCAACGCAATTCCTCAATTTCTCGCGTGAATCTAGAAACATTTCTATCGGTTTTCAGATATTTTTTTAATGAAAAAACTTACGCTTCTGTTTGATCATTAATCATTGAACTCTCTGGTTTATTATCGCATTTTGAAGATGTTGGCATTGATTTTACAGGAAGTCGAGTTGTTTTCAAAGAACTTCGATTATTTGTAACCTTGTTATTTTTACTGCCTCCATTATTCGATGTAGACAAATCATGGTTATTTAGTCGTTCATTTTGCAGTTTTTCACAAGTATCTTCATAATAATTACTAGTTGTTTCCTCAACATATTCCATATTCTTTTTCTTGTTATTTCTCGAAGATCCATTCGAACTTTTTGATGTTCCATTCAAATTCGAGTTGTTACTATTATGACTATTTCGACTAGTTCCAATGAATGCACTTCCAATTCCACTGAATATCCAAATAGAAAAATCGAGTAAAATTCGAATAACAGAAATTCCTCCGCTTTTCGAATCAGAAGATGTTGAATATTCGTTTTTTGCATTCCAACAACATTCATCATCACTATCATATCCATTATTATTTGTTTCATTATGATCTTTTGATTTCTTTTCAGGCGGTGTACCATTTTTCTTCACTCCTTTTTTCTGATCATTTCGACCCTAAAATTTCAACATTTAATTTTGAGATTTGAAAGATTTTCAAGGGCTTATAATTTAAGATTGTAGGTGTTTTTACTTTTTTCAGATTATTTTTTTGAAAGTACAAAATTTTTTCGATGACGAAATCATGAGAAGAAAACAATTTACGAAAATTTAGCGAGCAATAACAATGAGCCAAAATGAAAAAATAATTATTTTTTTTGGAATGAAGAAGGAGAATAATTATTTTTGGAATTTGAAAAATGTGCTTTCGTCGATCTTTTTTTCTAGAAATGTAGACATTTTTGGTTTTTAAAAGAAAACAAATTTGAATTCGTTTTTTGAAAAAAATCAGCCAATTCGAATTAATTAAACATACCTTATTATATCCGTTTTTCTTGCTATTCGTTGTTTGTGTTGGTGTTCCATTATTATTTGGATAAGATGTTGCTCCTCCACTTCCAGTTATTGCAACCATTGGTTGATTTGAATTTGAAGAAGTTGTTGGTGGTGCAGTATCGAAATAACAATCATCATCAATACAAGAAGATGTATAATCTTTTGGCCCTTCGTATTCTGCTGGTAATGATTCGACGAGTATCCTATACAATTGTTCGTTTTTCGCACAAACATAACTTTGTCTTCGTCGCATTTTCCATTCACTGAATATTTTTAATTAAAGATTTTTCTCGAAAATGAGATTCAATTTTCGAAAAATGAAATTCAGAAAAAGGAGAAAAATCCTTCTCTTTTCAATTTTCGCTAAAAAAATCAAACTAACTTGAAATAATATTGCAAAGAAAACGTGACTAATACAACTGGATAACCAATACAATGCGATCCAAAAAATCCGTTCAAACTTCGTGGTAAAGTTGGAGATACATTATTTGTCCAAAAAATAGGAAGTGAAGACCCTTGATCTCCACCTCGACTCAATTGAACATAATAATCAAATCGAACACGCAAAAACAGCTCAAATCCAATTACCATCGCGGTTAAAACTAATATTAACCCGGACTGTGAACGTTCGCCATCTGAAAAATGATTGGATCAATGAAAAAATAAATAACTAAAAAAATAATATTTTTCTCGAATCTATAATTATGAAATAACACTAATTACTAGGTAGAAAAATTATAGGTTTCTCTTTTTTTTCAATTCTCCAAACGAAAATCCGCCAAGCCAAAAACAACTTACTATACATTGTATTGATTGTTCGAACAAAACCACCATGTGTATGCCATATTAAATTAATCCAAACATACGTTGTGGCAATGAAAATCAACATTCGAACCGGTATAAAAAGATAACATATGAGATCGGAAGTCGCTGTCACGCATACAAAAAACACTGAGAACTTCTGAAAGGAAAACACACATTTTTTTTTGAAAAATATGAATAGGTTCACAATTATAAAATTCAAACTCACAGTTGTGTTTGGATTGGCAAGTGCAGAAACTGGATGCTGATTCTTATGCATCGATTCATAAGCTGCTCGAATCATCAACCAAAATGGCCACAATAATTCGACTCGGAATCCAGTAAATGCACCTAATGTGACAATTGTCAACCAACACAATGTGAGTCTCATATAAGCCAATGGCAATGATAAACTATCTTTATAATCTGTGCGACCCCGTCTATTTATATGTATCCTCTTCATTTTATTATCTAATAACCGCGCACGCTTTTGCATTATTTATCTGTAAAAACATTTAATTAGATATATGAGATGGAGGTGACAAAGTTGGCAACGAAAAAAAAACGAAAATAATATTTAAAACACAAAGCAAGAGAGAAACAAGAACAGAGCTAATAGGCGGGGCAATTTTCAGATAGACAGACAATAACAAATTTACGGTAAATGAACTTTGTGTTTTTATTATCAAAGCCAGGCCGAAATTAATTAGAACAATATCAGGAGATCAGAGTTCGTCTCGATAAAGCATCAAAAACCCGGAACAATTCAAAATTGAAGTTCGATGAGAATTATATAAGTATTTGGCGCGGTTAAAACTTCAACAACAAAAAACGAGAGTTTAAAACAAAATATTGGAGTTCGCAAGGGTTTTGAGAAATCATAAACAGATCAAAAAGTTTGAAGAATTGAAAAAACTTTAAAAATCAGGAAAAACATTTCTCAAGTGTTGAGTTGAATCGACACTGTTTTGATAATATTGAAGAATCATAGTTTAGGCCCAAATTGTGAACCCCGCATTTTTTGAGCATAATCATTCTGTTTTCGTTTCGAAAATGTGTGTATTTCTCCATCTTTTCTGCTTCTTCTTCTTCTTCTTCAAAAATCAATACGCTTTGCCTGCTTCTTCTTTTTCTTTTGCGCAACAACAACACAGAAAAGGAGAGAGGGACACCCTGTTAGTCGGTCCGATGTATCCATGTCTTTATTTTTCTTTCTCTCTCCCTCTCTGCTTCTTCGTTTTTTCGTTCAATTCTAATTGAATTTATAAGTATTCAAGAAGGAGACGAGCACATAAATAGACACGAATTGGTGTAAGTAGGCAGCTAACACGGGTGAAAACGAGAAATTATGAAGTCAACAGGTGTAGTGAAGCAATTCACTGATATACAATGAGTGTCGCTATGGTTACAAGTTAATTATAATGAAATGTCTGCTTTGTTAGACAAAAAAACGAGTTGAATAATATGAGAGAAAACTTTTTGCGATATTATGAAATTTTTTTTGCAAGTGAAAAATGTAACATTTTTCAGGTTCAGATATCTCAAATTTTTAAAAGAAATGTGCTGAATCTTTGATTTTTAAGCAAAATTTAGAGGGGTTTAAGAAAAAAGATAAGAGCAAAGTTACCATAGAAAAACCTCTTGCAGGGTGGCCAATCTGGAATTCATGTTGCGAAATAGACATTCTAAATTTGGAACGCGAGTTTCTTAGTTTCCAATTTTGAAAACGGAAGAATTTTTGATAAATTTTTGGCGCAAGCATGACTAGAACATCATAACAAATAACATTTTGAATTGAAGACGCAAATGGCGAATCAATGAGTGAATCAAAGTATAGTCACAATTGAGGAATATTTTTGATTTGGAAAAATTACATTTTCAATTTAGAGTAAGAAAACTCTCACAGTTAAAAAACACATGAGCCATATAAAGTAAGTGGATTGATTATAAAAACCGCAAACTTTTTTTGAATATCTCTCAAAGCAAACCTCACCCAAGAACCTGGAGCAATAGATACAAAAATTGCCCACCTGGGATAATTTACAGAAATTACCCAGCTAGTAAAAAAAACCCACCTGAGGCTCCCCTTAAAGACCCTAAAAAAATTTGCCCACCAAATTTTTCAAAAAAAAAATGCCCACCTGGAATGCGCTCAAAACATTTACAATTTCAGAAGCCTATAACAATGTTACAAAAATTAAAAAAAAAACACACCACTGTTTGAAAATTGTTGCATTATTCGTTGCTTCGTTCCTGATAACAAACTGATTATATCAAAATAAAAAAGACGTGACTTATTTTGAAATGTGAGCAATTTTTCTCATATTTTCTCAATTTCTGATGGAAGAAAAAATAAATCAAAAAGATGAGAAAAATAAATGAATCGATTTTGAAGAGGGCCACGAAGGTGTGTTCATTCAAATAAAAATCAATTTGCATAAGAAAAATATAAAACTGGTCTATATATTGATATGGGAAAAGAAGATGAGGGCGTTGGAGAAGATGTATGGATTTAATTTAAAAAATAATCACTAAGCTTGAAGCACATCACGTCGTTTTAAGTCAGTCAGAGGAAAAAAAGCGGAAGAGGAATAGTAGTTCGGCTCTGCGTCTCTCACACAATTGTCGATAGAGAAAATAAAAGAGAAAAGAGAAAGGCAGAGAAGTCGTGAAAATAGTGAGAAAAATGAGGAGAGTTATAAAGAAATAAATATGAAGAAGACGACGAACAAAACACTACAGCAGTAGCTGATGCGGCTAAATTTATTAAAATGACAACATTCAAATTTGGATATGACTAGATGGATGACAAAGCTCACGCAAGAAAGTGCAGCCAATTAGCAATAGATGACATTTAATCTGACTCAAACTCACGAATTTCCTATAATTATTACTTTTCGTAGAATATTAAGTATCATGTAGATAATAGTACACCGTTAGCTTCCTTGTTTTCGATTGGATTTTTCTGTGTTTTTCACAAAAAATAAAAGTAAAAAATAAATGTGCAAACACTGCGACGCCATTTTTCACACATCGTGACGTGACACACATAAGAATTTGTGTGTTCCTTGAAAATTACCGTAACATTTTAATTTTTTTGTTTTCTTCATTTTTTTAAATTCCGAATTTAAATTCCGAAATTATATTTATGATTAGATCGAAAAATCAAAAATTAAAGTCTAAAAATATATGTGGACAAATTTTGGATTAAATTTATGATAAATAAAATTGACTTCCTACAAAACACGGTGCTCGCAATTTTTTGTATCCGGTTTTTTTTTTCGAAATCAATATGCTTTATTGAAAATAAGTTTGCAAATAATATCATCCTAATTTATTAAGGCAAGAGAAGAAATTGAGCATCATGTAAAGAGATAAAATAAAACAATTTAAACAGTTTTTTTGGCTTCTGATCGAATACGGTAAGCTTTAACGATGAGTGTAACTGCAACAATAACAATAAGACCTCCAACACCAATAACCGATAAAGTTTGATTGTCATCCTGCAAGAATAGATGTTTGTGAGAAAAATAAAAACGATACCCGTACCAATAAATCAACAAATTTTTCTTTGGCATATTCATAAACTTGTTCAATTGCAGTTGGTGGTTCCGGAACTCGATGTCCTCTTTGTTCTTTATATTTGTGCAAAGCAAAATTTGTCAAACTTCTGACATCTTTAGCAGAATCTTTGTATCGGTACATTTTTCCGCGATGGAACCTGAGAAGTTTCATGATTATTTTTGGTAATTTTTCTCATAAACTTACAATAAAAACACTGGTACTTCATTTTCTTCAATATGGAATCTCTCTTTAACATCGTCACTGACTGAAACTTCCAATTTTCCAACATTGACAAGACCACGGAGTCTGGAAAATTACCATCATATTTTTCCAATGTTTTTTTTAGAACTCACTTGTGTGCAACTGTTTCCCACAATGGTACAAATGCATTACTTGATCCTTCATCAGCGTCATAACTATAAAAACATTTTGTTTGAAAATTTTCAATTATTTTGAGTTCACTTACAACATCACAAACCAATCAATCGCACCTTCATCTGGACTATGAGAATCAGTTCTTGTTTCAAAAGTATCATCTGTCAAATCCCACGTGGCAACTTCTTCATGTGCTCTCAACCATCTCAATAAAGTTTCGGAATCTTTGAAATCTCCATCATAAAGAATTGGATTTTTTCGACGATAATAAACAAGAGCTGGGAATGTATTAATACCAAGTTCACGAGCAACACTTCTATCATCAGTTTTAACTACTTGAACATAACCAGTTGCTTCAATATCATCATCAATTTCTTCAACTTCAGAAAGTGCTTCATTACATGTTGGGCATGGAACTTTTCCGTCATCTTCAAATTATAAAAGTTATTTGAGAAAAGGATCTGAGTACTACTTACATAAAAAGATAACAAGATTCTTGGAAGCATCTCTCAAAATCTCATCAATTCGATCTTCATCAACATCATCAATCGAATTATCATCGTCTTTATGTTTTTGGGAAGATGAACTGACTGGCTGAATAACAAAATAGATTTTCGCAAAATAATATGTTATGCTTACCTTAACAACTTCTTTTGCAGCTGATTTTTTCGAATTCTTTTTGGAATTAGAACTAGTCACAGGAGGAGATGGAATTTCATCAGCTACAGTAACTTTCAAGTTTTTATCCTTTTTTCTTGCATCTAATTCAGAAACAAAAAATATCAGAGGTATTACCAATAAAACAATGAGTAGTTTCATTGTTGATACTCGGATCAATAAAAAATCCAAGATATGTTATATATTCGACGGGCGATCCTTCTCTCTTCCTCTCTTCTTTTTTTCATTACACTTCTTACTTGAGCTCCTCACTTTTTTCCACCTTTTTTCTTTTCCGCCTCCAGCGGTTAAAAATCAACAATTGTTTGAATTTAAAAGTGGAAGAGTTGGCAAAAAAACACGTATTTGTTTGATTATTTATTTATCGAATGTTTCATTAAAAAATTCAAAGGTCAAAATTCAGATTTTTGGAAAACAAATAAAATATAACAGATGTGAATTAAATTTAAACACCGAACAACATTTGATCTACCCGCCAACAAAAAACGTTTATATTTAGTGTGTGCAAAAAAATGGCCAAATTTTTAATTTTCTCATTCTTCAAAAACTTGCGATGAATTCTGCACTTTTTTGCTGTCTACTTATTTTCATTTTTGGATTTGCGAACACAGGTAATTATGAAATAAAATAAAACTGAATTACAATATTTTTTCCAGATTTGGTAATTCCATTATTAGGTGGAAATATTGTTATTCGCAACAATTCTGATGGTAGTTTGACATTTTCAACCGATCAAAACTTGAATTTGAATGGAAATGGAGTTGGAAGAAATACAACATTTACTGTGAATGGGAAAAATGGAGATGTTTCAATAAATGGTTTGTTTTTTGTTATTTTTGAATTGTTACAGTAACCTATCTTTCAATATTTTCAGATACTGTTGCTGTAATGGTTAATGGAACATCTCATGGAATAAATACAAGCTTGGATACCTCGAAAAAATCAGTGAGTTTATTTCAATATTAATGTTAAATACGAAAATTCTAAATTTATTAGCCACAATCAATTCTCGATTCAATTTTTGGAGCATTCAAAAAAATATAGTTATAGTAACTTCTTAATTTGTATGATAAACTAGTTTATGGATTGTTGAGAAAAATAGTTAGATCTGGAAATGGTCCAATATATGGAATATCAGGTGGAATTGAAACACCATAAGGGACAAATGGATGTTCTTTGGAAATTGTGTGCACAAGAAAATCATAACGATTTGAACATTGTTGCCGACACATTGAACAAAACCATAAAGGCATATTATTTGATCCATGCATTGTCATATGAATTGTATAAATGAGAAAATCATCAAAAATCAGTAGACATTTTGAGCATGCCTATTAGAAAAAATATACCAAATTTGATGAAAATTTTAACTCACCATAATTGGATCATTCTTTTTTTGCAATTCCTTTAATTTTTTCTCATACATAGTTCTTTGTTTTTGCTCTCTTTTGTTCATTCTCATATCAATTGGTTCTTCTGTGAATTCTTGACTTACGGGTACTATAAATTTATAACACACATCATCGTTAAGCTGAAAAAACAATATAGTTTCAAAACAATTTCACTAAAAAACCACTCACAATTGGTTCATTGGAAGTCATTCTCAAGCAGTTATAAAATAATTATATGATAACTCAAAGTCAGAAAAAAATGAATATGAAGGATCTAGGTGGTTGTCATAGTAATCATCGCCAAAAATCTAATTAAAATTTTCGGACAAGAAGTTATTAGAAAGAAGAGGAGGAGGAGAAGAAAGGGATTTATGTCGATGAATAAGAAAGTTGTATTATATTATAATTATAATTATAATAATGAGGAAAATAATTTATTTAGAAAAATCTGTCATAAAGATGAAAATAAATAAATAAATAATTAAATAATTGAATAATAAGTGAAGTTATCACATTGGCCTATACACATGTTTGTTGGTTTGTTCGACCTGAAAATTTGGTAATTTTATTGGAAACATCAGAGATTTACTAACCAAGTCGTTTTTACAAGGCACGCGAGACAAAAAGTCGAGAATTTCGTTGTTGTCAATGAAATTTGGATTTCGTAATTTTTTCGAGTACTTATTCACTCCCCAAACTAAAAGAATCCAACGAAGCGGAATGAAATATAATATGAAAAGTGCAACTGTTATCACAATCATCGCCAAAAATGAAAGCCATAAATGGGTAAAATTGAAAAAGTTTTCGATTCTCTCGATTAGTTCATTAATGAATACAAGATAATTCTGAACATCAACAAGAGTTTCTTGAACAGTGAAAAGTGTGTCGCGAATACTTGAACTCTGCAAAAAAATAATTTTTGCATGTTTTGTTGTCATTATCCCCCGTTGGCTACCCAAATTATTATTTTTTGGGAAGAACCACTTTTTGAAAAGGTTAGGTGTTAGTAAAAGCTTAATTTGAAACTAACCCGCTCGACGACATTTTCCTGTAACCTTTTTATTTGAAAAAAATCAAAAATTTTCAGAACTGCATACATTTAAATTATTGAGAAAACTCACTTTATCATCTTCATCAAAACTTTTTTGTGTTTTGATTGTTTGTCGATCATCACTAATTTTTCTTGAAAATAACTTGTAAAATAAAAAGATCAAAAGTGAAAGTGGCAAGAAGTATAACTCGAAAAAATAAACATAAAGTATATAAATCTGAAATGAATATTGTATCGAAATTAAAAACCTTATCACTTACAAGCAATGAAATAGCCGATTTTGGTTTGGATTTCCATGATAATAAATATTCTATGGAATCTTTAAAGTTAATAATTGATAAAGCGACATTTTTCAAATCGACGACGGAAGATCGAAATAGTGAAGCTTTGAATTTTTGTTCGGGTGAAACATATTTAATTTCTTTTGGTTTGAATGTTCTTATTGCCGCTCTAACAGGATTCCAAATAATATCAAGTTCAAGTAAAATATATCCTTGCGCTTCCTTTCGAAGTTTCCAATCTTTTAATGCATACCATCTTTTCTCACAATTTTTAATATCAATCAAAGGAATTGAAATTCTTCCCAAAAACTCAAATCGATTATTTGGATCTTCATCATAAACTTTGACTTCCAAACATGTATGAATATCTTTCACAGAACTATAAAATTACTTCTAGATTTCAGCTGAAAAATGAAAAACTTACAAAGTATATATTTTGTTCCAATGTGGATTTAGAGTCTTATAAATAGTTTGTGTTTGAACACGTGTATTAACAAGTTCTAAGACGGCAAATGGATCACTTTTCCCACCGAAATCCTTTGCCTGCAAGTCTTCGGCACAAAATACTTTGACAGTTAAAACACCAACATTATCAAGAGAATCAGAAAACGAAGTGAAAATATCATATTTCTCGATATAATTATTCCGAATATCATTGTAATTATAATCTCCATTTGTTATTTCTTCTTCTCCGCGAGATCCACTTACAGTAATCAACAAAAGTATTTTAGCAATCGATAGAGAAGAATTCACAATCTCAAAATCATACCATTTTTGAAGTGTTTCATTGATTTTCAATTCTGACAATGGTATTGAAAGTTTACCAACAATCATATTTGTGCTTCTTGTTAAACATGTCATTTGTAGTGTTTGATCATCAATATCAAATACATGCATATCCCATTGTTCTACCCATTTTGGATTTTTGCTTGCAGTGCAAACTTTTGTTTTGTATTTCTCGGATCCTAATTTGAATTTGCAGAAAACATCGAGTGATTCATCGAGTTCTGCTTCAACCAAAACAATATTCACTATTTTTGACCATTCTTGATGTTTCTTATTCTCGTTTGACTGATTCATTTTTTTCTGTCCAAATTCTTCGAGTTCTTGTTGGGTCAATGAACTAATTTTGAGACAGACTGAAAGTTTTCCAGCTTCTTGTTGTAACTCATCCACAAGATCTGCAGTGATGTATATCGAACTGCAAAAATCATAGTTTTCAGAATAATTTAAATTTGGTGGCAAAAATGTTTAATTTGTTGATCAAATCAATTTTCTTTATGTGTACTAATTTTTTCGGAATTTTCTGAAGTTTTAAAATAAAAATCAACTTACGTATCCCATTTCAATTGTGATAAATCAATTGTGGCTGAACCCATAAAATCATCCGAACAAAATCGATCATAATCATAAACTTCAATTTCAATTGGAGAATTAATATCATCTACAATCATTTGAAAATCTTCATCCCATTGTGGATTCAAATTTTTGAAAATTGTCGAAGATTTATAAACAAATTCGTTTTTATATCGAAATTTGACATAAGGATCACTACTTCCAGATGCATCCTTTATTGGAAGATTTTCTCCATTACTCAAACTAACATCAAGAAGTAATGCAACAACATCATTATTTTGATTGTCTGTACTATTTGTCGTTGTTGCATTCTGAAAAATAAAATTGACAAAAATCTCCAAAAAATTATCTCACAAGTAAATCCAATGATGACAAACTTCGGAATTTTATCAAATTTTTACCGGATTGAAAACGTGTTTTCAAGCTTTTCAAAGTAACCATCGGAAAAATTGAAAATCAGGACCGGCGGCAAAAATAAGAGAACAACAAGCGGGAAAATAAATATAATTGATTTTTTTGTCTGACGGTGAAAAAATCGACCACATTTTTTTATTATATTTGGTTTAGGAGGGGGTCGTGGAAAAAAATAATAGACATTTTATGAGGTTTGAAAAAATGTATCATTTTTCATTGTTTTGTTCAAAATTTTAGATTTTGAAACTTGATCTGACATGTGGATTTTTTGGGAAAACTGAAAATTTAGAAAATTACCTCGATGCTTGGCAAATTCGCATTCCGATGAAATCTGGAAAAATTCTCATCAGAAAATCATAAACATCTGTTCAAATTCAAAAATTCAACAGATGTTTTATTTTCGAAGAAAAAAAACTAACTTTGTGAAAGATAAACTATCTAAAATCTTGCGAAATTGTCCTTTCGGTTTTCTTGGAGAATGTGGAGCAGCTGAAAAAAAATCAGCTGAAGAAATAATAAATAGGATTTTATGTGGAATGAAATATATCTCACAATTATAACGTAATGGTTTTCGGCGATGTAATCGAAATAATAAAACATCTTTTAGTTCAACCATTTGTTTTGGGAAAAATGAAATGTGAAATAAAATATGAATTGAAAAACGAATGTTTTTAGTTGAATCATAATCAAAATATTTCTATGATGATTTACAAAAAAAAAATACAATTCTAACCTGATTGTGCAAACTTTTTTCGTCTTCGAACTAAAGGCGAACATCCAGTTGAAGTTGTTGGTGATATATCTTCATCTTCAGAATTAATAATATCACCAATATTCAAATCACAACCATTTATATTTTCTCGAATAGGAAATCCATCATTATTTTCTCTTTTCATGCCATAGCCACGTTTCTTGAAAAATGTTAAAAATATTCGACGGCGGAGCATTTTAAAGTAGGAAAACAGAAAGCCGAGATAGAGAAAAGAGGTGCAAAAAAATGAGAGGATAATTCGATGAGCAAAAATGTGCAGAGACGCAACAAAATAGAACATCTATGTGAGTTTTCCAGTTTTTTTTTCGAAAACTACTTTTATATTCATAAACCTAAACGCTTCAATTCTGGTTAGAATTGGTAGAACAAAACATGTTCACATAAAACCAAAACCAATATATAATTATTAGCCCAGACACGAAGAGCCTTATAATTTTCAGAAATGGAAAGCACATAAATAAGATGCTGCTGCTTCGTGTTGAGCCACCATTCTGGAAAAAACACGAGAAAAAACAACAATAGCAAAATATAGAGCATAGATATTTTTTTACTTATTCTCATGTAAACAAGCAAAAAACAACACACAGATTCTCATCTTTTTTAAGCATTGATAAGATTCCCACGAATATATGAATTTCAATTTGACAAAAAAAACGAGAGACTAGAAGGAACACTCGAAAAAACGAGGGTGTACATTTTTTGAACAGAATAATACATATGTACACTTGCAAGAAAAAACATCCGGTTTCGAAACCAATTTAGAATGGATTAATGAAATTGCACTTTAATTGTGTTTAATTCTAATTTTTATATAGCTTTGAAAAACCACTGAGAAAAAGAACAAAGAGAGTAAATCAATACGAAGCCAAAACGGCATTCATTCATCAAAAAGTGGGGTGTTTGAATGTGCGTTAGGAAAAACGAAAAAAAAACGAGACGCTCGACTTTTTTTTTTGGAAAAACGATGTCTCCTGAGAATATTACTTTTGCTAATTTTCAGTGTCATTTATGTTACTTTTTCACTGAACCGAACTTAATTTGAAAAGTACAAAGGAATTTTTTAAAAACATTCTCCAGTGTGTAAGTTGGCTGAGTTGTATTTTCTAGAGTTTTGGTAAATGTCTAAACTAGAAGTTCAGACCAGGGTCACTACTTTTTGAAAATTGTCCGATGCATGCACACAAAAATCGACTTTTTTTTAAAAAGAGTTCCGTATTCTGGAGCTACAGTAACCGGTCAAGTCACAAACGTTTTCCCAGATTTACTTCTTGCTAAAATCTATTATCAATATCTTAAAAATGAACGTATAGTTTTTTTCTAATCGAGAATTTAACAAAATTCACCTGCCAACGAACCTAATATTCTCTTTTTCTCTCTGAAAAAAACGCATTGATGCACAACTAATATGAGACTGCAAAAAGTGTTGTATTCTTTGGCTTGTTCTTCTCAACATATAAACAAAGTTGTCAGGAAAACGAACAACAAAAAAACATCTCACCAAAACCAAAGCCAGAAAAAACGCCAATTTTTTGCTCGTAATATGATTGACCCAGCACGGAGAGTCTTATTGAATTTGGTGTTTCGTGAGAAATTCATGAATTTTTGAGTGGGACTCGGAAACAAGACAAAAATCAATTTGACATAAAAAAACATGTGGTTTTCAAATAAAAGTGCAATAAATTTTTCAGTGTTTTCTCGAAAACTATCTTGTTAATAAGTTTTTCATACTCAAGAAAAAATGGGTTTTTTTCTGGAAAAAATTCACATGAACTTATATTTTTTTGGATTTCTGATTGTTTTCAAATCGCCACGGAGTTTTCGGTATCCAAAAAAAAGTTTGACGACAAAAATTTAATATTTCTAACAAGTTATCAACAATAATACAAAACTTTCCACAGAACTTATTGAAGACTAAATCATTGATGTTGATAAACACATCTGAAAATTTAGGTAAATCAAAAATTGTTCCTATTTTTGAAAACCATAATTTTCAGCTTTGATTTTGATATAAATAAATATCTCAAATCCCCCAATCTTAACTTTTTTACAAATGTTTATAGTTTCTATTTAACTGATTCTAGTGAAACTATAGTTTCTCCGACAACAACTTTTTTACAAAATGTTTTTGACAAAATTCAAAAATCATTTTTTTTCTCAAAAGAATTATCACGTTTTTTATTTAAATTTTATTTGGCTAGGCCACGTCTCTTATCTGATTTTTCATGTTTTTTTGAAATCAAAGTAGAATAAATTTGGCCAGTTCTCGTTTTTAATATTTTCTAAATCTGACGAAGGATATTTTCATATTGAAATGAACTCGGGTAAGTGGTGAAGAATACGTTAGAAAATTGAGTTTTTAATTCGGAATTTATATGATGAGTTGATATCACGAATAAATCGCACTTATTGATTCATACCAAAAGTAAGCTCATAATCTAGGCTTCTCATGTGGGAAACGATTGACCAAAGTGTTTAGGCCACATATCTGAAAAACACATTTAATTGGGCTAATGTCATTTTTTGAAAATCCCACATTCCATTAAGATGTTTTTTGTCACTTCTAGATTTTTAGCAACGTAATAATGAACAAAAACTAGGTCACGTTCTAATTTTTCCAATTATTTATTTTTTGATGCTAGGTTTTACGAATTTTTCAAAACTTATATTTATATTCTAAATTTGAATTCTATTAAATTAATTTACAGGATTTTTGTATGAGGCTGTATTCAATTTTGTCCTCGAAAAGAAGCAATCAAAAACGTATGACTTGAACGGACCTGGTAGAAAATATTGTTTGGAACCGAACACATTGCAATGGTTATTTCTAGAAACCAAAATCGAGTTGAGCAAATTCGATTTGACAATTACGTCGAGTGAGTTGAAAATGATCCATTCTTTCAAGTCTGCCAAAATCCATGCTAAATGCTAACAATATTGCATTTTGTCTCAACCAAATTTGTTTTCATAAAACAATGAAACTTGAAAATGTGTTCCTTTCAGAAAGAGCAAATAAAGAAATCGAAATTGCGAGGAAAAATTTCGCCGGTCAGAACTGCATAGTGTTCATATTCAACACATCGGATGAAGACGACCTCGATTGCTCTTTGACGATGGGCAATGCAATCGTGGAAAAGTATTATTGCTGTGTTGGTGTATGTTTTATTACTTCAGAACATATTTTTCATAATGAGAAAATAAGTAAACTATTGTGACAATTTAGAGATCTATTCCGAAATTCGAAAGCATAATTTGGCTATGTATGTAGATGATTTTTGAATATTTACACTGTATTTTTTTTTTGCAATTCGAGGGAGACGCAGACTTTAACGTGTGCAGACAAATCTCTCGCCGAAAAAGGGAGAGAAATAGTGTGTGGCAGACACACAGCGTGTCGAGACCAGCGAGTGTCTGCGTCTCCTCGAAATTGCATTTTTCTATTGGGGAAAAAAACACAGTGATTTTTTCACTCTCAATAATTTTGAGAAGAAAATAAAAATTTATAGAAAGTAGAAATATGTTTTAGGTCACTGTCTCAACTTCTTATAGTATAATTTACGCGATTGTGAGGTACTGTAAAATTTCATTAAAGAAAGTTAATTTTTCAATGAACACTATTGTTCAGTTCATTATTGGAAAGGTTTTTTTTTGGTTATTTTAGCTGAGAAATAATTTTTAAAGGAAAACATTTTGGAGTCTGTTTGAAAAATAAAATGCGAAATTTACACGCTGGCTATTTGCCAACCAGTTTGATGTGCATGTGTCACGTCATTTTTAGTCTACTGTACATGACCGCAAATTCAAACAGGGGTTCTTTTATTTTCGGATTGACAATAAGTAGTCGATTACGAAAAAAGTTCATTACGAGTTGTTTGATGCATCGAGAGGTCATAAGTTAATTGTGGGCCTTAAGTTTTTTTTTTTGAAACTTATAATTCTTCTTATAAAATGTGTTTCAGATGGCCGGAAAAGAACACACAAAAAATGAACTCGTCACCACAACAACCTCTGATGCGACTATCAATGCTATACGTAGCGAAATACTGAATATGTCAACCAATGATATATCCATTCCGCCTCCGGAACTTACATAAAATGTTGATAAAAATCTTGAACGTCTTACATATTATCTATTGTTTACCCATTTATAATAAATTCACGTTTTTTCTAATTAGTTTTTTCTCCAGAACTAAATGTCTGGAACTCATAAATTTTTTTTCAAAACTTGACCAGATGAAATCAGGCCGGGGCGAGTGCAATATTTGAATAATACATAAACCTTAACATAGCACACGGCGCGACCTGATTCACATTGTGGTCAATAAAAATAGAAAATACGAATAGTTGGCAACAAAAAATGAGAAAGGTAGGAATATATTTAGATGTGTAGAATGAAACGAAGAAAAAACGGGTTTTTTCTCTTTCCACAAAATTTTTGTGTTGTACTTCAGTGTAAAGAAAGAAGTATTTTATGTTGCTGTAGATTTATATTCACCAGAAATATTGATGAATAATCAGATCAGAAGTGGCGCGAAAAATGATTGGATGATTTGTTTTAAGTACCCATTAGACTCCGCCCAATTGTTGTTGCGTAAGAGAAGGTGGAATGAAATGACCAAAAGTGAAACTCATTGTGGTTTTTTGTCGCCATATCCTATGGATTTTCTATCACAAAACAAACTTGTTAGGGCCAAGTCATGAGACATTTGAAAAAATACAAAAAATGAAACAATTTTTATGAGATTCCCTTGTCAGATCTATTATACCACAACTTTTCATGATCAATGTATTTGAAAATTTCTAGATTTTCGAATTTCAATAATAAATCTAATTAATCTCATAACTATATATCACAAAAATTTCTTATTTTTCAAACTTTCATCAACTCAAAATTGTATACAAACATTTTTTTGCATCAAATACATGTTTAATCAGATACGTATGTATGTCCTTGACGGTCAGACTGGTTGAAGCTTTACACACATCCTAGTGCCCTTCATTTCCTAGAGAGTTTTCTTTTGGCCGTCCATGTGAGATAATAATATTTTATACATATTTATCGAACGAAAAAAATGAATCGGATATTATTATGCAATATGTAATACATAAGAAAAAAAAGAAAGCATAGAAAAAACCGGTCATGATGTAATCTTTTTGTATTTTCACTTTTCTATCTCTGAAAATCTTTTTTCAGATGTGTACAGATGTTGACAATATTATGAATAGAAAGTGTGACAATTTGGATCTAAAAATTATGAATATATGTATGAAATTAATTGATATTTGGAAGATAGATCTCGAATCTTTAAAAATCCATTATTTTCTGAAGAACAATATAATGATTCAGTAATAGAAAATACTCATTTGATTAATTCCACATTCAAGAAGATCAGTTGACTTGATTAAAACGTTCGATTCATGGAATTTTCCATAACGATGGATGAGAAAGTTGATATTATATGGGAAAGTACCGTTGTAACTTCAGAGAGAGTTTTCACAAAAATGTCTGGAACTCAAGAAAAAAGTTCGAATCCTGATGAGTTCACAAATAATATAATATGTTCTCAGTTATAATAATGTGGTCCAAAATATTGGAACTTTTTTTCTGAGTCATCCCAATTTCACTAATCATGAGAGGCTTTTTAATTCAAGATCAGTTTTATCTATAATTCCACCCTCCGTTCAAGGAAAGCCCTCTTTATCAGTCTATTCTCACCAAATTCGAATTTCTTTTCTTTTAATCGCGATACAAAATCAACAAAAATAATTGCGAAAATTCAAATCCCACTAGCCTCCTCTCTAATTAGCACCAACCACCACCTATTGTCTATTGTGTTTTATTTTTTCGTTTGGTGCTAACCAATCCCGCTCTTTTTATACCACACAAACTGACTCACAGTACTTATATACACATATGTATGTATGTTCCTTGAGCAAATAGACCGTGTTAATTTGCATACAAGAAAAAGGAAGACCTGGAGGATAGAAAAGAAGGGGAGAATCAAATAATATAATATAATAAAAGTTGACATAAGACGATTGACACGAAGACTTAATTTTTTTCGTTGGGTTTATTTCATGAATCGATAGAAATATAGTCATTTTGTGAGAAAAAACAAAACATCCATACTGTTTGCTCTTCGATCTACGAACGTCAACATGAACATTTTTTGTGCCAATAATTTCATTTCATCAATTTTGACATTGTAAAATCATCTCATCTTTTCTTGATACAGTGAACTTTGTGAGATTGAACCAAGGATATAAATCTCAGGGTACCCTTTTAAATACCCGGGGTTCCCGTAATACATTTCCGAGAAATATTTTAGGGGGTTGTTTAGTGTTTTCAGATTTTTTTTCGAGTGTTCTGCACATTGTGGTAGAGAACTCTGAACTATATCTTCGGTTTCTCTTTGTTTCTAAATTATTACCAGAAAAGAGGTGGAGCTTGGCACAATGCCAATTGTGCAATGTCCCCCCCCCCGTTGTGTCTCTCATTTTGATTAGGTGAGCGAGAAAAGAATAGTACCTTTACATTTTCTCATTTTTTGTCACCTGTTGATTTTTTGAGAATATATTTTGTCTAACTCTTTATTTTACAGTTGATGTAGAAAATAGTATTCTGTAGTTTTTCTAACAAGTTTTTTCTTCGTTAGAAGTTGTAAGTTAGAGAAAATATTACTACATTTTATCACTGAATAATAATTTTATGTTTTTGTTCTAATTTAAAATTATTAGTGTTTCTCTTTTCTGTTTTACCACTGAAGAAGTCGAATAAATCTCATCAAATTTACAATAATTCTTTATTTATTCACTAGACAATCCCCATATTCCCTCTTTATCTCATTTCCTTCATCTTCACATACACCAATTCGCCCTTCTTTCCCCACCCATTATAACTTCTCCCGCTCGACATACTCTCTCTTTTCCCCACACTCTCTCGCCTATTTTTCCCCACGCCGCGTCCTTCCCACCATCCACCACTGTACACACCATTGACCCCGCCCATCTAATTTTTGGCAGCGAGCCAAATGTTATTCGTCTGCGTCTCTTCTATATCAATTGATGTCTATTCCATTGCCTGCTGCTGGATGGCTACAGCATACCACTAATAGTACACATACACGCTAGTGACCTCTTTTCTTTCTTCTTTTTCTTGTTCCTTCGTTCGTTTTTTGAACTTTTTGATTCATTTGTCTTCTAATTGTTATGTTTGTTCCAGATGGCATCAAGATCTAAATCGAGAAGTCGCGCTTCTGCGTCAAAGAAAAGTAAAAGCCCTGCCAAAAAGACACCAGCAAAGAAAAGAGCTCCATCTAAATCACCAGCTCGTACAAAAACTCCTGCTTCTGCTCCAGCTTCAAGAGGAAGAAGTCGTTCAGTTTCCCGAAAACCAACAAAAGAGGAAACTAAAGCTGTAAGTCTTAATTTATTTGCAAATTAGGAACTCAACTATTTTGCTTATTTATTGTTAATTTGAGCGTAAATATGCTCTCACCAGATGGCCTTCTTCTCTTTATTTTTTGACACCATTTGACAGATAGATCATCGTGTTTTTCTCGAAGCGAGAAAAGTTGACCAAAATGATAAATTGAGAAAAAAGACCTTGAAGTTGTCAACCTATTTTTCAATTTTCTAGACACCGAAACGTGCCCCATCGAAGACAAGAGTCGCTTCAAGATCGAGTTCGCGATCACGTGCATCAGTGAAGACTCCAGTTGTTAAAGAGCCTGTTGCTAAATTGATCAAAAAGACTCCAGCACAAGCAACACCATCAGCTTCTGTAGGACGACCAATCAATTCAGGTCGAGCGAGAACTTTTGAACGAGCAGATGATTCAGTTGCAAGAACATTGAGAAGTTTAACACAATCCAGAGAACGACCACAATCAGCAACACCAGCGGTAAGAAATTAAAAAAAAGTAGGTAAAATTATTCAATCTTATTTTTTAAGGTTACTACTCAATGTTGTGCAAATATCCGTGGATTGCCCGCCTCAATTTGCCGCCATGTATGTGCATTCTCTTCAAATGTCCAAACTAGAGCGAAAAACACAAATAAATATCTTAAACGACGTTTCGGTGTATGGTATGGAGAAACTATTGCTCTATTTATTGTAATTGGACTCCTGGCCGTGGCTGTCAATCAAATTATTCAAAATGATCCCGCAAAACTTCGAATTTTTATCACAAATAATATCAATAAAGCAATCACAAAAACAGCAAACGCATTCAACCAAGTCAAAGATGCTATTCAATCGAAACCCAATTAATTCTTTATTCAAAATTACCTTGCTGGTTCAAGCTTCTCTCATTGATACCTCTATCTTTCCCTTCTCATCTTTCTTTATGTGTAAATTTTGCAGATTTCGCTCAAAGAGCAATATCTAATTCTGAGTGTGCCACCGATTCTAACTGTAGCATTTAAAACCCCCAGTGAACTCCTATTTATATTTTTCTTTAACATAACTTATCGTTAAAAATGGCCAGTTCTAATCCACACTCACCCCATTCACACGAATAATTTACTTTCGTTTTATATGTACCAAGATCGTAATTCCAAATTGTTTATAATATATTTTCGTTTAATTCTAATAATAATAATGATACTGAATAAATGATTATGAATACAAAATGAGCGATAACATTGTTTATTTTGAAAATGTGAAATGAGATTTCAGATATCGACGACAAACGGTTACAAAATGTTCAATGTTTCTTTGGATCATAAATACTAATAATAATTTTACAGCACATCATTCACATCGAGTATCTAAAAACCATGTTTCAATTTTTTACTCCAAATATGTGAAAACTCAAAACTCCCAATAAATTCGAAAAACTCACATTTTAAAGGATAATTTTATAAATCAATCGCATTGGTTTTTGGATAAATCATCTGAGCCGAAAATGGGGTCAATGCTCGAACTCTTCCCGTCATAATTTCCATGATCAATCCATTATTCATACATTCTTGTAGTTCTTCCAGATGGACATAAGCTCTTCTTGCTGCCTGAACAATTGCATCATCTGATCGACCATCGGCAAACACAATCAAGTCGTAACGATCCAGACATTTTTTATCGATGAGTATTTCGCTCAATAGATTTGTGAGATGAGAACAGAACGATTTTACACGACTGAAAAAATTGAAATTCAATTAGTTTGAAAACCTGGAAGGCGCTTCACAAACAAGCGCGAGCTAGAAAAATATTTTTAGAAAAAATGCGCGTCAAATAAAATGTCATGTGTGCAACATGCTACCGTATAATAAGGCAAAATCACATTTTTTCGAGTTTCCGCCCGTTTTCGTCATGATACTCGTTTTTCCAAGGCTGCCTAAAGTGAGCAGATTTAGAGAAAATAGATCAGATCTGAAAATCCATGTTTTTTGATTTCGCTTTTGGTAGTATACTTTCTTTCGAAAAAATATTTGCTGCACACAATGAAAGTTCAAAAATGTATTCTCAAAAATCAGACTTATTTTTTAAATTAATAAATCCTAGGCCCGCAAAATTAAATTATGTAGATCACGCGGGATATCAATATCTTTTTGTCTCTCATATTGTCTGACAATTCTCTGAACATTTTCCCACTGCGAGACTTTTTTGGCGATAATTACTCAGGAAATATCGCTTATTTCGCGAGTTCTGTGCGCCGCGTGAATGCTAAAAGCCCCTAAACGCGGCGTAACACGCTTTCGATTTCCTGAGTACTAGATCCGCGAAACAATATTCCGATACTATTTTTTTCAGTATCGAAATTTTTATATTTGATTTTCGTAAATTTTTCATGATGTTTTATTGCTCAATGTATTAAAATAGAACTTATTTTTTCAGAAAACCTCCAAAGTTGCCAACAAAGCTGTTTGATATCAAGACTGACGAATAAACCCAGGTATGTATTTTTGTGATTATAATTTCCTAAAATTTACCCAAACCTACCTCCTCGGAATTTTGCCATACATGAAAGAGGATAAGAATCTAACAGTTTCCTCTATTTCGGTAAACATCTCAATTCGGGAAATGAATTATATTGTATTCGAATTGAATGTTTTTTTTTGATATAAATGTGTCAAAAATTTAGAACACGTTGAAAAATTGAAAAAAAAAGAAAAATTTATTTTGAAATGAATTCTATCAATTTTTGATGGGGGACAATTCCATTCACTTGAACTTTTGACAGAAGAAAATCAATTTCTTGTTTTGATAAACGCTCACCAACCGAAGAAAGGATTGCGCGAAGTTCGTTACTCGTCATTGATTTTGAACCTTTTCTAGAAAAAAACCAAATAGAAAATTTGAATATGATAACCAACTATTCTCACCTATCGAATCCTTTCAAAGCTTTGATTATATCTGTCAATGGATCCGAGCTATTCTGCTCTTCTTTTGCAATTTCTAAAAATGTAGAAAAAACAATAGGTTTTTTCGCATATTTTTCAAAATATTCTATGGTTTTTTGAGCCGTTGGGGCATATCCCAAACTTCGTAAAATGCAACGCATTTGTGCAGCTGATGTTAGTTTTTCATCTGTGCAGTATAAATTGAAACATTCTCGGATTTCTGAAAATGGCGAAAAATATTAGTTTTTTGAAATCTTCGTTTGTGTTTCTTTTATTTTTTCCTTGAAACAGTCTTTTGGACATTGTTAAAAAACTCAGAAAAAGGTTTCTATTCATACCACGCCCAGGGTGAGGCATATGCACGGCGCCAATAAAAATTTACGGGAATTCACCTTGCCAATTTGAGATTTTCTTGAAAAACAGCAAATTTCTGCTTGTTTTCCCGTTAAAAGTGATATTTTTCAGTCGAAAAGGTTGTTTTCACCTCGCCAAAAAATTAAAAACTCACACCGCCAATTTTCAAAGTTAAGCACGAAGCTGGGCGTGATATGTTTCTATTTTATGTAGGTACATTTATTTCAAATATTTCTCAAAACTTACTGTCAATTTGTGATTGTGAAAAAAATTCGGCCATGATTTTTATAATAAATCGATAAGAAACACCGTAAAATCAGAAATTATGTCAATAATAACAATCACACAAAAATGCGTTGAACAAATAAATATGGTCGAAAAAATACAATAATTTTTGAATCAAATCGATAAACTAGGCCAAAATAGTTTCGGAGAAAGCGCAATATCAAAACAACTTATCTTTTTTGGGAGACAAAAGAGAAAGTAATCAATTGGGAAATAATCGACACTATTCAAAAATAAACAGTGTTCATTGAAAAATTGGAAGAAAAAAAGCACATTTGAATTTTTAAACGTGACATTTTTTAATTATGAATTGGCATTAAAAAAAACTAATATTTATAAAACACTAACATTATTATGCTTATTGTAACTATTATGCTTATTGTAACTTAAGTTAAAAGAGAGAAAACGATGCATGATTCTTGCAAAAAACACGCATTGCTGCGGCAAAGTATCAGAAGGCCTGACACTTCCCTTCCGCAAAACTTCGAAACTCTTGCGCAAATGCTGCAAGAAGTGAAAAAATGTCGGACTTTTTATGTACTTTTTTGAAAAAAAATTCGTTAAGGTTAGACTTTTCAAATTTATTTTCTCCATCAATTTCCTATTATAAAAGAAATATTCGATGCAGAGTTTTAATAACAAACTGCAAGTTTTGAATTTGAGGAAAAATTCTGAACGAGGTCATGAATCCGGGTGTCCGACATATCGTCGGTTACACACTGCTCCATATCTCTCATTACTCTGACTCCTCTCACTCTTCTCTGAAAAAATTCAGTGCTGCAAGTGTTCCGCGAGCCTGCTGAATAAGTGGCAAGAAATCAGCAGCAGTTCAGCAGTCCCTGCTCGCAAATTCCGAAACTCCTGCACTGTTGTTTTCTCTGAATTCTTGAAAAAATAAACCACAATATTTCGAGAAACATTTCCACTAATTCACATGTAGAGAGCTCAGAAAAGCAACAGTCAATGGTTGTCCGAAAGTTATCTAACATGTAATTTTCTCCAGTGGTTCTCCGCCTTATTTTCTATGTTCAATCCGAACCTTTTAGAGCCGTGGAAGAGAGAATCAAAATACACCTGACTTTATCGTTAGATAGCTGCCAACATGGCTCATCTCTGTATTCTTCACAGTGTTCTTCATTTTCATTATAAACTTTTTTCTATGAAAAAAAATTCAGGGATTTTTTTTGTCAAAATGAGTCTCTGACTTTGAGAAATACTCACATAAGAAATATAACAGTTGGGAACCCTGAGATTCTCTCCAAATATTGCCACAAAAATAGAAAATTGATTGAATTTTTTAATTGACTTTCACAACGACACTCCGCTTGCCCGCTGTTTAGCGCAATGCGAGAATATTTTCATTTTTCGTTTTTTTTCGCTGGGTTTTCCGGTTTCCGGGGAAAATCAACGGATTTCAGTCAAAAATTGCATTTTTAGATCTTCTACAAGGCTGGAGTTATGGCTTCCAACGAAAAATCCGAGGATTATCGAAGAAATGTGGGTTTTTTCTAGACAAAAACTGTTTTGATTGAAATTTTTGAGTTTTCAGGGTCAAAAATGATTTTAATGTTTTGATAACGTGGAAAACTTGGCAATAACGTGGAAAATTTGGAGGATTTCGAATTTTAATTGGGATTTTCGAATTTTCGATGATTTTTGTAGGATTTGATGAATAGAAGCGATTGGTGAGTTTTTTGGGGAGGGATTTCGGAAAAATTGAAAGAAATCGATAAAAATTCTGTAAAATTTGAAAAATATATGAAAATTATGAAAAAATCTTTGAAAATTGAAAAAAGTTAGGCTAACTCATCAAAATCCAGGCCAAAAAATCTAGTTTTCAATGAAATGTTTTCAAAATTGCACGGAAAACGCGAAAAAAAACTTAATTTTCAATGTCCGATCTTAAAATCTCACAATCCGATTATTGTTTGTTTATAGGAAAAACAAAAATGACAGAAATTATTTGTGATTTTTTCCTACCATAGTTTGGGATTTTTTGGAGGGCTCACCGCAGACTTGACAATCATAATTTTAGAAAATAGTCACTTATTACAATGTTCGAAAGTAATAGGCTTTCATTATATTAATTATCCGAATTTGGGATGTGGGTGGTTATTTTATATGTGTGGATGTGTTAGCTCACGATCAGGCTGCGAGACGGCTCAACTAATGTAAGACTGTTTGGGGTCTGCTCTGCGTTTGTTTGCTAAAATTATCCAATTTTTCTAACAAAATTGAAGAAAGCAGAAGTATTATCTTCAACAATTTAATTTTATTTGATATTTATTTCGCGAAAATTATTGATAAGAAAGACATTGCAAAAACAGATATAATAACATGTATTAATTAAAGCATTGTGCAAATGTTTCGAACTCGTTGTCTAGCGCGCCTCATAGGACGACGCTGTCGATTAATTTCATCGTTTTCTGCCACAAGTTGGATTTGGTCTAGTTCTCTGAAAAAAACACATATTGGTTTGTCTCCATAAGATAACGTGCTTACCGCTGTCTCGCACGAACTGTTGCTCTACGACATTCAATTGCCCCATCTTCGATCATTGGCAAGTCGTTATTATTTGGGTTGTATCTAGAAAAACGATATTTTTTGTTGTTTTTTTTTAAAGTTTGTTGTTCTTTTTTCAATCAAAAATTCCGAACCTCAAATATTCGTTTCCACGATCATCAGCTTCAACTCTTCCCATGATAAATGGAGTTCCCACAGTGAAAACTTCATTTCGGTTTCTTTCCAGCTCGTAGTTAGTGATCAATTCTGTTCTATCGTACGATGCTACTTCACGCACATCTCCATATCGTCTTCCAAGCCCATTTCCGTTTTGGCTCTGTAATTTCATTTTCTCTTTCAATTGTCAGAGTATTCTAGAATTAAGAGCGGTACAAAAAACTAACCGAATTCGAATTCTGCAATCTCGGGGTATAAAGACTCTCAGTTGGTGGATAAATCGGATGGTGTACATTCAATAGTGGATCATCGAATGTTGTCCATCTGCATGTGCTTCCACTTTGAACATTTTGAGCTGCAGAAGTTGGAAAAGAATGTGCCATACGACAACCATTTTGTGGTCCTTTTTCTCGCGGAATCGGAGTGAAATTAGTGGAACTAGTCACAGTGACTCGTTTTATGTAGCTGACTTCAGTTGTCTCTCTAACAGTTGTCCAAGTATGTGGTGAAAGTCGACGTTGTGGAGATGAGCTGTTTTGATGAGAATTTATGAGATTCTCAACAGATAGAAGTTGAGGTGGTTCTTCAATATCAAGAGGAGGAAGTGGGCTTCTTGCACTAATAGATACAGAAAAACCAATTTGTTCATCGGCAGGTTTTTCTTTGATATTAAAGGAGACGTCAAATTTAGGAGATTCCTTTTTGATATGTTTTTGTCGAGTTTCGACAGAATATAGATTTCTTTGAGAATATGATTCACTGATTGTATCGTTGAAAGGTTCAGCTCGGAATTGTGCAGATGTTGAATCGCTTTTGTTGGTTTTTAACGATAACAAATTCTGTGAATTTGGAGAAATTGCTTGTGCAACATATGCATATTCTGGTTCCGTTTTCAAAACTCTCACCGAATCGGCTGCATTCGAATATTCAACATTTTCATACGAAACTTTTTGAGTTTTTGATTCTGATGTGTCTTCACTGTTTCCTTTGACAACATCCTTATATTTCAAGATTGACATTGAGTGATCATCTGAACTGTGTGGCAGTTTGCCATGATATGTTGATTTTAATCTTGGTTCATCTTCCATTTCTGTTTGTTTTTCAGTTGAAATTTTAACAAATCGTTTCGTCAATTTTTCATATTCAAATTCAGTTGGATAATTTGAAATTTGGTGAGCCAGTGGGATATCTTCAATATTCGAAGCTTTTGTGGTGTTTTCGAGTGGGCCGTCATAAGTTTCCGAGATGGGATAATCCAAATGTGATGGCGACTTTTTGAAGAGGCCAGTAATTTTAGATTTCAAGCTTGGCTCCTCTTTCTTTTCTTCTTCTGGTTGAATCGAAATTGTTTGTTCTGGCAATTTTTCATACTCAAATTCAGTTGGATAATTTGAAATTTGGTGAGCCAGTGGGATATCTTCAATATTCGAAGCTTTTGTGGTATTTTCGAGTGGGCCGTCATAAGTTTCCGAGATTGGATAATCCAAATGTGATGGCGACTTTTTGAACAATCCAGTAATTTTAGATTTCAAGCTTGGTTCATCTCTCTTTTCTTCTTCTGGTTGAATCGAAATTGTTTGCTCTGGCAATTTTTCATACTCAAATTCAGTTGGATAATTTGAAATTTGATGAGCCAGTGGGATATCTTCAATATTCGAAGCTTTTGTGGTATTTTCGAGTGGGCCGTCATAAGTTTCCGAGATTGGATAATCCAAATGTGATGGCGACTTTTTGAAGAGGCCAGTAATTTTAGATTTCAAGCTTGGTTCATCTCTCTTTTCTTCTTCTGGTTGAATCGAAATTGTTTGCTCTGGCAATTTTTCATACACAAATTCAGTTGGATAATTTGAAATTTGGTGAGCCAGTGGGATATCTTCAATATTCGAAGCTTTTGTGGTATTTTCGAGTGGGCCGTCATAAGTTTCCGAGATTGGATAATCCAAATGTGATGGCGACTTTTTGAAGAGGCCAGTAATTTTAGATTTCAAGCTTGGTTCATCTCTCTTTTCTTCTTCTGGTTGAATCGAAATTGTTTGCTCTGGCAATTTTTCATACTCAAATTCAGTTGGATAATTTGAAATTTGGTGAGCCAGTGGGATATCTTCAATATTCGAAGCTTTTGTGGTATTTTCGAGTGGGCCGTCATAAGTTTCCGAGATTGGATAATCGAGGTGTGATGGCGACTTTTTAAACAAACCAGTAATTTTAGATTTCAAGCTTGGTTCATCTCTCTTTTCTTCTTCTTGTTGAATCGATATTGTTTGTTCTGGCAATTTTTCATACTCAAATTCAGTTGGATAATTTGAAATTTGGTGAGCCAGTGGGATATCTTCAATATTCGAAGCTTTTGTGGTATTTTCGAGTGGGCCGTCATAAGTTTCCGAGATTGGATAATCCAAATGTGATGGCGACTTTTTGAAGAGGCCAGTAATTTTAGATTTCAAGCTTGGCTCCTCTTTCTTCTCTTCTTCTAGTTGAATCGAAATTGTTTGCTCTGGCAATTTTTCATACTCAAATTCAGTTGGATAATTTGAAATTTGGTGAGCCAGTGGGATATCTTCAATATTCGAAGCTTTTGTGGTATTTTCGAGTGGGCCGTCATAAGTTTCCGAGATTGGATAATCCAAATGTGATGGCGACTTTTTGAAGAGGCCAGTAATTTTAGATTTCAAGCTTGGTTCATCTCTCTTTTCTTCTTCTTGTTGAATCGAAATTGTTTGCTCTGGCAATTTTTCATACTCAAATTCAGTTGGATAATTTGAAATTTGGTGAGCCAGTGGGATATCTTCAATATTCGAAGCTTTTGTGGTATTTTCGAGTGGGCCGTCATAAGTTTCCGAGATTGGATAATCCAAATGTGATGGCGACTTTTTGAAGAGGCCAGTAATTTTAGATTTCAAGCTTGGCTCCTCTTTCTTTTCTTCTTCTTGTTGAATCGAAATTGTTTGTTCTGGCAATTTTTCATACTCAAATTCAGTTGGATAATTTGAAATTTGGTGAGCCAATGGGATATCTTCAATATTCGAAGCTTTTGTGGTATTTTCGAGTGGGCCGTCATAAGTTTCCGAGATTGGATAATCCAAATGTGATGGCGACTTTTTAAACAACCCAGTAATTTTAGATTTCAAGCTTGGCTCCTCTTTCTTTTCTTCTTCTGGTTGAATCGAAATTGTTTGTTCTGGCAATTTTTCATACTCAAATTCAGTTGGATAATTTGAAATTTGGTGAGCCAGTGGGATATCTTCAATATTCGAAGCTTTTGTGGTATTTTCGAGTGGGCCGTCATAAGTTTCCGAGATTGGATAATCCAAATGTGATGGCGACTTTTTGAAGAGGCCAGTAATTTTAGATTTCAAGCTTGGTTCATCTCTCTTTTCTTCTTCTTGTTGAATCGAAATTGTTTGCTCTGGCAATTTTTCATACTCAAATTCAGTTGGATAATTTGAAATTTGGTGAGCCAGTGGGATATCTTCAATATTCGAAGCTTTTGTGGTATTTTCGAGTGGGCCGTCATAAGTTTCCGAGATTGGATAATCCAAATGTGATGGCGACTTTTTGAAGAGGCCAGTAATTTTAGATTTCAAGCTTGGTTCATCTCTCTTTTCTTCTTCTTGTTGAATCGAAATTGTTTGCTCTGGCAATTTTTCATACTCAAATTCAGTTGGATAATTTGAAATTTGGTGAGCCAGTGGGATATCTTCAATATTCGAAGCTTTTGTGGTATTTTCGAGTGGGCCGTCATAAGTTTCCGAGATTGGATAATCCAAATGTGATGGCGACTTTTTGAAGAGGCCAGTAATTTTAGATTTCAAGCTTGGCTCTTCTTTCTTTTCTTCTTCTGGTTGAATCGAAATTGTTTGTTCTGGCAATTTTTCATACTCAAATTCAGTTGGATAATTTGAAATTTGGTGAGCCAGTGGGATATCTTCAATATTCGAAGCTTTTGTGGTATTTTCGAGTGGGCCGTCATAAGTTTCCGAGATTGGATAATCCAAATGTGATGGCGACTTTTTGAAGAGGCCAGTAATTTTAGATTTCAAGCTTGGTTCATCTCTCTTTTCTTCTTCTTGTTGAATCGAAATTGTTTGCTCTGGCAATTTTTCATACTCAAATTCAGTTGGATAATTTGAAATTTGGTGAGCCAGTGGGATATCTTCAATATTCGAAGCTTTTGTGGTATTTTCGAGTGGGCCGTCATAAGTTTCCGAGATTGGATAATCCAAATGTGATGGCGACTTTTTGAAGAGGCCAGTAATTTTAGATTTCAAGCTTGGTTCATCTCTCTTTTCTTCTTCTTGTTGAATCGAAATTGTTTGCTCTGGCAATTTTTCATACTCAAATTCAGTTGGATAATTTGAAATTTGGTGAGCCAGTGGGATATCTTCAATATTCGAAGCTTTTGTGGTATTTTCGAGTGGGCCGTCATAAGTTTCCGAGATTGGATAATCCAAATGTGATGGCGACTTTTTGAAGAGGCCAGTAATTTTAGATTTCAAGCTTGGTTCATCTCTCTTTTCTTCTTCTTGTTGAATCGAAATTGTTTGCTCTGGCAATTTTTCATACTCAAATTCAGTTGGATAATTTGAAATTTGGTGAGCCAGTGGGATATCTTCAATATTCGAAGCTTTTGTGGTATTTTCGAGTGGGCCGTCATAAGTTTCCGAGATTGGATAATCCAAATGTGATGGCGACTTTTTGAAGAGGCCAGTAATTTTAGATTTCAAGCTTGGCTCCTCTTTCTTTTCTTCTTCTGGTTGAATCGAAATTGTTTGTTCTGGCAATTTTTCATACTCAAATTCAGTTGGATAATTTGAAATTTGGTGAGCCAGTGGGATATCTTCAATATTCGAAGCTTTTGTGGTATTTTCGAGTGGGCCGTCATAAGTTTCCGAGATTGGATAATCCAAATGTGATGGCGACTTTTTGAAGAGGCCAGTAATTTTAGATTTCAAGCTTGGTTCATCTCTCTTTTCTTCTTCTTGTTGAATCGAAATTGTTTGCTCTGGCAATTTTTCATACTCAAATTCAGTTGGATAATTTGAAATTTGGTGAGCCAGTGGGATATCTTCAATATTCGAAGCTTTTGTGGTATTTTCGAGTGGGCCGTCATAAGTTTCCGAGATGGGATAATCCAAATGTGATGGCGACTTTTTGAAGAGGCCAGTAATTTTAGATTTCAAGCTTGGTTCATCTCTCTTTTCTTCTTCTTCTTGAATCGATATTGTTTGTTCTGGCAATTTTTCATACTCAAATTCAGTTGGATAATTTGAAATTTGGTGAGCCAGTGGGATATCTTCAATATTCGAAGCTTTTGTGGTATTTTCGAGTGGGCCGTCATAAGTTTCCGAGATTGGATAATCCAAATGTGATGGCGACTTTTTGAAGAGGCCAGTAATTTTAGATTTCAAGCTTGGCTCCTCTTTCTTCTCTTCTTCTGGTTGAATCGAAATTGTTTGCTCTGGCAATTTTTCATACTCAAATTCAGTTGGATAATTTGAAATTTTGTGAGCCAGTGGGATATCTTCAATATTCGAAGCTTTTGTGGTATTTTCGAGTGGGCCGTCATAAGTTTCCGAGATGGGATAATCCAAATGTGATGGCGACTTTTTGAAGAGGCCAGTAATTTTAGATTTCAAGCTTGGTTCATCTCTCTTTTCTTCTTCTTGTTGAATCGATATTGTTTGTTCTGGCAATTTTTCATACTCAAATTCAGTTGGATAATTTGAAATTTGGTGAGCCAGTGGGATATCTTCAATATTCGAAGCTTTTGTGGTATTTTCGAGTGGGCCGTCATAAGTTTCCGAGATTGGATAATCCAAATGTGATGGCGACTTTTTGAAGAGGCCAGTAATTTTAGATTTCAAGCTTGGCTCCTCTTTCTTTTCTTCTTCTGGTTGAATCGAAATTGTTTGTTCTGGCAATTTTTCATACTCAAATTCAGTTGGATAATTTGAAATTTGGTGAGCCAGTGGGATATCTTCAATATTCGAAGCTTTTGTGGTATTTTCGAGTGGGCCGTCATAAGTTTCCGAGATTGGATAATCCAAATGTGATGGCGACTTTTTGAAGAGGCCAGTAATTTTAGATTTCAAGCTTGGTTCATCTCTCTTTTCTTCTTCTTGTTGAATCGAAATTGTTTGCTCTGGCAATTTTTCATACTCAAATTCAGTTGGATAATTTGAAATTTGGTGAGCCAGTGGGATATCTTCAATATTCGAAGCTTTTGTGGTATTTTCGAGTGGGCCGTCATAAGTTTCCGAGATTGGATAATCGAGGTGTGATGGCGACTTTTTGAAGAGGCCAGTAATTTTAGATTTCAAGCTTGGTTCATCTCTCTTTTCTTCTTCTTGTTGAATCGAAATTGTTTGCTCTGGCAATTTTTCATACTCAAATTCAGTTGGATAATTTGAAATTTGGTGAGCCAGTGGGATATCTTCAATATTCGAAGCTTTTGTGGTATTTTCGAGTGGGCCGTCATAAGTTTCCGAGATTGGATAATCGAGGTGTGATGGCGACTTTTTGAAGAGGCCAGTAATTTTAGATTTCAAGCTTGGTTCATCTCTCTTTTCTTCTTCTTGTTGAATCGATATTGTTTGTTCTGGCAATTTTTCATACTCAAATTCAGTTGGATAATTTGAAATTTGGTGAGCCAGTGGGATATCTTCAATATTCGAAGCTTTTGTGGTATTTTCGAGTGGGCCGTCATAAGTTTCCGAGATTGGATAATCCAAATGTGATGGCGACTTTTTGAAGAGGCCAGTAATTTTAGATTTCAAGCTTGGTTCATCTCTCTTTTCTTCTTCTTGTTGAATCGATATTGTTTGTTCTGGCAATTTTTCATACTCAAATTCAGTTGGATAATTTGAAATTTGGTGAGCCAGTGGGATATCTTCAATATTTGAAGCTTTTGTGGTATTTTCGAGTGGGCCGTCATAAGTTTCCGAGATTGGATAATCCAAATGTGATGGCGACTTTTTGAAGAGGCCAGTAATTTTAGATTTCAAGCTTGGCTCCTCTTTCTTTTCTTCTTCTTGTTGAATCGAAATTGTTTGCTCTGGCAATTTTTCATACTCAAATTCAGTTGGATAATTTGAAATTTGGTGAGCCAGTGGGATATCTTCAATATTCGAAGCTTTTGTGGTATTTTCGAGTGGGCCGTCATAAGTTTCCGAGATTGGATAATCCAAATGTGATGGCGACTTTTTGAAGAGGCCAGTAATTTTAGATTTCAAGCTTGGTTCATCTCTCTTTTCTTCTTCTGGTTGAATCGAAATTGTTTGCTCTGGCAATTTTTCATACACAAATTCAGTTGGATAATTTGAAATTTGGTGAGCCAGTGGGATATCTTCAATATTCGAAGCTTTTGTGGTATTTTCGAGTGGGCCGTCATAAGTTTCCGAGATTGGATAATCGAGGTGTGATGGCGACTTTTTGAAGAGGCCAGTAATTTTAAATTTCAAGCTTGGTTCATCTCTCTTTTCTTCTTCTGGTTGAATCGAAATTGTTTGCTCTGGCAATTTTTCATACTCAAATTCAGTTGGATAATTTGAAATTTGGTGAGCCAGTGGGATATCTTCAATATTCGAAGCTTTTGTGGTATTTTCGAGTGGGCCGTCATAAGTTTCCGAGATTGGATAATCGAGGTGTGATGGCGACTTTTTGAAGAGGCCAGTAATTTTAAATTTCAAGCTTGGTTCATCTCTCTTTTCTTCTTCTGGTTGAATCGAAATTGTTTGCTCTGGCAATTTTTCATACTCAAATTCAGTTGGATAATTTGAAATTTGGTGAGCCAGTGGGATATCTTCAATATTCGAAGCTTTTGTGGTATTTTCGAGTGGGCCGTCATAAGTTTCCGAGATGGGATAATCCAAATGTGATGGCGACTTTTTGAAGAGGCCAGTAATTTTAGATTTCAAGCTTGGCTCCTCTTTCTTTTCTTCTTCTGGTTGAATCGAAATTGTTTGCTCTGGCAATTTTTCATACTCAAATTCAGTTGGATAATTTGAAATTTGGTGAGCCAATGGGATATCTTCAATATTCGAAGCTTTTGTGGTATTTTCGAGTGGGCCGTCATAAGTTTCCGAGATTGGATAATCCAAATGTGATGGCGACTTTTTGAAGAGGCCAGTAATTTTAGATTTCAAGCTTGGTTCATCTCTCTTTTCTTCTTCTGGTTGAATCGAAATTGTTTGCTCTGGCAATTTTTCATACACAAATTCAGTTGGATAATTTGAAATTTGGTGAGCCAGTGGGATATCTTCAATATTCGAAGCTTTTGTGGTATTTTCGAGTGGGCCGTCATAAGTTTCCGAGATGGGATAATCCAAATGTGATGGCGACTTTTTGAAGAGGCCAGTAATTTTAGATTTCAAGCTTGGCTCCTCTTTCTTTTCTTCTTCTGGTTGAATCGAAATTGTTTGCTCTGGCAATTTTTCATACTCAAATTCAGTTGGATAATTTGAAATTTGGTGAGCCAATGGGATATCTTCAATATTCGAAGCTTTTGTGGTATTTTCGAGTGGGCCGTCATAAGTTTCCGAGATTGGATAATCCAAATGTGATGGCGACTTTTTGAAGAGGCCAGTAATTTTAGATTTCAAGCTTGGTTCATCTCTCTTTTCTTCTTCTGGTTGAATCGAAATTGTTTGCTCTGGCAATTTTTCATACACAAATTCAGTTGGATAATTTGAAATTTGGTGAGCCAGTGGGATATCTTCAATATTCGAAGCTTTTGTGGTATTTTCGAGTGGGCCGTCATAAGTTTCCGAGATTGGATAATCCAAATGTGATGGCGACTTTTTGAAGAGGCCAGTAATTTTAAATTTCAAGCTTGGTTCATCTCTCTTTTCTTCTTCTGGTTGAATCGAAATTGTTTGCTCTGGCAATTTTTCATACTCAAATTCAGTTGGATAATTTGAAATTTGGTGAGCCAGTGGGATATCTTCAATATTCGAAGCTTTTGTGGTATTTTCGAGTGGGCCGTCATAAGTTTCCGAGATTGGATAATCGAGGTGTGATGGCGACTTTTTGAAGAGGCCAGTAATTTTAAATTTCAAGCTTGGTTCATCTCTCTTTTCTTCTTCTGGTTGAATCGAAATTGTTTGCTCTGGCAATTTTTCATACTCAAATTCAGTTGGATAATTTGAAATTTGGTGAGCCAGTGGGATATCTTCAATATTCGAAGCTTTTGTGGTATTTTCGAGTGGGCCGTCATAAGTTTCCGAGATGGGATAATCCAAATGTGATGGCGACTTTTTGAAGAGGCCAGTAATTTTAGATTTCAAGCTTGGCTCCTCTTTCTTTTCTTCTTCTGGTTGAATCGAAATTGTTTGCTCTGGCAATTTTTCATACTCAAATTCAGTTGGATAATTTGAAATTTGGTGAGCCAATGGGATATCTTCAATATTCGAAGCTTTTGTGGTATTTTCGAGTGGGCCGTCATAAGTTTCCGAGATGGGATAATCCAAATGTGATGGCGACTTTTTGAAGAGGCCAGTAATTTTAGATTTCAAGCTTGGCTCCTCTTTCTTTTCTTCTTCTGGTTGAATCGAAATTGTTTGCTCTGGCAATTTTTCATACTCAAATTCAGTTGGATAATTTGAAATTTGGTGAGCCAATGGGATATCTTCAATATTCGAAGCTTTTGTGGTATTTTCGAGTGGGCCGTCATAAGTTTCCGAGATTGGATAATCCAAATGTGATGGCGACTTTTTGAAGAGGCCAGTAATTTTAGATTTCAAGCTTGGCTCCTCTTTCTTTTCTTCTTCTGGTTGAATCGAAATTGTTTGTTCTGGCAATTTTTCATACTCAAATTCAGTTGGATAATTTGAAATTTGGTGAGCCAGTGGGATATCTTCAATATTCGAAGCTTTTGTGGTATTTCCGAGTGGGCCGTCATAAGTTTCCGAGATTGGATAATCCAAATGTGATGGCGACTTTTTGAAGAGGCCAGTAATTTTAGATTTCAAGCTTGGCTCCTCTTTCTTTTCTTCTTCTGGTTGAATCGAAATTGTTTGCTCTGGCAATTTTTCATACTCAAATTCAGTTGGATAATTTGAAATTTGGTGAGCCAGTGGGATATCTTCAATATTCGAAGCTTTTGTGGTATTTTCGAGTGGGCCGTCATAAGTTTCCGAGATTGGATAATCCAAATGTGATGGCGACTTTTTGAAGAGGCCAGTAATTTTAGATTTCAAGCTTGGTTCATCTCTCTTTTCTTCTTCTTGTTGAATCGAAATTGTTTGCTCTGGCAATTTTTCATACTCAAATTCAGTTGGATAATTTGAAATTTGGTGAGCCAGTGGGATATCTTCAATATTCGAAGCTTTTGTGGTATTTTCGAGTGGGCCGTCATAAGTTTCCGAGATGGGATAATCCAAATGTGATGGCGACTTTTTAAACAACCCAGTAATTTTAGATTTCAAGCTTGGCTCCTCTTTCTTTTCTTCTTCTGGTTGAATCGAAATTGTTTGTTCTGGCAATTTTTCATACTCAAATTCAGTTGGATAATTTGAAATTTGGTGAGCCAGTGGGATATCTTCAATATTCGAAGCTTTTGTGGTATTTTCGAGTGGGCCGTCATAAGTTTCCGAGATTGGATAATCCAAATGTGATGGCGACTTTTTGAAGAGGCCAGTAATTTTAGATTTCAAGCTTGGTTCATCTCTCTTTTCATCTTCTTGTTGAATCGATATTGTTTGCTCTGGCAATTTTTCATACTCAAATTCAGTTGGATAATTTGAAATTTGATGAGCCAGTGGGATATCTTCAATATTCGAAGCTTTTGTGGTATTTTCGAGTGGGCCGTCATAAGTTTCCGAGATTGGATAATCCAAATGTGATGGCGACTTTTTGAAGAGGCCAGTAATTTTAGATTTCAAGCTTGGCTCCTCTTTCTTCTCTTCTTCTGGTTGAATCAAAATTGTTTGCTCTGGCAATTTTTCATACTCAAATTCAGTTGGATAATTTGAAATTTGATGAGCCAGTGGGATATCTTCAATATTCGAAGCTTTTGTGGTATTTTCGAGTGGGCCGTCATAAGTTTCCGAGATTGGATAATCCAAATGTGATGGCGACTTTTTGAAGAGGCCAGTAATTTTAGATTTCAAGCTTGGTTCATCTCTCTTTTCTTCTTCTGGTTGAATCGAAATTGTTTGCTCTGGCAATTTTTCATACTCAAATTCAGTTGGATAATTTGAAATTTGGTAAGCCAGTGGGATATCTTCAATATTCGAAGCTTTTGTGGTATTTTCGAGTGGGCCGTCATAAGTTTCCGAGATTGGATAATCCAAATGTGATGGCGACTTTTTGAAGAGGCCAGTAATTTTAGATTTCAAGCTTGGCTCCTCTTTCTTCTCTTCTTCTGGTTGAATCAAAATTGTTTGCTCTGGCAATTTTTCATACTCAAATTCAGTTGGATAATTTGAAATTTGATGAGCCAGTGGGATATCTTCAATATTCGAAGCTTTTGTGGTATTTTCGAGTGGGCCGTCATAAGTTTCCGAGATTGGATAATCCAAATGTGATGGCGACTTTTTAAACAACCCAGTAATTTTAGATTTCAAGCTTGGCTCCTCTTTCTTTTCTTCTTCTGGTTGAATCGAAATTGTTTGTTCTGGCAATTTTTCATTCTCAAATTCAGTAGGGTAGTTTGAAATTTGATGAGCCAGTGGGATATCTTCAATATTCGAAGCTTTTGTGGTATTTTCGAGTGGGCCGTCATAAGTTTCCGAGATTGGATAATCCAAATGTGATGGCGACTTTTTGAAGAGGCCAGTAATTTTAGATTTCAAGCTTGGTTCATCTCTCTTTTCTTCTTCTGGTTGAATCGAAATTGTTTGCTCTGGCAATTTTTCATACTCAAATTCAGTTGGATAATTTGAAATTTGGTAAGCCAGTGGGATATCTTCAATATTCGAAGCTTTTGTGGTATTTTCGAGTGGGCCGTCATAAGTTTCCGAGATTGGATAATCCAAATGTGATGGCGACTTTTTGAACAATCCAGTAATTTTAGATTTCAAGCTTGGTTCATCTCTCTTTTCTTCTTCTGGTTGAATCGAAATTGTTTGCTCTGGCAATTTTTCATACTCAAATTCAGTTGGATAATTTGAAATTTGGTGAGCCAGTGGGATATCTTCAATATTCGAAGCTTTTGTGGTATTTTCGAGTGGGCCGTCATAAGTTTCCGAGATTGGATAATCCAAATGTGATGGCGACTTTTTGAAGAGGCCAGTAATTTTAGATTTCAAGCTTGGTTCATCTTTCTTTTCTTCTTCTGGTTGAATCGAAATTGTTTGCTCTGGCAATTTTTCATACTCAAATTCAGTTGGATAATTTGAAATTTGGTGAGCCAATGGGATATCTTCAATATTCGAAGCTTTTGTGGTATTTTCGAGTGGGCCGTCATAAGTTTCCGAGATTGGATAATCCAAATGTGATGGCGACTTTTTAAACAACCCAGTAATTTTAGATTTCAAGCTTGGTTCATCTTTCTTTTCTTCTTCTGGTTGAATCGAAATTGTTTGCTCTGGCAATTTTTCATACTCAAATTCAGTTGGATAATTTGAAATTTGGTGAGCCAATGGGATATCTTCAATATTCGAAGCTTTTGTGGTATTTTCGAGTGGGCCGTCATGAGTTTCCGAGATTGGATAATCCAAATGTGATGGCGACTTTTTAAACAACCCAGTAATTTTAGATTTCAAGCTTGGTTCATCTTTCTTTTCTTCTTCTGGTTGAATCGAAATTGTTTGCTCTGGCAATTTTTCATACTCAAATTCAGTTGGATAATTTGAAATTTGGTGAGCCAGTGGGATATCTTCAATATTCGAAGCTTTTGTGGTATTTTCGAGTGGGCCGTCATAAGTTTCCGAGATTGGATAATCCAAATGTGATGGCGACTTTTTGAAGAGGCCAGTAATTTTAGATTTCAAGCTTGGTTCATCTTTCTTTTCTTCTTCTGGTTGAATCGAAATTGTTTGCTCTGGCAATTTTTCATATTCAAATTCAGTTGGATAATTTGAAATTTGGTGAGCCAATGGGATATCTTCAATATTCGAAGCTTTTGTGGTATTTTCGAGTGGGCCGTCATAAGTTTCCGAGATTGGATAATCCAAATGTGATGGCGACTTTTTAAACAACCCAGTAATTTTAGATTTCAAGCTTGGTTCATCTTTCTTTTCTTCTTCTGGTTGAATCGAAATTGTTTGCTCTGGCAATTTTTCATATTCAAATTCAGTTGGATAATTTGAAATTTGGTGAGCCAATGGGATATCTTCAATATTCGAAGCTTTTGTGGTATTTTCGAGTGGGCCGTCATAAGTTTCCGAGATTGGATAATCCAAATGTGATGGCGACTTTTTGAACAATCCAGTAATTTTAGATTTCAAGCTTGGCTCCTCTTTCTTTTCTTCTTCTTGTTGAATCGAAATTGTTTGCTCTGGCAATTTTTCATACTCAAATTCAGTTGGATAATTTGAAATTTGGTGAGCCAGTGGGATATCTTCAATATTCGAAGCTTTTGTGGTATTTTCGAGTGGGCCGTCATAAGTTTCCGAGATTGGATAATCCAAATGTGATGGCGACTTTTTGAAGAGGCCAGTAATTTTAGATTTCAAGCTTGGTTCATCTCTCTTTTCTTCTTCTTGTTGAATCGATATTGTTTGTTCTGGCAATTTTTCATACTCAAATTCAGTTGGAAAATTTGAAATTTGGTGAGCCAGTGGGATATCTTCAATATTCGAAGCTTTTGTGGTATTTTCGAGTGGGCCGTCATAAGTTTCCGAGATGGGATAATCCAAATGTGATGGCGACTTTTTGAACAATCCAGTAATTTTAGATTTCAAGCTTGGTTCATCTCTCTTTTCTTCTTCTGGTTGAATCGAAATTGTTTGCTCTGGCAATTTTTCATACTCAAATTCAGTTGGATAATTTGAAATTTGGTGAGCCAGTGGGATATCTTCAATATTCGAAGCTTTTGTGGTATTTTCGAGTGGGCCGTCATAAGTTTCCGAGATTGGATAATCGAGGTGTGATGGCGACTTTTTGAACAATCCAGTAATTTTAGATTTCAAGCTTGGCTCCTCTTTCTTTTCTTCTTCTTGTTGAATCGAAATTGTTTGCTCTGGCAATTTTTCATACTCAAATTCAGTTGGATAATTTGAAATTTGGTGAGCCAGTGGGATATCTTCAATATTCGAAGCTTTTGTGGTATTTTCGAGTGGGCCGTCATAAGTTTCCGAGATTGGATAATCCAAATGTGATGGCGACTTTTTGAAGAGGCCAGTAATTTTAGATTTCAAGCTTGGTTCATCTCTCTTTTCTTCTTCTTGTTGAATCGATATTGTTTGTTCTGGCAATTTTTCATACTCAAATTCAGTTGGAAAATTTGAAATTTGGTGAGCCAGTGGGATATCTTCAATATTCGAAGCTTTTGTGGTATTTTCGAGTGGGCCGTCATAAGTTTCCGAGATGGGATAATCCAAATGTGATGGCGACTTTTTGAACAATCCAGTAATTTTAGATTTCAAGCTTGGTTCATCTCTCTTTTCTTCTTCTGGTTGAATCGAAATTGTTTGCTCTGGCAATTTTTCATACTCAAATTCAGTTGGATAATTTGAAATTTGGTGAGCCAGTGGGATATCTTCAATATTCGAAGCTTTTGTGGTATTTTCGAGTGGGCCGTCATAAGTTTCCGAGATTGGATAATCCAAATGTGATGGCGACTTTTTGAAGAGGCCAGTAATTTTAGATTTCAAGCTTGGCTCCTCTTTCTTCTCTTCTTCTGGTTGAATCAAAATTGTTTGCTCTGGCAATTTTTCATACTCAAATTCAGTTGGGTAATTTGAAATTTGGTGAGCCAGTGGGATATCTTCAATATTCGAAGCTTTTGTGGTATTTTCGAGTGGGCCGTCATAAGTTTCCGAGATTGGATAATCCAAATGTGATGGCGACTTTTTAAACAACCCAGTAATTTTAGATTTCAAGCTTGGCTCCTCTTTCTTCTCTTCTTCTGGTTGAATCAAAATTGTTTGCTCTGGCAATTTTTCATACTCAAATTCAGTTGGATAATTTGAAATTTGATGAGCCAGTGGGATATCTTCAATATTCGAAGCTTTTGTGGTATTTTCGAGTGGGCCGTCATAAGTTTCCGAGATTGGATAATCCAAATGTGATGGCGACTTTTTAAACAACCCAGTAATTTTAGATTTCAAGCTTGGCTCCTCTTTCTTTTCTTCTTCTGGTTGAATCGAAATTGTTTGTTCTGGCAATTTTTCATACTCAAATTCAGTAGGGTAGTTTGAAATTTGATGAGCCAGTGGGATATCTTCAATATTCGAAGCTTTTGTGGTATTTTCGAGTGGGCCGTCATAAGTTTCCGAGATTGGATAATCCAAATGTGATGGCGACTTTTTGAAGAGGCCAGTAATTTTAGATTTCAAGCTTGGCTCCTCTTTCTTCTCTTCTTCTGGTTGAATCAAAATTGTTTGCTCTGGCAATTTTTCATACTCAAATTCAGTTGGGTAATTTGAAATTTGGTGAGCCAGTGGGATATCTTCAATATTCGAAGCTTTTGTGGTATTTTCGAGTGGGCCGTCATAAGTTTCCGAGATTGGATAATCCAAATGTGATGGCGACTTTTTGAAGAGGCCAGTAATTTTAGATTTCAAGCTTGGCTCCTCTTTCTTCTCTTCTTCTGGTTGAATCAAAATTGTTTGCTCTGGCAATTTTTCATACTCAAATTCAGTTGGATAATTTGAAATTTGATGAGCCAGTGGGATATCTTCAATATTCGAAGCTTTTGTGGTATTTTCGAGTGGGCCGTCATAAGTTTCCGAGATTGGATAATCCAAATGTGATGGCGACTTTTTAAACAACCCAGTAATTTTAGATTTCAAGCTTGGCTCCTCTTTCTTTTCTTCTTCTGGTTGAATCGAAATTGTTTGTTCTGGCAATTTTTCATACTCAAATTCAGTAGGGTAGTTTGAAATTTGATGAGCCAGTGGGATATCTTCAATATTCGAAGCTTTTGTGGTATTTTCGAGTGGGCCGTCATAAGTTTCCGAGATTGGATAATCCAAATGTGATGGCGACTTTTTGAAGAGGCCAGTAATTTTAGATTTCAAGCTTGGTTCATCTCTCTTTTCTTCTTCTGGTTGAATCGAAATTGTTTGCTCTGGCAATTTTTCATACTCAAATTCAGTTGGATAATTTGAAATTTGGTAAGCCAGTGGGATATCTTCAATATTCGAAGCTTTTGTGGTATTTTCGAGTGGGCCGTCATAAGTTTCCGAGATTGGATAATCCAAATGTGATGGCGACTTTTTGAACAATCCAGTAATTTTAGATTTCAAGCTTGGTTCATCTCTCTTTTCTTCTTCTGGTTGAATCGAAATTGTTTGCTCTGGCAATTTTTCATACTCAAATTCAGTTGGATAATTTGAAATTTGGTGAGCCAGTGGGATATCTTCAATATTCGAAGCTTTTGTGGTATTTTCGAGTGGGCCGTCATAAGTTTCCGAGATTGGATAATCCAAATGTGATGGCGACTTTTTGAAGAGGCCAGTAATTTTAGATTTCAAGCTTGGTTCATCTTTCTTTTCTTCTTCTGGTTGAATCGAAATTGTTTGCTCTGGCAATTTTTCATACTCAAATTCAGTTGGATAATTTGAAATTTGGTGAGCCAATGGGATATCTTCAATATTCGAAGCTTTTGTGGTATTTTCGAGTGGGCCGTCATAAGTTTCCGAGATTGGATAATCCAAATGTGATGACGACTTTTTGAAGAGGCCAGTAATTTTAGATTTCAAGCTTGGTTCATCTTTCTTTTCTTCTTCTGGTTGAATCGAAATTGTTTGCTCTGGCAATTTTTCATACTCAAATTCAGTTGGATAATTTGAAATTTGGTGAGCCAATGGGATATCTTCAATATTCGAAGCTTTTGTGGTATTTTCGAGTGGGCCGTCATAAGTTTCCGAGATTGGATAATCCAAATGTGATGGCGACTTTTTAAACAACCCAGTAATTTTAGATTTCAAGCTTGGTTCATCTTTCTTTTCTTCTTCTGGTTGAATCGAAATTGTTTGCTCTGGCAATTTTTCATACTCAAATTCAGTTGGATAATTTGAAATTTGGTGAGCCAATGGGATATCTTCAATATTCGAAGCTTTTGTGGTATTTTCGAGTGGGCCGTCATAAGTTTCCGAGATTGGATAATCCAAATGTGATGGCGACTTTTTAAACAACCCAGTAATTTTAGATTTCAAGCTTGGTTCATCTCTCTTTTCTTCTTCTTGTTGAATCGATATTGTTTGTTCTGGCAATTTTTCATACTCAAATTCAGTTGGATAATTTGAAATTTGGTGAGCCAATGGGATATCTTCAATATTCGAAGCTTTTGTGGTATTTTCGAGTGGGCCGTCATAAGTTTCCGAGATTGGATAATCCAAATGTGATGGCGACTTTTTGAACAATCCAGTAATTTTAGATTTCAAGCTTGGTTCATCTCTCTTTTCTTCTTCTGGTTGAATCGAAATTGTTTGCTCTGGCAATTTTTCATACACAAATTCAGTTGGATAATTTGAAATTTGGTGAGCCAGTGGGATATCTTCAATATTCGAAGCTTTTGTGGTATTTTCGAGTGGGCCGTCATAAGTTTCCGAGATTGGATAATCGAGGTGTGATGGCGACTTTTTGAAGAGGCCAGTAATTTTAAATTTCAAGCTTGGTTCATCTCTCTTTTCTTCTTCTGGTTGAATCGAAATTGTTTGCTCTGGCAATTTTTCATACTCAAATTCAGTTGGATAATTTGAAATTTGGTGAGCCAGTGGGATATCTTCAATATTCGAAGCTTTTGTGGTATTTCCGAGTGGGCCGTCATAAGTTTCCGAGATTGGATAATCCAAATGTGATGGCGACTTTTTGAAGAGGCCAGTAATTTTAAATTTCAAGCTTGGTTCATCTCTCTTTTCTTCTTCTGGTTGAATCGAAATTGTTTGCTCTGGCAATTTTTCATACTCAAATTCAGTTGGATAATTTGAAATTTGGTGAGCCAGTGGGATATCTTCAATATTCGAAGCTTTTGTGGTATTTTCGAGTGGGCCGTCATAAGTTTCCGAGATTGGATAATCCAAATGTGATGGCGACTTTTTGAACAATCCAGTAATTTTAGATTTCAAGCTTGGTTCATCTCTCTTTTCTTCTTCTTGTTGAATCGATATTGTTTGTTCTGGCAATTTTTCATACTCAAATTCAGTTGGATAATTTGAAATTTGATGAGCCAGTGGGATGTCTTCAATATTCGAAGCTTTTGTGGTATTTTCGAGTGGGCCGTCATAAGTTTCCGAGATGGGATAATCCAAATGTGATGGCGACTTTTTGAAGAGGCCAGTAATTTTAGATTTCAAGCTTGGTTCATCTCTCTTTTCTTCTTCTTGTTGAATCGAAATTGTTTGCTCTGGCAATTTTTCATACTCAAATTCAGTTGGATAATTTGAAATTTGGTGAGCCAGTGGGATATCTTCAATATTCGAAGCTTTTGTGGTATTTTCGAGTGGGCCGTCATAAGTTTCCGAGATTGGATAATCCAAATGTGATGGCGACTTTTTGAACAATCCAGTAATTTTAGATTTCAAGCTTGGTTCATCTCTCTTTTCTTCTTCTTGTTGAATCGATATTGTTTGTTCTGGCAATTTTTCATACTCAAATTCAGTTGGATAATTTGAAATTTGGTGAGCCAGTGGGATATCTTCAATATTCGAAGCTTTTGTGGTATTTTCGAGTGGGCCGTCATAAGTTTCCGAGATTGGATAATCCAAATGTGATGGCGACTTTTTGAACAATCCAGTAATTTTAGATTTCAAGCTTGGCTCCTCTCTCTTTTCTTCTTCTTGTTGAATCGATATTGTTTGCTCTGGCAATTTTTCATACTCAAATTCAGTTGGATAATTTGAAATTTGGTGAGCCAGTGGGATATCTTCAATATTCGAAGCTTTTGTGGTATTTTCGAGTGGGCCGTCATAAGTTTCCGAGATTGGATAATCCAAATGTGATGGCGACTTTTTGAAGAGGCCAGTAATTTTAGATTTCAAGCTTGGTTCATCTCTCTTTTCTTCTTCTTGTTGAATCGATATTGTTTGTTCTGGCAATTTTTCATACACAAATTCAGTTGGATAATTTGAAATTTGGTGAGCCAGTGGGATATCTTCAATATTCGAAGCTTTTGTGGTATTTTCGAGTGGGCCGTCATAAGTTTCCGAGATTGGATAATCGAGGTGTGATGGCGACTTTTTGAAGAGGCCAGTAATTTTAGATTTCAAGCTTGGTTCATCTCTCTTTTCTTCTTCTGGTTGAATCGAAATTGTTTGCTCTGGCAATTTTTCATACTCAAATTCAGTTGGATAATTTGAAATTTGGTGAGCCAGTGGGATGTCTTCAATATTCGAAGCTTTTGTGGTATTTTCGAGTGGGCCGTCATAAGTTTCCGAGATTGGATAATCCAAATGTGATGGCGACTTTTTGAATAATCCAGTAATTTTAGATTTCAAGCTTGGTTCATCTCTCTTTTTCTTCTTCTTGTTGAATCGATATTGTTTGTTCTGGCAATTTTTCATACTCAAATTCAGTTGGATAATTTGAAATTTGATGAGCCAATGGGATATCTTCAATATTCGAAGCTTTTGTGGTATTTTCGAGTGGGCCGTCATAAGTTTCCGAGATTGGATAATCCAAATGTGATGGCGACTTTTTGAACAATCCAGTAATTTTAGATTTCAAGCTTGGTTCATCTCTCTTTTCTTCTTCTTGTTGAATCGATATTGTTTGTTCTGGCAATTTTTCATACTCAAATTCAGTTGGATAATTTGAAATTTGGTGAGCCAGTGGGATGTCTTCAATATTCGAAGCTTTTGTGGTATTTTCGAGTGGGCCGTCATAAGTTTCCGAGATTGGATAATCCAAATGTGATGGCGACTTTTTGAAGAGGCCAGTAATTTTAGATTTCAAGCTTGGCTCCTCTTTCTTTTCTTCTTCTGGTTGAATCGAAATTGTTTGCTCTGGCAATTTTTCATACTCAAATTCAGTTGGATAATTTGAAATTTGGTGAGCCAGTGGGATGTCTTCAATATTCGAAGCTTTTGTGGTATTTTCGAGTGGGCCGTCATAAGTTTCCGAGATTGGATAATCCAAATGTGATGGCGACTTTTTGAAGAGGCCAGTAATTTTAGATTTCAAGCTTGGCTCCTCTTTCTTTTCTTCTTCTGGTTGAATCGAAATTGTTTGCTCTGGCAATTTTTCATACTCAAATTCAGTTGGATAATTTGAAATTTGGTGAGCCAGTGGGATGTCTTCAATATTCGAAGCTTTTGTGGTATTTTCGAGTGGGCCGTCATAAGTTTCCGAGATTGGATAATCCAAATGTGATGGCGACTTTTTGAACAATCCAGTAATTTTAGATTTCAAGCTTGGTTCATCTCTCTTTTCTTCTTCTGGTTGAATCGAAATTGTTTGCTCTGGCAATTTTTCATACTCAAATTCAGTTGGATAATTTGAAATTTGGTGAGCCAGTGGGATATCTTCAATATTCGAAGCTTTTGTGGTATTTTCGAGTGGGCCGTCATAAGTTTCCGAGATTGGATAATCCAAATGTGATGGCGACTTTTTGAACAATCCAGTAATTTTAGATTTCAAGCTTGGTTCATCTCTCTTTTCTTCTTCTGGTTGAATCGAAATTGTTTGCTCTGGCAATTTTTCATACTCAAATTCAGTTGGATAATTTGAAATTTGATGAGCCAGTGGGATATCTTCAATATTCGAAGCTTTTGTGGTATTTTCGAGTGGGCCGTCATAAGTTTCCGAGATTGGATAATCCAAATGTGATGGCGACTTTTTGAAGAGGCCAGTAATTTTAGATTTCAAGCTTGGTTCATCTCTCTTTTCTTCTTCTTGTTGAATCGATATTGTTTGTTCTGGCAATTTTTCATACTCAAATTCAGTTGGATAATTTGAAATTTGGTGAGCCAGTGGGATATCTTCAATATTCGAAGCTTTTGTGGTATTTTCGAGTGGGCCGTCATAAGTTTCCGAGATGGGATAATCCAAATGTGATGGCGACTTTTTGAAGAGGCCAGTAATTTTAGATTTCAAGCTTGGTTCCTCTCTCTTTTCTTCTTCTTGTTGAATCGATATTGTTTGTTCTGGCAATTTTTCATACTCAAATTCAGTTGGATAATTTGAAATTTGATGAGCCAGTGGGATATCTTCAATATTCGAAGCTTTTGTGGTATTTTCGAGTGGGCCGTCATAAGTTTCCGAGATTGGATAATCCAAATGTGATGGCGACTTTTTGAACAATCCAGTAATTTTAGATTTCAAGCTTGGTTCATCTCTCTTTTCTTCTTCTTGTTGAATCGATATTGTTTGTTCTGGCAATTTTTCATACTCAAATTCAGTTGGATAATTTGAAATTTGATGAGCCAGTGGGATGTCTTCAATATTCGAAGCTTTTGTGGTATTTTCGAGTGGGCCGTCATAAGTTTCCGAGATTGGATAATCCAAATGTGATGGCGACTTTTTGAAGAGGCCAGTAATTTTAGATTTCAAGCTTGGTTCCTCTCTCTTTTCTTCTTCTTGTTGAATCGATATTGTTTGCTCTGGCAATTTTTCATACTCAAATTCAGTTGGATAATTTGAAATTTGGTGAGCCAGTGGGATGCCTTCAATATTCGAAGCTTTTGTGGTATTTTCGAGTGGGCCGTCATAAGTTTCCGAGATTGGATAATCCAAATGTGATGGCGACTTTTTGAACAATCCAGTAATTTTAGATTTCAAGCTTGGCTCCTCTTTCTTTTCTTCTTCTTGTTGAATCGATATTGTTTGTTCTGGCAATTTTTCATACTCAAATTCAGTTGGATAATTTGAAATTTGGTGAGCCAGTGGGATATCTTCAATATTCGAAGCTTTTGTGGTATTTTCGAGTGGGCCGTCATAAGTTTCCGAGATTGGATAATCCAAATGTGATGGCGACTTTTTGAACAATCCAGTAATTTTAGATTTCAAGCTTGGTTCATCTCTCTTTTCTTCTTCTGGTTGAATCGAAATTGTTTGCTCTGGCAATTTTTCATACTCAAATTCAGTTGGATAATTTGAAATTTGGTGAGCCAGTGGGATATCTTCAATATTCGAAGCTTTTGTGGTATTTTCGAGTGGGCCGTCATAAGTTTCCGAGATTGGATAATCCAAATGTGATGGCGACTTTTTGAACAATCCAGTAATTTTAGATTTCAAGCTTGGTTCATCTCTCTTTTCTTCTTCTTGTTGAATCGATATTGTTTGTTCTGGCAATTTTTCATACTCAAATTCAGTTGGATAATTTGAAATTTGGTGAGCCAGTGGGATATCTTCAATATTCGAAGCTTTTGTGGTATTTTCGAGTGGGCCGTCATAAGTTTCCGAGATTGGATAATCCAAATGTGATGGCGACTTTTTGAACAATCCAGTAATTTTAGATTTCAAGCTTGGTTCATCTCTCTTTTCTTCTTCTTGTTGAATCGATATTGTTTGTTCTGGCAATTTTTCATACTCAAATTCAGTTGGATAATTTGAAATTTGGTGAGCCAGTGGGATATCTTCAATATTCGAAGCTTTTGTGGTATTTTCGAGTGGGCCGTCATAAGTTTCCGAGATTGGATAATCCAAATGTGATGGCGACTTTTTGAAGAGGCCAGTAATTTTAGATTTCAAGCTTGGTTCATCTCTCTTTTTCTTCTTCTTGTTGAATCGATATTGTTTGTTCTGGCAATTTTTCATACTCAAATTCAGTTGGATAATTTGAAATTTGGTGAGCCAGTGGGATATCTTCAATATTCGAAGCTTTTGTGGTATTTTCGAGTGGGCCGTCATAAGTTTCCGAGATTGGATAATCCAAATGTGATGGCGACTTTTTGAAGAGGCCAGTAATTTTAGATTTCAAGCTTGGTTCCTCTCTCTTTTCTTCTTCTTGTTGAATCGATATTGTTTGTTCTGGCAATTTTTCATACTCAAATTCAGTTGGATAATTTGAAATTTGGTGAGCCAGTGGGATATCTTCAATATTCGAAGCTTTTGTGGTATTTTCGAGTGGGCCGTCATAAGTTTCCGAGATTGGATAATCCAAATGTGATGGCGACTTTTTAAACAACCCAGTAATTTTAGATTTCAAGCTTGGTTCATCTCTCTTTTCTTCTTCTTGTTGAATCGATATTGTTTGTTCTGGCAATTTTTCATACTCAAATTCAGTTGGATAATTTGAAATTTGGTGAGCCAGTGGGATATCTTCAATATTCGAAGCTTTTGTGGTATTTTCGAGTGGGCCGTCATAAGTTTCCGAGATTGGATAATCCAAATGTGATGGCGACTTTTTGAAGAGGCCAGTAATTTTAGATTTCAAGCTTGGTTCATCTCTCTTTTCTTCTTCTTGTTGAATCGATATTGTTTGTTCTGGCAATTTTTCATACTCAAATTCAGTTGGATAATTTGAAATTTGGTGAGCCAGTGGGATATCTTCAATATTCGAAGCTTTTGTGGTATTTTCGAGTGGGCCGTCATAAGTTTCCGAGATTGGATAATCCAAATGTGATGGCGACTTTTTGAAGAGGCCAGTAATTTTAGATTTCAAGCTTGGTTCATCTCTCTTTTCTTCTTCTTGTTGAATCGATATTGTTTGTTCTGGCAATTTTTCATACTCAAATTCAGTTGGATAATTTGAAATTTGGTGAGCCAGTGGGATATCTTCAATATTCGAAGCTTTTGTGGTATTTTCGAGTGGGCCGTCATAAGTTTCCGAGATTGGATAATCCAAATGTGATGGCGACTTTTTGAACAGGCCAGTAATTTTAGATTTCAAGCTTGGTCCATCTCTCTTTTCTTCTTCTTGTTGAATCGAAATTGTTTGCTCTGGCAATTTTTCATACTCAAATTCAGTTGGATAATTTGAAATTTGGTGAGCCAGTGGGATATCTTCAATATTCGAAGCTTTTGTGGTATTTTCGAGTGGGCCGTCATAAGTTTCCGAGATTGGATAATCCAAATGTGATGGCGACTTTTTGAACAATCCAGTAATTTTAGATTTCAAGCTTGGTTCCTCTCTCTTTTCTTCTTCTGGTTGAATCGAAATTGTTTGCTCTGGCAATTTTTCATACTCAAATTCAGTTGGATAATTTGAAATTTGGTGAGCCAGTGGGATATCTTCAATATTCGAAGCTTTTGTGGTATTTTCGAGTGGGCCGTCATAAGTTTCCGAGATTGGATAATCCAAATGTGATGGCGACTTTTTGAACAGGCCAGTAATTTTAGATTTCAAGCTTGGTTCATCTCTCTTTTCTTCTTCTGGTTGAATCGAAATTGTTTGCTCTGGCAATTTTTCATACTCAAATTCAGTTGGATAATTTGAAATTTGGTGAGCCAGTGGGATATCTTCAATATTCGAAGCTTTTGTGGTATTTTCGAGTGGGCCGTCATAAGTTTCCGAGATTGGATAATCCAAATGTGATGGCGACTTTTTGAAACAACCCAGTAATTTTAGATTTCAAGCTTGGTTCATCTCTCTTTTCTTCTTCTGGTTGAATCGAAATTGTTTGCTCTGGCAATTTTTCATACTCAAATTCAGTTGGATAATTTGAAATTTGGTGAGCCAGTGGGATATCTTCAATATTCGAAGCTTTTGTGGTATTTTCGAGTGGGCCGTCATAAGTTTCCGAGATTGGATAATCCAAATGTGATGGCGACTTTTGAAACAATCCAGTAATTTTAGATTTCAAGCTTGGTTCATCTCTCTTTTCTTCTTCTTGTTGAATCGATATTGTTTGTTCTGGCAATTTTTCATACTCAAATTCAGTTGGATAATTTGAAATTTGATGAGCCAGTGGGATATCTTCAATATTCGAAGCTTTTGTGGTATTTTCGAGTGGGCCGTCATAAGTTTCCGAGATTGGATAATCCAAATGTGATGGCGACTTTTTAAACAACCCAGTAATTTTAGATTTCAAGCTTGGTTCATCTCTCTTTTCTTCTTCTTGTTGAATCGATATTGTTTGTTCTGGCAATTTTTCATACTCAAATTCAGTTGGATAATTTGAAATTTGGTGAGCCAGTGGGATATCTTCAATATTCGAAGCTTTTGTGGTATTTTCGAGTGGGCCGTCATAAGTTTCCGAGATTGGATAATCCAAATGTGATGGCGACTTTTTAAACAACCCAGTAATTTTAGATTTCAAGCTTGGTTCATCTCTCTTTTCTTCTTCTTGTTGAATCGATATTGTTTGTTCTGGCAATTTTTCATACTCAAATTCAGTTGGATAATTTGAAATTTGATGAGCCAGTGGGATATCTTCAATATTCGAAGCTTTTGTGGTATTTTCGAGTGGGCCGTCATAAGTTTCCGAGATTGGATAATCCAAATGTGATGGCGACTTTTTAAACAACCCAGTAATTTTAGATTTCAAGCTTGGTTCATCTCTCTTTTCTTCTTCTTGTTGAATCGATATTGTTTGTTCTGGCAATTTTTCATACTCAAATTCAGTTGGATAATTTGAAATTTGGTGAGCCAGTGGGATATCTTCAATATTCGAAGCTTTTGTGGTATTTTCGAGTGGGCCGTCATAAGTTTCCGAGATTGGATAATCCAAATGTGATGGCGACTTTTTGAACAATCCAGTAATTTTAGATTTCAAGCTTGGTTCATCTCTCTTTTCTTCTTCTTGTTGAATCGATATTGTTTGTTCTGGCAATTTTTCATACTCAAATTCAGTTGGATAATTTGAAATTTGGTGAGCCAGTGGGATATCTTCAATATTCGAAGCTTTTGTGGTATTTTCGAGTGGGCCGTCATAAGTTTCCGAGATTGGATAATCCAAATGTGATGGCGACTTTTTGAACAATCCAGTAATTTTAGATTTCAAGCTTGGCTCCTCTTTCTTTTCTTCTTCTGGTTGAATCGAAATTGTTTGCTCTGGCAATTTTTCATACTCAAATTCAGTTGGATAATTTGAAATTTGATGAGCCAGTGGGATGTCTTCAATATTCGAAGCTTTTGTGGTATTTTCGAGTGGGCCGTCATAAGTTTCCGAGATTGGATAATCCAAATGTGATGGCGACTTTTTGAACAATCCAGTAATTTTAGATTTCAAGCTTGGCTCCTCTTTCTTTTCTTCTTCTGGTTGAATCGAAATTGTTTGCTCTGGCAATTTTTCATACTCAAATTCAGTTGGATAATTTGAAATTTGGTGAGCCAGTGGGATGTCTTCAATATTCGAAGCTTTTGTGGTATTTTCGAGTGGGCCGTCATAAGTTTCCGAGATTGGATAATCCAAATGTGATGGCGACTTTTTGAACAATCCAGTAATTTTAGATTTCAAGCTTGGTTCATCTCTCTTTTCTTCTTCTTGTTGAATCGATATTGTTTGCTCTGGCAATTTTTCATACTCAAATTCAGTTGGATAATTTGAAATTTGGTGAGCCAGTGGGATGTCTTCAATATTCGAAGCTTTTGTGGTATTTTCGAGTGGGCCGTCATAAGTTTCCGAGATTGGATAATCCAAATGTGATGGCGACTTTTTGAACAATCCAGTAATTTTAGATTTCAAGCTTGGTTCATCTCTCTTTTCTTCTTCTTGTTGAATCGATATTGTTTGCTCTGGCAATTTTTCATACTCAAATTCAGTTGGATAATTTGAAATTTGATGAGCCAATGGGATATCTTCAATATTCGAAGCTTTTGTGGTATTTTCGAGTGGGCCGTCATAAGTTTCCGAGATTGGATAATCCAAATGTGATGGCGACTTTTTGAACAATCCAGTAATTTTAGATTTCAAGCTTGGTTCATCTCTCTTTTCTTCTTCTTGTTGAATCGATATTGTTTGCTCTGGCAATTTTTCATACTCAAATTCAGTTGGATAATTTGAAATTTGATGAGCCAGTGGGATATCTTCAATATTCGAAGCTTTTGTGGTATTTTCGAGTGGGCCGTCATAAGTTTCCGAGATTGGATAATCCAAATGTGATGGCGACTTTTTGAAGAGGCCAGTAATTTTAGATTTCAAGCTTGGTTCATCTCTCTTTTCTTCTTCTTGTTGAATCGATATTGTTTGCTCTGGCAATTTTTCATACTCAAATTCAGTTGGATAATTTGAAATTTGGTGAGCCAGTGGGATGTCTTCAATATTCGAAGCTTTTGTGGTATTTTCGAGTGGGCCGTCATAAGTTTCCGAGATTGGATAATCCAAATGTGATGGCGACTTTTTGAACAATCCAGTAATTTTAGATTTCAAGCTTGGTTCATCTCTCTTTTCTTCTTCTGGTTGAATCGAAATTGTTTGCTCTGGCAATTTTTCATACTCAAATTCAGTTGGATAATTTGAAATTTGATGAGCCAGTGGGATATCTTCAATATTCGAAGCTTTTGTGGTATTTTCGAGTGGGCCGTCATAAGTTTCCGAGATTGGATAATCCAAATGTGATGGCGACTTTTTGAAGAGGCCAGTAATTTTAGATTTCAAGCTTGGTTCATCTCTCTTTTCTTCTTCTGGTTGAATCGATATTGTTTGTTCTGGCAATTTTTCATACTCAAATTCAGTTGGATAATTTGAAATTTGGTGAGCCAGTGGGATATCTTCAATATTCGAAGCTTTTGTGGTATTTTCGAGTGGGCCGTCATAAGTTTCCGAGATTGGATAATCCAAATGTGATGGCGACTTTTTGAACAATCCAGTAATTTTAGATTTCAAGCTTGGCTCCTCTCTCTTTTCTTCTTCTGGTTGAATCGATATTGTTTGTTCTGGCAATTTTTCATACTCAAATTCAGTTGGATAATTTGAAATTTGGTGAGCCAGTGGGATATCTTCAATATTCGAAGCTTTTGTGGTATTTTCGAGTGGGCCGTCATAAGTTTCCGAGATTGGATAATCCAAATGTGATGGCGACTTTTTGAAGAGGCCAGTAATTTTAGATTTCAAGCTTGGTTCATCTCTCTTTTCTTCTTCTTGTTGAATCGATATTGTTTGTTCTGGCAATTTTTCATACTCAAATTCAGTTGGATAATTTGAAATTTGGTGAGCCAGTGGGATATCTTCAATATTCGAAGCTTTTGTGGTATTTTCGAGTGGGCCGTCATAAGTTTCCGAGATTGGATAATCCAAATGTGATGGCGACTTTTTGAAGAGGCCAGTAATTTTAGATTTCAAGCTTGGTTCATCTCTCTTTTCTTCTTCTTGTTGAATCGATATTGTTTGTTCTGGCAATTTTTCATACTCAAATTCAGTTGGATAATTTGAAATTTGATGAGCCAATGGGATATCTTCAATATTCGAAGCTTTTGTGGTATTTTCGAGTGGGCCGTCATAAGTTTCCGAGATTGGATAATCCAAATGTGATGGCGACTTTTTGAAGAGGCCAGTAATTTTAGATTTCAAGCTTGGCTCCTCTTTCTTTTCTTCTTCTTGTTGAATCGATATTGTTTGTTCTGGCAATTTTTCATACTCAAATTCAGTTGGATAATTTGAAATTTGGTGAGCCAATGGGATGTCTTCAATATTCGAAGCTTTTGTGGTATTTTCGAGTGGGCCGTCATAAGTTTCCGAGATTGGATAATCCAAATGTGATGGCGACTTTTTGAAGAGGCCAGTAATTTTAGATTTCAAGCTTGGTTCATCTCTCTTTTCTTCTTCTTGTTGAATCGAAATTGTTTGTTCTGGCAATTTTTCATACTCAAATTCAGTTGGATAATTTGAAATTTGGTGAGCCAGTGGGATATCTTCAATATTCGAAGCTTTTGTGGTATTTTCGAGTGGGCCGTCATAAGTTTCCGAGATTGGATAATCCAAATGTGATGGCGACTTTTTGAAGAGGCCAGTAATTTTAGATTTCAAGCTTGGTTCATCTCTCTTTTCTTCTTCTTGTTGAATCGATATTGTTTGTTCTGGCAATTTTTCATACTCAAATTCAGTTGGATAATTTGAAATTTGGTGAGCCAGTGGGATATCTTCAATATTCGAAGCTTTTGTGGTATTTTCGAGTGGGCCGTCATAAGTTTCCGAGATTGGATAATCCAAATGTGATGGCGACTTTTTGAAGAGGCCAGTAATTTTAGATTTCAAGCTTGGTTCATCTCTCTTTTCTTCTTCTTGTTGAATCGATATTGTTTGTTCTGGCAATTTTTCATACTCAAATTCAGTTGGATAATTTGAAATTTGATGAGCCAATGGGATATCTTCAATATTCGAAGCTTTTGTGGTATTTTCGAGTGGGCCGTCATAAGTTTCCGAGATTGGATAATCCAAATGTGATGGCGACTTTTTGAAGAGGCCAGTAATTTTAGATTTCAAGCTTGGCTCCTCTTTCTTTTCTTCTTCTTGTTGAATCGATATTGTTTGTTCTGGCAATTTTTCATACTCAAATTCAGTTGGATAATTTGAAATTTGGTGAGCCAATGGGATGTCTTCAATATTCGAAGCTTTTGTGGTATTTTCGAGTGGGCCGTCATAAGTTTCCGAGATTGGATAATCCAAATGTGATGGCGACTTTTTGAAGAGGCCAGTAATTTTAGATTTCAAGCTTGGTTCATCTCTCTTTTCTTCTTCTTGTTGAATCGAAATTGTTTGTTCTGGCAATTTTTCATACTCAAATTCAGTTGGATAATTTGAAATTTGGTGAGCCAGTGGGATATCTTCAATATTCGAAGCTTTTGTGGTATTTTCGAGTGGGCCGTCATAAGTTTCCGAGATTGGATAATCCAAATGTGATGGCGACTTTTTGAAGAGGCCAGTAATTTTAGATTTCAAGCTTGGTTCATCTCTCTTTTCTTCTTCTTGTTGAATCGATATTGTTTGTTCTGGCAATTTTTCATACTCAAATTCAGTTGGATAATTTGAAATTTGGTGAGCCAATGGGATGTCTTCAATATTCGAAGCTTTTGTGGTATTTTCGAGTGGGCCGTCATAAGTTTCCGAGATTGGATAATCCAAATGTGATGGCGACTTTTTGAAGAGGCCAGTAATTTTAGATTTCAAGCTTGGCTCCTCTCTCTTTTCTTCTTCTTGTTGAATCGATATTGTTTGTTCTGGCAATTTTTCATACTCAAATTCAGTTGGATAATTTGAAATTTGGTGAGCCAGTGGGATATCTTCAATATTCGAAGCTTTTGTGGTATTTTCGAGTGGGCCGTCATAAGTTTCCGAGATTGGATAATCCAAATGTGATGGCGACTTTTTGAACAATCCAGTAATTTTAGATTTCAAGCTTGGCTCCTCTCTCTTTTCTTCTTCTTGTTGAATCGATATTGTTTGCTCTGGCAATTTTTCATACTCAAATTCAGTTGGATAATTTGAAATTTGGTGAGCCAGTGGGATATCTTCAATATTCGAAGCTTTTGTGGTATTTTCGAGTGGGCCGTCATAAGTTTCCGAGATTGGATAATCCAAATGTGATGGCGACTTTTTGAACAATCCAGTAATTTTAGATTTCAAGCTTGGCTCCTCTCTTTTCTTCTTCTTGTTGAATCGATATTGTTTGCTCTGGCAATTTTTCATACTCAAATTCAGTAGGGTAGTTTGAAATTTGATGAGCCAGTGGGATATCTTCAATATTCGAAGCTTTTGTGGTATTTTCGAGTGGGCCGTCATAAGTTTCCGAGATTGGATAATCGAGGTGTGATGGCGACTTTTTGAAGAGGCCAGTAATTTTAGATTTCAAGCTTGGCTCCTCTCTCTTTTCTTCTTCTTGTTGAATCGATATTGTTTGCTCTGGCAATTTTTCATACTCAAATTCAGTAGGGTAGTTTGAAATTTGATGAGCCAATGGGATATCTTCAATATTCGAAGCTTTTGTGGTATTTTCGAGTGGGCCGTCATAAGTTTCCGAGATTGGATAATCGAGGTGTGATGGCGACTTTTTGAAGAGGCCAGTAATTTTAGATTTCAAGCTTGGCTCCTCTCTCTTTTCTTCTTCTTGTTGAATCGATATTGTTTGTTCTGGCAATTTTTCATGCTCAAATTCAGTTGGATAATTTGAAATTTGGTGAGCCAATGGGATATCTTCAATATTCGAAGCTTTTGTGGTATTTTCGAGTGGGCCGTCATAAGTTTCCGAGATTGGATAATCGAGGTGTGATGGCGACTTTTTGAAGAGGCCAGTAATTTTAGATTTCAAGCTTGGCTCCTCTCTCTTTTCTTCTTCTTGTTGAATCGAAATTGTTTGCTCTGGCAATTTTTCATACTCAAATTCAGTTGGATAATTTGAAATTTGGTGAGCCAGTGGGATGTCTTCAATATTCGAAGCTTTTGTGGTATTTTCGAGTGGGCCGTCATAAGTTTCCGAGATTGGATAATCCAAATGTGATGGCGACTTTTTGAACAATCCAGTAATTTTAGATTTCAAGCTTGGTTCATCTTTCTTTTCTTCTTCTGGTTGAATCGAAATTGTTTGCTCTGGCAATTTTTCATACTCAAATTCAGTTGGATAATTTGAAATTTGGTGAGCCAATGGGATATCTTCAATATTCGAAGCTTTTGTGGTATTTTCGAGTGGGCCGTCATAAGTTTCCGAGATTGGATAATCCAAATGTGATGGCGACTTTTTGAAGAGGCCAGTAATTTTAGATTTCAAGCTTGGCTCCTCTCTCTTTTCTCCTTCTTGTTGAATCGATATTGTTTGTTCTGGCAATTTTTCATACTCAAATTCAGTTGGATAATTTGAAATTTGGTGAGCCAATGGGATATCTTCAATATTCGAAGCTTTTGTGGTATTTTCGAGTGGGCCGTCATAAGTTTCCGAGATTGGATAATCCAAATGTGATGGCGACTTTTTGAAGAGGCCAGTAATTTTAGATTTCAAGCTTGGCTCCTCTCTCTTTTCTCCTTCTTGTTGAATCGATATTGTTTGTTCTGGCAATTTTTCATACTCAAATTCAGTTGGATAATTTGAAATTTGGTGAGCCAGTGGGATATCTTCAATATTCGAAGCTTTTGTGGTATTTTCGAGTGGGCCGTCATAAGTTTCCGAGATTGGATAATCCAAATGTGATGGCGACTTTTTGAAGAGGCCAGTAATTTTAGATTTCAAGCTTGGCTCCTCTCTCTTTTCTTCTTCTTGTTGAATCGAAATTGTTTGCTCTGGCAATTTTTCATACTCAAATTCAGTTGGATAATTTGAAATTTGGTGAGCCAATGGGATATCTTCAATATTCGAAGCTTTTGTGGTATTTTCGAGTGGGCCGTCATAAGTTTCCGAGATTGGATAATCCAAATGTGATGGCGACTTTTTGAAGAGGCCAGTAATTTTAGATTTCAAGCTTGGCTCCTCTCTCTTTTCTCCTTCTTGTTGAATCGATATTGTTTGTTCTGGCAATTTTTCATACTCAAATTCAGTTGGATAATTTGAAATTTGGTGAGCCAATGGGATATCTTCAATATTCGAAGCTTTTGTGGTATTTTCGAGTGGGCCGTCATAAGTTTCCGAGATTGGATAATCCAAATGTGATGGCGACTTTTTGAAGAGGCCAGTAATTTTAGATTTCAAGCTTGGCTCCTCTCTCTTTTCTCCTTCTTGTTGAATCGATATTGTTTGTTCTGGCAATTTTTCATACTCAAATTCAGTTGGATAATTTGAAATTTGATGAGCCAATGGGATATCTTCAATATTCGAAGCTTTTGTGGTATTTTCGAGTGGGCCGTCATAAGTTTCCGAGATTGGATAATCGAGGTGTGATGGCGACTTTTTGAAGAGGCCAGTAATTTTAGATTTCAAGCTTGGCTCCTCTCTCTTTTCTTCTTCTGGTTGAATCGATATTGTTTGCTCTGGCAATTTTTCATACTCAAATTCAGTTGGATAATTTGAAATTTGGTGAGCCAATGGGATATCTTCAATATTCGAAGCTTTTGTGGTATTTTCGAGTGGGCCGTCATAAGTTTCCGAGATTGGATAATCCAAATGTGATGGCGACTTTTTGAAAAGGCCAGTAATTTTAGATTTCAAGCTTGGCTCCTCTCTCTTTTCTTCTTCTTGTTGAATCGAAATTGTTTGTTCTGGCAATTTTTCATACTCAAATTCAGTTGGATAATTTGAAATTTGGTGAGCCAATGGGATATCTTCAATATTCGAAGCTTTTGTGGTATTTTCGAGTGGGCCGTCATAAGTTTCCGAGATTGGATAATCCAAATGTGATGGCGACTTTTTGAACAATCCAGTAATTTTAGATTTCAAGCTTGGTTCACTTTTTTCGATTTTCCCTTTTTTTGGAACTTGAGCAACATACTCAAAGTTCGAATGGTAGACGTTTACTTCTTGATTCAATGGAATATCATCGATATTCAATTTCCTACTTGTAGAATGAATTTCTTCTTGATTATATTCTTCAAATTTCGGATATGCGAGATGTTCAAATGTGTTATCCAATGAAGAAGACGATGTAGATGCTGTTTGATCATCATCAGCAACGTATTGTGATTCTTCATAAATCGGTATATTTGCGACTCTTTCAATGTTCTCGTCATGATCTGATGTACCACAATGATAAACATTGACAATCGAAGATAGTGGAAAACTCTCAATATCTTCTTTCCTATGAGTTTCGTTTATTTTTGTCGGAATTTCCAAATCAACATTTAATTTCGCTTTGGTTATTGGTGACATTGGTGCATTCGATTCGTGTTTTGAAACAATTACATAGTTTGGTGATTTTGCTCTTTCAGTTAGATCCACATCAACAGTCAACGTATTTTCATCCTCATCGATAATATCGAAATCGGAGGAAAGTGAGTCACTGTCGCTAACCTAAAAAAAACAATTATTTATTTTTTTGAAGTCTAGATTACTTCTAGAATCTTTAATGTTGTCGTCGTCGTAGTTATAATTGTTGTGGTTTGTTTCGAATCACGATTGAATATTATTCCATTAAACAATGGAACTCCTGTTGCAGTCAATGCACCAATTAATCCAACTCCTTCCGCCTGTAAAATGTCTTTCTTCCTGGATTCGTAAATTTATTTAGCCTACTTGATTCGTAGTTACGATAGAGGATACAGATTGTGAAGTGTTTCCATGGGGTGACAATGCAAGAATGTGTGCTGGTGACAGCTGAAAATCGTTCGTTGTTATCGGGTATTTTTATTCTCGGAATTGTTAACCTGCGAAGTTTCGTCCACAGGAAGTTGGACAATATGCACTCGTTCAGTTGTCGTAACACTTCTCGACTGAAACGGAGAAGTCGGTCTGAAACATGATTTTATGATGATTAAAAAAACTATCACTGTGTTTTTTTCTAATAGAAAAATGCAATTTCGAGGAGACGCAGACACTCGCTGGTCTCGACACGCTGTGTGTCTGCCACACACTATTTCTCTCCCTTTTTCGGCGAGAGATTTGTCTGCACACGTTAAAGTCTGCGTCTCCCTCGAATTGCAAAAAAAAATACAGTGCTATTCAAAAATCAATAATATCAACCTGGACGGGGAGTGTCGTGTTTCTTCGCGTCGTGTAACAGTCCATCGTGGACGTTCCAGCTCTCTTCCTGCAAATTTGGTATTAAATTTGTTATTTTTTCTACACTTCAAAATGTGTTTCTCTATTATAACATTTAAAATCATGAAATTAATAATCAGCTATTATTCATGTGTATTCTCATGAAGCCACACCATAAACAATCGGAATGTGAGTGTATTAATTATAAAATGATTGATGATATTTCATCAGAACATACCTGTTCGGCTGGGAGGAAGATTACGTTGTGGGTTATCACTCATATAATAACCTGAAAAATATATATTTCATATATTACTGTGCAAGTTTAGATTTTCGAGAGCAGGATATAGCAAAAGGAAAATGAGAAAACATATGTTGGAAATGGAGAAATTGGTTATTTTCAAGCAAGTAAGAAGCCATAAAGAATAACAAACCGTAAAACATAAACGAAAATATTTGAACTCTGTAGAAATATTTTCACCAATTTAATCAAACTGAAATGGTTTCAATTGTTTTGAAAAAAAATTACCAAAATTGTGTTCATCGAATAGAAAATTTTTTTTAAAAAGCATGGAAGGTATAAAAATTACTCTAATCAGAAATTGTTCAAATAGCAGAGTTTTTCCTGTGTAAATTTATTTTCTAAGAACTACTAGACTAGAAGAGGATGAATAACAAAATTCATTCCGTCAAAGTTGAAAAATATGACATTGATTGCATAAATAAAACCAGGAAACCTTGGAAAACTAACACATAATTATAATTCAATTCTGTACGGTCTTTTTTTGAATCCGTAAGTTTTAGTTTTTTTTTCTATTGTATTTTTCACAAAAGAATGAAAGAAATGTCATAGACGCAGAGAAGGTGAAAATGAGTAATCAGTCAAAAATTGAGAACCACACCCACTCAAAAATTGGATAAAATCAGAAAAAATGTCAGATAAATTTAGTTTCATGCAACATGATAAAAATAATGATAGATTTGAAATGGAAAATTGCAAAAGTGTATTTTTATTGAAAAAGTACAAACACCGAACAGGAACAGAAAAAAAGAGAACCGGAAAATGCAAAAAAAAATCCGAAATTCAATTCAGATAGGTAGAGAGACGCAGAAAAGGCTAGGTTCAAGGACAAACAATAACAGTTTTTGATAGGAATAAAGAAAAATGTTGAAAAACTTACATATAAATGTTAAATTGAGAGTTTTATTGAAATAAAATGAGTGAACAAATAAAAACTGTTGGAAAATGAAAAAAGAACAAGAAGTTTGAGCTGTTGGGAATTGAGTAAATAATAAAATAAAACTATCAATTTATGATTTGCAAATTTCCGAAATCTATTTTTCTTCATTATTTTTTTCAATTAAAAAAAATCGATTTTGAAAAATCAGATAAAAGTACGAGAATAGAAACATTTTAGGGTTAATCGAATTACTTTTCAAAGATTTCGGTTCGATAGAAATATTACTCATAGACCAAAAAAAGTTCGAAAAAAGAAGTTCAGTTGGAAAAAACAACAAAAACATATTTGGAAAGAAGATGATACAAATTAATGGGTTGTGAAATTGGCTGCCAAATCTTGACGCCTGCTAACAGAACGAAAAATAGACGGGAAGAAAAAGAAGAAGTGAAAGTTTCAAATCGGTTGCGCAGAGAAAACAGAAATGAAGAGAGTGGATGAGAATAATGAAATATTTAGAAATGTCTTTTTGTTTTTGGCGCAGATAGCGATGCGCAATCATTTTGATAAATGACACAAAAAATATTATTGTATCAATAATAAACAATATCAATAATATATAATGGTTTTGTATTGGAAAATTATTAATAAAATAGTAATTAAAAATTATATTGTTTTGTTTTAATTGACAAATGTTGATTGATCATTTATAGAGAAAGACATAACGAAGAAATATTCTGTTTTGCTCATAGTTCTCTCAGTTCACAAAAACTTTGTGTCAACAAAAGTTAACAAGTTAAAAGAATGATAAACAAATGTTTCGCAGTAAATTTTGGCAACTGAATTTTTGGTGGTTTTTTTTTGACAATCAGAAAATTTTGGAATTTTATGGCGAGTGAAAAAAAACATAGTAAAACTAGTTTTTTTCATCAAAGATATTTTTATCTTCAAAAAAGAGGAATATAAAAATTAAAAACAAAAAGGAAAATCATTATTTTTTTATTATTTTTAGCGTGAACTAATTTACGTGGCCATTTGGAAAGCATTAATTCAGAATTTGAGAAAAACAAAAAACTATCAGAAATTCCCGTGAGAATACTGTATTTCGAAATGATTATTGACCAGATATCAACAACAACAAAAAATCCAAAAAAAAAAACAGAAGGTGCGCTATCTCAAAGTGCTCGAAGCCTCGGCTCCACATTACAACCAACAATGAGAGACATAATTTGTTTCGAAGAGTATGTTAGAGAAATAAAGTTACCTCCTGCTTAAAAGTTGCGAAGAAAATGACGATGATAGAGGTGTTCAATTTCGGCGGTTGAAAACAAAGTTTTTGATGAATTTTTGACGAGGAAAAAAACTTGAGAGTTGTAAATAAAATGTTTGATCCGAAGAAAAATAGGAACAGAAGCTATCAACTAATTTTTAAATTTTTAAAAAGATTCTGGAAACTGAGTCAGACAAATTTTTTACCTTTTTTTCCGGGTATACTGTTTTTTTTTCAATCTGAACGAATTAATTAAAAAAATATTAAAACTAAAAAAAACAGAGTTAAAGGATTTCGAAAAGTGCACCTTGTGTAACTTATTTACAAATATAAATAGTGTTAGTCAAACAAAACCGAACAGCAGCCAGCCAGTCAAAACTGCAAATAAATCGATTTCAATTTTTTGAAACACATTTTTTCCGGACTGCAGGAAATATAAATCTAATCGAAGAGAAATCAGAGAAAGAGAGAAAGAGAACAGATAAGTTGAGCCAAAAGATTTATTTTATATTTATGATATACATGGTGTTCAGATTGATTTACTATGTTTATATTTTGAATAAAAAGGTGTTTGAAGTTTTCTTTTTGATTACGAGCAGCAAAAAATTATATGTTTTTTACACAATGTTTCTTTTTGTTTAAAAACTGTAGTACAAAAAAAACATACTCCAATAATAAATCATATAAAAGTGACTAATAACATAAAAAATCTAATATATGTTTCTCTTTTTTGTTGTCACAAGAAAAAGAGACAAAAAATGATTAGGCTTGGTGTGTGTGAAAAAAAAGGACTAAAAGGGTGGAGAGAAAAGAGAAAAAGTTGAGAAGAAAAGAAATTGAGCGGAAGAAATTCTTGAAGAAATCGTGCTAAAATGAGTTCAAAAAGGTCATTTTTGGGAAAAAAATTTAGATATGGAAACATTGATCAATTAACACATGGTTCTGGAACAATCTTATCTTACGTTTTTTTTTCTGAAACCAGCTGACCATTTTTTTTTCAATAAATTAAATAGATTCACAAAATAGTTATACAAAGTAATTATTAGCCAATTTGTTATATATTCATTTTGGATTATCCGCTTATTTTTTCGATATACAGAAAATTCATATTTTCTCTTGTATAGAAAGAAATAAAAATTTGGAACAAATTTGGTTTATTTTTGAAAAAAAGAATAACAAGACAGACACATGTTTTGTATTTGTGGAAAAAAGAAAGAAAAAACAGGTGGTTGGCAAGAAAAAAAAGGGCGAGAAAAAAAAAACAACTGAAAATATGGAAAAGATAAGGCACGTGGGGTTGAGGAGAAAAATGAAAATGTCAACTATTATTTTTTGATGGAATTCAGAAAGTTTCGAAGATGCACAACTTCGCGAAGCTCTTTTCCGATTTCTGTGAAGATTTTTATCTGAAATTAATAATAATGGTTAAAAGTTTCGATTGACTTTTTTGCTTACAAGTTTGTCATTGTTGGGTGCATCTTTCGAGGTTTTCTTCTCCTTGGCTTTGCCTGTAAATAAAATATTTTAATGTTTCTTTCCAATACTATTTTTCTCAAAAATTTTTACAGTACCCCATTTTCTAACTTACACTGTTTATGGGACAATGGTTGACATCGTCGATGAAATGGAATAAATGGAACAGCAAAGTTGTTTTTGACTTCCTGAAAACAAATTCCAGGAAAAAATAATCATAATTAAAAATCTCGCTTACCACAGTTGGTTCTCTGAGATCAAGCGAATCGCCAAAAATAGTCTCAGGAAAATAAGTTTGCCTGAAATGTACCAAAGGAACACGTTGAGTTGACATTCTGTTGACTTGACAAGTGAGGAAAAGTTTGAATAAAAGTATTCAATGATTTATGGTGACCACATTTTTTGGCGGTTCTTATAAAAAGAGACGCAGATGAATAGACGGACAGTAAAAAAGAAAAAGCATCGCAAATGAGTAGTCACAAGACTGCGCGTAAATGCACTTTGCAACAAAAGAAACTAAATGAAAGAGTTTTGTTTTGTATTTGTATCTAGAGTTGATATGAATTGAATCGATAATTAGATGAATTTATCAAGATTTTGTTCCGAAATACATTTTGAATAAATATTATCAGTTTATTTGTTGACTAAACTTTTTGTTATCTTTTTCATTTTTGCGGAAAAAAAAGTTTACTTTCACAAGGTTTTTTTTTATTTTCTAATTTTTTCTGACTCAAGTCAAAAAACCTAAATTTACAGAAAAAATGAATACTAAAAATGCACATATCTCACTTGGCTCAGAAGAATATGAACAGTTTTCAAAATTATCAGGAAATAGATTATATTCTATTTCTTTCCAAGTAAAAAAATTTCACACTCTGATTTGTATTGGTTACAAGAAAAATCAAAATTTCAATTACAACTTATGGTTTTCGAAAAGCGAAGATAATTGTCTACGAACAATAATCAAATGTAAAAAGTGAGCTGTGTTTGTGAAATTGTTATCGATAAACAATAATTTTTAGTGATGGAGAATTATTATGGACCAAATATGAAAATGGATCATTAAATAAATGGGCTATGAAATATTTGAAAAACCTCATCATCGAAAATGGAGATACTTTAAGATGGCTTGAATTGAAAATGGTAATTACTTTTTTCTGAATGTTGATCATTTCAAATACTTTTTAGAGTTTTGTCGATTGGGAAGACTTGGATATTTCAAAAATTGAAAAAATTGATCACTTGGTTATCCAATCAAAAAAGAAGATTGATTTTTTTGAACAGAAGAAAATTCATTTTCATCAGGTATGCTAATTTTTTTTTTGATAATCTATATGAATCAATTTAAGATTTGTGATGTTATCACTGAAATATCATTGGCATCTTCAAAAATAGGATATGATGAATTGATCCAATTGAAATCTCAATTCATTCACTTTAATGGTCAGAATTTATCATTTGAAGAGATAAAAAGTTATTGGGAATTGTGTAAAGAAGAAAAGGTGGACAAAAACATCAGAAGTGTGACGTTGGTTGGAATAGAAAATTTTGATATCAGAAAATTTCAAGAATATCTCGGTTGTGCTATGAAAACATATATCGGGTATGTTTTAGAGCAAATTATTTTTTTTTATTTTTGTTGTTTTCAGAAATGATTTTAAGCATGAACAATCAATCATGCAAGGAAGAAAACTTTGTTTTTATTGGTCTCATTATTATCAATATATTGAATTTGATATTATTAATTGAAATCAAGCTATCTGGAATCATTTTGACTTTTAAAAGTTAGAATCAAAATTTTCATATTCTCTAATTACTGGTTTTCGGATGAAACTTTTCAGATAAAATTTTCGAAGTGGTTTTTGACAAAATTCATTCGAAAAATTTCCAAAAATATTTGTATTGTTTTATTCTCGACTTCGATTATCCTTTTTCACCGGTTCACGACTTGGTTTTTTCACAATTTCTCGACTTTTCTTGTTCTTATTTCTACGAGAATTTAAAGTGTCTTGTTCACAACTTGGCCCTTGATTTCGAATTTCAAGTGATGGAGCATCTTGACATGTATCATCATCATCTTCGTTTATTTCATCAACCCGAAAAAAAACATAAATATTGTAGACCTCGTTAAAATTGTATTTTAATTTCCAAAAGTTCTCCCTATTTCCCTCAAAAAATACAAACCGATAGTCCTTGTGTGCGATCAAGTTTATTTCTTTTGTTATGTTTCGAAGCTGACGATGGTGCCGCATTAGATTTGATAATTTTCTTTGTTTTCAAATTTACTCTTTGAAGTTCATCTTTTTGTGTGACATCAAGATCATAATATTTCAATTCGGGCGTATCAGGTGTTTGAGCTGTTACTTCTTTTTCCAAAATATCATAATCTTTTATTTTTTCTTCGCTTTTTACTATCTTCTTGCTATTGTTTGTTGGTGTGACTCTGAAATAATTTGCATTAAAAATGTTCGAATGAAGAAAAGTTCTTTTATAAAAGAGTTTTCCCACAAATGACTGAAGCTAGGCAAAAAAGTTCCAGATTTTTAGATCTTGGTAGGTTTCCAGATAATCCATATTCTTAGATTGTCCGAAATTTAGAACATTCTGTCTCTAACTTTGCGGTGAAAAATCCCCTTCTAATTTTGGGTTGCTCCTTTTTTCGAAACGGGTCTTCCCACTTTACTCTAACTTACGTATTTGGCGGAGTTCCACCATCCGTAGTAGAACTAGTTCTGCTCTCTTGTTTTTTCGATTTCGAACAAAATTGAACTATGAAAGTTATCAATAGAAAATTCACCATAAAAAATGTAAGTAACATATATTTTTCTTTTTATAAGCAGAGAATCCAGATACTAATATAAAATAATTAATAAATGATTTTCGAACATTTTTCATTCGAACCTCAATTTTTAAATGTCACGCAAAAATATCCTGAAATTTAGATTAATGTGAGTTTTTTTTTTCTTTTTGCGGGCAAGATTAATTTGACCATCCGACCTTGATTGTCCTCAATTTCTCACTACCCTGTTTTCTCATTGTTTTTTTGGATTGTTCTTTCTTTCTTTCTGTTTTCTCATTTATAAAATCAATAAACTTAATATTAATTAATGATTAATTTTGCATCTATGTGAATCGGAATAAAAAGAAAATCTTCAAAGATTTTCCATGTCATTTATTTTTCTTGTTATTGATTAAATACATACAAATACATACCGGTCTGTATTTTGCCTCCCTTCATTCTCTTACTTTTTATCTACATCTTTTCTCTCCAACCGGTCGGATTTGACCATTCGGTTGTAAACTTTTTCTATTTTTTGTGGTACTAGAAAATATCATTTTAAGGTCTGCAAAATGTCGAATTTTGCATCAAATTTGGGAGAGAAACTGAAAAAAGTCAATTATTTTTTGAAAGGATTAATTTGTGAGCAAGATGTTGATTATTCGAGATTTGAAACAAAGTGAGTTCATTCTTTAAATTTAGAATGTATTTTTGAAAATATTTAATTCAGATTGGATGGTTCAGATGTTGTAACATTTCGCGAAAATGATAAAGCATTTCGATTATTTCGAACAAATGTTCATGTAAAAATTGGTGCATATATAGCTTGTGTAATTGGTTTCTGTGTTACAATTGCATTCTGTGTTACTTATTCACTTTATCATTCACGTGGAATGGGACGAAATCCATTTATTGATCATCTCGAAGTTATTGATCTTATATTCGCATTTTTAGTTGGTTTACCTTGTCATATTTTATTATTCTACGGGTTGTGGACCGATAAGAAATTGTTGTTCAGTCCATTTTTGGTATTCTATGTCACTAATTTTATTTTGAATTGTGTGTTTACTGTATTGACATTATTTGCATTTGCTTTTGATATTCATCGTCAAGTTTTCGGAAATATTGTTTTCGATTTAGGATGGACAACATTCCAGGTAACTTAATTTGGTTAGAATTTCCCTAAAAAGGTTTTTTTTCAGATTGGATTCACAGCTGCTCAATTTCTTGCCATTTATGTTGTAATGAGAGCTCGACGATATGTGGCAGCTAAAGAATTCTGGCAGAACAAATCTAACGAGGTACAAAAATTCAAAAAATCTTTTCCCTCACATTTTGCAACGTTTTGTTTTTGCAGAGAATGAGCCCAGTCGACTTGGAAGGCTAAATCATACAATATTCACACTTCGCTTAGCAACACAACAAAAATGAAATCTTATTATTTTTATGGTTATTATTAGTCTCATCATTTTCAAATATGTGTTATTTGTTTTCTTTTTCGGAATGGTGCCTAAAAAATGTGCTCAGATGGAGCAATTAGCGACTTCCGGTTGGAACGCTTCTCTCACTTTTTCATCGCAAGCAGGAACTACTAGTAAAGCTGTTTTTTCAGTTTGACCTGGGAAGCTGAAAGTAGCAAGTTCTATTTTCAATATTCTTAAAGTGTGTTCAAAAAAATCTCAAAAACAATTCAAAATTAGTTAAATCAACTGATTTTGCCAATTTTTGAATAACATCTTCTTACTCAAATGTTTTTCATTGTTTTCTCAAATATTAGTTCAGCTGAATGTACTACACTGCCCAATTTTGACATATTTATTATTATATTTGTGCATGGTTCCCAATTTTTCTTTGTTTGACCAGCTAAAAACGCCGTGCACATGAGCAGACCTCAATTAGGAACGAGATTTGCAACTTTTTGCTGCATTTTTTGTTGTTGCAAATATTTCGTCGAAATTGTCTTTTTCCGAAAAAATGTTTTGTTGGAAAAAAAGTAATGTTGAAAATTCGAAATTTATACTAACTAAATGTTTTAATTTCCAGATGTTATTTGATATCAAAGAAAGAAATTCAAAACCATTTTTTCTCGATCTACTTTTTTTTGTTTATTTTCTCAGGCATATCCTTTTTTCTAAAGCATTCTTGTCATTTCCTGTTTATCTTTCCAAAACTTTCCATTATTTTGTTGTTAGTTTCTTTTTCCACCTGCTCTCAAAATTTTTCGATTTTCGAAACAATAAAAATATTCATTATTCAGTCGAGCGAAATCGTCGACTTGTTTAATGGATTTTGTGTTTTTTGAACTTTTTTATTATTCACCTTCTCTCTCTCTCTCTAAAAATATAACATATATTACATTCACCAGCCACCAAAAGTACACCATGCATACTTTTTGAATTTTCAACTCCTAAAAAATGACATGTAAAAAATGATGCCTCTTTTTTAACCAACTTTTTTCCTTGGGAAAATTGTTAATCGGGTTAGCAGAATAAAAAAAAAGTGTTCCTTTTTTTGTCATCTCAAAAAAAAGACATAAATATATTCCAACAATTTTCTTTCTCGATTGTCCTTTTTGTTGTGTTGGAATGAAAATGTAGGTTGACAAAAAAGAGAAAGAAAAAATGAAATAATAAATAAATAAGTAAGTAAATTCTCTCACGAGTATTTATTCTATACTTTTCATATATCTAATCGCGATAAAACGAATTCGTTAAAGTAATTTCATCAACAGTTTTTTCTCGCTCATTTTTTCCTGGCACAATATTTTTGAGCTCATTTAATATGCAACTAATTCTGCCCTTTTTTTTCGATGAGAAAAAAAAAAGTTATTTTTTGTCGCATTTTTTTCTTCTCTGTCACTAAAAAAACAATAAACGCCTAAAACGAGATATTTTTCCAAGCAGCTAATCTTATTTTGAAAAGCGGACGACATTAAAAATTGTGCTTTTTTCTTCTTTTTTTTTGGAACAATGCTCGTTGTTCCTTTTATTTTTTGTCTAAATTCGTACTAGCCTGTATACATATATACTATTTTGAAAAATTAACATTTCCTTATGGGTTACTTTATAAAGTTAATTCTTAATAAAGATAAGCTGAATCGAAACGTGCCAAACATTAAAAGTCACATAAAAAACATTAAAAGTTCCCACGAAAGTAATATTTAAAAATTTTCAAAATAGTTTTTTAAAGATCATGAAATCTTCCTCGATTCACCCCAAAAGCGTTTGTGATTTTTTTTTCATTTTCCAAAATGGATCATCATTTCCCTAAGTAAAGCAAAACATAAATCAAAATTTTTCATTACTTCTATGCTTTTTGAATGTGAATTCATATATTTATATTGTTATTTTCGAATTCGTCTTCAGCCATGGCAATTATATGCTTTTAGAAGTTTTTTTTTTCAAAAAAAAACTTTTTCTTTCGTTTTTAATATTATTTCCTTCCCTTTGGCAAAAAATATTAGCATTTTCATTTTCTTTTTTTGGTTGGTTCATTATTATAAAATAAAGAAAACACAACCATTTTTATTTATAATGAGAGAGTTATTTGGAAGAATACCTTCGAAAGGCACTACTCACTACTACTTGTAATTTCTGCTTCACTTCACTTACTTTTAGCCTCTTCATTGTTTTTCACTACTTGTCAAATCTTTTGACTTTTCACTTTGGTCTCAATCCATTTTTTAGAAGAAAATCATTGTGGTACACATAAGCTCATGGCCACCTTGAGTTGACTCGAGATCTTAAAAATGTAATTTACTTGATCATATATTTTAAATGGGGATCTTGGAGCTCAACAGGTTGTGTTGATGTTTTTTTTCTGATTCTCCGGATCGATTCGTTTTTTTTCACAGAAAACATAGTTTTTCTCTGATCTCTAAAGCACAAGCTTGGTCCCCCATTTCAAAATTTTCCATAAAACTTTAATTCCTAAAAATAATACAGTTTCTCATGCTTCATCTATTTTTTCCCATTTTATCTCATAGTTTTTTTTTTCTTCCTCCGTAGAATATATAATTTTGTGCCAAGAAGAGGAGCGTTTCTGTTCCAGTTGAATTGATTTGTCGAGTTCAATTAAAAATCACTTCTATGAAAAAAAAAAATATTGTTGTTATTGTTTTTTTTCCTCTGCTTGCTGAATGAATGATTTTCGACTAAGTTTTCAACAACACAAACAAAAAGAAACGTTTCATGAAAAGATGAAGAAAACAATGGTCCCAACGCGGCTAAAAACGAACAGCGGAAAAAACAGAGGAAAAAAAGTGTTTTTTCTTTTATTTTCAAACTTGGTTCGTTTTTTGTCTATTATATTTTGGCACTAAATAAAATAATACCACTTATTCTTCTTTTCTAAAACGTCATCACTCAATTCAAAACCCACTTTTTTGTGTGTGCACCTAATCTTTTTTATGATCTTTTTTTATAACTCCTCATTTTTTCACATTTTTTTGTTGGAAGAAATATGAGAATATACAATTTCCAGTCATATTTGCACATATGCGACGTGCATTTATTCTGAAATAGCTTTGGAAATCGAAATGGATGATTCACATTTGCCAACAACACCAATATGTCCAAAACAACAAATTATTGATATTAATGCTGGAACTATTTTGAGAAGAGAAAATTCCAGGTGAGTTTGAAAATTATAAAACTAAATACAGTGACCGTCAGTTTAGAAAAATTCAAATGTTTTTCCAACAATTTTGAACGTGAGACAATTTCCAAAAAAAAAAAAAATTTTCTCATTCCTAATTTTTTTCAGAAAAGATAATTTGTATTATGGTTGTCCAATTGCAATTGTTTTGGTGCTAATTATTTTCATAAAATGTGCTCTTTTATCAGTTTGGGTTCTACGAGAATATGATACTTTTGATTTTCGATGTACAGCTTGGGATTCGGACACTTCTTCGCTATTATTTCGAACAAAACGATGGTCATTATTGTTAGTTTTAAAATGCATGCAGATCTCAATTTTATTTGTTTTTTTTTTCTTTTTTCAGTACTGGGAACACCGATCCACGAAATTTCTCACCGAAACAAAAAAGTAAGAAGAAAACAATCAATGAAGTGATTACAATTGATAATTCAAATCGGAAACCGTATTATGGTAAATAAATTTTAGAAAAGAACACGTTTAAAAATGTTCAACTTTCAGGTTCAATGAAACTGAATGATACAAATGTGGAAATTCCAAAAATTGATCCAAAACTTGATTTTGGACCACTTCCACCCACTTTAAGAAGAAATGTAATTCAAGAGAGAAACGAAGAAGACGAATCAGAGTTTGAAGAAAAATTAGAAGATGATGAATTGCCTTTATCAACTATGGTTACGTTAACAAATACACAATTGATTCCTTTGAAAGGGGTTGGAACTGTTAAGTGAGTTATTTTACAATAATCAAAAAGTTTTATTCAATATTTTTAGAATGAAAACAATTCGTAATCGTGTTGAAAAAGTTGGATCTGATGAAGAAGAATTTATGGAAATTGATATATCTGATTCTCCTCGGATTTATGTTTCAAAAATAAAATCGAGACATGGTGGAGAAGAAGACACCGAAACACCAACTGATTTTAATATTCTTGATGATCTCAAGAAAAAACCAAAGAAAACAAAAGGAAAAGGATTGAAGAAAATGAAAAAGAAAATGATGGAAGAAGCGAAAAACAAAAATGAAACCCTTGTTTTGGATACTGTAGAAGATATTAAAAACAATTCGAAAGATGAGAAGAAAAAACGATTGAAAAATAAGAAGAAAAATAAAGAGAGACATCATAAGAAACATAATCATACTACTGAACAATTTGAAATGGAAACAACTAAAAATCCACGTCATTTGGTGAGTGGAGCATCGTTAACAAATGAAGTGACACCTCGACCAGAACATAAATCAAGTTGGATTGATGGAGTTGTTGATCCGAATGATCCGAAATTTTCAAATCAAGGCGAAATTCGAGGATATACAATGCAAAAAGCAACAAAAATACCAACGACGACACCAAATTCATTTGATTCTGAAGAGAAAATTCGAATATCAGAAAGAACAAGAAAAATGTGGGAAATGGATGAAGTTAAATTTACAACTTTTATGGCTCCAAAAACAACACAAATTACAAAACTCGATTCTGAAAAGAATTTAGAAGAAAAACCGGAATTTGTTGAAGAAAAAATAGAAAAAGTTGTAACTTATGAAGAACCAACAACGACTAAAACATTGACTTCGGAAGTTTATCAAATTTCAATTCCAATTGAAAATAAACCAAAAACATCATATCAACCACAAAGTATTTATGAGGTAAAAACAACAACAAAAAAGTTGCCAGCAGTATTTATTGGAACTACATCTGATACTTCAAATAACATTGAAGAAATTAACGATGCGGATACTAAAACGGTTAGTTTTCTGACTTTTGAAAAAAATTTGGTTCTAATTCTCAAATCTGTATCAAAGAAGATGAATTTTTTATAGATTCACATTGGCGATTCTTCTTCATATCCAAAATTATGGATGAATCAAGGAACAACTACAACAACAGAAAGACCGTATGATCCACAACATTTTGAAAATGAATTGAATAAGTTGAAAGATTCAACAATTTGTATGGCAAGAATGGCATTCGATGTTTGGTGTCTTTTTATGGTAACATATCATCAGAAATATCTTAATCCTCTAAAATACAAATATTTCAGTTGTTCTCAGCAGTTCCATTTGTTACTGGTATTTGTGTTCCACGCTGGAGTCTTTTTGTTCTTCACATTGTTTTTGATTTTCTTTTTCTTGTTATCGGTTTTGTGAGCAGTTTGACAATTGCAATAATGTCTACTATTATGTATTTTCTGATAGATGAGATGTCATCTGATGCTTTATTCGAATTTCTACTTGTTTCTTTTGTGACAGGTGAGTGCGATGGAAAAATATTATAGATATCAGTTTGTGACAAAACTGAAAAACTAAGCTTGCACAATTCAAACTATCTGAGGGGTTTGCTTTCTAAGATTACTTGCCAGCGCTTAATCACGTCTCGGGGAAAAAGTAGCAAGTTTTGCTTTTGAAAATTTTTAAAAACAATGTTGAAAAACTCACTTTTCCTCCAGTTTTCCTCGTTTTTGAATATCATTCAACTAAAATTCGATTCATAAATTGTTTCGACATTTCCATCATTTTCCTGACGTTTTTCCTGTAAAATAGAAATGAGTGAAATCTAAAAAAGAACTCCAAACTGAAGAAAAATTCAAGATGTACATTTTTTATAAAATTACTTTTTGAGCACCAATTTTAGTATAAAACTATCGAAAATCAACTAAACTTGTGTTTCTTGTACTAGGAAAATAGATAAATATGAATTTAACAACACGTTTGATTCAAATTCATGGAAAAACAACAAAAAAATACGTGAATGAAGAAATTCCGAAAAAAAAACAAGAAAATAAAAGTAAAAATGGAAGTGCGCCCTATTGATAAAAATTTCATGTTTCGCGCTCTGTCAAAAATGTGTGTGTTTCACACCCGTTCAAACAATGAAAAAATTAGAAATTTCTTTTATTCACACTGCGCCACAATTTGCAAAGGAATTAGCTAACCAAGTGGCAAAACTAAATATACCATTGAAATCAGCGCATCGAGATCTGTGTGAGACTACGCATTTCGAAATTTTTAGGGTCCTGCGAAGAAAGTTAGCAATCGCTACAAGACCCAACGCATGAAATTTATCATGCTCCTTTAATACTGTAGTGCGAAATATAACGGCGAACAGAGAGAATTAGACAAAAGTGTTTGCACAGTTTATTGTTTCGTTCTACAGTAGAAAACACTCATTGCGTTGCTTGAACGGGTGTGAAAAAACCAGAAATCCTAGAATATTTTATTTTTCACGTGAACCTCACTCATCTTTTTAAATAAATATCATTTGCGTTTTTCCCAATAAATAACTCATTTTTGCAGATATAATTCTAATAATATATTCTCTATTAATTGTAATTTCATATCGTTGCTGTTCTCGACTCGTCGAGAATTTCATCAAAGATTCGACCAATTCAACATATTCTAGTTTACCAGAACAAGTGTAGCATTTTTAGAGACAAATATTTTGATTTTATTACGGGACACAAATAAAGTATTCATCATATGTATAAAATTAATTTTCACTTGTTTTTCGAAATCTTCTATGCACCATTTTCTTTATTTTCTTCAGTTTTTGCGGCTTCCGCAGCTTCTGCAGCTTTCCGTTCTTCTTCTTCTGCAAAAAAATATAATAAATTAGTTATGAATCAAAAAACAAAAAGAAAATACCTTTGACAGCACGTTCTTTCCAAGATGCTTTATTTTCATGTAAGAATTTCATCCATGGTGTCGGAATGTCTAATTTTCCACAATAATTTAATGGAATTTTACGAATCGATGATGGTGAGACAGATGAATTACGCCTGGAACTAAATGTAGAATTTTGAAAACAGGCACTCAAATCAGATTAAAACATTCGAGCATGCAAAAATTAATCACAGACACATTTTAAAAACACCGAAAACTTACATATCTGGAAGTGGTGATAATGCATTGCTTGGTGATTTATCTTCGCCTTCAACACTTGGTGGGAAAAGCGAATCTGATGGTGGAAGTGACACCAATGGTTCGACCATTTTAACCAATAATTCCCCACAAATAACCATTGTTGGCTCAACGATAAAGTCAATAAAACCAATTTGACTGTCAGCAACATGAACTGTATGACGATCACAAAGTGGAGAATACGGTAAACCCATTGATGCCTCGAGATCTCCTTGTCGGAAAAATTCTTCAAGAACACCTTCAGTCCATCTTGAATGAAGATTCCATGGTTTTGAAGCATGTGAAATATCACAAGCATGAACAATAAGACACAACGCTTTATTCTTATCAATTCTGAAACAATTTTTTGTAATCTCTCGGTTATTGTAGTTTTGAAAAACAAACCCTTCAGGTAAACTAAGCATTGATTTCATTGTTTTGATTTGCATAAAATGTGTTGACATATCAGTTGCCAAAACAATCTCAATAACCATATTTCTTAATTCCTTATATTCATCTCTCGTCAAATGTGCCAAAATATTTTTATCGTCTTCTTTCATTAACCGGAAACATGAAGATACGTGATGATTTTCCAAAACACTTCGATCATTATACAACATCGCATAATTTGATCTTTAAGAAAATAATTTTTTTTAGAAAAAATGAATAAATTCGAAAATAAAGTTATCTTACTGTGATTGAATATGGAAATTATTAGTATGACCCGTGTGTTCATAATCATGAATTAATGCTCCAAAAATAACAGCCAATAATTCTAAATCACCCAATGAATTAGCTAATCCAGTTTGAGATAACATAAAATGAGATGATTGTGTAACATCCGCAGCATGAATTATATTATGATATGGATTATTATGTTTTGAATAACCAACTTCAAGTGCAGCAAGATAATTTTCCAAGTTTGAGAGTGGAACCTAAATTTAGATATTTTTCTAATCAAAATATTTCAACAAACTTTGAACCGATCCATAAATCCATATCGATTGAAAAGTTCAAAACCGACATATTTCAATGCATGTCCCTCAGAAACCTCATGTAATGTAAATGGATTAAATGACCAAGACGAAACATCTTTCATTAATTCGGCAATTTCCGGTGGAATTGGACAAGTCACCGCTTGTTGTTTACGGAACAATTTTTCGAAGAAAATACCAGTTCGAATTGCATTGGCAACCGATTTGAATTTTGGTTTGTCTCGTTTTTTACCCGCATTTTGACGGGTGAATGTGGCAGCCAACCATTCTCGAACTTCATCTGGAACTGTTTCCGGTGTCACTTCAGCCAAATCATCATCTTCGTCACAAATCCTCCTGAAACATTTGATAAGTTATATGTATTTTATAATGTTTTTAGTCACCCTCTCATTTTTCATAAATAATTCTTACCTTGTTTCATCCATATATGCAGTTTCCAAAACGAGAGCCGCATATTCGATATTTCTTTTCAAATCTTCGAGAGGAAGTTGTCCACTATTCAATTGATGTAGAATATATCGAAGTCTACAATTTTCTTTTGATTATGTATTTCAGTTTTCATTTTTCAATGGAATATATTTTAATTACCAGCTGATTGTTTTTTGAATATTAATTATACTAACCTACACGCATGTTTTCTCAGTACCAACTGATAAAATCCAAAAGTGTCCCCAACGATCATCATCTTTGAAACAGAATGGGAAGGGTTACTGTAGGGCTATTTAATTAATTGATAGAAAAAAAAGAAGTTGAGCCAATTAAAAATGAATAGAAAGTTTTTGAGTAAATAAAAAATGAAGAAGCTGAAGAAGAAGAAAAATCCACAGTAACCAAAAATAAATATGTTTGAAACTGGCGTGCTCACGAAAAAAATATAAAGTGGCTGATCCGAAAAGCTTATAAGATGTCTCCCAACTCATATGCTCCTCTCACATACACTCACTTCTGCTTCTTCTTCTCGCATATATAATTTTCTTTTTCGATTTTTATCATCATCATTTTCCTCTTTTTTTCTGATAAATATGCTCGCGCGCTCGCGAGATGAGCAGGCGGTTACCAAGGAAACTTATCTATAGTTGAACAAAAATGAAGAGAGGTCAAAAATTGGAGGCAAGAGGAGAAAATTGTGGAAGCGAGAGAAATAGAAAATAAAAAATATGAAGAACCCTACAAAATCCAAAATCCGGGATTATCTTCTTCGGGGGCCCAGATTTGTTTTTTATTATTTTTCCGACTCGCAAAACATAAACTAACTTCTCTAAAGATTCGAGGGCTGGAGCATTGTCATATGTTTTTTTAGTTGGTGAAGATGGTTGGGAACATGATTTTTCCGGAACTTGTGATCGACGTAGAAGACTTTTTGGTCGTTGATGTGCATCTACTGAAAATAAACAAATTATAATATTATTTTTTACGATGTTGAATTTCAGTATTTCCGCAAACTCTTTCTACTCAATTTTGTATTTTATTTAACTCATATTCACCATTATTCATAGATGTTGAAGGTGGCAATGTCATTGCACTGAAGACAAACATTTGTGGTCTTGGAAGTGGTGGCTTTTTTCGAACAAGTTCGAATATTTTGACAATCGGATTTCGAAACACGCATAAAGGTATTCCTGAAAACGCTTTTTGCGTTTTTTGTTGTTCCATTGTATGAGTAAAAAATTGAATGAGTATCTAATTGGAAAATCGGCGAAAAAAAGAAAGAAGAGATGAAAATTCAGATGGGAAAAACCGGAAGTTTGTTTTATGTACACCCAAAAACACCACAGATTAGATAGAAAACATTTAGGAAAATATATTTCGATCTTTTTTCCCGAGGGTGGAAGTTGGAAAAGAGAAGGGGATTCTATGCTCACCGGTTTTGAATATCTTTATCTCTCATAACACCTAAACCTAAGAGTCAGACAGATTAAACTCAAAATTTGAAATATTTGCTAGTTCTGAAACAAACTATTCTTAAACCACACTTCATAAACGTTTGTACAAAAACAATAAACTACAATAATTAATTAGTATTTTAGTGGAATAAAAAACATTTAGCCTCAATAGCAAATTCAAAAAAAATGTACGGATCATTTTTTCCGGGGACAAAATTTGAGTCTAGAGGTCATGGAAAAACCACTTTTACGCATCAAGTAGTTTTATAATACAATTTTATGAATAAATTGTATTCTGGAAAAAAAAGTGAGGGGGAATGCCTAAAATAAAGTTTTGACCATGTTTTTCGGCTTCTATTCTCCTTCTCCTCCTCCTACTTTTCCGAGCTTCTTTCCGATCTGTTGATTGACTTAGGATCTTTTTCTTCTTCTTCTTTCTTTTTTTTTCTCAAGCGAGTGCTTTTTGTCGTCGATGTTTTTTGATTGGATTTGGACACATCGCCAAAAATATGGATGGATGAATAGATAGAAAACTAAATTGAGTTTCTATTTTTCTAGAGTTAGAGTAGGAGGAAAATCATAAGTCAAGTGACTCTTGACAGTTTGAGGAAATCGTTTGGTCAATGAAAAAATGACTTTGTGTTTTTATAGAATCTCCAAAAAAACAAAGAAAAGAAGAAGCTGAGAATTAACTTCTTGTGCAACACACGACATGTTTTAATGAGCATTGCGAAATGAGAGAGCATAGAAAATTAAGAGAATTCAGAAATAATTAGTCACTTACATATCACTTCGTGTTCTTGTTTCCAATTTTGTTGGGCTCCATTCAAATCAAGCGGTGGAACTTTTCGAGGACGAATTGGTGGGGTCTAAATTTGAAAATATTTGTTTTATGGTGCTTTTTTTAATAGTAGGGGGTACCGTAACTTTCAAGATACAATTTTTGTAATCTTACAGTACCCCTCCTCCCTTTAAAAACTCACATGTTCTTCTTCGATTTGAATTCCAGTTGCTGAATTCAGCAATTTTTTGTCGCTTTCCCCATTTTCGCCACTTGTTGATGGTTTCAAAAGACAAAATGCATTTCGAAAACATCCACAATTTCCAGATGATTTTCTTGCTCGATTCATAACTTCTTCTATTTAGTTAGTTCGGTAAATATTTTCGTGTTTCTCCACTTTCTCTCTCTAAAAAATGATTCATTTTAATATTGCCAAAAAAAGGACAAGTACTTATTCAAAAAAAGGAGAAATTTTCGAATATTTGAATAATGTGCATTTGGCTATATATATATTGGATAAACTAAACACTTTTTTGTCGAATAACTATGCAGTCGCGAAATTTGAGCCTAATCGCTTTTGTTTTCTTCTTGAAATTTTCATTGTTTGAAATGAGAATACATTGCTCTGTTAGTTATTTAATGGAGCGAGAAGGGAAGAATTGTTGATTGCGTGACACATTGACATGAAAATTGGCACATTTTCAAAAATTCTACCATCTCAGAATTTTGAAGAAAGACATTTAGTTTCAGGGGTTTTGAAAAGAATTTGTTTTTTTTAATGTTAATATCAAACTGTAACTCATAGAAACTCAAAAAAAACGCGAAATGATTTTCAAAAATTGTACTAGGTATCTCAGAACTTGAATTAGAATTGTTTTCTGGAAATTCTACAAGCGAAATTGTGTTTTGGTCACAATTTTGAAAAAAATAATACATAAAGGTGAACATGGATTGAAATGAAAACGTTACTGTAGATAAATAAAAATTATATAAATTTAAAAAACGCAAAATAAAAGAAACTAAAGCACCAAAAATGAATTGACTCACACTCAAATTAGTATACACTACAAACAACTCGTCAGCTTAACCTAATAAAAAAGAGGACACAAAAACTCTTCTTTTTTCGAATTCTCTTCTTTTTTTGTCTCTTATTTCAAGCAAGTTCATTCATTTGTGACTGACTGACACTTTGACAGTTTCTAACTTTTTCTTTTCAAATTTCTCGTCAATTTTAATTGATGTACTGCTGAAAGACGATGCTCTTTTAATTATTCATAGATAATTTTTATTCGAATTTCATCTATAAATATCAAAAAAAAGCTGGGAGAAAAAAGTTATTAGATAAATATAATGACATATTTTTCCACACACACAGAATAAAAAAACTGAAAAAATAAGTCTAATTAAACCCACGACCACACAACAATAACAATGAGCATGTCAAGTGAAAAAAAGCGAGAAAAAAATTGGGCTATTCTTTTCGGTTTGAGAAAATATGTATATACAATGTACTCTGGGGAATTTTAGACGATTTTCAGACTTTTTTTGTTGTGTTGTATTAGATATGTTAAAAGAGAGCTCGAATTTGCTCGAAAAATAATTATAGGGATTTTTGATGTGAACTTTTTCTGTTCGAAAGGAAACGAGAAAAAAAGTGATGGGATAATTGTACTAAATTGTTTTTCAGAAAAATATTCAAGTACTTTTCAGTAATTTTTGATCAGAAATAGGTATCTAGATATTTCTAGAAAAAAAGAATTCCGAAAAAATAAGAAGAAGAAGAAGAAGGAAAAAATGAGGTTCGGAGGCCCTAAATAATAGGTACTTTATGGAGACGAATGGAATCTTTTTCCTCAAAAAAAAGAAGGAAAAAAAGAAAAAAATAATGGAGAAAAGAAAAACAACAAGAAAACATCCAATAAAATATATACAACAAAATAAATAAATTGTTTTTTCCTGTCGCTAAATTGTTTTGAACTCAAAATACCCAAGTATTTTCTGAATTTTTAGGCCAATAACTTTGGTAGAAGTCAAAAATATTTGAAAAATCAACGAGAAAAAACCAGTTGTTCTCAGACTTGGGATTTAGCTTAATTTCATTGATGTCTAGTTTGAAAAAATATTCAGATAATTTCAATAAAAAAAATATTAAAGCCCATAAACTGGGGAAACAACTAAATTCAAGCGACGCGCGCAAACAACATTCCGGCAACGCGGAGTATCGTTGTTTTATTTTTTATTTCTGAAAAATTTTCCCCATTTTTTGTAAGTTCTACAATCTTATTCAAAGATCTTGATTATTTTTATAAAAGAAACGTGTTTTTCTAAAATACTGAACGAAGACTATGAAGTTTTCATCAAGAAAAAAATCAAACATAAAAAATAGAAATATTCAGTAAGTATTATCCTATAATTGCATGTCCCAGAGGATTAAAAAGAACTTTTCTTTTCTTTTTCCTCTGTAAAATTTTTCTATTATTTTCTTTTTGGGAAAACAAAAAAGAAAAAACTCTAAGCAGGCGAGAAGAAGAATAAATAAATATTTGCATGAACAGATTATAAAAAATTTGAATTTCAAATTTGTTTTTTTTCGCGCTCCCAAAACAGGATTAAAATCTGGCATAGTGCTGACTGAAAAAAAAACTGACGAGCTAATTTAGTTCTTCGAAAAATATAATCCAAAAAAAATTTCCATGTCATTGAGCTCTCAGCTCGCAATTTCCGTCTCATTTTTTTTGTTCGTCAAACCAAAAAAATATTCGAATAAATAATTAACTCTATTATTATTATTATTTGGTATACGGTATTTCTAATTCTATAAAAAACTATTCGTCTAGAAGTTATTAATATCGGATCCGAAAATAATTTTCCGAAACTTTTAAAAATGTTTTACGGGAAGAAAAACTCATGAAAAATCTGATGTTTGAGGATTGAAAGAAGAAAGAAAGTGATAAGTAGTGTCAATACCACAGAAAATAATATTGAGAGAGAAAAAATGAAAACAGGTGGGAGAGATGGAACAAAAAGATCAAATTGAAAAGAAAAAAATAGAACAGATTGTGAAAAAAGTTCGAAAAGAAACAAAAATACTTTTCTGTGGGCAAAATGAAAATGTTCTAGAGATTCGAATTGTTTTACCACAATAACAAGAGCCCCGATTGAAAAAAAATAATTAATTCAAAAACAGTTTCATTGTTTCATTCGCCCTTCAATTTATCAATATCTGTATCAGTTTCAGCTGGTTCTTCGACAATTTCTTCCATATTTTCTTTTCCTTTTCCATTCAAAAACTTCGTATCAACCCAAACCCAAATCACAACTGAAATAAAACCAACAAGTGAAATAGCAACAATCACGGAGAAAATAATTATAAATATCATTGAGGCATCTGCTCCATTTTCTAAATTATTATTTCGTTTTTCCAAACAGAATGAGTAATGAGATTTGATAATTCTCCCGTGTTCAAAACATTCCTCATTTTTTCCTTTGCAACTTTTTATATCACTACAAAGACTGAGTTCGACTGAATCTGGTTGGATTGAATGTTTCCATTCAGCAAATCGTCTTCGAGGAACAAATGGTCCTGGAAATAAAAGAAAATATTGGAAAATAGAAGAAACTAACGATAATAGCAAAACATTTCTGATTTATCATTGAATGCTTTTCCACAAAAGTTATCCTCTCCGCAATCCTTATTTTTCGAACATTTTTTCATAGCTCTATTCCCCGAATTATAATCTGAAAAAATGTATACATGTAAAATATATATAGTAGATTCTTATTCTTACCAATTGGTAGCAAATCGAGTTGATCTTCTATTCTTTGATTTGTATCAACTTCATCGCGATAAACAAATGCGAATGGAAATGCTGAAAATGTGAAACTTAAAATTGTTTTATTGAGAAATCTAATATATCATACATACCTTCTAAAGTTGACATATTCAAGAAACCATTTTTGTATCTTTCAAAATTGTTTGACTTTTTTCGAAAACAATATTTTTGCACTTCGTCCACACCACAATTTGAATTCGAAGCTAGTTCACAAGTTTCATCCGTTGAACAATGCGATGGTTTATCACAAGCTTTATAGCTTTCTTTTTCCTTAACAGCAAATTGTTGATTTGAATCCCCTTTCTTTATTGGAGATGCACAAAAATCCGTTTCACAATCAATATCCTTAAAATTGTTGATTGGTTTACATCCAAAATTAATTATAGTTCCACAGATTTTATCGTTATCTTAAATTTCAGAAAATATATTTTTTCCAATGACCAATTCTTACCACAACAATAATAGTCGTTTCCATCGAAAAATTTCGTGTAAAACCCGACGCATGGTTTAGTTGCGTTTGATTTCCTACATTGTTTCTCTTTATCAATACATCCAGATGAAATTGTTGGTATAATAAAGAATAATAGCCAGAAAATATTCATTTTTGTGATGAAAAAAATTGAGAAATAAACTACTTACGAAATGATGATATCGACTTCTGAGTTGGCAACGTCACGTGATTAATGAATGATCTTTTTATTCTTTTTTGAGAAAGATTTTGAATCGGGCTCAAAAATTGATATTTTGGGTTCCAGAATCGGGAAATTTTGAAAAATTGGTCGGATTCAGAAGTTCTCTCAAAATATCGGACCTGCTAAATTAATTTAGATATAACTTCCGATTCCAAAAAATTTGAATGTCAATTTTGTAATTACTTCCCCCAAACACGAACATTATGCCGGAAATTATTTGTCGATAAAAACCCCGCTGTCTGTGTCGTTTTGTCCATATTCATTCATATTTATTCAATTCAATTCAATTCAAATTTTCTATGATTCATTCGGAAAATTTTGTTGTGAACATATGAAGTTGGTCAAAAATAGAAATTGAAAATCATGCATGCACAATCGATTTTTCATTTTCATTCACTGTTTCTGTTCAGTAATTTATTTCTATTTTAATTTCAACTTCGAAAAAATATAAAGCTTTCGTCATTTTGTATACTATTGATTAGATAATTTATTTGGTGTCTTTTCTATTATTTACTTTTGTATGTTTGTACAATTTTTCATGCACGTTAAACATTTTTTGTTCATTTCTTCTTCCTGAAAAATCAAAATTAATTTTATTTATTCAAAATTTGTCATAAGGGAACGGGAAATTTGAACAAAAAACTGTCCTTGAACATTTTCAACATGTATTGTTAGTTTCGGAAAATGAAAAAATATAAACCCTAAACAAAATAATATTTCGTCTCGTTTTTTCTATTTCACTTGATGATATATATTACCCAATAACAACAAAATTAGATATAAATCAATCTGACACCTTTACGACCTTGATATATCATCTTATTATTTATTCATCATTCCTTTTGTTTTTCTGTTCTATTCTGATTCATTCAAATATTTATCAAATGTAGATCAAAAAATATTCAAATAAATTCCACGCGTTGACCTCGTTTTTTTTTCTCTCTCAACTCATTTCTCGTTTTTTTCATTTTCCATTGTCAATTTTTGGTTCAATAATAACCATACAGTCACTAATCCTTTTTTATTCTTTTCATCAAAAATGTCAGTTTTGTTAGTTCTCTTTCAATTTTCATTTTTGTGTGTTTCAGTTCGAAATTTCCGCCATCAGCATATGATAAGTTTGTCGTTCCTCGTCACTTTTTTGGTGACGTGGTTATTGGTGATAACAGTTGCAACGGAAATGTGAGTAAAAATTGTATCGTTTGGGTTATGTTTAGAACTTTGTATACGACTTTTTCAGTGATTTTTTTAAAAGTTCTTCGTAATTTGTTTATCAGTTGTCGAAAATGATAAAACAAAAAGTTGTCTATCCACATACAAACTATGTACAGTAATCCGCAAACACTTTTATTCAGAAATTCTCCCACAAACTTTACTGAAGAAGAAGTTGGTAGTGGTGAATCATGGTCGAATGATATTCCAACTTTAACTGGAGAAGAACCTGATATTTTACGAAGTACAGTACCAAAAACAATATCAAAAAGAGCAACTAATGTATTTGTAAGTTATTCGAATGTTTTCTGCTCAAATTTTATACAATTTTTATTTTTTTTTTTTAGTATAATGGAATTTTGGATCGCGAATTCTTCTCAATTTTCACTTATTTGAAACCAATAATTCCAAAAAATGCTGTTATTCCATTAAATCGACAATTACAACGAGGTTCCGGAATTCCACAATCACAATATATTGCATTATGGAAACCACGTGGAAATGCTCCACATTGGGGAACTATTTCAGTTAATTCGGCTGGAAAATTAGATGGAACTTTTGTGAAAGATAATCGAATTTATAATTTATCGAATCCAGATTTGCAATCAACACCAGTTCGATTATTACAATATGTTGGAAGTGAAACAACAAATAATTTCAGGTGAGAAAATTACTTACAATCTTGTTAGTTTTTTGGATTTTACAGAAAAAAAAATTAAAAATGACGTAATCATAGGTGTCAACAGAAACAGAAATTTCAAATTATTGAAATGTTTTTCAAGAGAACTTCATGAACAATATTTTTGGATTACTGTAGGTTGAAAAACATTTTAAATTTATGACGTCATGATTGTGCATATATGTGTCAATAAAATACACTTCAAAATTATTAATATGTTTCGTGAGATACAAACATTTCGGAACTCGAAGGTTACTGTGTGATGATAAATCTTTTAGAAGTTATATTATTCTCATTATGTAAGAATTGTGTCAACAAAAACATACATTCCAGATTATTAAGATGGTTTTTCATAATTACTGTAGGATGTTTTACTGATAAGAAAAACTAATTGCTGTAAAAATCATTTTTATATAAAAAATTGTAAAAATTTGAGGTTTTTTGGGAAGCATTTGTTTAGTTTGTTTACGGGAAATTCCTGGATCCTAAATTAAAAAATGATAAACTTTGAAATTTTGAAAGTATAAAAAAACTATGTTTCCAGATTTGCATGGATAAAAGCACTTGATGCTGATTTGGCAACAGTTGTATCAGAAAAAGAATTGAATTTATGTAGTGCTAGAATGGCTCCAGCTGTTTTAAGAGAACAAGGATTCGAATTTCTCGGAGAAGCAAATATCGATACTCGAACAATGTATTATGTTGATAATGGAATGATACATTCTGTTAAAAATGTAATGTTTTTTCTTTTGTTAAATCAAAATTCATTTAAAACCAGAAGAAATAAGAGATCAGAAAAATACACGTAAAACCCAAAAAATAAAATGAAAATCCTAATAATGATAATGATATTTTGCAGGATTTGTATACAAATAATGTATATCTACTAATAAAACAGCAATGTCAATGCTCTTGTCCAATAACAAATTATTATTAGAATAAAGAAAGAATTGCAAAAGTAGATGTTTATATTTGATTTGAATACGGGTTTAGCGACGGATTCTTTTTTTAATTCCCAATTTACTGTGATAATACTGATGATTATAATTTCGAATTGAATTCCTCATGAATATTTTTCTCTTTTTTGATAACTGAAAATAAATTTTTTTGAACTTTGTCTTTTTTAATAACTTAGAATAGACATTTGTCGTTTCAGGCCAAAAAATAAACTGAATATTTTTTCCAGAAAACCGGAATATCAGTTTCTTGAATTTTTTTTTGTAGGATTTTCCAGATTTTGGCTTTCAGAGACAACATTCGAAAAACCCAGTTTTTTGGAAACAATCTCAACGAAACTTAAACATATTATGTTTTTTTTCAAATAAGTCACTACCACAGCTTTGTAAGTAGGATTAATTTCCGAACTAAAAAATCACTTTAAAATGTTCGATTAAAAAACCGGATATTTTCCTGATTTCACTATTCCAAAACCCTGACTCACAATTTCATTATTTTTGCGTTCATTTTCCGAATAATCGAAATCTTTGAATTCCATTCGATAAACAATCCAATCATCTAATACTTTCCCAGCATTTTTCTCAATTATCAATTCGGACAAATCCATCGGCCAACCAAGATCATAATTTTTCTGATATAAAAAATTGTAATGTTTTTCTTTTGAAATAATAATTCTCACCTTCATTAATGAAATAAAACTCAAAATTGAACAAGTCGAATAAAGTAGAACTAAAAACAACAATAACTTTTTGAATTTTTTCATTTTGGAAATGAAACCGTGAAATAATGCAATATTTACATAAAACGAACGAGGAATAATATCGATTATTTTTATCATAAAATTTCACACGCGACCTGGAAAAAATAGAAAAATTTTGGAGAAAAAGTACGAAATTTTAGAGATGATGAAAAAAAAAATAAGTAAGACCTAATAAAAAGATGTGAATTGGGAATAATGGAGATGTTTAGATTTGTCATCAGAAAAAAAACATAATGACTTTTGGAAAATATATGTACAACTATATATATCGATCATTTTCGGAAGCAAAAATGACAATTTGGAAATGTACTTTGTAGGAAAATATGACTATTAGAAATTTGATGACGAATTTTGCAAAAATTTATTTTTAATTAAAAAATCTGAAATTTCCCTGTTTAATAGTTTGAAGAGGTTTCCATTAAATTCATGAAACATTTCATATAACAATCAACAAAAACAAATCTAATTCCTACATTTAAAGAAAATCTATGAATATTGTTTATCGGCAACTTGTTTACTATAATATTCTCGATGAATTTCGTTGGTTGGACTGTATAGTTTTTTATCAGCTAAAGAGATAACTGAACCTGCTGGAATTCCATGGAAAACCTAAATAAGATATATATTTTCTATTTCATATTTCAATGAGATTTTACCTGATCAACAGTTTTCAATGGTTCAGTAACCATTTCATGATCTGGCAATTTATATCCTCTAATATTTGCTAAATTAATCCGATTATTTTCAATATCAGATTCATCAGCTAAATATCCACGATTCTTTGCATCCATATAATAACCGATCAATGTTTTTGGTGGTGCCTTTCTTTGTGGAACAACATTTCCTTTTTCAAACCATTTTTTGGGATCAATTGCTGCTTCCAATGCATTTACATCATAATACGAAGTTCTTATTCGTCCACCAGCTTTTTCCACAGCTGCAATTGCGGATTGTGTTGCATACTGAACTTCGATATCAATTGCATATGGAAAAGAATCGGCTCCTTCTTCAGTCAAATCAAATCCATATTGTCTGATATTTGGATTAATTTGGAATTTTTGGGTTCGACAAAGTGTTGAAATATCAATTGGTTTACTTGGATCAATCCATCCCAAATCAATTAATCGAGTCAATTCAATCAACGATAATGGAATATATTCACGACGAACACTGCAAAAAATACATGAAATCTAAAGAAGTATTATTTATCAACCCAAAAACTCCCACGTAATATTCAAAACATGCATTTTTGATTATTTTTGAGTTCCGGATTTTTTGTTGAGTTTTGACATTGATGAAATTCCACGGAAAAATGAAAGATTTCGAAAATGAAGTATTTTGAACTAATTTTTTAGGTTTGAAATGAATCTCGTAGAAGATTCAAATTCTTTTAACAGAAAAGCGAACTCACTTGATATCAGCGTTGAAATGTTTTTCTCCTGGAAACATTCTTTGCCATGGTCGAAAGAAATCACCCCAAATCCATCCGAGTGGTGGTTTTGCAGCACGTTCTAAGGCACCTTGTGTATGTCCCATCTAAATAAGGAAATATAATTTATTATTGAAAAAAATCTTTAAAATTTTTTCAATTTACCTGATTATTTGCTTTTCTAACTTGTCTTCCACTGGTTCTTGCTCCCAGATTATCTCTTGCATCTTGAATTCGAATTTTCGACGCTTGTTCTACAATTTGCAGAGCGCGCTCTTTTGCACTTCTTAAAGCCTGTGACATCTAAAAATACATTTTGCCTCCTGTTTTTCAAATCTTAAAAAAATATTAGGAAAGGTTTTGAACCTCGAAATCATAAAAAAACAAGACTTTAATAACAATACATATAATTTCATAGACACGTAGTAAACATTTTTAGGACCCTAAAAGGGTATTTGGTGAACCGTTAGAATAAAAGAAATGAAACTATCACTGTAAGGAATGCCAAAAATAAAAGAAAAAATACATCAAAATTATGCACAATGTTGAAAAATTTGAAGTTATTCAAAAACTTGGTAGGCTAATGTTGAAATTCGTTGACGACGAGTGGCAACAAAAACACCAGCAGCACCTGAAGGTTTAATATTAAATTAAACTGACAAATTGTAAACTAACCGATAGAAACACCAATAAGAAGACAGAAAATGGCAAGAACAAACATGGCACCTCCAGTATAACCGAGGAAATCAGATGGTGTATTTGGTGATGGATAAAGTGTAACCGATTTTGCGTTGAAAACCCATTCTTCTTTAGCTCCATCGTTTTTCAATATTTCCAGAGGAAGTTTTTCGTCAAAAATTGTTTGGTTTACTAGTTTCCAAAGATCTTCAGTCGCGAGTTCTGTTGTAATATTATAAAATGTCGTGTTTGCAGGAGGAACAGAAGTTTTGTCCGAAATACGTAACATTGTTTGTAAGCCTCCATCTGCTGTTTGTGTCTGAAACTTTTTTTTTTGATTTTCAGAATTCAACTTTTGAAAAAAAAAGAAAAAAATATGTTAAACTCACCCAGAACACAAGAATACGATAAGGGATAACTGGAGCCACATTTTTAGAAATAGATTCAACAACAGCCTCATTCAACGCAGTCAACCCAACATTTTTCAAGTCAGTCACATTTTCTTTAAAAAAACAATAATTGAAAATACATATATTTGTAAACAAAAACTTACTATTTTTCAAATCCACAACGCATGTATTATTTGAATATTGTCCATTTTCATAACAATTCGAAAGTCTTGCCAAATCAACTTTTATTTCCGATGTTCTTTGAATTGTGACAGTTATTCCCAAGTGACGAGTTCCTTCGTGGAAAACAGCAAGTTCGATTATTTCCAGTGTTTCGGCATCAATTTTTACTTCATGAATCGTTTCTTCGGTCAGATGGTATGCTCGGAAATTTCGAATTTTTCTACCGAGCCAATTAATTTCTGATTGATATTCATCGAAACGAAGAGTTTGATCAACAATTATAATTTCGAATGGTTTCAATGTTATAAAAGTATTATTGTCTTTCAAAACATCAGAAGTAACTGCAGAAAGTGTAGAAAATGATGTGCAAGAGTCATCAGACATTGTAAATTCATAACCTGAAATTATTTGTTTTAATCTACTTGTTTTTCTTTTGTTTGATATTTCTCACCGTGTTTAAAATCGTGTAGAACATAATTCGTTCGATTTCTAAAATACAATGGAGCAGCTTTGACCAAACTGACGCCCAATTCGAAATTTTTTTCTCCAGAGAACGAGAAAACATTCTGACTCTTTGAGTAAAGAACATTCAATATTTGAGATTTATTAGTTGCGTGATCAAAGTAGTTCAAAACTCCTGAAAACTCGGAAATCGGATTCAATGGAAGCATGGTTGAATCATTTAAATTTGTGCATCGAATTCCATGTTCAATCTAAAAAATAGTATTTTATTTATTTATATTCAATGTTTATATAAATAACTTTTCATATTCATGAAAACGCAAATTTTTTAAAACTCACAATAGCTTCATTTCCAACCGGTAGATCATAGCGATCCATTTCAATCGAAATATGAGCAATTGGTGTAGTGCCTTAAAAAATCTTGTTTTGTCAACCAATTTTTTAAAAACCCACTGTTAAAATCCGCCAGTTCAACCAATCTTATTGAAAAAATCATTGGATTTGAGGAAAAAACTGGGGCGATAGATTTATCTCCAGAATATCTGATTTCCACCACAAACGAAGAATTTCCTGATTTCTGACAGGAAACCCACTTATTTGTGATAAGACCACCAATAATTTCTTGACTTCCATTGATCAAAAAACCAGTATGTGTTTTAGCAGAGTTTAAAAATCCTTGAATAATCGAGTAATACGATGATGTGTCATTTCCAATTATCGATATAAAGTTTGGATTCGAAATTATTTGTGGTTTTGGTGCATTTCCAATACAACTCCCACCTTAAACATAATATATTATATATATATAGATTCTTTCAATATTCAAAATGAACTTACCAGTAGCATTTACATAAAAATGTTTTTGATTTCCTTTCAATTCCTGAATCCATCTTTCTTTTGTCTTATCTTGCAAAATTCTTTCCAATACTCGATAATCCTCATCAGATGATTCAACTAAAAGCGATGTTGTTGCTTTTATATAATCCGAAATACTTCCAGAAATTTTATATACATTTTCAGGAAGAATTTTATCACTGATACTTGTCGGAGTTGATGGCGGATTTAGACACAAATCCAAAAGTGAGTGAAGTTCTTGACATTGTGCCAAATAAACTGCCAAAAGGCAGAATATTAGCAATTTCATGAATATCTGCAAACAGGAAAAGTTATAATGAAATAGTTCTTTTTGTTGAAAAATAAATGTTTATCTTTGGCAAAACAAAATGAAAAAAGGGAATGACACATTTGCGATAGAGCGAACTTTCAACTAACGCTTTTTTTACACTTTTTTAGAGCACAAAACGAACACCAATACCACTTTTGTTTATCTTCAGTTTTAAAAACGGTTTCAAACAATAAGAAACACTTTTATTTCTAAAATGCGCCGCCCGAAAATGAAGAAACATTGACCCAACAAATATTTGGTCTCGTTGGGAATTTCGTTTTCGTTTGAAAAAACCGTAGTAATTTTAAAGGATCTTGTTTTTTTCAAATCTTCATTTTTATTGATGCTCTCTGCAAAATTTGATATAAATCGATTTTTTGTCGTCCTAAAATTCGTTTGTTTCCAGCGACAAAATGACAGCGAGAACAGTACCATCTAAAATTGTTATTGCTGGTAACTCAAAAATGTCACTTAATGACAGGTAATTTTATTGTGATTGAGCGGAAAAGGTTTCAAAATAAGTTGTATTTTTCAGATTCGCAAGTTTGCCAAAAGCTCGACCACAGCCACAGTTTGCGAAACCAAAAAGACATGTTTTTGGAGAAGTTGAATATACTGTTCCTCGTTTCAAGAGAAATCAAATCAGAAATGCGAGAGGTGTTCCAATCGATCAACGAGTATCTTTTCATCAAGCTCCAAAAATAGTATATGTTCCTGTATCAAATGGAGTTCCATTCAAAAGAAATCAAAAGTTCATTGGTGCCAAAAATTTTGTGAATAATCCAAAAGTTAACAATTTCAAGAGAAATAACTTCAAGTGAGTTTTCATACATAAAGACAAGAAAATGAATGTATTCTTTTCAATTTCAGACCAAATCAACAATTCAAACAACCAGGTGGATTCAAAAAACAATTTCCACCAAGAAATCCAAAATTTGTTGCACCAAAAAAGAAATCAGTGGCCGATTTGGACAAAGAATTGGATGATTATATGAGAAAACCAAAGCACACACCAATTACAGTATGAATAGTTTCGAGAAAAATTCCAAGATCATCAACAAACAAATCGGGCCTATTTTATGTTAATTATCTACTGTACGTTTTCAACAATTTATTCTGATTTTTTGAGAAAAATATTAAAGTTTTCAATTATCTAATGATTTTATGGCTGTTTCGCAAACACGTATTTGATCTTCCCACATCCAACTGACAGTTTTTGGCATCTGCAAAAATAATGAAATGAAAAAAAACTAACAAATTCAAATACCTTCTTGGCTTTCTCAACAATTCCATTCTTCAATTCAGTAAGAATGATTTTCAATTTCTCTTCTATTATATTTTCAACTTCTTCTTCAATCGGATCATGTGAATATATTATTTTCTTCCACCTCGAATTAGCCCTGAAAATTCATTTATGAAAAAAATATTATGAAGAATGTTGAAAATATTACATTTGCCAATGTTCCAACAAAAGTATTCGAATATTATTTTTGAGTGCCCAACTTGGTCCTTCATCAGTTGCATAAAGATGACTTGGAAGACCAACTTCATCGAGAATCATTTCGTGTTCTCGAGTTACTTTAATTTCAGCTATCTTAGCCAAAGTCACAAGAACTTCTGTAAATAAAAAATTATTGGACTGAATTCTGAAAGACAATTCTACCTTTTGGAATCAGGACTTTTGTATTCATATTTCCAGGAACAGTGAATCCATATTCAATTAATAATCTAGTATTTGAATGTGGTCCATAACAAACAAATATTTGATCACCTTCAGAAACACTTTTTTTCGCTCTCACAACATATTGTCCATTAACTTTTTCATGTAATGCAATTCCTTGAAATTCTGTTGGATCATGATTTAACATATCAACAAATGGAATAACAGCAATTGTATCTCCATCAGAATTATCCACTTTATCGTGTTCAATATTTTCAACAAAAATACATCGTGTATTTACAACATGCCAAGCCCATAAAATCTTGTCTGCTGTTAATTCAGGAAAAAGTCGAAGTAATTTTGTTGTAATTTGTTCAATCTCCAATTTCTGATCAATCCAGTATTTTCTAATTTCAAGTGGCAATTCTTGTAAATTATAATCAATTTTTTGAAATGCAGGAGTATCAAATGTTTGTGGCAAAACCTTGAGATATGGAGACCAAGCTGATTTTTCCAAATCTTCAAAACAGAAAAACATTGTTAGAATTTCCATTGGTTTCATTTTCTCCTCAATATTTTTCGTCAATTTTCTATAAAAAGGAAGATCGATAACCAGTCCAGCTGTAATCATATCATATTCTGGAATTGATATCATAATATTTTCCGGTCGAAAATTTCTCGTCGCATAAATTCCATTTCCACAATTCTGGAAAAAATAATGAACTTGAAGTTTCATATTAATTATTTAAAAGTACCCCAGGCGGTTTTGTAATTTCCAATCCATCGAATTGATAACCTCTTCCTTTCGCCCATTTCACAAACTCCTCCATTTCTACAAAAACTGTCAATTTTTTTTCAAATAACATTTTATAATTCATATGAATACAAAGGTAATTCAACCGCACTGAAGTAAAAATAATACTTTAAAACAAATCTATTCATTAACCAAACAAAAGTTTACACGTAAATCAACTTCACTGGAGATCAAAACATACCGGTTTAGGAAATTATGGAAAATTCTAGTTATATAAAATCTAATTACACATCAGAATTACTTAATTTTTCGATTTCTTCGACAATATTATCTCGACGTCTGTAACAAGTTGATTTTTTTAAAGGAAATTTATCCAAAATATTTTCGGAAAATGACGTGGAAATTAAAAATGTTCAAAATAAAAATACAAGATTTTGCACGTTTTACATCAAAATAAATCAAACTTCGCGTCTTATATTATCTCGCAATTGTTTTTTTTTATCAATAAAACCTACCTTTCAAAATCTTCGACAAAATCAAGCAAATTCTTCGATATGTTAACAAAAACTCCGTTTTTCTTCTCATTTATAAATCCATTTTCTATAATTTCTTTATTCATTTTTTCTACAAAAGCAGAAATTTCTGGATCTTGTTTTTGACACAATTCTGAAATTGATAAACAATTTTCCTCGACTCTATCCACTAAACTGCAAAGTGTATCAACGACATCCGAATCAGCATTATTGTTCTGCAAAATAGATTCAATGATGGATATTTTCATATGTTTCAAGAATCTTGGGGTGTTACTTCTAAATACTATTTTTTGAGCACTTACGGTTTCACGAATAACGGAAAGTGTTGAAGTTAGAGCAACATCAATAATATCAACGTTTTCTTTTGTCGAATCAGTATCATCTTTGTTTTCCAAATTCTTTTTGTTTTCTGATGTTTGTTTTGGATAAAGATTGCAAATATTGCAAATTTTATTATTAGGAAGTCCACCAATTCTAGAAGTTCCTGCACCAAGAGCTTGAATGGCTGAAAACTGTCCGATGTTCAATTCGATATCTTCTGTGTACAACATTTCCACCCATAATGAATAATTAACGAAGAAACGCCATGGTTGAAATCTTGCAGTAGGTGGAACCAATTTAACAAATGGATTGTTCAAAGGATTCAATTTCATCAAACGATCAGCACAATATCTGAATATTTTTAATTAGATTTTTTTATTGAAAAATTTAAGAAAAACCTATCAGTTTCCGAATTTATGACGCAAATAACAATTGTTACATAATGCATATTTTTGTTGCAATAAAAATCAGCAAAATAAATATTATGTTTATCTGGATGCAAAAGTCTAACAGCATCAATACACATTCGAACATTACCAAATGGTGATTGTTGTGGAAGAGTTAGATTTGGATTTAAACGAGCTGAGAAAAATAATCCATTGATTTTTCCATTAATTAGATTTCCAGGTTGGCCATTATCATCTTTGATATATTTTTGCATCACATCATTACAATAATGATGAATTTCATCCCAATAAATTTTTGGTTTACATCTATACATCATCCAGAATTCATGCATTTCAACATCATTGTTCAACTTTTTTGTTACAAATGACAAGCATTTATTGTATAAAGTTTTCAATTCGCTGTAACTGAATTCTGCGCGAACTTCTTTTGTCCAATGAGCAAGAATTTCAGAATTTGATGTGGAAATGCATTTTATATCAATTCTAAAAATTTCACTTACAGAAATCCAATAAAAATGTTTTCGTTTTTACCTGTAAGTTTCTCCAGCTTCAACTTTGAAATCGAAAAAGGGTGAAGTCGGACTGCGCTCGATTGATTTTCCTTCGTTTGTTTTCACATTAACATAAGTGATATCATATTTTACCATACCTTAAAAAAATAGGATATGAAAAAACCAAGAATTTTTAGTTCTTACGTTTGAATTCCGAATGCACCCAACGTAGCTCTATTTTCTCTGAAAATACCAACATTTTCACATCAAGCACAGCTACATCAAATCGTTTCGACAAGTTTTCGACTCGTTTGCGTTTTCTTTGATGCATAGAATCACGTAGTTGTTGTCCTGTTTTCAAACCCGGAACATGTGTGTCTAAATCCATTTCAACTTGATAAATCAGAATTGTATAAACTAACTTTTTAAAAGGCGTTGGCGAGCAACTGCATTCATATTAGGAACTGCATAAGGAGCGCGTGCATATTGTTGATTGAATGTTTGAGCCATCAAACTTGGCGGATTCACATTGTTATATCTACCATAAAATGGATCATTCTGCCAATTGGAATCATTTCGTGGCATATGATTTCGCATAACTCCGCCACCCGTATTATTCGCATATGGTCTCCATGTATCTGGACCATTGTGCCAAGGCAAACCCGCATTCCACATTTTTATGTTTTCATTCAACAATTTTCAAATGAAAATAGAAAACAACAAGACTCCGCGTGCATGTTGTTTAGCGAAGAAAACAGCAACGTTGCTCCGATTGCCTGACGTTTAGCAGCCAGGGAAAATGATCGATTATTCATTTTGTTTCACGCGTTTCCCATTTTAGTTCGTCCCAATCCCAACAATTTTGAAATAATTATTTTCTTCGTTTCAGTGGTACTTTGAAAACGTTTTAAAACCATCTCTCGTTGTGCAAATACGCATATTCATACTTATTAGGCCGCGTTCTTTTTTACGCATTTCAATTAATTCAAAAATGAAAAGCTAAAATAATTTTTTAGAATGAATATCCGAACCTACTGTTTTCTGGAGCACGTTAGGAAATAATTAATTCTATAATTTACGTCAAGTGTAAAAGTGCATTTGAATTTTGGTAATTTCTAAAAATAGTTTGTTGCGGTGATTTTGTTATTGTCCTAGGTCACGACTTGAGCTGTTCACTTTCACCAGTTCTCTTTTTCCTTGATTTTCTTCATTTACCAAAATAAAATTATTTTTCAGAATAACACCCGATGTCAAGATAAGAAAAACAAACATGGATTCACCCGACCCAAATTCTTCGGTGCTGGTCGATCCAACTCCTTCATCTTCTGAATTTTATGAAAATGGTAGTACGAGTTCTCGACGGGCAAATGTTGAATGGGTCGAAATTGTTGAACCACAATCAAGACAAACAATGTACGCGAATTTGGTGACGGGTCAATGTGCATGGGAACCGCCAGAGGGAGCAAATGTGAAATTAACACATGCAAATCAATGGTGGGAGTTATTTGACTCAAAAACCGGAAGATATTATTACTATAATGCTGCATCGAGTATAACTAAATGGCAAAAACCAGTTGGAACAGAAAATGAAAATATAGATATTATTCCTTTAGCAAAATTACAAACTTTAAAAGAAAATACTGAAGGAAGAACATCTCCGAGAATACGAAGAACTTGTGAAACACAAACAAGTCCATCTGTTCGTCGAATTCAACAACAACAGCAATTAAACAATGTTTTTGCTCAAAATATTTCACCAGAAACAGGAATTGTTTCATTTCGAAGTAATAGTCAGAATTCTCAGAATACAATGAATGGAATGCAAAGTTCATTCGAATGGATGTCTTTAGAAGATGAAAATGATCGAGAATATATTCCATCAACTGGAACATTTCCAACAGTTCCTAGTGCCACATCAACATTATCACATGCTCCATCATCTGATTCTATTCCTGCGCAAAGATCTTCAAGAAGCACTTCTCCACCTCCAAGTGCCAAAAAATCATTATTTTCTTCTGTTACTTCAACCAAAACAAAAAATAAAAATGGTACGCTCATTTCTCTCAATATACTTTGGAAAAATGAAACTTTTAAATTTCAGGTTGGTCAAAAGAATCACCAAAAGTATCTCTAACTCAACCAGAAAATAAAGGACTTCGAAAAGAAACAAGTTCACTCTTCAAATTAATTCAAAGTTATATGGGGGATCGTAAAAGTAAAACGAATCCTGAATCAATTGCCTTGTCATTTTGTGAAACTGCAACTAAAAAACAAGAAATTGCTGATGAAGCAATTGCACTTCTAATTCAACAATTATCGGATAATGAAAGACCAGACAGTTTAAGACGAGGATGGGAACTTTTAACAATTCTTTTGGCATTTATTTTGCCTTCTGAAACAATCAGCGAAAAATTGAATGAGTTTTTGAACAAACATTTAGACCCAATATTCGATCTTCCGGAAGTTTCCATGTCTTATTTCTCTCAACAATGTTTGAAAAGACAAAGTAAAGTGATTGCTCGACTAAAACCAACAATTTCAAATATCCAAGAGACTAAAATCCATATTTTCCGTCCTCCATTATTTTCTGCATCTCTTGAAGAATTAATGCAAATGCAACAAGAAAAGTTTCCAATGCTCAAATTACCTTGGTTGCTCACAACTCTAATTGAATTATTATATCAATCAGGAGGTCGAAGAACTGAAGGAATATTTCGGTTTGTTTTTACTTGTTTCTTTGTTTTGCATCAAATCAGTATATTTATTTTCAGAGTTGCTGGTGATCCAGAACAATTAGCAACTGCTCGAGGACAATTAGATGCGTGGCACGCTCCAAAAATGCACGATGCCAATGTGCCAGCTTGTCTACTAAAATTATGGCTTAGACAACTTCCTGTCCCATTAATTTGTCATAATTTTTATTCAAGAGCTTTGGCAGCCGCTGAAAATCCACAAGAAGCAGTTCGAATTGTTGATTTGCTTCCGGATATTAATCGATTGGTTCTTGTTAAAGTTATCGCTTTGTTACAGGTTTGTTCTATTTTTGTATATGATTTGATTGAAAAGGGAATATACTTGAAATTATATTTTAGGATTTGAGTCGAGAAGAAGTTGTTGCTCGCACAAAAATGGATACATCAAATCTTGCTATGGTTATTGCCCCAAATATTCTGAGGTTCGAAATATTTCTTTCTTTTTTTTTGAAATTATTATTATATTTTTTCAGATGTGAAAGTGAAGATCCACGTGTAATATTTGAAAATACTCGAAGAGAAATGAGCTTTTTGAAAACACTAATCATTAATTATGATACGAAATTCATCGAAAATGTCCTATGATCTCGAAATATTCTAGTCCGGATTTCTCTTCTTTTTCAGTTATTCCCTCATTATATGTACCTTTTTCTTACGCTCAATCTTTAATTTTCTACTGCTGTAAGCCTTTCAAATTGACCAAATTAACCTCCTTTTAATGTATATTGCATAATCAATCAAAACTAAATATGAATCTGAAATAATAAACAAAATAAACTATTATCTAAATTTGTGTGAAAATTATTTGAAAAATAGGAGTTGAATCCCCTAAATATCTATTTTTATGAGAAATTCTAGAAATAAGTATTATGCAAATTTTGAAGATGGATATCGAAGATGTAATTGGTTTAGATGATGGAGGAGCGAGAAGAACGAAAGGAGTTGCTGAAATTAAAATAAGGTTGGATTTTATTTCGAAAAATTTCAGGAGAATCAGCTATAAATATTTGCAGAACACGAAAAATCAAAGATATTGCACCAGAAGAAGTTAATGTTGAATCATTTGTGCCTGGAACTCAACAAAAAGTTTGGGTAAGAACTTGGGGATGTTCACATAATACATCGGATTCCGAATATATGAGTGGATTATTGCAAAAAGCTGGATATAACATAGTGAAAAATGAACAAGAAGCTGATGTTTGGGTTTTGAATAGTTGTACTGTTAAAACTCCATCCGAACAACAAGCGAATAATTTATTGACTCAAGGACAAAATGATGGTAAAAAGATTATTATGGCTGGATGTGTTTCGCAGGTATGTTTTGAGTTCAGGTTTTTATCCGCAAAAATAGTGATTTTCAGGCCGCACCAAACGAACCATGGTTACAAGATTGTTCCATTGTCGGAGTGAAACAAATTGATCGTATCGTCGAAGTTGTTGAGGAAACCTTGAAAGGAAACAAAGGTGAGTTACTATTTTTATCAAAATGATTTCTAAACTGCCACGCGGTCACGTTAACAATTTATTTTTCAAAAAAAATAAACATTTTCTTTTTTTTCGCACTCAAATTATTATTCAATAATTTTGCAGTTCGCCTATTGACTAGAAATCGACCAGATGCTCCCTTAGCTCTTCCAAAAATGCGAAAGAATCAACTCATCGAAGTTCTTTCAATTTCAACCGGTTGTCTTAATAATTGCACTTATTGCAAAACAAAAATGGCACGTGGAGATCTTGTTAGTTATCCTTTGAATGAACTCGTCGAACAGGCTCGTCGATCTTTTGTTGACGAAGGTGTTAAAGAAGTTTGGCTAACTTCGGAAGATTTAGGAGCATGGGGAAGAGATATTGGACATGTAAGTTTACTTATTGATGGTTTTGAAAATCGAAAAAAAAACATTGTTATTTTTCAGACTTTACCTGATTTGTTAAATGAACTTGTGAAAGTGATTCCTGATGGATGTATGATGCGATTAGGAATGACAAATCCTCCATATATTTTGGATCATTTAGAGGTGTGTATTTCTTCTCAGAAAAACAAAAGACTTGTAATTGCATCCGGCTATTTTCAGGAAATCGCCGAAATTTTGAACCATCCACGTGTTTATTCTTTTTTGCATATTCCGGTGCAAAGCGCTTCCGATGCAGTTTTGAACGATATGAAAAGAGAATATTCGAGAAGACATTTTGAGCAAATTGTTGATTATATGATTGAAAAGTGAGAAATCTCTCAAAAAAGATTTTAAAAATTGTTTTCTTTTTTCAGTGTTCCGAATATTTACATCGCCACTGATATGATTCTCGCATTTCCAACAGAAAATGTAGAAGATTTTGAAGAATCAATGGATCTTGTTCGAAAATATCAATTCCCATCATTATTCATCAATCAATATTATCCGAGATCTGGAACACCCGCTGCAAGACTAAAGAAAATTGATACAATTGAAGCTAGAAGAAGAACTGGTTTGATGTCGGAATTATTCAGAGATTATACACGTTATCCAGAAAATCGTATCGGTGAAATTCATGATGTTTTGGTGACTGAAATTGCAGCAGGTAAGACATTTTGAAGGAAAACAAGTATTTGTGCTGGAGTTTGAGACTGTTTCAATTTTTAATTAAAAAGTGTTTTCCCAATGTTAACTCAAGGAAATCACAAAATAGCCTTTTTCTAGTTCACCTCCCTTTTTCAATTAAAATTGCCTTAGGTTACCAAAAAAGTTCAGAACTCATTTTTCACAACAAAAAAACCAGAGATTTTAAATTTATATATTTTTAAAAAAAAGTATTCTGTAATGTGAAAAATCTAAAAATAGATTTATCAACTTGGTTTTGGAACCTTCTTTTTGCACACTCATTTTTTGAATAATTCATATTTTTCTCAAAAAAATTCCACCTCCGATATTTTAATATCAAATATTTCAGACAAAGTTCATGGAGTTGGCCACAATAAATGTTACGAACAAATACTTGTTCCACTCTCGTCGTGCGAAATGGGAAAATGGGTTCGAGTTAAAATCACATCTGTCACAAAATTCTCAATGATTTCTGAGATTCTCACCGATTCATCCACTTCATCTTCATCTTCTTCTTTCTCATTTGTCCTTCCTGTTTTGGTTCTTTTATTCACAATTTTCTTGTGTTGGTTAGCCGATAAGTTCTTGTTTTGAAAATTGAAATATTTATAGATTTGTCCGGTTTTTCATTGTTATTTGTTTTTGTTTTGTTGAATTCTAACATGAACTTTGTTGAAATCTATTTGTATTTTCTAAAAAAAATACGTGAAATACGTGAAAGAACTCATTTTGATATTTTTCACGTTTCTGCCGTCATGTGGATTTGTTTAGTAGAAAGAGAAATAGAGAGACAGATAATTTGTCTGACATTCTATTACTCTCTTTCTTTTTTCCTCTCTCATCTATTTGAGGCGGCCATCATCAACAGCAGCCGTCGGCTAACATATACACACACAATTTCTCCCCCACACACACACAATTTTTCGATTTTTCTTTGCGTCTCTTCTCTCTCACTCATTTCTGTTTTATTTTTTTCAAAGTTTCGGATTCCAGATTTATTGACTCGAAGTCGTCTACAGTAACCCTATAAAACTTCGATTTATCTATTAATATTCTCATTCAATTTTATCAATTAAGAAAATAAGTGGTAAAAATTGCAAAAACGACATCTTCAACAGTTTCCACAATTGCATCTTCGACTACTTCTCAAGTAGTTGGCGGTTCTTCGGCCGCCACCGCAGCTGCAACTTCATCCACGTGTCTACCAACAACTTCTACAGTATCCCATCAAAATGAGCGAGTAATTGAAGCGACAAATGGAAGACGTGAAATTTCGAGATGGAAATCGAGAGAAGGTGCAAATGTGAAACCAAGAGAAAGAGATAATGAAGGATATCGAAAAAGAGCTGCTGCATTATGTATTAAAGGTATGTTCCTTTAAAGGGAATTTCTAGATACAGATAAATTTGATACGTTCAATCAATTTTTCAAAATAATCACTTAAACCAAATTTCCCGTCGATTTTTTAAAAGTTTTAGTGCTTTTTAAAATCAAGTCTTCTCTATTTATTTAATTATTTTAGTTTAGGCTAATTAAGAAAGAGAAGTTTTATCTTCAAAAAATTTTGAGCGTAAACGTGAAACATTTTTTTTTGAAAATTTTCAAACTCTTTAAAATTTGATATTTGTGCTCTGCTGATCCGTGACGTATAAAGATCACCGCGCACTTTTTTTTTCTTTTTGCTAAATTTCAAGTGGCTGCCCTGCTGATCGTTCTTTGATAGGTACTGTAGATGATATGAAACTTTATATTTCTCTCACCAAATTTGAAAACATTTATCTATTTTTGGATTTTTCTTTCAATAATAGAACTTTAACAGTTCACGTGTTTCCTTAGTTGTTTTTGTTATTTTTTAATTGTTCACAATTTGAAAACATAAATATTAAGATAGTTAGTTACATATCATAATTGTTGATGATTGATAAGAACGTCGCTGACATGAATACATTTTTCAAAGACAAAAATATTTTTGGCGCCACGCCGAGAAGAATTGTGTATGATGCAAAAATGTGACTAGAATAGAACCAACCAAAAAAAGACAATGAATATGAAATGGAAGACTATAAAATGATATATTTTTAGGCGTCGGGGATGACACACATGTTCTACTGGTAAGCGCTGGAAAAGATGGCGGAAAATGGGTTGTTCCGGGTAAGTGAGAATAAAACGCTTATTATGTGAAAACCCCCGAAAAATTTTATGACGTGACAAAGTTCACATATTTGTGGAAAACCACACCGCAGTTTTTTTTAGAAATAAAGACTTCATTTCACCTTCCGAACTTGTGATGATCAAAATCTGAACCTGACATGAGCAATGTTGTAAATGCAGAATTTCGGAATAAAAAAAACTCTGAAAAATTAACAATACTCAAAACATATTTTTTGACCTAATCCCATTTTTACCAGAAGTTTTTTTCGATTTTGAAAATTTTAAATGTAGAAATCCAAGAAATCTCCCCCTTCACAATTTTTTTCCAAAATAAATTCATTTTTTCAGGTGGCGGTGTTGAAAAAAATGAATGTGCAGAAGAAGCGGCGCATCGCGAATTAATGGAAGAAGCTGGAGTACGGGCACACACACTTAGAAATATCGGATTATTTCAGGATGATGTCAGGAAGCATCGAACACAGGTTTTCTTAATGGAAGTATTAGAAGAGAAAGCAACATGGGAAGAGGTTCGAATACATTTATTTTTTTTAAAGAAATATTCAAAAATAATGAATTCATAATTCCAGAATGAATTTGGTCGTCAAAGGATTTGGATGCCAATCGGTGAAGGAACCGAAAAAGTCAAAAATTCACACCGGGCAATTCTTGAAGCTGTTCTCTCCTCCTAGTCATTATTTTTAACAAATATTTTCATTAATTATAACGGGATTTTTTTCGCGCTATCATTTCATTTCATATTTCATTTCGTTCGACGTTTCGTTTTTCATGTATCATATCAGATGAAGTTTGTATATCCCTTTAATATTTTTATGTGCTTTAAATTACTTGAGTTTTGTTTGTCTGATCTACTTATTAACAATCGATAAATTATCAGAACAAATCAAATTGATAACGTCGAGTTTTCTTTTCTTTTTTTGTATTCCTTCAGGTACGCGCCTTCTTTTTTATTTTTAACATTCCAGAAAATTTCAATAGAAAAAAAACATTTTTTTCAAAAAAATCCTTTTTTCTCTCTTCTCAAATTTGATTATAGCTATTTAATTACTTGATTAATAGTCTCATCAAATCGTAAAACATCCGTATAAAAGCTGTTAATTTTAGAACAAATCTAATATAAATTTTTCAAGAAATATTTTTTTGTTAGACGATGGGAGTACGGTAAATACTGTAGTTTTTGGAATCTATATTTCAAAAAAATGAACGACTAAAAAATTTGAAATTTGTTTATTTGTTAATAACACGTCCGTCATTTTTTACCGAAATATCGATTCAGATTCCACAGAGTGTAATTTACTACCCGAAAAATTTCGCGCATTTTTTGAGACCTGACACGATCTTAGGGGTGGGACTAAAATCGACGAAATTCAGCGCAAAACCGAGAGATTTAGAGAAAAAATATTTTTGATCTACCCAAAAATTAATGAAAAATTTGAGGTCTAGCGATTTGAGGTAGTAAATTACACCCTGTGGATTCATTTCTAAATAAAAATAATTCGCATTTTTGTATTTAATATTTTTTGCAGAATGTCATTCCAACTTTCCGAAATTACTTACAAAGTTCCAGTCGAACTTTTCATTCAAAATCGTGAACGATTAGTTCAAAGTGCTCGACAAAATTTGGGAAAAGAAAAATCGGAAAATTCGGTGATTGTACTTCAAGGTGGAATTGAAAAGAATCGATATAACACTGATGCCGAAGATTTGCCATTCAGACAAGAATCGTATTTCTTCTGGACGTTTGGTGTTCACGAATCGGAATTCTGGGGAGTTATCGATGTTTCGACTGGAAAATCGACACTTTTTGCACCACGTCTTGATCCAAGTTATGCTATTTGGGATGGAAAGTAAGTTATATTTATTTAGAAATTTGAGTAAACAATAATTTTTGATTTTAAAGGATCAATAATGAAGAATTCTTCAAAAACAAATACTGTGTTGATGAAGTGATTTTCAATGACAAAAATACAACAATTTCTGAATATTTGAAAACACAAAGAACTAAAAATGTATATTTGTTGGTAAGTTTTATTTGTACAAAACAAGTTGTCTCACAATCAGTTTTAAAATTTATTCAGCGAGCTGATAACACTGACAGTGGAAATATTCTGGAAGAACCAAAATTAACTGGATCTGAAAGGTATTTAATTTTTATTGTCGAAATGATCATCTGATAAAATATTTAAGTTTCAACGTGGACACAAAATTCCTTTATCCAATAATTGCCGAACTTCGAGTTATCAAAACAGAACATGAAATTGGAGTAATGAGATATGCAAGTAAAATAGCATCAGAAGCTCATCGAGCAGCAATGAAAAATGTTCGACCAGGAAATTTCGAATATCAAATGGAAAGTCTTTTTAGACACACTTCATATTTTCATGGTGGATGTAGACATTTGGCATATACTTGTATAAGTGCAAGTGGATGTAATAGTTCAATTCTTCATTATGGACATGCAAATGCACCAAATGATAAACAAATCAAAGATGGAGATATGTGTCTTTTTGATATGGGACCAGAATATAATTGTTATGGTTTGTTGAAATATTATTTTCAATTTTCACCAATTATTTTCAGCTTCTGATATCACAACTTCTTTCCCATGTAACGGTAAATTCACTGATAAACAAAAGGTTGTTTACAATGCTGTTTTGGCAGCAAATCTTGAAGTTTTGAAACAAGCTAAACCTGGTAAGTATTTTGAATCTAAAACTAAAAACTCAAAGAAAAATTTGATTTTAGGAGTTCGCTGGACTGATATGCACTTGTTGGCCGAAAAAATAATTTTGGAACATCTTAAAACAGCTGGATTGATTGTTGGAGATGTAAATGAAGCTGTTGCTGCAAGAGTTGGTGCTATTTTTATGCCACATGGATTGGGGCATTTGATTGGATTAGATGTTCATGATTGTGGAGGTTATTTGGGTGATGCGACACCTCGATCAACTGAACCTGGTTTGAAAAGTTTGAGAACAACAAGAACATTGAAGGAGAATATGGTTATTACCATTGAGCCTGGATGTTATTTTATCGATTTTCTTATTGATCAAGCTTTAGCTGATCCAGTAAAATCGAAATTTCTTGTCAAATCCGAAATTGATAAATATAGAGGATCGGGAGGAGTGAGTTTCTATTTTTAATTTATGATTTCACTGTTGAATTTAGGTTCGAATCGAAGATGATGTTGTAATTAGAGCCGCAGGAAACGAGAATCTCAGTGATCTTCCAAGAACTGTTGAAGAGATCGAGAGTTTCATGAACAAAGGCGATGAATGGACTGATTCCAAAATCGCACAAAGAGTCAAAGATCATTTGAAAATTTAACTATTGATAAATTAATTCTCGTTCATTATGTGATAAAACTAATTCGGTTAAAAATAAAAATTCATGGGATGTTCGTTTTCTCAAAAATTAGAACAAAAATACAACCAGGGGTTTAGAGAACAGGTTAAAACTTGGAAAGAATTTCACTATTCTTGGTGTTTGGAATTAATATAAAGAAAATTTGGGGTGGATAAATTGGGAAATTGAAACGATTAGAAGACGATGAGAAGGAGATACGCTGGTTACCGGTTTTTCCTTTCACAAAAAGGGTTGATGTGTTGATTGGCGGGTCACATTATTGTGATCCTCCAAGTTGTTCTTGATAAACCTGAAACAAGAACAATTTTCTGGGGGAAAATGATTATTTTCTGCTTACCTCAATAACATCGTCGTCTTCCATTTCCAAAGTTTTTGGAGTGTCTTCATCGTTGATTCGTCTTCCGTCGAAGAGGAATCTCAAACTAGCAACCGAAACACCAGTTCTGTCGGCATACGACTTCTTGAGTTTCGCCATCGAAGTTCCGAACTTGACACGGAAGTGAACTTCGTTGCTGTCTTGTCCAACAACTTTGATTTTGATGTATTCGGCGTTGTCTCCGGCTGGGGCAGATTCGTCGGCCATTTTCGTCGAGTGTGTTGCTATAAAAAGCGAACTAAATAATAAACGAGAAACAATTTATAGAAAAGATGGGCGGAGCGAGATAAGACAACAAATATGCATAAACTTGCTGATGGGAAGTTAAAACACAGATGGTTTTACATAAATTGGCGTATCATGGTAAATTATACCTGACAATGCGCTAAATTTTAAGAGAACTTAGTCGATCTCTAAATTTTGGTGGGAACAGAAAAACTATATTGAAAAATAGGCACAAAATTAATCTTCAAACGTGGTAAAAATTCTGAAAATTGTAAAGTTTCACCTAAATTTTCGGAAGAGATTTCACCGCAGAAACCTGAAATTCAGATTTGAGATAAACTAAGAACACATGCCGTCAATGAATATTTTCAATAAAAAGTGTACTTTCATAGTTTACATCTCAAAATGAGTGGAAAATCGATAAGAACGCCGAAACTGCGTGTTTGAGGAAAAGAAACGAGCGCCAAATTTTCAAATAGGTTGTGTGCGGTAGAGCGAACTAGGTCGACTTGCATTTAGGACAAATAGGTTTGAAAAACAATAATTATGGAGAACGGAATTGAAAAAATAAAGGACACAAAATCTGAAAATGGAAAAATAATTTTAGGCCAGCAAAATCGATAAATTCGAAAAAAAGAAAATTCTAGAAAATCGCGGCGAGACGCAGCGTTGGCGGCAAATTGAAATTTTGGAATGCTATACACACAACACATCAGATGCTACGCGCAATTGCACATTATCGATTTTTTCAAAGTTCTCGGTATCGTACCATTGAAGAATTGGCACAGAGTACACATTTTGGGAGTAATGAGAAAAGATAAGAGAAAACATTAGTATATATTGATTTTTTGTGACAATGTGGATGTGGTATCATACAAAAATTAATGAAGTATTACTTTTTGAAGGACTGAAAGTGGAAACAGTTGGAGGTTTGTTCGAAAAAATATATTATTAAACTGAAAACTTGCCAAATTTGAAACTAGAAGATTGTTATTATGTTTCAAACAAACACTTCTAACAATTGTGAACAAAAACACATGTGTTTCCGCATTTTTGAAGACGTAACACAATTATGGATCAAGAGACAAAACATTTTGAAATAAATGTTGGTCTAGGATCTCGGAGCCCAAAATTCATAGTACTGTATAAATGTTTCTAGGAATAATTTGTTTTCAGTTTTATTATTCACGTGTTTTATGGTGATTCTTGTGGCAGTTTTTCTCGAATTTATCAAACATTTGAATAAACGATCGAATCAATCCACTAATGATATTTCTTCAAAATATGGTGGACTTTCAATTTCTCAGCGAAAATCAAGGCATGAACATTGTTTTAAAATTTTACATTTATTTCCTCATTTTCAGCCATTTGTATCGGACATTTCTACATTTTTTTCAACTTTTGATTGGATATTGCCTGATGAATGTCTACATGAGTTTTTCGGTGAATTTAAAATTTTCATGAACGTCCTTTTCCTTTTTTTTAGAAGAATCCTGATAATGATAATAAATCTCATATCTTTTAATTCTTTCAGATTTGGATTTGTCTTTCAATTTGTTTTGGACTTACTCTGGGGTATTGGATTTTCGAGAGGAAGAGTAAATTAATAGTTTGATATAAAATATTTTGTGCCATTTTCTTTCAAAAATTATGTTCAATTGAGGTCAATAAAAATTTCGAAAGACGTCTGAAAATAAAAATAAATTTTTTTTTTGATAAGCGAATGTATAACCTCGAGGAATACAGAGTTTTCTGTGTTTACAAATGCCATGAACTTTAAATTGTTCGTGATATTCAGTGAATTCTTCCCCATCTCTTCAAAAGTTTCTATCTTTCGTAAAACTATGATGTCACGAAGTTTTCCTATGAAAAGAACTTGATGAAATTATGAAATACGGAGGTCGTGGCCGAACCAACCAAAAGTCACGCCCACACATGCGCTCTAGCGAAACCGGCATTTGCTTTCGAAATTTGCCGCGAATCGGACTTTTCGAATTTCTCTCTCTCTTTTCTTCTTTGTGTTGCGTAATTATTGCCTAATTTTAATTATTAAACTTACAATTCATTCTTTCAGAGAAACCATGTCCACATCAGTAAAACACCGTGAATTTGTTGGAGAACCAATGGGAGAAAAAGAAGTGACATGCATCGCTGGAATCGGACCAACTTATGGAGCAAAATTGGTCGAATCAGGATATGACAAGGCCTATGTTCTTTTCGGTCAATTTTTGTTGTTGAAAAAAGATGAGGAAATGTTTGTTGAATGGTTGAAGGTAACAGTTTTATTTTAAAAATCTGCTGTATTGCGAAATTTCGTAAATTTTACAGGAAACCGCCGGAATCAGCGCCAATCACGCGAAAAGCGCATTCAACTGTTTGAACGAGTACGCCGAACAATTCATTTAATCTACTAATTTTGTATTTTGTCGGGTAATCATTTTTTATTTTGTCTAATAAACTATTTGCGCTTATGGAAAATGTTTTCCGATCATACAATCTCTTGACCTTTTGAGCCCTATTTCAGGGATATCTAGAACAGTTTCCAATTTTAAGATCTCTAGAAATCCCTATCCCATTCTAAAAATCACAAAAGTTCTTCTGCTTTATCATTGGAGTTAGTTAATTTCTTTAAGATCAGTTCTTATCTGAATAGGGCTGTGTTAGGTTTCAGAACCAATATTTGCGAAAACGAAATAGTGAAAAGCCTATAATATCTGAATGGCTTCTCAAAATCCGATGATCGGTTAAAGGAGATTCTACGAACATGGCTGAACCACAAGTGAAGGTAATTTTGTGATTATTTCAAAATTTTGCTCAAAAACTTTCAAAACTGATACATAAATTCTAGAATGTTCTACATATATTGAAAGAAAACATGATTTCAAAATATTTCGTTATCATTTTAAACCAGAATATAGTAATGAAAAAGGTATTCATCTAAATTGTTCAAACACTGACAATGAAATTTGTCGTTTTAAATTAAAATTTCATGTAATGTTATGTGTAGAACGCGAAAAAATCCAACCCTGTTTTTCGAAAAAAAAAGCACAACTGTTTTTGAAATTTTACGTAACAGTAATGGATCCTTCGATTTTCACTAAAGAACGATGTGGTGAATTTATTACATTTTTACATTCCAGTGACTTCCAATCTCCTAATTTTGTTCAGACAAGGTCAATAATTTAGCACATCACTTCTAAAACTCAGATCTTATGTTAGCCGGATTTTCAACATTTCGGGATCAGAAGTATCATATTTTAATTTCTTTCGGCTTTTCACTTCATTGAAAATTATTCAACAGCTTCATCGAATAAAAAATTGTTTTGTTAAATGCAACTGCATTTAGATCTTTTAAGGTTAAACGTCTTGCTTTTTAAACAAGTTTAACGTGAAATTTTTACGGTTGTTCGCTTTAGCTTTGAATTGAGCTCATAAACCAAATCAACCAAAACTTTAATAATTAGGGTTTTTACAAGGCTTGCGTTTCGAAAGTACGTAACTTGAAATAAGTTCACCTGCCCATAAAGACCTATTTCATAAAAGTTTAAAAATGTCAAAAATTTTTATCAAACAATTTTGAATCATTGATTTTTTAAACAGTTTGGTCTAACTTGTTTTTTTTGTTAAAAAAAACTTTTGCAGACATTTGCAATTGTGAATGCGTTGTCGGTCGGTCGTCCTATTCGAATGGCGGTCATCATTTTTTCTCGTTCCAAAAATGCAACACAAAGAGCGAGTGACATAATACATATACAAGTGGTTCTCTCTTTTTTTCTCCTTCTCCTTTTTTCTTCTCTTTTTCTTTTTCACTCTTTTCTCTCTCTCTCTCTCTCTCTCTCTCTTCATTCATCCGTGTTCCAGTCATTCTTCGTTGTTTTCTCTATATTCTCTTTTCTCCACATTTCTCTAACCACTCTCCTCATTTCTAATTGTCTATTAATCTCACTTGTCCAGGGCAACTTTCCCCTGCGTCTCTCTCTCTCGTCCTGGTTCATATTGGTTCGGAGGAGTTTTTTGTGCGAAATTTTCTGTTTCGAAATCGTATCTTTTTCATTCATTCGTTCAATTGAGCTCAAACTTTTAATTGATTTTTTTAAAATTAGTTTCTTTTTAAATTTCAATCAATTCATTTTCTAAGTATACTTGATGATTCTGTTTTTATTGATAAGTTGCAAAAGTAACATTTTTCGCCATTCCCAAGTCCATTATTAAAGTTTGTAACGAGAACAAAAATAGAAACAAAAACCAGTAAAAGTCAAGTGAAATCGATTTTCAAATATTTTTTCTTTTATTTGTTCAGGCACACATACACACTTTTCTCGTTGTTTAATTTTTTGTCAATTATTGCTATTATCACATGTCTAAAATAACTTATCTTATCACCAAGAAAATAATTTTAACCCTGTTTTAATTTTTGTGCAGACTTTACTTGATACTTTGACTCACGGCTTTTCATTTTTTTAAAAATGTCTATAATTAATTTTTAATCCTAAAATGTATAACTTCACGTGAATTTTATTATTTTTTTGAAGAAAGTGACACATTTTTTGTTTATTTTTAATTTTCTCCCAATTTCCAATTTTATTTCCGATTTTCAATTTTTCGTGTTTTGTTCAACTGTTTTCTCTTGAACCAATGGAATTTTGTGTACTCTTCAGTCGCGTTTTTCATCTCTTTTTCTCTTTTACACTCTCATTTTCATATAATCTATCATCACCTTTTTCCCATGTCCCGTGTTGTCATATGGTCTTGATTTTTTCCCAAAGCGTTTTGTTGATTTCAAAAATTGCAGAAAATAAAAAAGAAATACATCGGCGCTGAAAATAAGGTCAGCTCGTCAGCAAATAATCATTATTTCGTATCGTCGTCGCGATAAAAAATGGTGAGCTCGGGCGAAGATCGAAATACTTCGACAAAAACTGCAACACAGCCACCAACAGCAACAGTTGATGATGGAGCAAGTGATTCAGATGGAGATGCTGCTGAAGATGTAAGTCACCCTTTTTCGAAAGTTTTTTGTGTTTGAACGGAGTTTTTGTCTTTTCAGATTCTAGAAGAATCTCCTGATAAGAGATGGTCAAAACGACGAGAACAAGTCAAACAACGAGATGTTCCTGGAATTGATGTTGCATATTTGGCTATGGATAATGAAACTGGTATGTTTTTTTTTTGGGAAAATTGATATAATCCACTCAGGTAAAAATAATTAAACCTTGTGGTTTTTGACTTGCTCTGTATGAACTCATTGTTAAAAGTTCTTTAGCTCAATTCTGATAATGAGTTATCACGTGAAAATCCCTTAAAAGCAACGTTGTACAGAGCTGAAAGCTTAAAAACATTCTGCGTAAAATCTAAAGTCAGTGATTTTATTCTGAAGAGTTTCAAAATCTGGACAACACTTTCATTTTAGATTCCTGTGAAAATTATATTCTCTAACTTCTGATCATAAGGTTAGATTTTTCGAAAGTTTGCCACGTCGTACTCACTTTTGAAATTGAGCATTTTAGCAGCTTATTTCCAAAAAAAAAATTTGATTCGAATGGGAATTTCTAAAGGTCGCCAATAAAAATTGATTAAAAACTAATAATCATAATCAAAATTTTCCGAAAATCCTAAGAATTTAAGATCCTCTATTTTTTCTCCCTCCCAATTTTGAAGTCCCAAATTTATCACTAAATTTTTACAGGTAATGAAGTAGTTTGGAACGAAGTTCAGTTTTCGGAGCGAAAAAATTTTCGAGCGCAAGAAGAAAAAATCAACGCCGTATTCGACAATTTGACACAATTGGTGCACACAAATTTGGTGAAATTTCATAAATATTGGACAGATTCAAAATCGGAAAAACCTAGGGTTAGTTATTCATTTTTTCTCAATTTTTTTCCCATCTGAATTCCTTTTTTTGTTCAGATAATATTTATCACTGAATACATGTCGTCTGGATCAATGTCGGCATTTTTACAACGAACACGAAAAGCTGCATCACCATTGTCAATAAAAGCATGGAAAAAGTGGACAACTCAAATTTTGTCAGCTCTAAATTATTTGCATTCTTCGGAACCCTCAATTATTCACGGAAATTTGACATGTAATACGGTTTTTATTCAACAAAACGGGCTTATAAAAATTGGATGTGGTTAGTTTTTTTCTGTTCTCTCGAAACGTTTTTTTCTCTTCAAAATCTTGTGACCAATGAGTCAGGTCATATGATGAAAATGTCATTATTTTCGAGCAAATTACGAAATAAAAAATGATCATTTAACTAAACGATTGATCAATTTATCAAGTTTTTTGAATATGGGAAAAAATTCTTTAATTTTCATCAAAAATCCCAGCAACGACAAAATAAAAAAAAAAATAAAGTTAGTTTAATATATGGATTTCATTTCAATACTGAATAACATTCTATATTTTACCATTCACACTCAAATTTCTGATATTCATATTGACAGACAGTGTGCATTTGTTTTACTTATATGTTCTTTGTTTCGTTATCAAAAAGCATGGTTTTTTTCAACGAAAAAATTGAGTGTCGATTTATATTTGCATTTCACATCCCAAAAAAAATAATTTTGAGTCATTTGGTTTTCTATGAAAAAAATGGTTTTTATTCGACATTAAATTTTTTTAAAATTATATTAATTTACAATTAAATTCATCATTATTCTCAAATGTCTTCCTCTCAATATTAATTGTGACAAGATCTCTTAAATAATATCAAAGAAAACAATTTGGGATGAAAAGTTGATTATAAATCTCCAAAATATTCATGATTTTCCCAATTCAGGTATATCGATGTGTAAAGACGCCACTGGGCACAATTTGCTTGGTATGTAATAGTTAGCAAAAATCTTGAAGTATTGTCAATCCGAAAATAAAAGAACCCCCGTTTGAATTGGCGGTCACGTACAGTAGACTAAATATGACGTGACACATGCACATCAAACTGGTTGGCAAATAGCCAGCGTGTAAATTTCGCATTTTATTTTTCAAATAGACTCCAAAATTTTGCGAAGTCTACTGTAGTCTTGGTTTCCTAGGCCATTTCGGTTCTCTTCCAAGGTTCTTTTTTTTTTTCGGAATGACAATATGAATTTTGAAAAAAAAATTGATGAAATCGCCAAAAAAAACTGAGTTGTTGAAAATTAGCAAACATTTTTATACTAAATAAAATTTCGAAAATTTTGCAAAATGAGCTAGCTGCCTATAGGTTTTTATTTGATTGTGAGAAAATTTTATATGAAAACTGGATTTTTTTTTAGTTTTCGAAAAAACGTGAACTTCCACGTGGAAGTTGGGATATCATTTTCGAAAAAAAAGAATTTCAAAGAAATGAAATATTTTTTTTAGTTTTTTTTGCATAAAATCGTGAACCTTTTCATATTTTGAAATTTATAGTTAATTTCAAAGACAAATTTTTTGGAACTGACTTTTTTCAAATTTTTTATGAGGTTTTGTTTGTTTGAAGTGGACCAAGAACCGAAATTTCAAATTATACATTTTTAAAATTAAAATAATTTTCAACAATGTAATTTTTGAAGATTTCATCAATTGAAAGTTATTTTTGAATTGAATTCAGCATTGAGATTTATCTCAAAAATGACGAATTTTCTATTCAAGAATCACTATTTCAAAAAATCTAAAAATAAAATGTTGGCTTGCTTATAAAATATTTAGTTGCATGTGTGTTTTTTTTCAAATAATTTCTTGCTTTTCTCGGAAATGTTGTTGTTGTTCTAACTTTTGATGATTTTTAGAAAAAAAGAATCGAAATAGATAATTCGATCCCTTTTCAACAATATATTTTATTGTGATTCCTTTTTTCGCAAACAAAATTACCATCCAGTGATATGGTACACGTTGTTTGCTGATTAGATCACAATCTCCTTCATCTTCGTCTTTTTCGACTTCCCGCATTTTCTCCTTTCGTGTATTTCTTCTCTCACAATCCCGATATTTATTGTTGATTTTTGTGCCGTTCCAATGAGTGCCTGGTGCGTGCGCAAAAATTGTGCACATTAGAAATAGGTAAAAGTGCAACAAAAGAGTACTATGGCAAATATTCAAAAAGGATCATGAACAAATTATGAAATGAGAAGAGAGAGAGAGACAAACTTTTTAACAACAACAAAACCAAAATATACATCAAACTACAAGTAAAAACATCAATCAACAAACAATTGTGCTTCTTTTGTCCTTTTTCTTTACACGTTGTGCATATGTCAAATCCCTATTCTATCCTAGCTTTTTGTTTATTATTTATAATCAACTGAAATTAAATAAAATATATTTTTCAGTTGCTCCGGATGCAATCAATCATCATGTTAAAACATGTCGTGAAAATATGAGGTTTATGCATTATATTGCACCAGAATATGAAAGTAAGATAAACCGTGTTTTCTCATTTATCAAAAAAAAATATTAAATTTAAGGTTGTACCGAAGTGAGCACAGCGGCTGATATATATTCCTTTGGAATTTGTTCATTAGAAATTGCTGTTATCGGTGGATTATCTGGTTGTCAAAATGGAAGTTCTGAAGGTCCAGTGACTGAAGATGTTATCGAAAAAGCTATCAAATCATTAGAAGATCCACTACAACAAGATTTTATTCGACAATGTTTGAGGAAAAATCCGGAAGAACGACCGACTGCTCGCCAATTGTTATTTCATCAAATTCTATTCGAGGTTTGTATTTTTTTTTAAATTTTCTTGTTCTAATTTATAAAGTATATTTTTCCAGGTTCATTCATTAAAACTATTATCTGCTCATGCAATTGTAGATTCAAAACGATATGATGATGTATCAGATAGTGTTTTTCGAATAGCCGATAACGAAAAGGTACGGTCATTTTTCTATCCAAATATTTGTTGTCTCTCGAATTCAAATGCTATTTTCCTGATTTCAGATTGCTGCAACATCCAAGTTACGAGAAATGGCATATTGTCAAGTTGCAGCATTTCAATTAGATTTGGAAAAGTTTTTGGATGATGTGAGGAATGGTATTTATCCGCTTACAGCTTTTGCACCTTTGGCTCATCAACCTTCAACAACTCTTAAAGCATATTCATTGGTTTGTTTTTTTTAAACCATATTCTAAATAAAGAGAATTGAATTTCAGCAAAATCCCACAGCTTGTCTTTCACATGAACCATCTTCTCAAAAAGAACCAACTGATATTTCAAATAAGTCAACAACAACATCAACAGTAGTCGCTGAACGAAAAGATGAACAAAGTCATCAGAATTTGAATGGAACTAAAAATGCGATAAAAGAAACACCGACAAAATCTTCGAGTCCTGAAATTGTGACTGAAAACAAAGAAGATGTTCCCGGTCCTATAATGAATCAGTCAATAAACAATGGTATTACAACAAATACAATAAATAATGAGAGTAATATAATAAATGGAAATGGAACAGATTCAAGTACACCTCCACCGGGAACTGAAGATATTAGTGGAATTGCTGGAGATGGAAGTGTTCGAAGTGAAAATCGACATATTCTTGAGATTAATGTTCATATTGAAGACGAGTATGTTTTTTGAATTTATTCAAATATTTTTGTTTGTTTTTTTTTCAGTGAAGTATCGATAGTTCTATTATTAGAAGATCAAATGCATCGACAATTAACAACATCACTTTCAAAAACAGACACTGCTGGTTCGCTTACAGAAAATTTAGTGACTCACGGATTCGTGTGTCAGGTAAGCTTAAGAAATCATACTTGACCCTATCGCCTTATTTGAACCGCTTTAGTATTATTATTAATATATTTGAGAAAAAGATAAAAGGTCACAGCGCGAAGATGAGCAAATAATTGAGAGAATTATAGATTTAGATGATGTGTACTGTAGATTTATGTAGATAAACAGTTATTTTTTCGGGAATAATAGTTTTTTTGCAGCTGGATTCGGAAGGTGTTGAAATGGCAATACAAGAAGCATTTGAAATTCGTGCAAAACGATTAGCTGAAGAATATATCGAATCAGATGAACTAGTGAATAGTAATGAATTGGTAAATGGAACGAGTTCACATAGTTTGACAACGAGTACAACAACAATTATTACAACAACTACAACGACTACAACAACATCCTAGAATATTATATATTTCAAAATCCCCCTCTTAATGCATGTCTAGTTTTTTTTTTGTTTCTCTTTATCTTTTTTTTCTTAGCTAGGAAGTGACCCCTTATGATTTTGACTTCTTCATCTTCTTCTCCTTCTCCATTCACAACAACAACAGTCAGTCAGTCATTTCCTCATTCCTCATAAGTAATTTGTCTATCTTTCTCTATTTGGCAAACGAACTGTGTTGATTTGAGAGATTTAGTCTTGGTTTGTCTTGGGGGGTCATATTTACTTTTCCCGCCCATTATTAGAGGAGTGCGAAAAAAGAGCCGCGCGGTCACTTTTCTCGGTGGTTTATTTACTACAACCCAAAAGTCTCGAGAAAGGTTGAGTGGTGGTTTGTGGAAAATAAAAATATAATGATATTTTTATTACCAACATTATTATTGGTTTCATTAGTTGGAGCACAACACGGTACTGTTGGAAGACCGTGTGAAGTGTCAACTGATTGTGGAACTGGTAATTATTGTGCTGGAAATAAGCGATGCGCTTGTCTAACCACATATGTCGAAATCGATTCGTATTGTTGGAGAAGTGAGTCAAAATTCATTGGGGTCCCTTCTTTCTGTTAGCTTCTTTACTTTTTTCTTCTTTACGCTCATCTTTTTCTTGTTCCCATAATACAGTCGATGTTTTATCAATTATCTACAATAGTCTTTTTCTTACCAACAAAAAAAATGTTTTTTGGCCGTTTTAGGTCAACACAGTTTTCGGCCTAGTCCAGGCCTTTAAATTTTGGCTCGGGTGTGTTTGAGTGTGTGCGTGCTTCAAGTTTTTTTCCCGTTATACTTTACGTTTTCATCATGTCCTATGATTTATATTTTTTTGCATAAATAAATTATGAAATGATTAAAAAATACCGAAGTTATTTTTTTACTGCAAAAAAAACGAATGAAAAATTGCAGAAATTAACCCGGGAGAGTCTGGATGTACTCAAAATCGACAATGTGAAGCTGTTTGGCCAGGAGCATACTGTAGATCAGGAGAATGTCGATGTGCTAATAATCAACCACCGTTTAGAACTAGAGATGGATTGGTAAGAGAAATAACTATCGAAATTTGGCAGGGTTTGAATAAGAAGAGATCCAAATTAATTTGATTTTCAAAATGTCTGAATTGTCGTGAACAAATTTATTTTTGGTAGTCTAATTCAACTATATTTAAAATCAAGTATTTGGAACTATCCCAACCCATTCCAAATAATTCGTATAATTTTTGAAAAATAATTGATTTTCTTTGAAGGTCTGTTTGAATTATGGATTCTGTCCACTTAATGGAAACAATCCAAAATTCCGCATCGAAAATCAAGTTCAACAATGTTATGGTGGAGCAGACGCAACTTGTGAAGCAATTGGTGCACTCGCATATGATTGTATTTGTGATTCAGATGATTGTACAGTTAATAATCCAATTAGTTTCTGTTGTCCATCTCGTGCATTTGCTTGTATTCAACCACCAAATGAAGGATATACTCCACCAGGAGGTGGAACTACTCTCAATCATTGGTATCACGATCCAATTACTGGTGAATGTAGAGAATTGAAATATCAAGGATACGGTGGAAATGCTAACAATTTCCAAACTAAAGATCATTGTGAATCTTATTGTAAACAAAGTGAGTTTTGATTTTCTCTACTTTTTGTTAACATACTATTTTTTATTTGAAATTTTTAAAATTCAGCTTGTAACCGTGGTCTTCCACTTTACCGTGATCGTACAACTGGAGTCAAACAAGAACCAGTTTATTGTCAAGGAAATGATAATGGTTGTAATAATCCAAATTATCAATGTACTACAATGGGAACTCTTCAACAATGTTGTCCAACTTACTGTAAGTTTTTTTGTTCTTTAAAAATAAATAATCTCAAGTCGATTTTTAGTGTTCATTTGTTCGCGAAATGGAGGTATTCCATCAGAAGTTTATAATACAGCTGGCGGTCTTCCAACAGAATATTTCGATGTTGGAATTCCAGATGGATCTGGAAATACTTCACCAAGATTCTATTATGATTCGAGAGAAGGAAGATGTATTCAATTCTCATATTTGGGACAAGGAGGAAACTTTAACAATTTCTTATCACAAGATCATTGTGAGAAATTCTGTTCAAGAAGTGAGTTATCATATCAAATTACTGTATTCAATTTGAATTTGTTTAGTTCTTTGTTCGGCTGGTGAACCACTTAAAGATTCATCTGGTGAACGTAATATGGAATGTTCTCCAACTGGTTCTGGTGCAAATTCATGTCCATCAACTCATTCATGCGAATCAACATCTGGTTCAACAACATTCGGAGGTGTTTGTTGTCCACGTCCGCAGTACGTGTGTAAACTTCCAAGAGAACAAGGAAATTGTGGAACATATTCAAATCGTTGGTGGTTTAATGCTAAAACCGGAAATTGCGAAGAATTCATCTATTCTGGATGTCAAGGAAATGCAAATAACTTCGAAACATATAAAGAATGTCAAGATTACTGTAGAGATGCTCGAAGTGAACCACAATGTATTCAAGGTAAAAAATATTCAGAAATATATAGAAAACTTTTAAAAAATGGTATTTATATGTTTAGGAACTGCTTTGACTGATTCAAATGGAAACTTCATAATTTGTGGTGGATCATCTGCTGCATCAACAACTTGTCCAGCAAATCATTATTGTTATTATGATGGAACAACTTATGGATGTTGTCCAACTCAAGCTTATACTTGTTCACTTTCATATAAATCAGGAGCATCTTGTGGTCCAGCAGTTACACGTTGGTATTATGATAGTACAACAAGAACATGTCAAACATATTCATTCAATGGCTGTGATGGAAATTCGAATAACTTTGCTACTCAACAAGATTGTAAAGATTATTGTCGCGTTGAAAGTTGTCCAGATGGAGGAGAAGTTTGGAAAGAACAAAATGGAGCAGCTCGAGCTTGTACAACAAACAGACAGTGTCCATCAACTCATTATTGTACTCCTGTCACAACATGGACCGGAACTGTTTATCAAACAAAATCACTTTGTTGTCCATCAAAGAACTTTGTTTGTAGTCAACCTCGTGATGTTGGAGTTCGTTGTTCAAGTACTCGAATTACTCGTTGGTATTTCAATGCTGATTCAAAAACATGTCAAACATTCGAATATAATGGATGTGAAGGAAATCGCAATAATTTTGCTTCTCAAAAAAGTTGCCAAAATTATTGTTTATCTGAAGCTTGTCCACCAGGAACTGTTGTAGCAAAAGATGGAGATGGTAGTAGATTAGTTCAATGTAGTAATCCAGGAGGAAATGGAAGAGTTTCCGGAGGTTGTCCAGATGGATATACTTGTTATTCAAGCCCATTGTTAGATCAAAATGTTTGCTGCGGTGCTTCAACCGAACTTCAATGTAAGTTTTATTGATTTGTTCTGCTGAATTTGATTTTTATTTAAATATTCTTGCAGCTCTTTGCCCAGCTTCATCAACTCCATTTATTTCTGCTCTTTCACTTCAACCAATGCAATGCACACCAAATGTTGATGGTGCTTGTCCAGGAAACTTCTTCTGTTGGTTCTCAACCACAACAACATCAGTCAACGCATTCTATTGTTGTCGATCTCCAGACAGTGTTGATACTGGATGTAAGTTTTTCGGAGATATTTCAAATTTTTGTGAATTGGTTATGAAAAATAAGATCTTCAACTTGTTTTTTGTTGCAGATTGTCCACCACAATTGGTACCAGTTCCTGGAGAAAATGGAGCCCAATATAAATATTGTTCGCCGTCGGCTCCACTCAACGATGCCATTCAAGGATGCGGTGCAAATCGTCATTGTCAATTCTCAACAAATCTCGAACGATACATTTGCTGTGGTTTGGAATCCGATGTTAGATTACCGAATGTTTGTCCACCACAACCAGCTAATTTGGTGCCAGTTGAACTTGCTGGAAATTATCGGACGTGTAATCCGTGAGTTTTTGAAAATAATAATTTTTATCAATATTCAATATTTATATTTTATAGATATGCTCGTGCTGGAACTCCTCAATCATGTCCAGATAATTCAGCTTGTCTTTATACTGGAAATGACAATGGTTTTATTTGTTGTCGAGTACAATTGGGAAATGGAAAAAGCTAAATTTTCTAATTTTCTTCGCCCACAATATTTCTTCTTACGGTTTTTCTGGCCACGCCTACAATTGTTATTTTTTATTTTATGTTTATTCAATTTTTCACTTCTTCACACGCCAAAGTATTGCTAATTATAGCGATTTTAAATATGCACATATTTTTGTGATTTTTTCTATGATAAGAATAAAACATTCAAAAATTATTTTCAGTTCAAGGGATGTTATCAAATTTGAGGAGAAAAAAAATTAGAAAAACAAATTTCAGGTTACTGTAGATTTATGGAAAAAAATACACGTGGGTTTTTATTAAATAAATGAGTTCAGTTCAGTGGCACAACGGTGTTTGTTTCGAAAATTATTTCCCAAAAATCTGTGGGTCCGCGGAGAACGAAAATTTTGAAGACTCCAAGTTATTTTTCGATTTTGAAATGTGTTGCTCAATTTTACCCAACTCCCAGAAAAAAAAATTGTTTTTGATGAAACCTTCTATCCCGAATTCTTTCCCATCCATGCGCTAATATTTGATTTTTCATATGTTGAGCTTTTATTGATTACTGTGTTCAAATTATATTAATTTTTGGGTCAGCTTTTATGCCATAATTAATATTATTCCCTTCTTTCTTTCTTTATTTGAATGCAGTGATCAATAAATGCTTAACATATAAAATAATATCAATTTCAGACTGAAATCATTAATTTTGACTCGAAAAAGAATTTGTAAATCTGGAAAACTTTTTACAAGAAACAATTGAAAATAGACAAATTACTTTCTTTTCTCAATAAATTTTTTTTGGGACCCATGAGAAAAATTAGGCACCCTAATTTTTTTCCGACCCTTAGATTTCCACGTGACTTCAAATCCATGTGAATTTCCGAAAAAAATTCCAAAAATATTTCCTGAAATTTATTTCATTTTTTTAGTATGATAAAATCTATTTGGATGATAATTTGACATAAATCCACGTAGCTTTTTAGAATATCTAAATTTTTCCTGAAATCAAAAAAAAATACAGTTCACAATTTTTCCCGTTTTCCCCTTTTTATTAAATAAAATAATCTAAAAACTAACAAAAAATTGACAAGAAAAAATTAATAATTACACGTGCATATATATTTGACAAGATCGATTAATCTGTAAATAATAAACATCAAAATAAGCGAATTTAAATTACTTTCAAAACTAACATTTTCCCTGATATTCTACCCGATTTTTCCACGAAGTTTGTAATAACACAATTTCGATATTTCGGATGATAGGTTTTCTCCAAGACACCACGAATACTTTGGTATTTTTACCATGCATAGTTGTCGCAAAGTTTGAATTGAAGTTGGAGTTCCACGAGCAGAAATCAAATAACGAGCTGCAATCAATTTTGTTGTTTTTGATCAATAATTCCGGTTTACAAGAGTTAGTATAACTCACTATTTTCCAAATTTTCGGAAATTCTTCGCATATGAACTTCCACACATTTTGATTTATTCAATAGCATCTTTTCAATAATTAATCTATCTTCTTTGGATGGTAATTCGATATAAAATGGATTGATTTCTTTCGTACTTAGATTCATCGAATTTCGGTCAGATGCTGATGCTGGGAAATCCTCCATTTTCAGATTTATCAACATTTTGTAATACGTTTTCTGGGCTGCCTAAAAATGTTTGTTGAAGATTCAGAATTTCTGAGTTATTGGAATACCTTATGCAGTGTCAACCATTCTCCTCGCATATAAACAGATTTAACTCCGACCGAATAAAATGACAAATATTTCTGTCGTCGAAACTTTCTTGATGATAAAAATTGGAAAAATCCGAGTGTTAATTGATTTTTCTCTGTTTCGGTTATTATTTCCTCATCGTTTTCGTTTTCAATGTTATAGTTTTCATCGATGATAGTTTTTCCGTGTATCACAAATTGCATAACAAATTGAACAAAAATCAATGGAAACTCTTTCAGACCAAATTTTCTTCCACTATTTTCTCGACTTTGTTCAAATACTTTGTTTCCAATCGCCCAATTCACCAAAACTAATAACACTTCGCGTAAATCGTGAGACAAATACTTGTCAGCAGCACTCGTTGGAATTACCTAAAAATCAAAAAAAAATGATAATAATAAATTAAAAAAAACATACAACACTCGGATTTGACAATAGAAACTCGTTGCGATTTTTCTCAATCATTGAATATAAAGGATTCGAGCCAACTGGTTTTAATTCAACATCATCATTTGATACAATTTCAGCAGTTCGAACAGCATTTAGAACATCATAAGCAATCCATCCAAATGATAACATTTTCTTGTCAGAACTATCAATGCATGTTTCTGAAATTATTAATTCCAAATCTGCTTGAAATTAAATATGACTTACGATAACAAACTTTATAATAAGCAACGGCTTTTTGTTTCATTTCGGTACTTGGTGCAAGACAAACTCGTCTTAAAACATTTTCAATTCTACCCCATTTCCAATTTTCTGGTTCTGTAACAGTCATAAAAGCTTCAGGTGCTTCCGGATTATTCGCAAATTCTCTGAAGAAATCTTCTCGAAAAGTTCGGAACAATGTGCTCATTTGAGTTTCGATAACATTTTCAGTATTATAAAATGACATATCATCCTGTTCTTTATCGGAAATTCGTGTTCGCATATTCAGAATTGATCCAGAAAACACTTCCGCCTCTGTTTTGATACCATAATTATTCATGATTGACTGGAAATAATAATTAAAAATTACAATTAATTATATAAAAAATTCAACAAAAAAAGCCAACCTTCAATTGCCAGTTGTATTTTTCCATTTCAATTCTAGCCACACTCTCATATTTTTTCCATCCATATATTTCAATCATCGGATCAAGTTCAATTGTATCCAAATCCAAACCATCTGATAAATTCAAAACATCATCGAGAGATTTGAGCTCTCTGAATAGTTTTCCGATAAGTCTCGAAGATGTATACATTGCTAAACTCTTATCCTGATTTGCTGAAAAATCGGGAAGTCTTTCAGATCTTTCGGGTGCATAAACAATTTCGGGATCATCTGGATCTTTTTCCCATTTTGTTGTTAATTGTGCAGGCGGATCTCCTGATTTCGCATAATCGAGTGCTTTTGTTAATTTCGTCGCAAGTCTATCACAAACTTCAGATTCAATACCAAATTGATCACTTTGATATAAATGATTCAATGAGATTGCTCCAACACTGTCTTGAATTATATATTCAATGAAAAAGTCATGCATTAAAGGATCCATATTGTCGATATCGAACTTTTGGTTAATTTTTTCTGACGTAAAATTGAATGCAGGTTCATTTCTTTCCAATAATAATTGTTCATCCCAAATGACAGTATATTCATCTCCATCTAAATCAGAACCAGCCATTTCATCTGGATTTGATCTAGGACCATGTTGTGGAAAAACAACAACATCATTTAAATGATGTAATTCGGGAATATCAACAGCTTCAAATATTCGAACATCTCCTGATACAACTGAAGGACATTTTGTTAGAAGAACTTGGCCTTTTTGAATTATTCTTTTCGATGTTTTACTGGGTGTTTTATCGTTAATATTTGCAGTATATTGAACAAATACTTGACCATATTGAAGACGGCCTGTTTCATCAGTTACACCAAACATTGAACGACCAAGATGAGGTGGAATTTGAATTTGAGTTTTACGTAAGAGTTTACCTGCAAAAAATATATCTATAATCATCTAAAATTGTAAACTAACTTAACATAACTGCAACTGCTGCTCTAACCAATGATCGGAAAAATGGCTCCGTTGATAACATGAATCCACTCATTTTCTTCAATGATCCAAAATGTACACGCCTTGGCATTTCTTGTAGTTTTGCTCGACACGAATCCTCGTTATTCATATATTTCAAAAATGATAATAATTGATCATCGAGCAATTCTTCGATTCGTTCACAAATTCTTTTATGACATGCACGTGACTGATTTTCTGATACATGATCCATAACATTAATAAGTGGTCTGTTTAATGCAACAACACACGGAGATGAATATTTGACCAATTCAATTGGACATGGTTTCGTTGTTGTTATAAATTTGATTTGTGACGGTCTGAAGCATGCTCGATATGTCCATGGTTCTAAATCATACTCGGCTTGTGTCATCTCAACGTTTTCGGGAACTATTCTAGAATATGGCTTAAAATATCCATGGCGATAGAGGTTTCGAAAATGTTTAGCAACCTCATCCAGAAAAGGATCAATAGCTACCATTCCTTTCAATCCACGATATCGAAACTAAAAAAAACAGATGACTTGAAAAAAATTTGGGAAAAAAACAAAACAAACCTGAAAGGCACTGGGGATACAATTCTTGCCAAAACTCATATTACCAGCTACTGCACTTGCCAATTCTTGAGAAATCACACCAATTCCATCAGTAAAAGTATAGGCCTCTCTGTAAATTTGTATGAGGTTGGAATCGATTTTCAACATGTTTTGAAGACTGGTGCAGGATATTTTATCAAAATTTTTGGAATTGCACGATTGTTTTCTCCCCAGAAATTATTTCGAATTTTATTTCCAAAATTTTATCGATTCTTGACTTTATATGATTTTTATTATAATTTTTCGGTTAACGTTTAATAACAATTCCCAACTTTTCAACATATCCCTGATTCAAACTAACCGCTTAGAGTTTTTTCCTCCAATAACATCAAATATCACCAAATATTCATTTCGACTTAATTGTGCACCAGGACAACTTCGAGCTTGTGTGAAACATTGTCCAAGTCGTGCCATTACTTTTGGAATACTTTCCAAGTCTTCAAATCGTCCTAATGATTTTCGAAATTTCTTAATTTTCGGAATAAAATCGTCCGGTATCAATAAATTGTTTTCCTGAAAATATCGTTCGTCGCGTGCCGAACATCTGCAAATTATTTTTGAATTTTGAAATATTCAAGGGATGATTCATGTACAAAAGGATTCCATTTTTCTTGGATTCTATTTTTCTACTTGAATCAACTTATTACAACCACAACAAAAAAAAACAAACTTTTCCATGAAATAAGCCCCATTATCTCTCATTTGCGAATTCGAGCTTCCTAAATATCCAAATCTTCTTCCAGCCACTAAAATACCACTCGACAAATATCTCTTGACAGTTTCACGTAATAGTTGTTCTCCCAATGCAATTCTTCTCATTGGTTGATTTCCATCATCTCGAAATGTTACTCGAATAATTCGTGTTCCATCGTGATCTCCATTTGATAATACTCGATTACCCATAATTATTTCAGGAACAATTGGAATAATACGAGTTGGAGTAAGGACTACCTGAATACAAATTGTCTTTTTTTGGACATTTTAAAGTTCAACATACTTTTCTAACTTTTCTATATCCTTCATCATATTGTTCAGGTGTTAATTGATTGCTTTTTCCTGATAATTTTCGTTGAATGCAAAAATTTTCGAATAAATCAATAATGCTTCCAACACGTTTTCCACTATCGATATAATTGATAGTATCTTCCAAAGCCGATTCGCAAAACTGAAAAATTGAATTTTGAAAAAACCCAAGTTATCCTAACTAACATTGTGATTATTATCATCTTTGAAATGTTTTTCAATTATTCGTAAAAAATACAACCATTCGTTTATATCGTTCAATAGTTGATTTTTCACAAAAGTTCCTCTGGATAAAAGACATTCAATAAGATAAACATAAGTAAATCTTCTCTCTCGCATAATATCCGCTCCTTTATTTCGACCGCTTTCTTGCAAAACTCTATGAGTAACGAAAACCTAAATAAAATAATGTTATTCTTAACCCTATTGTTTTTTTTTCCAAAATACGTACTTGTTTCAGAAACCTGGAAAAAAATCGATCATCCATATCAGTTGGTTCTTTATTCTTATTCCAATAGCTATAATCAGTACCATTCACAGGTGTGTCGTCATCTATTTTATTTTTCAATCGCGTAAATTCAATCGGAACTTCGACACGAAAATGAAACCGCGACAAAATATTGTAGAAGACGTCATCCTGAAAAACAAAAACAATTCTTGCTAATTTTGAATTTTTCAAATATTCACAAACCTGAATAAAGCTGTCAATAGCCAAATAAAACCATTCTGAATCACTGAATAACAATTTATGAGTATCATCGCCAATTGTCAATGTTCTATCAAATCTTGGTTTTCTATTCTTCTCTTGTTCTTTTTTTGAAAGTTTTCCTTTTTGAATAACAACTGGAGCTGTCAATCGAAAATATATCCGTTTTTTATCGATTATTATACGCGTAATTGTTTGTCGGTGTACCTGAATAAATGAAACTTGAAAAAAAACATCGATTAAAATAAACATACTTGTAAAGTATATGTGACAACATTATGGAAAACCCTTCCATGATTCGTAGATTGTTCGGGACGAATTGCACGAGCAATCACAATGTTTGGTTTATCAAACTCGAACTGAATTTCCGTAGATTCGAAATTCTGAAAAAATTGTAATTTTTTGAATAAGTTAATTAATTAAATCTTACCCTCGAAATGTTCCGATATGTGAATGTAACCCGTTCTCGATCCAATGAACAAAATCCAAATGCGTCAAGTTTGTAGTGTTTTTCGAAATACATAATTTTCGGATTGAAAAGCGTGTCATCAGTCAGAATAAAAGAACCTGATTCAATTCCTCTGCTCTCAAAAAACCGAAGTATGCTCTCAACATTCTGAATAACAGAAAAATCGATGGAAGATGATGTGAGTTCAAAAGTCTCCACATAATATTTTTCTTCCATTTCTTCTCCGCTCAAAATTCCTTCCGATTTGACAACAATGTATTTTTTTTCGAAAATGCCGATTATTATTTTTTCTTGCCATTCGATTTCCTTTTTCCATTTTTCTTCATCGACGCCTTTTGGTTTTCTTTTTTCCCATTTTACTGCAGCTGTTATTTTCATAATATCTGAAAATCAATTATTTCAATTATAAACGAATAAGGCAATTCTCAAAAAAAGACCTGTCCGAATACACTTTGGAAAAAACAAGAAATGATTTAAATTTGAATTCAAAAATATTTTTACGTGTTCTAGAAAGTGTACTCGGACATTTCCATTTTAACAAATGACTAACTCAAATTTAAAAATAAAAATAAATCGACGTCGACTTATTTCTTAACATGAGAGATAAAATCGAGGCATGTTTCTTTTTCCTCTCTCTCTCCCATATAATATCTCTCAAGAGACAGAGGCAGAGAAAATAGCATGAGCAATATTTCAGTTTGAAAAAAAAAAGTTAGTAGGTAAACCGGAAAATGGAAGACAAAACCAATGAAAAAATTGTTAAAGTGAAAAAAAAGAACAATATTTTTATTAAATTCACCAGCAAAGAAAAATAAATTGAAAAATTCGGGTGAAGAAAAAAATATAATCGGAAAATAAAAAAACGGGTGTAAAGTACACATATTCATAGTTTTGGCTAAATGAAAATACTGTACTCCAATAAAGCATGAGAAAAAAGGAAAAATGTATATGGGAAAAAGAAAAGAAAAAACAACCCTGGTTTCGGAAAAAGGAAAACTGTCGTATATAATATATACACGAAACGATACGAAAAATAAGTAATATGTATAATGCAAAGAGGTATTATGAGACCAACAATCTACAAAATATATATAATGATACGTATGTATATGTAAACCGTGAAACTATTGTGAAACTACGAGATTCGGTAATTGTTCAATAATCGGTGCATTTTCAATTTCACCCAAATTTTCTTGAGATGAAGCTAAAGATGAAGATGAAGAAGATGATGGGCACAATACCTCATCAATTTGCTGAAATTACACATTTTTCATTTAGAAAACCCATTTCTTGAAAATGCGCTTACCTCATTTTGTTTTTCTTCAACACAAACATCATTTTCTAATTCTTTCAATTCTTCAAATCGATCGATTCCTCCAATATTATATTCACCGCTCGAATTTTCTCGAATATCTGATAAATTCGATCTCGATCTACGAGAATATATTGGAGTAACTGGATATTTTACAGGATTATTTCTTTCATCATCTTCTTCTTCTTTTTCATCATCACTATCAATAAATTTGGTTATTTGTGGTGATCCATCAATTCCAGCTTTAATTGATGCATTATAATTCATAATAGTTCGAAGACGATATTCGTGTACTTTTGCAATATCATAAACAAGAATACCATTTGGATTTCCACATTTTTTCGGATCACATTCACATGGAACATCATCTCCATCTTTTTGACAATTAATTCCTTCTTTCAAACATTCACAAGTTTCAGTTTGACATTCTCCATTTTTACAATTACAACCCCATTTTGGTTTCTTCAAGGATGAATGTCTTGTTTTTTGTGTAGGCACAATTTTAACACCACTTTCCGACAATATTCGAATTCTCTCTTGCAAATCCATTTTATTGAAATTTGTCGTATTTTTTTCTGGACATACTTGATCGTCATCATCACTATCTGGTGCAACAACTTCTCCATCAGATAAATCTCCCTGGAATAATTACTATTCAAAACAAATCAATTTAGTAAATAGATAATTCAAAAATAAACTTACATCAGGACACAATTCTAATGATAAATTTGGTCTTCCATCTTCATATTTCAATATAAATTGTCTTTTTGAATGATGTTTATCATCCATTCCAAGTGCAACTCCCATTTTATCTTCTGGAATACCATCTTCTCCTTGATTTCTTTCAAAATAATAAACATCTAATCTATCAAATCGCACTTTATTGATTCGATTGATTTCACCGGTTTCTGGTTTTGGAGTAAAAACACGGGGAATCAATCGCAGAACTGATTTTTTCGGTGTTTCTTGTACTTTTGGCGTAATTGGTGTAACTGATGTTGATGGATCAACTTTCAAACAAAGAGTTGACGGGGAAACACGAAAACGAAATGTTGAAGAAGATTTACGAAGAATTTGAGATGAAGCCGAAGAAGATGGAATTGCAGATGTTGATGAAGCTTTCTGAAAAATTAATAATATTCTCTTCTGAATTGGAAAAATTAATAAACAAACTTGATAAATCATTTGGTTCGAAGAAAAATGAACAAAATGAAGACATGTGGACAACCCCATAACACGTGTACTTTTCACGTTTATAAATATTTTTTCGAGAACATTTTTTGGTACTTTATTTACGAAAAATGAATGAAAATGAACAAACCTCAGTTTCAGCAATACTTTTCTCTGGTTTTTTCGGTGTAGCAGACAATTTCAATGAAACACTTCTTGCTAACATCGAACCTTGTCCTCTTTTAATTGTTTTCATCGAATCTCCAAATCCTTCATCTTCATCATCTTCTTTTTCTCGAATTTCTTCGCCTTCCAATTTTTCTTTGGCCACTTGTTCATTCACTGATATTTGTTTTTTAACCAATGGTCGCATTTCTGGAAAAATAATACATGAGAAAATGGACTTTGAAAAATATTATTGTGGTCAACCAATTGGTGCTAGTTTGTGTGTAAAATCATCACCCTCGTGACACATTTTTCTACTTATGTTTCAAAAAAAAACAGAAGAGATAGAGAAGAGTTTGAAAAAAATGAGAATTTGTTATGATATAAAGAAGAATGGGGCGAAAAAAAGAAGAAGAAAATACATACAGATACAACTGATAAAATTTGAAGAATTTAGAGCATTTCAAAACGGAAATGATGATTGAAAAAAAATGAAAATAAAATGTAGTTTCAATATCACGTGGAATAAAAATTGTATATTTATGAGTAACATTAAAACATTGAACAATGCCATTGTAAACAAGACAAGAGGGTTTTTCAAAGATCAATTGAGCAAGTCAGACAAAATGGTGCCACTAACAATCAACGGTTTTCCTCTGTTTTCTCCTCCTCTTTTTTCCGTCCGTTTATTATTGACTTTTCGATTTTCGCCTCCTCCTCCTTTTTCATCTTCTTCTTCACCGTTGTTCCCAGAAGAACACTATCAGGTTTATTTGTTTTAAATAAAAATGAGCAGCACATCAACAGTATGATTCTTGTGCTTCTGATGTCATCAATATCTCACTTTTTCTTCTGGTTATAAGTGAATGATATTGAATCGATGTATATTATATGAAGATCAAGGAAAACAAGAGGAACGGAGAAAAATGATCAAATGATCATGTAAACTTGAGTGATTATTGAACAAACTGAAGAGACTAAACAATTAAAACAAAATGCACACGTGAATAAATATTATTGTCCTTCCGAAAAAAAAAGAACCTTGGAAGAGAACCGAAATGGCCTAGGAAACCAAAACTACAGTAGACTTCGCGAAATTTTGGAGTCTATTTGAAAAATAAAATGCGAAATTTACACGCTGGCTATTTGCCAACCAGTTTGATATGCATGTGTCACGTCATTTTTAGTCTACTGTACGTGAGCGCCAATTCAAACGGGGGTTCTTTTATTTTCGGAATGACAATAGATGAGCAAAAAACGAGAAAAAAAAGACATTCGAACAGGAAATCAACATGAACATACACCAGTATCATAATTCTCTTGAAATAAGTTTTCTTAATTCTGATATATAATTCACTTTGAATATTTTTTGATATTCAGCACTTCAGAAGCTTCGCCCACAAACGGCTGAGTTGGGTCATAATTTACTGAATCCATCCAACTTGCTTTTTGTGTCGAAAAATGGACATGACAAAAAGTGAAAAAAAAAGCGCATTTATGTATAAATAAATAACTGTTGTTATGTTGTGCAAATATCAAAAAGAGACCAAAACTGCGACAAAAATAAATGTATGCAGAAAAAAGCGAATGATCATTCAAATAAGATCATTATTCTTTTAGCTACGTCTTCTTTCGTAAAGTATCCAGAATTATATATTATTTATAAATATCTTTTTAATATATCAAAGAGTAAGAGGTTTTGTGCTCATTCATTTTCCACAACAAAAAAACTAATCTTTCGAGATAAACAAAATTTTCAAAAGCCAATAAGTAAATAATGGAGAAAAAGTGAACTTTCGGCCATTTTTTGTACGAAGAAAAACGGTTTTTTCATATTTCAAACAGCTGAATGTTGAAACAGAATATAGAAGTGGTTTTTGGCGTGAAAAAATATTTGATCTACAAAACTTTATATATAGTTTGAGCTAGAAATAATAATGAGAAAATATATAGATCACACCTATTTATATAAAAAGTACCCAAATATAATGAGAAACTCTAAAAATAAAATTGTCCTCGTTTTGATTAATCAGAAAATGTGAAATTCATGTGATGCTAGTTATCAATAATAAAACGAAATCAGGAAAAATATTATTCTTGTTATAAAACTCGACGAAACAAACAAAGGTAATTTGGATTCGATGATCAAAGATTGTTTGATTTTAGAAACCTTAAAAGGGAAAGAAGATTTATAAAATTTCAAATTATATTTGCGATCATTCAGATAGTTGTGAAAGAAAAATTTCGTTCTCAAATCTTTTAAAATTATGAAAAATTGAGATTTTTCTACAAGCCAATTTTCAACGCGAAATTTTCCAAAAATGACAATTTCTGATATTTTCAAACGAATTCAATGCGAAACTTCTCCAATTTTTTTTTAAACCAGTACAGAAACTGGAATACATAGAAAATGAATGAGAACAAATGATAAGATTAAAAAGGGAAGAGCAAGAGTGCGCGAAGAATGAGCACAATTATATTATGTCTCTCGTGATCATCTAACTCAATTTAGTCAATTAGCCATTTGAAAAATGAGAATTTGTTCTCTTTTTTCTTCTTTATTTTTTCAGTCTAATGATTCAAGTGAAACTGAGAAAAATGAATGTTTTTCCATATTTAAACAAAAAGAAAACAATGATTCACCGATAATTTTCGTAAAATAATTCGGTGAGAAAAAGAAAAACAAAACGAGCAAATAATTGTTTTTCCTAATTTAAAACAAACTTATTACTCATCAATTCTCGAAATTCGAAGTGATAGCTTTTGACAAAAAACAGATATTCGAAACAAATAGAAAAAACACTTTGAAGAAAGGGATCACCCAATCTCAAGAGCCTAGAAAAAAACAAAATATTGCTTGTTTTCTTTTTTATGTTATGTGCATGTGGTTGGTTATTGAAAAAGCGGAAATAACACAAAATTTATGTGCTTGACAATTGAAATTACATATTCGAAAGGGAACAAAATGAAAAAGCGTTCCTTTCCGAGTTTCCTTAATTTTATGGATTTTTTGTTTTGTTCTTATTTAAAATGAAAGAAATACTACTTCCTCAAAAAGAAAACAATGTTTTTAGACATAATAATAATAATTCATTTTATCATGATAATATTCCTAGTTAATTGATTAAAAACAGAGATCGCAAAAACTGTTCAATTTTTAAAGAAGAACAAATCTGAATACTTTCACTTTCGATCGAAGCTGAACTTGTGACGTAAAAATTTTCAATTTTTCAAGAACAGGATTTTTTGAAAATTGAAGACATCTTATTTTAAAATTTGGCAGATTATTTGTTAATATAAAAACAATATCTACCGTCAAAAACATTTGAAAATCAAACAATGTATGTTTTTCAAAAAACAAGAATATTTTGCAAAAAAGATCATCGGTCAAGGTGAGAACGAATAAAAACACTCTAACACAACATTGAAAAATTTGTTTTCAATTTTGTATTTATTATTTTCGAAGATCACAGGTTGAATGTAAATTATTCTGGTTTCTAGGCAAAATATTCCAAAAAATATCGATTTTCTGATAGAATAGACTATTTTCAAAGTTCAAACATTATATGTAGAACCGTTTTTTGTTGGTTTTCAAATAAAAAACACATGCTTGTCCTTCTCTTATGTTAAATCCTAAACTCAAACAAAAAACGTTCTAAATACAACAAAACGAGAAGAAAGTTGACTAAAAACAAGTGATGGAAAAAAAGAAGAAATGAAGACGTCTAATTCGATATGACATAAACGAATGGAATTTTTGGTTGGGTATTCAGTGTTCCAAAATATTTCTGGTTTTCATTTTAAAATCTTTTCCCAGCTGACAAAAAATACTCACCTTCTTCGAACGATGTTCTTGGCGTCAGATAAACTTCTTTCGTCACAACATATTCTGAAAAAAAACACAACAATAATTTTTCGCGATTTATGAAGCGTTTCCGGTCAACAATCGACCGGTCATACAAAAAATCATGAAAGTTCTACAATTTTTCAAGAGTCCAAATTCGATATTCAGAAGATAATAGGTGCTTATTGTTCCGGGAACAATTTTAAAACTTTTATATTTCGAACATTACTCATTTTAAAATTAAAAATCTAATTCCCGCGCAAAATTAGACAAAAAATGTTCACAATAATGAAAGAAACTGACTTGGAAACTAAAACTGAACTTTAATAAAACTTTTAAAAACATACCAAATGCACTATGAAATGTATCAGAAGAACTCGGTTGATGTGTTACTTCAGGAACAATGATTTTCTTTTCTTCCATTTTCGAATAATCCATAATAATACTTGATTTATTTCGTTTCAATGGACTAATTGGCTTCAAATTTATAACTGGAGTATCTGGCAACAAATTCATTTCTATTTTTGCCAATGAGAAATACTTTCTTGGACTTGTTTTTGGTGTGTCATTTTTCAAACGTTTCTTTGTTGGACTACGTGGTTCAACCGATAATTCTTTGGGTCTTCTTTGAGTTGGACTAGTTAATCCTATTTTTGAAGTTGGTGTTGAAGGAAGTAAAGATGCTGAGTTTGTTCTTTTTCTTTTGAGAACTGGAGTGTCTGAAGATTCCAACTTCTTTGGATTTTCAAACCCAACAATTTTAGGAACAGAACCAGCTCTTCTCAATTTTCTAGGTGTATCTCCGTCTTCTTCAAGTCTACGTAATCTTTCAGGTGTTTGTCTCAATAACATAGTTCCACTTGATGATTTCTTCAATTGTGTTTCGTTATTCGGAGGAGTCACTTCAACCATTTTAATTGTGGATAAAGGTGTTCCAACTATATGTGAACTGGGCTTCGAACGGACTGGAGTATCACAAGAATAGTCTAATTTTAATGGACCGGTTGCTGTTTTTGTTCGTTGTAAGCGTTGTTTCGATTGAGGAGTTGAACCATCTTGTGGAAGAACTATTTTTCTATTAAAATTTGCCATCGAAATCGAATGAATCATTCTTGAACTACTCGCAATTTGCTGAAATATTATTTCTTATAAAAAATATTAGTTTTCAACATACTTCATCTTGTGTTACTTGTGGTCGTAATTTCGACAATCCAGGCGATCGTTTCATACCGAGTCTTGGTGGCACCTGGAAAGATTTTTTATATTCTATGAAAATGAATAATTGAAGTTGTAATCTTACCTCACTCGCCTCGTTTTTTCTGAAAACACAAAACGGAAAAATTAACTTTTGAAATTTCTCCCCCACGCTTGGACTACGGTACACAAATGTGCAAACACTGTTACGACAAACCGCACACAAACTTTTTCTTTTTTTTTCGGAAAAATAAAAAAGTTCCTATTTTTCGGTATTCTTCATTTGTTTGTGCTTAAAATTATTGAATTTCATTTACAGGGTACATAATAATGTCAATGCTAACTTTGACGGCTCCAAGTGTCAAGCATATATTGCTTGATTCATTGGTTGTGATGAAAATAGTGAAACACGTCGACAGTGAATTATATTCTGGAATCAGCGAGGTATGTTCAACTTTTAAAACTTATTTCATTGAGATTCGAAATTATAGGTATCTGGAGAATCATGCCAAGGAGTTTTGACTGGTCTTGTCTCAATGGATGACCACCGACTCGAAATTACAAACTGCTTTCCAACAGCCAGAACTGAGCCAGTTATGGACGACGAATCATCAGTTCAAGCTTCCCAACAATACGAAGAACAAAAACAGCAAGAAATGTTAGACATGCTCCGTAAATTCCGTACTATGAATATTGATTATGAAATAGTTGGTTTCTATCAATCACATCAATTTGGAGCTTGTTTCTCTCAAGATCTTGTTGAATCAATGTTCGATTATCAAAGTATGGGACCAGAAAATGTCGTCATCATCTATGATCCAGTCAAAACTCGACAAGGACAATTATCTTTGAAGGCATACAGACTTTCCATGATAGCTTTGGAATTGGCATCGAAAAATGATTGGAATCCAGAAATGTACATTTAAAAAATTGTTTTCTTAAAATCATTTCACGTTTTTTTCAGCGTAAAATCGAGTGGTTTGAACTACGAAAACATGTTCGAAGAACTTCCAATCATAATCAAATCTTCATATTTGAACAATGTTCTCATGGCTGAACTTTCATTGTCAAAAGGATCGATGACTGACAAATATGCAGCCAAACATTTGGATTTAGGAACAAAAAGGTTTTTCATTTTATCATAAATATAGTTTGTGCTAATTTTATTGAATTAAGATCGTTGGAAAAATCCGTCCGCGCAATGATGACCAATGTTGATGAGTTGAATAAGTCAATTCAATCTTTGGCAAAATATATGAACGACAAACAACGACATGATAATATGGTATTCAATATCACCCAAAAAAGAGTGAGTTTCTCTAAAAACAAACTATAATTTTATTTATACATAAATTTCTTTCAGATTCTCGAAAACGAACAACGTGCTGCTCGCGGTGAACCACTTCTTTCATTAGATGAATTCAAACGAATCAAAGCACCAATTCTCCAAACTAAAAATGGACTTCTCGACGAATTACTTGCCAGTTGTGATACACAAGCACTTTCTGATTTTTCAACATCTGTCACCGGTGAAAACATTGCCAAAATTTTCCTTGCTGAAGCAGTTGCTGATGAACGTGTTCCGGGTTCAAAAGATCGATCATCCAGTTCTGTTTCAACTCGTTAAGTTTTTTACTGTTTTTTTCTTGTTTATTCTTTAATTTGTTGGTCTGGTTTCAGTAGTCTTCTTATCATTCTTTTCCGAAACTGTATTCATTTTATGAACTATTTTATTTTAATAATCAAAAAATAACAAAATCACCAGAATTTACTCGTACTTTTCCCGTTAATTTTTTTGATTAACCCTTTTGGAAGTTTTTCAAAAATCAATAATCCTGCAGCTTTTTCAATTGCCTCTAATGGAACATGGAACGTTGAAAGTTCGGTAGAATCCGGAATAACAGCATTTGGAAGAATAAAACATTCCAATTCATAATTATTTGGAGAAGTTTCGAGAAGTAAAACTTTGAAGTAATGAGTAGGGACTGCAACATTATTCTTTCCAATAACCTGATATTTAACGTAATTCTTTCCATCCTCAAAAGTTTTCGGCAAAAATAATGGCCCAGTGACTACATAAGTATTCAAAGCTTTTCTGGCAACTTTTCTGAAACAAAAACAAAAATTTTGATTGAGCTTCAAAAAATTCACCTCGTGTAAATTTCCAAATCGTTCCATTTATCACGATTGAAACCTTTTCCAACTTGCGGTGAAATATTTGTCAGGAAAAATGTTTGATCCAAAGCAAGTTGATTTTTTCGATGATTTGCAGCCGCAACAAGATGTCCTCGATCAAATCCACTTCCCTTAAGGAGATTATATGAAAATGAAGATAGAGATAATTCTATGACCTACTCTAAAGTCCTCATTTTCGGCTCTGAAAAAACTGTGCATCGAAGTATCTGGCCGAAATTCACTTTTTGCTCGATCAACATCTTTTGCTCTCACTAATCTTTCCGGTACCAAATGTTCCAATGTCTAAATCAAATATTTTCCAAATTTACAATGAGAATATTGTTCATTACCCAATGTGCATTTCTAGTCCTTCTATCATAAGATAACACAAAATCTTCATAACTTCGAATGTGATCAAAACCAGGGAAACCGAATTTCATGATTTCTGATGCTCTCGATGGTCCCATCGCATTTTCATCCAATTTTATTGGTGCTTGTGGTTTTCCAATAGTTTTCTGTTTGACAAAAAATGCAATTCTGAATTTAAAAAAAACTCACTAATTCAACATTTTCAGCTGATTGTGCATTTCGAATAACTTGCTCATTCGAATATTTTCCAACCAGAAATGATATTCCAGCAACTGCAGATGTGCTAACAATTGTTTTCCACATTCTGATAAAATTCTTAAATTTTCTGCAAATTTATTTGAAAATAATGAAGGCCATGAACCGAAATCGAACTATTTGGAAGTTTTAATAATTACATTTTATTGAAAATGATACCCGTAAAATTATTGCAAGAAAAAAAAACAAATAAAAATTAAATATAATTAGATCCATCTCCTGGTTTTATATAACCAATTGCTATTAGAACAACATCAACAATTGTCCAAATACCTGCAAAAAAACGAAGTTCATAAATAACATTTAAAAAGAAAATAAAAATTCTTACCAAGTCCTCCAAAACTGAAAAGTTTGCCAATCGCAGATTTCCAAAGTCCCAAATAAAATCGATCAGCTCCAAAACCACCAAGAACAATACTTAAAATCATAGTTTTTGTCCAAGAAATTCCAGATGTCCATTTACAATTCACTTTTTTTGCAAAAGTACGTCTTCCGATACAAATTACATTGTCATTTACCTGAAAATATGAAAAACACATTTAGTTTGCAACCAAAATAATTTTAAAAAAACACAACTAACCGTACAAGTTGTATGAACTAATTTTTGACTACTCGTTGAGCAATTCGTAACAATTTGACAACGATGATCAATTTCATCAGTTTGATAACAATACAGACATTTCGCTTCTTTTCTTTGTGAAAAAGCTTGATTACAACCACTTGGTTTTCCTCGACATTTGACAGTTACAAGTTCTCCCATTTTACAATCATTCGGGAATTCACAATCAATATTGGCATAATTATCACAACCAGAATGTCTGAAACATCAATTTTTCAAATCGATATTAATGTTTTTCAATTTTAGAACTCACTCTCTCATTGTTGTTCCGCTCATAACAAATAAACAAGCAAATATAATATATTTCAACATAATTTTCTAACAATCTGCAATTCTAAAAATATAATCTGCACAAAAATCAATAACAGATATTCAGTAGGTTATTAACCGTTTTCATATAATTATACAATATTTTCGAAATTCTCAAAGTATAATTTATAGAATGAGATCAAATTTAAACAATACTTAAATTAAACCCAGTTATTTATCAATCCCGTGGATGCACAACAAATGGAACAATTCGAAGCCATTTTCCAGATGAATTAGAAGATAATCGATTAATTCCTCCTTGACAAGTGCATCGATGATGAGTAAATGTGTATTTTGATTGAGTTAAAGCTTTTGAGCAAAAATTTGGATCTTCTTCTTCAATGAATTCGCTGACCATTCCATCATTTCCTTTTACGAAAATAAACATTCGATTGTTTTTAGCGCGTAAAAGTTTTTCGTCAACTTTCGAATCTGAATTTTGTCGCAGCTGAAAAATTATCGAATAAGTTTTGCTCAAATCTTCAGACAAAACTAACCATGAAAAGATCTCGATTGATTTTTCTTCTCTCATTATCATTCAACGAGGCGCATGTTTCTCCACAACTTTCATCTGTTGAATCATCTGCATCACATACTTCAATAGGCACTTGATAAGTATAACTTGGTCGCATTGGAGATGTTCCAATCAAAATTGCGACTTCTGATAAACTTTTTCTATGTTTTGATCGAAAAACTGCACACAATTCGGTTCTGATTTTTTCAAATGCGTCCAAAGTTCGCGAAAATCTTTGATTTGCATTACTCGCAATGACTGGTGTAGAAGAAAATCCATGTCTGAAATATATTTATGAAATTTGAAACGAAAATATGTGATAAAACTTACGTAAACATCAAAGATTGCATTAATAAGTCGATAAATTGAAGTGAGGAGTGAATACAAACAGCTCGATGAAAATTGACTGGCAATTTTTGAATATCAACCACTTTTAGAAGACTGTCTTCTCCATCATTCTCCTTTTCCCGCACCAAAACCATTCTGAAAATGAAGAAAAACGATTTTCTGCAACCAAGCCGAAAAAAACAAATATAATATTTTTCTAGTCCGCGCGTTTATGGTTTTTTAGGCCACAAAGCGGGAAACCATATTTTTCAAATTAGCACATTGTTTGTACTTACAAGAGAGACGCAGAGAGAACAAATTAATGTGAAAAGAGATAGAGACTGTGCTAGAAATTGTCACTTAGTTTGTTATTCCAGAAATGAAAGTATTTGTTTCAAAAAATGGAATGACAAAAACGAAACTGGGACATAATACACTTTTCACGTGAAAATTGCGGTTTTTAAAATATTTCATTTCCAAAATCCGTCTTCTGTTTAATTTTTGTGAGAGAACCTTATGTGAGTGATCTTTAAATATCCACCTAAAAGTTCTAGACCCCAAATATTCTCTTTAGATCAAAAATCTATAGTTAAATTTCTTTTCTTTTTTTTCACATTTTATTTCCATGACCTAAAAATTTACTACGCTGAATTTGAACAAAAATTTAGTATGTTTTCAAATTCACTTTTGGAAAATGAATACATTTTTTTGTCAAAAGTTCACTACAGTAATCCGAACATATTACCTATCTCACAGAATTTTTGTAGATTCAGGGTTGCAACACGTTGTCAAATGTTTTCCCCAAAAAATTGCTCATTTTTTCGATATTTCACCTTGGTGTGAAAAAAAGAAAAAGTATTCGGACGACTTAATAATATGCAAAATATAATAATAACCAAAGAGACGCAGACAAGTCAAAACCAACCGGTTGTCCATTTGAAATAGTGGAAGAATTTCGAAGAGACACCAGACATATTAACAAATAAAGGAATGAAGGAAGGAAGAAAGAAGGCCTGCACACACACAAATACTTCACCTATTTTTCCTCCAATGTTTTATACTTTTATTGTTATTCATGACAATTTTTCTAGATCAAATTCTAAATTGATTTTCGTTTCATTTTTCCCTCATAGACAGACACCCACAGTAAACATGACTCACAGTTTGTGTTGCTCCGAAATTTTTTCGCAGTATTTCAAAAAAAATCAAAATTTTTGGTATTTTTGCCTTTTTTACAAAAACATTTCATAAATCCGCGAATTCAAATGTTTCATCATCATATTTTTTCATATTTTTCCCATTTCAAATATTTAGTTGCTAGGTAACAATTGTTTTTGAGGGTTCATTGTGTTCTTTTTTCAGTCCCTTCAAGACTAAGACATATAAAAAATCAATGTTTTCAGTTTTTTCTAATAAAGAACAGGTTTTTCGACATAATAATTTGTTTCTGAATGTTGTCTTCTTCGAATTGAGAAAAATGTGTTATTATGATGAATGAACGATTTGGTGAGACGGAAATATAGTCTTTCTATAAACTGAGCAATGATTTTTCCTAATATTTTCTAATCCAAAAATAAAAATCCAAGCTTTTAAGTTGCAAGTGTCTTCACACATTTTTTGTCGTTTTTCGTGGTCAGTCACTAATTCCTCTTTTTTTCCACCTTCAAATCTTTTCTCTGCGTCTCTTTCTCTTATTCGATTGACCTCAAAAACTTTTTTGTTTTTTTTCCGCCGATTTTATGGGATATTTAGATATGTTTTTTCTCAATACTTCCATTAATTATTTCGTAAAACAAAACTGGGTCTCGAATTGTTTTAAATTGTTTTAACGAAAAATTTCATTTTATTTTAAATTCGTTGTTTGATCAGATAAAAATAAATAAGTAACCATATATTAATTGTTTCACGGTCAATCAAAAATCAGATAAAACAAAACAGTTTTTTTTTGGTTGGGCGTTTTCAGAAGCCCTCTCTTTATGTTATCAAAAAGTAATAAATTATTCTGTGGCAAATCTAAACTAGCTGATCATTTTTATTCATCGGAGGAAGAATGTGACACAAAAATGTTTTCGAAATAAAAACATTTTTATTTTTCAAATGAAAAATGTTTTTTGCGGAGAAAATTCTGAATTCTTTCAAATTTTATTGGGTCAATTACTTTACAATTATTTAGAAAAAAGGAAGAAAAATGTTATTTTTTCTTACTTAATTTGATTAGGGTTTGTTCAGATTTACATTTTCATTTTCATTTTTTTATTTTTTGTGTAATTTTTCGAAATAGTTTCGAATCCAAATTTGAAACTTGTTTTGTTCTGTTCTCTTTTGGATTATTTTATTTTTTACACAAAATTTCTACATATTCTCATGTTGTCCTTTTCTTTTTAATAAATATATAAATGTTAAGCAAGTCTCTCAAGTATGTATTTATCAAAGGTAAATAAATAATATTCAGAAACCGTAAACGTAATACATTTTCCTTGTTCGGAGCCCTGTTCTTTTATTGTCTAAAACTCTTTCTCTCGCTCACAAAAATCCGGTTTATTTCTCTTCATTTCTAACACTATTTTCCCGATTTGGTTTACGTAGACGATTTGAGATGGTGGATTGATGCTTTTGTAAATAACAAGTGAACGAATAGAGAAAAAAACGAAAATATTTCCTTTTTCCGCCATTGATTCTTGCTTCTGAATTTGTCGTTTTTGATAAATATATATTTTCTTGTTTTTTTCTCTAATTGGAGCTGACAACAAATTTTCAATTATATCAAAATTTCGATTTTCATAGCAAAAATGACCATTTTGTTATCAAATCAAATCAAACAATTTCATAATTTTTTGTCAATTCGTCTTATTTTCTTATCAATCAGGCTTTTCACTTTTTTCTTCCTTTTTGTTCCATTCGAAAAAGTGTGACAAGTGACATTCTAAAATGCATTCAATCTTCCGTTTTTTGTCGCAGAAAAGTGGACATTTTTAGCTTTTTTTTCTGGCAGTTATTATTAGATTTTCCATTTTTGAGTGCCGATTTAAAAATGAAAGAAAAACTTTTTTGTTATGGGGCTATTCAGCGAAAAAAAAATGTTTTCTCAACGGGAGAAAAGCGAAGAAAACCTATTCAAGTCGGTTGAGAAAACATAAAAATCAAACACTTGAAACACACAAATTGCGACGAGACCCAACGAAAAACAACATGTTCCTTTGACCTTTTGCATTACTGTAAATTGGTCCCGTTGCGATTTTCTACAGTATCTTAAAGGAACATGCTGTTTTTCGTTGGGTCTCGTCGCAATTTGTGTGTTTTAAGTGTTTGATTTTTATGTTTTCTCAACCGACTTGAATAGGTTTTCTTCGCTTTTCTCCCGATGAGAAAACATATTTTTTTTCGCTGAATAGCCCCATTAGTAAAAAAGGGGAAAACTGTTTTTTTCTTATTAGGGAAATATTTATCCAAAAATTACGATCAAGTAATTCAGGTTACCATATCACATAGGTTTTACGTAACTTGATATTGAAAAATTAAATTACAGAACCATTTCAGCACACATTTTTTCTTTGTAAAATTGTTGTCATGTTAAAAATCAATTCAAAAAACCAAGTACTTTTTGATTTAATTATCTCAATTTCAATTAAAAGGTCAATCGAACTATTTTCGTAAAAAAAAGATAACATTTTTTGTTCTTTCTAGACAGAAATCTAATATAAGCTTTTTCTTTTTTCTCATCATATCTCATCTCAAAATATATATAAACCAATATTATTACAACTTTTTTTTCTTTTTCTTCGTCTATTTTTCTCTGTTATCTCTTCCTCTCTAATACTATTACTACACCAACACTCGAATTTGAAAATTGTTATCAGTTATCAGTATTCAAAAATTTTTTGTGTTCACTCCTCGATCAATACTTTTTTTGCAATTCCACTTTTATTTCTCTTTTTCATTTTTCATATTTTTCAGTTAGATGTACCATGTCAGATGATGTCACAAATACAGTACATTTTGACGACACACCATTTGAGGATGTTTTTGAAATTGAGGAAGAATTAGGAAGTGGTCAATTTGCTGTTGTTCGAAGAGTTCGAGAAAAATCAAGTGGTGAAAAGTTTGCAGCAAAATTTATTAAAAAACGAAGATATGCGACATCTCGAAGAGGAGTAACAAGACAAAATATTGAAAGAGAAGTTCGAGTTCTTCAAAAAATTCGAGGAAATCCAAATGTTGTTGAATTACATTCTGTTTATGAAACTGCAAGTGATGTTATCATTGTTTTAGAATTGTAAGTTTCAAAGAGATCGAAAAACATTATGAAATAAAATTAAAATTTCAGAGTTTCTGGTGGTGAATTATTCGATCATGTTTGCGCCAAAGAATGTCTCGATGAAGTTGAAGCTGCCGCATTTATCAAACAAATTCTTCTTGCCGTAAAACATCTTCATTCTCTTCATATTGTACATTTAGATATCAAACCAGAAAATGTGATGCTTAAAAAATCGGGTGAAACACAAATCAAAATTATTGATTTTGGTCTTTCAAGGGAAGTTGCTCCAGGAGCAACAGTAAAAGATATGGTTGGAACACCAGAATTTGTTGGTAAGAGACACTCAATTTTCAGAAATAAGTATATATAATGAAAATTTTCAGCACCGGAAGTAGTAAACTATGAACCATTATCGAGTGCAACAGATATGTGGGCAGTTGGAGTTGTAACTTATATTCTACTATCTGGTGGTTCGCCATTTCTTGGTGATAATCGAGATCAAACATTTAGTAATATAACAAGAGTTCGTTATCATTTTGGAGATCGATATTTTCAAAATACATCGAAACAGGCAAAAGATTTCATTTCTCGTCTTTTTGTTCGAGATGTAGATCAAAGAGCAACTGTTGAGGAATGTTTACAACATCCATGGATTCGTGGACCGGAAGGAAATGCAATTGATGTTAGAAAAGCATCTTGTATTACAATTTCACATATTTTATCATTCAAAACAAGGCAAAGGTGGAAGGTTTGTAGAAAAAAATATAACGCATCGAAAAATGCTAACCAGCTCTTTATGACTCTTCAAACCTTTTTCGGAGAAAAATTAAGCCCATTTTAATTTTCAGCGAATTCTGGAACTTGTAACTGTTTTAATGCGAGCATCAAAACATTCACGAGAAATCGAAGATGGTCGATTTGACGAAGATGATTTGCTAATATCAAGTACAATTATATGTGCAGAAGAAGGAAATCTTCGAGCTCTTCACAAATTATCAGCTCTTCATCGATTATTTCCAAATGCAACAAAAAGAAAAGGTTATCCAATTGGAAATACAGCAATGCATGGATCAGCAAAATATGGACATGCCGAAATATTTAATTATTTGCATATGAAAGGAGGAAATATTTGTGCAAGAGATGATAATGGTATTTATTTATTTATTTGATTATTCTCTTAATTATTTCAAAACTAATCATATTTTTCCGCTCAGGTGATACACCAATGCATATTGCTTGCCGATATTCTCAACATAGTGTTGCTGCTTATTTATCAAATGAAAAAATCGATATTGATTCAATCAATAAACGGGGTGAAACAGCATTACATTGTGCTGTGGAATCAGCGGATACAAGAGTTGTTAAATTATTGATTGCTTTGCGACCAAGGCTAGATATTCCAAATGCAGTGAGTTTAACGATAAAACTTGAAAGTAGAAACAATCTGTCAACAATGTTATGTCTTCCGGTTTATAACTGACTCCAAACAGTTTTATTTGCTTTTCTAAAGTTTACTTTGTAAAAAAAACTCTTTCTACGAAATGAACTACCGACTTCAACATTTCAAAAATAGAAAGTTTACGTTTTGTAAAATTCAAGATTTCTTGTTTTTACAACAATAAACAATTCGGAATTCTAACCCAGATTTTGGAACCTCCAGTGGTCTCTTATTCTTTTTTTCAGCAATTTGCCACGTGGCATTTCATATTTCATTTCAAGAAAAAGTTCACGTTGAAATGTTTTTTTTTTTGAAACTTCTAACCGGTCTCAAATTGAGAACTTACTTCCAGTCAAAAATGTTTTAGCTTCTTGAAATTTCAATTTTCTATAATTACTGGAAAATTGGCGAGTTCTAGAAAATCTTAAATTCTTTTCAGACTGGTGATACCGTAATCCATTTGGCTGCTGACAGCATAAATCCTCGAATTCTTCCACTTCTTATGTGTATGAATCCACCGCTTCATCTACGAAACATTGTGAGTTTTTATTTTTACACGTGCGAAAAAATGAAACAAAACGTGTACACTTTTCTCACTGCGGACTTGGCAGAAAAAAAGGGGCGTGTCATGTACCTTTTAGCTACCTGTAATTACGTGATTGGCTGGGATGGGTGAAATCGGTCTTTTTTTTCGAAATGAGTGACACGTTTCACTGACGTGGCAACGGTCCGCAATCACAAATTTTGTTTATTTTTTTCGCCCGTGTTTTTATCTCGAAGAAAAAACACATTATTTTTCTCTTCTCTTTTTCAAACAAACTCATTACTTATTCATTGAAAAATCCGGCGGTCAAAATTGGGTGAAAAAAAAGAGGACACCATCAAATTTGTTTTCCCTCGAGAAATATTTTGTATGATTTATATGTATTTTTATGTGCGGCAAAAATCGAAACGAAAATTGTTTGGTTTGAGTCTGTCTGTTTTTTAGTATCTATGTTCAAAAATAATCGGCTAAAAATATATGAAATCCGTTATTTTTTAGATTTGGAAATTTATGTTCAAACTCTGATCTTCATAATTTTCTCTATTCCTCTTTTAGTATCGCAAGTGTTCGATCAAAAGTCGTTCAAAAGAATTTTAAACGATAATTTTTTCAGTTTTTTGCAACATAATTTTTCTTATCTTAATATGAATCACCTTCTTCTACTTAAATACGAGTTTTCATCCAACCTAATTCGAATTTCGACAATTTTACACATATCTTTAAATAGAAAGCTTGGATCTCAAGCTCCTCCCCTTTTTTCCAAAAATTTCATAATCCGTCATCGCCTCTTTTTCTCTGTGTTCTCTCAATTTTTTCTAGCTTTGTTGTTCATTTCGATTTTCCTCTCTTTTTCTTTCCCTAACAACCAGGTGTACTACTATCCCAACCACCACAATTATTATTATTATTAATATTATTATTTATTGCAATTCATCCAAAAATATATTGATTCATTTTTTCGCACCTCCTCAATTCAAAAATTTATCGTCAAATGAGTTTAAATGACGAAGAGGAGGTTACTGTAGCCTCCTCTTCATCTCCTGAATTATCTGAATCTGAAACAGAAACTGATTCGGATTCTGAAACTGGAACAATTGTAGTTCCTGGAAGTGTTATGGCAACTTATTTAGCTGATCCTCTTATTTCGTCTAGTTTTATGAGTCCAAGACCAAGAGCTGCTGATTTCGTTTATCCGGGACATGATAAATATTCAAAATTAGGAAGTGTTGGGGCATATTCTTCAACTAGTGCATTTATTCAATTATTAAATGATGTTTCTGAATTTCAAGAATGTGATTGTTCGGTAAGACAAAAAATGTTCATTGATGTCCAAAAAACAGTTGTGTAAATGTGTCAAATTTCAAAAATAGTGTCACTTTCCTTTCCTTTTTTCAAAAATGTCTTTCAGCGAGATGAAACACCTCTTCATATTGCTTGTGCACGTGGACATATTGACTGTGTTCAATCATTAATTGAACATAATGTTCCAATTGATGCAATTGATCAAGATGGAAAAACTGCATTAATTGTTTCTTTGGAAAATTCGAATATTGAGATAGCAAGTATGTTAATAACAAATGGATGTGATATAAATCATGCTGATTTGGTAAGTGGAATATAACAAATATAATTTTATGAAGTAAAACAAATAATATTTCAGCAAGGAAATACAGCTCTTCATATTTCATCTCGTCAAGGACTTCTTTCTGCAGTTCAAACTCTTTGTCATTGTGCAGTCAAAATTGATAGCATAAATAAATCAGGAATGTCTCCTTTACATTTAGCTGCCCATCAAGGACAAGTTGATATTATTCGAATTCTTTGTTTGGCTCGTGCTGATGTAACAAAAAAGACAAACGAAGGTTTAACACCCGAACTTATTGCTTTAGCACAAGAACACACATCTGCTGCCAATTTATTGGCAAAAGTCAGAATGGTGAGTATAATTAATTTGTGTAACAGTTGGTGAGACTCGACTCAAAAAAACCATGAATTTTTTATAAAGTGTCTTGAATTTTCGAAATGTTTACCTTTTTGGTGAATAATATAAATGAATTGCGAAATGTGTTTCGGAAGTTGTGAACTTCCGGATTATTCAAAATTTTATGAATTTGCACTTTCTAAAAATTAAAGAGTTCAAACAACATGTTTTTCAGCAAGAAGTTCGAGATGAATTTGTTGCACAACTTTATCCATTGGATACTTCTCTTCGACGAATAAAATTGAAATTATTTGGACATTCAATGACCGGAAAAACAAAATTAGTTCAAACTCTTCATTCAACACGTGGAATTTCTTCATTTTTTGAATCAATGAGTCGACGAATCTCAGATCATTATAGTCCAAGTAATAGTATGGGAAAAGATGATGGAGTTTATTCACAAAATGGATCATTTCTTTCTGAATCAAATAATAATTCATTTGATCCAGTTATGACTGAATCTTCGTCAACATCAACAACATCAAAATATATTCCGCCACATTCTTTGTATACACGTGGAATTGATGTTCAAACTGTGCAAATAAATGGATGCGGAGAATTTTCGGTTTGGGAATTTGGTGGATACGATATAATGCATACTTGTTATGATCATTTTGTCGGAAATACTGATTGTGTTCATTTAGTATTATTCCGATCAGATGATCCTACTGAAATTCAATATAAACAGATTTTATATTGGATGAATTTCTTGAAAGGAAGAGTTACACCATCTGAACCAATCGGTTAGTTTTAAGAAAAATATTCTCAAATATTCGAAAACAAATGAATTTTTTAGGAAACTGTGGAATAAGTTCTCGACGCTCAAAAGTTTTAATAGTTGGAACACATGCAACTTCATCACTTTTTCCAAATAAAAACAATGATGGAGAATATATATCATCTGATATTGAAGCAATGTTATCAACAGTTCGTCTTCGATTCGAAACTCATTTTGATATGGATCACAAACTTATTCTTCTTGATGCAACAAATCCATCGTGTATTGGAATGAAATTATTGAAGAATGAAATATCAAAATGTCGTGCAAATATTCTATCAAAACTTTTGAAACCTTTGGCAATTCTTGACACAGTAATTGGACATTTGAATATTGCAAGGAAACAACATGCCAATTTTCCTGTCATAACTTGGCCACATTTTATGAATTTAGTTCGGAATGAGATAAATCCATTAACTGGTGATACACATTGTCGACAAATTGTACAACAACTTCAATTGATTGGTGAAGTTGTTTATTTGCGAAATGAACAAACACAATTAGATTATGTTGTATTAAATGCTGAATGGTTAGGAACTCATATTATTGGACAACTTTTGAGTGCTGAATTTTTGTCAAAAGCAAAACCAAATGGAATGTACAGTATACCAGATCTCACTTCGATTTTCCCTGAAATCACGGAACCTGGAGATCTTATGCATATTTTGGATACTTTACAACTTTGTGCACCTCTTGATTTGGCGGAAAGTTTTGAATTTCCAGTTTGTATTCAAACACCAGCTCCAGATTCAATTTGGTTAGCTGATAAATCAACATATGTTTATGGAGGTGTAAGAATATTACCAATGAGAGGAATGGAAAGATCATTATTAAGTACATTTCCACGAATTCAAGTTGCACTTCGTCGAAGTATGAATGAATTTCAAGATCCGATGGATGCTGAATTATTACAATGGAATGAATGTAGTAAAATGTCATCGGGATTAAAAGAAGCACTTATTCGACTTGTTGGAGATGCTGTTGAAATTAAAGTTCGAGGACCACAAGATAGAGCAACTTCCTGTTTTTATTTCTTGGAAGATTTGATTAATCTTGTTGAGCAAACAGCTTGTGAAGTTGCACCTGGAATTGCTTTGGAAAGACATTTTATAAGTCCAAAACATTTGAAGGTAAATATATTTCTTGATCTTTTCACATCTAATGTATTACATTTCAGGAACATCGTGATAATCCAGCATTATTCTTACCAGAAGCAATGATGGAAATGCAACAAAAAGAATCTTTATCAGTTCAAGGAACACAAGAAGAAGAAGAACTTTTCACCGATGTTGTTTGTTTTGGTTCTCGAGATGTTGCTCGTCTTCTTACTCTTGGAATTGATGTTGGAGTTGCTGAACTACAAATGACAAGTAGATGTGAACTTGCTTGTCTTCTTGATCCACCACATCATATGGGAAGAGATTGGTCTATTTTGGCAGTTAAATTACAATTAACTGATCAAGTGCCTGATGTGAGTGTTTTATAAGAAGAATTGTTAGAGAATCTAAAATCTCGAATATTTTCAGGTTGATTCAACGGGTCAAAGCCTTTCTCGTACTGATCAACTTCTAAATGAATGGGCAATTCATCATCCCGAACAAGCGACTGTTGGAAATCTTTGTCGAATTCTAGTTGAACTTGGTCGAACAGATGCACGTGATGCATTATATCGAACAGTTCCACTTTATCTTTTTGCTCCACTTGATGATCAATTTATTGATACAAATGATAGTGGAGTTGTTTCATCTTGTCACTCTTCAAGTGAACATCATCATCATTTACTTACTTAAAATATTACACTACTTAGGAATAATTGATTGCTCATTTTCATATTTGTCCTTTTCAGCTTGTCGTTTGTTGTGTTATTTTATTACGGGTCTCTGTATTTTTTTTTCGATTTTTCCGCCCATTCTATTCGAACTTTTTTTACCGGTCAACATTGCATAATCGAAAACGATTCTTTTTGAATTAGAATAAATTCATTTCTGGTATGGTATATCTTTTACAAAATCTTGGAACTTTTGAGAGTTCAAAAATTCTGAAGGTAAAGAAGAAGATTGTGAAATTGTAGAAGACGAATTAATTCGAAGAGGTGAAAATAGCAAATCATCGATTGTTTTTGTTGTTCTTCTATTGTATTTTGTAACAATCCGTTGAAGATTTCGAAAACGTTTCATCTGAGAAACAGAACAACTTTGGAAAATCGACAAAAACAAAATCAGAATTACCTTTTCAATGGAATCTTCGGCTTTTTTAATTTCATCGCAAAGTATGTCTAACTGTAATCATTTTGAATTTTTATCACTTTTTCATTGATTTCTAATAATATGAATTATGTATATTATAAGATCAGATTTAATTGTTTTCAAAATGCTAACAATTTTCCTATTTTGCATATTTTTTAATGAAATTGCAAAGAACTTTTCAGTTCAACAGTTCTCCCCAAAATAAAAAGTAATAATAAAAAATCGAAAATGACAAACTTTCCCAAAAATCCAAAAAAAGCTTAGATTCAAGCAAAAAATGTAAAACCCAAGAAAAATAACTAACCGCTTGATCGCTCACACAATAATTCTCAGTTCCAAAAACAATTTCTTCCAACATCAGCACATTTTCAAGTTCATTCAAAGCTTCATCGAATTTCAATTGTTGCGCCAAACCCATTATTTTCAATGAATTTTGAATAACTGGAGGACAGCATATTGTAAATGGCAATACTTCATCAAAATCTTTCCATCTTTTCTGAAATATTCGGAATACGGTAGAAGTAAAAGAACAAAACAATACCAATTTCAATGCACTTCCTGCTGTAAATGCAGCTGATCTTGAGGAAATTTCGCAGATTCCATTGGTTTTTCGAATAAGTGTTTTGGATTTTTCCAGATTTTCTTTACTCGTCTGAAACACAATAAATATATAGCAATGACTTTAAAAATCGCAGGCATAAATTTCTGGGTTTTTTTCTGCCACGAGTACACGTTTCAATTTTTAAAATAATTTTTACGTTTTCATATATTTTTCTTCGCTAAATGCCCAAAAGAAAAAAGAATTCCTTGAAATACGTGCGTGACCCATTTCAAAAAGAATTCAAGCGAGAATTTAATTTTTCTGCGACAGGCATTTTGAAATGAAATTTCTGAATCAAAAGTCCAGAATTTATGCCTGTGCAAATTGTTGAATGTATCAATGTGAGTTTTCTTCGAGTTTGTCATTTTTAAAAATGTCCACTGAAATGTTTTGCCAGTCTAGTTTCAGCATACCGATTGATAGTTCATTGATGCGATAAAACATTGCCGAAGAGCATCTTTTGTTTCTCTATCAACATTCATGTTTTTAACAAGATTGAGCTGGTCAGCAACTTTCATCTTTCCGAAAACAACTGTTAACGCCGATTTTCTTGCGGGGATCATCTGAACTCGACTATTACGAAAATCAAAAACTATTTCGGTAAAAATCAGAATCATACTTTGCGCGGATGAACACTTTCGAACAAACAAAACATTTATCAACAACAATTTACTTAAAATTCTCCACGGGCCAATTGACGGCGTTGTTTTCTCTTGGACTCTTTCTTGACTTTTGGAGCATCGTCAGTTGGTTTTGAGACGACGTCTTCTCTCTCGGCCAAAATGACTTCGATGTGACATGGAGAAGTCATGTATGCTGAAAAACAATAAATTATTATGCAGTAATATAATTTCTCCCCCTGTTGCCGTAGTCTACTGTGAGTCAATTAATTTTATCATTTTTCCAGTTGCATTCCACTGCACATCAAAATAACTTGTTTCAAAACTATCTATATTGCACTGAAATTAGCTGATTTCATTGTCAAAAATTAACGAAGGCTATCACCGCTCAGACAAGTTGGGCGATTAATCGCTAAGCAACTTGAATTAGCTGCTGGCTGGCCGATTAATCGCCTGTATTAATTTTGTTCAGAAGATTAATCGTCATCGCACTTTGCTTAGCGATTAATCGCCCAACTTGTCTGAGCGATTCGAGGAAAGTTTTATCACCTGCCTTAACCAACAAACTTTCTACAAAAAACTAAATAACAAACTAGTTCTTACCTAGAAACATTTTTAATTTGACTTAATTTATTGAACACAATTTTGGAAAAAACAATCCCATAAAGAGTAGAAAATCACACTCATTGATTCAAGTTCACAATAAATTTTAATTAGACATTCGGATTTATAAACATTACGTAACCTCAAAATAGTTCAGGGCTTTCGAAATGAAAAAATGAACTTACGGTTGATTCTACCGTGGGCACGGTATGTTCTTCTGCGGAGCTTGGCAGCGCGTTGAACATTGATGTGTTCGACAACGAGGTGGTCAACATCCAATCCCTTGAACTCGGCGTTGCTTTCAGCGTTCCTGAAAATTTTTGTTGAATTTAAAATTAATTATATTTTAAATACTTACTTCAACAAGTCGAGGAGGAAGTCAGCGGACTTGACTGGCCATCTACCTTGGGTGGTGTTCCATTGCTTGCATTGAGCAGCACGTCCAACTCCACCGTGGTAACGTCTGTATGGGACGATTTCCTTGTGCTCCTTGACGTGTTGGAGGAAAGCTTGAGCACGTCTGAGTGGCATTCCGCGGAGAGCCATACCGGCTTCATGAGTATTCTTGTAGTGGACTCTGAGGTCAGATCCTCGAGCTTTGCACGACTTGGTGCTGTTTTCTGGTGCCCGAGAGTAGTGGATCTTTGTCATAATGACAGCTAGATTACCTGAAAACTCAAACGAATAGAAAGAAAAAAAACGATTAAGTATAAAAATACTTAAAAGAAATTCAAGCAGATGAATGCATGGAATATGAAATAAAAAATCGGAAACGCCTAGTTTCGCAAAATAAAAAATCACGGGCAAAATTTTATAAATAACAATAGGTTTATCATGATTTTGGACACAAAAAGCTTTGTAAAAAATCGTGAAATCGGCAAAATTCGAGCCAAAAAAAGAAAAAACCGTTGAAAAGGCCCAAAAATAAAGAGAAAAATGGTTCAAGGGACACAGTTACCGTAGTTCTCTTCTTTGTGTCTCGCCACGATGAGATGTGTGTTTAATGCCAACATGCCGATATTTTTTATTTTTTTTTGCGAACGACTTGTTTCCTTGTTTTCTAGGCATTTTCTTTGTTTTTTCTTTGAAATTTTGATTAGAATACATAATTTAAACACTAACTACATTAGCCTTTTCTATTTCCAGATGATCAAAGCCATTCTAGTAATAAATAATCATGGGAAACCAAGATTATTGAAATTTTACCAACATTATACTGAAGAAATGCAACAGCAAATAGTGCGAGAAACTTTTCAACTAGTCTCTAAACGTGATGATAATGTATGTAACTTTTTGGAAGGTGGAACTTTGATTGATGGAAACGATTATCGATTAATATATAGACATTATGCAACATTATATTTTATTTTCTGTGTTGATTCTTCCGAAAGCGAATTAGGAATCCTCGATCTCATTCAAGTTTTTGTTGAAACTCTTGATCGTTGTTTCGAGAATGTTTGTGAACTTGACTTAATTTTCCACGTCGATAAAGTTCATCACATTTTGGGAGAAATTGTAATGGGTGGAATGGTTCTTGAGACGAATATGAACGAAATATTACAACGAATCCAAGAGCAGGATAAAATTCAAAAACAAGAAGCAGGAATTACGGCAGCTCCTGCGAGAGCTGTTTCAGCTGTCAAAAACATGAACATCTCACAACAACTCAAAGATATCAAACTGCCAGATTTACCTTCACTAACAAACTTGAAAAATGCATTTTAGCTTTTTTATTTTGATTGATTAATCTCTTTATTTGTACATGTATATTATTGATCATTCCGTTAAATTCTTAAATTATTTGAATATTGAATATTGAATAAATAAATAAAAAATTATAGGAGGAATGCGCAAAAATGGAACCATATCATATTGTCGATTTGGATGCACAACATCAATATCGAGAAAGAAATAATGCATCATGGGATATTATAAGAAATGATATTGAAACAAATAGTATACGATCTGAACCAAATAATTACGTATTCATAGACGATGGACAATTTGTAAGTAAAATATTTCAGTAAGACATTTATTAATTTTTGTATAATTAGATATCCGATACAACATCTTTGGATGCAATAACTGAAGTAATTGTTGAAGAAATAATTGAAATACCTCAACCTCCGCCTCCTGTACAAAGTCCACAAAATCTTGAAGAAGATGAGGATCAACCGGATGTTTATTGTATGTATTGTGATTTGAAGCTAACTCAAAATGATATTCATAATGAAGAAACATGTAAGAAATATGCACCAGTTATTCATAGGTTTGTTATTTTTAAGGAAAGGAGCTTATGAAAAACAATATTTTTATAACAGGTGTGATAAATGTACGAGTTGCTTCAATTTTGAAAGAAATCTGAAAGTTCATAAATTGTCAGAACATTTTGATCAATCGACATTCGATAAAAGTACAGTTTGTCCAATTTGCGGAGAGAAAGATAAGAAGACATTTTCGAGATTCTCAGTTTTTCAATCTCATATCCGATCACATTTGGTTAAAGATGCTTTTGAATGTAAAAGATGTGATACTGGTTCAAGAATCGAATTCGCGACGCAAGTAAGTATTTACAAAATTATTTCGGAAGTTTAAAAAATTGAAATTTGTAGGTGGAGTTGAATAAACACATTCGATACGAACACGAAAAACCAAATGAATTATCTTTCTGTCCAAAATGTCAAAAAGTATTTGTTCTCGAAGAAACTGCGGCTCATCTTTCTCTTCACGTTGTTCATAAAAAACTCGAAAAGAAACAAGCCACCAAAAGTAATAAGAAAACTATAGAAAAAGAAAGAAAACATAAATGTGATCAATGTGAAAAGGCATTTATTCGACCGGCTGAATTGAAAAGACATCTCACTGTACACGATAAAAATAGTAGGTTTTCTTCTTTTTTTTTGGATTATTTATTACAATTTTAAAATTATAGAAACAAACAAATGGAAATGTGCAATTTGTTCAAAAGAATATACACATATTACGGGTCTTTATGAACATAAACGGGTTGCACACGGCGAATCAAATTCATTCGATTGTAAAATTTGCGGGTTCAAATTCACAAAAGGAAGTAATCTCGATAGACATATCAAAAATATTCATTCATTAAACGAAAATGAATCAAAGAAATTCGATTGTATTGATTGTCCGAGTACACACAGCACTTTGGGATCATTAACAATGCATAGAAAACGTGTACATAATTATCAAAATGCACCATCTACAAGTAAAAAAGGTTTGTCTATCAGCGGGTGGTTTTTATGAAAAAGAATTTCATTTTTTTCAGTTCCTCTCAAATGTGATCAATATTTTTGTAAAATTTGCCAGAGAGAATTCAAAGAACCCGGAATGTTGAAAAAACACGAATACTTCCATTTGTTGGTTGAAAAACGATTGCGGACAGATAATGAAACATTTTCATGCGAATATTGTACAAAAACATTTGTTCTTAAAGCTTCTTATAATTGGCATTTACAAGTTCATTTTGAAGAAGATCAACAAGATTATCCATTTTGTGCGGTTTGTAATCTACAATTTGAAACACAGGATCATTTCAAAGAACATATTAATCAACATCATTCGGTTTCATGTTCAATTTGTCAACAAAAATTCACATCAAGACAATCTTATGAACAACATATTTGTCATCAAAGTTATTCCAATGTAAGTTTATTTTAGTTTGGTAATTTGTGTGGTTGAAAAATTTGTAAATTTTGAAAATAATGATTTTCTTTAAGAATGGGTGGAAATTTTAATTTATGAGAAAAACTTCAGAAATTTTCTAAAGAAGACTAGAGAAAAGTTAACTGATAAAATGATAATAAATTCAACAAAATATGTTTTTAGAAACAATTTGTGACTGATACAATATCATCTCATTTGAGTCATCATCGAACTGTTATTTGTCGATTATGTAAACCACCACAACGTCTTGTTACTTTAAAACAAATCAATGATCATAAAGCAAAACATCTACCAAGAAAAGCACATTTATGTTGGACTTGTCATAGATCTTTCAAAACAGCAAGTAAGTTTTCGGTTTATTTTTGTTACTAGAGCATCACTTTTATTTTTCAATAATTATTTATAGGAATTCTTGGTTTGCATCGAATGACTCATAATTCTCAACAAATTCAATGCTCTCATTGTTTGTTAGTTTTTACAAATCGAATTGATTTAAAACAACATATTCGATCTGTTCATACTATTGATAATAATGATTCATATGAATGTGGAATAGCAATTGATCGAAGTGCTGTTATGTCTGCACAATCATTTGCTGAATATGGATTAGAAAATGAAGATTTTGGAAATGTTGCTCGAGCTCAATCAGTTATTGAATGGAATCATCCACCAATTCAATATCAACCACCAATTTATCAAGAAATCCACGAAGGACAAGTTCGATGTCAAGTTTGTCAGCATTCCTATAATAATATTGAATTATTATGTGAACATTGGCAAGCAAATGAATCAGACGGCGAACATTCATTTGCTGTTATTAGTTGCCCAATTTGTGATTCAAGATTTCGAGGAGTTTCAGAAGCATCTGATCATATTAGATATTCTCATTTATATCAAAGAACTCGACAATTATCATTTTTACGAACAATTGAACCAATTTGTGAACAACAACAACCATCTCAACCATCTCAACCACAAAAAACTGTCAAACATTCTCATTTTTGTACTCATTGTAATAAGAGTTTCAAAAAGAAATGTGATTTAACACGACATATTACAATTCATACTGGAGAAAGACCATTTCAATGTGATCAATGTCAATTATCATTTCGACTTTTATCAACATTACGAAATCATCAATTTATTCATACAAATGAACCACCATCGCATAAATGCTTAGTTTGTAAAAAGGTAACATTTTCAAGATATTTTTCATTACGAAACTCAAATTCTATTTCCTCAAGAAATTCTCCAATCCTTGAGTGTTTGGGTCAAAAAGTTCCTCATTTTTTTAGCAAGCTTTGAGTTTTCTTTGAACTAACAATACGTTTTTCAGTTATTTTTCGAACGAAAATCATTGGTTGTACATATGCGAATTCATACGGGTGAAACACCAATGAAATGTAAATTCTGCGATGATTGCTTTCGAACTGCATTTTTATGTCGACAACATGAAAAAACGTGTATGAATAATATGACAATTATTAGTGTTGAACCAGTTATTATCCAAGATATGAATGAGGAAATGAATCGAACTATTACACAAATTTCAACATTACCAGCAGTTCCTCTTCATATTTCACAAACTTCTGCATTTGCAACAGTTCATCCAGATTCAAATAAGGTATTTTTCTTTTTTTTTTATTGTGATTTTTCATACAAATATTTTATAGATCAATAATTTTTCAATATTTATTATCACCAAACCAATCGATATTAATAATTTCATAGTTTTGGTTCAATATATTGCACCAGAAAAAGGTTCAATTCGACAAACAGTTGATACAATATCTGAAATTAGTTATAATCAAATACAATCAACTGATAAATTGACAATTGTTCTTCATAATAATTTGCGACTTCATGTGAGCAGTTCGAAATTATTGGAACATGTTATTCATCGAAGAAATTTGAAAGTAAAAGTTCAACTTGGAGATATGACTGATGAAATATTTCAAATATTATCATTGGATCAAGAAAGTTATGCGAGAAGGTTAGTTTTCAGAAGAAAATTGGAATTTTATGATATTTGTTTTGCAGATGTGATATTTGTGAAGTCGAATTTGAAACTCGTGAAGAAAGTGAGGATCATTTTTATTCCGAAGATCATGAAACTGCTCAATTAATGTTCCCAATGACAAAAATACAAGAAAATTCACAACAACAACAACCAATTATGAATGTACCGTATGCTATAAATCCAGATCAATTTATGAATATGATGTAAGTTTTCTAATAGAAATTTGGTCTTTTTCAAGTTCAAAAGAAATCTGCCTTTGATCTACAAAAAATTATATTAAACATTTTAGAGATCGAAATTCGCGAAAAATTGGTTCTGTTTAAAAAAATGCACCGCATTCTAAGTTTTCCCTAAGCTAATTTTAATAATAAAATTTTACTAAAATTAAGAAATTTTTGCCTATTAAAAGTTCCAAGTCCCTCTTTTTTTTCAAAAACTCGGAATCAAATATAATATTGTTTTCAGCCAAGACAATCCAATATCAGATTACACATGCAAACGTTGTGGTCGAAAATTCCTCGATATGGAACCACTTGTTGCTCATATTAAAAAAGAACACGATCGAGGTGATGGCGAAGGTTTAATTCCACCAAGACCTGCTGCTCATACAGCACCAATTCATTGAAGTGTTTCTTCACCCACTTGATTATTACTATCATTGAAATAAAACAAAACAAAAACATAGATGACATGCAATTATTACGTAATATTTAGACACCTTGTTGACTGAAGAACATGTGCATGATTTTTGAGGAGAAGAACGAACTCATAATTCTTCTATTCCCTTGTTTTTTGAAGGATTAATGAAAATATGATTTTGTGAGTTTGATTTGAAATTCCATTTTTCCAGACAAAATTAAGGTTATAAAATTTGAATGAAGAATATGAAACTTAATAGGTGACACCATTGAAGAAGGTGTGAAAAAGGAATAAATTATGGGTTTCTTGAGAAGTTTGCACAACAACACTTCACTTGAATTGTTTCAACTTGTGTTGAGCTCATGATTTTTTCAAGTTATTGAAAATATATTTTGTTGAGATTTCTAATTTTGAATTTTTATTCATTTTCAAAATCTCATTGAAGAATCCAAGTACTCTCAAGTACAGTATATCATTATTTTAACCCTAATAGATACATCTAACTTCTATTATGTATTGTTATGTAATGAAAAAAGAAGCGAATAAAGGTGTTAGAAATAGGAATGTTCAAATATTTGCTACCTCCTGTGGTGAATACCGGAAAACGGTTCTTTCTTTTTTGCGGGATCATCCCGAATGTACACATCTATCGTTTTTTCCTGCTCACCCATTTTTTATACAACAATTTGTTTTATCCTTACAAAAAATCGAAAAGAAAATAGTTCAAATTTAGTGTACAGTCAGTTGTTGATTGAGATCTATCTATTGAAGGAAGAAATAAACGAAGAGGGGATCACGTACAAATCTTTCCACCTCAATGAATTTATCGCCTTGGCGAAATAGAAACACAAGGAAAATGACAAAAAAAGAGAGAAACGATGAAGGTTGATTATTATTCCATTTTCTCTCCTCGGGTTTTTGTTTCTTCTGATTATGTAATATTTTTGTTGGGTGTTTGATTATAAAAGGCACCGCTTCTGTGGGAAATTCCGCGAAATTAGATATTCAAGTTTTTCGACACAAAAGTTGTCACATAGATTCTGAACTAGATTTTTGAGCAAAAAATACTAACCGGAGTGTCCTTTTTAGATAGTCAAAATTTTTTAAAGGAAATTTAGACGAAATCTCAAAATTTCGGAAATTTAGGAATCAATTTAAAAAATTGGGCGACGTTTCTCAAATTCAAGTTTTGAGAAAAAAAAGTGTGACTCAAAGTGTGACTTTAAAAATGTATCAGACTATTTTTTGTGCCATCATGCAAACTGATTTTTTAAAATTATTTGATTTTTTAAAATTATTTTTTGTGTGGCCCGATTCAGACGAAAATTGTTTCCAAATCCAAAAACTCGAAATAATAATTTCCATTTCTAAAGTTATTTTCTGAAAAACTCTAAACTAACAAAATTATTCATCTACTGTAACCCAATTCTAGAGATTCTTACTTTTACTCTCGAATTTTAATAGAAATACAGTATCCCTTATTTCATTCTTTCAATTCTCTGCTTTGAACTTTCCTAATTGCCTCAAAAATTGTCTGTTTCTGAATCTTTACACAAAATTTCCAAATAAATTCGATGATTATCTATGACCTCTTTATCCGATAATGTTTCTCAATTCTATTTTCTGTAACAACCATTTTTCAAGAAAAGAAAAAGAAAGAAAGAAACACATATTATTATAGGCAAATTTATACAATATTTGATGAATTTACCCGAATATGTTAAACGTGTGAATATTTTATTCCAACTTCATCTCATATAAATATCTGACAATTCCCTCTCCCTTTTCTGTGATACAAATATATTTTGATACAGTATTGTTTGTTTGTGGGCGTGGTTTTCTTTTTTCATTTTCCTCCAATTGCCGAAAATGTGGGCGGGGTTTCTGTTGATGAAGAGAAGGAGTTAATTATTTTTAGGTCTTCTCTTTTTGTCACACAGTTTTTATATAGATCAGAATTTCAAGAATCTTGAAACAAGTTTAATTTTCAGATGGCATCGTTTCCTTCTTTTCTTTTAGCAGCAACTGCAAATGAAGTATCAACAAAAATCGGAAAAAATGGGTAAGAGTTTGAGAAAAAAACATCTTAAATAATAAATATTTTTGTAGAACTTCCTCACCTTCAACATCTTCAGCATTTTCAATTGATACATTATTATCAGCTTCTTCAACACCTCTCAATATTTCTCCAATTTCTTCTGATAGTTTTTCAGCACAATTCGCACCATGGTCAACATTCCCATTTGTTTGTATGTTTTCAATTCAATAATTGATCCATGTTTTATCTGAAAATCTAAATTTTCCAGCCATGCTCTGTTCTCCACTTCTTCCCCAATTTCTTCCACCATATCAACATTTTGTTTCGCGTCGAAAAAGAAGACATCGAACAATTTTCAGTGAGGAACAATTGCATATTTTAGAAACTACATTTTTATCAACACATTATCCGGATGTTGCAACACGGGAAAAATTGGCAATTCAATGTGCATTGAAAGAAGAAAGAGTTGAGGTAAGTTTTGGAGTCTCAGCTAACGTGTGCTAAAAAGTTGGGGTAATTTGTAATTTTCAAACTAGGATTCCTACAGTAGTTCGGCTCTATAATTTTGTAAAGTTTAATTCTGATTTTAATGCAGTTTGAGAAAACAAGGAGCACAATTTAGATTTTTCTCTGATTCCTAATAGGCACCTTTTTGGAATCGATTTAAAAATCTTTGAAAATTAATACAGTGAGAACATATGATTATGTAATTTACAGACTTCAGTCGAGTTCCGTAAACTTCCAAATGTATAGTTTCTTTACGTGAACCTCAATTATCAATTTCTTCATTTTTCGGTTTTACATTCGCGATTCGGATCTAATTATTATAAGCTCAAGATTTTCAGCTTCTCATACATCAGTACTGTAGCTTTCGATTTCATATTCCTTTATTTGAAAATTTTCATCAGTTTCGTGAATGATTTCAAAAAGATTCTCTCTGTAAATTTAATTTTCAGCGGAAATAGATTAGAACAAATAATCAATAATAACTTAAGGTATCAATTTATAAATTCAATGAACCATTCATAATTATATTATATTTTTCTCCTTTTCTTTTTTTTTTTTTTAGATATTTCTCAAATATACCGCCACTTGTCATTATCGAATTAGTAGACACAGAAAAAAGGGTCCTTCTATAAATATTGCGTGCGCTTCCTTCTTTCAGTGTGTATTTTATACTTAGACAGGTGTCGATTAATTAGATGGTTCATCGAGACGAGTTCACCTGTATTCATTCAATATTTAGCGATTTATTTATTTATCCGTATTTTTTTGCAGGTTTGGTTCAAAAATCGTCGTGCAAAAGAGCGAAAACAAAAAAGAGATGAAAATTCGGGAAGTCTTTTGAATACAACAAATGATGGTTCTGAATGTGATGATAGTGATGAAGAAATGAAAACATCAACAAAACGACCGAAAAAAGAGCCAAGTTCACCAGAAGAACAATCAATTATTAACAAATGTATACAGTAACCTGAATTGAATTCTTTATTTCTCTCTTTATTTAAATATAATTAACTATCTAGTCGGTTTTTGTGAATTGAATGAATAAATGAATGATAAAAGATAATCCAATCAAAATGTATACTGTATTTTGTTCGGGGAGAGGAAATTGAAGATAATCTCATTGAGATTATTCGCACTAAAACAGGTTGTCAATCAGAAGAAAAAGAAGAATTGGAATTAAAATAAATACATACTGTAAATAAACTATTATCATATTAAAATCACCAATTTATTATATTTTTAATGTCGAAAATTAGAGACTCTAATCTAAGCCAAATTTGCATAAATTGTGTGGATAATCCAGAAATGTCCGTGTGAAAATGGAGAAAATTTTTGAATTACATTAGATATATTTTGCAATGCGCAAGAAATACATAAAAGTGTTTTTCAAGAAAAATCGAAAATTCACTCCCAAAACTTTTGTAAAGACGTTACTGTAGAAATATCTTGAATAAAAATTTTCAGATCTCACAAAAATCTGTTTTCCTACAGTAATCTTGTGCTCCTTCGTATCTAAATATATGTAATTTGATCTGCTGTGAACACGATAAATTATTAGTTGAATACGGTAAGTGGAAAGCTAATATCCTATGTATTTACAGGGAGAAGCCAAAAAAGAAGAAGAAGAGGCAGAAGCAGAAGTGCGTGTTCTCACACCTGGTCCACTTAAAAAGTCAAAATATTGAATTACAAATGTATATGTATAGACTTCTTATTTGGTTGTGAAAGGGAAAAACTACAGTCAATGAAACATTTAGAAACTACTCAAGGGGAAGTGAAAATAGTATTTGGTAACAATTTTCCTCGCTTCCTTGTTTTTGCTCCAAAAAAAATTGGACTCGTTTAAAGTCCTAGTTTCATTAATGATTTTGGAGCTGAAAACTAAAGTAATCAAGCCTGAGCCAAACAAGAATAATTCCGAAAATCAAATTAATCCGTGACCGATTGACATGTTAATCTCTTCACTTCTATATTTAGTTATTTGTATACTTACAGTAGTGCCTAATATAATGATCTGGTAACCTTCTGACGTACAAATATCTATTGACATAAAGAATTATTGTCGAATAAGAAGAAGCGAGAAAATACGAAAATCAAACAAGGCAAAAAACACAAGAAAAGGTGTCAAAAAACGAGCAGGTGAGAAAATACAAATTTGAAAATGGACCAAAATTATTGAGAAAATTATTTGGAGATTAGGAAAAAAATGCTCTTTTTTGAAATTGACAAGAAAATTCAGAATTTTATCCAGCGATCTAAATATACAAAAATGTGGTAATGTGGTCTCAAAATGGAATATTTATTCCAAAAAAAAATTGCATGAACATTTTTCAACGTATAGCTTTCTCGTATAGTATACATATATGATCAAAGTAAAGTAAGTATCAAAGTAAAGTAAGTATCGGTGAAATTCGAAAATCGTGAAGTATCCTGATTTCACGAAAAAAACCGAATTGAAAAAATAAACGAGAGTGTTGCGTCTAGAAGAGACGAGGAGAGAGAAGGAGAGAAAATGATAGATAGAAACGCGTAAGAGAGAACTCCAGACAACACGACGCACTTATGTTTTTGAATTTTGTGCAACCTCAAAAAATTTTTTCGTTTTTTCACAAAAAATGCTTAAATCGTTCATACTCAACCAAATTTTACAATCTTTTCTGCAAAAGATAGGAAATCCTCGGGAATAGAGATTGCAAAAAGAAAAACGTCGAAAACTTTTCACCAAGCACCAAAAATTATGATTATAGGTTTTTCGCCTTGATTTCCCAATTTTCGTGAATTTTTTTCTGAAACGACGGAAAGCTGAATACAAAAAACCATCATTGGAAAAATTAGGAATTAAAAATAGATTTGAAGAGAAAATGAAGATAATTTAAAAAACTTTGGAAAATCGGACTCGAAATTACTGGGGGAAGAATTTATTTTTTAGTTGTACTTTGCAATTCAAAAAGTAGAAAACTGAACTGGAAGGAATGCGGATAAGTTTCAAAAACCATTGAATGATGAACATGAATAGTTCATGAACTGGCACACCCTTTTAGTCTCATAATAAAGCAGCAACGACGTAACACACACATTTTTGTCGACAGAGTGCGTATCATACATGCAATTTTTATCAATAGGGCACACTTCCATTTTTACTATTATTTTCTTGTTTTTGTTCATCGGAAATTTTTCATTCACGTTTTTTTGTTGTTTTTTCCATGAATTTGAATCAAACTTGTTGTTAAATTCATATTTATCTATTTTTCTAGTACAAGAAACACAAGTTTAGGTGATTTTCGATAGTTTTATACTAAAATTGGTGCTCAAAATGTAATTTTATAAAAAATGTTCTTGAATTTTTCTTCAGTTTGGAGTTCTTTTTTAGATTTCACTCATTTCTATTTTACAGGAAAAACGTCAGGAAAATGATGGAAATATCGAAACAATTTATGAAGCGAATTTCAGTTGAATGATATTCAAAAACGAGGAAAACTGGAGTAAAAGTGAGTTTTTCAGCATTGTTTTTAAAAATTTTCAAAAGCAAAACTTGCTACTTTTTCCCCGAGACGTGTTTAAGCGCTGGCAAGCGAGTTTGAGGTCACTATTTTATTAAACAACTTTTTTTTATAAGCATGTTCGCTCTATTGACAAATGTTTTTTCTCTAACCGTCTCTCAAATATTTTGACTTTGTCGTTGCGGATTCACCGCAAAAGTGAGACTATGTTTGATGTACCAGAAAATTTCTTGAACATTTTTGAAGCCTGGAGATTTTGGGTAGTAAATTACACACTGTGTATCAAAATAACCCCTTTACAGTTAAATTACATTTAAAATCCACCGTGTTTTTCTGAATATTTCTTTTTTTCATGAATTCCCAGTGTTTTCATTTCTTTTCTGATTGAAACTTTTCAAATTCAATTATTTATTCATTCATTCAGTATTGATCTTGTGGTCTTTGATATGTTTTACAATTATCTTTCATAATCCAAGCTGCTTTTGACATTGTTATAAAATCGCCGTGTCCATTTGAGAATAATTCTTTTTTGATTGAATCTACTTCAATTTCAGTCATTTGGTTGTCAGTCAAAAATATTTGAAGAGTTTGAAGTATCAATTCTCTAAAAAAGAAACATAAACTATTTGCTTACTTCTAATAGCTTACTTTGATATTCCAACATCCGAAAGAGCAATTTCAATATTTTTAACAGTTTCAGCTGATTTTTGTTGATATTGATGACGATTCAAACCAAGCCAATCAAATGCTCTTTTTTTGGCAGCTGACATTCCAGATCTTTCTAAATACATTCCAGTTCGACCAATCAGGTCGCCATCAATTTTAGCAAGACTTAATGGATGAATTGCAAGTTGTTTTGAATTATTTTTGACAATCAAAGATGATTTTTTCGAGGTACTTTTGAGTTGACCTGATCTTGAATTTGGCAATTTAGTCATTGAATTTGGTCGATTAGCAAGTGGATTTGAAAGTGGAGCAGAATGAAGAGGATCCGATTGAGTTTTTTGTAATGATTCTTTTGGAAGTGGAACCATCAAACCATTTTGATTTTTCGATTGTTCATCTACTTTTTCATTCCGATTTTGTTCTTTCATATTTTTCTCTTCTTCTATTTTTTGATCTGATTTTTTCTTATCAATCTTCCGATTCGATGGTTTCTTTTTCAATTGTGTACTTTCATCAAATTCATCAATTTTTACTCTCGAAACTCGTTTTTTGACAATTGGAGGATCGGCTTCATTGCTCTCCTCTTTTTCTTGTTTTATTTTATTTTTCGGTTCCGATGGATCTTTTTTTGGATCACATTTTAGAGAAGCATATTCAATAGGTGGATTTGATGGAAATGTTTCCTTTTTCTCTTCATTTATACCAGGATTTGGACTTTCTGGTGGCAAAAGTGATTGCGGAGGCTTCACTTGCGATTTGGTTTTCGCCTTTTTTATTTTCTGGAAAAAATGTCATGGTATTTTGAAATAGGGTTAAGTAATAAAGCCTCGAGTACAGAGAGTTGTGAGAAAACTCTCTTCACAATCATATAAGGTACTTTTTCAACTAAAAATGTATCAGGTACTTTCAGAAACTCACATTTTTCTTATTTTTCTTATCATCATTTTTCGAAGGTTTCTTGCCAGTATTCCGATCTTCTTTCTTCTTTTTCTTGTCTTTTTTCTTTTTCTCATTCGGCTGCTTTTCCATTTTTAATTAAGTAATTTCTATTGATTCTTCTATTTTCTTCGAGAACAAATAAACTAAATGACCAAACTCCTTCTCAAACTGAGAAACCAAAAAAATTTCAACAAAAAAAACTTGGGCCATCACGCACGTATTTTTTATTTTTGAAGAATTATTATTTCAAAATTTATTTCCAAACTATTTTTCCCTTCACATTTTCTCTTCTAATTAGAAACATTTCATTTTCCATTTTGGTTAATTAATACTGTTTTGGCTAAATATGTAATCGAAACGAATCGAAACACTAATTGGAAAATGAAACAAGACAGTGAAAAAAACGGACGGTTTTCAATTAGAAGGTAAATACTTTTTTTTTCGATTTGAACAAAGTTTCTTCACGATTTTTACTTGATCATATTCAACTTTAATAAACGAAATTTATCACGTGGTAAATTATTTATATTTAAATAATGGCTCCATCAATTTAAGAAGGAACTACGAATTCCGTTTCCTTCATCTGAAACATTGTTTTCCGGAAGTTCCGAAAAAAACGTGTGAAAATAGAAAATGCGCTCACATACGTTGTTTTCTCACTGTCTGCATGCACACATATAGCGATGAACCCAACCCGCGAAACGTCGGCGCACACACACACTTAAATAGCGAACAATTGTTGATAGTTTTGGTTTATACCCAGTTAACCAAGGTAATTTGGTGTTTTGACCTTTCGAAAGAAAGTGTTGAAAAACAACTGTAATTTTTGGATCCAGCTTCTTCGGGGTATCCGGAGAGGCGAAATAAATTGAGGTTTTTCTGCATAAGTTTTGGGATCTTATCGCATCTCGTGCATTTTGCAGTTGGAATTCACACCAAGCCCCCTTGCTTTTCTGTATACAAATCATAATTCCCATAAAGAGTCACATTTCTGAAAAAACCCATCCAATAAAATTCGTATTTTTCTTTCTTGGAACATTTTACGACGCTAATTCAGCTGGTGCCAACACGAAAGAAAAATAATTATAAGGTGAGAGAATAAATATTTGGTAGAGATAAATCACACGAACACATTTGTTCAATTGTTCGGAAAAAATGATTGTCGAAAAAAAAGAATGTTTATTTGTTCGTAAAAATTAAAGCTTTCACAGAAAATGGCACAGGAATGAGTTGATTGAGAAAACAAAAATTGATTAGATTGTTGAAGTTTCATCATCTTCATCGTCGTCATTTGAAATAGTTGTATTTGCATCAGAACTTTCCATATTTACTCGTTTGTGTTTTGTTCGTCGATTTTGGAACCAAACTTTTACCTGAAAAAGCAACCCAATTTATATACTTATTAAATAGTATAATTAATATCCGTTAATAACAATTAGTATATTTTAAAACATTCCTCATTTTCTTTTTTTATATCTCAATGACTATTGTATAAATAAATGTCAATAAATAAAAAGTAAAAGAGAGGCATCAAATAATAGCACTCGACTCGACACCAACCAAAAGCTCAAACTTACAACAAGGATTAGCACAGTTCGGTTGTCTCAATTGACCGTATTTGTCTACAAATGTATACAAATAATTAATATTTATGTATCTATCCATCAAGATGTATATGTTGCTCTATTCGATGTTTAATTAAAACATTATTTCAATGAAAGCGTGAAAAATATTGACAACTTTTTGTTTTGATGAGCAATCGAAGAAGGTGTGGAATTGTAACTATTTGGAAGATAAAAACCGTATAAAGTGTTCAATTCTCTACATTTTTTGATACTCTTCCAAGTAAATTTACCAAGGATGATTTTGAACTTCTCAAAAGTAATTCCAAAAAAATGTTTTTCAAATACGCAATTTTCGAAACATTGGGGTAATATAGGCAATATTGGGGAAGCTGAGTTTTAAACAAAGGATTCTTAAGAAATTTGATTACTGTAGTTCTCTGACTCTGTTCGGAAAAAGTATGTATTTTTTCAAATGACAAAACCATTTCATATTTTTTAACCAACCTGTGTTTCAGTTAGAGAAAGTCTTGCTGCCAATTGTTTTCTTTCATTTCCAACCACATAATGATTTCCCTCAAATGCTTTTTCCAATTGAATCAATTGTGCCGCACTAAATGCAGTTCTTATTCTTTTATTTTTTCGAAGTGGTTGCAAAAATAACCCGGCAGTAACATCACCTGAAAATATCATCTCATTAGTTTCGGAATTGAAAATGAACCAGAAAAATAATTAGCTCACCAAACTGTGCAGCAGTTGAAGATTGTAACAATTCGAGCCATTGTTGTGACCATAATTGTGTTCCAGAATCATTTCCATTGTTTGAATTATTCCCAGTTATTCCAGCAGTTATAAAAGGATTCGAACAAGCCATTTGAACATGTGGCAAAAGAACATCAAAATATGAAAGGGTTTGAGCAAGTGGTTCATCATTTGTTATTTTTTCACTGATTTCTTCTTCTTCTTCCTCGTCAATTCCATCCTCTTCAATATCATTTATTGTTAATTTCTGAAAAAAGCACAGGCTAATTGAAAAATCAATTTAAAACTCACATTTTTCTGTTGCACTTCATTTTTTCTCACATTTTCCCCATTTTCTTCCTCTTCTTGTTGTGATCGATTTTCAACCAATCTTTCAACGGAAAACTTCAAAGTCATCATAGAAATAGATTAATGAATTTGGTAAGACAAGCTAATAAATACAATTTAAATGAAATCGAAACCTTCTTCTTATTTTTCAATATAAAATATAGGCGTGTCTTATGGCTCCAATTCGTCGATGCGCGAAAATGGGCGGAGTTTTATCGTTGACCGTATCATCGTTATTATTTTCATTTGTTTACTTTTGTTGAGAAATAAAGAAGAAGAAGCAAGAGAGAATTACACCAATGATGAGATGATTCTTTGCGAAAATGAAATTGAAAAGAGCAAAAAAGTGTATGTGTGTGTGTGTATATTTAGAGTTGGATCGAGCAAATGGGATACAATGAAAAGAAGACGCGCAAAATATGTCCCTCAATTGTCTATCGATGTATGTGAGGAACGACTTATCGAAAATCGACCAAGAAATACGAATTGTTTACGGATACAATTAACTTCTACCGTATTTTCGAAACGTGTTTCATTGAGAACGGTTACTCAAAAAAAGTCATCAAAAAATAGAAATAATCAGATAACTAAACTGTACATTCTGCTTGAAATCAGAATCCTAAATACGTGTATTTTGTTGTTGTGTTACTGTAGTTTTATTCTACATATCTTAATCAAAATTTTTATCAGCAACGGGAAACCTTACAAGTTACTGTAGCTGTTTAGTGAAATTTTAGTTTTTGTGAAAAAGGTGACTGTAGTTTTGATCTACATAATCAGAAATACTTGAGATGAGATCCAAAGAATTATATTTCGTTTCGTAGAATATTACTGTAGCTTTGCACGCGGATGTCTTCAATTTGAGCATTTTTTGAAATGAATTCGGAAAAAAGTTCACGTATTAATTTATTTTTACATTTCCACGTTTAATTTGTTATTGCTTTTCATTCATTTTCTTCTTTCCTTTTTCTCTCTGCAAAATCTCATAAAAAATGAGCAAATTCTAATTAGCACGCGGTGTTATCCAGTATTACATAAATACATAAAGTAAATAAATATGTCCAAATCCAATTACTTTTGAACAAACTAAATAATAACAATTGTAATATTATTATTATTCATCATAATAATGGTGCTTTCATTTATATTTACATTTCTAGTATTCCTCTTCTTTTTTCGCCTTCTTCTTCTTCTTCTTCAGAATCCTCTGCTCACCTGTCTCGATTTCCACAACTCGGTATTATATTACAAAGCAGATTTCAACATGTAATTATTATTTTTCATTTGAAAAGGGTACCTTTTTATTAAAATTTGTTTGAGAAGCGAATAAAAAAAGACAAATGGTTGAAGAGCACATCAAATCAAATGGCCAAAAAAGACATGACAACCTATTATTTTTTCACGCCGACAAATAAAAAAGGAGTACTGTATTAGAAGATATTTGGAAAAGGGAATATTTGTTGATATTAGAAAATATTAAGTAAATCAGTACTAAAAGCATATCGATCTCTTAAATGAGTATTTAAAATTGATTGTTCTAAAACTCCAATTTGAACATTCATTTTTTCCAATTCTTCTTCGAGTTTTGTGACAGCTTGTTTTATTTTAACTAAAGGTGCACCATCATTTGATTTTGCGCCTTGTTCCTCGATTTGTTGTTTCAATTGTTCAATATCTTCGCTGATTCTTTCAAGAGTTTCAGTTCGAGAACTTACACCAACTGAAGCTGTTCTGAAAAAATGTTTCGAAATAAAATTAGATTACTGTACAAATTGACTCAAAACTCACTTATATTTTTCAGTCAACTCTGCTCTTTTATCTTGAGCTCCTCGAAATTTGCTCATTTGCGATGATAATTGTGTATTCAATGTTTTTTCTCTTGTTGTTATTCGTTCCAAACTTTTTGCAATATCTTTTGACATATTATCTAAATATGGCTCAATTTGTGAAACTTTTTGCTCAACAATTTTATGCATATTATTCATTTGCTCCAAATGTAATCGCCAATCTTTTGCATCTTGTCGAATTGTTATTTTAAGCATTGGAGCAACTCGATCAACTTCATGTTTCCAAGAAACACTATCTGTTGTACTTTTAAGAACTCCTTGTAATGGTGTTTTTTCTTCATTCGTTGAAGTTGTTGTTGATATTCCTTGTGCCTTCAGATCAATTTCAATAACATTTTCATCATCATCGTCGTCATCGAGTAAATTCATATTATCATCTTCTTCCTCGATCTAAATAAAAATAGTTCACAGAGTTTTGTCGAAGTTTTAAAACTCTCTCTTCTCTCTTCGTGGGACTAAAATCGACAAGGTTCAAAAATAGTGAGATTAAATAAAATTATTTGTTTCAATCTACTCCGCAAATTTTCAGAAAATTTGAGGCTCAGAAAAATTTGGGTAGTAAATTGGGCAAATAAGAAATTGGTTTCCGTTTTGCCGTAAATTGTTGTTTCCTGCTGTTAATTATTTATTAGAAGTTCTTACCCCGTTCGGATCATTATCCTCATTTTGATCATCATCTTCATCAACATGAACATCTTCATCTTCAATTTTTGGCGGAATCATTTTCTTCCATTCAAATCCAACATTTATCAAAGCAGTATCAGCTAATGAATTTAATATATAAATCACATTTTCTCCGGCCCCATTTTTCAATTTATTCGTGGGAAAATCAATCGATATTTGCTAGAAAAATTGTTGTTTGATTAGAATCTACGAGATGCCCACTAAAGGGTATCTATTCATCTTTTTTCATTTTTCTTTGATTTTCATTGTTTCAAATAAAATGCTGGATTTTTTCATTCTAATTTCAAGAGGTTTGATTTTTAAAAACAATTATTTTTTAATGAAAACTGAATTTTTATAGGAAAAAGATTTGTTCGATTATTTGTTTGTCTACTTTTTTCACTTCTATTTCTTTTATTATTTGCATTATTAGCGGGATTAACAATATTCGATAATCAACATAATAATATAATTCATGATTATGTTGCTAGAAATGATGATATTATTGTTTTATCAACTACATTTTTCGAGAATTCTCAAAGTTTTCCTCCAAACACTGCTGTAATTCTATTTAATTCAGTTCAAGTTTTTCATCTCAAACATTCAACTTTAAATGTCATCGCAGAAACTTTCGATGGAAATAAAGAAATCAAATTTGAGTATGTTTCAAAAACTCGAAAAACAAGAAAATTTTGAATTTTTTTTAGAATTCATCCAGTGATAAATAAACTGCCATTTTTCTGTAAATGGGTTCCATATTTAGCAATTGGTCAAGTTCCAGAAGATCCAGTTCTTTTAAAATTATCAACAAATGGAAAAGATGGAATGGAGGTATTAGAATAAGAATGACAAAATTCAAAAAAATCTTGAATATTTTTAGTTATCCCTTCGAAATCCATACCGTACTTCTCATAATGTTGTTGCTTGTTTTTCTCCAATGTTTTTGAATGAAAGATGGCAACTTCTATTATCAACAGTTGAAGTTTATTCGCATTATGGAGCATTTTTACATTTTTATGTGCGAAGTATGATAACTGATCTATTCGATTTAGTAAAAAGTAATAAAAATGTGAAAATCAATGCATGGCCAAGTTTGAAAATGGGAAATTATCGAGCTGCAAGTCCTACTTTCAATCCAAATACTGAATTGGAATTCAGAAATCAAGCATCAGCAATGACTGATTGTTTATTATTATATAAGGTTAGTTTGGAATGTTTTTTGATGATTCGAAAGAAAAACAAAAATATTTCAGGATTCTGCAAAATTCATAATGTTCCCAGATCCAGATGATTTCATAATTCCAACATTGGGAAGAACATATAAAGAAGAATTCATAAAGGTAAATATTTTAAAGATTTAGCAAATGAGTAAAAGGGCAATAATAAAATTTCAGATGTTCGAAATGTTTCCAACAGCTGGAGCATTGGCTTTTAATATGACTCAAACAGAAATTGAAAGTAGTAAGTTTTTGGAAACACTTTTGAGCATTCTATTATTTCCTAGTTTTGATCTACATATGAAAAAAATCGAAACTTGTAACTAAAAAATGAGACTTCACAGGTTATGGAAGCTCGGGCCTGCACCAAAAATTTTCCTAATTTTCAAGAAAAATGTGATTGGAAAATCCGGAAAATATTAATGGTGAAATTCAATTTTTTAAAATGTTCAGCAACATCTCCATTCCGATATTCTCCACTTTCTTTACTTTCTTCAATAAAATTCAAAGGAGAACAGCGATGGGGAAAATTAGTTGTTCGACCGGAAAAAGTTGACAGTGTTTGGATTCATAAAACATATGGATTGAAAAAAGGATATGAACAGAAAACAGTTCCAATTCAATTAAATTCAGCGCTTCACTTCAGATTTTGGAATTTCACTGAAAGACCAAAAAATAGAAGTGCTCCATTTTATGATCCAACTTTGAGTTTGCAAGAAAATCGAACAGTTTTTAAATTATCAGATGGATTGAGAATCGAGAAAAAATTCAAGAATCATATTCGAAATAATTATCAAATATTTTCGAGACTTCCGTCGGTTTCACTTTATTATCCACTTATTGAATCATGTTATAATCGAATATTTTATGAGAAAACTAATATTGGAACTTGTAAAGGTATGAGAAAACTCGAAATTCGAAAGCTTTTACTATTATTTTTGCAGGTCCAGAATACTGTAACATTCCGCCTTTTATCGGATTACGGTGTACAAATGTTGCTAGCGAATTTGTAACCTACAAAAGTTACAAAAATGTTTTCATTCATCAACTTGTTTCAGCGGAATTCGAAGAAAGTGAAAATGGATGCACCTTATGATTCTAACCTTCTTTCCAAATTATTTTTTAACGGGTAAAATAAATGAATACCTTTGATTTTGCAGCCGTCACAATATTTGAAATTGTTGAATTTGGATCATCGAATTCTTGGGGCATCGGGTAATTTTCATCTCCACATTTTCTAATAAGCCAAGCTGCAATCGAAGTAAATAAAAAGAATTGTTCACCAACATTTGTAGATTTTACGAAATAGTGTCTGGAAATTAAACATTTTGGGAAAACATTTTCTGTAGTCTTTATGTTTCAGAGCTTCTCTGATTACTTATAAGTTCCCATTTTCTCAAAAATAATCCCAGGTGTCTTACTCAATAAATCTGAACCCAAAATCTTTAGAAGATCGCAAAATTATTCCCCAATTTATTAGTCCCTTGAATTTAAATTTTAAAAAATGAGTTTTCATTCATAAAAAATTAGAGTACTGTATTTTTCGCAAACTAATTTTAAAATAAAAGGCAAACCTTTGTATTGGTTTATAAGCGATTCCCATTTTCAAAAATGATTTTTCATAGTGCAATAATTTCAATTTGTCAACAAAATCCTCGCTCTGAAAGTATATAAACCCGTGAATTAACAGAAATTAGAAAAAATACAAACCTTCAAATATATTTCATATTCTTTTCCAGGTCCTTCATCTGTTTTGTTTGTTTTTTGAATTTCATCTTCATTTTCATTCTCATTTTCGATTTCTTCTTTTTGTTCCGAATTTTCAATATCTTCCATTCTGAAACTCTTAAAATTTCAAAAAAAAACCATAAAAATAAGAAGGATAATCTTTTTTCTAAATTTGTTCTAGTTTCCATGGAAACCAACTGGCGCTTTTCAAAAATAAAAACTTATTTACTTTTTTTTTTTCTATTTTTCCACATTATTTTATTAAAAATTGTTTTTTTTTCAAATTTGTAAAAATTTATTATATTTCTCATCAAAATTTAAAAAATCCAAACAAGGATTGAACTAAATAAAAAATGGGTAGGAAAATGAAGGGAGATGAATATACGGTAACATTTCAAGGAAAAATGCAAAAACACGTTTTTTCAGACTTTTTTCGTATTTTGGATGTGTTTAAGAGCGAGATACGCCAAAATGAACAAAAATAAAGATCATCATAAGAAAAAGAACGAAAGAAATGGGAAATAAATTAAAAATTTGTTAGGTGCCAAAAACTAGATATATATGAAGTTAATAACATTAATTAGAAAACATATTCTTCATCTGTTGACATTGTCATATCAATTGCCCAACGGAATTTCTCACGATGTGTTTTGGTGAAAACCTGCAAAAATATTTATCATTGTTTTCACATTTTATTAAAATTTATTAATTTACCTTTTCAAGTGGTACTTCGTGTTTTTTACACCATGCAATCGTAATTCTTGGATCAAGATAATTCAACTTCGAAGTTCCTAACGCGACAGTTTTATTTTCATCTTTGTCGGTTCTCGAAATCTTCAACTTTTTGTACTGTTCTTTTAGTCTTTCATATTTTTTGGTAGCTTTTTCAAGATTTGCTTTATTCGCATTTTTCATTTCTTTCTTTGCCGCTTCCACAATCTCTTTCTTCTCTTTTATCTGAAAAATATAAGAAATAGATAAAATAAAATATCAATATAAATAATACCTTTTGTTCTAATGCTTCCATTGATTTTTCGAAAGTTTTTGGAACAGCACGTTGATGGTTACATAAAATAGCAACCTGTCGATTTGCTCGATTGTACGACAATAGTTTTTGTGCAATAGTATCTTTAGCTGAAAATTATGAGAATAATTAAATTATAGCAATTGTAAAAAACTTACGATTGGTTAATTTATTCAATTGATCTTGTAATGTGATTGAAGCATTATATGTACGGAATACTTTTACAGTTAAACCATCCATTAAAGTCTTCAAATGTTCATTCAAAGTAGATGTCTGGAAACAATATTCATCATAAATTATATCATTGTTTTAAATATTAAAATTAAACTTACATCTAGACGATCGAATAAGTCATCTGCTGGATTTTTTTCCTGCATGAAAAGTTTCAAATTTTTGTAGACACGTTTTTCAACAGACACTCTGTTGAAATATCGAATTGAATCTTTACCAAGGAAATCAAACTCCACAATGTGTCTATAAATTCCACGATTTTTAAATAATTAAAAAAATATAAATCAAACTAACTCTTTTTCGTGTGCATCATCAGGATTAATTTTACCCGAATCATACAATTTGATATGTTCAACTCGAAGAGAACAACAACCAACAGTATCAGCAGCTTCATCAACATCTTTTTCATTACCAGCTCTCAATGCTAATTTGTCAATAAAATACAAGGCAACAGATCTTTGTCGAACTCGCATTTCTTTCGATTTCCAATCATTGATATAATTCTCGCGAATAACTCCAATCTTCTTCTTCAATCGTCGTGCAGTTTCATACTTTTCATAATCTTTTTCACCTTTTATTTTACTGCTAGGATTCAACATAATATATTTGTTTTGTCCCAAAACTGATTCTGTCCAAGAACAAAGCCATGAAACCAAATTGTCATGTCGAACTTCTTTCCATTTATGACCAGCTGGTGGAATTGGTATTTCACTGTTTCTGAAATTATTTTATTGAGTAACAAAAATCAGCTTTTTATTTCATCGAAAACCAAAACTCAAATTCAAAAAAAAACTTACTTGGAGCAGTTAATAATCACATCTTCTGGAACAATTCTCTTTTTGAGCATTCCCATTTTTGGATGTCCACCTCGACCACGGAATAAACCTGGTGGTTCAATTCTGAAATTGGCCACTTTTTGTTTGTGTCCATCAATCACAGCAACTCCATATAACATCATTTCAGCTTCTCGTTCTTCTTTAATTTTCAATTTTTCCTCTTTCGTCATTGCCTTACGAATCTCTCTTTGCTCTTTTTGATATGCATCAATTTGTCGGAAATCACATTTACTTAAATCTGTTATTATTTCTCTTTCTTTTGATGTCATATATTTTCTCCAATCGTTCATAAAATTATTATTAAATTGCTCTTTTGTAGAATATTCATGATCCAAAACACCCGCATAAAATTGTGCAATTTCTTCCGTATCTTGTGATAATTTCATGTGTTTTCCAGCATATTTGAAATGAACTTCTGGAGGAAGTGGAATATATGGGGGAGCAAAAAGAGGACCTTTGTGTGATAAAGAATTCCATTTAACACCATCTGGTTTTTTATCTTCTTTCCACCATTCCCATATATCTTCCATTTCTTCTTCCTTCTTTGGCTTCTTTTTTGCTGGAGTTGTTGTTGTAAAACTTGCTTTTTTTGCATCTTTTGCAGATGATGACGATGAAGATGACTTTTTACTTTTAGATTTCTTCTTCTGAAAAAATATAACTTGCTGGCAAATTGGGATAATTATATGCTCCAAATTTCAACATGCATTATAAAGCAGAAGCAGAAGCAGAAATGAAAGTCGAAAACTACAGCGATAAACTTAATATAAATAATACCTTCTTTTCAGCTTCACTATCACTCGATTCTTCTTCTTTCTCGCTTTCTTCTTTTTTGCTCTTCTTCTTTTTCTTTGGTTTTTCCTGTATAAAAGGGATATTAACAAACAAGCAACGAAACAGTTTTACAACACCTTTTTATCCTTTTTATTTTTTCCTCCATATTTTTCGGATAAGGGAATATCATCATCATCATCATCTTCATCTACCCCTTCTTTCACAATTTTCTCGATCTATAAAAATTAGAACATGCACAAAAGGTTAGGCAAGCTTGTGAAAATGACAACAACAATGAAAAAACACAAACTTTAGTTTGGAAATCATCTTCACTGTCACTTAATGCCTTTTTCCGTTTTTCTGATTTTTTCTTTGGTTTTTGTTCTTCCTCTTCATAATCGTCATCATCATCACTATCTGCCTTTTTCTTGTGTTTTCCACTTTTTCTGTCCTTCTTTTTCTGGAAAAATATACACATTTTTTGCGAAATGATACAGATAAAGAAAACATTAACAACACGTAAAACGTGTTTTGATAAAAATGTTTTTTTTTTTCATTTTTTAAAATTTTACCTCAGGTTTATATTCTTCTTCTGAATCACTTCCAGCTTTCCTCTTCTTTTTCTTTTCACTTGATGACGGTTGAGACTTTTCGCGTTCCATCAATTCCCCCCATGGAATGTCATCATCTGATCCATCTTCCTCTTTTATTTCTCTTTTAATCTCACCATTCCCATTTGTATCAAAAACGGCTCTAAAAAACGAACTCAATTATTATGGGTTTATGAAATAAATAGACCAACCCATTAACTTCGTGACCATTCCCATTTTCATGATGCTCGTGGAGAACGTCCATTCCTTATTTGAGATGAGAAAACCTGTAAATATAATTATTACATAATATGTGTCAAAATCTATAACCAAAATAAGAGAGACATCGATTTACTAATTAATTGTTATGCTCTCTTTTTCTAATTGTACTCAATGATTTCTTGACAGACGGAGATAGAGGAAAAAGAAGAACAGGAAAATAGTTCATATTGAGTGCAAACAATCTTTAGTGTTGCACTTTACTATACTACTATAAATTGAAAATACATCATCGAAAATGTCTTTTGAATGGGAAACCTATAAATTTTTATGTTAGCCTTGCACAATAATGGGAATCGGTCAAAATGATATGGTTTGAAAACAATTGTGCTGAGGTAGTGAAACAAAACAAAAAATGAACACCTATACAGAAAATATGAGTTTATCGAAAACACTTTTGATTATTATTTCTATATAGAATTTTAACAAAATCAGTCTAATTTTTGTACAGAAAACCTTGAAATAAATTTCGGAGAAAAATAAAAAGTTATTATGCCACACATTACGATGATTCACATCAAAAATATATAGTGAACTTGGACTAACTAACTTGAGAAAGAGATGACAATATATCTAATATGAAATGTATGTGGAACTAATTATTTTCAGTTTTGAAAAATATTCTTCATCTAAAAAATAGAAAAAAAAAACTATATTTGTCGGTAAATTATTGTAAAAAATACAGTAAACCAGTATAATAATCGATAAAATTTGGCTAAACTATTTGATATATATTAGATTTCAACACATTTTTCAATTAAACAAAAAATACAATTGACGAAATATATACAGAAGTTGAAAAAACCGAAGAAAAAATGAGAAAATTAGCGAAAAATCGACAAAGTCTGGGAAAAAGCGACTTTTCTTCTCATACGACTAAGTCCGGGGGAACACTTGGACTTGTATGAAAAACGGCCGCTGTGGCTGTTTGTGCCGACCGCGACGCACACTACCATGAACGCGTTGCGGTCTTTTTCGCAATGCAGCGAATTTGCACACTTCGGCGGATAACATTTTTTGTTTGTCTCTTGACGCCTTTTTTCGATGTTAGTCGATTATTTAAGGTGGTTTTCTCATAAACTATGGTTTTTATTTCATACCCATATAATATTATCGATTTGCTTCATCTGTCAGGTTATTTCTCTGTTTCAACCAACCTTTTGCAATAATGCTTTCGATTGAAAACTAAAAATTGTAAAAGAATTGTTTTTCCTTAAAAAAAAACTCTTCTCCCATTTTTCTTATCAAAGAATAATTCAAGCTAGTAAGATAATAATTTCAATCAAGAACTGTAGAGTTTCAGCTTTGATATTTGTGACGTAATCGTTCTTCAGAAAAATGAAAACATCAGTTGCTCAATTGCACTTTTCGTGGTCAAAAAGAGCATATGTCGACGGTTTTGTCAGTTTGACCATTGGAATTTCATTCTTTCATCTATGGAAAAAGAATAACCCCTATAATTATGAGTTTTCTGTTTCAAGTCTCTCATATTTCACGCCCATAAATAATAATCAATAATTTGATAGTTTTCGAACGTGCCCCTGTTTTTTGTTTTCATCTTGCGTCATTCTTTAAATTCAATAATTTGAAATCGTCTTTTCTCACATCAAAAATTTTATGAACGAGAAAAATAAATCTGGTTTTGGATCAATTAGGATGAACAACAAGATTATGTAATGTTCTCACTTTCTAGATGTATACATAAGAATAATATCTGAGGGGATTTCTTACGTGCGAATGTTCTCTTAAATGTTTTAATAAATAAACCTAATGTTTTCTTTCCAGGCGAGAGATGACCTCTACAAATGTAGAGGAATCACCAAGTAGCAGTAGTAATCAAACATCACGGCGTCTTAATATGGAGCATGGTTTTGTAAAATTTATATTGAGAAATCAAATTGATCGAGATGAATATCATAAAATTCAAGAAAAACGGAAGACCGATATCAAAGAAAGATTGAAGAGAAGAACTTCGGCAGGAGCCGAATTGACAAATTGTTATGTACCGCCACCACTTCGTAGACAACAAACTGATTCAGATAGTTCCTCAAGTGGACGAGGATCGATTGTAAGATCTGAATCAGACTCTCAAGAAGATGAAAAATCTTCACCAACTTCACCTGAGAAACCATTACTTCGAATTCGAACTGACAAAACTTTGGTAAGTATTTTCAATATTTATGGAAAAGCGTTTTTCGAAAATAGGCTTGAAATATTATCTTTTTTTTTAGAATAATCGTGCAAAATCTATGATGATTGAAGACGAAAAAGAAGAGAAAATCCGAGAAGGTGTTCGACGTAGATTCGAACGTTCCAGCGCAGCAATCGATGATTTGTGCTCTGTTTTCATAAATTCAACAATTCAAGATAAAGAAGAAACGTCTGAAAAGTGAGTGAATACATATTTCCACAAAAATTATTTGAAAAAATCGTTAATTTTATAGAGATAATGGAAAAAGTCAAAGCGAGGACTTGTTCATTATTCAACTTCATCTTCCAAATGGTGAAGATTTGTCCATTACTGTTCCAAGGGTTAGTTTTTATTTATTTCGAAGTATTCATTCTAAACCTAAGTAATTCAGACTGCCCAAGCTGCTCGTCTTGCAAAAATAATTTCACGTGAACACGGATTTGATGATTCACAATGTAGAAATCTTCGTATTTTTATCGAAAAAGAGATGGAAAAACGAACGAGTTGTTAGATTTCGCTTCTATTAAGAAAACATATATGATGTGTACAAATATAATTTGACGGCGTCTGAAAATCTATTCACTTCAAACCAAAAAAATATTGGAGAAATACGAGTATAATGATTATTACTTTCTTCTTTTTGTATATTTCCTCCAAACGCGTTCATGTTTCATCAGTATTTCAGGGCATTATTAATTGATGCATGTGCCTAAGATCTTCGTTTTATGGGTTACCATTGTATTGTTGATAATTCAGCACTTTGTTATTTTTGGTGTTGTTTTAATTTAGTTATTTTTCTGTATTTCTTATCACCCAAAAATGTTCTTTTTCTTTCTTTTTTTTCTTACCATGGCTGTGTGTCCAAAAAAAAGAGACAATAAATGATTTTTTCCTCCCATCTGTTCATTTTCTTTTTTGGCTTCAGCAATCGTTCTCTAACGATTTTAATATCTATTTTTTTGTATATATGTGAAAACATATCAATTCCTTCAGCTTTACAGGTACAGAGAGAGAAATAGAGCGAAAAGCAAGAATTTGACAGGAAAATTTATTGAGGAAAGGAAAAGAAAAAGAGGTTTGATATTTTCGAAATAATTTATTGATTTTATTTTTTTTGCAAAAAATTCGAAATAAAAAAAAGACATCAGTTATTCTGGTATAAATATATTTTTAGAATCTTCAACCCAAAAACATTGCAAAATGACGATGGTCAAAACATTGGTTGCATTGGCAACAGAAAGAATGTTGCTCAAAACCAGTGGACCAACATTTTTACGAGGAATTGAATTTATGTATGCAGCTGGTTTGGCACCTGATCGATTATCAGTTATGATGACTTGTTCACATAAATTTGTACTCCAATTTCATTCAAAATGTGATATTCGACCATTTGCTGCTAATTATCCAAACTTTGCCAGAGTTTTGAGAGGAATTGGTAAGTTGTTTTGATGAGTGAATAATTGTATTATTTCAAAGCATTTCTTTTTTAGTACATGTTCGAGCATGGAGAATAAAATCGATTGAATTCGTCAATGTTGCATTCCATATGCGTGATGTTGAAAATCTCGAAAGAGCTATCGAAAAATTAGGAGTAGAATTGGTTTTGTTGAGAAATTGCACATATCCAGGTGTCAGTAGAGGAGAAGAAGCTGTTAAATTTTTATCAGCTTTGAATCGTAAAAAACAAGCAGTTGTTTGTGAATATGGAGATGATCGATTGAAACATAGAATAGCAAGAAGAACTCAACAAAATCGAGTTCGCCGACCATCTCGACTTTTACAAGATGGGGCATTGGCTCGTTTGAATGCAGATGGTGAAAGAAGAGCTGATGGAGATCCACTTCCACCAGTTGGTGTTGCTTTACCAGCTGGACAACCTATCGCACCGCCACCAGGACTTGCATTACCAGCACCTGCTGCGGCTGCAGTTGCAGCTGCAGCTGGCGTTGCTGGAGGAATTCCACAACCAAGACCATTCAATGAACCATTTGATCCACAAGTTGTTGCAATGGCAATTCAATTGTTGAATGATCAACAAGCACATTTGCATGAATTATTGCAAAGAGGAGCTGCTGCTGGACAAGCTCAAAATGGAGGAGGAGTTGGAGGAGCTGGAGCACAAGACAATGCAGCACCAGCTGCGGCAAATCAACAACCAAGAGCTGCAAATAATCCTGCCGATCCTAATGCACAACGTCATTTACAAATGATGCATTTACCGGTATGAAATATTTAGAAAATCATAATAATTTGTTTTTTTTTTCAGCTTTATCAAGTTATGCAACAACCTGGTGGTGCTGCTGCTATTTTAGGTCGCCCAATAAGATTCAATCAAGCTGCTGGAGCACCAAATCGTGAAGTTCGATATCAAAATGCACAAAGAGCAATGGCGGCTGCTGCTGCGCGTGCTGTTTTCAATCAACAGGTTCATCCAAATGCACCAATCCCTCAAAATGCCGCACCGGAAGCTGATCCGGATAGTGAAACTGTATGTTATTTCGTTTGGTTTCAAGTAGTTAATTTTTAAATTTAGGATGCTGAAAATGAGGAAATGGAATTGGATGAAATTCCACGAGAAAATGGAGCTGGTCGAGCTGGAGAAGATGGTCCAATGAATGAAGATTCAGAAGATGATGAAGATGACAATGGTGGAAGAGTTCCAGTTTTCGAAGCTGTCAGAGCAGGTACATTTATTTTATTTTTTAATTCTTGAATCAATCGAATGGTTTAATTTCTAGATAATGAGGGAGGTGTTGGACATGATGTTCTTGAACAAATAATGAGAGATGCTGCACAAGCAGATGATATTCAAAATCGTGAAATTGATGCAATTCTTGATGAAGAACAAGATTCTCCACAAGCAGCTCTTTTACAATAATAAACATAGGTTTTATCTTCTTGATTTGAAGTGCCTTCATCATTCTTGATATATTTGTGTTATGTGTTCCTTTCTGAGCTATATTCATTCATTCATTTTTTTGAGCTAATATTATTTACCGTCTATTTATCAATTTAGAAGAACCCCATGATTTTCTTCTACTTTGTTTTTCCCGGGTAGTATTTTGTAATCCTTCTAATTCTTGCTTCAACGTATCTTTGTTACCAAATCATATTTTTGATTTTTTTCTGAAATGAAAAAAAGTCCATCTGCATAATTACTGTAGGTACCCTATTTTGCAATTAATAGACCTGTAACAACTTTTTCACATTTTCGAACTTCATCACTTATTCTATTTTTAAAATATTTGTTTTCTATAATTTTGTCTTTTTTATCCGAATAAAATTTTGATCACCTAAATTAATTAGCGAGTTTTATATCCAAAAAATTACTGTAGTGTTACAGTTTGGCTATATTCATCATAAATATTTCAGAATTATGAAATGATGAAATTAGGATGTTATGTCAAACTCGATGGTGTTCAACTTCAGCTTCCCGAATTCCAACTTTTCTAACAAAACATCCAATTTTAAAGGCGAAAAAAGAAAAATCAGAAGGTGAAGCTGCAAGTTTTGTTGATTATCGGAGAGTTCGTTGTATTGGTGGAAATGGCGGAAATGGAATGGTATCATTTTTTCGCGGATATCGAAAACCATTTGGTGGACCTGACGGAGGAGATGGTGGAAATGGGGCACATATTATATTTAAAGCTAAAAAATATATTAAAGATTTATCAACTGTTCATTCAATTATTCGAGCACAAAATGGAGAATTTGGAAGGTAAAAATACCGTATTTATTTATTTATTCAAATAATATGCCAATTTTTAAAATTTAGATCAAAATCTTGTCATGGAAAATCAGCTGATCACAAAGAAATTGAAGTTCCAATCGGAACTACATTCAAAGCAGATTCAACAACAGTTTTCGAATTAAATAATGAAAATGATATATTTATTGGTGCACGTGGCGGAATTGGGGGAAAAGGAAATCAATTTTATGTATCAAACGAAGTTCGAAAACCATTCAAAGCTGAATTTGGTGGACAAGGCGAAGAACTTGTTTATGATATTGAAATGAGAGTTATGGCAACTGTTGGACTTGTTGGTTTTCCAAACGCTGGAAAATCTTCATTACTTCGTGCAATTTCTCGAGCAAAACCAAAAGTTGCTTCATATCCTTTTACTACACTTCGACCACATATTGGTGTTGTTTTTTATGAAGATTATGAACAGATTTCTGTGGCTGATATTCCTGGAATTATTGAAGATGCCCATTTGAATCGTGGATTAGGAGTTTCATTTTTGAAACATATTGAAAGATGCAGGTAGATTTTGAAATCAGGATAATTGAGAAAAATCATTTATTTCAGATTTCTTTGGTATGTTCTCGATTATTCGTCTGAAATGGATCTTCTCGAACAATATGAAAAACTAAAATTTGAACTTGAAGGCTATAAAAATGGTTTGAGTCAACGAGCTTCGACTATTATTATCAACAAAATCGATTTATGTTCGAGTTCGGAAGAGGTAAATATATTTTGCTAAAAATTTTGAAATTCACGTTTTCTGTAGGAAATAACAAGACGACTATCAAATTTAAATATTCCGATATTCACAGTTTCTGCAAAACATTCAACAGGTCTCGAACCGATTTTAATACATTTACGAGTACAGTATGACAACAATGAAAACGATAATAAATGATTTATTCCTGTTTTTTGACTTCAGTGACTGGTGCTTGAACTGAATTTGATTTTGGTTTTGCTGTTGATGATGAATTATTTGCATTTGGATTTACAACAACTTCGAAGAATTCACATCCAAGTTGAATTGATGCGCAAAGAATCTGAAAAATGTATTGGATTGAGAAGCTGAAGATTCGTTTATAAGTCTAACCTGAATACAAACAGAAGTGTGGAAAAGTGTATGAACTAATCCATTTTTGAGTTCAACGAATGAATATGTAAAAAGACCCAAAACCAATGGAGAAAACAAGGCTGAAAATAGATAATTATTTTTTGAAAGAAAAATTTGAAAAGATTTCTTACCAACAACATATTGAAGACGCAATGTCATTTCATTATCACGAATTACTTGACGAAAATCATAACGACCATCGATATTGTAATACCTTTAAATTTAGACATACTAAAAAACAAAATCTGCTGAGAAAAGTCCTGTTTTCAATTTTTGCTGAACGGCTCCGAAAGTTGTTCAGAATGGTTGAAAAAAATTTCTTTAAAAAAAGACAAATTCATTCGCAAAAATTATTTATTTCTACAGTAGCCCTTGGATCAAATTTTGACAGAACAACCTACAGTACCTAGAAGTGAAAAACAGTAGACTGTATTCTTGGGCAATTAAAACTACTGTACATTTTTCCAAAGAATCTTTAGATATATAAATTCAAGGAATGAGATTGCTTTAAAATTTTTGGCTAAAAATCACTGCTTCAACATTTAATTTTTAAAGTAAATTATTTCATGTCAAAAAAAAAACTATTACAGTAACCCCAATTCTTACCATCTTCTTGCCAAATGAAGAACATGCATTCCAACAAGAATCGAATAGAACAAAAATGTGAAGAACGACAAAGAACCAGATTCCGTGTAAATGAATATGAGCTGAAAATATATATTTGACAATTCTCAATATTTCTTTTTTCTATAATTTTACCTGTGAAACTGTACATAAAAGTTGGATCATTCTACTGTTATTGACAAGTGATGGAAAATCATAGCACGCCAAAATTTTATCCATCTGTAAAAATTCACACTATTCCTTTCATTTGTTCACCAGCCTTTCGTTTTTCACACCTTTTTCCTCTAAAAGTAAAAACTAAAATAAAACGTTTTGTGTGATTTTTTGTGATAAAAATATTTAGAACACGCGAATTAAAAAAATAAGAAAACAATTTTCGAGAAAAAAAGAGAAAATAAAAGAGAAGTGTAAAAAAAACGTCAGGTGTTGAGCAACCCACTCGATCAAAAATTTGAAAATTATTGAAATTCCAGAAATATTTAATTTTTTCGGAACTAGTTCTGAAAAAAATAACTTGTAATGTTAAATTTTACAATCCGATTTTTATTTTTCTGTCTTCGTCTTGTCTTTCTTTGTCTTCTCATATATGATATTCTTGGTGAAATTGGTGAAATTTCCTGATTTCACGAAAAAAAAACCGAATTGAAAAAGTAAACGAGAGAGTGTTTGTGTAAGAGAGACGCCAGACAACACCACGGTTTGTGATTTTTTTTTGCCAACCTCAAAACCATTTTTCGTTTTTTCACAAAAAATGCTAAAATCGGTCATACTCAACCAAATTTCACAATCTTTGCTGCAAACGATAGGAAATCCTCGGGAATAGAGATTGCAACAATAAAAACCTAGAAAACTTTTCACAAAACACCAAAAAACATGGTTATTGGTTTTTCGCTCATATTTTGCAATCCGATGTTGAATTTTACAATTCTATTCTATTTTTCTGTCTTTGCCTTGTGTTTCTCTTTTTTCTCATATATGATGTTCTCGATGAAAATCGTGAAATTTCCTGATTTCACGGAAAAAAACCAAATTGAAAAAATAAACGAGAGAGTGTTTGTGTAAGAGAGACGCCAGACAACACGACGGCTTGTGAATTTTTTTGCCAACCTCAAAACCATTTTTCGTTTTTTCACAAAAAATGCTAAAATCGGTCATACTCAACCAAACTTCACAATCTTTGCAGCAAAAAGTAGCAAATTCACGAGAATAGAGATTGCAACAATAAAAACCTAGAAAACTTTTCACAAAACACCAAAAAATATGATTATAGGTTTTTCGCCTTGATTTCCCAATTTTCGTGAATTTTTTTTGAAACGACGGAAAGCTGGATAGATACAAAAAATCATCATTGGAAAAAATTAAGCATTAAAAATAGATTTGAAGAAAAAATTGGATGATGAACATGAACTGGAAGCGAAGAAAATGATAAATTATTCGAGCAGAGCACAGTGAAAATATTCAACTATATATACAAAAAGAAACACAAAATCATTGAAATTTTGGATGAATATAAAATTTTGTATTCTTGCATCTTTGCATTGCACCCCGATAACATCCGATATATTTCGAAAAAATGCAAAAATTCGTTCAGGATGAGATTCGAACTCACGCGGGGAAACCCCAATGGATTAGCAGTCCATCGCCTTAACCACTCGGCCACCTGAACACTGGGCGAGATTGTGTCGAACGCCCAACACATCTTTGCCACATTTGCTCTCGTCGTCTCTCCTCTTCTCGTTTCAAACAAACATTTTTTGATTCCTTGTGCGGGGAAAAAAGAGGAAATATTTGGAAGAGAAAATGAACACACACAAAATAACTAATTAAAACTAGACTAATTTGATATCAATGATATTGACCTTCAAAGGAATTGTCATTTTCCACATTTGTTCTTTTGACAACTATCTTTTTTTCTAAAGTATATCAGTATAATATATTCATTCATTGCTCTGGGTTACTGTAACTTTTACCAAACATCAGAATCTATTTATTTTTGCCATATTTTATCAATCATAAAATACAAGTATAAATACATAAATTTCAAATAATAGATTTTTCCACCCACAATTTTTTTTTTTACAATTTGAAAAAAAGCGTCTTCAAAAAAAGTTGATTTCAGGTTTTTTTCAATGACAGTCTCTTATAATTTGGATGTTTCTTCTGTTTCATTTTTAAATTTTTTCAAAGTAATATTTCGATGGAGAGGATCTGTTTGGAAATCTGTATGGTCAGAACTTTTAATATGGTTAATTTGTTATTATATTGTTATGATTTCTTATCGAAATATTCCAGAATCTACAAGATTGTGAGTTTATTTTTTAATATAAAAATAGAACAATAACTTATTGGAAAACAAAAATAAATGAATTATAGAATTATCAAAGAATATATTGATCCTATTGATGATCAACTAGATAAAGCAGTTCCATTAACATTTATGCTTGCATTTTTTGTTAGCATAATTGTTGATCGATGGAAGAATACATTCGCAAATATGGGTTTCATTGAAAATACAGCATTATCAATTGCAAGTGTTGTTAGAGGAGAAGAAACTGAAGTTGTATTAGCAAGAAGAACTATTATACGATACTTGGTTTTATCACAAGTTTTAGTATTTCGAGATATTTCATTGAGAGCTCGGAGAAGATTTCCGAATTTAGAAGCGATTATGAAATCAGGTAATTTATAAGAAGTTGGGCAAAATCAAGCATAACAATATTTCTAAATCAATCCAGAAAATGAATTTTTTTTCTGAATAAATTTAAATCTCAAAATAATCACAACTTAGGAACATTTTTTCAGGCTTTATCCAAGAACATGAAATAGTAGAACTGGAAAAAGTATCATGTCCTTATAATAAATATTGGCTTCCAATAAATTGGGCTTGTTCAATTCTCCATAAATTATTTGCGGATGGCAAAATATCAGCAGCTCCTTTATACAATGCAGCTTGGCAAGAAATCAAAACATATCGAACAAATATGGCAAATCTTTGTAATTTCGATTGGGTTCCAATTCCATTAGCCTATCCTCAAGTTATTTTTGTCGCTGTTCGATTTTATTTTTTCATGTGTTTATTTGGAAGACAACATTTGGATTTGAATGAGAAAAAATCGGTGAGTTTTTTTTTAGAAACACCATGTTTTGGAAAAACAATCAAATTGTAGATCGATTATTATTTTCCAATTCTGACAGTTGCTCAATTTATAGTTTATATGGGTTGGATGAAAGTAGCTGAAGCACTTTTGAATCCACTGGGAGAAGATGATGATGATTTTGAATGCAATTTTTTGATTGATAAAAATATTGCGGTAGGAAATACTTTATAAAAATCTTTAAAAAAAACGTGTTTTTTCAGACAGGAATGTCGATTGTCGATGAGACATTCAATAAATTCCCTGAGATGAAAAAAGATATGTTTGCTGAGCCAGAATTTGCTCCATTTTATCCAGAAGATGTTATTAATAATGGAGCAGATCATGCATTACTAGGATCAGCTCAAACTGTCACGTTAGTTTTTTTCTGGCGTTAGGCTCAGCTGTCAGAACTCAATATTAAATTTTGCAGTCTTGCTGATCCATCGGATATTCATCCAATTGATCCACTTTCTCCATTAATAATTGGTCATCAAGATTCTTCAACTTCAACAATTCGCCGTCGTTTTTCAAATGTTTTCCGTCGTTCAAATTCAGTTCGTCCAAACTCACCAATCCGTGTTGAACCAGATATTCCATTTTCAAAATCAATGGCACCTCAAAGACCTTATGGAGCATTTGAATTATCAAATGGATTTATTGGAGCAAATTCTCGTGATCAAAGTCAAAGTTATTTGCCAAAACTCGATGAAGAAAATGAAATAACATTGGATGAAGAAACTTTGAAAAAACATATGGAAAACGCTTATAAGCAAAATGAAAATGGAAATGAAAGTGGAGCTGAAAATATGATGCATAGTCCGGTTTTACCATTTGATAGATCATTTCGAAAAAAGAAATCTTTTGAAAAAATTAAATTTTAAAGCGGGTCCAGTTTTTGTTTTAATAAATAAACGTTTTTCAGCTACAGTAACCCAAACACATAATTATATATATATAATCAATTTATTGACAAAAAATAACCCGTAAAATTTGGCAAACAAAACTATTAAAAATCACCCGATTAAATAAAAATCAGAATCTAAAAAAGAGAAAAAGGCAACTACTGAAATATCCTGAAAAATATGAAAAATATTGGGAAAATTAGGATATTTTTTGATGTTGATGTTGAAAATGAAGATTCTAATGGAAGTTCAATTATTTCACCACCTGGGAATCTTTCAATTATTGATTGATCGATTTGTGGAAGAGTTACAAATTGTGTGGAAACTGATCGACCAAGACCACGATTTGTTATACTTTGAACCTGAAAAAAAAACAGATTAGTACATCGAAGTTAGTTTCGAAAATGTTTACCTCTACAGTATAAAGATGGGCCGGTTTTAATTGTTCATATCGAACTTCTCTCAATTGTGGTTGATTTATTGTTGTATTTGTATCATGAGAAGATGGCGATGATAAAAGAATCCGATATCCAATAACAGTTTGCATTTGATCTTGATGATTATGACGTGTCCAATGACAATGGGCTGATGATTCAGATGAAACTTGACATTGAATTGGCGTTTGGAATGTTGCACAATCAATATTTTCACGAGCTTCTGTTAATTCACATGATTCAGTTGAGAATACACCATCAACTATAAGTTCTCCAGAATTTGTTGAAACTTCAACTTTATAATCGCAATCAAAAGAAAGTCCTTTGAGAATTGTTGAACATTCGGAAACACGTAAATCATGCCAACGAGTATCAGAATGATGATTTGGTTGATATTCTCGACAAAGTGTTTTTCTAACTCGAACTGTATATGAATTTGCTTTTTGATTTGGTGAAACACAATTCCAACTTAATAATGTTTGAAGTTCTCCAGCAAAGAAATATGGATTTGTAACTTCTAATCGATTTGAAATAACAACCGGAAGAGATTTGATTTCTTCAACTTTCAATTCTTCACTTTTGTCATTTTTTGTTTCAATTATTTGTTTCTTTTCTTCTTCTTCTTTTTCTTCCTCAACTTTCGCATCATTTGTTCTTATAAAAATAACACCTTTTTCACCATGTAATTCTCCATCACTACTATCAACAGTTGCATGAATTTCAACAATATAAACCGAATTTGGGAATAATCCACTAATTTCAGCATTTGTTGAATGACTTGGAATAATAACTGAATGTCTATCTCGCGAATCATCAATTCCGAATTCATCTTCATTTTCATCAATACTCCGTTTTTCATGTTCAGCATGTTCCATTGTTGCTTTCTTTTTCATCATTTGTTCAAATTGTTCAGCTTCAGCTTGAGTTGAAGCAGACCAAGAAACCTATAAGAAACGAATACAGTAATTTTTTGTTTTGCTGTTATATTTTTTTTTGTTTACCTGATAATTTTTAATTGGTAGATCGCTTTGTGGTGGAATCCATCTAACAATTTGATTCCATAATCCGATTGGTGTCAATTTCGAATTTCCCAAAGACATTTCTCTTGGAGGAGGTGGAGCTGTTGCTTCTTTTGATATTTTAAATGGTTCACTTGGTTGACTAAATCCAACACTTCCTTCAAAAGAAACAGCAGCAATTCGGAATTGATAAAATCTTCCAGGAGATAGTAAATGTTTTAAAATTGCATATGGTTTATTTCGAATAGTTACAGTTTGCCATTCAGTCATTTCTTTTGTATCAATATGCAATCCCCATCTCCATTGTACAAGAAAAACATTCGAATTCTCATTTTGTTGTTTTTTCGACCATTTTCCAGTCGACCATCTGATTATAATTGATCTTTTTCTTTTTCTTTCTTGAATTGTTATATTTCTTGGAACTGGCAAAAGTCTTTCATTTGATTTTGAATCTGGTCGAGAACATTGTCGACTACATCCATATGAACAACATTTTTGTGTTTCTGGACAATCTCCATCTAATCGACAAAGTGCTGAACACTCATATAATCTTGACGCATTTTTAATAGCCGGACAATTTCCAGGTTTTTCATTGTATATTTGTTGTAAATAATCACACGATTCTTCACAAACTTTTCGATTTTCTTCACTTGTACTAACACATTGTTTCTTGCAATCTTTGACATTTTCAAATGGTTCACGGCATGGTTGAGAACACTGAAAAAAACAGAGAATATTTTGTGATATATTAGCTAACTGCAATAAATCCAGATGGTCACTTATTCTAAAAGTGTACTTGAACTGCAAACAGAACATTGTATCAAGTGTTTGAGCAGATTTTTTTGTGACCGGATATATTTATTTATTTATTTATTTATTTTTGATTTTATCCCAAACTGAACAAGATCTATATACAATTTCTAAATCCCAAATGAATGTCGGCTAACAACAAAAAGAAGTGTGGAAACACATAATATTTAGCGCACCCATTAAAAGTTACAAGACTTCGTCGGTAACCTCAAAAATAAAAACAAAAATATTTTGATTTTTACGACAATGTCCAGATGGTTCGTGCTTCTTTCTTTCTTTGTTCCTTGTTAATTACCGTAATCTTTTATTTTTATGTTTTTCGTTGTGTCGTAATTGTGTTTAGCTCAGGAATGTATCTAACAAGATGAAGATAGACTAAAAGAGAATACGTTTAATGAGCCAAGTAATTATAGGCTACGAATGGAAAAAGCAAATTATGTTAGCTAACACTTTTTGATTTACCATAAATAAATATATACATTCAGATTGAATTAACAAGCCTATAATTATTTATAAATATTTTAATTGAACTGAGAAGAAAGTTGAAAAGATTCCGAATAAATAACGAATTATTATAATTTTATGTGAAAAACTATCGGAAGTTATAAACGGTTAGAACAGAAAGTAGACTTATGGAAAGTTGGTCAGTCTTCAAAAAAAAATTATATTTTCAGCAAAACCCTTTAATTCTTTCCATCTATCTAAATATTGTTTTTTGTGCCATATGACACATACCATAAAATGATTGCCTAATAAGCCATTTCGGTATTCTTTCAAGTCGTTCCCTTTTTCCCCCTAAAAAGGTGCCATATATCTAATTCTTGCTATTTACCAAATGGTTCTTCTATTTACTTTTCGGATAACATTTTATATATATTGTAATTATTAATACCAGCAGAATCACAATGCAAATACCATAAAACACATATTCTCACACTAACGTATATTTATAAATAAAATATTTCAATTTTATTCAACGCCTAAAACGTTCCGCCATCGATAATAAACCATCTGGCGCCCAACAACAGAAGCTCATCAATCAAAAAAAAAGTGATTGGCATGGCGCCAGGATTGAATTGGAATTGGCAAAAAACAAACACATCAAACAAAAAACCCTTGCTTGATGCTCATTTAGAGAAGAAGAAAAATGGGTTTTGAAGTGTTTGGTGTATGCGTCAAGTGGAATTGTGGACACATATAAATATGGGAAAATAGGGCACACAAAATCTGATTTGATATTCTAACTAATTCTAAGTAGATAAATTAAGTATTATGGGAATCAAGAACATATGACACAAAATATATATATTTCCCCATTTTATTTTTATCCATTTCGAGATCCCGTTCCCCAAAAAACTCACCGCAGAACATGTTGCGTCATCCTTGCATAACTGTATAATATAATGCTTGAGACCTTTGCGATGCTCCGGATTTTCCTGCAATTAATAAGTATTTATAATTTTCTAAAAATCCCAAGGTTCCATATTTAATTATTGTTTTGTTTTTCCTTATTATTTACTGGCTGAGATATTCAAACAAAAGTGTTTTGGGTGACCTTAATCTAAAGAAAAACGAGAGAAAAATAAGTGCGCGAGAATAAGTGAGGCGTGAAAAGGAGGATTAACTTATGGTTTTGGTATATACAAGAAAAAAGAAAAAGAAGAACTTTTGTAGAATAACACGAAAACAATAAAGTCAGCAGAATATTATGTGAAAGAGAAAAGAAAGTTATGCCAAATGAGGCGTTCGAAAAAATTATTTTCACTAATAATCTAGGATGTGGAAAATTCAATGTAAAAAAAATGGTGAATATTTTCCGATTATGGAAATGAATCAGATCTACAGTAACTCAAAAGATATTTGAATAAAAATCAATAACGTGGAAACTTACTGTATTTCCCGAAAAATATGAGTAACATTTTGCAGATTCCTTAAATTCTCAGAATTTCTATAACCTACAGTAACCCGATTTTCTGTATTTTCAGAAATAAATTAGGATTATCAAATTCGTTGAAATTTTTTAGAGAATCTGAAATTCACTGTGAGTAACGTTTTCTAGGAACCTGATTCATTTTTTGAAACACCTATTTGTGATTCACCTCCAAAATATCAGTCTCTAAAAGCCTTACATCACAAAAAACAAATAAAGTTCACCGATCCGTGTTACATTCATCAACTTGACCCTTATTCATCAATCATGCCATTCTTTTCTATTCTTTTCATGTGTTGTTTTTTATTTTTTGAGTACTATTATTCACCTGAACAAACAGGACTCTTTTTGATATTTTGCGGCAATAATTAGAGCTCTCTTTCCATCCATGTTATTTTTATTTAACAATAGAAACAATAAAGTATCCATTAGTTATATTTCCGATCATTTTTTATGGTCCCAAAAAGTTTATATGTGAATGAATGAAGGAGGGTAAGTATGGTCAAACATGTATATAATATATTAAATCTCAAGTACCAAGAGCAGAATTTGCGCAACTCTTATTCGAACAATCAAAAAGTGTAGATTGAATAGATTTGGATGAATAGGGAAAAAAGAGAGTGGACACACTTAATAACCCCTTTTTCCAGAATTCCAATAGTCCTTCCTTATTTATTTATTATTATTATTGCTATTTTCCAAATAATGCACGGATATTTAATTGGTGAAGAAAGGTCCCAAAGTTTTATTACAAGGGGGAAAAAAGACGGATAAATTTATATTTATGAGAAGCAGGTCATAAAATGGATGTTGTTTGGCACCACCAAACAGCACCAACACCCAAAAGAACCAGCCTACGATAACAGCTGTACTCATTTTGTTGTTTTGTTATTCTAGTTAAACGTTGTAAAATGAGACAATCAATTGATTTATTGGAAGTAATGACCTGACTTTTGGTGGATTTTTTTATGTTGGTGGACAAAGTGGTTATTGTAAATGAGGATGGAATGAGTGAAAAATACTTGATAGTAGAGCGAAAGCGGGGACCTTTTCTGGAATCTTCAAAAAATGCTAAATTTTTCAAAGAGAAAACTGTCTAATATTTTGAGCCCTGATTGGATAATTAATTGAATTTCAGACTAAAGCCTTCATGAAGAAAAAGGAGTCTATACAAAAAAATGTCAGAATTTCTAGGATTTTAGAAAAACTCTTCAAATTAGTCCAAAAGTCCCCTTATAAATGCATTGCCATAATATTAATATATTTCTCAAACTATCTATCCCACCACCGTTTTGTATGTCAAATAATCTGTCATCAAAAACAACAATGTTATCTGTTTTGTCAATCATTCTCGACCACATACCGTATTCATTTCTTTTCTAGTCAGTCTGTCTTTCATAAATAAATCATTAGTGTTCTTCAATTAGCCCCCCGTAACAATGTTATCTGATCGAAAAACTGTGTAACATCCATCCATTAATTGAGACAATAAAAGATTACTGTAGATAATTCTACCGTCTTTTTGTCTAAACCACTTAATATTGTGTAATTCTTTTGATGCGCGGGGTTTTCGAATATTATAATATTCACAAGGGGGTCCAACCACTTGAATATTTATGTAAATGAGCCGAACGAGATTGTTCATCTGTTGTCAGGTGCAACATAAATCATTTTCTAGATAGATCTGTACAAATAATAATAATATGTACATTTTGTTGGCGCCAAAGGTATTGGCGTCTGATGTATCTAATTATACACATCGATATTTTTATTGTTATTACATTTGACTTGGTCTATTCTATTCTCATATTTTTTATGATGACCTTCTTTCCGGACTCGGACGTAAAATATAAATAAAACTAACATGTGTAAAAATCTAAAGAAGAAGAAGAACAAAAATATGCAGCACTTCGAATAATTAGCATAATAATAATTCACATTTATTTTTGAGAAAAAGAAAAAATACATATACTCGCATTTTACTTTTATCCGCTTTGATCAAATCATAAAATAACATTGACATGCTCTTTCTTAAACACTACATCAATCATTCTGCTCAAAAGAGCCCGCGCAAAAAAAACGACAAGGTCAAAAGTTTTTTGCTTCTGTTTTTCTTAACGATGTGTAAAAAAAGAGAGGCGAGTGGATAATTATGGGGTGGATGGATGGATGGGTTGATTTTATTTTCAACTAGTACTGAATATTGATTCCTGTGAATTTTATATTATATGTATTTGTATATTGAGAATTGAGAGTCAGTGAACACTTGTTCGAATAATAACAAAGAGACCAACAACATTAATTTTTCGCAGGAAATATGCACCACAAAATGGGAACAAAGAAATGTGTGTTTCTCGTTCGCGCATTTTTGGTTTAGGTCGATGGCAACCGACACAAAATTTTGTTCGTTTTGTCAAATTGATGTATGTGGAAAAACTGACGACTCAAGGTGTCTCACCAGGAAAATTCGTTTATTTGAAAATTTGGCGAAGAAACTGAAAGAGTTTGTCTGAAGGGCTATTTTTTTCAAGAAAAAGGATATCAAAACTTGGAAAACAATTTAGTTCAATAAAACCTTTTCAAAAAACTCTTACAGCTTCAGGCCTCAAAAATGTTTAGAAGCAGTACTATTTAATGACGCAATGCTAACTTATGTTAGAATCAACAAGGAAGTACAGTAGAAACATTTTTTGGAATAAAATAATTTCTCCTAATTTTCTCATGACGTAACAATGTTTTGTGTCTCAATTATTAGAACGATAAGATCTACCTTACGCGGTTGTAAATCTCAGATATCCAACTGTGAATCAAACCAAATTGTTCCCTTTGTTTTGACAAAAACATGGATTATATACAAAAACCGGAAAGATTCTATATCAAAAGTATAAGTTTTAGTGTCCTTCGTGAAATGACGCAAGTCGGCAACTCTTTGATTATTATATTGTCAAAACATTTCAAGTTACGTAATCAAAAGAAACAGGCAAAAGAATGACAGAAGAATGAAAATGATATGAGAAGAACTAACCTGTAATTTGAGTTCCATAAGATGAAGACATTGTGATTGACATCGAGCTGATATTAATTCATCCGCTTGGCATTCAAAAAATGAAATAAAAATGGATAAAACTAGTAATAATTTCAGCATTCTTTTTTATTCCAGCAATAAAATCAACATAAATCTTTCTGAAAATTAAAGAAAAACTAAATTATTATTTTCTAACAATCAGCAAAAAAAAGGAAAAAAAATCAGTCAGAGTATTCTTCCCCTCTTTGCCTACAATTAAAAAAGAAACGAAGAGGCGGGTCGGAAATGGGCGGAGCCAAGACTCCGCCTATTTTTTGTGCGGATTTCCTGCCCTTCGGATTTATGAGATAAAAAACGTAAATTTCATACTGAAAGATAATGAAAATGGAAAAAGGATTAGAAGGGATTTGAAAACTGAACTGATTTGAGAATATTCGGATTTTTTGAATTTAAAAAAATTTGGAAATTTTGGAAAACAAGACAGGGACTTACTTTTTATTATAAAAAAATGCATTTTGGAAATTGGAAAATTTTGGAAATGATTAGAGTTTTGAGAAAAAAGGGTCACAATTGAATTTTTCACGTGAAAACTAAAAATTATTAAAAAGGTAGATCTATTTAATTTCGAGTTTTTAAACCTAGTAGATCCTGCGCAGAAAATCTATTAGGCTTGAGACAATTCAGTATAATTCGCAATGAATTTTTTGAAAAAAAAATGTTTCAAAGATGATTATGAATCTAAATCAGAAGGTCTACTACAGTAATACCTAACAAAAGATACCCATTAATTTTTTGATGATATTCGGAACGAAAACTCGTGTTACATCATATAAAAGAAACAATAAATAAGCGAAAAAAACCATATGGCGCACAAAAAATACATTTTACGACTTTTTTTGGACGAGGCGATTAATCAACTTTTTCTTCGTTTTTTCTTTGTTTTTTTTCTTTCGTTCACCGATGACAACTGAAATATTTGTGATCGACGTTTTTTTTTCTAGAATAGTATAGAAATATTATAACTGAAATTTATTTTGAAAGAAAACAAAAAAGCAAAAATGTAGTCATCAATTAATAATTAGTATTTGTTTTTGCCTTGTGGTTCCTTTCCGCCAAAAAAAAGAACCGAAAAAGGTATGCAGAAAAAAAGAAGAAAAATAAGCTTTTTTTGTTTATTTTCTCCTTTTTCTCATAACCCAAATATTTCTGGTGTTAAGCTGTTTTAGGGATTAAATAAAGAAAAGAAACAGTGGGAAAACCTCACCCAAAAAAACTCATTTTTCTTTCTCTATATTTATTTGGAATGCTCTGAAACAGGAAAAAATATAATTTGTTTTTAGTAAAATGAAAAGCAAACTAATTACTCAGAAAAATTTGATTATATTTTTCTCTTGCCATCCATTTTTTATAGTGGTTTTTATAGCAAAACATTTTGAATTTTCGCAGTTAAAAAAAGTTTGGAAGAAAATAGAGAAAGAAAAAAGGAATAAATGATGCGGAACCCGATTGAAATGTAAATTATACCTACACCAATATTATAATACTTATGATGGCCGAAAAATAACAATAAATCACAAATTTCGAAAACCTGATTCATAAGAAATATTAAAATAAAATAAACTTTTACAATCTAAAGTTGCAAAAAACAGAACAAATCAATCTGTAACTTTTCTGTGTCCAGATGGTTTTCAAATGGTGTCAATCAAAAATGTGACCTTGTCGATTTTGTTATTTACAGTATTACATAATGATCATTATCTTGAAATAATAGAATAAGAGCACATCTTATTTGTTTAACACTAATACTTTCTATAGATACTCATATACAATTCGGAAAAAATAGCACATACATAACACATTTTCCTACAGACCTCAAATATTAAATGAATTTTTCTCACATTCAGAAAATGTCATTGTACTTTCTGAACGGTTTAATCCTTGAGGATTTTTTCTTTTAACACCTAGAAAAAATGTTACCAAAAAAACAAAATTGAAACTTTTTTTTTCGGAATGTTGAGAAAAGATTCACTGTGGAATTAGGTATAATTCAAAAATTTTTCGTGAAAAACCTCAATATACTTTTCCACCAGATCCTTATAGGCTCTCGGGGTTCTAACCACGCCTGACACTAGATCTAAAATTACAGAACACACTTCTTCACAGCTCTCAAAAAATTGAAGAAAAATGCAAGCTTCTCCTACTCACTTAAGTATTTATTTTTGTTTATTTTGGATCGAAATCTGACTCCTTTTTTTGAGTCATTTTTCTGCTTTCTTTTTGTGTATTATTATTATAATTTATGAAGGAAAAGGATTGACCCATAGAAATGAATACTTTGAAGAAACACACGAGAATAGCTCATAAAATTGACGAGATTAGATAATATTCACAATTTATGGCCTGGAAAAGAGATGCAAAATTCATGGCTATCAGATTTGCCAAAATGATAAAAAAAGAAAAGAAAATGGGAGAATGGGAAAATGGGGGAAATCACAGGGTGTAATTCACTAGACAAAAATTTTCGCGCTTTTTTTGAGACCTGACACAATCTTATAGATGAGACTAAAAATCGACGAAATCAACGAAAAAATGAGAGATTTACGATTGTTAGAGAAAAATATTTTTGATCTACCAGAAAATTTCTTTGAAATTTTGAGGCCTAATGATTTTGGGTATTAAATTACACCCTGTGCGGGGGGCTCCGATTGATATTTTTAATATTCAAACTACAGTACTCTTAAAATTCTGAGCAAACTGTGTTTTTGAAAAGAAACCGGGTTACTGTATTTATGGATTTTTTTTCCGAATTTCCACAAAAAAACCCTTCAGTAACTCAAAATTTTCGCAATTTTTTACATTTCAAAGATAATTCATATAAATTCGAAAGTTTCGCATTTACAATGCAAATTTAAAACTTTGATATTCGAACTCATCGGCTACTTTTTTCTCAAAACGGTAAACTTTCTATTTAATTGCCTATTTTGCAAAACAACTTGAAATTCGAGATAAAATCCACCTGTTCTACAAACAATTAACTCTTTATTCAATTATAACCTTTATATATTTTATCTAAATAACAAAATAATAATAAAAAATAATATCGTATTGAGATCACCAGAAAAATCACAGAAAGTAACAAAAACAAAAAGGATTCTTTGTTGAAAATCCCCCGTAAAAGGCACATTAAAATAATAATTTTAAATATTACTTATATTTACATTACTATCATTTGTTGAAGAAGAAGTCGAATCAAAAACTCCATTTTCAAGTAATGGTCTTAATGATCTTCGACGAGTTGGGCGAAGTGATGGACATCCCAAATTATCGGTATCGAAAAAATGACGATATGTGAATTCGTAAAAAGCTGGATTGTTCAAACCGCGCACGTTTGGACCACGATCAGTTTTGTCAGTTATCTGGAAAATAAATTCAAAAATCGAAAATTTGCCGAACAGTTATCAGAACAATTTTAGGACGAATTCCTGGATTTTGTATTACAGTATCTTGATTTTTATCATCTAAAAGTGCAAATGTAATAGCCAACAATTTGTGAGGAACGCCAAAAAAATTAAATGTGAGCCAATTTTTTTGGAACGGCAGTGATTCAAAAATTACAAAAAAAATATCAAGGGGGAGTTGAAACGAATTTCTTTATCCGAAAATCTGAACCCATTTTTTCGTACAAAATTGAAAATGTTATGTTTCAAAAGAAAATTTTCTAAACCCATAACTTCAAAAAAATGTTTTTGATACTAACCTGGATTGTATCAAAATTCGAAGTATCTTCATCATGTGCAACAACCGGAATAAATTCAGCTCTCGAATTTCTCAAATTATCAAAATCGATTCCTTCAAACCATGGATGTTTTTTGATTTGCGAAGCGCCTCCTCGATTTCCACATCGATTAACAACATCACAAACCAATACTTGAACCATTTGAACACATTTTGTAGAAAGATGTGAACTCCATGAAAAATCCAAATAATGTCTCCAATTCAATATTCGATGTTGTGTTTCAGCTGGATTTTCAGCATGAAATGGAACTCTTCCAAATACCATTTCATATAAAATCACACCCATTGACCACCAATCACATAATTGTGTATGACCAGTTCGAGCAATTACTTCAGGTGCCATATAATTTCCAGTTCCAACAACAGAATGTGCAAATTGTCGACGTTTTTGTTGACGAATATTCAAAACTTTTACACTTTTTTCAAGTGCAGCAACTTCTGGAGGAAGTGAAAATGAATCATTTCTTTGATGTTCATTTTCAGGTCCATAATATCTTCTATCATGAGTCCATCGAAGACCAGTACATAAACCAAAATCAGTTAATTTAATATGTCCATGTTGATCAATTAAAATATTATCTGGTTTAATATCTCGATGAATAAAACCAACACTATGAACATATTCAATTGCACATGTCAATTCAGCTATGTAAAATCTTTAAAAAATATCATGATTTCCTCACAAAAATAAAATATTCACTTACCGAGCTAATGATTCTTCAAATATTCCTTTATTAATCAATAATGTCATCATATCTCCACCAGGTACATATTCCATAATAAAATATAAACATGAATCATCTTGAAATGAGAAATATAATCGAACAATCCATAATGAATCAGCTTCAGCCAAAATATCTCTTTCAGCTTTTACATGAGCAGCTTGTTGTTTCATAATAACATCAGCTTTTTCTAATATTTTCATTGCATATACTTTTCCGGTATCCTTTTTTCTAACCAATGATACTTTTCCAAATGCTCCTAATCCAATATGAGAAATGACTGTGAAATGATTTTTCGACATTTTCTGCCTTCGTAAACGAGTATATCTTGATTCTTTTTGTTGTAGAATTTCGAGCATTTTAGTTCGCATATGTTCTGGTAATTGAGCTGCATTCATTTCTTTTTCTAATTGTCTCATTCGTTTCTCACGTTCTCGATATTGCTAAAAAAACACATGAACTTTGATAAGAAAATAATTATCAAAACTGATTGATAAAAATAATAATGTATTATAGTTTGCAAGAAAATAGATTTACCTGCAATAATCGTTCAACATGTTGTTCCATATAAAATCGAAACATATTTGGTTTACAAGGTTGAATTCGTCTTCGATTTTTCATATATGAATCTAATAAAGATCTATCAATCGGAGAACTCGCTCTTTTCCCGGGTGTTTCAATATTTCTTGAAGAAAATGTTATATCAAGATTTGGTTTATAAACATCAGCTGAAGATGTCGATGCAATATCTGGTCGAAGTTCATCTTTATAATTAACAGTTGTATATCTTGGGCCAATCATAAACGATTTTGTAGGCATTGGATCACCGAGATGAACCTTCGTCTAGAAATATACGATTTTTCGTTTTACAGTACTCTAAAAAAACGAAACTTACAGTATGCGGTTGTTGTTGTGCTAAATTAATACTTATAACACTCGATTTTTTATCCAATGAAGTATGATATAATCGCTGTGCTGAACTACTTTTATGAAAATTATCATTTCTTCGATCGTCCTCAATTGTTTCTATAGATACTGTAGATTTTGGTGGAGGTGGAGCAGCATTTTTAACATGTCTTGGAGCTTGTCTAAAAATTGAAATTAATGTATTGGAATTCTGAAAAAAAAAGTCAACTAACACTTTGAGATGAAGATGAGTTCGATGAGTTTCTGGTGCAACTGGTGTTAGTCTTGGTGTTGGTGTTTCATCATAAGCTGGCGGAGGAGGTCTTTGCTGAAAATTGAATATATTTTTATGAGTCATAGCTTTCCAAAACCAGTTTTAAAAGTATACTTAAATATTTTTTTAATAATTCATATTTTCCAGAAAAAAATTCAAGTTTGGCAAAAGAATGATGATTTCTGATTTATCTTGGAAAAGTTCACGTTCATATTTCTCTATTCAATTTATTCGTGTCTTGTTTCCCACATAAAATTGATACGATAAAATGTTTCCTTATCGTTATTTTTATGTGTGAAAAACTTATTCATTAAATTGTGGTTTCATCGAACATATAAAAAACTTACAAAACTCGGCGATGGCATTTCATATCGAAATGTGCTTGGCGATTGATGAATCATCATTAAATTATTTCCATTTGTTGATGTTGTTGTTGTTTGTTTTCTTTGTGTTGAATAAGAAGTTGAAGAAGACGATGAAGATGCAACAACTTCGTTATTCGCATTTTGCTCGTGTTCATATGCTTTTAGAGATTCACGGATTTCATCAAGTTTTGCACGATGACGACCAACGCGGACTTCCTGAAATCAAAAATGTTTTGATTTAAAAAATTAATTGATGTTCAGCATTTTTCTATCTATTACCAAAAGAAGAAGTTCATGTTGATTATAAATCAATAGATACATTTCTAGAAAATTCATTCCAAATCTATTTTTTCCCGAAAAAAAACTTACCGGTTCTCGATATTTTTCAGCCGACGGTTTCATTCATAAATATTTAGTTATTTTTTAGAATAAAAAATGATATAAAAATATGCGTATTTAATTATAATAAAGAGTGATCTTCAACTAAAAAAACACACGCAAGAAGAACACAGACACTATTTTAGTTAGTTCTGAGGGTCGCCGTCTGTATGCGAAAAGAGAAGAGAGAAAGAGAAAAAGAAGAAGAAAAAGAGAGACCGGCCGCATTCCAAATTATATCTGCGTCTCTCAATTATTTCTTATCGTTTTATATTTTTTTTCGTCTCTTTTCTCTCTGTTTTTTCTCTCGTCTCTTGTCAAAATAATAATTTCACCAGATAATAACGATGACGATTTATCTTTTCGAGATTTTTTTGCATTGTAAAATCTGCAGAGTTTTGTTTCAAAAAATAGGTTTTTCCTGAAATAATACAACTGCGTGTTCATTCTTAATTCCAGAATAACATTCTCAATTTTTTTTCGAATCAAAAAACTAAACAAAATATTTATATATGAATTGACCTCACAATCAATTTGTTTATTTATTTCATAAATGTATGTTCCACAGTTATATTTATTATATTTGTTTATCTGCCATATAAACACACTATTTTCTGTTCTCTCCAAAACGTGGAAATATTTATCTTGTTTCAAATCTAAAAATATTCGTCTTTCTTCCATTTCTTTTGTTTTTAAGCTAACACGCCAAGGAAACAGATAACTTATTCATTTTTCCTGTAGAAACAGAAAAAACGTCCTTTTTCATTCGCTTTTTATGATTTGAACAATAAAAGTTTTAATTGTTATAGATCATTTCGACGTGTCAAAATAGGCAATTATAATCCTTGTTGGATTAAATGTCGAGCAGAAAACCATTAATACGGTACGTTTTTTCAGAAATAATATTTTCGCATAAAATATTTAGAAAATAAATACGTGTTTTTAATAAACAAAAACGTGGAAAACACATTTCTATGTTTCCGAAATTTTCTCTTTTTAAAATGAATTTTCACAATCAGAGAATATAATTTTTGCATTTTTCTCTACTCTTTATGTCTGAAATACGGCAACGAAAAAATACTGAAACTTCAGAAAAAAGTGTTAATTCTAGGAGCTCATCGCATTCTGATCGACCAACTAAAATGAGAAACTGGCCACTTTTTGTATTCCTAATTGGACTTGTATTGTTCTTCTATATTTTCTATATTTATCAAGCACAAAGTACAACTTTGAGTATGGCAAATGATGAAATTCGAATGCTCAATATTCAATTATCAAATACAAAAACTAAATTAGTTGGTGAGTTAATCAACTAATTTTGTAATTTCAATATTTTCCAATATATATTTTTTTAGATACTTTGGCTTCTCTTGAAAGCGTTAATGCTGTTCAACGAACTTCGGAAGCAGAACTTGATGAATTACGCAAAAAATCAGAAGAATGTTTTGGAAATCTTAGAAATTCGAAACTTCGTCTTGATGGATTGGAAAAAGATAACAAAGAAAATACAGAAAATAACAATGAACTTCAATCAAAATTGAAAACAGCAGAATTGCAAATAACTGATTTTGAGAGAAATAATACAGCATTGATAAATATGGTGAAAGCACAAGAAGAATTGATTCAACAATTGAACCAAACTGTTGCATTGTAAGTTCAAGTCATACTTTCAGATAAATTAAAATAATATTTCAGCATGAAAAACGAGAAACAAACACAAATTGTTGCGGAAGTTCAATTGACATCAACATCTACACCTTCTGCTCTCGAAGGTCAACAAAATCAACAAATTGCTGAACATGAAAATGCTCAAAATGAGAAACTTGCTGAATCCACAACACAAAAACAAGAACAAGTACCAGAAGAACAAGAACAAGCACAACAACAACAACCAGAAGTTCGGGAATAATTATAGTTTTAATTTTTATATAATATTTTTGCGGGTTTGTACTATTTCAATTATTTTTTGGTTCATAAATTGTTTTCTCTCAAAAAAAACCTCTCTCAAAACAACTCACTTGTAAAAATAGATATTTGACATCAAGCTTCTAAAATTCTCCAACTTTCAGAATAGAGTTTTCGAAATGGAAACATAACTTTTCAAAAACAAAAAATAATAGTGGTCTACCGTAATCCTTAAAGGGGCATGCAGTGTGTGCATTTTATTCTTGCCACGAACACACAGTATGAACGCCGTTTTTTTATTTTTGAAATTTCTTTTCGAAAAAAGCTTTTCCTATTTTTCCCGAATTTCACATCTAATTTAAAAAACGCAAACATTTCTTATGCGTATTTCTAGGCCACAAAATGTTTCTCGCGCGTCTATTATATTTTCAAAACACAGCACTGTTTTGTTTTCCTCGCGGTTCTCCTAATTGTAAATTTCCTCGGGGAGAAACTATTATGTTATTTGAATTTTATATTTTATCCTCAAATAAATATTTCACGCTGTCGTATAAAAAGGTTTTTTTTAATCAGCCTCATTTCAGATAACCAACGAAAAAATATAATGTCGGATTTTGAAATAGCTTTCAAATTCTTGTCGGAAAACCCAACCATGGAAGTTTTCATTGGGTTTGCAACACAAGTGGAAATGATGGCATCGAGAATGTCATCCGAAGAGATGAAATCGAATATTCTGAAAGTCTTCACTGCTATTTTGAGCGAAGGAAAATTTGATGAGATTCGTGTAAACGAAGAAGTCTTGCGCATCTACAAACTCCTCGCAGATTTCAGTCAACGACTTGGAGCAACCGGAGTCTATGAGCAAATCGACAAGAAAGGGTATTTCCAGAAGTCACTCAAATTCCATCTACAATGGGCTGAAGAATATGGAAAGGCGGACAATTTGGAGAAGTTCAGAAATGTGCTTGATCTTGCTCGGGAAAGATTGAAATCGATAATGGCAAACAACAAAATCGAAGCTGGGTTCCGAGATTTAGCCGATTTGTATTTCAAAGACGAAGTCGATTATCTATTCCTCGACCCTGATAACACAATTACAATTAACGACTCTCCTTACAATGGAAAAAGAACAAATCGAAGAAGATCATCGATAAATATGTTAAGAAGAGGTTGTCCAGTTGTTGATCCGGCAAAGAAGAACTTTTTCGGACCAAAAAGTAGGTTTTTGTGTATATTTTGTTTTTATTGAAAACTAAACAACAATATAATACTTTTTTCAGCAAAAAGTTTACTGAGAAGTGAATTTTTGGATGGCGAAAATGGATTTGGAACATCACCTGAGGAGTTTCGATTTGCTCTTCTTAATGATGTGGCAGGCGATGAATTGGATATTCAGATGGACGAAGAAACGGTTGTCGTGCAAGACAATAAACCTGTTGATTTTCCGATTGTTAAAAATGAAAATCGCCGTCGCCCACTCTCTATTGTCGATGAAGAACGTGATGAAGCGGATTCCGAGAAAAAATCTCGAATTTATTCACCAATTGTTGCAACCAAAGATGCGAGTCGAGTTCCACTTCGAAATTCTTCATTTCTCAACGAAAAACCACCTACGACAATCACTCTTTCTTCGGACACTAAAATCAGCGCAATTGAAAATGAATCGTTTGGCGAAGTTGAAAATGATAATGAAAAATTGAGAGAAATGAAAAGTGGAAGAAAGGAAAGAACAAATTCTGATTCAGGTTCGTAAACAGTTTTCAATAAGTGCTCCAATTTATTTGTATTTTTAAACCTCGTGATGTTTTTCAGAAAAATCAACACGTTCTCAAAAATCCAATGTTGGTCTTGATATTATGGCTGAAAATAATTGTTTGGAGGCGCATGCAGCATTTTCGGATACTGTTCATATTGGAAAAGAAGGAATTGTGATGATTGAAGAACATACAATGTTGGAAAATGTGAAGAGCTTGGCATCAACTCAGAATGTTACCACTGATTTTTCAGTGTATTGTGATCCTGATCCAACTTTTGTTGTTCATTCAAATGTTGGGAATTCGGAAAATGTTTCACGTGTTAATCACACCTGACGAGACGTGTCCAAAAGTGACACTGTACAAAAATTTCCAAAAGCCACACTGTACATTTTTTCACGAAAAAGTGTAGATTTCATTGATTTTCAGCGGATTTTAATGAAAATTTTTAAAAAACTCATAATTTCACACTGCACAATTTTTTTTGCAAAAATTTCCACGCTGCACAAAAATTTTGGGACACTCTCTCGCCAGGTGTGGTGTTAATGGTTTGAATATGAGATATGAACAATCACCCGAACATCAAAAAGTTTTGAAGCCAAAAACATTTGTTGAAGTCGAATCCATGCACGATGTTTCATACAACTCTCCACCTATCGCAAGTTCGAAAACTGAAAAATGTAAGTCGGTCAATAATTTGTATTCCAAATATTGAATATTTCTAACAATAGTTGTTATTTTTCAGATTGGGATGAGTCAATCACAGGTTTTACACCTGGAAATATTGTGACATCAACACCAGCAGCTCATATTCCATTTGTGAATGTTGAGGATTATTTTGGAAACACTCAAAATATTGAAAAACCTGGAGAACAACCACAGTTTGTGATTCCTGATGCGAAAGGAACCCTTCAAAATCGATTGAACCGTCGAAAATCGATTGCTCAAGCAAAACAAGTTGAAGATGAAGTGAAAAATAATCCATTCGATGAATTACTTTCGGAACAACTTGGAAGAAGATTGTCACTTGGACCTGAAGAAATGGGGAATAAACAAGTTGAAGCAAAATCGATAGAAGTTGAAGAAACTGGGCGGAAAGATCGACGAAGAAGTGAGGTGATTCGACAAGAAAATAATCCATGGGATGAGAATTTGCGGGCTCGAATCATGAAACTTGTTTCAACTCCAACAAATATGCACGAATTCGAAATTATCAGTCCAAAAATTCTTTCGATGAAATCATTTGAAGTTGGCGGTGAAACTTATGATATTCGAAATCTTCTTGGACAAGGTGGATATGCGAAGGTTTATAAGGCAATTACGGAGGAAAAGAAAATTGTGGCAGTCAAGGTAATTTATTAATTAGGTTATTAATTAATTGTGAAATTAAATGTGTTTAATTTCAGTACGAGATTCCATCGTGTGCTTGGGAAGTTTATATTTGCGATCAAATGAGAACTCGATTGTTGGCAAGAAATGATTCAACATCACAAATTATTTCCAATCAATGTATTATGCAAATCACCGACGCCTACATTTTCTCGAATGCTTCACTTCTTGTCAACGAATATCATGAATTTGGAAGTCTTCTTGACAACATCAACAATTCCAAAGATCCAAATTGGCATATCTCATGCTTTTTGCTTGTTCAACTTGCCAAAATTCTCGAAAAAGTTCATGAATGTGGAATGGTTCATGGCGATATCAAACCGGACAATTTCATGATTACACGGAAAATTGATATGAGTTGGGAAACGGATAAATTGATGGGAGAGGATATGTTCGTAGTGAAATTGATCGATTGGGGAAGAGCTATCGATATGTCGAGATTGAAAGAGAGAGAATTCAAGGGAAGAGCTGGTACTGAAGGATTTGATTGTCCCGAAATGATCGTATGTTTGTGCTTCATTTTTTTTTTGAAAATTATTTTTGATTTTATAGGATGGTCGCGGATGGACTTATCAACCAGATTTCTTTGGCTATGCTGCAACAATGGCTGTTCTCATTTCTGGAACTTATAGCAAAATTGTTGGCTCGGAACTTGGAGATTATTCGTTAGACGTTGAAATCAAGAGACGAAACAAATTGCGTGATCCAGCGATGGAAATCGTCAAAAACTATTTGAACATCTCTTCTTGTTCACAACTTCCAAAATGGTCAACTGCAATCGACTTGTTCACCAATGTTTGGAAAGAGCATTTTGATATTTCGGCATGGAGACAAGCAGCCGCGAAATTCAATGAAGCTTGCGAAAAATCCAAAAAATAGGTATTTTTGTTTTCCGTAGTTCTTGTACAATATTGTTTTTTCTTTTATTTTTTATTGTATTTCAAATTTCGAGCACATGATCCTTTTTTGACCTAATGCTTTTTTCAATCATGTAGAATAAATTTTTCCATTTTTTTCTTCGGTTCAATTGAGAGCGGTAAATTGTCAACTTTTTTCAAATACTTTGAAATTTCTTAGATTTTCCAAATTTTAGAATTTATTTTTTCTGTTTTTGAAAAAAGTTCATGTAATTCCGTAATTTTTACCCACAGAATTTGCTCGTCAATTATTGTGTATTGTGTGTTTTCGGCGTCATTGCCCTATTTTCAAAAATTGTTTGTTTTTAGACAAAAAGCACTTTGGTAGTTAAAATGAGTTTAAAAACTAGTTATAACTTGTCTAATATGATTCCACGAAGATGTGAAGAAATGAATGAAAATCAGCGAGATTTCAATGAACGAGTATTAGCAATTTTTGAAGAAAATCGAGCAGAAGATCTTGATGAACTTCGAAAAGGTGAGTTCTTTATTTATTTAGATGTTAGAATCTTTTTTCAGAATAAAATTAAATAATTTCAGAAGCAGACGAATTTTCAATTTTATTAAAAGAAAAAGCAGTCGATAATTTTATTTCAATTCTCAAACTTCATTCAATTTTACAAAAATCTGCAAAATGTATAAAACAAATGTTTTCATTGGAAATGATTAAATTATTGAAACAAATGACTGGATTCAATAATACGATTGATATTAATTTGATTGATGAAACTATTCGAATATATATTCATTGCGAGAATATTTATATTAAACTTCTACCGTTTGCAGAAAATAATAAGGAAATTTCGAGTTATGTAAGTTATTTATTCAGAATTGTTTTTTTTCCTCATAAATCAAAAGTAAATCGTTTCAGCAACTTCAAGAATTTATCACAGCAAATTATGTTCCTTTGATGAAAAAACAACCAGAAAAAGTGGAATATTATTCAGCGTATATTGTTGGAATTATATTTTTTATATTGGATGCAAGAAGAAAAGATTTTGCATTAATTCAAGATTTATTGACATCGACTTTGTTTTTCCATTTGGAAAGATGTATTTTGTATGAAAATGAAGAAACTGATGAAGAACCACCAATTGAATTGTAAGTTTGAGTTTGAATTAATCAAATCTATGAGAATCCCTATTTAGTTTCTCTCTGCGTTCTTTTCAAAAAGCACTCAACGAATTTCGAAGTTTGGATGTTGATAGAAATGGAGTATTGTCTGAATCTGAAATGCTTATGTTTGGAGGGTAAATTTTTTTCAATTTTTTTTTTTACAAAAAATACAGTAATCTTATTTCTCAGATCTTACTTCAATTCGATATTCATCAAAAGAATTTTCGAAATTTCACACACATACGAAAAAGGATATTTGGATTTCAAGGGTTTTGTCGATTTGATCAGTGCTATTGAATTCAGACATGTAAGACATTTTAATCATTTGTTTTCCAAAACTTACAATTTTAGACGCGCGCATCTGTGAAATATCATTTTGAAGCATTTGATTTGAAAAATGATGGAGTTTTGGATGAACAAGAAGTTCGAGAATTGGTGAGTTATCTTATTGTCTACTTTTGTAAGTTTTCTGATAATTTTTTTTCAGTGCTTGATGTTACCCGAGTGTATTCCGGAAGAAAATGTTCCCCATCCAGATATTCTAGCCGCCGAAGTTATGGATATGGTTAGAGCGAAGAAATAGTGAGTAATTCAAACATCCATTTGTTCTTCGAATATTCAAATATATTTTTTCAGTCTAACTTTGGATGATTTGTTGTCAAGCAAAATGTTTTCAACTTTTACGGGATTCATTTCGAATTATAACGATTGGAACAGATACGAAAGGAGGGAACAATGAATGGGGAACTGGGATGATTTTTGATAAAATTCAATAAAAGTATACAATTTCTAAAAGCAACAGACAACAACAAAAGAAATATAGAAAAGTGTCTATTAAAATATTAATACTTTAACAAGGTTTAACGAAAATAAAACAACAGAATAAAAAAACAATTATTCAGAGTCATCAAATTTGATTGAGTTGACTGATTGATTGATTGGTCCACCTCCATAACTTCCCTTCTTTTTTCTTGGTTTTCTCGTGACGGAAAGCTTTTCCAGCTACACGACCGAGTTGATTTTTCATTCGCCTTTCTACCCCATTGATCCCAACCCTGAAATAATTCATTTTCCCAAGTTTTTTCCCAATTTTTAGTTTTTTCATGGATTGAAACAAAATTAGCTTTTCAATCAACTTTCTAAATTCAAGAAACGTGAACTGTGACGTGGCAGATTCAACAATGAAGCACGCCAATTTTGCGTGATTTATTTATTTTCACTAGCCACCAAATAGTGTTCACTAAGTCTTACCGAATCATGTTGATTATTACGGAATTTCTTCTGCAACCGAATCTTTTGTGATTTGAACTCCCAGAAAACTGAGGACTTTCTTTTTCCTCTTTGTGGTTGTCAGTCTGAATCTGCTGTTTTCGTGTTCCGACAAACTTCTGAAAACCAAAAATAATTAATTCCAAAAACAAAATAAACCTTTTTTTCGATGTTGCTAATGGTTTAGCTTTTTCGCATTTAGGAATTGAAGAACTCTCTTCTGTCTCAGCTGAGTCATCAGTTTCTGGTTCGGGAAATTTTGGAGTTACGGCGGCTTTCTTTGGAGCTGGCTCATCATCAGAAGAATCGGAACTTGATTCGGCTTTCTTAGCTGGAGTTGCTTTTGGTGTTTGCTTCGCAGCTGGTGTAGCCTTTTTCGCTACAGGTTTTTCATCGTCTGAATCCGAAGAACTTGATGCGGCCTTTTTAGCTGGTGTTGGTTTTGATGTTGGTGTTGCCTGTAAGGGTTGAACTGCATAACCATATCATTGAAAAAATAATTCTAACTAACCTTTGCAACAGGCTTTTTTGCTGGTTCTTCGTCGCTATCGCTGTCTGAATCAACTTGTATCGTCCTGAAACGTGAATTATTTCATGAATTAGAAAAAACTACGCCAATTTTGCCTGATTTATTTATTTTCACTAGCCACCAAATAGTGTTAGTCTTACCGAATCATGTTGATTATTACGGAATTTCTCTGCAACCGAATCTTTTGTGATTTGAACTCGTCTGAACGGTGAGGACTTTCTTTTTCCTCTTTGTGGTTGTTCTTCTTGTGTTGCAAACTTCTGAAAATAAAAATAATTAATTGAAGAAAAAATCATTGAAAAATAAACCTTTTCAGTCGATGTTGCTAGTGGTTTGGCTTTGATGATTGGAGTTTTCTTCACAACTGGTTTCTTCTCATCATCTGATGAATCCGAACTCGAATCAGCTTTTTTGGCTGGTGTTGCTTTAGGAGTTGGTTTGGCAGCTGGAGTTTGTTTCTTTGGAGCTGGCTCATCTTCAGAAGAGTCCGAACTTGAATCTGCTTTTTTGGCTGGTGTAGCCTTTGGTGTTGACTTGGCAGCAGCAACTGGTGTAGCCTTTTTCGCTACAGGTTTCTTCTCATCTTCAGAGGAATCCGAAGAGCTAGACTCGGCTTTTTTGGCTGGGGTCGGCTTAGCAATAGCGATTGGCGTTTTCTTTGAGGCTGGTTGAACTGCATAACCATATCATTGAAAAAATAATTCTAACTAACCTTTGATTCTGGCTTTTTTAGCTGGAGTGGCCTTTGGCGCTATCGCTGTCTGAATCACTTGTATCGTCCTGAAAATATTAAATTATTTCATGAATTAGAAAAAACTACGCTAACCTTTTTTGCTGGAGTAGCTTTTGGAGTTGGTTTAGCAGCAGCAACTGGTGTTTTCTTTGGAGCTGGCTTCTTCTCATCATCTGACGAATCAGATGAGCTGGATTCTGCCTTCTTGACTGGTGTTGCTTTTGGTGTTGCTTTAGCAGATGGTGTTGCCTTCTTTGGGGCCTCATCTTCAGACGAATCAGAACTCGATTCAGCTTTTTTGGCTGGAGTTGCTTTTGGAGTTGGTTTGGCAGCAGCAACTGGAGTTTTCTTCACAACTGGTGCTTCATCTTCAGAGGAATCCGAACTCGATTGAGCTTTTTTGCTGGGGTAGCTTTAGGAGTTGCTTTAGCAACTGGAGCAGCCTTTTTTGGAGCTTCATCTTCCGAAGAGTCCGAACTTGACTCTGCTTTTTTGGCTGGTGTAGCCTTTGGTGTTGACTTGGCAGCAGCAACTGGTGTTTTCTTTGCAGCGGGTTTCTTCTCATCTTCAGAGGAATCCGAAGAGCTCGAATCGGCTTTTTTGGCTGGGGTCGGCTTCGCAATAGCGATTGGCGTTTTCTTTGGGGCTGGTTTTTTCTCATCATCTGATGAATCCGAAGAGCTTGATTCTGCTTTTTTAGCTGGAGTGGCCTTTGGAGTTGGTTTAGCAGCAACTGGTGTAGCTTTCTTTGGTGCCTCGTCTTCAGAAGAATCCGAACTCGATTCAGCTTTTTTGGCTGGTGTAGCTTTTGGAGTTGGTTTGGCAGCAGCAACTGGTGTTTTCTTTGGAGCTGGCTTCTTCTCATCATCCGACGAATCCGAAGAGCTGGACTCGGCCTTCTTAGCTGGTGTTGCCTTTGGTGTTGCTTTAGCAGATGGTGTTGCCTTCTTTGGGGCCTCATCTTCAGACGAATCAGAACTCGATTCAGCTTTTTTGGCTGGAGTTGCTTTTGGAGTAACTTTCACAACTGGAGTTTGTTTCTTTGGAGCTTCATCTTCAGAGGAATCCGAACTCGATTGAGCTTTTTTTGCTGGGGTAGCTTTAGGAGTTGGTTTGGCAGCTGGGGTAGCCTTCTTTGGAGCTTCATCTTCAGAAGAGTCCGAACTTGACTCTGCTTTTTTGGCTGGTGTAGCCTTTGGTGTTGATTTGGCAGCAGCAACTGGTGTTTTCTTCGCAGCTGGTTTTTTCTCATCTTCAGAGGAATCCGAAGAGCTCGAATCGGCTTTTTTGGCTGGGGTCGGCTTCGCAATAGCGATTGGTGTTTTCTTTGGGGCTGGTTTTTTCTCATCATCTGAAGAATCAGAGCTTGATTCAGCCTTTTTAGCTGGAGTGGCCTTTGGAGTTGGTTTAGCAGCAACTGGTGTAGCTTTCTTTGGTGCCTCGTCTTCAGAAGAATCCGAACTCGATTCAGCTTTTTTGGCTGGTGTAGCTTTTGGAGTTGGTTTGGCAGCAGCAACTGGTGTTTTCTTTGAAGCTGGTTTCTTCTCATCATCCGACGAATCCGAAGAGCTGGACTCGGCCTTCTTAGCTGGTGTTGCCTTTGGTGTTGGTTTAGCAACTGAAGTGGTTTTTTTGGGAGCCTCGTCCTCCGAAGAATCCGAACTCGATTCAGCTTTTTTTGCTGGGGTAGCTTTTGGAGTTGCTTTCACAGATGGAGTTGGTTTTTTTGGAGCTTCATCTTCTGACGAGTCGGAACTAGATTCGGCCTTCTTTGCTGGTGTGACTTTCGCTGTAGGCTTCTGAAATGAATTGTAGATTGATTTCTGAATTTTTCTTGCAAATAATTACCTTCGAAACTGGTTTTTCATCTTCACTGTCTGATTCACTGCTAGCTGCTTTTTTCTGTGCAGGAGTTTGTGGAGGTTTCGAAGCTGGTGTCAGTTTTTTCTTAGGCTCACTGTCTGATGAATCGCTACTGGATTCCTTCTTCGTGAGCTTCTTAGTGACTTGATTCTTTAAAAATAATTTTATTTAATTCATTTCTGAACACTTTTCTTTTACTCACATTGACTGGCTTTTGAGCTCCATTCACTTTAACTGTTCCATCATCAGAAGAATCCGATGAGCTTGAAGATGCTTTTTTCGCTCCTTTTTTCGAAGGTGGTTCTGCAGCAGATGTTGAATTGACCCGTTTTCTTTTGAATGATGAGACTGTTGCAATATCTTCAAGTTTTGGAGCTTCTTTATCTTTCAGCTAAAAACGAACACAATTGGATTTGAAAAATAATAAATTACTCACAAATTCGTCAAGTTTTTTACGAGTAGCTTCATTGAAAATTTGTTTTACAAGCTCTGGATTTCTCTTAGAGACTTCATTATAATAAATCGCCGATGCGACTAAATCCGAACTCATCGTGTGTACCCTGTAAATTTAGATAATTAGAACAAAAAATTGTGTTAACAAGAAAATCTCCTATTACGGGATTTTTTGAACGATAATGTTAGTTTTCATTACAGTTAGGATACTAAGAGATTAGCTCTTGGTCTATTTATGCTTTCTAATAATTATTGTTCAGTTTATTTTTCAAACCGAAGCAAAACTTTGAAAAAACTTGAAAAAAAAGAAAATCTTCGAAAAATTCGACATTGGGTCAGTGCCAAGAAAAATGTCGCTGCGAGATATCGCACACAAACGACATGCATGTCCCTTTAGTTATTACACAGCGGCGATTCAAAAACATTTATTTTATTTCTTTCACAAATTGTCACATATTTCTTTAAAATTCAATGTTAGCTGAATATTACATTAATTCAAAATTGTTTAACACGCTTTGAGCAACAAAAAACCCGATTTCATTTTTTACAATTATTATTGTTGTTATTGTTATTGTTGTTGTTGAATGCTTGAGTTGAAGTTGAACGATGACCAAAATCGGGAACAGTTTTCAAGCAATAACATTCTAACAACCGCATTGCTGTTGGTTTTAATTGTTTCTTCATTTGTGGACTGAAATTTAGAATTGAATTGATGATTTCTCAGAAATTGAAACAAACCTCCAGAATATATACATATAAAAAAGGACTGCATGATGAAAATATGCCAGCAAATAAGTTAGGAAAAATATAAAATAAAATAATGAAGTACTCGGATTGAACACTTCTTGGAATATTCTCATTGCATAACTTGGCACATTGAGCAAAACAAATGTGCTGTAAATTTCAAAAATTTTCGAAATAATTTCCTTACTGACATCTCATAAAAATTGAAAATTATTTTATAAATAGTCGTTTTATACTGGATTCTTTTTTTTTTTTTCAAATTAATTATTTTTATTCGAAATATTTCAGATCGGAGTTCGTTTCTCAACTCGGAAAATCTACTGCATTTCAATTTTCACACTGAATCAGATAAGTTTTATTTTTCTGTTTGAGTCTGAATTTAGTTCCTACTTTATTTTTACCTGGTAACAATAATAAGAGTTCGACTGAGTTGTAAATCCGAACTTCTTAATTTTCCACCACAATTTCTAGATTGAGTTGAACTTGATGGAATTGTCGAATTGTTTGTTGTATCAGAGCTTAGCAAATATTTTTTGACAGTTGTTACTTCCTAAAATATACTCTTTATATTAATATTTGAATTAGGAATTAAACTAACAACTTGTATAGCATCATTTTCAAGTTGTTCTATTTTTTGTTGTGTTGTTGGTGCGCGAACAAATCGAACTCTCAATACTCCAGATGAATATACTTTCATACATTGTCGATAACGATAAGTTGAAAATGTATTCACAACAATTATTAAAATTGACGGAATAATTGTGCAGATTACAGTATCCATTAGTGTAAAATAAAAATAATGCTTCCTCATATCCCATCTGCAGAAAAAAGAAAGAATTCATTTCACTAAAGATGCTATTTATCCCTCCCATATATTTTTAGTATTTTTCTGAAGAACTCGAAAGAATGAACTAATGATTCTCATGGGATTGTTTTGAGAAGTTCATAGATGAAAAAACTATTTTGGGCTCAAAAATGTTCAAAAATCCTACCCAAATATTGTGTTATCGTTGAGTCCACAGAACCAATCTCCATTTTGTGTACTTTCCAAACCTGCGAATATAAATATCCAACTGTAAAGAATACATGATAGAATTAATGTGCAAATTGTCATATTTCGCGCAAATTTTTTTGTACAAATATGTCGACGAACTCCTGAAACACGTAACGTTTATTAATGAATTAGATATGATAAGTAGGATCTTACTTGGTCGAAAAAGTACAATTGCACGATCGCATGATATCAAAATTATCATACAAACACAGACAAAATCGCTAAAATGAGCAAGGAATGTGATGAGCTACAAAAAATGTTTTTGTTAACCCGAAAAGCAGTTTTTTGGGGGGAAAGGACTCCCAAGAGATATGTGTTCTACGTCAAACAACAACAAAGATATCACATAAATATTTTGATGGGAGAAGAAAGATAAAATGCTCAATAAACAAATGACAAAAAAATAATTAATAGTTCGTCATAAAATTCCAGACATTTCGTGAAAACCCTCAGCAAAATATCCAGAAATCTTCAAAAAACTCACTTTACATCCTAAATCATTTCTTCCGTATAATGTTGCCTCTAAAAACATATCTGCCCATGAAATTGTAACTGTGAATAGAAAAACACAGCTGGAAATTGATAAACAGCACAAATAAATATTTGAATTCAATCGTTTCAACCAAAAATTTGTTCGAATTAAAATCAAAGCCATCGCATTACCAAGAATTCCAACAAAACAAAATAATGGCAAAAGATGTTTGGAATGATTTTGAAGCCATTGAAAAAGTGGAGAATTATCGATTATTACCAATATATTTTCAATTGATCGAAATGTTAATTCATCTGTCTCATTGCTTTGTAAACTCAAAACCTCTTTTTCCATTTCTGAAAAAAAACACGAAAAATATTATTCCAGAAACAAAAAATAGATGAAAATTTCAGAAAATAATTAGTTGGATATTTTTGGGTCGAAAATGTCCAAAAGAAAAAAAACGAAGAAAAAAAATAATACAATTTATTATTCCAACCAGACAATAGCAATCGAAAGGATATTTTTTACGGTTTTGAAATTTTGATGTGAACAATAGAAGAGGAAGAGGAAAAGGGTACATCTCGAGGGAATAAAATCGGCGAAAAGACACGCCCATTTTTGGGAGCAACAAAAAAAACTACGTTTCACTTGAAAATGCCGAAAAGTAGCAATTAGTTTGGCAAACGAGGAATACTTTAGTAGTTTTTTTTCGAATGCGAAGAAAAAATGATTCATAGTTTATAAGAGAAAAAAGCCGTGGTCAATAAAATGAAAAAAGAAAACAAAATGAATGATGGTCCGTCCGCTGGCCTCCTAAAAAAGAGTTCGAGAATGTGAAGAGATATACAATAAGTTGTTCTTTTCTTTCATTCTTCGCCTATTTCGAGTGACGAGTGAGTGAGAAAAGAAAAAAGGAAAGAAAATAGAGAAAAACGATTGATGGGAAGAAAAAGAAGACAACTGCCTCCGGCGGGTCCCATCACAATATAAAAAATAAGGGTTTCAGAAGAAAAGAAGAAAGAAAAAACTAAATTCGATTAACATATTTTGACGACAAGATGAGGAAATTAAGAGAAAATTCTAGTATGTGTTCTTTTTTTCTGCAAATTTAAGGGTGGTCTACAACTAACTTTGTTTTCAACTCGAACAAGAAAAAACTTTCTGAAATTTGTACAGCCTTCTTTCTGTTTTACAAATATGAGGAAAATTTTATAGAAGGATTAAAAAATAATCAACCCACAATGTGTAATCCCAAAGTTCTAGGCTTCCAAGTTTTCAGAACTTTTTCTGGTAGATCACAAATTTCCTTAAATTGGGCCATGGCTCAAATTTTTTGATAAGTAAATTACACTCCATGAAACCTCCAATTTATTTTTTTTTCAAAAAAATTTCGTTATGCAAATCTATTTCTATAAACTTCTAAAATCCTCATTGTCAGACTCAAATTTGCCTATTTGGAAATTATCATTATTCAAAAAAGTGATTTCATAACAAAAATCTCTGGCTGTGTTACTGAATTCAAAATCCCTAGCAAAATACAGTAATCCGATAGTACATTATTCTGATCATTATTTTTCATTATATTTTTAAAATGATGTGAGGATAATTAATCTTGAGGGAATTCAGAGAACAATCGAACAACCTCCAAGTTTTATCTCTATTTTTTATAACAGAAAGGGTCATTGAAAAGGTTATTTTCAGTGCGTTTTTTACACTCACTAAAAATGAAGCACTTTGAATTTTGAGGGAGGATAAATAAAAGGAATTTTATTCAGATGTTTTTTTGCAAAATAAAAAAAAAGAAAAAGCAGACACGGAGATTTTTTCGTGATATTTATTTCCGTTCTCTTTCGATCGTCTGGATTTTTTCTTCAGAGAATATGGAATTATGATGCTCTTCAAAAATAATTCTTGTTTTGTTTTGTTTTCCAATTCAGTGTGCTTGATTTTATACATAAAAAAATAAATCCTCAATTTGTTTAAAAAAAACTGGAAAAGTGTGAATAAAAGGATGTGCTCATTGAACCATTAAACATATTCTATGTAAGCAAAGCCTACACTTTTATTTATGTTAGTCTCCGTTTTTTGTGAACCTAATTTTTTTTCTGGTGAATGTATTTGAGTGACGGGGCCGAAGACGAACTTTTTATTTAACAATGGGAAAAAATGTTTCGCTAAATTTAATTTTCAGAGTTTGAAGATTATGTGGTTTCAATTTCAATGAAAACTTATATTCGAATTTATGAAAACATAAAAGTTTTATTGACCTTTCGAACTTTCGAAATTATTTTTTCCAAAAAAAATTCACGGGAATAATAATTTATCTAGTTTTTGAACATCGGAAAAGTTTTCCAAAAATAACCATGGGAAACACAAGTAAGAAAAATGAGCAGAACCAACCGATTATCCGCCTTGGGGGCATTCTGTTTTCGAAAAAAAGCAAGCAAAAACGAAGAAAAAAGACATAATCCGTACACGAGCGAAAAAAAAGTTGACTTGCAAATCAAATCAGGAAACGGAATATTTGGAACCAGAAATAATATAATTTTTTTTCTTGAGAAAGGCACAAATTGACCTAGGGACCGGTCAATTTGTGAAAAACCAAAACATAATTAGTTTCCCTTTCCCACAACTGAAAAATTGTTTTTCTGAAGCTTAGGCCAACCTATTTTTTATTTTTTTTTTTGAAAAAATAGCTGAAATATTCATGTTTTTTTGCTTCGACGAAAAAACATACACGAATAAATTTAAAAGTTCGTACTTTCAAAAATCAAATCTTATTCTTGCATAAAACAAAAACATGTTGTTTTTGTAGAAAAGCAAAATTTGGCAAAAAAGAAAAATAGGAATATCGAATTTCGTTCAGATTTTTGAAACAAATTCTATTTTTGTTTGAATCGAACGAGAGCAATAAAAAGTCATAATCGAAAACAAATTTTTTACGAAAAAAATGAAAGAAAAAAGTGGAAAGGGAAATAAATAAATTTTATTCGATCACCCATGACGACTTATTCTGGAATAAAAATGGGAGAACAATTGCACTATATGAATATAAAAGTTAGCAAGGTCCAATTCTTTTGTGTTATTTTGAAAAAAGTTCAGGTCCAGTCTGAAAGTAGGTTTTTCTAGAAGGTTTTTCTAGATGGGATCTCAAAAAGTTACCCAACAAATTTTTTTCATTAAAACTTCTTTGAAAACAACTAAAACTTGAAAAAAAAAGATTTACAGTTCCTGACATTGTAATATTGGTAAAAACTATTGGAATGTATTTGGTAAAATGTTCACGGCCACTATTTCAAAATGTTGAGATTGATGCACTAACTATGGTTTTTGAAGATTCTGTAATTTATGCAACTTTCCTATGAAAATGGTTATTTTTAATTTATCTTTATCAGCATATGAACTTTTTTCAATTCAGTTGTGCAATTTTGAAAGCTCAAAATAGAAAAAATCTGATGAAACTTCATAGCAATATTTTATTTCAATAATAAAATGTTCAATAAAAATAAATATAAAAATCAGAGATCTAAATACAAGTAACAATGTTAACCCGGAAATCAAATTTGAATAAATAGGGAAATAATTTTGTACATTTTGCGCGATTGTTTTGTCGATAAATTTAAGGCCATGGCCAAAATGGTTTTGTTAATATTACTTGTTTATTTCTTTTCGTTTTTGATTCTTCTGATTCGAGATCTCGTCGATGATGTTTTCGATGAATATGATGCTGCAAATATTCCAAAATTTAATCAATGAAATCCTTTTTTTATGAGTTTTCCAAATGTCTAGAATCTTTTTATCTATGATCAAAAAATAATTTCAATCGTGAAAGTGAATCAATTTCAGATTTACTTCCAAATTGAAAGTTCCAAGATTCCTTCCAATGTTCAATTTTCGAATCGTTTTTTTCTCTATCATACAATCTGACCTTGCTTTTTCGTGCAAATCAAATCAATTTCTTCTTTTTTTCGTCAGAAAAATGGTCAGAAGTCATTTTGATTCGTTCAAGAAAAAATTGACTAACCTTGTGATGATTATGATGATGTTTTTGTAGTTCGATCGAATTTGTTGGATAACATTCTATGGAAAAAATAAGGCAAAATAGGAATAATAATAATGAAATCCTGAAAACGAACATTGTATCTCGTGATCTCGAAATTTCTCTGGATAAAAAACTAACCATTTAACCTTGACATTCATTTTCATCGTCTGTTTTTTCTTGTTTCAAATTGAATGTTGCGAATTGAAAATCGACGATCGAGAAAAAAAGAGAAAAAAATGTAATCCGTGACCTGAAAAATCAAGAAAAAGATATGGAAGTGAAAGTGGAACGAACAAAAAAGTTAGACAAAAAATCTGGAACAACAAAAATATTTCAGGAATCTTTTAACAACAATAAATATTCTCTAGTATGCTTTTCAACCAACTAACGAATAGAAAGAAAAAACTAATTGATCAACCAAAAAAATTCCAATACTTACAATACGTTATTATATTATTTATCACTCGATGTTCCTCAAGAAAATGGGCGGAGCTTCCAAAAAACAAGACTCCGCCCAATTTTTGCGTAATATTTTTGGTATATACAAAATAATAAGAGGAACTGGTTTAAAATACAAAAATAATTAGATTAGGCAATTTTTTGTTTTGTTGTTGTACAAAAATAAAACAACATAAGTCATAATCGCAAAAAAAGGCTGGACGAAAAATTTGAAAAAAAAAAGTTTGAGCTTATGAAAAGTAGGTTGGTTCCCTGTGGAAAAATTCAAACATGTTCTCTCTCATAACAACAAATTTTTTCTATAAATTATCGGGATTTCGAGAAAAACGGTTGATAAGATCACTTATCGAATCTACAGTAACCCATATTAAATCTTTCCCAAACTTCAGAATTCCAACAAAAATGTTCCAAAAACCCTGTTGGTTTTGACTAGACAAATAAATCATACAAAATCAAATTGGCAACATGAAAAATCCTTTCGATTTCTCCTCATATTTTCACTTTTTATCCCTCTTATCTTTTTATCTGATTACCCAATCACTTTCCCTCAAAAAATGATATTCAAAAAAAAGAACAAGAAAAAATTACATTGAGCTATTTAGCTTTTACAAAAAAAGATAAAGCTTGAAAGATAAAAGTACAGAATTGGAGAAAAATAAAAATGAAAATACAAATAAATAAATGGAAAACATGCATGTATATATGATATAAAAAGCAAAAGTGATGGTTGTTTTTGTTGATTAATACAAACGAAATGAATCAAGACTGCGAAATGACCCCAAAAACGAGAGAAACGAGAACGAAAATGCGGTTTTACTACATATTTCGAAAATCTCTTTTTCTTTTCTGCTTCTCGATTTAATTTCACTTTCAGATTTCATATGACTTCCGCAATATTCTCGAAACTTTTTCTAGAATTTTTGAAAAATTTGGTAGATTTTTAGAAAACAACTATGGGAAGAAGTTTGAAATTCCTTGAGAACTTGATCACAATTTCCAAAGTGGAGAAATATGAATCTTTTTAAAGATTAATTAAAATTATAATCCCGAAATATTTTTTGTCAATAGTTTTTGAGAGTTGAGAAAACATTTGGATTTCTTTATTTTTTCAAACCTTTTCACATTGCATAGTTTTCACGTGAAAATTTCTTTGATCGAATTATTTGTGATAACAGTATCAATGTTAAAAAATTGTCAAGACAAATCCTTGTGAATTTTAGAATTATTGAAAAGATACAGTAATCCAAGAGTGTCAATTTCTTGTTATTTAAAAAAGATGAATTTTTATATCAAAATCATTCGGCGAATGTGACATGGTTTGTTATTTCTCGAATCAAATTCTTGGATCAAAAGTTTTCCAAACTTTCAAATAAAGTTTCCGATATTTTTCCAAATGTAGTTTTTTGGATGATCATCAAAACACACTAGTTTTCCCTCTTAAACCACTTTTTGTTTTACATCAAAGCACACAGTAACCATATTCGAAAAATAAAAGTTCATAAGTCAAAATACTTAAGCCCCGCCTATTTTTTCTGAAGTATTGTTTTAATTGATCCTCGTTAATTCTTTCCATGCTAATCATTGATTATGATGTAAAAAAATATCGGGCGAAAGTGAAACGTATCTATATTTATTAGTTTTTGCTTGATGATTTCACTTTGGGTTGGGTTGCGCATAGTGTGTAAATTAGAAGAAAACGATGGATGGATATAAAATGATGAAGCTTGTAATGAGGAATGAAAAAAAGGAGAAGAAGAAGAAGAAGAAACCGCCCGGGCCGAGAAGTGAAAGCAATATTTTCAACTTTCGATTACATCATATCAAAAGCAGCTGATTGATGACGAGAATATTTTCATTATATATGTATTTTAAACAAGACTGATGTTCATATCACTAAACTACAGTAATCTTATTTTCTCTCGAAAAATGAGTCAGTTAAAAAGGTCAGGAATAACTAGAATTACATCATTTCCTGATGATAATTGCAACAAATAATAAATATTTACAAAATTATTCAATAGCGCGTCACCGAGAAAAAAAAAGATGGCAGCGGAAAAAAAACGCGGTGATTAGGATGGCCGGAAGTTTGTTGGAATTGTTTGCATAGTTCGAGTGTGATAAATAACACAACAAAAAATCACAGAAAAAAACACAGCAGCCACGAGAATACTCAAAATTAAGTTGATTTTCCATGAGGGTATGTAGATTTGGAGATTTGGACTTTTAAAAGTTTTATAAATTAATAAATGAATGTATATATAAAACACTGGAAATTGAATTCAATATGCACCATCATCTCCGCCGCCACCTCGAACAAGTTGTTGGGTTTGCTAAAACAATCATATTTTTGATTGAATAATCTATATATTACAATAAAAATATCATAGATCATACATAGTTCAGTATGTACGTTAAAAATTTTTGACGAGGGGACTTTCAGTTTTTGAGAAAGTCCAAAAAAAAAGTTTTGGGGGTGTTTTTTGCCAGGTTTTGACATAAACTTTTTTTAAATGTATAATTTTCGACTAAAAATTTGAATAAGGCAAATATCATATTGAATTTCAAATTTTGAGCTCTAAAATTTAACACAAAAATTTGTCAACTAGAAAATGTTTGAACTAACAAAAACTTTTTTAAATTTCCAAATGACAAACCTTATTAGCAATTCCAGCCAATTTTGGACAATCTGTAATACGATGTCCCAATCCAGAACAATAAGCACATCCTTTTTCTCCATTTGTTCCTGAAGGTGCTTGTCCTTCTTCTCCAGCCAAATCTTTCAAGAAATCCGGCAATTCTTGTCCAGCTTCAACAAGTAATTGTTTCAAATCAGACATCACTGACATTTCAGCCTTTTTGTTTATAAATGTAGTTGCCAATCCTTTTCTTCCAGATCTTCCAGTTCTTCCAATTCTATGCACATAATTTTCAATATCTTCTGGCATATCGAAATTAATAACATGTTGAATTCCTTGAAAATCGAGACCTTTTGAAGCGACATCAGTTGCAACAAGAACATCTTTTTCATTTTTTCGGAAAGCATCAATTCCAGCATGTCGATCCATTTGATCTTTTCCACCATGAATTGATGCAACTTCGACTCCTTTTACAAGAAGATATTCATAAATATTATCAACATCGATTTTCTTCTCCGCAAATATGAGAACTCTGAAAAATGAAAAATTGTTTAAGTTGAAAGATGCGCCAAATTATTATTGAATTAAAAACACGTGAGAAATAAAAAACTAGGTCAAGTGATGTGGATTTAAAAACAGTATAGGTAGCCATGTCGTCAATTGCGATGCGGTTCTGCGTTGCGTGTTGACCTCGATATTTTCCATTGAATTTGCCAAATTTTCATTTCTAAAAACGTGTCGCTCACACGCATCGCAACTGACGACATGGCTACCTATACTGTTTTTAAATCCACGTCACTTGACCTAGTTTTTTATTTCTCACGTATTTTTAATTCAATAATATAAATTTTGTGAAAACGTGAACTTTGACGTGGCAATTTGGAAAACAATTTTAATTTTCCTGAAAATGTCAAAAACTAGACAAGTTCACGCAAAAATAGTCACTTACTTTGGTGCTGTTTTTTGCAAACACTCTAAAATCCTTGTCAATTTATTTTCCGATCGAACATATTCAATTTCTTGTAAAACATTTAATGATGCTGCTCCAGCTCTTCCAACATTCACAACAATTGGTTGAACCAATGCGGATTTTGCAAAATTTTGAATTTTTTTCGGCATTGTCGCAGAGAATAAAAGAGTTTGTCTTTGTGCTTTGAAAAAATAAAAAATCGATTTGATTTCATCCTCGAATCCCATATCAAGCATTCTATCGGCTTCATCAAGAACCAAATAACGACATACTTCAAGATTTATTATTTTCTTTGTTAATAAATCAGAAAGTCGTCCTGGAGTTGCAACACAAATATGAAGACCTCTGAAGATTTTGAAATATTTTTACTTTTAAAAAATATGAATTAAAACTTACTGTCGAAAATCTTTAGCTTGTTCTCCTAAAGGAACTCCGCCAATACATAAACCAGCTCTCATTAATGGTAATCCTCCTTTATGCAAAAATTCGAATATTTCAATGACTAAGTCATAAATTTGTCGGGCCAATTCTCTTGAAGGAACTATAATCAAACCAAATGGACCTTCATTTCTATTAAAAGGTAGAGCAGTTTCTTGTTCAGCACAAAACATTGAAAGTGGAAGAACAAATGTCATTGTTTTTCCAGAACCCGTTGATGCAATTCCAATCATATCACGACCTGATAATCTGAAATAGATATATGTTTTTTTGGGAATTATTTGAATTCATAAACTCACGCTACTGGTATTCCTTGCATTTGAATTGCTGTTGGTGCAAAAATTCCTTTGTTTTTCAAACCTTCCAGAATCGATTTTGGAAATTTCATCTCAAGAAAACTTCCAATTGCAGGTGGTATATTTTCTCCTTCTACATTTATTCCTCTTCTTTTACGATTTTCTTCATAATCTTTTTGAGTTTGATTTCGAATATGAGCAGGAGGATGCCATCTAAAAACAGTTTCACTTTGAAAAAAACTCAAAACTTTTTCGAAAAATATAAAATGCTCACCCAGTTTCAATTGGTTTTTCATATTGTTCGCCTTTTGTCATTTCTGCAAGTGCTCCACCTCTTGTAACTTTATCCAATAATTCTTCTTCTTCTCGTCGTTGTTTCTCATTTTCATCAACTTCTTCTTGATTTTCCATAATTTCAGCATGTTTTTCAAGTAATGTCTTTTTTGCTTCTTCGTGTTGTTTTTCCTCTTCTTTTCGCTTACGTTTTCTTTCAATTTCTTCTTTCTGATTTGAAGTTGGAGCCAGAACTTGTTTCAAAAGAGCTCGTCTATGCAATTTCTCTCTTTTTCGTTGAACAGCGGTCAAAAACATATCATCTACATCGTTATCGTCTTCATCCGATGATATATTCATACCATTTCGTCGTTCTTTCTGTTCTTCTTCGAGAATTTTTCGTCGGCGCTCTTCATATTTTCGACGAGATTCTTCAATATTAATAGTTTCTTCACAATTGCTACTACCCTCCAAAGTATCCGACATTCTTCTGTCAGAACACAATTTTTGCAATTTTTTTCGAAAAAATAAAACAACTCCGAGAGAAATACACAATTGTTAAATAGAGCGAATTAGCATCCTCTGTATTTTTCGAATTTACTAATTTTCAAAATTTTTAACCGTACATTCAAACTTTGAAAATTACTTTCAGGGGACATAATCCACGTTTTTCAAAGAATCAATGATATCACTTTGTGAAGAACTTCCATATGCTTCAATTATTTTACAAGAACACGTTGAGGATTACTGTGCCAATTGTTTCAATGAGATCAGGTACACATTTGAACTCTAATCTTGAAATTATTATTATTTATAGTGACACAAGAATTCAATGTGATGATTGCCTCGAAGTAACATATTGTTCTTTAAAATGTCAAAGAACTGATTGGAAAAATGTGCATTGTTTGGAATGTCAAATTCTTCGCTCACAAAATCAACCACTAACACCAACAATGCGATTATCGATTCGAGTTTTATTGAAAACATTTGGATTTGAAAACATCGAAAATGAACCGAAAAGTTTTAATGGTGCAACATTTGACGAATTGGAGACAAGTTAGTACAATATCAATTTCTAGAAAAAATTATGTTTTCAGATTTTGATGAATATCGTTCAAGTAAGCAACATAATAGATTTCTCAATGATCTCATGGCTATTTTCCAAATCTCAGCAACATGTTAGTTTTTTCATCATCTGAATAACTTTAAACAAGAATATATTTTCAGCTCAACTATCTGCTATTTTTCAAAAAGTTGAAAAACGTCACATGATTGCAGTCATTTGTGCTGTTCTTGCAAATACTTTCAGTATTTATGACGATTTGAAATGCGAAAATATTGGAGTTGGAATTTATATTGGATTATCAAAACATAATCATGCGTGTTCTTCAAAAAATCATGTTGTTTTTGTGAAAAATCGAGCAATTTTAAGAGCACCGGAAGGAACAAAATATAATCAAGAGGTAAACATCTTAAAGTTTTTGAAATAAAATTTTAGTGTTTTCAGTTAACCATTTCTTATTGTTCTCGGATGCTTCCAACTTCGGAAAGACGAAAATCAATATCTCAAGTTCATTTTTTCAAATGTCAATGTGATCTGTGTTGTTCATCTACCGAAAATGAATTCCATTCACAAGAACTTTTCAAAAAGATTGAAAATACAAATGAACTTCGAAATCTTCAAAAATTACGCGAAGAATATTCTGAAGAACTTGATGTTGATAATTTGTTGATGTGTCATTTAATCGAAAAAATTGCACAATGTGCAATCAAATTACCATTGAAAGAAAGATTTCGAAATGAAGCAATTCTTGGAATCCAAGTTTATATGTAAGTTCGAAAAATGATTTTTCTAAAAGCAATGTTTTTTTTCAAAATAGAAATCGTCTCGGATTGGGAACTCCAGAAGTAACTCGACGACTTTATCTCGCATGTTTGATTCTCGAAAAATATGAAAATGGAGGAGAAATTTTCGAAAAAACATTGGAAAGTTGTGATTTGAGCCACGGAAAAAATCACCCGCTCACTGTCAAAATTTCCGGAATGATTAAAATATAATTTATCACTTTGTTTTGGCCAATCACAGATTATATAAAATTGCAAATTTTCAATATTTTCAATCGGCATCGGAGTCTGATTGATAATCAGCATATTCCGCTTCATTTATTCTGTTAGTTTTCATTGCTTGATCGAGAAGAGCAGCAACATCAGCATCCTGGAATTGAAAAAACACGTTTGAGAAAAAACGGAAGATGAAAATTGCACCTCCAAAATATCCGTTTAGCTACAAAATAGCAACGGATTTCTCAAAATTACCTTAGCTACATCAATTGGCAATTTATTGTCATTATTTTTAATGAATGGACTAGCTGATGCATCTAATAACATTTTGACACACTCTGAATGTCCTTTATAAGATGCAGCATGCAAAGGTGTATCTCCAAGTTTATTCTGAAAAATACCAATATTTTATTATTTTTCAAAATTGAATTCCAAACCTGTGATACAATTGAGCAATTCGGAACAGTTAATAAATGTTTAACAGCTTCAATGTGTCCACCATGAGCTGCCCAATATATTGGTGTACTTCCTGATTTATCCAAACTATTAACTGAAACTTGTTCTCGAATACATTCTTTCAACATTTCCATATTTCCACGTCGGGCTGCTTCATGTAAAGGATTCGGAAGTTCTTCAACATTTTCACTTACAACTAAAATATTCAGATTCAAATTTTCCGTTTTTCAGAATTTAATTTACCATAATTAGCTGGAACTAATCCTTTCTTTCCTCCAATACTTGCTGTATGCCAATCTTTATTTGGTGCTTGATCACTTACATATAACAAATCACCTTCCGAAAATGATAATTCCTGATCCTGAAAAAAAAACAATAAAAGTTTTATGTATTCATTTATTCGAATTACTTACAAATCTCGCTTGAAAATCATAAAGAGCACGATAAACCTTGACTCTTCCTGGTTTTGGAGCTGGAGGTGGTGGAGCACTTCTTGTTGCCATTCAGACGGAACCTTTATTTCATTAATTTGAATCAGTTTTTGTAAAAAAAAAGAAGATAACCGATAGGAAGCCATACAAAGGCCTATTTTTGTAGAAAATAACTATGCATATATTATAAACTTTGTTTGAAAAAAACAAGAATAAATAAATACAAGATGATGGAAGTTCAGCGGTATGTTTTAAAACATCAAATTATGTATAATAAAAAGTGATTGGTCCACAACGTTGCTCTCGAATTCTTTTAGTATGTCGAAGAGATGGAATTGCTTTAGCGAAACTGGGTCGAAGTTTTTCGGTAAGCATTGGTCGAATATCAGTATCCACAAAAAATAGACCAGTTGATAATTTTTTGGCTTTCATTTCCTGCAAAATTGACAATTAAAAATTATAGTGTCAAACATTTTTTACCAATTCTCTCCAACTGTCAACTTGTTCTTTTTCCTGTCTTGTCAATGTCTTCAGTGGTTTCGTGATTAGTTGATGTTTTTTCAACAAAAATGCATCGATTGTCAGAATTATCTAATTGAAAAAAAAAACTTTTGTTTTTTAAATATGAAAATGAAGTTATTTACCTCATTCATTGATTCTAATGTAAATCGACCAAGCATATATTTTGGAATTGTATTAAATTCCTGTAAAGTCAATGGTGCACACATTCGTTTAATTTTCTCTTCTTTTTCTTCATCATCTTCTTCGATTGCTTCATTTTCCTGTTTTTTATTTTCTTTATCTATCGGAACATTTTCAGATTTCTGTGAAGAAATATTCTCTTTTTCTCCTTCATAATGGATACCATCGATTTCAATTTTTAGCTGTTCGCACTCATCAAGAATGTGTTCAATTGTATTTATTTTTGCTTCTAATGGTCGGACTACTGTAAAAAATAAAAAGATTGAAGAAATAAGAAATATAACTTACATCCACTCCATTCTGGTAAATATGTTTCATATAATTGAAAACTATTAGTCATCGCAGCCCGTAGGTTTTCCATCGTTTTTTTTGTTAGCGAAAAAAAAATGAAAGTTTCAAAATAGTTCACGAGAAATACAGACAAGCACGCTGTTTGCAATAGAGCGCGCTTCCACATTTGTTTTTTTTTATTTTCTTTTCGCAAAAAATACAATATTTTAAAATGGATGATTATGATAGTTTTATCGATGAAGCCAGTAATGTATTAGAACTAATTGAAAATGGTGAAAATGTGAGTTGATTTGCAAAGGAAATATTTATTCAGAGCTTTTTTTCAGGTAGAAAACTTAACAAAAAAATTAGTGAGACATGCAGAATTAGTTGATCCAAGTACATGGCCAACAACAAGTGCAGATCCAATTATTTTATCTCAAATTCTTGCTGTAAGTTTTTTCTATAAAATTTTGAATTCCATTCAAATTTAAAATAAATATTTCAGAATCTTTCAACATTCCAATCTTCTTCATCCGACAAACCAAATCCACGTCGACGATCAAAACCTATTAACTTATTAGAAAATTACGTTCGGTTGTCCGATGAAAATGTCATAACGGACACAGGAAAAAGTGCAATATTCAAACCAATTTCAATTCTTATAATTCTAATAATTTTCCTCTTTTCATACTACTATTTTACATTACCTCCAAAATGTCCGAGACCAATTTGGTAATTATTTTTACTCGTAATAAATCTGTACATTTTTTGAATTGAATAACTTTATATGAACAAAATAAATTGGAAACAAAACAAATAATAATATGAAACCAGAGAGAACATGTATTTTAAGAGGTGGGGTATTTGGAGATAGATAGATGAGAACAGTATTTATTTACGAATCGTTTCGATAGGCTTTATATAATTTTTCAACAAGTTCATTCAATTTGCCGTTTGGGAATTGAAGTTTACTGAAATTAAATCTATTGAAATTTAAATATGAGTAATAATAATAAATAAACAATTCAAAACTTACAGTAATCCATAGTCACTGACTGGTGGGATTTCGGTTTTATCAATGATAATTTCAACTTCTTTGTAATCGTCATCGATTTCCATTTTGCTTCTTTTTCGCTTTTCTTTTCAATTTTCTCAATTTTTCAGCGATCGAAAAAGGTGGATCTATCTTGAAAACCTCGACTTCGCGTGATTCATCAATTTTCATATTTTTGTGTTGAATTTCACGAATTCCTGTCTGGACATTGAAAAAAATTTGGCATAAAAATTACTAACAAAAATATTTACCTTGATAGTTTTTCCACATCTATGAAAATGAGACGCTGCTCGATTTCCATTATGAGTTTGAAAATCACCACAAGTACAGAAATACATTTTCGAACCAAAAATAGCATTATCACAACCAAGTCTTTCCATTTGACTTCCACATGCAACTTCATCTTCAACTCGTCGACCTGAAAAAATATTTAATATTTATATTGTCAATCCGAAAATAAAAGAACCCCCGTTTGAATTGGCGCTCACGTACAGTAGACTAAAAATGACGTGACACATGCACATCAAACTGGTTGGCAAATAGCCAACGTGTAAATTTCGCATTTTATTTTTCAAATAGACTCCAAAATTTTGCGAAGTCTACTGTAGTCTTGGTTTCCTAGGCCATTTTGGTTCTCTTCCAAGGTTCTTTTTTTTTCGGAATGACAATAAGTATAATTTTTTTCTCTGAAACTATATACCTTCAAGGGTTTTGAAATAATTCTTTTCTAAGAATTGAATTTCAATTTTTTTGGGTAATAATGGTTTTCCTTGATTTTCGGTGACTTTTTTCTGAGTAATAACATGATGATTTCCAAGAGGAGAATGATCGTGTGTACGATGACGACTCAAATTCGTTAGATCAAAAAACGTTAATGCACATGATGAACAACGATATTGATCAGTATCTATAAAGAATATTAAAAGAATAAAAACAAAGTTCGAATAACTTACGTGTATGTGCTTTGATATGTTGAACAAAATCATCAGTGAACATAATTTCTCTTTCTCTTTGATTTGGACGAAATGGATAGTGTCGACAGCAAAATGGACATACTAATCCGCTGAAATTTATAATTTTTAGAGTATTTTCTAACAAATTGGTCAATAACTTTTAAATAAGATCTTTGCTTTATATGTTAAAAATATATGTTCTTTCAAATTTTCATTGCATACCTGAGTAAAATTTCCACAGTAAAAAATGAAGATAAATTTTCAAAATTCCTCACATACAAAAACATACATAAAATGGGTCCCCAGAATCGGGGTGATGGGCTTAACTTTTTTGAAAATCTGAAGGGAAGGGTGCCTAATTTGGCCAATTTTCTGCTGATAATTTACCAAAATTCCCAGATTTTGTCCAAAAATGTGAGGAAGGTGTTTAACTTTGGAAAATTTTCAAGGAGGGACCCTAACTTTGAAAACAGACTCGGGGGACCTATTTTATGTATGTACAAAAACCTCACTTTTTCTCTTGCCGACCGTTTTTACAGCGGTGTTGATCAAAAATTTCTGGAGTCCAAAATTTAAAATAATACAATTTTTTTTGAAAAACTACATTTTACTAGACCAACAGGCTGAGAAAACTTCATTAATAGTAGTCTTGAATTTTAAAATCGGAAAAATGACAGATCGAAAATTTTTTCATGAAACCTGAATTTTTTCAACTAATTGTAAGAAAATATTTTTTCTCCGGCAGGGATTTTTAAACAAAAAAAAGAAGTTTTTGCCTGTGTTCTTGAAATCGTCTAACATTATGAGAATTTGAATATTTCAAAAAGATTTTTCGAAAATTGCTCTGTCAGGTTTTGAATTTGATAAGGAATGATTTTTCGGCTGGGAAATCGATTCGATGAGATGGAACGAAACATTTTTATTCGAAAAATAACATATTTTTCAGAACTTCAGTCATTGTTGAAGTAAAATTTTCAAACTTGATCATCTTTTGGTAAGATATTGTGTCGTGTATTTTGTTTTGTAATAATTATTTTGATTAAAAAAAAACTAACTCTTCTGTGTGTTTCTCAGCATAATGATCGAAAAAAAATAAACGAATTGATGTTCGATAACTGCATTGTTTACATTGATATGGAGCATCATTTACAATATGATCAGTTCGAAGATGAACTTCTAATTGACTTGAAGATCTGAAATCTCTTTCACAAATATTGCAACAAGTTGAGTTTGGTTTGTGCGCATTCAAATGACAAGACAAAATGTGTTGTTGTTTCAAATAAACAGTTTTGAAAGAAGCAAAACAATATTGGCATGTTGTTAATTGTTTGAGGAACGAATCAGGCGGTGGATCGACTTTTTTATTACCACTGAAAGATTTTTGAATATAAATTAGAATTGAATTTGGTGGAATACTTACTTTGCATAGCGTAATTCGACTTCAGTTCGGCCTTTCGATTTTACAAATTCATTTGATTTTCTTCTAGAATCAGTCAAAACATGTTGCCAACAGTGATTGATAAATTCAACAGATCCTTTAACAACTTTATGACATGTATATCTATCATAAGTGCAAACAAATTTTCCACTTTTCGTTCTTTTAGCTTCTAAACATCTTATTGATCTTCTTTTTGGTTGACTTCCTTCATAAGCTTCAAATTGATAAGTTGAGGAGATTCTATCCAAAGGCACTGGTCTTTTCTGAAATTGATTTGTTAAATAAAATATATCAAAATTGAGAAACTTTACCAATGGTTGAAATCGCACACCAAGATCAACATTATTTCTGAATCGATTTATACGCGTATTTTGTGGAAGTGGAGGTGGGATTCTTTGTACTCGTTTAACTATTTTTGATGTTGAAGGTCTCAAATGATTTACTTGTTGAGATGTTTCAAGAATACTTCTTGGCAAAATATCATTTATATTTAATTGTTGACCTCCTTGGATTAAAACTGTTGCTGAAGTTGATTCGTAATCTTGATTTCTGCAATTTTCTATCATTAAACAAACTTTCATTGTATTTCATATTTTTGACTTACACATCATTTTTCGGTAATACTCCAACCATTTGAACTTCTTGATCTTCATCATCTGACAGAGTTATTATCTCTGTATCTGTCATTTTGAACTGAAAATATCAAAATAATAACGATATTTTAAAGGAGCGAAGACAAAAAGTGCGGTAGAGCAAAAATGTTGGTACGCGCATGAACACACAAATACTTTCACACACAAAAACGAGGGGAGGAGAAAAATCGATATTTTTTGAGTGTGTACGAGTGGAGGCGGGACTGGTTGTTGGACAGGCAAAAATCAAGAGAAATTCAGAATAAACCATGAAGGAAATCTAAATAGTAAAATACTAAGTGACGAAAAGATAGAGAGGATACATTTTGAGTTGCAAATCTAGGTCAAAAATATTTGATCTACTTAATTGCGCATGAAACATAGAAACATTAGAAGACTTAGAAGATAGCGAAAATTCAGAATTCTGATTTCTAGAAATATGTCTCATGGAGACAAAATGAATAATTAAAAAATTGAGAAAGTTCACGTCTAGACGTGTTTTTATCAATCTCGTTTGAAATGTAAATACACCAATCATTTTTCAGTTCTACGTGTTCCCAATCGGTCGGTTAAACAATGGATGTTGTGACGAAAAGAACTCCTAACAAAACTGAATGCTGGAAAACTTTTTGTAAGTTTTTTTTCATATTCGAGATTCTGCTTTTAAAAGTTTTGAAATGCTTTCAAAATTTTGTAAGCGAAGTTGTCTGATCAAAACACAACTGAGTAGCTGAAATCAATCAAATAATCAGTTAGGATACCGAGGCTATGATTCCCGTATCTGAGCTACAACAGTTTCTGAATTTTTTCCCACCTAGCTTTAGGACAATTATAGAGAAAAATATTCCGTGAGAAGAAACCTAGTCTCATAGAAAACAGATTCGAAAATGGGCTCATTTCAAAGAATTACTTCACTGATACCAAATTCACAGGCAGAAACCCAAAGTATCTAGATAGAGATATCTCATTGTCAGTAACAATGTTCGGCAAACCCTACGGGAGTTACAAAATCAGTTATATAAATCCTCAGAATCTCGTGAACTTTCAACAGATGCTAATCTGCTGCGCGAAAATGCTGAATCCCAAACACAAAAGAGGGACACACCCGCTCAAACAATGAAAAAATTAGCAAAATGCTGTTCTCATTGGCGTACCAATTTTAGCTACCTTAGAGGTCGTTATATGAAAAAATAAAAATACCATTAGAATCAGCGTCTCAAGATCTACATTAAACTATATTACTCATATTTTTAGGGGTCCTGAGAAGAAAGTTACGATTTGCGTCGAGACCACGCGGTTAAATAAATACGTGTCCCTTTAATCAGCAACGTAAATCAATGAAATAGTTGGCGTACCAATTTTCGTTAGGAAAACAGGCGTTAGAGAAAAATGAAAAATATCACGAGATTCAACGTGTCGAGATCTACATTAAACCATAAGATTCATAATTCCTAGGAGCCCAGGAAGGCCAGCTTTTCGAGACCCAATAAATTAATAAATGTATGTTCCTTTGAACGAACAAAACAGTGTGACTTTTCGAGAGACGCAGAGACGCAGTGTTTGCACACTTTTCGATTGCGTTCTACAGTAGAAAAACAGTCATTTCTCGTTTCAGCGGGGTGTGGGGAGTGAATAAACAAAAAAAAGTGTGCAAACACTTCCGATTCCACCAACATCGAACTTTACGCGCGCCACATACCGTATTCGTTGGGGAAATTCAAATAATATATACGAACTTTGGAGTTTTTCAAGTTTAAATGTTGCGATTTTCTCGGTGCTTTCTTTTCGTTTGATATTCGCTGTGGGACCCATTTTGAGAAAAACATAATTGAAAAGGAAGACACGCAGACAGATTTGGTAAATTTGCGCGCACCTGTTGCATGTTTACGGAACTGTACGCCTCAGCGTTTCGAAGACTACAGAAATACATGATTGTATATACATTTTACTTTAAGGAAATGTCCCATCACGAAATTGTTTGATTTGACCAAATTTCTCATATTCCTTTTTCTGTTCTCTCAGTCAATTACTATTTGTCGTATCCAGGTTTTTGTGAAATTTCTGTATTAGAAAAATTTAACTTTCCGTAGTCGTTAGTCTATTCAACAATTATTTTGGATTTTACTTGTAAAATCTCGTGAACTCGCGAAAATCATGCCTCACGAACAAAACACACGCCGCAAAACGGCAACCACGGACGCCGAGCGTTGCACAAATGCAGTTTATGCAACGCCCCCTTTTCAAATTTCTGTTTTTTCCGAGATAAAAATAATGCGGATCATAACGCATATTGCTTCTATAATCTTGACTTTTTCTTTGAAATTTTGTTGTTTTTTTCAGAGATGCATTTGTATAATTTAACTTTGCAACATCAAACTGCAATTAACCAAGCTGTTCATGGTAATTTTTCCGGGACGCCAAAATCTCAAGAAATTGTTGTTGGTCGTGGTTCGTCGATTGAATTATTAGTTTGTGATCCAACTACGGGAAAGATAAAAACAATTTGTCATCATGATGTATTTGGAATAATCAGATCTCTTTTATCTTTTCGATTAACAGGAGGAACACGAGGTAAGTATAGTATAAAGAATTTATATTTTGAAGTAAATAACTAATCTAAAAATTATTTAGATTACGTGGCTGTTGGATCAGATTCTGGTCGGATTGTTATTTTAGAATATAGTAGTGAGAAAAATGCGTTCGAAAGAGTTCATCAAGAAACTTTTGGAAAAACTGGATGTCGTCGAATTGTTCCTGGTCATTATTTAGCTGGAGATCCAAAAGGAAGAGCCATTATGATTGGAGCTGTTGAAAGACAAAAGTTAGTTTATATCATGAATAGAGATGCTGAAGCACATTTAACTATTTCATCTCCTCTCGAAGCACATAAACATTATACATTATGTTATGCAATTGTTGGAATTGATGTTGGTTTTGAAAATCCAACATTTGCTTGTCTTGAATACGATTATGAAGATTGTGACAATGATCCAACTGCAGTTTCTGTCAAAAAAACACAACAAACATTGACATTTTATGAATTGGATCTTGGTTTAAATCATGTTGTTCGTAAATACGCAGAACCTCTTCAAGATCCTGGTAATCTTTTGATTGCTGTTCCTGGAGGAAATGATGGACCATCTGGTGTTATTATTTGTTGTGAAGGTTATCTTGTTTATAAAAATCTTGGAGATCAGCCAGATATCAGATGCCCAATACCAAGAAGAAGAGTTAGTTTGTTTTTAGAAGAATTATAACAATCTATTTTCTTTTTTTTTCAGAATGATTTGGATGATCCAGATAGAACTTTGATGATTATTTGTTCAGCAACACACAAAACTAAATCAATGTTTTTCTTTTTGGTTCAAACTGAACAAGGTGATATTTTCAAAGTAACATTAGAAACAGACGATGATTTGGTTACTGAGATGAAGCTCAAATATTTTGACACCGTTCCACCAGCAAATTCTCTTTGTATTCTCAAAAGTGGATTTTTGTTTGTTGCAGCTGAATTTGGAAATCAGTGAGTTTTGTCATTCATAATTAGTTTTTCAATCAAGCGTGTATCTTTTCCAGTGAATTGTATCAAATTGCAAATTTGGGAGATGAAGAAGAAGATGAATTTTCATCAAGAACAACATTGGAAGAAGGAGAAACATTTTTCTATGGAATTCGTGAATTGAAGTGCCTTCTTCATATTGATACAATTGATAGTTTATGCCCATTAACTGATGCTGTGGTAAATAATATTTTCTAGAATAATTTATCTGAAATTTCTATATTTTTCCAGATTGGTGATGTTGCTAGAGAAGATGCTGCTCAGATTTATTCGCTTGTTGGTCGAGGGCCTCGTTCAAAATTGAAAGTATTAAGAAATGGTCTTGAAGTGAATGAAATGGCTGTTTCTGAATTGCCCGGAAATCCAAATTCTGTTTGGACAGTCAAGAAAAATGTGGAAGATCGATTCGATTCTTTCATTGTTGTTTCATTCGTTAATGCAACTCTTGTTTTGACAATTGGTGAAACTGTAGAAGAAGCAAGTGATTCTGGATTTTTGCCAACTTCGCCAACATTAGGATGTGGATCTATTGGAGATGATTCTTTGATACAAGTGAGTAGTTTTCATTGGAAGAAAATAAAAGAGAGAGGGGAATTTTTTAATTAGGAATTTGAAAACTCACATCGAAATCCTTGAATCAAAATATAAGCAATTTTTCAGGTTTATCCAGAAGGAATTCGTCACATCAAAGCTGATAAGCGTGTTAATGAATGGAAAACTCCCCCAAGAAGACAAATTGTGAAATGTGCAATGAATAGAAGACAAGTTGCAATTGCTATGACTGGTGGAGAAGTTGTTTATTTTGAATTGGATTTGGTAAGAGTTTCTAATTTTCTCAACTAGAATTATTTTATTTTTACAGAATAACACTTTGAACGAGTTTACCGAACGTAAATTATTCAATTCGGATGTTTCTTGTATTTCATTTAGTGAAATTGCGGAAGGAGAATTGAATTCGAGATTTTTGGCAATCGGAACTGTTGATAGTTCTGTTCGAATTATATCACTTGATCCAAATGATATGTTAATGCCTTTAAGTACACAAAACTTGCCATGTCCAGCTGAATCTCTTCTTTTAATTGATACTCCAAATGAAGATGGAAAAGGAGCTGCAACAATTCATTTGAATATTGGATTGCAAAATGGTTTCTTGTTCAGAAATACAGTTGATAATGTGACTGGAGCAATTATGGATACAAGAACAAGATATTTAGGAACAAGACCGGTCAAATTATTTAAGGTTCGTTTATTTTTTGAAAATAAAGTTAAGTTCGAGAATGAAAAATAAAACCATTATTTTTGTAGGTAATTTGTCAAGGAAGATCAGCTGTTTTATGCACATCTTCTCGTTCTTGGCTTCTTTATTATCATCAAAGACGATTTAATTTAACTCCTCTCAGTTATACAAATCTTGAATATGCAGCCAGTTTTAATTCAGAACAATGTGCTGAAGGAATTGTTGCGATTGCTGAAAATACACTTCGTATTATATCTGCTGATAAACTTGGTGTTGCATTTAATATTCAATCATTTAAACAAAAATACACGCCAAGAAAAGCAGTTGTTCATCCAAATGCATCTTCGATTATTACAATTGAAACTGATCATGCAAGTTATACTGAAACAACAAAAACAATGAAAAGAAATGAAATGGCTGATGTAAGTTGCTCTTTTTTTTCTTTTAATATTTTATACATGATGATTCGAACTATCATTTTAGATCTGAAAATGTCCACCTTTTAGTTCGAAATTTTGAATATCTAACTGGATAATTTACACATTTTTTTAATATTTGAAAACAATTTCTTTTTCAAAAACTCGAGATTTTCGGCAGAAATATAATTCTGCTCTTTTTGTTATTTTCATCCTCATCCAAAAAAACATATTTTTTCGTACACTCACCTTTGATTTTCGGGGTTTTACTTTTTGTTTAACCACTTTTGAGATTCATTCATATAGAAACAATAAATTTTATTTATTGAAAAAGTGCCCGATTTCTGAACATTTCTGCTAAATGAAAACGAAAATTATTTTCTCAAAATACACGTGACACTATTTTGCAATTTGGAGGTTCCATTTCTAAAAAATGTTTCTTGGATAAAAAATAAAGGTTTTGTACAAAGTTATTATATTTCAGGATATCGAGAGATTAGCAAATGATAATGAAGAAATGCAATTGGCAAAAGAAATTGCAGATGGATTGCGAACTAATATTCCAGATGAAACAACGTTTGGAGCACCAAAAGCATCGAAAGGAAAATGGGCATCGGCAGTCAGTTTGATCAATGTTCAATCTGGAGAGACTATGTCATTTTTTGAATTTCCACAGGATGAAAATGCTAAATGGTGAGATAAGAGGGAAATTGGAATGTTGATATGAAAACATACAATGTTGTGGTGTCAAAAAATAATGTATCAAGAATTCGTCAGAATAAAAAAAATTGAAAAATTATGAAACAGTTTTGGAAAATATTTCACTCTGGAATTGCACTTTCTAGTTGTCGTAATTAATATTTTTCACGACTAAAAAACTTTCACCTGTTGGCCTTTGAATCCTTACAAAAAATAATCTGGAATGAGCTCAAAACTTTTGAGGGGCTGGAACAATAGGAAGTTGATGGCCCAAAACGATTTGGGATTCACCAAAAAAAAACTTTACCAATTCCTGTGGATTTTAATTTTTAACTCATATTTTCAAGCCAAATTTATTTACAGTGTCGCTTTGGTTCAATTTGCTCGACATCCAGATTCAATAATGATATTAGTTGGTTGTGGAGTAAATGAGAGTTTACAACAATTCCAAACTTCAACAAATCCTCTAAAACCAGTCAAAGGATGTGTTTATACATTCCATTTATCACCAAACGGAGATCGATTTGATTTTCTTCATAGAACAGAAACACCATTAGTAAGATGATTTTATTTTATTTGTTTATTATGTTATTTTTTGCAGCCTGTTAGCGCTCTTCATGATTTTCGTGGAATGTCTCTTGTTGGATTTGGAAAATATCTTCGAATGTATGATATTGGACAGAAAAAATTGTTGGCAAAATGTGAAAACAAGGTTAGTTCTGTTTTTCTGCTTTTTCTCCTACTTCCTCTCTTTTTAGAAAATAGACTATATTTGGTTTATTTCCGACCAAAATTTATTTGCTCTTAAAAATGGGCACATATGTGTCTCTAGCAATTTGATTTGATTATATATGTGTATATTTATACATATATTTTTCGCCGCGCGCAAATTATGATCTTTCAAAATAATGTTTCTGAGAAGGAAGAAAAAGTAATAAGGAAATACATTTTATATTATTAAATTTCGTTTAATTTAATAATAGGCTCAAGTCAAAATTGACCATTAGTCATTGAAATATTTTTTATTTTTATTAGTCATATTTGAAAAAATGACTCACAATCAGACAATGATTAATTTATGAAAAAAGAAACAAACAATACGAAATGAAATGAAATTACCCGAAAAGTTTTGATCATCCACACGAAAAAATATAATTAATTAGTTAGTTAATTGGAGCAGTATGTTGGGTTGTTTGACTGTTTGCAGCTGTACTATTATAGCACATATTTGTAGTTGGAACTCGATTCACATTATTCGTACTTCTCATTGCAGTTGAATTATACGAATTGTTATTTGTATACTGAAATAATATTTGGTTTTTGAATATCAGAAAGACTATGAGTTCATTTTAACAGAAACCTCACAAATTTCTATTTTTATATCCATGTTTGACTATTTCAAAGAAGCCACTCACTATTTTTATATCAAATAAAATTTGCAAAAACACCCACCTTATGTGTTGGATGATTCAAATGATGACATGTTAAAAGACGTTTGAAACAAATTCGGAATTCTCGATTGAAAACTGTATAAATGACTGGATTGAGAGCACTATTCAAATAACCAAGCCAGAATAAAATACTCCAAACAACTGGAGGAGCATTGTATTGAAGACCATAAATCAATGAGAATCCTAACCAGCAAAAAATGAAACATCCAGTAACAATTGCTACTGTTTTTGCTGCTTTGATTTCCAAAGATAGTCGTTTTTCATATGCTCCCGCTGTTCGTTTTTTCTGTCCTCGTTTTATCAAAAAGTTTAATTTTGAAGCTATTCCTTTTTTCTTCGAAGTACCATCATTTAATTTTTCTTCATCACTAATACTTTTTGTCATCTCATTATTATTGTTGTTGTTATTTTGATTATTACTGAAATTCTCATCATTTTGAGAATCAGTTGAACTACTTCGGCTATTTTCCATAAGTGAACCAAGTTCTTCAACAGTTTTTTGACTTGAATTAAGTGCTGGCACACTGAAAAATGTAATTTACAAATATATTATTAATTTCCAAAACTAACCCATTCAATGAATCTTCAATTGATGATTCTGAAGATCTTCCATTTCGTTTATGTCTTGAAATAAGTGCTCGATTTGTAACTGTTTTTCCTAATGGTTCTTGTTGTTTTATTTTTGGACTTCTTGCATCAATTGGTTTATATGGTTTTGTTGGTGTTCCTGTTTGAACAATTGAAGAACCACGATGAACTCGAAGCATTGGCAAAGAATCTTTTGAAATAACATCCGGATGATTCAAAAGATAATTTTTTGGATTTTGTTTTTTGTTTGCTGCTGCTGTTACACTCATCATTCCAGAATATATACTTTTTGTTGCTGCTCTTGCTGCAATATATATTCGAAAATATACGAATACAACAATAATCATTGGAATATAAAAAGAACTTGAAGCTGAGAATATTATATAAGCACCACTTGCATTTTCTGGAGTACATCTGAAATTCATAATTGAATTTAACATTATTCCTTGGAAAAAAGAAAATATTTCTTACTTGCAACTTTTGCTCAAAGCATTGGGCATGAAAAAACTTGGTGAACAAATTATAAAACTACCAATCCAAACAATTGCGACTGTACATCTTGCACGAAATTTGGTGACTAACATTGGATAATTGAGTGGTTTTATAATAGCAATATATCTATCGATTGATATTGCAACCAAATTATAAATACTCGCCGTACACATCCAAATATCAAAAGTCAACCAAATTGTACACCAAGTTTCACCGAAAATCCAAAATTGATCCAAAACTTCGTTTGCAATACTGAATGGTAAAATAACAGTTCCTACTAATAAATCAGCTACAGCTAATGAAAGTATAAGTAAACCAGTTGCTGATCGAAGTCGACGACGTAATAAAACAGCAGCAATTACAAGTGCATTACCCAAAACAACAACAACAACCAATACTGTTAATACTGATATTATTGAAAATATTCGAAAAAAATGAGCATTGTTTGGATTTCGAGACCAATCATAAAATTCACATTTTGAAATGTTTGACTGATTTGTTGATTCATTATATATTGAACCCATTCCTATAATATCATTCGAGTTCGAATTTTCTGAAAACAACATTCGAATATTTTTTGATTAGGGCAAATGAAAAATGAGACGAAGAAGACAAAATAAAATGATATTTTAAAGCTCTCAAATAAAAAAGGGCTTCTTCTTCTTCTTCTTCTTCTTCTTCTTCTTTTCAGCAGCCGAAAATCAGGTTGCGCACACATATAAACATGGAGAAAAAAGGGAAAAAGAGGAGGACAAAATTGTGGGCGGAGCTTAGGGAAGAGAAAAAGACGGAGAAAAAAAGAAGAAGAAGAAGCACATCAATATATTTATAAATATATAGTTATCAACCCCTTCTTGTTTTTTTTTCGAGTCTCTGAGTTGAATTTAGAATTGAATTTTAAATGAGTAGGTGAGAATAAGGAAGAAAAAGAATAAACAAGAAGGAATCTTCGAAGAATTTTAAGAAAACAACAAACGGAAGGAAATTAGGCTCATAAGATGAGGAAAAACTAAAAGGAATAGAATCTATTGTCACGTTCCAAGTTTTGAGAAGAAAAACAAAAATAAGGATTAGAAGGGATAAAAGTTGGCTAATTAGAAACACAATATTTGAACTTGATGATTATTGGTTATTGAAAACTATGTTCAATTAAAATTCTAAGAAACTTCCGTTTCAAAATATTTCTAATGACGAAAAATTGTTTTTGCACTTGTCACAGAAAACATTTCGTGCTTTCCCATGAAAATAATCTGAAAATAGAGCCTAATGATTTTGAGAAGGAAGTTCGTTTTTTCATCTGATTTAATGTTGAAAGAAATATGAAATTGTGTTTTGAAAAAAACAGCTGAAAAGATTATGTTTGATAAGATTTTTCTACTTTTTGTACGGAATGAACTTTATTGATTCTTAAAAGAGTCAACGTATAACATTTTGAAAATTGAAAATAAATAAATAAAAAATGAATATGTCATTTTTGTTGTGAGAGCGGAAGAAAAGAAACAACACATCAAGCGGAAACACAAAATTTCCTCCACCAGAAATTGAAGAAATTAATAACATAGTATTATTAATGTGTCGAAATCAGAGCGAAGATTGTGTAGGAAGCAATTTGCTCATGATTTTCTATTTTCGAAAATCATGATTCAGAAAATAGATTGACCTCATAATATCCACATTTTTATAAGCTTTGCTGATTATCCTTGGGAACGTTTTACAATAAATAATCTGCTAACAAGTATTATTCTTTGGTGACTCGTAAAAGTTTTAGACTTTTTATAGCTCCTAGAACTCTTTTTGTCGTAAACAAATCAACGAAACGAAACAATTTGGATCGTAAAATTGGAGCAAAAGCCAATTGGAACCAATAAAAACGTGATGATTTTTTGTAAGAAAAAAAGAATGCGATTTTATGTACTCTTGACGAAAAACAGGAAGTTTGAAGAAAAGAGGGGAAAAAGTAACCTATTTATAGGGGAAAGTTGTTTTTTTTTTTTGGAAAACATGGAATAAGTGGGAACTCATCAATCATCTAAGATATTGTGGTTTGAGGAAAAAAGAAAAGAGAAAATAATTATTGGTTCGGCTGCAAAAATTTTTATTCTTGGAATTAAACGCTGGAGACTGCAGATTTTGAACTCTGCTTTTTTCTTAATTGAATCCACAGAAATCTGAGCTTATGATTTTGAGTTCTTAAGTAGCCGTGCCTAGAGAATTTGACTGTTAAGGACTCGCTTTTGGAGAGTCACTCTGGATAGTAGGAATATCCAGACATCAAATCTTCAAATGAGCTACTGTGGCTTGGTAGGCCGCCTTGATCATTTTCATGTGTCAAGTAGTCACACTTAGATAGTAGTAGTTTTTCATTTTGTCATGAATATTTTGCGGATTTCGTTTTCCAACTAGAAAATTTCCCAAAATATTTTTGGAATCCAATGAACTCAAAAAGATTTTTGTTGATCATAAGGTTAGAAATATCCGGAAGTAAAACAGACTTCCGGATATATTCTATTCATCGAAGCCAACAACAAAGATGAAGTTTACTCAAAATATATATTGGTTTCAAAACCTTTATTCTTTGTGTCAACTGAAAAATAAAAGAAGAAAAAATAAGGGAAAACCATTTTTGGTTCAATTTCTATTCGTCGTTTCATTCATCATTAATTAATTTATTTTTTAGTCAAAAAAAATAATTTCGAGTTATAAAGATGAATTTTGGTCCATGACATTTTGAAAAGAAAAGATACTCTGCTGAATGGAGGAAAATGTTGCGCATAGCAAAAAATGATGTTTAGATAGAGGAAAAAGAGTAATATAATGACCAGTGCAACAACTGTCAGTTTATATTATACACTCAATGTTTTTTGAGGGGTCTTCAGACTTTTGTGACTAACTGAAAGGCTCAAATTCTCCAACGAAAACAAGAAGAAATAGAAAAATAGAAAAAAGTCAGCTGCGACGGCGGATTTTTTGCTTTCTAACTCCTCCTAGATACAAATTAACTTGAATATTCATGTGATCGACGAACATTAGACAGGCACAACAAGAAAAAAAATGAACATGCCATAATTATGTTGTGAGTAGTGTAACAATAAAAAGTTCATTGGAAATGTTATTAATATTTTAGAACATGTACTATTATATACAAAAAATAAAAGAAATGGATATTACGAACTTGAATTAGTTGGGGAAAAGTGTTCAATACTTCAGAAAAACATATTTTAATTAGAAATATGAGAAAACGCTGATTGGAAAAGGTTATTTTATTTCCTTTTCCAAAAAGCGACCTTTTGCGAAATGCATACGTAACTTTTTATTGATTATAATCACCTGGAATATATTCTATTTCCGTATTTTTCGACAACCATAAACACATATGTAATAGTTTGTAAGAAAAATCGACATTTCCAACTTTTTTTCTCAAGTGTCACTCATTGGAAATTCAGAAAAAAAACGAAGAAGTCAGATGGGAAAAGGGTGCATGTTTTAAACGATGTTATATTTGAACGGAAACAATTTTGCGGTGGACTCCAATCTGAAAAATTGAGGCTCTGCTTGAATCTTGAAAATCTTTCTTTTTTGGCAACAAAAAAACACATACATAATGTGTTGGTTCACTCGCGCATAAAAAGTTTTTTTTCTCGCTACACACTTGAAAAAAATTGGGCTTCTTGTTCGGAAGAATAGAGTGAAATAGGGGAAAAAACGAAGATGTTTTGTGTTTTATAGAAAAAGAAGAAGAAAAAGAGTCGAACAAATACGAAAATCGAATTTAGATGTCACAGATCATTTTCCTGCCATTTGATTGAAAATTTAATAAACGAGGAAAAAACGAAGACAGAACATAAAACTAAAGAAATTTGAGAAGAAAGCTGAAAGTAACAAGATATAAAAAGCTAATTTAAACTTGAAAAACACACATTGAGAAAGCAAAGATGTGTGTTTTTCTATCAATCACAATATTATATTTCTGAACCAACCAGGTTGAAATCAAAAATTCAATTATTGTGAAAAAACACATACAAACATAACATGTTCTGTGAAAAACAAAAAAAAAGTGGAACAGAAAAACAATAATCTCAGTGGGAGTTTTTAAAGTGCATAACTATTTATGTTTTTTTTTCCTTATTGTTCTTTTTTCTCTTGAAAGCGTTTGAATAGATGTTGGATGGAAGAAGAAGAAGAAGAATGCGGAAAAATAGAATCCAATTATCTGCTTTGGCACAGAAGGAAAAAATGAGGAACGCGCTTAATGACAAAAACGAAAAAAAAACACACCAAATTTAATTTTTGATCTTGGATCAAATTGAATTTCGAAGTTTTTGTCAGAGATAGAAAGAGAGATAGGATGGTAAAAAGAAAAAGTTATGTTGAATATTCTAACAGATCTATGAGCTATGAACGGCAAAATAGGTTGTACGCACATATGATTGATGGTTGAAACCAAATTTGTTTGATGTTTCTTGGTGAATTTTAATCATATGTAATTATTAATTAATTAATTAAAAAGTGGAAAGAAAAGATCGTAAAATGAGTCAGAAAAAGAAGAAAGTGAGAAAAAAGTAATTCGTATCATATTTCTATTTCTCTCATCAAAATTGTAAATATTTGTCCAAATAATTTTTGATTTATGATCAACTTGTTCCAAGATTCATAGACAGCTTATTAATTTTTGAAAAATCGTAGTTATATAACTACAAAAAGTTTGTAGTTCTTTGAAGTAAGACGTAGTTAGTTGTTTATGAATGAATCATTAAGAGTGTGTGGGAGTGGAGACACCTTTTTTGTTCGATGATATAGGAGAAATACCTTTTCACCTTTTTCATGAATTCACCGCCGCCGTAAAAAAAGATGAAATGAGACGAGAATTGTTGTTTTGTCAAAGAGAAAAACGAGAAATTGAATGAATAAATGAAATGGATTTGTAAATTGGACCACTATTTTTTGGAAGAAGGAAATGAAGAAAGACAAATTTACGTGCAAAGAATTTATCTGGATTTTTCTTTTTTGAGAAAGAAATTCGAGACAATAAAAAATGCACTTTTTTAATCTGAACAGAAATGTTTTTCTGCGAAAGTGTGAAATCCTGCTCCGCAGTTAATCCAATTTCAAATCAGACATTTCTTTTCAAAAATACAAGAATAGACTTCACCCTCAAATATAAATTTGTTTTCTGCCTACGTATAAAAATGCCCAGAATTTTATTACAAGAGCTAACGCAAAGATTTTCAATATATCGCAGAAATATTTAGTGCCAAATTGAGTGGAAAAAAAAACTTGTGATGCCCATTAAAAGACCTTGGAATAAATTCTATTCTTTATTTTTTTTTTGGTAAAGTAACCAAAAAATGAAAGATTAGGGATTAAATAATTTTCTATTTTTCTTTTTTTTTTCAGCAATTCCCTGTCAATATTGTCAATATTCAATCAACTGGTCAACGAATAATTGTATCTGATAGTCAAGAATCAGTTCATTTCTTGAGATATCGTAAAAGGGTCAGTTTTATTTATAGAAAATGTTGTTTTTGGCAAAAAACATGGTTTTGAAAAGAAACTTTTGTTGTGAAAAAATGTAGTTCTCTGTAAAAAGAAATGTTTTTTAAGGATAATCAATTGGTTATTTTTGCGGATGATACAACACCAAGATATGTTACATGTGTTTGTGTTTTGGATTATCATACTGTAGCAATTGGCGACAAATTTGGAAACTTGGCAGTGGTAAGTTTTCAAATACATTATGAAATTAACAAAAACTTGAACTATGATGTGGATTTCATTTTTTTTTCTTGAAAATTGAATCTATTTTGGCTGAAAACGTTTTCTTCGTTTAAGCCCATTTTTTGGTATAAAGTTGGGAGAATATATGGTTTTGAGATGACTAAAATCCCGATTGAAATAAAAATGTAATTTTTTGAATCACTTCATTCTCATTTCCCACTAAAAGCATTTTTGCAGGTTCGTTTGCCAGAAAAAGTAAATGAAGATGTTCAAGAAGATCCGACAGCATCGAAATCATTTTGGGATCGCGGATGGTTGAATGGCGCATGTCAAAAAGTTGATCTTGTTGCTAATTTCTTCATTGGTGATATGATTACAAGTTTGCAAAAAACTGCATTGGTTCCTGGAGCAAATGAAGCATTGGTTTATACAACAATTGGAGGATCTATTGGATGTTTGGTTGGATTTATGTCCAAAGATGTAAGATTGTTTTTAAATAATTTAATATTTTAATAATTTAATATTCAATATTATTTTTAGGAAGTTGATTTCTTCACAAATCTTGAAATGCACATTCGAAGCGAATTTCCACCATTATGCGGAAGAGATCATTTATCTTATAGATCTTATTATGCACCATGTAAAAGTGTTATTGATGGAGATATTTGTGAACAATTTAGTTTGATGGATTCGCAAAAACAAAGAGATGTTGCAGAAGAATTGGGAAAAACTGTTAGCGAGGTAATTTAAAGATATTGATCTGGCCTTGAGACTATTTTTGTTTTTTTTTCAGATTTCAAAGAAACTTGACGATATCCGAACAAGATATGCTTTTTAAATTCAAATCATTTCAATTTTGGTCTCATTTTTTTGATTGTTGAATATTTATTTATTTTATCCGTTTTTTTGTTGAATTATATTTTTTCGAACTTTTTTTTCCAAATAAAGAACAATTTTCTTCAACATCAAAGAAAAATTAATATAACAAGATAATAGATAAGATGTTGTAATGGCGTGATAGAACTGTGTTGTTCCCTCTCCTACTGTCTCGGCAGGAGTTTTTAATGACCATGATAGAAACAGAGAAACCGCAGAAAACAGCTAGGCTCTCTCTTATGAGAGGCGCAGAGATGTTGATTTTGCCACGTTGAAATCGAAAGATGGGCGGAGCCATCAGAAATTGTATAAAAGGCGAACGGTGCGATGTAAACTTCGCCGTAGAAATACGGAAAAAGCGATGGAGAGCCTTGGGCTTGTCATTTTCAACGGAAAATAGTGACAATATGTGGATCTATAAAAATTTTTGAAAAAAACAACTTGGTTTTCCAGGTGTTTCAATATAATATGAAAATTCTTAAACAGTGTGTATCATTTTGACAATTTATAATTCCAAACATTTGAAATGAGTCAAAAATACTTGCGCCAAATCACGAAAACCTCATTTTTTGTTTGAAATTCATTTTTTAGGAGGAAAATTTCAAAAAACTCGTCGATCGTGACGAGACCTTGTGCGAAAAATCGGTGCGCCTTTACTTTTCGTTTTCAAATTTTCGAATTTCTCCCGTTGTTTTTTGAGTTTCCTCTCGAAAATAATGGGTGTTTTGGGACATATTTGAGTTTTTATGAAATTTATGTGACGAGACTTTTTGGCGTACTCTCGAGTAATGTAGTTTTGCTCGGTTTTATTGAAGATTTTAGGGGATTTTCATAATTTTACATATTTTAGGATTTTTGTTATTCTCTCTTATTTTCTATTGGGAAGCTAATAAATCCCAATGAATCAGAGTTTTTTGTAGGTAAAAAATTCACAATGGCCAACTCCAAGCCAGCATACAAAGTCGCCGATATCAAGCTCGCCGAGTTCGGACGCAAAGAAATCACTCTTGCCGAGAATGAAATGCCGGGACTCATGGCTATGCGTGCCAAATACGGACCATCTCAACCACTCAAGGGAGCCAGAATTGCTGGATGTCTCCACATGACCATCCAAACCGCTGTTCTTATCGAGACCCTTACTGCTCTCGGAGCTCAGGTTAGTTCTAACAATAAACATAGAGGTTATCACTTTTTCGAGAGAGAGAGTGTAGCAAATTTTCAAGGCCAGTCTTATCTTTTGCACTTATCTTTGAAATTTCGTAGAAATTTGAAGATTCATTGATAAGATTGGACATAAAATGGGATAATTTTTTGGTCTAATGTATTAAGTGATTTCTGCAATTTCGAACCTTTGATTTTTAGGTCCAATGGTCTTCATGCAACATCTTCTCCACCCAAGATCACGCTGCTGCCGCTATCGCCGCCACCGGTGTTCCAGTTTATGCCTGGAAAGGAGAGACCGATGAGGAATACGAATGGTGCATTGAGCAAACCATCGTTTTCGCTGATGGTCAACCATTGAACATGATCCTTGATGATGGAGGTGATTTGACCAACATTGTTCACGCCAAATACCAACAATACATTCCTGGAATCCGCGGACTCTCAGAGGAAACCACCACTGGAGTTCACAATTTGGCCAAGATGTTGGCTAAGGGAGATCTTAAGATCCCAGCAATCAATGTCAACGACTCGGTCACCAAATCCAAATTCGACAACTTGTACGGAATCCGCGAGTCACTTCCAGACGGTATCAAGAGAGCCACTGATGTTATGTTGGCCGGAAAGGTCTCAGTTGTTGCTGGATACGGAGATGTTGGAAAGGGATCAGCTGCTTCATTGAAGGCTTTCGGTTCCCGTGTTATTGTCACTGAAATCGATCCAATCAATGCTCTTCAAGCTGCTATGGAAGGATACGAAGTTACCACTTTGGAAGAGGCTGCACCAAAGGCCAACATCATTGTTACCACAACTGGATGCAAAGATATTGTCACCGGAAAACACTTCGAACTTTTGCCAAATGACGCTATTGTTTGTAACGTCGGACACTTCGATTGTGAAATTGATGTTAAATGGCTCAACGCCAATGCCACCAAAAAAGACACCATCAAGCCACAAGTAAGTTGATCATCATATTTTTTCATTCAATCTAATATGTTTAGGTCGACCGTTACACTCTTGCCAACGGACGTCACGTTATTCTTCTTGCTGAAGGACGTCTTGTCAACCTTGGATGTGCCACTGGACATCCATCATTCGTTATGTCCAACTCTTTCACCAACCAAGTTTTGGCTCAAGTTGAATTGTGGACCAAATACGGAACAGCTGATCAATACAAAATTGGACTTTTCGTTTTGCCAAAAACTTTGGATGAAGAAGTCGCTTCATTGCATTTGGAGAAACTCGGAGTCAAATTGACAAAATTGACCACCGACCAAGCCGCATATTTGGGAGTCCCAATTTCTGGACCATTCAAACCAGAAGCATACAGATATTAATTAGATCTAAATATTTCGTGTCATGATTATCCATTTTTTTTCTTCATTGAATTGCTTCCTATCTTCCCGTGCCTTCCCTTTTCTCTTCCCCTCTTCATTGATCTTTTCACATTGTTTTATCTGTTATTCGAATGAAATCGTTCACAAAAAAATAACTGGTCCGTTTTAAAAAAGACGTCGAAACTCCCATTTTCAAATATTTATTCAGTGAAGAAAGTTCGCTCTATCGAAAGCAGATGATTTTTCTTATTCTTTTTTTTTTTACTTTTTTTAACACACGCTTGAGTGGGTTAATAATTATACTTATCAGTTTTTTCTCGATAGAAAGAGTTGTATATTCGCAATGCCGCCAAGAGAAATTGAGCCGACTCCGAATGCCTCTTGGGCTTCGCTTATAAATCACGCTAAAATCACTCGGAATGAGGTAAGATTCGGAGAGTTATTGAAATATTTAGATATTTTATTTTTCAACAGTGAAAATTGTGACATTTCGGGTTATTTGTTGAAATTATTATTCTCAAAATCTTATTTACACTGTAGATTTTCTGTTTAAAAAATAAACAAACATTTTTAAGATAAAAATATCTAGTGTAAAGTTTCCCCTCAATTTTTAATATTTTCTTTCAGATAAGAACGGCTCTTCAACAAAATTTCTGTAAAACAGCAATTGTCATGACTAACGATGGGTGTAAAATGTAAGGAATTATTCAAGTTTTTCAAAATAATTTACATATTTATTCAGATTTTCTCTTGGCAGTACACTAAATCAAACAAATCAAACATTACTATCAGTTGACATTCCCATTCACATTCTTTCTCCTCAAAATAAGAGTACAACTCACACTCAGAATTCATATGCAGAAATTGCTGAACTAAAATTACAACCTGTTTTCAAGCAAGATCCATTCAGGTAACTTATTTTTGTTTGGGTAAAATCAGATGATAAAACAAAACATTAATTTATAGAGTTACTGCTCCATCGGCTGAATTTTCACTTATGTGCGAACGTCAAAGATCAAATGTAGTTAATGGTTTAACAGAATATCATATTCAAGATGGAAATATGCTTTTGCTTGCTGGAGATCAAGTTTATAAGTTAGTTCGAAATATTTTCTTTTCTATGTATTTGTTTGCAGATATTGTTCAAATTCGAACGATTTAACAACAATTCCAATTGGAAAATGTACATCAACACAAACAATTCAAATGGAAGTTGAAACAATTCATGGATGTTCAAATCAAACACCTCCTCCAACAACATCAAATATGAGACAATCCGAACCATCATCTTCTTCAAACTATGTTTCTGATGCGAAAATCTGTCCAATTAACAGCAATTTAATTGCTTATGTTTTAAACAAACAAGTATTTATCGAACATAACGGTGAATTGTTATTTTCAACAAAATCATCTGGCGAACATATATCAAATGGTGTTCCACCATATATTTGTATGGAAGAATTGGAAAGATTTGAAGGTATTTGGTGGAGCAAATCAACTCAAAGATTATTATACGAACAAGTTGATGAAACAGTTGTTGAAGAAGTTACATTTGTGATAAATGGAAGTAAACCACCAGCACCAATGAAATATCCACGTGCTGGAACTGGAAATGCAACAAGTACTTTACGAATGATTATAATCAATGATAAAAATCAAGTGAGTTGGAATTAAAAAGTAAAGTAATTTCAAATTGATTTTGAAAATGTTTAGGTCGTCGATGTTGGTTTGAAAGTCGATTTGAAAACAATTTACCCATCATTTGAATATATAACAAGAGCTGGTTTCTTTGCTGATGGAAAAACTGTTTGGGTTCAATTAATGAATCGATCACAAAGAGAATGTGTACTTGTATTGATTCCAGAAACGGATTTCAATATTCCAAATGAAGTACTTTTATATCAAGACAAAGCAGCATTTAGTCCAATATATTCCTCAACAAAATACGTGTCAAACAATGACTGTGATTATGGTACTTGGGTTTCACCTGCTGGTGTGATTCTTCAAAATTCAACAATTGTTCATAAAGTCACATCTGATCATTGGGTTAATGTTAACAATGCAATTGTTCCACTATCTTTCGACAATGTTCAAAATCCAATTTATCGATTCACTTATTGTATTGAACAACCATTTGGAAGTCAATTAAATTTGATTAGCGCCAAAATCGATCGAACTGGAAGTATTGAAAATCATGTACAACCATTGATGGAAGCTGATCATTCAATTTGTAAATCAATTCAAGTAAAAGTTGATGAAAAAAGAAAATTGGTTTATTATGTTGCAAATGAATCTCATCCGACAGAATGGAATGTGTAAGTTTTTAAATTAAAATTCAGGAGAATGAGTTAAAATTTCAAAAAAAAAATATAATAATTACAGATGTGTTTCGAGTTATGCTTCTCAAACAATTAATTCCAAACGTTTAACCGAAAAGGGATTATCATTTCGATATGAAAGATCAAATTCGAATCTCGCCGTTGATTTTGATATTGGATTTGTATGTTGGATTACTTCTTGCAAAAAACCACATGCATGTAGATTTTACGCGTTTCGTTATAATAAAAATCATAATGGAGTATGTTTGCCTGATGCGACTTATGTTGCTGAAATTTCGATTCCTGGATCACCGGATCCACGTGCACTTGTTCCACGAGAACAACCTGAAATACATGCTTATTCATCACCAATAACAGGAGTTACTCACTATGCAATGGTTTTGAAACCAGATAATTTTAATGCTAACAAGAAATATCCAGTTTTACATTATGTTTATGGTGGCCCTGGAATCCAAATTGTTCACAACGATTTTTTAACGTTTGTTATTCAATTTTTGATTTAATTAGTTTAATATCATATTTTTCAGATGGGTTCCATTTATCAAATATACAAGACTTGGATATATTGTTGTAATGATTGATAATCGTGGATCAGCAAATCGTGGAGAGGATTTTGAAAAACAAATTAGTATGACATTAGGAAGTGTCGAATTAACAGATCAAATAGAAGGAATTACTATTTTGAATGAATTAATTGGTAATTGCATGGATATGGATCGAGTTATAGTTCACGGTTGGTCGTATGGTGGATATATGGCATTGCTTATGTTAGCTCATCATCCAGAAATTTATAAAGGAGCTATTGCTGGTGGAGCTGTTACCGATTGGAAATTTTATGATACCGCTTATACTGAAAGGTAATTATTTCAAAGTTTGCTGCTTACCTTTAATTTTTTAAATTTTTACCGTAGATCAAAAGAATCTTCATCTTGTTTTTTGTTTTTTGTTAGACTGATATGACATTCTGCGATTTTATTTTTCAATAATTAATTGAAAGCCTGTTTTTCACACCTAATTAGACATTGAATTAATTTTGTTGACATATATTAATTAATTAATTGATAAAAATTAAAACCTGTTAAAAAAAATAAATTTTTCTAGATATATGGGATATCCAGTCCATGATCCATTGTATTATCAAAGTTCAATTCTTCGTCTTGTCGATCGATTGCCAAATGAGTAAGTTCGCAAAAAAATATTTGAGATTTTAAAATGCTGAATGTTGATTTTTTCAGACCTAATCGATTGATGATTATTCATGGTCTTTTGGATGAAAATGTTCACTTTTCACATTGCTCGCAATTGATTGATTTTTGTAATCATCGTGGTAAAGCATATGATCTTTTGGTAAGTTTAACATTTTTTATTTCACAAATTTTTTGTTTTGTTTTAAAATCTACGTCACTTTGAAAAAACATCTAAAAATCGAGCGAATTTCACTGAATAGTGATTTTTGCAAATAAAATAATACATTTTCAAAAAGTTCCAACCTTTCATTTATATTCCAATTTAATTTTTCAGATTTTCCCTCACGAAAGACACGGAATTCGAAACGCAGAATCAGCTGCGTATATGGATGCCAGAATGATGTTTTTCATGCAAAAGTCCTTAAATGAACCTGAACCGTCTGAATGGTAGTTTTCAATTCAATAAATTCTTTTTTCAAAACGAGAAATGATTTCTGAACACGTTCTTATATTTTTAATCACATATTATTAATCTGACCCAGATACATAAGATAACAATCAAATATGTCCTTTCTTTTCATTTTTATTATAAATAATAATATTCAAGGCTACCGTAATCATGTAGGCGGAGTTATTATAAGATAACGAGAAATTGTATAAAAGAGATCCCGAATATTCATATTTTTTGTGTCTCTTATCGAGAAATAATGGACGTGAAAGAAGAAACTGAACAACATCGCTATATGCGAAAAGTTGCCTTTTCGGCAATTGTTTTGTCAACTGCGGCTGTTGTAACATGTATGATTACTTTGCCACTTTTGTATGGTTATATCCAACAATTGCAATCTGAAATTACTCTTGAAACTGGTTTCTGTGCGGTTAGTTTTTTTATTTGAAAATTATCTATTTCTTATTTTCCAAATTTCAATTTTAGATGCGTTCTCGTGACATGTTGGTTCAACTCTACAAAACAGCTCCATCTTCTCGTGTTAAACGTGCTTGGCAATTTGGATCATGGGTTCAAGATTCGGGTGTTGGAGGAGGAGCTGCTGGAGGATATGGCGGTGGTAATGATTATGCGCCAGCTCCATCAAACGGATATGGACCAGTTGTAAATGCTGAACCAGAACCACAATGTTGTACTTGTCAACAAGGAAAAGCTGGACCACCAGGACCACCAGGAGATGATGGAAATGACGGAAAAGACGGAGAAGCTGGAAATAACGCACAAAATGGAAAAGATGGAGGAGTTGCACCATCTGAAGGATTACAATCCGAACCATGTGTTATTTGTCCACCAGGAGCACAAGGAGCTGTTGGATCTCCAGGAGCTAAAGGGCCACAAGGACCACGTGGATCACCAGGATTGTCTGGAGTTGATGGAAGAAGAGGAGAACCAGGAATGTCTGGACCAGCTGGAACACAAGGAGAACCAGGACCACAAGGACCAGTTGGAAAGAAAGGAGAAGATGGAAGAGTTATTAATGTTAATGGACCACCAGGGCCACCAGGAGCACCAGGAGCACAAGGAAGAAAAGGAGAAAGAGGACCAAAAGGAGTTCCAGGAAGTGTTCATCCAGGAGTTCAAGGACCACAAGGAGACAAAGGAAGAAAAGGAAGAGCTGGAAGAAAAGGAGAAGTTGGAGGACAAGGACCAATTGGATCAAAGGGACCAAATGGAGATTGTTTCCATTGTCCAACACCAAGAACTCCACCAGGTTATTAATTCTCTTGAGTTTCTTGATCATAAATTATTTATTTTCATCTGTTTTTTCTATTGTGACAAAATTGAAACTAGAAAAATTAGATTTTCTTTGAATAGAAAAGTTTCAGATAAATTTATCCAATAGAAAATTTAAAAGTTTCAGACAATTATTTTTAAAAGTCAGTTAGCCACTCAAAAATTTAATTTTCATTAAAACAGTTTTTAAAAAATGTCAGATCTTGGTATTTTTTGAAAATAAATTACAGTAATTTCCAATTAGTTTAATTAATTTCAGAACTCGATTAGAAATATCTTCAGGATATATTGCCTAGGGGATGTTAGCCCCCAGGCGGGACTGTCTCCTTCAATTGTAAGACATTTTTTCTCTCATTAGAATTTTTGAAAAAAATCAGGAATGGGTCCTAATTAGGGTGAATACCTCGAGGTGTTTTTCGAGTTACGTCAATTTGTGATATCTGCGTCGAATGCGGGACCATTGAAAAAATGACGATTTTTGAATGCAAGTTTCTACTCTAGTTTGTCTTAATTTTGAAAATCACTTGATTCAGTAATACGCAGCACATAATTTCGCGTTTTTCAAAAAAAAAAGAAGACATTGTAAATTGATGAATGAGAAGCTGAAAACTTTTAATTTTAGTTTTTTCGATTTTTTGAAACTCCACGGAAGCGTATTTTGGTCCAAAATGAACGTAGCGAAATGCTTTTTTCTCAAAATATAGCGTTTGGCGTGTACAGAAAATCAAAGAAAATTACTAGAAGTCGCTATGTCCACTTTTAAGATGAGATATAATATGATATTATATCTGGAAGATAATGTGAAATTTAAAAAATCGGCGTTTACGAGAAAAACCAGGCGCTTTCGTAAGCAATTATTTTTTCGTCAGACTCAAAAAATATTATTATAAAAATACTTATCAATCCATTTCTTAAATGAACCATTGCAGCTGACGACGTTGATGTGGAATAATGCATTTTTCTCGATTTTTTGTTTGATTTGGTCAAATTGCTTAGGCGCAGGCTTGAAGACTGCGCCTATTTGGGCTTATGTTTGATAGAAAAAAAAATTTTTTCCAGAAAAAACATATATTAATATTTTCTTCTGAACCCTATGGGTCGGTGTAAAAAAACGTAGTACTCAAAATTTCAGATAAGCTTGGAAAAAAAGTTTTATGGTACGTCAAAAATCATTTTTTCAAAAACGCGGATCGCCATAACTCATTCAACCTTTTGCATTGCTCATCTAATAAATTGATTAATCCGATCGGTCTTTCAATTAAATCAATTGTTCGTTGATTGTCGTAATGATCAACTTGAATATATTCAATTTCTTCTCTCGCATATTCTTCTTGAACTTGTTTGAAAACATATTCATTGTATTGTTGATGCAATTTTTCATTGGCATAATTAATGCAAAACTGTTCAAACGAATTGATTTGAAAAATTTCAAAGCCATAAATATCTAATATTCCAATTGTAGTTGCCGTCGAAGTTGTGTTGATACTTTTGTTCAGAGCTTCGTTTCTTTGTTCAATCAAATAATTGAACAATTTACAATAAACAAGTTTTGTGAGAGCATCTCTTGATCGAATAGCTTCATCCAATGTCAACCGTTTTGTCTTTCACAACTGGATGATGTCTTCTGTTTTTCCAGATCCTGACTCCCCTAAACAAACAATCGACTGTGATTTCGAAAAATTTCGCAAATTGTAATGTGCTTCTTCCGTAATCGCATAAATATGAGGAGGACTTCTTTCACGAACTGTTCTCCCAGCTCCTTGATATAAACGCATAATTTTTTCGGGTTTTCAGGTTTTTCATTGGAAAAGGTTCTGTTTTTACCCATGTGTCCATTGCAGCAGTTTGTTCTTTAGTGGGTCGACGTGAGCAATTAATATATTTCCACAATATATATATATATGTTTGTTTTTGTTCAGAAAAGCGAAATTTAATCATGTTTAGTAAATCTGCTTCGTGAGTTAAACCTTCAATGTCTCTTTTTCCATAAACAATATCTGGATTTTGGAGAATAGGTAGTTGTTCCAACGATGTTATTTGGATATCTTTAGTCTGTAGAAATAGTTATTCTTTTTTCATTTTGCTGCTTGTGGTGCTTTACAAACTTACCGAATTATCCGGCAGTTTCACTTTCACAATTTTGGTATTTTCATCAATAGTATTCAACAGTATTCCTTCAACATAAACATTGATTTCGTGAGGAATCCATATTTTCGCTCCTATCTAAAAAACTTTGAAAATAATACGATGAAAATGTTATCGATTTTGGGCAAGAATTACGTCCTTCAAAAATATATCGAAAACTTACACGATAATTTTGCAGGATGTTTGAGGAGTCCATCGAAAATCTTGCAAATTCAAACTGGTGCAAATTCGAACTGGGCTGTCTTATTTTGCAAAGTCTGCAGAATTCTTTCTAGAAAGAGGAAAAAAGTGAGAGAGTGGCGCGCTCTCTCGCCGGCGAGACAACTGCGGAATTATCAACGGGGCGACGTTTCATTTTCAGTTTTTTCTTCTTTTTTTCGAAAACCGCCTATTCGGTTTTTCTTGTTTTTTCCGGAGTTTTTGATATAACGAAAATCGATTTTGATATTTTCAATTGGAAACTTATGAGTGGGAGTAGTGCAGCTCCCAGTATCAGCCCCATGTATGATTTCAAACCACTTTTCAACGAAATCCGCATTTTTGAACCTATTTGACGAATATTTCTATTCCTTCGCTTTTTATACTAGACACATTTGGTTTCATTTCATTTCATTTTCAGATTGACGAGCCGAAAGATAAACAAATAGCAATATTTTCAAGGTAATGTTAACATTTTTTGAAAAAAATGAATAGAAAGAAATGATGCCTTTTTTTCTCGTTGTCGACGTCAATGTAAAAAATTCACGTTACGTTCGAAATTATTGTTTTCAGAGCATTTTGGTACGAAATTTTTACTTTTTTTTTCTGTTCATTTTAGTGCTAACACATAGAAAAAATAAAACATTTTTCTTTTTTCACGCGAAATTGCGGACTCATTGTTCTGACCGCGTGAAGACACACGACTCCGCCCTCTTTTTATTTTCAAAATTTGCAATTTTGCGGCGCACTCTCTAAATTTCAATGGAAAAAAAGAACGAAATTTCTTTGACACGTGGAAAAACGTGAAAACGAGACGGGCTTTTTTCGAGTCTGCAAACACCGCACAGCAGCAAAAATTGTTCTATTTTTTCTATGTGTGCTAACTTTACAACCACAGTTTGGCTTATGTTTTATTAGAACTTCTTGTTTTTTGTGAAGTCTTCAGTTTGAAGAAAAAAACACTGCAAGTCAGACTAAAGAGCTTCTGCGATGTTCAGTTTTTCAAAGGTTAAAAATGGGTTTTCAGAAAATCCCGACGGCTACATGATCGACATTTATCGCGAATGGACACGCGTCTTCAGAAACATTCAAAATTTCGTCGAAAATGGTGTGGAAAATTGCGATTTTTGACACCAAACATGCTCATATTTTTTGGCCTAACGTTTTAGCTAAGCCTAACCCTAATCAACCATCCTGGATTTTAGTAAGATCTTCGAAGCATTAGAAGGTGACACTGGAAACATCGAATTTTTTGTAAAATCTCAAAACTTGTTGAAAATCATAAGAAAATTTGAAAATTTTCATTTTTACACGGAAATCAATGCATTTTTCATTTTTAATAATCATCCTGGCCTTCAGCAAGATCTTCGAAGCATCAGAAGGCGATACTGGAAACATCGAATTTTATAAAAAAATTTTGAATATTGATTTTTCAGACCTAATCGATTGATGATTATTCATGGTCTTTTGGATGAAAATGTTCACTTTTCACATTGCTCGCAATTGATTGATTTTTGTAATCATCGTGGTAAAGCATATGATCTTTTGGTAAGTCTAACATTTTATTAATTTCCCAAATTTCTTTTGTTTGTTCATATTTTTAAACAAGAAATTCGGAAAATATTTTTTATCAGATTGTTTTGTTAATATCTTCCTCACTTGTTTAATATCTGCCTCACTTACATGTTAGAAAAAAGTTGACAAAATGATGAATTTTCAAAAAATTCCAAACTTTCATTTATATTCCAATTTCATTTTTCAGATTTTCCCTCACGAAAGACGGAATTCAAAACGAAGAATCGGCTGCAGATGCCTAAACGTTGTCCAAAAGTTTATGGAATAATTTCAACGTATACCGTGGTACCTAGTTTGAGGAACATTTTTTCTGGGCGTTTCCAGAAAAAATCCCTTGGAGGTTTTACTACTTTTGGAGAGCATTTAACTTTGCGATAAAAAATTTTGCCGTTTAACCCCTCCCCCCATTTAAATAAACCCGAACACGTCTGAATGGTAGTTTTCAATTCAATAATTTTTTTCAAAACGAGAAATGATTTCTGAACACGTAATTTTCATTTTTTGGTATTTTTCGAAAATAAATTACAGTGATTTCCAATTAGTTAAATTAATTTTAGAACTCGATTAGAAATTTCTTCAGGATTTATTAAAACGGCAGAAATCACGGATTTCACAAAACTGTAAGTTTCCAACAAAAGTTTGTTGTTACAAAACTGATTTTATTTAAAAAGATATATAACATAAAAATACTTACAAAGTGTTGCTTTTTACAAAATAAACGACAACCATGCTAAAATAAGAGTGACTCCACCAATTGGTGTGAATTTTCGGGTTTCTTCTTGGCCAGTAATACTGTAATGATAGCATGGTCCACAGAACAAAATAATTCCAGTAGTTAGTAAACCAGTTGTGAGAATTGGAAATCTTGCTCGATGAGCAGCCAACAAAGCCAAAGAATGAATCATATGATATCGACTGGCTGTATCAAATGCCATTCGACGACGTGATTCTATTTCCGGATTATCACGAAGTACTGTAAAAATAATTTTATTGATATACTGTAGTTTTCATATTTGATTTTTATTTTACTGAATTTCATCCAAAAAATTTCCTTTTTTTTTCAAATTTTATTCGCGAATCTGATCAGAAATATAATTTAGTCTCAGGAAAAGTTTTTCGGAAAAACCAATTTTTGGGACACATATTTTTTATATATAACATACCGTGACTTCCATAAGCTCCAAGTGAAATAGCAATCGCTCCTGATAAACCAGCCAATCTTGTCACAGGTGACATATCGAGTATTTGAGCTTGAGGTTGAGTTGGATTCGCCCAAATATTCCTGAAATTTTGGATAACAAATTATATGGCCAAACTTTTGTATTTTCTTTTTGACAAAATAGTTTCGAAAGTTTTTTGAAATATTTGGAATAATTTATTTGTTGATAGTTTTGAAAATAATCGCATTTCTTCAATAAAAAACTCACAATTTTCTCAAAGGAACGTAGTGATCTGCAGTTTTTACGACAGAGTTAATCAAATCCATGAAACTGAAATAAACATTTACTGTACTTCAAATAATATTAAATAAATTAGAACTTTGGTATTTCGAAACCAAAAAACAATTCGATAAAAAATTAATCAATAAAATAAATAATTTTTTAGGATAAAATAATTACATATTTGACAAAGCAATTTTAAGTGAAAAATAAGCGAAAAATTATGATAAAGATTTCAAAATCGAATTCAATTGCATTTGTCTTTTTTCAAGTGCACCGTGTTGACTCCCGAGAATTTTATCACTTCGAACTGATAACGCAAGAAGATAGCTTAGCTCGATTGGTGTGAACATTGATCTGGAAAAAATGAGTATTGTCATTCCGAAAAATAAGAACTTGGAAGAGAACCGAAATGGCCTAGGACACCAAGACTACAGTAGACTTCGCAAAATTTTGGAGTCTATTTGAAAAATAAAATGCGAAATTTACACGTTGGCTATTTGCCAACCAGTTTGATGTGCATGTGTCACGTCATTTTTAGTCTACTGTACGTGAGCGCCAATTCAAACGGGGGTTCTTTTATTTTCGGAATGACAATATAAAGAACCTTCTTGATAAATTTCGAACTATTTTTTTTAATTGTAATTTTTTGTCAACTTTTATCCAAAATATATTAAATTGGATTTTTCGTGAAAAACCAGATATAAATGATTATTTGAATAACAAACCGTTTTTCCGGAACAATTGATAATATTCCATCGGGATCATTTGTCAATAATAAATCGAAAAATGCTCTAGCTTTATCCAAATCAGCTTCTCTTCGATTTGTTATTCTCGATAATCTTTGCTGAACTCCCCAAACATTTCGACAAACGCGTTTTTTTGCCGCTTCAGTTAATCGAGGCATAAATTGACTATAAACATGTTCGTGATAAATTCAAATTCATATTTCGAAACTAACCTAATATGTATAAAAATTGCAGCACAAAGATGTCCTAATCCATCAAAAACATACGAAATTTTTGGTCCCGTTAAAATATCTTTGAGTTCGTTATAAAATTGTTGCAAATCTTTTCCTAATGCTACAACTTCTGGATCGACTTCATTATTTGCCGAAGAATTTCGATATTTTGCTAATGGTGCGAGATGGAAAAAGCAATGAACACGAATTTCGATATGAAGTAAAAGAAGACAAGAATCGGCGATTGATTCAAGACGATTTACACAATCTTCGATTGCAGATGGAACTGATTTCTGAATTAGAATGACGTTTTAAAATAATCAGGTATTCAACTTACATTATCAATCATTTGTCCATCTTTCAATCGAACTTGAACCATACAAGTATCAAGTACAACTTTAACATGAGCAGGTAAACAATAAACAAGTTCTCGAATTTGTTCACCAAACCATTTAAGTGATTCATGAAGACAAGCAAACATTTGAATATCATTCATATCAATTATCAAATCGCTTTCCATTAGTTTATTTTGTGCTTGTGTTCCAAGATTTCCAATTAGGATTTCTGATTCTCTTTTATTTCTTTCCCCAACATCAATTTCACTTTCAATTGCAGGAGTTGTTGGTGAAATTTTGGCCTGGATAATAATTTTATTAGTCAATATTTTTTCCCACAAAAAATCTACCGTACCTGAGTCCAATTTGGTAAACTCATCAATAATCTCGAAATATCATCATCTGCTGTCCAAGCAGCTGATAATTTCTGCCTTTTTGTTGCTAAAACCACATTATTTTCATCAATAATTCCTCCAGATGGTGTCATTTTTTCATAAATATCAGTCATATTTTTATAATAATCTGTTAAAACTAGTAGCCAAAGTGCAGCAAATCGATCAGCATATAAATCCATACTAACAATTAAATCATGAACTTCTTTACATAATTCGAGAACTTTTTCACATGACAATAATATTCTTTTGTTTTTTTGATTGTTGTTATTGTTGATTAGATTTTGTGAACCTCGAAGTGCTTCTTCAATTCGACTCGCTAAATTACTTTTTACACGTTCAACAAACATTTCCATAACAAATGAATGCATAAATCGTCTGAAAAATTTCAAAATTTTGATCTCTAATTTTCTGAATAAGCACTAAAAACAAATACCTCAAATCGCATGGCGATTCATTGATTTGTTTCTCAATATTTTCCATTAATCGACTCAAAATCGGAAAAATCACAACAATATTATAAGCAGACGGTTTGCAAATCAGTACTTTTGCCTAAAAATATATAAATATATGAAGAAAATTAAGGGAAAAATTGAGAAAAATGCAACTTACATGTGAAGTAGAAGAAGTAACATTTGGAGAAGTTGAACATGCCGTGCAATCAAATCGGAACAATTGTTTTCTATTGATATTGTTCAATACATTTTGTTTTTCCAAAAGCGGATTTATATCCAAATGTTCGGAAACAACCAACTGAAATATTTAAATTATATTGTTTGAATAGATTTTTGAAATTTTTTGAAATTCGAATTACAAAAAAAAATTTTTAAACTTAAATTTAACGTGAACTAAGACATTCTCATTTTCCATTGTTTTTATAAATTGAGTTAACGAAAATAATAAAATTTTTCAAAAAATTTTGCTTGGCCTAGATAATTATTCAAAGTTTTACGGAAAAATACCTCGACAGCTGTTTGAGCAGATCTCCAAAATGAAGAAGCAACATCTTTTCTCCCAATATGTTCTTCAACAAGATTTGCAAAAACGTTATGTTGAAGACACGATGAATCAAGTTGAGCGGATAACTAAAATATGTATCACTATGATATTTGAATTAAAAAAAATAATTAGATATGTTTACCATTTGCATTAATTGTTTTAAATGTGATGAATCGCCTTCATTGTTTTCATCGATATTACAACCAACTCGCATTACTTGAACACTATTTATTATCTGAACAAAATTTACAATTATGAAAAACATTTTGAAAATCAATAAAACTTACCATTTTATCAATCATATTTTTGGAAAGCATCATTAATCTGTCGATATCCCAATCTCCTTCTTCTAAACTTGACAATGCACTCACTGATTGTTTTATTCTATCTTTATTTGACTCATTCGACAAAAATCCGTTTTTAGATTTTTCGTAAAGTGATGAACAATATAGATTTTGCTGGATTTTATATTCAGGAATAGTTCGGATTATATTGAAAAGCTGAAAATTAGCTCTAATAATATTTATATTTGATGAAATACTCACATGTTTTTCAAATGGCTCAACAACCAACATATTCACTAACAAATCGTTGATTTTTTCGATCAAAACTTTGGCAAATCTTTCAATTTGTGTTGCCAATTGAGATAATCCTTCAATACATGATAACTTTCCTTGCATAAGTTCACGTGATTCTGTCACAATTGCAGCCGCTTCTTGATAATTCTCTTTCAATATCAAACTTTCAATTTTTGATGGTGATTCTCGAAGTTCTTCCCTGTTATGTAAAAAAAATTAGTTCGGAGTAAATAATTTATTGAAAAATACTTACAATTGTGCCATGATTTCACACACCGATTTTTGTTGAGCATTTTCTAACCATAATTTTTTCAAATCATCTCTTCTTAATTCCAACAAAGATTTACAAGTGTGAATCGCGTTACGAACATTATGAATTCGTTCTCGACAATTCGATATTTTTGTTGAAACATCTCGAAATGAAATCAAACATTCCTCAACATCTTGTTGGTGATCTAAATTCGACAATGTCAGAATTCATTTTTAAAAAAGCATAGCTTACTTTTAACTAATCGATCGATAAGAATACCAGATTCTTTGAAACCTTTTTCCAAACGAGACTTTTCAATTTCTCTTTGATCTTCAGAAACACTCGAAGTAAGTGAGCGAATCACATTTATCAAGAGACCAGTTTCATTTGACTAAAAAATCAATACATAAAAAAAATCTGGAAAATTGATGACTCACATTATTGGTTGTTCGTGATCGTCTTGTTGCAGCAACTGGTGTTTCACTCATAGGTTTTTGATTTTTACCCTGAAAATGTAAACTATATATTCGAATCAAATCCAAAATTCAAGAACAAGAAATTGATTTTCAAGATTGAAATCGAATCATATTACTATCATTTTTCTATTAGAATATAAACAAATGAAAATTGCACTTTTTCAAGGGAAATAACAAAACTTTGGTCTGGGACGTCGAAAAAAAATTCATGGAAACAGATGGACTAGGAAACCAAGAAAAAAATAGTCCCTCATTTTTTGTTGGTTTTTTTTTGTTGTTTTCAGTTTAGCACGTTTTCCGATAAAAATAATTGAACTAACTAGTTTTTAGCGTTATTTTTTTTGTCTCTTGACCCTATTGATATATTTCAGAGTCGCCTGCATTATAGGAAGTTGAAGTAAGGGACCGTACAATCTGCTTTCGATATGGCTAGAGAAAGACGTGAGTTTATCACCAAACACTACTAGTTCTAAATAGTAAATACAATTCAGCTTCGAGATTTAAATCTGGCTTTAATCGCCAGGACGATGAAGATGCGGGAGAAATTGAAAAAGCTCAGGATTATCGAGAAAGCGGAAGTGGACAAAAAGAAAGTGAAGTGCTATTTCCATGGATGGATGAAGCATTCCAAAAAATGATAATACATCAATCAGTTAAAAAATTGAGGTCAAGAAGCGACAGAAATTGTGAAGAAGGAAATAATGAAACGGACGAAGATGAGTTAGATTCTGCTACATTATTCAGCAGATATTGGGAACAAAACTTGGAGAAAAATAATGAATATCTTCAAATGGTTTTTGGTCCACAATGTCCGCTTCTCACAAAAGTTTCAACAAAAAATAAAGCTCCTCAAAATATCATTACAAAAGATGATGTTTATACACTTTATGTTCGATCAGTTGAAGCACGTCAATATGGAAGATATCGAGAAGCATTTCAACTTCTTAGGCCAACAATGCCTTTTTTGGCTACAAATCATTTAGTTTGGATTCGAATAACCGAAATGTGTATATTTGAACTTTTCGAAGAAACTTGGGATTTTCTTGATATTTATACAAGATTATTTCAAGATCGACCCAAGAATTATTATCCAAGTCATCGAAGACAAATGAATGAAATTAGGCAAAGACATAACGATATGAACTTACGATTTGCTTATATTGCTTCAAATGTTGCATATACTTTATGTAAACTATCAGAAAGTCATTCTGATTGTTTTTCAGCAACACAAAATCACGCTTTTCTTATGTTAAAAATGAGAAAATATCGGTAAATTTCAGAAAAAACGTGAAAATATTTATTTCGAATTGTAATATTTCAGTGAAGCCCTCGACGCAATTTCATATTTTCTTAAAAAAACAGAAGAATGTCAAGCGGCAACTGATCAAATCGAACATATGCTTTTATATAAAGCTGAAGCAAAATATTATTTGGGAAAATATGATCGAGCAATTGAATATAGTTTGAAAGTTCAAAAAGATGCTCAAAATTGCAGATTGAAAATGAGAGCTGAAATGTTGTTAGCAATGGCATATTTGAAGAAAAATAATTATAAATTGTCTTATCAATATGTTATGGTAAGAATTTGAAATATTTTGAATTTATTTATAACTATTACTATTTCAGGGACTTGTTTCGTGTTATCGATTAGATGATTTTATGGTTGAAAATGTTGCATTATTTGGTGTTACTTTAGCACATAAAATGAAAAACTATCCAATGCTCCAAACATTTTTGAAATTACTTCAAGATTGTGTACATTGATAATTTATTTATTCTTTTTTATCATAAAAATATGATCTCTGTGAACTCAAATTCCTAGTTTCAAAGGGTTTTTCTTACCTTCAAAAAATATCTTTATTTAATTTATATCGTTCAAATCTAGATAAAAATAATATTGAATTCAAGATTTTATGCTACATTTTCAACGGAGATTTCTTTCAACGTATGTTTTTCCCCGATATTTTACACATTCTGATATAAAATCTTTTCAGAAAATTCACATCAAGTGCAGATGTCGTGATATGTGGAGGCGGAATTTCGGGAACCTCACTTGCATATCATTTAGCAAAACGTGGCAAAAAAGTGTGTCTATTCGAAAAAGACGCAGTTGGATGTAGTGGTGCAACTGGTTTATCAGCTGGACTCGTTTCAGCGCCGATTTTTTGGCAAGATGTTGGATTGCAAACAATTGCGCAAGAATCTATGAATTTATATTCGGAAATGGCGAAAAGCAGCAAATTCAGTGAGTTTTTTGTATCATGTTTATGGAAATTATATTTCGATTAATGTGACAAAATTCAAAGAAATTTTAATTTTCATCTTTAATTCTTTTGCATCATTTGTCCCAAATTTAGAATACCTCAAAATTTAGTTTTTTTGTTTTTAAATTACCAACATTGGAAAGATTGAATCCCAAAAAATCTGACCAATTTTATTGATGAAAATGTTTCAATTTAAGGATTCGTAAAATGTGGTCGAACATATTTTGCAACTTCAATGACAAATGAAATAGTTCTTCGTCGAATGTATAGTCGAGGAATTGTTCATAACGATAGTGTTGAATTAATTGATTGTCAAAGTGAAATGCTTGCAAGATGGCCATTTTTACAAACCGAAGATATTCAATTAGCACTTTATTCTCCAGAAGATGTTGCATTAGATCCAGTTGCTTTGTGTCAACATTTAGCAGCCACAGCCAAAGATTACGGTACATAATATTTCATTTTAAAAAAATAATTAGATTGAACATGTTTAGGTGCACAAATTTATGAAAACTCAACTGTTTCCGAAGTGATGTTAGGTGATGAAGGACAAGTTTATGGAATAGATACAACTCATGGTTTTGTTGAAACTTCGAATTTTGTTGATGCAGCTGGAATTTGGTCTGGAAGTCATTTAATTAAATCATTACCTCATCAACATGTACAAACTGCAATATATCCTTGTACATATTCTTATATTCATACTTCGAAATTACCAACTGGTGCTGTTATTGATTCAACTCCTAGTAAGTTTTCTATTGATTTTAATTATTGAATATACTTATAATCAATTTTCAATTTAGTTTTCAATGATTTGGATGCAAATATAATGTTAAGAACAACATCGTTCAAAACACTTGCTGCTGGTTTTGCTGAGGATAGTATTCGTCCACTTGCAAGACAAACAAATAATTCAACAACTTGGGTTCATCCCGAACCTGATTGGAATAAATTTGATCCAAATCTTGATAAATTAATTCATCGATGTCCAATGTTGGGAAATGTGAATCATGGTGATTTGATTTGTGGAATGGAAGCATATACACCTGATAAATTACCAACAATTGGTGAAAGTAGTCAAGCTCGAGGTTATTATATGATGTGTGGAATGAATGGACAAGGATTATCATTAGCTGGTGGATTGGGTAAATTATTATCGGAAATCATTTGTGATGGAGTTGCCAAAACTGCTGATGTTACACGTGTTGATGTTGGAAGATTTGTTGATTTGCATGCAAATTCACAATATTTGATTGAACGAACACCTGAAGTTGCTGCTATGACATACAGTAATCTATATCATTCCCATCAATGTCATACGGCAAGAAATTTGAGAATGGCACCAATATATCATCAATTAAAAGATGCTGGAGCAGTTTTTGGAGAAATTATGGGGTGAGGTTTTTTGGAAAAAAATCAAGTTGATTGAGATATTTTATTACGAGAATTTGACTCGGATTTTTGGACCAAGTTCAAAATTTGCAAAAAAAAATTGGCCGTTTTTTAATCCAGATAAAATGTTATTCCAGGTATATTTCCGAAAAAAAATGTTGATCTGATAATATTCCCAAATTTTAAAATTCTATATCTATAAAATTCTAACATTTTATTTTTGAGATATGAAAGACCATTATGGTTTGCGAAATCAGCTCAAAGTCACAAAAATGCATTAATGCGTGGACAAGATACTCTAATTGGTAAACCTGAATGGTTTGATCGCGTTGCTTCAGAATATGAAGCTTGTCGTGAAAGAGTCGGATTGATTGATATGTCTTCATTTGCAAAATATGATATAACTGGTCCAGATGCTTTGAAATTCTTGCAATATCTTTGTTCTGCAAATGTTGATGAACCAATTGGAACAACTGTTTATACTGGAATGCAACATCAACAAGGCGGTTATGTCACAGATTGTACATTAAGTCGATTAGGAGATAATAAATTCTTTATGGTTGCACCAACAATTCAACAAGAAAGATGTTTAGTTTGGATGAAAAAATGGGCTGAAAAATTAGGATCAAAAGTTCATGTGCAAGATGTTACTGGAGCGTATACAGCACTTGATTTGATTGGACCATCTTCGAGATATTTAATGCAAGATGTGACTGGATTATCAATGACAAGCAATGAATTTCCAACATTTAGATGTCAAGAAATAAATATTGGAATGGCAACTGGAATACGAGCAATTAGTGTAACTCATTGTGGTGAACTTGGATGGGTTATTTATATTCCAAATGAAATGGCACAAAATGTTTATGATAAAGTAATATCAGCCGGACAAGAATATAGTTTACAACATGCTGGATATTATACGTTGAGACAATTAAGAATTGAAAAGTTCTATGTTTATTGGGGGCAAGATATTAATGCAACTGTTACACCTGTTGAATGTGGAAGATTATTCAGAGTTGATTTCAAGGTAATTTTTCAGATATATTTTTTAATATAAAGTCGCAGGAAACAGCTAGAAAAAAAGTCAACATTTTCAAATAATTTTTCACAACTACAACTAAAACAATTGTCATAGAAAGAGCTTCTAAATCTTCAATTTTTCAGAAAGATTTTATTGGAAAAGCTGCACTGGAAGAACAATTGGAAAGAGGAGTTTCGAAACGATTTGTTCAATTATTAATCGATAATCACGATAAAGAAACAGATCCATGGCCACAAGGAGGTGAAACTCTTTATCGAGATGGAAGACCGTGTGGTTTGACAACATCTGCTGCGTATGGATTTACTCTTGGATGTCAAGTAAGATTTTCCCAATATTTTGAAAACTCAGAATAAATTTCGATATTTATCTTAGGTTTGTATCGCTGTAATCGAAAATAAGGAATTTGGAGTTTCTGCAGAGTTTATAAATCGTGGATCTTATGAATTGGATATTGCTGGAAAACGATTCGCTGTTCGAGTCAATTTGCATTCTCCAACTTTGCCGATGATTTCATCAGAACATCCTTTGCATTATAGACCAACACAATAGTCAAATAAGTAATTTCTTGCCATAAAAACCTAGGACTCTCTTTGTAAAAACGTGTAGTTTGCATTTTATGAAACATATAATTAGGACAGTGTTCAGATTTTAGATCATGTAAATATATATAATTGTCATTTTATTTTATTTGTAATAAATACTGTAATTTTCGAACTCCGTGTTTTCTAGAATAATTTTCAATGCGAACTTCTTGAGTTGAAAAATCAAAAAGATGATTAAGTGCACGTGTTGTTTTCTTTAGCGAGCCGCATCGCCGCACGCGTCGCGTCGCTGCAGCCAAATATCGACGCGTGCGGCGATTATTTTATTCGGATTTTCTCAATGGAATCTTGGCCAAGTAGCAGCGCACAAACTGCAATACCGCTGCAAACAAATGTTGCGCAGGCAAATTCGCCTGTAAGTTTTGAGAAATTTATTTTTTTTCTAATTAATAAATTTGAGATTGGTGACAATATTCGTTTTGCAATCATTGATGCTGTCAATGTTCGCCCAGGAATTTGGGATACGTCGAGAGAGAAAATAAATGTTCAAACAAAGAGAAATCTATTCATAGAAGTAACCGAAGTTATAAACAGACAATTTGGATTGAATCCTCCGCTTTTGGTTGAAGAAGTTGAAAAAACCTTCAAAAATCTGAAGGATACCTATGTTAAAACTCGAAAAAAGATTTCTTTCAATTGTGATGGAAGTATTATCCGACCAAAGTGGAAGTTTTTCGACGCTTTGTTATTTCTTGATATCCCCTTAACTCAAGTAAATGGCAGTATTGGATTGAAACGCTCTTTTCCTGTAGGTAAAATGTGTAAATTTTTCGATGGCTTATTCCTTTTTCAGCGAGAACAATTCCAACTGATGGATCCTATTGCTGAAGATGTTAAAAGAATAAAGAATGAAGAGTCGGATGAATTCATGACATTTTGTCGATCTTTGTATCATCCATTGAAAGAAATAGCCCACAAAGATCGGATTCAATATCTCAAACTTCAAAAAACGATTATCGACCTAATTCACAATACTCAGATGGATGTTTTAACTAAAGTTGCCAGAATTTAAATAAACATTTTTAGAATATAACAATTCATTTTAACAATAACAAGAGCTTATGCTGATTCAGATGGAACACTGAGAACGATATCGGAATCTCCGGCCTCAGTGACAGCGAGTGTGCAGACACGGAAAAGACGACCACAGGCGGTTCCGAGCTCAATGTTGTTTCCATTGTAGTGGTGGACTCCAGTCTTAGCGAGCATGGCGTAGTATTCGATTTCAGACTTTCTGTAAATCAAGATTCGTGAACAGAGATGGCATCTTCCAAACAAACCTGAGTGGTGGAGTGTTGTTAGCGAGGATAACAAGCTTGGCCTTTCCGTTGAGGAGTGACTTGAGGGTTTGTTTGTATCCCAAGACGTACTTTCCGGTCTTCATAACCATGGAAAGACGAGAGTTGATGTTCTCGGCATTTTTCTTAGAAGCCTGAATAAATTGAGATAGATGTATTAGGCAACTGGAACATTGAGAATCCAGAGTGGCGTTGAACAGTCAATTGAGAAAGTGTACTCGACATTTACACACGGTATAACGAAGAGAAGATCTCCTTCTCAATTAAATTATTCAAACTCCGGATTACTCCTTCTCTGTTCGAATAACTAACTCCAGAGAACTTCACTAACCTGTTGTTTAGCAGCTGGAGCCATGTTGATTTTACCTGGAAAATAATTCACCATTGTTGTGAAAAATAAACAAATAAAACGTGAGAACGTAAGAATCAAATGATTGTAACATCATTTCGATAATCGGGAAAATAAGAAGTTGCTTTCTGTTGAGGTGAGTCCGATATCACAATCTCAAAACATTGAAAAACGCAAAAACCTTCCCAAAAACAACGAAAACTTGGCAAACGGCCACAAAAAATAAAGAATGTTGTGTGAATCCTAAAATTTCTCATTGACAACTACGGTATGTTTCTCTTCGTGGTAAGACCAAACAACATGGCTTGGCCTCCCTTTAATCCTCGAGCACTCCTTTTTTCGGTTTTTGGGATCCGAGTTCTCCTGGCTCTTGGCAAAAGGACAATAAATCCCATAAACATTGTTCAAAAATCCATAAAAAATCAAAAAATTTAAAAAAGTCCAAAAAAAATATTTCTGCGGCTGATTTGTCAAAGAATTGTGAGTTTTTTAATCAATAATTTGTTGCGAAATCCTATTTTTCGCATTTTGTTCGTTATTTTTGCTTTATTTTATGCTTTTTAGGATTGAAAATGGCGGCTACTCTTCAAAATACTCAAAATGTCACTTCATCTTCGTCCTACTCGATGGCCTCGTTGTACGTTGGAGATCTCAACCCAGAGGTCACCGAGGCTGTTCTCTTCGAGAAATTCAGTGCGGCTGGACCGGTTCTCTCCATCAGAGTTTGCCGTGACAATACCACCAGAATGTCTCTCGGATATGCCTACGTCAACTTCCAACAACCAGCTGATGGTGAGTTTTTAAGATCTCTTCAGAATATCACCAAATTGAATTTTTCAGCTGAAAGAGCTTTGGATACCATGAACTTCGAAACTTTGGACGGAAGACCAATGAGAATCATGTGGTCTCAAAGAGATCCCGCAATGCGCCGTTCTGGAGCTGGAAACATTTTCATCAAGAACTTGGACAAAAGTATCGATAACAAAGCCATGTACGATACATTCTCCCTTTTCGGAAACATTCTTTCCTGCAAGGTGATTATTCTTTACTTGATTACATTTTGAACCAAGCACTGCATAGAAGTTCTAAAAGATAACGTTTCATTTCCCAGGTCGCCACCGACGACGAAGGAAACAGCAAAGGATACGGTTTCGTTCATTTCGAAACCGAGGAAGCTGCTCAAAACGCCATCCAAAAAGTCAATGGTATGCTTCTTGACGGAAAGAAAGTGTAAGTTAGACGTTAAATAACAATTAGGCGCATATTTAGTTTTAAAAAATTTCAGATTCGTCGGAAAATTCCAACCACGCTCTCAAAGACTTCGTGATCTTGGAGACTCTCCAAAGAAGTTCACCAATGTTTTCGTCAAAAACTTTGGCGATAAACTCGACCAAGATGGTTTGGAGAAATTGTTCTCGGCTTTTGGAAAGATAACCAGCTGCGCCGTCATGGAGTCCGACGGTAAACCAAAGGGATTTGGTTTTGTTGCTTTTGCTGAAGCCGAAGAAGCCGAGAAAGCCGTCAATGCAATGCACGACACAGCAATTGAAGGAACCGACGTCAAATTGTACGTGTCTCGCGCGCAAAAGAAAGGCGAACGTCAAATGGAGTTGAAGAAAAAACATGAAACTCAAAAGGCGGAACGTTTGCAAAAGTACCACGGAGTCAACCTTTATGTCAAGAATCTTGACGAAACTGTTGACGACGAAGCTTTGAAGAAACAATTCAGCGAGTTCGGAAACATCACCAGTGCAAAGGTCATGATGGACGAAAATGGTCGCTCCAAGGGATTCGGTTTCGTTTGTTTCGAAAAACCACAAGAAGCCACCAATGCCGTTACTGAAATGAACTCGAAAATGTTGTGCTCGAAACCATTGTACGTCGCTTTGGCTCAACGTAAAGAAGATCGTCGTGCTCAACTCGCATCACAATACATGCAACGTTTGGCCAGTATGAGATTGCACAACAATGTTCCAGGAAATCCAATGTACAATCCAGCTCAAGCTCAAGGATACGTCGGTTACGTTCCAAACAACATGGGTCCAGTGAGTTTAAATTGTCAGCAACTTTTCACATATTCAATCTTTTTCAGCAACGCATGTTCAGCGGAGCCAACATGATGCGCGGAGCTGGAAATCGTGGAGCGTGGGGTGTTCAAAATCAATATCCACCACAAGCCGGATACATCGTTCCAACTCAACAAAACTACGTGAGTTTCATTAAAATAAATATAGCGAAATTTTATCTGAAAATTTACAGCAAAACAGAATGCGCCCACAAGCCGTTGGACGTGGACAATCTCCACAACAATTCAATCAAAATCCTCAACAAATGCGCATGCCACAACAACAGCAACAACAACGTCAACCAAATGTTGCTGGACAACAAGCCAATGTTGCCAGACCACAAGTATGTGAAAATTATATTTAGCTTCAATACATATTTATATTTTCAGCAAAATCGCATGCCACAAGCTGGAGGAAAGGTCGCTCCTCAACCATATCAACAATCGTACGGACAACAACCAAGAAATCAAGGAATTGTTATCGGCGGCCAAGAACCACTCACGGCTAGTATGCTTTCCACCGCTGCTCCACAAGTAAGTTTAATTTGAATCAATTTTATACATTTGAGACTAATTGGTCATTTTTCAGGAGCAAAAACAACTTCTTGGAGAACGTATCTACGCGCTCATTGAAAAGATTCATCCGGGACACAAGGATGCTGGTAAAATCACTGGTATGATGTTGGAAATCGACAACTCCGAGCTCATCATGATGCTCCAAGACGATGAATTGTTCCGTTCAAAGGTCGATGAAGCCGCTGCAGTTCTCCAAAGTGCTGGCAAGGCCTAATTCATTGACCCTCTTCTAAACGAAGTCAATTTTCTTCATTCCACTCCACCTCGAAGGCTAAGCCAACCTTTTCTTCTATTTTCCCCCCTATTTCCCCCTTTCTTCTCTTGTATCCCCCTTCTCTTATTCAATTTTTCGTACCTGTTACTTGTTATCGGTTGGTTTAGTCCATAGGATAAACAAACCACTGTTGTTTATTCAAGTTAAAATAAAAAATGGAAAAAAAATGTTGAAATAATTAATTTTGTTCCAAATGTGATGCCAGAATTACACATATGTTCTTCACAAATACACTCTGTTCCTTCCATTCCATCCCAAAGAATTGCCTTATGACAACCGACAACGGAATCTGAAGGAACACATAACCGTTGTTCTCGAATCAGACCACCTTTAAAAAAATAATTTCAATTTTTGCAATAAATTACAAGACTTACTTGAAGTTGGAGCAAATCTTCTTGAACATTTGGGACCAACACAAACATTTCCATCAAATTCACAATATCCGGAAAATGAATCACAAATGTGACATTGATTAGAATAAGAATATGAAACAAGTAAAGTTAACGAATAAAAAATGAGAAACATTTGAAAATAAGTGTCACGAAGTATTTATGACAATTTCAATGAAAAACGAATAACAATAAATAAGTCATACAAAGTAAATATTATACATAACAACAAAAAAAAGAAGTGGATACAATTATGTTTTACAAATATTTTAAAATTATTATTATTACTTATGTTGTTGTTTTTAATTTGAGGAATTACCATATTTTGGTCAAAACATGTCCAAAAATCATTGGCCAAGTTTGGAAAAGGAAGTAAATTGCTAATGCAATAAAAAGAATAATTAGAATCCATGCCAAAATTTGAGCTCCATAATAATGCCAGCAAAATTTGAGACATGGTAAAATTCTGGAACACAACCAGAATTGAGACAACAATTTTCGATCTGGTTTATCAAGATGAGGACTCTGAAAATTCAAATATTATTTAGTGAGAAACTGTTTTTTCAATGAGAAAAAAATAACGACTAACATGATTTGGTTCAGCGCGTTTTTTTCCAACTGGATCTTGTTCAGCTTCTGAAATTGGAAGAAGAGAAATATCCATTTCAACGAGACCCATTATCCATTGTTGATTTTCATCAACATCATCATCTTTCTTTTTGATTTCATCCTAAAATTCAGAAAATAGCAAATAAATTAAATACCGTAATCAAGATTTTTGACTTTTAGAACCTACAGTAACCTATTCATAAAACACCCTGGATTACTGTAAATTACATAAAAATCCGAAGCTTTTAGGAGTTCAGCTTTCTGGTTTTTGATACATAAAAAAACTCACGGGATGTGGATATTTATAAGTCAACATTGGCCACCAACCATACAAATTTCTAGAATCAAACAAATTGATAGTTTCTGCCATTTCTGGTGGTGGAGCATATTTGACTGGTTTTGGAAATGGTTTTCTCTTGATTTTTCGTTTACCACACAAACATTTCGTTTCAACACAAAGTCGACAACATCCCCAAAGACATCGACAACATCGAGGACATTTACACTTTCTTCTCGAACTTTTTGTATAAACACCAATATCTGATGGTGAACCAACACCTTCTAAAATTAGACAACAAATATTTGAAATTATTTTCCAACTTTTGTTCCAAACTAACCCAAGAAACTCAATATATCCAATTCTATTTCTCCCAACAAAACATCTTTTCGGAACTTATTCTTATCCCACAATTCGACAATCAAAAATGGATCAACCAATTCTTCGACAGGTTTTCGGAATAATCTTGTTTTTGTATATGCCACAACTTTCTTTTCCCAAACATTATAATCAAAATCCAACAAGAATCTCCAATTGAATTCAGCTTTTCCATCCATAACTCGAAAATGTGTATCTGTTTTTTGGCCTTTTCTCATTCCATTCACATAAACTTTGACATAAAGATCAGATGTTGGTTCAGCAAAACTTCTTTTGATTGGAATAGCTCCACAAACACTCATAACTGCAATTCTCAATTGATATCTTGCTGGTTTTCTTGGTGAAATATTAAATGGAGCTGGAATTGGGCCATGATCCAATGGAAAAACATCAACAAACATTCTTAAGTTTCCTTTTTGAACTCTTCCACTTTTATCCGAAAATAATGGTCGACTTTCAACATGTTCAGGAACTAAATTAATTTGCCTCAAAATGAAAAGTGCAATTGTTTCAAGTGGTGTTCCAAGAATTGATTTTCTATTCAAATTTCTCAAATTCATCAAAACTGTTCCTTTTTGATCATTTGGAATCTCTCCTTTTTTATTAACTGGTTTCTTTCGTTCTTTCTCTTTTTTCGATTTTTCATTTTCCAATTCAATTTCTTCCGGTGATTTATTTTTTGGATCATCTTCTGTATCCGAATCTGAATCCTTTCCAGCTTTTTCCCTTTGTCCTTCAGATATCAATAATTCTTCTTTTTCCATTGCTTCAATCACTTCTGTACACCAAAATACAATTCCATAAATCATAATACCATTTTCAACAAATTGCTCCTTTTTTCTTTCAACAACTTTTGGAGGTGGAATCATCATTCGAATACAGTATTCTTTGAGTATTTCCATTGGTGTTAATTGATCTCTCCATTGCATTTCACCTTGAACAGTATATTGAGCACTTAATCCACTTGTTCCACGCCATTTTGTTAAAAGTCGATTTTCCAAGTCAATTGTGGTTGAACCAATTTCTTTATCTTAAAATGATAATAAAAATAAAATCTGAATCTTTACTCCAGAAATGAATAACTAACCTGCAAGAATTGTGCATTTATCCTTGATCGTAACTGTCAAATCTTTTTCTAACGGAATTGTGACATTCATTTCAATCAATTCTCCATAAATCGGATCACAATTTTCTGATACATAATTCTTTTTCATATTTGATTTGATTTTTCCACATTTTGCTGTTACATACGAATCAACTCTTCCATTTTTCGAATTCGAACTCAAACCTTTTGCTTCAATAACATAAACTCGTACCAAACATTTAACCGGACCAAGAAATTCAACAGATGGATTCATTGTACTTGGTGGTTGATCTTTTCGAATTTTTGAAATAAGAAGTCGACATTTCAATTCTCCAGCCTTTTCTTTTTCTTCCGGATCATCAAAATGACCTTTGGAATTTTTGAAAAAGGTCATTGTATCAAGAAAATCACTGAAATTATTGTATCCATTAACTTCTTCCAATGGCCGATTGAATACTTTCAAATATTCCATACCAGATCTAGAAAAATGAAAAATAATGCATTTTTGTGGATCATTTTAAACTTTAAACTTACTCTGGATATCCGGGTGATCGATGGAATTGTGACATTGATGAATAATATCGACTCCACCAATCTAATGGAACTAATGGATCAGTTCCAAGTGTTGATCTTTTATTCATATTCATTAGTTTTTGATGTTCTTCTTCAATTATTTCATTAAATGCATTGAAATCATCATCTTTTTCTTTGTCTTTTTTGATAATATGTGAAACATATTTGTGAAGATCCGAGATAAGACAAGTTCCAACCAATGGTCTTCTTTTGAATGCTCTCGCATCATACAAATTGATAACAAAAGGAGGTGAAAGTTCCAAGGCTGAAGGTAATGCAACTTCCGAAAATGAGATCAATGGTTCTGGGAAATTTGGATTTTTGCGAACATCTTTAATTGGATCCATTGTAAATTCTTGATCTCCAATTGTAAGGTCAACAAATGGACGATGAACAGAAAGAAGTTGATGTTTTCGAAGATTTCGAAGACCCCAACAAAGAAATTGAATATGATATTTATCAAAACTTGGTCGAAGTTCTGGAGGAATCTCGAGACGTTCTCTGAAATCAATTAATAAAAATAAAAATAGGAAAAAAAAAACAGAAAAAATCTTACTGATAATTTTGTTTTAATTTTGGTTCAAGTGGAAGACAGTCATTATTGTCAGTTTGTTCAAATAACTCGAAACAAGCAAGAACAGCTCCTCTGAAATGATTTACAATAAAATAAAATTCGGAAATTCTGAAAACCCACCTAGTTTTTCCTTTCGGAAACTTTAATGGATACCATAATTGATGGGCTCTTGAATCAGTATTTGAACAGATTACTGTAGGTGGTGTTTCGAATCTTCCCAAATTTATTTCGGCACTTGTTGAACTTTCACCAACAACTTCAACTGAAACAATAGGAGGATAATGCATTATTTCACGAGTTCCTCCAGCAATCAAAATAGATTTGAAAATGACAGTTTCATTCCAAATTGGATTTTGAGAATTATCAACAAGAAGTGTTTGTTTCGAATAATTTCCAAATGTTATTCTAACAAAAGCTCTCGATGAATTCTTAACAACTGGCATAAGATCTTTTGCCCACATAATATAACATCTCAATTGCCATTTTGCTGTCACCAATTGATATTCATATATTCTATATTGAATTTGTTCTTCATTATCTTCTTCTCCATCTTTTTCAATTTCAATAATATATCTTCGTCGTCTTACTGTATCTCTCGAATCAACATCATCATGATATGGTCCAATTCTTTTCACAGAATGTTCCCAATTTGTATCTTCCAATGATTCTTGATATGCTTTAAAATCTTCATGTTCCTTTTTATATGCCTCTAATTTTCTCGATCTTTTCACACATCTTCTTCGATATTTATGATGTGGTTTAACTTCTCGATCAATTGCTACACCATCACCAAAAAATACTCCATTTGTTGTATAAACCCATCCATTTTTATCTCCATTATTTCGTAATTTATCAGCTTTCCAACTTCCCATATCCCATCCACTTACAGCTTTTTTCATATCTTGTTCATTTATTTGATATCCATAATAATCAGTGAATTGAAATGAAACCCAATCTCCGTCATCATTTTTTCTTTTGAACTTCATATGCTTTATCATGCATAGTTTGTCTTCCACAATTTGACATCCACATATCATGAGTATTCATTACCAACCATTGACCCTAAATCATAAACTGATCATATTTTTTAAATACGTTAGTGGTTTGGTAAAATCATAGTAAAGGTGTCATAATTTCAAAAATAAGTCCTGTTTTTCTTTTTCAATTGACTTACCACAGTTTTCCATCCATCTTTGACTTTCGGAATACTTGATATAAATTCTCCATCGCCCGTCAGAAATGCTTTCGCATCACTTTTTGGTTTCCAAGTCAAAGCCAATGTTTTTGCCTGAACTTCATAAGCATCCATAAAATATCGAATTTCAGCTGGTTCAACATGTTCTTTCCATTTTTCAGTCATATCTGATCTACCAAACCACATTGTTGCATGTAAAACAGCTACAAATTCTTCTTTTCGATTTTTCTGATCAAATAATGTTGGCCATTGTATATTGATTGCTCTTCTTCTTCCACACCATTCACCACTTCTTACTTCATTATCTGATTGATAAACTTCCGAAATTGGAATTTTTGCGAATCCAATCAATTTTCCAAATGAAAACATTTTTATAACTAATGGTGGAATTGAAATTTGAATATCATCTGCCATAGTTTTTGCCAAACTTCTCATTCTCAACATCATTCGAAGAAGCTTCGCCTCAATCTGAAAATATGTTCGATTTAAAATCTGAAATTTCTAAAGTGAAAAAATTATACCTCATCTTCAGAATAGTCAATATCAAACATTTCGCCTTCAATAATATCTTTCAATTTTCGAATCTGTCTTTTTCTTTCTTGCAACCAACAATTATCCAAATTATTTTTTCTTGTTAATTTGACTTTTTCCAAAAATTTGATACCGGCATCAATCATTTGTTCTAAATTATCCAATGTTTCACAACCCAAAGATGCAACTTGATCCAATGCTCCATTTCCAGTTCTCAAAACTTCCCAAATCATTCGATCCAACATATTTGACATTTTCATCAATGAATTTGATAACTCAATTCGATAATCAATATTTTCAAAATAGCATTTGACTTCAGACATTGGTCTCAGATTTCCCCAAGGCATTGCAAAATATTTACATTGATCCCAATTTGGCATCGCAGCTACTGTAGAACTTGAACAATATCGATTATCAACATCAACACTTCCAAATGTTCCAATTGAAATAAGAATTTGAATTGCATCAGATGCAAATAATGGATTTATCATATTCAAAGAAGTCATTGTACAAAAAGCTGTATATCGACGAACAGATTTCTGGAAATAAAAATTTGAAAAAAATCTAATTTGAATGTTCAGAAGAAAAACCAACCATAAACCCTTCGGCTTCCATTATAGATGAATGATCGAGAAAAAGTCGTTGAGATACAGTTTCATCCATATGTTCAACACAATCAATTGACATGAACAAACGAGAAATAAATCGAGAACCATCTTCTTGGCGAGCTGTTGAACCTGAAAGTTCCAATATTTTTTATTTCAATATTAAGAAAGCGGTTTTTAGCCCCTTTCTTCAGAATCTGGGTTACTGTAGTTCATTTGGTAGAAACTCACAAGCATCAAATTAATATGTAACCCTTATTTTGAAACTGGATTAAAAATCGAATGAGTAATATTTGGATGAAAAAGAGGGTGACCTTATAACTGGGTTACTGTAGATTAAACTGATTAACTATTGACTGCATATATTTTTCTAGATGTTTACAACCCAAACAGCATTTCGAAGTAAAGTTTCTGACACACTTTCAGAAAGAAATACAGTAACTCAGATTCAGAATTTTTTGAAACCTTTACCAGATTTTTTCAATAACTTCAAACCCACCTTTGACAAACCAATTAAACCGTGTACTTTTTTCACAATCAAAAATATTCAAATATGCTGGTCCGAAAGTTGGCAAAAAGCCCTCTTCTCCGGGTTCATAAATTTGTTTCATCGGAATGATTGTTTTTCCAACACATCTTTGTTTTTTACCCTTTTTCGAAAATAAACTAATTGAAATTTGTGAAATAACAGTTGGCCATGAAATTGGAATATAAACTTCTTGATCATAAATTATATCAGCCCATTGTTGCTTTTCATCAACGTTTGCAATTTCCAAAGTTGTTTCTGCTTTTTCATTTCCACATTGAATTAACAAATAAAATTTCTGCTGTTTTTTTCCTTTTCCTTTTTCATCTATCAATTTTCGAAACATCATTTCAATACTAAAAAGACGAATCTGGAAAAAACACAACTTATTCATAATCATCTCGCACTTATCCAAATTACCTTTAAAGTATAATCGGATAAATGTGCTCCACTCCAAATTTCTTCAGTTCCATCATCATCAATCATTTGTGGTGGTGATTCATCCATTCGATAAACACAAATTGAAAGTTTCAAAAATCCGCAATTTTCATTGGCACAATCTTCATCAGTTTCTTCATTTTGTGATCCAAGAGCAACCCATTTCGAAATCACTGATTTATTTGTTAAATGAATCACTTCCGAAAGATAACAAGAAAAATGTCCAATTTCAACTTCGCCAGTAAATTTTGGTCGAACAAGTTTGATTGTCAATGGATTATCAGCCAGTTTTTCAAGACTTTGTTTTTTGGTTGTAAATAGAATATTTTGACGCCATTTTGGAACAACATGTGTAACAACTCGAGTCATTTTTGATTTTCCATCAAGAATAACACGAACACGCGAAGAACCACCTGAATTAAATAATATTAATGGAAATACTGATACCATCTACAGTAACCCTTTAATTACCTGTATCAATATCTTTTGCCTCAATAATTCTAACAAGAACATTCCAAATTGCTGGTTTTGTTGTATCAATAAATCGATTTTTTCCAAAATTACTATCTTTATGTTCTTTCATTTCTGGTTCAATCGATTCTCGACTAACTGATTTTCGACTTTGATCAGCTGAAGTTTTTGATTGACTGCTTGATGAATTATTTTGATTTTTTGGCGATGATTTGTTCTCACTCGTTTTTGAATCAGAAACATTTGAATTCGAATTTTGTTCATCAGCTTCACCATCCTAAAAAAAAGGAAACTGGGTTACAGTAGGTTTATCGGGATTTACTTATTTTTTATTAAAAATGTGTTTTTTTGACAATTAAACCTTTTTTTCCGGAATCAGCTGAATCTCAGTGACAAGATGAATCTTTGAGCACAATTCGGCTAATTTAAAAATGCAATGAGGTGAAGAAGAGATAAAAAAGAATTCACGTTTATTTAATTAAATCTTCGCGTGAACTTTTCTCGCCTTGTTTCATTTTTCAAAAAAAAATATTTTTTCGAGTTTTATAATTTGGCTCACATGTCCATCCCGGTACTATACATTTTTTGGGTATGTTTTTATAGCAACATCTTGTTTCTAAAAAATCACCAATCTTTTTCAAAATCTATTTTGGAAAATAGGTCTTCTACGAGACTAATTATTTAATTAGGACCCCCTCCCTTTATGCTTTATTTCTTCATAAACTCACTGATCCATTTGAGCTTCCAAAACTTCGAAGTCTTTGCTTTGCTTTTTTGAATTTCGTTTTGATTTTCATTTTATTCTACCAAACCAGAATAAAATTAGCACTGAATTCTCAATTGTTTTTTTTTGTGACACACAAAATCCACATCAGAAAATGGGTCACGTCACGTAACAATTAATTTTTGAAAAAACAAACAACAAAATAAAAATCAACAATTATGAAAGAAAACAAAAAAAACTACATGGGTTTGAAATTTCTTGATTGTTTAAGCTGAGCAATCCGTTTTTTATCGTCTTCGAACTTCTTGAGCAATTCTTGAGCTTCTGAAATTAGATAATTTAGTTAGGGAAGAATTCGGAAAATGGAAAATTGTGGACTTTAATAATCAGCAAATTAATATTTAAATTTTGTCTGGTATTAACCTTTAAACTCACTTTGTTGTTTATCCTTTTTGGCTTGGAATGTATAGAATGCTAAATCGACCTTTCGTTTTTTCGGATTACCCAATCCACCAATCAATGGAATTTCATCTTTTTTCAGTTTGACTGCTTTTGCTGCTTTCTTATTTCGTGTAACAGTAATCCAACCATCCTCATCTGGTTCTGAATATTTCTTTTTCGCTTCTCTTCTCGCATCAGCCAAATCTTGATCATATCTTTCAATATAAGTTTCAGCCATTTCTTGGATTTGTTCTTCTGATGGAAAAAGTCGACAATAAAGAGAGGTAGTTTCTTTCAAAACGGTTGGAAAATCGAGTTCTGCGAAATCTGATGCGGTATATGGACCAACATTTTGACATTTACAGAGTATTTCGTTGACTGATTCAGGTTTCACAAATGTGATCGATACTGTGATTTGACCATTTGTCAAAGAATTATCAGCAGCATTGCTTCGTTGAACAAATGAATCTTCAATTTCAGTGTTTGGACTGATTTTGTTGATAAATGCCAACACAACATCCTATTAAAAGATCTAACTCATATTTTTACATTATGTAAACTTTACAAACCTCGCCAAGAAAAGCAGGAACATTTGTAACAATAAGACCATTTTCTTTCGAAGCATCACGTTTCAAAAATAAATTTCTTTCAGTACTGTACTTTTCACTAACACGATATTTCAAGAATCGCAAAGCATCTACATCAATCGACTCTTCAACAAGTTTTCGCTTCAACGAATTTTTCTTTTTTGTCATCGCTGTTATCTGGAATATAGAAATTATTAATAATATATTGAAGAACTCTTCGAAACAAAGTAAAATTCAAGTTATTTCGCGTTGAAAATAAAAAATAGGATACGGTTGACAATTGCGTATTTTGTGTTTGCAGAAACGCATACCGTAGTACTTTCATCATCACACCCCGCTGAAACGGGAAATGACTGTTTTTCTACTGTAGTACGCAATCGAAAAGTGTGCAAACACCGCGTCTCTGCGTCTCTCGAAAATTCACACTGTTTTGTTCGTTCAAAGGAACATACATTTATTAATTTATTGGGTCTCGAAAAGCTGGCCTTCCTGGGCTCCTAGGAATTATAAATCTTATGGTTTAATGTAGATCTCGACACGCTGAATCTCGTGGTATTTTTCATTTTTTCTCTAACGCCTGTTTTCCTAACGAAAATTGGTACGCCAACTATTTCATTAATTTACGTTGCTGATTAAAGGGACACGTATTTATTTAACCGCGTGGTCTCGACGCAAATCGTAACTTTCTTCGCAGGACCCCTAAAAATATGAGTAATATAGTTTAATGTAGATCTTGAGACGCTGATTCTAATGGTATTTTTATTTTTTCATATAACGACCTCTAAGGTAGCTAAAATAGGTACGCCAATGAGAACACCATTTTGCTAATTTTTTCATTGTTTGAGCGGGTGTGTCATTAAAATTTTTTAATTTTTTCGTTTTTGCAAAGCTCCAAGTGTTCTTTCCTCACGTGTTTTTTGGTTTCCGTTAAACTTTTAAAATGTTATATAATTTATAAGCTTTTCCGCACCTTCTTATTTCATTATTTTCTCGATTGCACAAGATGTTGAAACGTGTTCTTCGATGGAAAATTCTTGATAACATAACTTTCTCAAAAATTTATTATTAGGGTTCTTATTAAATATACAATTTCTTATTAATAATCATTGAGGCATTTTGTCGAAAAACTTTTTATAAAATTTCTTCTTATCATCTTCTGTCATCCGCGATTTTGCGGATGCAGAACTTCCGAATGTTGGTGGAGCCTTCCTTCTAGTTCCTGGCACATACGCCCAATCCGGCTTAACATCATCACTATCGATTTTTCTAAAATCGAATGGCGATACAGGGTTAAAAGCGTTTCCGTGAGCATAAGCATATGGGGAGGTTCCCTGTTCAACAGCTCCAGAAAGAGGAAATCGCACACCAGCACCATTTTCACCAAGAGGCATAGGAAAATCAACACCACCAATGAAGAATGTATCGTCACCCTGTTCAACTTCAACTCCCACTCCAGCATGGTGAACGAAAGGATTACAATATGGTGGTTTACATTTAATAGGTTCATATCCATAAGGAACACGCCCTACGATGACTTCCTTCGCTTTCTCTGTAATTTATTAGCTTGATAACATTTTCTGAATTATAGTAAACTTACTTCGAGCTTCTCTGAATGCAGGGTTTTGTCCAAGTAGAGCCAAAGTCTCTGGTTTGATATTTAAGTGATTTGTAGGTCTGATTTGGTAACCAACTTTCACGTCTGCATTAATGTGGCCAAAATAGACATTTCCATCAACATCGAAATTACCCCAACCAGGAATAGGAACAATCATATCACCAGCCAAACTCTTCAAGTAAATTATTCATTTCAGTTATGTACTATTTAATTGTCAACTTACAACTTTATTCGCGGGATTTATCTCGATACCCGTATTGAATTGATCGGTGAATGGAAAAAGAGGAAAGTTATCAGCTGTGATTAAAGCAGGAAACATAGCCTGAGGTCCTTTAACAGGAATAACTAACGGTTCGTCACCTCCATATTTTTGAGCAAAGCCTAATAAGAACAGTTATATCTTTTGAAACAATTAAATAATTAAAACTTACATATCCGGAAAAGAAGAGCGGCTAGTAAAGGTATCATTTGAATGTGAAAGTGGTCGAAATCTTGATAAATCTTCTCTTTGTCTCAAAAAACTTGATTTTGATAACAATAGATAAAAGGTTTATTATCATGAACCCGTATATCACAAGGATATAAATATCAGTAGAAAGTTCAAATATTAATCGACTTATGTATATTAAAAAATTATAATGTTATTATTGAGCAGATAGTTGACGACGAATAGTGTCCTCTCTGTCAGTTTTCTTTGATTTGAATCCTGGAAATTAAATTGTAAATTAAAGTTATCTAAAAACAATGATAGTGTTTTACCTGGTGGTTCAACTGGTCCCATTCCATGACCATAAGTAATAACTAATGGATCAGTTCCAACATTTACTGCTCCACTAATTGGGAATCGAACTCCTACACCTGACGGAGCCAAAGGAATTGGGAAATCAAATCCTCCATCAAACAAGTAATCATCTCCAGGTTCAATATCCAAACCAAGTCCCAAATTATGAACAAATGGATTACACATAGGAGGACGGCATCTAACGGGTACAAAGTTTCCTGGCAAAACAGCCACAGGAATTGATGGAACATTTTCTGAAAATCATGAAAATTTTAAGACTAAAAATTTAAAAAAAAACTAACGTCTTGATTGTTGAAATGTTCCATCTCTCGCTAAAGCAGCAATTGTATCTCCTGATATTCCCAAAACATTAGTTGGTGCATTCAAACTTCCAAATCCAACACGTGTATTTGGTCGTCCAACTTTAACTCCTCCTTTATAATCCCACATTCCCCAACCCATTATTGGAATATTCAAATTTCCATCGACGGTAACACGAGATCCAGGATTTACATCTAATCCATTACTGAATTGACTGTGGAATGGAAACAAAGGTGTTAAAGATGAAGCATCTCGACCAGGGTTTGGCTGAAATTTAGAGTTGGCAAAGTGAAAACAATCACTGTGTAGGCTCTAATTTTTTTTAGACTAGTAGATCAGCAGCATACACCAAATCTTTCGCCGTTTCGTGAACTCTTGACCATTGGCCATAATTATTTTCAAGTTTTGGTTCGAATCAATCGAAATTTCAAGAATTTCTAAATGAATTCTGAATTTTCAATGTTAAATTTTATTTAGTATTCGGAAGTTTATCTTCACACCCTTATTTGAGTTTTTGTTGAAAATATGAACTCATAATAAATTTGAAAAAAATTCTAGAAATGAAAAAATACCTGATAAAATGGTGGCAAATTATAATCTTCAGCTCTTGGTTTGAATGGTGCTGGATTAGGTGGATACGCTTGTCTTTTAATACGATAATAATTTGATTGCGCATAACATAATGCCACTAGAAACAAAGCCAATATCGGCTTCGCGAAAATCATTTTTGCGCAATTTCTCGAATCTTATCACCATTTTATGCTGCCATTTAAATGATTTCGTAACAACCTGTTCTCGATTACGTTTATTATTATGGAAAAAGGAAAGAACTGGATAATCATCAGGAGATGAAATGATAACGGATGTTATTGTGAATGACAGTAATCCTAGCTTGAGTTCTTGAAAATTCCGGAATATGACCTTGAACCAAGTCCAAAGACAATAGAAGTTCAAAAAATAATATTATTTTTTCAAGAAAAAGTTGAATGTTTTGAAATTATAGAAGAGTTTTCCTAACTACAAAATAACTTCACAAAACTTCAATTTTACAACTTGTATTGACTCCAAAATTCTAAATGTCATTATTCAAAATTGAAAAAAAAAACAAATATATTTTCTTCCCATTTATTCTTTTTTGTTCTAACCATCTGTCATTCTACTCCAATATTATGCAATTTTGCTCAAGGGCTTAAAAGTGCCGCTTCTTTTTTCTTCTTTTATTCATTTTTTCATTTTCATTCTACTCTTTTTTTCTAGGGTAAAAAATGGTGATCCAAAGACAACTTGTTCTACAAGGAGATTCCAAATCGGCTCCATATGCTTCAATTTTGACATTGGCTGCTGGCGGACATTCAATTGAAAAGTCAATTTTGTTGAAAGAAGGACAAGCATTGAACCTTAACTTGTAAGTCAACTTTTTTAAAAATAAAATTGAATTGAATGAATTTTTAATTTCAAGGGATGGTGAACGAATTTCGAATGATATTACGATTTCTCGAATTATTGCTCAAAGTTCGAAAAATTCAAATGAACTGTTAGGTGGTTCATTCAATGATTTCGCTCAAATTGATGAGATTCTCAACATTGCTGAAGATATTCTTTCTGGTTCAGCTGCTCCACAAACTTTGAACTCTGTTCAACCGCTTTCTGGTCCATTGAACTTGGCTGATTTGGCTATTTTTTCGATTGCTCATAACAATTCTGATTTGAAAAAGAAATTCTCAGGAGTTATTGAGAAAGTTTTGGGTGATTCGAGATTGGGAATTGCTCATAATACAGTAGGAATCTACAAAGTTGAAGTTGCTCAATCACAAACTCAAAAACCAACGAAAGAAAAGAAGAAAGACGAAGGAAAATTCGTTGAATTACCAGGAGCTGAAAAAGGAAAAGTTGTTGTTCGTTTTCCACCAGAAGCATCTGGATATCTTCATATTGGACATGCAAAAGCAGCACTTTTGAATCAATATTATCAACAAGAATTTGATGGCCAACTCATTATGAGATTTGATGATACAAATCCAGCAAAAGAAAATGCTCATTTTGAACAAGTTATCAAAGAGGATTTGAAATTATTGAATATTATTCCTGATAGATGGACACATTCATCTGATCATTTTGAACTTCTTCTTGAAATGTGCGAAAAATTGTTGAAAGAAGGAAAAGCTTATGTTGATGATACTGATACAGAAACAATGAGAAATGAAAGAGAAGCAAGACAAGATAGTAAAAATAGAAATAATACACCAGAAGTAAATTTGAAATTATGGAATGAGATGAAAGAAGGAACTACAAAAGGATTAACATGTTGTGTTCGAATTAAAATTGATATGAAATCAAATAATGGAGCAATGAGAGATCCAACTATTTATCGGTGTAAACCAGAAGAACATGTTAGAACTGGATTGAAATATAAGTAAGTTGAATATGAATAATTGCAAAAATAATTAATTATACATATTTTAAGAGTTTATCCAACTTATGATTTCACATGTCCAATTGTGGATAGTATCGAAGGTGTTACACATGCTCTCAGAACAACTGAATATCATGATCGGTTAGTTACATATATTTCTAGATTCATATAAAAACTAATAATTTATAGAGATGATCAATATTATTTCATTTGTGATGCTCTTGGTCTTCGACGTCCTTATATTTGGGAATATGCTCGATTGAATATGACAAATACTGTTATGTCAAAAAGAAAATTGACATGGTTTGTTGATGAAGGACATGTTGAAGGATGGGATGATCCAAGATTGCCAACAGTTCGAGGAGTTATGAGAAGAGGTTTAACAGTTGAAGGATTGAAACAATTTATTGTTGCACAAGGAGGATCAAGAAGTGTTGTTATGATGGAATGGGATAAAATATGGGCATTCAATAAAAAGGTTCGATTTTTTATCCTTTGATTATTTACAAAATGTATTTTTTTTAGGTAGTTGATCCAGTTGCTCCAAGATATACTGCTTTGGATACATCATCTCCATTAGTTGTTGTTGAATTAACTGATAAATTGAATGATGAAGTTTCGAGCGTTGCTCTTCATCCAAAAGATTCATCAATTGGAAACAAAGAAATTCATCGAGGAAAACAAATTCTTCTTGAACAAATTGATGCAGCAACATTAAAAGAAGGAGAAACAGTTACATTTGTTAATTGGGGTAATATTAAGATCAATAAAATTACCAAAAAAGCGAATGTAATTACTGGAATCAATGCAACTCTGGAATTGGATAATAAGGATTATAAGAAGACAACAAAAGTTACATGGATTGGCCAAACTAAAAACGGATCAACAATTCCAGTTGTTACTGCTGATTATGATCATATTATTAGTAAAGCAATTATTGGAAAAGATGAAGATTGGAAACAATTTATCAATTTCGATTCTGTGGTATGTGTTTTTTTTCCGTAATTTTTTTCATGAAAAAAAATGAATTTCAGAAATACACAAAAATGGTTGGAGAACCAGCAATCCGAAATTTGAGAAAAAGGCGAAATTATTCAACTTCAACGAAAAGGATTCTATATTGTTGATCAAGCATATAATCCAAAAAGTGAATTGAGTGGTGTTGAAACTCCGCTTCTTTTGATTGCAATTCCTGATGGACATACAACAACTCCAGCTGTTTCCAAAGAATCTCAAAAGGTTGCAACTGGACCATCAACAACCGGTTCTTCCAATGCTGGGCTTGAAATTTATAATGCAATTGATGCTCAAGGATTAATTGTTCGAGAGCTCAAAGCTAAAGATGCGAAGTCGCAAGCAACAAAAGATGCCATCGCCAAATTATTAGAACTCAAAAAACAATACAAAGAGGTGACTGGAACAGATCATAAACCAGGAAATCCACCAGCATCTCAAGCACCAGTCGCAGCTTCTTCGACATCGTCAAATTCAGCTTTGGATATTTACAATGCAATTGATGCACAAGGATTATTGGTGAGAGAACTCAAAGGAAAAGATGCTAAATCACAAGCCACAAAAGATGCAATTGCAAAGTTATTGGAATTGAAGAAGCAATACAAAGAAGTAACCGGATCAGATCATAAACCAGGAAATCCACCGGCATCTCCTACACCTGCTGTTGCAGCTTCGCCAAAATCATCAAACTCAGCATTGGACATCTACAATGCAATCGATGCACAAGGATTGATTGTGAGAGATTTGAAATCGAAAGATGCCAAATCGCAAGAAACAAAAAGATGCTATCGCAAAATTGTTGGAGCTTAAAAAGCAATACAAAGAAGCTACTGGAACTGACCATAAACCAGGAAATCCACCAGCATCTCAAACACCAGCTCCTGTTTCTTCTTCATCTTCGAATACTTCTCCATTGGATGTTTATAATGATATTGAGAAACAAGGAAATATTGTTAGAGATTTGAAATCAAAAGATGCCAAATCACAAGCAACAAAGGATGCTATTGCTAAATTGTTGGAACTCAAGAAACAATATAAGGTTAGAACAATTATTGAGATTCCTAATTTAAAAAAACCAAATGTTATTTTTGTAGGAATTAACTGGAGCTGATCATAAACCCGGAAACCCGCCAGTGGCTTCCGCTCCTCCAATATCAAATAATAATGATGATCTTTCGAAACAAATTGATGCTCAAGGATTGATTGTTAGAGATTTGAAATCAAAAGATGCAAAATCACAAGAAACTAAAGATGCAATTGCTAAATTGTTGGCACTCAAGAAACAATATAAGGAGTCAACTGGATCTGATTATAAACCTGCCCCATCTCCAGCTGCCGCAGCCGTTCCTTCAACTCCTGTTTCTGCTCCAACTTCTTCTATTGATGAGAATGCACTTTTGAAAGAAATCGAAGATCAAGGTGCAATTGTTCGTGAAGCAAAATCAAAAGATCCTAAATCGCAAGAATCAGCTGATGCAATCAACAAATTGCTCGCTTTGAAGGCTAACTTCAAAAAAGTAACTGGAAAAGATTTTCCAGCTCCTCCACCACAAGGAAAGAAGAACAAGAATAAGAAGTAATCCTGTCATCAGTTTTGTTTTGTTTTTAATAGATGCAATGAATTTCTATTTTGTTATTTTTTTAAATTTCAATCGATTAATTAGACACGTTTTTATTCGTTCAAATATTTGTATCAAAAAAGTTTTATAAACAAAAACTAGAAAACAATTAATTTTTGCAGACTTATGTTGTTATGACTAGAATTGCTATATTAGTTCAAATATTTATATTTTTCAACTTCGTTACAACAATTAATTGCGAAGGATTTTTCGATGAAGTTTTTCAGAGAATAAATATTCAAGAGGGAACTGCTTGTTATCGATTATTAAATGGAACAGATCAATTTGGATGTCATGGTAAACAAATTGACAATAATTATTTGTTGAATTCTTGCAATTTTCAGGTACATCGAAGAATGAAAATGGATTGCTTGTAGAAATTAAAAATGAACAAGGTATCTTTGAAAATATTGGAAAATGTTTCAAAAATATTTATCCTGATTATGATGGAATGTTTTGGTTATTATTACCTGTTGAAATGATAAAGAAGTGAGTTATTTATATTTTTATAGAAAAAAAAATTAAATTGAGTTATTACAGGAATACTGTTGCAATAATCAAAACATCAAATTGTATAGCCGGTTTGGTTCTTTATAATGAGAAAGTATTCAATATTGATGATTCAATCGAAGCATCTCATGATTCAGAATGTCCAAATCGTCTTTCTGGTAGGATTTTTTCTAAACTTTGGTATTTTTTCAACAAAAACTTACAGATTTTTACAAAGATCCAGCGAAAAATATAAACTCAAAAGGGGCTATTTTACCAGAAGGATTACGAGATATTCATTGGGATTTACAGATGGTTTTTATTGATAATTCAACCGAGATTGAAGTTTTGAAAAAGGTAAATTACTTTGTAGTTAGTTAAATTCAATGAAATAATATGTTTTAGTGTTATTCCCTTTTCAATCAACCAATTTCTGGTGGAACAATATCTCATCCATATTGTGGAATGTCTTTCAAATTATCGAATGCAGCCGCAGGAAATTCAGATATTTGTTATCGAAGAGGAATTGATGCAATGAATTCATTACAAATTTCTTTGGATACCAAGTAAATCAAAAACAAAAAAATGAAGTCTAATTTCAATTTTTCAGCGGACAAAATAATGCTCCATGTATACCTTTGGTGGGTTATAACATTTTTGGTCTACCAATTGGTCTTTCGACTCTTGCAAATTTCAGTCGCGAACCAACTTATATGGTTTTGGCTTCCAGAGTAAGTGATATTCAAAAGTTTTTTGAATTTTGAAAGTATTGGGATATTTTCTCATTTGTCTTTCATTTGAAATTCTGAGTTTTTTTTTGTAATTTTAGATGGATAGTTTCGGAGTTATTGCTGATGTCTCACCTGGTGAAATATCTGTTATAACATCTCTTATTGCAATGATATCAGCAGCTCGTTCAATTGGAACAAATTTCGAAAATTGGTCAAAAGCTTCGAAAAAATCAAATAAATATCTAATGTTTTCCACATTTAATGGAGAAAGTTTTGATTATATTGGAAGCAGTGCAACTGTTCATCTAATGAGAAATTCCGAATTTCCATTGCCAATTTTGAATATAACACAATTGAGAAATATCAATTTGCAACAAATTGAATATGTTGTTGAAGTTCAACAACTTGGAAGTAGTAAAAATAAGAAATTGTATGCACATGTGGATAAAAAACGATATTCGAATAAAAAAGAAGAAATTGACGGAATTTTGAAGAGAATTCGAGAAAGTTTAGTGCAAGATGGTTATACAATTAATATGTCAATTGAAAATGTCACACCACCTTCAAGTTGGCATTCATTTGCAAAGTTTGATGAAAATGTTCAGAATTTGGTGATTGCTCCATTCGATGAAACATATGAATATGGGTAAGAAAAGTTATGAAATCTAGTTTTTTAGACGAACAGAAAATTTCCGTGCAGTTTTAGAACTGAAAAATGACAACCCCTCACGTTTGAAAAATTAGTGCTCGAGTGAAATCTTCGAAATAATTAATTAGAAATGCCCGAAATACTCTTAGGTTTTCCCACAAAAAACATTTTCATAGCGTGAACTAGATACATTTTGAAATGTTATTGCACCTCGAACAAGAAAACCAAATTTTTGTCTAATTACTTTCATACTAATTATTATTATTATTATTTCCAGTCGATTCAATTCAATGTTGGATAAAAATACATGGAATGATGAAAACAAAAATAAAGTGAAGAAAGAAATAGAAGCAGTTTCAAATTCAATTCTTTCAACAGCTGCACAATATGTTGGATTGGAAAATGCTACAAAAGTTGATGAAAAACTAATAGATATACTTTTTGAATGTATGATTGTGTCGAGAAATTGGTTTGATTGCGATTTTTTCAAAAAATTGAATGGCGGAAGATACGAATTTATTGGACGTTAGTTTATTCTCATAATTTTACAATTGATATTCTTTTTTTGTAGAAACGTATTCAATGCAATCGAAATCAACATATATTGGTGTTGGCGGAAATAATCCACTTCGATTCATTCTTCATTGGTTGTATATATTTGCATTAGGAAGTGATCGTGAAACACTAAATGTTAAAGATGGGAAAAGTTGTATGCATTTGTCTGAAAATCAAGCTGTTTATAGTTATGATTGGCAGCCAAATCCGTACACTGGAAATTTCAGTTGCTATCGTTCTTCTGTTCGATTTAATCAGTTACAATCACCAGCTTTCGATATTGAAGGTTTGTTTTTTTTGTGTGAAAATATTACAAACTTTATCTCAATTCTTTTTCCAGGATATTCAATAAAAAATAATCGAACATATTCAACATGGACTGAATCTGTTTATACAATTGATTCTATCAAATTATTTATAATGGAAGATTCATCTTTCGATTATATTATGTTAATTCTTGCCATTTTCGTTTTCATTCTTTCAATATTTTCAATAAGTAAGTTATAGAATTTTAAAGAATTCAGTTCATAAAAAATATTTTTAGCTCGATGTAAAGAAGACACTTTCATAATTGATGAAGGAGAACAACTTGCTGAATCTGGCGAACCACTGTAAATTTCTTTTTTTTTTTGCATTTGCCAAATTAAATTCTCTGATCTCAGACTCACCGTGTAATTTGTTCAATATTCATATCTTTTACTTAAATTCATAAAATTTGATTTTTTCTATCGTTTTGTTTTTATTATGGTTTTTGAACCAATTTTCCTAAATATTTTATAATTTTATTGAACTCCAAATATTTTTTGATTAGGAATGGGAGATAAACTCAAAAGTGAAAGAAGAAAGTGTTACGAAGCTCGAGATAAATACGTTGAGTGTGTTGAACGATTTTTGGATCAAGGAAAAAACGAAACAGAGGTTGGTTTGAAAAAATTGGAACTTGACTTTGGTGGACCAGAGAACCATTAAATAAAAATTATTTTTTAAAACTTGGAATTTAGAAAAAAAAAAACAAATTTTTGAAATCTATCCAATTTTACGAAAAAAATAGTTCTCCGGTTTTTTTTTTATTCAGAAAAGTATCACTTTTTCACATATTTTGATGAATTCTGGGGTTTTTATGCAGCTTTAAAATTAATTTAAAATGTTTATAATTTAATAATTTACTTTGATCGAATGAAGAATTATTGAAAATATAGATCAAGCTGATGTTGTAGCATCTGTTTCAGCTTCTGTGGTTGCATCTGTTTCTGCTTCAGTTGTCGATTCTGTAGTAGCTTCAGTTGTAGCAGGTGTGGTGGTAGTTGTGGTAGTAGTAGTAGTTGTTGTTGTCGTCGAAGTTGCTGCCGAAGCGCGACGATCGAAAAAATCTCGAATATTTTGGTTTCAAATTATAAATAACTTACTGTATTGTCCATTTGTATGACAAGAATCAACTACCAAAAGAAAACATACAAAAATTATAAAAACTTTGCTAGACAGCATAATGTTCGATGTTTTATATTAATTAAAAATTTTCGAAATCATTTTATAGAGACTGAAAGCAATAAAACAATCAAGTTCCACTTTTTAAATCAAAAAAGTTTTGTTGATTTCGTTATTTTATGATGTGGTTTTAATTGGGGAAATTATGAAAATGGGAAAATTGCCATTTTCATGTTTTGAACTTTTATTGCCTTTTTTCACCACCAAACTACACAGAATTGATGAGGTGATTCAAATAGAAAAAACCGAATTAGAAGCAGTTTTTGTCTTATTCTTTTTAGGAAGAAAATAAAAATATCTTTACAATTTTTTCATTAAAAACAATTTTCTGGAACATTGAATTTATTTTTTTCAGGCGAATAATTTGTGCAAAAAAGAAAGAAAAGGATTTGATAGTGATTGTCCAGCTTCTTGGGTTACTCATTTTTTGAGAAAATATCAATTCGAAAGGTTTGTTTTGAAAGATCAAGCTCACAAAAATACAAATTTTCAGATACAAGAAAACTCTTTCTGAACAAGGTGTAAATATTGTTGACAAAAATGCATTGTCTTCGGAATAGTTTTCAATCTGTCAGGTTTTTCAGTGAGGTTGGTTTATTTTCAAAAAATTTTCAGAAATATTTATTTTGCAGAAACTACTCACTCCATCTGCTGAATCAATGCTCCAAAAAGGATATTCAATTCCGGATAAAATAGAAATATCGAAAACTCTTAGCGAAATTTTAAGGTTGTTTTAGAAACTTCTAATGAAAGTTTATAGATAATTTTTGGTGTTTTGTATTTCAGAACATCTTTATATCATGATCCAATTGTTCGAGAAAATTGTTTGAAATTATTAGAAGCGAAAAAAGGAAATATGATGGACAAAGATATTGTTGAAGGAACTCGAGTTATGGCAACTTTCTTTTTCTGCGAAAAAAACAACAAGAAATTGAGAGAGAAATATTTGAAAATATCAGAAAGTTTTCCAATTTGCAAACAGAATATTTTGAAAAAAAGAAGTTGATTTAATTAAACAATCAATGAATTTGAAAAATATTGAAGTCGATCTTCCAACATTTGAAAAATGTCTCTATAAGGTTTAGTTTTTATTTAAAATCATTTTTAGCGCATTTTTTTCACATGTTTGTTTTTCAGTCTGATGTGATCAATTTTTATTTCAAGAAACAAATAGAATTGGAAAATTATGAAATTCTGAAAGAAATTATTATAAATCATGGAGATTTTATCGATTTATATGAAAGCATCGAAGATATTTGCAAAAAATGAAAATACGAAAAAAGAGAAAATATTTCAATTGTTAATGGATAAAATAATCAAACAGCATTTTTATTTGAATTATGAGGAATTCGAAAAATTGAAAAAGGCTGCTATTCTTTGTGGATTCAAAATTGAAATATACGATGAAAATGAGAAAGTTGAATATTTGAAAAATGAAGAAATTCAGAAATTGATTGATCAAATTGTTGAATTCACAAAGAACAAAAACGAAGGTAAGCATTTTCTGACGATTTTTTTTTTGAAAAATGAAAATTAAAAATTGATACGTTCACGTGTTTTCATTAGAAAACAAGTGTTCATTTTATTAATTTAAAATGTTGGAAAATGACAGTTCTAACCGAATCTATGAATGAAAAATGGTGAGCGAAGCCTTTCAGAATATTTTCTAAAAACTACAATATGTCAATTTAATTTTGAAATTTATTTCAGGATTTTTGAGTATCGAAGAATTGGAAGCTGTTGATGAATTTGTGACGAAAAGGGAAAAAGAAGCATCGAAAAATAATACAGTTGTAATTGATGCATTGAATTATGGAGAAGGAAGAGACCCCAAAAATTGGAAACTGTAAGTTCGAAACCTAATGTCTATTCCTTTTATTATTTAATTTAGTTTGGAAAAAGTTTTCGGAAATCTTGTTTTTGCAACAAGAAAACAAAAGGGAGGAAAGGAGAAAGCACAAATTGATCTCTATAACAACTTGCCAGTATTATTTTGTGACAAATTGTAAGTTAAATTTGTTCAAAACTAAACTCAAATTATTATTTATAGATCATCTGATGATATGATAGTATTATATTTGGCATGGAAATTAGGACCGGAATGTCGTGTTATAACAAATGATTTTTATAAAGATCATCGAAGAAATTTGTGTAAGAATGTGCCAGAAATTGGGAAAATTTGGGATAAATGGATTATTGATGCGATTTATAGACATGATTCAATTAATTGTGAGGTTAGTTGTTTTCGAAATTTTCAAGGGGCCCAAAGTCGATTTTTGTTTATCCCTGGGAAGAAATACGACATTTTTATATTAGATCCATATTTTTTGTGTTAATTGAAACCAGATGTTAGCTCTTCTAAAACGAATTTCAAACTAATAATTGTTTTATTTCAATTCAATTCATTTTGATTTTATTTTTTGTAATTCTAAAAGTCAAATGATTATACAAAAATCTAACAGTGAATATAAATCCAATAAATAAGATGAAATACGATAAAATTAAAATGAAATAAATATCCAACATATAAATTTGTATTTTGGACATATTTCTTGAATATGGATCCATTGTTGAAAATGGTCCAAATTCACTGACAAATTCAACATATTTTATAACTGTTTCTTTTGGTTTCATCGGTTGTTTTGATAATAATTTTGCCAATTTTTCTGCATTTTTCGAATATTTTTCATCATTTAAAATATTATTGATTGATTTTTTCAATAATTCAAAGTTTCCCAAGTCGAATTTTGATAAACCAATAGTTCCATTATGTCTTTTCAACATATTTGCATTTCTCATTTGATCCGCAAAAATTGGAACCATTATTGCTGGTTTTCCCAAATAAGCCAATTCATTTGTACTTCCCAAACCACCATGTGTTAAAAATGCATTCACTCGTTTGTCACCTGTAATTTCTGTTGTCGAATATATATTCTTTATAACTCTGATCAAATTTTGTTTCTGTGATTCATCCTGAAACATTTTCTAAACGCTAGTGAATATGTACAAAAAACATGTATAAAACTTGAAGCAACATACCAGGCCTGTGCCGGAAAATCAAAACCCGGAAAACGGAAAGTCGGAAAATTTCCGGATTTTTTGAACCGGAAATCCGGGAAATTCGGAAAATTTTTCAAAGTCTGAAATTTCGATTTCCAGCCTTAAGTTGGCACTAAAACTTATTTTTATCTACAATTCTTCTATTCACAGGTAATTTAGTAACTATTTGAGACGTTTTACGTTAAAAAATAGTAAAATTTGAAAAACTGAAAAAAAAATTTCCAAAAATTTCATTTTTTTCCATCATAAACTGAGAAAATTTTCCAAAATTTAGGCAATTTTGAAAATATTACTACTAGAGATCATTTCCGGATTTTCCGAGCACATTTTCCGGAAAACCGGAAAATTGATTTTTCCGTGAAAAAACCGGAAAAACCGGAAATTCGGAAAATTCGGAAAATTTCCGGCACAGGCCTGCAACATACATTATTCAAATTAGGCTTCTTCCTAATTTTTCTTTATCTACCTTTTGTTCTGAATTTCCAAAACTCACCTAGCAATGCAGTTTGTGGAGTCCATTTGGAAAATACAACATTTTCAACATTCTTAGCCCATTCCAAATCATCTGATTCATATTTCCAAATGAATGTTACATTTGGAAATAATTTTATAACATTCAAAATATTATTTTTCCATTCACTTGGCATATCCATTGATTTTACCATACTTCCAAATGAAATTAGCATATTTTTCTTTCTTTTATTCAAAATATTATTCCATTCTTCTGTTAATTTTTCGGATTTAATTTTCTCCAAATTCACACTAATTCCTCCAATTGGAACCGTTTTTTGAATAATTGGACGAGGAAAATCAATATATGGATTCGAATTGACAAAATGTAATGATGTTTCTGAATAAAGATCATGCCAATTCGAAATATTCCATTTTGAAAATAGTTTCATCTCGTGATCGAAAATACTTTTCATAGATTCAAACGATTCTTCATTATTCAAATAGTTTTGATATCTTTCGTATAAGTTCATTTTATCGGAATAAGAAGATTGAAGTGCTGAAAATAATGAATAGCTCTGAAAATTTATTTGAAGAACTTACCTGGAACATAAGATGGATGATTTGGTTCTCCAATTAAAGGCATAATATGATCATACATTGTGCAAGATGTTGAAATAATAGTTTTTTCGATTCCTAATAATTTGAAATAAGCTAATCCACAAACTGATAATGGTTCAACAATTGCAACATCGAATTCAACATCTTTTAGTTTTTCGAATATTTCTTGATTTCTCAATAAATTAGCACATGTTTCCACCATTTGATGTTCAAACCATTTGAATTGTTCTTTGTTTTTTTTCGGGCTTTCAATATAAGTCCAAAGTGATTGCATTACTACATCTTTATCTGTTATTGAACTTGTTTTATAAATATCATCTTGTTCAACATTTAACAAATGTTTTGTCTGAACTTTTATTCGGTTTTGAAGAGATTCTTCCGAAATTGGAGCCAGAAATGTGACATTATGTCCAGCTTCAGTCAAAGTATCTGATAAATGTGCCATGAAATTCATATGGCTTGTTGCAAAAGCAGGAGAATATACAAGGACATTATATGATAATATAGAATTCAAAAAAGATAGAATTGAAAGACAAAATAGAAACATTCGCATTATATGACCAGATTATCAAAACAGTTGTTTTTATACACAGTTTTTTGTAGTTATTGTGATATGTATGATTGTTCTAGCCAGTATCACAAATCAACTCATAAAATAACATGATTGAGTACTCGTATCATCTTCTTTTTAAATGTTTTTGTGTCCAATAATGATGACAAAAATTCATATTTGACCAAGAAAAATTCAATGGTTTTTTAGTTTCCAAGTACTTTGGAAAAGACTTAACAAAAAGCTAGAAATAAACAAAAATAAAATGAATATAATAAAGTAGGAGAAAAACATAATGAAATAAATATCCAACATATAAATTTGTATTTTGGACATATTTCTTGAATATGGATCCATTGTTGGAAATGGTCCAAATTCACTGACAAATTCAACATATTTTATAACTGTTTCTTTTGGTTTCATCGGTTGTTTTGATAATAATTTTGCCAATTTTTCTGCATATTTTGAATATTTTTCATCATTTAAAATATTATTGATTGATTTTTTCAATAATTCAAAGTTTCCCAAGTCGAATTTTTGATAAACCAATGGTTCCATTATGTCTTTTCAACATGTTTGCATTTCTCATTTGATCCGCAAAAATTGGAACCATTATTGCTGGTTTTCCCAAATAAGCTAATTCATTTGTACTTCCCAAACCACCATGTGTTAAAAATGCATTCACTCGTTTGTCACCTATAAGTATATTTAATGAGATTTTATTATACACTTCAAACAATTACTAACCCAGCAATGCAGTTTGTGGAGTCCATTTGGAAAATACAATATTTTCAATATTCTTAGCCCATTCCAAATCATCTGATTCATATTTCCAAATGAATGTTGCATTTGGAAATAATTTTATAACATTCAAAATATTATTTTTCCATTCACTTGGCATATCCATTGATTTTACCATACTTCCAAATGAAATTAGCATATTTTTCTTTCTTTTATTCAAAATATTATTCCATTCTTCTGTTAGTTTTTCGGATTTTATTTTTTCCAAATTCACACTGATTCCTCCAATTGGAACCGTTTTTTGAATAATTGGACGAGGAAAATCAATATATGGATTCGAATTGACAAAATGTAATGATGTTTCTGAATAAAGATCATGCCAATTCGAAATATTCCATTTTGAAAATAATTCTATTTCACGGTCAAAGAATTCATCAGCCGAATCGATTGATAACTTAGAATTCAGTAAATTTTGATAACGTTCATAAATATTCATTTTGTCCGTGTATTCGGAAATCAATGCTGAAATAAAAACTATTGAAAGAAAACAAATATAGATAAATATTAACCTGGAATATAAGATGGATGATCTGGTTCTCCAATTAGATGCATAATATGATCATACATTGTACAAGATGTTGCCATTATTGTTTTTTTGATTCCTAATAATTTGAAATATGCCAATCCACAAATTGATAATGGTTCAGTAATTGCAACATCAAAATTAGTTGATTTCAAAATATCAATAACTTGTTGATTTCTCAATAAATTTTCACAAGTTTCAAATATAATATCATCCAACCATTTGAATTGTTCCAAAATAGTATTCAAATCTTCAACATATGTCCAAAATATTTTCATAGCATCTTCAGAAATTGTCTGAATCTCAGTTGATTTCATTATTTCATCTTGTTCAACGAATATTATATTTTTGGTCAGAACATTAATTTGTTCTCTATAAATTTCATCGGAAATTGGAGCCAAAAATGTTACATTATGTCCAGCTTCAGTTAAAGTATCTGATAAATGTGCCATGAAATTAATATGACTTGTAGCAAAAGCAGGAGAATGTATTAGAATATTCAAAGTTTGAATAGAACTGAATAAAAAAGAAAAATATATCCAAAACATTTTATTTCTATTTTAAAACAATGAAAAAAGATAAAATGGTTTGTGTTTATATATTCAAAATCAAAGTTTGTGCCAAACTACAAAGTATGGAATTTGTTATCAGTTGAAATGAAAACAATTAAATACATTTTAGCCACTGCGTCATTTCAATATTCGAATTTATGAGAAGTCGCCAAATTGTTGGATTGTTCCTGTTATTCCAGATAAACCCAGAATTCGCGAAATCAATCGCTGGAAGATAAGTTTATAGTTTGATTTTTTTAATTGTTTTTTAATAGGTTGTTTTTTGTTGTTTTTTTTTATGAATGAATAAGTCGAATGCAGAAACTTTTTCAACTGTGCCAAGACTACTGTAGTTCATTATAGAGGAAATATTTTTCAAATGTTTCCAACAATAATAGAAAGAAAAACGCTGTAAAATCAGAATTAGTTACAGTACTCAAAAAGTCTGACAAATTTCAATATTTATTTTTAGACGATTCCTGAACGAGCTATGAATGATTTTTTATTTTGATTTGACTGCGAAAATTCTAACGAAATAAAAGCTTTATTGTATCTAAATCCGGATTTCCAGCCGTTTCTCTCTTTTTTTGCAAAGTCTTGAAATTATTGCATCGAAACTTTTATCCAGTTTGCCATTCCGTTTTTATCTTGATTTCTGTCATTTTCTTCTTCTTTTTTCCTGTGTTTTTTCTTTCTTGTTCTTTTTTCTTTATACCATTTTATAATATATATGATATCTTCGTTTATTTTTTTTTATTTTCATTCGAAACTGGTCTTTTTTGGCGCCTTGATTGGTATGTCTGACTGACTGAATGACTGACTTTGTGGCTTGATAGCAATTGGATAATTTGATATTTTATTTAGTTAACTTTTCGAAGTTTTTCTTTTCATTTGTTCTTTTTGTAGATGATGGATATTTTTATCAAGTTTTTTTCGGGTTTCTTAGACCAGGAAATTTTCTCTATTTGGAAAAGAAAAAGAATGGCAGATGATATTTTTCATAGAATGAAAATGGGATGGCAGATTTTTATGGCAATTTTTGAATCGGACCAGAGGAATCAAGCCAGGTTCTAATCATTGAATTTCGGTGGTCCGACTCAGAAACTCACAAATTTTACGATAATTTTAAAAGGGTTGTACTGATTATTGACAAATCAAATCCGAAATTTATTCCTATAAACTCGGATTTTGTATGCTTGTTTTTTGGAAAGTGGAATTTTTTAGAAACCGTATTCCTATCGATTTAGCAGAAGTTTTCCTCAAGAAATAAACGATTTAACAAATAAGCTTACCTTTTTATACATTTTTATAAAAAAGTTTTCTCATAACAATAGAATTACTCATACTCAAAAATGTTTTTGTTCTCGCAATTTCAAAAAAAATCATATTTTCTGATAAATTCATAAATTTGCTTATATTTTTTTTACAATTCTCGCTTTCAAAGTGTAACCCCGAACATAAATATTTTCTAATTATAGTCGATTTTTGGCACTGAAAATGTTACACCTTTTTGGTTTTTGCTTGAACGAAGAAATGCTTTGCTTTAATTTCCTGTTTGAAAGGGCGGTCAAACCGACTGCCAACAAAAAAGCGAAAGTTTCAATGTCAAAAATGCGGCGATATGGCAGACTTTTTTTGTATTTTAAGAAAAAAATGTGTGGAGCTTTTTGAATCGAATTAATTGCTGTTTGAAAATATCTAACTTATGTTATTTGTTTCACAAAGAGATTTTGTTGATTGATTGCATGTTCTTTCAAAAGATGATTGAACAACATTGATTTTGAAAATGAACTTTTTTCTCAAAGTTTCTAGACTTGAGACAGGCGTGTGGAAAATTGGCAGACCACATTCTCGCATTTTTCTTTTACAGACCCGGTGGCCTACAGTCTGTAATTTAATACCTCAAGAATGTAGACCACAAACTCGTTTAATATATTTTTCTCCCTTAATTTCTCACTTTTATTCTTCACCCAAAGATGACAGAGCTCAGTTTTTTTTCTGAAAAAGCCCTCCGCCTTCTTCCCTAAAAAAATAGTGAACATTTTTTATTCCGTTAAATTGAAACATTTCCGGTCCGGTTTCCCTTTTTTTGAAGATCATATTCAAAAAAAAAACGAAATCGAGACAATTCTTCTTCTTCGTCTCCTTTTTTTCATCGTATCCATACTATTTATATCATGCACTTCAAATAGTTTTCTCTTTTTTCTTTGTGTTTTGGTGACGAATTTAATTTTCGAAAAAAAATGTTCATAGATTATTTTATTAAAATAAGAATTATTTTTTAGAAAGAACCAGTTACCTAAAAATTGATCATTCAGTTTTTCTGTTGATGAAAGTTTTGATTCGGGAATTATAAAATACTGTAAATTTGTTGAAATGAAAAAAAATCAAGATTTTTCAGTTTTCAAACATCTCTTTCAGATTAAAAATTTTTACATAAAAGTTGTGAAACTGTTAAAGCTAGTTGAAGTTTTAAGATAAAAAACCCTTTCTTGCCCATCTACTTCAAAATATCGGATATTTTTCAGAACTTTTAATTTGCTGATGTTTGATGTTTCTGTCTTGATCTTCTTTCTCCAATTTTCCACTATTTTTCTCTAAAAATTCTCCAAATTCCATTTTTAAAGAAACCCATTTATTTACTTTTTATTACACAGTTTCGGTTTTATCTAATCTTTTCATTTCTCCTTTTTTTCTTAAACAGTTCCGTTTACTTCCAACAAAAAAAACAACAAAATAAAAATGTCTGCAAATCATTTTCAGCCATTGATGTGATGATATTTGTACTGTTCAGTTTACTGATTTTATCAATATATTCCAAAGAATTGAACACTACAAATATGTAAGTAATTTCATTTTTTCTTATGACACGAAAATTGTGATTCAGAAAAGATCGTTTTCAAGTAATTCGAGCTCACGCGGGAAATGTTAAACAACTCGAAGCTCTTCGAAATATCCATTTAGATACTCAACATGAAGTCGATTTTTGGTTGACACCGAAAAAAGTTGGACATCGAGCTGATATTATGGTTAATGAGGAACAAATGATGTGGTTGAATGATTTATTGAAAACAAATAATATTACTTATGATATTATTATTGATGATGTTGAAAAGTTAGTTTTAAAAGAAAATAATGAAATGGGAACCTTTTTGGAGACATTTGGAAAATTGATAACAATATTAGAGGTGGGGAATAAAATTTGCGGTACTGTATTTCATTTTTACAAAGATTTTGTGGAATGCAGTTTGGGGAAGCTTTAAAAATCAATTCTGAAGAACTTGCAATTGGACCATTTTTTGAATTCTTGAAAATCATTCTGAATCGGATCATTTTACGCTACGAGTTACGTTGGTGATAAAATAGTTTTAAAATTAAATATTATTGTTCGCAATAAAAGTTTTCAAGTTTCTCCAACAAAATTACCTTAATTATAAATAAATCAAAAATCACAAATTTCCTTTTTTTAGATTAATAGTTTCTCGGGAACACGGTAGATCAAATCGACTTTCTCATGTTTTGTTGAGTCGTCGACAAAGAAATGAAGGTGGAAATCGAGCAAGATTCAATTTTGGAGAATATCAATCATATCAAACAATTCTTGATTGGATAAAAGATATCGAAACAAAATATCCGGATAGAGCGAAAGTATTTACAATTGGATATACTTCAGAAGGAAGACCAATTAGTGGAATTAAAATTGGAAAAGATGTTCGAAGAATTGATAAAAGAATATTTTGGATTGATGGAGGAATTCATGCGAGAGAATGGGCTGCTGTTCATACTGTTTTGTATTTTATTGAAAGAGTTTGTTTATTTTCTCATATTTCTAATTTTGGAAAAATTAATAATTAAAAATGTTCAGTTAATTGCTGATTATGAAGATGATGCGATAGTTCGATCTGCTGTTGATAATTTGAATTTCTATATAATCCCAGTTGCAAATCCAGATGGTTATGAATATTCTCGAAGCGATGTTTCTCCAATGATTCGACTTTGGCGAAAAAATCGAGCTGGAGTTGTTTGCAAAAAAGATCGATGGTATCGAGATCGTTGTTGTGGAGGTGTTGATTTGAATCGCAATTTCGATTGGTATTTTGGAGAAGTTGGATCAAGTCGCGATAAATGTTCGGAAATTTATCAAGGAACTTCAGCATTCAGTGAAAAAGAGAGTAAAGCAATTCGAGATATGATTTATTCAGATGAAATGCGTGGAAAAGTTGATGGTTTTATCAGTTTACATACATATTCTCAAATGTGGATTCATCCATTCAGTCATCAAAGAAAAACTGTGCCAGAAGATATTGCAGATATTGTGAGTTGGCAAAATTTCGTTATTTTGAAAAATTTTCAAAAAAAATTGTATAACTCTACAGTGACCCCTAGTTTTATTTTGATATCCAAAAAAATCTCTCATAAAAAATACATTTTATCCAATAATTTTTTGGTCAAATCCTAAAATTCAATTTTCAGGAAAGAGTTGGTCGAGCTGCGGTTTCAGCTCTTGAAAATACATATGGAACAAAATATAAATTTGGAACTGGTTCAGATATTCTTTGTAAGTTCATTCATTTTCCAAGAGTTCCAAATATTTTCTCTAGATCCCTCATCTGGAGGATCGGATGATTGGGCGAAAGGAAAAGTAGGTGCAAAATATGTATATCTTCTCGAACTTCGACCTGGCGAAGAAGTCTGGGATGGTTTTATTCTTGATCAAAGACAATTATTACCAACTGCAAAAGAAACATGGAATGGAATTAAAGTTGTGATAAAAGCAGTTAATGATCGAGCACCTTCAAGTTGGTTTCATATTTTTTCAGATATTTTGTTGTTTTTTTTCTATGTCGCATGCTTTTTGTTTTATTTTCTTAAGGTTTCAATGCTCCTTCTATTTCTATCCCTATTTCTATTCCGATTTCTTCGACAACACTTCCAACAACAACAACTTCAATACCACAATCTACATCAACAATTCCTTTCCCAACTGAATTTCCGCCTCAAATTACAAGTACAGTCAAGCACTTAGACGCTTTTTATAAGTTTGGAAAACGACGCTTTAAATTTGTATCAATTCGAACATTTTTGCCAACCACGCCTTTACCGCCAGCACGTGTTACAGTACCCGCTTTTGCACCTACAGTACGCTTTGAAAAAATTGAAAATGATAGTAAAAATGAAAATAATAACAACGATAATAAAAACGCTAATAATGATGAATTAAATTATGATGATGATATTGTTGAAGGTGCAAAACGGATAACATTAACAAGGCGGCCAATTAATGCAAGATTGGTAAGAATTATTTTGAAAAAAAAATTATCGGGTGGAAAAAACAAAAAAAAAGTGTTCAAAAATCTCAAAAAATGAGAAAATAGGTAATGCTGGAGGTCGATAAAAATTTCAATCCCTTAAAAATTTCGGAACTCTTCCAGATAATTATGATGTCAATTTATTTTAAGATTTTGAATTATGTTTTTAAATTCTGCGGTTTGAGAGCGTGGATTTCATAAGTTTCAGAAGATTTCTTAAGACCTTTTTTCATCCTAAGATTATCTTTTCGAAATAACTTGTATTTACACTTCAAAATGTTTACAACAGGGTTAGATATTTTTCCAGAAAATACAATTAATCAATCCTTTTCGATTTTTCTAGTAAACATTATAAATTGTGTAAATCTATCTTTTTTGCCTCTTATAAAAGTCATAAATTGAACACATGTTTGTTTTTTCTCCCGATCTGTTTTTTTTTTCGGTGAACAGACAAACCAAAGAACGAAATGATAATTCAGGGAACAACACAACGTCGACCATCAACAACACAACAAATACTTCAGCAGACTGGAAATTCGAGAAATGGTAGGAAAATTGGGTTTGAAAGATTTTGTAGAACAATTTCCTGATTAGATATCCTGAAGTCTTTCAAAACTTTGGGACATGCTGAAAAATCAAATCTGGATTCAGACGGAAATGTGGCCAAAGAAATCGAGCCTCTGATCTCCAATTTTTAAATCGAACACTCAAAACGAAATTGTACAATCTTAGATTTTGACACTTTTTGGAACTTTAAAACCAAAAATTTCTGAAAAATCATAGGTGTTCCAATCCAAACAAAAAGTAGGGCCACTCTGGAAATACAGTCCAAGTACAAGTCCATCCTTCAAAATCAGATTGTTTTTTTTAATTTCAATAAAAATAAATGATTGCCAGGTGTATCATCATCTCGAAGTCGTTGTGCTGATCGAAGCACTTGGTGTTCAGCTTGGTTATCTGCAAATCGAAATGTTTGTCAGATTTCATCAATTTATATGCGACAGGATTGTGCTAGAACATGTCGATTCTGTTAAATAAGATTCTGTTTTTATATAGATCTTTTTTAATTTCTCGGGTATTCCTTCGAATAATAATTTTCTTTTGTTTTTCCTTCTCTCAATAAATTTTTTCTTACAACATGTTTCATGAAAAATAAAAAGATGATATGAATCAAAAACCAAGAAATTCTCAAAATGAATATTAATTTTAAAATGATTATTTGAATGCTTGCTCTTTTTATCCATCAATTGTATACATTGTCCATTTATTTTCTTCCTTTTCTTTTTCTCTCTCGATTTTTTGCTCGTTCTTATTTCTTCTTCTTCTTCTTCTTCTTCTTCTTCATTTTTTCGTTCCTTCTTCTTCTTCATTTTCTTCTTGGTGCCTTTCTCCCGAGCAAAAATAGTATCGAATATTAAGAGGAATTAGATGGTCAGATCGGCCAAATATTACACTATTTGGATATCGAAAAGACGAGAGCTGCTCTCCCGTAGAAACACACACACAACTAGTCTCATAAAAGAATAAGCCTTTTTCTTTATCCAATTTTCTGCTACGCGTTTTTTTCGTACCGTTTATTTTATGATAATCTAGAGATTTTTGCAAATTGTTCAATGTTCAGATTTTCAAAAACGTATTCTTAAAATCTTTAATTGAAAATTTTCGCCTCAAATCGCTAGACCTCCAAATTGTTCAGAAAATTTTTTGGTAGATCAAAAATATTTTTCTCTAAATCTCTCACTTTTGTGTTGATTTCCTCAATTTTTAGTCGCACCCCTAACAGCGTGTCAGGTCTCAAAAATGCGCGAAACTTTTTAGGTGGTAAAATACACGTTGTGAATTTTTTTTTAGAATTTTCCAAGTTCCGGAACTATTTCTTTTATCCCACCTATTCTATTTATTTTTTCTCAAATTTCAGAAAATGGATGTTATGAGTGCAACAAATGATTTATTGCCATTATTACCAGGCAAGTTTTCCTCCTCCCAAAAATATTGTCTTTTCTTATCTGGCAGTCAATCCGTTGTCGGAAAAGTACACATAATATATCTCGTCAACGCAAATATTTGAAAAATCTGAACAACACTCGAGTTGAGAAATGAAAAAATAATAAAATAATAGGAAAAATGTGGCACCCACGCAACAATTGGTCAGCTGTTTTCAACAAAAACATTTGGGTCAACGCTGTTTTTTTTAACATTTGGAAACAATAAAATAGAAATGAGTTTCTGAAGTTTGTTAAAAATAACGTTAATTTTTTTAAAACTCTAATTTCGCATTTAAAACAATACATTTTTTGGAAAAACCGTTCCCACAAAAAATCGTTACAAGTTTTATTTCAAACGTTTTCAGAAGTTCAAGATGCTTTAAGTGATGAATTTGATGGTGTTGAATGTAGTATGAATGGAGGAGTTGTTCTAACTCAACATCCATTTCAAATGCCATTTACACATCTTGGAAGACAAGTTACATTTGTACCTGATACTTCTTGTTTGGAAGAATTTGATGGAGCAAAATTACATCGAATACAATTAGGATCTGTTAGTTTTCCTTTTTAAAAACTGGGTAATATTTTCTATTTTCAGAAATCTGCTGTTTTCACTGATGGCGAACCAGGTTGCTGTTTAGAATTGGTTCTTGGTGCTGGAAAAGATTGGAAAACTCCATTGACAAAGTTGTTCACTCGAGTTTATCCAAACAAATGGGCATTTTTTATTGCTGAATTGGAGCAGGTTTGTTTATTATTGAAGAATTACTGTAGATTTTTTTGAAACTACTGAGAATCTGAATTTGTTTGATATTAATTTCATATTTTTTAGGGTCAAGCTTCGTATCATATTTTATCATCATCACATGGTTTAATAAGTTCACATAAAAGAGAAGATACACCTGATTCAACTGAACAATCATCAATGGTTTCTTCTCCAACTGCATCTGTATCAGATGCTTCTAATTTTTCACTGTGGATTGTTCCAGTCACAAAAATCTTTGCAATTCCGGCACCGAAAAAAGTGAAAGTTGTTCGAAAAATCATCAAAAAACGAACACCAAGTGGAGATATGACTGAAGTAACAGAAGTAACAACAAATGGAACTGGAGAAAAGAAATTGGTCCGAGTTGTCAAGAAAAAAGCACCGGAAAAAGAAAAAGAAATATCACCAATAAATGATATTCCAAAAGCTGAATTTGCAAAAGTTTCATCGAGTGAATCAATGAAAACTATTATAAATGGAACATTATCAAAATCATCATCTGAAATATCAGCTGGACCATCTTCAAATGATATTACAAATAATAACAATATTCTACCAAGAGCTGATAGTAGTAGTTGTTCAGATAGTTCTGCATCAGAACTTCGAAAAAAATTGACTGAAAAAATAATCGAACAAAAATTTGTTGTGAATGGAGAACAAAGAAATGTGACTACAAATGGAACAAATTTGAATGGATCAAGACTTGGAATGAGAACATCGAGTAGAAGTAGTATGACACCTGATAGAAGATTAGATCCTATTTTTGAAGATGTTCCTAAAAATACTATTACAACTGTTCGAACACCAGAAATTACAAGAGATTCTGCAACTCCACCGGTTTGTCATTTACATATATATTGTTATTATTTGTTTTTTTTTCAGAAACGTGCTCAACAATGTCGTATAACTCATCCTTCAATTCCTTCAATTCCAGTCGTTGCTCTTCAACTTGTTCTTCAAAATTGTTTTTCTTATGAACATTTGGGACGTTTAAGAGAAGTTCATCCACATTGGGATGAAATTTGTGGACAATTATTGAATAGTGGATATTATAAATTATTAGAAAGGTACGTTTTCGAACTTTAGTCTAGTCAAAAATGCAAAATCTGTTTTCGTTTTTGTTAGCACACATTATAATGTTTTGTGTAAGACATCCGATACTTTATTGCCGCTAAAGAATTTTTGAAGAGAAAAATGAAAAAGTACAACGATTTTTGAAAGGGAATAGAAATAGAAAAAAAAGAAGAAGACGAATAAATTATATTTCAGATCTGACAAACTTTTGATGGCACTTCAAAGAAAAGTGGTTGTTGAATCTGCTTTACATTATGCAACAAGTGTTTTGACCAATATTCAAGTTCATATTTTGAACCCAGTTGATATTATGAGAGCTGTTCTTGATGAAGGTAATATTTTAAAAGTAAACGATCTCAAAATTTGGAGCACATTTTAATAGTAAATATTCAACAAACTCTAGACTTTTCAGAAAAATATTTCGGAGGTTTGTCTGTTTAAAAAATGCTTCAATCTTTGAGATAGGCTTCATTTGCCTTCTCACCGCCCATTAAAAATTAGATAAATCAAATTTGATATATCTATTTATATGTATACATATATTGTTCAGGTGTTTGCTGTTTTCCATATGGTATTATTCTTGATAAAACGTTCATTTTATTGGATCGAGTTGAAGCAATGTTAAATGGTTGTTATGAAGAAACTGTTAATTGGGAACCAATTGCTATTTATTCAAAAAGAGCAGCAATGCATTATAGAAATTCCCTCGAACGAATTATGGAAGAAAGGTTTGTCAACTTCGGTTTTTATTCCAAATACAAATATTTTTATTTTTCAGAATGGGTGAAAATCTTCGACTTAAAGCAGCTCAACGAATTATTAGATTAGAATCATTTGTTGTAGATGCACAAGTTGCAAAATTAGAAAAAGAATCATCGAAGGTTTGATCCATAATGTATATTCATTTTTGAAAATTTCCTTGTTTCAGCAAAAAGATGATATTCGTTGGGAAATGGATCAATTGCATCAGAAAAACTCAGCACTTAAAAGAGAAAATCGAGAAATGAAAGCAGCTCAAATGAGACTTGAAGCTCGAGTTGAAAGCCTTGAAAATAAATTCAAAACATTGGCAAGACTTTTGAGTTAAGCAATCTATCAATTTTATTTGGTCCCAAACGGGTTTCTATTTAGGATAGCATTGTATAAAGTTTGTTTTTTTGCAAATTAATTAATTAAATAAATTTATTATTAATATTATATATTTCAATTTATTTTTAAAATATCACAAGTTCAAAAATTAATTATAGTTGACTTTAGATTATCGTTGTTTCTCGGTTCGATAAGTGATTAAGTAGAGAAAAAGAAAACATTTGTGAGATAAACAAAACTACACGAAAAAAGTAGAATACTGAATTTAAAAAAGAAATGGAATACTTTTGTTGTTACCACGAAATTGGAGTTGGCTTATTCAAATCATTTGAATAAATACATGCAAAATTTGAGGATATTTCATTTTCGAAATCTGGCGGAGTCGATGATGGCTCAACAAAACTATCATGTGCAATTGGAATAGTTTCATTTGGAGCAACACCAAAAGATGGCGGAGGAGCCAATCCACCATTTTCGCCATTTGGTGGACTTGAATATGGATCAATGAAAAATGGTGGAACAACATTTGATGGTGGAAAATATGGAGATTCTGAAAAAAAATTAATTAGTTTTTGAAAAATTAAAATTGGTGCCTTATTTTTTCGAGTGCTCTTTTATTTTCCCCTTTTTTCTATAATATTATGCAAGAAGGATAATCCTTGGATTGACTTTATTCCAAAAAACGAGTATTCCTCTTTTCCTCTCTTTTTGGTCCACCTGCCGGACGATAATGATTGAAATTGCGCAATCGAGGATAATCGGTTAATTTAGTATTAGAAGAAGTCAAACACAAAACAAGAAAACAATTTGGATAAAGCTACTCGTTTTAGTACATTCAAAAAATCTTACTGTAACCATTAAAAAAAACTAGAATGAAAATTTCAACAAACTTCTTGCCTCCTCTAATTCAGTATCGAAGACATACAAAACCAAATTCAAAAAAAATGTCATAGAATTTTAGAAAATACACAGTCCCTTATTTTCCATGTTTTTTATTATTAGAATATTTAGGTGGCTCTTCCGCCATTTTTTTTTATTTTTTAAAATCAAATTCAATTTCGTTCTCAAAACTAACCATTTGGAAACATATCAACAATATCATCTCTTCTTTGTCTTCTTGATTGTCTATATCCTCCAAATCTTAATTGTTTCATTCTTCTTTCTTTACTTCTTCGATTTTGAAACCAAACCTATAATATTTTCATTTTTTGATCATAATATTAAACCCTTTGTTTCTCATTTCCAATGTTATTCTACGAATCGAAAAAAGAGAAGCGCACATCCTACCGTATACCTCCTTTTTCTTTTTCTTCTTTTTTTCTCTCTTCTCTTTTTCATCTCTTTTTCTTTTAGTTATTTACACCCGGATTACGGTAATTGAATTTCGCCGAAGAAGGAAAAAAAGAAGAGGAAAAAGAAAAGAGAGAAAATGGGCACAGGTGAATTGGAGATTAGAAAGAAAAGACAAAAACAAATGCAAGTAGCCTGTAAATATAACTAAAATACCTGTATAACTCTCATATTTAATCCAGTTTCTTGTGCAAGTTGTTCTCGAATATGTCGAGTTGGTTTTGGAGTTGCAGCAAATGCACTTTTCAACGTTTCCAATTGTTTTGCTTTTATTGTTGTTCTTGGTCCACGTCGTTTTGCTGAATTCGAATCATCTGAATTATCTTTTCCCATCATATCACCATCGATTTCATCAACTTGGAACTGGAAAAATAGATTGGAATGAGATCGAAAAAGGACATTTTTAGGAGAATCATTTTTGGAATCACTAATGTAAGGAATGTTTTAAGATCTAAAATAGAAAATTATAGATCTTTCTGTTGTCATATATGTTCCGAGTTATGCGATAGTAATTTAAAGTTGTAATAAACTTTTAAATTGTTATCCTGAAACCGTGATATTTTGGTCGGCATGATTATAATATCGATAATTCTGTAATAGACAGAAATTGAAACTCAAAAAGTTTCACGTAACTCAAAGCCATCTCTTAGTGATTCCAAAAAGATTCTCTCTTCATATTTAGTATACCTCATCACAAATAGTGTCTTCTTCAATATCCGAAGCACAATCCGATCCATTTGATACTGTAAATAAATATTGGATTATCTATATTCGTATTTGTGTTAAACCGATGTGTTTTCTTTTGTCTTTTTTATGGTGACAGATGCTCAAAACCACTATCATCATAAAATAAAAACTCCTAAACGGAAAGGATTAGAGCCGGCTGGTTCTCTCGCCACAAAACACAAAAGGAAATTAATAGGGGAATTCGCGCATATGGTGGGAGAATGGGGTTGTGAGGGTGTCATATTCAACTCACATGGTCGATGTGAAGATGTTGGTGTTGATGTTTTTGTGGCATTTTGAAAATCAGTTTGACATACGAATCGATTTCCTTCGAGGATATAAAGCTGAAATAAATATGTTATATCATTGTATTTTATTGAACATTTTCTGTCTCTTGGGAATTTTTGTTGTATAAATGTTTGGATGTAAAAAGGGAGTGAATAATCCAATTATAAAGTATAATAGGTTATTGAATGTGCAGGAGGAAAATAGGGAAAAGATGATTATAACAGCCGGCGCTCTCTTGGGAACAAAAATGGAACTATGACCGAAATTTGACTCTTTTACTTATTGTTTAGGTAAAGAACTTATGAAGATGATAGTTTAGAAAATAGTGAAAAGATGACTGGAAATCACAGAGCATAAATTTTTTCTCTAATTAGTTAAAAAAAAATAATTTTATCTGACAAAAAGTCAGTCTTCCAAAATGAACAATTTCACACAAGCTTTTCAAAAAATTTTCCGGGTATTTTTAAAAACAAGAAATTCAGAGAAGGCATAATTTTATTGAGGAATTTGAATTTCGGATCCGAAACCAAGACTATACAAAATTAGCTTTGAAAAATTAACAAAAACTTTCTTCTGGAAAAAATATAAAACAAATTTAGATCAGTTTCTCAAGGAATTTTTCTCACATTTTCACCGAATTTGGTTTAAAAATTAATTGGGAAATTATTTGGAATAACTTTGTTTGGATTAAAATAAAAGTTCTTGAAGCTATTTATTTGTCCCGTTCAATTTCAGATTTTCTAATCCAAACTTTTGAATATATATTGATTCAAAAATTTTGCAACAAAATTACTGTAGTTTTCTTCTAAACATTTTCTCCTTACAATCAGATTATTCATATATTGTTTTGATACTTGAATAAGAAGTGACAAAAACAGATATTCAAAAATCAACCATCCGAAAAATGGGCCACTCTTGAGAAAATGCTGATTTTATTCGGTTTAGGATGCAGGTGCAAATGACACATTTTGAAGACTGACATTTTTTCAACATTTATTCCCAAGATACTACTATTTTCTCATTTTTCTTAATATATTCAATATTTTGTTGATTTACCTGATCTCCAGTTGCTAAAAGTCTTTGACAAACTGAACATTGAAAACATTGAATATGAAATACTTTATCTCTTGCTCGTCTAACTAATTCTTCTTTATCCAAATTTCCATCACAACCAGCACATCTTTGACCATATCTTCTGAAACAAAAAATCAAAAACTATATTCCGCCAGATTATTTATTTACTCGATTTTTGTTAGTAACTAACTAATCAGTGTTCGATTCGTGGGAAAAATCCCATATATTTTTCAATAACAAAAGACAAAGGAAAACAAACCTCGAAAAGTCATTTTTGCACAAAATCAGACCGTCGCGACTAAAACATGTCATTGTCATTGGAGCTGCACAATCTGAGCATCGAAGACATTCTTGATGCCAACATTTACCCAAAACTGTGAATACATATCTGGAATTGAGTGAAATTGATTTTTTTTTTTGGAAAATCACAGGGTGTAACGCAAAATTGAGAGATTTAGAGCAAAATATTTTTGATCTACCAGAAAATTTCTTGAAAACTTTGAAGCCTAGAGATTTTGGATAGTAAATTACACCCTGTGAAAATGTAAAATATAGGTCACGTCTGAAATTACACGTGAACCTAAGCCTACGTCTATCTGAAACAACTAAATTCCCGATTCTAATTTTATTTTTTTCACTGACTGTAAGTTTTTGGGTAATAATGAAAAATAAAAAAAAATATCAGTTTGATTTGGATAAAACTTTCCCAGCAAAAAACATCTAGAAAATCGAAACAACTGAACTCTGGAATCTGATTTGTGAAAATGTGAAAATGAATAAATAATTTCAGTTGTATCACAATGTTTTTTTCAATTAAAAACGCACCTGTCTAAAATCGGTCGAGCACACGCGGCGCATTCGCTCATTTCTGAAATATGGGCGTGGTCAATGTGCGCAGCCACCAACCTCAACATTTTGGATTGAGGAAGGTATACGGTAGATGAGAGAGTATAAAGAGAAAGAGGGGGAAAAGAAAATGAGAACACACGAAAAAAAAAGGAAATTAGTTTAGACGAAGAGGAAAAAATGAGGAAAAACGACGGGGAGACTCGAAATTATATATATATATATAAATATATATGATATGAATGAATACAAGTATTGATTATGAAAATAAAAGAGATACTGTAGACAGCAACTATTCAAAACTACAGTATTCCATGTTTTGTGTATCGAAAGATTTTCAAAGGTCTCGAAATGATTACGTCCTTGGAAATCATCAAAAAAAACTTTTTTCCAATTACGTCAAAAAACATAAGACAACTAATAAGAAATGTTGTGTTTGACTGTTATTTATGGGTGTGGTTTGGTGGGAGAACAGAAAAAAACACATGGTGAACGGGGGGTTTGGAAATATTTCGAGCTTGGCATTCGAGAATAATTTGATCGAGGATTTTATGAAAATCAAAATAACATTATACCAAAATTTGAACAATAAAGTTGTTTATAGTTTTTCTGCTAGAGAGTATTTTCAATTTTAATCGGACCATTAAAAACAATAGGACTTTTTTGGATTTTCATGAATATTTAAAATTCATACTCGAAATCAGACATTTTCCGACTAAAATATTGCATTCGATTTCCAAATCAATTTTTTTCCAACAGTAAAAAATCCTTTCTGGAAGTTCAAAATATTTTTCTTTGAATTTTGTCGATTTTAATTGTGCCCGGGTCTCAATAAATGGGGAAAAGGGAGTAAAATGCGCGATGTGTTGAAAAAATCAGAGTTTGAAAGAATTTTTTTGACATTTTCCAAGTTCTAAATGTTTTTCAGTGTAACAATATTAAACTATCTGATAAAAATGATTATTTTGTCCAATTTCTAATGTCTCATATTTTTCACACAATGACTAATTCGAGCTCGCTCTTTCTCGATTATTTTTATTTATTTTTGTATTCATCAAAATTTCTATGCAACCTCAAAATGAATCATGTCAACTTTTTATGGGAAAAAAAAACACCACGACCTTTCTTCTTGTTGCTCTCATTTATCATGTTTTGTGTGTGTTTTTTCATCGAATTTATATAAAAGACGAAACCGACTGTTTTTCTTTGGCTGAGAAGAAGAAGAAGCGCGGAAAAAAACGGCTGGTTTGTTGCCTAATTTGCATTTGTGATCGATGGTGAAAATAAAAAAAAGGAAAAAAAGATGGAAAGGAGGGATTTTGTTGGTAAAACATTTGATATAAGAATTTTAGAAAAAAGGGTTCATAATTTATGTTTGATAACCACAAAATTTAACAACCAAATTGACAAAAAAGAGAGATCAATACCTAGTTTTTTGGTTTTTTCGAGTCTGATTCTTCCGATTCTGGTGGAGATCCTTTTTTGCGGAATGCGAATACCAAATACATACAAATAGCTTCCCATTCGGATTTTGAAATTGTTCCAAAAGTTTTTTGTTGACTTTCGTCGAGTTTTTCCAAGAATTGTTTTGCTTCTGTATATTCGTTTTCACCATTTGTGCTCAAACGATCAGATGGATACGTTTCGAGACCCTGCAAAAAAAAACAACATTAGTGATATTATTTTGATTTGAACACGACATTTTATCTGCCATTTTTTCGATTTAGAAGATTCACAGTTTTAATTTCCTTACAAATTTCCCCTTGTAACATGTTTGAATCTAACTCTTGTTTTTTCTGTAATTTCAGTAAAAATTATAGGAAAAATTTAGGCCAATTTTTAAGTTCAAATTGTTTTCTCAAGTTAATTTTTAGAAATCAATTCGAGTTTTCTCAAATATCTCCCACATACCTTCATTTTTTCGAGTAAATTTTTTCCCGCAATCTTCCATCGTTCAACATAATCGGCAAAATTTCGAACAAAAAGCAATTCCATGTCAAATTCCTCGAGTAAACTGAAAAAATCGATCAGATGAACCCATAATTAAATAAAATATCGAGAACTTACTGCTGTAAAAGTGGAAAATATGCCAAAAACTCTGGACAATTAACTTGAGAATCGAGTGAAAAATGAAACTTTGCGCCAAAAAGTGGAGTTTTTCCTTCAGCAAGTTCGTCGACATTTTCATAACGGATTTTGCAGACTTCGTTAGCAAACTCGCCATTTTCTGAATTTCGAACTGCCCATCTATAAATATTCAATAAATATAAATTGGGGGTGAATCTTGGAATAAGATAAATTGGCAAAAATGTTGCATTTTTGAAGTTTTAAAGTGAAAAATACCAGAATGCAACATGAAAGTTATAATACTTATCCAATAGCAATAATATTTACACGTATAAAATCACGTTAAATATAAAAATATTTTTCTAACAAAATAAAGAAACTACGTTTTATTAAAAACGTTTCGAACATTTCTAATTTTGAAAAAGATTTCAAAAAAGCTCCATTCAAATGCGTTTTGCATTACGGCAATTTTTTCCAGTTCATAACAGGCCAATGCCGATTTATTTTTATTACTAGTTGGTGACATATTCTACTATTCCTGGCAAAATTGAGATAACTTACACAATCCTATCAGCATCAGGCAAAGTTCCAACAAAAACACCACCAGGTTTCAAAGATCCAACAGCATTCTTCAAAAATTGACGAGCTGATTGCTCATCGACAAATGAATAATGCAATGCAAACTGGCAACTTGTCAAATCAAATGGAGTTTTGTCTTCGATTAATTCGCTTAAATCACTTTTAGTGCAATCGGAAACAATGAATTGAGCATCGAATAAATTATGTCGATAATCTTTCATTTTTTCATATCGATCTTTTGCTTGATCAATCGAAACATCAGCAACATCTAGACAAAAACAATTTTTTTTTCGTTATAAATTTTCAAACCTTCAGTTTACCTGCCATAACAACATTTTTCACTTTGGCAATATCCCATTTTCTCAAATCTCCACCTTTTCCACAAGCAATATCTAAAACTCTTGGCCGATAAATTCCTGATGAATTCAAAATTTGTACAGCTTCATCTACAAAACAATAAATTGTACTAAAATTCTAAAATACAACCTACTTATTAGCTGTGATTTGATCCAATTGTTCATGTTTCTCATATGAAAAATGCGACTTTCCTTCCGATCATCAATTCCAGTTTGTTTGACATTGTTGTAATGCTGAGCAACTTCTTCCGAACTCATTTCTAAACTTTTTGAAACATTTGTTTTTTTTTCGAAAAAAAAGAAAAATAATTGCGTGGCCTAGGAACCGACTTATTTCTCGGCCACAGTGTCTAATTTATTTTTCGTTGCTTTTTCGCTAATGTTTGAGCATTCTGTGAAAGCACCTCTCTGACTACGAAAACACGTGGCCTATAGAATAAAACTTTTAAAAATGCAATGAAATTTATGTAAAAAAAGGAAAGCTAATCAGTGAAATATAAATAAATAAAGATGGGAAGGCAAAATAAATATCTATTTACACGAAAAAATAATACCATCCAGATATGGCACATGTATGGTTGAAAAGTGAACAATAAAATAATCTGAAAACTTCAGATAAATATAACGCACAACCATTTATATGAATTGATTGCATTTGATGAATAATCTAGAATGTTTCGCCATCGTCGACAACACCATCAATAACTTCATTTTCAATTTTTCCATTGGTTTGATGTTCGATTTCTTCGTTTTCATCATTTGCTGGCGCTTCCTATAATTATGCTTCATTTACAAAAATTGATGTACTTTTAAAAAAAACTTACATCATAAAGAGTTGATTTGATAACTGCAATGTCCAAACTCTTTAAACCATCTTCTTCCGATCGAACTAACAATTCTTCAACTTTTCTTAAAAGTGAATAGTAGTGATCGCGTTCATTTTCCATTTCTTTCGCATTCTGAAATATTCTTATTGTAAACTCAATTTTTCAGTAGAAGGGTTAAAAATGACTCACCTCCATCCACAAATTGATATCACTTTCTTGTTCAGCAACTTTACTTTTGAGTGCCTCATTTTCTGAATTACAAAAAGTTAGAAAATTTGAGATAATTAAATAAACTAACCCTTTAACAATGCAGTATCTTGTTGTGAATTGGAGCGTTGAACATTAGAAGGTGCTGTTGGTTTGGGTGCTGCAGCTTTTGTTGGTGCAACTGATATTGAAGTTGGCGGAGCCCGAGTTGTGGTAGTAACTGTTGGTCGTGGTGCAACTGGTCGAACAGGTGCAGCTATTGGGCGAGAAACCCCACCAGGTCCTTTCAAAGCTGGCAAATCTTCGCCTCCTCGTGCAGCAACTGCATCATAATCTTCTTCTCCGGCATAGTTTGCATTGTAAAACTGAAATATCAGATATTTTGAGAGTAATCCACATATTTTAATATTTAATTAATACCTTGTGGAACCATTGCAAAAATTCCATATTATCTTGGAATTTTGCCTTCTTCAATTTTTCAACATCAACTGGCTTATCAATTCCAATATTTTTCCAACTTGTCGTCAAAACTTTCCAATTGTTCAATACATCTGGTTCATTTCTTGGATTGAATTTCACCTTTTTCAAGTTGATTCCATCTCTGAATAACATATGTGTCAATTGACAATATGCAGCACCGCTTGCCATTTCTTCAACTTTTGTCATATGACTCTGAAAATATTTTATTTGTTATTTTTTTTTGATAAATATATTCAATTTACTTACTTTCAATCGATCATTAACCCATGCAATCGCATCTTTTCGGCTCAAAGTATCAGTTGTGACTGCAGAAATGAAAACGTTGACCACCATTTTCGAGCTACAAAAAAAAAACATTAAAGTTAGGTGAAAAATCGATGTAGTGTATAAATAACAAAGAATGTGTTTCCGCGCGCGCCAACGCCGAAGAAAAAACGAACGTGGATATTTATAGAGTGAAAAGACACAGACAAGCAGACATTGCGGAAAAAAGAAATGAGAGAGAAAAAGAATGGTATTTTGAGTGGGTTTTAAAAGGGATAATGGACTAAAGCTCTTTAAAACTGGTTCTATTTTGAAAAAAATAACAACAAGAGTTAAAAATATGTTCCTAGAAACAGAATGTTATGCATACATTTTTAAATATATAAGTGAAACGCAATCTTTCAAGAAACAAAATGTATTTAACTAACTGAATTGTTTGTTAGCTAGATCAATAGAACAAATAATGTCACCAAAAGAGAACAACGCCAAAAACGAACAGAAAGAAGTGCTAAATTGGTGTGGATGGGAGTATAAGAGGCGGGTAACCCACAAAAAATGATCGGTCAATGTGACCGGTCAAATTGGAATTGATTCGATTTTCCTCTAAATAGAATGAGGTCTTGAACCAAATCGATTCCAACATATAAAATGAAAACACGTGTTCAAATTTTGTTTTTTTTGCCAGCTGTGAGAAAAAAACAATTTTTTAACGCTCTGTTGGTTTTTCATGTATTTTTTTCTTTCAATAAAATGACATTGAGACTTTAAATAAAAATCTGTGAGAAGTAAATAAATAAATATATATATATATATATATATATATTATTTCTGGTTTTAAAATAACTTATTGTTTTTTAATGGGACAATTAACAAAATACAAACATTTTTGAAACGTTAAAAAACATGACGAACTGACAAAAAGTGAATAGAGTGGGAAGAGAGGAAATGGGCGGAGCTAATTATAAAAACATCAACGCGCGCGCACAAAAAAGAGAAAAGTTTTCAAACCTAAAACTTGGATGAAAATCTGTTTATTTTCGTGTTTATCTCACATTATACCTCGCGTATAACTTTGAATCTAATAAATTCAGTCCTAATTAGGAAATAATTTTTAGGAAAGAAAGTTTAGAGGTTACCTTACAACTCGGCGAAAACCGCTTCGTCTAGTGTGTGATATAAAGTTTGAGCTTATCTGGAAATACATACAATTTCAAATAAGATAGTTGAATAATAATACACAACTTATGCATAAAACAAGAATACATCCACTTTTATAATGATTTTGACAATTCATTCCGGGATGGGTTTAATTAGTTATCATACAGTACCCATATGAAAACAGAGAAATCAGTTTCAAATACAAAACAAACTGGATGGGGAGAAATAAAGAGATCTTTAGAAGGGAATATATAAAACCGATTATTTAGGACAAAACAATATTTTCGAACATATATGGATATTGAATTTTTAATTTTTGTAAAACTTGTCGACAAGATGGAACAGTGGAAACCATAGTAACAACAGTACGGAATGTATCCAATGATTTTTTGAGAAGTTGATGAGGTGGATGACGATTATTGATTGCTTCCTATAATAAAAAATAATTCGATTTTGAAATAAATATTTTGAAACTTACATGAATCATTTTGAAAAAGTGCGATCGGAATTCATGCATTCCTCCTCTCATATTCATTGGTATATACGGCATAATTTCTTCCAAACAATTTTTAAGCATAACAATTCTCAATGCAACATCATGATCCATTCCAGATAACTTCATAGCTTCCGAAAACACCAAATCTTCCATATAAGTTTTGAGACGTTGCTAAAAATCAGAAAAAATCAAATATTTATGAACAAGGAACTCAATAAATACTTACACTTTCATTAAGTTGACTATTTCTTTGTTGCAATTCCATCATCAATCTATCAGCAGTAAATCCAACCATTCCACCAAATCCAGCAAATCTTGGCATTTGAGGAGGTGGTCTTTTATCCATTTCATAATCATTCCACGCATCCTTCATCTCTTCTTCTGTCAACTTTTCTTCTTCTTGATTTGCAAACAATGTGTCATGCTCGAAATAATCAACAACTGCAGCACGATTTGTAAGAAGAACTTCAGCAAGAAGACGATCTTTTGGTGGCGCAAATACCATTTCTATTTCATCATCTTCTTCTTCTTTCAATTCAACCGGATTGAATCTGAATATATTTTTATATAAAATAAAAGAACGTTTAAAAAAAACTAACTGATAAAGTTCTTGTAAATCGTGTCCATCATAATGTCTTTGAATTTGAGCTTCATCAACAACTCTCATTGATGTTGATTCTTTTGTAACTTGTCGCTTATAGATTCGTTCTTCCATTGTTCCCTAAAATTTGAATATTTTTCAAACATGATTTAAAAAAAACAAAATAAAACATACCTGTGCAATAAATCTATAAATATACACTGGTTTTGTTTGACCAAATCGATAAACTCTGAACAACGATTGTGTATCATGAGATGGATTCCAACAAGCATCAAAAATAACAACTCGATTCGCAGAAACCATATTTGTTCCAAGTGAACCAGCTCTTGTTGAAATTAACATAAGACGAGCTCGATGATTATCAGCATCATTAAAATGAGTTTGGACAGCATCTCGTTTTCCAGCTGCAATACTTCCATCAATTGTCAAATAATCTTGTCCTTCTAACCATGACCATGTTTCCCCTTCAGCATTCAAAGCTTCATGTCCGTCATCAAACCATTGTCCAGTTCCAGCCATATATTCTAACATTCTTTTAATAAGTGCTAATGATTCTAATGATTGTGAGAATACAAGCCTGAAATAAAATTGTTCTGCTATAAATTATTCATAATTCGAAAAACTTACAACTTATCACCAATTTCTTCACATTTTTTAATGATTGAGCATAAAAGCACCAATTTGTTACTCATTTCGAAATTGCATTGATCTTCTTCATTCAATAGTCCCAATTTAGCAAACCATCCACTATATTCTGGCGGTGTTTCAGTATCTCTTTCAAATTCTGGATCATCACCAGCTAATCTTCTTGATTGTCTAAATCCATTCAATAATATTTTCATAGCTGGATCGTCTCCATCATCTCCATCATTTTCTTCATTTTCATCTGAATCATCTGAATTTACTTTTCTTCTATTTCTTGCTCCAGATCTTGCACCACGAGATGATGAACTTGCTTGTTTATTATCAATTTTCGTCACATTATTCTTCTTTTTCTTTTTTCTATCATCATCCGAATCACTGGCTAAGAATTCACTATCAGTTGTATCATGACTTCTTTCTGATTCAGATTCACTTCCATCATCTATAAAATCAGCTTCTTCTTCTTCTTCCTCTTTCAAAAGTCGATCTCTTTCTAATTTTTGTTCGTGAAGAACTAATTGATATGGATGAGTCCAAATTCGAGATAAAACATGATAATCTGGCAACAAACGTTTTGATAATCCTTCACCAGACACTACATTATCCAAAAATGCTCGATATAATTTGCATTGGCTATCCGTCATTCGAACATTCAAAACATATTCTTGTTTTGGTGGAATTGCTTCTGTCAAAACACGATAATCTTTTCTCTGAAAATCAAATTATTTAATAAATTAAATATTTGAAGATGAAAATAAAATACTTACATCAACACATTTCTTCAAATGCTCATAAAGAACATGACATCGTCTTTTCATAAATTGTACTTCTGCACTGGATGCATCTTTTGTTCTACCTCTATTAATTATATTAACAAAACGATTGGCGAATTCCCCTTTTGTTCCCAAAAGACCAGGTTTTACAAAGTTAACCATGCAATGATCTAAAAAAGAATTCCGTTTCTATCAAAAACTAAACAAAAATAAACTAACACTCCATAAGATTATTTTGCAATGGTGTTCCAGTCAAACAAATTCTTCGCTTTGTTCGAATTTTGACCATTGTTTTTGACAATGCAGATTCATCATTTTTCAATTTATGTGCTTCATCGCAAACAATCAAATCTGGTCCAGGATTTTGAAGACAGAAACGGAAATCTTCTTGAGCTTTCAAGAATTTTCTATTCTTCTTGACTTTCTGAATTAATAAAATTGATTTACTGTTTTTCGTATGAAAAAATAAACATACCGATTTTTTCTTTTTCGGATCTTCTTCAGCTGTGAGAATACGGAACATATCGTAACCAATTATCATTACACTCGGTGCTGGAATAAAATAATAATTATTATTGAAATCATTATTTTTCTACAACATACTATCAGAATTATGCCAATTCAATAATGCTCGTTGACGTTCTTCAACTGTTTTTGCAGAATCAAGTTCGGTTACCTGCAAAAAAACGAATAAATTTGATGTTATCACACAATAATTCAAACAAACATCAATTGTGTCCAATTCTTCATCATTATCACTCAACCATTTCATAAATTCTTTGAACCAATTAATAATAACATTTTTTGGAACAACAACAAGAACATGTTTTGCTTTTTCTCCAACTTTTGGATGCATCATAACTGTGTGCAAAAATGAGATAACTTGTAGAGTTTTTCCCAAACCCATACAATGTGCCAATATTCCTCCACTGCCTTCTGTATCCAATCTATCAATTGATTCGAAAGCACAATCATACATAAATTGAATTCCTTGTGCTTGATGTGGTTTTAAAATTCGAACAATTGAAGGATGAACTTCAACAGGTTCAGGTTCTTCACTTTTATTATCTGGATCAACAACAACACTTTTGAGTTTTCTTTGAGATGATGTTCCAATCAATGCTTCTGTTAAATCTAATCCTTCTTCTAATTCAATACCATTAAATTCTTTCTGTTTTTGTTCCAATCTTTTTCTTCTTTCTTTTTCAGCTTTTTCTGCATCAACAGTTTCCTTTGCTAAACCATCATCATCGATCAATCCACGTTTCTTCTTTTTCTTGTCATCTTCGATTGGTCTCAACTCCTTCTAAATATGTTTTTTTGTTTTTCACAGACTTAAAATTTGTATTCTTACCTTATTCGATTTTGCCTGTGTACGACTTGGAAGTTTAATTGAACCATCACTGTCTGTATCGTTATTTGATCTACTTGATGGAAGTTCATCATCCTCGCTGCTATCCTTGATTATTTCAATTTTCTTACGAGTTCTTTTAATTGGCATAACTTCTGGTTCAGATTCTTCCGAATCTGATAATACAATAGCTTTCACTTTTTTCGTAACTCCTCTGTTTGGTCGTTTTTTCTTTGGCGAATCATCTTCAGAATCTTGTTGTTCTTGATCTTCTTCTGCTTCAGATTCTTCATCATCTTCCGACTCTTCACTTTTTTCTGATTCGCTTTCAACACTTTTCTTTTTCCTGTTTGTCAAAGTTTTCTTTGGGGCTGCCTTTCGTTTTCGTGTTACTTTCTTCTTTTCAGGTTTTCCTTCCCGTTCTTTTTTCTCCTTCAATTTTGCCGCTCGTTTTTCTTTTCTTTCTTTCTCGATTTGAGCTTGAAGCTCTCTGTCTTCGTCCTCGATAATTGCGATACTGAAATCACAAAATATTGTTACCGCTTTCAGAAATATACAAAAATGAAACTCACTCATCGTCTTCCGATTCTTCTCGGCTGCTTACCATCTGTGAACTGTAATTTTAAAAATAAATAATTTTAAGATATGGGACGCGCAGAATCAGAAGAATAGAGCAACAAATGAAAGAAATAGTATAGATTAGGTGGAGGGTGCAGAGAAAAGACAGTCAGGCGAGAGAGTGAATAAAATGAAGAGAGTTTAGATGACAGCCGGTGAGAGATAAAAGGGTGTTCAAAGTATGAAAAAGTAAATGTAAAGTTAGATCTGAAAAAGATGTATACTGAAGAATTATTTGTTTATTTGTGGAGAAACTCTCACAAAAGCAGCTAAAATTAATTAATTGAACAGAGATGGTTTCTAATCTTGAATGTAATGAATTTTAAAAAATTAATCTTGAAAGTATCGTGATTCGCTCAACCACCGATTAATAATATTCTGATCCAAAACACGCTATTGAATTTTCTGCACAATATTAGAAATTTACTCGCCGAATTTTAAGAAAACCGCGACCAAGATAATCTTTGCCATGATATAGAAAGAATAGTATAATTTGGAGTATGTAATTATTTATGAGAATTCATTGAGGAAGATGACAAAACTAAAACACTGCTATGGTAACGGATAAAATTACACTTACAAAGCAGAAAACACCAAAACACCCCAAAACCACGACAAGATTTTGATTCGCCCCGAAAAAAAACACACTACGGTAGACAAAATGCGGACTTTGTGTTTGCACAGCAACATACCGTATCCCCATAATTTATTTTTCTTCTTTCCTTTTTTTTTCACGTATTTTCAATCGAGGAAATTGCTGAAAAAACTACGGTGCGAACCCCTACGTGTGTGGTGCATTTGTGCGTCAGCGTGTTTGCACAAAAAATCTCTCTGCGCAACAGCGTCTCTCTTTTTCGCACGCTCTCTCTTAAAGGAAAATTTTTCGAAAAAGCAATTGGGTCCCGTAACGAATACCGCGAGAAAAAAGTTACACTAAATCCGCCACTTGAACCTTATTTCGATGCAGTTTTTTACGTAGATTCGAATGGTCTATGTAACTTTTTATATGGTTCAGCCATTCTGAGTTTTTCCATTACAAATGGTTCATGTCCCTTTAAACTGGCGTTGCCGTTTTTTCTTCAGAAAAAAAATGCGTGTTTTTGCTTTTTTGATCCAGCTGAAGCTCCCGCTCAAAAAGAAAAGAAAATAACGCAATATTTTTATTATTTTCATAGAACGATTTTTAAATTGCCACGTCACAGTTTACGTATTAGAACTTATTTAATTTCCTTTTTTTCAAAACATTTATTTTTAAAAATATTTTGCAAACTTACAGAAATGATTCGTCGCGAAAATCGACTTCGTCGTGAATATATTTTTCGGAAAAGTTTAGAGGAAAAACAGAAAACTCTTGAAGAAAAACGAGAGAAGATTCGCGATGCGCTTGATAATAACACGTGAGTTTTGAGTTTCCCCTTTTTACAAAATAAATTCATACAAAATCGTTTATAATTTCAGTAAAATCGATTATAATTTGCGTAAAGAAGCAATTGATTTGGCAAAAGGAGCTGATTGGGGAGGTCAAGTAAATGGAATCGATGACGAATACAGATGGGCAGGAGCTCAAGATCCAAAAATTGTTATTACAACTAGCAGAGATCCATCGAGTCGTTTGAAAATGTTTTCCAAAGAAATGAGACTTGTTTTCCCAAATAGTCAGAGAATCAACAGAGGTCACTACGATGTTAAACAATTAGTTCAAGCATGTCGTGCTCAAGATGTATGTTTTTATTTAATTTATGAAACATTATGAAAATTGTTCATTTCAGACAACTGATTTGATAGTTTTGACTGAAACGAGAGGACAACCTGATGGTTTGATTGTATGTCATTTACCTTTTGGTCCAACTGCATTTTTCTCAATGGCCAATGTTGTTATGAGACATGATATTCCAAATTGTGGAACTATGAGCGAACAATATCCACATCTCATTTTCAATAAATTGGATAGCAAATTGGGTCTCCGTTTCACTTCAATTCTCAAACATCTTTTCCCAGTTCCAAAATCAGATTCCAAACGAGTTATGACTTTTGCAAATACCGACGATTATTTGTCATATCGGCATCATGTTTATAAAACAGATGAAGCTGGAGAAATTGAATTGACTGAAGTTGGACCAAGATTCGAACTGAAGCGTAAGATTTGAGATTTACGCTTCTTATAATAATAAAAGGTTTTCAGCATATCAAATTAAACTTGGAACTCTTGAAAATTTGGCAGCTGCTGAAGACGAATGGGTACTTCGAACATACACAAATACAGCTAGAAAACGACAATTTTTGAGTATTTCAAGAGATGACGAAGAGTAGGTTCGAACTTTTTAAATTTAATTGTTTTTGTTGTTGTTGTTTTCATTTTTATTTTGTTATGGAAAAATCATTTATTGAACTGTTGATTCGGGATTTGCAGCAGATACTTCAGCAGCCGAACTACCTTCTTGTGGAGGTTGATTGGATTTTTGCTGTAATGGTTCATCTTTATGTGGAGGTACTGCTTCTTTTTCATCATCATCATTTTCACATGAAACCGATGATGCTTTTTTCCGAAGTTTTCCAATTTCAGGTTTCTTTCGTTTTTTCGCCATAAACTTGGTGTATTCCTGAAACAAAAATTGAATCTAATTGAATTAAGATGTAAAACCTTACATCATTAAACTTATCCCATTCTACCGTATTCTTTTTCACTGAAAAATTTGAATAGGCATATTCCAAAGCACATCGAATTGCAAATATGAATTGTGGAAGAGTTTGAACCATTTTTGCCCTATCAGCTCGTAATCTAGCAAATAATTCACGAACTACAAGTTTTGATGGATAAGTTAATGACATTATAATCGATTCAACTAATACAAATGTTCCAGTTCGACCAACTCCCGCAGAACAATGAACTACTACAGCTTTCCTAAAATTGGCCAAAATAATTGAAAAAAAAAATGGAATATAAATCGAACTTACACATCTTTTCGTATAACATCCAAAACTGCCAACAATGTTTCAGTTTTTTCTGGCATTCCGTGATCCGGCCAATTTGTCCATAAATAATGGGATAGTTTATATTCTTTATTATTTTGAGACTTCCAAATGATTTTCAATTGACTTTGTTGAACTTTATCTTTTGAATCAGGTTGATTGAAAACATTTGTTGACTCATTTATAATTTTGAATTGCGACAAATCCATGGTTTGACCGGAATCTCTAAAAAAAAGAAACATGAGAAATTCAAATTCAAAAACATACGGAAAATATTTTGCACACTTTGAAGCACCTTCTTCAATCAAAGCGCAAAGCATAATTATTGAACCGGTGTCCTGAAAAAACTGGGGTTTGATTCAGAATATTTCAACAAAAGAAAAGAACTTACACTTGACAAAACCATTTTCCAAAAATCTTCAATTGTGGATGCTAATGGTGCTTGTGTACAAATATATCGATCTTGACTCGGACAAACTCTGCAATTTTTTAAACAAAATGAAAATATTCAGGAAATAAAAAAAATTAGAATTTAGGAAAATATGTATTTTTAAAAATATAGAGTTACAATATTTTCTAACTACAGTAACCCTATGAAGATTAATACAGTAATCGATAAAACAATTAATTGCGGTAGTCCAACCTTTTGACTACAGTACTACAGTACCTATATTTTTGACCACTTCAATTTTTCGCTGATCTCCTAGAGTTCAGGATATTTTTCTAGAGTATCTCAATCTTTTTGATTACAGTAACCCAATTAATATATACAGTATCCCACATTTGAATTAAAACTAACCTGACACGATTTGCATGAATATAAAAATTCGGATCATCTGTCAAAATAAATCGAGTTTTATCAAGACATGGAACATTTGGATATCGATTTTTTGTCATATTTTTATGAAATGCCGTGCATTCTTCATTTGTTACTGTATTTTTACAACTTTTAAAATCCATTCTCATCGCAGATAAACCAGCCAAAATTGTTGAATCAACCCATTTTTGAGCAATTTCATTTTGTTTTCCTTTTGTCTGAAAAATTAAAGTTTTATCGGGAAATTTCAATATTCTAGAAATAAATACAAAATTTACATCAGAGTTTTCACCGGAATTTCTTTCTTCATTTTCTTTCAATTTCTTTTTATTTCCTTTTGCAACTTTATCTTGTGATTTATTTTTTGTTAAAGCAACAAGTCTTCGATCTGAATTATCTTGAGAATTCAAAACTTTACAAGATGTTAACATTGTTGATTTTGCATTGATTGCTATTGCCGAACTTGATTCTTCTAATTCTCTTCGCGGAGTTCGTCCTTTTGATATTGTATTTTTTCGAGTTTCTCTTTCTTGTGACACATTTGGTGATGATAATTTATGTTTTCCACCAGTTTCTGACCCACGTAAATTATTATTTGATTTTCCAGCAACACTTGCAGATGTTGATGATTTGCTTCTAATTGTTTGCTTTGCTGAAAATATGTATGAGACTGAAAAAAATCGAGCAAGCAGGCCCTGCGTTGCTTATCAGGGGAACATTTTATATTTCTATTCAACAAGGATGGCCATCAAAAAAGTGTTCATGAGATTAGGGAGAAAAGTCAGAAGAGATACCCCAGAGCTCATAATCTCCAGGGCCTGCAGATCTTAAAAATCACCCATATAAATTATAGGTTATCAAAAATACATCCCAACTTCCATTCTCCTTCTCAAAATCCCGTTTTTCACAGAGTGTAATTAACTACCCAAAATCTCTAGGCTTCAAAATTTTCAGGAAATTTTCTGGTAGATCAAAAATATTTTTCTCTAAATCTCTCAAGTTTGCGTTGAATTTCGTCGCTTTAGATTGTGTCAGGTCTCAAAAAATGCGCGAAATTTTTCGGGTAAAAAATCACACCCTGTGTTTTTACATCGAACCAAATTTTATTATCATTTTTTTTCTTTTTTTTTGCTTCCCGGTTACTGTACCTTTTTTCATTTTTGGAACATTGGACATTGTTTCTCAATTTTAGCCGAGAAAATTGTTAAAAACTGAAAAACTGAATAAAATGTAGGTTTTTATAGTGAAAACGTGTATTTTTAATATTTCACGAGGAAAATCTTTTTTTTATTATTTATCAATATAAATTTTTGCCCTCTCAGAAAATGCGAGAAATCGTTGGATTTATAAATATTTCGATTGCGCAAATTCTTCATCTTTTTTCTCGCCTCTGAGTGTTTGTGCAACAAATAGACAAAAAAAATATATATTGAAATCATTATCATTTTTATATCTCTATCGTGAGAAGATATCGGCTCTCACTCAGTATGTGTTTTAAACAAAAAATTTTTCATAAATATTTTCTCTTCCTCCGCGTTTTTTTTTCGGTCGTGTCGATTCTTTTTCTGATGAAAATCAATCAATAAAATTTGAGCATGTGTTGGTTGTTGGTTGATGAAGAAAAATAGAAAAAAAATAAGAAAAGAAGAAGAAGTTGATGAAAAAAAAAGCAAAAAGCAATTCTCAGACTCATTTTTCGTATTTTGTTTTTTTTTCATGTTTTCGAAATTTGACATTGATCCATTTTTCAATAACAATCAATATCATTCAAATTTTCTAGAAAAACACAAAAAATTGCATTTTTAGAAAAATATTTAGAGTACTGTAATTTTTCGGAGTTCAAAGATTTTTTCAAAATTCAGAATTGAATTTTGATTTTTCAACAATTGTTTTTGAGAAAAAAAATATTCCAAATCCACACGTGACAAATCTGAAGTTTTCGAATATTCCGAGTACTGTAGGTGTTCTAGAAAAATTTGATGATTTTATTTTTCTGAAAATAATGAAACATCAATATTTTAACAATAAGATAGTTTGAAAATAATTATTCCAAACGTAATTTTTTTGAAGTCTCAATTTTCTCATTTCATTTTGTTCCCCAAATATGTCACATATGTTTTTTGCAGTGATCGAATGTTATCTTCAAACAAATCAGACAATAATGTCATTTGATTCAATATCATCCGGTGCAACAGGATGTTTTCCTCGACGTGCACATACAATTACAGCAACAGATGAAGCACATGCTCATACTGTAACTGTTTATATGCATAGTTTCAATCCAGATTGTGAAAATGATAAAATGATTGTAGAAGTTCATAAAAGATGTACAACAGAGGAATTGATTGAAAAAGTGTTAGCAAAAAGAACAGGTACAATGATATTTTATGATCAAATCAAAAAGTGTTCTAATTTTCAGAATTAGAAGGACAAGCTGTTCAAGATTTTGATTTATTTGAAATGATGGGAACACCAGATGGACAAACATATAAAGAACGACGATTAGATCCTGGAGAATATCCAGTTTCAGTTCAAGCAATATGGTCAAGAATGCCAATTGATTCAGTTACTCCAAAAAATCGATTTGTATTTCGACATCGTGGATATCGAGCTGCAACTGGAGGAACAAGATATGGATCAGCTGAAGTTGCATCAAGTATTGATGCTTTTCTTACAAAATTTTTATCTCAACCACAAGATCGAGAATATGCTGATTTGTGCATGTTACCTGAATTAACTGAACAAACATTGTTAGATAATTTGAGAGAACGGTTTAATAATGGCCATATTTATACATATATTGGTCCTATTTTAGTTGCAGTCAATCCATTTTGGTATGTTCAATTTAGAAAAAATTAGATGATATGAAAAAGGTTTCTCTTTCAGTTTCTTCCCGATTTATAACCCAAAATATGCTCGATTATATTTTCAAAGTCGTCGATTAGGAGCTCTACCACCACATATTTTTGCAATCGCTGATGTTTGTTATCACAAGTAAGTCAGCATAGGATGAAATTAAAACAGTTCTGTTCGAAAACCGATCTCGGAACAACCAATTTCACTTCCAGTTTCATGTTTTAAACTTCCAAGAGCTAAAAAAAACTACAGTAATCTAACACTGCCTATTACAGTATGCTTCGAATAAAAGAAAATCAATGTGTTGTGATAAGTGGTGAAAGTGGTTCAGGAAAAACCGAATCTACAAATCATTTGATGTCTCATTTAATATCATTATCACAAAAAGGATCAACTGGATGTAGCACAGAACAAACACTTTTATCAGCTGGACCCGTTCTTGAGGTATTCCTTTTTATATGTTCTATTTCATTTCAATTATTTATTTCCAGGCTTTTGGTAATGCTGTAACTTTGACAAATAATAATTCAAGTCGATTCGGAAAGTTTATAAAAATAAATTATCGTGAAAATGGAATGGTATCAGGTGCAAATGTTGAAATTTATTTGCTCGAAAAATCGAGAATTATTTTCCAAGCAAAGGGCGAAAGAAATTATCATGTATTTTATTATCTTTTGGAAGGAACCGATGTTGAAGAAAGACAAAAATATTATTTATTATCACCGAAAGATTATAAATATTTGAATCAAAATGAACCATTTGCTCCAGAAGGTGTTAACGAGAAAAATGAATTCGATCGATTAAGACACGCAATGTCTTCTGTTGGATTTTGTGCTGAAACTCAAAAAACAATATTTGGAATTATTTCGGCTGTTTTACTTCTTGGAAATATAACATATATTAAAAGACATGGATATCATAGTGATGAAAGTGGATATATTGAAAATGAAGAAGTTGTTGATTTGGTTGCTAAATTATTACATATCAAAACAGAAACTCTTATGCAAGCATTGACTATGAAAAGACATGTTATGAAAAATGAAACTGTAGTTTTGAGGTATAGTGTATCAGAGGTAAGAAACGAACTTTTCGGAAAACAAAAAAAAGCCACGTGAATGTTCCAGGCAACAAATACTCGAAATGCAATGGCAAAATGTATTTATAATTCACTTTTTCACTATATTGTTCTTCGGATAAATCAAGCATTATTGAAAAAAGATTCAGCAGCTGGAAAAGGGTATTATATTGGAATTTTGGATATTTTTGGATTTGAAGATGTTGGAGCACAATGGAATAGTTTTGAACAACTTTGTATTAATTATGCAAATGAAAAACTTCAATCATATTTCAATCAACATATTTTTCAATTTGAACAAGAAGAATATTTGAAAGAAGGAATTTCATGGACAAATATCGAATATACAGATAATACTGAATGTGTTCAATTATTTCAGGTTAGTTATTTTCATCAAGTTATTTTCCAGAATATATTTTTAGAGTAAACCATATGGTGTTCTTCGACTTATTGATGAAGAAAGTAATATAAACAATGGAACTGATGATTCTATGTTAGCAAAATTGAATCAATTTTTGAAAACAAATGATTATTATGAAACTCCACAGAAAAAAGAGCCAGCTTTTATAATAGCTCATTATGCGGGAAAAGTGAAATATCAAATAAATGGATTCAGAGAAAAGAATAAGGATTTGATGAGACAAGATGTATTGAATGCATTAAAATCAAGTAGAAGTTCAGTTATGAAAACACTTTTGGGAATTGATCCAGTCGCTGTTCATCGATGGAATGTTCTTCGAAGTGTTTTTCGAGCAATGAATGCATTTAAACAATCAGCAAGAAGATTACAAAGAAGTGAATCAGCTGGACATCTTCAAGTTACTGGAAGTATTGCAAATTCAACAAGAAGAGGATCTGATTCAGCATTATCTGCATTTCTTCGAGGTGAATTACGTTGTGAAGTTCCTGAATTTTGTGATACAAGTATGTTTAATACGATTCGAAATCAAGCAAGAAGAACACCAGCAGCAAAATCAGATGATAAAATGAGTTTATTGAAATCTCTTCAAATTTTGAAAGAAGCAATTGGTGCAAGAAGATTAGCAAAGAAACCATCATCGGTTTCAAAACAATTTGAATATTCATTAACTCGTTTAATGAGTACATTAGGAAATGCAACACCGTATTTTATAAGATGTATCAAAAGTAATAATGATAAAATAGCAAATCATTTTGATGATAATATTATTCTTCGACAATTGAGATATACTGGAATGTTGGAAACTGTTCGAATTCGTCGTGCTGGTTATTCAGTTCGTATTGAATATGATAGTTTTGTCAAACAATATCGAATACTTTTGAGAAATGGAAGAGAAAGTACTGTAGAAGATGTCAAAGATTTTCTGAAAGGACATAGTGAAAATATTCAATTTGGAACAAATAAAATATTTATGAGAGATGCTGAAAAACTGATATTGGATGATATTTTACATCGAACAATAATGCAACATATCGATACATTACAAAGATGGTTTAGAACAATGTTAGCAAGAAAAAGATATTTGAAAATGAAAGAAGGAGTTGTGAAAATACAAGCATTGATAAGAGGAACAATTGCTAGAAATGAAGTTCGAAAAAAAGCATTAGCTGCTCAAAAAATTCAATCAAATTGGAAAAAATATCGAGATCAAAAAAGATATCAAAAATTAAAGGATAGTATAATTGCAATACAAAGTGCGTATAGAGGAAAAAAGGAGCGACAAAGAATTGGAGAAATTCCAAAAAACACATCCGGTGTTAAAAAAACATCATTCAAAGTGAAAAAAGTGCAAGCTGTCAAATTGACCACATTTGATCTTAATAATCCAGCAACATTAGCACAATTTGCTGATTCGGAAGATGATTCAGATAGTGACAAATCAACACAAGATGGTTTAGATGATGATATTTCAGAGGCTTCTGATGCATTTCAAGAGTTAGTTTTTTTTTTCAAAAAAATTTTTTTGAGCAAATAAATAAATAATAATAAATTACAGTGACGATCAAGTTGATGTTGATGCAACTTTTATTTTGGAAGATACAAAACTAAAACTCATTGAAGGTGCTGATTTATCTCAACCACGAAGACAATCATTAGCACCAACAGCATCGACAACAAAATTGAAAATGTTGAGAAGAGCAAACAGCACAGAATCTAATAATTTTTCAATTTCTCGGAATGATGATACATTCACGGTATGTTGAAGGGAGGAGATATCTAATTGTAAACGAGAAATTTAAACGATCTCTTGTAATGTCCTGATTTTTAGAAAACAATTATAATTTTCTCGCAACTTCTCGAAAACAATAAAGCACGCAAATACTCCTTCCCAAAAAAAATTTACTCTGACTTTTTAAAAAAATTATATAATCTCGGTACGGTACGAGTTCTAGCTCCAAAAAATTGAAATTCCCAAATTCCCAAATTTACTATTTTTCATTTTTATCATGATTAAATTTCAGTTGAGCCCAACAAATTCAAAAAAGAAATCAGGTGGATCATCAAAAATGGGTTTCCAAAAAGCGAAAAACAATCTGAAAGCATTATTTGGTCGAAAAATAGAAGATGATGAACCATCTCCTGGACCAAGTTTCAGCAGTGAATTAACTCCGGATATTTTTGTATCAAGAGAACATTCATTCAAAATGTCACGTTTACATCGACAAGAAATTTGTGCTTTATGCAATAGGCATCTTACGGGTTTTATTTCTCAGGCACACAAATGTTCAAGTGAGTAAATATTTTTAAAAATATTTGGAAAAAAGTGTTTCAACTGTATTTCAGAATGCAAAATGTGCCTACATAAAGAATGCGCAGCATTTGCTTCTTCAATTCCTTGTACTCCAGTTTCACCAGTTCGATCTCCAACAAGATTACATTCACCAAAAAGGCCTTGGGATCTTATGTCTCATAATAAAAGACAATCATCTTCACCAATTCCAGCAACAACAGGAACGTTTAGTTTGACAAAAACAAAACAACAAACAGATCCAGGAAATATGGTTGTAGAATCGACTGAAGATTTACGACAATTTAGTGTTTTTATTTTTAATAAAACTACTAATTTGGGAACAGTTAACACAAATAAACGGTAGGATTTTCGAAAAAAAAAATGAAATTTATTTATTTAAATAAACTAAATATTTTTCAGTGATACCGTAGTCGATGCAGTTTTCAAAAAATCGCTTCGAGCTTTTCATATGGAATTACTCGGTTATGAAGCTGTTTTAACGGTAATCTAAAAAAAATACAGTAACCCATAATCAACCTTTTTTCACAGGCGGAAGGATCTGTTTTGAAATATCGTGATATGATAACAATGTTTGAAGGACTTTTAACTAAAACTTGTAAAGAAGAAACAGTTTCATTTCCAACAACTCTTGGTGTAAATGCTTTTCGAGGATTTTTGAATGAATTTATGCAACAACAATCAAAAAAAAAACGAGGAAAAGAGAAATCATCGATGATAAAAGTGAGATTTTTATTCGAATTTGTTTTTTTTTTGTGCATCAAAAATTCAGATTTTTTTCAAATATCAAATAAATTTAGAAAGTTGGAAAAAAACGGAGAAAATCTGATGTGGTATCAACGGTAAGAATAGTTTAGATCGATAGAATACGTGTGTCATTTTTTTTCTTTTTTTTTCTAAACCGAAATCCTTTGTTCGTTGTTTTGTTGATTTATTCATTCAACCTGATAACGATATTTTGTATATATGGATTATATTTCAATTTTCGATATTTTTAGATTCACTGTGGTCATCGATTTCATGCTGATGTTGTTCATGTTCCAACTTATTGTGAAGTTTGTAATCAATTAATTTGGCATCATGAAAAACTGTTCATTTGCGTTGCTTGTCGAATATCTTGTCATAAGAAATGCCAACCGAAAGTAACACATCCATGTCAAATGCAAGGCAAAAAAATTGATCCACATGTGAGTAAAAGGAAGGGAGGGAAAATGAAGAAGAAATGAACAGTACCTTTGAAATAGTATAACTAAACTCGAGAAAAAATTAGTCCAAAAATTTGAAACTTTTATCTGGGGATTCTGATACAAAATCCTGTAGGGGCCTTTAATAATTTGGGGGTTTCATTTGAAACTGCTTTCGATATTCATCTCACATTTTTCATTTTAGAGCGGAGGTGGCCGATTCTTTGGAGCATCTTTGAGTTCAATTGTTGACAATGAAAACAGTGTACCAATTCTTTTGGATCGTCTATTTTTCGCAATTGAAACTCGCGCACTTTTTGTTGAAGGAGTTTATCGAAAATCTGGTTCACTCCCACAAGTTCGAAACATTCGAAAGATAATTGAATCAACAGCTGATGCAGAATCAATTAATTTCGATGACACTGGTGTTCATGTTTTAACAACATTGGTCAAAGGATTTTTCCGAGAAATGAGTGAACCATTAATTATATTTGATCTATATGAAAACTTTTTGAATGTATCAGGTATGAAAATTATCATCTTTCTTTTTTTTTAATAATATACATTTTATAGAAGTGGAAGATATTGGTGAACGTATTCGATGTTTATCAGTTATGATAGAACTTTTACCAAAACCAAATCGAGCAGTTCTTGATCGTCTTATGTATCACTTAGCACGTGTAGCTGATCAAGAAGCAGTTAATAGAATGGGTTGCAGTAATTTAGCAGTTATATTTGGACCATGTGTTTTACGTCGACAAGATGTTGCACATGCACAAGAACAATTGAATGATGTTGCTAGACAAACTGGATGTGTTCAAACTTTGATTGAAGAAAAACTAAAACAATATAAAGCAACTATTAATAATATTGTTGAACTTGAAGATGCGAGTCAGAAAGTATCAGCAAATCTTCGAAAGATTGAAGAACATCGTAGAAATAGTGAACCATCAAAGGTTGCTAATATTGGAACAGCTAAACAACTTTTCGAAGAACAACTCGAATTTCTTGGAAAACAAAAGTATTTTCATATTTTTTATATTTCCAAAATATCCGCCTAAATTTGCAGAGAACGACTTCTACAAGAACTTCCACCACTTGCACCAGTTGCTTCTTCAGAAGATTTATCATCATCTGATGAAAATAATGCTGGAGGATTAGCATCTTCTTCCCAATCAGTTGAAGAATATGCAATCGATCTTGATGCGCCACCAGTTTTTTGTTTATTAGTTTATCCAACAAAACATCGGCCAAGAGGGCCATTAAATAGGCGAAGACCTGATTTGGATTTGAGAAGAAAAGCATTTGCTAACTCGAAAACTTCTAATAAAACGGTTTACTATTGATACTTTCAACTTATTATATCAATTAATTATTAATTATTATTACAACAATTAAAAAATAAAGTATTGTTGAATTATACTCGAGGTTATGTGTTTCTTTTTGTCGGAATACTTTAGAATGCTTAATAAGTTTTTCAAATAACATTCAGGATTTGAATGACTTTTCTTGATTTATTATTAAACAACTAGGGGCGGTGCCCCTAGGCGAAACAGTTGTACAAATCCTCAAAAATTTCAAATTTCGAAAAAAAAAACTATTTTTTCGCATGTTTAAAATGATCATTTATAAATTAAAGAAATAAACAGGTTTTCACGTAGGCATTCGTGGTCAAGTGGTACGTGACTTTGCCTTGTGATCAGAGCATTTTTGACGGGTTCGATTCCCGGTCGAAGCATTTTCCTATATCCGCTAGGTATGATTTTCAAAATTTCTGAAGAAAATGTGAAAAAAATGGTGAAAAAATGTGCGAAAAAATTTATAATCAGAATGCATACCTACGGGATTTTATAAAGAGGTTAATATTCTTGAATTCATTACTCTATGTTAAAACAACAAAACTAGAAATGTGAAAAAATAGACATCTAAAAATGCATGGTGAAGCACTCATTTACAGGATTTTTTGTTGAAAAAACAATTTTTATCAATGTGCAAAGTGCGCTCTATTGCAAATATGGCGCACTTTCGCGTTCAAACGTTTTTCGTTCGTTTTTTTTCTTTTCGTTCTTTTTCCGTTTTTACTCAGCGAAGTTGGGCGATTTGCGTAGCAAAGTTAGTTGAACGATACAGCTAGTAGCTAAAAATTGCTATCCGATCAATCGCCCAACTGAGTGGTGAAAACAATCGCTGAAGTTTTTCAACACAAGTATATTTCGAAAACTTTAATTTTTCCAAAGATCCTCTAGATGAGACTTTTGAAATGACCAGTTAATAGTCTGTTTGTTCTCAAACTTTCCCATTTCGTTTGAATTTCTAGTTTTTTTTGAATTGGATGCATTATTTTTGCAGGATGGATTCGTCTATATTCAAACCACTGAAACAATTGTCTGGTTCTGAATGGTCTGGTCATAAGAAGTTTCTTTCAACAACACTTGGTTCGGCATGCCCTTTCGTCGTAATTTATCATCAAAATATTTTGCATGTTTACCATTTGGAACGCAATAAAAAAGTCTACACATTTGAGTTCCCAGAAGGAGTTAAAATAGTTGATGTTGACTATTTTCCAAACAAAGGTATATTATTTCATTTTTAGATGACTAAATTTAATTTTTGAACTTTTACAGATGGACTATTCGGTATCTTAGTTGGCGCAAATGATGAAAATCTAACATGGGGTGCTCAGAATTTCGTAGTTGGATTGGAATCACAGTTAGGATCACATGTAAATCTCAAGTTAGCATGGACTTTAGGCGTGCCAGAAGCGGTTTGTAAACTTTTAATATACATATAAGAATTGATTTGAAATTTTCAGATTACTGTCGTGAAGACTTTGTTCACAAACGAGGATATGCATTTTAGAGCAAAAGAGTTCAAATTGTTCTCTAAACTCGAAAAATGGCCTCATGTTGTTGCAATCGGTGCAAATAATTCACGTTGTTTCATCGGTAATCTTCAACAACAAGAAGATTTTGATACAGAATCAGTGCTCATCAATACGATTTCTCAAAACATTGTCGATATTTTCAGTGAGTAAATTCTAATCTCTCTAACATGATAAATAACATTTTTCAGCTTCATTCCGATCAAAATCTCGTAATACATTTACTTATGAAGTAGAAGATTTGTCAAAAACCTACGATGTTGCTGCTGTTAGTGTTTCTTCGTTAGCTCTTTTGCCAAGAAGTCGAACTTTATTAGTTGGATTATCAATGGGAGGAATTATAAGTGCGGCATTGAATCCATCAAATGCAATGAATCGATTATCTCTTCGACATGAACGTCTTATTCGATATATTGTACCACTTGAACCAGAAGATGATCCAGAAAGATATGAATATTTTATGGCAATTGCTGATGGTTCTCCAAGACATCAAATCATGATACATCTATGGAGAGGATGCTTCAAAACAGAAGACAATTTGGATGCTGTGGCTGAAAAACAATTTGATGAACCACAATTTTATGTTAATATGGAATATCGGATGCCATTTGGAAAAAATTGGATTTCTGCCAGAACAATGACGCATGGAAGAGGAATTTCGAATATGAATAGAACACGAAGAATAACTCTTGAAAATTCAATGAGTGCAAAATCTCCAAATGTGTCGTCAATGCTGAATTGCTCACAATCATTAGGTAAAAATGAAAACTAATAATTTATTTAAAAATATATTTCCAGGTTCAACATTAAACCGTAGTTCAATACTTTTGGTTTATGAGAAAATTGATATAAATACCAACAAGACATTTATCGAGGCTGCAGTTTTCGATATAGATGCATATTATTATAAAAGAATGCCTGCAACTATTCGAGATGATCAAACATGTCTAAAACAATGTGCCTTTATGTCAACAATCAAATCGAACATTGAAAGTGATAATATTGAAGATGTTATGATTTTATTGAATTCTCCAACTGATATTTCTCGTTTCTCATCTCCAATTTCTGAAGCAGATCAATTGTTTTATCCATCATCATTAAACTTTGATCGTGTTTTTATTGCAACAAAAGAATCAGTGAATCGGTCATCAATTTCTAGTATCCATAACACGGTTCGTTTTTATAAGGTTCTTTTGGCTATTAAAAAATGACTCTGAATTTTTCCAGCTTTTGGAAGAAGTTTCGAATAAACTAGAAGAAATTGTTGGAGATGCCTCAAATTATGCTGAAAAACTTCTGGCAGCCGGTTTTGTTCCAAAAACTATTTTGAATGGATCACCCAACAATTCAATAAATTCGAGTCAATTATCAGGAAATTCATATTGGAGTGTTGAACAGAAAATAGTTCTCACATCAATGTTGTATTATGGAAAAGTGGATTCGTTGATCAAATTAGCAGATAGTCAAATTTTGACAAGTGAAATGAAAGGACAAATTGCTGAATGGGTTTATTATGAATGCTGTAATTTCAAGAGAACTATTCTTGATAGAAGTATGCTTTTTTTATTTGTTTTTAGAAATTAAAAATGATTTATACCATTTTCAGCATATAGTGTATTTGATGGATCATCAGCTGGATTATCTCCACATGCTGAATCTGCTCTCACAAATGGATTAGAATTGTTTTATTCTTGTGAAGTTTTATTTGGACAATATCATAAAGCACTTCAACAAGATGTTGATCAAAATATAAGTAAGACATTAGAAATTTTTATATTTTTCCAACACATTTTTATTTACAGAGAGAATTCGAAAATTTGCCGAAAATGTTCATCTTTTCTGGATTTATAATCAATTAATTCGTCAATTTGTTGCTTATGGAATTGTTCCGACAAAATACGAAAATATGAGAAAAATGAGAGAATTGCATTTTATGAAAGTTGAGGCAGCAAGAAAAAACAAATGTGCTCTTCCAGTTCAATTAGTAATTCGTCGTATGAATATGGTCACACCTGATGCATTATTTTGGGATGAAACACCATATGATCAATGGTATCCACCGCATCCTTCAAATTTATTAGATCCAATACTAACTTTGAAAATAACTGAAAAAGTTAAACGAGAACTTATAATTCATTATGTTTTGGATTGGCTTAGAGCTTGTGGAAATATTTCGGATGAAAAAGAATTGGCGAAAAAAGCACATTGTATTATAAAAGACAAATTGATGGGATCTGATTTGCAAAAGATTGAGTTTATTTTGGAAGAAGAAAAAAGAGCGATTTGCGAGAAACCAAAACCCCAAGTTTTCAAAACATTGGAGAATAATGTTCAAGAGAAAAAGTTGCCTGATTTTTTGACGGAAAAACAAAAAGAAGAATTTGAGGCAAGATATCAATTGCAAAAAGAAAAATCTTCATTTGGTTGTAAGTTATTTTTTTTGGAAAATTATATCAGAATGTTATATATAATTACAAATTTACAGTGACTAAATTGAACGAGGAAGAAGAAAAACAGTATCAAGCATTTTTGTTAGTTCGTCAAAGATATAATTATCTTTCGGATGAAACTGTCAATTCCAATAAATTGCTACAAACATTTTTGTCTTCCAAAAAATGCGCAAATGTTTCTTCAAAACAAGCCGAGAAGTCAGAAAAACAACGGGATATTCAAAACGCGGTCAAAAATATGTTCCAAAAAAGTAAGTTTTTTTCAAATGTATTTTTCAACTTTTTTGAACTTAAAACTTTAAGATAAATCGAATGCAAATGAAACAGTAATGATGCAAGTGAACCAATTGGATTGTTTATTGCTACCACCGAATTCGATTGCTCATAAAGTTCAACAAATGAATATTGGAAGAAAAAGAAGATCGATAAATGAGGGAAATAAAATTGAAAATGAACCGGTAAGCTATTCATAAATTATGAACATATTTTCTTTTTTTCAGAATTCCAAGCGGCTTCCGCCAAACAAATCGCCGAAATTAGTTTCACCACCTCCAGTTGATGACAATTCATCAGATGACGAGATACTTGTTGCTGCTCAAACACCTGCTAAATATTTATCTCGTCGCCCAATTAAGGAAACTGAATTATCTCCAGTTTTCCGTCCAGGACCACCAACAACTTGTCCAAATAGTATTCTTAAATCCACAAAAACAATACAATCACCAAGTCGTGGAAGAATACGTTTTCATCAAAGTGTTGGTGGATTTGAAGAAGAAAGTGCGGATGAAGGAAGTATTCGATCAGTTGGTAAAAAATTGAATGTGAGTTTTGTTTTTTTTTTCAAATCTCTTCAATTAAAATATCACATTTACAGTTTGATTTCGACGACGATGAAGATGAAAACGAAACTGAAAATGTTCCAACAACTGCTCCAATTCAACAACCACAAACAGAAGATACTTTCGAATTATCTGATGCTCCAACTATATTCGAAGATATTGAAAAAACATTCGAAATTGCATCAGAATGTTCAGAAAATATGGATGTTAGTGAAAAGAAGGAAATTGTTGAGAAGTCATTTGAAGTTGCTGAAGAATTGGTTGAAGAACAAACAAAAGAAAAAGATAATGAAGTTGAAATGGAAAAAACAATGGAAATATCAGAAGAAGTTGAGGATTCTGTTGAAAAGGATAATATGGAAGTTGTTGAAGAGGAAACAGTTGAAAAAGAATCAGTTGAGGCAAATAAGATTGTAACTGAAGAAGTTGAGAAAACGACTGAAATCATGGAAGAAGTTGAAGTTGTTGAAGAAAAGAAAAACGAAGATATTCAAGTCGAAGAAGAGAAAGAAACTGAAAAAGAGATTGAAATGCAAGAAGAGGAGGAGAAAGAAGAAGAAGAAAAGTGTGATGGAATTGAGAGAAGTTTTGAACTACAAAAAGATGAAGATGTTGAGCCGATCAGAGAACCGAGAAACACAGAAATTACTGTTGAAAATGTGGAAGATAGTTTGAGAAGATCATCGAGAATCAGATCTCGTACGGTTTCAAGAAGTGAAGAACAACAAGAATCGGAGACACCAGCCACAATCACTCGAACAAATACAAGATCGAGAACAAATTCTGTTAGCCAACAAAATGATGAGAAATCCATAGCCACTTCTAAAAAGAGAACAAATATTCGTTCTCGAACTGTGAGTCGAAATGAGGACAACATCGAAGAAGAAAAGAAAGAAGAGCTAATGGAGGTTGAAAATGTCGAAACTCCGGTTAGAAAAAGAACCAGATCAACTGTAAGCTATTTCTGTTTGAGAATATTTTTTAAAAAATTATTGATTTTTTAAATTTCAGAGCCGTTCACGAAATCCATCTGTTTCTGTTGAAACTCCAAATGCAACTCCAAAAAAGGCAACCAAATCAGCATCACGGGTATGTTTTCTCAATAGAGAACCCTATTTAAATACAATTTTGTCCAGGGTCGAACTGCTGTGATTGAAGAGGAAAATGAGAAGATTGAAGTGGAAGATGAACCAAAAGTTCAGACTCCAAAAAGAGGAAGACCACCAAAATCAGCAAATACAACACCATCGAAAAATGTAATTCCAAAATTAGATAAAGTTATTGAAGAAAAGACGGAAGCCAAAAAAGATGAAATTAAAATTGCCACAACATCAAGTAGAGTAAGTTTTTCGTCGATGAAATATATTTCTAGATTGAGTTTGATGGTTTTTTCACTAATTATTCCTATTTGAAGAATAAAACGTGAACTCTCCAATTAATTTTGATTAAAAAGTGAATTTTTCAAGAGAAATTTTGAATTTCAAATTTCTGAGTTTGCTGCAAATAAATATTCAAATCATAATTTATTTCAGAGTCGTTCAAGAACTACTTCAGTTATTGAAGAACCGAAAGAAGCGACACCAAAAAAAGTTGGACGCCCAAGAAGAGAAAACTCGAAATCGCCAGCTCGAGCCAAAAAAGTGGAAGAAGAGGAAACAAGTTCTTCTGCTCCACGCAATAAAAGATCAAACTCTGTCAGCAGAATGGCATCTAAAAAAGAAGCGGAAGAGTTGGATTCGAAATCATCAACAAGTAGATTAAGAGCTGCTTCTGTTGCAACAACAACAAAGACATTCGAAAGACCCAGAGGAATTTGGAGAGAACGATTAGCTGTATGTTAATTATCTGAATAACTGGAAACATTTAAATTTTTAGGATGCTTTCGAGAAAAGTGATCCAAAAGCTGCAGCAGTTGTTAGAAGTGTTTCAATGGCAGCTAAACCAATCGAATGTGCAACACTCACACCAAGAAGATCGGCTCGAAGAAAATAACTTTTTTTTTCGTTTTTTTTTCATGTCAAATAAAAAATTTTATTATTTTTTCTATTTCACAGAAACAAAAAATTAGCATATAAATTGAAGGTTTCATGTTTCATTAATCGGAAATAGACATCCAATCAGACCAGAATTCATCTTTGATTCGCGTCACAAATGTCATCTTAAAATAGAATTTCAATCGGAAAATCAAAAAAGCAAATGATAAACTTACTAGATTTGGTGTTCTTTCTTTGAGAAATTGTTTAATTCGTGCTTCATTAATTAAAGGAGTATATTTAAATTGTGCCAAAACAGCAAATGCTTTACAATCCAACCAAGATGGCTCTTTTACATTGAAAAAATATTTATTGGAACTCAATTGAGCTGAAAGTGCTTCGAGCATTGCTTCTGTTCTTGATGTCACTTCTTTTTTAGCATTTTTTCCACTTAAACCATAACCTCGAACACGGTTTAATGTCTATAAAAATATGTTGTTTTGAGAAGAAAATTGACACTTTTGAATCTCAAAAATCAAAATCGATTCGACACTTTATTTTTGAAATTTCAAATAAAAAACAAAATTTTCGAAAAAAAAAAGCAAAAACTTGATGAATTTTTGGGAATACTGAATTCGAAACATAATATGAGATTACTAAACAGTTTAGTCTAAACTGAAAAAAAAATGATAAAATTTGTTTGAAAAAAATTTCTCAAAAAAAAGTTTCTGAAAAATTTATCCGAAATTCGATTTTCGAATTTTAGTATGATTTTTCTCCTAATTTTGTGAAATAAAACAAAATGTTCAATTTTTAATCTCGCAAACCTTTTTTTGCAATCTTGGAACAATAACATTTCTCCAAAAATAAATTTGAATTTTAGAAAAATCTTCGAGAATTTTTCGATCATCTCTCAACCAAGAGAAATCATGTGCTCTCGAATATGCTAACATCCAACTCAATTCATCGAGCAAAGCACTGAATGCAAGTGATTGAGCTCTTTCAATTGGATTTAAGACGTTATCAATTGACTGAAAAGTTTTCTTTATTTGAAACAATAAAATATCTACAGTAACCCACTTTTTGATATTTTGACAATAAATAATCAATTCCTTCCATTACATTTGCAAAACAATAATTATCGACTGTGATAATTGGATATAAATGTTCACGAGGAATAACATTCCAAATTGAACATTGGATTGTCTGAAAATTTAATTAACTGATAATTTTTAAGATTTGATCTCAACATACATCATATGGGATGTTTTTCGATCGCAGAACTGTTTCAAGGAAAAGGCAAGATGGAGAATAATAGGGAACTACTGCGGTTTTTTGGAAGAGAAGTCAAAAGGGCGATTCGTCGTGACATTTCAAGTTCAAATAATTTTTCTGAACGAAAAACCATATCAAATTTCACTTTTAATTTATGCGTATATACAACTTGAAACCAACAAACAATAACGTTTTATCCAAAAGGACAGTATGAACAACAAAAACAAAATTAGACCATTCTTCGGAGAAGGTTGTTGAGTTGATCTTCTCTGTTTCCGAAGTCTCCTCCTTCAACGAAGTGATTGGTTTTCTTGGTCCATCCACCGGTTGGGTTGTTGAGTTTGAATGGCCAGAGGAAGTTGGTGGCTTCCTTGAAGTGTGGTCCGACGGTGGCGATTTCGTGAACAAGATCTTCAGCACAGATGATGTTGAATTTTCCTGCAAAACAGTTAATAAAATTAGATGCAATATTTTGAAAATTTAAATTATACTTACCAAGGCTTTGCTCAATGATGTTGTTGTCGGTGATTGGAATACGGCTTCCATCAACTTTAGCGTATCCGCGTTTGTAAACAAGATCGTGGATCGATTTGTTGTTTGGATATCCCCAGGCAACGTATGGCTCGACAATACGGAGAAGTGGGAGGGTGGCCTTGTTCAATTTAACGAAAACACCATTGTTGATTTGACGGAGACGAAGAAGTTGAAGAGCCTGAAAATACATTGATAGCCTTCAACTAAATCTGTCCACTAAAAATGTGTTTTGTTTTAATTGATGTCTAAATAAATCTCCAAAGCGGCGAACAAAGTGTTTTTTAAAGATCGTCATTGCTTTCTGGCTTTAAAAGGAAAATATCTTGTGAAAAAAGAAATACCCCAGCCACAATTTACAAATACACATTTTTGTCGTAGAAAATATGACACACAACAAAACAAAATTCCAATGTATATGGATTTGGATCTTTCACTGATTAGTTGTCCAACATATCGCACATTCGAATAGTCTAGTAATGCCCATCAAGGGAAAATTCAAAAAATTATTTTTTACTGTTTCAATAATATTCGCAGAAAAACTAAAAACTGTGAAAATGGCATACCTTTCTTGGTTTTGGGTGAATTTGGTTGATACCACGAATTCTGATAACGAAGGCAACCTTTGGTTCTTCTGGAACGTAGAAGTCTCCTTTGGCTTCAGCTTCGCGCTTGAGTCTCAAAGTTTCCTTTTGAGCGTTTCTGTATTCTTGAACGTATTTCTCAGCACGTTTGAAGATTTGAGATTTCTTTTCCTTGTTTTGCTGAAAAAAATGAATCATCAGTTTCACCTTCAATAAAGGAATGTCATCATGTTATTGAGCTGCATTCTAAAATCAATTGCATCTCACCCAAAAACAGGATAATTATATTGCTCAATTTGACGGCTGGCATCGATAAGTTGAAATCGATTTCCAGTGCTTTTGAATGAGCTCTCTAATATAAATTTGGGAAAAAACTTACAGCGGCAAGCTTGATGTTGTTTTGAGCGGCCTTGGCGCGAGCATCGGCTCTCTGCTTTCTGCGCTTAAGGATGGTTTCTGGGACCTGTGGGACGACCTTCTTTCTGAAAATATAATATTTTTATGAGGGTAAAACGAGTCTTAAAGTTCAACTTACGCTGGAGCCATGGCAGGCAATTGGTTACCTGGAAAAATAAATTATTTTATTTAAAAAATTAAGTTTTAGGAGATAAATTGGGGTACTTTGAGGTTATACATCATTTAGACATGATTTCCTTCAAGTTTTATGCTGAAATAGTGCAAAAAACCTCCAAAAAACCAAAAAAGAAAAGAAAAAATTCGTTAGGCCGTTGAAAAATTGAGAAATAAACCAGTTAAAGGGAGGCAAGTGTGGTACTGTGCCTATTGAACGCGTGACAAGACCCAATAAGCTTCGCGTCGCGGCAATGCGAAGCGTGTGTGACTAGAGAATTGACGTGGATGGGAACACAATTTTTACTTGTTTTCCCTCGTTTTTTCAAGTTCCTGTTCAATTATTTCTATCAAAATTGTGAATAACCGGAAGAACTATCGATCTTACAATCATTTATCAGTATATAACCTCACTAAAACTACTTTTTATGCACTGAACTCCAAAGTTTTCTTATTCAATTTTGATGTTGCGAAACATGTCTGACATACGTTTTTCAGAAATCAAAATTCATATTCAAATAATCTATTGATTTGTTATTTATTAGTCAAAAAGACGGTTAGATTCTTCATTTTTTTTCAGTCTAGTGATATTGATAATTGTCAGCTGATCCTCGTGATTAGAAAGAAAAGATGATATTTTAGTTGATGATTATATTTGATGTCTTATATGTTTCAATCTAGTGTTTAGTTTTCAATATAGTTTATGTTAAATTGAATTCTGAACTTGTTTCCATTTTCTTCAATTGTTTGTCACAAAATCAAAGTAACTAATCTCGATGTCGAAGTTTAATTAGGTCATTTGAAGGACAACTATGTCTCGGTCATCTGGCTGACATCAAGTTGGATTTTTTGTTTTCAATTCTTGATAGTTCACTTTTCTCTGTTCCTGTTCGGTATACTTTATATATTTGATAGCATTCAATTTTTGTTTATCAAGGCGGAGTATCATATTTCGCAATAATTTGAATATACAAAACGAACGATGAGTGTACCGATCATATTTTAAAGCATTAGCACTTTTCATTTCTCCTCAAATGTTTTTATTCTCTCCTAAAATATTTTTATTTGATTAATATTTTTCGTGATTCATCATAACACAATTGATTCATCGTTTCGTTTAAAATATTCTCATTGTCTATAAATATTTTTCAGAGGTTCGAAATGGGCTCTCGTGACGATGAATACGACTACTTGTTCAAGGTTGTTTTGATCGGAGACTCAGGTGTCGGAAAATCGAACCTTCTCTCTCGTTTTACTAGGAACGAATTCAACTTGGAATCGAAATCGACTATCGGTGTAGAATTCGCTACAAGAAGTATTCAAGTTGAAGGTAAAACAGTGAAAGCTCAAATTTGGGATACTGCCGGACAAGAACGTTATCGAGCAATTACATCTGCTTATTATCGTGGTGCTGTTGGTGCACTTTTGGTGTATGATATTGGTCAGTTTTAAAAATTTCGTGGTATAATTTTCCAGCTAGTTGATTATCGACAGAAATCCATTGGTTCTCAAATTTCATAAACAGAAAATCTTAGTTTTCGATTACCTCAGAAGAACAGAGAAAATTGATTTTAAAATGATATTGTTTCAGCTAAACACGTAACTTATGAAAACGTTGAACGTTGGCTCAAAGAACTTCGCGATCACGCCGATCAAAATATTGTAATTATGTTAGTCGGTAACAAGAGTGATTTGAGACATTTGAGAGCTGTACCAACTGATGAAGCCAAGATTTATGCGGAAAAGAATCAATTGTCTTTCATAGGTAAGTTAATCTTTTTGAGTGGTCAACATTTTTATATAATTTGTAACATTATAGAGACATCTGCCCTCGACAGTACAAATGTTGAAGCAGCGTTCACAAATATCTTGACTGAGATCTACAAATCAGTTTCGAACAAACATGTTGGTTCGGATCGACAAGGTTACGGAGGTGGAAGTGGAACAATCATTCCAACACCACCAACGGAACCACCAAAGAAACAATGTTGCAATTCTTAAACGAGTCGTTTCAAAATGCCTTCCTCATATTGTGTTTTATTCACTGTTTTTCATTCAATATCGTGGTAAATTTTCGTTCCTTCGTTCCAAAAATGGACAAATGTGATGTATTCCCTTTATTTTCAATTTTCAGCCAATGGCCCATAATTTCAGAAAATCTAAAGTGCACTTTTGTGATGATTTTTTATCCCCTCAATCGCACTTTGAATTCAAAATGTATGTCCCTCCTCCATTCTCCCTTTTTTATATTACAACGATCACTCACTGTATTATGAGCCCTATCCGATCCATTTTAATTTATTAGAGCATATATTTTTGCAATGAATAAATATGTATTTAACACAAAATGTTGTAATTTTTGTAAAATGTGAATTTTTCATAAGACCTGACAGTCTTTATTACTGAACAATTTTAAAAAATCAAGTGCGTTTAGAGAAGTTTTGAAGATTTTTAGAAATTGTTATACTTTTCCAAATATTGCTTTCTATAGAAAAGTTTTTTTCAGTTTCAGGTGTTTATAATTTTAGTAGTAAATATCCGATGCATGTTTTAAAGGTCGACGTTTTTAACCGAAATAGTCTTTATTATTTTCTCTTTCCTTTTTTCTGTCTCCTTATTTTTCAATGTTTGTATGCATTTTGTCGGAGTTAGAGATGCAGAGTGTGTTTGTTTCTTTATTTCTCCATATATTCTATACTATCTCACCTTTTTGTCGTGCAGTGTCGCGTCACGGCGTCTACGGACTCTCTCTTCCTCTTCTCTTTTTTTGTGCGTCTTTCTTTCTCTTTTAGAAAAGATTGTGAATTTTTGCGTCATGGTGTATGAATTTAATATTTAAAATTTACAGAAAGAAGAATGTCACCAACAAAAGGTAGAACAAATCAGAAGGCAGAAAGTGAAAAAGAAGTGAGTTTTGAAATAAAAAATTAGAATGTAATTTTGTAATATTTCATAATTATTTTGAGTTCAACCCTTTTTCAAAAAAAAATTAATGTTTTTTTTTTCAAATTTTTAATAAATATATTCTAGCCACAACCCACTGAATCAAGCGGAGATCCTGATTCACAACCATCAACAAGTCGTCCGAAAAGAAATGCTAGAAAGAGTGTCTTATACCACAATGCAGATTACGAAGTAAATTTGCCAGGTGTGAAAATAGAAGAAGATGCAATTGTTAATGTTGAAACACAATCTACTTCAACAACAACTGAAAAAAGAAGAGGAAGATCAGCTGATAATCGAACTGTTGCCAAAAAACGTAAATTGCCAAGTAATCAATCGGAAGGAGATGATTCTCAAAACAGTGAACAAAATGGACAAATTGAAGAAGAGGAATTATTAGACACTCAAAATACTGAAACAACTGGTGATGAACAAGAACAAATTGTGGAAACATTTCAAGAAGTTGGAGCAAATGAAGAATATATTATTGAGGATTCTTTGCAATTGGGTGCTGAAACTGAAGTTCCACATGTTCAAGATCAAGAACTTGGAGACGAACCACCTCAATTGAATTTATCAAACGATTATGATGATTCAGATGGTAAGTTGCAATGTTTATCTGCTCTATTTTCAAAGTTGATTTTTTTAGGACCAGCTCGTCTTGATTTAATGCGTGAACCAGAAGAATTATCATTTGCTGATGATGAAGAATATATGGAAAGACCATTACCACAACTTGATGTTGTTATGCCAATGTCAGCAAAGAAAAGAGGAAGACCACCAAAGGATGAATTCAGTTCACCTCCCGAAAAACCAAAAAAAGAAAAACGTGAAAAAATTCGAAGTTTTCGAGTTTCGGGTGAACGAGTTGTTAGTAAAGCAATGGCAAATCGGGTAAATCAATTCCATTTGAAATTATTCGAAGAAGAAATTGAAATGACTGAATTGGGAGATTGTTATGCCACAGTAATCAGTGGATGTTTGGCATATTTATTGAGAAAAGAACGAATTATTGATCTTCTTACAAATCCAGAAGAAATTGAATTGATGTGAGTTTATTTTTCAAATTAAATGTTGGTGATTATAATATTTTTTGTTTTTATAGTAGAGAAGGTGGATGGATGTTAGATAGACCAGCAAGATTACCACCATTGACAACAAATAAAGCTTGTTATGCATTTTACATTGATGGTTCTAAATTGGCATCAATTAAAGATATATCAAATGATGATCTCAAACCATGGAGTTCTACAGATGCACCAGTTGGTGAACCTGTTATAAAACCAAATGTTCGTAGACATCCAGTTGCCAGAGTTAATAATCGATTAATTCCTGTAAAAGGTGATCCACGTTTAGCCGAACTTCATTTAACTGAATACAGTGCATGGTTGCCAAGATTGTTGAGATTAAGAAAAAAGATTTTCTATTTATCAAGAGAAGGACAAATATATGGAAATGTATTGGTTTTATATGATTATACATGTGCTGGAGATGCTCCAACAGTTATTAATTTGCCGCACGGAAATGATTATTTACGTGCAATGGCACAAGCTGAACCACATGATTATCAAAACCCACATTTGACTGTTGGAGATGCGGAAAATCCATTTGAAGAAGATTGTGTTCAAGGACATCGTGGTGGAACATTTTTGAGAGTTAAGCAATCGAAATTAGGATGGGTTCATAATAAAAAATTACTTCTCAAATATCTTATCAATGATCCAACTTTACTGTAAGTTTGAAACTTAAAAAATTAGATAATTTTTCGAAAATTCAAATTAATTTTTCAGTGATGACACTCCGGCACTAAATCGCCGAGTTCCTTTTCTACCACCATTTATCGAAACTTCTGGTGTTTTTGTATATTTTGTTCCATCTTCTTTTGTTGCGAATCAAATTCACCATGTTGGAGACGGTCTTTCCCCGTGGACAATTAATCGTGAGTTATATTTTTAAGAAAAAAAATTGTTGTGCAAATTTTTATTAAATGCCAAAAAATGACCAGACCAAGAAAGCAACTCACGTTTTCTGAATGGATCCTGAATGAAATTAGAAATGCCCGAATGCAAAATTAAAAAAAAAAAAAAAATAATACATGTTTTCTAAATTTTGCTTTTTAGCGTGAAACATTTTTTTCACATTACAAGAGATTTTTCCACTTCATGGTTCAATTTATGAGAATTTTTTTAAAACTATTTTTTTCAGCATTAAATGATGCGTCATCTCCACGTGTTCGTTCAACTCGCCGCGCTCTTACTCAAGATGAAAATGGTGTTTTTATAACAACGAAAGAACAATGGCAAATGACTGGTCTTTGTCTTGTTGAAACACTTTCAATTCTTGCAAGATGTCCACGTTTACGTAAAAGAGTTCTTTATGTTCAACGAAACAATTTGATTGTAATGGGAAATGTTTGTTATATTTATGAATATGTTCGAGATGGTCCAATTCCTTCATTACTTCGTCCAACTCCAGTTAAACATATGGCAATTGAAGGAGCAAAATATACAACACCAGGAAATAATAGTGGAAATGGTGAACAAGGAGTTGTTGAAGAAGGAAATGTTCGACAAAATTGGATGGAAATATCGAAAATAAAAGCAGATGGAATGCCAGAAGATGAACAATTTATTGATGTTGAAGAAATGGAAGTTGTTGAAGAAGAAGTTATTGGTGATATTATTCATCAAGATATTGTTGATCAAAATGTTGTTCATCAAAATGTTGTTCATCATGAACATCACGATCAATCATCATTAAATGAAACAATTCAAGTTCAAGAAGATTTTGAAGAAGTTAGTGAAGATGTTTTGAACAATGGTTGGGATCCTGAATTTGATGATGATCCAATTTTGCAACAAGATAATCCGGAACCATATTTTGAAACTCCTCGACTTCTCGAAACTGGTCATATTTATTTGACTGTTCGACACAAAAGAATTGCTTCAACATTTGATTGTGTTCTTGAATGGATTGCAAACACAAATGTTGTGTAAGTTTTGTTTTTTTTTTTTTTGAAAAAAAATTTATTTTCAAATATAATGGTGTTTTTTAAGGGAAGAACGTGGATTATTGAATTATTCAAAACCAGGACATCCTCCAATTGTTCGAAATGCTCGATGTTATGCTTTCTTTGTTGCTGGAACTGCTATATTTCCACATGATATAAATCGAGATGATTTTTCGCCATGGTCTCATAATGGAACACGTAGGTTTCTTATTGGATTTTGAAAGAAAACTTCCTTCAGAGCAGCTTTGTTATTAAGAAAATCGAGCACTTCAAATTAAAATTAGTTATGTAGAAATCGAAAAACATGTTTTCTAAATTTCTAGAAAAAAGAAAAAGTGTTCATAAAAGTACTTCGAAATAAAAAAAAACCTTGAATGTTTAGCGGATAATCCGACGTGTTATCGTACAAAAGTTCGAAAAATTGGTGTAATTTGTGATGATGATGGTGCACAATTTCAAATCAAAGATATCGATTATAAAGCATGTCCATTCCATTTGGTTTTCTTGTATAGTATCAATCCAAGAGATCCAAGACTTCGAAAGAAGATTTATTATATGATGGAAACTGAATCGAAATTAGTTGTTAGTCATGCATTGGTATTTTATGATTATAATGTTGAAGGACCATTGCCAAGATTGCACGGAGGATATTTGAAAAGATTCACAAGAAAAGCAACTAAAAGACAGGTTTGTTTTTTTCAAAAGTTTACGTTTTTTTAAAAATAATAATAGTTTATACTTTTTATTTTTTTAATTTTAGCATCTTCAAATTCACGATGTTGATAACGATGTTTCGGATATTAGTGAAACCGAGAAGGATTGTCCATTTATTCTACCAGCAAATTTGGCAGAAGATGGAACTATGTATTTGCAAATTGCTGATCTTGAATTTTGGAATGATAGAAATCGCCAACTTCATTTTTTGGTCAACAAACCATCACTTCTGTAAGTCATTTATTAGAATAATTTCGAAATAATTATCGAAATTTTAGAGAAACAATTGGTTGTCTCAATTCTCGTGTTCCTTCTCTTCCACCATCAACATCTGGAAAAGGTGCATTTATATTCTTCGTTGATGGCCTCGAAGTTGATTCCCGTAATCTTACAACTGATGGACTTGTTCCATGGTCTGAAAACTCTTCAACAAGTGCAATGACTGGAGCCGCGTGTAAAAGACCAAAATCAGCAAAAACACCATTGGCATTGAATCGAGAGAATCAGTTGCGAGTTTGGAAAACACCGCCAGGTAATGGAAGAGCTTCGGAAGGTGTTGAATTTCAACTTCATACATATAATGCTACATTGCCAAGATGTCCAAGATTGAAGAAAAAAGTAGCATATGTATTGAAAAATGGACAACAAATTGGACATTCAATGATTATGTATTGGTTTACGGAATCTGGAGAAATTCCGATTCCAATAAATTTGAATACATTGAATCCGGAAGTATCTGTTCAACGATTACCAAATAGTATAAGAGAGGAAGCAAGTCGTTTACTTCAAAGTTTGACACCAGCTGAAGTTGCTAAATTGCTCCAAGATAGACATGGAATACAAGTATCACCAAAAACTTTGTATTACTTGAGAAGAAGAGATCTTATATCTATGAATTCACAAGGAGGACAACAAGCATATTCAGATGTTAAAAATGAATATATGGAACAACTTGTTGATCAACAATGGCATCATCAAGAAGTTGTTGATGAAATGATGCAACAAGGAACATCACAAGAAGAGAAGAATCAACAAATGTTGCAAGATGTTGTTGATGAAGATTCGATTCAAGTTGGAAATACAGAAGAAGTATTACAAGGAGATCAAGATGGTAATTCTGGTCGATATTCGACTAGAAGAAATGTTACTTTGGGAGATCATTTGAATTTGTTACATGGAGTTGTTCCAAATCGCGGAGGATCATTCTTGCAAAAACCAGTTGCAACTGGAATGATTAGAGGAGCACAAAGATCTGAAGCTATTTGGAGAATAACTAAAAGCTCATTTGGAACATCAAATGATAATGATACTTTTGATATGTTGTGGAAAATGATGTTGGAGAAAAATGAGCAAAGATTATTGCATAATGTACATCAGGTTTGTTGGATTTTTTGAGGATTCTTGAATAAATATAAATTATTTTCAGACATTTGGTATAGAAATAATTGCTGATTCAATGGTTGGCGGAGAAATGCTTCAATTGGGAGATGATGAAATTGTTGAAAATGTTGTTTTGGATACAAGTGAGTCAAATGAACAAAAAGCAGCGCATGAAGGATATTTGGAAGAAGAAGAGGTTATTGAAGAAGTTGTTATGCAAAAAGATGATGATGGAATGGATAATCATTCGAATATGCATCAACAACAACATGAAGGTAAATATTGAAAATGATAAATATGAGGGGTTTAAAAAGTATGAAAACTTTAATTAACGGGGTAGAAAAATAATAGGTATTTTATTTTTTGAAATTTATTCAGAAAATGTCAATAACTAAATTTATGTATTTCTTTTTCAAAACTTATCATTGATTTACAAAATTTAGAAAACAAAAGAAAAGTTTCGCTCTGAAAATTGATCTTAGCTAAAATTTTTTATTGTCGAGAAATGTCGAAAACCTCGACAAAGGAAAATGAGTAAATGGATGTTTGTGTTTGGGTTTTTTACCTTATTAATTCTAAAGACTAGCAAGCCTGTTTTTTGCAGAAGTTATCGAACAATTGATTGTGGAAGAAGTTGTTGATGATCATCATCATTTGTTAGAAGAACAAATTGTAAATGAACACGGTGAAATTGTTCATGAAGAAGTTGACCATGATCAACACAACCACAATCAACAGTAAAATTTTGACCCTTTTATATTAAAAGTATTAACTATATACATTTCTGAATAATTATGAATTTTCGTTAATTTGTTGTTTTTTCTTAATTTGCTCTTCAAATATTTTCATTCATTGTTTGAATAAAAAATAAATACACGTAAAATAATCATTTGTTGTTATTATCATCATCATTACAAGTATTGCCACGTTTTCCCGGTTCATTGATTTGTTTTTTGAGAATTTCGGCAGTTTCTTCTTCATATTCTCGAATTTCTTCCATTGTCATTTCAAACCATTCATCGATTAACAAATATGCATCTCTGAAATTTTGCAAAATATATGAAATTGTTTTTTGAAATATAGATTTACCTATGAAAAATTCCGAAAACTCTTGGATATTGTTTATGAACTGTTTTTTCGACCAAAGTTTGAAATCCTGTCCATTTAAAATGAATTGAAACCAATTTATAGGCACACATTATCTGCAAAAATTATAATTGATTTTTACTGGTTGTTAAAAGTTTGTGATTTTCCGGTTTATAATATTCTTTGGAATCCTTATAAACTAACCGGTTCAGTTTCCTCGGTCCAATTTTCTTCTAATGGTCCACGAGAAGCTTTTTCAGATTCAAAAGTCTGCAAAAATTCAAATAATCAAAAACCGCGAAAAATTCAAAAAAATACAAACCAGTGGATCATTTGATTCATCGCTTGCTGATTTTCCTAAAGCTTCAGAATCACAAATATCAACATTTATAATTTCTCGCTTTTTTGATGCATTCAAAGGCTGCAAAAAGATTTTACTTGGAAACGAAGAAAAAATTCGAAATTCAAAAGAAAACTCACATTTTCTGTTGATCCATTATCTGGAAGATGAATTGTTTCAATAATTTGCTTGAAGTTTTCTTTCATATATCCAGGATTCTGAAATATTCAAATTATCTATATTTATAATGATAACTCGTAACTTACTGTCAAAATTGTTTTACAATATGGATAAGCATTCCAACTTTCTTCGTGAATTTCGAAAGCAGCCGGAGGAAGAATCTGAAAATGTTTATTATTTATGTATTTGGAAAAATTCCAGACAGATATTTTTCTCAAATTTCATTCTCAAAAAAAGTTATGGAAAAAAATTCAGAAGATCAAAAATTATTTCACAAAACCATATTTCTAAGTTCGTTTCAGTTTCCATAGAAAATTCCGAAAATTTTCAATATTTTGCGTTTTTTTAGTAAATAATTAGGTTTGAAAATGGAAGAAAAATTTGGATTTTTTGTTTAGAAATTCGGATTTCTAATCATGAGTGGTCCCCATGGATTCACTATAACGGCTTCCAATTTAAAATTTGAACCAAAATACTAATTTACCTTCTGTAGTATCCATGGCGCTTTTGAACGAAGTCGATAAATCTTATATGTATAAATTCCAGAAACAGTTTTTCCTTTCAACAATTCATCACTCGTAAATTCTTCTTGTTTCAAAAACTGGAAGTTCTCTTATTTTTTTTTCTCTACAAATGTTTGTTTTTTTTTTGTTTACCTCAACACCTTCTCCTCCACCAGTTTCATTTCGACTACAAGCAGAAATAGCATACAATTGTCCACGATGAAATTCATCAACTGAAAGTGGCAAAGGGATACGGTATTCCTGAAATACATTGATTATTACTGTAATGAAACAACAAAGATTCCAAAAACTAACCTTAATTAACATTTTTGTTCGCGTGTAACCAAATCAACAAATCTGAAAAATGAATGAATCATTTTTTAATTTTGGAATATTCGAAAAAGGTTGGTGTTTTGAAAAATGTCACGTAATCAAAAAAAAATTTTGCGTGTTCCAAAAAATTGAAAAAAAAAAAGAATTTCGAAGGGCAAAATTGAGAAAATGAGAGAAACTGGTTCGAATCATGTTTGATGATGCAAAAAACGGATAAGATCGAAAGATTTTCGACTGAGATTTAGAACGATCCTCTTTTCTTATACAAAAGTACTTTTGTCTGTTAATTCAGAAAAAAAACTGTATGAGAAAATTGGAAATGATTAATTTTATCAATGGAAAAAATTAGGGGCATAATAAAATCTAGAAAAAAACTGAAAAATTCCAGATTGCGAAAAATGATAACGGACAATAATAAATATTACTCGAACTACACAAAACAAATTGAAATTCGTTCAAAAAATCGAAAAAGTTTTATTAGTGAGGACAGATTATTTCAATTGGGAATGGTACGTGGATGAAGAAAAAAGGCGCGCGCGTCCAAAAAAACCGAAATATTATGCAAAAGTTGAGAGATTTAGAGAAAATGACCAGCTGCGAGGCAAAAAAAAAACGAGGCATTTTTCATGTTGAGAAATGATGACGTGTTTTATAATACACACATGTATACAAAAATAGGAAACAGTACTTTTGCCTCAAAAGTTTGATTTGAACTCTTCATAAAATATTTTATTATTTTTCCAGACAAAATCTGTGGAAGTGATTGATTTAACAGATGTTCCCGAAAAAACATGTGAAATATTTGTGAGAATTTTGGAAAATCAAACATTTTCTGGAAATTTGAGTCTTCAAAATGTCGCCGAACTTTGTAATATTGCAAAGACTTTGAATCTGCGAACATTGAAAAAACCAATTGAAAAATCGCTCATCGAATCGGAAGAAAATTCGAATAAATGTATACTTGACAAATTGTGCATTGCAAACCACTTTCAATTGAATTTGGCTATTGATCATGTTAGTTTGAACAAAAAAAGAACTAAAAAAATAAATAGAGAAATTTTCGAAACAAAAAATATTATGGAAAATTTTATTGAAAAACATCGATTTGAATATAACAATTTTATGGAAGACAAACAACTTTATAGTTTATGCATGTAGTTTTTTATGTATGTTTCGAAAGTATCTTGTCAAAAAACTTATAACGCATCTTTTTTCTAGTCTATTGGCTAACTAATTAGTCTTTGAAAAAAGTTTCGAAATTTTTTCATAGGATTTTTCGGGAGCGTTTTTTTTTTCAAATTAAAACTATAAATACCTCAACTTAGGTCCTTAATTAATTTTCATTTTATATTTTCAGTTAGCCTTGAAATATGCACAAACTGGAGATCAAGAAACAATTCTGAAATATCTCAATAATCCCGAAGTTGTCAATATTGTTTTTGGATGGTTGGTTTGTACAAACTCAATAAGATATAAAATCACAATTTTTATAGGATGACTAGTCTACAGGAGCAAATTCAAACTCAAAATTCAAACAATTTTCAATTGACTTCAGAATCTGAAAGACGGCCGATGGAAATTGCACAAAATCAACAGGAACAAAACGCTTTCCTTCAATTGGCCAAAACAAAATATCAAATAATGAAGAGAAAAGTTCCAGCATTAAACTTGAATCAAAAATTCAGACAAATAGAGTGGAAAAAAATGATACTTCGAAAATAAATTTTTATAAAATAAAAAAGTTATTCCGTTGCGGGGAATCGAACCCCGGCCTTATGGGTGAGAGCCATAAATCCTAACCACTAGACCACAACGGAGGATGGAAACAACGATTAGAAATGAAAAGACATGTTTGCTGTCAATTTTTCTTCTTTTTTCCCTTTCTGTTTCGCGTTAGAGACGCAGTGCAGACATTCGCTCTAGTTTCTTTAGCTTTTTGAACAGAATTTCACTGCGAGAAAAATATGTGAAAAATGTGTCCTCGGTAGTATAGTGGTGAGTATCCGCGTCTGTCACATGCGAGACCCGGGTTCAATTCCCGGCCGGGGAGAAATTTTTGTTTTTTAATACTAGAATTTTTCGTAAATAAGTTTTATGATCAAATTTAGGATGAAAATCGAAGATTGAAGCGGAAAATATTCAGGTTCAAACAACAAACAATCCCGAAAATTTCCGCCTTTCTGTTTTCGTGTTTCATCTTTCTTGGACACATGCATGCTGCTATAGCATGCTAACGTGATCACGTGACCCATATATTATAGAAAATCTAGAAATATCAAAAACATTTTTCAATTTTTTAAATGATGGATCAAACAAATGAATATAGAGAGATAGACAATATTGTATCGTTTAGCTTCAATCATGAATTTATGATTTGTCCACGTTTTCGTCCAACACGAGCTAAATTTTGTACAGTATTCGAATCATCAATGATAGATTGGTATGTTCTCCAATTTTCAGAAAATGAGTGATATTCTTATTTAAAGGGAAGTTTCAATCGATAGACAAAGACTTCCAAGAAGAAATCCAAGATTCCAACTTGAACCAACTTTAGAATATCAAATAAGATTAGCAGAATTAGGTCGAAGAGATGTTTGTCCACCAATAAATCGAATAACTCTTAGATTATCAATATATAATAAAGAAAACGAACTCGTTGGAAACTCTCAAATTTATCGTTTTCATAAAATCTTACAAAATGCAAATCCTCGACAACGTCCACAATATATTACTGATTCTTCGTGTGGTTTTGGAAAATTTTTAACAAATTTATTTGATAATAATGAAAATGTTGGAAAAGGAGCTGAACTCGAGATAATTGTGGAATATATTAAAAATGAAATGATATCAAAACAATTTATAACAAATTGTGCTATTGAAAATGTTCCAAATGAACTTGATTATACTTTTGATTCTCTTATTAATTCAACTCGTTTTGATTTAAAATTAAAAACACAAAATGGACAATTTTTCAAATGGGCAAACAAAGAAGTTTTATGTATTGCAAGTGATTATTTTCGAGATATTTTGACTGAAAATATGACTGAAATGAATACAGAATGTGAACATTTGGAAACTATTGAAACTGTTTTAACATTTATGATAACTGGAAAATATCGAGCTGTTGAAAAAATGACTGCAATTTTGGCAAATGAAATGATTATTCTATGCAATTCATGGAAATGTATTGATTTGAGACAATTTAGAAATGCTGTTGAAAGACATTGTTATGAAGATTTACAAACTGTAAACTATACTCCTATAGCTACAGTAATCCGAAATGTTTTTTTTTCAGAATTTTGAAGATTTGGGTTACGTTGTTAACATGACAATTATGGCACAAGAAAGACAATTATCAAATCTTTTCAATTCTTGTGTTTCTTGTATTTTGGATTTTCATTTCACGCAATTTTTCGAAGATTATATCCGAAAGGTAATTTTTCGGTTTTTTTCTCGACCTGTGAAATCGGTTAAAATTTGGAATAGGATAAAACATGTGTTTGGAATAGGATAAAACATGTGTTTGGAATAGGATAAAACAAAACAGGTCATCCTGGCACAATTCTAATCCTCGAAGAAAACAATTCTCAAACAAAATATATATTTTTCAGAACAATGTTCTCAAAGAAAAATTAGTAGCTCGAGTTGGTTCCCGAATGTCAATTGTTTCTTCAATAAAACAAAGTTATCTTTCAACTCTAAAAGTTCGAAGATTTGTCCGATATCAGCCGATTTATGCCGAAGAATGACAAATAAACATTTTTTTTTTGATAATGGGATCATGATTCATAACAAAAAACGATAAAAATATCATTTATCATCTTCGAAACATTTTTTTTTTGAAAAATTAAAAATATTTCTTTTTTTTTTTCAAAAAATAAACACGTGAACCAGTTTTTTTCTGGAATAAAACGTGGGATTTTTCAGAGGTTGTTGGTATTTTCGTATATTCAATCGATTCGAAATGGTCAAGGTAAGAAAATCTCCTACAGTACTCTCCTTAACATAATTTTTGCAGATACTTGAAAATAATAGTACCAAACTTCTTGTAAATGGATCGAACAATTTGAAAAAGCTAAAATCGAAAGATTTAGTTCATCCGGATGAATCAATCGTTCTTTTGCCTTATTTCGATGAATTAAGTGATGAGCTTAACAAAAATCTTATGCATATAATAAATGGAATAATATCATCAGTTATAACAGAAAATATATTTGATTCGTCCGATTATTTTCAACAATTAAATCGTTTTATTGACAGTTTTGGAATGCATTTGTCGAAAAAAGTTTTATTCGATTTAACTCAATTTTTCATTGAACAAATGATTAAAAAGAAACAATCGAAGGAAATTATCAAAAATTGCTCAAAATCGATCAATAAACTGTATAGTAATATTCGTTTTGCTCAATTTGATCATAATGATTTTATTATTGATTGGAAACCACTTTATGAATTTTGTTTGCTTGTTAAAAATCACAAAATAAGTGGAATTAGTGTAACAGATTTGAGTTCGCCTATATCAAGTTTATCACCATTTTTTGAACCTCAACAACAACCAATAATATGGGAACGTCTTCAAGAATTATTAACATATGATTCATCGATGAAATATTTTATCGATTTTTGTTATATGTTTTTAACTGTCGAAGGAATGTCATCTGAAGAACATAAAAAATATGGATGTTCAATTTGGTTTGATACATTATGGGATTTATATTTAACAATTGAAATGAATTATACTGAATCATTCACTTTGATTTATAAATTCAAGGAAATTTTGAGAAATGTTCCAGATGTTATCGATTGGAACCCATATTATGATATTATTTTCACAAAAGTTACAAGATCATTTGCAATTCCAACAAATAAATCAATAATTGGTGATACGATGGATTCAATTTGTGTCAATAGTTTTGCTTTATTTTCATGTTATTCAATTGGCGGCCCAAATTCGTAAGTTTTTGTCGTTCAAAAAAAAGAAGGTTGTGAGTTTAGAATTAGGGAATCAGAACGGCTTTCGGAAGTATTCCAAAAACCATAGGTTTTCAAAACTTATTGGGCTTTTCAAATACTGTTACTTTTACAGATATGAACTCTTTAGATTTTCCAAATCTCAAATTCGAATTCGCGATATTTTTATTTTTAAATACGAAATATTTTTCAGAGCTATCAAACACTTTGAACAAACTCTGAAATGTGTTGAATTCAATGTTCATCCGTCGAATTCTGGAGATCATGTCAGCCAAATAATATCATTTATCAAAACATTTACTTCAACATTCATAAGTCGAATCAGTTATGAACGAATTAATGAACATAAAAGAAAGGTTTCGAAAGAATATTATTTGAAAGACGAAGAAATTGATGCCGTTGCCAAATTGCTGGCTGGTCCTGTTTTCATGCTTTTATTCTGTGATCACACTTCTTATTCTGCATTTTCAAGCGTTTTACATGATTTGAGTGCATTGAATGTGAATTTGATTGGTGGAAAATTGTTGGAACAGTGAGTTTGAAATTATATTTTCGGAATTTATATTTGTTTTCAGTGTTTATTCTGCAATTTTTGCTTTGAGTGAACCTGAAAGATTATCAACAACAATGGATAGCACAATAAATATTATCTTTCAAATAATGCGATCTTCAATTGATGATCTTGGCAGAAAATGTTCAACTCCGATTCCAAATTATTGGATTGAAAAAATGGAAGAAGAAAGAATGTCATGGTCAACTTATCGAGAAGGAAGCAAAATGAAACAATTAACAACACATAAATATTCTTCAATTCGACATCATACAATATATTTAATGGAAATATATGTGAATTCGATTGATGTAAATGATGTTGGAAGAGCTGAAGCATCGCTTAAAACACTTGCTTTGATATTTCGATCAATTCCAGTCATGGATTTCTCAGAAGCTTTGGAATATTATTCAAAAGGAATGACGGAAGATGATAAAATACTTTGTTTATTATCAAAACGTATTCCAATAATTGTTGAAGAAGCATTTGAAAAAATATTGAAAGCAATTGGACATTTGGCTGTTTGTGCAGCAAAAGATTCGATAAGTAATATTGGAACAATGAATGATACTGTTAGTAAAGATGGAGAAGAAGAAAAACTATTGAAATATGCAATCACAACTTGTGTTGAAGCATTATTTACAAATTCAAATCAAAAATTAACTGACAAACTTTTCGATCGATTATTTGAATTTGTATCAACAATTGAATTCGAAAGTTATACGGCAACTGATTTGTTATCTGGTGTTATTGGATCTTGTTTGTGGATTTCAAATAAAGCATGGAAAAAGTTCGCCGACTTCATTTTGCAAAAATTGAAACTAGTCATTACTCGTAAGTGAAAAATAGAGGATAGAATTGAATTTTGGTACAAAAAGAGCCCCAATAAGGTTTCTTGATAAACCGTACCAAGAAATTGAACCTAGTCTTTAAAATTCCAATTCATCAAGTTTTTTTTTCAGCGGAAGTCGAAAAAATGAAAGAAGCACCATCTACAGTACTTTATTATGCAGTTTTAGCATCTTCTTTATTTGGAGTTCGTGCAAATATCAATATCGAACATGAAGATCTAATTTGTGAAATTATTCAAATTCTATGGAATTGTGAATGTCTAACAGCATATGCAATTGCAATCAATGGACTTACTACAACTCTTTCAACACTGACAAAAACCTGTATTTATCCGGAAGATGAATTGTCAGAAAAATTAAAATCTCCAATTTCAAAATGGAATCCACTTGAAGAATGGACAAAATGTTATAAATACAAGGATTGTAATATCATTTATTTTATTCCATCAAAAATTGAACTCAATTGTGCTCAAAGAATTTCAAATCGATTCTTTTTTCCGACAATTGATAAATTGGATGAAAAATTGGATAGAGATCAAATGAGAAAAATAATATCATGTGTTGTAGCGATTTTGAAGTGTGTTCAAGAAAATCTGAAACAACCACAAAGTTCGATTCTGAAAACTGCCATCAATGCACATTGTTTACCGTATGCTACAGGCTTTTTGGGAAATATTGAAGTTATTGATTGGGGTAAGTTTATTTGTATTCTAGCCATATAACATCCATTAATTTTTCTCAGAATTGAGAACTCCAAATGGTGGAAATGTGATGGAATTGCTTTTGAACAAAATAGAGAAACTAATAGTTCGATCCGATATAAATGATCCACAATTTTTCGAAATGATTTCAATGAGTTGTTTGGTTTTGATCGAACAATATTCATTCAAAAAAGTAAAATACAATTTATTTGAGAAAGAAGCGGTGGAAACATATTGGAATTTAACAGCTCCATTACATCAAGAATATTTTGCAATTCTTGAAAAAATGCAGACAATTTCAATGAGAACAAATGCAGTAAGTTTTAAAACAGGGATTTTGAAAATAAAATATTGTAACACAATTGTTTACAGTTGGTTGAGAAATATGCGAATGGCTGTACACTAAATGCAACAGAATTTGATCTTCGAGTCATAAAATGTTTGATGAAATTAGGATTGAATGATTATGAAACAGTTCGAGCAAATGCTTGTGCCAGTTTGGCTATTCTCGATCAAAAAATATTTTTCTGTCGAGAATATTTGATGGATGACATTATTGAAGTTATAACTGATCAAGTTGTTGAAAACGAAAATAAATTGAGAGGATCACTTGAATTGATTATTTCTTTGAATTTGGCCGATACATCAAACGCATATATTCGAAGTTTGATTTGGGAAGCAATGTTGAAAACAAAAGTTATTGATGAACCGAAAATTCGTGTTCTTTTTGATAGTTTTGTTGAAAGTATTAATTCAATATCAAATTCCGGTAGACCATCAAAATATGAAGATTGTGTGGTAAGTGGAAAATAATTTCAATATTCAAAAATGTTCTGTTTTCAGGATGCACCTGTTATAATCAGTAATGTGGCAAAACAGCTATTCGAAGAATCTAGATTGAATGAATGGAAAGATTATACAACAACAGATGGTTTACAAAATCAAAGAAAAACATATTTGAAATGGAAGAAGGATTGTATTGATGTTCGAAATAATATGGTTGAAACAATTCTCAAAAATTATATCGGAAATCCAAATTTACATCATACACGTGAAAAATTGGCAAGAACTATGATTTATCGATGTCAGAGACAATTAGCAAATACAGAAACAATCAAATTGTTGTTATCACAATTGATTCATGAAGAAGAAACAATGAGAGATGAAGCTGGATCTGAATTGGCTAATTATTTATACAAAAATCGAAAGAGATTAGTTGAAATTGATTATAAACCAAATGATGGAATTGGAGCAATTTTAAACAGTGAAAACAAACGAGTTTTTGGTATTCGAAAAGATAATTTGTGTACTGTTTATGATTCTGGAAATCTACCAAATAATGAACAAAAATGGAATGATATGGTATTTTTCTCGAAACAAACTGCAAATTTCAAATGGTCTGAAAATATGAAAGTAAATCGACAAATTGATCCATTTATTGAGAAAATTGATGAAGAAGGAGAGAAAGAAATTGTGAAATGGTTTGAAAACGAAGAAAATGTTGATAATTGGTTATGTTTGAGATTGAAAAATATGGATGATCATACAAGTTTGAATAAAGATAGTATCAAAATAATTAGAGTAAGTTAAAATGAAATACGAATTACAAGCTGTACGATTTATTTGATTTTAGTATGTTATACGAAATTATCCATCAAGTCAAAAAACAATCCAAGTTATGAAAAATGCTTTGATTCAATTAATCGGTTCAAAAAAGGTGAATGGTTTTTATTTTGGTAAAAGTATGACAAAATTGAAAGAAATTACTTTCAGAAAGAACATCAATCTTTGGCTGCCGAAATATTTTTATCAATAAGTCTTGGAATTCGTTATCGACCATTTAAAGAGATTGAAGAATTTTGGAAATGGGCTGCGCCAACAATTGATTCATTTTTGGATCGAATGAATACAGAATCAAAAAAAGAATGGAAAAATGCAATTGATAGAATATTGGAAGATGATTTTGATCAAAGAAGAAATTGGTGGCTGATTGAACATCTAATTGAGGGATCGAAAAAAGAACGAATTGAAGAATGGAAACAGGCATTGTAAGAATTATTCTTCAATTATAAGTGTACCTAATCTATTTTCAGCCGTCTCGAAATCATATCAACAACATCGTGTTGGAGAAATATTGAGATTGTTAATCGTGTTTGTGAAATTGCTTGGAAAAAGATGAGAGTTGCTGTAACTGATATTCTTCGAACTGGAATTGCAAATACATTGAAAACAATTTCATTATTGAAGGAAACAAATCAAAATAATGATTTTGATGGAATTGATCAGCGTTTTCATATTGAAACAACTGACGATTGGATTTCTCGATTCACTGAAAATGTTTGTACATAAAAATGTGATATTTCAGGAAGAAAACCCAAATCATTTCCAGATTTCCTTGCTTGGATCGAGCAAAACATTGAAGAAAGTTGATACAACATCTCGTAAAAGACCAGTACCAAAATCGAAATCAGAAGAAGCACTACTTTCTGAACCACCATCAAAAAGAAAACGAGGAGTTTCTCAATCAACATCTCCAGAAACTTCAAGTCAAATTGAAGCCAAAAAATCGATACTTTATTTCCGAACACTTCTTGAATTTATTCAACAATATTATAGTGTTTGTTGCCAAAGTTGGACACCACAAATTATTTCATTATTGCCAAGATTATTCGAATTTTCAAATGAGAGTGATTATGAGTGAGTTATTTACTGAAAAACGAGAACGACAAACTATTGTTTTTTTCAGAATTTCAGAAGACAAAGATGTTGATATAATTCAAAATTGTTCTTCACTGATCCATATAAATATGTCAGTTTTATTGGTGCCGGCAAAATATTCTGATTCGATAATCAAAACGATCATCGACACGTATAACAATAATAGTTATTCGTGGAGAGTTCGATTGACAATTATCAAATTTGTACAAGTTTTGGTTTACTCGAATATGTTTGAATTGAAAAAATCGGGAAGAAGAGAAGTGTTTCAACAATTATTGTTTGATGCTATTTCTGATATTTCGGTGAGTTGTTGATTTATTTTTGTAAATAACAACAAGGGATAAGTTTTCAGATTGATGTTAGAACAGAAGCATCGAAATGTCTTTCATTATTTATTCATTGTGATTATGTTGTGATTTCGGATGAAACAATCGTGAGTTGAAAATAATTATATCCCATGCATTTTTAGTGTTTTTCTTTAGATCAAATTGAACAATGTTATGAATGATAAAAATGAGAAAATCCATGAAAGACATGGAGCTTGTTTGACGTTATGTGCAATTGTAACTGCTTATCCATTTTCACTTCCAAAATCAATGATAAAACCACTTCAAATGTTGAGTTGTGCAAATGCAAAATTGGCAATTGTTCAAAATACAATCAAAAGTGCATTGCGCGAATTTCGTCAACAGCATAAAGACGAATGGATTAAAACAAAAAATGTTTTGGGAGAAAGAATGATATTCGAAATTGAAAATGCGATTGTTCCCATTTACTACTCATGAATAAACATATTGCAATGATATCAATAAGTTATTTTTCATTAGGAAATCAGTTCATAATAGGCACTTATTATTAAAAATGAGGAAAATGTACTTATAACACAGTATATAATATTGTCACAATACAAAGAATCACAATCATATAATTATGGCTTTTGTTGTTTATTTTTTAGAAATCCATTAATATTGCTGGATTTGCTGATTTTTCGGACTTTAATTTTTTCGAGATTGAAAACTTTTCTTCTGAAAAAAGTTTGACTTTAAAAACTCGGTTTTTTGATAAAAATCTTACTCGATGGATGAAAATGACGACGACCGACATAATGTATAAATTCGAACAAAGTTTCACGATCTTTTGCTGATACTTCGAATAGTTTGACTGAAATTTTCCAGAGTTCAATTGAAATGTGAATTGTGAGTTGATGGTTTGTGTTAGTAAATTTTTTGATTTGAAAATTATAAAGAATTCAGGAGAAAACGTGAACTTTTTCAATGGTACGTAGCAATTAGAATTTAGTTTTGTATTGAAAATTTGATTTTTTGTAATTAAAAAATATGTCTTATTTATGGAAGCTTTGCTTTTTTGCGATTCTAATTCAAAAGTTCATGTGGTTTCAGAACCATTCAAATATTTCTGATAGTGATATAATATTTTTTAATAAATTACCGATGTGTTAAAGTTAAGTAATAATTTCGTAAGTCAAATTAAAATATTCCCAAGAGACAAACCTTTTTCTCTTGCTGCCCAACTTTGTGCAAAAGCACTATCCACAGTCGATTGCTTATCTTTCATATTTGCCAAAACAACAATTGGTACTTCTTTTTTATCCTTTCCAAATTGTCGATCAATCCATTTTTTCAATAAATCCATTCGATTAAATGATTCATAATCAGCTGAAGAATAAACCAAAACAAAAGCATCAGCAACTTGAACATATGCTTTTTTCAATTCAACAGTTCCATAATTTGAAATTCCAGCTGTATCATGTAAAACCAATGTTTCTCTTGCTTTATCTGGTTCTTCTAACATTACTTGATATGTATCCTCGATTGTTGGTTCATATGGCTGAATATTAATGATTTTTTGAATTATATAAATTAAATTACAACTAACCTTTTCTGTGATATCTTCAATACAAGCAACTTGGCGTAAAATGGCAGTTTTTCCAACTTTTTTAGCTCCAACTACAACGACTCTCATCGCTCGAACCATTCGACGGCCTAAAAAATATATATATTTGTTTTTCTTAAGACTTAAAAAAATTAAAATACTAACGTTTTGCCGCTTCACTTGAATCAGGTTGTGGAACTTCAATAAAAGGTATTTCAGACGAACAACTACTGAAATCAAGCCAATCAGGATTTGATTCCTCTGCTTTCTTATCGATATAGAATCCCTCTGAAAATATTGATAATTAAAATGATGAAATAATATTAATTGATTTTTATTTTATATTTCAAAAATACCCTTTTCTTCAGCAATACTCCAAATTGATTTTCGTGAATTCCTTTTTGTTTCTAATGCCAAAGCAGAAATTCTTCTCGTAGGTAATAATTTTTCAGGTTTCGATTTCAGTTTAAGAGAAACAGTTTTGCGTAAATTTGACATTTTCTAAATATAGAAAAAATGTTGGAAAAGGAAATATGATTGAGAAAACGAGCAGAAAACATGACACACATTCGAAAATATTTGAAAACTATAAAAGTTTGATTATGACGAAGAAACTATTAGGCATAATGCAAACATTTCGAATACTGATAACCATCCAAATTTGATACATTTTATTTTTATAATTATTTTCATCAAGATAAAAATATTTTCCCTCTGTTTCAGTTTTTTCTAAATTTCAATTACCGTCTAAAATTGATCTTCTTCTTTGTGATGTCTCGAGAAATGTTGTAGCGAGAGAAAATCGACGAATTGATGTTTTGTGCGCTGTATGTAATGACGACGGTGTTGATTTAGTCAAAGGCAGCGATGGCAAAGGACCTAACGAATACTTTCTTCCTGGGGTTTCTGTAAAATCAAAAATTTGATTATTTATTTATTCGTATGTTTAGAGTCAATTTCTCACCGACATTCATTACACCAAAATATATGTATTCAAAATCAGATTAAACAAAAATAGAATTATATTTTTTGATATTTTTGAATAACAATAGAGGCGGGCCATCAACAGCCTCACTCTTTTGTATATTTATAATATCATTGTTAGTTATAAATTTTGAAATTCAATACATTTTGATGCTGCTAAACGGAAGAGTTGTGTTAAAAATGAGAGACAAGAGAAGCAACGTGGTTGACAAAAAATAATTGCTCAAATTTTACTGCGAAAATAACTTCTGATTATGAAACACTAAACATATCACACATCTAATAATTCAACGGTTACATATAAAATGAGTAAACGCGTTATTTCCGCTAACAGAAAAAGCGGAAAACGAAAAAAAAAAAGAAAGAAGTGCGCGTAAGGTGTGTTGTTTGTTGTGCATTTTAGTCGGTGTTTACACATTAAGAGACCTTGGAGCTCAAGATTCAACTGGAATTTTCAGATTAGCAGAAAATCTTTCAGCAATGTTCTAGTTTTCATTGAAAGTTTTAAATTATTGCTTAATTTTTTCGCCAAATTTTCGTTTTTTCGGTTTTTTGTTGAAGTAGTTTTTAGTTAGTGTAAAAATACCAAATATACTAAAATTCGCGAAAAAAACTTCAATTTCCCCATTTCTCTGAAAGTCTGATTTGCTTCCAGAACGAAAGTTTTGAATTTTATGAAGTGAGCTCAATCTTTCACGAGAGTGACCTCAAATCAAAGGAAATTTGGCGTGAGAATTTTTTTCAAGCTGGAATTTGTCTTACAAAAAATCTGAGAAATGAAATTCAAAATTATTTTTCAAAAAGTTACGTGAAAATTTAGGCGTGAACTCGATTGAACTGTCAGTTTTTCATTTCGTTTATTAGTTGTTTTTTTCATTAAAATTATTGATTCATTCTGTTGCATTTTTATTGCTTTTTTAATCACCAAAAAAGGTGTTTGATGTTAGAAAATGGTTCAAGGACAGCATGTACCTAAATTTTGCAGTTTATCATTCAATGAACACGTCGAAGTTGTATAAAATATTTACTCAATACTTGATTTCTTAGTTTCGTAGTTATACGATTTCTCAAAGGATTGTTTTTGATTGTTCTTATTCACGTCAATCAAATTAACATATTCTAGCCAGAATATTCATCTCTCAAATGTCGGTAAAAGTACACAGATCATACAACCAAACACATTAAATATTGATAAGATAGACAATCACAATCATATTCATTTGCCATTTTTTTCTTTTTATTGTTTACTTTCTACACGTTTTTTCTATAGTTTCAATTTTTCATTTTTTTTCAGACAATGAGTTTATTATGTCGTGCAATTCCAACGGTTTGTTTCCGACATATCGCTGTTCGTTTTTCTTCTTCTGGTGCTAGAAAATATACAAAAAAACACGAATGGGTTGTTGTTGAAAATGGTGTTGGAACTGTAGGAATCACTGATTTTGCTACAGTAAGAAAACTTTTTGCACTTCCTTTTTCAATTTCAATTTGTTTTCAGGAACAATTGGGAGATATTGTATATGTCGAACTTCCAGATGAAGGAACAGAAATCGAAAAAGGAGATTCAACTGGAGCTGTCGAAAGTGTTAAGGTACATTTATTTTTGAACCGAACTTTGAATAGCTATCGAATGATTTTTTGGTCAATTCTCAGAAAAGTTATCTTATCAATTGATAAGTATCACGTGACATTTTTCGGAACTTTGCAACTTTTCGAATATTTCAGGCTGCTTCGGATGTTTATGCTCCAGTTTCTGGAACTGTTACCGAGAAAAATGTTAAATTGGAAGACGAATCGGGTTTGATCAATAAATCGCCTCTCGAAAAAGGTGAGAATTAATCCGAAAATAATGATTTTGAAAAAAACAATGTACTTTTTTGTAAAGGTTGGCTTTACAAATTGAAATTGAAATCTGAAGAGGAATTGGCTCAACTTCTCAATGAAGAACAATACAATGAATTCAAGAAAACTGAAGAGGCTGATCATTAATATTGAGGTCAAAAATCCATGATTTTGTACAAAGAAACTGGTATTAATTTTTATTTTCGTTTCATTAGGGAAATTGTCAAGCTGTTTGTGAGGTTAGTAATTATAAAATATTTTAAAGTTGAATTAATTATTTTTCACAAAAAAGTATCCCTGGAAAAATTATATTAGGGTAATTAAATATAAGAAAACTATTCGAGAAGAAAACATTTTCGAGATCACAGATTGAATTGAGGAGGCATTTTGTGGAATATTTTCAAACGAGTGGTGGAAATTTATTGATTCCTTTCAAACCGTCGACAAACCCGTTTCTCATGTGAACTGTTGTATATAATGCCAAAGTTCGCCATACCTAAAAAAATTAAATTTTTAACCAAAAACTTTATTTTATTTAAAAAAACGCTAACCGAAACCGCATCTTTTTTCTGTCCTTCATCTAAATCTGGCATTTTTGTCATTCGATTTTCAAGTGCAAATTCCATCGCATCCTGAAATAAAACTTGTTTTGTTCTTTCTTTCAAGGTTTTTTTTAAAGTACAAACTTGAAAGATATCCCAATATTCATGTTTGAATCCTCGATCCGCAAATTTACAATGTTTTTGACCAACAAGATATAAAAATGATTCAGTTCGCTCCATATGATAAATGTTTTTGACAACTTGAGCGAGAGTCTGGAAATACTTAATTGGTTTTTGTTTTGAAACTAGATTTGGTTTCATAGTAAAAAAAATGATTTACCTGTACAAATTTCAAAGCTTGTGATCGGAATTCTTTTGATTCTTTCCATTCCTCGTTTTGATATTTCAATACAAATGGGAATAATTGTTTACATTTTGGATTGTGATCGAAAATATAACAATAAATGGCTGAACCCAATTCATATAATGCATCAAATTCATCCGACCAAGTACGACGAATTAATTCCTGTAAAATTGAAGAAGATTGAGAGATCATTCTATTTGAAACAGATTTTCAAACATTCTTGAAAAACATTTGAAAAATTGTAATTTCAAATTCCAAAAAAAAGAACGGCACTGTTTTTTTTTTGAAGTTCAAAAAATTCCCAAAAAACCAACCTTTTCGTAAACATTTGGCTCCCATTTCTCGATATTCCCAGTGAATAATTTCTGGAAAAAAAATGATTTTTAAAACTTCTTAACTACGCAAATTCTCACACTTGACAACCGTAAGTCTGTGAATTTTTAATTTTTTCTGTGAGTTGTTTTTTTGAAACTAAGATTTTTCAAAAAAAAAAACTAAAAACAATGTAACATGAATACAAACCTTCGAATTCTGACTGTAGGAAATATCGTTTGAATCACTCATTCTCCTTGTTCCATTAACCTGCAAACAAAAAATATGTTTTTTTCGTCACTTTCTCATTTTTTTGTCGGAACTCGAATTCAAAAATATTATGTGTTTTCTAAGAATCGCAACTCTGCCAAGAAAAAGCTATGCAATAGATAGCGAAATATTGTGAAAAGAAGAAGAAGAATCATGGAGAGAAATTGCCTTTGGGGGCCCTTTTTTGTCGTTTTCAGATTGAAATAGTGTGTAAAAATGAGAGACAAACAACTTGCACAGATGTTGAACAAACATTTTTCTGAAGGAAAAAAAAAGAAGGAGACGTAAAAAAAAGGAAGTGGCAAAAATGGAGAAAATCAGAAAACATTTTGAGTTGTTTAGATAATTTAATTGTTGGATTAATGGATTATTTAGTTAGACTAAATTGTTAGTAATTTTCTGAAGAGAAAAAGTTTGTGGAATGAGTTCAAAGTTCAGAAACTTTTTTTGTAAAATTTTGAAATTTTAGTTTGATTCTAAGAAATGGATATAGGATAAATATTTGACTGGAAAGGTTTTTCGGAAGAAAAGCTTCGGATAAAAATTGACCAGAAATTGCATGAATCCAAAATTCAAAACAAAGACAAAGATCAGGAACCCGAAAACATTTGAATTTTTCATGCGACGTTTAACATAACATCGATTAATATGAATTTATGGCTGAAAAATATAGAAAAAGCGGAGAAATAAAACCATAGAAACCCGATATTATTCCAATCACACAAAATAAAGTTTTTGACATTTATTAGTTTGAGTCTCAAAAATGACAAGAAAAAAATGATTGACTTACCTTGTTTTTCCGATTAACTTGTGGTGTACTGAAAGCTGCTCCTTTTTCCGATACACTGAAAAAAAAGAATATATATATATAAATTTATGAATTCTCAAATACTAATTTTTCATTCTCAAATTCTTCATCTCCGGATGAAAAAAAAAATAATTAGAATTTTTCATCGGAAAACTAATTGGTTTCAATTGATTTTCTTCTCAAAATAAAAAACTAACCATCCTAGAAGAAGCTCCATTTTTGTTTCAGAAAATTACTAATGTTTAGAAGTGGTTTTTCTTTTTTGAAAAAAAGTTTAGGGCGGAGTTTTCAAGTGTTATAATTATATCTGCCTTTTTGAAATATAGACAGAAATTAAATAAAATTCCAATCAACTAAAAAAGCTGAATGAAATTTGAATTGAATAACAAAGGGTAATTCAGGAAATAGAGAAAGAAAAGAAACAAAAATCAGAATCGTAAAAATGATCCATAAAAATATTGTTTTGTTTTTGGATGTCTAGAATATTTTATTCGAATAACATTTCTATTCGATGAAAAATAAAACAAGAACTTTCAGGAGGGTTTTCAAAAATTGGAGAGGTTTTAAGAAAAAAAATTATTTTCTCTTTTTTCATGAAAAATATTTCATTTTCTTTAAAGTTCTTTTTTTCTGAACAAATCCAAAATTCGAAAATCAATGTTACAGTAATCCCATAGTAATAACTAAATTTTCCAAAAACAAAATTATAGTATTCTTACCTTCCAGTGGAATGCGATCTTTGATGAACTATTGTTTTAGTACGAGCTCTCAACATTTTCAAATAGGAAGAAATGAAAAGATTGGAAAATGTGGCGCAAGAAAAATTAATTTGCTCGTTTTTTCTAATCAGATGCTCTTAAGATAAAACTCCGCCCACTTTTTTTCAAAATCGACTTTTTTCCTTCAATTGAATGTAAATTCAGAATGAAAAAATTGACCTTTCTGTAATAGAATGTTTGAATCTAACTTTTTTGTTTCAAATGGGGTTTTTTGAGGAAAAACTGGGTAAAAATTTTTGTTCGACATAAAAATCCGGATATCGCGAACTTCCTAATTGATGTTTTTTATGATGCAAACAATAATTTTCCTTTTCAACAGAAAAATGAAAATGTGCACGGAAAAGATTTCAAATGAAAAAAATTGTTTCTAGACTAGGCTCAATAAATAATTTACATAAAATAATTGGATTCTTGAGTAAATATAATATAAATCTCCAATTTTTCTTTAGTTCATTTGTGAACAAAAAAGAGAGAAAGATTTTTAGTAGTATTATTCCCCAAAGGGAATATTCATCGAAAAAAAAAGAATAGACACGATTATCAGGTAGATAAAAAGAAAAGAAAAAATAATGGATCGCTCGCTTCAACTGTTCAAGTATTTTGCTTCGAAAAAATGGGAGCAAAATTTGTTTTTTTGTTTTTTTATGTAATGAAAATCTCAAGGGATTTTCATTTTGTTTGGGTTTTCAGAAAAAAAATATAATGGCATTTCTCATATGAAACTGAACCGAAGGAAATGTCAAAAATTTTTCAAGAACTTTTCTCAAACATCTGGAACCGGGGTCGCATAAGCCCACCAAAAATTGTTATTTTAGAACTAGGTTGATCAGAAAACTTCGGCAGTACCTGGAATTTATTGAATAAAAAATAGAAATTAAATTTGGGCGAGCAAAAAATGCTCCATAATTTCTGATACCTTTTTTACTTGACTACCAAATTTTCGTTTCAGATTATTTTTGGTTTATCAATCCAACCTCAAAATAATTCAACTTAAATTTCTAAAATATTTCTTTCAAGCTATTGTTTTTGGTTTCTAACTATTTGTAGCTCTAGAAGAACTTTTGGTATATGAAGTCTCAGAATCCTAAAATTCTTTCTAACTTACCTTGTTTGAGGTGAAGGCGATGATAAAAATGAAAATACATTTGATACAAATTGTCGCGCAGCTGATGGCATTTTGGATAACGAAGGCATTGAGCAACGCCTGGAAAAAGAAATAATGGATTTTGATTTGAAAAATATATCTTCGTTTTCAATGAAGCCACAATTTGAATTTTGAGATTTGGAAAACGTTTTTTCATAAATCAGAAAACAGCTTTCTTTACATTTCGAAATTTTGCAGAAAAAAAGTACAAAAAGTAATCAACGATTCCCAATACTATAATAAAAAAGTCTGACTCCACCCTTCTTTTTTTCTACTTCTATTTTTTGTTGCTTCAACCAAAAAAAGAAAGAAAAGTTGAAAGATGAGAGAAATATTTATGAGTTTGGGAAGAAAAAAGGAAACTTTGAATTTGCATTTTTGAGACACTCAAAAACAACATTTCTATCTTATTTATTTTTATTTCGAACATCAAAAATGACAACAAGTATTACTCAAAATTTTCTGAATAAAAAAGTGTAGACAAAAACGAAAATTTCAGCTGTATTTATTCAGCTGATATTTTCTTTTTCGTTTTTCTCAAAATTTTGTCGTTTTTCCCGTTTTTTGTGCGTATGAAATTGAATTTTTCTTCGGCGAAAAAAGAAAAAATATATACATATATGTAAAAAAAAAGAAAATATTGTACCCTAAAGAACTTGAAAGTATTGAAAAAAAATGAATGAAAAAGAAGTTGTAATTATTTTATTTTCCAATGCTCGAATAATTAAAATAGTTAGATATTTCTTTTTGGATGAAGTTGTTGTATAGCTGAATGAATGATGACGCTATTTCTAAACTTTTGGACTTTATTGGAAATTTGAAACCAATCGAAAAACTTTTGGTTTTTTCAAAAGAAAATTTCAAAGCTGGCACAATTTAGTACGATTTGAAAATCAATGTGATATCTGAAGGCATCTTTCTAGATAAACATAGACTGCACCTAATTTTGATCTAATAAAAAAGGATTTAAATATTTCGAAAATAAATACATAGTATACGGAAAATGGGCCCCGCTTTATCAAATATTATCATCTCCAACGTTTCGAAAAACCTTCTGATTCCACGAAAAAAAGCGAATTGAAAAAGTAAACGAGAGAGTGTTGTGTGTAGAAGAGACGAGGAGAGAGAAGGAGAGAAATTGAGAGATAGGAACAAATAAGAGAGAGCGCCAGACAACACGACGCGCGTATTTTTGTGATTTTTGTGCAACCCAAAAACATTTTTCGTTTTTTCACAAAAAATGCTAAAATCCTTCATACTCAACCAAATTCAAAAATCTTTGCTGCAAAAGATAGGAAATCCTCGGGAATAGAAATAGCAAAAAGAAAAACTTCAAAAACTTTTCCTCAAACACCGAAAAATATGATTATAGGTTTTTCGGCTTGATTTCCCTTGATTTTTATGATATTCAACTTGCTTTCTATGTTTTCTCATTTTCTATTATTTAAAAAACACAAAATCGTTGAAATGTTGGCTGAATAAAAATGTTGTATTATTGCCTTCTGGTGTTAATACAAATAATTGCCCAACTTGCTCTAACATTTTGCAGAATTTCTATATAAAATTTTTGAACTTATTTTTTTCTAAACAAACCTGAATGGGTCATTCATTTTTTCTGCTCACAAATTTTCTTTCAGTAGCGAAAAAAATAGGAAGCTAAAATAATAAAAAATAATAACCTTTTCTGTGGCTTAGGCTTAGTTGAATAAATGAGAGAGAGAGAAAAAACGGAAGATTCGTCTTTCAGATGCTTTCTTTCTTTCTTTCATGTCACATCTTTTTTACTTGGAAAATAGGCTAATTTCTCTCAGTCATTCTTTTTCAATGAAGCAACATTCATTTGCTGATTAGTTTTCGAGAGTTAGAAGAAAATTAATATTGGAGAGTGATGGAAAAATTGGAAAAAGAGGTACTAATTAATATTTACATCTCATTGAATTGCAAATTATTTACAACTTTATTCCACGTGATTTCTTACTGTAGTTTATTTTCATAACATTTGAAGTGATTGCAATAAATGAGGTCGAAAAGTATCGTTCCAAAAAGGTTTTCACGTTCCTAGTGTAAGTTTATTCTGGTAGATGCCAACAGTACCCACACGTTACGGTCTAATTTTGGAATAATGAGATTCTCAATTTAAATTATAAAAATAATTGTTTTTATCAAAAGTCTACGTATTTAAAATGTAATAGAAATCATCTGACATAACTTCGATCTAGAAAAAAGTAATCTATCAACTGAGACATTAAAAAATAACTCGCAAATATAAATACCTTAATCTTTTGTCTGAAAAAATAAAAGGGTGGATTAGTCACGAGAGAAATTAAATGCAAAAATGAGAATTATAGTTGGTGAGAAGATTTTTTTTCCTTAAAAAATAAGACACAATCGAATCGCTTTTTATTTTGTAGCGAAAAGAAAATTGGTTAAATTATATATTTTTGTGGAAAGATTCTGGAAATTGCGGGAAAAAATATATGATTTTTGAAACTGCAAAAACAAACAAACAAACAACAAATCAGAAAAGCACGGATAAATAGAAAAATCCAAGTACTTTGAAATGCAAAAGAATATGTTTTTCTGATATTGTTGTGTTTTGTACATAATTTCATGTCACAAAACATTTTTGCAGACAAAAAAGAAAACCTAACCAGAAAAAAAAAGAAAAAAATCTGGGAATTTTGGAGAGGATTTATAATTTCTCTGCTCTTTTTTCACCACAAAAAAGTTTTTCCCTTTTTGGGGGGAAAATTGTTGAAGCGTTGACTAAAAGTTGATTCAATTTTCAATTTTTTGAGGCACAAAAAAAAAGAAATTGAAACTTTACGCTTTTAACTCGATAATAGTTTTTTGTTGTAAATAAATAAATAAATAAATAAATAAATCAATTATTCGGAAAAAAAGTTGGAACCGCCAAAACGAAACCTAAGATCATTTTTTCCGACAATAGGAACACTTTTTCAAAAATGTAGAATTTGGGTGTCAGAACAAACCAGTTTTAATAAAGAAATGTTGACTTACATCATTTGAACTCCTAAATTTAAATGCTCAAACATAAAACTGCTCGTTGCTTCTCCATTTCCATTAATTCCACCATTTTCATTTTCATGAACATTTTCATATTCCAGATTTTCAGCCATTTCTTTTTTATTCTGACAAAACCAACATAAATGAAATAAAATAAAACAAATGAAAAATTCTAGAGTAAAGTGAAAGACGAGAATAAAAAAGTCGAGTTCTCGTAAAAAAATTTTCGAAAAAAAAACGAGAGACAGAGAAAAAAGTTTGAATAATGGACGTGAGTTTTCTAAAAAAAAAATATTTAAATTTCCGTTCGAAAATCCTACATGCTTATTTTTTCTATAGTTTGCTTCTTTCTTTTTTTGAAAGAAGATCAAAAAATGGAAATATTTCCGGAGTCTGGAATGAAAAGTGATATCAAATAGATTTAATTTAATTAAATAAAAGTACATTGAAACTAACACTAAACAAATATTTGAAACTTCGGAAATTGAAACAAAAAACGTTGGTAAAATAATCAAAGTTGATTTCCAAAAAATTTGGACAATTCTTTTTATTGTTAGTGAAAGCCTGTGCTGAATTAATAAAATCCTGAAAAAAAGTTTATATTCTGAAAATTTGAACTTTCAGCACTAAGTTGGTAGTAAATTTTGTCATCAACCTTTGGAAATGTTGACTATCTCATTGCTAAATTTTAAAATTGTTTTCTAAAATTTCACGCTTTTGAACACTTTTCATAAAAAAGAAAATGCGAAACATTTCTGACACATGCCTTTTAGATAATTGAGGTTTTTAAAGTCAAAAAATTCTGAATCGTCAAAAAACCTGGTCAAAAAAGTAAAAACGAAAAGAAAAGCAAAAAAGTTTGTTTCTTTTTTGTTGCTCAGTGAGTTGTCGAGATTGTGCTCATTCTTCTTTTTCTTTTTCTAATTTATTCCTCTTTTCCACTTTATTTCTCTCCGACAATTCAATTTGGAAAAATTCCCCAGAAAAACAACATTTTTCGGGTTGGAAACCGAGCAACAAAATAAAGTTTTACGCAGTTGTCAAAAGATTTTTCAGTCAAAGAAGCTGATAAATAAAACATACTTACCCGGCTGAAAATCTGAAAAGGAAATGTTTTATGAAAGTGGAAAAAATGTATGGAGGAAGGAGCCACGTGACAACAAAATTGGCCAAATTTTGGAAAATGTGAAATTGAAGCCATTTAAATCGCAGACAATTTCAAAGATCTAAAACTTTAATTTCTGTTGTCAGAGAGCAAAAAATGAGAGAAGAATGAACAAAAAAAAAACAGAGGAAAAGGCATCGATAATTAATTCCGAGCACGAACTTTTTTCATTGTTTCAAGAGTGAAAATGAAAAAGAAAATAAAAAAGAACATCTTGAGAAATGAAATATTTCTATTATTTCTTTTTGGAACAAAAATTTGAAGTAAGATTGTTACATGAAAATTGTATTAATTGTAGCCACGAACTATGACGTGGAAGTTGAAGTAATTTCCAAAATAAATAGATGAAATTTTTAAAAATTCAAAGTTTTTTCACATGTTAACTTCATCTTCAAAAATTGAAGTCTATTTCCAGCTTTTGAAATTTATTTGAAATTTAATAAATTTTACAATAGTACAACTTCTTTTTTCCGAATTTACGTAACTTGAATCACGTGTTTTTTAAAGTGTTCAATATGTAGATGTACTGTAATTTCTGCTGCACATTATCTTACTGTAATTTATTTGTTTTCATATTTTATACACATAAATTCCTATGTCATGATGAAGTCCCATAACCTATTTACCAGAACCCTCAAAATTCAAACGAACTACAGTAATCTATTACCTAAACCAGATTTTTTTCATAAAATAGGTAAAAAAAAACTAACCCTCCACAGCAACAAAGAATCTTTCTCAAAGTACTGCGATCGACCATGATTTTCTTCGAAACACTTGAGTTGATTTGATTTTCTGAAAATTTCAGACTTGTTATTTCAAAATAGGTGAAGCGAATAATTAATTATTCGATCTTTTTTATTTTCATCGACACACAAAAAAAAACTAGGAAATATGTGTTTTGTCGGAAGCTAACAAACAAAACAAATATCTCACAAATTATATTACTCATGTCTTTTATTTTGAGGAAAATAAAAACATTTTTTGCCAAATGAAAAAGATTCAAATGATTTAGAGCTTGAGATGTTTTAAGTGAAAATTAGATAAAAGTTAAGTATGAATAATTCGAAAAAAATGTGTTTTTCATGTGAATGACGTTGTCTAACAAGAAAAACATTTGAGATGTTTAGTTTGATTAGGAAATGAATGTATTATTGAAATGGCTTTTCAAAAAAGACCACAATTCTTCAGTACTTTGGGGGATAAAATTAACGAATTTGAAAAATGTTTGCGTTGGCGGTAAAAATTGACGCTTCGTTCAAACATTAACTATTTTTGCCTAAAACGAAAAATAAACTTTTAGATACCTCAAAAAATATTTTTAATAAACCACGTTCACTAGATAAAAGAGGAACTTTTCTCGAAAATGATCAAGCCAATTTCGGTGGAATTTTCTAGAAATGATGATGTGGATTATTTTGATGAAGTAAGGAAAAAGTTTTGTTTTTTCAGTAGTAAACTATGAACTTTCAAAAATAAAAGAGCAATAACAAAAAAGAAATATTGCGTGAAAATAATGAGAAAATGAGAAAAAACTGATTGAGTTTGAGTAATGCTCAAAAATCTCGTAAAAAAATCAATTTGCCTAATAAAAATGCGTCTAGAATTTTCATAAATTGCATGATCATTAGTCTAGAAAAATTGGATTTTTCGAGAAATCAAACACTCAAACGCCAACAAATCATTGGGTTCATATTGAAAAGTACAGTAAGAAAAAAAGGAGTATCTAGGATGAATGCATTAGGCTAAGATAGAATACGTATTTTGTAATGTTCTCCTAATGAGGTTGGATTGAGAATGAAGAAAAAAACCATTGGAATACTGAAAATAGAAAGAGAGAGAGTGGTTTTTCACATTTTTGATGGGAGGAGCTGAAAACGCCTCCGGTTTTTTGTTTTTGCAAAAATGAAAAGAAAAAAGGAAATAATTAGGAACAATTTTCATTTTTTAAAAACCTCTGGATGCAAAAAAGTAGTACTTCTTATATTCTGCAAAAATACATTCGGCTGTCTTAATCAAAAAAAAGTTGGCACTCACTCCGAAAAATCTAATTATTTTCTCGTGTCTAATATGAACTTTGTTTCCTAACTCAAGTTTTGCTGAACTCTTTGTCGATATATTGATAGAAAAACATTTGAGAGGAAAATTTTTGAAATGACGAAAAACTGGAAAAAAGAGCAAAATCATCTGTTATCTGAATCCTTTGGGAAAAAGTTTGTTTTTTTCTTGCTGAGTGAGCAAAAATATCAGATTTCAAAAAACAAAAAAGTGTTTTTTTCATAAATAATGTTACAAAGTTAGACGAAAGGACATTTGACTTGTTTTTCAAAATTTTCAAAAAACAACACCAATTTTTGTGGAAAAATTGGGATTTCACTAAACACAGAAAAAGGAAGTTTTGAAAGAGAATGAAAAAAATGGTTCAAATAAACTTCAATTGGATTTTTTTCGAAAAAGAGTCTTGTTTCGAAGGAATCCTTGGAGAATTTATCAATTAAGATAGGAAAAAAAGAATTCGAAGAAAAGAACAGAAAACAAAAATCTGCAAAAATGAATATCGCGCGCGTGACCTTTTAAATTCCACGTTAAGATGTGTGTTTTCCAAAAAATAAATCAGTTTGATTTTTTTGTTGTTAAAAATCTGGTGAGAAAAACAAAAATGCAGTCATTTGTGGAAGAATATTTGGATCTTTCGATATTTTCTGAAATGTACAAAGAATATCACGCATCTTCTCAACTTCGCTCAACAATTTATAGTGTTATTCTCAATATGATATTAACTTTGATTATTTGGAATGGAGTTTATGGAATGGAGAAAAATGACAAAATGAATGATATGTATTTTTTGGGAACATCCTCAAATTATACAACTGGAAATGAGATTATTGATGGAATGGTAAGATATTTTCAGTTGATTGCCAATTTATTTATCATTTTTTAGATCAATGGATTTGGAACAATTATGGTTCTTGGTGTTGTTTCTTTTGTAATGCTTGCTTTTGCACTTTTTGATTTTCAAAGAGTTGTTAAAGCTTGGCTTACAACAAGTTGTTTATTAATTGTTTATGGTGTTTCTGGTTATACTGCTTAGTGAGTTTATTTTTGTTCAATTCTTAAAGTATTAAAAGAATTTCAGTGATTTTTGTGAGCGATACATTGATATGAAAACAGAAGTTGGAATAAATTTGGTTTATTTTATTGTTCCAATGGTTTCTACTGTTTATGGAACTCTTGGAATTTACGCATTTTTTGGTGATGCTCCAATCAAACTTCATCAATTTTATGTTATTTCAAATTGTTCATTGATTGCTGTTTTTTATTTGAGAATATTTCCTGGTAACACTGCTTGGTTTGTTCTTTGGACTGTTGTTTTTTGGGGTATGTTTGAGCAAAAATGTACTTATTTTTTCGAAAGTGGACTTTTTGCAGATTTCTTCGCTGTTTTGGCTCCAATGGGACCATTGAAAAAAGTACAAGAAAAAGCGCAAGACTACAGTAATAATGTGTTGAAATTGTTGATGTTTAGTGCGGAAGAAAAAAGAAAGAATGCTGGAAGTGATCAGAATAAAAATCGGGTAAAAGAACTCATTAAATTATACTCGGAAAACAAAGCTATGGATGAAGAATTCATTCAAAAGGTACTTATTTTTAGTTCCTTTTTTCAAAAAAAAAATTAGAACGTTTTATGAAGTATTATAATCAGATATCACATGAGTTGTGAGAAAATACAAACAAAAAAGTTTGCAAGATTCGGAACATTTTCGAACCACAACACATCAAAAAGTAATCGAACATCAAACATTCAATTTTTAGATTCAAGCTCGCCGTACTGCAATCAATCCTGATTCTGCCAATTCGGAACAAAGTCCTTTAGGTGAGATTTGGAACTTTTTAGATTCTCAACTAACTTCTGGATTTTTAGTTTCACCAAAAGAAGAGGAACAAGATCAAAGATCAGTTGGTTCTTCGTCTTCTTCTTCAGTTTCGGATTATGGAGAAAATACAAAAACTTGTGAAGAATTCGAAAAATCAGAAGAAGTTGCGAATGTATTAGAAGAACTTATGGATTTTGATGATGGAAAAGAGGAAAATGGAAATGAGAAAAATGACTTGAAGGATGCAAAAAATATTTTAGAATCGGTTATAAACTCGTTGGAAAATAAACAAGACACTGAAAACAAAGAAACTACAATGGACGATTTTGTGAGCTCAGAAACTGATGTTGAAATGCCAGTATCAGATATTCGAGCAGAAACTGAAAGAACAACACAAGTATCAGAATTTCCATCTGAAATGGAAGAAGTATCTGCTGTTGAAGTTGGTGAAAGAATGAATGAATCAGAAGAGGAAGATGCGAGAGAAATTGAATTAGAAGAAGAAGAAAGTGATTATGAAGAGGAATATACGGCGGCTGATGCATTAAATGATGCAGGTTTGAAATCATTTAAAAAAAAACTTACAAATTCATTTACTTGTAGATTCTGTTCGTCTTGGTTTCGGTGACTTTGTATTTTATAGTCTTCTTATTGGACAAGCAGCCACAAGTGGAAGTATAATTTCAACATTTGCTGCTGGAATGGGTGTCGTCATCGGATTAATTGCCACTCTTACAATTCTCTCCAGTGGTAAGCTAAAATCATAAAAATATGAAATGAAAAAAAACTAATTAATTTTTACAGCCGAGAATACAACTCCAGCCCTTCCAATGTCAGTTATTCTTGGAACATTTGGTTATTTTTATTCGGAGTTTCTTGTCTCCGTTTACTCGAGATTCGTGACCTACACAAACTGAAAACTTCAAATTAAAAAATTAATTTTTGAACTGAAAAATTATAAAGTGTTTGCGTAATTATTTCGGAATATGCACACATTACATTTTATTTGACGCACAAACATTTTATTTTTTCGTTGACTTTTCCTTTTGTTTTTCACCTTTTTTCATGGATGTTTCTGTGATAATTCCTGTTAAAAATGGAGAAAAATTTCTGGAAGAAACATTGGATTCGATTTTAAAGCAATCTGCTATTGAAAAGTCGTTGAAAATTGAGGTAAGGTAAGTTTTCGCAATCAATATTGATGTTGTGTTTAGATTTGTATTTATGATGATGGAAGTGATGACAGAACTTATGATATTTGCCAAAAATATTCGGAAAGGTCTGATATTCCGTTTGTAATTGAAAGAGGCGAAACATCGAAAGGTGTGGGATTTGCCAAAAATCAAGCTATTTTTCTGTCTACCGGAAAATATTTATGTTTCAATGATGCAGACGACATAAGTGGAGTTGAAAGAATCAGTGAACAATTTGCTCTAGCTGAAAAGTTGAATACAGATTTTATTTTTATCGGGTGTAATTTTGATCGACTTCCTGAGGATTCAACCAAAAGATACACATCTTGGGCTAATTCAATTCAATCAAATGATGAAATAAAAAATCAAGTGTATACTTCACACGGACCAACAATTGTTGCACCAACATGGTTCATTTCGAGAAAATTATTCAATTTTGTTGGAAAGTTTCAAGATATTCAGAAGACAGGTTATCCCGAAGATTTAGAATTTTATTATCGTTGTCTTGATATTGCAAGCTGTGAATTTTCAAAAGTGCCAAAATCATTAGTAACATATCGATATCATATGGAATGCGCAAGTTTTGGTGTACACGAGAATTCGATTTGGAACCTACGATTTTCACGTTTACGTGAGAAATATTTAAAGAAATGGGAATCATTCACAATATGGAGTGTAGGAAAACAAGGAAAACGATTTTTCAAGTGAGGAAAGCATCAAAATTTGAATGTAAGATTTGTTTTAGGTGTTTGAACGAAGAAGAAAAATCAAAAGTTCGTGGTTTTTGTGATATTGATAATAACAAAATAAAACGAGGAATTCATGAAGAATTTGATGAAAAAACTAGAAAAATAACACATCGAATTCCAATAAATCATATAAGGTATATCGATCAAAGTTTCTGTTTTTCAATTTTAAAGTTTAAATTCAGAGATGCGATTCCTCCTTTTGTTGTTTGCGTAAAATTGGATTTGACTGGCGGAGATCTTGAAAATATTATTGCAGAACAAAAATGGAAAGAAAATATTGATTTGGTTTATTTTGGATAGTAGTTTTCTAGATTCTGTAATTCGATATTTTTATAAACATTTGACACTTTTGAATCATTTCAAATTGAACATATCAAACCCTTTTCGTGTGTGTATTTTTTCACATAATCACTTTTTTGCTTGCTTTCCACTTTTACATTTTTCTCTAACTTCTCTCGTTTCTCTTTATTTTTCTTTTCGGCCTAATAATGTCTGATTTCTTTTTTATATTTTTTCTGACTAATGGATTTTTCATCGTTTCTTTATTTATTTTTTTGCTCAATTCTTTTATAAATTCGATTTTTGCAGATGGTTTTCCAGCCAATTCACGAAGATGAACAAAAATTTGTCGATTTCGCAACGATTTTGGTGCAAAAAGCAGGAACAGTTAGTTTGTTTTTTTTAATTCGAAATTATAAAACATAATTGTAATGTTTGCAGCTTGTAAGAAATGCTTTCGAACAAACTGAGAGCAAAGTAGATACAAAATTATCTGATACTGATTTGGTCACCGAAACTGATCAAGCTGTTGAAAAATTATTAATTGATGGATTATCGAAAGAATTTCCGGATCATCGATTTATTGGAGAAGAATCAGTTGCTGGAGGAGCGAAAATTGAATGGACTGATGCACCAACTTGGATTATTGATCCAATTGATGGAACTACTAATTTTGTACACAGGTTTGTATCTGGAAAATGGAATTGAAATTTAGAATTAACCAACAATGTTTTTTATTCAGAATTCCAATGATTGCGATTTGTGTTGGTTTAGCAATCAAAAAACAACTTCGTGCTGGAATTGTTTACAATCCAATAACTCGCGAATTATATTCGGCGCAAGTTGGAAATGGAGCATTCAAAAATGGTTTCCCAATCAAAGCATCGAAAAATGAATGTAAGTTTTTGTTTTCTCGTTCTATATTCATCGCACATTTCCCCAAATTTTGAAGCACTTAAAAAGGCAATTTTATGCCAATCTCTTGGATTACACAATCGTGTTTATTTCGGTGATGCATGGTTGGATGTTGCACAATCAAATATGAGAAATGAAGCATTAGCCGGTGTGCGTGGGTATGTTAAAAGTAACTAACAAAATTGGGAAAAATTGGAGAAAACATCGAAATTGCAATATGTTCCACAAAGTTTATAGTTGTCATGGTTACAAATTTGACCCTTTCAATGAGTTTCGGCACACTTTACGCACACTGGTTTTTGCTTTTATTTTTTAAATTTTTCAAAAAAATTTTCAAAAATGTATTTGCAGCTGTTGCGAAAAGTGTGTTGATTCTTCAATTGGGTTCGATTCGTGATCCTGTTATGCAAAACTCATTCCTTGAATCATATAAATCTGTTATGTTTGACAAAAATTGTCATGGGTTAGTTTGAATCAAAGATATTTATGCTCTTAGGGTTTGAGAAATATGTATAGGTCCTGTTAAAAAATTAAATTTTAAAAATATTTTCTGAAAAATCGGAGTATTGAAATTATGAAGGCACATTTTTAAAGGTTTTCAATTATATTTTTAGACATCGTTCATTTGGATCTGCAGCAATTAATATGGTTATGGTAGCACAAGGAAGTTGTGATGGATATGTTGAATATGGTATTCATGCTTGGGATGTTGCTGCTCCTGCAGTTATTGTTCTTGAGGCCGGTGGTTGTGTTATTGATCCAACTGGTGCTCCATTCAATGTTATGTCTCGAAAAGTTCTTGCTGCAAGTACTCCAGTTTTGGCAAAAGATCTTTCTTCTATTTTGACACATGTCACATTTGAACCAGAAGCTATTTAAATATCGAATATGTAAAAAAAATATAATAACATTTTGTGAATTATTTCGAAATTAGTCAAAACATTCCGTCGTCCATTTTGATTCATTTATTAATAAATATTAATTAGTTGTGTATGCAAATTATTATTATTTAGTGTTTAGTTGAAATGTGTTGATTGACACATCAATATTTTTAGATATCATTGAAATCTTCTAATTAACCCATTTTTATTCAGAAATGTCGTTGCCAGAGGAAGAAGTTCATATGATGATCAAGCAGGTTAGTTGATTTTCAAAATATTTATTCAGTTCAAAGTCAAAAATTCAAAAAAAAAATTATTAGGCAAAGAATCCGTTACTTTTTCAAAAAGTTTACTTTTTTGCTTTCACTTTGAAAGAAATTGTGGTAGTTTTGATATTGTTTTTTGAATTGAAGACATTGACATATTTGCTGTTGAAGTTATCGAAACTCTTTCCTGCAACTAGTCCTGTTCCAGGCTCAACTTTTGCACCTTTTTCAGTAATAACTTTCAATTCAACTTTAGTCGATTCATTATCAACCAAAACTGGGAATATTTGATTTTTCTGAAAAATATAATTATTTCCCCTATGTTTTTCATTCTTTCGAATCTTGCCTTTTGATTGACTTCAATATCATTTTCATTCAAATAATGAACTGCTTCTTGAGTTTCTGATTTCTTCGCAATATTTCCACTATAACTAATACTTATATAACCTCCTTCTTTTGCATCTTCTTTTTTAACTGGTGTTATGAAATTCACAGTTGCAATATCAGTTTTTTCATCTATTTGAATGAAAGTCCCTTGAACTTGGTCTATAAATTTAACATTTTACTTTGAAACTATTTTTTTTATTTTCAAAAAAAAAACTCACAATCTGGATTTCCTCTCAATTCGAATGGAGCTGATAAAAAGTGAATTGAGCATAGACTTATCCTTTTTGGTAGTTTTACTTGAAATTCTTTCAAATTTCCTGACAATTTCACATAAAAATCAGTCCTTACTTCAAATGTTCCTCTGTAAAAATTTGAATGTTGAAAACAAATCATATATAACTCACTTGTTGATATCTCTTTCAAATTCAATAATGCATTCTGTTGGGGTCAAAACTGAAACAGACCAAGATGTTGAAACATGGAGAATCAAGAAAAATAGAATAACAATCATTTTTGACTTGATAAGATTTGAAATGAGAATTTATAGGAGTTTTTTCGAGAACTGCAAGATTTATTATTGTCAAAAATAGTTCCGCGTTCAGTTTTTTATCAATTTCATCATCCCATTCATTTCTTGCAGGTTCTTGATGAAACAGTTGGCCCAAATGCCACGTATACTCAAAAAGACAGTGTTGTTTGGAATCAAAAAGCAGTTGAAAATATCACAAAGAAACTTGTTGCATCTGGAAAACCATTCAAATATATTGTCACTTCTTCATTTTTACAACTCTCAAATGGTTCTGGTTTACATGTCAGCACTATTTCTTATTGGAATAAATCGACCGACAGTTAGTTTTTTTTTTGAAAAAAGTCATTTATACTTTTCAAAACAAAAAAAATAATTGTTTCAGCATCTTACATGTATCGCTGGGAAACTAAAACAATGTTGGCAATTGTCTATGTCTTTGCAGTTGCCATTTGATTTTTCGATCGAACTCATCTAATATACAAAGTTCTAATTATTCCCATTTTTCGCGTGTCTTCTTTTTTTTTAGGTAAATTTCATCCAACTTTCATTTAATTTCCAACACCTATTAGATTTTACTTTACCATTTTTAGCTCAAAAAAATTTTCCGAAATATCATATTTACTCAAATTTATTTTTCTCTGCTAAATTTTCCACCCGGGTTTACCCAGCTCTTTTTTATTTCCCACAATTTATTTTGTTCGTTTTCTTTTTGTTTCAGCCCTCAAATGAAATTGCTGGATAATATTGAGAAGGATTTACAGAGAAAAAAAAGAAGATGAAAAAATCTGAATAAAAAGGAATATTGTCTCTGAACAGCTGAAATAGTGTTACAGTATCGATTTTGAATCTAAAGCGATATCTAACAATAAGCACTGCCGCTCTTCAGTGGATTTTCGGTTTATAAAAGTCAAAGGGAAACAAATCATGGGTTACTGTAGTTTTCAATTTTCAAAAAGTTGTGCCACGTGGCAATTCCAATTAAAGCATCATTTTTTGTTCTAACTAGTTTGAAAAAGGTAAAGTTTAGGACCACAAATCAAAATTTCGAAAAGTATTCAGAACAGGTTCCATAAAACTTCCGAATTTCTTCACATGAAGTTATCTTAATTTCTTTTTGTATTACTCTTTTTTTTTTATCTTCAGCTTGAGTTCAAAACCATTTCCCAATCCTATATTTTTTCTAGTTGTTTCTATTTGCACAGTATCCGTCTTCCCCTGATGGTAAAATAGTGCAAAACCGCCTTGCTCCAGTGAAATGAAAAAAAACGGCAAATATTTGAAGCGATGAAAAAAGAACACAACTCTCGTTGGTTTTTCTTCATTTTTTGAGTCTCTGGAGGGCACGGTGCCGGTCTGTGCAAAATGTACTTTTATCAACAACGAAAAGTGAAACTTTTTTAGAAGCACACCAAAAAGTTTCTGTGATAGATAAAAATGCAATTGTTGATCAACTTGACAAATGATAAAAACAACCCTTTTTTGATTACAGGAAATGTTGAAAAAATATTGAAATATGGTAATTAAGATGTTTTAAAAAACAAGACTCGCTTATGAACTCCAAAAAATACAACATCTTCATAATCTACAGTAACCACGATCCCCCAAAAAGTTTTTGTCGTCTGCTTTTTCGAAATATTGTCCATGTTTGATTTTGTCCATTCATTCATCCAACAGCCCGCCATTTCGTTGGTACCAGGTTGTTCCGATTATTTGGATTTCAAAAAAAAAACTTTGGGGTTGTTGCAGGTTACGCAAACTGTTTGTTGAACAAATAGAGCGACCGCGAGCGATGCGCGAAAAAATGAGAAGAAACGGCGAGTTTTTTGCGACATATTGGTTGGTCACTAGAAAAATAATAACAACAACTGAACTGAACATCAACATCATATGATTCCTCTTTTTCCGCTCAGTTGACTTTTTAGGAGGAAGTTGGAAATGTTCAATGATTTATCAAGAAAATCAGGAGAAGTTCGAGAATGAAATGAAATGAGGGAAGAATCTGAAATAGTATTTTTTGAATAAGAGAAGTGATCAAACATTTACAGTAACTAACAATTTTAAATTTAAAAAGATAATTTTTTTGTTGGAAAATGTCCTCCTCGGAATACTGTAGGTCTTGTCCTCTTCAAAAACCTCAAAAAAAAAATTAACAACTTATGAACTTTCGAACTCTTCAAATCCCAAAACTTCCATCAGTTTTTTTCCTATTTTTGGAAAATGAATATATTTTAACCGATGGCTGATCAAATATTGAGAACGAAAAAGTTTTATTTTTCATTTTTTCCACACTTTTCCCTAATTCCTTTTTTTTTCGTTCTCGAAAAAAGTAATAATTTTGAAAATAACAGAAATGTTTTGATATCTTTTGTTTATTTTTAAACTATCAAACGAAAATTCTTTTTTTTAGCTTCCTCTCAATTTTTGTTCCAGTTAGTACCAGTTTCACGTTATCTTTGTTTCTCGTTATTTTTTTTTTTTTGAAACATTCGAATTTCTGATAAGACCAAACCTGAATGTAATTGCTGATGTGCATTTTTTGGCTGGATGTGCACTTTTTGTTAGGGCAATTTTATTTGTCACATTTTATTTTTGCGATGAAAAATTATCATTTTTGATCCAATTTCAATTTTTTCTTCATGTGAATAAGTAAACATTTATTTGAAAAGAGGTCGAAATGATGAGTGTGTGCCCGGAAGTGAAACCACGTTCAGACCTTTTTTGTCATACCTTTTTCCCTTCATCTCTTCCTCTCTCGGAAAACTTGTGTAAATATACAGTGTTTGGGAGTACCAGTTCGTCTCCACCCCATTGCGCTTTTTCTCGAATCCATGCCATTCACGTTTTTTTTCGAACCGGCGATTTTTTCAAAAATAATTTTGTAGAAATATTTTTGTTTTCAGTCAGAAATGATGAACTGCGAAAACTTGGTGGCCTCTTTGGCTCAATTGGATATGTCAACATTATTATCTAATTTTGTTGTATCATCTTCTTCAAGTTCTCCGCCAACAATTGATGATGATAATCTAAATAATAATAATATGAATGGTGCAAATGGTGGAGGATGTAGAAGAAAAAGAAAAAGAGGAGAAGTTGCAAATCCATCAAACACTTTGGATGCATTGGTTGCCAAAAAAGCTGATGAACAACCATTTGAAAAACGATATTTGAGTGAACAAGAAGCAATTGAAGGACCAGATGATGAAATTGAAATGAAGGTAATCACACAAACAACTTTTTTTTTATTCTCAAAAAAATTAATTATTTTTTATAGAGAATGGAACTTGATCCAGATGTTTCAACTCGAACTTGTTCAACTTGCGGATATCAAGGAAAATGGGTATCTGAAATGATTCGACATAAAAGAGTGCATACAAGTGAAAGACCTTTTAAATGCAGATATTGTTCGAGGACAAGTAAATGGAAGGCTGATTTGATTCGACATGTTGCAAGTATGTTTTTAGAGACATTTTCAACAATAAATTCATAACAATGATTATTTCCAGAAACTCATGGAATTCGTGTTGTCTCGAAGTACAGTCGATCAAAAGTTTTTGATACGGTCAATACAACTCCATTGAGCAGTCCAACTCAAAGTGTTAGTTTTTTTTTTAAAATAACTTTGCATCTATCAACAAAATATATTTTCAGATTTCTGAAAAACGAACAATGCTTTATCGTTGTCAATTATGTTCATTTGAAGATGAAAGAGTTTCAATTCTTAATCAACATGTTTCATTAATTCATTCAACATCTCCATGTGTTTGTCGTTGTGGTTCAAAATTTGAAGATGTTCAACATGCTTTAAATCATCCATCTGGTCCAAATTGTGAAATGATTTTCAATATAATTCCAACATATGAAAAACCATCTCCACTTTCACCATGTCATTCAGAAAGTTCACTTGATAGTGGAATCAATATATCTGATCCAGAAGATGATAGTTTTCAATCATCAAATCCTTTGGTTTCTCCAATTGTTCCCGATATTCAATCAACACTTTTAAATATTCAATCATCTCCATTATTCTCATTATATTTGGCTCTTCTCCAATCAACTACAGTAACTTCTCCAATTCAAGTTCCCCCTTTAAATACAGTAATTTGTTCAACTGATGATAATATTATTGTTGATGTTTAATTTATTTTAACATTTTATTTTAACATTTTATTCAGGTCACTTTTTTTCCCAGCTATTAAGTATATTATTTTATCTAATCCACGTGGTTTTCCAATATTTCTTAGGTACCGTATACCGATGATGAATCTCCAAAAATCTTTTATTATTTTACGGGGATTTTTGATAAACATTATATTTTTTTTTGGTTTTTTATCCCAACGCAATATATAAAGTATAATTAAAGATAGTAGGAAGGAAACCTGCAATTAGTTTTGAATTTTCAGCACAGCTGACAAAAATTATATTATCTAGTTTGATATGCACATTGAAACAATTTTTCAAAGTTTTGTTATCGAAATTTGGGTTTGTTGATTTTTCTTTCGGAAAGTTTGGCCAATTTTTCGTCTAGTTTCTGCAATATTGTTTTATTGCTTCTAAAATTAGAATCAAAATATTTTTTCAAAAAATTTCAGAAACACAACATTTTTCATAGAAAATATCTTGAGTAACTTTAAATTCACCGAAAAACTTCGAAATAACAAAATGTATTTCTCGATAAATTTTCAATGTTTGAACATTGAGAAATTCTTTAAATGCCATTGCTCTTCAAACATTCAATTTAATCACAGACTTAAAATTTTTCTTTTTGTTTAATTTCTCTTTTCGCTTTCGTAATAGATATTCCAATTAGACTTGGTAATACAAAAAACAAGGTTCTTGGAAAAATTGAATGTTCTCAAGCGGAAAAATAACACATTTCTATAATTGTGAGAAAACTTGGTTTATCACGATTTCGTCTACTTTTTTGGAAATTATTTATATTTTTTAAATTTCAGAAAATGATTGATTCAAATCGATTTGTTATTTATGTAACAATTTATTTTTGGTTCTATCTTATTTTTGGCTTATGTTTTCAACTTTTCCTTATATTGCTGATTTCTACAAGATCACAAAAAATAGTGGCTGATATGAAAATATTTTTGTATAACACAACTGTTTCACAAATTCTAAATATTTTGTGTGGTTTTTTCTTGCAGTACCGGTAAGAGTTTTTGTGTTCCCAAAGATTGATTTTGGGAGATTTCTGTAGATCACTTCCAAGTTCTTCAACTTTGGCTATTTTAGCGAATGGACCTTGCACTTTTTTCGGTCCAAATGTTTGTTTTTCAGCATATCACATTTTTGTAGTAAGTTTGTTCTCTTTTTCAAAGTTTTAAAAATTATCTATTTATTTTCAGGGCATAAGTTCGAGTGTTGCAATGAGTACATCTACTACTATTTTGTTCCGATATTTTTTACTGAAAAACTATAGATTGAGTAGAATTTTCATTATCGAAATGATTTTTATATCACATCTTCCGCCGCTTGTAGCTACAGTATTTTTTCTTTGGAGTTATTTTTTATACTCAAATTTGTTTCAGATAATTCCATTCACGGCATCTTGGAACTTTGAAATAGTTAGAAATCAAGCATATCAAGAACATTCCACTTATGATTTGTCAATTTATGAACCATTTTGTGGTTTTCAAAATACTCAATCATTTTCTTTTATTTTTGCAACATTTTTAATTGCATCAGGTGCTTATATTGTTCCAATTTGTGCGTGTATTTTTGTTCGAAAAATCGTTTTATTAATAAATGAACATACAAAAATGTCACAAAACACCAAAAAAGTTTCTCGAACTTTGGTCAAAGGATTAGCTTGTCAAACTTTATTGCCATTAATTTGTTATATTCCAATCATATCATTATATTTAGCTGCTCAAATTAGTGGAAAAGAAATATTATTAGCAGGTGAGTTCAAATTTATTTTAAGAAGGGGTTGAGATAAGAAAAAACCAATTTAACCTTTTTTAAAATAGTATAACTGTGGAGAGAATTTTCTAAAAACATTTCTAAAACCCCAGAAAAAAATTCCAAATTTTTGAAATTTATTTCTTCTGGTAAAACATCCTTTTTAGGGATGCTCTTTCTATTTTAAACTGTTTTTTGAAATTCATCCCACACCTCCTTGATTTTCAAAAATAATAAGTTTTTTTCAGAACATCTGTTGGGAATTCTAACATGTTTTCCTGCATTGATTGATCCATTTATATCATTTTATTTTATTGTTCCATATCGAATTGCAATTGTTCGGTTTGTAACTTGCAACAAAATAATAAGTTCATCCTCAGTTATTCCTGTTTCTTCTAATTTTTCAGTTTCAAATCGTCGATCCTTTCATTCTCATTTTTAGTTTTTTTTTCTGTTTTTTATTGTCATGAATTTGGTTTTTTTTAGTTGTGTTGCATGTTTTTCTATTCAAAAAATTTCAAACTTAAAGACATCGTTTGGCTGCAAGATTTTTATAAGTAACAGCTGTCGTGATTTATTTGACATTTCAAATGCTTATTTTATATACTTTATTTTTTGGATTTGTTTATTCTTTCAATATTATTGAATTGGGTAACACAAAATATGTCGAAATTGAAGTTAGTTAGAACTCTTTGCGATTTCGCTCAAAATTCAAATTCTTAAGGCTGTTCATTCAATCGATACACCTTTGGGAATTCAAATAGTTCATGCTGTTGTTTCAATTTCAAAAACAAATTTGGATATTGCATTGAAATCTGATAGTGTTTGGTATGTTCCAGATCAACAAACATTTTCAAAATTGGTAAGCTTTTCAAAATTATCTAATTGTGAGAAAGTGAAAGTTCTATGAGTGATAATTGAATATAAAACATTTTCAGGCTTATCTCACATCCTATGGTTGGTTTTTGTTGGAAGAATCAGATTATATGAAAATAAAAAGAAGAGCTTATCCAAAAAAAGCACCGAAAAATGCGCAATTAGATGTAACAAGTTTGTTAAGAATTGCACCAAGTTCGTTAGAAAATGTTCAATTTATCAAAGAAGGTAACTCTTTAACATTGATCATCACTCATAATTATAATAATTCAGGAACAATTGGAGCATACGTTTATAGTTCAGCTGATCAACCAACTTCATCATTCAAAGTTTGAAAAATTATCTATCTATCAGTAACACTCGAAATATAATATTTCAGAAAACATCCGAAGATGCTCAATTAATTCGAAATGGAAATCTTGGAGCATATATTTTCACTGAAGATACAACTTCAACATCAGCTTCAGAATCACTTTTTTGGATTGTTCCAGCAATTGGAAACTCGAAAGTTTTCACAACAAGATTACAAGATTCATCACTTTTACTTTATTATGGAATGCCTAAATTGGTTAAACTAAATATCTAATTCAAGTTATGCAAACTTCACCTAAAGTAAAATCTGAATTTTCGACATAATGAATATTTATCATTTTTCCATCTCTTGTTGAATGATATTCGCCAACACTATTCCAACATTTTGTTTTGAAAATTGTCAACTAAAAGTTCTGGATTTTTGAAAGTTGGAAGGAAAAATAAAACTCACATCACATCTTTCTGGTCCAGGACAAAGCATAGTTGATTCTTTCATAGCTTCATGATATTTATAATAAGTTTCTTTAAAACATTTTCCAATAATTTTTGAGTATTTCATTTGATTTGGAAGACTTCGCAAATGTCGACGAATTGATGATTTCCAACTCATTCTAATAATTATTTAGTTATTCACAAATATTTTTGAAAATAAAAAACTAACCGACTAAAATCCATTTCAATTTGTTTGATATCTTTTTCTTTAATTAATGGTTCATTAGTGTCTGGTTCAACATTTGGTTCATATTTTGGAATAATTTCATGATCTGTTCCCATTCCATCAACCATTTCAATTGTTTTCAAATGAGTTATTGAATTAATATCTGCAGGAACTGTATAAAATGAAACTGTTTTATGTGGCCAATGAATCCAAGTTGAATTCAGATTTGCTGGTTTAACAATCATTTTTCCAGTTTCCGTTTTCTGTTGGAATTTTATAGATCGAAGCATATTTTCAACCGTATAAAAGTTTGCTCGTTTATCTGTAAAGAAAATAGATTACTGTAGTCAGTTGACCAGAATCAAGAAAAACTTACATGCTTTAGTTTTTGTATTTTGTTTCGAATAATGGAAATATACGGATGAAGGATTTTCAGATGAGAAATAATTAAATTCGCCCAAATAATTATTGGCAAGACGAGGAATAAGAATATCATCCAAATCAATAAATGCAACATAATCTGATGATTCTTTATATTTTAAAAGACAATCTGTTTGAGCGGCTGCTTGATTTCTAAATTCTACATTCAAATTTGGATTGAAATCTTCAATATTTCTATTTAGTAAATGTATTCTATTCCATGATTTAAGTGTTAAATATCCTTCTGTTTCATAAACTTTCAATATTTCATAAATTGGAGAAACAATACTTCGAACATAAAGATGCATATGAGCACCAAATTGTTTATAAACATGTAATGCAAGAAGTAGATTTTGCCAACTTTCAGATGCAAATAATGGAGAAATACACATTACAACTGGAATTGGTGAAGTTGAAACAACTTCGAATGGAATCTAAAATATCTAAAGATAAACAAAAAGTGGAATTCATTTTACCGGAGTATGTTCATTTCCCAATGACACCAAGAGTTGAGACAAATTTGGAAGTAATTGACAAGTTGTGAGAATTGTTATCCATTTACAAGCATCATGTGGAGTCACACTAAAATTTGATATTTTTCAAGAATTTCTCACAATAATACCGTTCTAATTTTGTTGTCACAACTTTTCTATCATCTGATGAACTTATGGCTAAAAGTTCGAATTGTTTAACATGTTCGAGAACTTCGAAATCAGCTGTCATTAAAATTGAGATTGCAGAAGAACCGAGACTTTTTGAATTATTGTAATAATAAACAGAAAAAATATGAACATCGTATGGAAATGAATAATAAATATCTGATGAGTCATCAAAATCATTTTCGTCGGTATTTCTGAAAATGTTTTATTTACCAATTTTATAAAGAAACAAAGCTGAGAAAATTTAGAAAAAAACTCACACAAAATGTAGAATCAAAGCGGAAACAAATAATAAAAAACAAAACGCAAAAAGAACTGATAAAAGCCATGGCAGCGATCTAGGTAACATTTAAATATGGATTGAAAAAGAGAAAGAGGAATAATGTTTCTGCATCAAAATAGTCTTTTTCGCCAGGTTATCTTGGAATATAATCTGACCATTTGAAGAAAGAAATATGTGAACGAAAAATCCTAGCATAAAAGTATTTTTCTCATTTATTTTTTACGTGAATATATATTTTTGTTCTCATTTTTAGAAAAATAAAAATGAAAAAACAGATTGTAGCCAAAGAGTGAGTTGGTTCGAATTGACAAAATATTTTGACTCATCGATTTTATTCAGAGAAACAAAAAATAAAACGAAAAAAGAACCAGAAAAGTGTTCTGTCACAAATGAAAATAATAAAATGACAAAAAAAGAAGGAACAAAAACTGTGAGTTGGATTCCATTGGAGAAAAAATCAAAAACACCAAACAAAGTGATTAAAATTAAAAGGTAATTTTGCAATTTTAGTTGTATCAAATTTGTATTCTTGTTTGATTACAGAAAAGATGAAAGATTGAGCAGAAAAGTCAAAAAATCCATAGCCGAAACGAACAAATTATTAGCTGAAGCAGATTCTGTTTTCAAAGCAATTGATGTATGATGAACGAATTATAAGAATTATAAACAACTGTTAAATTTTTACAGACAATTAATTCGAATTATCGAGAATCGAAAAGTGTTATAAAAGTCAAGTTAAACTCGAATAGCCACGAATATAGTGATGCTCAAGTATTAGAAAAAGCTGTAAGAGTTTCTAAAGTTTTTAATCAAATTTTCTTAAACAAATTTCAGCAAATAAACCACTTTGCGGAAAGAATAAGTCGATCATTAGAAGGATTGAAGCAAATCGAATCAGAAGTTGAAAAAACAGTAAAATTTAGTAGAGAAATTGCTGAAGAAGCGGAGAAGAGTTGGTATATTCGATGGTTACGTTATATTTACTAATAAAAATGAATATTTGATTAAAAATACTTGAAAATTGTGTACTTTTTTGCACCAAAAATTTATGTACCAAGAATACTGTACCAAAAATACGAACAAAAAACTTCGTCACAAAAAAACACACTTTCGAGTTTCCTCCCATTGTTCGTTAGAGCGCACATGCTCGGGTAGTCATAACGCAGTGTCCATTTCTTTTATTTTTCAAAAGCAAACGCATTTTCTAGAATTTTTGCTTTCTTGTTTTCAAATGCATTGATATTTAAATCTTGTGAATTGAAATTTTTGCAGATATTAAACATGGATATTCAAGCACAATTCGAAGAAGAAGTTAACAAATTGAAAACTCTTGAAAAAGGTGAGTGAAAAATTATGATTATTCTCGAAAGAAAACATTTTTTAGATCGAGAAAAATACATGAATAATAGACAAGAGTTGGAAATGAAATTATCCGAAAGCAAAAATGTTAAATCGGTGAGTAGTTTTTCACTTATTCAAGAAATATTTTAGGTAACTTTTTAAAAGTGATTTTATTCAGGAATTACAATTGCTTGGAGATGATGCGAAAGTATTCAAACTAATTGGGGCTGTTTTGGTTGGACAAGATTTGGAAGAAGCTAAATCAACAGTTGATAAAAGATTGGAATTTATCGAAGCCGAAATGTAAGGATTATTTTAAGATTAAAACACTATTTGAAATCGCATTTTTCAGTAAGAGAGTTGAAGGTAGTTTGGGAGAATGCACAAGTAAAACAAATAGCCAACGTGAGAAGATAATGGCTATGCAGAAATCATACGCTGCCGCTGCTGCTGCGGCACAAAAGAAATAATTTGTTATCATCTTGTTATTTGCTAATTTCAATAAGATTCTCATGCTTTTTAAAAATCATTCTATAAATGTTTCACAAACGTTGAATAACGTAAATATATTTCATACGACTCACTGATCACCAACAGATATTTAAAGTATAGTTTGTTTTAAGGATATACGGGATCGATGGATTTCTCAGGGTATGTAATCGGAATATGTCACGAAAGCGGGAATTTTCTTTTGTATTCAATGAGATTTGACGATTTTTTAAAAATCGATAAAAATGTAGACTGTGTAAGTATTGGAAGATGGTTGCTGTTGAAACTGAAGTCGGAAAAATTTGATGTAAAACAATGCTTAACAGAAGAAAATTGTGATGGATTTTATAATTTTGACAACGATGTGATTCCTCCAACAATATATGTACATGCTAGATATTTTCCACTTAAATGTAATTTAGCATTTGGCGAGGTTGTTGTGAGTTTTTTATTTATCATGGTCAAAGTTAATTGTACAATATTTCAGATTGCGATTAGAGTTAAAATCCAAGTGGATGAAGCTAAAAAATTGGTATATGATTGTTATGAAATTAATCCTTCCCATATTATTGATGTAAATAATTTGATGAAAGACCGATTGATTCCCAACAAAATGTTTATTTTTGAGTTACAAGCAAGTATGGCTGGATGGATTTTAATCAAAGTTCATGAATATCAAAGATATTGTGATGCTCTGGATGATCCTTTTGTTTCTTATGATGTATCATATTTGGATCAAACTAATCTTACTTCGATGTTAACTAAATATCAGAAAAAGTACAGAACGAATATGATTGAAACTCCCAAAGTTGCCGAATCTTCTAATCATACACAACCTAAATTATCTCGTCGACGACAACCAAGTATTGAAGATATTCCCTCAACATCATCCGATTCACCATCTCCAACAAATAAAAAATCACCACCAGCGATAAAAATTGACGAAAATTTTGCAATTTCTGATATCGATGAAATGAACAATATTATCGGAGGAAATGGATTGAATGTAACACCAGGAAAGAAAATACGGGATAAATTTATGAACGAAGTAGGTGTGAGAAATAAATCTGATATGACGGTTATCGGAGTTGTTATTCATAAAACAAATAAATATGCAGTTTTATTTATTGGAAAACCTGGAATTACTAATGCTTTATTATTATTTGATAATTGTACAGGGTGAGTAATAAACAAACGAGATATTGAAGTAATTAATTTATTGATTTTCAGAACATCAAGCAAAACTTTGAAAAGTGGAGATTTTGGATTATTTGAAATCAGTCAACGAAGACCACGATTAGATGATCCATTCATATTTCATATTCCATTTTCACACATCGTGACCAGAAAATTTGAGACGACGACAGATATTTCAAGACGTATTGATAAATTTCAAAAAGAAATTACGAGTTTCGCGGGTATTTTGCAATGGAAAGTCGAAGCTGATTTATCAAAACTTCATGTAATTAGTCCACATTTCGACAATTCTGAAATGAAATCAATTTGTGGTTCAAGATTTTATATTATCAAAGCGAAAAATGGATTATATGTGACCATTCCTGTGACGAGATTACAACGGTATTTGAATTCCAAATTCACAGCCGATTTTGTTATTCAGTAAGTTTTCGATATTATTTTCATGGAATTTTTCAAATTGGCCCAAATTATATTTTTTTCCAGAGCATGGGCTGTACATAAAAAACCAATTGGTGAATATATGTTTCATATTGGCGCTACTACAGAAGTATTATGTATCAAAAAAGACGGGGAAAAGTTTTTGTTGCCTCCTTTATCAGATGGTGCTATTCTTGATTAAAATATTATATTTGTTTCTGGTTATCCTTTTTTTCAATTTACACATGAAATTTTCATTCATTTAAATGTGTTGTTTAATTACTTATATGTCTTGTTCATTAGTATACTATCTCACTTATCTATCTCGAAACTTATTCATTTTTTGCATTTCTCCCAATTTTTAGTTTAAATGTTGCTGTCATATCGATGTATTCCAGCAGTTTTGCGTAATTTCAGAAAATTTTCAACAATTGGAATGAGTGAGGTTGAAAAAGCTCAGATCGCAGCCATCCAAAAAGATGTTCAAGCAAATGACACAATTTTCGGGAAAATCATAAGAAAGGAAATTCCTGCCAAGATTATTTTCGAGGACGAAGAGGTTAGTTAAAATTTCCAAAAAAAAATCTTTAATATTTTTCTGCAAAACAAAGTTTTCTTTATAAAGAAATTTCTGAAATTCAAATTATTTCAGGTTTTGGCATTCCACGATGTTTCTCCACAAGCTCCAGTTCATTTTCTCGTCATTCCAAAACGTCGTATTGATATGCTTGAGAATGCAGTCGATTCTGATTCAGCTCTTCTTGGAAAACTTATGTTGACCGCTTCGAAAGTTGCTGCTCAATTGAATTTGGCTGATGGATATCGAGTTGTTGTCAACAATGGAAAGGATGGAGCTCAATCTGTTTTTCATATTCATTTGCACGTTTTGGGTGGAAGACAATTGCAATGGCCACCAGGATAATTGTTAAAATATATCATATTTTGACAGGTTATAAATGTTCATTACATGTATTTTCCATTGACATAAAAAAGGAAAATCAGTCGAAAAAACAAAAGAAATGCTTCTACAGTTTGTCGTGAGAAAAATGATTTCGCAAAAAAAAGAAAAACGAAAAAAAAAACAATAAAAATTGTTTGTTTACATTTCAATAAACGTCGACACGTGAACTGTTTCAATATTTCTAGCCATTACTAAAAATGACTAATCAACTAACCCAACTGATATCTTCTATTCACCAATCTTTCGAAGTTCCATCTTCAAATTATACATTTGATTCATTTCCTGCTGATTTGAATCAAACTGATTTTCAATCAAGCAGTTCTGAATATGAAATATCTGGACAACAGTGTTAGTTTTGATGGGATAATTGAAATTGTAACTCTATCATTAACATTTTTCAGTTTTATTGCCATTGCTCATATTATGTGCATTCTTATTTATGATTATTTGTTGTATTTGTCATTGCTTTCTCTGGTTGATTTTGAAGTGTATCAAAAAATCGAGCGTAGAAAACAGTTCAATTGAAACAGGAAAAACCAACAGCACAGAAACCAGCAATTCAACTTCGAATACAAATTCAATAAATGTTTAATTGAAAAGTATTTTGATTTTTTTCGAGTCGAATAGCCAAGAGTTGTTTTTTTCTAACATATATCTTTTTCTTTGGAAATTTCAACTTCTCTGCGTCTATTTTCTCTCATCAAATGCAATGTGGTTCAACCTTTTTTTTTTGAAAACTTTGAAGCATAAAACAAAAAAAATAATTTTTCTTTTTTCATTTATTTGTATAACATTCATATAATATTCTGCAAAAAAAGACATTTCTATTTAAAATTAATTATATGGTAACCACAAATATTTGAAATTTTGTCTGTTTTCTTTTCCGTCTTTGGCCAATTTGACGTTTTTTGCATTCTCTCACATTGATTGGCAAAACATTATTTTCTCGTATATTCTGCCCGAATTTGCGTCTTTCAGCTTTTGTTTTCGCATATTTTGTGAATTTGCAATATTGTTTTTATTCGAAAAAAGTGGAATTAACCCTTTGATCTTCAGCTGAATTACTTTTCAAAAAAAGTTTCATGAGGCCCAATTTTTTTCAAAACATGAGGCTTTAGAAAATTTCCAGTTTTTTTGAAATGCCATTATTAATTTCTGAAAAAAAATAAAAGGAATACTGTTTCTTGATCCACTTTGAAAAGTAAAAATAAAACTACAGTAACCAGCCACGTAATTTATTTTTTATTCTCTGAAAATTAATTTTCATTGACACGTCGGATGATATCGAAAGTTCACGTTGAAAAACTCAACATTTAATTTCAAAAATTAAAATAATATCAAATTTTTCAGGATGGAAACTCTGAGAAAATCAAATCGGCAAACAAAGCGAAAACTTATTGTTGATGAAAAGGATGAAGAACTCGAAGTGGATTCGGAGTTTTTGAATTTTTCAAATGAGAAAGATAAAAGAAAAAACAAATTCACAAAAGAACAAATTCATGATATTATCAGAAAAGGAGAACCAGAAGTGAAAGTTAAGGTAAACCAAACATTTGGAATACACTTTTTAAAAGACTATTTTATAGTGTTCAGTTTGCGATGAGAATTTCGATTATATTTACGATTTATTGGAACATCGAGAAATTGAACATTCTCATGAAGTTATGTTAACTTGTACAAATTGTGGAGAAACATTTGAAAAGAAAGCACAACTTTATAATCATTTGATATTGGAACTTGAAGCATATAAATGTCATCGATGTGAGAATTGTTTCAAAACCAAGGCACTTTTCGATTTTCATAATAATACAGCAAAATGTCCAGTCAATTATAATAACACTAAAATACCAATCAAATGCTCAGAATGTGATGAAGTTTTTTCGAATATTCCTGATTTATTGAATCATCGATTATTGAAATATGGAGAAGAAATTATGTTAACTTGTGGATTATGTAAACAAAAATTCGCGAAAAAAGGAGGAATTCATAGACATTTAAATTTGGTAACTTTTTAATTGTTTCTTACAATTTTTGAGAACCATAATTTTAGGAATACAATAGTTATCAATGTTCAAGTTGTGGAAGAGCACTTCGAGATAAATTTCGTTTAACTCAACATGAAGCTAAATGTTGTAATTCTTCTTCTTCTTCTTCTTCAATTGAACCAACTGCCGAAAACTTAAAAGTAAGTAATGTTAAATTTTTCCATAATTTAATGTTTCAAATATTTAGTGTCACACATGTGGAATGACTTCTTTTGTGAATATTCCACAACTATTATCGCATATATCAGAAAAACATGGAAGAGAAAAAATGTTGACTTGTGGAATTTGCGGTTTGATGTTCAAATCAAGAACTGGAATTTTGAGACATCTCAATATCGAATATAAATTATATAATTGTGAAAATTGTGGAAAAAGTATTGGAGAAAAATATTTGCTAGTTAAACATCAAGAAATATGCAAAAACAGTTTTAGTATTGATGTTTTGCAACAAATAGTAAATTGCGAAGAAAAAGCGAGTGGATCTCAATCAAACGAAGAAATGGGAGAAGAAAGAAAAAATAATACAACAATGCAGAATCTCATAGATCAATTGATAAAAGGTGAAGATTCAGAGAATAATGAATGGAATTGCGAAGTTTGTGAATCGATATTTCAAAGTGCGGCTGAACTTTTCATTCACAAAACAAATTGTGGACACGAGAAATTAATTGAGGTGATAATTTCAAAAAAAAAATGGAAATCAATATTTATTTTTTACAGTGTGTTCAATGCCAATTCAAAAATTCGGATCAGAATGAAATCGATAAACATCGAGATACAGTACACAACAAACAGAAATTTGAATGTAGTTTTTGTGATTTGATATTTGTAAATCATCGACAACTCAGTGATCATCATAATAAGGAACTTCGAATTTATGTTTGTCAAACTTGTAACGAATCATTCAGATCTCAATTAATTCTTGACAAACATCGTAAAACTCATCCAACATGTAGACAATTTTTTGGTATCTCAAAATCATAATTTTTCAAAATTGTATGAATATTGCAAATAAACTATTAAAATTTGTGAATATCTTTGAATATGAATATAATTGCCCGATTTCCGCAAAGAAAAAATGGATGTGACTCATGTTCGGCCAAAATTTAGATAAACTTATGCAGGAGGATTACTGTAGTTTAATTTTTTTAATCATTTTTTTTACAAAAACCTTTATTAAAAAATTTCCAAAAGAATTAGTTTAGATATAAAAGTAAAATCCAATAAAAAATTTGTTTAAAATGAGTCTGGGAGCTAACAGCTCCTGGTAAAAATTATTATAATTAAAAAAAAACCGATAAAAATTTGTTTAGATTTGAGGAATGCCAAAAATTTGTCGAAGTTGACCAACAGTCAAATCAGTTTCTGTAAAAAACATTTTTCACTCAAAAAATATTCCCCTAATACACTCTTCCAGCCCAAAAAGTCCAATTGAATTCAAAAAACTCACTCTCAATAGCCTGACCATTTACATTCATTCCAGTTCTGGCGATTTTTCGGATCTCCTCATCAATACTTGTCTCTACAATCATGTGATATACTTTCATCGTATTTTTCTGTCCAATTCTGGCAATTCGACCAATTGCTTGTTGAATAACTGATGATAAATGTGTTGGATCCAAGAAAATGATGTGATTTGCATGAGTCAAATTCAGTCCATTTGCACATCTTGACAAAGAGCACAACAAAACTCGACAATTTTTCGAGTTCTCGAATTCCGACATATTTTTTCCGTAGTTCACAGTATTCACCTCAATGAACGGAACCTGCAAAGAATTTTTAAATTGTTTCTTAAATTTAACTACTTCCAAAAATATAAGGAACCATCAAACAAATAAAATCTTTAATTTCTGTTAGTTCCTCCTTCCAATTTTCAGAATCATATATTGAAGATAATTCGAAAATATTTGAAATAAAATGTACCTTTGCCCTGTGCAAAACACTAGTTAAAAATTTCCAAATCGGTCGGTTGATATCGAAATTTGTGAACAACACAATCTTATTCTCCTCATTTTCACGAAGAATTTGACGAATGAGTTTGATAGTTTCCTCCAATTTAACAGCCAGAATTACTCCACTGATCACATTATTTTCGTGATTTTTTGGTTGACAGGCCATCAGGATTTCGATGTGTTGAAAGGTTCTTCGACATGTTACACATGTAATTGAGAAGGGGCTGGAAATAGTTCAGAATTGGATAAAAAGCGAATATTTGAAAAGTGATAAACATATTTCAGAAATCTGTTCCAGGCTGAAATTTCACAAAAATTCAAAATTCACCTCCTATCTTTGAATTGAAAATAACAATCCTCACAAATTCGATGAGCGCACGGTAAAATAGCCAAAATCTCGAAATCTTGCCAACAAACTGGACAACAATTCGAATCTTTGTCATTTTCTCTGGGAGAAAAATTGTATTTTTTTGTTAACAAGTTTGAAAAGAAACTTACCCATTTAGTTCTTCACAAAGTGTGACCAAATATCGAAATTCAATACATTTTTGCTTCATTACTGGCACATGTGTTTGAACAGTTCGAATATTTCGATTATGTGAAATCTGGAAATAATCGATATTTTGTTTGGAAATTTGAATTTTTGATAAAATAATAATTAATTTTCGATCTCAAAATCGGAAAAAATGTCTAACCTCTAGAATTTTCCGATCAAATTCCTCATCTGTTTCATCTTTTTTTTTCATTGAATCATAATTTCGTCTCATTGTATTCATTGATCTTCGATATTTGGCAATCTTTAACATTCTCAATTTCTTCTCATATGCAGCTAATTTCGTGCAATAAATTTGAATGAATTTCGTCATTTTATGTAGTCCGATTATATATTTATGGAAACTTCTGAAAAAATCAGAAATTTAGCGGAAACTAGAGGATTTTCAGATTCCTTGTGAAATTTCAGATATTTTCTAGAAGAAGTGTGGTTCTCTGGAGATAACGGGTTCGATCCCCGTAGTGAACTATGTTTTTTGTCACATCTTTCGAGCTCAAAATTTCAAGAGAATTCTGAAAATTTCCACTAAAATTCGAATTGTCTTACCCGAATTCGTCCAATTTCACAAACTTTCTTCTCGGCTCCTTTTCCAAAATCATCTCAACAAGCTTTGTGATCTCCAATTTTTTTCGAGCATTCTCATTTTTCGGAATTCCATGAAAACTTCCCAATCCAATCAAATATCGAAAATGTATCAAACTATGATAAACTCGACAAATTTTACATTTCAATTTGTCTTTTTCCATTTTCCTTTCATTTTCATCAATATTAATTTTATTAAGAATTGGATGTTGACAATGAGACATAGCGAGTAAAGCATTATTGATTTTTTCATAATTTGAAAGATCTTTTAAATAATCAATCAATAATCCAAAATCTTCTTTCAATTCCTGACTCATATCCACAATAGTTATCAAATAAATCGATAAATTTTTGTAGACTTCGGAATTTGTTGCCAATTTATAATTTGGATATAATTCAGAAAATGACAAATTATTGCATATTCCCATACATTCTTTTTCATTGTGATAATTGTTCGTCTTTTCCTTTCTTATTGGTTCGCTGAAAATCGAGAAATCATTTTTGACAAATAAATTATTACATCAAAACCACACCTCGGCCAATCCGTGGCTGGCCAGAGTACAATTTTTGAAAAAATCTGAATTTCAGTTTTTAGAGGACAAAAACTGAAAAATCCACAATTTTTGTACTGTAAAAAGTTAGCGTACAATTTTTTATTTCGGAAACCACGATTTTGGCCGAGGTGTGATCAAAACAGTGCAAACTTCCGACTTACTCTAATTTCACAGCTCCATCTGTTAAATGTTTCTTCGAATCCTGAAAAATCGGCCAAAATGCCAAATTCTCAGAAAGCTCTTCAACTTTTTCCAAATCCAATGATTTGACGAAAAAATCATCGCCAATCTCTTGATTCTCATAAAATCGTGCCAAACTACCAAACATATTTTCGCAAATTTTTTGCTCTTTTTCATAACTTCGATTCACATTTGAGCGCATTTTCTCAAATCTTGTCAAATCTTCTTTCACATATGATAGAATTGACGAATCTAATTCTTCTTGAATTCTAGAAATTCCGCCAAAATTTTCAATAATTTTGCTTGCTTTCGGAAAAAATTCAGCCAATTGTTTGAGATTTCTGAAAAAAAGAGAATTTTAAATGTATGTTTTTTCCCACGTTTTGACTCAAATCTGAAATTTGCGACTAATTGATCACCAAAAAACCTACACCATAGTATGAATCATCGAAGTCGTTTCAATTTTCACAGTTTCGAGCGTTTTTTGCCTCAATTTAGCTATCGATTTTTCATCATTCCCATTTTCTTCTTCAGCTCCATCTTCTACTAGATTTTCTTCATTAAAATCTTCATCGTCTTCGTCAAATTCATCTTTCGGGTCAAGTTTTCGCCTTTTTGCCGGGGTTTCGTCTGAAAAAGTAGGGAAAAATAGATGATTTTTTGAATATTATATATTTTGACGGTTACAGTAAACCAGTCATATTTAGTCTCAAAAAATCGCAAATTTCTCACCATTCTCCTCAATTTCCTCTTCCTTTTTCACATTCTCAATTTTGACCAATCTTCCAATATTAGTATTCAAATCTTGTATCGTTTCAATCATTCTCAAAACTTCTTCATATCCTCTCGCAACTCCATCGAAATTATTTTCCAACCAATAAACGTCCGAATCAATGTTGGAACATTTGACAATTAGCCGTAAAATCTCATGAATTTCCCGTTTTTTCTTGCAAATCATGCGAAAAAGAATGTTTATCGGTTCAGAAATGACGATTTCGTTGTTTTTTCGTTTATGAGGTTCTTGGAGATGTTCGCCGCCTGGAAAAAATAAAAATTTTGCAAAAAAATCGCATAGAAATCCAACGTTGTTATCAGATTTTTGTTTATAATTTTTAATGTATTTTTTCAAAACAATAAAACTTACAAGAAATGAGAGTCTCCTTCAAAACAATCAAAGCTTGCAAAATCCTCTCTCTTCCAATCATATTTCTCACCAAAATCTCATTTCCCATAGTGTTCACCACGTTTTCAATAGAACTTTTCAATTCATCCCTATCATTTTTATATTGTCTCTCTTCAATCGTTGAAAATTTAACGATTTTATCAATTTCTACTAATTCCGGTAATTTGATTTGAGCCTCGACCATTGATTTCGAATTTCTTCGCATAACTTGTGATCCCAATTTGATTAACCAACTTTGATCTGCTTGATTTTTTCTAGCTTTATCAATGAAATCTGATAAAAATTTGAGATTTTTAAGGAATTTACACTCAAAATTTTGCAAACCTGGAATCACAAAATTGTTCCAAAAATGTTCATTAGACAATGGCCAAAAGTCGACATATTCAAAAAGTCCGCCAAGTGTACCAATGTTTTTAAGAAGAGGTGTTCCAGACATGGCCCATCGATATTTAGCTTTGATGATTTGACACATTTGAGCCGGTTTTGATACACCGAGTTCCACTAATTGAGATTCATCCGTAATTAACTGCAAGTGGAAAATTTGAATTGGGGTAGGGAAAATAGGCCAATATTTTGATGAAGAGCATAGAAATTTACGAGCGTTGAGAAAATATTCTAGAATCATTTCTAGCAAAAAATTTCAAAACTATCACAAATCTTAGCATGATACCATCTTTCCCCAGAACTCACTCTCCACCATTTCACATGATTCAAAGAACTTGGTGAATATTTTCGGGTTCCAAATTTATCCTTATTTTTGAAATTGGTGAAAACAAGTTCGCCCACCAAAGTTTGATAGGTAACAAAAATCAAATCGTATTTGGCGATGTTGTGTGGATTCAAATAACCGGTATTACTCATGCCAAAATAGAACTGAAAAAAAACAATAATTGATTTAATATCAGGTATTATTATTGATTTACCATAACTTTCAAATTTTCATTACAATGCTTAACAATTTCTTTATACCATTGCATACTCAATGTTTCTGGCATAATAATCAAAGTTGTTCCAACTTCCAATGGATCTTCTTTTGCCATACATTGAGGACACAAGAACGCGATCTTTTCAGCATCAAAATCTTCTTTCCAGCCACATTTTTTCAAAACACAATTTTCTTGACACTTTGAACATTTTCGCAAAATATCCAGCTTTTGTGCATTTGTTGGATTACGTTCTGCTGTATAAACGACAGGAAATATATCAATCTTTTTAGATTTTTGTTGTTTCTGAAAAAAAATATGATAATTCATCTGAATTCCGATTATCTCAACCCTGAACATGGTTCACGGCGTGGCAAAATTTGAAGCTCTAGAATTTGATTAAAATAGGATCGAGTCACATTTTCAGTATGTCACCAGTCTTGATGAGTTAAGTTTTCAAAAATGAGAATTTGATCATTCGAATATCTAAAAAATAATGAGGCCAACACGCAACGTTTTTTTTTAAATTTTAATATTTAAAATCTAATAATAACTCAACAAATTTCCCAACTTCGCCTTTCATACTCAGAGATAAGATAGGTAGAAATTAAGCACAGCTACTAAAAATCTAATAAAAAAGTGCAGCTCACATATTGTTTCCAGTCTAATTGTTCTTCTTTTTTGTCATCATTTCTCTTTATATTTCCTTTAACTTCTTTACGATTTGAAACAATTAAGGCTAACATTTCGACTGTTTTTCCCAAACCCATTTCATCTGCCAAAATTCCACCATTTGGAATTGATTCAATGCTTAAATCTGGTTTTCTAGAAAATACACCCAAAGCTGGATAATAGAAAATCGATTGAATAGGAAGACTTTGAAATAAGCCGCAAAAATCTGCATTTTTTCCATCAATTTCTCGAGAAATCATCCATTTCACAGTGGTTTTTTGATAATCCATAAGTTGACTGTTCAATAAATCATCTCGAACTTGATATTCATTCCCAGCTTCAGGTTGCCAATCTTCTGTGGTTTTTTCGAGAGAATTGAAGAACGCGAAAAAATCGGAGCCTTCTTTTGAGTTATATATTGGATTATTTGGCCAAAATTCAAGTGATGAAGAATTCCATAAACGAAGACTGTTGAAAAATGAATTGATGATTCTTCCAACTATATATTGACTCAATTCAATTATTTTTTCGTCTTCAAAAGAGTTCAGCAAACTTTCATTATCAACTTGAATTTCGATTAGAAATCGATTGTTTTCTGATAAAATCCATAACAATTTGATGCCAGCAATCTTGAATTGTCTGAAAGATGCATTTTCATAGATTAAAAATAACCGATAAACAACAAACACGGGGTATTGAGAGGCCAATCTTAATAATCTGGAAGAAAACGGTCCCATTTGATTCATTGATATTTTTTTAATCAAAACCGAATTTTTTCCGTAAGAATTTGCATATCCCGCTCGTTCTTCGGATTCCAAATCAATAAATATCCAAATATCATCATCTTTTGGGTTGTATTGCGAATATAAAACTGAAGATTCTTTCAAATTCTTCAATTCCATTGGGAATCCGAATGTTGACAGTGAAATATCGAGTGGATTTTTTGAAGATAATGGGTGAAGATTAAGTGTCCGATGTTTGTCGATTTTGAATTTTTCTAGATTCATTTCTGAAACGAACAGCTTGAAAAAAAGGAAACACGCGAAAACAAAAACAAAAATAAAAAACATGAGACACCGTAGTTTTTTCAAGGCACACGTATTTTCTTGTTTGGGTCTTGCAGCCGCTGTGTAGCGCTCTGTTTTTAAATTCTAAAAAATATGATTTTTAAAAATTTTTCGCTTTCCAAAACTTTTTTTTACTTTTAGAGTTCTAGCGTTTAGAGCGATTATAAGGGATAATAATTGGTTGTAGTTTAGTTACCATTTTGTTTTAGTATTATTGCAACAAATATTTTATTTGATTATTAATTTCAAAATTTTTCATTTCAAAAAGTTTTAAAACGATAAAATGTAAACAATTTTGAAAATTAATTATTAGAAATGACTGTTTGGCGCGAAAATAAAAAATATTTAGATTTCTGTTTTCACGTCAAACCATGTGGTTTTCTTTTATTTCTCGTTTTATACTGCAATAAAGGCTTGGTTTGTTTTTCGCGAATTCGCTGCATTTCTTTCAAACTGTTCCAGTAAAACCGGTATATTGGTATTTTTTCAGATGGGCAGAACGAATGGTTTATCGATAAGAAAATCGGTTGATGTGAGTTTATACATAAATATTATGTTGCTTTGAAAAATAATTTATCTTTATATTATTTTGAAGAAAAAACGAGATGCCTCACGAGACGGCAAGACTATTTTAAATTTTGTGTGCAATCTTGTAACAAAATACTGTGCAATAAAAATATTTTCAGAGGAATATTTCAATCAAAATAAAATATTATCTTTTCAGAATTCAAACAGCCCGTCTACTTCATCAAGTTCAGTGTTTTCTTTAGACAAAGTTAAATATGATCCTGATTTCACACCCTATTGGGATGAGCCTCTCGAAAAATATTGTAGAATCAATGAAAATAATCGAGGAATTGTTTATAATCCACGTGTCAAACACTATGTTCTTGAAGAATTGCCATTTCACGAAATGGATTGTGATGTAGGCTTTATTTATAGCTTGTTTTAATTAATCAGCCACGTGTTTCAGGAAGAAAACCGCAAGGTTTTGAATATGATGAACGATTCATTGAGATCGAATGCTGCAACAAAAAAGAATGATTATCAACCGGAAGCTATATTGAAAACTGATGTTTTTATCAAAACAAAAAACAGCGAACTCAGTATCAATGGAATTTGCTCAATTTGCAAAGAAGAATTCACTACAATTAGCTCACTTCTTGATCACCGAGAAAGAATGCATTCAAAAGAAGATATGTTAACTTGTGGATTCTGTAATGCAAGTTACACCAAGAAAACTCATATTAGTCAACATCTTAGTGAAGAATATGATCTTTATCATTGTGAAAAGTGTTCAAAATCATTCCGTAATTCGTATAATCTCGAATATCATCGATGTGGAAATGAACCACCAAAAGTTAAACCTTTTCGATTGAAAGTAAAAAATGTTTCGAAAAAACAAATTTTTTGTGAAAAATGTGGAAGAGTATTTTCATATCTCAAAATCTTGGAAAAACACAAAACAAGATGTTCTCAAAAAGAAGAGCGAGCCAAAATAGTGAATGAACTTGAAAATATGGAAAAGGAACAAATTATAACAAAATATATTGTTGAAAATGAGGAATTGACTGATCATGATTATATTTCGCATCCAAGTTTCGAAGACTCTAATGAGATTGCTCACTCAACAAATTTGTTAGAAGACTATTCAAGTATGCATTATTCACCCAAGGAAATCGAAGAATCTGTAAGTTTTTCGGTATAAACTGAGAATAGCCTCCCACCCAACACATTACAGCCCCCACTGGGCAAATTCATTTTGATCCACCTTCTTGTGAGATTGGAAGAATAGAAACACATTTTTAATATTTGAATGTGACATCTTCAAATCATCAATTCTAAAGAAAAAATTCTAAAATGATTTAAAAATTCCACACAAAACGAGTCCTAAGTTTTAATGTCCTGTTTATCGCTCACAATATCAGAATCAGTTTATCTTTCTTTCATAATCAGGAATTCGTAGTGACTACGAAATGACGATTTACCATTTTTATCCATGAAATTGAGCTAAATTTGAAAATCGTCAATTCGGAGTAACTACGAAATGACGATTTATCATTTTTATCCATAAACTCACTTCTGGAATTTTGATGATCAATAGAATAGACCCCTCTTATACCCTTATAATGGGGGGGGGCTAAAAATGCGTTTTTACCAGTTTTCATCTATTCAATGAGAGATTTATTCAAAAATAATTTCAGGTTATTTCCAAATGTCAATTCTGCAATTTTTTGTTTCCAAATGAAACAAAGAAAATATTACATATGACAGTTTGCAAATCAAGAAAGACTGTATCTCCATATAAATATCCAATCTACAAAGCCGCTCCTATGAACGAAAAACGGAAGACTTTTCCGAATATTGAATATCAATTTATTCCATTGGAACAACCTCCTCCTCAAAATCGTACAAGAAAATTGATTGAAAAGGTAAGTCGATTCAAATATGTAAAAATATTAAAATCTAAAAATTTAGATGAAAGGATTTCAAAAATCATTTTAAATGCACACTTCATTTTCATTTTTAGATAATTTAGCTTGTATCTTGTGTCTTTCAAATAGTATCTCTTTTTGTTCAATTTCCCATTTCATGTATTTACTTTAAAGTGAATTTTTTTCGGTTTTTTTCAATTTTTCTCATCAAAGTAGGTAAACGATAATATATTTCGAGCTCTTGAGGATAAGTGATCTCTTCTTCTTCTTCTTATCTTTTTTCTTTTTTTCAACAAAAAATTGAGAGTAAATAGAATAGTGCAATATGTATTTACATAGAACGAAGAGAACAAAATGAAAAGATAAAAGTGGGGGCTAAACTATTGACAACTTTTTTATTTATCTGGTGATTATTATGGTAAAATGCACAAAACACCGTTTATCAATCTAATTCTGTAAAAAAGGAACAAGCGAAAGAGAGAACGAGACAAAAGTCGATCGCGATTATTATGTAAATTTCGAAAAATACGTATTTGAAAATGAGTGATTTGTGAAAAATTGCGCCCGTGTGGAAGGCACATTTTATATCAACTCACGAAAAAATACGATTTTATGTCGCGGATCGAAAAAAAGAAATTCTATGAGAAGTTATGTGGCAGCAGTTTTTTGTGGGGGGGAGAGTGGAAACATGAGAGACAAATCGAGTTTTTTTTGGGAAATTTTTGGGGGCATAAAGGGGGAAGTTGGGATTTGTGGGGGTAATGGGAATTTATTTGGCGGTAGCTGATCTAACAACTTGTCCACGCATGCGAACGAGTGAATTCTCAGCAACCTCGGCGCGCTCTTCGGCATTCTCGAGAGCGAGTTGAATCTGTCGGAATTTGGACAGATTTTGTGTGGCAACCTCTTCCTAAAATAAATAAATGTTTGAAATCACAAATATTGGAATATAAAAAAACTAACGGCTTCTTCGATTTGTCTCTTTTGGACACGGATTTTTTGTTGAAGTTTTTCGACCATTTCTTGGAGTCTGTCGAAAGCCTTCTTGTCTTCTTCCACTTGGAATTGAAGTTCACGTCCTCTTCTTTCTTGTTTGGTGAATCCTTTGACGGCTTCTTGGTGTCTACGGGTTTCTGATTGTAACTCGTGTTCAAGGATTCGGACGCGTTCTTCAACCTTTGCCAATGCCTTGGCTCCGACTAAAAATTCATTTGATTTCAATGTAATAATTTTGAAAATTTGAACTTACATTGGATCATGGCACGTTCGGCATCGTCGATCTTAGCTTGCAATTCTTTCGATGTTAATTCGAGAGCCTTGCGTTGTCTATCAACGTGTGTGGCATGTTCTTGTTCTTGACGAACTTCTTCAGCAAGTCTATCAGCATCAGCAGCAGCTTTTCTGGCGCGTTCTTCAGATGCCTTCAACTCATTCAAGTATTCTTCCAATTCATTCTGAAATCATTTGTTTTTTTTCTTATATCAAAGCTACACCAAAAAACATACTCTTGCGATTTGAACTTCATTTTCAACCTTTCTCTTCATTGCCGACAAAGCAGCATTGTTTCCAATGAGTTCAGTGTTGGCAGATTTGAGTTCAGCTTGTTCAATTTCCAATTGTTTCTTGTTTTTCTCTGATGCATCAATGCGATGAGCAAGATCTTCCGATTCAGAGAGAGCAACAGCCAATCGTTTTTCAGCAGCCAAATAATTCTCACGAATTTCTTCACGTCTTCTTTGTTCGTCATCAACAACTCCTTGCAATTCCTTGACTTGATCGAACAATTTCTTCAAGTTCTTTTGAGCATCAACATTGGCCTTGTTGGCATGATCCAAAGCGATTTCCAATTGGTTGATGTCAGTTTCGAGCTTTTTCTTGGCACGGGCGAGTTCAGCCTTGCTCTTAGCTTCGGTTTCCAATGAAGCTTGAATTGATTCCAAAGCGCGTTGGTGATTCTTTCTGGTGTTTTCGAATTCTTCTTCTTTCTCTTGGATTCTCTTCTCGATTTCAGAGCGGATTTGTTGAACTTCGATTTGGAGACGAAGAACTTTGCTTTCTTCGGCTTCTAAAGCAGCTTCAGCCTCATCCAAAGCGTGTTGGAGTTCATCCTTTTCTTGTTCGAGACGACGAACAGCCTTATGGATGTCTTGATAAGTACGTCCACCTTGTCCGATTTGTTCATTGATATCTCTGATTTCTTGAGAATATCCTTTGTTTTCACGTCTCAAGGTTTCAATTTGTTCAGACAAGTTGTCCATGGATGAACGAAGTTTGAAAACTTCAGTTGAGGTATTGCGACTATCTCTGGTTGTTGCGTCGATTTCCTAAAAAAAAGTAAGTTTTAATGATGCTTTCTATATGTGAACCAACCTTTTGGATATCGTCAACCTTTCTCTTCCAATCATCAACAATTTTGTCGAATGCACGTTGTTTCTTTTCAAGGGAAGCGATAACAGTAAGATGACGATCAACATCAGATCGAGCATCTTCAGTTTCAGCGAGCAACTTTCCTTTGGATTTTTCCAAAGAGATGACCTTGTTTTGAGCAGCGGACAAAGCTTCTTGCAAGTCCATAACTCTGTTCATTTGTTTTCTCTTCAATTCTTCCAATTCTTCTGATCCTACCAATCCTTCTCCTTCGTATCTGGCTTTCCATTGAGAGATTTCAGAATTGATACGCGAAAGTTGTCTTTGGATATCGTCTTTTCCGTTGATTTGTTCTTCGAGCAACTCGTGGCATTGATCGAGTTCGTGTTCCAAGTTTTTGCAAGCGGCATGGAATTCTTGACGCTCGTGGAGTTCATCTTCGGCGGCCTTTTTGGCTTCAACCAATTGAGAGGCGAAAGCGGTCTTGGCACGATTGATGGTAGCGAGATGAATTTCGAGTTCTTCAACTTGTCTGACAAGATCAGAATTGTCGTTGGAAAGACGTCCTTTGGTTGACGAGAATTCGGCGATTTGACGGGATTGTTCGTCAACTTTTTGTTGAAGTTCAGATACTTGGATTTCGTATTGTTTAGCAAGACGTTCTTGTTCAACACGAGCTTTGGTTTCTTGATCAACTTGAGCATTGATGTCATCGAGTTCTTTTTGGAGAAGTCCACGTTCTTTGTCAACTTTAGCCTTGTTCTTTTGAAGAGCATCCAAAGTGTTTGTGAGATCAGCAATTTGATCATTGTTCTTTCTACGGATCAAAGCCATTTGATCTTCATTGGCCATGTTCTTCTCATCCAAATCGCGTCTTGACTTGATGATTTCAGAATCTTTCTTCTTGTTGTTTTCCAATTGCAATTCGAGATTCTTGTTTTGTTCATCAAGTCTTTCGTTGAGTTCATCGAGTTCTCTTTGAAGTTCAGCACGAGCACGATCAGCCTTAGATCTTGATTGGCGTTCATGTTCCAATTCATCTTCGATTTCGATGATTCTTTGAGCATTTTCTTTCGAGCTTCTAAGAAGTCGGTTAGCCAATGCTTGTTCATCTTCGATTCTAACACCCAATGCATGAATGTCAGCTTCTTTCTTCTTCAACGAACCATCAGCATCTTGTTTGATGGCAGTGAGCTCATCGATTGTTTCTTGAGCTCCCTTCAATTCTCCTTCAACCTTTCTCTTGGCTTTTTCAGTTTCAGCTCGGATTCTCTTCTCTCTTTCAACAGCTTCTTCCATTTCATCGAGAGTTTGTTCCAATTTGGTACGAAGACGATTAGCTTGAGCTTGTTTGGCTTCTTCAGCTTGCAAATCATCGATGAGTTGACGGTTGTTTTCTTCCAACAATTTCTTCTCCTATAAAATTAAAATGAGTTTGATTTTAAATTTTAATATAATAAATTACCTTGTTGATTTTTCCGATGGTTTCATCTTGAGAATTCATCTCATCTTGAAGAGAGCGAATTTGGTTTTCTTTGGCAGCTTTCTCTTCCAATGATCTGTTCAAGTTTCCATCAACAGCTTCAATTGATTTTTTGAGATTTTCAACTTCTTGTTGAGCCTTTCTGCGTTGTTTTTCCAAATCGGCATTTCTTTCTTCGTGTTCGGACAAACGATCATTGGTATCATTCAATCCTTTCTCAACTTCTTGACGAGCATTATTCAAACGAGTAAGTTTCTCTTCAATAGCAGCTGATCCTCCTTGAGTAAGTTCCAATTGTTCCAACAATTTTGATCTTTCAGAAGACAATTTATTGTATGCTTCTTCTTGAGCTTTTCGTTCAGCTTCCAATTTCTTGGCTTCAGATTCCAATCCCTTTTGTTCTTCGGCCATTTTAGCCATTTCTTCAGCCATCTTTCCACATTTGAGTTGTGGACGGATTTTACCGAACAACAAGAACCAATCCCAGGTACGAAGAACACACCATGAACGGATGTTGCGTTGAAGAATTATGTATGAATGAAGTTGTTTCTTTCTAGCTTCAGCATCAACAGCGGCGATGTGCCATCTGATTGCTGATTGGAATCCAGTGATGATTTGGTTGAGTTTCTCATCACGCAAATCTTCAATATGGGCAACAACTCCGGCTTTGAAGAACACTTTAGTGTGACCAATTCTGAATTGTTCATCATTCAACTTCTTTCTGTTGACAAGAGATTGAAGAATAGCTCCAGCTGATGTTTTTGGATCAGTTGAAGATTTGGCTTCTTTGGCCGCAAGAATAGCATAACGTTGAACGAAATCAGGGTGAAGAGTTCTGTTAGGGAATCCCTTACGACAAATACGGATACCTTCAAGTACACCATTACATGTCAATTGATTGAGAACCAATGCAGCATCAATAACTCCACATTGTTTCTTTTCATTTGGAATAATACAACGAATGAAATGTGGATGGGTCTTGTGAAGCATAGTCATCAACTTGTTCAACGATTCTCTGTACATCATTGAGACAGTCATGAATGATCCTGATTTTCCTCCCTTGCGACCACCTCCAGCTGAAAAATTTCAATATTTAATATCCACCAAATCTGCTAGAATTCACTTACCTTTAGCGGCAGCGGCAGCTTCTTCTTGTGTTGTATAATCTTGCCAGATTTCCACCAACAAAGCGTTTTTCTTTGATGCTTTCATGACAGTAACAACAGTGTCGTTGAGGGGGTCCTTGTTCTTTTCGAGCCAGTTCATTACATTGTAACGAACAGTTCCGGCATAATGCCGCATGGCAAAGTGAGCTTCTCCTTGTTTTCCCTTTGGTGGTTTTGGTTTCTCGAAGTTTGGATGTTTGCCAAGATGTTGATCGACAAGTTTTTGAGCCAAAGTCATATCAGTAGCTTTTGGAACAATACATTCTTCATCGAGCATAGAGATGATACCAAGTGGCTTCTCAATAAGTTCGATACAAGCTTGCAAATCAAGACCAAAATCGATGAAAGTCCATTGAATACCTTCACGGGCATATTCTTCTTGTTCAAGAACGAACATGTGGTGATTGAAGAATTGTTGAAGTTTTTCATTGACGAAATTGATCCAGAGTTGTTCGAATGAGTTGAACTGAAAATAAATGTTGAATATCTACACCACTTTTTTCTTAAACTTACGTCGAAGATTTCGAAACCAGCAATATCAAGTACTCCAATGAAATAATCACGATCAATTCCTTTTTGATCAAGAGTCAAATTACATTTCTTGACCAACCAATTGAATACACGAGCATAAAGACCTTTAGCCATAGCTCCAATTGCCCAGTGGACTTGTTCAACATTTTGTCCTTTTGATACCCATTCAGTTCCGACTTTGACACGTGGTGATACCAATGCTTTCAAGAATTGATCTGGGTCAATTCCGAACATGGCACAAGCATTTTTAGCATCAGTTTCACCATCTGGTTCGGCTTGTTCTTCACGTGGGCGTTGTTTGAATTTCATGTTACCCATATGCATGTGTCCGGCCATCAATTTGTAACAATCCATCTTCTCGGCTGCCGAGAAGTTAAGAATGTCGAAAGCTTCGTCGGTCAATTGGAATTCTTCGGTATCATCGATTCCTAAAATATTATCATCATAAATTTCCGTGAATTATTCGATCAAACTAACCATCGATAAGCAATTCAGCTTGAGCTACAAACCAATATTCAGAAATTGGTTGATCCAAATTGAGTTCTTTACGGAGTTCTGGACGGAAATCAGAAAAGATTTGGTAGAAAATGTGATAACAACGCTCTCCTGGAGCTTGACGGATGACACGAGATTTCTCAAGAAGATCTGTAATATACAAGTTCAACTTTGTTTTTGTTTTGCAGTTTCTAAACTTACAATGTTCGATATCACAGGAAGCGAGAGTTCCGTGTTTGTTGAAATGAATACGGATGAATTTACCGAAACGAGATGAGTTGTTGTTACGAACAGTTTTGGCGTTACCGAAAGCTTCGAGAACTGGGTTAGTTTGAACAATTTGATCTTCAAGGGTAACTTGTTTCTCAGATGTGTTTGTTGATTTTTGAGATGCTCCGACAGTTGCGAAGTAACAGATAACTTTCTTGGTGTTTTCAGTTTTACCGGCTCCAGATTCTCCAGTAATCAACATAGATTGATTTTCATGATCTTGCAACATGTAACGATAAGCTTGATCAGAAACGGCGAACAAATGAGGTGGCATTTCAGTTCTTCTTTTTCCCATGAACATACGGGCAACCGAATCGGTATAAATTGGAAGACGTTTGTATGGATTGATGACAACACAGAAAAGTCCAGAATAAGTCTGTAATGGTCATTTATTTGTATGCTCATTGTTTGTTTCTGTTTTTAGTTTCAGTTTCAGTTCCTATTCATTTTGATTTTTCATATTCAAAAAACGATGTATGCACCCCCGCACTTGACGGAACCACTTGAGGATTTAGGTACACAAAGGAAGGATAGACTGATAACGTTTTGCCACTTTTTTATGCCTATGTTTACACACTGAAATAACTCACATAGATGAGCATAGCTGCGTAACGTGCTCTCAAATTGTATAAGACAGAGGCATCATTAAGGAAAGTCAAGTTGGACATGTCTTCGGTTTTCTCGAACTTTGGTGGATTCATTTCTTGAACGAGATCTTTTTTGAGAGTAACCTGAAAATGATTTGGTGAAAATTAAAAAAAAATATATACTTACATCTTTTCCTCCAGCAGCAACAATGAGAGTATCAGCTTTTGGTCCTGGTCCTTTAATTTCTCCAGCAATATAACCTTCTTCAGCATCTGGAATCCAGACGTTTTTCTTGGAGTCGTATGGACGAGATTGGTCCTAGAATTCATAATAGAATTATAATCAATAATTCAAGTTTAAATAATTCTTACTTCGAGCATTTGCTCACGACTTCTCTTCAAATATTGCCATCCTGGATCTTTCTCGTGCTCCAAAGACATTTCGAAGCAGCAAATGAGATTTTGATAAAAAACACAAAAATGAAAATTGGACTACTAGTAGTTGTAGTTGAGTATAAAGTAAAGTTTCCTACTGCTGCTCACACTCGCGCGCACACACACAGCTCCACACAAACTGTGGTTGACGAGACAATAATAGTTTGGCACAAAGAGCCGCCCGCTCGGAGGATAATGGGCGGAGCGTATCCATAATTTACACACTATTTCACAAAAATGAACTGAAGTACTGTAAAAAAAGAAAAGATAGAGAAAAAGAGATGAATAAGAAAAAAGAAAGAACTTGTTGAAATATCTGTTATGAAAAGGAATTGAAGATTTTAAAGTAGTTTTAGATGATTTTTGAGCTTATATCATTAGTTATTAAGGTATGATCAAGCCAATTTTTGTCGTAGTTAATATGAAAATATAGAATGAACTGAATTCTGAAAATATGTATGTACATGGAATCTATGAGAATAAAGGTAGAGTCTTCATACGAGATCTGGCTCTCCGAAATCAAAAAGACAGGGTTAACTCTGGGCTCATTTTTGAAGGTAAATTATTTTTTGAAAAAACCTAGTTCAGGGCGGAAATGAATCTAATTTATGTATGAGAATCTTATTCTTATTGTTAGAATTTTCAACGACAGGCTGAAAAGTTTATCACAATTTAATGCATTTTTCGGATTTAATGACAATCTGTTGATGTTTTATAAATCCTCAAAAGTTCACAGGTGAATCCTGATTTTTTTTAGTTTCAAAGTTTTTTTTAGTTTTTCTATCAATTATCTATCAATTTTTGAATTATTTTCCGTTCTGCACAACTTTAATAATTATCAATCGGGCGAGTTTTCATAGGCTTTTGGATCGGTAGTTATCGCAACTTTTTTTGAAACCAAGTTCCAAAAATTTTGCAGTTTTGTTGGTCTTCTCACAAAGTTTATTTTACTATCCATCTTCTCCACACTCGAATCCCTTTTTTTCCTCATAGTTTTTTCTTACACACAGTTTGGTTGATTTTTTATCATCTCCTTTCTTTTTCTTCATTTTTTCCCTATCTCTTTTTGATATTTCTGAGAATGTTAAAAAGAATAAGAAGAAGAAGCATTAGGCAATGGATGTGTGCTTTCTTGCGCGAGCGAGCGGGGCGCGCGCCCCCACTCGGATATCTTTGTCGTTTCTCAAATCCGCCTACTGTATTTGCAAGAGAAGAGTAATATTTGCGCAACTATGAAAAGAGGGACGAGACTCTCTGTTGTGTGTTTCTTTTTTATGAGAGTTTTACGCACATTTTTCAAGGGGATTTTTATCATTTTTTATTAACACAATTTTTCTCGGAACAATTTATTTCATATCAATAACCGTAATAAGTTTAAAAATAATTGTGCAAAAGCGTTATACATCTACAAAAGGAATATTTTCTTCTTCCGATGGTCTGTGAAGAATTACACGAGTTCCTACTTTTCGATTTGGTTCCAATTCATTTTTTGATGGGAATAACGTTTGAATTGATTGTTGATTTGATCTTGAATGACCAGGACGAGCACGTGTTGAAGGCTTTCGAAGAGTGTGTTGAATTGCGCCAAGTGCTTGAATTGCCTGAACTTCCAAAATCAAAATTTAAAGATTTTTCAAAGAGAGTTAGAGAGTTTTTTTTATTTTTTCTACTAAACAATTAGTTTTTGGCCCTCCGTGAATGTCGTTTCAATCATATGGCATTTTTAATTGGTAATACGTTACTTTTTCGATTGTTCAACTAATTGAATTAACCGATCAAAACTTACAAGTTCGGTATTTTTAGGCAGTGTTCTTTGATGGCTTCCAGCAAATGAATGTACAGTTAATTGATTTGTATCTTCAATATCAATTCCTTTATCCACGTGTAAATACACAGTTTTCTTCCTATTAGTTATTGGTGTTTTTGGTGTTGAAGAACCGTCATTTAGTGTCAATAATTTTGTACATTCTTCAATTGTACAATTTTGTTCGTTATTATCTTCTGTTTGTTGACACGCAACTTCAAGAATTTGATCGAGATCATGAAGAACTTCTCGAAGTTGTTCAGGTGTACATTGGAAATGATCAGCTATTATCACAACCAATTCTCGAACTGTCATCATTTTTCCACCAAACCATATTTCAGCGTCTCCAGAATTTGATAACTTTCTTCCGATGTTATGCATCCAAAGAACAACTTTTTGAAGTGTTCCGAAAAATGTTGACAAAATTCCAATACCTAAAAATGATTTATTTGAGAATTGCTAAAAAAAAATATCGTCTTACCAGTGCTTAAAAACATGATATAAATAAATGTTTGATAAAAAGTTTTGGGTTTCAAACAAATATCTCCAAAACCAATAGTTGAGATCGATACAAAACTGAAGTACAAAGCAGATATGAATGATAAATCCATATCTCCAAATGAAAAAAAGAATGCACCTAATAAACAATGAGAAATTAGAAGAATAAGTGAAATAAACCATGGCAAATCTTTTCGAGGTTTCGCCTGAAAATAATTAATGTTTTTTTTATTTCCAGTTTTTTTTAAACCAACTTTAACATTGATGCTTTGATTGATCACATTATATACATCCACAAGAATGAATCCATTCGTAGAAATTGTTGTAAATAATAAAGGGATTCCAATAAAACAATATAACATACAAACTATTTTACCAGTAAATGTTTCTGGATAAATATCTCCATAACCAATTGTTGAAATTGTTGTAAAACAAAAAAGGACCAATTCATAATGATTTCTTGGTGGATTCTTCACTTCTTCAATATTCAAAAATAAATGACTACCAAATATTATATAAAGAAATAAAGCCAAATTCAAACTGATTATCGGATATGAAGCGGTTACTAACTGAAATTCAAAAAAAAATTATGTTTAATATGAGTCATCAAGAATTGTTCTCTGAATGATCAATGTTTTTCTCCCACGCAGAAACAAAAGATTTGTCATTGCAAAAAAATGGCCGATACGTTTTTTACTAACCTCGATACCTAAATTTTTCTTCGAACAACATCTATCTTCTTGAAAATTGGTTCTCCATACTTTATAAGGGCGATTTATCCAAACAGGAACACACTTCTTCTGGAACACATATTTTTCAACTTTTATTTTAAACGAAAACAAAAAAAAACTAACTGGAGTATTTTTAGCTTCTAAAATTGGAACACTCAAATCAAGCGAATCATCCATCGGACATAACGAAAGTGTGAAAATGAAAAATGAAACTCCTGAAAATAAATCAATCAAAAGGACAAACAAAGGACACGTTCTAAAACATTTATGTTCTTTGAAAAAATGGCGATTTTCATTCTTTCTTTTTTTTCTTGAAAGAACCATTTTCGTAAATGACGAATGAAAAAATAAAAAGAAAAGGAAGAAAAAACAGTTGCAATTAGGAATAATTGAAAATGTGGGTAAAAAAATAAATAATTAAGAACTGGTTTATTTTTTGAGAACACTTATAATTTATAGTTAGACATTCTCAGATTTCTTCAAAAAGATTTTATGGGATGATAAAAAACTAACTAAAAATAGCCGATTGATAATGATTGGAAATATTGCTTTGAAAACTTTGATCATATGAAAATGCAAGTCTGCTCTAAAAAGAAGAATCCAAAAAATGTTTTTATGTGATTATTCGATTTTATGACAACATTCTATGCAAATAAGTCTACAAATAAGAATGAAAAAAACACATATTTTTGATCGTAAATCAATTGTTAGTCCAACTTTTTCAAATGTTTCTTTGTGTTTTTTCACACGATTAAAATAAACAATTAAAAATATAATAGTTTTTAATGAATACATTTGTTGAACTTTCGAAAGAAAATAAAATAGTAAGATCATATTTGCAATAAAAAAACTGACAAAGAATCTTTTCGCGAGAATTTCGTGATAAATTAATGATTTGTAAAAATGTGACAAGTTGCTAAATAATGACCATTGCGAAAAACTAGTTTTTGAAACATGATGCTTTTCTTTTTTAGAGCAAATTTTTATTGATTTGATACTGTTTCTGAAAAAAAAACAGATAGATAAACGAAAAATAATCCATTACAACATCTATTGGAAAATGGTTTCATCGCATTCGAATTGTGTCGAGAAACAGACTTCTTATCATTCTTGTCACACATTTTGATTCAAGTTGTTGTCTGCGATTCAAAATGTTAGAAAAATTAAATTTCAGTTTCAATTCACCTGGTTATACATGTATTACAAGATCGCCTACAGTTTTCTGGCATCCATTTATTCTTTCCACATTCTCCTCGTTTTGCCCAATTTGCACAATCTGCGTGATAATCAGCACATGCTACAAACAATTATTTCGGATATTTGAAATTGGTAAGATTTAAAATACTCACGTCCATATTGATAAGGTGGACGACAAGCACCACAACTAACTTTACATTGACACATCATATAACCAGCGTTAGCCTGAAAAAAAAATACATTTTTTTCCAATTGGGAAAACATTTCATATAAATTACTTGACATTGTCCACGACTCGCCCAAACTGGACAACATTGATCTTCATTGTAACACATTGGAGAATCACATTTTGTTGGGGAATTTATTGGTGCAACAGGCCGCGCAGTAGTAGTTGGTGCTGAATTAAATGGCTGAACTATGAGAAAAATTGATCTCAAAACTAACGATTCGAAAAATTGTCAACATTTCCACCACAAGTTGCAGTTCTTGTTTTTCCACATTTGTTACATGACATTCTACAATTTTCAGTCATCCATAGGGGATTTTTTGTGCATTCTCCTGATCTTGACCATGTTGCACAATTTGTATGTCGATCAGAACATTCTGTAAAGTTTTTTGAAGTTTTTTTTTTCAAATATTAATTTCTTACCATTGTTCAAATCATAATTTGGAGTACATTGTCTACACGATGCTTTGCACCAAACATTCATATAGATTGGATTTGCATTACATTCTCCTTTTGCTGCCCAAGGACCACAACATTCATTTTCATTGAAACAAGATGTCTGAAAACAGAAAAGTATTACTGTAGTTTTTCTCATAATTTTCTAACCTGAACTGTTACAACCGGTTTTGTTGGTTGAATTGTTGGTGGAGGAGTTACGGTTTGTGAACCAGCTACACATTTTCCACCTTGACATGTTCCTTTATAACAAGCTGTTTCGCCAGATGTAAAACTGGCACAATTTCCACCTGGTCGCATTCGAGCAGCACATCGAGGAGCACCATGTGAACGATCACAAAACAAATATCTAACAATTAAAATTATGTTTTCATAATTTCAACATCTTTTTGAAACTCACGGTGATCCACAATCTGGTCCATTATTACAAGAAGGTCTTGGAGAATAAGAATATAAATTATCAGTGTACATGTTACTTAAACCATCAGCATTTCTCATTGGTGTAAATGGTCTCATAAAAGCAGCCCGAAAATGATGTTCACTACTACATAATCGATTATCAGCTGGATAAACTGTTTCTCTTTGTGCTCTTGATTGTTTTCCAAGTCGATATAATTCCCAAAGATGATCAACAAATGAATGATGTAACCAAAATACAGGATCATTTGCAGCTGTTTGAGTTTCAAACATATCACCACCAACATAAATATGTGGATTACCATGTGTATATTCGGGAACTAAAAAGTTTGGTTGTAATGGACAACCTCTTTGTGGGGCTGAATATGATAGAACTTGTGAAATATCATTTTGATTCATCATAAAATTAATTTCATCTTCCGAATATAATTTTCCTTGTTTTCCAACTGCTCGAGTTATTGATGCTTTATTTTCAATTGTTCTCCAACTTCTAAATGGTCCAGAAGTAACAGCTCCGGAAGAATCTGATTCGCCCATAAATTCATTTGACCACATTATTGAATCTTTTGAATCAGGAAGATTTTGATCTAATGTCGAATCCCAATATGGCAAATGTAGACTTGGATCAACTTGACGAATTAAGAATTCCATTCTTTTCACAAATTCTCGATGCCAAGGAAGAAATGCTGGACCAGAATGAGCTGCTCCACTTTCTGCATATTGCGAATGAACACGAGCTAAGCGATCATATTCACCACTGAAATACGGTATACGGTATTTATTTTAGTAAAATACTTTCTTACTTCTGTTTCAGAGTTCTGAATGCTGTATGCAGTCTTTGTCTTTCGTCATCAGTCAACATTCGATATTCTTTTCTCACTGCTTTTCCAAAACTTCTTCCTTGTACAACACATTGATTTCCACCAGTGCCTAATTGAAATATTTTGGTTTTTATCTACAATCCATCCATTCAAGATTACCTCGGAAAAATACACAGAGACAGGCAATATCCATGCATTGAAAAACATTACTTGCTATTGGTGAAAATTCCGCAGCCATGGCTTTACCCATTATTCCTGGTGTTTTTACGTCGGCAGAAAGCGTGGGGGTTGTCTTACAAAAAATTCGAATTTTCAAACAAAAAAAAATTGTGTTAGCCCGATGCGGGGCTCGAACCCGCGACAGCCAGATTAAGAGTCTGGTGCTCTACCGACTGAGCTAACCGGGCACGACAGCCAAAATTATAAATTGCATTCTCACCCTCGCTCTCTCGTCCCAACGTTTTATCTGATTGCATACTATTTTCATGGCAGGTGTTGGCGCTTTGTCACAATCTAATTGGCCATTTGTTAATTGAACTATTGAAAATAAGAACAGTAGTAAAATAAGGAACATCTTTTGCAATTAATTTTTGAAATGAAAAAATTATTTTTTTTTTTCAATTTTATATTTTGAAACAAAATCAGCTGGAACAAGACCTGTTTTTATCTTTATTCCCATTGTTTTCTTAAACATAATTGATTGTTCTAACTTTTGTAAATACAAAAAATTGTCTCAATACGTATTGAGACGATTTTTAATAATAATGATATTTATGAAAAAATTTGGAAGAAATCCCATTTTTGCAATGAACAAATATGAAACTCAACTTCAATTAAAACGTGAACTACGTGGCAGGCTTTTCATTTTCAGATCATATCTTTTCTCTGCGTTTCCACCAATCTCATCGACTAACAAATTTGTTTGCGTTTGCAAACAAATAAGTCTTGAAAATGCTGCACTGCCGCCAGTAACGCGTGGCCTAGCTGTTTGTTTTTCTAGGCCACCATATATTTTTGTGTTTTGAAGGTTTTTTTCGTCGCTGTACTGTTTTGCTGAAATTGAACAGTTTCCGTTGTTTTATTGTTCTGCCTAATAATGTTCCCAATCTATTAAATGAATTTACAGCATGTCCACTTTTCGCAAAAACATTCATCTCAGTACAACAAACGTTTTGAGAGATTATAATTCAACATATTTATGGAAAGAACAACTGCATGGTAAGAACATCAAATATAATTAATTTAATATCTTATTTAATTCAGGATTCGAGAAGAAAAATTTCAAAACTTCCTGTGTGCCAGTTACCGCCTTCAGTTTGAATTTGATTGAAAGTTTCTCAGATATTGTTAAAGAGGGAGTTGTATTCGAAATAAAAGTATCTGATTATGAAACAGAAGATGTTGAGGTTCGATGGTTTGCGAAAGTATTGAATGTTTGTGGTTATCGAGTTTTAGCAAGATATATCGGAGCAGAATCACAAGAAAAAGAAGATTTTTGGGTAAATATTTTGTCGAATGAGATTTATTGTGTTGGAGATGCATTGTCAAAAGATCCAGATATGAAAAAGTTTGTATATTCACCACCAATGAAATTAAATATGAAAAATGAAAGTAATCTTGAAAATTATTTATCGGTGAGTCAAATACTTTTTATTGTTTTTTCACCTTCAAAACTTATTATAGAACACAATGGATGAATTGAAAGATAGCAAAGCACTCGCAAAAACATACAATAAATGCAAAAAGAATCTATTTGCAAGTAAATTTAGTGTTGGAGAACGAATTGAATTATTGAATTATAATGATTCGCAGCAGTTACGACCAGCAAGAATTCAAAATATTTGTGGACGTAGATTGAATGTCTTGGTATCAAAACAAGATTTTGATGGAGAATGGAATGAAAGAGATGATGATAGACAATTACAAAACAAAGGTGCTGAATATTGGATTGATCAAGAAAGTTTTTTCATTTTTCCTGTTGGATGGGCAACTTCGAATGGTTATTCATTAGATGCTAAAAAAGAATACAAAAAACATACAGAGAAAATTGCTTCACAAATTGAAAAAGGAGAACAAGCTAATTATGCTGAAAAAGATGTTACTCCACAACATTTTCAACGTCCATCGCTCAATAAAGATGTTAGTTTTCCCAACAAAACCTTCCGATTAATTGCATATTTTTGTTTCAGAATTTGGCAAAAATCAAAGTTGGACAAAAATTAGAACTTATTGATCCACTTGCTCAACAATTTCAAGATTTAAAAGTTGCCAGTGTTCTTAAAGTCTTAAATTCTGTAAGTGATATCAATTTGACTCTTTTTCAATAATATATTTTTTGCAGGAAGGATATGTTGTTATTGGAATGGATGGACCGGATGCTGAAGAGGATAGTGTCCCACTTTATGTTTCATCTCCATTTATTTTCCCAGTTGGATATGCCAAACAATATGGATTAAAATTAGTTACTCCTCCAGGATATGATGATGATACATTCAATTGGGAAAGTTATATGAAAACTACTAAATCTGAACCTTTACCTGTTGAATTGTTCAAACCAATGCCAAGTCAAGAACGATTGAATTCATTCAAGGTTGTGAAAAACAAAACTGTTTTAATAATTAGTAATTTAATTTTGTAGGTTGGATCAAAATTAGAAGCAGCTGATATGTGCGAAAATCAACTTGTTTGTCCAGCTTCTATTAAAGAAATCAAAGGACGTATTCTAAATGTTAATTTCGATGGATGGGATTCTGAATTTGATGAACTTTATGATATTGAGTAAGTTCTTCATATCTAAAAGTTCATTTATTTTATTATTTTTTAGTTCACATGATATATTCCCAACTGGATGGTGTGAAATTCACGGGTATATTCTCCAACACCCAAAAGAGGACTAAAGTTTTAATTATCTGTCAATTTAAATTGTTATCATTTTACTCTTATCTTCATTGGTCTCATATACTGTTTTACTTTGTTATTTTTTTTCGATTTACAAAAGCAGGTTATATTTCCTGATTCTATATATTTTATTTAAAAAATATTTTTCCTTATAGCAAGATTTTCAGACTGGAAGAATTCTCTCAAAAAATGGCTTCTGAAGATAAATTCGAATCGGTATTATCAACAAGATACTGTAAAACAAGTCCGCTTATTCGAATTTTGAGTGAAACAAATAAGGTAAACTAAATAATAAATAAATAATTTTCTGAAAATGTTTCAGGCGACTTTATGGAGACAATTGTGGATTTGGTTGGCTGAATCTGAAAAAGAATTGGGATTGAAACAAGTAACACAAGAAGCAATCGATGAAATGAAGAAAAATCGAGATGTTTTTGAATGGGAATTTATTCGATCCGAAGAACGAAAATTGAAACATGATGTTATGGCACATAATCATGCATTTGGAAAAGGTTGGTTCACATATTTTCTAAAGTAAAACAAGTTTATCTCTTACTCAGCAATTGGTGGAGTATTTACAGTGTAACTTGAAGCAATTTGTAATTACATTGATGTTTGATGACACGGATGCATCTGAAAAAGTGTAATTAAATTGTATATACAATATAATTACACTTTTGCAAAAACGTGCTCAACCCTCAAAAATTGGCAGTTATGTAATTACACCGAACATTGTGTGTAGGTTCACTGTAAAAAAGGGGGAACGAGCGTATGCTTCCAGTATAATTACTCCACCGATTTCTGAGTAGTTTATTTCCGTTTGAAATAATTCAAGTTTTTTTTTGAGAAGTGAAAAATAAATATCCACTCGGAAATTCTCGTTTTTCGTATTTTTTATTCAATTTTTCTCACATTTAAATGATTTTTAGCTCTGCCCAATTGCTGCTGGAATTATTCATCTTGGAGCAACTTCTTGTTTTGTTCAAGATAATGCCGATTTAATTGCTTATCGTGATTCAATCGATCATATTCTCAAAAGATTTGCAACTGTTATTGAAAGACTTTCTACATTTTCTCTCAATAACAAGGATGTACGTTTTAGTTTTTCTCAAATTCTACTTAAATGAGTTTTATTATTTTTAAGGTTGTTACTGTTGGAAGAACTCATTATCAAACAGCTTCGCTTGTTACAATTGGAAAACGTGGAGTTCTTTGGGCTCAAGAACTTTTGATGGCTTTCCAATCTTTGGCCGAATTCCGTGATAAAATGCGATTCCGTGGAATTAAAGGAGCGACTGGAACACAAGACTCATTTTTGACACTTTTCGGAAATGACGAATCCAAAGTTGAAGAATTGGATGAATTGGTGACTAGAAAAGCTGGATTTTCACAAAGATTTGTTATAACTGGTCAAACATATTCTCGTCAACAAGATGCTCAATTAATATTTTCATTATCTTTATTGGGAGCGGCTGCCAAAAAAGTTTGCACAGATATTCGAGTTTTGCAAGCATTTGGTGAATTATTGGAACCTTTTGAAAAAGATCAAATTGGTTCATCAGCAATGCCTTATAAAAAGAATCCAATGAAAAGTGAAAGATGTTGTTCACTTGCTAGAAAACTCATCAATTCACCACAAGAAGCATTGACAATATTAGCTGATCAAGGATTGGAAAGAACATTAGATGATTCGGCTGGAAGACGAATTCTAATTCCGGATTGTCTTTTGACTGCTGAAGCATTGTTAACAACACTTCAAAATATTTTCGAAGGTTTGACTGTTCAAACAGAAAATGTTCGAAAAATAGTTGATGATGAAATTGCATTCCTTGGTTTGGAAAAAGCAATGATGATGTTGACTGAAGATGGAGTTGATAGACAAAAAGCACATCATGTTATTAGAGAAGCTGCGTTATCAGCTAAAGCATTGAAAGATTCAACTGGAGCTCGAATTGATATTCGACAAACAATGGCTGATCCATTCTTTGATTCGGTTTGTTGTTTATTTTCTGTGGGAGTTTTTGAATCAGACCAAAATCTGAATAAGATGAAAAAGTAAACCTGCTTTACTTCTTTAAAAAAAAGTCATAGTCAGATACACAAAAGTTATAGCATTAAAAATAATTCTGAAATTCTTTCTCGAAAATCCTTTCGGAAATATAAAATATTTTGATACAACAAAAAACAAATGGAAGAACTTTTGAACTTATGAACATTCAGTGCACATTGGGTTTCTCAAAGTGATTCAGAAACACAACATTTCTGTCGTTTTCTAAGGCGGTCCTAATTTTCTAAACATCAAAGCTTTCCAATTTTACAAGTTCTCGGTCTCAATTCTAAATCTACTAATTTTGTGTAAATTAAAACTAAATCTTATTTTTCCAGGTTCGTGATCGAGTTGTTTCACTCGTCGAGAATCCAATCAATTTCACTGGTCGATGTTCATCACAAACTGTCAATTTTGTGAATAATGAAATACTTCCAACAATCGGCAAATATTTGGATAAATCTGCTGCCAAAGTTCAATTGGATGTTTAGTGAAAAGAGATCAATTAAATTAGTATAGAAGCATAACATTCACTTTGTTTTATTTCTGAAACTTTCAGAAACTATTTTGATATAAATTCGTTTTCTCGTTTTTTCAGTGTTTTATTTTTGGTTGGAAAAGTTATAACTAAATAGGATTATCTGAAAATTTCAAAATAATCCTATTTTTTTTTATTTTCAGGAAATGAAAAAAGAGGAATTTCCGTATAAGTCTTGTTATTGCGAAGAAAATATTTACAAATTTCTGGAAATTTTGAAAAATGATAGTTTTTACGCGGTTTTGATATCGAATAAAAATCAACAAATTCCACTTTGGAAACAAAAAATCAAACAGGTTTTTTTTCGAAGAGAAATCTATCGAAATTTCATGTTTGTTTGTTTAGGGACTTTGTTGTTTGGGATTATCATGTAATTGCAATTGGAAATGGAAATGTTTATGATTTTGATACAATTCTTGATTGGCCACAAGATTTTGAAACATATTTCAATGAAACAATGAATATTGATATTGATTTAGATGAAGAATATCGACGAAAATTTCGAATAATTCAATCTACAGTATACCTTGAGATATTTTCATCAGATCGTTCTCATATGAAAAATGAAGATAATTCATGGAAAATGCCACCACCAAACTGGCCTATTATAAATAAAGAAAAAACTTCGAAATTGATGGATTTAATTGATATGCAGATGATAATAGAGAAAACAAAAATTATGGACGAGAAAAGCTTTTATGATTTTTTCATTGATAAGAAATAGTTGTTATTAATCTTAATTAATTTTATTAAATCTTGAATTTAAATATGAATCTATTGTTGAATTCTCTCCCACGGATCAAAATCAGCATCATTATTAGAGTTTCTGAAATATAATTTGTTTTTTCTTTAAATAAAATATTTTAATAGTCAAACTTACTTTGGAGAATATACTTTTCTTTGCATCAATCTTACTGTAACTGGATTTGCTGGTTTAGACAAGCTTGAAGTTGAAGTAACTCGTGCAGTTCCATCAAATGCAATTAATTTCGGTTTATAATTTCCAACGTGTCTTTTTGAACTTTTTCCAATTTTTTGAAGACCAGATATTTTCTTGGTTTTTCCTCCATTTTTCAATAAATCATCGAGCAAATTATCTAATTCGATTTCTTCTGGAATTTTGGTTTTTTGAACTGATTTTTTCGCTTCATCAATTTTTGAATCACGAATATTTGCAACATAATCTGTAGCTTTTTCGGTGGCTTTCCATGATGAAATCTGAAAAAATTACCGTAGTCTTTTTTTAAATTTTATATTTGTAACCTTATTTCTCATTGGCGATCTTTCTTCAACTGATGAATATTTTTCGAAAGATGAAGGGAATGTTGATTTTTTGACAATTTCAGATGATTTATCGGTTTTTATTGGAAGAGAATCAGGAATTGGAATCGATAATTCTTGGCCAATTGGTTTTATTCTATTCAAATAAATCACTCCAGAATCTGGCAAATCACGAACTTTTCCACTGAAAAAATCAATATCATAATTTGTTACAAAATAAATTTAAAAAAATCTGAAAAAGTACCGGGAAAATTGCTGGTTTGGATAAATTGAACTTGGATGAAGTTCTGGATTTGTTGGAAACATATAAACCATTGGTTCGCATAATACAGTAGTGAAATATAAAAATAAGGATAATATTAGCATCATTCTTATCCAACAACCTCGTCACCTTTTCTTTTAATACGCAATAAATGATAATTCAACCCGATTGAATCAAGCGAAAACAAAAGAAATGGATATCTGCCTGGATATATCGAAACGAGACTTCTTATCAACAAGACCAAAACAAGTATTTTTTATCCAATTCATTCATGCAATAGAAAAAATATATGTAAAATAAATAAAGAAATTAATTAACAGACACAAATTCCGGTGTTGCATGGAAGTCCGAAACATGTTTCATCGTGATTTTTTCCAGTACATTTTTGAACATTGCAGAATTTGGTGAACGCATCGGTGATTGTCAAATTATTATGAGCATAAGCTCCGAAACAATCACAAGTTGAAGTCAAATTGTTGCAAGCTCCTTGGAATCCACCGCATGCACTGTCATCTTGACATCTATAAAATTAATAAATACTATAAAAATTTACGTGAACAAATAAAACGTGAGAAAAATATCATTTCAGATTTCTCAATCAATAGATTGTGGTTGAAAAAGCACTAGAAGGTATTTATAACTTACGGCCATCCATAAACACATGAATTGCAGTCGCAAGTTCCGAATAATCCACCAATACAAGTTCCAGATCCACAATCCTCGTTGTTATAACAAACTGATGAAGATGTACATGTTGGTGAAGCTGTGGTTGTCTCATTTCCAGAAGATGAAGAATTTTGAGCGAGTTCCAATGAGTAAATAGCATTGTCAAGAACTGTTTGTGAGTTTGATGCAACAATTGTTGAATATATTCCAAGGGTTTGGGCGTTTGCAGAAAGTGTTGTTAACTAAAATCAGAATTTGACTGTATTTTTATAGCGGGGGGTTTTGAATGAGAAAAACTCACTTGAACAATCAAAGCATTGGCTTCTTGAATCAATTTTTGAGAATCTTGTTGAAGTTTAATGGCATAATCATTCAAAGTTTGCAATTGTTGGACTGTCAATTTATCGACATTCACATATTCGCCAGATGATTCACCTGACCCTTCACCCGATCCTTCACCACTGCCAGATCCTTCTTAAAAAATATCACATAACTTTTTTCGTTTTCTTTATTTCTTACCTCCAGAAGCATCAGTCAATGGTTCCAACTCAGCAGCGAATGTGAGAGCAAAACAGAGAAAAACAATTAGAAAAGCCTTCATAGTTAGAGACTTCAAGTTCTTTTGAATGATTTCGATATCCCCAAAAGACTAGACATTTTTCGAGAAATTTTTTCGAAGGGGAAAAATGAAAAACTACCGCTCGCGCCGTTCGCTTGAAGATATTGTCCAATTCGTGTGTGTTCCTTGTAAATACTGTAGCATCTTCTCAGCTGTGTTTATTTCTCATTTTAAAATTTTCGAATTGCTCAATTTTTTTTCGTTTTTTTGTCGTTTCCAAGTTTTCTTTGTGATTTGTTTCACATAAACTAAAGTTATTTATTTTCATTCTTGTAATTAGAACTACATAGTGTTTCCCTAAATGTCTGCTCTCGCTAATTATTAGCTTTTGTACATGATCAAACATTTGTCTTCTTTGTAATGTTTTTCTCTCAAAAAAACCAGTTTACAATAAACTGTTATTTTAACGTATCTTTTGATATATTCTTGTTAAATAGTTTTCCAAACTTTCTGCACAAAACTATAATTTATTAATTCATAGTTTGATTTTGATTCGTATATGCTGATGTAAATGGATAATCAGCATTATAGAAATGTTCCTCGAGAATGAAAGTATGAGTTTTTCATTGGTGATTCTTTTGAACTTTGAAGTTAAGAGCGGTTTAGTTCTGAGATGATTAGTCCCTCTATTCTTCTTTTATATGACATTCTCCCTTTGCTGTCTCTCTCTTTTTTCTCGATGACCTCAAAGTCGTCCGCTCCTCTTATCTTGCAATGTCTGTGTGTCGTTTTTTTCTTTCCAGAGGAATGGGTTCTCTGCTGTCTGTCTACCTCGTTCGTTTGTTCTTTCAGACGGAATGGATGTGATTGACGATGAAGTTTCCGTAACTTAACAAATAAACCAATATCTCTCACACTCTTTTGACAGAATCCCCTCGTAACTAATAACAACGCTCAATTTCCTTTCTCGTTAGCCGTTTATTCATAATCCGCAACGCGAAAGATTCTCTAGGAACATATTGGCAAAAAGAGCTCAATTGTTTTGTGTGTCTCTTGGGAATAAATATCTAACTGTATTTTGACCGAATGTAAACAAAAATGAATAGCCGAAAAATGAGGCAATCAACTTAATGTTTTTTGTTTTTATGTGCTTCGAATGAATCATTCAAGGGCATATTTTCCAGAGAATTACAAATCGCACATATTTTATGTTTTCAACTGTCATTTATATTGATCAAATCACAGTACATTTAGAACCAGCCGATGATAAGGCGATACCTTTATTTCTATAGCGATAACATACAAATATTTTGAGGAAAATATGTCTGAAATAAAATAATTCATTCTTCGATTGAGATTTGATTTGAAAAATCGATTAAATTGAGAAACACGAAATTCTTACAAATGTGCAACAAATATTACAAAAAACTTATATTTCGGAGAATTGTGTGTTTTGTTTCGTTTCCAAATTGAGAGAAGTTTCAGCTTTCGATGAATATTTTACTATTTTCCTTGAGTTTTCACATTTCAAAATATCCAAAATGGATAGTTCAATTGGATTTATTTCGTTTTACTGGTTGAAGGACTTGGTCGGATGATTGTCCATCTCTTTTTCAATCGTCGGAGAGAAGATGGGCGGGTCGTTGCTGTTATTGTCGCTGGCTGGCTGGCTGGCTGCTACTGCAGCACTGGAGTCTTCTCTCTTCAATCGATTGTCGTCTCTCCTCTTCTTTTTTCCTTCGTTCGTGTGTGCGTATATGTTTAAACAGCGAGCGGCGAGTGATGACTGAGTAAGAGGAAAGAGAAAGCAGCACGGACTCTTTATATTAACATTGTGCTCACATTTTCTTGGAGTTATCATGTATTTTCGAAGATGTTATTCTCATCTGGTTTTAGCGTTTCCATAATCTTATCCTTCTTTTATCCATTTCTATTAAGTATATGTTTTTGACCAGCCCGGCTGACTGACTAACTAACTGGCTGGCTGGCTGGTTTTTTATATATGATGCTGCGCAGCATTTGTTGTGTATGTGTATGCATGTGTCTCTCTGTGTGTGACCGCCAACCAATTGATGGGGGGAGAAGAGAGAGAGTTCACTTGGCGTCCTTTTTCCCTTCCTCTTCACTATGCGAACACAACCAACTAAACGCTATATACTTCTCCCACTGAATAATTATACGATCAACACTTTTCTGTTAAATACTTTCTCTATCTTTAAAAACCGCAAACCCCGCCCCTTTTCGCAATAAAAAATTTTGTTTCAGAGAGATGGATTCAAGGTCGCCGGGACGATTGGATTCAGTGTTGAATAAAATTCGAGGAAAAATTGAACGAGTTGAACAACCAAGACAATCTAATGGATCTTCTTCGTCTTCTCAAAGAAATCAAGTTTCGATGGTTGAAAATAATATTGAACAAAAACCAATTGTGGTGAGAATATCAAAAATTGTTTTTAAAAAAAACTAGTTTTTATTTATTTTTAGAATCGAAATATTCCAATAACATTAGACGATGATGAAGATGATGTTGAAGCACAACAAAATGCAAAAATCAAATTATTAGAAAAACAATTAGAAGAAGTTAAATCTACAAGTTCTCAACAAATGCATCAAATGGGAAGTCAAATTGAAATGATGTATCAGATGATGAAAAGAAATTCAGAAGCATCTCCTGCTTCTTCAAGTCCTTCACAATCTGTTTCTTCTCCACAACCGGCAATGGATATTGATGAAATGAGTGATGAACAAATTTTGCAACAGAAAAAATTGTTGGAATCTATTTTAATGAAACGACAACAATCAAGAAATGCAGTTCCAGCAAAAAAACAAACATCGGATGAAGATTTATTTATTGAAAGAGTTGTTAAAGGAAGTTTTGAATGTCCAAAAATAACAATCAAAACAGAATCGCCAATGAAACGTAAAGCAGAAAATGAATTACCTCAGAATCCACCTATAAAAACGCCGAAAATAGTTGATAGCGGAGGCGGAGCTGAACCTTTGGTCAATGTTCATTGCTCATTATGTATTCAAAATTTCAAAAAAGTTTCACATTTATTGAATCATCGATTAGAAGCACACGGAAAGAATGCAATGTTGCAATGTGGAAAATGTCGAATGAAATTCAATACAAGAGTTGAAATTCAAAGACATTTATATATTGTAAGTTTATTTCTAGAATTACTGTTGAATATAATTTAAATATTTTAGGAATATGCTGTTTTTAGTTGCAAAATATGTTCTTCTTGTTTTCCAAATTCAAATCAACTTCAAATTCACGAATTTGCGTGTTCTATTCAACGTCAAAATACGAATAAGCAATCTTCTTCGGAAAGTTTTGATTGTAATTTATGTGGAAATTCTTTTGGAAATGTTGAAGATTTGCTAACTCACAGACAAGTATTTCATGGAATGAAAATTATGTTGAAATGTCCGATATGTAATCAAGATTTTTTGTCGAAAGCTATGATCAAAAGGCATTTAAATATAGAATATATGGTTCATCCGTGCAAAAAATGTGGATCATGTTTGGAATCTGAAGAAGATTTGGTTGAACATAACTCGATTTGTGGTGAAAAAGAAATGGAACCGATTGTATTAGATCAAGATTCTTTTGATTCGTCCATAGATGCTTCACAACAAAATTCAACAAATCCACTACTTTTATTGGCAAAATTAGAAAGTGGATTTTTGAAGTCATCTCCAAGTAGTTCTTCTGCTTCCTCAATGCTTGATTTTACAATCAATTCATTGAAACGAAAAGCTAATTTCGAAAGTGATATTCCACCGTTAAAACAATGTTCGAAATGTGATAAAATTGTGGCAACAATTGATGATTTATTAAATCATCGAGAAGAAGAACATGGAATTGAAACTATGTTAGTTTGTGGAAAATGTGGAGAAATGTTTGAAACAAGAGATGAGATTGAACGACATTTGAATATTGTGAGTTGATTTTTTTTTGAAAAAAAATTCAGAAAATATACTTTCCAGGAATATCGTGTTTTTGCTTGTTCTTGTTGTGGATTACAAACACAAAATGAAGTTGCACTAAAAAATCATGAAAGATTGTGTTCGACCAGAAAACATGCAAAAACAATATCGTGTTGGACATGTAATGATGGAATTAAATTCCAATCAGTAACTGATTTAATGACACATCGATTAATAAAACATGGAAAAGAAGCAACAAGAGAATGTGGATATTGTAACAAGAAATTCGAAACTCGAAATGGTATTCATCAACATTTGACAACTGTTGAATATGAATGTTTTAAATGTGACAGATGTTCGAGATTATTTTTGACACAAGGAAAATTAGATGAACATTTGTTGGAATGCAATAAAATAATAACAAAACAACGAGCAAGAAATCTTGATCCTGGATATAAATGTTCGAAATGTGAACATTCAACTATGATTCCGGAAGTTTTGGAAAAACACGAACCAAATTGTCGAGGTCGAAATATAATTCCAATGCAATGTAATATTTGTCACGTTGTATTCGATTCAGTTAAAACATTATTAACACATCGAAAAGATACACATGGAGAAGATTCGATGATGGAATGTGGTATTTGTGGAAGAATATGTAGTCGGAGAGATGCAATTGCACTTCATTTAAATATCGAATATCGTGTATTTACTTGTCTTCGATGTGAAAAACCATATCAAACATTAGCACAAGTATTTGATCATGAAAAAATATGTACTGGAGGACAATATAGACAACATCATCAACATAATGATGATTCGATATTATCAAATACGGCAACATTAATAAGTTGTACACAATGTGGAAGACAAAGTAGTTCACAAGATATTATTGATGAACATATGAAATCTTGTATTGGAGATGCTGATTGGATGCCAAAATTAGAATGTAATTTGTGTCAAGAACCTTTCCAAGTTTTGAATGATTTATTGACTCATCGACAAAAAGTTCACGGAACTTCAACAATGTATTCTTGTTTCAAATGTCCCAAACAATTTGAAAGTAGAAAAGGAATTTATGGGCATCTTACTTTGGAATTAGGACTACTTCCTTGTTTGAAATGTCTTCGGAACTTTTCATCAGTCACAATTCTGACAAATCATGAACGTATTTGTGGAGGAATAAATGGTGGATATATTGAGAGAAGTGGTGGACAAAGTGCAAATCGAGCAACAGCTGCATCTCGACTTATTCATTCTTGTTCAAAATGTGGAAATCGAAGTGGATCACAATATATTATTGAAGAACATGAAAAAGAATGTCTTGGTGAAACTACACAATTAGAAATTACTGTAAGTTTTTATTTTCTTTGTTAGCTATATTATTTTTAAAAATATTCTAATGAATGTTTCGGAACTTTCCAAAAAAAACATTTCATTCATAAAAATCTACATATTTAAGCTAAATTCGGGATCAAAACTTAGGAAACCTATAATCATCTTGAAAAAAATTGATCCAAAATTTTAAACAAATAAAATTCAATCCTGGAAAAATCTCTTGTGAAAAATGAAATTTAAATAAAAAGTAAATGAAATCATTTAAAATTTGACCTCGTTTTGACAATAAAAGTAATTCTATTTTATTTCAGTGTTCCGTTTGTTATGAAAAATTCCCGACTGTCAGTGATTTACAACAACATCGTGGAAGAATTCATGGAGAAGAATCAGTTTTACAATGCGGTGTTTGCAATAAAACCTTCGAGTCAAAACACGGAGTCAGTGCTCATTTAACAATGGAATATAATTTGATACCGTGCTTGAAATGTGGAAAACCGCAAGGTGGAGCACCGCAATTACTTGAACACGAGAAAAATTGTGCCAAAAATGTGAGTTTCAGTTTTTTTTTTCAAAAAAAATATTGGATCAATTTTTAGATCAACAATGCGATGAATTGTTTTAAATGTAATCGATTGACATTTACAAAAGAAATATTAGATGCACACGAAGCAAGTTGCGATGGAGTTATCACAAAATGTGAAAAAGATATAAAATGTGCACTTTGTGATGAACAATTTCTAAATGTAAATAGTCTTTTGACTCATTTGATGAGAAATCACAGCGAAGAAGCAATGTTAACATGTGGAATATGTGGAAGACAATTCGAATCAAAAAATGGAATATGGGGACATTTAAATTCAGAATATGAAATATTCCCATGCTTAAAATGTGGAAGATTCCAAAATAGTTCAAGTCGATTAGCCGAACATGAAAGATTTTGTATAAGTGGAGCAGGAGAAAGAAGTAATGGAGGAGGAGGAAATGCGGGAATGAGTGGATTGGATATGGAAAGAGCTTCACTTCAATGTTCAAAATGTATGAAGACGACTTATTTAACAACATTTAGTCGAGCTACTTTTGCACAACATGAATCGATTTGTGCTGGAATGGGAGAACCACTTGATCCAACTTCGAGAAAAGATATTATGGTTCGTGTTTTTTCTTTCATTTTCAATTTCATAGTTCAAAAAAGTTTAAAGAACATTTTTTTCAAAGTTCTCTCACAAAATATAATTTTTCAGTGTCTTGTTTGTCACGAAGCATATTTCTCAGTTGGTGATCTTGTTACTCATCGACAAAGGAATCACGGAGAAGCAACTGGTTTGGAATGTCATTTTTGTGGAAGAAGATTTGAAACAAGATCTGGAATTGTTGGACATTTAAGTGTTGAATATGAACTTTATCCGTGCACAAAATGTGGAAAGTTTCAATCAAGTAATAGTCGAAGAAATGATCATGAAAAAGGTTGTAATGAGGAAACATTTCAAACTGTTAATTTGTCACAATGTTCTAAATGTCAAAAATATGGACATCGAAAAGATGAAGTAATGAAACATGAGGAAATATGTGGAACTGATGAATATAATGAAAACGAAAAAGATATTGCTGTAAGTTTGAAATTGAAAATATTCAAAGTTTTTGATTTGTCATAAATTTTAGTGTATTCATTGTCCGGATAAATTTTTGAATGTTCCAAGTTTGGTTGGACATAATCAAGTGAATCACGGAGATGATGCAATGTTGACATGTAATGTATGTGGAAGGAAATTTGATACGAGACAAGGAGTTCTTATGCATTTACTTCTTGAATATTCAAATCATATATGTTCGAAATGCGGAAAACCACAAATGAATGCGAATAAATTGCAAGAACATGAAAATCAATGCACATTTTTGAAAACATTAACATGTTCAAAATGCGAAATGATTTCATTTTCTGATAATCTTTTCGATAAACATGTTAATTATTGTACTGGAAAAGAAGAAGAACCGTGGAAATTATTATGTGCACTTTGTGATGATCAAAAATTCCTTTGTGTAAATGATTATTTGACACATCGAAATCAAGTTCATGGCGGAGAATCGGCAATGTTGCGATGCTCATTTTGTAGTAAAAAATTCACATCGAAATCTGGAATTAGTTGGCATTATAATTTGGAATTTGCACTGTTTCCTTGTCAAAAATGTAAAAAACCGTGTCGAAGTGAACAACATCAAATTGAACATGAAATACGATGTAATGGAATACAATTTGATGGAAATGAAACATTCAAAAAAAATGAACAAATTCTACAAACTTGTTCAAAATGTGAATTGAAAACATTTCAACCTGCTATTTTCAGTCAACATGAATTACAATGTAATGGAACAATTGACAAAAATATTCAGGTAATTTACTTATTTTTCAAGCAAAAAAAATTGATTTTTTGCAGTGTATTTTATGTAGCGACGAAAAGTTTATGACTGTCAACGACTTTTTGACACATCGGCAAAATATTCATGGAGATGAGGCTGTTTTAAAATGCCAATTTTGTGATAGAAGATTTGGATCGAAAAATGGTGTGACTGGACATATGCTTTGTGTAAGTTTTTATTGAGAATGCCTACGTGAAAACCTATACATTTTTAAAATTTATAAATAATGAAATTAAAAATGCGAAGAAACATTTTCTTCGAAAATAGGAATTTTTTATGGAGTTTTTAACTATTTCGCCTAGGTGCACCGTCTGAAAAATAGAGAAAATCTGAATGGTATTATTTCTTCTAATCCTGATGTTTCTAATTCATATCGACTGAAATTTAGAAAACTATTATATTTTGCTGCTGCAGAATTTGCATTAATTATCAGCCTATTCTTTTTAGTTTCCGCCAGATCTCACATGTTTACTAGAACAATTTTATGCAAAAAACAGACGCTGTCAGTTTATTACTGTTATTTTGAAATGTATCTCATTCTCAAAAGTAATAACTGACATTAAAATGTAAAATTAATTATATTTTATTAAATATAAGATGCGCAATTTTCAGTTTGTTTGTCACGGTGGCCGAGTGGTCTAAGGCGTGGGTCTTATGAACTCATTGGTGCAAACCATCGCGGGTTCGAATCCCGTCCGTGACATAACAAATATTTTTGTTTTTAATTAATTTGTTTGTTTGCAGGAATTTGGATATATGGAATGTGTGAAATGCAATTTACACCATTATACAAATGCTCGACTTGAAGAACATATGAAAGGATGTAATGTTGTATTTGAAGAATCATCGAAATCTTGCAAAACTTGTGGAAAACAAAGTTATATTGAAAGTGTTCTGACAAGTCATCAGAATAATTGCTCGGAAAATGATACAGTTTTCAAATGTAATACATGCTCGATTGAATTAATCTCAGTTCAAGATCTTCTTCAACATAAATTACGAGTTCATTCTGAAGAAAATATGCTGCAATGTGATATTTGTTCGAAAAAATTCTCATCGAGAACTGGTATATTTTGGCATTATAACAAGGAATATAAAGTATTTCGATGTAAGAAATGTGGAAAACCTCAATCTAGTGCAAATTTATTGGTTGAGCATGAAAAAAATTGTGGAAATGCCAAAGTGGAAAAAGACGAAACTGTATGTTGTTTTGAATAATTGAACAGAAAAATGTTAGTTCTTTGTTTTCAGAAAACAATGGAAGCATTTATAATGAATTGTCCAACTTGTGGAATTTCATCTTATTATAAAAATTTAATCGATATTCATAAAGAAGAATGCGATAAATCACCAACATTAACAGAAGGAGGAAAAGAGATTTATTGTACTGTTTGCGAGGAAAAGTTTTTGACAGTTAATGATTTGGTAACTCATCGAGGAAAAACTCATGGCGAACAAATAATGCTGGAATGTGGAATTTGTCAAAAGAAATATGAATCGAAAACTGGAGTTCTTCAACATTATATGCACGAATTCCATATGTATCCATGTCGAATTTGTAAATCAACTCATGCATCCAAAAAACGAAGAACTGAACATGAAAAAACCTGTAAAAATGAAGAAGTCAAAGAAAAAGAAAAAATGGTGAGTTATTTATTTCGGGAAATGTTTTATCCCTTTATTTCTTATCTCAACTAATTTTCGCACGATTTTATTTTAATTGGAACTTTTTCTGTAATTTTATTTTTCTCAATGTAAGAAAAAATCCGGGGAAACTTTCTTGAGTAGTATGAATGCGAAAAAAAATAGTATTATTTAGCTGGAAGAAATGATAAGTTGTTCGAAATGTAACAAATCGACATATTTGCAATCAATAATGGATGAACACGAAAAAGAATGTTCTACAGAAGAATTAGATGAATCTGTTATGGAAATTGATGATTCAACTATCAGTTGTCCAGAAATAAAATGCTCACTTTGCCCGGTTTCATGTTTATCTGTTAATGATCTATTAACACATCGAAACAAAGAACACGGAGAAAATGCAATGTTGACTTGTGTTATTTGTCAAAAAGTTTATGAATCGAAAACTGGAATTATTGGACATTACAATTTAGAATTTCAACAGTTTAGTTGCAAAAATTGCTCGAAAATGTTTTCGCATCTATCGAATTTGAAGAAACATTTAAAACAATGTCAGAAATCTGTTGGAAATGGAAGTTTTATTTTATCCAAAGATGTTTCTGTAAGTTTTAGAATTTTTAATTTTAAATAAGAAAATAATAAATTACAGAATCCTTCTCAATGTTCAAAATGTTCGAAATGGTCATTAGTTCCTCAAACAATAAATGAACACGAAACAACTTGTAGTGGAGAAATTGATGAAAATGGAAAAACATTGAGTTGCACGATTTGTGATACAAATTGGTTATTACCGTATGAATTATTGACACATCGAAAAGATCAACATGGAAATTCAGCAATGTTAGAATGTGGATTGTGTGAACGACGTTTTGAAAATCGAGATCACACATTGAAACATCTTTATACTTGCTACGAATTATTCAAATGTAAACATTGTTCGAAAATAATGCAAAGTCGATCAAAATTGGCTCAACATCTCGAAAAATGTGCTCCGAAAGTGAAGAGAAATTCCCGAAAAGTAAGTATAGCTGAAGATTCGATGGATGAAACAACATTTGGAGAATCGGAATGTGAAAAATGTCAATTGATCAGTCTTGATCCTGTTGTTTTGTCTGAACATGAACAAATATGCGAAGGACAAACCGAATGGTTTGATGATGATAATAAAACAATTACATGCACAAATTGTAACAAAAAATTCTTGACTGTCAATGATTTATTGAGCCATTATAAAGGAAAACACGGAGAAACATTGAGTGATTGCCATTTTTGTGGAAAACGAATTGATTCACAACCTGGTATTTTGGCACATTTTAACATTGTAAGTTGACATTTTTTTGAGTTTTAAATTATTTTTCTTTCTGAATAACTTCCATATATATTAATGAATTTTATTATGTTTGCAGGAATATAAATTATTCGAATGTTCGAAATGTGACAAAGCATGTGCATCGAAAAAACGTCGAGAAGTTCACGAATTATCTTGTAATGTCAAAAAAACACTCAGCAGTCGACCAAAAGAAGATGTAAGTTTTTTTTTTCAAAATGTGTTTCAATTAGGGGTCCTTTAGGAAAATAATCATAATGACCGTAATGCTACCAGGTTTTTTTTAATTTTGGGGTTTCTCATGAAAAAGGCTGAACTTCCAAAAAAAACCTTTTTTTTTATAGAACCAAAAAATTTTTTCAGCCGCTTTTATCAAATGATGATGGTTCATTTACTTGCGTAAAATGCAATCGTCGCGCATTTAATGGAAAATATTTGAAAGAACATCGCACTGAATGCCTTGGATCTGGAAAATATACTGGCCCGAAAATTGATGTATGTTTTTTTTGTTTATTTTATCTAATTCTTATTCTCATTTTAAAACATTTCAGTGTTCATGTTGTGACGCCAAGTATTTGTCAGTTGCTGATTTACTTCAACATCGTCAAAAAATTCATGGAAACGAAGAAATGTTGAGATGTGGAGTTTGTGGTAAAAAATCGATGGATAAAAGTTTGATTTATTCACATTTAGTCATGGTAATTTTTTACTTGAACCATTTTTTCAGAAATCTAATTCCATTATTTTGTAGGAATATCGATTGTTTGAATGTGTTCATTGTCAAAGATGCTTTGATAATCGAGTCAAATTAGAAGAACATACAGAAAAATGTCAAAAATTAAAAAATGTGGAACCAATGGAAGTCGATTTAAGTGATAGGAGCAAACTTGGCGAAGGTTTTTATAATTGTGTGAAATGTGGAAGAGCGACAACAAATCTGACAACTTTGAGAGATCATTCTGAATTATGTAGAGGGGAAAAAGATATTACGGTTAAAGTTGATGTAAGTTTTTGGAATTGGAAAATCTGAGTTTTCAGAGCAGATTAAGAGGGAGTGAATAAGTTTCTCAATTTCGTCAGCGATTAATAGATTTCTCAAAAATTCAGAGGTTATTAGGAGAATATATGCGGCTGTCAGTCATTTTCAAAAGGAATAACTATTAAAATGTAAAATTAATTATATTTTATTAAATATAAGATGCGCAATTTTCAGTTTGTTTGTCACGGTGGCCGAGTGGTCTAAGGCGTGGGTCTTATGAACTCATTGGTGCAAACCATCGCGGGTTCGAATCCCGTCCGTGACATAACAAATATTTTCTAAAAAAAGGGTTTTACAAGCCAGAAAATGATATTAAGCAAAACTGATATTTTCCAGTGTTGGGATTGCAATGTGAAGTTTATATCAGTACATGATTTGGTTCGTCATCGAGCTGATTCTCATCCGGATAAGATTCTCTTCTGTAAATTCTGTAATCGCAATTTCAACTCAAAATCAAGTATATTGGGACATTTAGTTATTGTGAGTTTTAGCTACAATGTTTTGTGAAAAACAGAATAACTTTTCATTTCAGGAATTCCAAGTTTTCAAATGTACATCGTGTGATCGTGCTTTCGATTGTCAAAAACGGTTAGATCTTCATTATCCAAAATGTTCATAATTTATTTTTCTAATTGCAAAATATCAATTGAGCTTTCATTTTATTGTTATTTAAATATTATACTCCCGAAATTATTATTCATTCCCATTTGTATTTAATCATACTGGTATTTTTATTTATTGTTTCATTTTTGCATGTAATTTATTTTGCTCGTTTCTGTTTTATATAAATTCGTTTCATTTTGTTCAGACTTTGAAAAACCATCGAAGAAAAAAATTTATTAAAATATGATTATCGGATGCTACAAAAAAAAAAGAACGATGTTTGAAATAAAAATTAATTATTTAATAAAAATACAGTACTATTTCAGTTGACTAATTTTCCAAATTTGTTATAAGAACGTTCGAAGTGTTCCTGAAAGTATTTTTTTTTTTTGAAATAATCACAAATTTTAGTTCTACCTAACAGCAAAGGCCCAAAAATACATTTTTATATTTTTGGACATTTTTATTGAAACAGAGCCAAAGTTTGTTTTAAAATTCATACCTTCAATAAACAAAAATAAGCTGCTGGTTGAAAATCCAAATGAAATTTATGAGCAACCAGATGTTTTGATTTTCGTAAATATAATAAATCATTAATTCCAAAAACACAACTTCCATGATTTATATATCCTTTACACATATTATTATTATCCCAAATTTGTAGTCTTGAAATATAAGGTTTATATCCAATTGGTTGATCACTATTTCTTGGTGAATCTAATGCATTAAATGATCCAGGAACATCATAAATATCTTTATTTCCAAGTAAAGTCGCCCAAAACGATTCATCAGCTATTTCAGTGTTATTTAGAAAACGTAAAAGTTTTTCTGGAATATCAGAATTTGTTAAGAAATTGGCTGTTTTTCGTGGAATCAAAGCTGAAAGGGATGATTTCCATATTGGAAGAGGCGATTCAGAAATCTGGAATTATTTTCAATGAAGTAAGATTTTCGAATATTTCCAGAACTAACATTTTCGTTGATAAATCGATAAGTATGAAATACTTCCACAAGTAAATTTGGCATATTATTCAATGATTTGAAACTGCGAACCATTTCCAAATTTGTTTTTAAAGGAACATCAAAACCCGATAAATATTGAAAATATTTCCAATTATTGTTTTTCATATTCGATGAATGTTTGAGACAATCATATACTGCATTAATTATTTCGAAGTCACCCCATTCTATTGGTGCTCTTTCAAAAATAAACACGTTTTTCCAGCATTTTCCCAAATTTCCGATTATCTTTCGAAATTTTTCATTAGCATTTTGTGGATATGCAATACAATATACATTTTGGGGTTGATAAATTGCAGATAACATAAATAAAAACTAAAAATAATTCTGTATACTGGATAAATATTGAATAATTTACCTGTGTTATATCTTTATATGCTAATATTCCATATGCAATTGGATATTGATTTTCTTCGTCTGACAATGGATCAGAATTGAATTTATAAAGTTGATTAACAATTGCACATTTATCTTCTGAATTATTCATAATATCATCTGTTTTCGATGTGTCCACGAAAAACAATTCATCAGGATATTCACAATCTAATTGATGTATTATATTTTCCAATAAACTATTGTTTTTCAATTTTTGGGAATCGAGAATATCTTGAAATATTTTGACTTTTCGATGATTCGACCAAAACACTGTTATAAAATAAAATACAACAAGAACCCAGAAAACATTTCCAATCTGAAATTTGCGTGAAAAATTGATGAAGCTTTCCAAACAACATACGCGAATACGGCTTATTGTGGTTAACAGTGCACATATTATTTGTGGTAACATTCGACGACTGAATTTATTTGAAATATAAAATATTCGTGTCGTTTAAATCCTTTGAAAAAAATGTCACGCTTGAAAATACATTGGAATCTTGAATATTTTTAATTTTCTCCACGCCGCCAACATTCACGTCTTCGGATTATTTTCATTTGCCACGGTTTTTTCAACCTTCAAAAACGTTCTTTCAACCTTCCACATTTTTGTGCAAACACGGCGACGAGAAAACACAGACATGTTGCAAATGCGCTCCACCGCTCTTGTTTTATTGATTCTCTTTGCACGCCATTTCTTTTTTTTGTTCTTTTTTCAAGCTCCTTCCTACTTTTTGTAGTTCACTGACTACTTTTCTTTTTCTTGTATACATTTGAAAGCTTCTCTAAATTGTTGAATAATATTTTTCTTTTCACAAAATATTTATAAATGTGGTTTTATCGTTTTCCGAAACTTTGTTCGTTTTTTTTCAATGTGCTATATATTTCCAATATTTTTCCAAAAACTACATATATTATATACATTAAATGTGCTTCTATATTCTGTTTCTGTACTTTAAAAATTCTGTCTGAATATCACTTATTTTTTCTCTTGGTTTTCTATATTAAAGGTTGAGTCCGAGCAAAAATTAAGTTGTGCTCATTTGAAAGAGCATGTTCTAATTAGTACAATCCTCGAAGGATTTTTTCTGGAAGCTTCTCAAAAATTGGTTAAAAAATTACAAAGTTCGAAAAAACAGTGAAACACCGTGTAAAATGGCTTGAAACTCCATATCTCCAACCGTTTGGAGCTGTGTTTCTCTAATGTTAGAGAAGCTTTCAGAAAAAATCCTTCGAGGATTGTACTAATTGCAACATGCTCTTTCAAATTAGCACAACTTATTTTTTGCTCGGACTCCACCTTTAAAATCTCGGTTTCATTGTTTTTTATGTTGAAGGTTCACAAATAATTATTGAAAATTGTCAATTATAGCTTGAATTTTCTCTATTGCCTTCCGATAAGTCGATAATTACTTTAAAAATTTTATTGTTAGAACATCTTATAGTTTGTGAAATAATACGCTTTCCTATTTTCATTTTTTACAATCATTTTTTTCGTTTTTTTTCACGTGAACTCAAAATGTGTTCTTTCATTTCTTGAAGTTGAATAAATAACTTGTTTTGAATATTCTATTTTCCAAGTGAAAAATTATCTGTGAGTGTATCTTTTAAAGATTATTTTTTTGATTTGATATTTAGAATATTAACATTTTAGATTTGATTTATCTAAACTCATTTTTCATTTTATTTCCGATTAAAATATTCATAAATCTCTTCAAATTCTGAATAAGTTTATTGTGTTTTCTTGTAATAAATTTTGTAATTATTAAAATTCTCAATTAAAAAAGATCAATCTCTGAAAATAAGTTATGCTCGTCTAATTATTTAATACGTTGAATGTTTAACTTCTCTTTTTGTTATTATTTATTTAAAGTTTTTATTATTTTTTTACAGGATGGATTCGTCCATAAAAACACCATCTTCTACGAATTCACAAAATCCGTCGACATCATTGACAACTCCAAAATCAGCTGATTCGATAAGTGTCAAAGTTGTAAGTTCCTGTAATTTTGGTTTATTCTATTTCAAAAATAATTTTAACAGAAACCCGTTATTTACAAAAGTTCAACTCTCAAACTTTCAATATCTCCAAATCAACAATTTTTATATGGTGTTATATTACGAATAATCAAAACAGTATATGCTTCAAGAATTCCACAAATAACATCAGCATTGCCTGAAGATTGGGAGAAAATCAAAGAAAACGATGTAAAAAGAATAGGAGAATTGATAAGTTGTTATAACAAAGGAGCAAAAGCATATAATAAAATATGGGATGCAGTTGAAAATCGAAGAATGTTAGGAGAATGGGCTTTGCCATTTTGTACACAACAAATTGCTGCTCAAATTACAAATTGGGCATATGATTGGTTAGTTTATTTAATTATTTATTATTTCAAAATTAATGGAATATTTTTGCAGTGCTGTTTCAACCCCATCAATTTTAAATAGCCATTACAAATCATTTTCATCTGAAACATATGGAGAAACTAATCTTGAACAAATAACAAGTATATTAAATGAGCTTCAACTTGGACCTGATGATGTTTTTGTTGATTTGGGAAGTGGTGTTGGTCATCTTGTTGTTTATACAGCCGCTTTCACAAAAATAAAGAAAGCTGTTGGAATTGAATTATCATCTGTTCCAGCAAATCATGCACAAGATCTTCAACATTATTATAAGAAAATTATGGCACATTTTGGAAAATCTTATTCACCTTTTGAATTGCACAATGGAGATTTTTTGGATCCCAAATTCCGCGATTTGATAACCAAAGAAGCAACTGTTATTTTCATCAACAATTATGTATTTAGCCCGGATTTATTAGTCAAAATATCGGATGAATTAATTTCGGAATTGAATGACAATGTTAGAATTGTAACAACAAAAGAAATGGGTGTATTAAAACGTGAAGTGAATGATCGAACTTCTCGAGGTAATTTCTAGATATTTTTAAATCAATTGTTTGTTATATATATATATTTTAGTTGTTAGAGAAATGTTTTTCTATCCATTTTTATAGAGAACGTCGGCAGCACAACGAAAGCCAAAACAGGCACGTTTATCTGTCTTATTCTCCTATTAGAATTAACTCAGTTATTATTTATTTCTGTGTAGTTGAACAAAATTTTCAAATCGAATCAATTGAAAATTTTGTTGTTAGAATAGTTGGCCAGAATTCAAAAAAGAGAAGAGAGTTATCATGTGCAAAATAATATTTATTTTTTATTCAAAGATTTTTCGATTTCACTCTTCTCTTTTTCTATGTTCACAGCAGCTTCTATCCTGTTTTCAGCATGCACACTGTTTTATCAAATGTTCGAACAAATTTTAAGATTTAATCATTTCAGATATATCATCAATTCTTGAAATGCGACAAATGAAATCAGTATCAAATGGTGTTTCTTGGACAGCAAATGTTGTCAAATTTTGGCTTCACACTGTTGACAAATCGAAGGTTTGTCTTAATTTTCTTGTTTAAAAATCTCTAACAGAATGTAATATGGTTAAGCCTAACAAAATCTCACAACTCATTTTTTCAGGTGTTCAAGTTTTTTGAACGAAAAGCAAACCGACCAAAAGGAAAAGATTCGAAATCAGTTTCTTCGTCTTCAAGTCGCGAAAGTTCGCAAATGAAAGAAAAAGATCCGAAAAGAAAGGAAAAAGAAGGATCAAGTGATAGTTCATCATCCTCAGCTATTAAAATGGTATGTTTAATTTATTTTTTGAAAACAATTCCAATCAGTTTTTGATTTTCAGGAATTTTCCACACCAAAAGAAGAAAAAATCAATTTGAAAAGACTTGCACCAGTGAAAGATGATCAGTCAATAAATGAAACAACTCCGAGAGCAAAAAGTGAAATTAAAGATGAATATGATGATGATAAATACTTTTTCGGAAGAACTACAAGAAGAATGTGGAAAGCACAAGTTGGAGGATATTCGGATAATAAAAAGGTTGGTATTTGAGGAGGGGGAGATTGAATACATTTATTTTTGAATGGAACTTACCTCTTTTTTGAATCAGCTTTCATTAAGGACAAAATATTTTTCAATAACTATTTTTTTACCAAAAAAATTTAATTATCTTGTCACAATTTTGTTCCTCTCAGTGCCCATGTATTCGAAATATGGTTTTATGTGTTTAAAATAACATTTCGTTCTTAAAAAAAGCACTTTTTTCTCAACTGTTTTCTCATAGAAAGAATTTTCAGCCGGATCCAGCGCCTTCTCCAAAATATACGGATGCTGAATATACACCAGTCACCAAAAAACCAAAGAAGCAAAAAGAATTGACTGAAAAGAAACCAAAAAAGGAGAAGCCGTTATCAACACCTAAACATGCTAAACATTCGGCGACAGTTTCAACACCTCAAACTGTTATGAAATCACCGATACAAAAAACTACACCAGTTTTACCACCATCAATAATTCCAACAATATCATCAAATCATAAACAATTGTCATCACCAATAAAAGATGCAAAAATTGATGGTGAGTTATATTATCGATTTAAATTGATTATTGATTTCTTTAAAAATTAAGCGAAATACGCTTTCTAGAAAATTTTATATAAGTTCTAATATCTAATATCTTTTTTAATTTAATAGTTTTATTTGCATGATTTCACGTTTTTTGTCTTAATATATAGTTCTGTGAATAAGTTATAATAAAATCAGTTAAGTTAATAATCGCATGTTTATTTATCATAGATCAAGAATATTTTTATCACAAATTATTTTGAAAAAGAAAGACACACCTTTCAATTTGTACTTGTTTTTTTCTCGCTGTCTACGATCTTTTATATCTTAAAAAAGAAACGCTTTTCTCTGAAAAAGTATATTTCTAACAATTTCATTCATCTCATTTTTGTTGTTGTTTCCTTTATATTTTTTCAGTTTGTGTTTTTTTTCGTTCGTTTTGTTTCTGCTCGCTGCCTCGTCTCGTCTCTCCACTGTTTCATGTCCATTCTATAATTTGTCTAACCATCAAACCTCTCATCGATTTGTGTTGACAATCAGAAAAACGAATGAAACGGGAAAAAACTGTTGCTGATGGAAATATATATATGTGTGTTTATATATATTGATGAAAGCGAACGGAAATCCATTGAAGCCTTTTTTGAATTGCTTGTCTTGCTCATGCCTGATTTGCACCCCAATTTATTTTCAGTTTTTATTTGCACCTTTTTGTCTGAAAAATGAGAGAAAAACAGTGAATTTTTACAGCAGATACTATGAATGTTATAAATCAACTACATGAAAAAACAGTTACATTGACACAACAAAAACATTCAGTGCACGATGAATTGGCTAGAGGAGAATTGGTCAGTTTTTCCTTTTTTTTTCTCTGAAAAACAGTTGTCATAAAATAATTCTGGTAGAGAAACAGTTTTTCAACAAAAATTAGATTCAGAAAACATTTTCCAAACAGAAAAAAATTCACGAAAATAAATAAGCCTTTGACATTTCCTGAATCTAACCTCTATCTGAATTTTGAAAAAAATTAAATTAAATTCAAAAAATTATTTCCAATAAGCTATTATATCTGACAAAAATCTGAAAGTTATTATTTTCTATTTCATCATATTTTTTAGTCATTTCTAAGTACAAATTCTAACATCTCCTTCTCCTTCTTTTTGTGCAATTTTTTGAGATCGATTTATTATGGGTGGAGTTTTTCCGAAAAAAAAAACGACCGTCTATTTTTTTTTCGTTGTTTCATCCATCATGTTTTTTGCATTGCCGCCTTTTTTCATTTCAATTTTAATTTTATTTTCATTGTGTGCTGACGAAAAACGAAAAGAAATTAAGATTTAACCCATATACACATTCTTCTTCGTTTTTCATTTAGTTTATTATTCAAATGAGTTTTGCATTTCTCTTTTTGTATATCAAATAAGAAAAGAAAAGAAAATACTGTAATGATCGAACACCTGCTTAAAATTTTCCACAGCTGCATCTATAGAAATAAAAAACATTTGTACTCACTCAGTTTTCCCATTTTTTATTTTTGTAGGTTTGCGTTCCTATTTCGCAACAAAAACAAAGTCTTCAACAGTCGGTTTCAACTTCTTCTTCTTCTTCTACTCAACAACAAATTGCAATACCTTCTCCAAAAGTTTTATCAACAATTGTTCCTCCAATTATGGTTCAGCCGCAACCTCCAAATTCTCAACCAATTGCTGCATCACAAGTTATTCCAGCCACTCCACAATCTGTTAATAATGTACCAGCAGCAATGGATTTGGCCGCAGATCAAAGACATACTTTTATGATTCCACCAACTGATCCACTTTATCATTTTGTTGGTGAGTTTTTGAAAAATGAAATCGACAGAATTGATTTTTTTGTAAGATTGTGGAAATCGATAAATTTTGTCTCAAAAATGAACTACTGTACTTGAAGCATAAGTTTTTTCATCACAGTAGTTAAAAATTTATTCAGCGAGATGGCTACATTTCCTTACTAACTAAAAGCTATAGTTATTTTCAACAACGAAAAATTCGATTTTTTGCAGTCAGTACATATTTGGAATTCAAAAATCTAATCAACAAAGCTCAAGTTGCTGACGCTGAATTAGTTGCATCATTGGTCAAAGATATTGAAAATGAAAAAAATCGAAACGCTGAACTCGTTGAAAATATCAGTTCTGTAAATCAACAAATAAGCGAAGCATTGGGTAAGGGAGTTATCAATTTACGTGAAAGGCTAAATGAATTGGATATGTCAAATGTAAATGAAGTATCTGAATTATTATCAGGATCAAAACAAATTGTTGCAATGCATAAGAATTTGACACAAAAAGTTGCAAATGTTGAAGCATCTTGTGCTCAAGAAGAACAAAAAATGAGAGAACATGGACCGATTGGAGAAAAAACACTCGAATTATATGATCGTAAGTTTACAACAGAGGGAGAAAATTATAAAGAAAAATTGTTTTTTTTTTCAGAAATGATTTCAAACGATGAATTTTGTATTCAAAAAATCAGTCAACAAATCTCAATCTGGAAAAATGGATATGACGATTCGGCGCCAATTTCAGCTCAACCAGTTTCAGATCCAAATGTTATTTCACCAGGACAACATGTTGCACGAAGAAATAAACCAAGACAAAGAGCTGGAACAAGTGCAAAACGAATTGGATCAGGACCTGGAAAATCAGAAGAACAATCGGAAGAAGTTGAAAGAGAAATACAACAATTTGTGCAACATGTTAGTTTTTTTTTGAATATTTCTGAAAAATATTTTCGTTTTTGAAATTAATTTCAAGAAAACAATAATATATATTTAGGCATTAAAAGTTGATAGTGCATCAAAAGAAAAAGAAAGACGAGCGAGAGGAAGTGGAAATGGTGGAAACGGGGAAAAAGTATCACGAAAAGGTTCTACAAATCCCCAAGTTCATGTTGCAAATTTACCACCAACAGTTGGTCAACATCTTCAACAACAAAAAGATGCATCACTTTTAAGATCAGGACCATTAATACCTTAAAATATATATGTAATTATTTATTGGATCAATCTCATTTCACTAATTATTGTGCCTTTCATTTTTAGGAATCAATATATTTTATGTTTCTTCATTTATTTAATCGACTCGATCTATTAATTAAGCCTCAAATTGTGGATCTCTTTTTGGGCAAAGTACCTTTGTATATAAACTAATCACATCTAGTGATTATTGATCTCTAGGATTACTCTTTTTATAACGTTTTAATATTTACTTTTTATGTTCTATAAAAATAATATATGGCTTTGAATATTCAATTATTTTGTAATCTGATTTTGGTTTATATTCCAAATCATATTTATATAAATTTAATTTTTTTATGATATTATTTTTAATCAATATATTTTTTTAGAATGGATGACAAATCGGCAGCTAAACATCGATCAAAGATCATACAAAATGGATTGGGTGGAGCGACAAATACACCGAATTCTCAAGTTGAACAACCAAACAGCTCGTTAGTTTTATATTTTTTCCCAAACTCTATTTATTTCCAAAAAAAATCTTAGGCTTTTTCTCAACATTTATTTTTCTCATAGATCTTCAATTGATGCTACAATGATTCCAAATTCTCTAAAAAGAAGAGCAAGTGTTGATATTCCTTCAAGTTCAAAACCAAAAACATCGAAAAAAGAAATGCCAAAAGGACAGGATTTAGTTGATCGAATTTGGTTAGAAATTGACAATCAACAAAGAGAAAAACGAGAAAAACAAGCAATTCGAAAAGCGGCTGAAGAAGCAATTAAATCACATGAACCTATTGAACCATTTTGTTTGGAATTAACTGCATCGAATTTGAAATCACTTCAACATGATGATACATTGGCAAAAAAGGTTTGTTTGCATTTGGTAACATTTTTTGATGGAAAATTTTTGAATCGGACTAGGTCCGATTAAAACTTTGAATCAGATAACTTTCTCGAAAACTTCGATGTTTTGTATTTTTAGTTCATCCAACATGAAACAATGGTTGATAAATTATTGGGATATAAAATGTTGCTTGGAAGAATGGAGAATTATTCAACACTTGGATATGTGAAAATGCGCGAAAATAATGATGATTCACCACGTGCAAGAGCCCAAAGAGATGGAGTTTATGGGCGATCTCCGTCTCCACAAATATTCCGACGTGGTCCACGAACACCGCCAGAAGAAAATGAACAGGAACAGAAACCAGTTATAATACAAAAAAGAGGACCGAAAACACCGCCCGGTTCACCTGGACCATCTACACCGCCACCACAAAATAATGAAAGACATCGACTTTTAATTCATATGGCACAAGTTACTGGAGCAAGTATTGAACAAGTTGAAATAACATGTGGAGATGCTTTGAATCGAGCTATTGATAATAATAATATTAACAAATTGGAAATGTTGGAAACTTTTAAAACTGCTTTGATTTCGATGGCAAATCGACATGTTCCGAGTCATAATTCAACTCCTATGAAATACAAAATGTTAGTTTCAGTTTCAGATTTATCACAAATAATGTTTTATTTATTTTCCAGGTGTAGTCTTTCGGATCAAATGGAACTTGTATCAGATGCAACATTATCCGCTTCTCCACCTTCATCTCCAAATCCACTTCATTTTGCTCCACTCACAGCTCCACCAATTCCCCCACCAATGTTACCAATGGTTCCATTACAAACACTCCCACAAATTGTTCCACAACCACCCAATAGTTTTTCGCTTCCACCAATGTCAATTCCCCCTCCACCAATTGGTCTTCCTCCCTCACAACATTCTTCAATGATTTGTCGTCCACCTCCACCCCCAATTCATTTGCCACCTCCACCAATTATGCCAGCAATGAATATACCGCCTCCACCAATTGTGAGATCGCAAAATATATTGCCCCCACTTCCACCACAACAACAACAACAGAAACCAAAAGTTGAATTGAAATCAATTGTTACTGTTATGCCAGAACATATTCCAACAGTTCGAGGTTAGTTTTATCTTTCATTATTTTATCAATCAAACAATTCAGTAATGCCACAATGGATGAATCAACCACCTCCACCAATTCCCCCACCAATTCCGCCACCAAATTATCCTTCTCAACAATCTGGAATATCTTCGCATAATGTTCAAAATACATTATTCTCGGCGTTAGGTATTGCTGGTAAAGATTCATTTCTTTCTGCTCCTCCTCCACCGCCGCCACCAATTGATTCTTCTTCAAATATTCCTAATACATCTAATATTCGATCGCACTACGGTAATAATAATGGTGGAAATACGCCAAACTTCAAAAAAGGGCCGCCTCCACCAAGATTCTTTTTCTGAATGTTTCTGTTTTGTTCTGACTTCTAACATTTCTCAAAGAAAAATTTGAATAGACTTTTAACAATAATAAAAAATAAAACAAACATTTTAGTTTCCAAAACAAATAATTTTTTCAAACAAAATTTTCATTGCATTATATTTTTCGTAAATCTTCTTGCCTTATTTATTTTTGAAATCAATCTAAATCATTCTTGAATTATTATTTTTTTTTTGATTTCTAATCAATCATTGCTTTTTTCCATATCATTCTTTACAGATTTTTTCAGTTCGTAGAACTTGTTATCTTCTAAATTCTCATTGCTTTTTTTGCCATTTTTTATTTTGAATAAATTACTGTATCGGTTATTTTTTAAATTGTTTGTATTTTTTTTTGCTTCATTGTTGGAAAATTGATTTTTTCAAAACTAAGTTTTGTCAGAGTCACTTATTGAATATATTTAAGTTTGGATTTGACAGTAAAAATAAAAATACGTAAGTTAATTCATCTGAAAAAAAATGATTTAATGAGTTACGAAACAGTGAAAAGTATTAATTCAAAAAATTTAGAAATTGAAATCTTTCATAGAGGGATTTCCTAATAATATTAAAAATATTATTTTCAAACCCATACTTCTTACTTTAGAATTTGTAGATTTTTTCTAATAAAGAAAATCATCACAAAATTTGAAGATTTACAGAAAGTAACAAAAATTTACCATTAAAAATAAGTACCGTATTTATTGGAAAATGTTTATGGGCCTATGCAGAATAATATTTTGTAATAAAAAAACATAAAAAAACATTTTTTTCCTATGCAGAAAAACGTCGAAAAAACAAAATAAAGACAACGTGAAATTGAGAGAGCGCAGACATAAAATGGGTTTTTTCTCTGCACTCTCTCAACTTCACGTTGTCTCTACTCAAAATAATAAACTGTATATTTTGTTTTTTCGACGTTTTTTTATTACAAAATATTATTCCGCATAGGCCCATTAGAAATATTGTTTTTATTCGTGTATTTGTTTTTTTTTTTGCAATTTTGTATTTTTTGAGAATAATTGTATTTTTCAACAACTTTTCTTCGAAATTTAATTCCTTCAACTTAATAATTGTTTTTGAAAATTAATCTCATTATACTAATTTTACAATTTTTTTTTGTCGGCGTCTTTATTTATTTTGCATTGTTGTTTGGTGAAAAATTTCAGGTTGAAAATATGGAGTTAACAGGTATTTTTTTGAATTCCTGATCTGGTGTTTCTCGAAATTATTAGTTTTAGAATTGTTTAGAACATCAAATTTGTTATTTTTTGTACACTATTTGGGGTCTCATGATTTAACTATTTTCTTTCTTGTTAATCAAATTTCATAATTTTTCAACAATTTTCGAGTCTTATTTCTGTTAATGGGTCCAAGGAACAATTTATTTATAAAAACGCAGTTTCCAAACTCAGAAAATTTGAACTAAATTTGTTTTAGTAGAAATGAAATCTAAATTCCCACGTAATTTTCACGGACTTCAAAAAGGAATTCCATCAGTTTTGTATTAGCGATGAAGAACTGCAGACAAAAAATTTTCCGAAATCACAAGAGGAATTCTGAGATTTCGAAAAGACAAAAAAAAAATTCAATGATTTATTTTTGAAATACATTTGAGTATTATTATTGGACTTGAAAAATAATCGAAGTATGTGGTACACCCGGAATAAAAATGTTTTACCGAATTATTAGAAAATCTGAAACGAGTTTAAAATATTTAAACTCTAGAAAATCATTCCTATTTTCACTCGACTGACTCAAATTTTCAATTATTTTTTCAGGTTTCCAACAATTCCAACTTCTGTGTTTCAAATTTTTTTATATTTTCTATTCAATTAACTCTATTATTCATTTTAATTTTATAATTTTCACATGTCCTTAAATTTAGAATTTCCTTGTAATTTAAAAAGTGAAATTCAGCTTTTTGGAGAGTGAAAATTATAGAACAAATTCCATGAAATGGTAAGCAAAAACTTTATGTTTCGAGCTAGAAATTTGAAAAATGAAACGATAAAAACCCGTCAAAAATCAGGGAAGAAAGACACTGAAAATTTGCAATTATAATCATGAAATTATATAATTTGATTATCAGGATAAATTTCAGATGGTTGCAATAAAACTGGATCAGATGTTGAATTTGATGTTGAAGCTTTAAGTGATCGACGAATTGCCATTTCTGGATCATTTCTATAAATAGTAAGATTAGTTTCAGATTTTTAGAAAAATATTCTAATTACTTTAAATCATAATTTTTAATCATCCAATTATGATTAATAACAAAAAATCGAAATATACATCGGAATACTGTAGCTTCAGCCCTGTATTGTGTAAATAATGCAACTATAAAAGCAGACAGAAACATTGACGCACAAGAAATAACTTTGAAATCGAATAAAGAAGAAACTGGCGGTCGAATATGATAGTTTCTGAAATTAAACAATTTAATCCAAAACTGAAATATAAATATATTAATAACATACACATCAGACCCATGATCATTTCCAGAAACACTTGTTGTATATGGTCGACGTTTCCAAGGAGAATATGTTGCACCGGAGCCAGAAAAACTAAAAAAAAAACAAACATTAGATATCATTCTTTCTCTATAGAAAAAACGAACTTTTTATTAATCGAGGCATTTTCTTGAATAAATTTGATTGTAATATATCCGCAAAGAATCATAATTAAAAGTGACAACAAAAACAGTAAATTGAGAATGCAAGAATTCCTATCAATGTGTGGAATATGAAGAGAACGAATTTGGAAAATGTTCGATCGACGATAATCATAGCCACAAAGTTCACATCGAGGAGCTGGAACCATTTTTCGAGTTGACATTTCCAGCCATCGCTGAAATTATTATTGTTGAAAAGGTTTTTTTGAGAAAAAAGACTTACGACAACACATGCTTTATGAACATAAAGAAGTGATCCAGAACATCGACAAGGAGAAATTAGAGGATTTGATCGAGTTGATTTTGAGATATGACATATTCGACACATTGAAGAGGTTGATTGAAGAGATACTGTAAAAATGTTTGAATAAGTACTGTAGTTTTTCGAGACAGTATTTTTATTGTGAACAGTACTGAGAACCTAAAAAATTTCAAACTATTTTGAGCAAGTTTTTTACCGTTTAGATGTTTTTTTGAGTCAATTCAACAAAGAACTACAGACAATATAAAATTTGAGTGTGATATACATATTTCGTTGAGTTCCACTTCTAAAAATAAGCTTACATTTTGAAGAGCATAAATTAGAAGCTTGGAGAAATTCGCAACCCTTCCAATATGTTTTTAATCCATCTTTTGTTTCTTCTTCCTCAATAAGTGGCTCTTTTTCAATTGGCTCAGTTTCCAAACTCGATTGCGGTGGTAAAGAAACATATAGTTGATTACTTTCTTCTTCTCTTACAGATTTCATATCTAAAAAATATGAATAAACGTTTTTTGAGTGGCAAGAGAAAGTGTAAATAAAAGTTTTCAGAAAACAATAATATGAAGTGCAGAAATGAAAAATATTGAACACACTGAAAAACTAATTTTGTCGGTTCTCAAAATAATATTCGTTTTCTTTTTTTTTTCAGATGACCAGTCTTCCTTGAGGTAAACAAAAATAAAAAGTCATTTGAAAAGAAAAGAGAAGAAAAAAAGATGTGCACAAAGTTTGTCTGTTTTTTTTTGGAAGGTCGTAAACAACACGATTATTTTTGTACAACAACAAAATATTGTTTTATAATAATAATAATATTGAAGAAAAAATTGTACAGTTTTTATTTATTTTCAGAAATTGGAAAAAAAGAGTGAGAGAGGAAAACGAAGGAATTCGAAGAAAACGAAAATGAACGAGGGAAATTGAATCGGAAATTGATATTTTCCGAAAGAAGTACAAGTTTAGATAAAGTAAGTGCAGAAAAACAAATCAAAGTCGAAAATATTTTGGATTTTGTCTAAAATATCTATTTTATAAAATAAGAGGAACACCTGAAGATTTAATCCGCTAATTATGCAAAAATCTGTCACCAAGCCAACCAAATTTCCGCTTTTGATCTTTTTTCTTTTTAATTATTTTTATTTCAATTTAAATAAAAAGTATATAAAATGTGATAGACAAGAACTACACAAAAAGCTATACGAAAAGAAGAAAAAATAATATAAGTAAAGTTGATTGCAGCTGACGAAAAAAGTATTTTGACACTAGAAAAAAAAAGAAGAAGAAGATGAAAAACTAGGAAAATTTACTGAAATATTTATTCTGTTATAAAAAATGTAGCTTTTTTTCTAACAGCAGAAGGGGATTGATTCATGAAAGTGGGACAAAAAAACTTGGAACAAAAATTTTGTGGATCAGATCCCATTTTTTTGAGAAAAATTGTAAGTTAATTATATAAGTAAAATTGACCTATTCTGAAAATTTGTCCATTTTTTTCATATTCAGAATAATTTTTAGAAGAATCCTAGACCGAGAATTTTAACTGATTCCAACAAAAACCAAAACTGACGAATGATTTTCCCAAATAACAATGAGCCTTTGAAAAAGTTTTGTTAACGTAAAAAATGTGACAAAAGTGCATTATACAAATGACAAAAAAGGGGGAAGAATGAGACATTATTAGTAATAGTGCACAGTAGGAACTACTCTCAAACTGAAGAAAAAACATGATATTTAGAGATTAGAACGAATAAAATGTTTAGATTTTAGAGCAAAGTTATTTCGAACACCAAAAAGAAAACAAAACAAATAAATAAATAAACAAGAGAAAGCAAAAAGAAGGAGGAGAAAAGTGGATAATTGAATCAGTTGCACCAATTGGTGTGCGACTTTTGTTTCACAAAACGAATGGGATGAGTGTGTGAAGAAATACATAAAAGACAGCATAGCATACCAAAAAAAGTGTTTTGTTTTAGAAAAAGTGCAGTGTTGTAAATAATTCAGAAAGAATACATTTCGGGGCGAAAAAAGAAAAAAAAAGAAAAAAGACGATGAAAAATATTGTTCTTATGTTGAATCTTTTTTTGGTCAATGAAGCGGAATCTGTGTTCTTCAAAATAAAAAAAGGGATTTTTAGTGTGGGAAAAATAGAATGTAAAAAGAGAAAATGGCTGACTATTAGATCTTTTTTCAGACATAAGTATTTTGAGTCCAACAACGAAAAAACCGCGAAATGTTCACGTTTGTTTTTCAAAACTCTTATTCCAGAAAAATCCAAACTTTCTGTTTTTCATGATCGAATTTTTATAATCTACCGAATTTTTTACCAGAAAAAAAGAAGTGTTAAATCTTTTTGGAATTCTTTTAACCAAATCACCTTATTGAAGTCAGACCTAGCAGATGTATAGTTTTCCATTTCAAAAACTATCCTGGCACTTTTTTCGAAGTCACTTCTCATTATTTTTCTTCCCGTCATAGCAAAAAATAATATGAAAACCAAAAAAAAGTATCAAAGAAGAATGGAAGGAGGGCATTATTATATATCGAAATGGGCATGAATAAAATAGAGGAAAACAAGAAAAAAGAAGAGAAATAAGAAGAAGAAGAAGGAACATGCAATAAAATAATTGAAGAAGAAATGAAAGAAAATGCAACAACATCTGCCATTTAAAGCAAAACGCAGATGACATAAATACATGACATGATTCTATTATTACCATTTCAACTATTTATCTAATTTCTATTCATTTTACATTTTACTAACAATTTGGGATTGAATTGAAAAAAAAAAGAAATGGATATGCACCTGCTAGAAAATGGAAATGAACAAGATATATTTATAGTTTCCGTCGTTGATTCATTGACTGCTTCAATCTATTTTTTTTTAATGAGAAATAAACGAAGTATAGCAAGACTCTTGAATGAAATACGGGGGAAAAAAACTAGAACTAAAGCCTATTCCTAAAGTTTGAATCTAGAACCTCAAAGGGTATTTTAATTGAAGAATCTGGAAATACACTGGATTCCCTTCCCACATTATTCAGAAGTGACTCTGAAACCTACAGTATACTTCTACAAATCAGAAAAATAGTTCACATCTGTCTTATTAGATATTGCTATCAAATTTTGGAATTATCAGTATTTTCAATATTTGTGAAAATAATAAACAAACAAATAAAACGCCGAACAACAATGATAAATTGATAGATTGTGAGCAAACAAAATTTGATCAAAATTAAAGAGTTCTACAAATTATATTTTCCCTAATTTTCCAAATAAAATTTAGTTTCCGGGTTTGCGGTCTAATTCTAATTTTGTTTCACTTTTATTCACATCACGTTCGTTCGTTATGCAACGAAAAAGTGCAAAAATAATTGAATTTCTCTACTTGAAATGAAATCAAATCAAGGAGTTCATCTTTTTCTTAGAATCTGTGAAAAAGGGAAAAATAAATATATATCTTCAGAGAAGGAGAAAAAAAGTAGAAAGTAAATAAATAAGAATTTTGGGATTCCAAAAATAATATAGTTTTTTTTGCTGTGTTTTTTAATAAGTCATAAAGCCATGAGATAATTAGTTTAATAAGGAACCCATCTGACACAAAAATATAGATATATTGTAATATTTGAGGGGTATAATTAATTGGAATAAAGTCAATTATGAGCTCAAAAAATAATAGAAAAAGGGTGGAAAATAAGTAGAAAAATAGGAAAATAACAGTAAGTTCAAAATATTGAGATGAAATTGAAAGTGAAATTTGAATACACATTTTGTTGCCCGTTGACAATTATTAAATCGAAACTACTCACTCCTCCTCTTTTTCACATAATAATTTCAATGACAATACAAAAATACTTTCTCGTTTTTTCGACATACTTTTTGATATTGGAAAAACATTCAAGAAAAACATGGTAGATAATAAATTGATTAAAAGGGTTTGTTTCAACAAAACAATATAAATATTGGTCAATAATTTATCACATGACCAACAATTTCAAGTCACTTGTTTCAAGAAAAAAAAGAAATTGAAAACCAGAAAAAATTAGAAAAAATGTGACGTGAACGAGAAAGTGATACTTCAAAAAACATTATTCGAAAAATTTTTGTAGGCCTTTTGGTCCTGATCCATCCAAATTTATGATGGAAAAGTCCACAAAAATTAATTTTTAAAGAAAACAATTTGGTGGGTTACTGTAGATTTTACTGTAGATTAAAAATATTAAGCTGGAATACGTGGGTTGAATTCAGTTAACATCACCTCAAAGTGTCAGAAATTTTTATCCAAAATGTTTTGGAACTTTTTTTAATTCTTGTATCTAATTGTAAATAAAAAATTCAAAAAAAAAACTAATATGCAGAAAAATACTATAGGGCAATAAATAACACACCAATCCATCCAAAACTTCTGGTGTCTGCCCTTTTTCTTAGTTTACATATCTGCCAATTCTTGGTTTATAATTCCATTTGATGTACCAGATGGCAAAATATCATTAAAACATAAGAGAGAACAGAGATAGACATTTGATGAGCAGCAGACAAAAAGAAAAAAAAAGATTAGAATCATAATTTAAATATTCAAAAATACTCAAACTTATCCGAAAGAATAAGAAAAAAGCGAAAACATTTCAAAAAAAATCTATCGATAAAAAGCATAAAGAAAAACCCGTTTCAATTCATAATTGCATAATGGCATAATTTCTTTTTTTTTGTCTTTTCACTTTAAAAATACGAAAAAGCTGTTAAAAGCAACACTTTTGTTGCACTTTTTGCGCATGTTTTTATGTTTATTTTGTATTAAGATTGAAATATGAATAAACAAATGTATAGTAATCAAACTGGGCGCAAATATGAACACTTCAATTCTGGTCTCGTTGAAAATAAATAAATAAATATTATGTATTACATGAACAAGGTTAAAAACCCTCTAGGTAAATAAATATTATTTTATATTCTTGTGATGTTTTCAACTTGAGAGAGACAAAAAAACTCCCACGAAACGAGTTTTTTTTTCAATGACAATAAATGCTCTTTTTCATATTTAAAAAATATTTATATGACACAGGACAATAAATAGTTAGATGCAAAAATATGAAGAATCAAAGTATATACACATGCAAATTAATGAAGAAAAAAATAGTTGAAATGCAATCAAAATCTAATTTCGAATATTTCTTGTCAAGTTAGTTGGTGCTTTTGGTGTATCAAGAAGAGTTGAGCTGAGTTGAGGTCTTCCAATTGTACTTTCCAAAGTATTGTTATCCATAGTTGTGCTTTTTATATACATTGGTGTTAATGGTGGAATTTGTGTTCGAATTGATGGAACTGGATAAGTTGGAGATCTTCGAATTGATCGACGAGTTGTTTGTTGTTGAACTATGACAGAAGCACTTCCTGATAATATTGTTGATTTATCTCCTTCATCATTATGATTTGATTCGATTGGAGGCGATTCTTCTTGGCAGATAAGACTTTTTCTCATTGCAGCCAACCGTCTTTGTTTTTTAATATAACATACAAAGAAAATCAGAATGATAAATGTTAGAACTCCGACACAACCCAATGATATTATTGTGATTATTCTGTAATATTTTTTGCATATTTAGAGAATTATGAAAGTTAGAAAAATTACCTGATCTTTTTGTGTCTTTCTTCTTTTTGCTTCTGCAATACCATTTCACTTGTCAATGAATTGATATCATATGGTGTGAATGTTGACAATTCAGGACGTTCAAAAACTGGTAATTTTTTGAGAATTTCTTCGATTGTCATATTCTTCTGAAAAACATTAACATTTGTGTTTATGCTTTCGAAACTATTTTTTTAGGGTATGTAAAATTCCAAAACGACTCACTTCTTTAGCATCAGCGAACATTGAAGTCATAGCATTTGGATTAGATTTAAAATGTTCTAATAAATCATCTGGCAACAAACTCATATCAGGAACTTCTCCACGTGTCACAGCCATAATAACTTCTTTTGGAATTTTATTCAAATTATATCCAGGTGGAAGCATTTTCAAAATATTGAACATTGCTGGATTAAATCCTCCTCCTCCATTATTTCCACTATTATTTTGAACAACAGTAATATTACCATTTGTTGAATCATTTGCAATTGCTGGCAAACCTCCTAATGTTGGTAATTGTTGTGAATAATATTCCATAATAGTTCTTGTTTGATTTTCATCCAAACCAGGCAATGCTTCTCCCGACATTACTGTTGAAACCATTTCCGATGGCAATTTATCAAGTGGCAATAATATTTTTTCTTGTCCTTCAATTGGATTTCCAGCAAGATTTGCAGCAGCTGCTTCATACATATTCAACATTGATTGTTTAATGATTTTATCAAGTGTTTCTTTGTCAATTCCAGGAATTTGTCCACCATTCAAAATATATTTGATCATACCAGGATCCATTTGACTCAAATCAACATCTCCAAAACCAGGAACATTTACAACCATATTTGGAATTGATCGAATTAATTGTTCAATATCAGTTGCAACAGGTTGTCCACCAGTTGCAAATCGAACAAGAGGACCAGTAAAATCTTCAATTGCTCGATTTAATTGTTTATTTGGAACTGGAGCAGCACTTGAATCTGAGGCACTTGGAGTATTTAAACCAGGAATAGAACGAAGAGCAGGTACAGCCTGCAAAAAAATTAGTCAGGATTTTTCAAACATAAGAATTTTCTAAACATTATTTTTCAGAGAAGTTCAAAAATGTAACTAATAAAACAAACCTGTGTAAGTGTGTTGACAAAAGGAAGAGGATTACTCGCCAAATCATTTCCCAAACTTCCAAATTGTGGCAATTGTGGAATAAATGAAGATAACAATGAATGTTGATTATCAGATTTTTGATTCAATCCAATTAATCGACTTCCCTCTTTGATTGTATCATTTGCTTTTTTCATCATCAAATCTTTCAACAAAACATTCCTATATTTTTCAGGTCCACTGCATTTTATATCAGATTGATATGGAAGACATGTTCGAATATTATTTGTTACCAAATAACTCAAGAAATCATTGAAAGCTTCGTCACAAATCAGATTATTTCCATCCAATAAAATATTTGAGATTTTTCGAGTGAAAGTTTTTTTGCGAAAATGTGATAACTGATTGTTTGATAAATCGAGCCAGAATAGTTTGGATGCCTTTTCGAATGAAAGTTCTTCAATATCTGTGATATTATTATATCCCAAATCTAAAGTTGTCAATTGTTGCAACTGTGAAAAATAGGTAGAACTGATAGTTGTCAGCGTGTTATTTCGAATACTGAGTTGTTGTAAATTCGACAATCCATTCAGCAAGCCGTGTTCTAAAAATAATGGAGATATTTTTTCAATTTGAGAAATTAAAAACTACCAATTTTTGAAATCGAATTGTTTCCGATCAACAACACTAACAACTGATCCAATGAATTGAATGCGTTTTTCGAAATATCACGAATTCGATTGTTCTGTAAAACTTCAAAATTAAACAGGAATATTGTAAGTTCATTTCATACCTGTAAACTGATAAGCTGCAATTTTTGGTTGTTTGAAAATGCCAAGTCATCAATTTTCTCAATCAGATTTCCATCAGCTTTTAATTGTTTCAAAGTTGTCAAGTTCTTCAGAATCGGAAGCTGAAAATTAATCAATAATCAAAATAAAGAAATTGACAACTTACTGTGTACAATGCATTATTTCTAACATCCAACATTTCGAGTTTTTCAAATTCTTTCAGTTGTCCTCCATCCAAATTTGTTAAAATATTATTTTGAAGATATAAATACTCCAAAGAAACAACATTTTTGAAAGAATCTGGATGAAGTCTTCGCAAAGAATTGTTATAAAGTCGAATTTCTCTCAAACTCGGCAAATTCAATAGTTCATTTTGATTGATTTCGGAAATATTATTTGATGATAAATCCAAATATGTCAATGCTGAACTGTTTTGAAGGACTTCGAATGGGATTCTGGTCAATAAATTATCACTGATGTCGAATAAAATCAACGATTTTTTCAATGATTGAAAACAAGCAGATGGAATTGTTGAAATTTGATTTTTCTCAATTCGAAGTTGTGTCAAAGCAGTGAGCGATGAAAATGAATTGGCCGAGATATTTGAAATCTGAAACAATAGAATATATTTAAACAATAAAACAGATAACAAAAAGTAAAAGAATACCTGGTTATTATTCAGATTCAATGTTGAGAGAGATTTGAGATTACCGAACAACGGAACACTTTTCAGACGATTTCCGGTCAATGAAATATGTTCGATTGATTTTTCCAATCGCTCCCAGGCCTGCAAAAACATATATATTTTCGATTAATGATTCATTCAATTCTTACGTTGTCAGAAATCACTTCAACACTGGAATTGATAATACTGAAACTTCGAATTCCATTCAATGACAACTTATCGATTTTGGTTTCATTTGTATGCGAAACATGCAATTCGTCAATTGATTGTGTTCCCAGACTCTGAAATGACTTTTTATTCAATATAGACGTCTTATATTGTACTGATAAATACCTGAACAATACTCGAAATCGTAATTCCATCACAGTTAACTATAACTAGTCCTTTGTTCATCTGAAAACCGGCGAATTTCTCTAGAAAAGCTAAGAAAAACCTACTGTGCATCCACATTTTTCTGGAACTTTTGGACAATTTGCAAAAACATCGATCGTCAAAACAAAAAGAAGAATAAGCAGTGATCGAAATATTTTGGTTTTCATTTCCCCTGAAAATAAAAATTGAGATTTTAGGACCAAAACTCGGGAAAAAAACAAAAATTTGGTTGCAAATCAACTTTTTTCTGTGAACGAACGGAGAAATTTGTTTTTTCGCGGTTCGCTTCAAGACTCAAGAAAAATGTTTTGTGTGGCTAATATACAGTAGTGCACAAACATTTTTATTTTTATTTTGAATTTTTTTATATTTTTTTTTCTTTTGTTGATAATTAGACATTTTATAATTAATTTTTCTGTAAAAGAGCTCAAATTTTGTATAACCCAAAACTTCCCTTGTTGTAAAACTTATTTCGAAATGATTATCGAATTTTCAAATGTTTAACACGTTTATTTTTCAAATTTTTTATTCAAACATTGAGCATCATCCAATTTGGTCCTCACAAAACATTTAGTTCCGAAAATCAAATTTTCGGTTTTTACAAAAAACTGAATAAGATCAGATATCACAGAGTTTGAATAAATATACATTAAAATGAAATACACCGATCATCAGTTTCGGGTTTAAAAACGAATGAGAAAAAAACAATAAAATTATGAGGGTGTGGAAAAAAGGGGCGTGGCCTGAATTGAATTATAGATAAATAAAAAGACGGATAAGTGAGGAATCATGGCAGGGCTAGGAGAAATATTTATAGAAGTGACTCGAAAAAGGAAAAATAATTCGAAGTTTCATTCGTCATCGAATTCGTAGAGTTGTTTGTATAATGGGCAACAATAACAACACCAACATGATAAAGCAATCAAAACTGAAAAAATTAAGTTTGATTTATTTTTTCAGAAACAGAAAATTTTTGAAAAATGTTTACCAATTAATAAAACAATTGCAGCTAAAATGACAGCAACCATAGCACCAGTTGGTATAGCAAATTGACAACACGAAGGTTTCCATGATCCTAAATATGGCCATGTGCAACACCAATTATAATTATCCCAATCAGTTGGTTGTGGGCAGAATGCCAAATATCCTGTAATCATTTTATTAATGAATTATTTTTAGAACTAATTATAAATAATAATCCTATTAAATTTATAAGAAACAAACATAATACTGTTTTTTATTTTGAGGCAAAGAAGAAATAACTTACCGTATCCACTTGGGCACCAGAAAATTCTTCGATTTCCTAATCGTCCTTCGATATATTGTGTGATTGGATCATTCAGACCTTGTGAATCAACATATTGACCTAAAGAATCAATCAATAAATATTTAAATGAATTTAGAAAATTTAATTTGAATTTTCTAACTTACAAAATGTGAAAATGATAACGACGAATGCAATGTGCCTAATCCTGATCTCCATATCTGATCGATCTAAAAAAAATTCCATAGAATTAGAAAAAAAATCAATTTTTAGTAGTATAAAGCGAGAAAAATTGGACAATTGATAACAATTTTATAGATTACGAGAGACCTAAAAATAGCAAGTTTTAATTATTTGGAAAAAAATTAATTGAACCAAATTATCATGATATTTTCGAATAAACTGAATTACCAGCAGAAAAAAAAGCTGGGAAAAATAACAAAAAATCAATAAAACTATGTACAATACGAAAATTGAATCATTCTTGAATAAATAAATGTATAGATATGTACAGACGAGCAGTGAGAAAAAAAATGATAAAAACTATGTTGGAAAAAGGAAAAGAAAGAAAAAAGGTGAGTCAGAAGCAGAAAAATGGACAAGGCCGGAATATAGAAATTTAATCAATTTTTGTAGGAAAAACATGGTTTGTAAAAATGAAAGTTGTTAAGATCGGATTCATTGAATTGGTGCATAAAAAATGATTACAAATTTTAAGAAATTACTGAACCTCCAGATTTTTAATAAATAGGTTTCCCTCAAAATTTTGCGCTTAAAGACATCGCATCATCATCTAATATTTTGGGTTCAGTCTTGAAATTGGAAAGTCAGAACTAATTAGTGACTGTACATTCTCAAAAAACTTCTCATTTGAAGTTTTCCAACTACAAAATGAGTGATCAAAAGCCTTGAGAATGATATTTTAGTAATAAATGGTCCGTTGAAAATTATACGATTATCGATTAATGAAACAATACAAATAATAAGGAACGACGAGAGAAAATAATAAAAATAATAATAAATGTTTGGCAAAAGAAGCAATGTCAAAGTGCACAACCAGCGGGACTCTCTTTTTCTCTCTCTCTTTCTCATTCCTTTTTGTATTTGTTTTGAGCAAATAAAACAGGTTAACGAAAAGATGAAAAAGAAGAAGAAGACGAGAAAAATAAGACAAAACCATGCGAAATTCCAAATATTACGCAAATATTCGATCGTGTTTTTCTGAACTTTCAGATCCCAGAATGATCTTCAAAAATAAAATATGGCCAATGTGATTTTTTATCACGTGGTGAATGTCTTCATTTCACGTAAAATTTTCTCATTTCATTTCAAAAAATGTCCAACGGCCAGATTTCTGCTCTCAAGGTGAGCGAAAATTCGAAAAAACTTTGAAATAATTTTCAAAAAATTCCAGACATTTCTTGAATTATCCCGATCTTTGATTGTGTTATGTCTCGGAATTGTTTTCCTTCTTGTATTTTATATTGTTCGAGCTCCGCTGATCAAAAAACGGAGGGAGCTCGAAAATCAACTGAAATTATCTATGAGGAAATATGAAACCGAGTAAGTTTTTTTCACGAGAAAAAACTTTTTCAACAAAAATTCCAATTTTTCAGGAATCTTGAATTGGATCAAATCAATTTCTACGGACTTCTCGAAACTACAAATATATTCAACAATGAAAAAAATGACTAAAAGATAAAAAGTAATAGATTTTTGAATAATATTTTCTCATGGCCATGAATCATTGAAAAACAAACAAAAATGGGAGGAAAATGAAGGTAAACATGATGGAAAAAGAAGAAGACAACGGACACAGGTGAACGAAAACAGAAAAAAAAAGAGGAATGGGTCAAGCTTGAAAAAAACTGACTGGAAAAAGAGATATGTTATTGATTTTTGTAATCCAAAGTTTCGAACTTATAGGTGACAATCTAAGTTTCTCAAAAAAGTTTCATAGATTATTCTACAGTAAGAAGAAATCGAAATCGATAATCGAAATAGAAAAAAAAAAACTCTAATAGCTTCGATGATAAAACAAAATCAGATTTTTTAAGTTGATTCGAACTAACCTCGAATTTGAATTTTTGAAAGTATAAGATTTTATCGATATTTGAGAGCTCTTCACTAAATTCTCTCATTTAAACCTAGTTTTTTCCGAAAAACATCCTGAAAAGCTAATTAATTTAGGAAAAAATATTGAAAAAGTTATAATATTATTACGAAAAGATGGGACGTAAAAAGAAGAAGAAGAAGAAGAAATATAAAAAGAATAAGACGGTATGCAAATTGTGTCGGTTGGTTGGTCGATTTGTTTGTTTTTGTATTCGACGAGCATCTTTTCTCTTTTCTCTTTACATATTTTTGGCCTGATAAGTAAAAACATCAAAATCAAAAGAAATGAGTCAATAATTTTGGATTTTATGTTTAGAAATTGAACGTTCCAATCAATTTTGTAAGTATAAAAAGCTGAGCTTTAGGTAACTTTTTTCAACTTTAAAATATGTTTGTCAAAAGCACAATATTCGAAAGAAATAGGGAAGTGTTCTTGTAAAAATAAAGAATTTGGATTATATAAAATTTAATTTTGTAAAATTTTTCAGAATATCGGGGTTGGATGATCAAGCACATTTGTGATAATATAGTAGGATTACTGTATCTCTCAAGTTCACCAAAAATTTTCAATTAGATATTAAAAATAAACGTAGTAACATGTTTATCATTAAGTAAGTAAATGTTATCCTTGTACAAACAACACAAATGAAAGAATGACAACAACAAAACAAGGGAGAAAAAGCGGCGGAGAATACGGTTGAAATCCGACTGACATACTCTTTTTTGTTGACACAATCATCAAATGAAAAAATCATATTCGAAAAAGAAAGTAGTCAAAATGACCGGTCGGGTGCATTTGTTATGATAACGATAAAGTTTTAATTTTTATTGTTTTTGTTAAATACGATGGAAATCTGATAAAACACAATGAATATAAATACAGACAACAGTTGAAATTTCAATGTTTTCATTGCTCTGCAGTTCAACGGGAGAATTAAGAGAACATGATTGAATCTGGAACGGATTTGGGAAACTTGAAGATGTCATTAGAAATATGAAAAAGAAGTTGATTGAGGAGTTTTCGAAAAATATTGAAAAAAATGTTCTGAACTCCTAACAAGAAATAAGGAGATTCATTGTGAATTAAATATTTCTGAAAACCCTATCAGATTATTGAAGTACATGTTTTCTTTTAATTTAGTATACTTTTTCATAATTGAGTACCCTGAAAACCCGCTCTGGGTTTGCTTTTCAGAATCGCGATTTTCAAACGAAGATTTTTCTGCAGTAAATATTCATACACTTCCGAAAAAAATTACAAAAAAATTGCTTCTATGGTATAAAAATATTTCGCATGAAAAGCCTGAGAAAATTTTGGGGTTTTTTTCGAATGAGGTACAGTGTTCCAAAAATTAATTTTTAATTTTTCATATCTACTAAAAATCTTGATTCAAAATGTAGGTCAATTATTTTTCGCATGAAAGTTTTCGTATGAGTTCGTTTTTCGCAAGAGTCATGTTTCGCATAAGTATTCAACTTTCTGGAGTTTTGATATGTATTTCAAAATTACACCCTTCTGGAGGACTAAGTCTTAGCTCACCTTCACCTCGCTTCACCTAATATTCGTCAGCCTAAAAATTAAGTTTCAACTATTCCGTCATTGAAATTAACTTACAATTAGGCTAATAAACATAATGCAATAATACAACATTTTTAGTTCTTTCGAAAAAAAATAACTTCTAATCTTAAATTTTACATTGTTACTTTTATTTTTCTGTCTTTTTCTTTTTTTTCTCTATTTTCTCAAATATAATGTTCTCGATGAAAATCGTGAAATTTCCTGATTTCACAGAAAAAACCAAATTCAAAAAATAAACGAGAGAGTGTTTGTGTAAGAGAGACGCCAGACAACACCACGGTTTGTGAATTTTTTTGCCAACCTCAAAACCATTTTTTGTTTTTTCACAAAAAATGCTAAAATCGGTCATACTCAACCAAACTTCACAATCTTTGCAGCAAAAAGTAGCAAATTCACGAGAATAGAGATTGCAACAATAAAAACCTAGAAAACTTTTCTCCAGACACCAAAAAATATGATTATAGGTTTTTCGCTCATATTTTGCAATCCGATGTTGAATTTTACAATTCTATTCTATTTTTCTGTCTTTGCCTTGTGTTTCTCTATTTTCTCATATATGATGTTCTCGATGAAAATCGTGAAATTTCCTGATTTCACGGAAAAAAAACCAAATTGAAAAAATAAACGAGAGAGTGTTTGTGTAAGAGAGACGCCAGACAACACCACGGTTTGTGAATTTTTTGCCAACCTCAAAACCATTTTTTGTTTTTTCACAAAAAATGCTAAAATCGGTCATACTCAACCAAACTTCACAATCTTTGCAGCAAAAAGTAGCAAATTCACGAGAATAGAGATTGCAACAATAAAAACCTAGAAAACTTTTCTCCAGACACCAAAAAATATGATTATAGGTTTTTCGCTCATATTTTGCAATCCGATGTTGAATTTTACAATTCTATTCTATTTTTCTGTCTTTGTCTTGTGTTTCTCTACTTTCTCATATATGATGTTCTCGATGAAAATCGTGAAATTTCCTGATTTCACGGAAAAAAAACCAAATTGAAAAAATAAACGAGAGAGTGTTTGTGTAAGAGAGACGCCAGACAACACGACGGTTTGTGAATTTTTTCGCCAACCTCAAAACCATTTTTCGTTTTTTCACAAAAAATGCTAAAATCGGTCATACTCAACCAAACTTCACATTCTTTGCTGCAAACGATAGGAAATCCTCGGGAATAGAGATTGCAACAATAAAAACCTAGAAAACTTTTCACAAAACACCAAAAAATATGATTATAGGTTTTTCGCTCATATTTTGCAATCCGATGTTGAATTTTACAATTCTATTCTATTTTTCTGTCTTTGCCTTGTGTTTCTCTACTTTCTCATATATGATGTTCTCGATGAAAATCGTGAAATTTCCTGATTTCACGGAAAAAAAAACCAAATTGAAAAAATAAACGAGAGAGTGTTTGTGTAAGAGAGACGCCAGACAACACGACGGTTTGTGAATTTTTTTCGCCAACCTCAAAACCATTTTTCGTTTTTTCACAAAAAATGCTAAAATCGGTCATACTCAACCAAACTTCACATTCTTTGCTGCAAACGATAGGAAATCCTCGGGAATAGAGATTGCAACAATAAAAACCTAGAAAACTTTTCACAAAACACCAAAAAATATGATTATAGGTTTTTCGCTCATATTTTGCAATCCGATGTTGAATTTTACAATTCTATTCTATTTTTCTGTCTTTGCCTTGTGTTTCTCTACTTTCTCATATATGATGTTCTCGATGAAAATCGTGAAATTTCCTGATTTCACGGAAAAAAAACCAAATTGAAAAAATAAACGAGAGAGTGTTTGTGTAAGAGAGACGCCAGACAACACGACGGTTTGTGAATTTTTTCGCCAACCTCAAGACCATTTTTCGTTTTTTCACAAAAAATGCTAAAATCGGTCATACTCAACCAAACTTCACATTCTTTGCAGCAAAAAGTAGCAAATTCACGAGAATAGAGATTCCAACAATAAAAACCTAGAAAACTTTTCTCCAGACACCAAAAAATATGATTATAGGTTTTTCGGCTTGATTCCCTTCGATTTTTATAATGTTCGACTTGTTTTCTATGTTGTATTCTTGCATTATTGCATTCTGGTACCATTAAAAAAAGTGATTTGTATTCTGGGTGTCAGCCTCAAATTGACCAAAATATATTCTCACAATCATTTTGTATTTTTCCCGAATCATGTCGTCTTCTTTTTTCTCACAAATAACGTTGGTTTTAATATGTGGTCAAACGAGCGAATTACACCCTTTTCCAAATATATTTCATGAATAAACAAATAGAGACGAAATAATATACCAGTACCAGCCGGCAGAAACTGAATGGGTACGGCTGAAAGGGTGCGCACCCTTTTTTCAAAGGGGCCGAAGGGGCAAAATCGAAAAAGGGGCCGGAGGGGCAAAATAAAAAGACTGAAAGGGGCAATCAAAAAAAGGGGCCCACAATATTTCTTGCGATATTCTGAAAGGGTGCGGCCCCTTTTTTGAAAACGGGCAATTTTTGAAGGATTTCGAAAAATTTCTGGGGAAGTTTTCGACCAAAGCGAATATGATGGGATGGCTGAAATTTTGAGAATTTCAGATTTTCAGCTAGAACCACGTGAAAATCAAATTTTTCGGAAATTTCTAGTTTTTTGCTGCAAATGTTTTCAGACATGCTGAAAACGATGGGATGGCTGAAATTTTGAGAATTTCAGCTAGAACCACGTGAAAATCATTTTTTTTTCGGAAATTTCTAGTTTTTTGCTGCAAATGTTTTCAGACATGCTGAAAACGATGGGATGGCTGAAATTTTGAGAATTTCAGATTTTCAGCTAGAATCATGTGAAAATCAAATTTTTCGGGAATTTCTAGTTTTTTTGCTACAAATTTTCTCAGAGATACTGACGACGAACGATGAAATTACTCAATTTTCATGAATTTCAGATAGGATCACGTGATTTTCACGTGAAAATCAAAAATTTTCAAAAACTGTCTAGTTTTCTGCTGCTTTGGTT